CCCTCGCTGAGATTAAGGCACAAGCCTCAAAAGCACCAATTGGCCTTGATGAGTTCGAGCGGTACCTTATGCAGCCATTGGTTACCACTGATAAGCCGATTGAGTGGTGGTCCACCACTGGATGCATCGAATATCCATATCTGACCAAAATGGCATTGGATATGCTGTCAATACCTGCGATGAGCGATGAGCCTGAACGCTTGTTCAGCCGATTAGGTCATATGGTGACTAAGCACCGCAACCACCTGAAGCCTCAAACGATCCAAGCGACTCAATGCTTGCAATCATGGGCTAAGGCTAAGATTATAGATTTAAAGTAATAGCAATCCGAGCACTTCACCATCATAAATATTTTCTATTTTAAGTCATATGTGGCATAATCAACAGCCTCAGTAACGCCATAAAGGGCCTCAGGTGGATCAATCCGGATAATCCTAGTGGATTATCCAGATCCGCCAAGAGACCCACTTGGGAGTCGGATCGCTGATCCGATCCATCCAATCAGCACACTGGGTGCGCTCGGTCTTGAACAGTCAGCCGCTACAGCACTTACCAACTTCTTCCAGGCTTGGAGCTATGTTACTCCTGTTTTGGGAGCCATTTGCGCCGATCAATGGCTTGGAAAATACAACACCATCGTTTTGTTCGCATCGTTTTATACTGTGGGTCTCCTCATATTGTTTGTTACCTCCCTACCTGCCTCTATTGAAGCCGGCTATGCATTTGGCGGGCTCGTTGTCTCCATGCTTGTAATCGGACTCGGGGCTGGAGGAATCAAGAGCAATGTGTCTCCCCTTATCGCGGAACAATACCAGGAGACAACGCAGAGGATCAAGATATTGCCTTCTGGAGAGCGAGTCATTGTCGACCCTTCGCTCACGATTCAGCGCATATACATGATATTCTACATGTGCATTAATATCGGCTGTTTGTCCGGTCTGGCAACAACAACCTTGGAGCTGCACATTGGCTTCTGGAGTGCGTACTTGCTTCCTTTCTTGATGTTCTGTGTCGGTTTCGTGATTCTCGTCGGAGGTAGAAAAAACTATGTCTTGAAGCCTCCAAAAGGGTCGGTCGTTGTTCATGCATTCAAAGCTAGTTGGATCGGTCTGAGGCACAAGCAAGGGTTAGACGGCGCAAAACCATCTTTACGGAAAAAGATACGACACTCGAGCGAACTGCCTTGGGACGATGAATTCGTCGACGAACTCAAGCGCGCGCTGGTCGCGTGCAAGGTGTTTGTTGCCTTTCCAGTGTTCTGGCTCCTATTCCAACAAATGCTCAACAACTTTGTTTCCCAAGCCGGTACTATGGAATTACATGGTATACCGAACGATATCATGCAGAACATAGATGCCTTTTCGATCCTTATATTCATACCTATATGTGATCGACTCCTCTATCCAGGCCTGCGCAAAGTAGGCATCCAGTTCAAGCCAATAACAAGAATTGCGTGGGGGTTTCTCATTGTCACTTTGGGCATGCTTTATGCTGTGTTTGTTCAGAAGGCTATCTATAATGCTGGCCCTTGTTTCGACCATCCTCTCAAATGCGAAGCAGCCAAACTTCCCGACGGCAAAGTTGAGCACAATCATGTTCATGTTGCCGTACAGACCCCAGCATACATTCTGATCGCTTTAGGTGAGATCTTCGCCAGTATTACTGGGTTGGAGTACGCGTACACCAAGGCGCCAGCCTCAATGAAGTCTTTCATTATGGCTATGTATCTTCTCACAAGTGCAGGTGGAGCACTTCTAGGAGCTCTGATAGCACCGCTTGCGAAGGACCCGAACCTGCCAAACTTCTACCTTGGGCTCACCGTGCTTAGCGGTATCACGGGTGTTATCTTTTGGATGAAGTTCAAAAAATACAATGCCTTGGAGGACAGCATGGACAACCTCATTTCTAGCTCAGAGAGAGGCGTTCACATGACCCAAATGCTGAAGGAACCCTCCTCCAGGACTTCTTCAGATAGCGACCTCAAGAATCTGGTCTCATGTGAAGCAAATTCATCGAACGATGGGAAAGGAAACATAGTACAACAAAGTGCGATCCCCGCAAACTAAAAAGACATTTTTTATTGAGGTCTGCTGGATTATTAAGATTAAAGACTTGGAATGTTTGTGATATAGGCTTCAAGTACGCGAAGGGCTGAGGACTAAACAAAGACAGCGGTCCGTTTGTACGTACTCCCAGTCTTCGACTTCAGAACAGTCACCTCGATTCGAGGAGTGTTTTTAGGCCTCTTTATCCCTCTTGAATACGTGTCATAGGTCGATACTTACTAGTATTAAATCCACTCTGCTCCGGCTTCTTCCAGCAACGTCCTTTATCCGCTGCCGGGGTCACAGAACAATCCGCTATATTAACGTTGAGCGGATAAACTCCAACTCCTCATTTGTGGAGTTCAATGATGAATCCCCACGGCTAATCATTAGGTTGCATTCGGCCTCGAGACGCGGCTATGCTATCCTCAAATTTGATACTCTTCCGCAGACTCCTTTAGAATTGTGCATGCTCTGTATTCTCACCCAATATGGTAGAGTGTTTGCCAATAGGATGCGTGAAATCAATTGCGCCAACAGATCTGAGTCTACGGGGTCTGTCTGCATTTGAATTCCAACTCTTCGTAGCTGTTCTTTTGCTGCAAGAATGGCCACAGGTAGTAGACATTCGGTCAAAACTTCGGTGTTTTCAATTCCGAAAGTTGCCTATCCCTGTTGGCGGATACCAAAACAAGCGTACTAAGCTCACTTAGCTTTTCATTAAGCCTTGTCTTTGAACTTCCCCGCACTTCGCCCGTCCAATCATGGTCAGATTTTAGAAGAATGATCGTCGTTGCTCGTTTGCACCGAACATCAACGGTCCACACATATGCGGAAATCGAACGACTGAGCGCTGGATGCACAAATATAAAATAGCTCGCAGTCATTGAGTTGCTGTGGATCTGAGTCAAGGCACGTCCTCGAATACAACTCTCATATTCTGCCAAAGCAAAGACGTTTACATCGCTGAAAATACAAAGAGGAATTCTGATTCCTCGTGTTCTTGGGGGTAACAGAGGCTGCCTCGAATAGATCGTGTGCTAGAAGATTTATGAAGGGCATTCAAGAAGGTTTGGTGAAGCCCTATCATGCAAAGGTGTACAACTTAATCTGGCTTTAGTGTCCAACGATATTTTGCTCCGATAATTCAACATGGAGGTCTCAAGTGCTTCTAAGGAGAAGCCTGCAGACGCCGATGCCATCCAAGCTGAGGCCATCTCATCTGGCGAGCTGGAAAAGGGTCAAGCCCATACCAGTGGAGACGTCGCCAACGCTGAGCAGCCAAATATCGATCCTGACATTGAGAAACGCGTGGTCAGAAAGCTTGATCGGAGTGTTCTTCCCCTGGTCATGGTACTCTACCTCCTTTCTTTTCTTGATCGCTCCAATATTGGCAATGCTAGAATTGCGGGTATGTCAGAAGACCTGAATCTGGTTGGCAACCGGTACGACTGGCTTCTGACCATCTTTTACATCTCCTACATCACCTTTCAGTGGCAGGCACTTTGTTGGAAGCTCATCCCACCCCACATCTGGGCCGCGTTCTGTGTGTTTGGCTGGGGCTTGGTGTCCACCGTTCAAGCCGGAATCCACTCATGGCAAGCGGAGATGGCCCTGCGATTTTTCATGGGAGTGACGGAGGCAGGGTATGGACCAGGCATTCCGTACCTGCTCTCTTTCTTCTATCTTCGTCACGAGATTGGTTTTCGCCAGGGTATCTTCCTCTCCGCAGCACCACTGGCCAACACCTTCGCCGGGGCGCTAGCTTACGGTATCACATCCGGTAAAAATCTGAAACTCGCAAATTGGAGGATCTTGTTCCTGGTTGAAGGCCTTCCCACGCTTGTGATGGTCCCCGTCGCGTACTTCTTCTTGCCCGACTCTCCAGACCAAATACGGTCGTTGACGCCCGAAGAGAAGGCCATTGCAAAAGCGCGTGGCTTAAGGCAGGTTGGTTCTACTGAACGCGTTGGAAGTGTCAGCTTGAAGGAAGTGCTGGCCACGTTCGCCGACGCGAAAGCTTGGTTCACTGCAGTAAGTTGACTTGTGCTCAGTGGACGCAGCTGAGATTGGTTAACGATGATAGCTTATGTATTTCTCCGTGAACGTGAGCTTCTCTTCGCTTCCCGTGTTCTTGCCGACGATTCTTAAGGAAAGTATGTGAAATTCAAGCGTCCCGAGAATGGCCTTTAGGTACTGATCATGTGAAAAGTGGGCTTTACTGCTGTTCGAGCTCAAGGCTTAACCGCACCACCTTTCTTCCTGAGTTTCTTGATCACGATTCTTTCTACGTACATTGCGGACAGAACTCAGCAGCGTGGTTTGATGCTTATCTTCCTCTCTGCACTCGGGGGTGTAGGGTATGTCATGCTTGCCGTGTGTAAGTCTGTTGGAGCAAGGTACGCAGGAGTATTTCTGGCGGCAGCAGGAATATTTCCAAGCATCGCAAACATTCTGCCCTGGACGACAAACAATCAAGGAAGTGATACCAGACGCGGCGCTGGTATCATGATACTCAACCTCATCGGACAGTGCGGACCCGTTCTCGGCACCAGGCTGTATCCTACCAATGAGGGGCCGTATTACGTCAAAGGCCAGTCAATTTGTGCCGCATTTATGTTCTTTACGACGATACTGGTGATTGGCTTGAGGACCTTGCTTTTGTGGGAGAACAAGCAGATGGACAAGCGATTCGGCACGTTGGAAGAGCAGAAGGCGAGGGCTGCGGCTGCTGCAGATGCCCATGCTGAGAAGGAAGCCAACACGGCAGTTGAAGATTACGGACCAATGTTCAGATACGTGCTTTAGAGTGTCTACGCTTATTATCACCGGTAGTTGCATGGAAGAATATCATATTTTTCCGTCATCAACAATCTTCTATTTATATTACGACTCTTATCTTTTCCATACTTTTGCCGATCTGTTCCTACAACTACAAAAATTTAATGGAAATGACCCATTTCGCTGTAACCGCTGCTTTACTAGGTCATTCTGACTGATCTCACTTGGGAGACTAGTGCTTCTTTGGACTGGAATTTCTTACGTAGGCAGATTCTCGTCATTGTAATTTCCGACAATGCATGGTACAAGAGTTCGCGGCTTTTAATTAAGATCACGCGAATGAATTCATGGAAATCAGAAAATGAGACCTAGCAGGGCTGCCTTGAAGCTTGATTCATTTGCAATAGGAAAGCAAGTTAGCCTCAATAGTTGGACTATTTTGTCTTCTTGAATCATTTTGCAACAGTAGCCGGTGAAAAATGAGGCCAAGGTTAATGCGGCATGTTTGATAAGTTTGAGCACTTTTTGAACACCACCATCTGTTTCATCTTGAATCGATCTTTTCGCTGTGAGAAGGGGGCTCAAATGCATGCTATGGACAACCGTTGTTACCAGAGGCAAGTGAATGACTAAGATTTGTTGCATCAACGAACAGTAGAAGCTACGAACGCAACTGGCGGTCTTGAGAACTTAGCTCCAAGTTCTGGTTTCACAGTTCCTGGGACGCTGAACTGGAATGCTGGATGAGGCCTGAAAAATTGATGAGACTGGCAGACATGGTCGGCCATGAATTAAGTAATGCAATGCTGTCTCTGAAGTTTTTTGAATCGTCGCAGAGGAATGATAAAGGGCGAAAGACCTTGAGAGGAGATAAGACTGAGAAGATCGAGAGTTTCCACTTGCTTATAAATAGGCCTGTTTTAAAAGGGCTCTAGTAACGACTTGTTCATCGAGGGCTTCTCTATTAATGTTGGCCAAACCCAGTTTCGCCGGTCTTTGTTGATATGTCCTTTAGCTCCACACTCTCGACCTTCGCTGCCGGAGGTCCTTTATTTAGTTGCTCGACTAATCTCTGGATATCGTCTTCGGGCCCTTGAGCCTCACCAACGACACTTCCGTCACGGGCATTTTGCACATAACCAGTCAAGCCAAGAGCCTTCGCTTGGTTGATGGTGAAGCGGCTAGATAGCTTGACGTTAGTCGTTTGACGTGCTCTTCCCCGCTGACAAGATTGAACAACACAACAAATGGATGAGAGCATACCGGAAGAAAACTCCCTGAACTCGGCCGGTGACTTTGAAGGCAATCTGCGGGGATCCATCTTTTCAGCTTCTGTCATGTTGGGCGAAACCTTAAGGTCTGCTCGACGGTCCTTACACGTTTGCCGTCCATGTTGGTAACTGAGTCTACAAAAACACACCTCCGGTAGCGATGGCTGATGGAGGTGGGACTGACATTCAGGATTTTGACTTGCGGACTGGAGTCACGATTGACGGAAAGGGCTGATGACACGATCGCAGTTACTCTTGAAACGCGCGGTTGTTGGACGGTGACATCATTTGTGCCGCCCGACATGCAAAGTTGTGCTGGTCCTGAGGCAGTCACGTTACAGCGCGTGCCTTCCAGCTTAATAAGCGCCGACAGCCCGAGACTCGCGCGCGTACGGTTCTTGGGGGCAGGACCCTGGCAACACGCCCGACGGGCAGGAGCGTGCCGTCTGAAAGACTTGTGAGCACAGGGTCCGACCTGCCATTTTTGAAACATCGGATGTTCTGCGAAGGCAAAGTGAATGGCCGCCTGCACCAGCAAAAGCCCTTTGCCACTTTGCAACCACCAGCTACCGCGCTCCTGGCCAGCTTGTGAGAAACGCAGAAGGGGAACAAAGAATGCCTTATGATCAGGTCCACCTTCTGGGCCGTTGGACGGTTTATGCGTGATGGATTGGAGGCCCCTGCGCCCACGCACAATCTCCGTCCAGTAACCATACCCCTGAGCAACTCTCTTTGGGCGTGCGTTGAAGAAAGAACCTCCGCTTTGACCGAGATCTGCGGGTCCTCTCCTGCAGCTACCTACCTAGTTGCCACGCCTTGTGCTTTTTGTTCCTCGTGTGCCCAAAAAGCCATGGACCGACCAGGTAGGGCTTTAGGAGAGGTCGAACCGCAAACCGTGCAGAACTTCAGAGAAGATCCGCTGTCGCTTCATTGTCTGAACGACGGAGAGAAGTCACCAAACGGGTTACAGTCCCCTTCGGTAACAACCTCCACCACGCCCACCGCCTCCTCCACCTCCAACGCCGAACCACATCCGGACCGCGCTCCTACACCCCCTCCTGCGGCGACGAAGATGTCCAGCCTGGCCGGCGCATCTTTTGAGCGCGAGGCTTCGCCTCCCCTAACTCTGAGTCCGACCTTGGCCATGGACGCTGTTCCGCAGCTGGACCGGTCCGTGTCCACTGCTTCGTCCATGTCTTCGCGACGATCTTCAAGCTCTCGGCTGTCGGACCCGGGTCTCACGTCCACGAAACGGCGAGGTTATATGCGCCCACAGGTCACAACTTATTCAGAGTCTGCCAAGAATCGGGAGAGCGTAATGAGCTTGGGTTCGATCGCGCATCTGCAGTACTATTTTGCGCGGACAGGTCTGCTAGATGGCAAGGGGGCCCAGATCGCACGCCCGGAGATGCTGCGCCGAAAGTCAAGCAATATCGGCAGCGGTTCAAATTCACGTGCGGTGTCGACGAGCGCGACGGTTCACGCGGACACACCTGGTGCATATTCGCAATCTGGTCTGCTTTCACCTACCATGGCAGCTTCTGCTTCTGACTCGTGTGCAATATCGGACGCAGGGCTCACCGACAGCCCCATCGACCAAGAGGCCGAAATCGATTGGGAGTCTGAGATGATGTTGCCGCCGACGGTGAGCACATATAACCAAAAGCCTATCTACGTTCCGCCGCCCCCCGATCTGACGATGCTACGGAGAGAACTTACTGAGGCGTTGGAAGACGCGCTGAAGGTGCTCAAGGAGACGGACAAGAGCCCCGATGGTGAGTATTCATTTGCATAAACATTGGATCACAGCCAATAACAAGTGGTAGACACAGAGGGCTGGCATGAGATTCAGGGCGTTCACCTGCTGGACGTAATCACACTTGCCATCCGCGCGGCGCGTAACTACTACACCGCACATACGAAACCTCAACGGCTCTACCAGTTCAAGTCTGAGAAAGACATACGGAACGATCTTTACAAGACTCTCGAGATTCTTAAGCGGATGGCAAGTCGAAATTTTGCGGGCGGTATACGGCAAGGCGAGAAGGTCGAGATTCTGACGTGGATTGTTGGCATAAGCGAGCTTATACAGTCCGAGATTGACGAAGAGAAGCGGGAGCAGGAGGAGCGAGAAAAGCTGTGCTGGCGTACAGGCGACTGGACGGGAAGGGAGCGAGAGCGGGAGGAGCTCTTTCTGCGCTCATTTATGGAAAGGCCCGAGGAAATGCCTATATGGACGGACCCAGCGGATGCGGGGGATGCCAACCTGCCGACGCCATTTTTGCGATTCTTCCATGACGGTTTGCGCCTTGTCCAGCTGCACAACGAACTAGTGCGTAAGTCGCGGCGGAACTTCGAGGAGATACGTATTTTCCACACAGACACGGCGAAACCGTACCGTATGGCCGAGAACTTACGGTACTGGATCAAAGCGGCCCAACTAAGGTGGGATGTCCGATTGAATATGGACGTTATGGCCGTCGTGCATGGCGAGGACCCGGCGGCATGGCGTGAGTTTGACGAAACGATATTACGGTGGTGCCAGCGTGTGCGTGAGGAGATAATGACTGAGTGGGAGGGAAAGCTTAGCCCGACGAGGAGAACGCCACCGACATTGAAGGTAGAACCGCAAACACCAGAGCGACCGAGGACTGCGAACCTGGAGGTGCCAGCGGCAGAACTGACTCCCGTTGCGTAGTATTGATGGACGGTCAGTCCTGGAGGAAGGACAAGTACGGAGAGAGAGGACTGGCCAGGAACGTATATTTATCCTCGCATTTTCTTTTGACTGCACACGTTTGAGTGAAATGATAGAAGCAGAGGGTTTTGGGACGGGAAATAGTGTGCGCAGAGCAGGTCATGCGTACGATATGTTTTCAGAGGGACCAAGAGTGACCTAGCTGGTTTTTTTTTTAATCTTTTTTGGATACTCCCGGAGTGATGAAGTTATTTTGTTAGTTTTCTTCTTGTTAGCTTCGCTCCACAACAGATTCTTGTATATAGTTCTTGCGTAACGGTGACGGAAAATTCCGCTCATGTGCGCCGCCTTTATGTAGCACTGGCATGCAAGGCAAAGCACAAAGGCCGTGTTTTGTTCTAAACATGACAGCGTTCTTAAGACGTGCCTCATGTTGAAACCAAACATTGTTACCAAACGGTTCTGACGGCTGTGGTGCGAGCTACTCTGAGTAATGTGCACGACAGGCTAGCCTGCCAAACTCACGCCTCTGAATTGCCACAGCTTTGGCAATGACAAAGTTGCTCTCCACGTATTCGCTCGCGACCCTAGTATGCTGGTCATCTTAGTTCATGAAGGTAGGACTCGTCGAGACCCTTGTCATTGAGCCAGCTATCATCCGTTCCAACGATCGCGACGCGTATTACATGCACGGTTGATTTTTTCTTCCCTACTATCGTTCCATCCACCGTCCACCGTACCCCTCCATCATCCCAGATCTCAGCCTATGTCGCTGATATGCTCAACCGACAGGGGCGATGCCAGTTCACGGTTGGGATGCAGCGCTGCGAACACTTGCGCACACAGACACACATGCACACACCTACCTATACACGCACAGAATCGGGACTAGTGGCGAAACGCGAAACCAGGAGGGGGGAAACAAGAAAAAAAAAAGGTTAAGCTACTGCACGTTGCCAGAACGCGGATCCTGGTCAAAGGGCTTGATCGATCTGCGAGGCGGAATTGGAGATTGGTGAAACGGAAAGTTGAGTTCATGTGCTTGACTTCTTCGTCGTAGGAGAGAAGAACGCAATGCTATGTGCTGTTCTCGAAGGAAAGCCGAGCTGGGATGAGGCTTAAGTTTCAGATATCAGCTTGACATGGCAACGAAGGCAAGAGGATGCTGACGAAGATGGCCAAATTTACGTCTTCTATTGCTGAGTTGACGCGAAGTCGTGGGGTGTTGAGGGGAAGACGTGTCACACACGAACGGTTGCTATCTGCACCGTCCCTCTGACTGTAGGGTCGCCATAGTACTTGTCTTATTTGAGCGGCGGAGTTGTATTACCGGCTGTATGAACAAGCAGGAGATGAGCGAGTGAAAAGAAAGTGTAAACAATCGCGTCCGGCGTGCTTGGACCCTGTGCGTGTGCGACTGGATGCTTTGTAGCCATTGGACGGTTGGTCCTTTTGTGCGAGTGTATGCGGATGCTTTATACTTTCTCAACGCGTGCACAGCTCATCAGCTTGACACGTTTTCCTAATGGCCTTCTTCTTTGACATTCAATCTCTCACTCGCGGATAATTGGCGAGGTGCGATCGTCTGACTGACCTGCTCACTCACTCATACACACTCAGTCAGGGCATAGCCCAGAGAGCGCGAGAGAGGGCGTGTGTGCGTTTGTGTGAGAGAGAAGAGAGGGTAGATTCCTGTGCACACATCGAGGCCGTACCCGCCCTCCTTTCAAGCCGTTCATCACCTCACTAGGCTCGAATCAGCGTTGCGTTGGCGTTTGGGGCTTCCCAACCCCTGGCCAGATCCAGTCGCGCGAAATTTGGGCAACAGAACAAAGGAAAGGGAGTTAATAGGAAACAAAGAAAAGAGAATAAACACAGGACCAAGGACGAGGCCAGCTAGCTGCTGCACCCAAGCTCTCCAGCCCCTGTGTAGTCTGGATGCTAAACAGACTCAACATACGGACAGAGACGTGCTTGCGGTCGCGTCCATGCCTGTCGACGTCCATGGGAGAGTCGTCGCATCGTCGCCGTCGACAAGGCCTCGGCTGTGGTTGTTGGGCGTGGATGGAGCCGTGACGGGTGGAGATGGGCAGGACCTTGCCAGCGACTACGTGAAGGGGCGGGCCCAGGCTGGGGCGGATGCTGGTGTAGATGCTGAGGATGGAGCTGGTGCCGCTGCTGCTGGGTTTCGTGGTGGATGTGCTGGGCCAGCACCAGGACCGGGACCAGCACCGGCACCAGAACCGCGAGCCACGGGCAGCACCAGCACCAGCACCAGCACCAGCACCAGCTTCGGCTCCAGCACCAGCGCCAGCACCAGCTCCCGCTCCCCAAGTAGTGGCAGCTCGGGTGGTCGTACAGGCCCTGCAGCGAGTCGCTCTCTGACCGACTCCAGCTACTGCACCTCACCCACTGCTGCAGCTCGCACAGCCAATGCCACTGCCACCCCCCAACAACACGTCACAAGCGAGGACCCCGTCCAGCAACTCCGCCAGCACCACCAGCACAACAACATCAGCACCCCTGATATTAATCCCTCGCATCCGTTCTATCGTCCGCTGTCGCCACGCGCTCCCGACGCCTCCACGGCCACTACCCCCGTTGCCAGCGTCGTGACCACAGCCACAAAACGCTCGCTGCGAAAGATCTCGCCCCGGCTGCTCGAGAGACTCCATCTGCTCAGCGCGCTCAAACGCACGGCTGCTTCCGCAAACGTTAGGGACGCCGCCGACGCCGTTTCCGACCGGACGCCCGCCCCTGGACGAATACCGGACGCTCAGCTGCAACTGCTCGAGAGCTTGCACCACCAAAACAGGAACATCGTCGTGAGCAAGAGAGGGACGCCTTGGTCTGGCAGGCAACCATCGTCTCCGCAACCACTGAAACCACCACAGCACGGCAGAAGCAGCAATACCGATACCACCGCGTCGACTTCCTCGCCTCGCTCGGCGTCGTCGGCCCCGCGGTTGGAACTGAACCTGGAGCCCGCCCTGGGCGGCGCAGCGTTCTCAATGGCGGCCATGGTGCATGAGAGCGATGCTTCGTCAATCGTCAGCATCAGCGACAGGCTGGTGCCGTCCGACTCGGAGCCGGAGCCGGACCCGCACGCGGACACGCAAAAGTACAGACTGCCAGAGCTGGGCAAGTCTCGAGGCACGTCGCGGAACGGTGTCGTCGTGCTCGAGGACGACGTCCAACCTCCAACGCCTCCACCAAAGGATCTGCCTTTTGCGCAAGACAGTCCCACGAAGGAGGACAACTATCCATACTTCAACCCAGGCAACCTATCGCGCACGGCATCAATATACACGTTGTCAAGGGCGTCATTTTCAAACCAAATCTCCCAGCTTACTTCGATCAAGCTGCCCGCCGCGGCCTCGCTGGCGTCAAGCATAGCAGCCATACCGACCTCTTCCGCTGCGGCTCGAGCGCTGAACGATGCCTCCGGTCAGATACGAATATGGATGACGAAGGTCACGGAAGTGCTGGAGGGTCTGGACGCTGAGGACGATATCGAATGGGCGGCTGCGGGCGGCCGGGATGGCCTGGGCGACGTCGATGCAGCTATCAGCCGGTTCGAGGGGCTGATCGACGTGTACGTCAGCGCAATCGAGCAGCTCGAGACGCGAGACGACATTGCCAGCCTTGGCGCGGAAGAACTGCAAGGCGTCGTGGACAGGATGGAGAGAATATTGAAGGACTGGAAGGACATCAAAGACGTGCTGAAGGGCGTGAAAGAACAAGTCGAGCTGGCGATGGAGTGGGAAGAACTGTGGAACACGGTGCTCGGAGAGATTGGACAGGAGATGGAGGCGCTCAGCAGACTGATTTTCGAGATGGAGGAGAGGAGACATCGAGGCATCCTGGACGCCATGGCGGAGCCGGGAAAAGTCCTTGACATCAACGAGCTGGAGACCATTGTCGAAGAAGCGCCCTCGAGAAGCGCAAGCGCCGCAGCCAGCACATCCCGCTTCAAGGGAGATGCGGCAGTAGCAGCATCGTCGCCACAACCTCAGCAGAGCGACGAAGACAAGAATTTGGTCAGCCTCTTCGCCCGGATGCAGCCCTTGCGTGCTTCGCTTGACTTTTTCCCCATGCGACTGAGTGCGTTTGTGCAGAGGGCGCGTAAGACATTCCCGACCGGATGCGAGGAGCTGGAGAAGCGAGTCGAGTTTCTGGAGGCAAAGTACCAGAAGATCGACGCAGACGCAGAATCATTGCGCAAGGAATTGGGAGAGGATAGGTGGGTCATCATCTTCCGCAAGGCGAGCGAGAAGGCGCTCAAGATGTGTGAGTCGGTGGATAGGAGCATCTTGAAGCTGCGAGAAGCTCTCGAGGAAGGCGTTCAGCACACGAACCCGGCAGCTCTGGCGAAGAAGCTGGAGAGCTATGAGGCGAAGAAAGAGCACTATGGCCCAGCCATCCAGCAGGTGCTCGGAATCATTGACAAGGGCGTGCAGACGCGGCTGACGGTCAACGGCGAGATCCTTAGGCTGCAGGCCGACATGAAGAGACGCTGGACAGAGCTCGAAGCGAATATCAAAGGCATGGACTTTGCCATCGAGCAGCTGCAGGTCAGCAAGCTTCACCACCAACTCAGGGATTCAATCTCGACGATTCTATCAGAGCAGCGTTCTGTCACAAGCAGCATGGTCGACACGCCCGGAAGCTCGCCTGCTTCTTCGGTTGTCTTACTAAGCCGGCAAAGCAGCGACCAAGGCGTGTCAACCCCGTACGCGAAGTCGAGGACTGGTAGTTTTGCAAGCAGCACGACCGCGAGAACGACCGCTGGGAAGCGCCTTTCAAGTCTGCCGACATCGCTTACCAGCAGCACGAGTGGTATACCGCGGAAGACACCTCTGTCAAGATCGAGCGTCGCGGATCTAAGGCCTGGTGTAGGCGTCTCGTCCAGACTCTACTCAACGCCCACACCAGCACGGAGCTTTTCTCGAGCCGACTCGCGAGCCGACTCACGCGCCGAAACAAATAAGCCGACCAAGCCAAGGTGGAACTCATCCACGAACCTGAATGACACACCGATAGGACACAACTTTAAGCCGCTTTCAGCAACCACGCCTTCGCCGTATAGGAAGGTGCCTCCAGCCGTCGCTTCGCCGCGCACGGCGTCGAGTAGCCACCACGGCTCGCCACTTGGACCCAACAGCAGCGCGTCCGGTCTCCGACCGCCGTCTGTAATAGGTCGGCGTCCTCCTTCTGCAATCGCGACGAGCAGAACCCCTTCGGCGTCTTCGAGTACGGCGCCTAAACTGCGCACTCAGCAATCCACACCCTCTCTGCCGTCTAAGACCGGAACTGCCCCGTTGTCACACCCACCACCATCGTCGCAACGTACAACGTCACACCTCCCGCGGGCGTCGATCTACTCGATTCCGGGTACACCAACGTCGAACTATGCGCCCTCCACGACATCAACGTCCTCGACGGCAACAATTGTTAATCACAGTCGCAAAACGAGCACGGCCATGTCCCAGCGTGATGACACAGATGCTGACATTGAAGCAAGCCCTACGGCTAAGCGGTCGACCACTACCACCAGGCCAGGCACGTCGCAGGCAGGAAGACGCGCTAGCATGCTACCCCAGCCGAAGCGGGTGAGCAGCGACGTAACGGCTGCCACAGCTGCCGCGACAGCAGCGATGAACGGGCGCACGAGCAGGGCCGGCTTGGGCAAACGCGCGAGCATGGCATTTGGTACCAGCACGGGAACCACAGATGAGAGGCCGCGCTGGCGCAATTGAGCACATGTCTTGTGCTTTATATACTCCCCTACGTGGGCGACAACGACGATGACATTAGTGCTTGATTGTCATCTATACGTCAATCAGCTAATCAAATCACTGCTTGTATTCTGCTTGCCATGAACTCAAAATGCGAGAGGAGAGAAAATGAAAAGTTCATGAGCAATATCAACACGTTTTCTCCTTTTCTCCTAGCTTCGCGCAGGTATCGTTTTTCTCCCTTTAAAGATGAACCTGAAGCACGGTGTTTAATGGTCTTTGAGTGATCGGGTTTTCCTTTTCTTGTCATCTGCACAATGTCGACATGGAGCGGAGTGCAAGGCTATGTATCCGGGAGCTTTGTCTTTGAAGAATGACACATGCGTGCATTTTTCTATCCCACCATCTACGTGGGAAGGGGGAGGCGGCTTTATTATGTGAAACCAATACTGCTCTTTTTTTCTTGGAAAAGCATGATATCCCCCAAAACAGTCTTTTAGATACCAACTATAGCGTCCAATTTTAGTCCTTCGTCTTGCTCGCCTCCTGGCTTTGATTTGCAAGTTTCAGTGCTTGATACATCTCAAAGCATGAGCTATGACTTTGGGGTACTACCTCTTCTGCCATCATTGTGTCTCGACCTTTTTTAATCTTAAATTCGAATAATCAGAGAATGATCTGAAAGTCCCACTCCACGATGAGAACTCTTTAAGGATAATAACAGTATTGCAGACTCAATTATGGAGTCCGTTTTAGCTGTGCCAAGAGTTTGTGCGTCCCACCCACACAATTTCACTGCTCTACCGAACGAGGATTTTTTAGTCCAGACCTCCCAGCGACAACACTTCGACCACCACAATCGTCCCGGCAACCTTCCAACCACTCTCCCTTTCACATATATACTGCAGCAATGGCCCCGAAGAAGTCGAAGAAGACCGCCGACAGCATCAACTCGCGCCTGGCGCTTGTGATGAAGTCCGGCAAGGTTGTGCTCGGCTACAAGTCGACGCTCAAGAGCCTGCGCTCAGGCAAGGCCAAGCTCGTCATCATTGTACGCACCTGCTTCCACTCCTAAACGCGAATAGAAGAACAGCCAAAAGAAAAGAGGCCTTAGGAAATTGGATCGTTCAATTCGCGGCACGGGGAATAGAAAAGACTGACTTTGTGGCATCGACAGGCTGGCAATACCCCTCCGTTGAGGAAATCCGAGTTGGAGTACTACTCTATGCTTGGCAAGACCAACGTGCACCACTTTTCTGGTATGGCTCTTTTCTTTTCATCTATTAATCTTTCGGCGGCAAGCCAGTTTTGTGTTCTAGTTGAGAGGACGCGCTGACGAAAGGCCACAGGAAACAATGTAAGCTGAAAAAACGAACAAGCCCCGCTGCATGTACCGTGAAGTCCTCGTACAAGTACATTTTTGAGCCCAAAGACCAGATTGCTGTCTAAGCATCTCGAGGGCTTGCCCTGCGAAAAAGTCTTTGGGCGTCGAAAAGGCTTTGGAGGGCTGTTAGACGCGATTTTGTTTTGCTAACGTGTTGATTGCCAATCTGAAGATTGAGCTTGGCACTGCCTGGTACGTGCTGTCTTGTGGAACATCTCTGGTGCGTGTATTGGCTGCTAATCCCGATGCAGTGGTAAGCTCTTCCGATGCTCAACGCTCGCCATCCTGGATGCTGGTGACTCGGATATCTTGTCGACCAACACTGCTTAGATGTGGGTGGATTAAACTGGGGGATGTATGGAGTAGGCAATATCGCTTTGATATGAAGCATTTCGGGCGTTGGCGCTGGGACAGAAAGGCTGTTGATGCTGAAAGGCGATCACGCTCCACGTAGCAGATCGAAGGCTTGCAAAAAAAGCCAAAACTTTTCTTTAGCTAGCAGCATCTTTGCTTTCAATACCATCTGAACAACAATTCAAAAGTTCATGTCAGCGTCCGCAAAAGCTGATCTAGATCTTGCAATCGGGCTTCCCTTTGAGAGTATTGGTGTCAAGTCACGTGCCCCACAAATTCAGTGAATGTTCGAAATTTGGTTGTAGGTGTGTGCTTACCTAATACACTCCGCCACGCATTGTGCCTTAGAAATCAACTTTCGAATCCTTCCAGCTTCTCCTCTTCTACACCCACAACGTTGTATTCCAAAGGAAAAATCAGCAGCAATGGCCAGACGTCCAGCTCGTTGCTACCGCTACTGCAAGGTACGTTTCAAAAGCCGGCTGACAGGGCGATTCCAGCCATTTTGTGTCGATTGAGCACGGATGAGCGACAGGACGTGATGAGATGCCAATGACGAGAGCGATCTACGAACGTAGGTTCGTTGCGGTTATCTCTCGCCTTGGCTTGCATGTTGATGAAGTTCGCTTAGCAAGAGCTGGAGGTGGCCATTTCGAGTACGAAATATCGAGCGAGCTCGAGCTGCTCCATGTAGAGCAACTACGAGTCGTAGCGGTCGCAGAAAGGCAAACACACTCGCACCTCCAACGGTATATCAACTTGGCCGGTCTCGCGCATCGTAATTGACAAATTCAACTACCGTCGCTCATCCATGATTATGCTCTGAGTCTTCTTGGAACAATGTATAGTTCTGGTAGACACGACGCTGACCAACCTCACAGAACAAGCCATACCCCAAGTCGCGGTTTAACCGTGGTGTGCCGGACGCCAAGATCCGCATTTACGACCTGGGTCGCAAGCGTGCGTCTGTCGACGACTTCCCGACATGCGTACACCTCGTCTCCAACGAATATGAACAACTGTCCTCCGAGGCGCTTGAAGCTGCTCGTATCTGCGCCAACAAGTACCTCGTTAAGATTGCCGGCAAGGAAGGTTTCCACCTGCGCGTCCGCACTCATCCATTCCACGTCATCCGTATCAACAAGATGTTGTCGTGCGCTGGTGCCGATAGACTGCAGACTGGTATGCGTGGTGCCTTCGGCAAGCCAAACGGTCTCGTGGCTCGTGTGAACATTGGCCAGATCATCCTGTCCGTCAGGACCAGGGATGCTCGTAAGTTCTACTCAGGCCTACTTTTCATGAGCAACAAAGTATCGCTGACTGTCTGCCTAGACCGTGCCACTGCTATTGAGGCTCTCCGCCGTGCTCAGTACAAGTTCCCAGGCCGACAAAAGATTGTAAGCCGCAACATGCATGAAAACCACAAGGGATATATGCAGCTGACAGAAAATATTAGATCATCAGCAAGAAGTGGGGTTTCACACCTCTTGACCGTGAGGAGTACATTGCCAAGCGCAGCGAGGGTCACTTCAAGCCAGATGGCGCCTATGTTCAGTTCCTCAAGAACAAGGGTCCTCTTGCCTACAACATGAAGCGCTTCCCAGGTGCCTTCGGCGTCGGTGCATAAATGCATTGTTTGTAGGTGAAAGGATACGGCAATGGTTTGAAGTTTCATTTCGAAGCATGAAATTATGGGTTCTACATGGGTTCTCGTGGAGTCAAAGCGATCACATAAGACACGCACAGCAGTCGAGTGGCTGCGGTCACACCGCGATTGTTTACCAACGATAGCGTCGATAGATGAATCAAACTATGGGCGTGTTATATTCGTTCTTCAATTTCATTCCTGATTTTGATCCACTCCATCTTTTGCTTCGCCTTCCCCATGGTCAGTCCAACAGGCAAAGATTACAGAAGAGATATTCAAGAGACGTCTCGTGTAGTTCCGGGTCATGTTATGTGTCCCGAACTCTGGTATTTAGCAATTTAGGCTCATAATGTTCCTACGCAGAATTGTGGTGAGGCTGCAGACGAGGCGATGGACGTGCAGGGGTTCCGATGCCTCGTGGCGTTGCGTGTTGACTTGTGGCTCATTTCCACCAAAACATTCCCCCGTCAGCACCGACGACGGATACTACAGCTGATTTTGTCATTCTGCAAAAGTTGGCTGGCGCAAGACTTCCATAGGCCTTCATTGTGGAAGACAGGACCTGCGGGCCAACGCCGCCGAAAGGTGTCTTTGTCTCCTTAAAGTCAGCCTGGAAGCTTTTTCATCCTGCAGCCGCGCGCAAGCATGGCGTCGATACGCAATCAACCCCAATACGATTTTCTAGCGGGCGGCGACGCGCCGTCGCCCCCCAAAGCTCGGGCGAAGCGACATGAAGACTACCGACAGAATCAGCCGCTCCCGCAGTCCTTGCCAACCGAAGAGCTGCATGCGCGCATCCGGACGCTCGAATACGAGCTGGCAACTCTGAAGCAGGAGAAGGAAGTGACGCAGCTGCAGCACGAGCAGGACGTGCGTGGGCTGCAAGAGAAAGCTGAAGAAGACTTCCGCCGCAGCCAGAAGTTTGAGTCTGCGAACGCCGCGATCCAAAGGCGGTACGATGCGCTGCTTCGGGAGATGCAGGACGCGCAGGCGATGGCCACAAATGAGAAATCGGATCTCGAGCGCAGGTTGAGGACCGTGACGGGGCAAAAGGCAGCGCTGGAAGAGGAGCGGGACGAGGCGCTGGAGCAGCTTGCCAACTTTGAGCGCGAGAACGGCAGGAGCATGGTGGAAACGGAGGCCAAGTACGCGTCGCTGCAGAGGTCCTTTGATCTCTTGCGGGAGGATTTTGACACGCAGGTGGCGGCGGCACAGGCGGCGCAGCAGAAGCTCGCGGAGAGGGAGTCGCAGGTTGGCCAGCTGGAGAGTGAGATCGTCGCACTGAAGGCTGCCGGTGGCAGCGAGGAGGTAGACGTGCTGAAGAGGCAACTGAGCGAGCAGGTCACACAGATCAAGAGGCTCGAAAAGACGAACAGGGCACAGAGTGCAGAGCTGGCGGAGTACCGAAAGTCTCACAAGAGCCTTGAGGTTGTGGAGGAGGAGAAGCGAGGGCTGGAGGCAAAGCTTAAGATGATGCAGACGCTGCGGGACGAGCTCGCGCAGTGTCAGCTTCGCGTGCAGGTGCTCGAAGAGGAGAAGAACAGCTGGGCTAGTTACCTGGACGGTCAATTGTCAGACGAGCAGTTTGAATCTCCTGCGGACTTGGCACGGGCATTCATGCAGCAGCGGATCGAAAATGCGAGCCTGGTGGAGCAATTGGGCGCGGTGAAGCCCGAATTGAACGCAAAGGACGAGACGATTCGCGATCTCGAAGAAGAGAGGGCTCGTTTGCAAACCGAGGTTGAGCAACTGAAAGCTGCTACCGCTGCCGGTGGCGGAACCGGTGGCACGTCCGACGCCAAGGCAAGAGCCCGACTTGAGAGACAAAAGGCCCTGGCTATAAAGGAGAGTGAGTACCTACGTGCTCAGCTGAAAGCTATGGATGACGAGGAGCAAGAGTTCCACCCGGAGAGACACTCGGAGCAGGTCAGCAAGAAGATCAAGGAGCTCCAAGACCTCGTGGACGAGCATCGCGCTGAGCTGGACAAGTTGCACGCGGAACTGAGCGCCATCGAGAAGCAGGAGACGCCGACGACACCTGCGGCGTCTAAAAAGCGGTCTCTCGACGATACGCCAGATGAACGGGTGGGCGAGCTCCTGCGCAAGAACCGCAAACTCCAAGAGGAGATGTCCAAGTACAAGACGCGGACGGAAGTGCTGGAGGCTGAGGCGCGGGCACACAAGAAGCAGCTGGAAGGCCTCCGGTCCGACAAGTCGTCGCGGCACCGCATCCTCGAGTTGCGGAACAATCCGACGGCGCAAGTGCAGGCCATCAAGCAGTCGACGCTCGACGCGCTGCGCGAGGAGAACGAGACGCTACGAGCCCAGCTTGACGGCCGGCTGCCGACCACTGCCGCCGACTCTGGCGCCATTAGCGACGTACTGATCCCCAAGGCCAGCCTGCATAGCTTGCAGCTGGCGCTGCAGGCCAAGGAGCAGGAGCTGGCGTCCAAGGAGAAGGCTCAGAAGCGGCTGCGCGATATCTTCGCCGCGAAGGCCCACGAGTTCCGTGAGGCCGTCTACTCGCTGCTCGGCTGGAAGCTCGAGTTCCAGCCGAACGGTCGCGTCAAGGCCACCTCCATGTTCCACCCGGGCAAGAAGGGGAAGAGTGGCGGTGGCGGAGGCGGTGGCGAAGGCAGCAAACGACAAGATGACGACGCCGACGACGCCGCCGAGGAAGCGGGCAACTTCATCGTCTTCGACGGCGAGAACGCAACGATGAAGATCAGCGGCGGCGTCAGAAGCGAGTTCGCCAACGAGATCAAGGGCCTGGTTGACTTTTGGGTCGACGGCCGCGGCCAGGTGCCGTGTCTGCTGGCGGCCATGACGTTGGAGTTCTTCGATCGGTATCACGATCAAAAGGGCAAATGAATTTGGAGTCTGGGGAGCCCCGCGGGGGAGGTGCCGTTTTGCACGCCTTTCGCATTGTGCCTTGTGCCTCGTGTTTCCCGCCCTCTTGTGCTGAGATGAGCGAGCCAAGAATCGAAAGCGGGAAGTGAGCGAAGCAGCGCGGTGTTTTGTTAACTTTTTGTATGTTCCTAAGATGGACTGAGACATGGATGAATTGGGGCCAGATGACGACGCTGCTTCTGCCGCGACTAGTATCGTTACTATTGCACCTGCTGTACTACTACGACTACTACTGAAAGTACTAATGGCAGCTGCCGTTTCAGAGCCCAATGTATCCCAATTGTTTGTCTTGTGCGGCCGACGCTCACGAGCATCAGTCACTCTGGATAACTCATCAACGGAAGCATGCCAATTTCATCCGTCACGTCCGTCATCCTCTCGAGCAGTTCAACCTAATCTCTGCCCATCCCGAGCTAGACGTAGCGACGGGCCCGGTTGCGCGGAGCCCACGATTTAGACCTGATTCCCAACACGACTCTGAAGTCGTCAGCCAGCTTTGTCGACGAAAGCCGCATCGACAGTGTACGGCGGCAGGGGGGTCTCCAGCTCGTGCCTTTTGATCAAGGCCTGCCAGGTGACAACAATGCGGAAACGCTCGAGTCGATACCGCAGTAGCGTTAAGAGGACGTTTTCGACGTCATTTCCCCTATCGTAATATGGAGGACGCTGCTCCATGCTTTCGCACCAGAGAATGCGTTTTCGCTCGTCTGGGAGAGAAGCAATAGCCCAAGAGCATTTACGGATCGATAGCCAATGTTCGACCGCCTCACAGCTGCTGCATGTAGCGAGGAAGACAATCGATTGTGTGGTACGGTAATGATGCTTGGAAGGAGATGAACATCGTCTTCCCGAGGCGCCCAATGCGAGAGCGAAGGGAAGGAGGAGAGCATAAGGTAGAAGTGTGGATGGGGACTCGGAGTCCGCATAGGAGAACAATATAGAAGAAAAATATGAGAACAAGGCATTTCAACCCATATTTGTGGTATCGCCAGCTGCTGGACCGACCGAACCGGGCGCATGGGCTGCAACCATGGCATTTGGAACGGGCATGGCACCGGCTTGCTGTAGGTGCTGGGCGCCGGACGCGGCCTGGCGGGCCTGGGCAGCCTGCAGCATCTGCTGCTGGTGAACCTTCCACTGGGGAAACAAGGACTGCAGGCGGTTGTACATCGCTGCGAGCTTCTCGTCGCCCGGCGGAGCAGTCATGATCTGTGGCCAGGGTGGTGCGTTGGAGGGAGTAGCATTGGGCTTCTGATGGCGCTCGGCGAGGGAGGCCAAGTAAGCGAGGTTGGCTTGCATGCGACGGAGGGGCTCGACGTATTCGCGCGACGGCTTCTTGTGCTCTGCACCGGCGCCGCTACCATCTGGAGAGGCCGAACCCGGTGCGGACGCATTCGACTGCGACTGCACGTCACCTCCTTTGCCGCTGGCCTGCAGCGCTTGGATTGTCTCGAGAAGGTGCGAGTTAATGTCGAGGATCAGGGCGACGCGTTGCTTGTCCAAGTCTGGGTTCGAGTGAGCGGAGGCTGCTGCCGCTGCAGCTGCTGCGGAAGCGGGATTCATGGCTGCGTGGGCTGGCAAAGGACCTGCTCCGCCTCCGCCGGGAGTGGGCTGCATAGGGTTCGACATTGCGGCCATCGCGAGAGGGTGACCGAACGGATGGCTTCGAGATGCGAACGAACAGCAAGAGTACGCTGGTAGGCCGTTCGTCGAACTGTGGCGTGGTGTAATGTGCGTGCTCTTGGTTGGCTCAAGCACGCGGAGCTGTGTGCGACGGCGAGATGACGGGCACGGCGGAAAGGACTCAGCGTGTGGGCACGTCGGTATGTGTGCAAAATGGCAAGTCAGGTACAATGCAGAAGAGGACGACAGTGGATTTGCAGCCAGTCGCGCTAGAGGAAAAAAAGCAACCGAGCAAAAGCACGAGAGTCCAGCGAGTTCGCGGCTTAGCCAGGTTTGGCGGGTCCCCCCCCCTGCGATCCCCCGACGAGGCGCCTAAATCATCCGCCTGCCCCCTCCGGCTGCAGCGCTGGACCCACTGCCTGACTGCAGGACTGGCCTTCTGCAACAGAGGTTTGCATCACCGCAGACCTGCGGAAGGATTGCGGGGCAAGCGGCACTGGCTCTGGCAGTGCGAGGGCGGCGCTCGCCCCGCTGCTCACGCCGGCGACATACACGCTAAACCGGACAAGACAGGACAGCATCTGGAGGGCCTGTGAGACGGCACAAGCACGCAATCGAGATCTGAATCAACGTGCAATTGAGCCTAACACGCGTGCGAGAGTCGTGGAGCAGCGGCCATGTCTACGAGAGCCCACCGCCGTACACACCGGAAATGCTCGCTTCGCTCAGGCAGCTCAACGTGATGGAGATGGGCTGGGTGGTGTGGAAATGTAGTGCTGAAGGAGTCGACTTCGGGACGGTTCGCGTCGTGCTTCCGCCTGGTCGAGGTCGCCCGGAGGCTCGTCTCTGCCGCACAATATCCACGGCCGGGACGTGGCTAGGGCCGGGTGTTTAGTCTTCGCTCTTCTGACCAGCGTCCGATGACGGTGGACGTGGTCAGGATTGGCTGGGTAGGCGAGAAGACAAATGCACAGCCAGAACGGTGGTGTGGTGGTAGATCGCACAAGCAGTCAGGTATGATGACGCAGCGCAGTATCGATGATGAGCAGCCAGCCTCGTCTCTGGCTCTGCTGCTTCTTGTCAATACCGACCGCAAGACGGCCTCACGTCCAAAACACCCACACCGGGCACGGCATGTGTTGGGACTCTCAAGCTCGTAAGGCCGGGTATGTGGCTCAATGAGAGCTCGTACCTCCACGTGCGCATGATTTCGGTTGGGAAGAGCGAGAAAAAGAGAGCCACACAAGAGGCCGAGTGGCGTGCGTGATGGTGTCACACATGGTTCACACTCCCAAAATACTTCATTGCTATTGATGTGCTTCGAGAGCGGTAGGGCGGGGAGGCGTGTTATATGTGCTGATCCCCAACGGAACAAAAAAAAAATAAACAAGCCTGCAGGAGCTGAAGAATTGTCATTTTTCCTTCGATTTGGCGGGACACCAACACGTCTCGATGAGGCTGCTCACACAAGGGCGCGCTGCTCGGTTATGTTGGACGACTAATAAGAATTGGTGTTGGGGCGCGTCGCATGGAGGGAGGATGAGTGATACGGAGATACGGGAACATGGGAGGAGTCGATAGCGACGTAGGAAATGATGACTGATGCGATAACAAAGCCAGACCAACAATACGAACAATCATCATCATCAACTAATCTGTCTTTCGAGCTGAACAGCGCCGTGCAGCGATGCATCGCTGAATTGTGTTGTGTCGGTTGGACAGCCGTCGGGGCCGTCGTCTGCGCTGCCACACACTCCAACGCACATGATGCACCAGGACGTATGCGGATGCAGATACAGATCGAGACCTTCTACTCGTACATGGCGTGCGCTTATATCCCCTACACGAACTCGCTGCGCATCGACGCCTTTTCGCATATACACGTTCACGTACACGTACACGTACACGTACACTAGTCCCGTTCGTGTCCGTTGTCTTCACCTCCGCCGTGGGCCCGTCCTGTCTGTCGTCTTCGCCGTCTTCATTCCTGCCTCTCTCCCTTCGCTCCCCTTTTTCCAAACCTCGACACTCCGGCTCTGGTTCATCATCATCATCGCCATCTTCTTCTTCTTCTTCTTTCTAACCTTCGAGTCCTGTTGCTCCGCATCACGCTTGTCTACTTCGCTGACCGAGTTTCCCGTCTGTCTGTGACTCTCCACCACAGTCCCGTACCGGGGCCGCTGCGCTGACACGCGATCAACGAACAGAGCCCACATTAACTTGGCGTCATCGAGCCCGGCCTGCTCTCTTGTCTCCCCCCTCTTGTCCGCCAGATCCGCAGCGTGACCTCTTCAAGCGTACCAAAGTATCGCCCAGCGCGGCAAGCTAGACAGGGCCCCTGGGCACCTCCCCTAGTCCGTCACGATATCACCAGCAGGATTCAGTGACCAGCACTACCTGCACCACCAACAGCACCACCATCACCGCCACTCCCTCCACCAAAATACCAAAGACATATCCTCTCCTACAGCCTCACACGCTCTCCAGTCGTTCTCGCCCATCGACGCCAACCCTCGCTGCAGCCCCTTTCGCGGTCGCGAGCGCGTTGCGTAGTCTGAATCGCGGCAAGATCGACCCCTTCTCCGTCTTTATCTACACGCAGCTTACAACCCAATCGCCCCGCCTCGTAGCCCAACCATGGCTTTCCAGCAGCACCACAAGCGGCCCCAGCTCCAGCGGCCAGTCTCGTACGCTACGTCCGCTGACAACGTCGATGCCAACGCCTCGTTGACCTTACAGCGACCCCCCACCAAGGACTCGCTCGCCACCGACGAAGAGTGGGTGCTGTTCTCGCCCACCGCACCCTCCGTCACACAGACGCATACTACCTCCACTGATCGAACCCCGCGAACAGCCGGTCTTTCGCGTATCAGCGACCTTGGCTCGCTAGACACTGCTGCACGCTCAGACCAGGTCACTGAAGACCTCAATGACGACGACAATGCCACTGAGCACGCTACCGACGCGGACGAGCTTGACAGCCTCGACGACGGTTTACACGCCTTCCACGAGCCGTCTGACGCCGGCAGCCCGCGCCAGATGCTACATCGCAGCAGCGACACGGTCCTTCCCACTCACGATGGACTTGGCACCTTCGGCGGCGCCTCTGATGCTATACAGACTCAACTATGGAGGTTCGAGCATGAATCCCAGCGCCGAAAGCACCGGCGTCGAGCGTCGAGCGTGCAGCGAACCCTTGAGGCGCTCGAGGAGGTTGACGAGGTTGTCAGCGAGGAGACGGAACGCTTCCGCCGGATCGAGCGCTGGAGGCTCGAACAGAGCCGCGCACTGCTCGAGGAGATTGAGCGCGAGACCCGCCGCATGCGCCGGATGAGTCGCGCCGCCAGCTATCGCTCGCAACGTACTGCCGCCGAAACAACGTCCAACTTCCAGACCAAGTCGGAGACAAACCTGTCGACCGGCGTGGCCACGCCCACAATGGAGGAGGCGCCGCATGAGACACGATCGTCACCGGTCATAGGTGCATCGACAGCGACAATGCCAAAATCGGCTGCTGAGCCCGTCCCACCCGCGCCTTCGGTGCATGAGGAAAACGAGGGATTCTGGCAGCGTCTCACGAGGAGGGTGATTCGGGATCTTATCGGCATCGACGAAGAAATCTTGTCTGTGATTCTGGGTGAGTCGCTGCCAGAGGAGGCCTACAGGTCGCCTGAGTCGTCCACGCACGACATCGCCAATGATGAAGCGCTTGAGAACGCAGAGAGCTCGCCGCTAGAGGGTGACACATGGCAGCATCGCCTATTAGAACGCGTCGCTCGCGAACTGGGCATACTCGTGCACCAGCTATCGGAGCACCCGGGCGCTTTCAGTACTTACCTCAAGGCCACTGAAACGCCGTCTTACGCTGGCATCACGCAACCGTCCACTGCACATTCCGCAAGCCCGAGCCTTACGCGCCGCGCCTCATCGAGCAGTGTCCCAACTCCCTCTTCAAATGTCCCACTGTTCAACCCTACGCTAGCCCCGCAAAATCAGTCCGACCCGTCGTTGTGGGGCATCGAAGAGGAGGAGGCCGAGGAGATTCGGCCCGAGGACAGGTTTGGCCACCGCTATCAGCAACAGAGCCGCTCGATTGACGCTGCCACGCTGCAAAAAGAGCGCGAATACTGGGAGCGTGAGCTCGACATCAAAATGGTGTTTCAATTTTTAAAAAGCAGGTTTGCTTCGCGGCCCGGCAGCCCGGAGCCCGCTGCAGTGGATGCCAGCGTACCGTACGTGGGTGGCTACTCGTCGCCCACACGGCGACCTTCCGTGTACTCCGCCAACAATCGCAGTATGAGCGCCCATAGAGCCGCTCTAATCCGCCAGCATCATCCTCTGGCCTCGAAGCTGGACCACAATACCAGCCGTAGGAGAGATATTAGCCACCGCCACCATACCCATCACCATCATTCTAGCACCCACACCTACCTTCATAACTACCAACACGGTCACCACGGCGCCACTGCGTCCGTGGTACCGCAAAACCTGATGCGCTCCAGCTTGGGCGTTCGCACTCGCAGCGAGAGCTGTGCCAGTCAGAGCACTAAGCGAAGTAGAAAGACTGGCTCCAGCCGGAATTTCTGGGATCTGGGTGGCTCTGTCGGCTCCGGTCCTACCGGGTTGGGTACCTGGGGCGAAGTGGGCATCTGACTGTAGGACGGCTCACTGGCTAATTTTTTTTTTCTTTAAAGGGAATGCCGGCTCCATTTCCCGCGTGGGGGCAAATCATCTTTGCATAGCGTTCTTTTCGTTTTGGGATACCATGGTCGTATTTATCGTTTGGGTTTTCATCTCCTCTTACAAAAGAGCAAGACGGGGCTCACGGCGGAAGAATGGAAGGTGTGGGACGGCGTTAGTCGTGGAATGTTGATGACGACGATGACGACAAAACGATGCTGCTACTTGTGGCTCTTCCATTTTCTCATTTCTTCTTGATAGAGGAGAAACCGTCAATGCTTGCTTGACCCGCGACGCATTCGATAAATCAATCCGAGGCAACTTTTCCCTGGAAGGGCTTCTGTGAAAAAGGGTGGGCGAGGTTTTTTGCATGCTGGACGTCCTCTGCTTTCATAGGCTATGTTCAACCTCCCCTTTGGCAGATCCTCGTTTCTCTTGCAATTCGGTTCCACATGGAGAAAGAGTGTTCGCAGGCCTGGAGTGCAAATGAGTAGTTTTTGGCCCGCAGTGGGAGGTTTTTTTTTTCTTGCAAATCTTGGCGGCAATTATCCACCCACACCGAGAAATGGACGTATAAATGCACGCACGCACACATAATCACAATCTTACGTATATATTTATGCTAAATATGGGTTTTTAGGAAGACAGCGTGCACAACAAGGCGGAATGAGGCCGTTTTTGGTGGCTAGATGTACGACTACATAGGGTTAATGAACGATTCACACATGTCTTTCACTGCATCAAACGAGACTTGAAAAAGAGCAGCCGCCGTTCTTTTGTTCCCATCATTCTAGTCTCTTCACTTTCGACCTTTCTGTCAGATATGGTGCTATGATATCGAGGACCACCTACTATCGTCGCCGGGAAACATGGCGCGCTACAAAGCCATTTGAGCAGTTTCGATGACTCTCTCATTGTTGGACAACGGTGGTTCGAGCAGCTACAAGTTCTGCGGCGAACATGCACTCACGACACGCCTCACATGCTGTACTTCTTCTACGTGCCACCCACTCATTGGGCTGCTGAAGCCGTGTCCACAATCGCCCCGCCCTTCTCACTGGATTTCGCTCAGATCGTAGGTGGCACGCAGACGGACTGCCAGGCAAGCGCCGCGTAGGCCGTTTCGTGCGTGCTTTGCTCTCCTTGCGTCACAGTGTCTGGAACGATGGGTGGACATTTGCGGTCCGTCGCGTGTCGCACGGCACGCTGTATTTTCTTATGCTCAGTCTCATGTTCTGATTTGATCTGTACTGATCTACGCCGCGTGGCAACTCGCGCGCAAGCTACACTTTTGCACTGCCTTCAGGTCCGCAGGCGGGGGCTCCGCCGCCTCGTCCACTCTAGAACGATCGCAACCGATCTCACAAACCCCCGTCGCGCGCCTTTTCTCACAGTTTTTCCAACGTTGTCAATCTCCAGAGAAGTGTTTCCAACTCAAAACGAGACGACCCTCCACACCTCCTCGTCCTAGAAGGGAACGAAAGGAAAGGAAATGAAAAAAAAAGGGAAGGAATTGGAGACTTTCCCGGTTTATTGGGCTTGCGACGTGAGTTCCGCTCTCGCTCTAGGCGTGGAAGTGGAGCGTGCGTCGACCGTTGCGGCCTTTCCCACTCTTCGCCGCCGCCGCGTTTCCAGAGCTCGAGGCGGCTTGCTGGGTAATCTATTGCGAAAATACACGGTCAGCCGATCTCTTGCTTTCACACGTCAGGTTGCGATTCTTGTTGGCAGCGTCGGGATAAGAACGGCGTTTGATCATAGCCTTCCTATTCCCACTTCCAACCGGAAAGGTCTCTGATACGTGTTGAAGTGCACGCCAGAGTAAAGAGACAACAAAGTGAACACGTTCAAAGACTTACGTTGAACTGTGCTGACACGGATCCAACGTCTGGGTTGGCCTGTGGCGCCTTTGAGGTGACTTGGTCAGTGTTACCCCTCACGTTCACGGCCTGAAGATTGCCCGGGAACTGATTTGCGGAAGCGCTGGACACGATGCTCGCACAAGCGTTGGGGCGGATAGCTAGGATTGGGTCAGCACATAACAAGGGCTGATAAACAGTCCTTGCGGGCGCTCACCTGTTCGAAGGGTGGCGCTGGAGCCGATGGTGCTGGCTCCAACGGCCAGATACGTGTCAATCGACGGCAAGATCTGGGTGCAACGGACGTTGTTGATGACGTCGATCAAGGAGGCCGTCGATTGGCCCTGGTCGGCCATGATCTGCAGGTTGTTGACGACGGACTGGAACACGCCGTTCAGCAACGTCTGGTTGGCAATCGAGACGTCCGGGCTGTTGCCTATGACGGACATCAGAATCGCCATGTGCTGCAGCTCATTCACCTCGGCGTTGTACGCCAGGTTGGCGGCCTGGTTGAACTCGGTGCCGTTCAGGCTGTGACCGGTGTTCAGGAAGTTGGACACCTGCGCCGTGTTGAAGGACCAGTTGTCGCACGCGGCCTGGACCGCCTGCGCAGTCGAGCTGTCGAGAGAACCCGCGCTTGGCGCCCCGGTGGCAGCCGGCAGAGCCGATGACACTGGCTGGAACGGCCCGAACGTGCCTTTGTTCGTCGTCGCGTCAAAGTTGGGAACCAGATTGCCCAACTGCGGATTGTTGAGTTGCTTCAGTCCGTTGGCGCCCGTGGTGCCCTGTGCTGCTGGAGAATCAACACCCACATCAGTGTCTTCGCTTGGTAGCCGTACCTCCTGCGTTGTTTGCTCCACCGCTCTGTCCAGACGCTATGCTCAGCTGATTGAGGGAGGTTATCTGCCGGGATGCCTGAACGGTCACGCCGCCTGCACTTCCCTTCCCTCCGTTGTTGTTATTGTTGTTTCCATTACCGCTGCTCTTGGCCAAGACGGAAGCAGCCAAGGCTGGGAGAATGTAAGCAATGTAAAGCATCGTTGGTAAAATGTGCGTTTGAGGAGAAAGCGATTGGCTCTTGATCAATGTCCAAAGTGTTAATGAAAGACTGTCCAGCAGTAGAGCAGCAACCACTTAAGGAATGAATGGAAAGAATATACACCGCAAGCGGTCAGAAGGGATAGAAAACCAGTTCACGAAGAAGAGAATGTTGATAGAGATGTCCATGACAGAACGGGAACTGCTGAAGATAAATAGAACCATACGGCGACAAAGGGCTTCAGCTCATTACCAAGGGCAAAAAGAACCCAGCATGTCAATATTGTTTCTTGGTTTGAGGTCTTGAAACTCGAGCGGAGAGGAAGAGGTCTTGAATTTCGTTGTAACCTTGCGACAGAGACTAATATTCAGAAAGGAGCTAATGTCGCCAACGCTGTTATTCCCGTACGTCGACCGAGTATGGCCTGGTGTTTATGAAGGCACCAGGGCAGGGTGGATCGCTGACTGGGGGTGTGGAGATCATGATGTTCCAACTGGTTCAGGTTGACCTGATACTAGAATATGTGGGACCGTACGGTGACTAAACCATCGCTCTTGACCTCCTCATGCGACGGTAGCTTGTGGTCAATCATAGAGCGAGCAGTCGAGCGGGATGTCGCACACAAAGAAGCAGTTCAGCCGACGCTCGCGGGGTCGGAGACCATCGCGGTGGCAGATGGAGAATCGCTTGGCTCTCGTTCTACTAAAGTCGTGACGTTAACAAAACATTTGAAAGCTTGATCTTCGCGGACTGTATGTTGGTTTCGTTCTTAGCACATCCTTGGCGAGGCTTATTTCGTGCGCCCATGCGGCAATCTTGCCCATGTTTATAAGGAGCTTTCCTGTCGCAGCTGGCGTTTACACTCGTGTTGACCAGGTGGGCGAGAAACAAAGACGGCGGTTTGACGGGATCAAGCCATCGCTCGATTATGTCCTGATTGGCTCTAAGACGAAAGTGACATCAAACGAGGCTGGCGGCTTCGGGGCGATGTGCTGTAGAACGAAAGAGGCAGTGCACAAACGGCAGTTTCGTTAGGGGGCCCACTTGTCATGGAAGTTATCACAGCTATTCTTTAAGTATCTGTGAAACATTGCCTGTCTTATGAATGCCCGAGCAAAATGTTAGCTGTTGCCAGTGCAGGCCTCGTCATCTGGGTGATTGCTCGAAACGAGCCTTGCAACCGTCCGTCAAGCAGCTGCGAAACGGGTGGAAGACCTTCAGAGGCAGCGCCTGGTTCTAAGGAGCGACGAGCGTGCCGCGGCGCTTGCATGTTTTGTAGGCTGACGACGAAAGCAACCACCTTCCGCTTGGCTCCTCAGCTACCCCCAATCTTGCTGCTTCGGTATTCACAGCCAGCACGTCGACTTCATCTGAGCGAGCCTTCTTAGGGCGGTGCACCGCAAGCCGATCGGCTTCTAACTTGTCTTTTTTGGCCACCACCACATCTCGACTTGGCTACTCCCCTGGAGCGGTTCTGCCGTCGCCCTCGCTGTGCAGGACCAGGCGGTGATGGCCTGTGGTGCCTACACGTTGATGATCCCTTGACCACGCACCCTACGTGCTCCATATGTGTTTTCGCCGTCGACCAATTGAAGCACTTGCAGAGCACTCAGTGATGATCCGCCACTGCTCAGGGCGCTCGCTCAACGTTTCGCTGCTGCACCACGCTGGAGCTCGAGCCCGAGGAGCGGAGTTACTCTCACCCAGGTCTGCCCGCGTCCGCGCAGGTCTTGCGCGCCTGTCGAGGACAAAGACAATTGCGCTCGCGCCTCGACGTTGGAACGAGTTCTTGACGTCCGCTCCCGGGGGGCGTTGCTATTCGAGATCCGTATGGGATTCCTACGCCGCAGCAGTTTCTTCTCGATGATCATGCGGCTTTAGAGGCTTTTGTGGCTCCGCCGCCGAACGGATTGCTTTGCCGACGATACGGTCAAGAATCCAGACACAATGCTACGAGACCGCCGTAGGTTCGCGAGCTTCATGCATTTCAACCTGTTGTTGCCCAGCTGCCTAGGTCAAGGCAACGACGGGAAATTAAGCGGAGACACAGACTTGCTTGCTTTGTCGGTGTCATTCGAGCAGACTTTCCGGTAACTTCCTGGCTGCGTTTTGGATATATGTGTCTTCCTGGGGAGTTGTAATACCAATTTTCCCTATAGACACTCATATAATTGAAGATCAACGTGTTGATCGTGCCTTCACTGGCTGCTGAACTTATTTCGCACGACGGGGTGTGCAGTGGAGGTAGTTGGTGCATGAAACAGCTTCACACGGATCAATGAAGGAGCGGCGTGGTGAAGCACGCTGTCTAGTGAGGGATGTTCCCAGCTGCAGAGCGACAGAGGTGTCGGCTGCGATCAGTCGTCGGCGTTCAAGCCGTTCAGAAGAGCGAACCCGTAGTCTATACAATAGACACGGGCTGGCTCATCCTTGCGAACGCCGCATGAAGTTCCGTAGCACACAAATCGACTCATAGCGCCGTTCCCAGGGAGAGAACTGCAGCTTCTCCTCCAGCCTTTATGGCCTGAAACAAGTGAATGCACCGCGCCCCGCTATGTACTGGCAGGATGGCGTCGACGAAGCTTGTAGAATCAACGGCAACTAGCGGACGTTTCCCGGAAACCGCGAACTACTGCATCGAACAGAGCATCAGGAGTGTCGAGCAGAAGCATAATCTTTTCGAGCTTTGGCAGAGAAATTTGTCCAGATGAAATCCATGGGCAGCGGAGACATGAAGGAACTGCGATTGATCCTCTGTAGGGCTACGAGAAATAAGACACACGCCGCACCTACACCGTGCAGAGCATAAGAACGTTTCTGTTGTACTATATTCATCAAAATTGCGTAAGCTGAATCCCGCAGCAATACCGGCGCCTTGACAAGGCTGCAGTTTGTTCGATGGAGCATCGTAAGCTCTTCCGCGAACCCATATTGAAAGATACGGCAGACAGCCACGAACATGGATCTTCTCTAGCGGAGTGAACGAGAACATGGTAAGTGGTGGATCTGGCATTCAATGTCACCGTTGTAGCCTGAATGTCGACACTAGCGATCTTCGGTGAGACAAGGCTGAAGCCTATGCCGTACAACTAGCAGCGACGCCCCGCTAACGGCACGCTTTGCCTTGTCTGGGAATTGCAACCACCAGGAAACTCGTAGACTCAACTGCCAACTGCGTCATGTGGCAAGACAATATTCCAATTCACTTGACCTCTAAATCAACAGGAAGAGAAGCGACGATCCGTCTACAGCATTCAACAAAGACCTCTATCCCTCCGATGCGCTGACCACATCCCGTCTTTCGTCTTCAGCTCTTCTTCAGTACGCGCTTACCAGGCTCTCCCACCATGCATTTGTCACCACAGGAACAAGAGCTGTGCCAGCTCCTTCGCGATCTGCCAAAGCGTTACAATAATCGGTACAGTGAGCAGGCCGCCAACTTCTTGGTGCAGAGTCTGTTCCGCTCATTAGTTGGCTCCTCCGACGCCTTCTTGAACGTCCTGTTCAACGGTGAGCACCCGCCACCCGATCTAGACAAGAGATGGAGCCTGCGGCGCGCGCAGGGGGCCGTGGAAGGTGCCGAATATACAGAGGCGGCAAGAGGACATCCGTGCGGTCACATCTTCAAGTACGGTGAAACAACGTACAGATGCAGGACGTGCAGCTCGGACGACACCTGCGTCCTGTGTGCAAGGTGCTTTGAGGCGTCGGATCACGAGGGGCACAATGTCTTCGTGTCTCTGTCACCAGGTAACTCTGGTTGCTGTGATTGCGGTGACCCAGAGGCGTGGCTCAGGACGGTGGAGTGCAGCATACATTCGATCTCCTCTGGGTCGCGTGGGCCATCGGCGACGGGCAAGGCGCCGGATCGCTCCTTGTTGCCGCCGGAGCTGACGGAGAGTATACGCATGACGATATCACGATCTATGGACTATATTTGCGACGTGTTCTCGTGCTCACCAGAGCAGCTGAGACTACCCAAGACCGAAGAGTCGGTTAGAGAGGACGAACTAAAGTCTCGATTGCCCCCCAAAGTGTACGGGACATCGAGCGACGGTGAGCTTGACGAAGAATTTGCGCTGGTGCTGTGGAATGACGAGAAGCACACTGTCAACGATGTACGAGACCAGGTCTCAAGAGCGTGCAAGATGTCGCCCCATCAGGCGTTTAAGAAAGCTATCGAGGTAGACGACGTTGGAAGGTGCATCGTGGTCATCGACAAGGATCTGGATTGGCTTTTACGCGCAGCAAAGATAATCGAGCAGCCAAAGCTTACCGTCACCATCCGATCAGCGCGAGACACATTTCGAGAGCAAATGTGTGCCACGATCATAGAGTGGATCGCTGACATTGCCGGCTGCAGTGTTGGACCTGACCACAACATCCTTCGAGACACCATATGCGAACAATTTCTGCGGCCGTGGCGTGTGGGCAGCGAGGCGCATCACTCTGAGATTGGGAAGGACGGGTTGGACGACCATGAGGTTGAAGATATGCCAGATGACTTTTTCAGATTTCACGGTCGATATCCGGCCCAGACAGCCGCACGATTTCGTCGGGCTTGGGGTGATGATGCTGACGATGTAGATGTCGATCGCGAGCCTGCATCTGAAGATGACGAGGACGCCAACGCAGCTGGTGATGAGATGGATGTTGATAGTGCCGAGTGGAATGTGAGCCAGGACATGGACATTGATGCTTTTGACGAGAATGGGCCGCTTGAGGCTTCAGAGGCCACGCTCGCGGGCTATCCACCTCCACCTCCTCCGCCACCGCATCCAAGAAGAAGATTGCCAGGTGCTGCTCTGGATTCCGATGAAGGCGAGTCCGCCTTCATACCGATGACCGTACCTAAGACGCCGAAAATCAATCCAATGCGGATCAACACACCCAGGCCGCCGAAGTACTGGCTCGAGAAGCCTGACTTGTATCGCCGACAGAAAGACCTACCTGTTGCTGAAGATCTCGAACGTAGAGTGCGGTTAGATTACCTCATCCTTTGGGACTTGAGGATGTGGAAGCAGCTACGCACAGATTTGCGTGACGTGTTGATCAGCACGGTAGTCACGCTTCCGCACTTCAAGCGTCTGTTGGGTCTGAGATTCGCAGGCGTATACACCGTCCTTGCAGAACTCTACCTCATCGCCGATCGGGAACCGGAACACTCAATCATCAACTTGTCGCTGCAAATGCTTACCACTCCATCAATTACCGCAGAAATTGTGGAAAGGGGGAATTTCTTGTCCAATTTACTGGCGATCATGTACACATTCCTCACAACACGACAAGTGGGTTATCCCTCCGATGTGAACGTTAAAGCTACGCTAGCCTTTGAACAAGGTGCAGTAACCAATCGGAGAACATATCATTTCTACATGGACCTCAAATATCTCCTTGCTTCCGAGCTCGTCCAGGAACGTATCCGGAGCGAGGGACGATACCTCATGCAATTTCTTGATCTGGCAAAACTCCACCAGGGCATCTGTCCAAACGTAAGAGCAGTTGGAGAGCACGTGGAGTTTGAGAACGACGCATGGCTGAGCGCCTCAATCATTGTGCAAGAGATTATCAAGCTGTGCAAGCTCGTGGGCGACTGTTTCGTTGTCAAGTCGGAACAGGATCTGGAGGACCTTAGCCGAGCCATTCGCGATGCAGCACGCGTCACTATAATACACAGCTTGGGTGCTGAGCGGAAACGATTTGATGCGTCGGAGATACGAAGTGAGACGCGATTCAAAATCTTACCCGTGTTTGAATTTGAGGATACTTCCGAATACCCTCCACAGCATCGTGTCGTCGACTACATCGTGGCACAAGAGCCTGTCAGTTTTCACCACGCACTGCATTACACGCTCTCCTGGCTTATTGATCGGGGTAAAGCCATGAGTAGAGAGCAACTTATCAACTTGCTCACATTCACGGCACAGGAGTTGCGCCAGCATCCTTTGCAGCTACCTTACTCGTTTAACACAAGAATACCAGAGACACAGCCTCGTGAAAATCTGCTGGCTCTGTTCGATTTTCCTCTTAGAGTTTTGGCGTGGCTTGCGCAAATGAGAGCTGGTATGTGGGTGCGCAACGGCATCACTCTCAGGCATCAAATGGGCGCTTATAGGGGCCATCCAAGGAGAGAACTCTCGTTCTTCAGGGACATCTTCATGCTTCAGACTGCGATGATTGTCTTACCTCCAGCTCAAGTTTTAGCCTCGATGATTGATCGATTTGATCTCATGGATTGGGTCCAGGGCAACTACAACCTACGTACTGGGCAGGATGAACAGCAAAAGATCGATGTTGCCGAGGATTTTGTGCACTTGCTCATCATCCTCTTAAGCGACAGAATCCATCTCCTCCCTCCCGCTGCTGATTCCGACCCACAGATCACGTCTGCCAAACGTGACATTGTACATACGCTGTGCTTCAAGCCGTTGTCGTTTTCTTCACTGTGCAACCACATCCCGGACAAGTTTTCCGACACTGATCAGTTTGATCAGCTCATCCAAGAGATGACGATCTTCCGACCACCGGAAGGTGTATCGGATCATGGTACTTTTGCACTCAAAGATGAATACTTCGAGCAGATCGATCCGTTCTTAGCGCACTTCAGCCGAAACCAGCGCGATGAGGCAGAAAACATCTACAAGAAGCACATGGCTAAGAAACTGGGCAAGGATCCTGCTGATATTGTCTACGAGCCAAAGCTTCGCAAAATAGAGTCTGGGTTGTTCAAGGAGCTGGGCAATTTCACGAAGACACCGCTTTTCGCACAAATCATCTATTACTTGCTGCAATACACTCTCGTGGCCGATAGGTTTGCCCCCAACGTGCCTAGCACGAAAGTAGAGCAATTCTTGCAATTCATCTTGCACTTGACTCTTGTTGCAGTGATGGAGGATGACGGGCAGGACATGGCGGTGACGATGCGTGAAGCTAGCCCAATGGTCGAGGATGACCCGATCAATGGTCGTCTAGACTCGTTCTGCCGACTGGCGTTGACAAAGCAAGCAAAGCATCCTATCGGCGATGCCGACACTATCGCGCGCCTCCTTCGCAGGATTGCCGCAGACGACACGTTCAAGACTTGCGAGCCTAAGGTCCAGGTTATCCTGCGACATCTCAGACACAAACGGCCAATCGACTGGACAAATTGGATGCGAAGGGACGGGTTTCCCGATGAGAGATCGCAGAACGCGTCACCAGTGCCTGATCCATCCCAGGATAAGGAGCTCAAGAAAAAGCAAGCGCTCGAGCGCCAGGCTAAAGTTATGGCTCAATTTAAGCAGCAGCAAAATAGCTTTATGCAGAACCAGGCGATTGACTGGGGCGATGAGGACTTTAGCGACTTGGAAGAAGAATTCGCAACGCCGGCGGAGGAGGAGCAGAAGCTCTGGGCCTTCCCTTCCGGGACGTGCATTTTATGCCAGGAAGAGACAAACGAAAATAAGCTGTACGGCACCTTCGCTTTGATAAACGAAAGTCGGATATTGAGGCAAACGAATACGAAGGATGCAGACTGGACTTTGGAGGCTCTACAAACACCTGCGAGTCTGGATCGGTCTGCTGAAGACATACGACCCTTTGGCGTGGCAGGAAACAACAAAATCAAAGTAAAGAAGGTGACTGCTGATGGAAGAACTGTTGAGATCGAGAGACAGGTCCTGGCCAAGGGCTTTCCAATGAGACATTTCACCAGTCCTGGACCTGTCGCATCTGGTTGTGGCCATATCATGCACTACAGCTGCTTCGAGGTTTACGTGCAGGCGACTCAGCGCAGACAGATGACTGCGATTGCTCGCAATCATCCAGAGCGACTTGATCATAAGGAGTTCTTATGTCCGCTTTGCAAGGCGCTAGGCAATGCATTTTTGCCTGTCATTTGGAAAAACAAGCCGATCACGTATCCTGGCGTCTTGCAGACCGAAGACACGTTCGAGAACTTCCTGCAACATACCGTTGGTCTGCAGATCTCAAAGTTAGAGAAAGGACCTGAGAGACCGAACAGCGACATATCAAGTGTTCAGCAGCGACTGGAAACACTATTCCTTGATTACGGTAAATCGGAGATGATTGGAAGTATAGCCACTGGTCTACAGGACTTGACCAAGGCAGTTGTGCCTAGCTCTCAATCCTCGAGCCCTACAGAACCGCGCCAATTTACCTTCCACAACCTGTCTGTGATTTTCAGCATGGGCGCTGACGAACCCATTCCTGCTTCAGCATTGTTGAACAGTATGGGCTCTATTGGGCCGGGTGATTCGAGTACGGCGCCTTTAGCAGTGTCGCCACAAATGGCTGAGCTGGTGAAAATATATCGAAGGCTTCGCGAAACGATGACGACGAATAATCTACCTTCACGCTTCCGGTACCCGAAGGTCAGTCAAGATGACTTGACGCACACGGATACGCTTTCTCAAGCTCTGGGATATTCTATTGCGGCCAGCGAGATTGCACAGCGAGGCGTAGAGTCTGAGCCCGGATCGACCTTGCTGAGCAAAATATCTTCACAGACGTTGACACATCTGCGGGTGCTTTCAGAGACTGTTTCATCATACTTTGCCGTCGGCGCTCTGCGGAACCAGGGTGAGAACGTTACAAATAAGGAATTCTCTGAGATGTATATCAGCCAGCTGCGACAGCTCTTCGTTGGTCACCCTGAGGTTTGCAGTTTGGACGACCTGGGCATGCAGGGAAACAAGAGACGCGAATTGCTCCTCGGAACCGCACCTGTACTGTCGCGGGATCCGTTTATCTTTTTGACTAGCTGCGCTACGTTCTTGCAACCGGTTCTTCACCTGGACATCCACCATCTCATGCGTATGTGCTACACGGCGGAGATCGTGCGCGTTATTATCTCATTTTTACTCCCGCACGCGAGACTACCCGCCTATGATCCTAATGATGCAGCATATCAGATGCCAGAGTCGGCCGTCAGCTTTTTCAAACTCACCGAGCACATCTTTTCACACATTCGCAATGTGCCTGAAGGCTTGCGTGCAGACATATCCGATGCGGACAAGCTACATACATATGTGACGCAAATATACAGGCTAGCACATGTTTATGCACTGCCATTTGTTCGCAAGTGCATCATATTGATGCATGTTCGATATGGAATAGAGATTCCGTTAGACCTTGTCTCAGTTGCGGAAAGCACCGAGCTTACTCGCTTATCACAAGCCCTGCACCTGCCATCGATTGATAGCCTTGCTGCTCAAGCCTTGGAAATAAATATGGCAAACATCGTCACCGGGTGGGTACAGCATTGGTTGCTGTATCGTGAGGGCCGTCGCAACGCCTTGACGCCCATTCAGCTCTCACACCCCGCCATCTTTGAGCTAATTGGGCTGCCCAAGAACTTTGACACATTGCAGGACGAGGCTATGAAAAGAAAGTGCCCTAAAACGGGCAAGGATCAGACCGATCCTGTGGTCTGTCTATTCTGTGGAGACATCTTCTGCTCGCAGGCTGTATGCTGCAAAGACGAACGTGATAAGGGGGGATGCTGGCAGCATCGGCAAACGTATGTATACTTTAGCAGCACGATCGATTTCTTCTGCAATACGGATGTGCTGACACACTCACAGTTGCAGCGGACCGGTCGGTCTTTTCATCAATATCCGAAAATGCATGGTCCTGTTACTCAATGGCGAAAATGGATCTTGGTCCTATGCACCCTATCTTGATAAACACGGGGAGACGGATGCGACGTTGAGGAGGCATCATCAACTGTATCTTCACCAGAAGAGATACGACAAGTTGTACAGGGAAATGTGGTTAGCGCATGGAATTCCGAGTGCGATTGCAAGGAGACTTGAGGGTGAGAGTAACAATGGGGGCTGGGAGACCTTGTGAGAGCAGATTGTTTGTGGACGTGGCGCGGAGCGTAATCAAGATTTGATGGCATGCGATAGCAAGTTGAACAGTCTACGTCAAGGAGTCATGTAGAGCTATCAGTCAGCATAATCTTCGTGAAGGAATTCTGCCTGTGAGAAGAGGTACGAGTGTTTGAAGCCATCCTATTTCCCAAAGACATCCGCCTCTCCCCCCCCCCCGGCGGGTGCGATCAATCCATCATAGCCGAACGCATCTCTTAAATTATGGGTAATGCAATTATTCAAGAGCACATTTTAAACATGAAACCCAGGTTCGGATGTATTTGTTACGCTAATTGTCAATCGGTGGATGAGTTTGAGAGGGTTAACAAGAAACACCTGCATTAAGCCGATTACAGTAAGTAACTCTGAATGTCACATTGTCAATGTCTGTGCGGAAGATCACGGGAACGATGAATGGTGCATAAGTGAGATGATAAATCTGCTTAGTTCATTCTATGCTGTCTTGACTGATTGATTATCTGATTGTTGCCCTGCCCCCTACCCTGGCTCTCCTCTCTTATCTAGCCAGCGTTTGCTTATGTTACCTGATACTAGGTATGTGCATAAACTGACACACATAGCTACCATTATTCAAATTCACGAAGCTACGCTTCGATCAAGAAAAAATTCAGATGTTCTCGAGATATTCACTGAGAGTGAAACAAAAGGCGCTAGGTCATCGGAAGGGTGGCTGTCGGCTGTCGCTTCAACAAAGATACATCTCGGACAACAGATTCGTCAAGATCTCTGCTGAGGTGCGAGATGCGTTGCACGCGAAGAGGCCTGTTGTTGCACTTGAGACAACGATATATACTCACGGTATGCACGGCTGCAGGTTCGCATAGCTGCCATCTAATCTTTCTTCCAGGCTATCCTTACCCGGAGAATGTAGCGTTAGCCTCCGAGCTCGAGTCCATTGTCCGTGTTAATGGCGGCGTTCCCGCAACGATAGGCATAATAGACGGTGTGGCGAAGATAGGACTCAGTCCGGAAGAGCTGATAGAGTTGGCTGCATCCGCTGGCAAGGAGACTACTCTGAAACTCTCACGGCGCGATTTGAGCTACGTGTTAGGCTCCCGTCTTACGGGCAAGAAGTACAATGGTGGAACGACGATCGCGGGCACGATGGTTTTAGCCCATCTTGCCGGCATCAAAGTATTTGCTACCGGTGGTCTGGGAGGTGTACATAGGGGCGCTGAATCAAGCATGGATATCTCCGCCGATCTGACGGAACTTGGGAGGACGCCTGTTGCGGTCATTAGCAGTGGATGCAAAAGCTTTCTAGACATCCCACGGACGCTGGAATACCTCGAAACCGAGGGCGTCACAGTAGGCACGTTCAGTGATGGTCGAAAAGGCAAAGTCGACTTCCCAGCCTTCTGGTCCCGCGAGAGTGGTGTACGAAGTCCGCTCACGATTGCGGACGAGAAAGAAGCTGCTGCGATCATTCACGCACATCTAAGCATTCCACTTAGCTCTGGCTTGCATTTTGCGAATCCAGTCCCAGAGGCAGACTCTATACCGAAAAGTGAGATGGATGTCTTTATTGAGGAAGCTATCAAAAGGGCCGACGTTGCCGGCGCCACAGGCAAGGATAACACGCCGTTCATTCTTTCGGAAATCAAAAAACTCAGTAATGGGAGGAGCGTCGAGGCCAATAGGTCACTCATCTGCGCAAATGTGAAACGAGGCACAATCGTGGCAAAGGAGCTTGTCGCCCTGGAAAAGGAGATGGACGGGTAAGCTTTTTTCTCTCCACAGTTAAGGGTGTACATGTTGCTCGTGCTAAGAGTAACAAGCTAGGTGCTGACTTGACTTTGAAAAGTCATAGGGATATGTTGAAAGCCTTTGTACAACCTGTTGCTTCTAATGTCCACCAGCAGAACTCCATTGTACTGACGAACAAACCTACTCTAAAGGAGACTGAATGTGACCACAAGACAATTCGACATCAGTCGGACCCTGTGAAAGAAATACCCACAAACTTGGTTGATGCCTCCAAGCCTGCTGATATAATAGTTGCTGGCGCGCTGGCGTTGGATTACTCCTGCGACTACGTGCCAATGGACAATAAATCAACTATGCCCTTGTCTCAAACATCAAATCCAGCAAATATCTCGCAAAGCATTGGAGGTGTGGCCCACAATGTTGCAAAAGCTGCTCATTACCTTGGAGCGAACACCAAACTGTTGACACTTGTCGGAGATGATCTCGATGGCTGGAGCGCAAGGAACCAGTTGGCGTCAGAAGGCATGCGCTGTGATGGGATCGAAATTTGCTCAACCCCCACAGCTCGGACTGCTCGTTATGTTGCGGTCAATGATTCTAGGAAGGATTTGGTCATAGCGATGGCAGACATGGAAGTACTGAACATGCACGGATCTCCTTACGTACGTGACTTGTGGGCCAAAGACATACAGAAGCAGAGGCCGGAATGGTTTATTGCCGACGCGAATTGGAATCCTGATTTGTTGCACGATATGTTCCTCAACGCAAGGAATGCTGGCAGTCGAACAGTATACGAGCCAGTATCTGTTGCAAAAGGATCGAGATTATTCAAAAAGGATTGTAATTCGGCCGCTCAAGTGAGCGAGAAGCCGAAAGAGCTTGGTGTTTATCCACAGAACCATATCGAATTAATGACGCCCAATGCCATGGAGTTAGCTGCGATGCATTCGACTGCACGAGACTCTGGGCTGCTGGAGGACAACAAGTGGTGGCAGGTCATCGATGAGATGGGCATTCCATCGTCGGGAATCAGGCCGAAATTGGTAGACATGACGTCCAAAGATATTGTTGACCAGGGAGTACCTCAGCAAGCAATCCAACTCTTGCCCTTTGTACCCTGCATTATTACAAAGCTAGGCTCCAAAGGAGTTCTACTGGCATCAATTCTTGAAAGGAACGATCCAAGACTTAGCAGCGCAGATGCAGCGCCTTATATCTTATCCAGAAGCAATACCGCTAACCCAATGTCAGACGTTGGAGGGATCTACATGAGGTATTATCCTCCTGTTAATTATGTAGAAGAGCATGAAATTATCAGCGTTAACGGCGTTGGCGACACATTCTTGGGTGCGTTGATTGCTGGTTTACAGCGGACCGGCAAAAATGTTGAACACTTGATCGACTTCGCTCAGAACGCCGCGATTTTATCGCTGAAGTCTGAGCATTCTGTGAGTCCGGAGCTCTTTCAACTGTCAGCAAAATTGGATGAGATGGCCAGCGACAACAGGCATGAGCCAACTTCGTCTCGAACACCGAAGCGATGACGTAAGGATGATAAGGTTCAAAAAGATAGTCCTACCATCGCATGGAAATATTGCGCTTTTCAGTACTGGTCACAGGAGCTTGTGGAGCTTGACAGGGCTCTGGAAGCAGTGTTGCTCCCATGACTAGAGATGATTGAGCCAGTCGACAATGAATTTCTAGACCAAGAGTATCAGCCTTTATCATAACACAGCGACAATGTACAGTAGCAGTCCTTGTCCACGTCTGCTCGCACGATATCAAGACAGGGCTTGACAATTCGACCCACAATTTCAGAAACAAGTGTGCTATGATGCGTTGTAGAAGAGATTGTTCGTACTTTTCCTAAAGCCATGACCATGGCTGGCATTGCAAAGAATTGGACCGAGAACTTTAGTCTGATCGAAGAGAAAAATCCGGAAAAAAATCCTTCACAAAGTTTTCTGGTGTGGATTGTTGAATCCAATCTCCGCGTATCTGAAATTTCGAGATTGCTGTCACTATTGACGCGTCTTGTCCCGTCTTTCACACGTTTTTGACTACTTCTTTGAATTGCCATACAAGGATAAAGTCGCAAACATTACGCTCAACTAGCTTATCCATCTCGTCATTGCAAACTTAATTGAGCATTGTTTAGCCACATTGTCAATCAATTCGGGAGCGTATTATTTCAACCGCGTTCTGTCTTCTGGTACAGAATGTTGTTTCTTCGTAATGACGAGGGATTATGCCTGTCAGAAAGCATATACATGAAGCTATGCTTGAAGGACTGCGAAGTGCAGATGTTGAAAACTCGGTTTTCTTTTTCTCGCTGTTGGTTATCGTTTGGATCGAAAACTAGAGTTGAATGTGTGCTTTATGGTACATTCCGCCGTCTTTATCCAACCGAACTGATAATGCTACCTAACAAGTTTGGCTGCTTCTCTAAGGCTTTCTAGTCAACCATGAGGAAAGAGAAATCTGTCTTTGCCAGCCCCAGTCTAGTGATCTAGCAATTTGTCGACACAGGTGGAACACGCCGAAGGATAACAAACCACCGGGCCAGAGCTCTCTAATATCGTGCAAACTTGAAGCCTCCCCACCGTGCGCCGTCTAATGACATGCTGTGAACTCAAGGTCTACAACTCTCCGTGTGAAACTTCCCGGTAAAACGGCTTCAAAATCTTGATGACCTGCTCGTAACTCGTGAAGAGGATGCCCCCCGCCATAACCGTCCTTCCCAGTCTCATCACCGTGCCTCTCCAGAAGCCCTTGATACCGGCCTCTTGCCAGATGCTCATTGTGGACTCCAAGATACCTTCGTGCTTCACGCTCTGGGCTCGTGTCTTGACCACGTCGATCGGCTGCGTCGCGTAGGTCGTGACTGTGCCCGCAACTGCACCCTTTGCGAAATCAACAAGTGTGTTGTCCGGCCAGTTGTGCTTCTTTCCATAGTCCTTCATGATATTATAACTTCCTAGCCGCACGGAGGTCGTGCCCATCTGCTTTGCGGTCGTGGAAACATAACCTCTGTACAAGGCGTTTATAAAACCCTTTTCTGCGATCAGGACCTTGGTCGCGTGCCATGTGCTCTTAAAGCGCTTTTCGTTCCTGGCATCGTCTATGAGGGCCGTTTTAAGGCGCTCTGTAGGTGTGACGGCCAACGTGGAGGACACCACTCCAGATGCCATGCCAGCCAGAAGATTTCTCGCCGGTGACAAGGTGCCGGTCTCTGGATCTTTGAACGCATTCTTGATCGAATCGAATGATACGAAGCGGATTGCATCTTTAGCTACCGTGCCCTTGATATCTCGTCAGTCCTACCTGGAAAACCAATGCTTTCGTACAAATGTTAACTTACTGCGACGAGTGCCCCGCATCCCATATATAGCGCCCTCGCACCCTCCTTTTGATACACCTTTGCCACGACCTGGAATGGATTTCGTGGCGCGTATTCACCTTTCAATTGCACACGAGTCTTGGCATATTCAAAGGGATATGTGACGGTTGCTTCGATGCCGCCCGCCGTTCCGCCGGCCACCAGCGACATCCATGCTGGCGTACTGTCGTCCCCGCTGTGCATGATCACCGAGACGACGACAAAGTAGACAGGGGCCTATACATACTTTCTCGCAGCGGAAGCAACGTGCAGAAGAGAAGGTCAAGCTATGAGCGAGTCGGCAGTGGCCTGCATGAGGACTACCCTTGCCGAAGTTCGGCAATTATTAGCCTATAACGTAGAGATAGGCGGTGGCGTTCCATGGCCTTGTCGCGTGCCTCAGGTAAAATATTGCTGGGTTAATCCATCCAGGAAAATAGACTCAGATTGCGTGTAGAGTTGAATCAGAGTGGTGGGAGGCCAGCAGATTATGTTCTTCGTTGATACGGTGTAACCTTGTACTCTTCAGGACGTGCTTATGAACGAAGTGCGGACCTCATCCGCGTTCTCAGACTATTAAAGCCAAGCGAACGGGAAGTGAACAAAGAGGGGAGTACGTCTGGTTTTTTTTAATTCATCTTTTCTCTTTTCTTTGTTTTCCCGTGGTATGCCTCATTTGTACTCGCAGTGACGTCAAAAGAATCCAACTTTCCAGAGGTGGTACTCGATGGCCGCGCAAAAAGTCGTGCTGGTGACAGCCGGTACCGCTGGTGTAGGCGCCGCCGTGGCGAGAGCGTTCGCACCAGAATTCCGCGTTGTATGCGCCATTCTGAACCTTGCTGCCGTAATGACTAAGGATGGTGAAGGTGGTGAACTACGCCAACAACGCAGAACGCGCCCAGAACTTCCTGTCCGAACTCGAGTCCATCCCCTCGACATGGGCAGCTTCATCGGGACCGCGTTTCAAAGCTTTACAGGCAGACGTTGGCGACAAAAGCTCGGTCGAGAACCTTGTCTCGGAAACTGTCAAGGCAATGGGCCGCCTCGATGTCGTGATTTCAAACGCAGGCTGGACGCGAGTGACCAATTTCTTCGATTTCAATGAACAGACCCTGGAGAGCGATTGGGACAAGTGTTTTGTGTACAACGTCAAGTCTCACCTGTGGCTCTTCTCAGCTGCGAAACCTCACCTTGCTGAGACGGGTGGTGCCTTCGTATCCACTGCGTCGTTAGCGGGCGTCAAGCCTTCGGGTTCCAGCATGCCATATGCGGTGACGAAGTCAGCACAGATTCACCTGGCCAAATGTCTGGCTGTGATCTGCGGGAACAGTGGCATCAGGGTGAACAGCGTAAGTCCTGGACTTCTGCTTACAGAATGGGGTCAGAAGTTTGGTGAGGAGAAGATCCAGAAGAATATCGGCATGACAAAGCTGGGACGACTGGCAGAGGTGGATGATGTTGCCGCACAAATTAAGACCTTGGCGACGAGCCAATCTATAACAGGTCAGAATATTGTAATAGATTGCGGTACTTCACTATAGTGTGGATGTACAAGCGGTCTTGGGATGGAAAAATGTAGCTGCTGCTTCAACTGCGAGATATATGTATACTGGTATCTCCCAAGACGTGAGCACCCCGTCTATGAAGAAAAATGCTAGACCGTCCCCCCTTTTCCCAAAACAAAAAAAAAACTTCTATGCAGAGCTCTCCCTTGGTGAAGAATCAAATTTTAATCCAAAAACTTGCTCATCGCTTGCTGCGCCAGCTCCACACCCAAGAACGTCGCCGCGTTGGCTGGAATGGCTCTCGCAATGGCTGGAGCGAAGCCGGGGAAGAAGGCCTTGATGCCGTTGGCCTTCCACAGCGAGCTCACCACACCACCCAGCGTTGGGTTGCCTGGCATGCTCTGCAATCTCGACTTGACCGTGTCCACTGGAAAGACGGGCAACCACATGGCTACACCGGCCGTGGCGCCGGCAACCATAACGGCCGGCAGGCTGAGCGTGCCCGGCAAGCCCGTCACCGGATCCTTCGGCGTCAGCTTCCTCTTGACAACCTCGTACGCCGCAAAGTACGCCGCGCTGCCTGGCGCGTCTCTTGCGAGCGTCATGAACGTGCCTCGGTACACGCTGCGGATACCGCCTTCCTTGTACAGTTGCTTCGCGCAGTCGAACGAGCCGGAGTACTTGGGCTTCTCGCCCGCTTGTGCTTTTTGGCCTTGAATCTGGAGCAACACCTTCACGCGCTCCATCGGAGCGGTGACGACCGTCATAGGCACGGCGGAGAACGCGCCGGCCACCGAGATCTGCGTGATTGTGAACTGTCCGTCGGCGGGCACGGTGGACCACCGCTTGACCAGGTTCTTCCCCAGGTCGTAGCCCCAGAAAGAGATGGCAACTGTGCGCTCGTCGTCAGCTGTCTGGTTGTCGTTGCACTTCTTGAGTGATAAAGAAAAAAAAATAATAAAAAACTCACACATTGGTGTCACGCCGTACAGCGGCGCCGTCACGCCCGCGTAAAGTCCTGCCGGTCCACTTCTCGCCAGAATCTTCCTTACCACGTCCATGGCGCCATTGTACGTTCCCTTCTCTGCAGTTTGCAGGTTCACCTTCACCAGGTCAAACGGATGCCCCGTCAGGACCGCACAAACCCCTCCTACGCCGCCAGCTGCGAAGGCCCGTATCGACTGTATCAAATCATTTGTAGCTTCCTTCGTGGCCAACTTAACCTCTTCTTTTATCTCCGACGCTGGCGGTATCTTGTCCTTAAGCTTCTCAGTCGTCGACATTGTGGCCGTCGTAGAAGGCACTGCGGCGGTGTAGAGCCTCGGCGGGCACGTGTGGTTGTCGCGCGTTGCGTCACCGGACGTTTATCGAACCTTTGGTCAATTGCGCAGCGTATACTGTTTGACGAGACTCCAATTGTGCGGTTTTAAGAGTGTGGGAAGAATGTCTATGGTCTGGAAACGGTTGGCTAGGCGAATATTTACATTTGGAGCCGATGTTCTGCAGGCCAGTTAGCTCTCAGAGCTTCTGCCAAACTGGAGCGGCTGGAGGTCACCCGGCCCTCGGCTTGAAGAAGGACCTTTATCCGGATTCGGAGGAAAGGCAGCATGCGCCGAGCATCGCTTTGAGACTAGATGGAAATTCGCCAGACCAGGCATGACGGACCAATTCTCGAGAACGTATTGTTAAATTTTCTACTGTGCGTGGGTATATACAAGCTATGGTCATACAGTGTCGTCGTCATCGCTCTATATATGGTCACTTGAGAACCATCCATTAGCCCGTCCGTGTGCCACCTCCGCACCAGCAGTTGCTGCCTTCTGTTTCAACATGAACGATCAGATCGAGCCCACGTCCTCTGAGATACAGGTTCGCTCGCTCAGCTACATCTTCCAGATCCACGCCGTGAGACGCAATGACATGAATTACACCTTTAATCTTAGACGGTTCTGCACGATGATCATGATCATGTTCAGGCTTATCGTCATGATGCTGATGGTGGACGTGATGCTTGTGGTTATCGTCTCCAATATCCTCCAGCCATAATCTCACACCAGCATATCCAATCACTCCTCGAAGCTCGCCTAGGCCCTGCAATGTATCGCGACAGGAATACTCGACCTCATTGGGGAGGCTTAAGAGCAACTTCTTGCCGCTGCTCCTCACAAGTGGGACGGCCGAGAAGAAGATCAGTAGTGCAATTCCGCAGGACGCAAGCGGATCCCAACCAGACCACCCATCGTACTTTGTAAGCAGAGTGCTGAAGATCACCGCCACCGAGCCAAGCGCATCAGCCATAATATGCAGGAATATTCCCTGCATGTTCTCATTCTCATGGCTGTGTGCATGTAGAGATTTGACAGGCGAGGGTGGATTGGGAGTCAATGGTGGAAGAGAAGGTATGGAGAATGGTGTCGGTGGAAGATCTGGAATTGGGGAAGGTTGCAGCTCCCCGGGATTTGCATATCCGTTGCAACGCAAATGATCGTGATTGTGATCGTTGTGCCTGTGATCCTCACCTTGCTTATGCTCGTGTTGATGATGCGTACGAGCATTCGTATGGGAACAGCTTTTCGAATGATTATGGCCATGCCCGTGTCCATGATGCGCATGACCAAAAACTGTCAAGCCCACAACATTCACGAGAAATCCCAATATGCTGACCGTCAGGAGTTCGTTCAAACGACGGAGCTCGTAGCCCTCGTGTAAGCGATGCACTGCATCGAAAATGATCTCTATGCTGACCAGCACGAGAAATATGCCATTCGCAAAGCCGGACAACGTGTCGACCTTGCCGTGGCCGTACGGAAAAGCTAGAGATGCAGGCCACTTGCTCATCACGGCCGCGGCAAGACCGACCGCAAGGCCCAAGCAGTCGAAGAGCATGTGTATGCTGTCGGTGAGAAGCCCAAGCGATCCGGTTACAAACCCGTAGAAGAGCTGGACAAGCATGAATGCAAGGTTGAGGCTGCCCAATTCGGTCAATGATCATGGTTTATTTGGAAGAATGGAGAGTCGACTCACCAAGCGAAGTATGCGATGCGCCGAGAGTCGCGCTCGCTCAGAATGGTGTCCAGCATCGACCCAGGTGCGCAGTACGAAAGCAAATACTCCGTTAACATCGAATGGTCTCTTTTCCCGTGCTTTGAACGAGGCTCCTTGAAATGGCCAAAGTCTGGCGCTGTGAACTCCAGCGCAACAAAATAGCCAGCGGCGCAAAAGATTGCAAAGGCGAAGGGCATCACCGTCAGTCCAAATATTTGGTGACTCTGAACGAAGGCAAATATAGTGGTCAATATCAGACCTGCCGCTAGACCAGGCTTGCCTCTCGCTCCTATCGTGACTGGGAGTGCAAAGAATGTTAGTCCAGCAATTGTTACCAGTGCAAGAATTGAGAACCCGAAGTGGACTGGCGAGAGCTCCAGCCGTATTGAGAACAAAAACGACGCGGCTGCAGTCAGTGTCGCAAGCACTATGCCCGCTCCAATGCTTGCGTTTGCATCCGCAAGCTTCGAAATTGGTGCTTCCTTCTGGGGCGAGCCCGACAGGCGTGGTGTAGCAGGTGGTGTTGGCACCAAAGGTACGGGAGTGGCAGAGGAGCTGAATATGGGCATGTGCCTGCCTAGGAGGCGGTCCAGGTACGGTATCGGGGGTGGAACGGCCAAAGCTGAAGTAAAGAGCGCGGCGTAGCCAAGTGACAGGTCCAGCACTGTGTAGCTACCAAGCAAGCCCACCACGTCCGCGCCTACAAGCACTCCAAGCAATGCAATAGCTGAGCGCCGGGCCTGAAGCCTTGCTACAAAGCCAGCTTTGGCGTTGACGCCCGAGTTACTTAGCCCAGTCGCGATGGTAACCAAGAGCACAAACGCAACACGAACACCACCGAGCTGCACGGCTGCGTAAAACGGCAGTGCCATGCTCAGCATTCTCGCCACGAAATTTTTGATGTAGGATAAGGCAGATTGGCTTCGCGAGGCGCGATTCTTCGCAGATGATCCATCTTTTCGCCTGTCAAGCCCGACATCTGAAAGACGAAGCCGGGCAATGATACCAATGAGTAACAATGCTGCCGCTGAGAGAGCCCCAGCCTGTACAAAATGCTGGTGTCTATGTATATCTTCAAGTACCTCTGCCGTATCTAACACACGAGAATTTGGAGATCTTGCAGGCCCGGCGAATGGCGAGTGCTGTGAGGGGAATGCGAGCGACGCTGCAAGGAAAGGCAGAGGCAGGAGAATGCCATTGAAGATTTCGTCAAAGAAGGTGTTCGGCCTATCATGTCAATCAGTCTCTGCACAAGTCCAAAGCCTAGAAAGTATCGCCCACTTTGCAGAGAGAGGCGTCCTCGGACTCTTTGGGCTGCCGAAGCTCGTCTGGATCAGAGCGATGGCCTTCCGCCCAAGATCGGATTGACCTCTGGCACGCCTCTTGTCCTTCATCGAAGGCACAGGTCCTATGGTCTTGGACTCCCAGGACCTACCCGCCTCCGTAGCCAAGACGTTGTTCATCGTCGACGCCCTTCGCGCAGGGTGGGACTCAGCGTGCGCTAACGCGGGATGCGCGGTGCCCGACAATAAATCATCTGCCTGTAGCGGACCCGAGGGTGACGACGTGACTGGAGAGAACATGCTCCGGCGATCATGCTGAGATTCTCGCAGGAACGCCGTCTTGACGGGCAACGCGTAGGTGGTGGACGCAGTTGACATCGATCATTGGCGATTATCATTAATTTGGCCGCAGGGATCAGAGAAACGGCGATTCCGACCTTAGTCGGCGGCGGAAACAACACGTCGAGCACGCAGCCGTTCTGGGCCCAGACGCAAAACAAATGGCGAAAATCCACTGTCCTGTACATGTACGGCAAGAGGCTACAGTACAAAACCCGAGTGAAAGGGGCGCGACAAGGTAGCTGTACCAGGACGTTTTGCCTATCTCGCTCTCACTGCGGTGTGCATGGCGCCGAGGGGTTCAAGGCCAGGTCGAACAGGAACTACAGGCAGTTGGTGCTTGACCCAAGTTACCAAGAGACTCAAGTCGACTTAACTTTCTTCGTGACTTACCACACGACCAACCAGCACAACCGGCACAAGCGTCCTCGTTTCCTCTTGATTGGCCGCCGCCGCCGACGAGCTTCTCCTTCGGGACTAACTTATCCCACTATCCGCTTCGGCCGTGCAGGACGACGATCAGCCAAATCTTGCTCGCATCAATTCAAGCCCAGCCTTGTTCACCAGCTGGCATCATCGAATCGAGACAGCTCCAGACGTCGAAGGGGACACACGTTGGGTCAGAAATGTCTGCGCTGCTCTTTGGGGGCTCCGCCGACCTCCTGCTTGGGATAGCCGTGGTCCTATCCACTTTTTTCACCGTCTTTCTTCTGACTCTTCCATCCAGATATGTCCGCGTCTCCGTCGAGGGGCATGACCCGAGGGTTAGCCGCCATGAAGATGATGTTCCCGTGACGATAGTCGTCTTGGGCGATATTGGACGAAGCCCCCGCATGCAGTACCATGCTCTCAGTGTTGTCCAGGCTGGTGGAAAAGTTCGCTTCGTTGGCTATGTTGGTAAGTCTATGCTCCTCGATGTGATTTTTTTTAAAAAAAAAAGTGGTCGCTGGATGGCATATATCAGAGCAACTCCCTTGAACTCCTTTGCTCAATACACAAGAACGTCAATGCAACCTTGGTCGTTCCCTGAATTTCCTCCTTTCTGGTTGTCCTCCTGCCTTGTCCAAGCTTTCGTCTGTCTTCGCTGACGCAACACAGATTCAGATCCACATCCGGACATAACAAGATTTGCTGCATATGGAAAGATTGCCATCACACCTATCAAACCATTTCCAAAACTCCTACAGACAAGCAATAAATTGCTTTTTCCTATTCTCGCGCCCTTGAAAGTGCTCTGGCAGACTTTGACTCTGTACCATGCTCTTGGCTACAGATCGGAACCGTCGAAATGGATGATCGTGCAGAACCCTCCTTCAATACCCACACTCGTCGTAGCTCAGATCATCTGCTTCCTGCGCAACACCAAGTTGATCATCGACTGGCACAACTTCGGATATTCCATCCTCGCTGTGAAACTGGGAAACTTTCACCCACTGGTGAACATCGCGCAGCAGTATGAGTTCTTGTTCTCTCGGGCTGCTTCATATCATTTCAGTGTGACTTATGCTATGGCTGATGTCCTGAGAAAGACCATTGGCATTACAGCACTGCCCGTGCATGATCGGCCACCAAACCACTTCCAGCCCCTCTCCGAACTGCAGCGAAACCAAGTGCTTGAGCGCTTACCTGAGACGGCCCCGTATGCTGAGCTCATCAAAAGCGGAACGACAAAGCTCATCGTCAGCTCCACGTCCTGGACATGCGATGAAGACTTCTCTATCCTTCTCGACGCTCTCGTAGCGTACTCTGCCAGAGCCATGAAGAAATCCAGCCTTCCTCGCGTCCTTGCCATCATTACAGGAAAAGGTCCCGAAAAGGATCGCTACGTTTCCAAGATCGCTCGACTTAAGACCGAGGATAAGCTCGTCCATGTGGATATAATGACGGCATGGCTGAGCATGGAGGACTATGCACGCCTCCTCGGAGCAGCCGATGTTGGCATCTCTTTGCACAAGTCTTCCTCTGGAGTGGATTTGCCGATGAAGGTGGTTGATATGTTTGGCACCGGCCTGCCCGTGTTTGGATTCAATAAGTTCCAGGCTTGGCCGGAGCTTGTGAAAGAAGACGTCAACGGCAAAGGCTTTGCCAGCGCTGGTGGTCTTTCTGAACTGCTGGTCGAATACTTAAGCAACAAAGATAAGCTTCAGAAACTTCGGGAAGGTGCCATGAGAGAGACAAGGCGGAGATGGCAAGATGAATGGAAGCCTATTGCTGGAAGACTACTGGGCTTTGATCCTGATCGTCCTGATGCATTTCCTTAAATTGGGACTGCGAGGGTAGGTTTCCCACAAAGCAAGCTACAGGAAAAAACTATGTTGTTTTTAGTGACAAATACAACATTGGAAGAGCATTCAGCGCTCTCCTCTTACGCTGAAGAAGAGTCACTAAGCTCCCATATGGTGCTGGGAATGGACCAGGAAGGACTTGATAGTTGGATCTCAGTGAAACGAAGATGGAGGAAGTTAAAGACATACGAAAATAAAATCTCAAAGGGAATTAGTTGTTTGGCAAAATGCAGGCCTAGAAAGCATTCTAACTGGTTAAATTGTGCGTAGCACTCCTGGTATAGATATGCAGCGCTGATCACTGCATAACCAAATCAATAGATGATTTACAGACACTATCTAGATCGCAGGATAGACTCGACTTACATTTTCACGTTGTCAATATTTCATGTAATAAGGGTATCGAATAAGAGAATGCCACTCGATTTTCTTTTCGTCGTAAGGGGACTTTAGGCTGTTGTTGGTCGTCAATTGCTCAGAAAACAACACCGCGCCCGCGTAGCCGTACAATATCATCCTACAAACTTCCCACCACAATAGATGCATCTAATGCATGCCGTTAACAGCAGCTCTGTTAGAGGGATCGTCGGCGCGCTCGCATCAGCGCTTGCATCTATCATATCGACGTCGTCGCCCCTGACGGCAGCCGGATTCTGATTCTCCACGTGAGATGACCGTAGATACTGTTTGCCGCATATCCCGCATGACTTCGAGATGCGCGGTGCCTGAATAGCGAGAAATGTGAGGGCGCAGCGACCTGAGCAAATCAGCGGTGCTTATCAACAACAATGGGTAATTTTTTTTGTTTTCCTGTTAGCACGTACGAAACTTGTGTCCCTTGTTACATTGCGCAAAAGCGTACTCGTCAAAATTGATGCTCGACATGCAGATGTCGCACTTTTCGCATGCTTCGTCGTGCGCCTTGTCGGTGCTTAGGTTGAGCTTGACAAGGATCCGTCGCAAATTGGAAAGCACTAATCGACTGTGCTTTGAATCCGTGTATCGTGAGGGAGGTACTTGAAGGACCTTGATTGCGAGGTGCTCCAGGACTTGCTTCTCCATCTCAGCGGCTGCGTCGTTGTGGCCCGTGACAAGTGACAGAATGCGCTCGTATCGCAACCTTGTGAGCGAGTTCGATGTGTAGAGCAAATCTTTAAAGCTTGAGGTCGCAGGGTCTGGCTCGTGAATTGTGATTGCTGCCATTGCTTTGTCGATCTGATCGAGCAGCGCCCAAGTAGCCTTGTTCTTTTCAGGCTGCGTCTTGAGGTCCTTGGTTATCCACTTCGCGCTGAATGCAATGGCTTCAGAGCTCGCGCTCTGCTGAATGGCCTGTGTCATAAAGTCATCTCTGCCTGTGCTTTGGAATATAACACGAGAGCTCATGTCGGCAGGAATGATATATTCTGGCGAGTTGCTAGGGTGGAAAGTCGCACTAAGAACAGCCAGATCATGCAATGGAGAGCCCGCGAGTCCCCATATTCGAACAAGTACATCTCCATGTGTACCAAACTTCGAATCGTAGATTTTTCGATTGTGTTTGACAGCGTCTATTAAGCCACTGTTGTGAACGTCGGTCGGCGACAGGTCATCAAGCTCCAAGCAAGTGAGGATATTGTCAGATATCGACATATGACGTAGAAACTGAGCAAATGTTTTTCCACGATTGCTGTCTAGTAAAAACAAGGCGCCGGCAACCTGACCCCATTCTTTTCTCTCGTACTTGGCGTGCCTTATTATAGCATCTCCAAGCATATCGATGGTGAAAAGCATAACCTCGTCGGCTGTATACGCAAGTAACTTGCCATATTCTTCTTCATTGGATTCGGATAGCCAATCTAGAATCACGTCTGAAGTCCAAGGAGTTTCCAGATTTACCGAACCCTCAAAGTCCTCTATCTCAATCTTTGGCTCGCCATTCAGGAAGAGCAGATGCACACACTTGAAGCACAACTTGGAACGGGTTCCACAAGCCAAAAGACTTTTCAAACCTCCGTCCCGAGTTCTTATCCAAGGGCTCCATGAGAGATGCTGCACGAATCGAGACTTGACCATGTAGTCTTCGAAAGTCCACGTCAGGTTCGACTGTGTTGGATTCTCTCCTGTGATTGAAAAGTGCGCTTCGGCTTTGAGTTGAATGCCTCCATCCTCCTCGTCGCCTCTGAAGCATCTCAATATGACAACATCGTTGTTGTCGTTAGACGTCGCGATGTAGCAGACGTTTTCGAGATGGTGTGCAAGAGCAGGGTGCTTGTTTGTTCCGTCATGCTTGCTTAACCCAAAGGCACGCACACGAATTAGCTCCTTTAGTCTTTCGCTGCGTGGCTGCCCCGGCTTTTGCTTCTCCTTTGGATAGATCCGCTCGTAATGTCTCTGCAGTTCTCTGTTCACGATCGTGCGACGTTTCCAGTCCTGCGGCGACTTCGGTCGATTTTCCGGAGCCCATATGCTCAGCAGCAGATTTTGCGTGTGAACAAACAGGCCGCAGCGCCCATGCTTTGCAATTCCAGGAGGCGTCCATTTCACTGCTACTGCTTCTGCGGTCGAGATCTCCTCGCCAATGGAAGCAGATCTGGACGAGATAGGATCCTGCTGCTCGAGTTCTGCGTCCGAAAATGCGTTCACCCGTAGACGAATGAGCTCCCACATAGCAGTCGGCGCATCATCCATGGTCTTCAATTTTGGGATCTAAATTCGAAATAAGCGCCTTTGCAGAGCAGAGGATAATTAATCACTCTTTACCAGCAGCTGTACGTCATCGCCGGCGGCAACGACAATATCTGCATCCTGTGACCAGTCTATGCAGTTTGTTGCCGTTGGCCACACATTTATGGTTAGATCAGCAGATCGGCCTGTATCAATTTCAGACATTTTCTCTGTGAAGCCTTCGTAGGTTTGCGTCTGTAGCCACGGCATCTTCGTGTAGATCACTGCAGCTTCGGAGCTGAAGGAGAGAGCAACGTGAGGTTGAAAGTGACATAAAAATGATGTGCTTTAGACTCTGGAAGACGAGGAAAATCCGGACTGCATATCTTTTCGTTGGAGATACTTTGCGAGATACGGCCCAGAATTCGCCGGAAATTGTTTTAGGAGGAAGAGTTTGTGAGGTGGACGCCAAAAAGCAAGGCGTTGCCGAAATGGGTAACTATTGATAACCACCAGGTCATGCACTCTGAAGACGTCGCCGATATAAAGGACGTTCCGGAAGTGATTCGCATGAATTATTGCTTAAAACATTACTACGTATATATAGGTTAAAAGCTGCATATATGTCCTTGGGTATCATCCTCCAATTGTCGTATCATCAATCTTGTTGTCGCGGTCCGATGCCAAAAGTTATTTCCAAAGAACTAAGCCCAAACTCCGTATCCCTAATGTTGCGCATACGTCTTTGAGAATTGCTAATGATTATCATCCTCGTCCCAAAATGCAACATAATTAAACTTCATACGATATCTCTCTCATCCTTCCACGCTTTTGCTCTCCTCCTCTTTTTCGCAAGAGCAGGCGACCAGATGCCCATGAACAGATCTTCGCACTCGTCCTCATCTTCCGAGTCAAATTCAGCATCTTCTTGATCATCGTCCACAAAGCTTACACCGCTATCCTTGCGGCCATCGTTCGCCTTGCTCGGGACATGGGTGTTTTCTATCGCCATCTCAAAGTCACCGTTCTCCCAATCCACGCTTCGATTGACCCTTTGCGTCTCCAAAATGAACATGCCTACCTTATACTTTTGACCTTCCTCTTCAGCGTCAACGTACTTCCACCCAAGAACAGTACCGCATCGAACGCAACTGATGTCACTGACTGTGTGCGCACCGGTGACCAGCATCCGCGGAGTTGGCTTGTGTATGTGCGTATTGGGCAGATTGCCTGCCTGATGGTGTCGCGGCGCGATTCCACTCTCTGCTGGTGGAGTCATGGTGCCGAGACTATGGCTTGGTGGGCGTACGAGGTAAGCACGGCCATGACGACCCTGAAAGCCCTTCGAGATTATGGAGCTTGTGGGACAGAGATGGGCGAGACAGCGCGTGCAGCGAAGATACGAGGTGGAGCCCGAGAGGTAGCCAGTTGGAGAGGAGGCTTGCGACGACGTGGAAACTGTATCCTGCAGCGACGGAAGCGTAGCGTCGAAGTATTTGTTTGATTTGCGCCTGAAGGGTACACTTGGAAGTAAATATATTGGAAAGACCCCCGCGGGGGATGTTGGAAGTGGCATTACCACCAGCCGCTGCGGGCAGCGTTGAAGCTTTGCGGAAGCAGAGCCGTTTAGGAATTAAATCTAATTTTAAGAAAAAAAAAGGAGACTTTATACGTCGAAGGCTTCATAATAGTAGTATAAAGAGCAAAGGAAAACGCACAGAGTGCAGAGTCACAGAAGAGAAGAAGCCCCCCGCTTTCCACCGTACTCACGAGATGATGCACGTCACACTACCGAAGTTCGTTATCGATTACAGCAGCTACACGGGAAGGACTAGCACGAACTCGGATAGGATCACATTGCTTTGATTGGCTCCTCTCTTCATTGAAGATGTCTAGACTGTACCGAAAACTGCTTATGATCTTGTTAATGCTGCCTTGCAAGTGGCTTGGACGCTTGAAAAGGGCATGACTAATGTGTCACCTGTTCTGTTGCGCCTTGACTCTCGGCCAGAATGATCCCTATTATTTCAACCCCAGCTGATTGTCCGTCTCCGATTACTTCAGTTTCGCGTTTACCGACTTGAACGTTGATGTTGCGCGAAGGGTCGGCATGATGCCATGAGAAAAGATACCTCTTAAGTGTTATGTTGGTGTGTTATTTTTACCCAGTACATTGATGCCATTTAGCCTAATAAGCAAGCTCCTGTACGACAATGGACACATCACTATATTCCCCTCCATTCTTTGACAACTTTTTGTATCCGAAAGCCGACGAAAGGATTTAGCAAAGATAAGAAAAATAAGAATCGCAAAAAAATGTGGGTATCATCCTCATCCCTGCACAAGCTGCGTTTAAGCCTGCTTTCCTCACTCGTACAAAAAACATTTAAGTCTTGCAGAGCTATGCAGACGGCAAATGCAAGTCGGATCTTCATATTCCAACGCAAAAATGCTTGACGATGTACCTTCGCACTTACAATTAACGCCAAGAAATGGAGCCCCCATATTTGCATTCATTCTAGGCATGCTAGAACAAGTGGATTCTCCTCCTTAGCAAAGCTGTGGAAAAAAAAGAGATGGAGTTTAAGCTGTAATGCCGCGCTGATCTTGCGAGGAGCGGAGTATGCTTAAGCGGAGTTTCGCTGCTGTACATACGAGGAGAGTCGATGCTTTGTTGCTTTATGGAGACAGGCACTGCTTTTTCCTGGCAGCACAACTTAGTTGATTGAAATGAGCTTGATGTCGAAGGTGAGCTCAGAGTTTGGTGGGATGCCCTGTTGCTTCTGCTTGCCGTAGGCTAGGTGTGGAGGAACAATAATGCGGCGTTCACCTCCAACGGACATGCCAGCAACGCCGATGTCCCAGCCTTTGATGACCTGACCCTTGCCAAGAGTAAATTTGAACGGCTCGCCCTTGGTATTTGCTGTTCCAGTCATCAGAATATGACCTCTAGTAAACGCGTTTATGTGAACTTACAGTCGAAGACTTTCCCATCCTTTAATTTACCAATGTACCGCATGCCAAGCTTGTCACCAGGCTTTGCTTGTCTGCCACTACCAACTTTGCGCTCGTCGATAGTGACACCATTCACCTTCCATGTCTTCTTCTCCTTGCCGTCGGACTTCTTATCCGTCTTTGCATCAGCCTTTGGTTCTGACTTAGTATGTGGCTGATCTTGAACGAGCTTCTCAGCAAACTGCACCTTCTTCTTATCCGAACCATTTACTTGCTCCTTCTTGTCCTTGCCATGCGCCTCCTTCTTCTCGGCTTCTGCCGCGGCTGGCGCTTCGGCGGCGTTACCGGCGTTGTTCTTGAGCTTCTTCTTTTGGCTCTTGGTGAGCTTCTCGCCATTGACAGAAGACTCGTTGCCCTTCAGAGTCTTCTTTGAAGATTCATCCTCATCAGAGTCATCTGCAGCACGTTTTTTGGAGTCTTTGATAGACTTGACGAGCTTCGGTGCCTCATCTTCTTCAGAGTCCACCTCGGTAACGCGAGGATCGGCTAAACCATCGAGTTCATCTTCCTCGGAGTAATCTTCTTCGTCGGAGAGGTCCTCGAGGTCAGCAAGAGCATCGAGGCCGTCCTCCTCGTCAGAATCTTCATAGTCGTCCTCGAGCTCTTCCGGGTCGGCGAGATAGTTACCCGTCAGGTGCACATTGTAAGCGCCAACGACCTTGAAGAAGACTTGTTCGCGCACATCGATGGTGATGTCAAGCGGCTGCTGGTAGAACTAATGATATCGTTAGTTTTGAACCCTTTCAGTGATATTGCTTTACATACCCTCTCTGGATCGAGAGTGCAAAGAGTGTACTCCTCAAGCTCATCTTCATCGCCAGACTCAATGTCATCATCTTCGTCGTCTTCGTCGTCGGAAGCCTTGCCCTTGCCCTTGCCATTGTCGCCATTGGCAAGCTCAAGATCCATGGCATCTTCCTCCTCCGCCTTCTTAATGGCCTCCTTCAGAGCCTTGGCGCGGGCAGATTTGGTCTTCTCTCCCGGGCCACCATTGCTCTCTTCATCAGAGTCGTCAGAGTCCACTCCAAGCCCAAGACGGCGCTCAATAGCTTCGACATCATCAGACTCGATGTCGTCATCATCATCGTCGTCATCGTCGGAATCATCAAGCGGGTAGTTCAAGCGGACCATCTTCAATGTAGCCCGGCGAGGACCATCGTCTGCAGGCTCGTCCGTGGGGTCAATGGCGGCCATTGTGATGCGATACTATCACATGTTAGTATCGATGCTTATGATGAGAAATTTTCCAAAATCATGCCTTTCCAGGAGCAGGAAACTCATCCGGATTGCCCTGGATCATCATATCGCCGCAAGGCACTTCGAGGCCGTACACAGCAACTGGGCGTACTTCTGGCATTTTTACTGCATTCACCTAGAGAACTATATGCAAGAGGAATCGCTAGGGCGATAGTGAGGAGATTGGAGGAACTGGGAGAGGGGATTGAGAGAAAAGGAAAAGGTGGTGACGTTCTGAGTGAAAAAGTTGTGCAAGAGGGCAATGGAGAAAAAAAGTTCTGATGAAAACCAAATGATTTCGGGGTCCGTGCTTTCGGACGATCCACTTTCAGCCGTCGTGACAGCCTTGCAGATCTGCGTGAGGGCGGACCGGCGGAAGGCAGCAGTGAAAGCCTAAAATATGATCATGAGGTTTTGGTGCATGTGCGCTGACTAGGACTGAAAAATTCTTCAAAGCGAGTCCATTGTGCGACAAAGTGTATTGGATGATTGGCAAGTTCGGTTGTACTCGTCACGTGCTGACGCGCTAGGCGTGGAACGCCACTTACGGTCACTCTTTTGTTCCTCTTCGTTTCGATGCGGAGCTCTCTCCCTTCTACTGCTGCTACTCGACATAATGGACAGTGGGGGTTGATTTCAAAAACTCAGTTGCCTCCAAGATATAATGATAAGCTTCCGCAATGGGTTCGCGCCTGGAGAAGGGTTCCAACGCGGTGCGGAAACGCATCGAGAGTCGTACGTTACACAAAATTCAGATCGGCTTGATGTGAACTGATGTCTTTCATAGACACTTTCACTCATGAAGAAGGCGAAGAATACGAGGCGTCCGCGTTCGGCGGTTTTGGTGACTACTTTCGCAGGAAGAAGATCAAGCTACAGAATCTTGATGTCGAGCTTCGATCGCAAGCTGGAGACAAACCTCAAATCTTCCGTGGTGTAGTTGCTCATGTCAATGGATACACGCAGCCGTCTTTGAATGATATACACAAGCTTATAGTGCAGCACGGCGGTGGGTTTATGCAGTACCTGGATGGGAAGACGACAGTGACGCATATCATCGCCAGCAGTCTGACGCCCAAAAAAGCGGTCGAATTCAAACGATATCGTATAGTTAAGCCAGCGTGGGTTGTAGAAAGTGTAAAAGCAGGGAGGTTACTGCCCTGGGACCAGTTTCGTGTTCTAGATGAGGGTTCTGGGCAAAGAGTAATTGGCTTCCATGATGGCAAGGTCGTTTCTGAGGTTAGCACACAGAAACGCGGTTACAAAGACCAGACAGACACGAGCTGGTACACAGAACAGCTGAAATGGACACCGAATATTTCGGGTCGAAACACGTGTCGCGGTCAAGTGGAGCTGCCAGTCGGGTCAGATATTGTTGACGACATCGACGATACAGATGAACTGCCGGCATCAACTCAGCCTCCATCACATATGGCTCCGGAATTTGTTGGCGACAATCCGCACAATAATTTACCTATGAAGCCTCAGGATAATACAAAATTTACGTCGCTCTCATGTCAAAGTGCCCTCGACAACATTGAGGACGAATCCAAGCCAGATCATTTCGCTGATGAAATCCAGAAAACCGAAGCGCAAAAAACGTGTAGCCCTGGCATTAGTGGTACATCTGACTTAAAGCTGAATCAGGATTCATTTTCCGATGCTCAAAAAACCCACGAAACAAAACCAAACGATGACCTCGAGCAGGAACTGAATAACACGAAGGACGTGGATGCCGATAAGATAAACGGGAAAAAGTGCGAGAGTAATGGGCCAGAGAAAGACGAAGGCAACGCTGATACCCCAGCCAAGCGTATAAAGCTAACAGCTGAGGAGCATAACCGGATCTTGCTCTCTGACCCTCGTATTTGGAAGTCTTCCGTTCTCAATCCGGAATTTCTGGAAAACTACTATCGTGAATCACGTTTACACCACTTGTCGACATGGAAAGCCGATCTTAAGTCACAGCTGCAAGCGATGGCTGAAGAGAAGTCTCTATCACGGAAAACTCGACAGATGCGAGACCCACGAGCTAGACGCTACATCATGCATGTCGACTTTGACAGTTTTTTTGCGGCCGTATCGCTGAAAAAATTCCCACAGTACAAGGATAAGCCCGCTGTAGTGGCTCACAGCGGAGGAAGTGCCTCGGAAATTGCGAGTTGCAATTATCCTGCGCGTAAGTTCGGCATCACAAACGGCATGTGGATGCGCAAGGCTCATGAACTATGCCCTGACGTAAAGGTACTGCCTTACGACTTTCCAGCATACGAAGAAGCAAGTCGATCGTTTTATGAAGTCATCATTGCTACTGGAGGGGTTGTTCAAAGTGTTAGCATCGACGAAGCCCTGGTAGATATTTCCGCCCTCTGCTTCGCGGAAGCAGGTGGGAGTGGAATCAGTAAAAATGAAGATACAATCTGCCGAGAGCAACAAACTGCAGACAAGATTGCAAAGAAGCTGCGAGACGAAGTAAAGGAGAGGACCGGCTGCGATGTCTCCGTTGGCATAGGTGGCAATATCCTGCTCGCAAAACTTGCCCTTAGAAAAGCGAAGCCAGCAGGCCAGTTTCAAATTTTTCCAGATCGTGCGCTGGATTTCATTGGGCCCTTGGAGGTGACTTCACTCCCCGGAGTAGCTTACAGCATTGGTGGTAAGCTCGAAGCTATGGGGATCAAGATCGTGGCAGACATTCGCCAATTCAGTAAGGAGAAGATGATGGCCATTCTCGGTCCAAGGACGGGTGAGAGGCTTTGGGACTATGCGCGCGGTGTTGATCAAAAAGAGGTCGGCGATGTTGAGGTTCGAAAGTCTGTCTCAGCGGAAGTCAATTGGGGCGTACGTTTCTATAATCAGCAGCAGGTCGATGAGTTTATGCTGAATATAAGTGGCGAACTCTCGAGGCGACTCGTCAGGGAACGCGTCAAGGGCAAACAGCTGTCTCTTAAGGTCATGAAGCGTGCGGCGGACGCTCCCTTGGATCCACCGAAGCATATGGGCCACGGATGGTGTGACACCTTCAATAAAAGTGTCCTCCTCGGCGTTGCTACGAATTCACGCGATATTCTTGCAAAAGAGTCACTCTCAATGCTTAAGTCATTTGCCTTCTCACCCGGAGAACTGCGTGGCATAGGTGTGCAAATGACGCGTCTGGAGCCTTTAAAAGCCTCAATCGGTCAAGCTGAGAGCAGTCAAAAGAAACTACAGTTCAAATTTGAGGAGCAAAGGAAACGAGCAGAGAACTCTGCTGACCCGGAGGATGATCCTATTGAGGACGTTACGACCCCCCAAAAGCCAAAGGGAGCAGCGAATAAAGTGATGTTTGGTTCTCCTGAGCTTAATAAAGACAGCACCAGTCGCAAGCCGTTGAATACACGTGGCTCTCAATTTATCTTGCCCTCTCAAGTCGACCCAACTACACTGGCAGAGTTGCCGCAGGATATCAGGGATAGGCTCGCTCAGCACACAAAGGCAGACAAGAAATCTGCTATTGCTGCTTCTTTTTCAAAGCAGAATATCACATCACCACATTCAACTCCTAAGATTTTCACGGCACTTCCAGCCCAGTCGCAAATTGATTTAGAAATGCTCAACGCTCTTCCCGAGGATGTCAGGTCGGAGGTGCTAACCTTTTACAACAAATCGTCTTATGAAGCTAAAGTCATCGAACGTGCGAACACACTCCTTTCGCCAAGCAGAAACCGCACGTCTCTCCGTAGCAACCGTTCGACGGCTTCTACTGTAAGGCGCAGAGGAAGACCCGGTAAATTTGATGCCCGGTCTAGCGCCAATGTCACGACGTTGACACAATCGAATTTCATCACCTCCAGATCACGCCAAGGATCTCCTGAGGCCACAACAACAGATACCGACGGGGACGAGGCGATGGCTCCAGAAGGCTCTGGCATGGACCCAGATTTTCTTGCTGCACTACCTGAGGATATTCGTCGCGAGGTTCTTGATGAGCAACGCCGCAAACGACTCGCAGAAACATCCGGTATTCAAATCGCCACCCGACGGAAGCTACCTTCTAAGCAAGTGGCCCATGAGCCAATCGAACATCTTTTAAAGCTACCTCCACGCCCCCCCAAGCCTAGTTTCACGGGTAGAAAGCTAACAATGCTGCCACAGCTTCGTGAAGCGATCAGTGAATGGGCAAGAGAATTCCGCGAGGAGGGTCCTTACAAGGAAGATGTGAACGCGTTGTGTACATATATGCATAGAGTGATAACAGAAGAGGGGGACATGAGTAAAGTTGTTGGGGCCGTTAAATGGCTCTCCTGGGTTGTGCAAGAGGAGTTGGTAGAAGAGAGGGATGCCTGTTCGAAATGGGAGGCTGCTCTAAGGGACGTAAAATCCTTCGTACAAAAGAGCGTGCAACAGCGAGGCTTGGGCAGGCTTCATCTCTAGTGTATGACATCATCAACATCTTGGTATGTGTTAATCGTTCAAGACGTATTGTCAGATGTATTTGCAAGTACCATGCTTGTCTCTGCATTGCGTTTGTGTCACAGGTTTCACAAACGAAGACATGAGATTGATTTCCAGAAGGTTTATGCGATTAGGCCACAGGAACCTAGCACATAAAGCAAAGCACTATACAATTCATAATCTCAACTCTTACAAAGACAAGTCTTGATATAAGGGCTCCCAAGGAGTATCAACGTCACAAAGCATTGGATAGGGCCTTGCTGCAGTTTGCCAAACTTAGTGCCTGATAAGAACTGCAAGCATGAGCGAGTCAAGGTTCTCTAAAAAAAAATCAATATCGTATATGTTCGAATACTCTAGGATCATAGAGTTAAACTGGCAAGCATGGAATTACAGCAGATAACTGGCTTGATTTAGCCATATGATGGATCTTCGGTCTCTCGGAAGAGCCGGAAACTAGTTTACGAATCTAGAACGACGTTGTTGCGCCAGAGATCTTCCCATGTTGATGTCAAAACCTCAACTTGTTCCGCTTAGTCTTTTTGGATACCCTTGCGCGACATCGACAGCGCTGCTGTATCTTCGAGCGGAGCCACGATGTGAATTCAAGGGAATGAAGACAGAACGTTGTGTGGAATATAATCTGATTGGACGACCGCAGCTGTTCCGCCAGAGGAGATCACCCCGGACGCGACTTTTAACCGCACAATGGAGGTAAGGATGACGCAGTGCTTACACTACAAGGACGAGAGTCTCGCTCGCCAGGCAGAAGCGTCCAGGTTGAAGAATACTTTGTCACAAGAGCATCACTGGCCCGTTGCAAGGATAATTCCGTCGCGGCCGAAGTTAATTTTCTGGCATGAGAGTGGAAGGTTCCAAGCCGATTCTAGGTCTGGGGGACGTTGGAACGGGGCTCAGACTGTTTGGTTCCCAAGGCAACTTCGCCCGCACGCCCCCTTCGGGAGAGACTCGGGACACGATTTCCTGCCTTCACTCTCAGTCGTTTGAGCCTGGCTTCGATGTTCGATGTAACGAAGGGATGTGTCAAGAGTCGGTGTGCAGTGGGCCAATCGACAACAATGGAAGGTCTGACGGCCATCAGAATCTTGCGGATGCAAGGTTTCCCAGCAAGGCCAGATGGTTAAGAAAGCTGCCTCACTCTCGCGGCGGAGGTCCACTGAGATCGCAAGGAGAGGTCGCAATCCATTGTTCGATCCTGCAAAATTTCGTGATCGTGAGTCGTGCCTTGTGCGGTGCATCTCCGCATGTTCGCTTTCCCGCCGTTCAACCCAAACGCTCTACCAGGGGCGGGCGTCATCTCCGTGCTAGACGAGCGTGAAATCGTCAAAAGGCACCCCCAAACTGCTCTGCTTTTCGTCTCGACAATCCCACGACGGGCGTGATCGAGCAGCTCATTTACCAAACGGGGCACTCTCTCCACAGATCCCGCTGTCCTGGTTCTCGGGGAAGGGCTTCTAGAAGCGGGGAATTCTGCATCGATGCCGACTCGCGGGCGACGCTCTCAACTTTCGAGACGTCTACCGCATGAACGGTGTTGCGGGCCGCAACGAAGAGAGCGAGATGGAACGTTGCGTTGGGCACGGCCTCCTAACCCCATCCAGGCCGACTAAGCTGTGCGCTGGCGACAGCCGCGCATCCGCGGGCACTAGGGCGTGTCCCCGAATCGAGGTCCGCCATCCCAGGCACTTGGCGCGAAAAGCCTCTCACTTCCCTTTGCTTTTCTTTTGCCCTCCACAAATCTGGAGACGTGGGGGGGCTCAGCTTGTGCTGTGCGACCAGTCTCGAGCTAGGCGGTCTAGCAAGAAGTGGGCTTGCCACCCGTGCTCATTACACGTACGCAACCAGTTCTTGTGCGAGTCGACAGCAGGGAGTCACGAAAGCCCTCGCGGCCAAGTCTGATTTCTCGCTTCACTGTACGGAGTCGTTGGCATCACCAGGGCTGAAGTGGAGCGCTGTGAGACAGGAGACAGCCAAGCTTGGACGGCCGGAGCGCAAAGCGTCGTGCGAGAAATAATGAAGTAACAACAAAGCAAACACAACGAACGGACAGGGCGACCTCCAGCAGCCGTCATCTCGTTGTCATCAGCGATGCCAACAGCAGTAACGTCATCCGGCGCCTCGCAAAGCAACCCGGAATCCCGTGGGCACTGGAACCAGCCAGCAGCGTAGAGAGAGAGAGAGAGCGTGTGCGAGAGATCCTTGGTCTCGCTCTCCTGAATCCCGGCCCCTTCAAAGGGCGAAGACCTGACATGTCAACCCGCCAACGTGGCCATGTCAGCATTTTCCCGGACTGGGCCTGCTTGTGCAATCACAACGGCGACGAGTGATTTCGATTCAGGATTCAAGGAGCACGCACGCACAGAAAGGACGGGTGCACCACGCATTGGGCCTAGCCGTTGGGGAAACACGCAACGATTCGTGGGATGAAACTCTAAACACGACCATTCTGGTTGCGTTGCCCCCCAAAGTGCCATGGCGCACCTTATCCGTCGGGAACAATGGGAGTAGGCAGCCCATCCGGGATGTCGCAGGCAGGCTCCATGTGTCGGTGAACAAGCACTAGCAAAACAAAATATAATAATGACAGGATCTTTGGATTCGTGGAAGTGCGGCCCCGATACCTCCTGTACGCTGATGTGTTGCTTGCCTTCTGCCTACTTAATCCTCGGTCACCCTCCAGCCCTGAAATCTTTCGTGACAGCCCGAGAATTTTTGTTCAGCACGTTCACGGACTTCCGTTCTAACTGCCATCTGATACCACGGTACGTACGGAAATTTAATCGTCATGTTGCCTTTCCAGAAGCCGAACCCCCTGGTCTGTGATCGTCCTTGCTCTTGTGTGTACCTGGTTCGACCCCAGATTTTCACTTGTACTCTGGACAGCCGAGGCTCAGGATACTAATTTGCTGCTGCGATGAAGGTATTCAAATAAGTCGCGCCAGCCCAACTCCGTTGCACTCGGCCAAAAGTACCGTGCCGGCTTTTTCAGACGCAGGATCCATTCTTGATCCAGACACTCTGCTCGACAGCTTTTTGATCCCACCGGCCCGTCGTCTTCTTCGCACTGGTGGTACAACGAACAACACATCAGCCTGACAACACACACTGCAGCCTTGGGACCCAAGTCCTTTCTCCAAGCGTCTCACCGAAGCCTTTTCTACCTCAGCTGCCACGCTTCTTCCTCTCCGACCACCATGTCTCAGCAAACTCCCCGCCAGCGCCTATCGCTCTACACTAATCGGACGCTCTCGCATGACGTGGCTGCTGCCTTGAAGGCCTCGTCGCCGCTCACCATTCGTACTACAAACCTGAACATCGAGCCAACCCCAGCTCCTCCACCATCTCCTGTCGACTTTGGATCCTTCTCGTCAGAGTTCAGCGATTCAAGTCAGGCTAGTGAGTGGTTGATCAGAAATAGCGAGAGGCGTGAAGCCGTTGCCGCCTAAGCCGGGCCGCGCGTCTCTCTCTTTTTCGACATGTACACCTCCATGCATCATCACAGCGGGCGTTACGTTGGGACAGAGGAGTTGGGTCCTCTATGAAATTTCCTTGGATTGCATTGATACCATTATCAGATACACCGGGCGGAAGCGCGCAAATACAGCATCTCGGTTTTTTCCTATGTCTCAACTTTTGATCGGTAAGCATTCATCACTAATGGAGTGACATGGGGCGCTTGGGAGCAACACATCTCGAGCATGGAATAGAACGAGTAAATTCTAGAGGGTACTGTGGCCGTCCAAGTCGCGGCGGCTGCTGCTTTTTTTCGTCTTCCGAGTCAAATCTTTTCTTTTTGCGCTCCGCTGCCGGTCGGCCCATACATAGTCATACAAGCTTTAATCGATTATACGCTCTGTACCAATGCGACTCGATGATTCCTCTGCTTTGGCCATCTCCAAGCTTGCCGCCTCATCATTCTCCTCCGTCCAGTTCCGACGATGTGCGTCTTTCGGTTGCGACTTCCCTAGCCATGTGATGCAACCGGATCACCACATCCCACCTTCCCGTAACGTGCGCAAAGGAACAATTCCCTCAACACCAGCTTGCTCAACACAATCAGGTTTCGACATGCCCATGACGTGCTACAGTCGGTGAGCTTGTTCTGGCATGGAGACGGGAAGGGCACGCGTGGGGGCCTGCCGATCAAACCCCACGCTCATTCAGACCTTCTCCAGCTCGCAAGCCCTCATCACAGCCCGTTGCCGGCTCTGTCCATCTTGCACATGGCTACGAGATACTATTGGCGCAGTGCTGCTTTTAGGCACCAAAACGTTAAACCTGCGTAGGACACCCATGAGATATCGCGGAGATTTTGTCACCCATAGAGGATCTGATTCCTATGAACACTCCTCGTGACGAGACAGACACATGCCTTTTTGATTTGCGCGTCCCGCGATCCGCGATTTCTCAAGAGGCGCTAGGGAATTCGCAAGTATGCGACGACACGAAAGGCCAAAGATAAGAAGGGCAAAGTTGCCCAACGTTGCTCGTTGGTGTCGCTCGGCTGGCGCGGCCTACGTGCATAAAAAAACCAACTTGCAAGCGTTGTACTTGTAAAGCCACAGCAGCCTTGATATTCGAACAGCTGACACTAACTCCATCCAACGCCAGCCAGCATCTATTGCCTTTGCCGGGTATCTACTCACTCATGTCGGTGCCGCAACCTTTCGTGCCGATTTGCTCTCATTCCACCATTGACGTAACGTTGGATTTAGTACTTCCAAACATGTCACCTCTCGGCCGTCCTGCCCTGAGAGTTCATACATTTTCATCACCAGAAACTAGAATTCCCTACTTTTGGCTCGTGCCAGTACTTGTCCTTGACGCCGACGGCCTTGAGCTTGACGTGGTCTTGACTTTGCCATCCGAAGGCTGATGGGGCAGGTCCGGCCGTGATTCCGGAGAGGTCGCCAGACTCCACGTTTTATGGAGCATGCTGTAAGACGCCAGGTTAGACTTGACTTTTGGAGGCGATCTGCTAACGTAGCAGAGAGCGCGTACCTCTGTGACTTGTCCGTTAAGTCTTCGTCCTTCCTGTCCTTGACGCCTACTTTGACGCCGTCCTTCGTGTAGACAATGTTCTTCTTCTCGAGATGTCTCTTCCCCCTGTCGGCAAGCTGATTAGAGTAAACGTACATCTGTGACATGCCTCGTTAGCCATGTTCTGAGCTGACCCCCACTTGACTTGCGACTCTTACTTCATAGCCTATCCACGCGAACACCGCCAGAGAACCCAGGAATAGAATGACCGGAAGCAAAGAAAGCAAGCCCATCTTGCTTGCTTGCCAGGCGGTGCTCGTGTGAGCGATCGATTGCGGATCAAAGCTGGTCCTTGCTGTGAAAAAGGTTTGTGAACAAGGACAGCAGATACCTGGCCACGACGGGATCTGAGGCCGACCGTTTCAGGATGGCTGAAGAACGGGCAGAGGAAATGATCATCCCTCGTTCCGTAACACGCGTAATTTTGTACGTGCAAACGCAAACAATCACACGCAGATACAGCTGAAAGGGGGGTATGGAAGGATGTGCGTGCGCGGCGCAGACTTATCGGCAAAGCCGATCGAGCCTAAACCTGAATGTTGTGTCCTAATAACTTGTGCACTCTGAGGGGTCGCGATGGGGAGGCGTTCGCATACCTGCAAATGAAATCGCTGGGCTAAGGCAAAACAGCGCGTCGTCCCTCTATTTTCAGGCCGTGGGCGACGCTGGCTCGGCACACGTGCGTGTGGCCATCCACACATGGCCCCAAGTTTTACATCAGGAATGTTTCGCACGAGCTTGCAAGTGATCGCACACTTCCAGTTCAATCATTCTGTGGGTTCGCAAGTCACAGTCTGACTATGTATAGTGCGCCGCTCCTTGCACACGTAAGAAAGCAGGAATTTCCACGCAGTCAAAATGCCGGACTGCAAACGACCCCTTCCTCGCCTCGCGCGATTAGCTGGTCTTGTCTGGAACTCACTGCTCTGTAGTCCTTGACTCAAGACTAACTACAAAAGTTCTTGATGATGGAACCTACGCATACCGTCCACCATTCCCCACGAAGCTTGTGCCCATTGGAGAGAGTGCATGAACATACTCTGCGCCGCAAGGCCTCGGCGAAACGTTCGACCTCTTCAACTCCCCGTATTCCTCGTATGAGAACTGCGGCCCTGCCGTCATAGCTTGTCTCTGGGCCATGTTCAGCATCTGTTCCTCCGTCAAGCCCCAGGTCTTGCCAATGAGCAAGAACTTCGACAGCAACCATTGCCGCTGTTTTTCTGGCACGGTCGGGATCTTGTTCGTGACCCACAGAGGCCACGCTGCGTAGTACGCCCCTGTGGCTCTCAAAGCTGCATTCAGATTTAGACACCGCTAGTATGCAGAGCGTGCGGGTCAAACGTACCTAGCTGGTCCAAGATGCCGACTTTGTTGGCCTCGAATTCGCTGCTTAGCCCGAACAAGTACGGCACGGTGGCGCAGAAGTCGTCCACCATCTGCTGTGTTATCCTCACGGCAAGGTCGAGAATTCGCTGGATCTGCGCTGACCGCAGATGCGACGGTAGAGCTGCGACACAGCCAAGTATGACCGATTGACAGAATATTCGGCTGATTCTGTAGTCGTTCCACACGCTGGCCATGCTGAGATCAGCGTACACATACACAGGCCCTTTCCAAAACTGTGCCGTTGTAACATCTTCTGGTTCTTCGGGGACTGTCATCTTCACCCTCGGTTCCCACTGATCGCTTAGGGTCAACGCCCAGTGCTCAAGTGCACTGTCGACTTCTTTTGCTACCTGAATCAACTTCATCATCTCCTTAACCGTGTTTGCGTTTTTCTCTTTGGTCAAAAGGTTTTGTGCATAGTACTTGATATTAGGCAGATTGATACAGATGAGCGTCAGCCTGTTAGCAGCATTGATATCCATATCTTCATCGCAATGCCATCCCTTGGGGCTCGGAAAATCCTCTACCGTCCTTTGTTGCTGAATTGTGGACGTCAACTACGGCACGATTAGCTCTCAGTTATTCGTTGCTGTACATCCATTACTGACCATGTTCGACCGAACGGTCTGGAACAAATGTAGCGACACCGGATTCGACAACATCTGTTCCCCACGTAACTTAACTAGAGCCACTGCACCATTTATGTGTCGAGTCCAAAGCATCCTTGAAGTGTCCGTCGAAGTGATTGTCTCGTACATGGAAAAGAGCAAGATCGACATGAGGAGTTCGTCGCTCCTAGCCTGCGCCGGGTCTTGAAGAGCCTCTCCGGTGTCTCGCAAAGCCTTAGCATATAGCTTTCGAGCCTCCATCCTGATAAGAGGCGACCTTTTCCCGTTGCTCAGACAGGCTAACGCCATGGCATGCGTTGCTTGGTGCAGTATGGAATCGGCTCTTGCCTTCATGTACATTGGGCCAAGAACCTCTAAACAGCCTCGCACAGAGTCCTTTGAACGCGGCATCTGGACGAGATGGCGGAAGAAAAAAGTGATGGCGAAATTCATCCTCGTCCCAGGCGTGTCCATGCATCGTGGAGAGGACAGCACGTCGCGCGAAGATGGCTTTTGACTCCTGGCGGTCGCTGGAAGCACTGCCGGTGCGGATTCCGGGTGCGAAAAATTGAAAACCTTTGATTCCAGTGGGTTCTGCCATTCGAAGTTCAAAATGGTGGTTTGCGACTCGTTGTACCTTGCGAGAGTGCTGGAGGTCTTGTTCGTCCATTCAAGCCGGTCGGCCTTGGGACTGTTTCTCGTCGGTGAATCTTGCCACACTGTGGCTGCTTCCAATGGAGATGCTGAATCTCTTCTACACATGATGAGTCTTCTGAGAAAGTGCTGTTTCTGAATCCGTGCTAAATTACCTCGGTTTCTGGAATTCGCCCTTCGATGACGAAGTTGACGCCGCTCGCTGGGCTCGCTTCTTAACAGCGGCGGTTTCGTTGCGAAAAATCAAGTCGAATTCATCGGGATATCCAGGACATTCTCTCTTCGACTTGATACACTGGCCACAGCAAGGGCGGCCTTCGTCACACTGCCATTTCACTGTTAGCGAAGCAAGCTTCCAAGAACAGCAAACCCTGAGATACAGGTCGTAACTCGTTAGTGTGAACTGCAAGGCTCACTCACTTTGATCCTGCGCGTCTTGCAGTTCTGACAACCCCTACTTGGCTTGCCCTGATCTTGGTCAGCCGAAAGTTGACCGCAGGCCGAGTGGAATCTAGCCACTTACGCAGTACACCATATTCTTTACGCCGAAATGCTCGTTTGGATCTTATGGGGAACGCTTGGAACAAAGTGGAAGCAAAAGGGCAGCTTCATGTAAAGAAATGATCAGTTTCGGCAATGGTCGCGGCCCTTCAAGTTGCCTGTTGGACGTTAAAAGGTCATGTGCTGACAGATTGTAGTAAGGCGATCTGAAACGGGAAATGAAACTGCAGAAAGTTGACAAAAAATAAGCTGTTATCAACGAAAAGTTCTGGCTTTTGGTTTGGGCACCTAATTCCGTTGTACAATAGGTATCTCCTGCAAGAAAAGTATTGCAGCCCTTTTTCTAACCTCGTCACGGTTCATTTCCACATATAACGATATGCGAGTAGCCGACTATTTCAACAAGCAACCACTTTATGATAGGACCTATCCATCCAGGGCCAGACTACCTATGAGAATAGGCAGGAAACAACGCATTACACTTGTAGGACTTTGAGTCGGCTTGGAGTGAAGGAGAAGTCGGATCGCAACACTGCCTGTTTCAGGCTTAGACGGAGGTTTCACATCCAGTTCCATCAGCGGAGGACCTCCTTCTCCAAATGAATCACAACTACAGCACGACCGCATGCGCGATTGGAGGCCAAAACGTATGCATCTGGCTATGTGGTCTCTGCGCGAGGCGTTGCCTGTAATGATTGAGGGTGAGGATGATGGAGCTATGATCAGACTCTGTTGCAAAGTCAAAGCGTTCGGCATCGAAAGACGAGATGACTTGCCGCGGACGTCGAACCATCCCCAAGCGCGCCGACAATCATGCTTGGTTTGAGAATCCTAACGTTCTTCCCAAACCTAAAGTGCAAGCTATGCTTAGGATTTTCTCTATTTTCCGAGATTATTTTTCCCCGGGGGAATGGAGTATGACCTGCCCTGCTCCAACAAGTGAAATTCTATGTGAGATCGGCTTCTAGAAGTCTTGGCGCGAAAACCAGATCTTTGTCTAGCCCTGTTGCCAATCATTAGTTGTGCAAGGGGTTGAAAGGTTATAATATACCAAGGCGTGTGTTGTGTCTACATCTAACGGACGGTTACATGGCCCCTGGCACGAGCGCAGTTCCTAGCGTTTTCTCACCTAGAGACGGAAGGGCCGTCGAATCGTCGTGCTTTCGAGGTTTCAGCTCCTCCGATAGTTATCAGACGACTCTTTTCGTATACAGTCTTGCGTCTTAAGGGCGAATCAAGTGACATCATGGTAAGATACGATTTTGGTAGAGGAGCCACGATGTCGGTACAGAACGGTGGGCAAAGTCGGACGAGATTTTGGAGGCGTGACGATAGTGGCGCCGACCAAGATCAAAGCCGCAGTTTTCACCTTCACAAGCTGGTCATGATCAAGAGGAGTTGAAGGCCAAATACAATCAAAGGCCTCGTGCCTGTGTAATGCATCAAGTTCTTGCGCGTCTGACATGCCGCCCCTTTTTGCTCATTGTCAGAATTGCCAGCTTGATCCCCAAACCAGCCAAATTGTCGGACTTTAACGCGACCATAACGATTTGCAACAGGATTTCTCTTGCTCTACTTCCTCCCATCTCCCTAGGACGGTTGCAGAGTACTTATTTTTTGAATCAAGAGCTCAACTCTGAGTGAGCCTCGATTGGCATGGGCCACATGATCAACCTTGAAGCAGCATGCTTGATATCTCATCACTTTGATGGGCCCGCCTTTTTTTTGACAATGGTTTGCCGCATCAGACCCAGAAAGCTGAATGACCGTTTCCTCCATCCAAACACGTTATGTTGAAGCGCGAAAGACCATGACTAGTCTTTGAGAGTAGAATTGTCATTGCATACAGCAGATTGTACGTAAGCAAATAGTCTATGTAACAACCAAAGGCGGGGAGTTGGATATAGGACATTAGAAACGATCATCACGGACCTACTCGTACCCAAGCACAAGGAAATGAACTCGGTCCTCTTGTCTCCAACGAAGCCCCAGTCAAACATGCCACTTCGTCATTTCATCGCGACCGTAGCGTTATGAACCACCAGAAGTATCCTTGCTTGAACTAGCATCCTTGTTCCACCAACCACTGATGCTCTGAGTGATATTTTGTGGGACAGACCAACTACTCCTGTTCGCCTTCTTCTCATCCTCGGCTTCTTTTACCAAACGTAGTGGTCGCATCTTGTTACCTGTCATGACCCCGCCGGCGCCAGCTGATCTCTCGTCTCTGCTAGCCATGCTCCGGGGCGGACTTGGTGTGTCAACACTTGGCACCCCGTCAGTTGTGTTTGTGGCGCTGCTGTCTCTTTTCTTGCTTGGTGACTGAGCACTTCTCCTGGGCGAGCCGTCCGTACCATTGAGTGCGTCCAGAGCAGATTTGCGATTAGCAACCGCAAGGTCCTCGTCTGTGCTGTCGTCGACTCCTCCATCTTCCCTGATCGAGGTCACTGTCGTTGCATTACCACTTGGTTGTCTGAAGCCGAAGAATGAATTCCGTGGTGAGACAATGCTCGGGCTCGCAGGGTTTGGATCGTTCGTTGGCCCGCGGTACATGTTCCCAACCACGGTTGCAGGATTGTAATCTATCTGTGTACTGCGTCTTCTTGATGAGAAGTCCACGGTCACGCGCTTCGAGTTTGTTCGGTTGAGGGGGATAGATGGTGCTGTGCTTATGTCTTCAGTAACTCCTGGTTCCCTGGTCTGAATAACGGTCGACTGTGGCCTTGGCTTTGATTTATCGCTCCGGCCATACACGACAGAACTCGCACGCTGGAGCAAAGACGGACCAGTGTCCTTCGCAGGTGGCGGGGGCGGAAGGTCTTTATCCTTATTTGGAGGCGCAGGCTTCTGTGCACCCGCCGGCGGCTCATCATCTGTGTTCGACAAGATATTTTCGTAACCTCCCTGATGTTGCAAGATCCTGTCAATGATTTTATTGATATACAGGGTCAGAGCCTTGTTCTCATTCTTGAGTGTTGAGATCTCGTTCATTAGTTTTTTGACTTCAGCGTGTTCGGCCGTCGTTTCGCCGTCTTCAGAAGCGTTTGAAGCCAACTCATCCGCAAGCGAGGCAGGTTCGTGTGATTGCGATCGGTCTTCCGGAGCAGGACTGCTACGGAGCAGGTCGTTGCGCGAAAAATCTCCGTTGAGCGTTCTCTCACTCAGCAGCAATTGGTAGCTATCAATGTCTTCCATTAGCCTGGCATTGGTCATGCGCTGCTCGAGTACAGTTCGCTCTAGTTCGTGCACCCTCCTCGTCGCATCGCCCATATTCTCCATCTCAACCATCTTTATCTGGAGCTCGGCAAGCTCGAGTCTTAATGATTCAATCAATTGGTCCTTCTGCAATATCAGTTTGGAATTGTTGCGCGAGTTACTCCGCTGTAGCGACGATGGCGGTGCAAAGCCGGTCTCGAGTGTGGGCGACGAAGCTATGGAATTCGTCAGTTAAAGCGGTGATGAGGCCAGAACATTTTGCGCAATACCTGCTCGTGGCATTCTGCCATCATCTGTGCCGGATTTATTGTCCTTTTGCGACAACGACTCTTTCAACCTCTGAATGATGCTCTGCAATTCTTCTTCCCTTGCTTGTGTCGCTTCTCTCTCCTTCATCGCAGCTGCCCGCTCAGTTTCATATATTGTCTCTATCTCCCGCTTCTGTCGTAGGACTTCACGTCTCTCATTCTCCAAACCCTCTACTCTCTCCTCTTCCTCGTGTAGCCTGTCTTCCAGCTTTCCTTGTTCCTGGATTGCCTCATCTAACCTTGACTGCAGGACCTCGACCTGTTTCTTATAGTCCTCTGCAGCCTGTTCCGCCCTCTGCAGTTTATCTTTCAGATCATCAATTAGCGCAGAGGACTCCATGCGCGCATCTTCATCCGCCGAACCGACGGCTGACGTGCTGTTTTTAAGATCAGATGATCCTGCCGGTTTCTTCACCATAGCCCTTGCGGACACCGGCGTACCATTCGCTGTCCGAACAGATCTGGCTCTTGCGACACCGTTGCTTGGTGTGGATGGCGCAGCGCCAGTGCCGGTTCTCCTTGGTGCAGGACTAGGCGATGTAGGCGTGTTACCAGGTGAGTTGCGACCTGATGTGCCCGACGTAGGCGTCTTCTTCGGGGCCGTAGCCATCGGGATTCAAGTCTGGCAGGTCGCGAAAGATGGCAGTTGTTTGTTAATGGTTGCGAGATCTGGCGCGCAAACCAAGGTCCGATGAAGGTGTTACCACGCCGGATGCGGAAAAGCTAGAGACGAGAGTAGTGGAGTAGACGAGTCCACACGTGTTCGGTGGCTGTGCGATGCTGTACAGCTGCTCTTTGAAAAGCGCTTGACGCCTGGCTTTCAGTCGCTGGTTGCTGCCACAGGAAGGACTGGCTTGCAATTGTGTTGCCTGATCACACGGCGGCTTGTTGATGTTCCGCGTCACTTCATGAGATTGCACGTTCCAGGAGCATGGGCACAACGGAAGTTTCACGCGTTATTTGCTAGACGCCCAGGTTGGGATCGCCCTGCGACAGATTTACCTTTCCATCCCGCATCTCCTGCGTCTGGTCTGATATCCCTTCGGTATACGATGCCACGCTTACATTTCGCGCATATTTCCGCGCGACGTGTGCGAAACTGCAGACGGGCTACACACGTGGAACGCACGTGGTAGGGCATGCACAGATCGAAGAAACAAAAAGTCAAAGTCATCAACACGGGCTTTCTCATGGTAACATATGATGAGAGTGCGCGACGATTACATACCAAAAAAAATCTAATCATTGTCTGCCTCTACACGTTATCGATACTTCTCTCCTTTCTCGTACATAGCCTGGGCTTTTCCTTCGGATGCCCTAATATTTCTCGTCCCGGTACCCCGGATTCTGCCAACCCGCTGAGGTTCCCCGGAATTCAGAGCTCCTTGCCCCAGCGTCCCTCTCAGGACAAACTGCATTTCAAGCCCTCTTTTGGCCTAGTGATAGAGTGTCAAATATCGAAAAATTTGGCTCTCAATCTCCATTTTTCCTATTATGGCATAGTATGACCTCGGAGAGTTGCATCGGGAGCTCTGTCTCCGCTTCGCGGAGCCACTTCGTCAGTCGATAATGCCGAAGAGCCAGAGTATACAGTGCAATTGACAACTGAAATTGTGCTCACTTCTTTTTGCCATTGGCTTCTTTTTCGCCTTGGCGAGCTGAGTTTTATCGTCGACACGTTCTTGGACGCCTCGTGGCTGAGGAAAAGCCTGAAAATGTTTCCATCAATGTGCAGACATGTCTTGAGGCCTCGCGCCTCGCAATCAGTGCGCAATGCCTTTCGCACGAGCAGGGCGAGATCTCTTCACGCGCCAGCAGCATTTAATTGGAAGGATCCTCTCGGTGCAAGCAATATGTACACGGAAGACGAGTTGGCCATAGCGGAGACAGCAGAGGCATATTGCCAGGATAGGCTACTTCCCAGAGTGTTAGGTACGCCAACTTCTAGGGATACCAATTGTGGTTTATATTGATGATGTGTTCGCAGAGGCATACCGCCAGGAAGATTACGACAAGAAGATTCTTGAGGAGATGGGTGAGCTAGGTCTATTAGGCGCAACTATCAAAGGCTACGACTGTGCGGGCGTGTCATACGTTGCCAGTGGCTTAATAACCCGCGCTGTTGAGCGTGTGGACTCCGGTTACCGATCAGGCATGTCAGTACAATCATCGCTCGTGATGGGGGGAATTGACGAGTGGGGCACGCAAGAGCAGAAGGAACGCTTTCTACCTGGCCTTGCGAAAGGGAAGATAATAGGTTGCTTTGGGCTGACCGAGCCTAATCACGGGTCTGATCCTGGAAGCATGGAGACTATTGCAAGGAGGCATCCGAATCAAAAGGGAATGTATCTGCTCAGCGGTAGCAAGACATGGATCACAAATAGTCCTATCGCAGATGTTTTAATGGTATGGGCCAAATTGGAAGAGACGGGGAAGATTCGTGGATTTTTGGTTGAACGAAGCAAGTGCCCCCCGGGTACACTGGATACGCCAAAGATTAAAGACAAGAACGGGCTACGTGCAAGCATAACTGGGATGATCCAGATGGATAATGCGCCTGTGGCCGAGGAGAATATGTTCCCCAGTGTAGAAGGCCTCCGCGGTCCGTTCAACTGTCTTAACTCTGCCCGCTATGGGATTGCTTGGGGCGTGATTGGCGCGCTGGAGGACGCCATAGCCCGAGCAAGAGATTATGCTCTGGAACGGAAGCAGTTCAAGGGCAACCCTCTTGCAAAGTACCAGCTCGTTCAGAAGAAATTAGCCGATGCCTCAACGGATGCAGCCTACGGTATCGCGGCGGCGCTCCAGGTCGGGAGATTGATAGACCAGGGCAATGCAGCGCCAGAAATGATCAGCATGATCAAGAGGCAGAATTGCGATCGTGCTCTTGCCAATGCCCGCACTTTGCAGGAGATTTTTGGCGGAAACGCTGTCAGTGATGAGTACCACATTGGTCGGCACGTGGCGAATCTGTTTGTAACGCAAACATACGAAGGACAGAGTGATATTCATGGTGAGTAGAGTCGCTTATTATGGGCAGAAATAACACTAACTTGGCTCTAGCATTAATTCTGGGTAGGGCCATCACAGGCGTGCAAGCATTTGTGTAACGTAATAACAGAATATCTTGATTCTGTGAGGAAAAAAAAATCTTTCACCCAAGACTGGCGGCTTTCCATCCTGTGTAAGAGTAGAGTCAAAACTACATTCTGTAGGAGAATGATCAGTCCGGTCAGGCAAGCGCCGTCAATCCACTATTAACTTTGTTCGATATAGCTATCCAATTGCAATGCCCTATATTACACGCAAACAAAACTCGCTCAAAGACCTGGACAATACCAAAGCGTTTAATCTACGATGAATCTTCCTTCGCTAATACTCTTTGCAAGCTCGCCACACTCATCCATCGCCGCCCGCCACCTGATCGATCTTCTGCGTCGAGAACAAGATTATTGCCTACAGCAGAAAATCAACAAAACCACCACTTCACCACTTCGGAATGAGTTCATTACTTGGCAACTTATCCACGTCCAGCACTTTCTTAGTGCCTTCTACACCTACAATGGGGAGCTTCTTGCACCCCTTGCTCTTCAATGCCTGTGGTACGTTGTCCGCGCTAAGTGCACCAATCTGTTGCAGTACACTCGCTTGATCCCAGTACACATGCTCGTGTTCGAGCTTGCCACCGCGTACGGTCACTATGCTTACGATGGCGATAGATACCGTCTTGTTCGTAGGAGGTACACCCGGAAGGATCCATGGCATCTCTACAGTGTGCTTGAAGGAAACGACGAACTCATCGACGACCCTGTTTACCCCTACTGTTCGGGATACGAGCTGCACTCGCAGCGAAGGTGGATTTCCAGGTATGAAGAAGTCGTGGTAGAAGTGATATAGAGCGCGCTTGCCAATGCCGCCGGTCATAGTAGGCACGTGATTCACGTACGGCGAGTCTTGCACCATCATGCCGACCGTTCCGGCTGCGTCGCGGTGCTTCAACGATAGGGTCTTGAAAGTTTCGTTCGTGCGCTCCAGATGCTCCGAGATGTCCTTTTTGAAACCTCGCCGTACTGCGGCCAGACTTCTTGACCACGCAAGCGAGGCCGAAACCCTGTTGAATTCATCCAGGTCGTGCTCCGCGAAACCCGGCTCGACGCCGCTGTATAGATACACTGGGAAACTGGGAACAAAACCTTGCGAGTGGGTGAGATGGATTGTGAGGTTCAGCGAACTAGGGTACTTTGCTGTTGGATGAGGTATAGAAGTGGGATAGTAGCAGATGAGAGCGCAGCAATGCGGCATCGGTTTCGTGGCTACGTCGAGGCAAATTGTGGCAGCATCTCCGTACGCCACTAACGCATATGCCTCACCAAGCTCTGGGAGACCAGTTCAGAGAGTGCCGGATGTTGTGTCAATCATGAAGCTCACCTAAATCATCAGCCAGTCGTTTGAGCTCTTGAACATATGGCTTTCCGCCGCCATTCATTGGCAGATAAGTCACATCGAACCCTTCGTCTTTCCAGTGTTGAATTGTTGTCTCATCGAATTCTTCATCCTCGCTCGTGATCCATAGTCGCGGAGGCAGGCTGTTGAAGGACAAGAAGCCAGTGCCGCTTTGCGTTGGATTGAGCCCGTTCACGCTGCCCATAGCGATTGATACCGTATTTCAGCGAATTTTGCTTGTATGAATGATGCGAGAAACGGCTCTAGCACGATCGCGAGAGGCCTCACATACAAGTTTTGGGCATGAGGTTGGTTTAATGTACAATGACGTATGGCCAGTCGCGTGGTCCTCGCGTGGGATTTGTGGGGCGTCATCCGTCCATGGCTTTTTGCGATCCTGCGACTGCGATTTACGAAGGAAAGGATAGGATTTTCGTTGACCCCAAAAAAGCGTGATTTGATATTTTCACTTAGCTCCTGGTTTGCAATAGGTATAGGTATAGGTAATTCGTTTCATGAAGCGGCTGATTATCTGAGGGTGTGAATGTTGCGAAGTGCCCCACCAATCCCCATGAAAATAATTAGCCGAGCTCGCCTCCACGACTTGACGTTTTGCTCATCAGTAACACCAGTTCTGTGATTTTGCTGAAAGCATAGAACTAGAACCTCCTGAGTAACAATCTGGTATTCTTCACAGATATAGCAAACATAGGTCGCAAACAGAGAGACTTCCGCCCGTCAGCAGGCTACAACTCCCCTCCGTCGAAGGGGAGCAAACGAGGCAAAAGATCACAAAGAGACAGCCCCAAGCCTCTAACGCGGCGACAGCGCAACCGGCTACTCAACGGCAAAATGGGTCAAGAGGAGTCCACATTAGTTGATGACTCCATCGAGCCTATCACGCTCAAAGCTCGCGATCTCTCCTCGGTGGCATCCTACATTTTGTCTCCAAGATGCAAAAATATAGTCGTCCTGACAGGAGCTGGCATATCAACATCTGCAGGAATACCAGACTTTCGGTCTCCAGAGACCGGACTTTATGCGAACTTGGCCCGGTTGAACCTCCCTTACGCGGAGGCTGTCTTCTCCATTGATTATTTCAGGGAGAAACCAGAGCCGTTCTATATGCTCGCACACGAACTGTATCCGGGAAAGTACAGACCTACTATTACCCATTCATTCATCTATTTGCTACACAAGAAGGGGCTACTGCTCAAGCATTTCACACAAAACATCGACTGCCTTGACCGCGAGGCTGGACTACCTGGAGACATGGTCGTTGAGGCGCACGGCTCATTTGCGACGCAGAGATGCATAGACTGCAAGACAAAATATCCAGACAAAGAGATGAGAGAGCATGTTGCGAAAAAGGAGATTCCACGTTGTGTGAGAAAGGAGTGCAACGGCCTGGTAAAGCCGGATATTGTTTTCTTTGGCGAAGCTCTGCCCACAGAGTTCTTCATGAATCGAGGGCTAGTCACGCAGGCGGATTTGGTCATCGTTTTAGGCACCAGCTTGACTGTGCAGCCTTTTGCAAGCTTACCGACTTTGGCCGACGAAGGCAAGCCACGACTCTTGATCAACCTTGAACAAGTTGGCGGGCTAGGAAGTAGGCCAGACGACGTTCTACTTTTAGGGGACTGCGACGAGGGAGTAAGGAAACTTGCAGACGCACTTGGTTGGCTGGGTGAGCTTGAAGAGCTGTGGGCGGAGACGGGTAAGAGATTTGGTATAGAAGCTGCTCCAGCGCAAAGTATACAGACCGCCTCCGAGCGCACACAGGATGAGAGGCTTAAAGACGAAGTCGATCGACTTACCCGAGAGGTTGACGAGGTGTTGAAGCTGAATAGAGCTCACGAAGAAAAAGTGCGGGACGAAACCGAGTCCAAAGTGGAAAAAGAAGACACTGGTAGCTCTGAAGCTGCTATACCAGCAACTTCGAGTGCTTCGTCTTCAGACACTAAAGACTTGTCCGAGGAGACAAATGTGGAAAACGCTGAGGCCGTGGCCGACGTCTCTCCACGTGTGGAGAAGAAATCTTCGCTGTGACTGCTTTTAGATGCCACATAAAAGGTAACTGCGTTGTCCTTGCCACTTTATATATACCAGTAGATTTGGATTGTCACGCTAGGTTTCCATTGCAGGGAAGTAAATATATGGGGGGCCATTGTATCCGGTGCCATGGACTTGCTTCGACACGGTGTTTGCCCAGCTCATGTCGTGCAAATTCTAGTCTTTAGCCAAGCTGTAGGCAACGCGAGTCGACTTGTAAGCAGAGACTTAGATAACTCCAACCCTTAGTTTGGCTAGACCTACAAAGATTGTGACCGCCATTTTTTGGACTTGAAATGAAATCGTAATGGCCGTGAGGAGGTTTCGTTCTCAGAGAGAGTGCATTAAGATCAGCCGACAATCGGCAGAGCATGGGTTTCTGTCCACTGTCACCAAACATCAAATTTCGAGCATTTTGGTAAGGAACGTGCTACTTGACAATTCAATGGCGTTGCCGCTTGCTTCTAGGAGTAACAGGAGCAACACTTCAGGCGAAGCGAACTCGAGGAGTCAACAAGCTCAAGCTGGATCTGAAGATCTCTCTCTCACATACGCACGTCCATCATATACGAACAAGAGAGACCGCGTAGGCATTCTTCGTCATAGGAACAGACAGACCATGTTGCTGATCTTCGCTTTCAGAGTCAACCTATTCGAGATGCGTTCGGAGCAGTGCATGTTCCGCCTCCGAAGCACCAGATCACGGTCGTGCGCCACATGCCTCGGACGTTAGCGTGAGGTCATCAATAGCAATAGTCACCAGACGCAGCATGGATCCCTCATTATGGCTGACATTGTCCGAGACTTCTATCCCTTCGAACTGGGTATTTCTAGAGTGAGCAGATCTTCTTTTTGGTTCGCAAGCTCTCTTCTGAGTCAGCCTTGCAAGTTTGGTCGTATTCGGCTACTCTTGACACAAGATTCCGAGCGTATCGCCATACCCAATCGCCATGACTGAGGGCGTTGCCACCTACCCGTCCTGCTTCCGCGTCAATTGACTTTCGGAGCTGCGCGGATATATAATGCAACATTCTAGGGATTTTTCCCTTTGACGCGAGAGTATATATTACCGAATACTCTAGTGAGGCGCCGCCACGAAGCTCAAACCCTTGTCCATAAATGGCATCGTCCGAGCATGCTCGACCAAATTCTCCTCCTCCGCCCACCTCCGAGAAATCGCTTGATACGGAAAGATTTGTAGTCAGAAGACGCGACAGGAGAGCATCAGATGCTGATGCCGGCTCGACAGAGCTCGGAAGCGCGGACCTTAGCGCAGATGAGTGGACTCCTCATAACTCGTCGCCCTCTGCCGCCTCTGATGAAGAAGATGACGATGACATAAAAACCGACTCGAAGAAAATGGTCGACGGAAGTATAGGTGATGGCCTTCATATTACCACGAATGGACATGCCAGTGGCAGCTCAGGCATGCCCCGTGCGGACTCGTCAGAGAAAGCCTACGAAAAGATGAAACCGACGAGTCCAACGAGCGAAACGTCGCCTGGCGATAGGAGGAGAAGGAGCATACAAGTTACGTTGGAAAAGACGAATAAGAAGGGCAAATATATTCTTACGGCTAATGATCCTGAGTACCGGGAGATCATGCGTAGCCTCGTTGAGCGCGATCTGGAATCGAAACAAAAGCGCCCACGTTTCCGAGATCTCGTGTTCACTCGCCGTTTCACAACTTTCGATCGTCAAAACCCCACTAACGCAGATTCTCCTTTCTTCGGCTTCTTCACGCTGTTTTGGATATGCATTGGCTGTCTACTTGTACGCGTGGCAGCTCAAAATTGGCGACAGTACGGACATGTCCTGGGACAAGCAGAGATATTGCATCTGATGTTTGAGCGGGACGTCATTGTCCTGGGTCTGACAGATGGTGCTATGACTGCAGCCACGTTGTTCGGAGTTGGCCTGCAAAAGTTGATCGCCCGTGGCTATTTAAGCTGGAATAGGTTTGGATGGATCATTCAGAACATTTGGCAGACCTTTTTCCTCTTCTCTGTGCTCTGGTGGACGTGGTATCGCGATTGGCCATGGACTCACACGATCTTTACTGTGCTTCACAGCCTCGTCTTTCTGATGAAGCAGCATAGCTATGCATTCTACAACGGGTACCTGTCACAGGTATACAGAAGACGGCGCATACTGCAAGAAAAACTTCGTCAGCTCGAGGACATCGAGCCAGTTGCTAGCCCTACAACTACGCAGAAAGGCTTTAGTAGCGCCGTTGGGGATGATACTTCCGAACGCCCCCTGTTGTCTAGTACCCGTCATCGACGTAGATCATCGATTCAGACCCCGAAATCGTCTACGAATCTAAGTAAAGAGACATCTGAAGTCGCCAAGATTGCGCAGGCGATCGATTCGGGCCAACCGCTGGATGAAGAGCAGGTCGAAGCATTTTCCCACGTTATGCGGTCTGAGATAGATTCCCTCACGGAGGAACTGAATGGAAAGGCGACCTCGATTGAGCGTGCCTACCCTAATAATCTTACCATTGCCAATTGGTGGGATTGGACCTGTCTTCCAACCCTTGTCTACGAGCTCGAATATCCTCGTCAGGAAACGCGAAACTGGCTCTACATCGCCGAAAAGTCGGTGGCGACGTTAAGCTGCATCTGGATCATGATCATTGTGAGCCAACAGTACATCTATCCGTCGGTCATGGAGACTGTGCGAATGAAAGAGAGCGGAATGAGCCTTGAGGAGCGCTGGAAGGAATTTCCTTGGATCGTCGGCGACATGCTCTTCCCACTTCTCCTTGAGCAACTGCTTACATGGTACGTGATATGGGAATGTCTTCTGAATGTCCTCGCTGAGGTCACCCGCTTCGCTGACCGCGGATTCTACGGCGATTGGTGGAACTCGGTCTCATTCGATCAGTACGCGCGAGATTGGAACAGACCTGTACACAACTTCCTGCTCAGGCATGTATACCATTCGTCGATTTCTGCATTCAAACTGTCAAAGGGCGCCGCGACTTTCGCAACATTCTTACTGTCGGCACTGGTTCATGAGCTCGTCATGTTCTGTTTGTTCAAGAAGATTCGAGGATATCTCTTCTTTATGCAACTGAGCCAGATCCCCTTGGCCATGCTTTCTCGGACAAGGATGCTGAAGGGACGGAAGATCTTGGGCAATGCCATCTTTTGGATTGGGTTGTTCTTGGGTCCAAGCATAATATCGAGCTTGTATCTGATCGTGTAGGCTGTGATGCACTGTAGATAGCGTCGTTAACATTAACTGAAGTTGCTTGCTGAAGCCATACCGTTCCAAATTCCTCTGTGCTTGACTTGCTATGCTAGACTTGTGGTCGACCGATTTAGGACTGTTCAAGTCTGAAAGACGTACCAGGGCGTACTCCGGTGACACCTTTAGCTGTGAAGCCCATAACCTGTGAGGTTCGACGAACGTCTACGGGTGCTCTTGGTTCCTACAAGATCAATGCAGCTAGAAGACGACTCGACAGTACTTGATGCTAGATGCTATTCACATGGGATGGATGGATAACATGAATGCACGCATCGCAAATCTACAAATGCCGCGTCGCTTACGCGGCAGAGCAACGACGTGAGGCGGAACAATTCATCAAAGCCGCTGTGAGCGCTATTATATGGCAAGTGCCAATTTTGCTTCAATCATTTTCAACCTCACCTCGTATCCTGCAGCGTCACGACGCACGAACACCTCGGCAGCCAATGATGAGAATGTTGTCAGGTGGTGATGAGCTGTCGCTCGATCTTGGCTTGCGTAATGTTGAGTCTCGGCCAATCAACTGTCCTAGTGGAGACAAAATCACGTGACAATTCTTCAGTTGTTTACCTGTAAACAAGCTGGCAACCGCCCAACTAGATCAAGACCAACACAACCACAACCCCAGTCGCTTCTTTTAAGATACCCGAGAAATATACCTCCGCGAACAGATTTTCTTTCGTCCTTCAGTACGGGGTTGTTTTATTTTCTTCCTGCTTCCACGCGACTGCACGACACAAGACGTTAAATGATGCTCATCGTCTAGCCTCGAACTGTACTGCCATACAATACATTTTCTCTCACACACAACCGCATCGAGATAATCAGTTGATATGTCGGCTGATAGAGCGCGGTCCGTAGACCGTGAAGGCCGCCTCGTGAGACATCAACAGTCTCTCGACTCTGGCCGTATTCATGTTCCAATGTAAGCAAGCTGTTTATTAGCCTTTGTCGTTGAGTCCGAGAACAGATTCCTACTTGCAGTATATTGCATCTACGATTTAGACACGGGCTGACTTTTCTCCTACAGGTGGGACAGTTCTGATCCCGATCGTGCACCACCTCCACTACCATTGAATCCAAATCCTGCAGCTCCGGCTACTAGACCAAATGCCTCCGCACATATACAGGCAGCTGCCGAGGCACTGTCAGCTAAAGCGCGCGAAAGTCTCACACCAAGTCCGTATATGTCGAATCCGATGCCAGAACGCTCAAACGAACGATCTCCGGATCGATCTCTTATCAAAGGTGCCGCCCATCGACGACTGCAATCTTTGCAGACACCGAGCGTGAAAGACCTCAGAAGCTACCTAGACGGCAATCGATCTCCCGAACGATCGCCTGAGCGACCGCGTGCTGGCACCATCGCACCAACGCCGAAGAAAGAACTTGATGGCGATTTGTTCTCTTCACCGAACCGAGCGGGAACTCCTACCCCAACTTCGCGCGAGAGCAAGGACATTCCAGAGCGGCGAGCGTCATCTAGACCACCACCAAAAGCTATATTGGGGGAAAACACACCGCCATCTGCAACGATGCTGGCGCTGCAAACGTATCCTGCCAGAGACTTTTCAGAGAATAACCAACCCAATACTAACAATGGCAGCTCTCCGCGGAAGATGCTCGACGGGGATTTTGGTTTACTTTCCACCCAAATAACGTCTCTCACCAGTATTTGTACAAAAATGCAAGCCGAAATGGACAAGTTATCACGCCGTAGCAAGGACAATGCCACAGATCTGATCTCGTTAAAGGAGGCAACGAACGCCCGAGACGAGGATATTCGGAAGTCTCTACGTGAGCTCACAAACACGCTAAACAGCACAAACTTTTCCGCATCAACTTCTTCAAACATATTTGGACAATCTGTTCGAGGGTCAAGTAGCACTTTCGGCTCCTCGACTCCACCGCCCTCGAATAAGTTTACACTGCCAAGGATTCCAAGCCCAAATTCACTGTTCGACGATCGCGTTGGCTCGCCAACTCCTAACCTATATACTGTTGATGGCGTCGCCAGTGTTGCCATGCTCGAGAAGATCATTAGAGAAATGGTTACCAAGGAGAACCAAGAGAACCTTCTTTCCACTCTATCTCAGCTCTTCGATTCGGCATCTAAGGACTCGGCAGAAAATTCAAAGAAGTTGGAAGAGATGTTCAAGGAGATGAAGGCTATTGCCGCGGCAGCAAAGGGTGAAACTAGTCGTGCTCTTGTGCCAGCCAGTCTCAACGGCATAGCAGACTCAGCTGATAACTCAGCATCAACAGCCGGTCCGTTGGCCAGAACTACACGTGATGTTCAGACCGTGCCATCTCCTGGTGGCAACGGTGAACAAAAACCATATACGAGTCCAAAGGCTGCAGATTTTGTGTCAGACGAGATGATCAAATTGCTGAAAAAGATCAAAGAGTCCGTCACGCAGTCCGGAGGTCTACTTGGCGAAGTTAAAGCTCAACAGCGGGATCTTCGAGGCGAAGTATTGCACATGGGTCGCGAAATTGCGCGCAAGATCGACGAATCTCGGAAGCCTGCGACAGGTGCTAAAGCCATCGAGGACGGATCCGGGAAGCAAGACATAGCCCGAATCGTCCAGGAAGGACTTGCGGATCTCAAGGTATATCTCGATGAAGCTATGCGTGAAAAGAGACGGCAGAGCTCTGGCACTACTATCTCCAAATCAAGCGTCAACAGCCAAGAGGTCTATGACATAGTTCGACATACGATGTCCCAGCACGGATTAGATCGCATGACGTCGGAATCAGAGTCGACAGCAACTGCTCTGGCACCTGGTTTGGATAAGGATGCAATTCTAAACGCTATCAAAGAGGCGTATGAGGAGTACAAACCGGATGTCCAGATCGAACAGTATGGCCTTGAGCGGCATGAGATCCTTGAGTGCCTCAGAGAAGGCCTCGAGCAACATCAGTCCCCTGAAGGGAGCCAATCTCTTAGCCGTGCCGAGATTATGGAAGCCATTCAGGATGCAATGAAGAACTTTCAACCCCCTCCCCCGATCAACGAAGCGAGTGAACTTCGCGACGAGATCCTGAACGCAGTTCGCGAATGTTTAGATGAGTTCAAGCCAAGCCTAGCGGTCGCTAAGCCTGCCTCCGTGAATTCTCAAGATCAAGATAGACTTCTGGACATGATGCGGCAAGTAGTGCTAGATGCAGTTAAGGCCGGGTTATTGCAGTCAGGCGGCGTAGGCGGATCGAGAGAGCTAGAAATTAGCCAAGAAGACTTGTATGCTGCAGTATCTAATGCGTTGAACTCGTCAGGCTCGCCCTTCGGCCGCTATGGAGAGCAAGTTGTGGCTCAGCTACAGGAGGTGGTTCAAAATATGCATGCCGAGTTCAAGGAGTACTCTACAGCCAATGGGCGCGATACTGAGCAGGTATTGGATGCCATGAAAGACGGCCTTGAGTCCCTACGTGGAGAAATCGAGCTCTATGTTGACCGAGCGCAAGATGTAACCCAGAAGGACGACATCATCGAAGCAATACGGGATGGACTCGATCGTCTTGGTCGTGATGTACAGGCTTGGTGCGCAGCAGGCCCTACGGGTGACAATTCGATCTCGAGGACCGAGATGCTAGAATACATCAAGTCTGAATTCGAACTGCTGCACCAAGAAATTAGCGATCGAGAACGAACATCGGTTATACCCTCACCGGGTGATAATGCAGCTGTTCTTGGCGCTATTCACGACGGCTTCGAGATGCTTAAGGAGAATCTACGCTCCGTTGAGTTCAGTGAGCTCTCCAGAGGCCAAGTAGATGAAGAAATGCGGAATGAATTGGAGCAACTGCGCGACACGATCCTTGGCGGCTCTTCTATTCATAAAGATGAGATTATCGACACCATCCGAGCACACTTCGATACTATGCATGGCAAAATTGACGGCGGTGCATTCAGTGGCACCAGCGAAGAGATGCTTCGCGAACTGAAAGAAGAACTCGAACACTTGAGAGAAACGATTGCAACTTCACTAGCTCGACCAACGTGTGACCTCGACAATGGTGCCATCCGCGAGATGCTACAGGAAATGCGCGAACAAGTGGTCTCAGAAAATGGCGCAGCTTCGCGAGAAATGCTTAGCACTATGCAGAGCGAAATAGAGCAGTTGCGTGAGACGCTGTCTGGTGCTCTTGTGGCAGAAGGCTCGAATGTAAACAAGGACGAGATCATGGAAGCACTTCGTACTACCATGAGTAGCGTTCAAAATCTCGCTGACCGGCAACCTTCTCAGATCGACGAGGAGCTCCTTGGCGCTATTAGAGGGGAATTCGAGATTCTCCGCTCGAACGTCGCTAATGGTTTCTCTCGTGGCTTGCAAACTGCAGACCGTGAAGACATTCTTGAGGCTATGCGGCTTGGCTTTGATGATTTACGATCAGATCTGATTAAGAAGATTGAAAACCCCGAGCAGCATATGAAAGCGACAGGTGAACTTCTTGACGCATTGAATGAAGGACTAGAAGGGTTGAAGAGTGAAGTCCGCGGCGGGTCTAACGCCGAAGATAAACCAATCGATATGACCGTGTCCTACGAGATTCTCGACACTTTGAAGGACGGAATCGCAAGCTTGCGTGCAGACATGGCTAAATTGAAGCTACAAAATCTGGACGAAGAAGAAAGCGACGAGCCGCCAGAGTCATCTGACAACGCCATAGTTCTCGCAGAGAGCGATGTTGGTGCTCCTGTATCTCGCGAAGTCAGCAGCCCAGCAAAATCGCGCAAGCGTAAGGATCTGGAGAAACTTGAGGTAATGCTTGCCCAACTTCAAGTCAAGGTCGATGCCATGGACGCCAACATTACGGAATCCACGTTCCAGCCTCCGGCCACGGCGCCCGCAGAAGGCACTGCCATGAAGACAGATCTCGAAAGTATTGAAAATCTCATCAAGGAGTTACAGGCTACCGTTGATGTTCTTGCTGCGCGTGAAGATGTTGATATTTCTGGTTTACCCAAGAAAGAGGATGTAGAGGCAATCGAAACTCTTCTCTCGAACACAAAGGCCAAGCTTGACGACATCCAGATGCCTGATCTTTCCGCCACTGCCAGCAAAGAGCAACTGGAAGCTGTTGAAACTTTGATAAAGAGTACTCGTGAGGCCATCGACGAGCTCAATGTCCGCGTCGAAGATAATATCGCGAAGAAGGAACAGGTTGCAACAGTGGAAAGTCTTATCCAGGACCTTAAATCCGCTATTGACGACATGAAGCTCTCCAAATCAGAAGATAATGGAGATAACAAGATCGAAAAGTCCGACATTGATGCAATTGGTTTGATTGCTCTGGATATCAAGGAAAAACTCGGCTCCATGAAGGAAATGGACGACCTTCCTTCAAAGGCAGATATTGAATCACTCACTGCACTTGTCCACGATTTCCGAGACAGCCATGAGAAGCTCAAGGAAACTTACGAAAGCGACGTTGCCCTCACTGCCAAGGCCTTTGATGATCGCAGAAATGAGAACGAAGATATCATAACTGCGATAGGTGTTGTCAAGTCCTTCTTATCCGATGTTAAGGAGGAACTCAAATCTAAGCTCGATGTTTCCGCTCTTGAAACTACGACGTTGGCAGATAACTTTAAAATCATGGAGAAGACGATAGAAAACAACTTTAATGTTATGGGCGACGTTAAAGAGCTGATGGAGATTGTCAATCGCGAATTTGAGCGTATTCATGGTACCTTTGACGACGTAAAGGTTCAGCAGGAGCAGAAATCCACTGAGGAGAAAGAAAAACACGACGCAACCAAGGAGGCTGTTATTTCCGAAGTTTCTGCCAAATTGGACGAGAAGTTTGACGCCATTATGTCCAAATATGATGATGCACAGCATGCAGCTGAGGCACAGGTAAAGAGCATGGAGGAGCGCGCTGCGGAACAACAGGTCCTTCTGCAGACAACAAAAGAGGTTTCTGAGGAGCTAAAACTCAGCGTTGACACATTGGGTACTACTCTCACTGCTATTGATGCTCACTTCTCAGAAATTGGGGATAAGGTCTCTTCAGACTCGCAGACCGTATTCACTAAGCTCGAGACTGTTACTGAGGGCTTTCAGAATCTGGAAACTCGAACCGCTGCAAAAGAGGACCACGAACTTACCCGTGCCGAAGTTGCTAAAGCATTAGACGCAATCGGAGGTATGGCTGAGCAGAACACCGAGTTCCAACCTAAGATCCTTGTGTCCGTACAGGAGCTACATGCTCTTGTGGAAAAGCATTACGAACTCTCGCAAAAGGCTCAAGAAGCAGCACAACAGCAAGCAGAGACTGCTAACGAACAGTCTAAGTCCCTCGCCGAAGAAATAAAAACTTCATTTTCAAGTCTACCTGCACTTCTGCCTCCGCCACAACCAGCCATTGAGGCTGCATCAAATGATGTATATGACGATGCTCAGGTTCAGGAGAAGCTCAATCAGGTGCTTGAAAGCCTTAACACTGCCAAGGACTCTTGGGGGCAGCTTGAACGTCTTGATCAGATCCACCAACAAGTCATGGCTACAGCTGCTGAGGTCTCTGCTTTTGTCTCAACCCAGACTCGTCTCATTGACGAAGGCCATGAAAGCAAACAAAAGGAGGCGGAAGAAATGGCACTATTACTCGAGCGCCGTACTGCTGAAAAGGAACATCTCGAAAGCACAATCGAAGATCTAAAGGACGAGAAAGAGAGCCTCCTTGCTCTAATTGAGTCTCTGCAATCCGAGCGCGACTCTTTGGCCATCCAGAAGTCTCGTTTGGCCGCAGATGTTGCAGCCATGCAGACCGCACTATCCATTCGTCAGGAGGAGTTGGATGCAATGGATGCCAAGGCTGAAGCACTTGAACGAAGGGTCCTTGAAGGCATCATGAATCAGTCCAGGTTGTTAATGATGGCTAAGGGTACGAGCAAGCCTGGTACAGGTGAAGCCCGAATTGCAAGCAATGCATCGCACAGCACGATCGGACAGCTTTCTTCTCTTAGCGCCGCTGGAAAGGGACTCAGTATGGCCCTTCAAAAGCGCCCTGTTGCAGGTCGTCGCAATGCAGCTTCGAACAATCCAACAGCTCGTCGAGTCATGTCATTGAACCCAATCTCGCATAATACCCCGACTGGCGCTCAGGGGTATTTGGCTGCTACCCGCAACGTAGAAAACAGTGTTTTGAAGCGCAGTCAAAGCGTAAGGACCAATAAATATCGCAAAGTGTCGTGGAACTCAGCTCCCGACAAGCAGCACACCTCGTCCATACATGAGATGGCTGAAGATAAAGAGAACAATGTTATCAGTGAAGCCAACAGTGAGGACGAGCAGCTTGACGATAACGATGACAGCGACACTGTAAGCGACTCTGGAACGGAACGTCGTTCGAGCCATATTGCCGAGACTGAAGGGCAGCCTACTTCTTCGTATGCAGGTAGCGTATCCGAAGATTCAGAGAGACCGACTAGTAGAGGTACAATGACAGGAACTGAGTTTAGCGGCAGTTACGTGACTGAGTCGGAGGTTTCCAATCGCCGAACATCATACGCTAGCACTCTCCGTTCTACGTTAGGAGCCGATACCGTGATTGACGAGGAAGACGAGGAGTCAGACAGCGAGCGTGAGCATGATTTAGATGAGGATAGGGTCAGTGCTTCTGAAGAGAGCGAGGCGGAGATGGAACATGAGCATAGCGATCATGTTACAAGGAAGGAAATGGTTGTATATGCCGCACCGAGCGATAGTGGATTAGGGACTGACTTGCCCACGGCTATGATGAGTGGTAGTGAGACTGATTATTTCCGTAGAAAGGCCGAGGAGGATTAATAGTTGTGGTGAGCGTTGATGTTTCTCACGTTTGATGAGGCGTTCGTTGGAAAATAAGGTTCTGCGAGGTTTTGGAGGCTTTGGGGTGTATTCTTTTCAAAGGTTGCAATTCTATCAAATCACATCAGCTGCATATCTGCTAATCCAATCGTCGATACAAACAATACTTTGCACTTCGATTGATCTCCTTGGTTGTCACATAAATTTTTGTGCCTTAAAGAAAAATCAAGCCCAAGAAACAGATACATGGCTTGAACAATGATTCTCATGGAGTACGAGGATCGCGGGAACTTGGGGTTTGATATACGGACACAAAGCCACCAAAAAAAAACATCATTTAACAAGTCCAAAGTAAGTCTTGCCTACCTTCGGCCATATGTCTATTGAGTATCAGTAGAGAAAATATGCACTGTCTAAATGCACCATGTAGAAGCCTTTTTCGCCTTCCATATGTGAAGTTGCAAATGGCCCAAGAAATAAAGAGTAAGATTTACTACGGTTTTTCCTCTTCCTTTTACCCAACTTAGCTTCTCTAAGTCAAGCTGTCTTTTGTCGCCAAAAAGGAAAGTTGTTTTGATCAGTGACATGTTTCCTATCCATGTCATGTAGTTGCCTAATCCGCTCGATTACATGAAGCTTCCACACACCGGCCAAACGATCCGGTACACTAGTTTTAAGATGTCTCATGTCGTAGGGGAGAGCTGAAGCAGAAACTCGAATGGAATGTTAGAGATTGCGAAGTTGCTTGCCCTAGCCTAGGATTTAATGTGTAAAAGAGAAGCTCACTCGACTAACCGTCGCGGGAGTAGCTATATTATTCAACCGACAACATGATCCAGGCTTAGACTTGACGCTGTCACCACAGCACAGTCCACTCTTTGTTGGAATTCCGTTCCATGTTGTTAAAAAAAATCACTCTACATACAAATTGGAACCAAAGTGCTCAAAAGAGCTTTCATAACCACTAAACGAGAAAATAGATTGGATTGTGAGCCAATGAATGAAATGCAGAAGATTATTCCTCGTATACTGACCAGCAGGAAAAAAGTGGATAAGACCAAACTTGCAGACATTCGGCTGTTATAATGAAAAGATTGTAGAGGATATTTTGTATGAAATAAATCTTAAATGTAGTTGAGAAGTATCATTAGGCTCTCCTATTATCTAGAACTCAGTTGATACTATATCCACCGTCGACTACCAGCGTATGCCCCTGAATAAAACTTGCTTGTCCCGAACACAGGAACAAAACCGCAGCTGCGATCTCTTCTGGCCTGCCCATTCTGTTCATTGGTGCGATAGGCACGGATTCGGCTACACGCTGGCGGATCTCTTCTGTGCGTGTTGTCATTGGGGTTTCGATGATTCCGGGACACACGCAGTTGATCCGAATGTTATCTTTGGAATAATCAATGGCATCTGATCGTGTCATGTTTATAACTGCTGCTTTGGATGCGCAATAGGGAGCTATTGCCTCTATTAGCATGTATCTATATCGCACAAGATTCGTTTAAGTGCACATTGGCTCAAACATCTGTATGAGCTTTAAACATCTGCGATTTACAACAAAGACGAAAGAGTGTAAATCATCTAATGGTGAGAGTCGTACCAGCATTTGGCCTAGCTATCAGGCCGAGTTGACTTGCAATATTTACTATTGCCCCCCTTTGTTCCACATGTTCAGGCAGTGGATCCTGAGTTAACATCTGAGATATCCATGCTCTTTCCGAGAGCCAACATCCCCTATAATTTACGTTGTTGATGTGGTCAAACAGTTCAAGAGAGGTTTCATGGGAGCGTAAAGAAGGCGCATTAACGCCTGCACAATTAACTGCGTAGTCAATACGACCAAACGCCTTTACAGCCTCTTCGGCCAATTTCTTCACAAATACTTCATCCGCAATATTCCCTACCACAGCGAGGATCTCTGCCGAGGGCCTGGCAGCTTGCAGTGTCTTTCGCGTATAAGCCAAACTGTCCTCATTCAGATCGGAAATGACGATCTTATTGCAATTGCTATCAACGAATGCCTTGGCCACAGCACTGCCAATGCCTTTCGTATACATTAGCAATGATAATAACCTCTTTCTAGTACATACCTGTCCCCCCTGCTCCTGTGACCAGTGCCACACCTGGAAATTTGTACGACATTGCGCTGCCGAGCTTGTTATGATGGAAACCTGTAAATCAGAAGAAAAAAAGGCACGGTGACTGAATCGCTTAAAAAGAAACTAGAAGAGGCCATCCGCTTGATTCAGGTGGCCCAAGATATTATGGCTAATCATCAGTCGGATGCAGCTAGCCGCTGCTTAAAAGCGACCAAACTGGACTATAATCAAATAGTTTTGCGATCCCAATCCCCAGGCTCTTTTTTTTTTTAAAAAAAAAAAAACAAAGATGAAAAAAAAACCTGTTTCCTTTTTCATTTTCATTTCTAAACCCTTAGGTTATTTCTTGTTCCTTCCTCCATACAATCTACAACGTAATGACGGACGGCAGTGTCCAACAAAGTTTTTCTAACCATCAATATAGAAGCACAAATCTACAGCTCCACGGATAAAAATGAGATTTTTTGGCAGAATGATTCGACTAACGCAAGGTTCCCTGATGTATCCTATGCATTAATACAATGTACGCAAGCGCGCACAAATCGCAGAGGGCTTTTTAGACTTTCCACTTCTTCTCAGCTACTCGCCTATTTTTTCTGTGCCTTTTGATGCCCTCCTCTACCTTTTCTTTTCGCCAGTAACAAACTTCCGCGAATTCGCAGACTTGGCACTTGTAAGCTTCCTCGATATCAACACCTCGTGCATTTCTTCGTCCTTTCCACCAGTCTAGGGTTTTTGAGATGTAGCGGTCGAGCACAAGAGAATCAAAGACGAAACAGTGACTTCCCATAACCTTGCCGTTGTTGACCTGGCGAAATTCGGCCTGCAAGACGCAAGAAATCGTCTCTGGATTAGGGATTGTGAGTTGCATCTCTGTGATCATAAGTGACCACAAGCTTGTAAGTGAGTCATATTGTGCGAGCTCAAAGAATCGCTGTTTTGTAGTGCTGCTCAGAGGATCATGATTCCCAGTGTTGCAAACGGATATCATGTCATGCTCCAACTCAGCAATATTGTTAATGAAAGATTTCGTGAACGATTTGCGCGGATCGAGTCCATAACGTGCGAATACCGTATCTGCCGGGACCAGGTTGGAGGCAAGGTCGGTGAGGAGTCTGTGGTAGAGCATGAGCTGCATCTGGACGCCGCGCAATGCTGTTCCTTTTGGGATATATTTGCTGCTACGGGTTTTAATGTCGGTGACGTAAATTTTGTGGAGAGGGCGCGGACCGTCTAGCCAAATATCGAAATGTTCTTGATGAGATGTACGGAATGGCCCTTGAGCCTTCCGCTCATTTGGAACCCTCGCACTGGACTGATGAGAGAGTTCAAGACTGGCTTCTAACTCTGGATCTGGACAATCATACGACAATTCGTCGATGACACCATTGACGACTTCTCCCTCAACAATACCCCAGATCTCGAGCTCTCTGGTTAAGCCCGTTGCTCGAAGTGTTCTGAGTCCTTGTATTGTATTCCAAATCCTCAAGCCATATCTATCTTCTTTGGTCTCAACGTCAATCTCCACATAGGTGTGAACCTGATTTTCGAGTTCCTTATGAACTTTGGTTCCCTGTTTCATAGCCGGCGTTCTTTTGATTTTGCCAAATTTTGTTAGCGAAAACCAGTACTGCAGCTCACACCAAGCCGGAGATACGATATCGGTCACTGAGAGTGGTTTGTTGGGCGATGTTCTGAATCGTTGAATGGGCGATTGCTGATCCTCGCCCGGAGTTTTAGAAACCCAATGGTCTGGAGCCTCTGAGACCTCCTCTGCGTGCTGAACTTCGACATTGGTCTCCCTGGGTGAATCTAATAATTTTAGTCTCTCACATTCGTTTTGCTCTTCTTCTAATGCTCGAGGTACTAGGCGCTGTTAGCCACGACAGTCAGCTTGATAAAAGAAGCCAGGCAAAGCGGAAGACATACGAGTGGGTGATTCCGGAATATCGAAGTCGACCAATTCATGGAGGCTATCGTGAGCGCCGATACTCTCTTTTGCCGTGTGAAATGAACTCGCACTTGTCTTACTGCTGTCGTGTTGACTTGAGACCAGCGGGACATGGGCCAAACCTTTTCTCCCACCCTCATAGTCTTCATAGATCAGCGATTCAGTGACGACTTGCGCACCACCAAGCTCTGAGAGTATACGCGTGATTTCCTCGTCTCCTTCACTATCAAAATCTGAACCGTAGTCTGAATCTGCGACTTTCACAATTGTGTCATCGACTTGCGAATTAGCTTCGGAAAACGCTTCGTCAATGTCAGATCCACCCACTCACTCGAGTCTCTTTTTATGTTGTGTGAAAACTCTGTACTAAGCATATCCGAAGCCATGCCATGCTGGAAGACAGGAGATAGGTCAGCGGCGGTACCGCCATTCCAGCATTAAATGGATGCGTGGGTTCATGAGTTGTTACATAGCAATGCAGGCAACGCGAGCCGAGCCGCGTTATGTAAGTCCAGAGACGACGCTTGGCCAGTCCCCTCGTTCGAATCAGCATCGCAAATCGTCACAGTTCAAAGAGCAATCGATTCTTAATTGCAAACTTTACCACCAATGGACACTTTACTTGACACACAACTACAGCGCATGGAAACAGCGCTGGATGCATTGCTACAGTCCATCATCACATACAATCCTTCCGTCACCGCAGCCGACGCGCTTCTTCAAGCAGATGATGAATTGAGCAAAGGCCTAGAGCAACGTGCGACGCACTGTAACACGCTCTTAATTAAGTTTTGAAACTGATTGCGACATAGTTACGCGACACCAAAATAATTACATCCGTATACTACAGTTAAGGGAAGAAGCGGAGCTTCTTGATTCCCAAATTAAATCCAGTGTGCAGCTCCTCGCCGAAGTGCGCAAAGAACTTCTTGCAGTTCCATTAGACACGTCGAAAGAAAACACACGTCCAGTACCTTACAAAGAATTGCTCGCATATGCAAAAAATATCAGCCCGTTTACGATACCAGCAGCCTTCCGACCGAAACCTGCCGCACCAGCGTCGACATCTAGCGACGACAAGCAATGCTCTGCGACTGCGACAACAGCAATGGCAGAAATCAACGATCATGCCATAGCGAATACACCAGCTGTAGAAGGGGAATCACGAACACAAGAAGATGGTGACAGCAGAACCATAAATGTTTTGAACGAGGAGCAACGAGCATGGATTGCGGATCTGAACAACCTCCCTTTCCAGCCTTGGCCTGGTGAACAAGAAATGGCGCTGGGAGCACTACATGTGCTGAATCATCAAGTTATTAACGGGAATGATCCTACTGATATTACTCGCATAATTGAAGACGAGCGCGTGGCAAAGGAGGAGGCTAAGAGAAAGACAGAGGAGGAAGAGAAAAAGAAATTCGCTGGATCAAGACCAGTAGCATCGGGTGCTAGTGGCCCTACAGTAGCACAATCGACAGTAAGTGAAAGTGGGCGGGGAGGAGGTGCAAGATTTGGATTGGAGGATTCAGATGACAGCGATGACGATTGACCGACTACACTGCCCTCGAGAATATCAGTTGAACCGTAGTTCTAAACTTAACATATGGGGTAAAACAAGCATGGTCGCTTTAATCCCGTGAATATAGAACTCGAAGTTGCGGTATTGGAGCAGAAGATTACAGTGTTAGCATCTGCTAGACATCGCAAGTTCCCATCCGTCCGTCGTCACCTGAGAAGAGCGTATTCATGATATAACCAGCCGGCTCCCTCAAAATTCAAAAGCAATGCATATTGGTATCATTTTTTCTACCTTCTCAAGCGGCACCAGTGCCTCTAGGCTTCGACTTCGCAGCCTTTTTCTCCTTCGCTTCCTCCTTCTTTTTCTTTTTTGCCTCCTGTATCTTCTCCTCTTGTTTGCGTTTTAGCTTTTCCTGTTCTTCTTTGGAGCGTTGTACCGGCTTGAAGAATCCCTCCAGTCGTGACTGCTGCGCGGTTTTCAAATTTTTCTTTAATTTTTCCGCGCCAGATCTCACCCTGTCCTCATTAAACCCTTTCTCTTCGACCAGGAACTTGACAAGTCCTTCCACGTCAGGAGCCTCCCATTTAAAGTCACACTGCGGGTCATCTGCAGGACGTACGTCTGGCTCAAGGAAAAGAAGCCGTGCGTCTTTGTACGGCCAGTCTTCAGGAACGGTGTATTTATTCCCGGATTTGAAATGCTTAACAACACCTTCGAGGTTCTTATGTTCGCGTATGAGCTTGAGCGCAGTAGAAGGACCAATGCCCTTGATAGGGTCAACGTAGTCACAGCCTAGCAGTATGCATAAGTCGATAAACTGCTCGAGGTTCATTTCCAGTCCCTGAAGAACCTTATCCAGATGAATCTCTTGTATAGGCTCCTTTCGCTGCTCGGAAAAGGTAAGATGTCTGAGCAAGACGGGTGAATTGAAAGTAAGTGTATCCATATCCTCAGAAGCAGCGGCATAAACTTTACCAGCGCGAGCCAATACAGCGCACTGTGCTTCTGCCTCTGTAGGCGCTACGATATACGGAATACCCATGAGCTTAAGCAGTCGCTGGCACTCAGCATTGTGCTCACGAGTAACTCGTACAGTTCGTCTCGAGAAACGTTCCACTTCCTCGGCAGTACCTGTCTCTTTCGCCTCCTCATGCTGTTCTAGTGCTTCAGCTTTGCGCTGAAATCTTTTCGCCAGCTCGCCAGACTTTAGTTTGGGTGGTGCTCCGTCGAAAACATAAAGAGGTTTTATTCCGTTATCGACGATGCGTAGGGTACGGTAGAACATGCCCATGAGGTGAGAGGTAGTCTCTCCCGTATCAGACATGAGTTGTTGGCCATCGCTACGGACCGCTATAAGGAAGGAGTATATGGACATGGAGCTGTAGTTGATTAGGATTCTTGAGGTGGTTTACGGTGTTGGGGAAACATTACGCATCCTGTACATGCATTAGTACACTCAGAAATATCGAAGACACATTACGTACTATGGCCACCTTGCGACCAAACTGATTTTTGATTTCACCCGTCTTGATCGCATCAGGACAGTTCTCATTAATGAGCTGGTACAAGTCTTCCATCAATTAGCCTGAGGGTTTCATTGTGCATTCGCCAACTGTACGCACGTTTGATACCCATCGCCGAATGATGTTGCGCGGAAACTCCAATAGGACAGACTATATTTTCATAAAGCGTGTCGTGCAACCAACCGTGAGCTCCTCGTGAATGGTGAACGTCATGGCGCGGTCGCGATACTATGAGGCGCGTTCGCTATCACATGATTTCAGCCTCTCACTTTTCCGTTTAAGTTTAGCTTATGGGCGGAATCATGGATGAGGGTGGAGCGGACGGCTTGGCAGCGGGTTTCCGCTCTCGATATTGAGGCCACATTCGAAGTTGGAGCCAAGTTGGCAGTGAACAGCGACCCGGACTTTCGCTGTAATAGCTTGCTCTATAAAGCCACGTATCGAACAGACCTCTCTAGGCACGCAATGCTATAGGGAACCGAACAACTTGCACCTAACTTTCGACATCCCACAGCAATCTCCTTTAGCACACCGCGTTCCGAATCCTTATCCGCTGTAAAGCTTCCCTCGACAACATGGAGTACAACGACAAGCCAGCGGCCGCTCCGCAGAAGAAAAAGAGAGCTTACGCAGCTCAGGCCTATGAGTTCGGAGCAAATGCCCCCAACCAGGCCGCTCAAATGCCCTCAGGTCCAGCCTACGGAGCATTTGGGCCGCAGCCGATCGCATCGCCGCAACTTGGAGCTCCTCAGATGGGCACGCCGACACCATATGGAGGACAACCTCCTGTGCCTGGCACTCAAGATCAACTGGCCAACCAATTTGGGCAGATGAATATTCAGCAGCCGCCTCCTCACACAACGCCAGCGCCACAAGCTCACATGATGCAACCTCCGCAAAACATGAACCAGCTCTATCCCTCCGATTTAATAAGCCAACCGTTCCAAGTGTCGGAGCTAGACCTGCCTCCTCCACCAATTCATCTACCTCCAAATACCAGCGTCACGCCTTCACCGTATGCAAATTGTCCGCCAAAGTTTGTGCGATCCACATTGAACTGTGTTCCTACTACCCACAGCTTGCTCAAAAAGTCACGATTGCCCTTCGCGTTAGTTCTCTCTCCATACACAAGTTTGCATGACAATGAGGACCCAGTACGTCTCAAGCAGTGTAATTCTTCTCGATCTTAATACTAATCCATTACAGGTACCTGTATGCACAGATCAGGTCATTTCTAGATGTCGACGCTGCCGCTCCTACATCAATCCATTTGTAACATTTTTGGACCAAGGCAACAGGTGGAGATGCAACATGTGCAATTTGACCAACGAAGTGCCTGAACGATTTGACTGGGATAGACAGACACAGCAGGCTGTGGATAGATGGCAGCGTGCTGAACTGAATTACGCTGTCGTTGAATTTGTCGCACCACAAGAATACATGGTACGGCCGCCACAGGCTTTGACTTACGTGTTCCTCATCGACTGCAGCAGGAAGGCCATCGACAATGGCCTCCTGGGCACGGCTGCACGAACCATCTTGGAATCGCTCGATGTTATTCCCAATGCGGACAAGCGAACGAAATTGGCTTTCATTGCTGTTTCTTCAAGCTTACACTACTTTTGCATACCCCAGGATGGCGGCGAGAGCAGTGAGCCCAAGATGCTTGTCGTTAGTGATCTAGAAGAGCCATTCTTGCCAACGCCGGAGGAACTGCTGCCAAGCCTTCACGAGAGTCGACACTGCATAGAGGTCTTTTTAGAAAAGCTTGGTGGCTCAATGTTTCAAGATTCCACAGATCAAGGTTGTGCTATGGGTTCTGCGCTACGCGCTGGACTACGTCTAATCCAAAATACTGGCGGTACGTTATCGATGTATAGTTGAAGACGCGTTTGCTAATTGAGTTCATTCAAGGCAAACTCACCGTGCTCTCTGCCTCGCTACCAAATATTGGCCATGCAGCACTCACCGACCGTAATGACCCGAAGCTGCTGGGTACGAGCAAGGAAGGAAGTCTACTCCAGCCGGCAAATTCCTTTTACAAGAGTTTTGCGGTGGACTGTTCAAAGCAGCAGGTTTCGATCGACATGTTTTTATTTGGTTCATCATACCAGGATGTTGCAACTTTGTCGAATCTGCCGCGTTACACTGGCGGCCAGACATGGTTCTACCCAGGCTGGATGGCCAGCCGAAGCGAAGATGCCATCAAGTTCGCCAAGGAATTCACTGCGTATCTGTCTGCGGAGATTGGATTGGAAGCCGTTTTACGAGTCCGTGCTACAACAGGTCTACGTATGAACGCATTTTACGGCAACTTTTTCAATCGATCCTCCGATCTTTGCGCATTCCCAGCATTTCCTCGTGATCAGAGTTTTGTGGTAGAGGTCGCGATTGATGAAAATCTGACGAAACCATACGTCTGCATGCAAACAGCCGTTTTGCATACGACATGCAATGGCGAGCGACGAATCAGAGTCTTGACACTTGCTCTGCCGACAACCGAGGCGCTATCGAGCGTATACGCATCCGCCGACCAACAAGCAATTACTGCATATTACAGCCACAAAGCGGTAGAAAAAGCTCTGGGTAGTGGTCTTGACGCAGCCAGAGACTCGCTACAATCAAAGGTCGTTGAAATTATGCAGACTTATCGGAAAGAACTTGCGGGTGGTAACATGGGAAGTGGCGGGTTACAGCTTCCAGCGAACTTGCGCGCGCTACCTGTTCTCTTCCTTGGCTTGATCAAGCACGTTGGACTGCGCAAATCCGTCTTGATTCCAGTTGATCTGCGCGCTGCAGCTCTGTGCCTCCTGTCCACCCTACCACTGCCTCTGTTGATTCAGTACATATACCCTCGCTTCTACTCGATTCATGACATGCCTGACAATTGTGGCATTCCCGATCCAGACACAAATGAGATTGTTTTGCCGCCTCCCATGAATCTCAGCTCGGAACGCATCGTGCCCTTCGGTCTATACCTTATTGATGATGGACAAACTCAATTTCTCTGGCTTGGCCGAGACGCTGTACCTGCGCTCACTAATGATGTTTTCGGAACAGAAGATAAGAACTTGGTCAGGCAAGGCAAGACCGTGCTTCCTGAGCTAGACAACGAGTTCAATGAACGAGTGCGTAACGTTATAGAGAAGAGTAGGGATCACCGCGCAAAAGGAGTAGGCAGTATCACCGTGCCACCATTGTACGTGGTTCGCGAGGACGGAGACGGAAACATGCGCCTGTGGGCCATGACTATGCTGGTTGAAGATAGAGCGGATCAGAGTGTCAGTCTGCAGCAGTGGATGCACACGCTGCGGGAAAAGGTATGTTTTCCTAATGCGGATACACATTTTGTCAGGTCCTCCTGGCCGGATTAGGCTAACGATACATCCCGGCATGGCAGGTCGTACAGTGATAGAGATGAACATTCGTGAATTTTCCGGAAGTGGCAATGGCTTAGCAAAAATGCCCCGCTCAGTTGCTCTCATTGGACTCGGCGACAAAATTACGCTGTATCAGAGCGTGATTGAGGACATTCCTGATGAGAAGCAGGGGGGAGCTCTTGTGCGGTGTGTTCGAAGCTCTGTAAGTACCAATGAAAACGATATACAGAAATGCCAATGCTAGCTTAAATCAACATGAGAATTGACATGTCCTAATTCTTGAATCTGCTTCGTAAATCCTACCCCAAGTTGATGGTCATCTAACCCCAAAGAACTCTACAATTTTTCCGTCGCAACCTCTCTCACGGTAAAACTTCTGCGAAGGGAAGAAGTGGGCATCCAACCAAGCCCATCAACGACAACAGAAGGTAGGAAAGTATGCACAAGCTTCGGCAATGCGCTATGGCCCTAGTTTACCTGCGATTTGGCCATACGTGCAGATTGATCATTTTCCTAAAGGCGCAGTAGCTAGCGCTAGCCTGATTTGACAAATTGCCTTCTGCACGTCCAATTCGAGTATCAACTCCAATGCCCTTATTCGGTAAATTGTGCGATAAAACTAATTGGCACATCGCATCCCTGCTATGATGTACGGGTGAAGCAAGTTGTGTCGGAACGGGCTTTTTGACATTGTGAAGTCTAAACCTCAAAGGCTTCAGTAAGTATATATGGCCACAACATAGACATTTTGCACTGCAGTTTCGCGTTCCTAGGCTTCGTACCTTTCGCGACTCATCTCACGGTCTTGCAGCGCCTGCGCTGAAGAGGCGAAAACGAGTGCGAATGCAAATTTTTGCATTTTCTTAGCGAATCTTGGAGTTTCGTGTTCAACCCAGTCGTGTTGGACCTGACTAGTGATCCTCAGCAGCAGCCATTCTGTAGAGTGAGCAGGGGTACGAATTAAATCTGCTGCATCCAAGTCAAGGCTTCACTGAGAGGCTCGGCGAATTCGCTCCCTGTTGGACATGGATTATCTATTTTAATGACGACAGATCTCCTGGCGATTCGTGCGCTGCGTTCTTTATGCCCACATAACTGTACACTTGCGATTTTCCCAAAACAAAGGCTTCTGCTACTCAATACTTTCCTGACAGCCGGGATTCTCGGAAGTATGGAGAACACAAACCACATGCGAGGGCAAAAAGACAGTCAAGAGATAGTCCAGCACAGCAACAAAGAAACTGCAGGAAAGCCACCCCCTGGATCGACTTCGAAGCCAACAGACCTTCCACCAATCTCTACCGAGCACAATGCAGCATCCGGTCGTATGAGCCGCCATGAGTCACAATCTTTAACCTCATCCATATCGATGCTATCGTTACAGCCACAAGCGCCTATGTTTGAATCGCCACAGACGTCGCTTCCCCAGTCTGACGAGGAGAAGGCTTTATCACAGGAACTAGCTCTGTGTGACTTTAGAGCATATCTTCTCATCATGGAAGCGCAGAATCGCGAACGGCTGCGGCAGCTTCAAGGAACTGAAAATGTCTACGGTGAGGTCGTCGGCGACCGGCCGGTTGATCCGTATCAGCCCTTTGTAGATCACGAGATAGTTGTACAAGCAGACAAGCTGAGGCTACGGAGGACAGAGCTTCAGCACTCGCTTGAGCAACTGACGGGGCGATTGTATCCAATGCCCGATATATATACGCTGGCAGTGCGAACGCCGGCCCTGACGTGCGATGTAAGTGTACGAGAAGCTTTCGCCGCTGTGATGACTCTGTTAAGCAGTAATAGGCTGTTGATTCTAGATTGGTCACGTAGGTCGTCACTCAACGCGGGCCTAAGAACCACCCTCACCGGTTCCTTCGCTTGTCCTTCAGTTCGGGAGCACGAGCGCCGGTATTTCAAGAGGACAGGTAGTGCGAAAACGATTGGGTATCTTCCGAGCACAGCTTCCGCTTACCTGAAGTCAGGTCGCCGGTTTTGTCATCCTACTTCGGTGATGGTTGTCGCAAAATATGTGAGCTGGGGCCTCGAAGAATATATTGTGTTTCTTCTGCAAGAGAAAAATGCCTATTGTGGTTCGATATTCAAGCCGTCTAACGCCACGCTAAAGGCTGGCAGGCAATGCAAAAGCTCAGCTCAAAAACAAAAACCGTATTTTTCACGCCGTAAACGCAAGACCGACACGCATGTTCTCGACAGTTTTCGCACCAACCCCTTTGAGCGCTCCTAACTGTACAAGATCCGTGATCAATGCTTCGTTTTCTCCCTGGGCCATTTCGCATAGACTGGACACTATCGCTTCGGCCTTCTTGTTGCCCACACCTTTCAGAGCACGAATTTGAGCAATGTCCCGTGTGTTGATGATGTCGAGCAGCTGCTGCGTTCTAGGCGAGGGCGGTCCCGCATTGAATGATTCGTCCTTGAATACTGCAACCTTAGTTCTATGAGCTGTCCTCTTTTTGGGCTTGTATACGAATGACTCCTCGCCCTCGTCTCGAGGATCATAATCGTCGTGATAGTCGCTGTCTTCTCCGTCGCGTGCATGTTTGGAGACCTGGTCCCGGATTTCACGGGACTTCAGCTCGTGTTTCTGCCGTATCTTCTCTCCCAAGGTCTCGATCTTCCGTGCGAGTTTCTCGTTATGAGGAAAATATGGCTGTGCCAACTTATACATTCGTAGTGCACTTGCGTCTTCGCCCCGGGCATGGTGTTGCTTTGCCATGAGCAGGAACTGTAGACCCTCAGAATCTTCCTTTTCAGCAACTCGCTGTTCCAGGGCATCGAGTCTGTTCTGTAAGTCGGCTGGCAGCGACTCGACAGACTTCACTTTAGCGCTCAACGCCTGTTCGGCAATTTTCTCGTCTACCTTGCGATCGATCAGTGCTTCTATCTCCTCCTTCGATAGACCATTCCGCGATTGGTCGTTTGAGCGAAAGGATTTCATAGGCCTATTTGATCCTGTAAACGATGCGTCCTGACTTCGCTTCTGAGCAGTAGGCCGAGGTGCAGAAGCGTTTGGTGGTCGAGCGTCTGACTTTGACTTGTCCGAGTATACAAGGAATGACTTGACTGGCTTCTTTGGATTATCAGTATGCAGCTGGCGTTGGATATTCGTCATAGATGCTAGTGGGCGCAGCGGCTGCCTTTGCAGCGTTGGACCCGTAGCTGACGGGACGACCTTAGCGATGGCGGAGCCCTTAACCATAGGTTCATTCTCGATTTCGTTTACTTCAATCTTCTTTGTACGGTTTGCGAAATTCAGCGAGCTGAGCGTATCAAGGTGATAGCTGCGTACAGGTGCCAAGTTAAGAATCATTATTGTCATGCCGTTGTTTTGACCTAGCGCTAATATCCGTGTCATTTTCGATTCTCTGTATGGTATGCGAGCCTGTCGTTTTGAAATTGCCTCTACGCATTGCGCAAGGACGAAAAGAGATTTGTTGATTGCGGAAGACTCGACCAATCGATCTCTGTTGTTGTCTGTTCTTCGATTGTCTTCTGAGCCTGCAAGGTCAATGGCAGATGCTGTGCTGACAAGGACATTTTCCCCAGTGCTCTGTATGAGCTTTACGCACAAAATTGCATGCGATCTTGACGAATGCGCATTGAGCTATTCTCGTCAGTCATCTGAAAACGATCAAAGCATATTCGTTGTCTGCATTCACCTTAGTTGCCGATGTAGAACGGTTGATATTTGCTTGATCATAGAGCTGCTCGAACTCCTTCAATGTCGTGCATGGTCGTTCAGACAAACCGACAACTACCGTCTTGCCGTTGTTGTCACGAATGGGCAGACCCGACGGTGTTCGCTTTTCAGGGGCCTCAAACAAGTCGAAAACGCGGTCGTTATAGATCTCGTAATAAGACATTGCGACCTTCACAGTTGTCTCGCCTGCTGAATCTTTTTCTACTTTCCGTGCTCGTCGGTATATCGCACTTAGCAGTCGAGGGATCACCCCTCGATCAGCTAATGACTTCCCACCGCGCATAGTGTGCGTCTTCCCTGTACCTGTAACTCCATATGCAAATATTGTGACATCGAAGCCGTTGAAGAGGTGTTTTACGGTGGGAGCCACTGTGTCCATGAGTAACATGAATTGTGACCGAAAAACAAAATGGCATACCTTCACCGTCAAACAGTTCCTGCTGAGTTGTCCCTTGCTCATATACTGAATTGAACTGGAAACTGTACTGCTCCGCATCGTTCTTCGGATTCGGTATACGCACAACCTGTGGTCGACTGCTCGCGGACGCCGTTTGGCCGTGTGATGCCGTCACAATAACATCTTTCTCAAGCTCTCCCTTGAGCAAAGGGCGTATGCGAGCAACGACACGAACGCTCATCGTGCGTGGTTTTGAAATAAGGAAAGGATCCCTCAAGACAATGCTGGGAGTCTGCAAACGTTGGAGTTTTCGTGTGCTAAGCGCTCTGTGGATCTTTTCGTTACCCGGGCAACCGCATTCAGGTTCATTGGTTCAATGGCCGAAGCCGATCCTTCACGTCACGTGAATTCTGGTTCCGTGTAAGAATCGTTCGTCTCGGGCAATCCGCTTGCGAACTTTGAGAAATACGAGAGGACGAAGAGCATATACAGCTTGTAAGGTCGAAAGCTGGAACGCATCCACAAAATTTTGAAGCGATTGGAATTCATGATTGAGGTTTAGAGACACTGCTGCGTCTAGCTCCCCCTTCGCCTGAGCAGAGATCATGTGGCAATTTGAGGCGAAGGTACGACGGGTTAGACGTGTCCATAACCTGATCTTAGTCTTGTCATTTAGCTACCTTTGATGTGTGTGTGTATTTCATTGCAGTTGCCAACTGGCACCGTTGCTGAATCACAACAATTTTCAAGCTTGAACTGTAGATGTTGAAATAATACTGTGAGTTTGCATAGCTTGAAGGTCCGCTGAAGTCATTACACTCTCCAATTAGATCACATGGTCTCTTCTCAATTATTCGAATCCGTTTGAGGATGGTACTTTGGAAGGTCATCCCGTCTGTACATGAGGATTGAGACTATCCTTGATTAATGTATCTCCCAGTTCTTTCCACAGCATGCGACAATTGCTCATGTCTCTCTTGGTTTTCGTTAAAAGAATGCGTGTATCGCATCTCATTTATATTCATTTCGACTGAAATCTGTACGTCTACTGCTAATCGGTTTTCTTGCAAGGTCTTACCTCAACCATAGGGATTCATTTTTGGCAGTCACTCATTCCGAACTTGCTTTCCAGTACTACCCGAAGGAGCAGTTTCTGCAATGCCGCTCGGACATGTCGTCGCCAGCATCATTGACCTAGTTCACTCTGACCTTGGTAGCCGTTCGGCACAGCACATATTGAAGATAGCCAGTCACGCTCGTAGACTTGAAAAATGTGTCGCAGAAATCAATCCACACACACACACGTTCGATGCTGTTCAGTCGATAATACAGAGCGCTTCGAGGCATGCAGCTGGTCCAATGATAGGTTTCGATGAGCAAATAATGAAGCGATACTCTAGCACAAGTATAATAACGCGCCCAGCGGTGCTGTGGGAACGACCAATTGTTGGACCAAGTTTAAAGATGCTCTGGACATCGCGCGAACGAGAGGCTCCGCTTCCAAGTTCAACAGTCTAACGTGATGCGATCCTCAGCTGCAGACAAAGAGCAAGATTTGTATTGTTAACAATATGCGGTAAATCGTGGTGCTACCGGGGATTAATTCTTCGGACATGAGCAGAAATTGCAAAATGGGCCAGGTATCATCGGCGAGCATTATTCCTTAAATCGGCTCCGAGAACGCCGAAGCCCGCTGCTTGCCACTTCAACCACAGAAACTCAACATGCAAGCGCATTCTTTCATGGCTGAAGATAATGCGCCACCTCAAAACTTTCTGCACAGATCGATGCTTCAAGATTCAAGATTACACTTCTGAACCACAGAAGATTCCCTCAGTAAGGACGAGAATGAAGGGCTGGGTTAGGGTTCATGCACTAGCGCGACTTTCATCTTGCTTAGCGTTGTTCTCCAGCTTCCTCCAGCGCAACTGCGGAGTCCTCAATTCTCCCTTCAAGCTTGGTTCAGCGTGCAGTCCTACAGAACTCAAAAAAGGGGAGGGGGACTCTAACCCTGACCATGGTTGGCTCCTCACTACCAAGGATGAGCACATTGCCGCCTTCTTCAAACCGCCAACTTCGTATTTGGACGTCGCCAGAAAGGTCGGGTCTATACGAGATGCGGAATTCATGCCGTAACGTGACGGTGCCGTTCTCTTCGCGGATGTGATACGGTCCTGAGTAGCCAAAGTAGCGTCTGGCGCACTCTGCCCACTGAGCCTCACTAGCCTTGCCAACCTCGAACTTGGGTTGTCCAGGTATCTGCATCTGGGCGGACATGTAGCCATCGGGGGTGTACAACAGAATTCCTTGCACCTTCTTCGTCATAGGATGGAACGGCCCAGTGGTCGAGGGTGGCAAGGCCACATAGACGTAGCTCTCCAGCTTCCATCCTCCGACGAGGGAAGCACGCAGCTCGTCTGCACAAGTGGGGTGATTTGTGGAAGCTGAGGAAGACATTTGGAGGGTGTCTGGGAGCTGCAGAGGTTTGTCATCGTTACTGCATTCACAGCATTCTAGGTTCGGCAGCTTCCAATAGACGCCGCGGAGATGCGCAGGGTGAAGTGAACGCCGTCGTCTGGCCACGGAGTTCGGAACGGCGATGATGGAAAAAAACTAGCAGAGCCTCCAAATTTCGAGCAGCAGATGACAGCCTCAGCCTTGCGATGGATGAGAAACTGAGAGGATTCCACACGCTTCGTCTGGGCTGAGGTCCGGGTTATTCTCGCGTCGTCGGTGTGCAGCACGGGAGGGACCGGCAAGAGCGGCCAAGCCACACGGTCGCGCTCGACGGGTGCGTGGGGCACAAGTTTGGACCGTCAATTCGCTGTATCTTCACTTGGCCGCCCCCATGTGACGCGACGTAATCCAATCCTGGCCCGTCCCGCTTTGCTCTCGGGGATGAGAGCATCGTAGAGATGTCGGCGCTCTCGGAGTAAGGCCTTCTTTTCTTGCGAGCCCATTAAGGCTGACCAATTGAGCATGAGACAATATAAATTCTTTCTAAGCTGACCATGTTCCATAAATACTGCTCTCGTATGTGCTCACAGACTTGACACCTCTCCAGCGAACGCATCGGATTTACTTCCTCGCCGTCCACACCACTTTATTTGCGCACCATTCTGACAACAGATGTACTCCAGTCGAGCAGCATTTCAGTCGTCGTGGCTGCACGTGCAGCGCCCAGCCATGACCACACTGAAGAATCTCTCAGCAAGACCTCCCACCGCTTCCATAATTCGTCCCACTACGATTGTCGTTTACCAACAGTCGAGTCCCTCGAGACAGTTCCATACCACACCCCGAAACCAGATAAAGGAGTTCTTCCCGGCTCCGGATGCGCCCAACATCAGGAAGACATCCGCAGCATGGCCTCACCCCGTATACACCGAAGAGCAGATGAACAGCGTCCAGATTCACCACCGCGAGGTGCGTGACTGGCGAGATAGAGTTGCCTTGGCCACGGTGCGTCTTCTGAGATGGGGCCTGGATTTCGCAAGCGGCTACAGGCACAACAAAGCCAAGGAGTTGAGCGAGAAGGACCCCGTAGAAGCGGCTCGTAAATATGGCATGACGGAGAAAAAGTACCTTACCAGAAACATATTCCTCGAGAGCGTCGCAGGCGTGCCGGGCATGGTCGCAGGTATGCTAAGGCACTTGCACAGCATGAGACGGATGAAGCGCGACAATGGCTGGATTGAGACGCTGCTGGAGGAAAGCTACAACGAGAGAATGCATCTCTTGATCTTCCTCAAGATGGGTGGTAAGTAGTCTGGAACAGACGGGACACCCCAGAAACACAACTAACGATGCCGCAGAGCCTGGTTGGTTCATGAGACTCATGGTTCTCGGTGCCCAGGGCGTCTTCTTCAACTCGATGTTTATTGCTTACCTGATCAGCCCAAAGATATGCCACCGTTTCGTCGGATACCTCGAGGAGGAGGCCGTCATCACCTACACTCGCGAGATTGAGGATATCGACAGCGGGAAGTTGCCGCTGTGGGCAAAGGCTTCGGCTCCACAAATAGCCATTGATTATTACAAGATGCCGGAGGGTAAGCAGACAATGCGGGATCTGCTGTTACATGTGCGCGCCGACGAAGCGAAGCACAGAGAAGTGAACCACACACTTGGCAACTTGGACCAGAACAATGATCCAAATCCATACACCAGTACGTTCAAGGACGACAACAGACCGCACCCAACAAAGGACTTGCGCTTCCTGAAGCCAGCGGGCTGGGAACGAGACGAGGCCATTTAGCTCGAGTTTTTCCGTGCTATGATTACGGGGCATATTTCGATTTGAGTATTTCAAGCTGGCGTTTACGGCGAAAAACACGTCTCCGTCCGGACGGTTGTAATATCTTGGCATCTTAGTCATAGGGTTGTGGGGGGAAGGATCATCCTAAAAAATTCTACTTGGAATAAGCGAAGAGTCGCTGAAGTTTATTTAAACGCTTGTGGAGCAAGTGGTCGTAAATAAGGCCAAAAATATTCTTAGTTCATCACATTCTTCTCTCTGCTAATTCAATTCTGTTCCATGGACTGGAGCACTTGCAGATAGCTGCCCCATACATACGGTGATATGCCTGACACGTCATCTGTCCCCCAAGGGTTGCGTCTTCACCCATCGTGCTAGATTGTTTCGTGGATGCTACTACATGATGGAATGAATGATCTGGGCCGGTTACGGCAGCACCTGTCAGGCGTGTTGTTCTTCTGCTGCAATCATCGACTGCAAAACATTGGGTTTTTTTTCCCTATATATTGCCAGCGCTGCAGAGCGCTGACGCCATACACTATCTCACGTTCTCGTCCGTCATCATGAGGCTCTTTTTCTCGTCGCACGTCACAGGGAAGGGAGGATGGGTTTTCCATACGTTATGGTTTTACAGCCTCTGTACCTTTGCATAAGCTTTTTCTTTTGCGGCTCGACCTCGCCTTTTGCTCTGGGTAAAAAGTGCTAACTAGCCTCGGTGGCATTGCCATTCCTGGATTGGCCGGGCGCTGCACTGCAGCATTTCCGTTCAACTTCCGGTTGCCATGTTTCGAAGGAAGTCTTGTCCTTGCTCCGTCTGTGGGCGTTGGGCCCATGCTGCTGCAGGCATGGGACGGGTAACACTCAAAACGTGGCCAAGTCGGCTCCGTGGACGTTCTTACGCGAAATGGTTGCTGATACCAGGGTCAATAATAGCGAAATCGTGAGTTGGGCTGTTGAAAATATTTTTCTTAAAATAAAAAAAAGGAAAGGAAAGAGGAAAAGATATTCTGGCTGACTCTCTTGTTCGGTTTGTCCCCCAAACATGGCCAGCGACGACATGGCAACAATGGAGTTGACTCAACGAGCTGGGAGTACAACAATCCTGCAGCCAAGCTGGAGTCGACCTGAGCGACTCATGTAGACCCACTCGCGACCTGTACGCAGGTAGGGATTGAATCTGGGGTAAGGTCAAAACCCTTCTAGCCACATAACGGGAGTAGCAGTGACCTTCGGGGAAACGATCAGGCTAAGAACGTCACCACGTCTGAAGCTCATCCATGATACCTCAAGAAGTTAGCCATGCCACCTGCCTTCAAAGTTTGCTGTCTTGACGTGGCAAAAGCCCTATTTGCCGTTGCTGGATTGTCCACGACTAAATTCGCCATTGTTCCCGCATATTTCTTCAAGCATGGTTCCCTTCGCAGGTCAGGGTCGTTTCGACACGGCAGAGCCAGGAAGGCAGAAACCATCGACGACACGAGAGGTGTCCCCTTCCCAAAAAGACGTTTCCAAGAGGGCCAAAAAAAAAAAGGAGAAAAGACAAGGCTCTGGTTTCGAGTCAATACCAAAAAGGCCCCAGTTTGAGAGAGAGAGAGAGAGAGAGAGAGAGGAGGGGAGGGGGGAAAGGGGGAGAAGGGACGGCGTTGCAAAAGTTACGGTCAGAGGTTGAACTTTGTCAGTTCCCAACCGGTATTCTGTCAACCGACGTCTCGGGAACGACGAACGTCCAAGAAAGACACCCAACCTGATGTGCTGTGAGATCGATCTGCGAAACTTGTCGCGTGTGGCCGGTTTACACGCTGGCGGGATCTTGACGACTTTTTTGGCCATATACGCTTGGTGTCCAACCCGGCTTCCACTTGCCCGATCCCTGATCCATGGTCTGTGGCCGTCTCCGTGAAGCGAAAAAAAGGGGCTTCGAGCACGGCAAATGGTTTGTGATTGAGTAATTGTTCATGGAAGGTCTGTGCAAGAACCCCACGAACATGAAACTATGGAAGCAGTTCGCGATTAGCAACAACAGAGCCCTAGCGTTGAGGATAAGGCTGCGGATCGTGAACATAGATAAGGCCTTGAAGAGCTTGTGCGTCGTGATAAAAAGGGACTTGTCTACAGAAGCACCCCTAAGAATTGTGCAGGGATGGACAGACTTGAGTCATGAACTCTCTCGTGGATTTGCATTTTTTTTTATTCTCAAGGCTGAACCATGCTGATAGCGGTCAGATGGCCTGATTCAAGGATACAAGTCGCGGGGAACTCTTCCCTAGCAGAACGAGTCCGCGAGCCAAGCAAGGTGATCGCAGAAAAAACCTTATGCTTGCTATGCGCGCCATGTTTCGCCAACCACAAGTGCGCCGCCATCATGCAGTAAATCTCCATGAACCTTCTTCGCTGTGCGTCCATGAAATGATGCGTCCAACGTCATTTGACAGGGACCAAGAACGCCAGTGTCCTATCCCAGACAACCTTTCCATTCTCCTGTAATCCAAACAACCTTATATCCAAAAACAGACATCCAGCTTTTGTGGCCCGGTGGGAAGATGGTAGTGGATGTCTTCGTGACACCAGGCTGACCGAAACGCCCGGCTAGTACAAACAACCAAGGGCACCAGTGAGGTGCAAAATTGTACGACAACCTTGTGCTAGTGTTTAGAAGCTTCATTGGGGTGGATGGAGAGCGTCAAGGGGCGATTTTGAACGGTGTTCCTTGATCGCTGGAGAATTGGGCGAGTAGATGTCGAGCGAAACGCATGTGCCAGTACCAACAAGCATGACCTTAGTCCCATAACGCTGCCACCATGCGGGCAGGCTCATAGTATGGTGCAGCCGCCTTTTTCCTTCCTGTCGCGTTTCCGGCGATCTTTGTCGCGCCCGTACGCTCGCTCGTCTCGTGGTATCCGACGACCGTGATCGGAGTTGTGGGTTCCTCTCCTGTGATCAGATGAGCGATACATCTGTTGCCTCTGGCGTCGCAGCTGGCGCACAACATCGTAGAAGGCCTTCTCGACGTTCACACAGTTCTTTGCAGACGCCTCGACAAAATCGCAGCCGAGTTCGCGTGCAAGGGCGCTGCCCTCTTGTGTCGAGACCTCTCGCTCTGTGACACGATCGCACTTGTTGCCCACGAGCATGATGGGCGCTGGGCCGAAGCTACCGGAGCCGGTTGATGTCGTGCTCAGCGGCGAGCCGGGATACGAGGGCGATCCCGATTGTGATGACTCTTTGACTCTCTGAATTTGACGATGGAACTTCTCGATTCTTGCAAACGATGCTCGTGATGAGATGCTGTACACGAGCACGAAGCCCTCGCCGTCGCGTATCCACTGATCACGAAGTGCCGTGTACTCTTCTTGCCCCGCAGTGTCGAGAACTTCGAGCATGCACGATTGGCCGTCAATCTGAACCTGCTTGCGATAAGAGTCCTCGATGGTGGGGTCGTACGTTTCGACGAAATGGTTCAAACAAAGCTGTCGGTGCCGTCAGCCACTGAACGTGTGGTGCTTCTTCCTGTGTGAAGGCGATGAGAGCTGATTTTGAACACGACGCACCTGTATGGTGAGGGCCGTCTTGCCGACACCGCCATCCCCCAACACCACCAGTTTGTACAAGGTCATTTTAGCCGACATCTTGGGCCACGTTTGTTTTGGGGAGGTCACAGCACTTGCGGAGCTTGGTTTGTAGGTGTCGAATGTGGGGTGGGAGGATCAAACCAGTCAAACGGAAAAAGGGTCGAGATCTTTTGGCGTGCGGAGCGAATCGATCTCCGTGCGTCTGCAACAACACACCCGGACTGTGACAAGGCAGAGCAGAGTCTGCTGTGTCTTGCCGTATGTGGTCGATTTTCTTCCGAACCTGTCAGGTGTAAGCTCAGAGCAGCTGACTTGTTCGACCAGGAAACGACGGACAGGTGACCAGGCCGGTTTGCACACTGTCGCAGCACACGACGATGATCCGCGTGGGCGGGCAGCGATCGTTGGCGTTGAGAGGACAACGAGACAGAAGCACTCGCTGCAGCTTCGTTGCTTGAGAACGGCTGCTTGCTGCACGCGTGGCCCGCTTTCTCGCAGAGCCTGGAAAGATTGGGTGCGGCGTGTGTGGCAGCCGTGCTTAGCAAAGGGTAGACTTGGCTGAGCGGCGGATTGGGCCAAACGGTTGGTGAGGGCAGAGGAGGAGAGAAGAGGTCCAGGCAAAGGCGAACTCTAGAGCTCCAGAGCGTCCAGACCAGCGCAACGAGCGACCAAGGGCAGAGAGTTTGTTTTGCTTTGGGTAATAAAAGGGATTCAGTGGAGACGAAAGACGCTCTAGCAGGACGGTTGGCGACAGGGGGCGAGGAACAAGTTTAAGAATGCGCCGCACGTGAATGTCACCCGTCCTTTCTATTGAGCGTAGAGATCTGGCCACCACGAAAACTGAGCTCTAACAATGGAGAATGGATGAAGGAGGCGGCGACGGTCTTCGTCTGGCAGCCGGCGTGGGCAAGGAGCAAAGTGGGGGTTTGAAGTGTATAGATGGGGCGTGGATATGCAGCAAAAAAGCAATCTCAGCGTCTTCGCGATACGTTTCCGCGAAGGGACGGAGGGCGGTGGTGAAGCTGACGAATGGCCGAATCGCACCAGAAATGAGAAGTCTTTCGGCCAGCGGAGCAGCGAACGTAGCATAGGTAGAAGAGCAAAGTCCGTCCCTCTCCAGGATGCTTCTTGGGACGCTCTTAGCAGACGTGCAAAATTTTAGCCCGCTCGCATGCCTCCATACTACTAATGCTGGCCCGGATCGTTTGGAGACTTCCGGCGCTTTGAACAAGTGCTTGCCGACGTACATCATCCCCTGGGCCGAATCTGACATGGCTTTGACAGCGTCCCATCGATTTCCATCAGGAGAGAAATCCTTCCAAAGCGTGCTTCAACATGGTGCCTTGTTGTCGTATCATTTCAATCGCCGTGCGTGATTGGCTCATGGAGGCGTTTAGCTAACCAATGTTACCATCCGCTTATTTTGCGCCGTGATGATGCTCAGTGACCTCGATGGTTCTGCCGCCGTCGTGCGTGAAGTCCCGGGTCGCCTAAGAAAAGCCCACCAAGCCCATTGCACTCCTCATCCACGGTATTGGAAAAGATTGCATCGCGCCAGGCGGTAGCGTACCATGACACACGCGCTATGGCTGGCCGCATCATGGCAAGCAAGCAGATAGCCGTCGTGGGTTGGTGCTCAGCATTCAATTAATTCTTCTTGTATTTTTAAAGTCTAAAAACTGCAGCAACAAACAAGCAAGCAGCGCCAACGACAACGGCTGCCTGTTCGAATCAGCAGAAAGAAGCAATTAGCCTTGGACGAGCAAGCTAAGGAGCCATGGTGCTGGCACCTCACCTCAGGACCTCCGAATCGAGCGCTTCAATCCCGCGCCCGTTGGTGGTTCTCGGCCGCGGGTGCGCGAAAGCTCAAACGATCGTCACCAGTTTGCATATGAACATCTGCGCTCAGAAGAACCGCGCCGCTGGAAATGCGCTTGTACTGCCCTCGCAAGGGCCACTTCCCCAGGAACCACTGCGAAGAAAATAAAACCCGCCCAACGCAGAGACCGCAGGGTATCAATGCTTGGGACAAGGCTCGTCGATTGTACTGCTACCCTCGTCTCCTGCCCAGCATGCCTACCGACGGGCGCAGACGGCGAGCTTCGGCAACGTGTGCGCGGAGATTCGACAGGCTCGATCCGAGCCGTGAAGAATGTGTGTGCGTGTGCGAGCTCGACCGGCTTTCACAGGATTCTCGAAAGCACCAGCTGCAGTGCTGAAGCATGAACTGTAGATCAATGTTGGTTCTGCGTGTGTCCGCCAATCCGACGGTGTTGAAGCTCTGGCTGTGCGCTGCATGTACATACGCGAGCTTAAGCACATTGATGGGCCTTCAACTGCGTCCAGGTCGACACTAGACAATCTTAATGCAGAAGGTACAAAGCGACGTGCGTCACAGCCTCTGGGCCAGAATTTCACCTCGAGTCGCTTACGGCTCGGCTTCGTCTGCTCCTGTAGGTACCTAGGTACCGCTTGAACGTCGCTCCGTCTTCTAGCCAGCAGGCGATGCTGCTGACAAGCACGCGGCAGCACAGCCTGCCGGCCAGAACTCGCGAGTGATCGACAGAGCACCTACAAGTAGTCGCCTCTTCCTCGCACACAGCTGGAGGGTAAAGAGGTCCAAAAACTGCGGCATCGGTACGCGACATGGCGCTGTCTGCTAATCTGAACCAGCAGGAGCGAAACAGTAGCCCAAGTCATTGATTTGCATTAGACTTCGCACGATGCAACAATGGCTCAATGGCATCCCTCCAACGCATCCTGACATCGGAAGCCCTCGACTGGCAATGAGGTTAGAGGCTTTGGGTTAGAGCCTTCACGGCTTGACGGCCCCAAAGCGCCGCGCCAATCAGGCCGCGGCCGTGGGCTCCTGGGCTATCGGATAACCCATCAACAGCTTGACTAATTTTTTTTTTCTTTTCGCTTGGTGCTGAGTGCATGCTGCCAGTTGACCCTAAAATCACGAGCTGGCCTGGACGGCACAAGGACTCTTCTGTTGCCAGCCCGCCTTTCCATCGATGCACCACTGAGCGCTTTCTTCTCCAACCGTCGTTGCATAGATGGCCCGAGCGTGAACGTCTTGTTCTCGATGCAAGACAGGCGTTTGCATTCCGTCCAGACAAGGCTGACCGTGCAAGTGCTGCACACGCGGCTCGCAACCACAGGAGATTTTGGCAACGTGATCGTACCTTGTCTGCATGGTACATTGATGCATTCGTGCCCAGCTCTGCCGTAGTACGTGATTGTACTCCTCTTCCACACCAGAGAAATGGCTCCTCTCCGGGTACCGTCGTTGAATAGCTTCTTATTACAGACGAATTAATACACACGGGACTTCATACAGAGCATACCTGTCCTTCATCTTCCTGCCCGGTTCGTGCAAAGGGTGGGCGAAGGGCTGGTAGAGCATTCAGAGAAAATGCAAATTTCGCCATCGGCCGGGGAAGAACCAGGCACGCTTCAGCGAACGGTGAGATTTTCCGTTTCCGTACGTCTGCAGGAGTCCACGGATCTGCGCTAAAGTCGAGAATGAATCCTCTGTGCATCAAACTGAAATTTCACAAAGTAAGAACGAAAAAAAAAAACCCCTCATTGGCTTTGCCATGTTATCTACCCCCATGTTACAATCCTCTCTCCTCTATTCACGACAACCCTGATATCAAACAGGGGCGAATATACAATATATATATATATATATATATATGCATGTATGTATATATACATATATCGCCTCACATGTACATAGATCCAACAAGCCTTGCCGTTCGCATCCATTCCCATGGCGGAATGCGATATTGGATGGGTCGAAATGCAATGCATAAAGTGACGCCAAGTCGACAACGATGCGGGAGATGTAAGGGCGACACTCCACATTCAACATCCGTTTGGTTTACTAGCGGCATCTGGCAGCTCGGGTGTAAAACTTTGGTTTGACGCCGTGGAGCGAGTATTCCCGGGTCTTCTAGCCCAACCCTTTGGCGGGAACGACCCGCACCTGGGGTTCGAAAGGAAGAACTATCTGCCAACACCTGAAGCGAGACGCGATTTGAATCTGCCTAAGCATAGGGCGAATTATGATTCGTTGCACTCTGCCTCGGTAGCATGCACAAAACAAATTTTCGTCGTTGCATTTCCGAAATCTACCTATCGTACAATTTCTTTCAGCTTTTTACACAGCCCTTGCGGATCTGCAAGGCGCATCATCTCTTTGCGGGGTAAAATAAGGGGAGAAAGAGCAGTGGCTGAAAATTCATCCGATTGAGTCTTGAAGCTATGATCTAGCCGCGTCTCGGCGAAGCAAAAGATCGATGTGTGGAACGAGGGACTAGGAAAGATTCGGCAGACAATATCTCGGAAGCATATGATGAACGCAATGGGCCAGCGAGGCAATCACAACTTGGCCCTGGCCTCGATCGACCGGTGGAGACTGCCCTTCTTCTCGAAATATTCCTTGATCTTGCTACGGGCGACATTGACGACCTCGACATCTTCAATGGTCGTTGGGACTGCAACTTCTTTGTCGAAGTCCCCATGCACTGCGTTTTCAACCAGTTCTCGAAGCACTCGTCTTAGCGTCTTGCCGCTTCGTGTCTTGGGAATCATCTTCGCTCCTTGTATCATGCCGCCCAGTGACGCGATGGCTCCTATTTGCGTTCGTACAGCCTGGTTGACTTCCTTGAACAGAGCATCGGCCGGAACAGCGTCGTGCGGGTGATCGTGCTTCGCTAGAGATACGAAAGCGAACGGCAGGTGTCCTTTCATGGCATCAGGTATGCCAACAACGCAACATTCACCAATATCAGGATGCGAGGCAATAGCCTGTTCGATGGCTCCAGTAGAGAACCTGTGAGCTGCCACGTTGATGATATCATCTGCCCTGGACATCACATGGACGTAGCCTACGAGGATTAGAATTATCAAGTAACCACGACACGCGCAAGCTTACCGTCCTCATCAATCATGCCAGCATCTCCGGTATCGAGCCACTTTCCACCAAATCTCTTCAAATAGCCTCGATAGAATCGCTCTTCGTCTTTCCACAAGGTGGTCATTCCAGTAGGCGACCACGGAAGACTTACCACTATGTTGCCCATACTTCCTACTGGGAGTTCTTTACCTTCGTCATCAACAATTCGGACATCAAATCCTGGCATAGGTTTCCCAGCAGAGCCAGGCTTCATGCGCAGGGACTTGGATTCAGTCTTGGTCTTGAGATCTTTTCCAGCATTCGCTGCCTGAGCAAGTCCTGTGATGGGGGAGCCAGATTCGGATGACCACCAATTATCGACGACCATGGCGTTTCTTGCTCCGAATTTCTCCAGAAGATGCTGGTACATCTGCACGATACTAGGTTCGCTCCGCTCACCTGCCAGAAATAATGCGCGCAGGGACCTGAGACCACTTCTGCGGCCAACTGCTCCAATGAAGTCGTTGTCGGGGTCCTCACGACGGATTGCGCGCAACGCTGTTGGCGCGGTAAACATAGTATTGACCTTGTACTCCTCCACAATTCGCCAAAATGTGCCAGCATCGGGAGTACCTATTGGCTTGCCCTCAAAGAGGACCGTGGAAGCCCCAGCTAACAAGGGAGCGTAGACAATGAAGGAGTGTCCGACGACCCAACCAATGTCTGACGCTGTAAATATAACATCGCCTGGGCCACGGATGCCGAACAGGTATTGGATCGATAAATTAAGACCCACCGCGTGACCGCCAGCCTCGCGTACTACGCCTTTCGGCGTGCCAGTCGTGCCTTGTGTTTGGCATGTAAGCGTTCACTTAGATGGCAAAAGTGCCGGTATTTGTATACACATACCTGAAGTGTAAATAATGTAGATGCCTTCATTGCTACCAATTGGAACAGCATCTGCCTTCAAGCCACGATTTCTCGCACTTTTTACCAGTCTTTGCCAATTTCTTTCGCCGTTTTCCTTTATGATTGGATCCCACCGCAGCTGGTCACGCTGCCAGACAATGATCTTTTCGGGCTTGAACGAGCTCTTTTCTATCGATTGCCTGATGAGTGACTGATACTCGATTGGCCCTTTGTTCCCTTCAATTCCGCAAGAAGCAGTCATGATAACTCTTGGCTGTGACGCTTCAAGCCTTTGCGCAAGCGAGGGTGGTGAGAACCCGCCGAAAACGACGGCGTGTATGGCGCCGATACGGTTGATGGCGAGCATGGCGAAGAGCGCCGCTGGAATCATGGGCACTACTCAAACTTAGCAATTTTAGAACAGCCTTGACTTTCAGGGAGTCTTACTGTAGATGACTACTACGTCGCCTCTTCTTACACCCTCCTCTCGCAGGACACCAGCGAGCACTTCAACCTCGCGCAGGACCTGCTTGTACGTGTACTTTTCTTTGCTCCCACTCACAGGACTATCCCAGTAAATGGCAACATTATCCCCATTCCCCGCCTCCACATGTCTGTCCAAGCAGTTGTAGCAATTGGAGATTTCACCACCGGGGAACCATCGCCAGGTCGGATGCTCTACGCCACTCTTAAGCTTCTTCGTGGACTTCTCCAGGACCCGGGAGGGCTTTTTGTGCCAATGCACATATTCCGCTTGTTTGCCCCAGAAGGCGTCCGGGTTCTTAAGCGAGAGCTCGTACACTTCGTCCTGAGGATGCGAGGCCGGAGCCATCATGTGCAAGCCTTGAGTTCGATCGCGATCGTTAATTGAACGTAGGTGGAAAAGTCTGGAAACTCATACTCTCTCGGTTCGAGGGCTTGCGATACGGTATGCGATTAGGGCAAGCAACGCCCACCGGCGACGAGGTTGGTGTTTAAACCATGTCGGTCTAAAGGAGCGCCCGTCCGGTCCGAGGCCTGCATGATGGGGAAGAATGGGTGATTTGTCTCCGCAGCCATCCAACGCTCCCGCGGGGGAAAACCTCACTTGCCCCAGAACAAGAAAAAGATCGGCAGATTTTCTGAATTATGGCTCGCCTATTTTTCCACAGCTGCATCGTCATTCACTCGCGAGTATTGGAATCAACATCGGAAGAAGAGTCTGCAAATGATGGACGTATAGAATCGCCATATCCACAGCGGAAGGCCTAAGTCATGTAATGTCGGCATCCCATTGGCCTTTTCTTTCTCCGTTGGAAGCAGTTGCAGCAGATTACGCCAGTTTCGTTGACTTGCCTGCTTGTGCTGACGACTTGAGAAGGCTGAAGAGGCACATGAGATTTGTCCTAGCTCTAAGACGAGGAATCCGACTGGGAATTTTCAATACAAAAGAAAATATATATCTTTGATCAGACGGACAAGACCTACTGTTCTCTCAAATTTGCAATACATTTGTCCGGACTTCGTACCCAGTAGCCATTCCGGTACGATTTTACACCACCACTTTTCTGTAGAAGTTACACTCATCTTCCCTTTGCGTTGCAGCATCTGTTTCCTGGCATCAATTGCAATTTGGCGGCAGCATGCAGGAGAGCCGTATTCGCCATGCTTTCGAGATCTTCTCAATTTCGTTTCGACGTGTGGGCAATCGATGTACCAGCTTTTAGAGACCATAATGGTCAAAAACTAGAGACGTGAGAGCTTGCAAATTCAACGGAATTCCATGGCCAAGGTGCAAAACTTTCACGGGCACATCAGCGCACAAGCAATGGCCAAATCTGCTAGACGAATCGCTCCGTTGGGGAAAGCAACTTGGGACGAAGATTGACAGCGTCAATAGGTGGTGAGAGACGCTCTTAAAGGACGGCATCTTCTGTTCCTTGGTAAGTTTTCGGCATGCTCGCCGGGTATTCTTGTGGCTTATTCAGCCTACAATAGAAATACAACTCATCCGTGCTTGCACCTAAATTCAAAGAAATATCTCCTCGTGATTGAGTCTAGGCGACGTACTTGTTTCACGTCGAAGACACTGGCTGAGGGCGCAGGGGAATGTTACAAGTAGGGGTCTACGTAACGTCACCAGGTGTCCGCTTAGCGGTGTTTACATGCATCAACAGAACCAACAAAGCAACACCCAAACTCCTCTTCAATCGTAAAGCTAGCCACAACAGCAGTCAAAGATGGCGGACAAAGGAGATCTGATTGATTTCAGCGTCATCGAGACCTGTAAGGAAAATATTCAGTCCATACCAGGGGGCCGCAGTGCCAAACAGCTTTCGACAGTTCTGTCGCCCCTCGCTGCAAAGAAGTCGCCTCCGCTCTCAGAAATACAAGGCTCAAAGGAAACGAAGCGACAAGAATTTGAACAGGAGCTTTTAACGATCGCCGAGGCAGACGATCCTCTGGACGTCTATGATCGCTATGTAAAATGGACCATGGACGCCTACACATCCGCACAAGGCACGAACGAATCGAACCTTCTGCCCCTCCTAGAGCGCGCAACCAAGGCGTTCTTGACGTCCTCACTCTACAAGAATGACCCTCGGTACCTGAAACTATGGTTGCTATACATTCGTCTGTTTTCCGACAGTCCGCGCGAAACATACGCTTTTCTCGCCAAACACAACATTGGCCAAGGACTGGCACTGTTCTACGAAGAATTTGCGGCTTGGTTGGAGAACGCTGGCCGTTGGGCCCAAGCAGAAGAGGTTTACCTCAAAGGCATTGATTGCGAGGCACGACCACAGGAACGTCTGATCCGCAAGTTCGGTGAGTTCCAGCACAGACGGGAGTCCAAGGGCTCGGCACAGGACGGCCCAACAAGCCCGGCGATGCCCAAAGTGCGACCTGCATTAGCCGCCAAGCTAGATCCATTCGCAGCTGCGGCGGAAGAAGCAGATCCCCAGGCACGGGATCGAGCTGCTTCCTCTACGTCACGCACTTCAAAGCCAGGGCGCTCAAAGATGAGCATCTTTGCCGATGGTGACGAGCCATCTAAACCGGGAAGCTCTGATAGCAATTCGGGGTGGGATTCTATCGGTTCGCTCAAAGAACGAAGGAAGGAGAACACAAGAGAGGCAAAGCCTTGGGTTGGTGAGACATTGCAGGGTGGTCGTCGTGCAGTCAGTGGCCCAAAGATGATGGTTTTCAGGGATCAGGTAAGCCTTCCGCCCCATCGTTCCATCTTTTTCACTCATGTGGGAGTAGTAGGACTAATTTGTTTGCCCTTTTTTGCGGCTCTTTTTTCAATGTAGTCCTTAGGCGCAAACAAGAATACGAATAATGAACATTCTCAATCAGAGCTACAGTGCAGCATTAATCCCAAGACTGGACGGAAAGAGTATGTCTTTGCTAACCTAGAGCTTGTATACCCATCAGGGGATGCAGAGAGTGGCTACGAATTCTGCTTTGAGGAATTGAGAGCGATGAAAAGAGGGTTGATTGACCCCACGGGCCGTGTGATCAAACCTAAGAAGCAGACTGCTACAAAGACAGACATTGAACAAAGGCCAGTTACACCTCCCAACACGGCCGTCTCGCCCAAGAACACAAAGGTTAGCAGTTCAAGGAAGCTAGACATTTTCCAGGATACTCAGACGAGCAAAATCCCGGTCAAGATACCTGTGTTTGATGATAGCGTGGCCCAAGACCAACCCGTGTCCACGACAAAAGTTTCGAAAAAGATCCCTGTGTTTGACGAAAACGGACAACCCCAAGTTGAGACAGATGCAGCCGCTAGGGCAGTGAAGAAAAAGATGCGCAAGGAGGAAAGGGCCAATCGAACGAGGAAGATTGAGATAATGGAGGTCAAAGCAGAGCCACAGACTAGTAAGGCCTTAGAGAGAGAGAGAGAGAGCAGCGTGATTTTAGGATGCTAACCACAAGACAGTTCAAACCAATCTCAATTCACCAGCAGGGCCAAAAATTAAGAGAAAAAAGTCTGGCGAGGCGACGATGACTTTGCATACCAAAGAAGCAATGAATGAGGTTTATGACCTGTTCAATCAAACTTTGACAAAGGTGTCGGAAGAACCAGTGGAAGATAATCAAAGCCAAGTTGATAGTAGCGATGACGACGATGATGATGAAGATGATGACGACTACACAAGCGCTGGTGAAAGTACAACCACTGGAAGATTTTCTGCAGTCACGAGCGAAGCTGGCGACGAAACCCAAGCCGATTTCACAATGGCCACGCAAAGCAATGTCAGCGTTGGTGAAAATACGAACAACTCCGACTGGTCCGAGTTCTCTGAGGTCAAAGAGCTTCCTGAGCAACATGGGAGCAACGTTGGCCTTGAAATAGATGACGAGAATGATGTGGGAACGCAGGAAGAAGTCTTGACCCCCACATCACCACAAAGACTGAGTGAAGATCAATATGAAGAGGATCCGCAAGACATTCCGTCACTGGAAGCGCAAGACGAGCCAGGCATGGCACGACGAGGTTTCTCTTATCGTAGCCGTCAGCTCCCATTCATGACTCCGATTGTAGAGAAGACTGAATCGTCACTAGGAGCTATGACTGTTTATGCGGAGAAGGAGTACTTCAACACAAAGACACCAAGTCGCCAGAACAACGTAAAGAATGCGCAAGCTAAAGACTGTGATGTATGGAGTAGTCCATTCCAGGCGAACACGGAAGAGAACAAGGAGAACATCAAAGTGCCCCAACCGGAGTTCGTTAAGCCGGTGAAGGCTGATCAACAGAAAGCTCAACCACTTGCTCCCAAAGACTTGGGAAAGGAGAAGCCAAAGGGCCCTATCATCAAAGAATTGCAGTGCAATCCTATCGAAGAGTCAATACGAGCCACAATTCTGTCCCAAGTTCAACCACCTTTGGGCACCTACGCTGGCTTTTTTGATCGCCGAGGGCAGATCGCGGCACAAGGAGTTGACATTCGCAAATATACAAAAGCTGTAAAGAATAAAAACGACAAAACGTTGAGCGCAACAACACCACCAGTATTGACGCTTAGTGGCTCCTCGCGACGGTATCAGGTCCGTCGCGAACTCGGAAAGGGGGCGTTTGCGCCAGTTTATCTTGTCGACAGTCAACCGTTGCCTGCATCACTTGAGCAGAACGAAAGCACAGCTGCGGCAAGGATGGGAGAAGGCGAATTCGGACTCCGTCGTAATGAGCAAGAAGCAGTCAAGATGGAAGAACCGCCTTCAGCCTGGGAGTTCTACATCATTCGACAAGCAAAGCGAAGACTCGGCGTTTCGCGGCCGTCAGAATCAATCGTGGAGGCTTACGAGATGCATCTTTACGAAGACGAGTGCTTTCTGATCGAAGAATACCGCAATCAGGGCACATTACTGGACTTGGTCAACGCATACCGTGCGGAAGGTGGGGTCATGGACGAACAGCTCGTCATGTTCTTCACCATCGAGCTCCTCCGAACGGTTGAGGCTCTTCACGCCAAAGGCTTGATTCATGGCGATTTGAAAGCCGACAATATCCTCGTCCGACTGGACAGCTCTGACACGGAGTGGTCGTCTCAATACCACCGTTCCGGTACAAATGGCTGGTCTGATAAGGGCATCAAAATCATCGACTTCGGCCGCGGCATCGACATGAAAGCGTTTAAGCCTGAAGTTCAGTTTATAGCCGATTGGAAGACCAGCGAAGCCGACTGTGCAGAGATGCGCGAAATGCGTCCCTGGACATATCAGGTAGACTATCATGGACTGGCTGGCATAGTTCACAGCATGCTATTCGGGAAGTACTTGGAGACGGTGGCGGAAAGAGGTGGCACACTCGGCGCTGGCGCTACGAAGACATACCGGATAAGGGAAAGTCTTAAGAGATACTGGCAGACGGAAATATGGAGTGATGTATTCAGCCTGCTTCTAAACCCGCTCATGCATCTTGACGGTGAAGATGGAAGGAGGCTACCTGTGCTGCAAGGAGTGAAAAGGCTGAGGGAGAGAATGGAGATGTACCTGGAGACCAACTGCGAAAAAGGTTCAGGGTTGAAAGCGGGACTTAGAAGGGTTGAGAATATGATCAGAGAGAAGAGGAAGTAGTCGGTTGCAACAGGTACGCAACGAGTGTTATCTGCATACCTGGGGGGGGGCCAATTTCTTGGTGGGCTTGACTGCATTTTTGTGGCGTTCCGTTGTGGCACTGGGGAGATTGGATACCCGCGGAGTGATTGGTACGCTTTTGGAACATTTGGATAAAGTTTCAAGATAATCGATCCTAATCATAAATTATGCGAGCCTTTTGCACAGTTGTGTCATGGTCTGACATTCTCACTTGCGTCCTCTGTAGAAGCCTCGTCGCGCATCCGTTGAAGGTGAGACTACCAGCTCACTACTCCCGTACCATATGTGATCGGCACCGATAGATTACGAACGGGATCGTCGGTCAATCTTTGCTAGCCTGACTTCCGCGAACTGTTCTTTGTCATGTCGAAGTTTGGATTGACATGGCAGTCATGGTGCGTGTTTCGGTAGGGTCCATTCTAGAGCGCAGCACCTGTGAATTTCTTTCTGCAGCCGCATTCTCGACTGTACCTGATGGAGCGAGTCGGATGCACCAGTCTCCCTTGGTAAGGACGCGGCCGACGAGCTGAGAATCCTGGCAGGCAGATCACCACAGCGGCCATGGGCTGGAGAAACCTTCTTGCTGATCGAAACGAGTCACCAATCGATTGTCCGGGCCGAACAGACGAACACGACAGCAGATAGGATGGCGATTTTGGTGAAGCTAAATATTGAGGTTGCCCTGCCCTGCGTAAATAAAGCCAAACAATAGGGCTCGAGCAACAAGGAGTCGAAGGAGGATGCCCTGGCAAGAGGGCGTTGACGCGTGGTGCGAGATCACGAGAGCGCCTTTTCAGAAGTCCAGATATCTTCCATCCCGTGTCACCTAACTCTAATACCCACCTGCAAGGCACAAAGTGCGAACATTCGACTTAGCCTACAAACCCACGGAGCAAACTAGCGACAACTTTGAAACCTTTGTGGGGCTGGCGGTGGTGCACGAGGTCAGCCGGTGTGGATCTCTGCCCCGGACCGATTCTTCACAACCGGCTCTGGGCTAACCAAGTCACAGAGTTAGAACCCCGGATCTGCACCGGCCAAAGCGGAGGATGATCAAAGATGCCCTGCAGGGTTCTCTATCGTCGTTTGCCGGCTTTTTGGCCTGGATTCCGAGACCGACATAGTTCCGTGCCTTGCTGGATCTCGCTAATGGTGGCGATTGGCAAGCGGGGGCATTTCCGCATACGATAGAGATGAAGCTCTCTCGAATCATTCGCGTGGCCGGCTGCCCTCGACTCATGTCTCCCCTGAGAGGGTAGCGCAACGGTTTTTCGCTCCTAGCATCAGCCGTGGGGAGTGACTGTAGCTTCGCGGTTCATTAAAGTGTACGTTCCCGACCTTCCGCACCGCGCTGGCATCTTTCCTGTATGTCGCCATCTCAGAATCCGCCATCCTCTTGGTTCAGTCGTCGTCGTTCTCGTCTGGTTCCATCAAGAATCATCATTGATCGTGCCAATCGGAAAACACCCTAGAGGCTTTACGAGGCGAGCCGCTGTCTCGCGCTCGTGCCAGCAAACATGCCGGGCGGCCCTCATGTTCCTTTGGAGGTGGCCATGTCGTGGAAGTCAAACTACGTAAACCCTCCCACGCATGGCTCTGGAATCGTCGTCGAGGAGAGCATCCTGTTGGGACTATGTTATCTCACAGTCGCTCTCCGCGTGTACACGCGAGGATTCCTCGCAAAAAACTTCGGCCTAGACGATCTCCTCATCATCATGAACCTGGTATAACGCGATTCTCCCCAAACCTCGAATTGCGCATTAACGAGTGGCGTTCAGATCCCCTTGACAGGTTTCGCCGCTATCCTTATCCTAGGTATGGGCAGCGTCTGTGTTCCAACATTCCAGTATGAGACACTGACTTGACGGCGCAGCGTTCACGAAGTACGGATGGGATAAACACATTTGGGATATCCCTCCTGACCAATTGGTTCAGGCGCGAAAGGCTATGTTCGCCATGGAGATTATCTATCTTTGGTCCTCTAGTACTACAAGGATCTCGATTCTGTTGTTCTACAGACGACTGGGTGGATCTGTGTCACAGGTATTCCGCTACACCGTGTATGCTGCTATTGCCTCTGTCATGATTTATAATATCGGCTACAATATCTTTGCTTTCACTCAGTGCACACCTTTGAATGCATATTGGAACATGGGTAATGCGTTCTGGCTGCTTGCTCACCAAGGCGACTGGTAAGAGATTTCACATTTCCCAATCCTGCTAGCTGCCTCTGTGCTTGGAGTCCTGCGCCAAAGCGTGGGCATGAACGGACGGTTGATATGTTCGTGTTTGTGAGAACGAATGAAAAATGAAACTTCGATAGCCGGCAAATGAGCAGCAGGCTGACCAACTTCTTACAGGAAATGTGCCGATGAAGCAGCTGCAGTCGTCACAGCTGCAGCTATAAGCATGGTGCAGGACTTCTTGGTCTGCATCCTGCCTATGGCGTTGTTCTGGCATCTTAAGATCTCCTTCAAGCAAAAACTCGCACTGACGGGCATATTCGGTGTTGGTTTCTTGTAAGTTTTTACGAATTGTTAGATTGATCTACAAGTGGTTCAAAATTTTAACTTGATTTCAGTCTATGCATATGCGGCATCCTCCGCATGATTTACATTATCAAGATCTATTTCTATACTTACGACATGACCTGGGTATCATTGCAAATTTGGATATGGTCTGGGATTGAGTCGCACGTTGCAATCATTGTCGCTTCACTGCCAGCTTTGAATCACTTCTTTGGATATGTCAAAGCAGGCAAAGTTGTGAGCGGATTGAAGTACGGGACCTCGAGGACAGGTGGCAGCAGCCGGAAGGGCTACGACCAAACAACATCGCAAACCAACAGCCAAATTGGCTACGAATCCAAGACAGCCGAGGCCTACGATAGGGCAATTCATGTCACGCATGACGTCAGATTGGAGGAGTTCGTCAATGACAAGAGATACGACTTGTACAACCCGTCGGACTTCGATGATCAGCCTTGGACAAATAGCAGTCGCTTCGATGACGTAGAAACAACAGCAGAGAGGACACCAGAACAAACCTCGACGACTTGGCTGGAGGATGATACATCTGGGGAGGAATCGGCACCCGAAAAACCCGGACCGGAGCGAAAGTATTCTGGTTTCGCTGACTCGCGGCGTTTCTATTAGCCACGCCTTGGTAATTGTGAGTGTTCAGCGCTCAGCGTCCGCCATCCATGCGGACCCCCTCCCCTCTCAACACAGTGCCAGAGCTTGACGATTTTCTAAAGAAGAAAAAAAAAATTACATGGACCCGTATATGGGATTCTGCATATTGGCGATGTAATGATACCCTTTCCAGCATTGTGGCGTGTCCTAGAAATCATAGCTGGTACCAACTCTGTACATAGATAAATCATCTTACTTTTCGACCGCGTTGTTTACGAATGCTCCTATGCCAGCAAGATCTACCTGTCTTCATAATGACAGAGCTTCGAGGTCGTGTCATATGCAAGAAAGACTTCATAGTTCGATAGAATTTTCTTTTTTTTTTTGGTGAGCTGACAGAACTTTAGCGGCCTATCTCCCAGTTTAATGGAGAACTGAGCTACATTTCTATTATTGGGTGACATGAGCATTTGAGCTATGAATTTAGATACCTCCCAGGATTCTGTGCGGTCTGATGCAAGCCCAACAGCCTCGCTTCACTCACATGAACTGTCTACCACCTTGTGCAAAACCTATCCTCCGTCTTTTCCACCCCGGAATATCCTCTCCTCCTTTTTCGCATCTTGTCTTGATAGTTTGCCATACATTCGGCCAACCTGCCTCTAGCGTAGGCTTCCTTGTTGCGCCCTGGATTGCCAGTTTCTTCTGTGTGCTCACGTAGCCATTGATCAGCCCCTGACTGACCAAGCTACTAACTACACTCTCAATGACTTGCAAATCGGGCAAGAGGAATGGATTGACTTCCTCGTCGAAGAATTCATCGTCTTCCTCGAGACCTTCGAAATCATCGTCCACGTAACGGGAGGCTTTTGGAGGATCTTGTGACATGAATACCCAATTCGTATGGCGATTTCCAGGACCACCATCACTCAAACTAAGCGGGTTAAGCGCACGTTTTTCAAGATATTGGGCAACAGTCACAAGATCTTCAAGTTCGAGGAATGGTGGACGACGAAGCTCGGGTTGCCCGCGATCGCCGTGGAGTATCCACACCTTTCGACTGAGAGACCGCCACACAAGGACTTCACAGCGACTTCGAATCTGAAGGAACACGCGGTGAAAGAGAAACCACTCTGCGTGTTCGTTATCCATGGCAGTGAGTCGACGGAAACTTGCCAAGTCGCCGCTGCGTATAGCGTTGCAGATGGGCTGATAACGTTCTCGAAAGCCTCGTGCCTCGGGCTTCTGGTATAGGGCTTCGGATGGAAACTTGCCCAGGATGATGTTTGAGGTGACGAGGTAAACAAGAATGAGTCGACGTTGTTTGGTGGCTTGTTTGTGACATTCGTCATATGCCGCTTGAAGAGCAGCTTGTGCGCGATAAAAGTGATTGACTGTAAAATAGAACCGACCGAGGTAATATAAGTATGTGGCTCGTTCTGATCGCGGATAGATCTCGATGGGCGGTGACTTTGCCCCTATGTTTGTAAAAATCTGCTCTGCACTTTTTGTCTTCTGGCATCCGAAAAATATCTTGAGACAGATATTTGCGAGCTTGTAGATGCCAGCATGTCGCCCGAAAGGTTTTGTAGCTTGATTTGATGTATATTGTGCCATTTCATTGAGACATGCGACGAAGCCGTTGCGTATTGTGTTTGCTGCTCTCTCAGGCAAAGACAGGCGCTCCCCGCCTTCATCTGTTTGCTCTACGAAGTTTGCGATCAGCTCCGGTTGCTTTTCTAATCCAAGGGCGAGTCGGGCCAGCACTTTTGCGTAGGTTACTGCAACCGGCAACATGACAACTCCGACCTCAGAAGCACTAAGTGCGCTGTTACACTTCGATACCAATTCCGTCAACTGTCTGTACGTGCTAAGTAAATTTCCTGGATCGACCTCTCGAAGGTAGACAAGATACTGGCACATGAAAGCAGCAAATCCAGTCCATTCGTCGCCGTTTGTCAGCAACACTGATGACAGTTTAGGTCGAACTTTCTCCTCAAGCTGCGAGCTAACCTCAGCAGGCTTTTCCGGGTCTGCAGGAAATTGAGATCTCATTTCTTGTATAATATTGTTATAAATATCGGGGAAAGCAGGCTCTATCGGCATCCAATTCCGAAGCTCTTCAGCATCGCTGCGATTTATTATCTCGGAGATGCCTTCAAGGAATCTGTCCACTGTCGGTGTAGCCATGATAGCCATGATGGGATTGCGCAGCCAAAGCAGGAATTTTCCTGCCTAGCCAAGGCCGGATTGAATAGTTTTCTTTCAGACAGATATCATGCCCAGTCGATTTTTAGATGAAATACCAGTATTGAAAGTCCTATTGGATGACTTGGAGTGGTCGAGTCCTTGCCCACGGGATATTTGACAAAGCCAAGTTCGCGTCAACGTTTGTGTATATCAGTGCCCAAGACCGTACAGTTAAAGAGATATCATTGAGATTGATGAATGGTATGTGTTGATATTGTATGAAATTTTTTATTTTGTCTACGATCCATCGATAGCAAATTGGTATTCGATATTCTGTTGACGGGCATGGACGGAGGACGTGGCTGTTCTGCGGCTTGAAAGCTGCGGAAGGCCCGTGCCATCTTTTTCACATTTGAGTGTTGAGTCTCTAAGGCCTCAGTTTTTGCGAGGCTGCACGTCTGCGCTTCGAATCCTCAAAGGATGACGGTAGACGCCAAGGGACACATCATGATGGAAGACGACTTGGTGGAGCATGATATTTCACAGCTATGCTTTGACTTCTCGAAATGGCATCAAATGCAAACTGAAACGACCAGCTTTTAAATCACGCCTCACGAACATTTAAGACGTGGAATCAATATCAGCTGTATCCCAAGGCACTCATGTCTTTCTAGTGAAGTGATTTCGAGTTGTACCTATTAAACCCCAGATGGATACCTCAGTCTGCCTCTTGCGTACAAAGGTACAAAATGAATTTCTTTTCTATGATGAGCTGTGCAACCTGAGACCTCCGACCCTTGTTCTGGTTATTTGCTACACTGAGCAGAACAAGAGATCCTCCTTCGAGAATTTACTTCAAAGAGCGTTTACTGGCTGTGCGGTAAACTGATTACGTCGTTGACGGGCAGTCTCATGTCATCTCTGTTCATTCCTGAACAAGATCACAAATAACTCATGGTGAGTGGATGCATAGTTTGATCGGCCAACTTTGAACTTATTGGCCCAGCACCTGTCCTTGCTAGATGGTAGAGCGGCCTAATTGTGCAAAAGGTAGGTTTACCTTCCAAGAATACTCACTTTATAGGAATGACGTTGCACAGAGTTTGGATGCGACATTCTCAGGAGCATCATCAATCCCCCATATCCCATTCGACTTCATCCTTTGGCTCTTTCGGTTCCTGCGCCTCGTGAAACTGAATGGCATCATCAATGTAGCTGAGAATGCCGCCAACACTATCCTCGTTTTGGGCGTCCAATTGCAGAAAGGACACGAGGCTATAGTCATCGATTAACTTTGCAACTGCCCTGTTCAGCCGTGCAAAAGAAGCTCCAGCCATCACATTCTCGCTCGCTGTCGGGTCGATGGCCTCTTCATCGTCCTCTGTAGCAAAGTTGAGTCTCTGGTCTGCTGAAGGAATGTCGTCAAGTAGGTCTAAATCAGCTTGGATAAAGCGGCGTAACTCCTTTCTCGTGACCGTGCCTTTCACAAGATCCATTTTACTGAGAATGTTGACGTGCGGTATTCCGAGCATAAGCATAGCGCTCATAGCAGACAGCGTACCAGCAAAGAACTTTGCACGGTCCACTATGAACGTAGCCTCGAGCAGGTAGGCAGCGCACAGTCTAGTATTCAATGAACCCTCTGTAAGTTGTTTCGTCAAGGTTGGCAGTATAGGCACGTGGGTGTATAGCTCTATCTGTCCGGGCATATCGATGATAATAAGATATTCTTCAGTCACACTCTCAAGAGGATCTGTAAGAAAGTCCATGTTCTCTAACAAGTACTCGAAGCAGAAGATAAGCCCTCCATTTGGGCCAAGGCCCATCTCCTCCATAACATCCTCAAGACTGACAAGATCCTTGATGTCAACATCTGGTTCATAGGCAAAATCTTCTGCAGCTGGGTCCAAGTTGATATAAAAGCATGATCGCTTGTTCGTTTGTAGATACTGTATCAAGGCGGTGCAGAATGTTGTTTTGCCTCCACTTGCATCAGTTTTAGGAACTATCACAGCCCGCGGAAACACTTACCAGCGCCAGCTGGCCCCATGACCAGAACGCCATATCTACTCATGCTGAAGATTAAGGAAGTTCGTCGAACGCAAGAACACTTGGTCCGAGCCACATCTGTAGAAACCTAGGGGTACAGTCGCACTCGGAGTTTGAAGTTTAGTGCAGAGCGATCTTCATCCAATTCAAGCGAAGCTAGCGCGCTATTAAAGTATTTTTTCTTTTAGCTTCTTTCGGTTTATGGAACTGCGGCGGCGAAGACGCCGATGTGTCCGGTTGTTGCCTTGCAGCCTTTCTGCCTGACAAATTCGTTGTCCGATGTCGCAAACTCCTGTAAAAAATGCTTGCGGTTGAACTCGGACTCTGGTGCGTGACGTTAATTGCTAAAAGATGGCGTTTGGAAGCAAAGAATTTTAGCGGGGTATATGAAGCAAATTAAATAGCAGAGTCTGCCAGTCTCAAAACGTGGTCTCAACGAAGCCTATCAACGACGTGCGTGGTTAAGCGATTGCGAAATCGCGCTAAAATCTTTCGGCATTTATTTTTCGGGACGCTGATTTCAAGATTCTTAAAAGACCTCAACTCTTCGCTCCCGTACATATTCGGTCGTTGCACCCTCGCTCACTTACTCCAGTAACCGGGAGCTACTGAATTGTTTTTGCGATTCTTTTTCTTCGCACACTCTCGTCCTTATAATCCAGTTCAAAATGACGACCAACGGCGTCAAAACCCCAACATTTCTCTTCACCTCCGAGTCGGTGGGAGAGGGACATCCAGAGTGCGTGTGATTGACAGTCTAGCTTCTAATATGTACTGATTTTCTTCACAGCAAGATTGCGTAGGTTTTCTGCAACGTCTATTGCGCCCAATCTCTTCTAACCAATTTCTACGTACACAGCGACCAGGTGTCCGATGCTATTTTGGACGCATGTCTTGCTGAAGATCCACTCTCCAAGGTCGCGTGCGAGACTGCGACCAAGACTGGCATGATCATGGTCTTTGGCGAGATTACTACAAAGGCACACCTTGACTATCAGAAGATCATCCGAAATGCTATCAAGGACATCGGCTACGACGATTCAAGCAAGGGCTTCGATTACAAAACCTGTAACGTGCTTGTCGCGATCGAGCAACAGTCTCCCGACATTGCTCAAGGTCTACACTACGACAAGGCTCTCGAAGAGCTTGGAGCCGGTGACCAGGGTATTATGTTTGGTTACGCTACGGATGAGACACCGGAGATGCTTCCACTAACCGTTATCTTGGCGCACAAGCTTAACTCTGCTATGAAGGAGGCACGCAACTCCGGTCGTCTGCCGTGGCTGCGACCAGACACTAAGACTCAAGTTACGGTTGAGTACAAGCACGACTGTGGCGCCGTTGTGCCTCTTCGCGTTGACACAGTTGTTGTCAGCGCACAGCATAGCGAAGACATCACTACGGAGCAGCTACGAAAGGAAATCAAGGAGAAGATCATCAAGGAAGTCATTCCAGCCAAATACTTGGACGAGAACACCAAGTACCACGTATGTCATCCCTGTTTGCGCAGAAACTCAGTCTGTACTAACTTGTGTTTAGATCCAACCATCTGGCCTCTTCATCATTGGTGGTCCTCAAGGCGATGCTGGCCTGACTGGTCGTAAGATTATTGTAGATACTTACGGTGGCTGGGGTGCTCATGGCGGTGGTGCCTTCTCCGGCAAGGACTACTCCAAGGTGGATCGCTCGGCCGCGTATCTGGCCCGTTGGATCGCCAAGTCCCTCGTCAACGCCGGTCTTGCCCGCCGCTGCCTCGTTCAGCTCTCCTACGCAATTGGCGTTGCTGAGCCTCTCTCGTTGTTCGTTGAGACTTACGGCACCTCTAGCAAGACCTCCGAGGAGCTTGTCCAGATCATCCGAAACAACTTCGACATGAGACCCGGTGTCATTGTCAAGGAGCTTGATCTCACCAAGCCAATTTACAACCAGACTGCGAAGAATGGCCACTTCACAAACCAAAACTTCGCCTGGGAGAAGCCAAAGAAGCTCATCTTTTAAATGATCCTTTTTTTTCCCACGAAACTTCAACATCTAATCATATATCACGGGCGGCGTTTGTGACTATCTGTTCATCATGGATCTGTTCTTTTTGTGGCGACGAGACGAGTTTAAAGATCGAATGCTATACGGAAAACAGACACGTTTCTTTTCCTCATGCATATTCAACATAGACCCTTACGGAGCGGTCCAAGTGCAGATCATGTTTTCAAAAAAAACGACGCCGATCATGATTCATGAGCATACAGCGCAGGCGTTATTGAAACTAAGGGAGGCTTATTCAACATCTCCCATCAAAAAGATACCACTCCTCGGGGGTTTTTCTTTCTGTTGCTCCGCAACGACGGTTTGTTAGCTTTTCTTTATCTTCTGCGAATATACCCAGACTGGGTGATGTACCGTATGCCTGGGCACGTTGTCTTTCCACGGCAAGCTGAAGGATCAGGTAGTTGTAGAGGTAGTAGAGAAGATAATGAAAGAGAAATGGGTTTCGCAAATCAACTTGTGAGCCTGAACACCAGATTTCGAAACTCAAGTTTCAATTCGTCTACGTGCCTAGCAGTTGTGTCTAGACCAAATAAACAGCAGTTCGATATGCTAACATGCAGGTTTAGACAAGACCGAAATTCATGATGTTCAAAATGCCTTCCAGAAACCAATATTCCTTCGCCGCCCAAATGCGGGTATAATACTCCAAATGCTTAAAATTGCGTTGACGCAAAATCCGTAGCTACGCTTGATCTACGAATCAGAGGAGATCGATGTCCTCATCGCCATCGCCAATGCCTGCGTTAGCAATGAAAGGATGTCTCAAAGCTTCATCGGCCGTTATCCTCTTGCTTGGATCACACTCCATGCAGCGCTCAAGAAAGGCCACAGCCTCTTTCTCGTCTGCTTTCAGACCCTGTGTGCGGTTGCCGTTTTTATCCTTTTGCGAGCGGTTTGTAGACCATAATATGATTTTTTCAAAACTATGTCCCTTATCGCTGTAGGACGGGATGTTTGTCTCGAAGATCTGTCCGTGCAGGTATGCGGTCTCCTCCATCTTCTTTTTTCCCAGGATGTTTGTCAGCTCGAGCAAAGCGTCTATGTCATCTGCACTGTGGAAAAAAGGAAAGCGACGCGCAAGGAGGGTGAGAAGAATCACACCTGCGGACCAGATATCGATACTGCAGGTTTGCATTGTGCATTTCAAAAGGACTTCTGGAGCGCGAAAGCCTCTTGTTCCAGCACGATTAGCACGTCTTGAAGGACGAGTGTCGTTTCTTGGATATAAAGCAGGACCATTACTCCCACGATCGCAAGCCATTTCAACAGCAAGACTATTCTCATGCCGGTATAATCGCTCTTCAGGAGTCCAGCTACACGGGCACTCCTGCCAGTCGACTCCTTGTCGTTCAGCGAGGCCGAAGTCCACAAGGACACCTCGTGCTTGCGCAGGATTGTAGAGAAAATTAGTAGGCTTGATGTCACGGTGGATTATATCAGCTTTGTGGACAGCTTTCAGAGCAGTGAACAAACTCTTAAAGTATTGTCGCATTTCACCAACGGTAAAGTCTCGGAAGTACTCCCGGAAGTCGCGATGCTGGAAGTACGGTAGAATGGCTACCACTTGGTCTTGATGGCGAAATGCAGTAATAAGCGGACAGACAGAATCAGAATCCCTTAGATCGTGTAGCAATTCGAGCTCGTTGAGGATACGGATTGGGCTGCTTGTGACGTAAATCTTTTTAATTGCGACATACCGACTTCGCTTCGGCCTTGGTCGATGACCTCTCCGCGACGGGGACTGCCATTTCAAGCGTTCCTTCTCGTCAATATCCCAGTCGTTTTTGAACTGGTCGTATTGAAGATCCTCTGCCTTGTAAACGGTCGAGAATGTTCCTGAACATTATCAATTTCTGCATATCAGTTGAATTTGAACACCCTGACCTTCTCCTATGCGGTTGATAAGTCTGTAATTCTTTCCAATGTCCTTGAAAGACCTCTGGAATTGCTCAATATCTTGAAGCACAGAGTCGTCAATGTCCTCGTCCTCGCTGTCGTCTTGCGTGCATCCGCTTTCCTCAAGAACCTCTCTGCTCTCTTCCATGACAGTATCATTTTCGTCCTCGGCTGATGGTTGTTGAGGATCTTCATGTATCTCCAGTGGCGCCTGCTGACGAAGTCGCGTGCCACGCATTTCGAGAGTCGCGCGTATCGGCGAATGAGATTGTGACTGTGACTGTCTATAAAAGGCTTCGAAAGAGGACGCAGGCGCAGACGGGCGCGACGGGCTCTCCATGTAAGATGGTGATGGCACGGCAGGTAAATTTCGGATAGAGGTCGCAGCGAAATTGGTGGCTGTGGTGATTGTCGTGTTGCTGGCACTTACGGTAGTAGTACCTGCCGACTTTCTTTGGGAGGGTCGTGGTTGCCCTGCTTGGCATTGTTTGTCAACACAAAAGCAGTCGCGTTCAAGCCACTCTCTGATCGCACAAGTCCCAACCGCCCACACTATCACGCATTATCGATGTGAACAGCTACCACCTTCAAGCTAACCTTTCAAAATGGACGAACGGATAGAATTTGATATAAACGATGCTCTCAAGCAGTATCTCAGTGACCCCACCACCATCGCCACTCCCGAAGCGCCTTCTGATTTGGCAGACTGCGAGAACGACCCGGAGTCTCTGACGCCAGCGCTCATAAACAGCGCGCTGAATCCTGTGGTGGATGCTGTTGCAGAAAACCCAGATGCAATCACGAGAAGACTCAATTTTGACACTCTACAATTCTTACTCAAGTGCGCATCTACCATTTCATTGAAACCGCAGCGAAATGTAACATACTGACTCTGCGCCTTTTTGCCTCTCTAGATCATCGTCGATACTCCCACCTACAAGTCTTAGCAAGATCCTTGACCTCATAGTTTCGAGCGTGTCGGCTGCTGCAGATGCTGCCAACGCAGACTTAGAGGCCGATGAGCAGGAAACGATTGCTCATCACAAGCAACTCTTGGAAGTCTACGGCTTCCTACTTCAATGGGTTCTTGCAGTCGTGGAGACCAAGGCTTCAGAGAAGTCTGCGTCGTCAACTGTAGTCCGCGGAAGAGGTGGAAAAGGCATAAAGAAAGGCTCAAACAAGGATGGCGTTTGGGATTCATCTGCCCAGCTGCAGACTGCCTTGGACGTTATGAGCAAAGTCCTCAGGTTGAAGCTAGCACGAATATTCGTTACTACCTCCGAACGAGATACATTTGTCAGCCTATTCACACGACCAGTGTACTTAGTTCTTGAGAGCGAGGCTAGGGTGAAAAGCCAGGCGATCAAGATGCACGCATTCAGAGTGCTTTGCATAGCTGTTAAACACCATGGACACGCTTTTGGTATGTTCATTCTTCTGGTTCCAGGGCTGATACTCACACTGGGCAGCTGCACAAACGGCGATTGTTCAAAATTTATCCTATTTTGAACATTTGTCAGAACCTATGGCAGAATTTCTTCAGATTCTTTCTGAGCAATACGATTACCCTCAGCTAGCCGAGGACGTGCTTCGCGAGCTAAGCAACAAGGAATTCAACAGCAATGATACCAGAGGGCCAAAATCCGTCTCTATATTTATTGCAAAATTGTCTGAGCTGGTTCCTCGAGTAGTCATCAAGCAAATGACATCAGTTGCGAAATTCATGGATAGCGAATCTTATACTCTCAGATGCGCCATTATCGAGGTTTGTGGAAACTTGATTGCCATGTTAAGCAAGGAGGAGCCAGATGGTGAGCGAAGTGAGAACCACAAAGCTCAAATCAACGTTTTCTTTGACGTTCTCGAGGAAAGATTCCTCGATCTTAATCCGTACTGCAGATGTCGTGCTCTGCAGGTCTACGTCAAGCTTTGTGATCTCGAGACCAAATTCCCAAAACGCAGACAGACGGCTGCAGAGCTCGCTGCAAGGAGTCTGGAGGACAAGAGTAGCAATGTCAGGCGCAATGCAATCAAACTGCTTGGGAAACTTGTGCAGACTCATCCGTTCGCGGTCCTACATGGTGGCCTTCTTACCTTCAAAGAGTGGAATCAGCGATTGGAAACAGTCGATGCAGAAATCAATGCTTTGACGCCTCCACAGGAGCTACGAGAGAAGGAATCTAGCGACAACACTGTTGACACGGCACTCCTCGATGATGCTACAATGGTCGAAGCTGATCAACCAAAACCGGCCGAAATGACGGATGAAGAGAAAGCTGCTGCAATAGAGAAGCTTGAGGCCGAAGCTGCTACTGCTGAAGCACTCAGCAAACTTCAGCTCACGAGAAGATACTACGTGGAGGCGCTAAAGTTCATAGAAGTTCTGCATGATGCATCGCCTACAGTCATGCAACTACTGTCTTCAAAAAATAAGAGCGAAATAATCGAAGCAATGGACTTTTTTGTCATGCTCGATGCATACAAGGTCGAGACGGCTCGTGATGGTATCCGCAGGATGCTGCGACTAATTTGGACCAAAGGGAACAGTGACGAAGGCAAGGGTGTCCAGACGCACTTGATTGAGTGTTATAAAGGCTTGTTCTTTGACGCTCCAGACTCTTTCAGTCCTAACGATGCGGCCAACTACGTCGCACGAAACATGATCAGCTTAACATTTGGTGCATCACCAGCCGAGCTGACTTCTCTAGAGCAGCTCTTGAGCACAATGATGACACAGGAAATGATAAACGAGGCTGTCATACAGAAACTGTGGGCTGTGTACGGTGTGCAAAAGAAGGATATCTCCAAGAGCCAGCGTCGCGGAGCCATTATTATATTGGGTATGCTCGCTGTAGCAGATCCTGATATTGTAGTCAAGGAGCTTGAGACTTGCTTGCGTATAGGCTTAGGCGAATTTGGTCGCCGTGACTTTGTGCTTGCCAGATATACTTGTGTTGCTTTGCAGCGCATAAATGTCATCGGGAACAAAAACAAAGACCAGAAAGGCAAGTCAATGGGTAGGCTTCCAAATGACCATGCTGTGCTCATGCGTCTGGCTGCCATGACGGAGCTGGTTTCGAGCAGCAAGGAGTGGTTTGGTGTCGCTGAGCAAGCCATTGGCGCTATCTATGCGCTCGCCAAACATCCAGACGTCTTATGCACAGAGATTTTGCGTCGCAAAACCAAGCATGTTTTCACGAAGACGCAGTCAAGGACAACTCGTGATCCTGATGCAATGGAAGTGGATGGCGAGGAAGAAGAGCAGTCGAGGCCGCCAACACCTGTTGAGACACAGAAGCCTGCTTCCGCTCTGTCACAACTGTTATTCATTGTTGGCCATGTAGCCATCAAGCAGATTGTGCATCTTGAGCTCTGTGAACAGGATTTCAAGCGGCGAAAAGCAGAAAAGGAAGCGAAGACGGGTGGAACGAAGACGCCTCGCAAGTCTACGCCCGCGCCGACTGAACCGCCGACCACAACGAAGAAAAGCAAACGCCTAACAAAATCGAAGACTCCAGCGCCAGAAGAAGAACAGGATGAACTCGACCTCATTGCCGGCACCACGGAGGACGACTTCACTGAAGCCATTCAACACATTCGAGAGCGTGAACTTCTCTACGGACCCAAGAGCATATTAAGCTCATATGGCCAACTCGTTGCCGAGATCTGCGCCAACAACACTACATACCCAGATCCCATCCTTCAGTCACAAGCTGCACTTTGCATGGCAAAACTCATGTGTGTTAGCTCCGAGTACTGTGAGCGACAGCTTGGGCTACTAATCACTATTCTTGAGCGCTCCAAAGATGCAACCGTACGTTCCAACCTGGTTGTAGCCCTTGGTGACATGGCCGTATGCTTCAATCACCTCATTGATGAGAACACGGATTTCCTGTATCGTCGTCTCAATGATCAGGATGTGTCCGTCAGACGAACATGTCTGATGACGCTGACATTCCTGATCTTGGCGGGCCAGGTCAAGGTCAAGGGACAGCTTGGTGAGATGGCCAAGTGCACAGAAGACGACGACAGAAGGATCAAGGACATGTCGCGCATGTTCTTCACGGAGCTCGCAACAAAGGACAACGCTGTTTACAATCACTTTGTGGACATGTTTTCTCTGCTCTCTGCGGACCCCAAGCTGGACGAAGACGCGTTTAGAAGGATCATCAGGTTCTTGCTCGGTTTCATCGAAAAGGTACGTTTGTTTCTCCTGGAAAGCGCCAGATGGCCCAGGCAAGGAAACACCAGTCACTGACAGTGTGTTGCCCACAGGACAAGCACGCAAAGCAGCTCGCCTCCAAACTTGCTGCCAGGTTACAACGCTGCGAGAATGAAAGGCAATGGAATGACGTGGCATTCGCTCTTGGGCTTCTGCAGCACAAGGATGAAGAGATCCAGAAGGCGGTGTCGGAGGGCTTCAAACTGGTTCAGGCGCAGGCTTAGTTGCCCATAGCCTTGAAGTGTCTTTCTTTCATGCTCTAGTTGTTAGGACTTCATTGCGTACGATGATAATGATGCTACTACCCAAGGAATTGGCAAGGTTGGGACGATGAGGGTTTCTTTCAATTGTTCTTTGCAGGATGCCGATGAATTCAGATTCTCTTTCGGCTACAGCTCTTGTATTCTAATGAAGCTCGTAGAGCCTACCAAGCGCTCCGGTCCCCCATCTCCTCTTTGGAAACCTGATCCATTCATTCAGTCAAAATAGTGGTGGAAAAAAAAAACGCCGTGCATGCCGTTTGGGTATCACAGCCACTTCTCTCACGCTCGCCGTCTCCCGAAGTGGTTCCGCCTCCCTCTCTTCGTTAAGTAGGGTTTCAACCGACGCGGAAAAGCCAGACAGGATGTCTAATCTTATCTCATCTATCCAATAACAAGGGGAGGGAAAAATGGACCATCAAAAAACAAAACAACGACAACAAAAGGTCTTAAAACTCCGTTCCTGGTCGTCTAGGTGGTATCATGAATGAGCGTCGGAAGCCCGAACAAAGGGGGAAGAACAAAAGAGAAATGTGGAAGGCGGACAGAGTTCGTGCTGTGTGGCGTTGCCGAAATAAAGCGAGATGGAGAATAGGAATGGGTTAAGGAGTTTGGAGTATGAACATAATGCCGGGAAGGCGGATATTTGTTTCAAGGTTTTCCAAGATACTGGTCCGAGTTGCCGTCGTGCTCGTCGCCCTTGCCGGCCAAAGGGCCCGAGCTGAGGTAGATGCGCTCCTGGATCCAGTACTGGATGTGGCAGGGCTTGCGATTGGCGATCTGACATATGAGCGCGCGGTCCAGGCTCTTGAAGCGAGGGCCCAGCGGACCATTGACGTAGTGATACTGGCCCGCGAAACGGTACTGGCGCGGGTCGTCGAGAGGATAGAACTTGTCGCCCCAGTGGCCCCACAAGTAGAACCAGCTCGTGGGCGCGGTCGGGTTGAGCGTCGAGGCACGAAGCAAATCCTTCTTGTAGTCGTACGTGTAGGACTTCATGTTGAGCACGGGGTCCCAGAGGGGTCCACGATCGGTGATGTCATGCAGAAGGCCGAAAGGCAGGACGTATGTGTGCACGCCAGGCGTGGCGTACATGGCGTGGGTTCCTGTCGCAGAATATGTCACGGGCCGCTGACCGATCTTCTCGACGGCTTCCCAGGCGTACGCCGCGCCGCCGTCGTGCTCGCTGAGGAAGATCGCTTTCGGTTTGCCTTTGTAGAAGCGGATACAGGTGTGTTCCCAGTCGCCGACGTGGTCGCCGAATCGGATGTTGAAGACTTTGTTGCCAAGGTTGTAGCTGTAGAAATAAAACCAAAACGCGTCGACGACGTCGTTTCCTTTGTCGACCACGAGCATGATCACCGGTGCGTCACTACGGCCACCTGCTCTCGGCTCGCGTGTTGTCCGCTTCTTCAAGTCAGATTTGAAAACGCTTGCGGAGTGATAGTCGTGAAGACGAGCTTCTGCCTGACCCGACGCCGATTCCTGCCAGATCTTGTGGCCATCTGGCGTGGTCGTGTTGGGGCTCCACCACTTGTCAAAGTCTGGGTCTTCGCGAATGCCAGGGAACGGATGCCATCGCCAGTGGCCCTGACGGCCTGGAAACCGGACACTCTCGGGAACATGTTCGTGCGACGCCTCTGGAATGTTGTACTTCGACCCTAGCCATTCCGGCCTCTGCTCGACGTTGTCGTCGCTCTTCAGAAAGGTGTGTATGCCGTACTTGTTGAGATTGTCAAGGTTCGACAGATTCGGACGACGCATGTCTACATCGACGGGTGTGTAGTTGACGTGTGGCGTCGTGTGTACCAGATGGTCGCCAATATCGCTGGGCCAGAATTCTTCTCCGGAATACAGATGCACGTAAGGCGCGTGGTCGATGACGTACTGCGGGATCTCGCGGAGGATGCGTTCCGAGGTGGTCCACAGTCTCTCATCTTCGTCGCCAGAGTCCCAAAAGCCGGACGAATTTCTCGGCTTCTTGGGTGGACTGTACGTTTCTCCGGGCACGCTTCTCCACCGTGATTTCTGCCAAACATGTGCGATGCCGCATAGACCGAACCAGCGGCACACAGCTCGATCGATGGCCGACTTGGACGTCGCTATCCACTCGCCGTCCTCCAAGGCCTCTGCCGTCATAGGCTGTGTGGCATAATGGGTGAGCAGGCCGCCAATTGTGATTATGAAGATCACGGAGGTTATGAGGGCGGCGCGAAAACTGAGCAAGCGCATGGCTGCAGGTGGTTGAGGACTCTTTTGCGCTCAAGGCGCGCTCGCGGGAAGCTGGGGCTGACTATCGATGTGAGGGCATAGATTGTCTAAGCACGAAGATGACAGCTGTGGACGCTGCGCGGGGATATGAAGGCGCAAGGATGTCGCCTTCTCAAATGGTGAATCGGTGTGTATGCGCCGCGTTGCGTTGCGTCGGTGAATTGGTTGGGGTGGGCCGGGCGGTGATGTACAGAATGTCGCAATTCAAGGTCGTCAACGGGAAAGAGCGGCGGTAGAAGAGACGGCAGTTGAAACGAGACTGCCTACAAGGGTGACGAAGAGGATTGTGGAGGAGGAGGAGGAGGAGGAGGAGGAGGAGGAGGAGGAGGAGTGGTTGAGTGTGAAGAGGAAAAGGTTCGCTGACTGAGCAGACACCGATGGTGAATGTACGGTCAAGGCAGTATGGGAGGCATATGCAGGGTGCGATTTCGGGGCCAGCGAACAAGGTCTCGGACGTGGCCAGGTCCTGTGGCCAACGGTTGAGCGGGAGCGCGCAGAGAAGGCGGAAGCAAGCGGCAGCTGAGGACGACGAACACAGCAGCGAGCGCGGCAAAGCGGGGGGACGCTGCTGTGCTCGGGAAGGGCGGAAGGTTGGCGGGTGGGCGACGCTGCGTCAGAGGCTGGGGCTATCGATAGCACGGCCAGTGAGCCCGGCGCCGAGTCGAGCCGCCCGCGATCGGACGTAGCGGCTCCGGATTGGGCACGCGGCGCCGGAGCCTTGCACTTGGCACTGGCGCCGGCGGCACTCAAGCTTTGCGTTTCCAGGCCTTGGCCGGCGTTGGGGGGGGCGTCGTCGGCGAGAACGGGGGGACAGGCACGGCTGCCGAGGGCGAGAAGACGGGGCGCTGGGCTCGAAACAGATGCGGAGCACGCAGATTTATGTCGAGTCGCGGCGACGAAGAAACAAGAGCCACAAGCCCGCCCGGCCCACGCTCAGCACACGCGCATCCACTCGCCGACACCGAACCGCGCGCCCACGTTTCAGCGCCGGTCGCAGGTCCGACAGCGCAACCCTGCCTGGTGCCGCCCGCCGTGCGATGCAGCAGAGCAGCGACGCAGCAAAGCGAATGGTTCCGGGCCAACAAAATCGGCACGACCGCCCACTCCAGTCCTTCTTCATCATGCCCTGTGCACCACTTGGATCATGCAGGTGGTGCCCTGCGTTGCGACAACCCGGGCCTGGGCCACCAGCTCTCTGAGTCGAGCTCTTGACGCCCTTCGTTGTTTGTGTTTGGGTGTGCCCTCGTCGTCTGGACGACGCTCCTGAGCAGACGGCCATGGCCTCGTCCAGCGATCCGTCTTCCCAGGACGCACTGCCGCTTTGCCGGTGCCCAGCTGCAGTCCGTTCAGAGACGCTGCTTGGCCCTTTGGTCTCATGCCTGTAGTACCTCTGTAGTCATCATCGCATCCGCGCCTGGTTTAGGGCGAACTGTTGGGCAACAAGGCCGCAAGACCCTGAACGATGCACACGCTAAGCTGGACTGGGCATCTCTGTCGTCACTCGTGATTGAGAGGGAAGACGGGGAAGGAAAAAAAAAAGCTGTTGGAACAGAGCATTGCAGCTCCCCCCATCCATCACGGGTTCTACGTCGGTAACGGAGAGACAAAGGGCGCGACGGTTACTAGGCCACGTGAGAATCGCGAGAGCATCAGCGCAGCAGCTCCCGTCATCTGCAAGACAGTCTGCAAATTCTCTCCCCCATCCCAACTTGCAATGTCGCTAGCAAGTGCATGTGCCGTCAAACATGGACATGATTGGCGACGACGACGCTGACTGGGAATATGAGTACGCCGAGAACGAGACAGAGGTGAGCAACATATCAGGATCCGTGAACGGGCCCACATGCTCTGTCGGTCTTCTAACGCGCCTGCCAGGACTACTACGTCGTGCTCGAGCTGCCCGACACGTCAGGCCTGAAGCCGAAAAGCAAGGCCGACGAGCTCTTCGCGCCACATGATCCAACCAAAGCGAGGGGGAAGGCGCCGCACGCAGGCAAGAAGCGAAGACGTGGCCCTGAGGATGGCGACGTCGACGGCGCAAACGAGGGAATCGAAGGCAACGATGGCGATGCTGCATCAAGTCCCGCCGAGCACAAACCCAACGACGACACCGCCGCCTTCACTCAGCCGCGCCTGCTCCGCGACCTGGAGGCTATGAGTCTAGCCGCTACAGGAAAGCAGTCGGACGGCTTCGTCTCTGCTGAAGACGGCTTGCAGATCGTGGATCTGGGCACGGACGAGCCCGTGATCAAGTATCAGGGCCAAATCTACAACTGCCAGTGGGCCGCGAGCATCGGCTCTGACCTTCTATTTGCTCGAAGGCCGGAGCAGCCAAGCCCAGAATACCAGCCGTTGTACTCCTTCAAGGATGTAGACCTCCTGGGCATTGGCGCCGCGAGGCTCATCGCGTCGCCCGCCACGATCGAGCGAAAGCACGACCTCACGCGGCAGTCTCCCCTCGACGCGCCGCTGCCCGAAGGCGGTCAGGCAAACTTGAACAAGGACGTGGTAAGGCAAGCGAGGTTCCTGGGTCGCATCGCAGAGATCAAGGCGAGCAGGGGCGAGCAGGTCGGCAACCTCAAGACGCTGGCCGAATCCGTCTTTCGCACTCCGGAGAACTTTGGCCCGGACGGCAGGCCCCTGAGAAGAGGCAGGGGCGGAAGGGGTGCTGCTGCCCGCGCTGCTCGGAGACGAGCTGGCGCTGCGGCGCAGGTAGCGACGAACGTCGCCACCGACGCAGCCGCTATCGTCTCGACACACGCAGGAGGAGTATCAACGCACAGCGAGGGCGGATCGACGCCGACGCCGGTTAGGTGGGCAGATCTGGAAGACGACGGGAACGCCAAAGCAAGTTAAAAAAATTTGGCACACCTTCACGCGGCCGCGTTGAGCGTGCCTCACAGATGCTACTCGAACCAGTGTGGCTCAGTTTGCTCGTGGTCACTCAAGGCGATACCCTTAGGCTCTCAAAGAGGACGGGTCAAAAGAAAAAAAAAAAAGGCAGACACAGTAAAAACAGAAAACCCAAATAAAGGGGGAAAAAAAGAGCAAAGAATAGAAAAAATAAGAAACAAATTCAAAGATGTGAGATAAATGTAAAGTAGAAGCAGTCGGGGATCACCGACTCTGACCGTCTCTCTTAGCTGCGAAAAAGGCCCTCGTTCCTTGCAGTACTTCGCGCATGTCGTCGCACGTTCTCAGGCTGCCTCTGATCCATCCGGGCAGTTTCCCCTGTATCCGCTCGCTGCCGTACCGCCTGTCGATCAGGAAGATGCAGGCGTAGTCGTTCCTGTGCCGGATTGCTCGCCCCACGGCCTGGTTGACGGCTCTCATCGTCGCGTTTTCGTAAAACTCCTGCGCCGCGGCCTTGCCGCCGGCCGCGCCATCCTCTTTGGCAGCGACGTACTCCATCCTGGCCTTCCACTCTGCGGACTGGGCGTTGGGGAAGGGCAGTCCGAAGACGACGACCGCTCGGCCGAGGCGGTCCGAGAAGTTGATGCCCTCGGAGAGGGAGCCGTTGACGACGGAGAGGAGGAGGGCGCCTCGACCGTCGGTGGATTCGCTGATCGTCTTGGCGAACGAGGCCAGAAGGGCCTCGGTTGCCGCGGCGCTGGGTTTCGCGCCGTTCGAGCTTGAGCCTGAGTCGCCGCCTGTGCTGCTGCTGCTGCTGCTGCTGCTGCGGGGCTCGAGGAAGACGGGCTTGACGGAGTTGAGCTCGTCCCATAACGACATGGACGCAGGTGCATGCTGCGACCTGGCCTCCCTCCACGCCTTGACGCAAGCGTCCAGGTAAGCGTAGCTAGAGAAGAAGGCGACCACGCCGTCCGGAACCGCTCGAGCGAGCTCGATCAGCGTCCGGCCGGCGCCGTGCATCGTCGACCCGGACGCCCGGTTCTGGAACGTGAAGCTGAACTCGTGCCCGGCGCTGTCGCGCGCGACGGACCAGGCGAGCAAGTTCGACGGCGGTATGACGTGGTCGCAGGACAGCGTCATGATGCGTGCCGCCGGCACGTACGGGAAGAGGTGCTTGATGTAGTCGTCCATGGGCGACATGGTGCCGCCGGCAAGGATCACGGCCCGCGCTTCGTCGACGATGTCGCGGAAGTGAAAGGTGGGATCGAGCAACATGTACTGCAGACCGACGCCCTGGTCGTCCTCCGCCTTGAAGAGGAAAAACCGGCCTTCTTTGGAAGGGTTCATCAGGGCCATCAGAAAGTTCTCGATGAGCGTCAGCACGGGAGTCGAGCGCTCCCGGTCGCCGTGTGACGCCTTCCCTCCCGCGCTCTTCTGCGCCTCCTTCTCCGTGAACTCCACGTATCCGTCCACCTTTCTTGCCAGTCGGCTTTCCTGTATGTACTTGGACAGCTTGAACAGGTTGATCTGGTCCACGCCTTTGCCGGACATTAGGTCCGACACGGGCACCACGCCAGCTTGCCGGCCACCAGTCCCGTTTTCGGCCTTGAGATAGCTGATCAAGGAGTCAAGAACGCGCACGATTTGAGTCACGTAGACGCGATTCTTGCCTTTCAGTCGGTTGCGAAATTTTGAAAGGTAGAGGATAAGCTGTGACCGTCCTAGCTCGAGCTGGGTGAGAGATATGCTGGCCGAGTACATGGCCGTGATCGCGTCCATGAGATTGTGGGCTTCGTCGATGATGATGACGTGGTTCTTCAGCGATATGTCCAGAGCCTCGCGAGCAGTCTTTTGAAGCAGTAACGGATACGGGAGCGTCACGATCTGTGCAAAGGTCAGCCTCGTGCACCGGAAGTCGCGCAGAGCCGGTTCTTACCTCGCTCGGCTTTATGGCCGTGCGAGCAGCGTAGTAAGGGCAGATCCCAATCCTGCGCCCAACGTTTCCCAGATCCTCGATGTCCCTGATTTTGGCGAGCGCATGGTCGCGGAAGTTGTTGACCAGAGCTTGGTCTTCCTTCTTCGGCAGATACGGACATCGACGATCAGGGGATGTTTTTGCCTGCTGCAACTCAAGGCAGCGTTCGTTGATGGCGGTAGCACCGGACAGCCTGCTCACTTTGGGATGTATGCAAAGGTTCTTGCGCGCGCCCAGCGTCAAATGTTTTATTCCTTCCGAGACATCATCCTCGCCCGACCGATTGACGTCGCTGTCGACCAGGATCGGAGGTATGCGAACCCGGCGGAGCTCGTTTGCAAACTGTGAGAGTTGCGAATGGGTTCTCGAGCAGTAAAAAATCTTGAGCTCGTCGGGCATTTCCATGTCGTCCTCTTCGGCCTGCATTCCCGCAAACATGCCGAGCCTTTTTAAAATCGCCTGTGTCTCTGTTGAAACGCCGTAGTCTGTCGCGGCGCCGAGCTGGCGACCGCCCTGGCGTTCGTTGTCACTCTCATAATCGTCCAGGATATATTGGTCCTCGCCGCCTTCCTCATCTCCGCCGACTTGAGCAGTTTTCTGCCGCTTGGAAGGAGGCTCGCCACGCTCGTATTTCTTCTGGAGGTTCAGTTCATTCTGTCGTATACGTGCAAGTCGCGCTTCGAGATCTTGCCGATGTTGCAGAGCCCTCGCACGGCGCTCTTTGCGAGCGTGCTCCACAATCCAATCAGGCTCATCGATGTCTGGTTCATCTTGTTCCAGACTTGCTTCAATGTCCTTTGCTTTGTGATTCCGCAGCCAGGTCAACGAGCCGCATATCAGGCTCAAAGATTTGCCGGTGCCTGTGGGTGACTCGAAGATGCCTATTTTGCCTTGCTCAATGCATTCATAGACCGCGGTCATGAATTGGGTCTGGATCGGATAGGGCTCATAAGGATGATGGAAATTCCGAGGCGCCATTTCTTGCCCGCTCCACCACGACCACGCTGCTGCTGTGGCTTGAGATGAAATTGCATTACGCGGATTTTTTTTCCCTTGCTTCCACAATTCCCGCTATGCATCTAGAACTAGTCGCAATCGCGTGTGAGGGCAGCAGTCCTTACGAGTCGCGGCTCGCCAATGCGGCGTATTATCACGTGATTTAGACGCCGCCCGCGGCCGGTGCTACAGCTGATCTGGACTCTTCCCGAGCCGCCACCGATCTTTGCGTCGTCGTTTCGCCGGACGGCCCCAGCCGTCGAGGAAATAGGAGGATGCTCTCCTCCTGCCGCCCGCAATTCAAGCTGCGAGGATCACCATACTCCCTGGTGCGAGGATCAACAAGCGAGCGGCGTTTTCCTTTGACCTGCGTTCTTCACTGCGATCAACATGTGTTGATCCTGAACGAGCAAGACTTGCTGTTGGAGCGTGCTTCCTACTACCCCTGACCCTCTCCCCGTTGTCTTTCTCCACTCTTGAAACTCGGGTGATGACGCGGAACATGGATTACGTTGCGCTTAAGGCACGATATTCAATGATAGGCAAAGCAAAAAGATTCTGGGTAGAATTAAAAGATGTTTCTCAGATCGAAGAGTTGGCGCCGAGCCCTCTGCTCTGCTCAACTTTTCACGACATTCATCGAGCAATCTGCCTTGTTGACACATGCTCGGCCATTCCTTTGTTTCACATTCGGTCCTATGTTCTGGTTAGCATAGATCTTTGTTTTTCATCGCAATCCCTTTTTTTGTGATCGGACAAGTTCCATTCCGCTGCCGAAACAGTCGCTCACGTACACTGTTCCTTTTTGCATGTCGAAGTAAATGCCCCCAGCTGAGGGTGGCCGTCCGTACCGCGACATCAAGACCGCTTCGTCGCTTAGAGCCTCGGTCAAACCGACAGCCTCTTCCGTCTTTCGTATGGCCTATGATTTTGCGGAGAAGGGTCGAGGTATGATGGGGTGGCCCTCGGACATCAAGTTACCCTCGCCACGGCCGCAGCTCCCACGCAGACGCTCGTATCGCAATTTCTTGATTATCTGCATTGTCGGTTTGCTATGGATATTTTCTTACAGGCACTACGAGTGGGTGAAGTCGACAAACATACCCATCCTCGGCGCTCGACCGTCTGAGTTGCACGGCTACTTCCCTCCAATAGGGAATAATTTTCTACCAAAAGTTGCGGATTACAATGTGTATCGAAGAACGCACCCAAGAACGCCCTTGTTCATTCCGTTCACTAGAAACAACTCCATGCTTCGTCAAGCCGTGCTAAGCTACATCGCAGCCGGCTGGCCAAGAAATGACATCGTCATCGTGGACAACACCGGTGTTATGGATTCCAACGAGAGACATCTGCTCGCCGAAGATAATCCCTTCTTCTTGGACTACGACCTTTTCAGGCGTAGATACGGAGTTTCAATCCTTCAGACGCCTACGCTGTTCAATTTTGCGCAGCTGCAGAACTTCTTTCTAAGGACAGCGATCGCACGACAGTGGCCATTCTACTTCTGGAGTCATATGGACATTGCGGTCCTTAGTGGTGAGGACCTTCAGCCTTTCAAGTCCTTTTACCATCGAGTCATCGACGTTCTCGATTCCGTGGGGCTGGATCAGTATTCGACTCTTCCTCCAACACCCGAGCAGGAAGCCGGAAAGGAGGAACCGAAGTCAAGGCGCTCCTTAACTGAAATGGCGAGGAGAAAGCAAAAGGAGTTGAAATGGGCGATCAAATTCTTCGAATTTGACAATTTGGCACTGATCAACGTCGAGGCTTGGAAGAAGATCGGCTCCTGGGATGTCTTCATCCCATATTACAACACTGACTGCGATGCTTACGCCAGAGTGTTGATGAATGGATACACCAAGGATGAAGTGCAGGCAGGCTACATATTCGATGTGGCTGACCTTGTGGAGGACCCAGAAATTCGCTTCTTCCCTGCGGAGACAGAGAAGGACCGGAAGAAGTGGGGTCTCTCGCCATCAGGACCCGAACCGTACGGCGGAGAAGTCAACAGCGCGCGTTTTCAATGGCTGAAATCCGAGCTTCAAGAAATGATGGACGTGAAGAACACTAACGAACTTGGACGCAACACATGGCAAGGTGCCTCGGCGGATCGACGGCCCCCCCGACATCCTGAGCCGTGGTCGCATTCCCCCAAGGACTTCCAGGCCTCCTGGTGGGCGGCAGCAGATGCTGGTCGTGCAATTTATATCAAGAAGTGGGGGACACTTCAGTGCGACTTGACGGAAAACAACCGAACTCTGCAACATGTCTGGTTCCAGGAGCATGTGCAAGAAGAAAGCCCCGAGTGGGTTGCAAGAATGCAAGAGATGGAACACTGGAATGGCATCTTAAATGAAGCAGCCATTCGGTAGTAAATCCATCGGGTCAGACAGCTAAGACGGCATCGAAACAATCGCGCAGGCTATCGCGAACTTGAAGAACTGAGTGAGCAGAAAAACACAGTAGGATTGGCGCCAAGGAGGTTCAAATCGAAGATCAAACGTTCCACTCCGAAAAGGGTTGGAAGTTAAATGGTTTCATCGAATTTTCTGCTCGAGCAGTGGACGGAATCGAAGAGAGAGATCCGGTTCCAGCTTGGGTAGGTTCGCAAGGGAATGTGAGTTCACCCGAAAAAGTATATTGCGGGATAGAGATTTCAGCCAATGACGGCATTCCTGATTTCAAGTGGGGAAATAATTACCCATTCAAGCGATTATGTACATAGATCGATATCCATAGAGCTATCTTTTTGCCTTCTTTTTTTTTGTTTGAGATATTCTCAAAGTATATATTTATTTTCCAATTCCAAGATCATTTTCGGGTTCGCTCAGGCCTTCGATTTCGTTGAATTTCGTGCATTGTATGCTTCCCGGATTGCTGACTGAGAAGCGCAGTATGGAAGTCACACAGGTATGTAGGGCTTCGCCCCTGGTGCAGACCAGGCATTGAAAGCAGGAAAGATCTTTATATATCCAATCAAGTCGTTACGTGGAGTGGCAGTGGAGAAGGCGACAATCACCAAATACGGCTTCTTGTACGATCGCTGCTACATGTTAATCAGAGAGGACATAACGGCTGCCAACGTCCAAAAGAAGCATGGCAGCATGCTCGTCGGCCTGATCCCAGAGATGGCTCTCTTCACAACTGCCATCGAGCTACCGAGCGACGAGAGTCAAGGACATGTCACAGTTACTTTCAATCCCCCTGGTGCAACGTCGTCCAGCCTTGTGGTACCTTTGGTGCCCGAGACAGCAGGACTAGATCGTCTCGACGTTGATCTCCATGGTAGTAAAACTTCAGCGTACGATATGGGGGACAAGTACGGAAAGTGGTTTTCAGAACGGTTTGGCTACGGCGTCAAACTTGCTGCCGTCGGCGAACATGAGCGAGACATTTTGTTTCCGGGCTTTCCCTTCCAGCAACCGTCGACGTCGTCATGGCTTGCTAGCCTCGCGCGGAGCATTCCAGTAGTCGGAGGTCTCATCGGGAGCCAGGAACCGCGACTCAAGTTCCAAGACTGTGCGCCGTTCCTGGTATGCACGGAGAAAAGTTGCGACGCAGTTTCCGACCTACTTTCCGACGCTGCAAAGTTCGACATTCGCAAAACGCGACCTAACATCGTTGTTTCAGGACAGCAGGCGTGGGAGGAGGACTTCTGGGGCGAGATCGTTATAGCCGAGGGCGATTCAGAAGTCAAGATACCTTTGCAACATAACTGCTTGCGATGTCAAAGCTTGAATGTCGATTTTGCTACGGGCCAGTACAGCAAGGAGAAGAACGTCGAAGTTCTGAAGTTGCTACAGAAATATAGAAGGGTTGACGCTGCCAAGAAGTACAATGCGGTCTTTGGAAGATACGGATTTATCACGCCAGCTGACGTAGGCAAGGAGATTAAGGTTGGGGATGTGGTGGTTGTGTCCAAAAAGAATGCGCAAAGATCAGGATTTGGTATCAATCACAGCCCTCGTAGCTTGAACCAAGCTAACACGCAACAGATTGGCCAGGCTTGTAGACACGTCAGAGAGTGGATTGTACATGTTTTCTTGCGATCTGTCAAGGCTATGGAGACAATTGGACTGCTTAATGTCAGGATAGCAGCTTATCACTTCCTTGGAAACGTGACACATGATTGAAGAGACAGGATTGGAAACGTAATGAGCACAAGGCAAGGCTTTATTGTAGTATAGGAAATCGGAGATTGAAAACCTTAAATTCTTATACTCACTGCACTGGGCCGTAGAACCGGCTTGATGGCCTGAGATCTTACAAACGTGGAGCGCAGCACGTGTTCTGAAATGTCAGAGTTAGAAGCAAACCCCCCTTTATCAAAGTTTGCGGCTTACAGTACCTACATGGGAGTGCGAGCTCACCTCGCCGCATTTTCAAGAGACACATCACACACCTGTTTGGGAGAACCGAAGATCTGTGTGACACGAGAGCTTTGCTATGCATGCGCCCCACTTCTACGCAACCTCCGAGATGGCATCAGAACGCCGTCAGCTCCAGAGCAGGCCATTGCTTGTAGACCTGAAAAAAGCTTGGAATGCGCCAGCTCAAAACATTTCCTACATCGTTCCTCCGGACTGACCTATTTTGAGACGTCGAATTCACAATTCTTAAAGGCGTGGCGACAAAGGAAAAGAACAACCAGTCGTGGAAGCAGCGATTTATCATGGCCACGGACACTTTTCCTCCGGAAAAGCTGGCGAACATAGCTCGAGAAGTGTCCGAACTGTTGAAGGAGAAGGAAAAGTCTGTTGCCGTTGCGGAGACCGTGTGTTCATATCCGTCCTTGCTGTAGCCGGAGCGCTAACCCGTCGACAAGGCTGCGGGAGGCTTGATATCAGCGTCGCTACTTGCCACACCCGGCGCTAGCTCTATCTATAAGGGTGGCTTGACTGTAAGATTCTTGCTAAAGCATAAATTTTGATTGATCAACGGGTTAAGGTGTGGTTAGCTGTACACGCTCGAGTCAAGAATGGCGTACGCTGGATGGACGGAGGCGACGCTCAAGGACTACAGAGGCCCAACAACGGAGATCGTCGCTGGCCTTGCTGAGCACACGAGGAAGACACTGGGGGCCTCGTATGTTGTCAGTGAGAGCGGAACCGCTGGTCCAAGTGGTGGCACCACGAAGAACAGAACGCCGTAAGTGGTTAAGCCGAGTTCAAACGCCCGCCTTTTATCATCTAACCAACAGCAGTGGTTATGTGGCACTCGCAGTGAGCAGTGAGCAAGGCACATACAAACGTGAGCTGGATACAGGCTGTGGAAAAGACAGACAAGCAAATATGGTTGCATTCGCTGTTGAAGCGCTAACTTTGCTGCGAGATGTGCTGAAAGGTGACGCAAAGCTGTGACAAAAGAACATCGTAGCACTTTGTAATCAGAAGAGCGCCGACCTTGTGGTCCATTGCTTCTTCTGAGAGACGATCAGATATCGAATTTCAAAAGGACTGCGCCGTTTGTGTGCATTGCTTGGCCAGTCGTGATTTCCGCAGAAAGCAGACCCGTCTCGACTGAGGACTCGGTGCCTCAAGCACCGCACCCACGTAATCTTCAGCACGCGACACTAACACGCTTCATATCTTTTGTTCTGACACTCGTTTGCGGCCGTCAATGATGCCAATTCAATGGCACATCTGCTCCAAGAAATCGAAAGCTACAATGAATCTGGCCGCACAACGCCGGTCAACGGTCTCAGAAGCAAATTCAAGGAGCCGACCGAACCCAACGTTCTTGAGGTAGTTCTCGGTTCGTGGTGGATCAAGCCCTGGTACCCTTCGTTCTACCCAGAGGAGCTAGTAGGAAAGACATGCGAGCGCCTTTACGTTTGTAAATGGTGCTTCAAGTATACGCGGGATGCCGTGCAGGAGTATCTAAGGCATATGGTATGATGTGTCCTGCCGACCGTGCGCTCCCCTGGAGAAGTATAGATGCTAAGTAAAGACCGGCCAAAAAGAAAACGTGCGAATACAGAGACATAAACACGGCGCTCGGCGCGCCCATCTACAGACAGCCTACGTACACGCTCCACGCACTTGATGGCGAGGAGCACAGGCTCTTCGCCCAGAACCTCTCCCTGTTCGCAAAGCTCTTCCTCGATTCCAAATCCGTCATGTACGACGTGACCACCTTCAACTTTTACGTCCTGGTCTTGCACGAACCCTCGGCCGCCGAGCCTCAAATCGTAGGCTTTTTCAGCAAAGAGAAGCTTAGCTGGGACAGCAATAACCTCGCATGCATCCTCGTCTTTCCCCCGTGGCAGAAGCGAGGTTTTGGCCAGGTGCTAATGGGCGTGAGTTACTATCTCGGTCGGCGAGAGGGACGGCTGGGCGGGCCCGAGAAGCCACTGAGCGAGCTGGGAAGGAGGGCGTACGTGCAGTACTGGGCGGGAGTGATATGTCGGCACGTCCTTTCTCTGCCAAAAAACAAACCTGTTTCCGTGCAGGACATAACGGAAAGCACGTACATCGTTGCTGAGGACGTGATCAGCACTCTAAAAGAGATGGGCGTACTAGAACGTCGGAACAGCATCGGTACAGGAAAGAAGAAGACGTCTGGAGCCGTGATCAACAAGTCCAAGATTAAGGAATGGATGGCCAAGCACAGGGTCAACAATAAGAGTCCTGTCGTGGAAACTGCCTTTGATCTGCCAGAACTTAGCGACGAGGATGAGATGGAAGAAAGCGAATAGATCAGTGAGTTGCGTGAAACATTGTGGGAGAGGCGCGAGAGGATTTTTCGAATGTGATATGATACCCATAGTTTAGATAAGGAGCTTTGTACAGTGTGCTCCTCGAGAAATAATTGTCTAAGGTTTCATTCAAAAGAAAATCGAGTCAAGAGAAAGTCGTTGTTTTTTGGTATCACAAGGAGAATACACAAGCCAACGTTATAATTCATTCCTTAATCTCTCTTTTTTTTTCTTCGCTATGACTTTGTCGTCTAGCCCGATTGCGCGCCAGGTGATTGTCTTGAGCAGCAAGTAGTCAATCACAACATTCCATCATCATTCGTTTTGCTTCACTGCTTTCCATCTCCTTGGCTCTGCAGCATAAACGCTGATTCGTAAACTTCCCTGTCTCCTCCACAGTCTGAAGGCGGTTATAATAAAGAGCTTGACGGTAATGCCAAAGGTAAAACTCGCTGAACACTAGGTAACAGCAGACTTCGCTTAAGAGGATACTGCAACTAAGTTGAGGACTTTATGTGCACATATTTTGCGTGGAAACCTACTTTGTTCGACTGTACGCTTTACGGCTGGTAAGGCTTTTAACGTAGGGTGTTCGCAGCACAATCAAATGTTCCGTCCTCGGCGAGACACCACACTTCATCGAACGTGGAGGCCACTGAAGGTGGTGAAGGACGGTAACGCGAGATATCGCCCTTGCTTGGCAAAAAAAAGAGCAGAATTAGCGACATAAAAATGTTATATCTCGCTCTTGCCACCCATAACTTTCGCTGCTTGAATTGCATTCATCTTAGCCGTCCAGCCAGGTGCAGGAGCGAACTTCCGTATTGCACGAAGCTCATCCGATGCGTAGCCTGGGATACGGATGTTGTAGTTGCGTTCGAGGATAAGTTGAATGTCGCGGACGTCAAGAGTAGACGAGTCACGTAGCTTAGCGAGTTTGCACGCGGCGGTGATGACGTTATCAACGAACTCGTCGGCCATCATTAGAACAGCCTAGATAATCATGTGAGCATGTTTTACAACAGATATGGCTGCCGATCAAAGATCGTACCTCTTCGACTTCTGGCGTCAACATCTCCCCACCCATTCCTTCCCCACCGCCAGTGACTTGCCGAACCAACTCGTCCAATTTCTTTTTCGACAGCACGCCGCCATTCTCCGTGCTCTCCATATTGAAGCTTTGCTTCACAATAGCTGGGGTACCAAGAACTCCGCCGACACCATTCCCTGGACCCGCCATCGTTGGACGCGCTTGCGGAAAATTCTGCACAGGAACAGGTGGCGCTGACAAACTCGGCGATATTACCTTAGGTGTCATCATCTTTGCACTCGGATTCATTGTGGACGTAGACGTGGTGCTTGTTTCACGAGGAGGAACTTGACCTCCAACGTAAGGTTGCTGGTGCGGTGCAGCGTGCGGCGGCTGACTGCTTGCTGCTCCAACAGCTTGTGGCGTCCCTCCGGAATATGCCCGTTGCAACGCTTGCTGGTGGGATAACGGTGTGGGCTGGCCGGACTGTTGACCATTCTGCGGCATTTGCTGCATGCCTGACATCGGTGGTTGTTGATTGCTGATACCAGGTCTCTGAACCTGCGGGCCAGCTGACTGTGGCGTCTGTTGCGGTGCAGACTGGTTGTTATTCGCCTGTCCAGCACCCGAAGGCTGCGATACGAAATTGTTGTTGGTTGGTTGCGCGTTCATGTTCTGTGCTTGTGTATTCGGTACGCCGGGACTGATGGGGCCGCGATTATTGTTGTTTGTGACTTGCTGTGGTCCAGTGACTGGAGAGGCTTGGTTACCCTGTGCATTTCCGCCGGGCATGTTCATCTGCCTATTTGTACCACTTGCAAGAGCGCTTCCGTCACTCGGTTGGCCTTGCTGCCCTGCAACGCTGCCTGCCTGTCGCGCTTGCTCGTACTTCTCCTTCGAGGCTTTTTGACTGTGCATCCATTTCTGCAGTTGCTGTCCCAACTCATTCGTCTTCGTCTCTACCTGCTGTCGCATCTCTTCCAATTGAGCAGGCACTTCTTGGCCTGCCTGTCTAAGCTGCTCGATGCGCCCGCGTATCTTTTTGAGCTCGTTCTTGTTGCGTTCGTTGTCGAAGAGAATCTTTGCGTGCTTGACCTTGACATCTTGTCTGTACTCCTCGTATTTAGGATGACCGGGCCCGATGCCGGACGGATGGTAGTACGTGTAGTTGTTCACAAAGTCCATAATCTGTTTGGGGATCTGAGGTTGGTTCTGGGCCTGAGCGCCCTGCGCGGATGCTCCTGCTTGACCACTGCCTTGTTGTCCTTGATTCGCCTGGTTTACGTTCTGATTTTGCTGTGGCACGTTCTGTCCTTGCAAATTCACCTGTCCCGTCTGCGAGCTCTGTCCGGCGCTCGCCGCATTTGCTGCCTGACTTGCGTTTCGACTCGCGACGTTACGAGCCTGGATGTACTTCTGCGTAATGCTCTGCCATTGCAACAACGCCCTATTGTGCTCAGGACTTCCAGGAGTAGAATTCTGAACAACTGCTGAGCACTGAGAGACAGCTTGTACCAATGACGCCTTTTGCTGCGTCGAAAGGTTCGGAAGTTGCTGGATATGCTGAGCCCTGACGAGCTGGTTCATGTTTACCTGGCCCGGTTGGGGCTGCTGATTGTTAGCCTGCATCGTGGGAAGATGCTGACCAAACAGCGACGATGACAACGACGAAGGAGAACGTGGATTGTAGGGTCCGAAGTTGCGATAAGCGAATGGTGGTTGATATTGAGATAGGTAGGTGAAGGTTGGTATGGTCGGATGTGGAGTACTCCGTGGGCATCCCTGCCTGGCTGCGCGCGCATGTGCAAGGCTGGAATTTCTTGCACATCTCGTATGGATTCCTAACATTGCTCCCTATTTGATCTTCACTTCTCCCTTGCAGAACACTGATGTGAACTTTTGTCGAGACGCATATTAAATGATAAATCTGAAAAAGGGTCACTAAGAAGGAAAGCTATCTTTTGATGTTTGCATTATCTTTTGATGCAGCCGAACATGGCTTTACGGATGCGTGGACGCTCCATAGCTGTGAGCGGACACCATAAGACTTCACTCAACAACTCGAGAGGGATCTCCAAGACATTTCACCTCGTCACGCCACTGATATCCTTTTCCATATTGCTGACACGCTCCTCCAAGCTGCGCTTCTTGCGTTCGAGCTCCTTGATCTCCTCTTCCTCTCTTCGCATGTCCTCTTCAGTGAAATCCTCGAATGTTAGAGCCTCTTGTGCATCCAGATCGGCTTCTCCATCGTAATCTGACCCGTAATCTCGCGGTCTATTTAGCTTTGACAGTTGTGCTGCTTGTTCTGCGATTTGGGCTTCGTAGTATCGCAGCGAGGACTCCAACCTCTGATGGCGCTGCCGCAGCGCCGCAATCTTCTCTGCTGCTCCAGGTATTGGACTCATTATTGTCAGCATCATCATCTTGGACCAAGAAGCACATGAACACTCACTAGACGTTGCAGAGCTTCTCCGCACCTTCGAGCAATACCTCAACATCCACTTCTCCCTTGTCTTTCCCCCTCTCATACGCTTGGTATCCTAGGGCGCTACCAGCACCTGCGCCTCCTGCCTTGCGGATCCTATCCACCAGGTCTTTGCCCAACACGGCGGCAACAGCTGTGTTTCTCCTCGGAGCCCTCACGGAGTCGACATTCAGCCCCGGCCCCGCGCTCTGCGATTGAAACACTGTTGTTCGTCGCTTGTTGCTTGTTGGGTCCTGTGCCTTTGGTGGTGGGGGCGGAGGGACGGAGAAGAGAGCACGCTCGTGTGTCTCCGTGTCACGGATCAGTGTGGTAATGTCGTGGCCGCCGAGAAGAGCGTTGGTGAAGATCTTGGGTGGTGGGAAGGACAGTTCGGCAATTGACTGCGCGCATAGCGATATTTGTTCCAGGTGGGCGTCTATTAGCGACATGACGGACATGTGGAAAGTGTTGATGAAAATGGTGGAGGGGCTCGTAAACACGCGTCTAAAGAACGCGACTGCAAGAGAAACACGGTCTGCCCTCGTAGCTGAGTGCGATTAAGCAGTTGGTAAGATGGTGCTCAGGAGGAAAGTCCACGCAATGCGCAATCGTGATATGCAAGAATTCGTTTCGCGTATCTAGCATTGCATTGGAGTAGTGGGAAATGGCATGCTTCTGTGTTTTGGGAGACCCACAGTCGCTGGACGCGGGCCGTAATCCCCGCGACGACTCCAGATGCCACACTAGCAACGCCCAGATCTCAGTACATAACCTACAGCCATAATCATGCAATGTATGCCCATATCTCTACAGCATAAGGGTCACGCGGCTAATAGTAGCAAAGGATCGACGTATCCACGCGCCTAAGGAGAGGAATAGTCCTCAACGATCTCCTCCTTGTCAAGCGCATCATACGCAACAATCCGGCATGGCTGCGCAATCCGGACTTCGACGATAAAAGCAACACATCTCTGCATTTGGCTGCCAAACTTGGGTTTTGGGACATAGCTGTACACATACATCTCTTCTTACTTTTGGCACGGAGCGAACTGTCGAAACTAAGACTTCGTAATACAGGCTTTCCTCATCGATGCTGGCCACGAAGACGATGGCATATCCCGCAACTCGGACTGGGATACACCCCTCATGCTCGCCGCCGAAGCCAAGCAAGTTGAAGTTGGCAAGCTTCTGATCGCACATTTCCCGCGCTGCGTACCGTGGGCCAACAAGGCGGGCATGGACGCGCTGATGATCTCCTCTCGCAGTGGTGCACTCCCCTTACTTCCCTTGCTCCTTACCTCGAATCCGCCAGCCTCGCCAACGGCATACGATAACGACGGCAACACTGCATTGCACCATGCATCTGCGGCGGGCGAGCTCAAAGCGTTAAGGGTCCTGTTGCAGTACGGGGCCAACCCGCTCGCGCAGAATAACTACTCATGGACGCCTATTGCGTACTCGTCCACGGTGGCTGCGGAAGTGTACTTCAAGCAGCTCGTCACCGAAATGGAGATGAGACGCATGGAGGGCTTGATGCAGGAGAGAGAACGGGAGGCGGCGACAAGGCAGCAAAGAATTGGGGGTGTACGACTGGTAACTCAGGATGATGGAGGTGCGCCCTTGGGCTCCACGGTACAATTCCGACAGCGAGAGGATAGTCTGAGCAATCTTGCACGCCCTAGCGCCGAGTGGAGTCCTGTTGAGAGACGAGCCATGACGCCAACGGACAGCCAGAGCACACCCACGGCAAATTGGAACTATGGACGAGGAAGGGCTAGCAGCGGGGACTGATTATCCTTCACGGTCATGTACGCTACGAGACACGACAATTCGATAACATTCTACAACCCAAGCGGGCATCTTAAGATGCGAAGTGCTGATTGCGCCTTTCACTTCGTAGTCACGACTCGTGCATTTCTGGCTTCGTTTCGAACTTTACCAAGATTCCAACATCCTCTCGGATTCTTTTAATGTTCGCTTTCACACCTCTGATGCCCTTCTGGAATTTTTCCCATGTGTCCAATTGTCTTCTCGAAGGCAACTCTAATTATATCATACTACGACACGCCTTTGGATTCATCAACCTGACGTTGTCCTCTTCGTCGGGATACTCTTGGTTGCCTGGCGCATCATCCCCTCATGTTTCGGCAATGTGTCCTTCGACGTGTCGACACGTCCTCCTTTTTCAAATACAAAGTCGTGCGTAGATATACACTTCTCCACCCAATCATGCTCGCACGGAAGGACTGAGAACGGAGCATGTGCGGCATCCCTCACGAAAGTAGAACCGTTCAAGATGTATGATGCTGCAGTTAATCGACGTCCCGCCTTTATATCATGAAGATATCTGTGCAAATAAGTAGGTAAGACGCATACTATTAACGATACCAGGTTGCTCGCAACTGAAGGTGCCCTTGAAAATATAGCGAATAAGTCTGAGCTTATCATGATCATGGCGCGCAAGGTTGTTGATAAAATTTACTGAATAGACACATGATATTTCTTGAGCCCCCACTTGCCGACTCAATTTGCACAGCATGCTTCGAACGGTGCTAGAGATATCGATTACACCATGGGCGTCTCCCAAGTTCCTAATTTGGGGCTGGAGAGCAAACCGCAGAAAAACCAAAACGGAAAACTGTACGGGGCATGTGAGTTTTCCAATGACGATCCTTGGCCCGTCTTTTCTCAGAGCTTTCCGCCGCCTGTGGCAGGATCACAGTCTCACGAATACGGCACTGGGCAACCTGTACTCTGTGCTCTTTGTTAGGTTCCCCATTCTTGAGCGTATTCACGCTTGGAAGCGCAGGCCGACGGCACCAATGAAAGATGCCATGGTGCTTCAAAAAGCGGTGGAAGGAGCGTGACAAGTGGATAGTGAATGGTAAGAGAAATGAAATCGTGCATGACGGCCAAACTCATGACATTCGTATGCTCCTCTGCCCTGGTGGACGTGGACTGCCGGTGCCTTTGCTCCCGTTGGATATTCGTCTGAAAGCTTCCTTCTCGTACAGGCCTCGTTTAGGCCGCGAAGCCACGATGGCTTTGCCATTCTGTCACGAGTCGGTGAGCTCCTGAAGGCCTGCGCACGCATCTCCAACTGGCGAAACTACGCGGCCATTTGCTTCTTGCATGAACATTTGCTCAGCGTCCCGGCCGGATGCTCAATCTACGTGCCTTGTGCCAACGGCCAAGCGCGAGGCGCACGATCGCATCGTGTCCAAAGCGACACGTCCAGAAGGTGACCGGCGGGCTCGCATGACACGGACGGTAGAATAGATGCTAAAATCAATGCCCCCGGGGGGGGGGGGGGGGGTTTCGAAATTCTCCGATCCGGACGGCTCGTCTACGGCGGCATTATTTACCTGTCGAAGGGAGACTGTCGAGAGACAGCCCATGGACGCTGTGCGTCACCAGCTTTTCTCGTTGCGCGGGCCGGCAAAGTCCTTGAAGGTGATTAGTGCTCGAGAAAGTAGCAGTTTTTAAAGATGTCGCTGCTCTAACCTCCGCATGAGCCTGCGCTCGTATCGCACGAACCGTTCATTCGACAATGGTCGCTTGAAAATATCGAGGTACTGTGCGTTCATGCATGCATCCAGCGCACATGCAGACGAAATCGGCACATGTAAGCGATGGCGTGAAACAGTTTGTCTGCAGAACCCTTGCCCATGCATTCCTTTCAGTTTCGTCACAGAACGTATATGCACGATGGGTCAGTGAGAGGGTATTTCCGCGTGTAAGATGTTTGGTTAAACGTTCCCGCGTCATGAGTTCGATCAGGTGAGCTAAACCATTGTGTCTTTCAAGGACGAAATGTCGCCAGGCCATTGGTAACTGGGTGTGAAATAAGGGTAATAGAGCAGAAATACTATTGTACAAAGCTTGGTCCGATAAACCGATTTTCGGGGGTATCTTTGCGGTCTTGCGTATCCAACTCCTGCTTCCATGCTGCTACTGCTGCGTTCCTGATAATGGTTATTCGCACAAATCGACATCGACCAACGACTTTCAACATTAATCGACTGCGCTCAATCCGAAACATCGCGTCCGTTCTGTTGCACCATTACAGCACCCTGCCCTTCCCCTCAATCGAAGGTTCCTCGCGATCCGTTGTTATCCGCTCGAATGAGAGTCAAATCAGTCATATGTGCGGGGGAGCCAGCTCGTGCTGCAGGCTGGACAAAGTCGTCTGCGCCCCATCTGGACGGCTGCCAAATTAGGCAGCTCTACATAATTCGCGCAAAGCCTGGAGTTGGATGTGGACGCACACAAGAAAAGACATACATAGATACGCCCGTAATGAGTGCGTCGAACTCGGTCGGCACAATCCCCCCTATTCCAATTTGGCTTTTGCTGTAAGGCCACACTGGTGGACAAGATCTCGCAAGGATAGAAGAAATCCATCAGAATGAAACCAAAAAAAAAAAAACTTCCAGGCACATATGCCAGGACTGCCTGATCTGGGCAGAGTCAAAAACAAGACTTGGAGAGTTCGCCCACCATGTTTGTGCTTACATCACCCCATTTTCAAGTATTGCATCGAAGGGGATCGCAAGTTTTGTCGCCGCCGTTCCTCTGCATCCGATATGATGTTGGCGGCGAGCCGCAGACTGGGTGCTAAATGCGAGTAACGCTTCATTTCATCCACAACTTCCTTAATGATGTCGTTGATCTGGTGTGGTTGCGGTAAAAGGCCTGATAGCGACGGTGAAAGTGTTGCACCCATGACGAGCAGGGTCTGCGAGACGATCCTGGGGTATATGTTAGTCGCCTGGTCGGAAAATTCTTAATATGACTTACGAGAGAGCTCCTTGCCAGAGGTACGGAAGATGCCCTGCATGGTGTGCGGTGATGTTTTCCAGTTGACGAATGCACGCCTCTAGACATTTTCGACAGTTTTCTTGCACTGCGGGATCCAAAAAGGCAGTCTCCTTGATCAGGACGGCTAGAACATACGGCCGATAAATGATTGTGCGACAGGCGAAGTAGCGTAATCGAAGCACGCTCTGCACAGGACTTGCCAGGGGTGCCACGCCGTGATCAAACTGTAGAGCGGGAGGCAGACCGTTGTACCATTCAATCAGCTGGTTGTCCAATTCAGCAGCCACTGGATCTAGGGCTGCCGTGCTTGTGATCGGCGACGCTTTCGAATAGATCGCATTGCTGACTCGGTTGAGCAGACGGCGTAGTGAGATCTCAGCATTGAAATAACGCAGATCATCCACACCAGGAGCTGGATCTCCCATGTCTTCAAATGGTGTAGGTAGACCGACCACATCTTCGTACTGAACAATGCCAGAGTGCGGGAGCTCTAACTCGGCGAGCAAATCGCTAGACAAAAATTAGTTTTGGGAACTTCAAAAGTGAGCCAAACCTGCCTTTCAAATAGCAGAGTGTTCCAGAACACACGTTCGCTAAGCTGCTTGGCACCTGCCGGCATCGTACCGTTCAAGAGAAGCTGCAATTTCATGCTGGTGCTCGCCAGTACGTTCCATGCTTCCAGTGGCCGCACAGCGTAGAAGAGATATGCCGCGGCCAGAATTTGGCATTGAGCCGCCAGCACGTCCGACCTCACCAGAAGACTGGGCATGATAGACCACGCGGCCCAAAAGAAGGGGTAGCCTGGTAGTTCCGTGTTCTGCGGCAGCTGCGATATACTCCCTGCAGTGCTCGCGCAGCCTAGAGCGAGGACCAAGAGTGCCATACAGCTCTCCGCACCTTCGCGAAAACCTTGAGATCGTGCCTTGTGATAGTACCTGTTCCAACTAAAGGGGCTTACGCATGCATACCAGACGTTGACACGCTTGAAGTATGCCTCTGCATAGATGTGTGCGTTCGTGAAGTCAAGCGGTCTGGGCTGACCGTAAAACAGAGGCTCGCGATGAGTTTCAAGCTGAACCAGAATCTGGGGGTCCCATCTTTGCGACACCAGGTCTCGAATCTTGGGCCAGTGTAACAAGTTCAGAGCGGGGGTTGTATGATTTTTGGGCATGGAAGAATGAGCAGTGGGGTTGAACCACGGACCGAAACCGTCGTTGGTAGGAAGGCCACCTCCTGGGGCAACTGAGTTTCGCCTCGATTCCGGATCCTCGCCTGCGTTGATCATAGGCATGGGCGAATCGATCGTCGTTGCAAATCCAACAGGAGCACTTCTTCCATTCGTCGCCGAGGTGGAGGGCAAGGGAGTACCAATGCTAACGCCGGGCGTCGTGATGGCGGCTGTGTTAGCGGCAGCGGTGTTGGCGAAGCCCGTCTGGATCATTGCCTTGATCTCGTTGAGCTGCTCCAAGATGAGCTTGTCGCCGGCATCCAGCTTGATACCAGGCTCCCGATAGATGCATTCTGCTTTCAGCTCGGAGCACAATCTGCACTTTGGGCGTGCGCCGTCGCATCGTGATTTTCTCGACCGACATATTTCACACTGCAGCAGACGGCAGCTAGCGTTAGCGTATCGGACCACTTCACGCTACCGTTTCGCAGAGAGGCTGAGAATACTTTGAAAGCTATGAATACACACGTACCGCAATGGTCGCCCTTCGGCGCGGATAATCGACCACATCGTTGCTAAACTTCCGCTTCACTCCTCGAGAGTCGGAGTCTGCGTCTCCAGAACCGTCCAGCCGGGACGACTTTATGTCTGTTGACATTTCTCGGTCGGTGGAGGACTGCGACATTTTGCGCAGCCTCGAACTTGAATCCTCCGTCATGGGGGAAGCACCATACTCAAAGTGGGCCGGACCAGGGTCGACAGTGAGTGGCGGGTGCGGCTTCAGCGACGGCTGGCTTGGAAGAGTCGAGTTCAGGTCCTGGGAGAGGTCGACGATGGCGTATGGGGACGAGGGGAAGCTCGAGTGAACTGCGTCTGGGAAGGACAAGTCGCCATGTGGACTTATTGCTGGTGGTGAAGGAGGGACAGAGGTCCAGGTCGCCATGGCGCGGGGATGCGCGAATGCGCGAGCTGCAGGGAGATCTAATACCACCCTAAAAGCGCCTCGCTCTGCAAGACGACGCAATTACAATGAAGAGCAGATGAAACGTCGCGCGCGAGGGCTGCCGCAGGATTTTGAGCTCAGACGCCAACAGCGCAGGACTTATGCAAAGGCTGGCCGACGTCCAGTGCAAGCTCGAGGCGTGTGTGCGGCCGAATGTTTGTGTGTGTGTCTGTGTGTACGCAGGAATACGTGTGAGAGCGTTTGCAAGTGTGCGTTTGCTCGTGTGAGTGTACGTACGTGCGGATTTGCGCGTGAGTAAAGGACGTATGATGTATTTGTGTTTATCTGTATGCGGGTGTGTGTGTGTATATGTATGTACGTATGGTTGTGTGGACGGATGGGTCAATGGATGTGTGGATGGACGGAAGGACAGAGGGATGGGAAAAGAACTTCTCTTCCACTTTCGCTCCGAGTCGAACTGAGTGCCATCGATTCATACAGTCCATGGCTCGTCTCTGTCTTCGTCTCTTGCTCTAGTCTGCCCGTCGGTCTGTCATGCACCGTACACAAGAACAGCAGCCATCAACCCACCACCTCCACCGTGCGCGGCGCCGTGTCCGCCCTCAGCCAGTACTATTGTTGCGTTTGGCCTTGACAGCCTGCCCCGGCCAAGCTCGACAAATTCTCCACATCGTTAGGTACATTCAGTTCGGCTACGCTTGGGGCTAGCCCGTCGACACCGGCTGACGGACATTTTCCGTTTCCGCCCATTCATCACCGTTCTGACCTGCTAAAAATCCCCGCTCGAGATCGAGTGCTTTGCTTCTCAAGGCTTGTCAACCGTCCTCGCCCTCCGGTAGCCTGGCTTCTGCTCCTTGCCAACCACGAGGATTAATTCCCCGATGTCTCTCAAGTCGGCTATGTATCAAGCAAAGTACCCCAACTCTCCAATCACGCGCCGCTCTGAGCCCTGGTCCGCGACGTCTCTTTTTTGCTTGATTCCAAAGCAGGCCTGGAGCTGACGCCACCCCAGTCTGCAGGAAATCTGCCCCCCTCTTCCTTCCAGGACACCGAGCGAAGGGGCTTCTTTTGTCTCTGGAAGGAAACAAAAGGCACAAATAAAACCCTCCTGCGGCCGCTCGCGCTGTTGGACACGTTGACATTAGGCGAACCGCTGCGCCCGTGGGGTGTTCCAGCCATGGCTCCATTCGCGCCAAAGAGCCAAGCCCGCGGCTGATGTGGGACGAACGTCCACCATCCCCAAACATTACGGCCTCTGTCTGAGCCGACCCACTCTTTTGTAAAGCTATCCCGGACCAGTATTCGAGGCCGTGCTTCTTGCATGTTTTGTTGCGGGGGCTGCAAATCCGGGGCTCCAGTTTCTCACTGGTCTTCAGCAACATTCCCCCAAAGCATCATCACGCCATTGGTCGCATGAGCTGAGGTCACCCTGGACAGAACGGAGCCTCTCGAAACGTGCCAGGTGATGTTTCCCACGGTTCATCAGCGAGGTTTTGGTCTGCAATCGAGATGATGGCACCGTGTCGACCTCATCGCCTCCGTTTGGTTTCCCTGCAGCTGCGTCCCGTCCTGAGCCTCTCGCAAGCTCTTACTCTGTTCATCTGATCCTTGCTCGAGCGTACTCCACCACGAGCCTGCACGTGAACCTACGCCGGGCGATCCGTTATCAGCGTCTGCACATTTGAGCCAGGGATGATACGCTGTGAGGCAGTCGACAGCCTCTTTCTGATGAAGTCTCTGCCAGGGTTTTTGGAAATGATGACTCGCTGTGCACCCTCCATTTATTTCCTTAGCATGTTCCTGCATGGCAGACATACAAGTCCATGTCAACACACCTACGCACCTTCGGGTGATCACCGGAATGTCAAATAAAGGGTCTAGGCTGCACGCATTTTAAGCTTTTTAGGAAGCGCAAGCGAGCTTAGAATAGCTATTCTGCCGAAGTGATGATTCTACCGCTGCGGCCTTGAGTCAATGCGCTTGTCAGTGCGCACGGTAAGAGTTCGCTGAAAGCCTCTTTTCCGCTGTTAATAATGATTGACGACATTTACGCTGGGGCTGAACGGAGTCTGTACTCGCAGTGCGAGCTGCAAACGCGGAGACAAACCATGGTGGAGGCTTGCGAAAGCGAATACGAGATGCCCAAGTAGAAACCAGCTTGGAGCTTTGGCGACTCTTGAGATATGACCTTAGATTCGAATCATTGTGCTGCTGCTAAGACGCGTGATTCTGTCGACGGCAAAACAAACTTTTCGTCTTCTTGGTATCAAATACAGGTTAAAAACCGTTAATAAAAACCCACACTCAAACGTCATCACGCCTAGAACAACAGGCCTCCGAGCAATGCTCCACCAAGCAGACCACCCACGATAGGAAGTCCGTAACCACCACCGTAACCGGATCCGTACGGTCTGTACAAATTCCTGTCAGTAAAATGCTCCTCATTCTTCGAGTACAGCCAAAGTGAAAACTCACCTGTTGTACGGGTTGCTTGGTCTCACGAACCGGGCATTCGGATTGGCATAGACGCCAGACGCGTAAGGATTGTACCCTCTGGCGCCTGGCGGTATTGCAGGGCCATTGGGTGGCTCGATGTAAATATCGTGACCCTGCTGATCCTTTGCAAGGAATTGTGGCTGTCCGGTTTGTATTGCGCGGGACATTGCACGTCGAAAAGCCAAATGGGCCTCGTATGCTTGTTGTTCTTCTTGAGCCCGCAAGTAGCGTTCCCTTTCGCGCTCCTCATGAGTGCTTCCAGTGATCTTGTCCTTGAGCTTGCGACCGTACTTGTGCAAGCCACGTGGCTGTTCCGACTGCGCGGCTGAAGACGGGCCAGCTGCTGTCGACGACGAAGGAACGGTTGCTTCGCCAGTTCGATGTTTGTGCTTTTTCGTCGACGACCCAGCCTCGTCGTCACTGCTTTCCACGGCGATATCTTTGAGGCTGATGCTCCGATGCAGATGCGTTACTATTTCCCGCTCCTCGGGTGACAATGACGCCAGGTACTGCTCGTCATCGTAAGGATGATGCCATATTGATCGCGGCGGATTCGCTCTGGTATCGACGAAGAATTGATGATTCGACTGGTGATCGAACTGGCGAATCCAACCGTCAGGAAGTGGCCTGTTTTCATCCTCCATGCTCCGTCTCTGCGCTGGCGTAATTCCATTTCGGGCTTCTGGAACTGTTCGCAACCCGGTTGTTCCGATCTTCGTTCTGCCCGTCGACTGCTCATACGACGGTGGCGGCTCGTTTGGCACCTGCTCATTTGGTGCTGCCATGACGATGTTTGTGCGTCCGAGGAAATTTATCTTCGTTCTTGGAGTTTCAAGTAAACAATGCGGTGCAAACTAGTTCTGGCGTTGGGAGCGTTATGGCTTATATGCTGCGCTGTTTTCGCCCCCCTCACCCCTCTTCTTCCTCATGGCGAAAGTCTAAGCCAGATGTAATGACGTATCCCATGATTCCGAAGCAAAGACGCTCAGCCACTGGCCAGATTCCAAATCGCTAAGTGATGCGAGTTTGCTGCGTCTGTAATTGGGCGGTTCGGTGCTGACACATCTGCCCATGCACTGCATCAGCCACCGAGCTAGCACGCACACGTTTGCGGTCCAAAAGTCTGGGCGTTTGAACGAAGCAAAATATTGCAGCATTCTGATTGGATAACGGATGCAGCATTGCAGAACTTCGGGAGGCCGCACGAGCAAACTATCAACCTCAGATATTCTTGATTTGATATCATCTTCTCTTCGATGGAAAGAATCTCTACTGGCGTAGAGAGCAGGTAATTTTCCATGTTTTTCACAGCATGTGAATTGCCGTCAAGGCACAAGGCGAAGTCGGCTCTCGGTTCGCGTGCACCCAATCATGACGATAAGACGGACAGGAACCGCAGCACGAACAGATGCTTCGTCACCTGCGAGAGAAGCTTCTGCTTCTTGGCGTGGGACCTTGCTAATGTGCGTTCGTTCGAACGCATTCTTGGTGTCGAGATCGAAGCGATACAAGGAGCTTGCTTGCCGATATCGGGCTAAGCGGATTGGACTTGAAAACTGTGTGTAGAAACCAACGGAACGACAGACAGCCAGACCACTGGGATTCTAGTTCGAGATATTCAGGTGTCGCCCCGAAAAGCCCAAGCCATGGGGGAAGCAGCAGAGCAGTTGCCCGACAATGACGACATACTCTCCATGGTTCAAGAGCGGTGGTCCCGCCAGTCCAACGCCTCGGCCATCTACCGCTTCCTGCTCGCGCCCGTAACCATCGTCTCCGCCTCGAATGGCGTGGTCGTCGGCCGTCTGACCCTGACCAAGGATCACATCAATTCAAAAGGTGGGCTGCACGGCTCCGTGTCCGCCACGATCGTCGACGCCTTCGGCGGCCTGGCCATCTCCAGCACGGACGGGCGGGAAAAGACCGGGCCGAGCGTGGACATCAACGTCAGCTATCTGGGCATGGCGGGCGAGGGCGACGTCATTGAGATCGAGGGCAGGGCGGAGAAGGTGGGCGGCAGCTTGGGGTTCACGGAGGTGAGGATCAGCAAGGTTATCGAAGGCGGTGCGAAGCAGCTTATCGTGCTCGGGAGGCACACAAAGTACGTACGAGGGACCGGTCCGCCAAGATGAAAAGTTTCTTGTTGAGCACCGTTTGTTTTCGGCTCGGTACCAAACGCAGTGTGCGGTTCGACTTTTTCGGCAGAATCGTCCGGGCTCGACTAGTTGATTTCGAAAGATGGGTGGTTAGAAGGCAGTGGCGACACAAAATGTGTAAGCGGGCGGCGCGGTCTCCGAATCTGCTGACTATGCGAAATAGAGAGCACACGTCAATGACGAAGGTCAACAGAACAAGATAGTATCAAAGACTGATTGTTGGTATCACACATACATGTCTCTATAGCTCTTTCAACCTTGAGATGCCATCATACTCTTTCACGAGTACATATCTCCAGAAACAGGAAAAGAAAACTCAAAAAGAGCGCCGTCCAAAATATTCACGGATGGACTACAGCTCGTCCCGTGTCGGCGCATCAGCAGGGTCTGGTCGTCCAAACTCCTTCTGCAGATCTACACCCTTCTTCGCCCGCCACTTCTCCCATACGGCCCAGAATTCCTTCTCCATTCCGCTCTCCATTTGGTCTGGCAACACTACGACGTACTCGATGTGCAACTTGCCAAACTCGAGTTCATGACCCGGTCCGTTCGAGTGACGATGCCAGACGGGCATGCCCTCGCCTTCAATGACCTCGACCATGCCTGGTTGTACAACCTGTCCGCGGGGCCTGTGGAGTTTGACGACATGGCCATCAAGATGTGTTATGTTGCGGGTCCAGTCACCCATCCACGCTTCCCGCAGAGATAGGACCTCTCGCCAGAACAGATCACGCCCTCTCCGTCGGAAGAAAGTGCCATCAGTTCTCGCCAACGGATCGTCAGAGTGCTCTTCAAGATGCGGCTCTGCCTCTTGCACTTCAATGATAAGGTCACCGGCCTCCCAGTCTGGATGTTCGTCAGCCTCCTGTTCGAACCGCACCTCCGTGCCGCGGGGTATTCCCCGCTCAACGTGCAGCGTGTATTTCTCCGTCTCCCTGACCACACGCTGGCCATGACACACAGGACACGGATGCCGAATCGTCTTGCCCTTTCCACCGCATGCGCCGCACTGCATCTGTACCTGCTGGAAGATACCCGGCGCAATGTTGTGTCTTTGAATCGTCATGCCCCTCCCTCCGCACGCGGAGCACGTATCTACCGTGCCATCCTTGCTGCCGCTGCCTTCACACGCCGAGCAGACGACCTGCTTCTCGATCTCAAAGTCCCTGTCTGCGCCGTTGTAGAAGTCACGCAGGGGCAACGCCATTGCGCCCCTTTTTTCCGGGCCCTGCCTCTTTCCCTGATGATGCCCGTGTCCAAAATGGCCGCTGCCACCAAAAAAGCGCGAGAAGAGATCAAACGGGTCATGAGCTTGCGCGCGGCCTCCCTGCTTGTGCTGTTTTAGGCCCTCGTGGCCATACTGATCATATATGCGCCGGGTTTCCTCGTTCGAAAGAGCATCGTACGCTTCGGCGATAAGGACGAATCTGTCTGCGGCGGACTGGTCTCCACTGTTTTGAACGGGTCAGCGCACAAGAAACTGAAAGGCCCGAAGTCAGAGATCTTGGGCAAAAAAAAAATCGTACGGGTTCTTGTCTGGATGGTACTGCTTGCTCAATCGGCGGTATGCCTTCTTGATATCCCGATCTGATGCATCACGGTCCAGGCCGAGCAGCTGCAGCGCAACGTGTTGTTAGCACATCTGTTTTCGACAACAAGCGCGCATTGCAGGGACGCTTTGCGGCTGCCACGACGGAGGATCTCGTACTTTATAATAATCTTCGGCGCACCAGGCGAGGAGAGGCAACATGCTCATAAGGAGCAGCGCCGTCCAGCTGGGCAGCAGCATCGTGATCTCTTTATATAGCCGTCGTTCGCTGGCCTTCTAAGACTCCACTGCCTACACGATAGAGGAAGAATAAAGAGCAAAAGGAAAAACACCACCGTCCGTGTCTCACAAACCAGGATAGTTGCGCATTTGCAAACACAGGGGAATATTAAGAAAGGAATGGAGGTTCCCGGGAGCGGAGAGAATGGGAGAGAAAAGGTGTGGGGGAAGAAGAGACTCGAGACAGCAGTCAACTTTCTTGCCAGATATGCGCATTCGACGGGCTTGGCAGGGTCGCGACAGCTCACTAGCGCGAGGCTCAAGTCCAGCCTTGCCTGCCCGTGCGTCCTCAGCATCCCGCCTCCAGTCAAAGAGGAGATTAGATCTGTCGCATTTCTATACTCATGGTCTGCAAGTCTTCTGAAGAAAATCATAATAAAAATCAAATACGGAAACACGGGACGAAAACTGTGATTGCTCGGAGGGGTGTGGCACTTGGTATTTCTGTTCTCTGAAGCACGGTTTCTAGGCTGACAAGCCCCCAGTGCGGTGCTATCCGTTCTCAGCGAGCCTGACTTCATGGCCGCCGCTCAAACATACGCTCAACCCTTTGTGCCTCACTGATAGTAGCCATAACAACAAGACCTGCTCATGTGTATGTGGTCCAACCTGCTCTCTGAATCATCGACCCTCAGGCCTCTTGGCCACTCATGCTTGGGACGGATGGCAGTTGATGGTGATGCTGAAGAACGTCGTCGCACAGCGAGATTCAACAACACACATATAACAATAAAAAACATACATTTCCCTTCTTTTTCTCTTTCTCTCCATTGCCCAAAAAACACGATGCAAAGCGAGGGTATACACGTCGTAGATAACATTTCAAGCGAGTGTGATCGTTTCAAAATTTCCCAATGCTCTCCGACCCATCCCATTCGTAATTGCCGTCATTGATATACCGGAAATAACACAAAATGTAAAGGCTACGCTGGGAGCTATGATTTTTTGTGCATGCGCCACTGAAAATGCTGGAGTAGACAAACAGCTGTCGCCGCTAAGATTGTGCGACAAAAGAAACGAAACTTTGCAAGCTATATTTGCAGTAAGAAACCAATGGTATCGAAGACCCCTCATACCGGTCGATACACATCACTGCTGAGGAAGTAGCCAGAATTGTTAGCCGGATTTTTGCGAGCCGTTCCTGGCGTGGTAGGGGCTCTGGAGACAGAACTGTCCCGTGTGCGGTTTGTGGCCATAGTCTGCGTCCATGACGGCTTCATGAGCCCGAGAATTTCGGGACGATCTAGGTCAAAGGGATCAGAGACGCGGGATTGTCGGTCCAGTAGGTATGAAGGGTATTGAGACGTGACTGGTCGGGTTGGACCAGGCGAGGAGCTCAGATTGCGCCCATTCAACATTGAGAAGCCTGAAATGCGATTTCCATCACCAAACGGTGAGTCTTGTGATGATACTGATGATCGAACGGAACTACTAGCACCCCTGAAAGACTGCACGGTAGACAATTGCCATTCTCTCCCAAAATCAGAGACTGGTCCCTTCTGATCGTCAGACTCCTTTTTCTCGTTCACAGGAGATGTGGCGGACACAAATCCAGAGTCAACACTTGACTTGCTTGGCTCGCGTTTTAGGGGGCGCCCAACCGAGATGGTGTGGTTTCTCGAATGTCGGCGGGACTCCGGTCGCAGAACACTATCAGCAGTTGTGTAGACAGACGTCGGTGACACAGGTCGGCCTTTAGGAACCGGATCATTAAAAGGATTCTGAATTTGCGATTGCGAGAACGAACGCTTATGTCGAGCTTGTTGAGGCGGTTTTATAGTTGGAACGTCTCCGGAACCGACAGCGAGGATGCCTGGCGAACGTGAAGAGCTATTCTCGGACGATGGCAGTGGAGGGGATTCGCCCGAGGCCACTGGCATTAATATTGGAGGGAGTCTGGTAATTGTCTTCTGAGTGTTCGATCGAGACAAAGCGTCAGGATTCTTAACTGTGAGAGGTTGGTTCGGATCAGGATCCCGGAAAGGATTGTTCGTCTCATCTGTTGCACTCCACGACTGGATGAAGGAAGATACAGAAGCCGCGGAGCGTCGGTGTTGCGGTATCGGACTTGGTAATCGAGGAGGAACATTCCCAACCCTATCGCCGACAAAGCTGGTGTCGGAATCCTTGCGTAGATGGCCTCGACTTCGGCTTCTGCGAGTCTTGAAAAACTCCATCGCCCTCGTCTTAAGCGCCATAACAGGCACACTCGACGAGCGGCTGCGAACTGGCTTGCTGTACACACTTGATGATGCGTCCCGCATCCCACGCTCGAGATTTGGCGTAGGCATACGAGCCACGCTAGACTCCGTCTCTTCCCTTGCTGATCCTTTCGTCTTCGCGAACACAGCCTCAAACGTTTCAGAGAGCACAGCTCTCACATTGGAGAAATTTGAACCTGTAGGCCGACGCTTAAAGACGGTGCCAAGTTTCTCTGACATCGCCACCTTAGCATTGGAAAAGCTTTCTCCAGAAGGGCGCTTCTCAAAGAAGGTGCCGAATTTTGCCGCAAATGCAGCTTTTGCGGACGAGATGCTGCCACCGGAAGACAGAAGTGGGGTACCACTGTTTCTCTTGTGACCATTTCTTCTTCGCTTAAGACACATGAAGATGAAAGAAGCAAATGCTACAAAAGCAATCGCGCCAAACACACATCCCACGACTGCGCCGGCGGACATCTTCTGCCCACCTGAGGGGTTTGCGTCAGAGTGTCCTGCACCATCGGTATGGCCATCCTCCCCGGAATGAGCTCCGGGCGTAATTACAACGGCCGACGTGATGGAGGCTACCTGTCCATTTGTTGCCGTGCTGAGGAAAGTTGTTGTTGAAGTCGTAGGTTCGTGAGATATGATTGACTCGAAGGCTGGCACTGCAGTGCTGCCATCTGCACCGGAAGTCACCAAGAAAGGAGAGGGCGACAAGTCCGGCTGAGCTACAGCCGTTGTGCCAGCTAGCTGTGGCTCAGCTGTAGCTTGTGCTGCTGAAGAGTTTGCAGTCGTCGCGGCTGGATTTGCGGGCACTGCGCTGTTTGTAGGTCCAGCTTTCGGGGAAGTGAGAGGAGTGGGTTCCGGATCAGGCAGTCTCTGGCCCCCACCAGCAGGAGCGGTCGGAACGGGATTTTGTGTGTCGGGTGTCCCGTTGGAGATCTGTGCGGGTTGCGTATTCTGCGCCTGCGATTGATTCTGAGTCGAGTTTTTAGGAGGTGCTGCAGCTGCTGTGTCTGTGCTGGACGTCGTCGTCGCGACTGTAGTGGTTGGTTGCTGTTGCGCAGGAGGAGAGTTCTGATTCGCACTTTGCGCAGTGGTCGACGTTGTAGAGGCCACTTGGTTCGTAGTTTCTTGTGGCTGTCTATTTGGGGAGCCGCCGTTCTGCTGAGTAGCAGTGGTTGTCGGAGTGGTTGTTTGTGCGGCATTTGTCTGCCTCCCGTTGTCGGTGGCTGTCGTCGACGTGGATGTGGAAGTTGACGAGGTAGAAGTCGACGTTGAAGTAGAAGTAGAAGTCGACGTCGATGTCGACGGCGTAGACGTAGAGGTGGTCGGGTTGGATGGCGCAGCGGTGGTAGTGACCTGCCTCTTCACCCTCGTGCACATCCGCCCCTGGAACGTGGTGATATTTGGGTCCGACATCTACGACGACATGGAGAGTTGCATCTGGTGAGCGAATGGCCTTGATTCAGACATGTGGGCGCATTTGAGCTAGTGCAATGGTGGGTACGAAATCAATGAGAGGAAAAGAGTAGAGAATAGCAAGGCAGAAGAAGAGGATCAACCTGAAGAGACGCACGTATCAAACGATTGGTGACACAGCACGCAAAACGCACGGTGAATACATGAAGAAAAGAAGGTACGGATCGTGAAGACGCATCGAAGAGACAGGAGCAGAAAGGAAAGGACAGGTCTGGGTCTGGTTGCGCTCCGACTTAGACTGTGTGAGAGCACACGGCTGAAACGCAAGGGGGCAAACAACCCAGCGAGTGGTCGTCGATGCACCCTGGCGAGCCGTGGCAAGACACAGCCGAGAGCCAGTAACATTGCCGCGCATAAATTAGTTCCATGAATCAACGCTTCGAGGGCGGCGTCGAGCTGCTGCTGGCGCCGGACTGCATGTATGTCATGGCGGTCGTCTGGCGTGCATTGTGCGATGGGAGAGAAGAAAAAGAAGAGTCCGCAGCGCCTTCCTCAGCTGAAGCACAGCAGGTGCCCGCGGGAGGGGCAGGGGGGAAGGGGGTTGAGGGGGAAGGCGCAATTGGTGTTGAGGACAGGCTGCGGTTTCCCGTAGAGCGGGCGCGCGACTAGGCTCGTTCTTGCCTAGTCCAACCCCGTTCGTCACGTTCCTGCAGGGCTCGCGGGCCGAGTTGTTCGGCGGAAGCTCTAACGAGGGCGGGTTCGACTAAGCAGAACGGTGTGCAGGTTGGTCGCAGCAAAAAAGAGTGCCCGCGGACGAAACGTTCGATCCACTCAACGGCAGTGCTTGCCAGTCCCTTCACCTCCCTCGTGCACCAGAAAGAAATCCCCCTCTGCGCAGCAGCAGTCTGTCCCGTCTTTCTCGTTTGACTTGTCCCACGAGATTTCGTCTGCTTGTGCTACCTTGCTGCACGACCTCGGCCGCCCTAATTCTGGACTGTGCTCTCGCGAGCGTTCGGGTGGTTTCACACCTATGTCCAAGAGCATCACCTGAACGCATCGCCCGCCCCGACTCTTTTTGTTGCGACGCTTATTTTTCTCCATTCTGGTAGACTGGAACTGTCCGAGAGTCTGCGCCCGCGGGGCCTCGCCTGTTCGCGCACCGCCTGCTTCCATAATCGAGCGGCGCGAACACAGCGTGGCCGTCGGTTCCCAACTGCGAGCTTGCTGGTGCAGAAATGACGGCTCGCAGTCGGCCCCACGAGACATGACCGCCGCTGCTTAGCTTCTCACGTCCACCATCCACGGGTAGATCTGTCACACTCACGTTTCCAACTAATAAGTATGTTTTCCTTTCTAGGAGGTAGCAGTAAGTCCGCTGTTCACTCTCTTCGGCTGATTTGCTTTGCTTTGCTTGCACCGTGCCCTCTCCATTGCCACATGCACTGCCCGCCCTAGGCGGCCCTCGCATGCCACGCTCGCTCTACCTTTCGTATAGATGCGGCTATCAGACCGTCTGTCTCCCTACCGCACGAGCGAGAAGTGGCAGACAGGCGCGCGTATGGCGTCGTGCCCCAGCACGTGTAGCTTGCCGAAAGACGGGCACGCCTATGGTCTGCTCGTTTGAACCGTTCCGGTCTCTCTTCAAGCCACAGACACCAACTGCGCCCGGGTCGTGCAACACCAATTTCTCGAGGTGCACCTGACGCAATCATTCTACCACCGACGATAAAAGTGGTCCACAGTCAACAGTCTTTCACTAGAGGGTGATGCTGAGCTTACGCTGCCAGGTTCACTGCTTGCCGCTCGCCATGATCCAACAAAGGAGCGCCCAGCGCCCCCGTATCCGACGCCCGTCTCCTTCCCCAGGCTCGAATCTTTTCGAGAAGCACCGCACGCATGGACGGAGGGGTCGGCACCAGATCTCTTCAAGCACTATAGTCGAATCAGGAAGCTAAGCGACGTCTCAACCCAGCATCTGGCAGCCCTGAATGTATCCCTACGGGACATCAGCCATGATTTTGACGACTTTTTTTCAACGAATGAGCTTGCCCACGCATTTGTCCCGCCCGCTTCGTGGTTGGAACCTTCCGCGGCGCCTTCCTCGGCCCTTCCTGCTCTGCCAGGCCAATCACGTGTGCTGAGCAATGGTCGCCCTTTCCCCTCGCAGCAGGATTTCTCGATCAGAAGCAAGGAGCTTAGACACACCAATGAGGATGCCTACCGTGCGCTTACTCGGACGCCGCACAATGGCCAACCCCCCGCACGCCTAGCGCATTTTCGCCGTTTCTGGGAAGCTTTAGACAACATGAACTATTACTGGGACACGTCATGCGACGAATACATTCCAGAAGGGTCTGTATCGCAGTCTGACAATGGAAGGGCGCGCAAAGAAGAGTCCTCCGAAGACGCAGATGAGGCTGTCGTCGACACAGACGAGCCTCGAAAGAGGGTTAGACCCAATCCTCAACCGGACACCAGCGGTGCAGGATTCGAGCTACCGGTAGGGCCAGCGCCGCCCTCGGGAGAGTTGCTGCTTGATATCCGCCCACCCAAGGTACCCGGGAGCGCTGAGAAGCCACCAGGCACGTACCGGGGGAACCGGATTGGAAATGGTGCGGGCATGCCAGAATCATATCGCACTGACGCAGCCCGAGCCTTTGTCGAGCCCATTGCATGGTCCTTTGGCTTCACAATGGCGGCACATCGTAAGCCGCCCGTGCTGGAGATCAAATCGTTGCTTGTGCCAATCAAGCTTTCTGGAACTGTTTGGCGGCCACCCAACGAGCGGGAGAAGGCACGAGCTGGGTGTCTCCAAGGGCCAGTCCTCGGCATTAGCTGTAGGAGTGAGACTGAGTTTGCCGAAGGTAAGGCTGATCCAGTGCTCGACGTACTGAGAGAGCTCGGTGCAATGCTCTGTTTGGCTCAGGAGCGCGCGCGTGAGGGGCGAACAGAGCGTAAACCTGGAGAGAACAGATGGTGGACAAGCGTGCCCCGGTGGGGAGGCGGCCCAGGTGGAGAAATGGGCGAAGCCATCACTTCAAGTGATGATGATATCGAACCTGGTGGCGAAGAAAAGACTGCACCAAACTCCGAAACAAAGGCAAGAGCAAATACGCGTGGAACGAGCTCGAAGAGAAAGCAGGCCATTATCAACGCCTGGAAGACACTACGTGTTGGGTCAGGCTACTGGGATCCAAGAGTTGATTATGCTGCGGTCGGGAAGCCTCCTGGATCGAAATGGGATGAAGTACGTTGATGCCATGTGTCTCCCCGCTTATCTGTGCAAACAACTTATGCCGACTAACAAAATCTCTAGATATATCTCGTTTCGTCCCTCAACCACCACATTAGCATTTTAAGACTTCGCGTGCATGACGACTACATTCACTACCTTCTCACAGGCGACTGCCCGAAGCAGGTTACAGATCCCGAGTGGTCAACGCCAGTCTTGTCTCGCAGCAGGTGGTTTGATCTTTTCACGCCAGAGGACAGACTCGAGGCTTTCAGGCTTTTGTGGGGTATTATGGGGTACTTGGCTCGCGTCGATTAGACACTCGAGCTGATATTTTGAGACTTAATTATCATTATCTGATTAGATCCCGATAAACGAGAATCATATAATGACTATCTGATGGGAGTTCATGCTTCATGACGTTCTTCTTGGCACTTTAACAGCCAAGCCAAACCAAAGCACGTGTCTCATTTCCGCTTTTGAGTTTCAAATCCATGGAAAGGACCTTGTGGCTCAGACATCATCTTGCAAGTTTCAGCCTCGCATTTGGCATACCGGTCGTCCTGAATACGCGATGCACATCGTTGTGATCGTCGATTTCCACCAGGCTGTTGAGTGGGACAGGACCAAGGCGATAGCTGTCTTAGGTAAGGTCGCAGTACATTACCTCAAGGATTCAAGTGGCTGTGTCGATCTACAGTGGCGCCCTCGATTGGGTCATCGTACGCAACCGAGTCTCTTGCCCACACCTCGCCCCACGCCTTCGTTCTTGAAACTGTCTCTGTTGCTCTTCATTCTGCTTATAAGCTACGCGCCGATTGACTCTTGCCTTACAGCAGCCTGACGACCGCAAGAACACGCGCCCCGCAACCGCAAATCGAACGAGGTCTGTGTGTACATCACTGCGCATCGAAGGGACCCAAACATGGGTAAATCGTAGGCAGCCTGGGACAAGCCTTTCCGTCGCACAGTGAAGCTGATCATTCCATATACAGACAGTCGAAGCTGTCGCAGCAGGAGCTAGCAGATCTCCAGAAAGCCACGCATTTCGACAAAAAGGAGTTGCAGCAATGGTATAAGGGTACGGACTCGCCACTACCACCCCACTATCACGTCCGCGAGGAGGCGGATGCGATGCGCCGTACAGGCACTGTGGTATAGATAGCGCGGTAGACTGATGTGCGGATGTTCAGGCTTCCTCAAGGACTGCCCGTCCGGAATGCTCTCCAAAGAGGAGTTTCAGAAAATCTACAAGCAGTTCTTCCCGTTCGGCGATCCTTCTTCCTTCGCCGACTACGTATTCAATGTCTTCGACGCCGACAAGTCCGGTACGATTGACTTTAAGGAATTCATTTGCGCACTGTCCGTCACATCGCGCGGGCGCATGGAGGACAAGCTGACGTGGGCTTTCCAACTGTATGACATTGATGGCGACGGCAAAATCAGCTACGAGGAAATGCTGGCAATCGTCGAGGCTATATACAAGATGGTTGGAAGCATGGTGAAGCTGCCTGAGGACGAGGATACGCCAGAGAAGAGAGTGAAGAAGATCTTCAGGATGATGGACAAGGACGAGAACGGCAGTCTGGACATGGCAGAGTTCAAGGAAGGCAGCAAGAGAGACGAAACCATAGTTTCTGCTTTATCGCTATACGACGGTCTCGTATAGCTGGGTTGTGCTTCCAACATAAGACCGTTTCGTAACGGAAAATGTGCGTTCATAGACAAGTGTTCACGTGATATATACGCTGCGATGACATTGAGGTGCTTCTAGGGGATGGGAGGATTTTATTGCATGCTTAGCAAGTAGGGTATCTGTATTTACATTGAGACTACAAGACTCCGTGCTAGGCAAATGTAACGTCATGATCAACACAAATAAGGGCATATCGATGCTATCGAACCGGGCCAACGACGCATCGGGAGAAGCGCAGAGCGTAGAGGCGAAAGCTATAAAGACAAATATCGATCGCCGAGCGTCAAACCGACCAAGTCCAACCATACTTTTGATGCGTAGCTCGCAGCATGTCAATGCCCAATTGATAGCTCTTGTCCCGCTTCTCCTTCAACGCACGCGGCAGGTAAGGAAGCTCCAGCCAGCCATGAAATGCTCCCTCTACAACATGAGCCTCGCAACTTCTTCCCTGCTTGTCGAGGCCATTCTCGACAAGCTCCCTCTGCACCCTCTCAACGAAGGTCAGTTGCTCATGCACCAGAATGTCGATCGCCGGAACAATGAGCAGCATGCGCTCGGGCAAGCGTCCAACATCCGAGAGAATGGGAGACAAGCGCGGGTTCTCCATGTTCTCGGCTCTGACTGGACCTGCGTACGCATCGTACAGTGGCAGAAAGACTGCCATTGGATCCCTTTTGGGGAAGTTGTCTGGCCGCGGCTTGTCGACGGGCTTGAGACGAAGGTCAACCTTTTGCATTTCATCATCAACCAAAACGTTCCGTCTCTCGCACCTGGGTCCTGCCACTTACGGGCGCGTAGAAAGTGACACTGGCCTTCACAGCCGTTTCGGCAGGTGGGTGGCATCTGTCCTGCTGGCATATCGCCAAAGCGAGGTTGCATCCAGCGGAGAAGCCATCGACGGTCAACAGCTTTGGGTCCGCGCCCCATAACTCCTCGGCATGGTTCAGGCAGAATTCGACGATGTCGTCCGCATCGTCGATTGCAGCTGGGAATACGTGTCTCGGGGCAACCCGGTAGTGAGGCGCAATCACCACAGCCCCTGTTAGCTCGGGCAAGAGCTTGTTGAAACCGGACTGGACTTCTGGGAAGCCTCCTATGAAGCCGCCGGAGTGGAAAGAGATGTGCAAGGGGGACAATTGGCCCTCCCTACGTCGCCTGGGCAGATAAACGAGAGCGCGCAGCTTCTGACCGGTCCTGATAGGGATGTAGACGGTGGTGAAGGGAGCTGAGAACAGATATGGTATTCTGATGATGGAATACGTTATCAAGGTGAGAGGCTGCAGTAAAAGCAGACGCCAACGGTAGTCAAACGCGATGTTTGGTCCGAACAGAGCATCGATCGCGGGCTGAAAAATGTATGAGATTATGCTGAGCATGATCGTTAGCGCAGCAAGAGACTGAATGCTCGAAAGACTCCATTACGCCCAAAACATTTAAGGTGCAACATGTTCTGTGCAGCGCGCCCGTTCTTGAGAAAGGGGCCAATGATTGGGACAAATGTGGAAAACGCCAAGATACTCGACTCACTTCATCAAGGGTATCATTGATGCTTGCTTCGCAAGACGCATTTGAGTTCGTATAAATCGATGCAGCGATGAAAGCAGACGCTCATGTCGAACCGAATACGAGATGCGCAGGTCCGAGTCGGGGTTAGCACACTCAAGCTCTCTCAAAACAACATGGTTTGATACGACAAAGTACAGAGCTCGTATATTTCATTGTTAGATACGATGAGTATCGTGTAGTTCATTCAACCACTAGTTTCCTACACGATTGGTTTTTTTTTATAAAAAAAAAAGTTCCTTTCACGTGCCTATTAATTGATTTTGATTGCTGCAAACGCCCCGAGGTCACCTCCAAATGCTATTTCGTATTGGGAAGTTGATATCCCAAGCAGCAGTGACTCAGTAAAAGTTAAGACATAGGGCGGAAATGACTGGTCACACTTTACGAGTCCAATTTACGTTTGATCAGTGGTGGAAGAGCCGGAGATGCTGCTCGACGAAAGTAACACCAAGCTTCTCTGCGGCTTTGAACACGGCCTGTCAAGCACTTAGCTACTAGTCGGGTGGGTGCAAAGCGGCAAAGGCAGAACTCACCTCGTCATTAACGCTGCCAGTCGGAGCAGCGGCATATTTTGCACCGCTGCGGGCGAGGCGATAGATGTTGTCTGAGAAGGGGAAGAAAGCATCAGAGCTGACTGCGACTTCACTCAGCTTCTGCAGCCATTGCTCTCGCTCTTCCGCGGTGAAGAGTTCGGGCACTTCTTCGAAGTTGAGCTCGAAGTCGTCCCGCTCGACACCGCTCTTCGGAACCTGGCCGCTGCAAAGAAGGTCGATCGCGTTGCTACAACGATTTAGTGCATGTGCTTCACGGACGGGACGTTTCGACGATACCTCTTCTCTGGTCGCTTTACTCCCTGCTTGAACTTCAAGTTCAGAGTGCGTTCGTGGAAACGCATCCACCAGTTGTCCGCCTTGTCGCCTGCCAATCTTGTGCAGTGAATTCGCGATTGCTGGCCCGCTCCAAGGCCGATCACCTGTCCGTTGAGCGCGTAGCACACTGAGTTCGATTGCGTGTATTTGAGAGCGATGGTAGCCACGGTCAAGTCTCTCAGTGCCGACTCTGGCAGCGCGCTGGCATTCGCAGGGACGAGAATCTTTCCAAATGTTTCTTTCGGCACGATCTTGGCGTCGTTGCGATGTTGAGACAGGTTCACGCCGTACACGGTCCTTGTTTCCAGCGCTGGTGGCTCATAGTCTTTGTCCATTTGCAGCACAAGATACTTGCCTCCCTTCTTCTTTGCCAGAATCTCAAGAGCTTCTGGCGCGTATCCTGGAGCAATCACACCGTCGGAGACTTCTCGTGAAATGATCTTCGCGGTGGGAACGTCGACTTCTCGTGAAAGGGCGATTAGGTCGCCGAAGCTGGACATACGATCTGCCCCTCGTGCTCGTGCGTATGCTTGCGCAAGTTGTGAGCTGCTGAGCCCGTCTATATCATTTACCATGTAAACCTTTGCCTCAACTTCGCTGAGAGGTACGCCAATCGCAGCACCGGCTGGGGAAACGTGCTTGAAGCTAGCTGCAGCGGCCATGCCGGTAGCCTCGTCAAGCTCCTTTACCAGAGCCCAAGCATTCAGCGCATCAAGAAGGTTGATATAGCCAGGGGAGCCGGCCAGAGCCTTGAATGGCAGTTTACCTTCTGTGACAGAGGCAGTCGCAGGCTTCTGATGTGGATTGGCGCCGTAGCGCAGGGTGATCAGCTGCGAGCCATCACCCGCATACTCCTTTCGAAAGTAGCTTGAGATGGCAGTATCGTATTCCGCTGTTTGCGAGAAGGCCTTCAGAGCATACAACTGGCGGCTCTTCTGTGAAATTTCACCGGCTTCAAGCTCCTTCAGAAAGTCTGGATAGTCGCTTGGGTCACTGAGAATAGTGACGCGATCATGGTTCTTTGCGGCAGCTCGCAGCAGAGTCACGCCTCCGATGTCGATCTCCTCAACGGCTTCGGGTATCGTGACGCCAATCTTCGCCACCGTCTCCTTGAACGGATATAAGTTGCAGACGACAAAGTCCACCTTGGAGATTCCTTGCGCTTCGAGGTCCTTTTCGTCGGATTCCAAGTTCCGGGCCAGAATGCCTCCGTGGACAACAGGGTGAAGCGTCTTTACACGGCCACCTAGCATTTCAGGTGCCTTTGTGATGGCGGAAACATCTTCGACCGGTAGGTTTGCCTCCCGAATCATTCGAGCTGTTCCGCCAGAGGCAAGCAGCCTGCTGTGGTTAGGCCGCAGAACAGTAATCACAAGATTGAGAACATTGCACACCTCACATTAGCCTTAAGCAGCCCATTCGCGAGGTCTAACAAGCCTACATTAATAGTAAGCACTTATTCCTTCCGACCCGTTTTCCAAGAACAGAAGAAAAAAAAGTCGAGAATTACCGGTCTTATCGTAGACGGACAAAATGGCTTTCGCGACTATTAGTTGATTTTCTAATCCTTCGGGGCAAGGCTTGCCTCACCGGTCTTTCTCTTAGAGTCACTCATTTTTGCGATATTTTCGCCAGTGTCGTATGCGGCCAGAATTTTTTCTGCCCTTCCAGGAAAGTCCTGTGATGCAATTTACGGACGCAAGCTCCGAAGTCGCACTACTAGTACAGTACCGGGCACTTCAGCGACGACCAGGCTGCATCCGCATGCATTCTACGAGCAAACCACGCCAACGACAGTGATAACGGCGCGCCCCACGTAGTAGACGGAGTAGTTGTTTGGAATAAAACTGGACGGAAACCCCTGAGATGACAAAGGTGCGCTTCTTCTGCTAGTTCTTCAGCTCGGACTCGGCTGTATCAGCAGAATGTTATAGCCCAGCTCGACCACTTGCTGTTATTGAGTTTTATAACTAAACAGAGCACATGTATCTAACCCATTTTATTGTTCTTGGCAGAACAAGCCAGCACCGAGCAAGTCTGGTACAGTGCCAGCTCGGGACGGGGCAGACATGCAGTCCATGGGAACGAGACAACCACTTCTTGAGTTGCCGATCAGAGTGCTGAGCCACAACATACGGTATGCCACAAGCCGACCGTTCAAAGGCGAGGAAGTGTGGTCTGTTCGGGCGCCGCGTTTGATCGCTGAGCTGCGTTTCAACACCCTCTACAACATGGAATCGTTCATCTGCTTACAGGAAGTGTTGCACAACCAGCTGACGGACATTTTGTCGCACCTAAACAACGATCCACGCGATTCCTGGGACTATTATGGAGTGGGACGAGACAATGGAAAAGAAGCCGGGGAGTACTCCCCGATCATGTACAGGCCAAAAGTCTGGAAACTGTTGAAGGGCAAAACGATCTGGCTTAGCGAAACACCCGGCCAACCATCCAAAGGCTGGGACGCAGCATCCGTCCGAATCCTCACAGTGACGCAGTTTGAACACATTCAGTCTAAAACGCGCGTAGCTGTGCTGAATACCCATCTCGACGACCAGGGAACGCAATCACGATTGGAAAGCGCTAAGATGATTGCCGAGGAGGTCAAGACGCTCACTCCATTGCCAGTGGTTCTGGCTGGCGACTTTAACAGCGAGCCGGGCCAGGAGGCACACTTGACCCTGTGTAGAGAGGACTCTCCTGTCTTCGACCTGCTTGACGAGACGAGCGCTAGCACTGTGTACGGACATCAGAATACGTACACCGGGTTCGGGTACGAGGGGGAGCCCAAGAAGCGAATTGACTTCTTGTTTCTTAGCAAAGGTGGGAAGTGGGGAGTGAGAGGGTACTCTGTGCTGGAGAGTCGCTTCGAAGATGGAGTCTACAATAGCGACCACAGGGCTGTTGTTGGAGATATAGTGCTTAAACCCTCTTCTGCGGCTCCATGACCGTGTGCTCTCATCGAAGCCGTTCTTGAGGGTTGGCGGAGCGATGAGCGCACATTCCTCACGTCTTGTTGGCTCTCTGCGCGTGTCGCCTTGGCCATGTCCGAGACGCGCTTGTACTTACATCCCTTGCTGCCAGCGTTATGCTTGCAGCACAGAGACGGGATCCGCTAAGTTGATTTTAATTGCAGGAGATGCTGGCGATGGAGGCGCTTCACGTGTTGGACGAAGTGAGCGATCCCTGCAGGCAATGACGAGGGGAAACAGGCACGTCAAATGGTTGGACGAGGCAACCTTCCCCTCCATCGTATGGCCCACCAACGTGAAATTCATACAACACAAACTGCCACCATCGAGCTCGCAATTTGCTCGACAGAACATCCCCAGCCATGGCCACTACCGAGGAAGCGCAGGTCGGTGAGTGCACGCATACTCTTTGTTCTTATTCCACACTGCACAACCGTCGCGAGGCTCACCTCTTGAAATCTAAACTGCCCCACGCCTTTGAGGGAGCTTCGAGCCACACTCGGGTAGACACGCGACCTTTGCGGTCCAGACATGCAGCCTGAGCACTGGAACCATTGGTTATCGCATTCTCATTGCTTTCCATCGACCGTGACACGCGAGCATCGTGACGCAACCGGCGAGAGCGACAGAACGGCTAACTTGTGTGCAGACTATTCGCTCAACAACCCCGATACTCTGACCAAGTACAAGGAGGCGGCCAAAATTTCCCAGAAAGTCCTGGAGGCGGTGTCAGGTATGGTGCTCCATCAAGCCCCGATTTTGATGCGAAAAATCCATTTTTCATGTCCGCTGCAGGCATACAAACCTGCTGAGGGGTTACTGGGTTTCCATCGCAAGGTAGGCTTTACAGTGCTAACCAATGGCATTTAGGATGGTGCACAGAAGGTGCTAAGATTGTTGAAATCTGCGAGAAGGGCGATGCGCTTATGGAAGAGGAGATTGCAAAGGTGTACAAGGGCAAGAAGATTTCCAAAGGCTTCGCGCACCCCACCACAGTGTCGCCGAGCTCGTACATCACGCCATATACGCCGCTCAAGTCAGACACAGAAGAGGCAAACCGAACGCTCAAGGCCGGCGAGATTGTCAAGGTCCAGCTCGGCGCGCAGATCGATGGCTTTGGTACTATTGTGTGCGACAATTTCCCCGTTGGCGGAAAGGTTACTGGGCGCGAGGCGGACCTGCTCTTGGCCACGCATTATGCAAACGAGCTTCTATTGCGGCTAATGATCCCGCCAGGACTGACAGCGGCGACAGAGGAAGAGAAGAAGGAGCAAGAAAAGGAGAAGCAGGCATCGCAAGCAAAAATGAATCTCCTTGTCGAGAAAGTGGCGAAGGCATACGGCTGCAGCGTCGTTGAGAGCACAACTACATGGCTATTCGGCCGCAACGAGATCGAAGATAAGAAGAAGATCATCCTTAATGCCGCAGAAGGCGTCAAGGGTGAAGGCCTACCCGAAGTGGGCGAGGTCTGGGGCGTCGAAATGGGTCTTAGCCTGGGCAGCGGCAAGGTGAAGACGCTGACGGACCGTGCAACACTGCACCGACGAACGACCACGACATATGGCCTGAAGCGTGACTCTTCAAAGAAAACACTCACTGAGGTTGTCAAGAAGTTTGGCACCTTCCCGTTCAGTTTGAGGCAACTTGAGGATGAGCGTAATGGAAAGGTCGGTATTGTTGAGTGTGTGCGTGGTGGTGTTGTCAAGCAATATGAGGTGGTTGCGGACAAGGACAATGAGCCTGTATCTCGTTTGTTCACCACGGTTGGTAAGTGCTTCCCTTGTTTTCTTGGTTTAATGTTCTATGCTCTCCAACGTTTTCTCCCCTATCGAGTCTCTACGTTCTTCTCAGTCCTGTCATATCATCCAAATATGTCGACGTGTTTGCTACATCACATTCCCATTTATAAGCCCTGTAGACTCTACTAAATGGGCTAATATCGGTGGTGCATTTGTTGCTGGTCGTCATAGCTGTGTACAAGCTCCATTTCTACCCCACGAAATGTTCTTCCTGCACAGCTGTGAGAGCCATACTTGATGTAATCTCAACACATTTGCGTGTTGACACGAGAAATTATTTGCCTGAGACTAGTCTTCCGGATTGTGTGTGGATTTGATTTCTACAGCGTTCTCTGATCCTTGTTCTGCCATGTTCTGGCTCGTTCTCCACCCGGAGTTGGCCACGCATCTCTTGTTTCATCGCTGACGTGTTGAACAGCCATCACCAAGAAGGGCTTGACAAAACTCGCTGAACCTCCAGCATTTGACGTGTCGAAGTACCAGTCAGATAAGAAGATCACTGACGAAGAGATTCTGAAGATACTGGAACGGCCACTTTCGAAGGAGAACAAGAAGAAGAAGAAATAAACGCTTACTCTTCAGACCTAGGCGGGACCTGACAAATTTTCAAGGCAGTCGTAAGAATGCCATCGCAGAGAAGTACCTTTCGCATTCCTGTATTGATAAGTGTTCAATGCAGATGACGGAAGCATCTGTTGATGTCCAGCATGCAGATGGTCGGTCAGGTCTTCAGCCAAGGCAGATTTTGCACATGACCAACACTTTGCTACGAAAGTGGTTGAGAACATGAAAAATGAAGGCGTAGGCAGCCGTAAATAGACAAAAATCGATACCTTTCGATCATGACAAGGCCGTATGCTTCATCCTGAGTTTGCCCCTGAAGCGGGTGCGCCGTAGATATGGCTACATGCAATCGCTACCGCCTTATTTTTACGATTGTGTCGTTAATATATATCAAATAAAGCGAAACAAAGATATTCTGACCAGCTCAAAAGACCTTTTCCTGCATGTTGTGGGAAAATAATGTTGTGGTTGCCGCTCATGTGATCTGAATGGAAAGGGAGCGGTCTTGGTATCTCTCTTTCACCCGTTCATATAACTTGGATCGCGACGATTCTCAACAGCGCGCCTCGATGCGGCGTCTATAAGACTCGAGATCGCTTGGTACAAATAAAAAACTCCATCTAATACTGTCCAACGCGCTAACATGTGTGCAGTCAACGCGCAAGCGATTCACCCAACAGGACGTCCGCCATGCCAAATCTTCGTGGCACCCGTCAACGGCCGAGTCGCACGTCGAGTCCATTCGTGCGGACAGCGAACACTTCTCCCGCGCCGCCAAGTGAATCGAAAAGGGAACAAACGCAAAGTCGCCTGGATGCTTGGGTAGAGCCGCCGCTGCGTAGCCCCGTTCCCAGTTTTCAGGACCATGGCATGGAACGGACGGCTATCTTCCAGGACATGGCTCCCCTAGGCACCATGCCGCCCACCAGGTTGAAGATAAAGATGAAGGGAGACTCTAAGCCTGACAAATCAGATTCTCTGCCTGCGTCGGACGTTGCGACGGCTACACCTGAAGGAACGCCCCCGATCGAGACCAAAACGTCAGAAACTGCATCGCAGGAAGAGGCACAGACGAAGCAAAAGCAGGTCAAGAGAGAAATTCCACCAGTGAAGGAGGATAATCTGGCAGACAAAGTTGTCAGTAACGGGCCGTTGACGACTCCGCACGTACGATCTCCAGCGGTGCAAAATGGGACACCTACTCCCGCACACTCCCGAAAAACATCTACCAACACGATTGCGTTGCCCTCACCACAGCGACCTATTCCTATAGCTTCACGAGCTTCGCGGGATCAGAAATTAGAAAAGGTTGTACGGAAGGCCATCGAGATGGCTAAGGCGTCAGGACAAGACAAACTTGCTGCTGTCATCACGATGTTCTACGAGGAGACATTTTCCAACCCTTCACTTGCGGTGCTGTTCGACGCGGTCATCACGAAAAGCGAGACAGAGGCACAGAAGAAACAATTTGCTATTGAGATGAAACGCATCCGCAAAGCCGTCAAGAAAGAGTCGCGTGAATCTTCCAGGGCACGTACAATGTCCAGCTCAGGACCCCCTTCAACTGCGGGCTATTCAGGTCAAACCCCGATAATAGGCACAATGGCCTCGCCTACATCAGGACAACAACCAACAATGGGCTATTATCCTTCATCCCAGATAAGTCAGAGAACGCCCTTCTCGCCGCAGCAAACGCAGCAGCCTCCTTTTTCTACCTTTCGGTCCGTATTACAACCTTCACCCTTCTCACCAACCCAAAGCCATCCAGGCTCCCCAACTCACCCCTCTAATGCACCGATGCCTTCAGAGCGACCTGGCATAGCTTCTTCCCAGCAAACCCTTGAGCATAGCGCGGCTGTTCTGACGCCTCAGCAAACTCGGCAATCATCTCAGTCACAAGCCCAGGTCCAAGCAAAATCAACGCCTCAGCCATCAACTACCACAGTGGTGAGCACTCGTCGAAGCACTCGAGCTGCCGGTGCAGATGCAACGGCGACATTGCTTCCTGTCACTGGCGCTTCTATCGTCCATCCTACAACACCTACTCCAGCGGAAGCACCTCCCACGAGCCAAGCTATTGAAGTTGAAAATGAGGAAACTACGACAGGCTCGGATCGAGATCTGATGACCAATGGCACCAAGAAGACGGACACATCGGAAGGGAGCTTGACGTCGAACATTCGAACAGCCACGAAGGAGACGACAAAGTCACCGAGATCTGCTAAAGGTAGGCGACGCAGATCTCCCTCCGTTGAGTCAGGATCGTCCTTATCTTCTGTCGACGAAGCTGTCGTCGAAAAAGGTAATCCGACTGCCGTTTCGGCACTTCCCGCAGCCCAAGCTGAATCGCTGCAACCTTCTCGTGCAGTATCCCGCAGTGCGACACCACGGCCGGGTCCTGGCCCCAAGGCCAAAACCAAGAAGGGGTCGCATCTTAAAAATCTTGCAGGGACTAAGCGGGGTGCCTCGGAGACTCTGGCTCTCGAGGAGGTCGACGAGGAAACGCGCCTGCGCCGTGAGAAGGTGAAGGCGAATCTTGATCGTGACCTTCGTGATCGCAAGGCAGAGGAGCCAAATGAGCAGGAATTCAGCTCCTTCCGTGACTCTGAAGAATATGCAAGCAGTCTTCCAGATGGTCCTGGACTGCGCAGCCGAAGAACTACTCGTCGTCAGAGTGCTCCAGATACGTCTCGTGTCATCTCAACGCGAAATTCAACGGCCGCAGCAACTCCTGAGGTGACTGGAGGTCGCCGTGCTCGTCAGTCGACGCAGAATCAGCGACTATCGGCCATCGATGTCGTATCAACAGCCCCTCGTCTGGAAGTGCATACTCCTTCAACACCTGATCATCCTGCTAGTGATGCAGAATCTAACGGCGACCCACCTCCAAAACGCAGGAGGACTGCTCGCACCAAGTACTCACCCGTCAAGCTTCCAAACGGCGTCGCTCCGAAGACGTTCGAGCCGGCCAGCAGAAGTTCTCCACTGCCAGACGGTGGTCGTGAAGGCAAGAAGCCGAACCGCGATCAATGCTTCTCTTGTGGCTGTGGCGGCGATCTAATATGTTGCGATATGTGCCAGAACTCTTTCCATGCCGAGTGCTGGGATCCTCCTTGTAAGGATGCCAACGACGAGCAGTTTCAGGGCTTCGAGTGGATCTGTACGCACTGTCGGATCTGGGAGAAGCGCAAAGACAATGAGGAACGCGCGCGGAGAGGCGAACCGCTTGAACTTGACAGCAGCGACGAGGGCTCTGTGGCGACTAAGGGAAGCGACGTCCCTGAGACGCCACCGGATTGGAATCTGCTCGATCGAGTGCCAATCAAGGTTCCTCTCTTCGAACAGCTCACCAAAGGCTTCAAAGAGCTGTTGCCAGAGCAGTTTGGCCTCAAACCTGTTATCCGCGATGCATATGATGGCTATGTCGTGGATTCAGAGCGTCGCTATCGTCCTATACAGAAGGCGCCCATCAACGTGTAAGCATTTTCAGCTGAAGATGTCTGATTGCGATGTTAATGAACTATAGTGATTCGCGTTTACGACCAACAGAGGCTATCTTCGATGACGGCAAGCATATCAAGGATCCCAAGGACATGAAGCAGTGCGTCTACTGTGGTCTCTCTGCTGTTAGCAAGAAGGGGGACTTAATCAAATGCGATACATGCGGCGACTTTTGGCATCTCGATTGTCTCCCCAGCCCAACCACGGCCCCGCCACAGACATGGTCTGCTGTGGAGAAGCGCGGCAACCGTATGACGGATGTCTACAAGAAGCGCTACTGGGAGTGCCCTCGCCACGTTGAGCAGGACATGATTCTACTTTCCGATCCAACGACGTATTCAGGCGATCTGAATAACGTGCGTGGTATTAAGGTCCGACTTCCAAGGAGGCAAGTTGCTCAAGTAGCCGCAATCAGGGAACAAGCCAAGGCTTCGCGGTCGCAGACTGTTCGCGAGGCGCCCGACGACGTCATGCTCGTTAATATCGAGGTTGACGATTCTTGGTGGGAGAAGTATGATGCTCGCAGGAATGAGATGAAAGAGACAGAGAACAACAGCTACACCATCCATGAGAACAACGTACTAGCGGACTTCGCAGCAAAGGCTCGCAAGTAAGTTATCATCTCTTTTACGATAGATCCGTGTTCACGTACTTATTTTCCACCAGTAACCGCCTCGTTCTCTCTCAGAGCAATGATGAGCTCATTGACGCTCTTGTGCCAAATACATATCAGCGGGACCAACTCAAGAAACTGTGGCATGATCGTCAGCAGTCGGAGATCGAGATTAAGGTTCAAAAGGAAGTCGAAGCGACAATGACCCTAGCCGGCCTCCGTCAGCAAGCACAGGGCATCAACGTTAACGACCTTTTGGCCCCAACTTCCGATGAAGAGGCCGTCTCTCGTCTCGTCGGGTTCATGACACATGAGCAGATCAAGCAAATGCAATTGATGCTTGATGCTGTCAGTAAGCGAATACGCGAACATCCCGAGCTTGCCTCTGCTGAACGTTGTGCTGAGCTCGATGGAGATATGGATGCCATTCTTGCTGGTGGTACCGCTAGGCATATAGATAGCGTCACTGCCGCGACCTCGACTGTTCCTGTGGATAGTAATGACGGAGATGAAGAACCGAGCGCCAAGCGTCGCAAGACTCATGGTGAGCTCGCAGACAAGGCCATGGGCGAAGACAACAGGCATGTGTATAGATAAAGGGCATCCAAAACTAGCAGTACGACACTTAATAACCATGTGAACGCAACTACAACGGCACTTACCAACTTCGATACAATAGGAGGGACCAGCGCAAAGGGTGCACATGACTGGCTCACGAGCAAATGCAAAATTAATGCATGTACATGGGCAAACCTTTGAATTCAGCATGGGGAATTTGTGATTAGTATCTGAAGAGTTTACATATTTTTTATGTCTGCTCACATTGCGTTACCAGTGGTATGTATGATGCAGGAGAGAAGGACTACGTGACAACACGGAGGGAACAGCATTGCAACTGGGGATTTTTTTTTATTTGGTCATGGCGTGGCACTATTGCGTTTGGAATGGTGTCCGCGAGTAGTTTTCCGTGCTATTCAAAACATTGGCATGGATCGAGGCTTAATAGCGGCACCGATTCGATACCGCGATCATATGCGTATTTCCTCCAGAGCAGCTCTGTAATGAATGTATTCACATACACTGTTCAACTGAAATCCCTCGCATCCCGTTCATCTTGACGCGATTTCAATCTCTCGAGTTCAACCTTTCCTTGATCTCCTTGAAACCAGGCAACACATGCGTAATCAATGGTACCGGCGTACCCATCCAAGTCGCTCGTTGTGTGTGATCTCTCTCGTCGTCGCCGGTATTAGGATGAATCAGCGCACTCAGTGGGCCCCTATGAATGACAAGCCAGGGTATGAAAGCGCCGAACTGCTCTGCAACAACTCGCATGAATCATCAGACGTTCAATGGAAGAGAAAACAGAGTACGTCGAAACGTACCAGGAGTGAACACGTTCACTTCGAACATTGCAATCGGATGTGGCCCCACCGGCCGATCCCAGACCTTGTATATCCTGAGCTCAGGAAACTCCCTACGGATTCGTTCCCACAGCTCCTTGGCGAATTGGTACTGGAAAGGGTCGGTGTGAGCGTAGTAGATGTGGACGTCGAAGCCAGCCCGGTTGCCGTTGGTGATGGGCGCGGGGAACGACGAATACGCTTGCGACCTCGACGCTGCGGGCGGGTTCTTGAAGGACTTGCCGTCCTCGTTCAGGTCACTTGATGCAAACCGTCAACTGGTGATCGACGGAAAGAGGGAGTGGGAACATGCTTTGGGAGTGGCTCAAGGTTCTCATAGCCCTCCAGCGGAGACGGATACGAATACAGCAACGGATCAGCTGGCATGATTGCAGGACCGAGCACAAGAGAAAGCCACAGATATCAGACCAGAAAAGCGACCTCGCGAAATGTGCAGCTCGACGAAAGCTGTCCCTGGGCAATGTTAGATTTCTTCTCACCAAGCCCAGAAAGAAGGTCCGCAGCATGTTCGGCTCAGCTTCGGCGCAAACCTTTCCCATCACCCTCCTCGTGTACCGGGCCCAGGGCAGGGAAAGGTCGAACCTTGGAGCGTGAGCTGGACTGACGGTCATTGGCGTACAAGTCGGCAGGGACGACGCGGTGCGAACGACGGGAGCCCCCTAAACCCCCTCCCGACGGAACTTTGAGCTGGCTGTCGCCGACCGGCCGCCTGGTTCTCGCAAGCGAGGACGACGAGCGAGGACGAAAGCGTCGAGACATGGTCGAGCGCCGGGACGCCGTTGCGCAAGCATGGACGGCGCGGGGCGCGTGCCGCTTCCCGCAAAACGCTGTCGGTCATGAGAGAGGCAAACAGAGAGGGTGCTCCATCTCCCGACGTTCGACATCAAGTCTCGAAAGAAAGGTTGGTCTGGACAGTTTTATGCCGGCCACGCGTACAAACGGCTTGCCGCAGACGCAGCTGCGTGGTTTTCTTCGCGTCGTGAGACCTTGCCTTCCTTCACGCTCATGCATGTGTCTTGTCAGTTTTGCGCCATTGGAACCGGGGGCTGTTTGAGTGAGCTGTTCTTGTGTCAGAATAGCCCATTTTTTCGAGCTTTTGGTCACGACTGAACGAATCTCGCACCGAGAGGCTTAGGCGCCATTTTTTAATTCCAATCGCCAGAGCCGGCGAGGCCGTAGTCGTGATTATGTTATAGCGTTCCAGGTGTGTCCATGTTTACTCGGAACAGGATATGTTGCCTCTCAGGTAGAGGAGGACAGTTTTAAAGAAAGGACAATGATCGCGAGAATTCTCGCTACGCGTCCGACTCGAGAAAGATGTCACCAAAACACGTCTTGTGATGGGAGACTCAATGAGACTTCCAAAAAAGAAAAACAAAATTAAAATCTGACAGCAAGGGGGAGGGGAAAGAAATAGAATTCCACGGGAACAGCTGACTGCAGACACGAATTCATCTGCGCCAAAAAAAAAATGTATGTAATTCCTTCTCCTAGTGTCTCAGCCCAGATGCCGCCAGTGCGTTGCTGACAATCAAGTCTTGCCCTTCCACTTCTACGCCAGCACAAAGATGTCAAAGGTATCTCTATTCTACCTAGCCGCCCGCCATCTAATTTCCGTCATAATCATCGCGAATTGATCACCTAAGAAACAAAATAAAAACGCAGCTCGGAATGAGAAACCGCTTTGTCGTTTGCAAATTGGTGGCTTGTTGCCTCATGGCTTGCAACGACCCATAAAGCGTGGATACAAGCAGGTATCTCTCACAGTCCACTGGTTGCAGAGCCAAGCAAGGAAGCGCTCGAGACCGAGACCGTAACCACCGTGTGGTGAGGATCCGTACCTAGCAGGTGTAATTTAGCACAAACATTCTTCCACGACTAAGTAGGGTAAGAGTCGTATCTCACCTTCGCTGGTCAGTGTACCAGTAGTAGTCTGTCGGATCGATACCCTCTCGCTTGTATCCCTGCATCAACTCCTCATAGTCGTCCATCCTCATGCTTCCTCCGACGATTTCGCCGACGCCGGGCATGAGAACATCCACACTCTCGGTAACGCGGGGATCGCTGGGGTCTCTGTACATGTAGAACGACTTGATCTCGACTGGGAAGTGCGTCAAAAAGATGGGACGGTTTATCTCGTCCGTCATCTTGCGCTCAGCCGCCTCGGCGATATCATCGCCAAACTCGTGCGGCTTGCCTTCGTCAGTGAGAATGTTATGCTCGTTGAGCCAAGCGATCGCGTCCGAGTACTTCATTCGCAAGAACGGCTGCTCGGGCATCTTGAACTCCGGGTTGAGCTTTTTGATTATGGCAGCCACCTCCGGATCGGCAAGTGTTTTCTTGAGAACGGCGCAGATGACGTATTCAAGGTGATCGAGTAGGTCATTGAACGTGATGAAGTCCAATTCGGCTTCGATATGCGTGTACTCAGACAAGTGACGGCGGGTGAGCGACTTCTCAGCGCGGAACGACTTCTCAATGCAGTACACGTTGCCAAGGGACGGGAGGACAGTCTCTAAATAGAGCTGCGAGCTCTGAGTGAGGTATGCTTTCTCACCGTAATAGTCGAACGAGAAGAGAGTGGCGCCACCTTCGACCTGGGGGAGATTTTCCTTTAGCTTGCACAAGCATCAAACACGGCGCCGTTTGTGCTTACCTGTGTCTGCACAAGCGCGGGGGGTGAGACCTTGCGCATTCGCAGTTCCTTGTACACGGTGTTGAATGCAAACTCAACGGCGTCTCTCACGAGCAAGATGGAGCTCGAGTTGTCACCTCGCAAGGTCAGGTGCCTAAGGTCCATCTTTGTCTGCGGGTCGGCATCCGGAGCTACTCTCGTGGTGATCGCATCGTCACCCCCAGGTGCCTTGAACTTTGGCTCGACGCGGAAGAAGTCGACTCGCAGTTCGCGACCAAGCGGTGCTTGTGCTCCTGAGGGAACTTCGTACAGTTCTCCGATGATCTCCATGGTTGTCTCCTGCGTGAGTGTAACGGCGTCATACGTCTTTGCGAGGTCGCCGGCAAAGACGCATTGCATCTTGCCGTAGCCGTCCTTGAGAACGACGAACATGACGTCCTTCTGCTTTCGAATGTGATGTGCACGACCTGTGCCTGCCGTCAGCGCCGATCAGAACACCCTGTCCGAGAATTTCTGCCTACCCAGTACTTTGACTCTCGTGCCTTTCTCCTCGCTGCCTTCTTTGTGCAAGACGATCGAATCGCCTGTCTGGTCGAGTCGAATCCTGATCGGCTTGGGCAGGCTTTCGTCCTCAGTGATGACAATCTTTTTCGCATCCTCGAGCGCCTTTTCCCTTGCCTCTTGTTCCTTCTTCTGCCTCACCGCAAGCTCCGCCTCCTTGGCCTGTTTCTTTTTGTGTGTCGCCAGAGCGGTGGCGGCTTTCTTTGTGCCCGCCTTACTGGCTGGTGCATATTCAGGCTCTTTGCCCTCCTCGTATTTTCTTTGCAAGTAGGTCCCCTGGCCGTCGTTCTGGATATACGCATATGCTAGAGACTGGTACGGTGCGCTCTCGGTCCCCGTCGCGCTAGCATCATCCTTGCCCGCCTTCTCGTCAACGTATATTGTCTTTTGCGACTCCGCCATGGTGGGGGTTGGATAGGTGGGTGGGAAATGAACTTCAAGCGCAGCAAAATTCAATCCCTGCCCCAAGGAATATGTTGAACACTCGGACGCGGTCTCTGCGTCTTGTAAGTTCTGCCACAATTGCTCGTGTGCCCAGATTTAGATATATATTTTTTACCTTGGGAGCTTGCCGGGCGAGAGTCAAAAAAAAAAGCCCGGTCTAAGTTTGATGACTCAAAAGGAGGGGGGTACAAATATCACTTGATAAGCAGTCTACAGTCTCAAATCTTGTCGCAGACGGAGAAACAGTGCTCCTTCAATGTTTTCGAAAAAGACAACACACGAGGTCTGTTTTATCTCGCCAGAGACTTGTGGTGTCTGCTTTCGCTAGCTTAACGTCTTTGTGGTAATTCGATATCGGAGCGTCGGCCACAACATTCCAGCCTTGCTCTTCTTGGCGTGTACATTTTCAGGTATATCATCATGAAGCCCAGTGTGGAGAAATGGAATGGACACAATCATCGGTGCGAACGAGAACAGTGGTCGTGAACTGGAATGGGTATTTCTGAGCAGTCTACATTGGTTTGTCTCCTTTTCTTTCTCATACATGAAAGCCAGGAATTGCGTAGAGACGAAAGGAAATCAAGTCATCGCCATGCATGCTGCGTGCATTCCGACTAAACACTCCGTTCCTACACGTAGCCGTCTATGCAAACTGAGAGAACGAGGTAGAGGTGACAGAATAGGCTACTACATTGTATCAGAACATCTAGGACTTGTTCTGTCGCTGCTGATCAATGCTCCTAACGTATGCCTCCGGCGCCCCTTTTCGCCCTGTTTCCAACCAATTGCATAAAAAGCATCATTATTCGTCGTGTCTTCGCTCTATGCGATACTGGATTTGCTTATCGCATGATTTCATTGTAGATGAGGACTGAGATCGGGTCAGTGATTTGCAGTTGCTTGTCTTCACGACTGTGTCTCACCTTTCAGCTGCTCCTTGGTTAGATTGTCTTTGTTCTTGTCAAAGTCGAAAAACTCTTCGGGGATTGGATCTGCCGTGGGCTCGTCATCCGGATCGTGGTACGGCTCCAAATAAGGATGCTTCAGAGCTTCCTCCACCGTGATGCGCTTGACCGGATTGAATGCGAGCAGGCGTTCGAGAAGATCGAGGGCGAGGTCGTTTGTGCGGGGGAACATGACCTTCCATGGGATCTTCTTCTTGAACGGTAGTGATCGGATGTATTCGCGAGCACGACGGGACTTGATGCCATAATAGTCTTCCATGGTGGGTGTGCCGAGCACATCGAGAATCAAGGTAAGCTGGTGGTGATCTTGACACGGAGTTAGCCTCGGGCCTATTGTGTCCTGGGCTAAGATGACTTACAGTCCTTTCCTGGGAACAAGGGCTTGCCGCTTAGCATCTCCGCGAGAATGCAGCCCACACTCCACACGTCAATGGCCTTCGTATACTCCTTGAATGTCAGCATAATCTCTGGTGCACGGTACCATCTCGTCGCCACGTATTCTGTCATAAAGCCCGAGTTGTCCTCGGTGGAAGCTGCCGAACGGGCAAGACCAAAGTCGCAGACTTTCAGATCGCAATTGGCGTTGAGCAGCAGGTTGGAAGGCTTAAGATCACGGTGCAGGACGTTTGCGGAATGCATGGCTTTGAGGGCACGGAGGGTTTGGTAAATGAAGTACTGGCAGTGGTCGTCGGACAGCTCTTGCGTGCGGATGACTCTGTGCATGTCCGTCTCCATGAGTTCCTGGTTGTTGGATCAACACCGCTCGTCCTTAGCTCACGGGCTTGTCCGTCACGTACCTGAATGAGATAGACTTCAGTGAACGTCTCCAAGCTTCTGGGCTTTTGGATGTCAAGGATGGAGATGATGTTTTCATGGTTGAAGTAGCGCAGCAGCTTCATTTCTCGCAGCGTTCTCAGGCAGAACATGGAGTGGTCGAACGGTGTGATCTTCTTGATCGCAACCTTTTGACCCGAAGGCTTGTGGATAGCAGAACTAGGGCAGACATGTCAGCAAAAGGCGAGTTGCAAAACTCGCAAGGTAGGAAGCATACCAGACGACACCATAGGCACCTTCGCCGACCACGTCTTGGATGTCATACTGCTCCGACACGTTGAAGGATATTTTCCGCGACCCTGGCGCGGCCTGTTGGCGGGACATGGTTGAGCGAGCCTTGGAAGCGACTCGTCAATGCTCAGGAGAGGAATTGCGCTCGGTATGCACGGCGATCGAGAGGCTGCGATATGGAGCGCCCGTCCGTGTGATTTGCGGATGTGCAGGTGTTGCAAGGACAACAAGAAAGTGAAGAGGGAGACTGGTTGTGTTCCTGCGGGCGGGCCTGCGACTCAGGGTTCTGGCGGGAGGTGGGCGGGAGGTGTGCGGGAACAGGTGGGCTTGGTGGTGAAGACAAAGGACAGCGCGTGCGATGGGCTCGCAACGACGGCCAGATGATTGTAGGGTCAAGTTCTTTGTTCTCGAGACGGCTGGAAGGGCTGAGACTGATGCTGCAACAAATACGAATCTTCGTAGCGCTGGCAGGCTCAGGCCGTGGCGGTCGTCGTGTGAGAAGAGCAGAAGCAGCAGAAGCAGCAGAAGCGGCAGAGACAGCAAACGCAAGGCGAGAGAGGGGTACTTTGGCTCCCTCTGGCTCCCTCTGGCTCCCTCTGGCACGCTCTGGGTCTCTCTCTGGGGCTCTCTCCGGTCGCTTTTCACGCTTCTGCTATGTCGGACTGGGGTAAGGTCCAGCCGTCGACGGCCAATCACCACGTCCCAGCCGTCCTCTAACCGCTGGGCCTTTGTCGTTGGATGGTTGTGACAGCTGCCACAACCAACAACATGTCTTTTGCCCGTTCCCACTTTTCGCGTGGCGTCGCTTGCGGCCTATTGATACCTTGTCTTTGCGTCGTCGGGGCTGGGTACGGCGCGAGCCATGATGCAGACGTGAAATCCGGTACGCCGCCCCGAACAACCATCACGACGATGGCATCTGGCCTGTGTCTGGCCCTTCTTAGCTCAGGAACCCGAAACAAGCGCCCTGGACGGGCGAGCGAAAAGAACAGGAGGAAAAAAAAAAAAAAAAAAATTCGCCATGCCCGTCTAGCCGCCGGGCAGTGTATCTTGCATATGTTGGAAACCCATTCCGGGTGCGCATGACATTGCCTAAGCCTGGTTGTCTGGCAAAGGCCGCTGTTGCTACGCAGGTCGATCGCACAGACACGGAGAAAAAGCATCTTCTCTCAGCGCCGTGAGCACGTCGTGTCGCCGTCCATGCGAGACCATTCGAAATGGTGGCTACTGCTCCTTCACGCACGGCGGGTCGATCGCTAGCATGTTTGACGGATGTTTCGAAGCATGTCATACATGCTTGCTCTGACCACGAGTTGAAGCCAAGGGACAATAGCGGCTGTCCCCTCTGCGCCCCCCCGGAGTACCTCCGATCCGTGAGCAAGCAGCCATGGAAGATCTTCCCCGTGCATTTTGTTCCGAGCAAGCGTGATGTCATTTACGAGAAGAATGATAGCCTGACTTCGCTAGGCTGTTCTTTTCGTGTAGGGTTGCGCTAGGTAAGCTTGGCTGTTGTGCACTATATCAACGGACTAAATGATCAGGCACGCCGTCGGCAGAATCAATGAATACGCTGTGCATTCCATTTATTTATTGATTTAACTGACTACTCTAAGCCTGCAAATGTGTGCTGGGTGCTTTGGTGGTGACTTCACTCTGTTCCAACAACCATCTGATCACGCGTTGGCGTTGACTTCGCAGTCTCCCAACGACCGTCTGATCGTGCCTTGGTGGTGCCTTCACTGTCTCAACTACCGTTCGACCGGTTTTGGGGTGGGCGTTCCTCTCTCACCACCACGAGAAGAGCCCACGGAGTCAGTCGGCAGTCTTACCCATAGGCGGATATTTCTTGCCGTCCTTCTCGACCTTTGGCTCGCACTTGCATCGGTCGGACTCTTCGACCTTGTCCATCACCCTGAGAAAACAGGTCAGCTCCACGTGAGGCACGAAAGACTAAGATAAACAGATCAAGGTGAGCTGCGCGAGGAGGGTTGGAGGACAGCAGAGAGAGCTTACATGGGTACATGATTGCCACAGCCCCACCAGGTCTTTCCGTCTGCTCTGCACATCAGTGACAATGTTGTAGCGACGTTGGATTAGCTCGACTCACGGCATTCGCTGCAGGTCGCTGATTTACACATAATGTCTCCAGGTGTGTTCTTTGATGACGATTGGCTGTGATGTGATGTCTGAAGGCGAGCTCTGTCCCGCGTTGAGAAGCACTCTTGGAGGGTTGAAAAAGTGTGCGCGAGCTGAATAGCTGGAGCTTGCGCTACATATAGAATCTGGACCGTCGTAGAAATCACGCAGCCAGCTTCCTGTAGGTCGCCGATTACAAAAGTGTGAAGGTGTTCGCCGAGCTCGCTACCAGAAGCAGGATCGTTCTGGTCCTGCCGCGATCAGTCCCACATAATCACTGCACTCTTGTATGTCTCGCATCGTGCAGACGGTTGAGTACGCTTCACTGGACGAGACACGTACATACAGACATCTCTCCAGCCAGCTACAGGGCTAGGCCGGTCCAAAAGAACGGCCCGTCGTTGGCCTCCAGACCACGAACTTGCTTTGCGTAACCTTGGCCAAGGATGGAGGTCACGTGAATTTCCACACAGTCGTCATCCTTTGCCGCCATCAACGTAGCCAGAGCTACTTGGTAAGCTGTGCGTGAAGCAAGGAAGCGTTTTCGATGATGAGACGGGCCGTAGACGGGCGAGTTGAGCCGTGATGCGTCGTGCCGGTTGGACTGGGCAGATTCTGCACCCGAAGCCACGTGAGTAAGTCTGACCACTCCTCTCAGACTCCGCAGCAGCGCGGCTCCCGACTGGCACTTCTCGCGTCGTGACATCGAGTATTGGGACTTCAGCCCTTTCGCGACGTCTAAACTTTCCATAGCCTGGTACGTCCATCTCTCTCCAATGGTTTTTTGATGCCCGTGTGCCCATGCGTCCTCCCATTGACTGCGTTCTGCTCCTTTTTGTTTTCGAGCGCCAGCCACGGCATGCCCTTTCACTGAAGGCGACTTGAGGCCGCGACTTCGACGCGCCTAGTTCATCCATGGCCGTCACATCTGCTAACGGATCCAGGTGATCTTGGCTTTTGCGTTGGTTGAGTCGCATGTATACCTAGGTGTGGTTCATGCGCTCTCGCCCCGGCTGTCGTCCACAGGAGAATGCTGTCTCCTGCTGTCGCATCGGACCCTGTAACCTCAACGAACACACACAACTCGTCTGCCTCTTTGCACACCCCTTCCGTGCTCAACAACATCAGCGGCCACGGTAGCGCGATCTTGCAGCCTGGCGCGAACGGCACCCACGCAGGCGTAGCGGCGCCGGCGAGAGATGTGATACGTGAAGGGAAGGAGAAGGCACGAGCCGTAATGGCGGCATCAGGTATTTACATTGGAGCGAATACGCCGACTAGGGCGTCAACATTCGACGGCGCCAGCGTGTCTCCAATCACGAATGGCGTCGCGCATGGTCGCAAGCGATCACGGTCAGGCTCGCCGAGACCACTGTCGAACTCCAGACAAGCGAACGCGGAACAAACAGCAGCCGACGACCATGGCAGGTACTTACTAACACAGTATCGCATACGCGATCAGTATAAATCAGCACACATCTCTGAGCGCATATCGCGCCAGGAGGATCTCCAAAGGAGCAAACTGCAAGCAAGCCAGGAAATCAGGAGGCTAGAGGCACCACCGAAAACTTCTCATGAAATGCACCAAAGAGTCTGGGACGCTGCGAGAATATACGGCGGCGGATTTGAGGGTTGGGGTAATGGCTGGACCGTCTCACCGCAGCCTGTCCTCATGTATCCTCACGATCCGCAGAAAAAATGGCCGGGGCACAAGACTCGTCACGACCGCCGTATTCGCTTCAACAGGAAGCAGCTGGCGAACCAAGCAGAACAGCTGGAGGATTTGGTTCCCATACGCCTAGACATTGAGCATGACAAAATCAAGCTACGCGATACTTTCACCTGGAACCTGCACGAACGAATAATGGAACCTCGAGTGTTCGCCGAGACGCTTGTTGAGGATTTCAAGATTCCCCAGGAACACCTGCAATACGTATCTCAGGAAGTCTATAAGACGATACAGGAAAGCATTATTGAATACTACCCTCACATCTTTCTAGAGGAGAATCCCGACGACCCTAGCGCACCCGACGATGTGAACAGAAACGATGAAATGCGGATTGTAATCAAGCTGAATATCACCATTGGCGCGCATACCTTGGTTGATCAATTCGAGTGGGACATCAACAACCCAGACAATGACCCAGAAGCCTTTGCTAAACAACTGGCCATAGACATGGCCTTGTCAGGAGAGTTTACCACTGCGATAGCACACCAGATTCGGGAACAGGTCCAGATGTTTACAAAGAGCTTGTACATCACGGGACATCCTTTCGATGGACGGCCAGTTGAGGACTCGGATGTTCGCGATAACTTCTTGCCCTCGCCAATCAATTCAGTCTTCCGACCGGTTCAGTCAGCTAAGGACTTCCATCCATTCTTGTATGAGCTGAAGAACGAGGAACTCAACCAGCAGGAATTGTCGATACTGCGCGAACAGAGAAGGCAGAAGAGGTCAACGACCCGGCGTGGTGGTCCTGCTCTTCCAGATCTAAAAGATCGCGAGAGAACCGTGCGATCTCTAATTGTGTCGACCGTCCTACCGGGTGCGGCAGATTCATTAGAAAATGCAAGGGTGTTCAAGTATTCGCGTGCCTCAGGTCGCAGAAAAGGCGGCAACCGCACCTTTGATGGCTCGGATTCGGAAGAATCAGAATCGGAGGAGTCGGAGGCAGAGGAGGTTACTCAGATCACTGGTGGTACCGCGCGAACGCGTGGTATACGTGGTGCAGCTTCTGCGGCACAAGCAGCCATGAGAGCTACATTAGGTAGATCGCAAACACCTGAGGTTACGCAGTTGGAAACCCAACAACAGGAACGGCGGGCCACGTCGCGATCTCTGCGTTATGAAATGCGAGAAGAGAGTGTGCCGGATCCTACAACCATGATCGTCAAGTTAAAGATCAACCCCACCAAGTTCCGAGCATGGTTGAGAACATATCAAGCACGTCCATCCAATGCGTCTTCCACACCGCATGTATCTTCACAGACAGGCACTCCGCAGCAACATGGTCAGGGGGGATCATCGATGCCTCCGCCACCTTCGCCGGCTCCAGGGAAAAATACGACGCCAAGACCTCCGTCGAGGAGTTCCTCTGCGAACGAAACAAAATGGAGATATCATCCCGATGGAAGCGTCGATGCTCCGGATACTCCTCCCGATGATGACAGCCAAATAGTAAGTCCTGCATGAGACACATGTTCAAATTCAGCAACTAAAGTTTCCACAGCCACCCCCACCGACTTGGCTTACAGAAGCGCTTTCGGGCTTGAGTAAAGAGCGGCCTCGTGATTCCTTTGAAGGCTTCATGAAACTACTTCATGCGGACAGGCGAACAGGGCACCAACTGAAGCCCGACGAGCTGCAGAACGTACCTAAAGAATTCATTATGCAGAAATGGTTCCCAAGGATCCGGTGTAATGACTGTCCAGGGAAGTCATACAATGCTAAACCCGCGGATGTTGTGCAGAACTTCATGGTACATCTTAACAACAGAAAACATAGGGACCAGGTTGAAGCGAGGATCAGAAATGGAGGCAGAGCTGGTGCTGAGTAGAAGACGTCTGCGAGTTGCTGAAGGATCAGAAACATGTTGGACTGGGACAGCATATGATGCAGTCTGCTTCATAAAATTAGCTATCATAGCTTGGCCTAACCTAGACGGTTCTGGTAGCGATGCACACGATTTTGCACCGTAGAAGAGGAGCGCTGTGGGAAACGATGGGTTTTGTGTAGCGACACTTTCTATTTTTGATAAGGACCAGTGGGCTCCTGTCAACTGAATGATAAAATCAATGTCTCGTCCGAGTCTCCATTGCCTATTCATGCGATTGATGTTTAACACGGCTCGGTCAAAACATTCTTAGACTACTTTGGAAGTATTGTAACTTGCTTAGTGCAACTACCTTCTTCTATGAGGTCAGCCCGTGATGCAGACAAAGCTTGGACCTACCGAACGAGTACGAGGGCATTAAACATCTCGACCTTTTCCTTTTTCCCTTTTACTCTTGCACACAATCAATTCAACCGGGCGTCCAACTCGGTTCAATCACGCGTCATGTCCACCTCATTAAAGACCCGCGCACTGCGAACACTCGCACGCAACGCCGCCCGAACCTCTTCCTCCACCTGCGCAAGCATGCACACGCATCTGCATCAATCGAACCACTCGTACCACTCGGCCTCCTACCCCGAACCGCCCTCATACACGCCCGCCGAATCGATGATCCTGTCCGCGGCGCTGTCGCGAGTCCCATCGCACGGGTTCACGCAGCGCAGCCTGCAGCTTGGGGCGCAAGATGCCGGTTACCTCACCATCAGCACGAACCTGCTTCCCAGGGGGGTGTTCGAGCTGGTCCTGTACCACCTCGTCTTGCAGAGGGAGGGCCTGAAAGATAGGGTCGATGGCGAGTCCTCGGCTGGTGAGGGAAAGAGCCTGCGAGAGGTGTGGGAGCAAGGCAAGGTCGGTGTCGGAGGCAGGGTGAGAAGCTTGATCTTGGAGCGGCTGAAGGGGAACGTGGAAAGCGGCGTCGTGGGGAGATGGCAGGAGGTAAGACGCCCTTTCTGCACACGTCGGACGTCTTTGCGCGAGATGGGCTGACGTTTTTTTTTCTTTGCGGCTGCGCAGGCGCTTGCGATCATGGCACAACCGTCGTACATCCCGGCCTCGACGGGCGAGCTGTGGAAATTGGCAGACGAGATATGGTTCTTGGCCGGCGATACGGCGCTCGACTTCAGCTGGTACACGAAGCGCGCCTCGCTGTCGACCATCTACGCCGCCACGGAGGTGTTCCAGACGCAGGATCAGAGCACCGATTTCAGGGACACACGCAGGTTTTTGGACGCGAGACTGGACGAGCTAAGGACGTTCGGCGCCGCTTCGAGCGCCGTGGCAGAATGGGCGAACTACACGGGGCACAGCATTGTCAACGTTCTGAGGAGCAAGGGCGTGAGGATATAGTGACAGCAAGCGGTCCGCCTCTACTCCTTCGATCGCAAAAGTCTGGGGAGATTGTACTTTTACATTATGTTCCAATGGTCTTCAGACCTATCTTGTCTTGATTCTCTGTACGTCATGTGGAAAAGTTTAGAATCTCTCACTGCATCTTGCAGCTGGGTGTGTATTAATCTTACGTTCGAGTGGTCTTGTTGTCGCTCGAAAAGATTCTGGTCTCGCGATCTAGGTTCAACATTTCTCGTTCCTTCTTGTCTTTCTCTCTCCTGTCGCTGCTTCTGGATTGCTTCTGGGCCTCTTTTATTTTGAGAAAAATGCATCATCCAACTAGCTCACGAGTATGGCGTAGGGCATGTATGGGGGCTTTCGATCACGCCTTCAAAATTTGCGAGATAAATGGATCAACTTTCTGCTCTATCATCGGAATTTGACACCTTATCTCTCCTTGTAATCACTGGCATGGATGCTTGGCTCTTAGCGGGTCGTTTCAAGAAGGCTTGAAAAAGAAAAAGGAATACGGTCATATCCGCTGCACTACGGCTGCTTAATCTGACCGAACGATATTCCACACTATTGCACTATTGCCTCCAGGTTGTCGTGTCTATGGACATGTGGTGCTACAACAGAATACCGGGATTGTCGGACATGTTTCGCACTGACTAAAGGGCCAGAATGGACCTCATCCAGCCAGGTTAAGAAGATGAAAAGTCGGATAGAGGCGAGCACGTGGTTGAGCTTAATGATCACGCTTTGTATTCTGATCTCGGACCATCCACGTTACACTTCAAGGGTTCGTCCAGTCCGGGCACTCTCGCGAGCAAGTTCGATCAGCCGAATTACATTGCGCGCTGCCGCGCCGTCTACGGGAACTGGCGAACCCTCGCTAAGAGCCTGCACGAGCTTTTGATAGAAGACCTTATACGTTCCAGGCTCCAGAGTCGGATACACGTGCTCAGATATGGCGTTGTTCTCTGCCAGCGAGAGCACTCCGTACCTGTCACTCGATTCCTTACCAAGGTTGGGGTCGTCAAAAGCCATGCCGCCCAGGAGCTGAACCTCCTGCGGATCTTCGAAGTGCTGTTGCGATCCCAAGGCATCAGCAAGATGGATTCTGTTGGGGGTTGGTAGATGCGGAGCAACACACCTTCTTGTAGCTTCCCTTGTCACCCCTGATCCAAAACCTAAGCTGCCTAGTGCCTGCGCTCACGGCACTGCATTTGATGGTGGCCAGCATGCCGTCGTAATGCATCAGGATGGTGCAGGCGTCCTCTGGTGCGTCGGATGTGTAGATACGCTGCTTGGAGGTGACAGCTGTGATCTTCTTCGGCATTCCGAAGGTGAAGACGACCTGATCGATCAAGTGAGACCCGAGGTCGTACACGACCCCATGGCCAGGCGTGGTCTGCAGCTTCCATGCTACGCTGGTGGTGGGGGACCATCTGTCGAAGTGGGATTCAAACTCGACGATGCGGCCCAACGTCCCCTTTTGCAGAAGCGCAAGAACGGTCTGGAAGTCAGCGTCCCATCTTCTGTCTGTTCACATTAGTACTTCACCCGTCCAATTCGTCCGTGGGCGACGGCCGTACTGTGGAAAACGGTTAGCAGTTTGTTGTGCTTCTTTGCACAGTCGATCAGTTCGTCACATTCGGCAACAGTGGCGCAGAACGGCTTCTCGACAACGACTATTTCGTGAGATTAGCTTTTGCCGGAGACGGTCCAAATCGTTGAACTGTACCGTGCTTTCCCGCCTCCAGACACTGCTTGCCCAGCGTCAGATGCGTTGCTACAGGAGTGCACAGAACCACGATGTCGACTGTTGGATCTTGAAGAAGCTCGTCTGACGTTCTATATATTGTACTAGTAGGGTGGTCCTTTGCCGCGTCATTCCCCTCCGAGGCTCTTCTTTGACAGATTGCTTTGACCTCCAGACCCTCAGTGGCCTTTATGTACGGAATGTGAAAGATCTTGGCGGATAGGCCATAGCCTATGATACCAACATTGAAAGTCATGACGCTACCGTACGACACGTTTTCGCAGGGCCTTGTCACGAACCCAAGAGGTGAGGACGCAATAGCCTCGGGGCAGACATCGACATGGGCCTTATATAGTCCAAGCGGGATTGTAGTGACTCGGGCATGCTGCCCCACAGTGCGGTTTTGATAAGGCACACGCCCCGATGGAAACGGGTGGAAAGTGTCCGATACTTGAGTGAATAGACACTCTCCATCAACGCATGGGCAAGAACCGTGGACTATGACACTACGCTCGCATCCGCTCTCCGTGTGGTCGCCTTTTCCCATCCTCATATTGGCGTTTTCTGTTCATTTAACATTGTCGGCCGCAACACTATCCTTGCTGTGAAATTATTCTTAATAGTTGAAGGAGGTCTGCCGACTTCTAGCATCAGAAAGATGAGCGGAATACCTAGTGAAACAAAAGACATCTTTTCCTCCTAATTCCTTACTTCCTCCCCCTTTGCAGCGACCTCAATCGTTTTCTCTGTCTCATCAGCATTTTCATCACCTTCATCGAATTCCTCTTTCGCCTCGGTGAAAAGCATTTCCTGAGCACTCCACAACTCGCTGTACAAACCTCCCCTGTCATTCAATTGATCATGAGTGCCCTGCTCTGCCACCTGACCATCCTTGAGCACGATGATTAGATCTGAATCATAGATCGTGCGTAGTCTGTGGGCCACGAAAACAGATGTTCGACGCTTTTCCTTGATTATGCTGTTAATGTTGGACAGCAGAGCTGATTCGGTGTGTGTGTCTAGGGCAGACGTGGCCTCGTCGAAGAAAAGTAGAGGCGGATCCTTGAGGATGAGTCTAGAAATTGCCAGACGCTGCTTTTCACCGCCTACGGAAAGAAAATTTTAGCTTACGGAAAAATTCGCTCATGTGAAGCTACTTACCGCTAATCATCATGCCCCGCTCGCCAACCATCGTATTGTATTGATCTGGCCAGCTCTCTACGATTGCGTCAATTTTGGCGCGTTTAGCAGCTGCACGCACTTCTTCGTCCGTAGCATCTAGCCTGCCATAGCGTATGTTGTGCTCAATGGTCGCGTTGAACAGCGGTGTGTCCTGCGGCACCACACCAATACTCTTCCGCAAGCTGTCGAGAGAGACATCTCTGATATCTTGGCCATCGATAGTGATGCGTCCAGATTCAACATCGTAATATCGGAACAAAAGCCTCAGAATAGTTGATTTACCACAACCGCTGGGGCCAACAATGGCCACCTTCTTACCCGCTGGGATGGCTAGGCTGAGGTTGCGTAAGATCGGCCGATCCGCTCTGTACCCGAACGTCACGTTTTCGAACCTAATTTCACCGCCTTTGCTAAGCAGCAACGGCTGCGCATTCGGTTTCTCTTTCACGGTAACGTTGACTTTCTGCAGGTTGAAGAGGGTCTCCATGTCAAGCAAGCTTTGTCTTAGCTCGCGGTATACACTGCCTAGAAAGTTGAGAGGCACGCTGAGCTGGAAGACAAGCTGATTTACCATGACCAGGTCACCGACAGTGAGAGTTCCCTGAGCGACACCGTCACAAGCTAGGTACATCATCGCCGTGAGGGCCGAAGAGAAGATGATATTCTGTCCGCTGTTCAGGTATGCCAGGGAGGTTGCTACTTTGATCGAGGCCTTTTCATACTCCTGTAGCGCTTTGTCATATCGAGCGGCTTCGTATGCTTCATTGTTGAAGTACTTAACGGCCTCGTAGTTGATGAGGGAGTCTACAGCAACGGTCGCGGCTTTGTTGTCCGCCGCGTTTGCTTGTTTTCTGAATTTCGTTCGCCATGATGTGGTCGTTATGGTGAAGGCGGTGTACGCGACCATGGTAGCTGCGGTGATGGCAGCAAATTTTGCTCCGTACTGGTAGGTCAATATGCCACAAACCAAGCTGATCTCGAGGGCAGTCGGCGCGATGTGGAAGACCATGCTTGTAAGCAAGAAGCTGATGCCCTTCGTACCGCGGTCGATGGCGCGAGTAAGACCTCCCGTCTGTCTAGAAAGGTGAAAGTTCAGGTCGAGTCGGAGTAGATGTTCGTAGACATTTCCTGCGACACGGCGAATCGCCTTTTGCGCGACGGTCGCGAAGACCGCGTTGCGAAGCTCTTGGAAGAGAGTTGCGCCGATGCGAGTTGCACCATCTGCGAAGCTTATCAGCCAGGTAAGTTGAGAAATCATGACAATGGACGAACATGCTACAATTAAGGATCCAGCTACGGTAGCTGCAGTGCCGCCGACAGCCATGAAATCAATATTCATGCTATCGACAATCGACTTGAAGTAGAACGGTATTTGTACATTGAGAACCTGCATGGACAATTTAGCATTTGAGAACAGAAGAGCGTGGGCGATTATGCTCTACCTTTGCGCCAACCAAAAGACCAAGCGATATTCCCACCCGTATTTTGGTGCCTAGACTGTCCTTGGGCCAAAGGTACTTTGTCATCTCTTTCATGATAGCCCAGTCGGCCTTTCTCTGTGCGGCGTTCGACACCGTCTTCTCCGAGAGGAGAGCATCTTGCTTTTCCCCAGAGCTAGTCGTATTTGCGGTGGACTTTTGATTGCTCTCGGGCTTTGCAACCGGTTGCGGCTCTTGCTTGGGTGATATCGACGTCAACGGCTTCGGTATCCTCGAATTTTCTTTCCTATGGCGCGGAAACTCCGCAAAAACACGGCGGTCTGACCATTGAGGGCCACGGGAGAATACTATGGCGGCATCAAGCTCTATCCTGGAGCTCTGCACGAGACACCTGAGGCTCGAGCCTCGGATTATGCCTCTACTGAGCATGGGAGCAGCTCGCGAACATGGCCAGAGCGGATCTAGCCTTCAATGGAGAATGTCTTACATGCGAGTACTGCTTGACGAGCTGCGAGTTGCAAACGGCTGGTCGCATGCGAGTTTTACGGCCTGAAACTTTTGTTGTTGGTCGTTCAGTCACAATTCGCTCGGCGCATCTCGTCATCGGCGAATTCGGAGCTTCGGACCCTAGGAGGCATCCAATGAGGGCAAATTTGCGGACTTACTACTTTGGGATGTGCGTAAGGCGACCGTAACTACGACTTTCCGAACTCCCTGAACTATTTTTCTTTTGATTTTTATTGTTTATCCTTCCAAACTACAAACTATATGATGAGGATCCCGTGCCCTTCAAATGCGTTTCTGCGGGCCTCCGCTATACAAATTGATTCCAGTCTTACCCCGTTCTTGTATCAAACGGCGACGATCCAGCAATGGATCGCGCCGTACGCCCAAGTACGTCCTCGACGCGAACAGCGACATGCATCTACGGCGCAGGCGCGAACTTTACCTGGAAAGCCTATCGAATTAGTCTCCGACCCTGCCGTCGACGCTCCGGATGGGAGCGTGCGATCCACAATCTCCAGCTCTGAGAAACGCGTTTTCGCAAAGCTGCTGGATCCGTCGTACGATCCAAGGGCGGACATCAAAGCACGCGCAAAATCACCATCGAAGATTGGGAAGACCAGGTCTAAAGAAGTTTCGATCAATGCGGATCAACTGCGAATCAACGATGCGTATCTTCAGGCGCAACACCAGCAGCTGCTGGCCGCGAAGAGGAAAGCATCTGCCGCGCATCAGGAGCAGGTGAGCCAGCTCCAGGCGGCCCAAGACCTGCCGTACACGGAAGAGACGGAAACGATGCGGCAGCAGAGGGAGCAGATGTTTGCAACAGCAAAGCTGCAGTTCTCTCGCGCCAGGACGGACAAGGAACTGCTGCAACTACTCGACAAGTGGGCATTCGACGTGTTCAGAAAGTACTTTTCGCTCGGGCAAGCCGGGCACCAGGATGCGAAGAAAGGCGCGGAGCCGGAGCAGAAGGAATGGACGCTTCAGTTGCAGGCCAACTTCCTGACGCAAAACTACCCGCTGCTGCTCGTCGCGTTCCTGGACGAGCTGCGCGACAACTTCCCCTCCTCGCAGCTGGCCTTCTCGATTCTGCCCATGGTCAAGTCTCTCGGTCTGCAGTCGTACGCGCTCGGCGCGAGCACGCAGCTGTACAACGGCATCATTCTCGACACGTGGCGGATCTTCTCCGACTTTCACCGCATCAACGAGCTGCTTATCGAGATGGAGAACGCCGGTCTCGAGTTCGACTACGACACGCTCGAAGTGCTGGCGAAGATCAGGAGACAGGGCGACCGCATCCTCAAGGGCGACCGTGGCGAGCTGCTCAAGAGGGTGTGGCAGTTGGACAGTATGATGAGCGGATGGACGACGGTCGTGGGCTGGATCCCCAAGGTCAAGGACAGTCTGGAGAGAGAAGAACTGAGGCGGGCAAATGAGAGTGCGGAGTCGGAAATTGAGGATTCTGTTAGCGGGGAGGAATGGAACGAGGAGTTTGGAGATGTGGACCATCAGGATGATCGGAAACGAGCGACCACTTCACTTGGGTAGTTCCTTCTGTGCTTCTTGCAGGTGAACGTATAGTTTTCCTTTTTATTCGACTCCACTCAGATAAAGCAAAGCTAGTTCGCTGCAAATCGTCACTCCTCGTGTGAGAAGAGTGATCGTGTATATACATGGCCTTTAGAGTATTTTCTTGGCGAATTCAGGGAGATGGGGCTCTTTTCTGAGCCACAGATTTACGTTTTTGTGCTTCTTGCTTATTCCCTTTCTTTTTTCCCGGCGATCCAACGGGCAATCCCGCCTACGAATTGGAGAAAAGGTAAAGCCACTGCCACGTTTATTTGAGAACGTTCTCGGCAGCGGATACTGGTCCATGTCAGCTTGGTTCTCGCAATCTTCACGTGAGGTGTTCGGCGTACCCTTCAGACCGGTGTTGTCAGGCTCGACATACGCCTCCTTGACTTTGCCATCTTCGATGACGAGCGCGTACCGCTTGCTCCTGTCACCACCAAAGATTGCGCTGCCGTCAAATGACAGATCCAGTGCGTTCGTGAACTTGAGCGCAGGATCGGCGATGAAGCGGATCTGAAATCGCGTTAGTCAAAGATCACAAGGCCATTTGTCGATGAGAAGACCGATGAAGCGGACGGCCTTCTCATCGCACAGGAGAGTCGTACGCCGCTCTTGCCTTGGGGGTCAAGGTCCTTGCGCCATGCATTCATTCTGTGCAATAATGTTAGTTGATCGCGGCATTAACAAGTGGGATTGGAAGACGTGCACAAACGCGTCGTTCACCGACACCACGAAGACCTTGCCGGCGCCCTTCAGCTTTGGCGAATTGATGTAGCCAGGCACGTGTGAGCTAGAGCAGGCCGGTGCTAGATGCAGACGAGTAAGTTAGCAGCCACAACCAGCGTCCTCGATCTCTTCTAAATTTGGGATGGAGCCATCTCCGACTGTGTCGCCTGTGCAACTGTAGTGGGCGGGCTGGACTTACAGAATGCTGCGGGAACGCCAATGATCAGACCCTTTCCCGACTTGAGCTCCGCGGCAAGGTTGACCTTGTTGCCTGGACTGCTCTCCATGAGTTCGACATCTATCCTCTGGCGTCAGTGTCGTGGTTTGGAGAGCAATTGTTGAGGATATGATGCATACCGGGAACAGCGTCACCAACCTTCACGAAACGTGTGGCGGACGCATGGAAGCCAGCACGTGGCATGAGTGGCTGGCGAGCCAAAACGCGTGCGGAAGAGGTTCTCAATGCGAACATGTTGAAAGCGAGTAGGTGTAGCTGACGAGAGGTGTGGTCGGGACTGGAGTTAATGACACTGATATCAAAGAGACAACTACGGGGAAGCTCAAGCGCAGGCCAGGGTCATGATGACTAAGTTGTATTTTACGCCATTGAGCCAATGATGACGTTTGCCACCTTGTACTTGGGAGTTTTAGGTGCGGCCATGACAAGGTGATGGAGGTTTAACAGCAACCAGAGCAGGGGCGCGGAAGATGCCGAAGCTCGTCTCTCAGAGCTGTCGAGTACACAGCATGATTTCCCGGACGTGGTGTCACAATCAGGAGATTCCGATAGCGAGTGCAGATGGAGGCCTTTGCCTGCCAACCGCGGTGGTACAATCGAAGAAGAAGCTCCAGTGAAAAAGTGGCCTCCGCTTGTTTCGAGCGTGAACATGACGGACGGGTCTGTACCGGGCGCAGTCTGATCCTTACGGGTGCTAGACGAAAGGAGAAGAGCACTTTGCACGAGTAAAGAAAGGGCATGGCAACTGCAGCAGCAAAGCGGAGGCCAATCTGCACGAGTTATGCTCAGATTACCGCTTTGGTGAAGTGAGCTTTGGCCCCAGTCTTGGCTCTTTCGCTTCAGCCGCCAATCACGACCGCGGATCATCAACTCTGACAAGAACCGAAGAGAGAACGGGCTTTGGTTCAGCTGGTTGGCGAGGCGAGACAAAAAGCAGCACCGGATGGTGTTTTGTGGCATCTGCTGAAGAGTGCCTCCCAGAGGCAGCGGACGGCAGACGGCGGACAGCGGGACAGTGGAGCGTCGACTGTGGGACAGTAGCCAGTCCGTCATGCTTTGGTCGGCGAGCACGCGGGCGCGGTCGATGACGAACATCTCGTCTTTGGACAGGCATGGGCTCGTTACTCCTGCTGGAACCACCGCGCAATTCCATCCCGGCAGGCACGAGAGATTGAACTGAGCAGCCCCGAAACAGCTCGACAAGCCTTCCGTCCGGACAGCGGCCATCTCCAGACGCCTCCAACACCGACAGACGGATGCCTTCCTGGGCTTCCGGCGGCGCGGGTTGCGCTTCGACAGGCCATGCGACCGGGGCCATCCTGTGATTCCTGTGTGGTGGCGTTGAGCTAAGTCTCGCCGGGCAGCGCTGTGTCCCACCAGCAAAGGGTGCGAGGGCGGTGCTGGAGGCTACTGCGACGGTGCTGGGCACTACTGCGACGCCCGCACGCCCGTTGCTGGACTGCCCGCGCGCTGGAAAAAGCGATCGCTCCAGGAGATGCCAAAAGGCGAAAAGCGCCAGGTTCGCGCGCTCGCAAGCAAAAGCGCACAGCGGCGACGGCGAATCGTGAGAGCTGCACATCTGCGCCAGAGTCGTTGCTTTGCACTTTGGCCCTGCTCTTCTTCAGCGTCTTTGCATCCTCTTCTCCTCGTTCCGCTCCAACGTACGGTACCGTCCTGTCCTGTCCGGTCCGGTCCTGTCCTGTCGCTTTGGTCGCTGCAAAGTATATCCTCGCTCCCCACCTGGTGCAAGATTCCAGTAGCGCCCCGATCTGCCCTTCTCCCTCCAGCTGGCTAGCAAGCAACCTGCTGATCCTGCTTCCGCTCCGCTTGCGAGCCGAACCATCCTCGCTGCTCTCTGTTCGATCCTTCGACCTCCCTTCCATCTCATCCGCATTGGACTCCGTCCTCCCCGTCGTCTTTGCCGATGCACTCGCCTTGCGCTGTGCCTGCCCGTCCTACATCTGAAGCTCGGGCCTGAGCCTATTCGATTTCGATTCGCCCTACCGCAAGTGCCCAGAGCGGACGCACAAAACGCGACGCCTCCTCCTTCGTCATCGCCTCGTGCACGCTGGTGAACAGCTTCAGAGGCCCCCCTCCAACCCCCTGCCATCTCCTGCTCACCTGTCGCGTTGCTCCGCCGTGGTCTGCGAAGGAACCCACTTCTACCCCGACTCTTGCCAACTGCCTCCACTTCGCGATCGCTCGACCACGCTTCCTGCGTTGCCGCGCTCCAATCTCAACCGAGGTCGCGCAAGCTGTTCTGGCCCTGGACTTTTATTTTAATTTTTCCGTTCACGATGGACTCCAATTCGTCGGGCGGCAATAACTCGAGCGACTTTGTAAGTATACGCCGTGGTTCGGTAGCAGCTGGAATCCACCGCTGACCAGCAATTATAGGTTCGCAAGCTGTACAAGTGCGTTGATGGAGGACATCCTGTCCTGATGGACGGCTGCTAATGACGTGACCAGGATGTTGGAGAGTCCTCAGGACGAGAGCGTGGTGCGATGGGGTGACAACGGAGACAGCTTTGTCGTGCTCGAGGTAGTTGCTCAAACTGGCAAGCTCGCAGGCGGATCTGTTTAACGCGATCATAGAACGAGAAATTCACAAAACACATTCTCCCCAAGCATTTTAAACACAGCAACTTCGCGAGTTTCGTTCGACAATTGAACAAGTACGACTTTCACAAAGTGAGACAGAACAACGAGGACAGCGGTCAATCACCCTACGGACCAGGCGTGCGTCACGCGAACCAAAATGCCAGTGGCAGACGAGCTGACGAAGATGTAGGCATGGGAGTTCAAGCACCCAGACTTCAAGGCGAACAACAAGGATGCGCTCGATAATATCCGTCGGAAGGCGCCTGCGCCGCGGAAGCCCGGCGTTAGCAACTCGGACGAGCTCGTCATTCCTACGCAACAAATGGACATGATGAATGGACAACTGGTTGCAATGCAGCAACAGCTTCAAACCATGCAAGATCGCAACTATCAACTGGAGACACAGTACAATATACTGCTAAACGAGTTTATGGGCATGACGAAGACTGTGCTCAACCACGACCACGTGTTGCAGCAAGTCATGGGCTATTTGAATGGACTCGACGCCCAGAGAAGGCGAGACAGCAGACTGGTAACGCCTTTCCCAGGAGGAAACCAGCAGGACGGCCAGACAAACCAAGCCGGCCAGCAACAACAGGCGGAAGAAGAAGATACCCCAGCTTCACCGCTTCTCAACGCGGCCAAGCTTATGAGTGAGAATCATGTGGAAGCGCTCATCAACCCGAAAAATCTCGAGCAGATGAATCAGATGTCAATGCGTGCCGCGAACGGTACGCTTACTACGCCTCCTCCAGAATTATACGCTCACATGAATGGGCGTCCATCAAGCCGAAGTGCGCAACACTCTGCCTCCTCTTCCACGTCGGCGAGGTTTGATAACCTAGACAATCTAGTGTATCCCGTCGGCGTCAACAATGGTATAGATCCCATGTACAGCGAGCACATCCACAATATCCCATACACCTTACCCGTTAAGCCACCAGAATCGGCTGAAGCTACGTCGTCTGCGCAGAACTCTGGTGCCGCACAGCGAAAGAAGAGCACACATATCGATCCCGGCTGGATCCGCCAACCGCAGATCCTTTTGGTTGAGGATGACCCGACCTGTCGAAGAATAGGCGGCAAGTTCCTGTATGCGTTTAACTGCGCAATCGACAATGCTGTGAGTATTTTTTTATTCCATTGTTTTGTCGGGGGCGGGGGCCTTCCAAGTTCCGTGATTACAGCTGACAGTAAGCAGCTTGACGGTCTTGAAGCCGTAAACAAAATTCAAAGCGGTGCTAAATACGACCTCGTCCTCATGGACATCATCATGCCAAACCTCGACGGTGTTTCAGCGTGTCACTTGATACGGCAGTTCAGTTCCACTCCTGTCATTGCCATGACGTCTAATATCCGGAGCGACGACATCGAAATGTACTTCCGACATGGTGAGGAAACATGTGTCACCGCCAACAGAAGCTTTCGCTGATTCGTGAAATAGGAATGAACGACGTTTTACCCAAGCCATTCACTAAGGAAGGCCTTTTGCACATGCTTGAAAAGCACTTGGCTCATCTCAAGCAGCCCGTGCATAACCTGGACATGGGCCATCCAACTTCGGCCGGCCTGCAGCCCAGTTCAGGACGCACGTCCATGAAGGAAGAGGAATCACCTGCAAAATCACCCGCCACTGGTAGCACCTGGAACTCGCCTTCCCAGGTCCCCGGTGTTTCTCCCGTCACAAGCACCGCCACGGAAGAGGGTTACGGACAGATGGGTCAGCCGCACCCTGGATTGTATGCCGTACAGAACCCCATGCAGCAAGTCAACCCCATGACAGGTGGTGGCCAGATGCAGTTCGGGCAACAGTCAGGACTTGTACAACAGCAGCAACGACAAACAAGTGGACAACATCGAAGGCAGATATCGGACATCTCGGGAGGTGCAGACGAGGCGTCTGCAGCAAAGAGGCAGCAGATGTATCCCCCAAACATGCAGCAGAACGTGCCGCCGCATATGAGGGGAAGATGATATGCGGGACGTTTCCCGCTTCATGCATCCCGCCTCTTGATCGAGTCGCCCAAGCTCATGAGCGGCAAATGCCCTCGACTCGTTCAGTCCGAGCATTCGGCCGCGCAGCTTTTTCAGACGCCACGTCTGCTGTACATAATCGTGAGCGCACGCTCCGAGACACTCTTTCTGCAGTGGCATGATTTTTTGCACAAAATTTACGGGCGGTTTTTTTTGGGATACCTCTAGAGTTTGCTGCATGGCATATGGGAATGATGATGACCTATCAGAAGATCATCTAAGGCCACGTCTACATACGAGAGATTTTCTTCCCCTCTAACCCCGGGATAACCCCTTGGAGGTTCCCTACTATTCTCATTGGAGGACAAATGGTACAATTATTGGGAAGGGGCACGAACACCCTATTTTATCTATCCAGTCTTGGGAAGCTTTTTTGTTTTGTGCAGTGAATAGTATGTTCAGCACGTGTGCTCGTTGATGCGAGCAATTTTTGGGTACTTTGTAATCATGACGGATATCAAAGCTGGGGCGCCTGCAGCAACACAAGGCGGATAGCAATAGCAAAATGAGACAGAAATGACGACAAGCCTTTTCAAATTCAAGGAGAGTCTCCTACGGCTCCCCATTCAGACAGCATGAGCCACAGATACAGGCGCAAACGTGAGGCCAACACATGCGTGAGCAGCATGCAAACCGTCTCCATTTGGAAGGAATATGCACCAGATCTCGCTGCTTGCGCAATCTCATCACCACACCCCGCCGACCGATCTCACGGTTCAACCTTAAAACTTTAAAAAGAAACATCCCGGCTAATCTACTTGTAGAGAAGGGCCGGACCCGGGAGCGCGGGTCGGTCAGCTCAGACTACGGGGGGTGGGCGAGAAAGACTCCTTGCGGCTGCGGTCTGCGTGAAGTCTAGAATCCGGCCATGGTGTTTTTGGACCTGGGTCCAGACCTCTGTATAGAGAACCCACCGGGGCCTGCGGTGGAGCAAGTCTGCAGCGAGCCGGGACCAAAAGCCACATGGGTCTGCGCTCCAGATGAGTCAAACCTGTTGCTGTTCGGGCCCTGCTGGGAATTTCGTCGGTGCTGGGTGACTGGCTGGACCCGATGCGGCCGTGTGCTGTTGTTCTGCTGCTGCGTTGCGCGACCACGTCTTGAGGCTGGGCACCGGCCTCGAACCGTGATACAGTGGTCGACCTTTGCGAACTGTGCGTCACGCCCACACACGCAAACACGCAAACGTACACATACACAAGCACACACACATTGGGAACGACAGCTGCGACGCCGTGTCTTTTATTTTTCTTTATTCGTGGGACTGAAGGGGCGGGAAAAACCACGTTCGACTCCCGGTCGCATCTGCGAGCGATCGCACCTTTTTTGGCCATAAATTTTTCTCCCCTCACAGGCTCTGCGCAGCTTGCGTTACAGCACATACTACGTCACACGGCGGACCGGGCAAAAACAAATCCAAATTAGGTTTGTGAGCGCGACAGAGCTTCTGTACGGCGCTAGCTATGCCTCCCAAGGGGCGCAAGGGCGGGAACGAGAAAGGCGGCAAGCGGGGGGAGGAGGAGAGGGAGCTTCCGCTGCAGGCAGTCGTACGTCTTGCACACAACGTCGAGCACGAGGCAATGAGAGCTTACAGACACCGTGCAAACAGATCCTTGCAGACCCCTTCGAGACGCGGTTCTCGCCGTTTACGCTGGAGAAACCGCGGTGCCTGCTGCCACTCGCAAACACTCCGCTCATAGAGTATACCTTGGAATTTCTGGCCAATGCTGGCGTGGAGGAGGTGTATGTGTACTGCGGCGCACACACGGAGCAGGTTGAGGAGTATCTGGAGTCAGCAGCCTTCCCCCACCGTGCGTGCTGCGGACGTGAGTGCTGAGATTGTGCGTACAGGAAGTCGAAATGGGCAACAACATCTCCCCGCAATGCCTCGCCTTTCACCGAGTTGACCATCATCCACTCGACCGCACAGACGATCGGAGCGGCGATGCGAGACCTTGACGACAGAGCCATCCTGGAGAACGACTTCATCATCGTCTATGGGGACGTGGTGTCGAATCTGCCGCTGGAGTCTGCGCTGGCAGCTCACAGGGCTCGGCGAGCGGCAGACAAGAGCGCAATCATGACCATGGTGCTCAGAGAGGCCGACACGAATCACAGGACAAACGTGCACGGATATACGCCTGTATTCGTGCTCGACCCCAAGAAGGACAGGTGCCTACACTACGAGCAGATGGTGCCGGGAGAGGACACGAGGAGGGTCACGTTGAACTATGAAGAGATTTTGAAAGCACATCAAGAGGTCGATATCAGGACCGACCTGATCGACTGTGGAATCGATATTCTCACGCCAGATGCTCTTGCGCTTTGGAAGGACTACTTCGACCTCGAGGCACCACGACGGCAATGGCTGTTCAAGATCCTAGGTGATCACGAACTCAATGCGAAGACAATCCACACGCACATCATCACAGACCACTACGCAGCGCGTGTGCGAAATCTGCACGCTTACGACTCCGTCAGTCGTGACATCATCAGCAGATGGAGCTACCCGCTGTGCCCAGACAGCAATCTTCTTCGGGGCCACAGCTACAGACTGCAGAAGGGCATGATATATCAGGAGCAAGGCGTCATTCTTGCACGATCTTGTGTGATCAACAAACGCACCGTCATTGGCGAGGGCACAAGCGTGGGAGAGGGCACCATAATAGGCAACAGCGTCATTGGACGAAACTGCATCATCGGCAAGAATGTCAAGATCGAAGGAGCCTACCTGTGGGACAACGTCGCCGTGGGCGACGGCTCGGTCGTCACAAAGGCTATTGTTGCAGATGAGGCCGTCGTCGGCAAGAACTGCACTGTCGAAGCCGGAGCTCTCCTTTCGTACGGTACGCGAGTGTCAGACGGCATAACCGTTCCTGGCTCGAGGCGCGTAACCCGTGTGAAGCGAAAACGGATCACGGTCAAGGATGGCGGCATGGACAAGCTCGTCAACACGATCGAACACGGTTCCACCGATCACGCCGTGGTAGGACCGGACGGTGAGGGCTTCGATTTCGCGCCTTCCGAGGATGATCCGGAGGCCGAAGAATACGAACAGCTAGCCAATGTGGGGCTCGTGTATACGCAGCCTGCGTTTTCGCTGTCGCAGGAGTCAATATCGACTTTGAACTCGGACGACGAGAGCGACTTCACCGACGCGACGCCGCAGACCAGATCCGCAACGTCCTCCTTCTCCGTCGCCGTCGACGACGCCCTGGCGCCACAGCCGGCCCAGCAGGGCCACAGGTTCCACTCCGAAGCTGTAGACAGTATCTACGGTCTCATCTCCGAGGGACAGGACGTGAACAACGTCCAGATCGAGCTCCAGTCGTTGCGCATGTCAACCAACGCAACTGAGCACCAGGTCCGCCGCGCCGTAGTGCAGGGATTCATGAAGCGCATAGCACAGTTGTACGAGCAAGACGGCAAGCTTCAGGCCGCCGTTTCGTCCGTCCTCGGGCCGTACCAGACCATGGTCGAGCGTGCCGTCGATGACGTTAGCGAAGAAGCGAAGCTGCAGAACCAGAAGGACCTCCTGCTGCTATTCCAGAGCGACGCAGCTTCGCGCAAGGATGGCGACAATCTGCTGCTGTTCCTGGTGAAAGACCTGGTTGACAAGGACCTGATCGATGTGGACGCCGTGGAGGCTTGGTGGAACGACGCGAAAAGCACGGAGAAGGAAGACCTGCGCAAGGTCAGGGAAAAGACGAAGCAGCTCGTCGAATTTTTGCTCGACGACAGTGACGATGAGGAGGACGAGGACGAGGATGAAAGCGACTGATTTCTGGACGTTTTGTTCGCTCGGATAGACTTTCATTGTCGCCGCATTACAAAATTACCCATATGGCTTTCGTCACGCGAACAGCACGCGTAGTCATCCCTTCGATATTATCGATCCTATCCAACGAACCATCTAAGATGGTCAAAGAAAAAGTAAAGAAGAATTGCATATGTACATGAATTGCCCAGATGTCGTGGCCGAGCATTTCGTCTGTTATGCTTTCCCACCCCATTGAGAAAAAATAATAGAGGAAAAGGGGAAGAGGGGGTTGGTTTTTCTTTTTTTCCTCCTGACCCAGCCCGAAGAGCACCCCATGCCGTATCCCTTTCCGTGTTCATGTCCGTGTCCGTGTCCTAAACGCCTCGTCGCTATGTAAAATGAAGAATGAAGAAAACCCCCGGCGCTCGTGCTGACTTACAATCCGACAGCGAGGGCTCCGACGACGCCGGCTGCGGCGCCCATGACCCACAGAGGCATGTTCGGGCCGTGAATGCTGTCCGCCAGGCCGGTGGACAGCGAGTCCGTGTAGCCGAGGCCGGAGGCGATGGCGTTGCCTACATTTCCCGAGGTCGACGGGGAGGAGGCGCCGGTTGCGCTCACGGGGACGACGGACTGGCCTTCGACGACGAGGGTCGAGCCGGGGCCGAGGACGAACGCGGTGACCGAGCCCGTTCCGGCCGGGTTGGCGATGACGGACGGCGCGACGGTCGTCTGCGTGCCGCCGACGATGAGGACGAGGGGGGACGGCAGCGGCCCGGAGCCGTTGCCGCCGCCGTTCGTCTGGTCGCTCTGGCCGCCTGGCGCTGTGCCAGCGCTTGGGGAGCCGCCGTTGCCGCCGTTGCCCTCGCCGCCGCTACCTTGGTTGCCGTTGGACCCGCCGGAATTGGAGCTCTGCTGCGAGCCTCCGGAGCCGCCGTTTCCGTTGCCGCCACTCGCTTGGTTGCTGTTGGATCCGCCGGCGTTGGCGTTGGAGCTTCCGGAAGGGTTGAGTACGCCGGCGATGGCGCCGCCTACGCCTGGCGTGTTCTGGCTGTTTCCACCGCCGGTCTGGGCGCCCTGTTGCTGCGCTTGTGGCGTGTTCTGCTGAGCGTTGTTCTGAGGTGTGTTTTGCTGCGCGTTGGTCTGTGGCGTGTTCGTGTTCGCAGGCACGTCCAGAGCGGTGGCCGAATTCTCGACGTGCACAATGGCATCCGATATAGTCCGACTATTGGCAGCGGGTGCTGTTACGAGAACAGGATCGGCCGTAACAGAAGTCCTACGTCTCTGAGTTAGTACCGTGCAAGCTCGCCGCTTCTCCGTTGCTAGACTTACAGGATGGATACCGAGACCTTCTGGACAGTCGCGAGAGGAGACGTTTCCTCTGGGGATGAAGCCACCGCCACAGTCTTTGACCAAGAGCAGTCGGCAACGTCCGTACCACCAAATTGATCCGAGACTGCTGGGATCTGATTCAAGTATGTGATAATAGCTGGAGGCGCAGAAATCGCCGTTGGGTTCTCTGAATTGACCGTGGTGCCAGGCGGAATCGGCACAAGCAATCCGGTGATGCTATCAGTTGGGAGGTCGAGCGCACTGAGGTCATTCGTGCACGTCTGCTGTAGATCGACTTGGGTGAGATAGGAAGTGCCTCCTTGGAGCTGCAAGAACTCGACATACGTCGTAGGATAAGTCAGGGTCATTCCTTGCACGATCCACGTCAGTGATGCGAATGGATCAGCAGCCGGCTGTGTTATCCCGCTGCTTGGTGCCGATGCGTCCGCCTGCTGTGTTTGCGTCATGTAGTTGGTCTCTCTAGAGCCATCCGGGTGAAGCGTGACCATTGGAATTATCATGTTTGTTGCCGTGACAGTATTCACTTCCACAGAGTGGGGATACGAGTAGAACTCCTCAAAAGCTAGTATGAAACACGAGTTACATGCTGATACTGGGCTGGAGGTAGAGCTCGAAGACGAATTTGAGAAGGGAGCTGATTTGGATAACGCTTAGCACGATACCTTTTTTTCTTTTTAAAGAAACAACGTCGTTCATGCGACAGCCTTACCTGAGGAGCCATGAACGGCTGAGTAGAGTGTCGATAGTAGCGAGAAAGACAGGAAGTGTGACTTTCGCGGCGACATTTTGGTGTTCGCCGTTCTCTGCGTCTCCGCAGCACAAGTCGCGCTGAGTGTGGGGCGAAGATATAGCGGTCGAGAGAGTGACTTTGCGAATGTCTTTGCGTGCCGAGCCAGACAAGAGCCTGCTCTCAATGAAGGCGAAAGGGTTTTGCACGTTGACAGCGACACACGGGTCAGAGACAAGACAATCAAAGATAAACGAGTGAAGATCCAGACGTGTACGAAGTTGTGAAGACGTTCAGCCTACTGTTCCTGGGCCCTGAGCAAGAGCGTGCCGTATTAAAGCAAGCATGCATGCACGCTCGACTCTTGGCTCGGTACAGCTGCGAGCTCCAATAATAGCCTGAACGCTAAGCCTCAACGTGTGTTCCCTACCCTCTGCTTCTCCGGACCAGTCGATGAATGGATGACCTCGAGAAATAATTCTGCATCCCGATCCAGGACGAACCGGCTCTCAGATGACCGCGATCATTTGCAACACCGCCGGTCTGAGCATGCTGAATCCGGAGTGTTTAGCTGTCCTCTCACCCTGCTACTATTGATGCGGCAGCCGCAGAGAGAAATGGGTCAGAAAGAAGAAAGATGCATCCAGTCTGAAAGTCTTTGCTGAACAGAACATTGCTGCTTGTCTCGTCGCACAGCCGCATTACGAGCCCAGACACCTCGTGCGCAAGACTGTCGTGTTCTGCTTTGGATCGTGCCTAGTCTTGCGCTGGAATTTGCGGAAGATGCCGGCCACAGCCATGGGCGGACAGGACTGGGCCAGCAAAGATGTTGGGGGCCACTACAAACATACCGCCCTTTGATTTGGGCCTGCGCTCGCCGTCATTGGAGAAGGCTGATGAGACTAGCTCTGGTGGCGATGCTGCCGAATTCTCAAACGTGCACAAAATACGACGGCGTTACCCGACAGGCACGGGGGACTCGAGCCTCACAAGACAGACATGTGCTTTGTTGTTCCTTCGTTCCGTCAGCTGGAAGTTTGGAACGCAGGAGATTTCGTGCTTTGCGCGACAGTGCTACCAGAACAAGGCTGGACGAGCAACAAGTGCCGCATTCGTCGACCTCACCAATATAACCCCTCCAGGTCTAGGAAGCGAATAGCGTTCGAAGAGTCGACGAATTGATCGGACGCGAACCGAAAGGAGCGCAGAGGTTACGTCGGTAAATTCAACTTATGGGTAAGGCCCCGAGTTGGTCCTAGCGCAGGACTTCATCTGGACTGTCCACATCAAACTGGAATCGTCAATTTCTCCCGTGCATCAACCGGAACCATTAATTGCGTCCGCGTCAAAAGCACTCTCCGACACGCACTGATTCATCCCAAGGCTCATATCGATGAGCTCAGTCTCCAGGATTCGCAATGCGCTGAGCTTGATTGAAGACCCAAAGATCATTCAGGACCATGCCAGCGCCGTCAAAACTGTAGCCGAAAAGGTCAGGTCGTGCTACGTTGAGAAGCGTCCTTTTCGAATATTCCATGGCCACACGAACAGCACGAGGCAAAACGTGCTTCGAAAAAATGAGTCCATCGACATCAGCAGGCTGAATCGTGTGCTACGCTTCGATCTGGACAACAAGCGTGTTTTGGCCGAGCCAAACGTGCCCATGGACAGCCTGATCCAGGCTACTCTGAAGCATGGCTTGATACCACCCGTCGTACCCGAGTTCCCGGGCATAACAGTGGGGGGTTCGTTCGCGGGCACGGCAGGCGAGAGCAGCTCATTCAAATATGGCTTCTTCGACAAGACCGTAACTTCTGCTGAGGTCGTATTGCCCGACGGTACTTTGACGACCATCTCGAAGAGTTCGGAGCCCGAGCTGTTCCAAAAAATGCCGAGCACCATGGGCACGCTCGGTGTCACGACCGCGGTGGAGATACAACTTATGGATGCTAAGCGCTACGTGCTGTCGACATATCATCCAGTCAACAGCATGCAAGAAGCCACCGACATGATCGAGAAGGAAACATCAAACCCAGAGCTTGACTTTTTGGATGGTATCATGTTCTCGCCAACGAGCGGTGCGGTGATCACTGGTCGTCTTGTCGATGACGTTCGCCCCGGCTGTCCCGTGCAACGCTTCAGTCGGCCGTGGGACCCCTGGTACTACTTGCACGTTCGCGATGAAATCTCGGACACGGCAGTAACACCCGTCACTGAAGCAGTGCCAATAGCTGAGTACTTTTTGAGATGGGACAGGGGCGGCTTTTGGGTCGGACGGTCGGCCTTCAAGTATTTCCACATGCCTTTCAATAGGTACACTCGTTGGTTCTTAGATGACTTCTTGCATACACGCATGCTCTACAAAGCACTGCATGCAAGCAAAAACGTCATTTCGTATGTTGTGCAAGACTGTGCTCTGCCGTACAACACAGCCGCAGAGTTCGTAAGGTATACAGACAAGCATCTTCACATATATCCACTGTGGCTATGTCCTTTGCCAAGGCAAGACTCTCGTGAGACATTCCATCCTCACCACTCGACCTCATCAGCCGAGGGCACTCAGATGCAACCCATGCTGAACATCGGGCTGTGGGGCTTCGGGCCACGAAAACACGCCGATTATCTTGCAGCTAATCGTGCGCTCGAAGAAAAGCTGACCTCGCTCGGTGGAAAAAAATGGTTGTACTCACAGACTTATTATACGTCAAACGAGTTTTGGGCCTTGTATCCGCGCGGCTGGTACGATCGACTGCGGGAGAAATATCGCGCCTCGCATCTACCGGACGTCTGGCAAAAGGTGCGGGTTGATGTGGAAAAAGAAAAGAAATATCTCGGCAGCTGGAAGGGACGAGTCCTCAACATATGGCCCGTTGCTGGTCTATATGGTATAGCAAAGGCTATCATCAGTGGAGAGTGGAGGATACCGCGAACCGTGAGAATCGCCGACATGGACGTGGTGCGAAGGATAGGGACAGAAAGTAAAAAGAACCTGTAATATGTAGCTTTATGTTGTATTTGCGTCAAGCAGTGTATTCCCTAGTCGGCTCCATCTCTTCTTACATGGATTCTCTACTAAGAAGCAGACATTGTTGCCGTTGTCCATTACCTGTGACCTTGATTCTCGTGCAAATGCGCATACTTAAAGACCTTACGTTGAACAGCCATTCCGACAGCACAATCATAAGCCTCTCAAAACTCCATGAAAATTTTACTTTGCTTTTTTCTTCGGGGATTCTCCCTCGATCAATATTTGTTGTTCCCCTGCAGGCGGTTCCATTCTCTTCCAAGTACATATATGTGCTTTCGTTACTAAAAGGGATAGTGACGAGACTACAGACGAGTAGTTTCAAGGGAGGTCAATGCTCATCTCCTCACTTAGAACTACTTGAAGCGTGTTATCATAAATCTGCTCAAACAACAATGGCCCACCATCAACCATCGTTTAATGTCATTCCGGAATTAACTGAGTATTGGAGCACAGACAGGAGCAGTTATACGATTGCAGTCCAGTTTCGGCTTTCTGCTTGTTAAGGGAGTGCGTCTGAACTGTATCAAATGACTCCCATATGTGACAGTCTCTCATTTTTGCATCAGGTGAAACTTTGTCTGAGAACAATTTACTAAATGCTGACATTTGGTGCCAAAGCCTTAACGATGTTTACACACTTCTTCGAGCCATGACCCACGATTGTCGTGGCTTTCCCGGCGGGTATCACAGGAGTATCTTGTCGAAACCCCGCATACATGCTGATCTACGTTTGTCCGCCAGGTAGTATTCCTTATCCCCGCACAAGGCCCAGTTTCTCTGAGACGATAAGTTTTCTGCCGTCTTAGATGCAAGGATGACGAACCGAAGGTAAAATGAGGGGTAAGAAAGCTCGATTAAGCATGTTATAATCCTCGATTCTTCCACTCCGCCGAAAATGGGACATTTCGCGGTGTGTCAAATCGACCTCGCCACGCCTTTCCTTGACATGCTCGAGGATAGCCTCGTTGCGCACTTGACAGCGAATGGTTTGAGTATAAATCATAATGGAATCCAAAAATGCCCTATGTGATGTGGATGAGTTCATTAGTCAGTCTTATGACTACATAGTCGTTGGTGGAGGCACGGCGGGCTTGGTTGTTGCCGCCCGGCTAACAGAGAATCCTGATGTCAAGGTTGCCGTACTTGAGGCTGGCTCCAATCGTATGGATGATGAACAGATCAATACACCTAGTCTGTATCCAACCTTGATTGGAAGAGAGAAATATGATTGGTGTTACAATAGTATACCCCAGGTTGATCACTCCAAATGTTCATTGCAAGGGCAATACTAATATGGACTAGCCGTCAGCAGGTAACAAGACTTACTCCGTCCCGAGAGGACGTGTGCTTGGGGGCAGCTCTGCTATCAACTATCTGATGTATGTCAGAGGCAGCCGAGAAGACTACGATGGCTGGGAGTCGATGGGGAATAAGGGTTGGGGCTGGGATGAGATGCTTCCGTACGTCAATGGCAAGAAATAGGACTTCCATCCTTGCTAATTCGAAACATAGATATTTCAAGAAACATCAGAGACTCGACGCGCCGGAAAAAGCACCAGCAGACAAGAAGTTTATGCCACATGAGGGCAAGGAGAAATATCATGGGACGAACGGGCCAATTCACACTAGCTTCAATGACTACTACATGCCAATGGAGGAAGATTTCTGCAAAGCTGCGTTCGAGACGGGAGGTACACCCAACAATCTGTACGACGCATGGAGCGGTGATCACTATGGTTTTTACTCCAGCCTGGGTGCGGTCGACCGGACGAACGACATCGGACGTAGAAGCTACGCTGCAACCGGTTATCTCAAACCTAATTTGAACCGTCCTAACTTACGCGTCTTGACAGACGCTCACGCTTCGAAGATTGTCCTTCGGCAAGACGGCAATTCGAATCTAGTAGCATCAGGAGTGGAATTTTTGCACGGGAACAAGAAGTATGAAGTTCATGTCACTCGTGAGGTCATTCTTTCAGGTGGCGTCATTGGTACACCACAACTTCTTGAGCTTTCTGGGATTGGTGACCCCGATGTCCTCAGCAAGGCTGGCGTCCATTGCGTTGTAAAGAATGACAAAGTCGGAGCAAATTTTCAGGATCATGTCTTAGGGGGGATGCTGTTCGATCTTAAGGACGGGGTTAAATCCATGGATGAACTACACAATGAAGATTATGCCAAAACACAACAGGAGGTTTACGAAAAAACTAGAAAGGGACCATACGGTAACCCCGGGATGCTGATGGGTTTTGTCTCCTACGCATCGATTGTGGACAAAAAGACTCTGGACGACACAATCGCAGACATAAAGAAGAACTCCCTCGCACAAACCGATTTTGAGAAGGCACAGGAGAAGGTATGTTCCTTCCTTTTACTGTTGAATTCCAGCTCACAGCCGTGTTGTAGGTCATAGTCGACCAGCTCAGCAACCCTACGTTCGCTAATATCCAGACATTCTGCATACCGTGCCGACTGGATCTCTCTGCTGGTCATTCTCAAATTCAGTTTTTCTCCGCTCCTCCAAAGGGAAAGAACCAAGTCTCACTGCTTGTCTGCCTCGAGCATCCACTTTCACGTGGTAGCGTTCACATCACAACTTCCAACCCTCTTGACGCTCCAAGCATTGACCCAGGCTACTTCCGAAATCCCGCAGATCTCAAAATGCTCGCTGCCGGGATTGCGTGGATGGACAAGGTAAGCAAGCACCCGCTTTTGCAGAAGAGTCTTGGGGATCGAGTTTTGCCGCCAAAAGACTACGCTCTTGATACGGAGCAGGCAAGAATGGACTATGTGAGGAACCATGTGAGCACACAGTATCACTTGATTGGAACGGCAAGTATGGGCCAGGTAGTCGACGATAGGCTGAACGTGTATGGGGTCAGAGGTCTGAGGGTCGTCGACGCTAGTGTATTTCCCGGGCATGTCAGTGGAAATATCATGAGTACGACATATGCAGTGGCAGAGAAAGGGGCCGATCTGATCAAAGAGGATGATGGGAGATACCATCTCAATCGGATTGATAGTGCAACGCACTGACAGCGAGAAGTCGAAGAAAATAACAGATGTGATCCCATTCGCTATGATTGTCAACATGCAAACTTCAGATTCTACTCATCTCGTGATTTCAACATCACAACCACTTCTTCGGCATTGATGCCTCCTTTCTCCTCACGTAAGCCACATAGCTGACAAGCAACATTACGTTGCTCGCTATGATGAGGAATGCAAAAAAATTCAGGCTCGGGCTGTTGTTCGCGATTGCTATACTCCACAGTTAGTCGTGCAACTAAATTCCATGAGAAAAGCTCACCATCACTTAAAGTCAAATGGTTGTCATTGAGTGCCATATGCAGCTGATCCAGCAGTAGCTTCGTATGCCCGTTGTTCTCCAAAATGGTCTTCAAGGTTGCAATGTCGTTCTTCAGGTCGTTATTTCCAAGTGCACCCAAAGAATTTTTGATGACGTTGACCTCTTTCTCCAAGGTTTCGACCGTGTGCTTAGTATTGTCAGTATCTCCTAGCATGGTGTGCACGTCCGCAGATATCTTGTCGAGCTGGGTCTGGATCTGTTTCTTCATGAGCGTCAAATCTTCGTACAGGAGATTGACTTGTTTTTGAATGACTTCAAGACGATCGTGGCTGTCGCTGAACCATGCAAAAGCAGTCTTGAACGTTGAAGCATCCGCAAATTTCGAACTTTCCTCATCTGAAAGCCATTTCCACTCCGAATCAGGAGAGTCTTGCTTTCCCGATGGGGACTTTAACGGCTTTTGTTGTGGCTTAGATTTGGGCTTCGAACGGCCCTCTTTGTTGCTCTGCTTCAACCAATCTGCGGCATCGTGAGACCACTGCTCCTCCTCGCTGTCGTACTCGTGCCAGTCCGGTTTGTAGCTCGGACCATGGTCGTGGATGATCTTCTTGCCTTCTTTCATCTTGTGCACGATGAAAGACTTGACTTCGAAAGAGTCTGGTGGTTCTGAGCTTGCTGCAGTAAGGCCAAACCTATAGTTGTGAGGAAGGTGAATCTGATTTCGTGTAAGCGCCTCTTTGTATTTCACTTGTCAGGGCAAACGCACGCTGTAAGTTTCAATACATTTCTGTCCGTCTACGTGAACCTTGAACGTCCAATACGTCTGCTCGATGGTGATTTTGGAAAATTTGCCCAGGTTTCGGTAGGCAAAGTCGCACTGCCCAAAACTCAACTCATCGATGTTGTGGTGAGACGCAAAATTGATGCTGCCATCATTCAAAAATGCCCTTACGGTGCCTACTCCGGCCTTCCCGCCAGCTTGACTGATGACAATCGCAACACCATCGAATGTGCCGACCGTGTAGATGCTATTCGTGTTGATGTCCTCTATTGCATTTCGAGCATACCAAAACTGCAGATTACCATTCCCATTTTCAGGTCCGGTGGCACGAAACTCGAAAGAAGCCTCCCATTCTAGTTCAACCTCTGGTTTTTGTGCCCATATGGAGCCTTTTCTACTCCCAGGCCATGGAGGAGTCAAGACAACACGATCGCGATGTAGCTCTGGCGTGTATCCATTTCCAGAAAGGTCCCAGCCTGTAATATGTGTATGATCTTCTGCCCAGGTCGTTCCGCTCTGACCAAAGCTGACATCTTCAACTATAGCGTCTTCGACATAATCGTGCTCAAATCGATGGTCCGAGGCGGATGCCAGACCCACGACAGACAGTAAACAGAGAGCGTGATGAGAAACCCACATGCTGAGAGAAGGCGCACAGTTAAAAGGCGCGCAACTACCAAGCCCCCAGACTAAGAAAAAGATAGGTCACAGAATATGTTCGTATCAGTCTAGTGCCAGGTAGACTGAAGCCTTCTCGAACGCGATTGTCCAAGCTCTTGACTTTTCGACCCCTGAAGGGCTCAATTGCACACCCGCCTGCTGAAGTAGGAGAAAAAAAAAGGTCACGACAATTTTCAAAATTTTGAATTGACAGACAGTGCGCTTTCAAATAGTGATGTTGAAATGAACTTCCAAGAGTGATCAATGTTTAGGCCAGCTTTCGTACACGAGGCTAGATATGGAGTGAGCTGTCAGTGCTTATCAGCCACAACCAATCTGGGGTTTCGTGTTTCACATAAGGTCGTATTATGTTACAGGTCAGTCTTGGGTGCAACACATAATAACGTGTGCATAGCGAAGAAATCTCTTAACAACAATATCTTGACAGGTACATTCCTTTCCTGTGTAGAACAAAATCTCGTACAAAAATTCGAATGCATTATATGTGCTGGGTCATCATTGAAAGAACTAAATGTGATTATCATTCATTTTGATCAACCTACGCCGCCCATGCACTGGAGATAATCAAAACGCTAAAGATACTAATCAAAGACGTTCCGAACAGGCCGTGATGCTCGACAATCAGGCTGTGGATCTGGAACAAATGATATGCTGAGAAACCTGGTGTTAATAGACTCATCTTTCAGAAACGTCTAAATGCACCATCTGTACGAAGCATATCTGCCTGCTGTCTCTGACTTTCTGATAATTTTTACGACCTGCCCTCGTCTCAACCCCAAATACTTGGCTACAGGATCCGTTTTCTGAATCCTCGGCAACTGACTCTCTTTTAAGCGATATCTCTTGAGCAGTTCTGCCTTCTCTTCATAACTTAGGAGGATGTGTTTGGGTACGAGTTCATGTAGCGTGATGTTAACCACTAGCTCGCTCTCTTGGAAGATTTCCACAACGTTTTCCTTCGGGTCAAGAGCTTGAGTGAGTTTCATACTTGTCGGGGTAGGAGGTGCGGCGGTAATGAGAATTCCTGTGAATGCGCCGCGCTTGTTCACAACTTCTTGAATGAAGTTCTTGATAGGTTTAACACCAAGGTTGGGTTCGCCATTAAACATCACCACAACCTGACCGCACGCAGGCTTGGGGTTAGGATTACGCGCAGACTTGGGCTCCGTAAGCTTTTGTTCCATAGCCAATGTGGGGTTGAGGCTGAAGGTCATGAGATCACGTCTAAATAGTTTTTCTGTCAATAGGATATCCTCAGTCTGAACTTCAGGTCCACATACAGTGGTGCGCCGGTCGAGGGATCAACATATGCAGGTCGTCCGGGGCCACCTTGCGCCCAATCTTGGAAGGATACATTGATTTCTTCGTCAAGAATCTCGTAGCCCTAAAACTTTCCATTAGTGTCTGAATGGGCTTGGTCTTCAACGAGCTCAATACCCTGTCCTGGCACATCTGACGCGCAGTCTTCCATACACGCCATAGCCTGACAGCTTCTCTGTTGGCTTCACCGTGGTCATCCATCTTTCGTGTGGCGTCGGTGAGAGTTCGCGCAAAGTAAAGTTCAGATGGCGATCGCAAAGAATCGCGACTTGCAAAGATCCGCTTAAGCCTTAATTGAGGCCTGGCAGCCTTATTGCCCTACATCAAGTCTCCCAGACACTATTTCTTCCACGCATTACGATGATATCAAATGTCTGACAAGCAAGCACCACAGATCCCGAATCTTTTGTCCCTTCGAGGTACGCGCGGAGGTCGTGGCAGAGGTAGAGAAGCACACCTTGGCAGCTCCTCAGTCGGGGCGCAAACTACTTCGAAGGACAAGATAGTTCAGCAAACGGATCAGGATGCATCCCTCTCACGGATGAGCGCAGTTGCGCTCGGCTACTTGGACGACCCTTTCGCGAAATACTTTGTGCAGGGAGAGGTCCCAAAGAGATATCCCATCATCAATCGTGGAACCTATGTGCGATCGACTGCGATCGATGAGCTTGTCAATCGCTTTCTAGCTACGGATAGAGACTGTTTGAAACAAATTATTTCTCTTGGAGCCGGGTCAGACACCCGTTACTTTAGGATCGTTTCCAGAGATCCGTCTCTGAAGCTTGTCTATCATGAAATCGACTTCGCAACGAACACAGAATCGAAGATAGCAGCAATCAAGCGGTCGCCAGACCTCACGAGAGCAATCCATACTCATCTCCAAGCAAACGCTGATGATGACCTTGAAATATCCTCCAACGGGGCTAGCCTTCAGTCATCGAACTATAACATACATGCCCTGGATCTTCGAACCCTTGCAACAGTTGCGTTGGGGGACTTGCCTAAGCTGCCGAAAGTGTCTCCAACGACGCCCACTTTGCTCCTATCAGAATGCTGTCTCATTTATCTCCCTCCAGCGGCTGCAGATAGCGTGCTGAACGTGTTTGCTAACCATATTATATCACAAAGCACGCCACTCGGCGTAGTAATCTATGAGCCAATTCGCCCTTTTGATTCCTTTGGACAAGTCATGATTTCTAATCTATCTCAGCGCGGCATCGTCCTGCAAACAATTCAAAAGTATGCGACCCTTGATGCTCAGAAGTTGCGACTACAGGCTTCTGGTTTCGTAACTGGCCAACAAGCCGCGGACGTGGACTTTTTGTTCAACCATTGGCTTTCGGACGAGGAGAAGGAGAGGATTGGACGGTGTGAAATGCTTGATGAACTCGAGGAGTGGGTTCTTCTCGCCCAACATTATTGCATTGCCTGGGGCTGGAGAGAAGGGACGAACGATGGTGCTGACGTGTTTGGACGAGCCTGGAACACATTGCCACTGCAAGCTAATAACGACGGCATGGAGCGACTTGCAGGATGATTTTCATCCGATTTTTGTTTTGCCACTCAATGTTACGATGCGGAATCGTCAGCGGAAGCACCACTGTAAGCTTAATTAGTCTTGAAGTTTTCGGAACTTCCCTGTAAAATCACGTGATAATCCCTTTTTACTGGTGTATCTCGTAGGCTCCCTGGATCGACAACTGCGAGCTGTTACCGATAAGCGTCACCTACGCTTTTGAAAGAGGAGGGGGGGGGGGGGGGCGCTTCAAGGCAAGCAGACAGTCGGGGGCGGAACCGCAACATGCATGGCGTGGGCCTGAGAACCCTAGACTTATTCTTCCGACGTTCGGAACATGTCCCCAACTTGATGTATGACAAAGAGATATACTTTTTCTTTTCCGATTGTCGCTACCCGATACCTGTGCTGCAATGTGTCCCATTGACAAGAACTCGCCACGAGGATATGGATATCAAGACACCAAGGGAATTAACTCCGGTGCAACAACCTACGTTTACGAGACAGACGATGTTAAATTACCATCTGGCTCATATGAGAGATATTTCTTTAAGTAATAATCTACGACGTCTAATAGCACTTCAATTGTTCATTTCCGGAATTCTGTTGATATAGAACTATCGTACGTCTTCAGACACAAAGGAATGTAGCGTGATGTCTTTGTCTGCAACTTGGACAAAAGCGTACCTAAATAGTTTCTCATTCTCGAACCTAAGCTCACCGTAGTGCTCCATCTATCTTCCTTCTGCACGCTTAATTTAAGACGGAACAAAGAAGTTCGCCAGGTATAATTTCATAAGCCCAGGTAGTTCTCTGTCGATCCAAGACCAATGATCTCAACGTCAATTGACGATTCAATCGTTCTGCGCCTCAATATCTACAGTTGATACTAAATCATACATTGCCCTCTCCTGGTGTTTCTATGCTTTGAAGTCTAGTCTCGAGACTAACTAGCCATGTCTATACTAAAGATAACAACTTTGCCTTTCCGTTCCTCCCAACTTGCCATCCTTCCTTCTCCATTCTCACCGCGCTCGCCTATACTGCAAACAGCACGAACACGCGTCCCTTTCCACATGTATTGGAACGAAGCAGCAAATAAGGATCCACCAAGGTGAATCCAGTACAGTGGAGGTGGAAATGTCACAAATGTGAGCAGAAATATCCCCTAGGTGACACACGTCGGTGCCTGGAGGACGGACATAATTTTTGCTCTAGTGTTTCCACGGCGAAATCTGAAAGCAGCAGGGCCATAAGCCTGTAAAGACGCACCGCGCATGCCTTAGCGAATTTGATTACACATCATGGAAGGCTCATGTGGAATGTAGGCGAAACTGCTTGCCTTTAAGAGCTCCGTGCTTCAAGCATAGAGACTACAGAGACAAATGTAATTATCCGAGCCCGTGTCGCTGAGGCAAAACGCTCCCTCAAGAATAGCCCTCGCCAACGATTGATAGACATTGGAAAGAGGACATAGGAGAGGAATACACTGGGCGAGGTGATAGATGCATCTCACGGGGGTTGCCACATGCTTCAAGAGATCGAAGTGGAAGTTGATTGAATGGGGCAAATCTTGCCTATTTTTTTTTTTGCTATGGTCCTGGAAAACTGATTCAATCGTGTGGATACTCTAAAAACAGCTGTTGAAGAGACACTGCTAACGCTCGCTGTGCCAAACACGCTCAAAATCTTCAAGGTCTTTATGCACGCGTTGATCCGATGAGCTAATCCAAAAAAAAAAATCACATCGTTCATTTGGTAGTTCCAACATTGAGTTTTATGAGAGCACTATCGAAACGGCCGCCCCAGCAGCTCAATATCTCCCAGATCTTGGCTGCATTTTCTTTGGAGTACAGTCAGTGTGTAAGAACTGTCAAATCATGCTCGATTCGAGTTTCAACAATACAAAATCTTGTTCCTGAACACTCTACTGGTATCTCAGCGCAACAAACGATTTCAATTTTTTTTCGCTATGCTGGATGCTGATGCGTCACTGTCGTAGCCAGTTGGCACTCCCTGTCGGTGTACGTGGTCCCCACGGGCTGGGACCCTGAGTGTATGCTTCTCGTTCCATGTCAACGGATGCGATGGCAACCATGAGCGGAGGGAGATTTATCCTCTCATGGGCGTCCTTTGTGCTAATCTCATCTACCGTCCGCTCGAGGGAGCTTGGGGGGGAAATGCCAGCCAAAATAGTCTCATCCTTCACGGATCTCTGCAGTTCCTCCAGCGAGTCACCTCTGCGGATCTGCTCTAAAAATGCCAAAGCCTCCGGTCGAGGCCGATTTCGAAGAAAGTCCAGAACCTCAGCGATCTGATTACAGTAGAGCTCTAGCTCGCGATGCTTGTTTCTCAGCGCCTGGTATCGTGTCGTGTCCGCGGCTGCGTCGAAGTCGTACACACAAGTCTCTCCGCGCTTGTTGCAGGTCGAACACCCTGGACGTTGTCCATCGCACTATTGGACCTTCTTTAGCGATTCAAGACGACATTGATAATTGGGAAATTCTGACCTACCTTAACTCGCCTGCGCTGGCACACACGACACGCGATCTTGACTAGTTTACCTTTGCGTTTTTCTAGAGCGCTTTTCTCGTTCTCGCCGTCGCTTGTTCTTGGACTGTCTGATCTCCGGGCCGGTGCGGGGAGGAGCTCGCGATAATGGGACGGCATGAGGGCTAACTGTGCGGCACTGGCCGCTAGAGCTGATGAGAAATAAAAGTTGTCATCCGAATGAAGATTCTCAATGTGCTGGACCGGGTGCTATTTCTTTGGATGGCAGTATGCAAGTAGAAAGGCTCGAAGAGGCTTCTCAGCAACATGTATACATTCTAGCGACGGAACAAAAGTCTCCCAAAGTTCTAGGCTTGGCTACGTGGAAGCGGAACTCGGTGGATAAATTACATTACTGCATACACGGCTGCGGAGGTTCCTCCTCCACAACCCTGCAGGAAAGGACATGAGAGTGGGGTTGGGGAGGCGATGGGTGCTTGCGAGAATGGTTAAGATCAAAAGACGCGGCAGAGAACAAACGAACTGGAACCACGTAAAAATGCACGGCGTTCCTTGAAGCTGCCATTGGCCAGCAGAGGCAAGCTGGACGTTTCATTGGCTACGTTTTGGGCGGAACATTCTCCCTGTCAGTGTGTAAAGTCAACTCGGGCTCTGATTCTTTTCGGACATAGTAGCGCTTCGTCGAAATGGCCGGAAAGGACTCCGCTCCACACTAGCGTTCTGGACGGAGTTCACAGTGGTCATGCTGAGCGAGTGGCTTGCGTCAAATCTTGCGGGCTCTCGCTCAGCAGAGCAAAGTTCCTCGGTTCGGAGTTGCTCCCTACCGTTTTTGAGGCAACCTGTAGGAACGGGCCAGTCCGCAGCGACAATCAGCGGCGGTCGCGCCAGTCAGGGTGGCACTTATATACAAAAGAGAAGAAGAAATCGCCTAAGCGAAACGTCGACGCAGTATCAACCCAAGCACTCCTCTCGTCATGCTTCATCTGAAGTCGAAAGCCCAAATCAGTGCTGATGTCAAGCGGAGCCCTCGGGATACGACTTCGGTCTAGAAATGATTCCAATGGATTGTCAACGCGTCGCCGCAGCCACCTTTTGTCTTTTTAACGACATCTCCGCGCCCACTTTTTCCGTTGCGAACAAGCAAGCCATCATGGTCAAGTGCCGCGACGTCGTAAGGTTCAGCGGAAATGTACGCCGAACCCGTGCGCAAATGGCATGATGTTCCACATGCCTCAGTCTCAAGCAAGCAGTCAAGAAGAACCGTTTTCAAATCGTGTTCGAGAGCTGGTGTCGAAGAAAGCCTTTAATTGGTGAGAAGAACATGCCTGGCTGTTCAACGATATCCTTTGCCGGGAATCAACAAAGTGCATCCTCCTTGCAGCCCTGAATCTGTTCCGTCACGACTTGAAAGCGAAAGGTCCTCCCGTCCTCTCGGAACCTGTCACGCATGCGGTTACCGCTTAGCGCGTCCATTTGCCGCACTCCGACACGAAAGCTTTGCTATCCTTCCAACGCGGCTTATGCCGTTGGGGATCATAGATCTCGCTGTGCCTTCATGCTTCTGGAACTTCCAGTTCATCGCCAGTATATACGGAGTCGTTTACGGGGCAATATATTGCATCTATTCCTCGCCTTGCCGATCTCTGATTGTCCATTTTCTCCGGCTTCTGAATCGTCTAAGTCTGTTTTCGAAGGCCTTGCGTACTTCAGATGATGCTTGACGCATGTTGCGTCGGGAATTAGCACGAGTCGACCCTTTTCGCTCATATACATGCAGTAGTGAGCTGACCTCGTGCAAGCTGATATGGCGCGATTCTTTTTCTTCTCCGTAGGGGGTTGGAAATGACTCGACAAGCTTCAGGTTCTCGGGGAAGCGGCCCTCGGGGAATGGAACGCACTCTGATCAAATATGTTGAGATCGAGATCACGGATCGAGATCGCTATGAAACCTGATTGCTTTTGTCACAACTTTCATGCGTCGCAGTCACTTGATGGCCCCCCCTTGACACCAAGTTCACAGGATGCCTTTGAGAGACTTGGCTGTTGACTCTCGATGTCTTTTCCGAAGAGCTAGCACTCCGTCTGTGTGGTTTCGATGATGACATCCTTGTGGCCTTGTCGAAGCATTTCAGGGTCGTGATACACGAATTCTGAACAGTGGGTTTCGCATGGGTCTAGTCCTTGCATTCATCTATTGCAGCTTCTGTCTCCTCAATCGGGATTTACGGGCAATGTGAAATGGGCTGCCACGCTCTAGATGTGTCAACATCTACTCTGTCCAAGCTCCTTCGATGGTTCCGCTGGACTTGCTCCGTCTTGCCCGTTGAGAGAACGGTCAAGTGGACATCTGTATGCATGCTTTTAAAGGCGGTGGCACGGGCAAAATCATAAAGTTTGCTGCTCTTGAAAAAAGACGCTACGCCACGATCAGATAAAGTTACAACGTATTCGTTATTGAACTAGGAAAATCTATACACAGCGAACAATTCAATTCGACAAAGAAGCATTGCTTGATTTCAGTTCGATCAATCTAGGCAACGATTTACGATGAATATCTGATGTTGGGCTTGAATGCTGATCATTGTTGTGAAGCACAACAAGCCCATGTAGAATGAGTTAATAGTCATAGGTTAGTTCGCAATATCAATATCTTAGTTCGAATGTTTTTGGCGACGACATGCACGCCACAGTTGTTAGCGCCATGTTGGAAAGCTGTCTGGCTCGACCAGGTACTAAGTTAACGTTACGACATCCGCTTTTGATGTTATCTCGGAGTTGAAACTCCAAAAGGCATGTTCTTTATGATCGAATGCCCTGCATCCTGCTGCACTATGGCCTGGCGTCTGGCGGTATTTTGGAGGCTTCGGAAGGTTAGGCCTGTCTTGAAGGATCACGTAACCCAGTAGAAATTTCTTGAGCCTTAGAGACCTGCATTAAGCAATTCAAAGGCGGCAGAGGAAGTAGTCACTTTATGTGAGCTAGGATGCCGTTCTGCCCTGTCGTTCGCTTGCCAAGTGTAAGCCAGATGCATGCTTGAGTCTGAGAGCAATGAAAAACGGAGTGGGGCAAATCTGTCCGTGGCCGCCGATCGTATCCAACTTCAAAGCAAATCTATCGTAAGCTAGGAATAGAAACTCTATTCCAGCAACTCGTGAAAAACGATCACTCTGCAAATCAAGCATGACCAAGCCGGTGCCAGCTACCCACAATGCCTACACGGCACACATAAATCCTGCAGGAGCATCGCCCATTCTTACCATGGACCAGGTCTGGGCAGCGTTAGAGCAGAAAGTTCAGCACGCCGAGTGGTTTGTCGCTGGCGCTCTCAAGTCTACCGACGTCTTATCTGTCGAGACAGACGACCAGGGCCACAGGGTTACCACCCGGGAAGTGGTCTTCGTCGAAGACAATAGACGAATAAGGGAGGTCTGCACAGAGTATCCGAAGCTCAAGGTAGAGTTCAAGCAGCCTTGTGGAGGGCTCGTTTGCAACATTGTCTCGCAAGGTCCAGGAGGGCCCGAGGACCTCTGCATGACCTACACGTAAGTGATGGCGGCGACATGTGCAAGCACCCTGGCTGAACAAGAAATAGCTTTCAGTATCTGCATCCGGGAGCCAGTGACGAAGAGATCAAAGAGCTCACAGAAAAGCGAGCCAAGATGTCGAAAATGGCCGTCGAAGGCACAATAGAAGCCATACGGTAGGTCTAATCGTGGCTATGCCTACGTTGTAATCTATTTTGGCACACTGACTCTTGTGCAGAAAAATGGTGCAGGATGGGAGAATAAAGTAACTTGTGGTGGACTGATAAATGAACGACGTGCCATGATGTGGTGAATCTCATGACAATTCTCGTGACTAGGTGTTAAGAATAGACTCTGTTGTCCTAGAACTCCGTGGCTTTTCATTCTTTCACGTTCCGCTCATCTCAAGGTCGTACGTTGTCAACCTCGAAGGTCAACCTCTAACTTCAAGCTCGACGCTAGACAGTCACTTATATGGAAGCAAATGCACGCGTGGATTTGTACAACATTATATTAAATCTGTTAAGTCTTGCTGAACGCTAAACATAACATCGTAAAAGCTCTAAATCAGAGCATGTATCTCGATCCGAGCACCAGGCAAACCGACCGCGTTTTGGTACGTTGCGTACCTTGATGATGGAAAGGTGCCAATGACAACTCTGTTGTCTAGCCCAAGTCTTACGCGCAAATACAGCTCACTCCATGTGCAGTATTTGGCCCTCAGCGTCTCGGTCTAACCTCTTTCACATAGCCCCTAGGTAAACTAACGCTACTCGTGCTACTTCGCGGTCGCGCCGGGTAGTACTCCAGCTCCCTGCGCGGCACGTACTCAACTTCCCTCCTGTCATACTCAATATACTGGGTGCTTCTCCGCGGCCGCTCCTGCACATATTCGATTTCGCTGTAGCGCCGTCGCGAGTGGCTACGTCGTCGGGAGCTGAAACTCTCCTCTGGGAGGCGCGCTTGCACAGCGTTGACGCCGTCCGGGTGTGCGGAGTAGTAGCTCCTGTGCGGGTCCGGGTTGTCCCAGTTGCGCACGTAATGGTCTTCACGTTCTGTCCTGAAGAGGCACATCGTTTGGTGTTGGTATTTGCTTGCCCGATAAGTGGTTCGTGGTTCTGGCGCCGCTGATATCGGAGAGGACTGATGTGTAATCGGTAAGCCGCTACGTATCGGTTGTGCGAAACCTGTGTGGTCGTGGATGAGACTTGTATGAAATCAAATTAGCGAGAGACGTGCGACAATAAGGGCAGGGCAGTTTCTTCTTCGAATGCAACACGGCATGATGAGCAGGATACTCCGGGCTCCAAGGATGGTTCTGGAGGCTTGATCATACGATCTACGTCATCGTGCATGCCAAGCTTTCCTGGTTCTTCAAACATGGCAATCGGGCATCAAATTATTAGGATCAAAATGATTTGTTCTCTTCCCACGTGCACGCAGCAATCAAACAAAACATCACAAATCTGAAAAAGAATTAATTAGAACTTGATTGTGTCAATTTTAACCAAGAATGTGTAGTGCAAAGACTGCATGTAATATTTCGCGAAGGGAGAAGAATGACAAGCATATGCGCCAGCTCTGATGTAGGTTAATTAGTGTCCGTTAAAATGTTCAGAAATCTACACGATGTTCTTTGCTCTTCTCCGACTTTGTACTCTTCTGGTTTTGAAATTTCTCGTAGGCTCTGAACCACAGACCCATATTCGCCGTAACGATCAAATCCAACATCAGAAGCCCCTCTCCCTCCACAATCAGTTTCCCAAGTTTAGCCTGTTTCCCAGCGAATCCGCCGCCGGCAAGCTCCTGGCCGAGCGACAAGTCTAGCTTAGCGTCCTCTGTTGGGTCTTCCGATGCGACCATATCTTCGCCGTGCAGCCTAGTGTCACATGAAGTTGAGGAGCTCTTGTCACTGAATTTGGCCAATAGCCGAGAGCGTCGCGAGACTTTCTCACCACTGGGTAAAGATTTAGTTGGTGATCGTCGACGGGGCTCTGAGGCCAGTGGTCCACCTCCAGGCAGGTTGAAACGTAACTCGCTGACTTGAGATGGCGCGTTGGACGTTGGATTGAGACTGTTCTTTCTCCAAAGATGTCGACACTTCAGGGAGTTGCCCATGGTGCTGGTGATGAACTCGCATCGTCCATCCCAGGGACTCAGGAAGGTGTAACCTCGCGTATTCGAGCGCCTGCTGTCACTGGCAAGCGAAAGACGGCGAATGTCCGTGGTATCAAGGTGAAACGGCGACTCTGGACTCTGGTATGGGCTTCTTAATGGGACGGAAGAACAATCACCGCTGTGTCTAATTTCGAAGGTTGGACGAGACAATGGTTGATCTGCTGATTTGGACTTCTGGTGGCTTGCTGCTCTCTTCTCGAACAGAGAACCTTCAAGCCACATTGTTCGATGGAAAGGCTGCTCCGAGCTTGAAATCGTCTCAGTTAATTCATCCGAGAGCATAAGAGAAGGACTGCTGCGTTCAGTTGAAGCAATGTTCGAAGACGCTTTGTTGTTTGCGCCGAACTTCGCATACGCAGGGTTTGTGATGCTCAAGTAAAGCGGTTGACCAGACTTGCGGACTCGCGAAGCTGTCATGCCGGCCGACTTACCGTCAGAGATGATCTCATACGCAGGTGGGTCGCTGATGATAGCTACATTCCATTGTTCTCCGGATGCAGGATCGCGGCGAATAACCGTGATTTCGGGGACAAGATCCGGCTGGGATGCTGTCGTGCTTTTTGTCGGTCGCTGTACAAAATACGGCCTTTGAGACAAAGAAGCGAGATCGCCTTGATCAGATGTAGCCGCTAAGCTTTCTAAGGGCTTCCTCTGCTGCGAGGAAGATACGGGCTTTCGCGGCAAGTTCGTGGAAGATTGAGTTTGAGCTGGGACATTGGCGTCGAATATTGGAGGCCCATCATCCAACGGATACGGAGGCATTGATGGTATTGGAGGTAAGGGATGGTGATGATTCTGATTTCGATCTGAAGGAGGACCGTTGGAGATCCCATTTTGAAAGCTGAATTGTGGAAGCGAGGGGGGGTCGGGAGTTTGTTTTTCGTTGTGTAGTATCTCTTCGGCCATGGGCTTCCGGAGTAACTCATCTTCAGCACAGCTCACGTGGAGATAGTACAAGCAGCTCTCCACGTCCTCAGCGGTGACTACTTTCTGGCGCGGCTTGATGGGCGACAAGAATACATCTACAACACATTTCAGCCACTGCATTTGAGGAGGAATGTGCTTCGGTGAGTTCTACCTTTGCTCCCAGGAACTCGAGCTATGTATAGTACGAGTGGCTCTAAATCCACCCTCTGTGGTCTGAGGGGAGGATTTGCAGCAAGTGTTGTCAACGTAGACAGCGACTTGGCCTCGATCGCAGTCGTGCTAGACGTCGTCGTAGCAGCCATGAAGTAGACATCGCAAAGTGAAAGTTTCCGGTCATGCCATACGCAAAATCGAGCTCTACATAAAGATCACCTGAGGAGGATGGAATGCTAGATCCCAAGCACTTTGGACAGACGAGGAAAGATATGCTGCCTGTCGCTGACGTACCCGTCCGTTGGCGATGAGCTGTGCCACACTCGTAGACGCCGCAGCTTCACAGTCGATCAACACGGGAAATGAGGAAAGTTCATGCCGCAACGTGCGTAACGCATCAAACGCAGAAATTCGTAGCAGGATTGAAGAGGAATCGAAAGCCCAAGAGAGTCGGCGTCATTCAAGTCAACATCCGGCGGCTTCTTTGAGCATACAATACGCACTCATGCTGGAGCGTAAGCCACACCCCGGCTACAACACGGGGAGATAAACCCTGTGAGCACGGACCATCGAAATCTTGGCGCGGTGCCCAATTTTCAAGTGAAGATTCAACCAACCTGCAGTCTTGCAGACTGTCAGGAACAATTCGTTGGCTCGAAACACCACGTTGTACGTGGCGTCAAACAATTCAGGGATCTGGAACGATGGCAGATGACTTGGAGGTGAACAAAGACTCACACCAGACCCTTACGTGCACGCTTGGCTAACCCACCCTACAGGCTCGTCTACAGAGCCATGCGAAGGCATTCGAGGGTCTCATGTCTCTCTTACCGCCTGATTTGTACTATGGAAAGCAAAACACCGAAGTCGGTTACCCCGATAACACTGTGAGAGGCACCTGAGCACTGACAGCAGTGGTTAGAACGAGTGGATGAAGAAGAAGCAGACCAAAGAGGAAAAGAAAGCTGCGAGGAAGGCAAAACTTAATCCAGCCAACCATAAGACGGCCGCAGATGTCGCCAATGAAAGAGACCAGAAGCGTAGATTAGAGGAGGAGGAAGCCGAGAGGGCAGCGGCTGGCTTTGACGGTCCGATGGAGCGTCCGGGTGAGGGGATGGCAAAGCCAAAAGCGAAAGCACAGAAGATTGCCAAGGGCCAGGATGTGCATTCGAAAGCATATAATGACGAATCTGACGGATCCAAGCCGACCCTCAGACAAGACGGTCCGAATTCGAAGGAGGAGAGACGGAAAGCGAAAGAACAAAGGCGGAAGGAGAAACAGGAGCGAAAAGCTGCCAAGGCAGAGAAGAAGAAGGCCAAGAAGCAAGCAAAAGCGCAACATGTCAACCCATCTGCAGCGAAGGATGCCGGGGATGGTGAGGAAGAGGATGGTGAGGGGGAGGATGAGGAAGAAGAATCTGCAGAAGATGCCACAGACGTAGCTCGAGTTGCTGATATCGATGCCATCGATGTGTCAGGGCTTGTAGACGATTCCTACGAGAAGGACAGACATTCTTCAAGCCGATCACCCTCACCGGATCCTGAGTTCTCCCCTCACCACAACGACAGAGCATCATCGACGTCCTCTGTTCACACTTCAGAGGGTACTGAACAATCTGCGAAACCATCGAATAAGAAACCTGCTTCAAAGCCATCTCATCCACCAAAAGATGAAGAGCACGAGACCCCCGAGCAAGCGAAGGCCCGCAAGGAAGCACAAATAGCAAGGCTGCGGGCCTTGATAGAAGCGAAGCGAAAAGCTCGAAAGGCAGATGGTTTGGACGGCAAGCCTGCTCGTAGTCGTAGCGAGCTGATCGAGGCACGCCGCCAAAAGCAGCAAGAACTCAAGGAAAAGAAGAAGGCGTTACGCGCGCAGGAAAGGGAAAAACTCAAAAAGGAGGAAATGGAAGCTCATCTAGCCTCCCTCCGCGGCTCTCCTGTTCTTGGTTCGGAACTTTTTGCCCCGCGCTCGCGCTCAGCGTCCGTATCGAGCCCCAGCGCAGCCAATAACGTCAATTTCTCCTTCAACCGCGTTACGTTTGCTGATGGGGCGCGCCTCAACTCAAGTCTGACATCTATTGATGAGCGTAAGAAGCGAAAAGGACCTTCAGACACTAAGACGGCGCTTATTGCAGCCGAAAAGCACCAAGCACGTCTCAACAGTCTGGATCCGTCCAAGCGCGCCTCGCTTGAGGAGAAGGATATGTGGCTTCACGCACGTCAACGTGTCAGCGGCGAGAAGGTGCTCAACGATGTGTCGTTGCTGAAAAAGAGCCTGAAGCGTAAGGAGAAGGCGAAGAGCCGTAGCGAAAAGCAGTGGAACGAACGGTTGGAAGCCGTGAAGAGGAGCCAGGAGGCGAGACAGAGAAAGAGGGAGGAGAATATTGCGAAGAGGCGGGAAGAGAAAAACGCGCCAAAAGGGAAAAGGGCGAAGACGGGAGCAGGCGTTAAGAAGAGCAAATCAAAGAAGAGGGCGGGATTCGAGGGCACATTTAGAGGCCGGGCCTGACGAATCCATTTCTGAACATTTACGGCGTGCAGTGGTGTTGTACAGAAACTCGTAATGATAATGGCTTTAACGCGGGTTTGGAATAAAAACGATCATGGCCTTCGCCGAAGCGAAATCTGGAACGACCCTTTTTTTCTGTGAGAAAACTACGTGCCTTCCTTGGTCGAGCTCCTCTATTCAAGGCCTTCATGGTCGGGCGACTTGAACGTCGTAGGCGACACGCCTTCTATCTGTACGACATCGGAGGCTGTGGGAAGCTACTATGACCTCTTGAGTGCCGCAAACCGAGCCGCGAGGTCGTCAATGTCAGGAATCTTTCCCAACGCATCCTCTTTGCTTCCCTTTGTATTGGCCCCCGCTCCGCCATCTGAGCTCTGCTTCCGTGGCCTGCTCACCTTTGGCGCGCTGGCTTTGTCGGGTAACTTGAGCTTGTTGCTCACGTTCTCTGTGCTCGGACTTGCGGGAGCAATGCGTATGGGGCTGGGCTTCACGTCATCTTTCACGTCGCCTTTTGGCGTCGTAGGCGGAATGTGGTCACCTGCTTCAAGTGGCGCTTCTAGAGCCGGCTCGTGCTGGCCACCATCGTCACCATCGCTGTCGTCTACCTCTTCTGGCGCGGGCTCCGGGTCACCAGGAAACCGGACATTGTACGTCTCAGCGATGAGGCGCAGGTACTTGTCGACCAGTTCTGGAGACGGGGTTTCTACCTTCAACTTCTTGAGCACGCGCTCCGCAACGCCTTCCCCGTTCATGGCGGACAATGCAAAGTCCTTGCCAAACTTCTCAATCAGCAGTGCACGCGCCTGATGAAGTTCCTTTATTTCCGTCCTAGGCGCGGCGTATATGATGCTTCTGACGGCCTCCTCGAGCCCAGGATCTATCTCCACATCCAACTCGCTCCCCTTGCTGCTCGTCATCCCGCGGAGATTGAGCGTCGGCGTCGCACCCGTGTCAAGCAGTTGGGACCGCGCTATTAGCAACTCACAGTACAGCTCGAGGATCTCGTGCAGCTCAGTTGTGATGTCGGAACGGATGATGTTCTCAACGCGTATGCGAGCGGACTCGAGCTTCTTCTCTTCCAGCAGCTGAGCCATGCCCCGACGTTGCTGTTTGGCTATAGCTTGGTCCTTTTGCTGAATCATGCGCAGTCGCGATATGGCGAGCTTGAGCTGCACCTTGAGCTTGTTCTATGTAGTTGTTGTAAGCATACGAGAAAGCTAAACGTTCAGCGGGATGGAGAAACACACGACGAGGGCTGAAGCGGGAGCCATATTGACTTGTCTACAGTCCTTAGAGCGCCGCTATGATAAGTGTTCGTTTTACGATTGAGAACGTAGTGCAGCGCAGCGGGGTCGCCGCCTCGGTGGGCAGTGCCAACCGAGTTGTGCGGTATTTCACGTCAGTTGCACCCGCAGGCTGCGCGAAGGGAAACTTTGATGTTATAATGAGATCAAAGCACAGAATCTCGTTCTTTAGGCACGAAGTGTAGTGGGCATATCTCTCGAGACTTTCTGATGCAAGGATTGTGGTAGCTGTGGTGGGGCCAATGAGCCTCTTGCATGGGCGCCGTGACGGAGTCCTGCGGGCCGGGTCTGCCCATTCCTCACGCGCCGCGCAGCGCGTCGCGCGACGTTCCAGACGGTAGTACAAAATCGTTCCTCGACGCTACCCGCCATTCTTCGCATCTATTCGTAACAAAGCCATGGACGTTCCTGACCGAGAAGCTCTAGAAGCTCGTAAACTGCACCTTCGGCATACATTGAAGGAATGGGAGGCTGCATTCCACACCCAGAATGGCCGCAAAGCAGGCCGAGATGACATCAAGGCCGATCCCACCATAGGTCAGTCGACAGACAGACGTCTGTAGGCCAGCTTGCCCGCACAGGTCATGCTAACGAAGGCCGAAGCCGCACACTACAAGGAATATCAGAAGGTCCAGGACATGCTGTCGGGCAAGCAACCATCAACGACAAAGCAAACGCCCAGGAAACAAAAACGCTCGAGACCGGAGACAAGCTTACCCGAATCACCCTCCAAACGGAGCAAGTCTGTACTCAGCACCCCTCAAAAGCAGGTATCAACGACCCTTAAAATACTGTCATCTCAAGAACACCAAGACGAAGATCAGAACACGCCCGCTGTAAGACGCACATTTCTTGACCCAACCCCCCAGAAAGACGGCATCGTGCTTGGTCTGTTCGATCTCCTTCCCGTTGCTCAAACACCTAGCAACAAGAACCGTACCGTGCTCGGCGAACTGGACCGCAATGCTTCTGCTGTCACGCCTTCGAAGCTGTTGGATGCGTCGCTACAGGAAACTGCGTGTCAATACGAGGAGCGCGCACGAGGAAGCAGAACGCCTGCATCTACTGGGAAACGATTCTTGTTAGACCAGTTCATGACACCACAGAGAAAGGAGGGCCGGAGAGGGACCGAAGCTGGGGAGGCGAACCGCAGAGGCCTTTCTACGCCCTCGTCGACGTTCAGGCAGCAGTTCTCAACGCCGGCGTTTCTAAGGAGGGACAATTTTCTCATGGATGCCATTGACGAGGCTCCCGAGAGCCCACAGGTGGCCCAGCCATGGAAACGGAGGTCGTTTGGAAGGTCCCTTAGCGGTATGATACAAGACATGCGGAGGGAAGCGGAGAAGGCCGCGGACGAGGAGCTGGATCTCCTTCGTGAGATGGAAGACGAGGCGGAAGGGCGGCCACGGCCGAACAAGGTAGTCGATGCACTGCTGCGGTCCAAGAAAGCGGTGATGGAGGATTGCCAGGCCGTCCCTCCTACCGTCACGGGTTTGGACAGAGACGGATTTGTTCCTTCAGATGTAGAGCAGTCGGGCAGTGACGACGAGCATGGAAACGACGGGGACACGCAATCTAGACCCTGGCGAAAGAAGGGCGTTAAGAGACAGACTAGAAGGGTTAATATGAGGCCGGTTGCAAAGAAGGTGCAACCACAGCAATCGCGGCAACCGGAAATTGAAAGGGACAGCGATGGCGGCGAAGTTGTCGGCGAGACCAAGTTGTCTGATGAAGATGTGCCTTCCGACTTAGAAAGAACCTTTGATGGCGAAAATGACGAGTCGAAGGATGCAAAAGACTCAAGTAAAGAACCCGAGGTGACAAAGAGGGGTGCTAGAAAAACCAGGCCAGATGCGCACGCGAATTACCGGGCATTGAAGATTAAGAACAAGAACTCGAAGGCAAAGGGGAGGGGCCGGTTTGCCAGGAGAAGGTGATGAAACGATCTCAGCAGACGTGGTTTTAGAGATGGAGCCCGTAACGAAGGTGACGGAAACGCAATTCATGAACATCCTCTTCATGTTATTTCTGATCCTTGCGAGTCTACACTATTTGAAGCTTGCGTAGTGCGACTTGAAGAAGCGAAATCTTCGTTCACCGTGCTCTTGACGCTGTATACGACGCTACTTCGGGGTCTTCGTCCTTGAATACCGTTCTACTCGCCTGGGGCATCCTTCAACGCACCCCAAATGTTATTCAACGCCTCGGACCACAACGGGTGTGCGAACACTGCTTCCCGCAGATCCCACCATTTCAAGCCACCCATCATCGCCATCTGCACCACGGTCATCATCTCCCCCCCTTCCGGACTCAAGCAGGTAAAGCCGAGGATCTGGCCCGTTTCCGCATTGACGACGACCTTCATCAGTCCCCTTGGCTCGTCTGTTTCTAGACCCCGAGCGACCCAGCTCATGGGCCAAGATGCCACTTTGATACTCTTTCTCGAGCCGGCAGGGATCTCGTGAAGATGCAAGCCGACGTGGGCAAGCTGAGGATCGGTGAAGCAACAGTACGGGACAAAGGGCTTGCGCCTCGTGGTTGTGTTTGGGATCGAGGGTCTGTCCAAGGGGTTCAAGGGCGAATTGGACTGGAGTCCCAAATTGTCTCTGAGGATGCGGAAGTCGTCATAAGAGATGTGCGTGAATGCTGGAGGACCTTTACAGTCGCCCATGGCGTAGATGCCGGGAGCACTGGTCTCAAGAGCCTCATCGGTGATGATATAGCCACGCCGATCGGTATGCACGCCCGTAGATTCAAGATTGAGGTTGTCCGTGTTGGGGACTCGACCTGCAGCCAGGAGAAGGTGCGAGCCTCTGACGTCGTCGGTCGTTCCGCTTGTGCCTGACCTGATCTTCAGGCTGATAGGTCTCGCGCCCTCTCCTTGGGCTACCGACACTGCTTCGGTGCTCAAATGTACGTGGAGGCCTTCGTCTCTTAGAAGACCCTGCAGAACCTCAACCACCTCTGGGTCTTCCCTAGGAAGAATCTGTTTCGCCCGCTGAACGATGTGAACCTCGGCCCCGAGCCTGGCGAAGAGCTGAGCAAACTCCAGGCCGACGTACCCGCCGCCGAGCACGATCAAGCTCTCTGGCACCTCGTCCAGCTCCATTATCGACGTCGAATTCAATACTCTGTTCGGCATCGACTTCGTCGTCTCGGCCAAGCCGTCCAGCTTTGGAACGGCAGGTCTCTCGCCGACGCTGATGAACACCCATTTATCAGCCTTGACCCGCTCCTCGCCACGCCCATCGGTCAGGACGACCTTGAGCTCCTTGATCCCCGTGAAGATGCCTTCGCCTTTCATGACCTCTAGATTCTCCACGCCCGTCATTCGCCGTTCGCTCCCGCCCCTGAACGAATCGACGATGTCGCGCTTTCGCTGGCGAATTCTGCTCATGTCTATGCTTTCAACTTTGGCTCGAATCCCATAATCAGCAGCACGACGCGCAAGGTACGCGACGCGACCGGAGGTAACCATTGTTTTTGTTGGTGTACATCCTTCGTTGACACAAGTTCCCCCAAGGTGTGCCATTTCGATCATCAGAGTTTTATAACCTGCATTCGCAAGCGAGCTGGCTAATGGTGTACTACCCTGCCCCGAGCCGAGAAGTATAGCATCGTACTGCTTCATTATGATTGGTAATGCAGGTGATGTTTGCGCTACAAAACGCAGGATACGAGAAGTGATGTGTGTTTTCGTGATGACGACACGGTGTTGCAATGTATCCGACTGACTTAAAGTTCCGGTCACGGTTTGAAAATACTTTGCATGGAATGTGTTCGCAACCTCTGTGATAAAAAAATTTTTTTTTGGTATTATGAACGGTGAGGAACTAGCGACTAAGACTTCGAAGTGAGCATGACAGAGATCAACCCCTCCTTTTTATCAAGAACGCACGATGAGTAAGCACATATTGCACGCTCCGCATCCCAAAGACCACGGATCAGGGTAGTACATTGCACAGGCCGCGATATGATTTTGGAAATATCTCGAAGTTGAACAGAGTGAAAACTATAGTGGGTTGACCCTACGCGTTGCGTCTAAATTTTCGCCAACTTGATTGACTATTTCAATCAATAATCGGCTGCCTTTTGTATTCGGTTGCGGAATCAAAAGTCGAGCAAGGGTTCAAGTATTCAGTCCGCAGGAATGGTCGGAGGAAAGACTGGATGAGTCGAAACAGAGGCCGCGAACACAACAGAGCGAGACACCGTAAAGAAACGCTGTCCAGAAGCTGGACCGACCATTTTTTTTTTTAACTCACGCGTTCACCTATCTCGCATTAGCGGCAGCGTTCGAAGATTGAAGTGTTCTAATGGGCCACGGTTGAATGATATTTCGTGCAAAGCGATAGATATCTTCTGTTTCCCCCCTCCCAAAGAGTCTTGCTTGTACTGCCTCAACAGTCCGGACTCCGCAGAGGAAAAAAAAGTGAAACAGCAATCCGCGCTACTACGCTGTCTATCGTTCCTATACGTAGAAGGTCTCCTGCAGAGCGAAAGCCAAAATCACCACGCAAGTTTTAAAAGGGGGCCTGATATAGAACAGGACTGATCGAAACGATGAGGCCCCGAGATCCGCCACGGTACAACCCGTTTCTCGAAGTGCACCTTATCTTTGTCTCAGCAGTCTTCTCTTATGCAGGCTTGCTGTGGGGAAGGAAGCGCGGGATTCGAAGGGGCTCGGCGGGAGCGAGACTAGGTGGCTATGTTGGCAGACCCAGACACGTATGGTAGCGTGGTGTAAGGAGTACAAAGTTGGTAACAGGCTACGTCAGTGCTGCTTCGTCAATGGGCGACGCGTTCTCGAATATCGAAGACAGCCACGCATAAAGGAGTATCAGTTGACAACGGGCATCTTCCTTGTGCAACTTTAAATTGGTCGTGTGTCTTCTCGACGTGTGTGAGCATCCGTCCAACTGTCGGCCACAGGCTGCTTAGAATAGACCAAGGCTAAGAGCAATCCTCGGCGCCAGGGGTGGGCTTCTTTAATCAGTCGAGAGAACAGACCATCCGCTTCACATGAACGTGGATAGAACGGAGTACGCGAAGCCCAAAAAAGCAAAAGAAAATTTAAGACGTGATGTTCAGCTGATGAAGAGTCGCACCACGAGATGCGACAACCCGAGGGGCCCTCAGTTGTTCAAAAATCTTCAAACCTTTTCGCAAAGGCCAGATAGCGACGGAATCTCTTAGTAGAAACATATGACAGTGTTGCCCGCGCCCTGCAACGTGGGCCTGGTCGACTGCTGAGCTCGTGTGTCAAAGTTTTGTGTCCGCTGTCCGACGTCGGGGTCGACGCGACAGGCTCTGGTTCTTCTAGGGCCCGGCGGAATTCTAAGCGGATTACCTGATGGGTTCTTTGGCGGCCCGTAAAGGCCCGTAGCTGACGAGCTGGTCGATCCCAACAACCGAGATTCGAACGAGACAGTCTAGTACGGGCGTCGAAATCTTTCGCAGAACGAGTGCCGGCGTGTGAGAGCAGCTGGAAAAACCTGCAGCCGGCGAGCTGACTGGCCGGAATGACGAACAGAGTGGGAGCGCACACGTGAGATGCAGGACGGGAGTGGCTGCGCGCGTCACCCCTCGAGCAAAAAAAAAAAAAAAATCCTGACAGGGCTGAGCGAGACTGTTCCACATGCTGTAGCAGCGCACATACGTCGCAGCTGACAATAAGAATCTTGAATGATTCTGGTCGAACCACACGTCCGGCGAGCGAGTCGAGTCGAGGCTCGGCGAGTGCGGACACCCCACGCGGGAACTAAGGCTGCGCGATTTCAGGCCCTAAACATGAAAAAACTCTGGGGCAGAAAGGCTCTCGAAAAAGTGTTCTTGCATGATTCGTTTCGAGACCTGGGCGGGGGATCTGGTTCCGAAGAGATTCGGCTTAGTGTGACGCAGCCACGGCAAGAAAGCCTTTCCGCCAAAAAAAAAGTAGGAAAACGTACAAGGCTGAAGCGATGCTGAGCGGGCTCAGGACGAAGAAAGGGAGCATCAAAAGCAATCGACCGCTGCGATCTGGCGTCGCTTCATGACGGCCAAAGCCTGCGCCCGCTACGCGCCTGCACCGTGGCAGATCTCGTCGCTTCGTCGTCGGCTTGCGATGGATCATGCCAGGAGCTGCGAAAGGCCATCAATATACCGCAACGACCAGACGACGGTTTATCAGCACGGTGTACATCATCCATCGGTCATACTCGGCTAGGCCTGATAGCAACGGGCATATGGGGCGCTGCCGCAGCCTATGATGTAGCGAATCCAGGATGCCCCAAGAGGCCAGGCCCCGATCGGACCAGAACTTCTCGACGCTGTCGAGCGAGGAGGAGATGAATGACTTTCGTGGCATCGCAATCTCGCCGCGTTTGATTGGAGCCTCTTATCTCTGTTCAGCACTCACCCAATGACGGGATCCACCAGCGAAAAGCCAAGTGTGCAGTTTGCACTTGGCATTCTGCACACATTTCGCTTCATGAAATGTCAATTTGTGGGGACGACGGTCCGTTGGAAAGGTCTCATTTGTTCAGGCTTGAGCTCCGTTTGGGGAGACGTCCAGCCTGGCGAGCGGGCCAGAGCGCGCGGGGCCGGTTGTCCCTGGATTACGCCAATGGATCTGTCACTTGCAGAGATAAGGAATGCTTGGCGCTCAACGCCGCTAGGAACAGTACGGCAGAGGCGTTCTTAGCAGGCCTCTAGTAAGGCCCGTTGCCGGAGCCTGCGGCGGCGTTCCAGTCGCCTTGAGCAGTGTGTCGGCTGGTGTGCAGAGCGGAGCAAGCAAGACGGAGGCTCACGGCGCAGCGACGTCTTTGCGTCCACGATGGGCATGGTGCTGTGCGTCTCGGGGCGCTCTGGCATTCTGGCCGTTGCCCGGTGGTCGGCCAAAGAAGAAGATGAAGACGAAGAAGAAGAAGGCGTTCGGCTGCTTGGGTCGCCAAAAAAAAAAAAAGGTCAGGCTGCGTGCAGGAATGTGAGGTGCCGGGATGCTGGCGCACAAGGCTCGCGGCCGCGATCCAACAAAAGAAACGGGTCTAAGATCGTAGAACATAGTGCTCCGACGCCACGTCCCACGAAACTGAACCGCCACGCGCTTGACGGAGTGTGTGTCTGTGCCCTGTATCCAGACGACGGGGATGATAAGCTGCAAAGTTCACAGCGTTGACGTCGCGCGCTGGCGATCACATAAAGCACCAGGCTTGGAACCTTCCGACCTCCTCGACTCTAGCCATCCACACGTTCACCTTCTCGCCCGTTCTTCTTCCCGACTTCTGTACTCTATTTTCTCACCCGTCCTTCCTTAGTCCGATTCAAATCCATTTTGTGTTGCGTTGAACGCAGCCCAAGTTCATCATGTCCTACTCATGGGTGGGAGCGCCCACGCCCTTCAACGGCACCAATGCGGCGTTGGGAGGCGATTCCAGTACGTTGACATTCCCTTCGTCGTCATGTCCGTGGCTTTCACGCCGAATCTGGCCGTCGTCAACTGCGCTCCTCCGGCGTTCTGAGCGGCAGTTGCGTCGACCGCGGTGCGAGCGCCAGATCGTCGTCAATGCAACAGACAAACCTCGACAACATGCACGCTGTGGCTGACCTTTTGCATCAGACACCGAAAACTTGAATCAATGGTATCAGTCTGGTGACTCCGCGTACATCATCGTGGCATCTGCCATGGTCTTGATCATGGTTCCCGGCCTGGCTTTCCTCTACTCCGGTCTCGCACGCAGAAAGTCCGCTTTGTCGTTGATCTGGGTGTGCATGATGGCGGTAACGGTCATAACGTTCCAGTGGTACTTTTGGGGCTATTCTTTGGCATTCAGCCAGTATGCAACCAACGGCTTCATCGGCGACTTGCAAAAGTTCGGCCTCATGAAGACCCTCGGTGCCCCCTCTCCTGGATCTCCCCTAATTCCAGATCTTCTGTATGCCTTTTACCAGGTGAGAAGAATCGATGCGTCCCAGCCATGCGTCAGAATGCTAACTCCGAGAACAGATGCAATTCTGCGCTGTCACCGCAGCTATCTTGGCAGGCGCTGTCGCAGAACGCGGTCGTGTCATCCCCATGATGATCTTCCTCTTCATCTGGGCCACCGTCGTATACTGTCCGATCGCATGCTGGGTGTGGAATGTCAATGGCTGGGCCTTCAAGTGGGGTGTCCTTGACTACGCCGGTGGTGGGCCCGTCGAAATTGGCTCTGGTCTGTCGGCCCTGGCATATTCTATGGTCCTTGGCAGACGCCAGGAGAAGATGATGCTCAACTTCCGCCCACACAACGTCTCGCTTATTGTCCTCGGCACCATTCTTCTATGGTTCGGATGGCTCGGCTTCAACGGCGGTTCTGCTTTTGGTGCAAACCTGCGTGCAACCATGGCTTGCTGGAATTCCAACCTGACTTGCGTCTTCTCAGCCGTCACTTGGGTTCTCCTCGACTATCGTCTGGCTCGCAAGTGGTCCATGGTTGGTTGGTGCTCTGGTGCTATTTCTGGCCTCGTCGCAGCTACGCCAGCCTCTGGTTTCATTCCCCCATGGGCCAGCGTGGTTCTCGGTGTCGTCACCGGTGTCGTATGCAACTATTCCACCAAGAGTACGTCTTCATCTTTTCCAGCAGCCACCCTTCTGATGCTAACATCCGTCTAGTCAAGTTCTGGGTTCGAATCGATGATGCCCTCGATGTGTTCGCCGAGCACGGTGTCGCCGGTATGATCGGACTTCTCGCAAACGGCGTTTTCGGTGACAGTGCCATCATTGGCCTCGACGGTGTGAACACCGGTTTGTTCCCCGGCGGTTGGGTCAAGCACAACTGGAAGCAGCTCTACATGCAATTCGCCTACCTCGTCGCCTGTTCCGCATATGCATTTGTCGTCAGCGCCATCATTGCTTTCGCCATCGACAAGATTCCAGGTCTTCACCTTCGGGCCTCTGAAGAGGCGGAACTTCTTGGCATGGATGATGACCAGCTCGGCGAGTTTGCCTACGACTATGTCGAGGTCCGTCGTGACTATCTTGCATGGACCCCAGCCAAGGGCGACCATACTGGCAGCAGCGATATTCCCCAGGGCGATCGTCATGGTATCGCCCAGCACAGCCAGATGCTGGAAGGCAAAGAACCAAGCGAGAGCAGTGGTGCCGAGCACACTGGTGTTGGCGGCGACCGTCATGGTATTGCTGCTCAGGAAAAAGCGGGCGGTGACCCGATATAGAGAATATCACAACTTCCAATGTGTGTGATGGTTAGCGATATCTGTACAATTTGGTTGTGACAAGCGTAGTGCTGTTGATGCGTTTTGGATACAGGATACCACAAAGAGTTTCTTTATTTTTAATTGTTTCCAAAATTTTTCGAGGAACGACGTCGACGCTTCCTGTGGAATGGAATTAGTCGCAATAAAAGTCCTACACTCGTCTACGAAACCTTCGAGGACCAATTTTTTTTTATCATCGTAAAGTCGATTGCGAGTTTAAGTATTCGAAAACAATAGCAACACCTCGGGCACGACAGGCGTTTGGCGACGGGGAAACTTTGATGGCAAGGAGTCGGCGTCACATATATAGACTTTAGCAATACCAAGAAATTGATCATGGACAGTCGTGTAGACGACTTGCCTGTTGTGCATTATTGTTACGGCATACAACGTTTGTGTTACGGCATAAGGCTGTGATCGTGGGGCGAGAGGAGGCTCAAAGAGGTTTAGTCAGCGCGCGCCCCCCTTAAGTTACGTGCGGAGAAGCCCCAGCCCGACACTGTCTGGGTTTCGAGCGACGCAGGTCTTGGGAAGTAAACAGCAGAAGTGCTTTGGTGAACCGTGAGCCGTCAGTACACACGTGGGCAATCCTGTCGAAATCACGATGGACAAAAACTCCCTCGATTTCCTCTTTGAGCGCGAAGAAAGCGTGCCGTGGGATTCTTTGGCCCCAGCTCGAGACAGGAGCTAGTAAAAAAAAATAAAAAAAAAATAAAAATAAATAAAAATAAATAAAAATAAATAAAAATAAATAAAAATAAATAAAAATAAATAAAAATAAATAAAAAAAATAAAAAAAATAAAAAAAATAAAAAAAATAAAAAAAATAAAAAAAATCCCCACCATTTATCGGCGGGAATGGGATCGAAATTTCAGACATGGTAAATGATCGCTTTTTGAGCCCACAGTTTTGCTGCTGATCATCAGACTGCCACGGGCCCCATTCGTATCAAGAGGGCGAGCTTCGCGACCAGGTTGAGATTGTCATCCAAGCGGGTGTCATTCATTCTCATTCTCTTTCTACTGTCAGCTGCAAATGTCCACCGTCACAGTGAATCGATGCGAAGATACGGAGAGTGAAATTTTTCCTAATCAATATGGCTTATGATATTTTAAGACTCTTGTTTCCTCGCTTAGTGGCCCTGCTTTTATGTCTGACCACTTGGAACAGGAAACGGACCTATCGCTGGTCTTGGGAATATTGGTGCGCCGTCCGCGCCCCAGGTAAACTTTTGAGTGCGTATCGTCCGCGCTTGCCATCCTGTAGAAGGATCATGCATGCCGTGGTAAACAATCCAATCTTCACTTCCGTCTGGAGATTTCGTGAAGCTCGCATGCCCCGTGCCGTAGACCTGCTCGTCAGGATTTTGATAGAACACCGGCCCTTCCTCATGCTTCTTCCATGAAGCAGGATCCATAGGATCTTTCCCCACGAGCTCCAACTGCCCCAAGCAATAGTTTCTGTTATCTGATCGACCGCCACTATAGATTACGAAGTTCTGACCAGTCTTTGGGTTGACTAGCTGTTCCGGGCCTTCGTTCGTGGACAGTCGATCGTTGACCGTTCGTCCGTACGGTGTCTTTTCCCACGGCAGTGTTGGCCGAGATATCACTTGTCGCTCAGACAAGCTTGAGCTGACCGTATACGGATTCGACATCTTGGTTATGCACAAGTTCGCGGGCCATGAAGAGTACTTGTCGTCCCAGCACGAATAGATGTGGTACAATCCTGTTTCGTGCTGAAAGTATGTGCCATCAATCGCGAATTGGTCAAACGTGTCGAGTTCACCTTTGTACGCGAAGTCGATTGTCCATGGATCCTCGCCCTGTCCCTCGAGCACAAACATGCGGTGATAGACAGCAGGGCAATTCTGCGGCAGAGTTAATGGCCAACGTACAGGATGCTGGTTGCACTCTTCAGCTTACGAATGGGCAAAGCATGTCCACATCAGGAGGCGGCGAGTCGCCGGTAGAATCGGCCGTGAATATCACGTACCACGAATCGCCAATTTGATGTAGCTCGGGCGCCCAGAGATCTTTCGAGTAGGCCTGTCCCAAGGGCGGGTCAAACAGCAAACGACTTTCGGCATTGTTCCAATCTCTAATTTTTATGAGTATGCTTGAGCTGGGCAGAACGATGCAACCTACGTGAGAACTTTGCTTCGTAGTAACGTAATGTTGTCGTTCGTGGTGTATGTCATGTCTTGCCGTCTATTACTGCTATGTTGACAAAAACGGGAGGAAAGGCACGTACAGTAGTACCCATTGCTCTGTATCACCCACCTGCAATACTTTCAGTCATTCCAATGCCTAATGCGCAAGAACATAGAGCTTACGGATCCGCGCCGATGCTGTTCAATATAGGATTTGAAAATGTCAGAGTCGTGTTTGAATTTGTTTCCGTTGTGTTTATGTTGATGGAGTACGAGCTGACACCAACAAACAAAGCGCAACAGTAAGCAGCGCATAGCTGCAACGCTTTGTGAAGCTTCATGGCATCAAATATCGCACCCAATGCCATGACTATCGTCCCCATTTCAGTTTTAAATTTCTCTTTCCAGATTCTTTCGTTTGGTTGTCAGACCCGCTAATTTGACCTAAGAAGCTTGATCGCTTGACAGGTGGATGCATTAGCAAGTTTAAAGTTGTGTTTTCCTGACAAAACCAAGCTCGTCACTGATGCCACGACGACAACGTTGTCGGTTGCTTGTTGAGTTTTTCCATCAACCAAGGTGGCTCTTGACTTAACGACAGTAGCGCATGGCTTCAAACGGTACAGATTTGCGCTGCGGGGGTTGCACTTGACCACTTGATGCAGGGGTGGTCCATCATGGGAATCGGTAATTAACAGCTCAATTGTTGATTCATAAGGTATTTACACATAAAGGAATATGGCCCGATTGATTGCCGCTACTAGCCATAATTAAATCTCTCTCTGCAAAGAGGACAGCTGGTGCCGTTGCTGCTCTTGAACCATTTGAAGAGGCAGATACCGTGGAAGCTGTTTTTACAGGTCCTGCACTTCTTGCCTGGCACTCGTCCATCTTCACCAACTACACTATAGCAAATCGCGCATTCAGTTTGGCCCTTCAGGGCGCCGAAGACATTCCGTCTCCATGCAAGTAAGCCGTCGATAATACTGTTGTTGCTGAACGCAATAATGGCTTCAGAATTGATCAACCATGTATTCCAACGTCGTTCTTCCACTGCCATAGCCTTTGAAGGACTACTGACTTTGGCATTGTGGAGTGGGAATGTTGGTGGAAGAGACACGACTACCATTGCAGATTGACCTTCGTCATCCATAGGATAAGAAGCTGTGAGTTCAGACGCTCGATGGTTAACACGAATGACAAGCGGTGGTGGCTGTTCAGAGTTGCGCGCCATCTCTTGCGTTGTTGACCAAGAAACCACAGCTTCTAGTGCATTTGATATCACAAGGGGCGAAATGAATTTTGCAGTCCATGTTTCGACACTGATATGTTTCTGTCTCGATTCGCATTCAATCCACCATGTCTTTGAAAGTGAAGGGAAATGTGTTAGACAAAGATAGTATAGGTGCGTGATTAGCCACTGGGTATCTTTAAGTGGCTCATCGGCCATTGCTGAACTGTTGTACGAGGCGACATCAAATTTGGTCACTTCTAACGGGCGTCCTCTGGAATGCCCAAGAAAGTCAAAAGCGAAGTCCAAAAAATCTTTCAAATGTCCCGCTTCTTTCATGCTGTCAACATAGTCGTTCCTGACTTTATGCGAAGCATTGCTAAAATGATCAAAGATAAGGAGCCAGCTGAGCAGGTAGCCGCGTAGTTGCAGAGGCACAGAGCGTTCGAAGTCTTCTTCAACAAAGTCAGATGCGACAGGCGCTTGCAAGACAAGTGATAAAAGTTCATAAGGCAAGCGTGCCTTCGTCTTCTCGAGAACGGTATCGAGTGAGATCTGCTCCTGTTTTGAGGGAATGTAATGGTGAAGCAGACGATATGCCGCTTGCTGAACTGCTGGGGAGGTCGAATATAGTTGCGGGTAGAGATCCTCGACACACTCCAATTTGCTTGTAAGGATCCGAGAAACTTCGCGAGAAAGCAGCTCATTCAGTATCATGAGAGGCTGATGCTCATCATCAGATACATGGCGCGTCACCTTAAGGCTGTTCACTATGGCAGCATGAATTCCATTCTCGTGTTCATTCCACGCCTCAATAATGTCGTCGTTTCGCTCATCCTCCTCCTCCTTGCACTTCTCGCTCGACACTATTCTTCGTATTATCGCAAAAAGTTGGATCGAGGCATGAATAGCGGGAATCAGAGCGGGAGCATTCGGATCCGGTAGCTCTGAAATTAGCTCGAGATTGGATTTGATGGAGTCCAGGATAATTTTCCAGTAATCGCCGTACAGGTTGCTTACTAGTGGTAGCAATTGTTTCATCATCCGGTAGATCTCGGCCACAAGCGCATCGTCAATGGATTCATCCTGCAGCCAAGCCACGGACTTACTGATGAAACGTGAAAGGCGAGGTTTTGCTATGGTTTCTCCCACATCGTCGTAGTATGTTAGGATAGTGTTGAGAATAACGAATTGAGATAAGCCATCCTCTTTCAACATCTCCGAGTCAAGCGGGGTCAAATCTGCGATCAGCTCATTGCAATATCGCATCACTTGAGATGATGCTGATAGTGCAATCTGATATCCGTATAACGTAGCCAGGATGCTGAAAACGTTTCCCTGAGCCCGGTGGCGCTTAAGTAACGATTCTGCCTCCTCTAAGGTCGTACTTGAAGACCTAGCAATCTCATCGTTTTGGTTTCGAATCTTGCAATCTCCAAGTGCTAGGTAATATGCTTCACAACTGTATCCTTCAGTTTGAACCATTAAATTCGACTTATTTGACTCATGATACTTTCTCAAGATTTGCTGACAACTGGAAACAAATTCGGAAGCATCGTCGAGAACATCGAGTTGCGAACTTGACCACAGATTCGACGGATCATACACGCTTAGGTGGTCATTTGCCATGAGTCCAGTCAAAGTCAGCAATCGGAACAATTCTGCTGAAATGGTTCGTGCGTCTCTCAGTGTATCCGAAAAGAGCTTGACGGTATACATTGCCATGCGTAAGGGAACTGAGAGGCCGTTTTGATCGCGCTCGATATCGGTCAACGTTGAAGCATCAATAGATTCTCGTACAAGATAAACGGCTCCTCCAAGCGGACTCGTCATAGCGTGACTCTTATCTATCGGCTTTCGAAGAAAATACTGTAAAGATTCGTACCAGATCCCCGTGTTTGGCAGAACGCTGTCCATAGATTGTACCATGTTGGTATCTAAAAGCCTTTTCGCATAATTTACCAATGTATCAATAGACACAGAAATTGACCCGGCAGAGTTCAAGCCATTTTGTATGACATCGATAATGGCATTGCTGGTTTCACCTGAAGTCATTTCATTCGCGAAAAGTGTTTGTAATTCCGGTATCAACTCCTTCGCCTCCTTCGAAAGTCTCTCATTAAGTTCCTCGCTCAGAAGCAACAGATTCGGTAGCAGCTGCTTCCCATCATCTGTTGTCAAAAAGTTCTTAAGAATTCTCGGACACGACTTCATTACGACCCGCAATCCATCTAGCGCTATCGATGTGTCGCTCTCCGCATCGATAAGGCACATAGTGATTCGTCGCAAAATAAGGTCACCCAAAAGCTTTGAAGTAATAGCCGAGTCCCTTAACAAAGGCAAAATTGCGTCCCATTTACGATTTGATTTGCAAATCTCGTCCAGCATGGGTATTATTTCTGGCACAAGGGTTGGGCCAAGGTGCTGTAGTTCACTCTCGCTGAAAACTTTTCTGCAAGCAAGTAGTTCTGTAAGTGCAGGGAATCGTCGGTCCGACACGTCCCCCAGAACAGCATTCAAGCACCTTGTCCATGCAGGCACAAATACTTCTTCTTGATCTTCGCAGGCAGACAAAAGCGTAGCAAGCTGTTTGTATGAAGGCGAGACAAAGATCATAGCAATGTGCTTGTCCAAAAAATCCTCAACTGTTGTTGCGAGTCTATCAGACGCATCGATTAAATGACGACACTGCTTGATAATGGCTGAGGCAACTATCGCTGCCCCGTACGGCTTCCCATTTCTTTGTATCAATACGGATAATGATTCATCGAGAGCACTAGCGGTTGCGTTTTCCAGTCTCTCCGGCATCGTTTCTGGTGGAGTTAGGGCAGCAATAAAGGCAGCAAAGCGTTCACCAGCCTTCCCCAAGTCATCTTGTGAACGGGAATATTCTTTCGCCTGCTCTGGAAGTGACAGTCTGATCTCCCGAACAAGTTTCGCTGATAGACTCGTCACTTCGTTGAGAAGCATAGACGTTAAGCCCTCATTCTTAACCATATCTGTGAGCAGTGACTGAGCAGTGGTTTGAGGTATGTCCCATTTGGCGTTCTCGGCCTTGGGTAAAATGTATTGCGAAATTATCGGAAAGATTGAATCGGCGAGGAAAGGCACTCTATCACCGTCTGCAAGTACGCAAGAAAGAACAATGGCAACTTGGACGTAAGTCGCAAGACCTTCGGAGATGTAATGTCGTGGTTCGTCCTTGTGAGTCACTCCACTATGCAAGGCTTCGATAAGATCGCGAGCTGATTTTGGATCCGATGGTAGCGTCTCCCTTGGTAATGCCTTGAATAGTTTGGATAAACTTCGCCAGTAATTCAGTGCTGCTCCTTGAGAGCCCCTCCTGACAAATTCTTCTAGTCTTGATGAGGGTCGCTTACTGTCCCGCCAACGTTCCGTCCAAATGGTGCTCTCCGCTGTAGTAAGCGCAATCAGAGCTTCGAGATAGTAATCGGCTGAGCCTTTCTGATTCGATTTCATGCCTTTGGTAAGATAAATCTTGCTTAACGTATCCAGGTCAAGACATGACTTTGCGAGCGGAGATTCCAACACAATCCGCAACATCTTGTGTGTTGACTTTCGCACACCAATATCTTCACTAAGAGCCTGTTCCCATAATTTCTTGTCCTGCAACGCCTTTAGATAACGTGAATCATTTTTTTGAAAGTCTTCCTCCCGCAGTTCTGACATCAGATTGGAAAGCAGGCCTAACGAAGAGATCACAACTCTAGAGTATTTTGCATTTGCCTCGTCTGGACTCACACTTCGCTCATCACTGAGTGTCTGCGGCGATTCCTTATCGAAGACGTCTCTGCAAAAGTCCAGCAATGGGTCCTGGTAGGCCCTCCACAGTGCCTGCCTCTTCTCCGCGGTTGCAAATACTTGGCTCAACGATTCCGATGCAGCCTTAGCGACAGCCTTGTCAGTGTCATATAGTCCTGCCAGCCATGCGCCGACCACGATAGGCATTCGTTTCGCTATTCTCTTGCCACTCTTTGCCGCGATGTGGCCTTGAAGCGTGTGCGCTAGCTGCCGTACTCGTCTCTCGGTATCGATCGATGTTCGAGGGTAAACGTTTGTCCACGCCTCTAAAATGCCGTCTTCGATATCTCCACCGCGATCGATCAGTTGCCCCTGTAAATCTTCCAGAGCTTTCGTTTTGGTGATGCTATCCCGCTTTGACAAATTCTTGAAAGCCACGACAATATTCGAATCTGATATTGAAGACAAATTTGGCAGCTCATTAAGATATGACAAAGGTGAAGGAGAAGCTCCAAATCCTGGAGAAGCTGAAAAGCCAAAGGCCGGGCTTGCAGTGCCAAATGCGCGTGCTGCGCTTGCCGAGTGTTTGAACTGCTTCTTACTCATTTTGAAGGTATATACAGGAAAAGTGACATGTGCAAGTCCAAAACGAATTTACAAAAGCTTTTGTACTAGACGCATGAGGCCAGCGTGCTGACCTATTGAAAGGATGAGCATTCGGGGAGGTCGAAAGCTGAAGCACAAAATACATGAATGACGCATAGTGGGAACCAGCGTCGGCGAAAAAAGCCTACTTACTAATCAGCCTTACCCGTCTCTGAGCGAGTGGTCAAAGCGCGAGGCAGCGAACGAGTATCAAACGGGGCGTTCACCACCTGGTCCGAAAGAGTCTATCATCACTGTCGTCAAGATGAGATTCCACATTGAGTATGTGAGAAGTTGGGTCTAAGATATATGATCTAACGATAACAGGGAACTTGAGATCCTCTTTCCGTATCCACGCATCTATCCCGAGCAATATGCGTACATGTGCGATCTCAAGCGCACACTGGACAATGGCGGCAAAGCCGTGTTAGAGATGCCTTCTGGAACAGGAAAAACAGTCACTCTACTGTCTTTGATCATTGCTTATCAAATGCATCATCCCGAGAGACGGAAATTGATTTACTGCTCACGTGAGCCTTGAAACGTCCAAATGCGAAGGGAAGCACTCACAGAGATGCAGGTACAATGTCAGAAATTGAGAAAGCTTTGCACGAACTGAAGGCATTGATGAAGTATCGCAAATCGCAGCTTGGGTACGAAGAAGAATTCCGCGGGCTGGGGCTAACCAGCCGTAAAAACTTGTGTTTACATCCTTCCGTTAAACGAGAAAAAAGTGGAAACGTCGTCGATGCGCGGTGCCGAAGCCTCACAGCGGGCTTCGTGAAGGAGAAACGTGAGAGAGGAGAGGACGTAGATTTGTGTATCTACCACGAGAATCTAGACTTGCTGGAACCGCATAATCTTATTCCACCTGGAGTCTGGACCCTGGATGACTTGATACGCTACGGAGAGCAGCATAAGCAATGCCCCTACTTCACTGCGCGTCGGATGATGCCATTTTGTAACGTCATTATCTATTCTTATCACTACTTGCTGGATCCAAAGATTGCCGAGCGCGTATCTAAAGACCTGTCAAAGGACTGCATTGTTGTCTTTGACGAAGCCCACAACATCGACAATGTCTGCATCGAGTCTTTAAGCATAGACATAACCGAGGACTCATTAAGGAAAGCAAAAAGGGGGGCAGACAATCTAGAACGCAAGATCACGGAAATGAAATCGACAGACGCGCAAAAGCTCCAGGACGAATACGCGAAACTTGTCGAAGGCTTGCGTGAAGCGGACACAGCGCGAGAGGAAGACACGTTTATGTCAAATCCCGTGCTCCCGGACGATTTGCTGAAAGAGGCGGTGCCAGGAAATATACGTCGAGCGGAGCATTTTACAGCCTTCCTCAAACGCTTCATAGAGTACTTGAAAACACGAATGAGAGTCCTACACGTGATTTCGGAGACACCACCTTCGTTTCTCAATCACCTTCGGGAGCTCACATTCATTGAGAGAAAGCCATTACGATTCTGTGCTGAACGTCTCACATCTTTAGTGAGAACGCTCGAGCTCACCAATATCGAGGACTTCCAGCCACTCCAAGAAGTTGCTACGTTTGCAACTCTGGTGGCAACCTATGAGAAAGGTTTCCTTCTCATCTTAGAACCTTACGAAACAGAAACTGCCACAGTGCCAAATCCTATTCTGCATTTCACCTGTCTCGATGCTGCCATAGCAATCAAGCCCGTTTTCGACCGCTTCAGCTCGGTAATTATCACGTCTGGAACAATTTCTCCGCTAGACATGTATCCCCGCATGCTTGGATTCGAGGCCATTGTGCAAGAATCATACACGATGACCCTCGCGCGCAAATCTTTCTTGCCCATGATTGTGACTCGAGGATCCGATCAGGGTGTCCTTTCATCATCATTCCAAATACGAAATGATCCGCAAGTCGTTCGGAATTACGGAAACCTCCTCACAGAATTCTGCAAAATCACCCCGGATGGCATTGTCGTCTTCTTCCCAAGTTATCTCTACATGGAGAGTATCATCAGTATGTGGCAGGGCATGGAGATCCTCAATACGATATGGAAATACAAACTTATCCTCGTCGAAACTCCCGACTCGCAGGAGACATCGCTTGCTCTAGAGACATATCGCACAGCGTGCAACAACGGCCGTGGCGCTGTATTGCTCTGTGTCGCACGTGGGAAGGTTTCTGAAGGTATCGATTTTGACCATCACTACGGGCGTACTGTGCTGTGTATTGGTGTCCCTTTTCAGTACACCGAGTCACGTATCCTTAAGGCACGTCTCGAATTTCTTCGTGAAACGTACCGTATTCGCGAAAACGACTTCTTATCTTTCGATGCAATGCGCCACGCAGCTCAGTGTCTGGGTCGTGTGCTACGCGGTAAAGACGACTATGGAATCATGGTCCTCGCGGATCGTCGCTTTCAAAAGAAACGCACACAGCTACCTAAATGGATTCAGCAAGCGTTAACAGACGCGGAGACGAACCTGAGTACAGAGCAGGCCATTGCCATTGCCAAGAGGTTCCTGAAGGATATGAGTGTTCCATATGAGCCGAAGATGCAAGATGGCATAAGCAACTGGAGTATTGATGATCTCAGGCGCCATCAAGCGAAGGTTCAAGAGGCGGAGATTGCCCAGCTTCGAGCCATGGGTGCTAAGAGTGACGTTATGGAGGTCCAGGAAGGAAGGCCGTCGCACGTGCCGGAGGATGAATATGGCATGAATGATGTGGACGAGGATGCACTCATGGAGCTTGGCAACTAAGCATCCATCGATCTATTTGGAAAATTGTTGCCAAAACTTTTTTGGTCCACAAAAAGAGGGAATAACTACCTTGTTAGATGTTATTTGAGCGTGTATTGTAAGATTGCATTGCGTCTATCCGTAAAGCTCTCATTGCCCTTTCGTGGTTCATCGCAGAAGTCGACAGGAGTAGAGCATTTCTCTTCATATCATGATTATATCCATGCCAAAACCTCTACGAGAAGTCCTCCTGCTCAGCAGCTAACTTCTCATACACATACGTCAAAATACCGCCCTGGTAATCATCAATCATAACGAGTCTCCCTTGCACAGCCCTGACAGCATTATCAAAAGCCTCCTCATCACTCTGCTTAATTGCGTCAATAAGTTGCGAAATAAGCTGTCCCTGTGGCTCGTTTGCAAACTCCGGGTCCGCGCTTCTAATATTGTCCTCAAAATAAGCTCTGCAGCTTGGCTCATCCACCAATCCCAGTATTGAGATCGCAGCATTGAACACGTCCTTCTTTGCCAGTGGTCTCATCGCCGGCCCAGACCGTCCACTCAATGACAGCTTAGCGCACTGTAGAAAATCATCTGCAGCCTCACGATACATTCCCATCTTGCCCTCCAGCGCAGCGGCGCTGGCAAGCTCACCTCTGGCTCCGCTCGTCATGCCGTCGTGTGTCAACAGCTCTGCACATTCCTTGTACCAGCGAACAGCATTTCTGAGATCGCCCATCTCGGAGTACAGTTCCGCAAGCTGCTTGCCGTATCGGGGGATACGGTCACGTTTGCGGTCTTGCTTGCACATTTCGATGGCTTGTTCAAGGGGTTGGATAGCGAGCTGGGGATCTACGGCTCGGAAGGCTTTGGCAGCGCTGGCGTACGAAGTCACGGCTTCAAAGCGGGAAGTGTCGACTTTGGCTTTCATTTCTGCAGCAGACACGTAGGCGCGTCCGGCTTTCTCCCAGGCTTTCTCGTTTTCGTAGGCATTTGCTAGGAGGGCGTCAGGCATGTCTCGTTCGCACTCTGGGAGTGGTTTGATAGGGCATACCAGCATTGAGGAAAGCTTCTGCTGCCGCGTCTATCTTGTCCTAGAGAGGTATCAGCCATGAGAGTGGCAAGTATACGATGTAGTTCCACTGGTCGGCGTACTTCTTTGGGCCCGAAGCTGAAGAAGCCGCCTGAATTCGCAGCCGAAGCGGCCTTCTGAGCTTTCGCCAGGAGGGCATCACCACTCTCTAACGGCATGGTTACGTGGTTTTGATATATACGCGAAGAACAAAGGTAGCATGTTAGGGTTGTGAAAGCGGGACACTGTGTCTGAGGCTTAGTCTGTGACGTCTGACACTAGACCGAAATTGGTGTCAAGGGAACTTTTCAGCCTCACGAGTGTCCATGCATGTATAGCACGTAACCCTCAAACATTCGGTACACTACAGGTTGAATTGGAAAGATAGCCAGTGTTGAATCACCACCAATAACTCAAATCAGGTAACGAGAAAGCTTAGGAACTGAAATGTGAAATACAACCGTTTAATTGCAGCATCGTAGCCAAGTTTTTATCCATGGTTAGCCAAAGAATCTATTGTCACGCTGTCGCAGCTCAGTTGAGATTCTGTCATTGCCAACGCGTATAACCAGTATAACGTTTTGACCTCCTCTGTCTAGGAGAAGATATCTTTGGTTCTTGGAAAGTATGATATAGATCGATAGAGCTGCATGCGCTGAAAAAATGCGACAACATTGTCGAGACGTGAGCTTCATTCAATCAACTAGCATGTACGTGGTTCGATGATCTCTAGGCCGACCCAAGAGGGCAGACGATGCTGAAATATTCTCTTTATCTTTGAGTTCGAGCAGTATGATTACTGATAGACTCCGCGTTGGACAACGTGCTGTCTATGCGACAGGAGTTTCTACCAACGTTGTTACTTTAGTCAGAGATAAATCCATTCAATCTACATGGCCATTTTTGTATGCGTAATTGCCAACTGCTTTTATCAGATTGATTAGGATAAGATTACTTGGGATCGCAAATTGACGAATCCGTCGTACCCAGCTCTACTGTGTCCAACTCCTTGTTGTCGGTTGTCGCTTCATGTAGCTACTCCTCTAAGGAGCACATATACATCGGATATGTAGATTCCGAACACTTATAATGATCTGTTTCATTTAACATCGTGTCAGATTTGACTGTAAAATGGCTTACAAAACGTTTGAAAAATGTGTATCAGCATACATGCTACGGAAGGCAAAACAAATAGAAGGTGACGGGCTAAATTCAGGCTTCGCATAAGTTCGCTGTCAGAAGCTGTGGAAAGAAAGGGGCTCGTAGTGATTCCATATCCAGGGTTTTTTCTGTTAAAGGATAATGCTGACTGCAAGTGACGTTTGGCGTGTCGATCGTGGTCCGAATCAGGATGCTTTGCATGCGTTAAAATAAGCCGATTCAGAACACATGGCCTTTGTGCGCATAGGGATGCCATGAAATACGGGATACAGTTGAATTTCTCAACAGAAAATCCCGCGGTCAAAACAGTGTTGTCAGTCACTCCAATCAGTTACTGGGTCGTATATAGATAGCTACAGAGGAGCACATTGTTGTAGGAGAGGGACATATCTTGGCTAGCCCAAGGGAAGCTTCGGCTGCATAAGCATTTTGAAGTCGGGCCCGCTCTGAGACATCGGGATTATTCGCCATGGTTTGGGACTTTCCAACTTGTGGTCGGTGCCAAGGATGTTGAACATTGTATGAGCTTAAAAGGTCAATACTGCAGATGTGAGTGATGCACTAGGCCAAGTTGAGACAGCATCTAAGATCCTGCTGACCATGCAGGCCTAGGTCCTTGAACTCCTTGAGAAGACTTGATTTTCTGGAGGGATCCACGTCCCTTGTGTCATTATATTTCAATGGGAAGACATAACATTGCCTGATATCAGCATGTCTCGTTGAGTGGTAAGCTGATAGTTGAGAGCTTGTGATGTCTGAATTTCGAAAGGCGGTGCGAAAAGAAGAATAAGAAGAGGACGATGATGACACGTTTGGAAGCTGAACAGAATGGGTAATGTAAACCTGGTACATTCGATAAGCGCACATGTGCACGGCAAAGATATGGTGTTGCTGGGTTTGCCGTGTTTCCCCTATCATGGCTTTTCGCTAGCGTGGTACGAGAACAGGATGATGTCATCTCAAAAAGGCAATTGAGCACGCGACACCTGGGACACTCGAAGACTGGACCTGCGGTGTGGCCAACCGAAGAGCAGACAACTCTCAAAAGTAAATTCCACGGGTGAAACATCATGAGTCGAATTTTGCAAAATCCAGATTGAACTGTGGTTCCTGCATTCTGAAGGTTGCAAGACCCAAGAGCGACTTGGCGAGGGTTCCAGTGGGACAGTGTGGACATTTTGCATCATCGACCCTCACAAGCGTCGCACCGATCTACTCTGCACGGAACCACCATCAACGATAGCATAAAGCCTCATCGAAAAATTTTTAGTTGAGACTGAATTTAAGATTCTTCTAGCTTCCGAGTTGAAAACCCTCTTAGCGGGTGTTCAGTCGATGCTTGGCTGCACGTCCACGTCGATTGCGAGATCAATTCGCGTCGGATTGCTCCGACATACCAAGCAAAAGCCGCCAAGTGGAACATCCACCAAGGAACTTGCCTAGTCACTCTTCCTAGAACTGTCTTTCTATCCCACATTCATAAGATAACTAGCGCTTCTTGCCAGTGGCCATGGCGACCGCTCCCTCGCTCTCAAAAGCCGCCGATCATTTGGAATCTGCAAACAACGCCGAATCTTCAAATGCAGCTTCCCGAGACAATTCAACGGCTCCGGGCGATCAAAACAAGAAGAAGAAACGCAGAGGAGGAAAGAAGCATAAGAGAGCACGGAGACAGAGCTTTGCGGCGCCCCCAGAGCTAATGGAGACTGACACAGAGGGCGCTGCCAGACCCAGTCTGACCGACGTTCCAGAAAGAGCAAGCCAAGAGGTCAGAGAAAATTTCTATCGACTTGGGAGGGGTGCTGGAAGTAATACAAGCTTGGAAAGCGAGGCTCTTCTCGATCATCGAGAATCAGGACCGCTGCAGACGAGACGACAAAGCATCGTACAGGGCATTCTTCCGGGAAGATTAAGCATTCCCTCCCAACGAGGACAAGGTCAGCGTCCTGGCTGGTTTAATGCCAAGTCACAAAGTGAATCGCGATTACGAAGGGTACAGAGAGCTTCCGAATCGGACGATGAAGAAGATACGACAGATCGTACTCCGTTGATAGGTACATCTTATAAGACTAAATTCAGCGGTGCAAGCTATGGGGCGTTTTCCCAATCTCCAAGAGAAGAGCGTCCGAATCCGTTCGGAGGAGTGCGACGAGAATCAAGAGGCTCATCGATGTCAAGCAAAAGGATAAAAACGTACCAGCGCGATCTGTCCGGAGACAGGTTGAACGAGTACGACGTCAACAATCCCCCATCCATCCCAAGCAGTCCGAAGTTTGGAGCGGAGATGGGTCTTGACGATGTCATGCTTACTAGTGGGGATCTCGATCGAGGAAGACAGGATGAAAGATCAAACTCAAACGAAGTGCTTATTGATATTGACGAGAGTGCTCCAAACGATAGATTGGCAGGACAGTCTGAGATGAGTACAGGTGACTTACGGCGACGTTTAGCTGCGGCATCAGCGGAAGCTGATGTCTGCTTCCCCCATGAAGATGTCACAGAGCTTGGCGAGGAGGACGCCAAATCTGAAGTCTACCGGCGCCGTCGACGCAGAAGACGAGAGTTTCCCGATTTGTCAGTGCTTGAAGAGTGGGCGGGTCAAGAGAAGGAGCAACGTACATTAAACAATCTCCGCATCAAACAGATCAGCGAACCTCTCATGGTTAATGGTCGGTTGCGGCCGAAGAAACAGCCTTGGCATCGCGAAAGCGAAGATCAGCCATTACGTTTCACGTATTTCAATGAGTACTTTGATTCTACTTTGCACAGTGAGTCTCTATCGGAGCTACTCCATGGAGACCTGACTTTCCGAAATCTTTTCATTCCAGACCCTCCCGAGCTTTCAGACAGCGAATCGGACGACTCAGAAGAGCTACCGCAGACTGTTCAGTCAAGTCGTGAAGCAAGAGAAGGAAGTTTGCGCAAATTGGCCACTTTGAGTCCACCTTTGGCCCCTAAAGCTCCTTCTGTTGCTGGATCCGAAAGGCCGGCGTCTAGGACTCCCGTCGATGCAAATCCAGCGCCATCACAATCGAACGGAAACTCCAACCAAACAACTGGCCGTAATACGCCAACCCCAGGCAAGCCTCAAAAGGAGAAACGTTATGGCCCACGTCCCATCTGGTGGCTCGACGTGCTCGACCCTACAGAGGCAGAGATGAAAGTTATTTCAAAAGCTTTCGGTATCCACCCACTTACTGCAGAAGATGTTATGATGCGTGAGCAGCGCGAGAAGGTTGAGTTGTTCCGCAACTATTACTTCGTATCGTATCGATCCTTTGAACAGGACTCTAACAACGAGAATTATCTCGACCCCGTTTCCATTTATGTTGTGGTATTCAGAGAGGGAGTTTTAACTTTCCACTTCAGTCAGACACCCCATCCAGCGAACGTCAGGAGACGAATTAGGCAGCTCAAAGACTACTTGCTTTTGACAACGGATTGGATTAGTTACGCGATCATTGATGATATCACTGATAGTTATTTCCCGCTCATTGAGCAGATCGAAGACGAAGTCGACGAGATTGATGAAGCAATCTTGAGGCTTCATCACACGCCTGACGTTGAGAAAGACAAACCAAATAGGACAGAGAAAATCTTCTCGGGCCGCATTTACGCCCCAGTCAGTGGAGCAGACAAGCATTCAGAGGCCGGCCAAGACGAAACGATGGGGGCAGGGGATATGCTGCGTCGAGTCGGAGAATGCAGGAAAAAGGTTATGGGGTTGTACAGGCTGCTGGGTAACAAGGCAGATGTGATCAAGGGCTTTGCAAAGAGATGCAATGAGCAGTGGGAGGTTGCTCCCAGGAGTGATATTGGTCTTTATCTGGGTGACATCCAAGACCACATTGTGACAATGACGGGCAACTTGTCGCACTATGAAAAGTAAGTTCAACAAGTTCTGTGACGTGAGGTTCCATTCATCGGCTAACACGTTGCTTCAGTCTCCTCTCCCGAGCGCACAGCAACTATCTTGCGCAAATCAATATACGTATGAACGAACGTGCTGAGAAGACAAACGACGTCCTCGGGAAGCTCACTGTGCTCGGTACAATCGTGCTACCGATGAACATCGTCACCGGTCTTTGGGGAATGAATTGTCTTGTTCCCGGTCAAGATGGCGACGACTTAACGTGGTTCTGGTGTTTGACTGGCGGTCTGCTTGCCTTTGGCTTCACATGTTTTTTCATTGCTAAGAAATTTTATGGTATTGTATAATACACAGGATAGATGAACACCCGTTCACTCCGCCCGTCAAGGTTTTTAGCGTGCTAAGCTAGCTGACGGTGCACTTGTGAGGGATTGGCTTGGAAGGATCTGGGAGGTGGTTAAGGAAAGTGGATGTATGAGTATAACAAGTGTAGGTTCCATGGTTGGCGAAGTGGCAAGGTGTAATAATTTGTCGAAAGCGAAACAACAAATGCAAAAAATTCAGCCTCGCAACAATTGATGTGGTAATAGCTCCAGCACGATGCGGTTCGCTTGAGGTCGTTGAATGCCATCACACAGAAAGCATCCCCATCTCCTCACTTTGATCATGCAGCTTTCGCTTGACACTTGAAGAAAGTACTGGGGACCTGTGATGTACGCACCGGATCTGGACACCGGTGGATCACTGCGACGCGGACTGAATAAATTCAGCTGACTCAAGAGTGAACGGGCCGTTCCAAGGTCGACTTGATGCTGAAGACATGTCGACAAAGTCGTCCTGCGGCATGCTCGCAGTCGGTACACGATGCCTTTGGGATGTCGGCGCCCTGAGAACCCGGCGCGCAATGACAGCGGAGGCCAGGGGAGACAGGCGATGGAGCCAACGGTCACGATAGACTGTGATCACAGCGAACAAAAATGCGCTCAGGACTTGGCTGGTGCGAACGCTTACGCGTCCACCGGGCGCGGGTCAGCAAAGAGGTGAGTCCACTTTTGACGCCTGCGGCGAGCACATTCTACAAGTCCGAGCCGGGGGTGTTGCGATGGGAAGAGCCTGAAGAGTGTCAGAAAGGCTGGATTGTCATTGCCTAGTTCTACGTAGTCATTGTCTCTTGTCGGGGATTACAATTTTGGTGGATGGCCAAGGGGCGGACGCTGCTGAGCACACCGTTGCCCATCATTAGACCGCTTAGCTAGGTGCAAGCCGTAACTCATATAAATCAGATAAATTGCATACATGAGCGCGTTAAAAGAACACTTTGTGAAGCAAAATCAATTTTCTTGCAAACCGTTTGAAACTTTATTTCATCAAGCCTTTCCGCGGAGGTGGGCCCTCAGGTGGTGCATACACATCTGGATCTGTGCTACGTCCTGCAGCGTAGGAGTGAGGAGGTTGCTGCAACTCGATACCTCCGTTGCCTGGTGCGTAAATGCCACCATAGGCTTGGTGTCCGGGGGGAACATTCGCGCTGTATTGCGGCGGCGCTGGTGGATAGTTCTGATAGTACGGGTCTTGTCTGTACCATGGTCTTGCGGACCAGCCGGTGCCGTAGTAGGGCCGAAGACCTTGTCGTCGGCGGCGGCGTGCGCTGCTGCAAGAGCACAAGAAGAAAGCGAGGAGGAAGAGGGCGATGACGACGACAAGGACGACCCATCGAACCCATGTGTCCCAGCTGGTGTAGTAGCAGTAGCCGTTGACGTCGCAGACGTATCTGTTTTCTCACGTTTTAGTAAACCTGGATGTTTCAAGATCGGTTTGCCTGGATCATGCCACACAATCTGGTAGGCACCTCGACCGAGAGCATGTGAAACGAGGTGGGACGTACCTCTTCGATAGAACAGCCATGGTTGGCTGGTCAGCTGTGGTGCCAAAGGCGTCGATGCAAGGCTGTCTGTAAATCGTGCTGAAGAAGCAAGAAACGGGATGGAAAGAAAAGAAGAGAGACTCGGGAGGGCGAAGCTGGAGATGGAAGCTCACAGGATTGGGGTGGCTTGCGCGGCCAAGACGTCAACATGGGCGGAGAATCCCTGCTAAACACAGCCTTGGACGTTCACTTGCGCTACGCTGTGACATACAAGTAGCCTGCCCTATCGTCTCCCTGGTCTCTGGTGACTATGTGAACGTCCGGTCACTGGATGTAGCCTCAAGATCGAGAGCGAAATCAGGCCTGCCATTTCCCATCATAGCGACGCTTTGAACTATCCCAGGAAAATCTGGTACACGAGTGGCCCGGCTGACTCGTCCCACCAGCCACTCGCATGCGTTCAGCCACTCCTGGGCGTAATCAAGATGAATGCGCCACAGATGCAATCGATGTATCAGCACATCGTCGATACAGCGCGCGGACAAACAGCGCAAAGCTTCATTCGCAAGAGCACTTTAATCCGTATGCTCTGGTCTTGAGTGTATGATGGATATGTAAAAGTCCTGGTCAATCTCGGCCGCCAAGATGATCGTGGGATGTCTATTACCTGCTTTTCAATCCGAGCCGACACCAACGCCACACACAAGCTAGTTACCCCATACAACGCGTCAGTACAAAGCATGTGTTGACTCTGAATTCAGAATTCGTCTGCCAAGAATATTTTTGCTCCTGCATGTATAATTACTGCCGGCCCAGCTTTGGCCGTGAAGATTTGAGACAACAGATATCAGCCATGATATTGACAGTCTTTGGAGCTGGAACAAAAACAATAGCACAGATAGCATCCAACGTGTTCGGAAGGCTTTCTCAGCGGTTGGGTTTTACTGCTACGTTCAGGGTCATTGGCAATCATAAAAGAGAGAACGTTGCCAACAATCCTGTTCTTGCGACGTGACCATCTTGCATTCTTGGACATTTGCAGAGGTCCTGACCCAAATCTGCAACAGTAGAGATAGTAGCCAAGTCGAAGGCTATCGAACAGAGAGCGAATAGCGAGGTTGATTTCGGACCCGGACAGAACAAAGATAGTTGTTGGAACAAACTATCAAACAGACGTAACCGCGAGTTAGTTTGTAATTGCTATATAGGATCATCATGATATTGCTGCGACGCCGCTTGAGTTTCTTCCTCCGCAAGCCGCCTGTCCTCTTCGTCCGCGGCGTATAGTGCGGAGCCGGCTGCAGTTGTGAGAAGGAAGAACATGTTCAAAACCGGCACGAGCTGCAAAACCAGATGAACAGTGCCAAACCTGTCCTGAGAAGTTAGCTCACAAATTCCGGTCAGCTCAATTGCGCTTGCGCACCATGCAAAGCTCCAACGTTTCCGCTTGATGAACGCCTTGCGTTCCCTTCTTCCCATGCCTCTCAGTTTGTAATATCTCCACATCAAAAGCGGGCCGGCTCTATATCCAGTTCCTATGAGGAACAAGGGAACTCCAACGTAGGGCACAAAGTTGATCGGCAGCAGCACCACCAATTCCACGATCTGTCGCAATGAAAACGGCGCAAACACAGCGCTCTTGACTGGCTTCCCCAACCTCCTGTATGGATCGATGCTGCCCTCCTCACTCGGCGCCACAGGTCTACTCTTTGCGACAAGAGCCTCGTGATTCTTGGCTACGAGCACGGAATCGAATATATCGACCTGTGTTTCGTCGACAAAGAATGCCTCGAACAGAAGCGCGACGATAGCTGCGCCCTCACCGAGCACTAACACCGTGGCATTAAACCAAGCGGACCGACCCTGCCAGATCATCAAGAAAGCGACCTGTATGAGGTATGTCCAGAAGAAGAGGTTGAAGAGGATGAAGAGGCTCAGAAGAGTGGCGGGGAGTAGGCGCGAGCGCAACAGCGGGTAAAGGAACGGGTGAAAGATGAAGTACACCACTCCCTGCGGTCCACACTCCTGTTAGCAACGTGCGCGCTCTTGAATACATGCATGGTTGTTCATAGAAGACGCCGACGACTGTAGGATGTATACCTTGAGTGGATAGAAGCCCGCACCCTTCGTTACAGCATGGTAGAGGCGCTGCGGCAACGTGCGCAGAGATGCAGGCTGCTGCGCGGACATTTTCTTGGGGACATCAGCTCGTGGAAAGCCAGCGTTGAAGAGTAGAGGGCATTTCTCCTCAGCTTTACGGAATACATGATCTTGGATACCTGGTACCTCATGAGCTGCAAGTTGCGTCACAAGGGTCCACCTTGCTGGAGGACGCCATATTCGGTAAGAGCCTAGTTCTAATTAGGGACTGATCCTTGGGGTCCAGATCGTTCTTTTCGTACTATTGCGAAAATACCGATGTGCCAACATTGATTTCTGTCTATCGTCGATGAGAAGCACCAACGAACTCGAAGAAAAGCCTTTTCAAATCAGGACCAGGTCTTCAAGCCCTCGCTTGACCGTGCGGAGACAGCTGCTAAACAATGGGCTTTATAAAAGTCGTTCCGCGCTTAGATAGACCGAGGCGTCAGAATATGGTATGGTGTACTCCGCAAGCTTGGGGGTAAATATATCTCTATACGAAGCCATTCTATTGAGTAGAGATATTGATGGACCCAAAATTGCAGATGTGGCCGAAGTACTCCGTACTCAGCTCCAATTGGTTACCGCGACAACCTTTTGAGATTAACTTATGCGTCAAGTTTTCCTGTTTTTGTTGTGCCTTAAGGCATCTCTCAGTTTAGACAATTTTCCAATGACCTCATGCTGATTTATAACATGGATCCAGTGCAAGAGTCGATTTCTTCGTTGTTCGTTCAAACGCACCGAATCAAACGAGTACCGACGCTTCTACTGTCATGATATGCGAAAGCACTTGAGAAGATAGGTACACGTAAGAAAGAGATCACAGTTTTTTGGAATCTGAAATTCTCGACCAAATCCATTGCATTACATCGTGTAGTAGACCTTTGCTATTTGTTGATTTTTTCATCACAAATGAATGCACGCCATTGAAACGTATGGCTGAGGCAAGCATCGCGACAAGAGGTCACATTGCTTCCCACTCATCCCACTATTTGCTTGTGAGCTACAGGCACATATATGAGCATGCAAGCTGAGAAGAGGACAAACGTAGCTTGTACGTCCTCGCTCTTGCGAATGTCTCGGGCCTCATTTTGAAGAATTTCCATCCACATTACAGTTGAAAGGCCAAATGAAAGAAACCCTGAACTCCATTTCTTCGAATCGTCACTGATTTATGATAAATTGGTGCATCATGCTAGTCTCATGGGGTGTCATTCACAGATTTGTGATTTCCCAAGTGCCAGTAAGTCCATCGTACTCCGTCTCGAGATCTTGGCATACGACAGTTGGGTGGGAAATCTTTAAAATAATAGGAAGTGTCGTATCGCTGAGGAGACGCAACAATCTTTTGCGATAGTGTTCCCCACGGGACTGGGAGGGGTCGCGCTGCCAGTCGTCGTTAGCGAGGTTAGCAAGACGTCTGAGGCCGTTATGAAGGTCGGCTTCAATGTCATTGGCCCAGTCTGAAAACTCTCGGGTCTCGACGGTGGAGCCGGCATAACCCACTGGTGTCTTAGGAGGCGATCCTGGTGCGCGGAATAAGTCGGCGGTAGGGACTTCGTTGCTCAAGTTGCTCTTGCGAAAAGCTGACTTTGGACGGATAGCCATGTAGAGTGGCTCAGAGGCGAGACCTAGAATAGGGTGAGCGGCTGCTACGATTCATGGCTTACCAAGAATGCTGGAAGGCCAAAGCGAATTGACAAAATTGTTGTTGCGGGTCCTTTGGTTTACTAGCTGTCGATGGCTCTCCTTTGTATCGTTCGTGCTGCTGCTTCCGCTCTGTCTGCTCGCTGCTCTCTAGCTTTGAAGGTTCCACGACCTCAGGTGAGGGTACAGAGAAGGGCAAAACAAGGACTACTTGAAACAACAAGGTAAGGAGTGAGACTTACTTTGAACTGAGTCTCCAAAACCTGACGGCGCTGGAGAGCCGGCCCTGCTTGCGGAGCTTTCTGTCAGTTCCTCGAGCAGCTCATTGACCTTTGGAAGGTCCAGGCCATTGGCGTGAGGAGAACCAGGCTCGTTCGTGTTGTGTGGCGAGTTGTCAGGCACGTCAGTCGATAGCTCGTAGAACTTGCCTGGATTCTCCTCTTGGATTTGGGTAAGAATGGCCCCAAAGTTAACGTGGGCAACGTTGCGAGGTGGGCGGCGCCCTTCGTCAGAGCCGAAAGGGCTTGAGGAGGTCAGTAGAGGGTTGCTAAGAGCGCGAGTGGGGCTGGAGTCGGAGTCGTCTGATGCAAGGCTGCTCGTACGAGTGTGGCCATCAGCAGTGTTTGGTGGAGTTGGTGGGTAGGAGCTTGGGGGGGTGATGGACATGAATGATTCAGACATTGTCGCGAGTGTTTGCAGAGGAAGGGTGAGCGCGAATCTTTGAAAAGGGGGATTTGTGGGGTATGGAAGAGCAGCTGCAATGGATTGTTGTAGAAGCGTCGGTTGTGGCTGCTGGACGGGTTTATGAACACGCTGCGTGACTGCTTGTTTTGGATTGTCCTGGTCCGGTCAGGTCGGTGAAGAGCGGGTGCGCGCGCGATGATGAACAACTAGCAGGCAAAGTGAAGCTTAAGATCTAGAGTTTTTATAAGTATAGTTATCTATAAATCATACTTTAGACCTAGATCACTTAAAAAGATGATAAATATAAGTCCTCTAGCTGTGAGACCTATCTATAGATCGAGACCTTTATAGGGTACTAAAAATTGTTCTTTAGCTAGATATATATTGATTACGGTTTATGTTTCTTTCACTTGAACATCGGTATTAGCTCAGATATATCTCGCGGCGGTTGTGCCCAGCGCATCTGCTAAGGTTTAGTCACTTTAAAGAGAGCTTAGGGACATAGCCATAGAAGAGGCTTCAATACGCAAGAAGTGTGCTGATATTTGGTGATTCGAACGTAAATTGCGTCTCTTTCAGGCTGGCCTTTGTCTGACCATGGACTAGTTTCGAGATCCAATCACAGCAAGGTCGTGGCGGCGCGAAATCGATTCTCACAAAGCAGTGAGACAGGCACGTCGAAAGCCACTCAGTTCTGTCTGTTGCGTGGTGCCGTCAGCAGAGGCGAAAATGCCTCAATTGCGAAATAGAGGTGCTAAGGAAGACAAGCTACTGCTTGGTACAAGTTGATACTCGCAAGATGTACCGACTAAGCGACCCGCACGTTGCAGCATTTCGCAACACGCACTTTTTTTTTTTAAGAAGAATATGAGTCAAAAATGCCATACCATGAGTGAGCACGAGCTTGTCCACGATTCAATCTCTCGCCATGGCCTGCTTCAGACAAGTCGCGCATGTGCAAGAGCAAGATTCGACAGCAGATCAGACTAGCTTCCATGTCACAAGTCCGATACAAAAAGAAGTAGGAAGGCATAAGGACTAGATGTCTTGCAGGTAGTGTCGCAAATAGCCGAGCTGCAAGATGTAGGAACAACCACAGAAAGATTATATCAATTTAGGGAGAATGCCATTCCTTATGATGATGCTACTGCATCCATTGAGTGATGGTAATGAATCTGAATCTTATGTAAGTCCTCTGCTCGCTATAGACGTCGCTTCTTGATCAATGCCGTTACCCAGCTCAATGAACCCACTAAGAAGGAGCCCGAGTGCGGGCATAGAGCCAGCCGCTGCAATCCTCCTTGCTCTACTGTTCTGTGTGGGAATCCGCACATCATCGGTCGTAATCATCCACGAGCCGTTAGATATATCATCGCTTGTCAACAAATCTTGTTCTGGGCGCGTGTCGACTCCAGGTGGTGAAAAGAGTACGGAGAATATGATGTGAAAGTTGGCGTCAAGGCCTGGATTCTGGCCTTTATCGCTTTGAACTAATGGAGTCTAGCCAGCGGGCGTTTCCTTTTCAAGAATCCTTGTCAAAATCTTGGGTCGGTCGTCCATTTGACACCAACATTTCATCTGCACCACCGTCACAGAAGGCTACCTATTCTGCATCTTCCATTCCTCGTCCTTCGCCCTGCTTCCGAACCTCACATTCTTAAGCATTGGCTTCCTGCAGCCTCGAGCTTCTGTCTCCAACTTCTTAATTGAAGAGAATTTCCTTGTGCGAAAAATGGTCGACACCGCCGCTTCTCCGGCCACGGAGTCGAAATCGAAGAATGCCATTGTGAAGCCTGAGAAGCCCGATGAGGAAGCGTTCAAGAAGCGCTCTGCCGAATTGGAGAAGGCGCATAAGGCCAAACAAGATGCTCTGGTGACTATTCTCCCGTCATTGTAAGCGCACCGAGATTTATCGTCGCTGACACTGCCATTCAGAAAGCGGTCAAGGACAAGCTCGACCTTGCAAAGCCGAAGGAAGGCTCCCCCGTCGATACGAGACGAAAGGAACTTCTTGCGCAACTCGCTGAGATCCGCAAGATTCAGGCTGGTGGCAAGGAGTCGCGACAAGCAATCATGGACAAGATCAAGCGTCTTGATGAGCAGGTCAAGTCGAGAATACAGGAACAAAAGAATGCCAAGAGCAAAGTTCCATACAAGTCTGTGGATGAAATTGACAGGCAGATCGCACAATTGCAGAAGCAGGTCGACGGGGGAATGATGAAACTCGTTGACGAGAAGAAGGCGTTGAATGAGATCAGCCAACTGAATCGCGCGAAGAAAAGCTTTGGCAGCTTCGACCAGTCACAGAAGAGTATTGATGAGCTGAAGAATCAAATCGCGGAACTAAAGAAGAGCTTGGATGATCCAGAGGCCAAGGCATTGTCGGAAAAGTACAATTCCATCCAGAACGAGCTGAATAAAATCAAGAGCGACCAAGATGAGGTCTACAAGAACCTCAACTCTCTGCGAGACCAGCGGACAAAACTTCAAGCAGAGCAACAGGAGGCCTGGAACGCACTCAAGGCCTACAAAGACGAGCACTACGAGAAGAAGCGCGCGTATCGTGAGTATGAGAATGAGGCCTACCGTATCCGCCGGGAGAAGCAGAAGAAAGAGCAGGAAGAATACTATGCTAGCAAGCGGCGGGAAGCTGCGCAGAAACGACTGGAGGAGGCTTCTGCGCCAGCTTACCAGGACGAGATCATGACCGCCGAAGGCTTGATTCGCTACTTCGACCCAAGCTCCGCACCAGCCAAGGAGGCTGCTGCTCCTGGGAAATATGCTGCTGCGGCGCAGCGCACAGTCAACGATGACGCTTTCAAGGGTATGAAGGTCGTAAAGAAGGATGACGAAGACTTTATGAACCTTGGTGGAGGCAAAAAGAAGAAAGGCGGTAAGAAAGGTGGTGCTGCTTCAGCGACTGAAAAATTCAACCTCAATATTGGCGTCCTCGAAGATTTGAGCAAGGTCAAGGTTGATGCGCCATCGAGCCAGGCGGATGTCCCTCACGTTGTTGAGCAGCTAAAGGAGAAGATCGCACAATGGAAAGCCGATCAGGATAGGAAAACACAAGAAGTGAGCTTGAGACCTACTTGCGCCCGACTGCTAGAACTCTCACTAACTACGAGTAGAACATTGCCAAAGCCAAGAAAGAGATTGAGAAGCTCGAGGCCGAGGCTCAAGCCGGTGGCGAAGGTTCCACGGACCACGCAAGGAAGCCGGCGCAGAAGAACGCTGGTCTCAACGGTCATGCGAGTGCCGAAGCCGAGCTTGCTCAGGAGAAAGATGCCATTGCCGACGCAGCTAAAGAGCTTGCTGAGGCAAAGATCGAGGACAACGCATAGACCAGTTGTCGTAGCACTGGTATCACCGCATCCACTCATTTTCTCACTAGCATCCTCTTGATCTCAATCGTCCCTTTTTCAAACTCAAACACCTGACGACATGTATGAAAAGCCATGGACTATGTATGCGCGCTTCGGGCATTCTTCAGGCACATATTCTTTAAAAAAACAACCTGCCAAGTTTCTTTTATATCTTCGGAACTTTATCTTGCAAGCGATGACCAGATCTGCGAATGCGCCAGCAGCTCTCTCACTGGTCAAAACGTTATTCTGGGCTAGATTAGGATGTCATCCTCAATGCTTCGCACAATAAGTGCGGGCAATGCTCGTGGTAGACATAGGTCACAAAATTTGCACTTGAAAAGTTTCATTCACTAAAATCATTTTTTTGTCTTGCATATAATTTTGGTCCCTTCCGGCTCAGTACTTTGAATCCACCATTCTCGTCATGCATGGCTACGATCATGACTAACGGTTATGGCTGACGAACACAACTATTAAGTATGGAGTTTCTTCGCCTCGACTCCTTCAGGAAGATACACCTCTGTCAGATCATACAAGGCATTGCCGGCTTCGATCATAGCAAGCGATTGGCGATATATCTTGATTCTTTTGTCCTCGGGGTCAGCTGCTGCTCCACCAGCAGTTGTATTAGCCGTTGGCATCTTTCCTTCGATCAACACACAATGCTCCGGTACTAGCACAGCTTTGCTTTTGGGGGAGTATGTTCCGGTCCTGTCATGCTCTTTACTGAATAGGCGGCCAAGCCATGCAGTTCCTTGTGGTCCGAACTTCCCATCGATGTGAAAGCCAACTTTGAAGTCGCTTTCCGGGTCTGGATGTCGAACAACTAAGCCAAAAACCAAGGAATATATATTTGCTTTCTCCTTGTCATTCTCGCCGATTGCCCATGTGACGATGTTGTCCCCCAGGCGCCCGGATCCTCTTTTCAGGTCTTGTTCGCTAGATCCGCTAATGATGATGTGATGGCTCAGTTCGAATTCAGAGGTTCTCTTCACATCTGCCCTCATCTCTGCCTTTGCCTGAACATCTGCGCCGAGGGAGCCTCCTAAGGCGGCCTCACGTGTTTCGTTCGATGTCGTAGGCATGACCGTAATGGGATACCTAGGCTCGAAGCATTTCGTGTACGGCTCCGTCTGATTCTGGCCTGGTTCCACTCGGCTCAGCGTCAACGTGATCTCTGCCGATCGCGGACGATCGTTGCGATTTTTATATGAAGATTTGGTGAATATTACTTCGTAAAGCAGCAGAGAGGCAGCTTCACTGCTCTCCCCGTCGAGATGACCATGAATAACGCATTTTGGCCTGACATCGGCTTTGTGATTGCCTGCGCTATATTGGAAGATTGACGCCTCGACTGTTGTTTGCGACTCTAGTTCCTCCTTGGGAACGAAGGTTATACTAAAAGGCTTGAATTCGGGGTTCTGGTTATTCTGCGGCGCCATTGTAGAGAATGGCAAAGGATCCAAAGTGAGACAAGTTTATTTGGGATCGAATAAAGTATCTAATGGCTAGCGTTTTAATTCCTGATATTATTTTATTTTTCAAACCCTCACCGGTCAGCGGGAGGCCGTTTGGATCAATCAGTTGGACAGAGCCTCAAAATCAAGCCTATAAGGGGAGGCTGCTGCTGGCTGCGCCCCGCTCGACACTTCTCGCCCTCGCTTCTTTTGCAGGGGCGCGCAGATGGCTTGCAGCTTGCCGCCGGGGCCAGCTGGTCATGAGCGATCAGGAAATGTGCTGAGCAGGAACATAAGTCGACGCGCGGAATCTCATTCAATGCGCTGCTTCAGCGTGTGTTCACGTCACCTAGAGCTGGTGATAAGATATGGCGTACAGAACAGTTCAAGTGGTAGATTTCCTAACTTTCAGCTTCTTTCCCAAGAGAACTGACCGTCTTCAGACCAATGTATACGATCAGGCTAGTGCAGATGACCTAGCCAGCAAGCTCAAGGACGTGGGGAATCATGCCGATATTTTTGAGGAATTGCGACGACGTTCTGTCAATGCTAAAGATGAAGTCAGACGCGTGTTTTGCGCGGTCTGCAACGAAAGCAGGAAGACGGATGATCTTGGAACGACAAGAGAAGAGTCAAGAATTCTTCGGGAAGTTGCTCTCAAGATGATTGACGATGTATACTGCGGTCCTTGTGTTGCTCTCCCAGGTCAGCAGCTGAATCCTGATGGCGACTTGGCCCAATACGAGCAGTCCTCACTTCAAGGGGCTGCTCAGCAGAACGACGAAGAGATCGTCAAAAGATTGCTAAGACGCACACCAGACACTGATGAGGAGAAACTGCGAAGAGCCATCCTTCATGAAGATGAGGATGGCAAGACTGCCCTTGTATTTGCAATTCTCAATCAATCGCCTGAAATTGTGGAGCTCCTCATCGACACTGAGCCATTGCTGCTAAAACAAAAGTACCTGCTGCTCTCAATCCTCAGCTACTTCACACTGTAGTAACGGTAGCACAGAAATTTGAGAGGATTTACGCCTCTACATAAAGCAACGCATACATATCTCGAGGCGTTAAAACGACCGAATTCTTTCTCGATAGATAACCTAGAAAGAATCATCCTTATGATCGCCAGAAAAGAACCGTCATTGTTGACGACTCTGGATAACCAAAAGATACCCCCGTTTGCATTCGACCAGGAACGTATGAAGCGACTGGATAACGAGAAAAGATGTGCTGCTCGCGACTGGTTCTTAGAACTTATCTGTGAATTTGTCAAGGATCAGGCACTGGAATCAGCGGCATACCAGCGCGGTATCTACAATACCCAAAAAAATCATGTTGATACTGTTCTGATAGAATGTAGGGTCCACATGCCGAGTCACTCTTAGCCTAGGAGATCTTGACTTCAAGGACTCCCAAGAAGATCCAAAGTTACAGGCTAAAATATTTGAAGCGTTCGTTGACCGTTTTCAACGTGTTCGAGGTGTCGAGCTAGAGTCAACTTTGGCTGAATTAGTCCTGCCTGACATGACCTTTGCTGGGGACGTCAAGATACATGCCTGTATAAGAAAACTTTTCGAAAAACTAGAAGAATTTCCCGTCTCTAAGATAGTGAGTCTCAGGGTTTGGGACAATCCACTTCGTCCACTACCTAGCAGCGATATAGCAGACATAGTCGAAAGATTTCAAGTAGCGGAACTTGACTGGTACAGGATTAACCTTGACCTCGAGGCCTTTAGCGATCGAGCAAAAGAATCCATTCGAACCCTTCACCTTTATTCAGATGGTAATTGGGGGTCTTTGTTCCATTGGACAGACTGGTGTGGCTTCCCCACTTTCCCAAATGTACGTGTTCTAAAACCTGTACATCATGCAACTGCCCCCTAACAGTAGGCAGCTGAAGGATGTTCACATCTACATTGTGGATGAAAGTGAAACATATGTATGTCTTGTCTTATTTACTACGATGCCGTACTGAATTCGTCAGAGAGATGAGGCCGTACAAGAACAATTAGATGCTTTGTGCGACAAGGTCAAAGAAAGGAGACTTCAGGAAATAATACCCAAAATTCCTCTTCGAGAAGACGGGACGAAGGTTCGCGCCAGTGTTGAGATCATTCCCAAACATCAGCCGCTCCATTTAACGGGTTTCCGCCCTCCAATAATTAATGCTAGCGACAGGTGAGCAATATTTCTATTACATGATTTTAATTAAAGCTGTACCAGTTGTACTAACTTAATGTTTCCTAGATTTTTCAGCGTTTTTGACAAAGTACACAAGTTCATGAGGAGTTCCGATCAGAATATTTTTCCTCCCGCACGCGTCCGCTTCGGAGGTCTACGACGGCCGGCCAGAAATGTTTCTCGGATCAAAGTTGCTGTAATTGATAATGGCTTTGATCACTGGCAGCCAGCTTTCCAAGATAAAATCGGGAAAGCCAAGTCGTTTGATACAGGGTTTCAAGAAAGAGACCGTAACGTCATGCGTCCAGCATTTATGGCTTCTGAAGGACATGGTACCCAGATGGCATCTCTCATCGTTCAGATTAATCCAGAGGTTGAGCTTTGGCTCTATAGAATAAATTCTGGACGAAAAGGACACGACATCGATGCAGCGGTACAGGTATGTGTTAGCGGGATGAATGTTTACAATTCTATTGAATCTGACCGTCCTCAAGGCAATAGAGGAAGCGACCGCTGATGGTGTTGATATAATGAACTTGAGCTGGACCATAAACTACGATCGCGACAACAAGCTCAAGGATGCTGTCGAGGCTGCTGCTCAGAAGAACATCTTGATCTTTGCTTCTGTTTCGGACAACGAGCAGCCCGCTGGCAATGTCTATCCAGCTGCCTACAAAGATTCAGTGATTAGAGTCATGGCTGCCGACGTGTATGGAAGAAGAATGGCGAAAGCCCGCCGTGATGTCGATGTTATGATTCTTGGACAGAGCCTATCAACATGGGGCTTGAGCTGGGTTTCGAAAAAGCCGGAAATAGTTTCTGGCTCATCTGCTGCAACAGCACTTGTATCCGGTCTTGCATCTGTTCTGCTCTACTATGTTCAGTGCGCCAACGCAGAATCTGACCCTAGGAGATCTGACTGGCGGAAGGCGAAACAAAGGACGATAATGCTTCAGTTGCTCACAAAGATGCGGCTTGGTGAGCCAAGAAAGGATGGGAAAGGCGTATTAATTGACCCCTATGTGTTGTTCGAGGAAAAGGCAGAGAGCGATGAGAGCGATTTTGATTGGAAGCGAACTTTTGATATTGCCAGCTTACTGTCGAGGAAGTGAGGCCCGGCTGTTCTGAGATGTGGACGCCATATTCGCTCATCGACGCAAGCTGGTACCCAAAAGGCGGAGGCTAAAAAAACCCGTTTTAATGTTCTAACGTGGTCGCGGTGACGCATGGAGGGATTGCCTTCAAATTTTGATTCTTCTGCGGAGGATCTCTTGAAGCAAATATCATATTTTGGATTGGGAGTCATTTCAAACTCCACAGGGCGTGGCGTATTGTTGCCTACAAGAGATACCATCTTCGTCTGCCAATTTCGTCCTACGGAGTCCAATAGGATGCTCGTATTTCTTCAGCTGCGGGGCTGTAGTTTTGTGGCGTTTTCAGCTCGCCCTACGGCGAGGCCGCACGACGACATGTCTCAGGTAGCCTCCTGCCTTTCCGCCGACGGTCAATCTGCCTGCTCCAAAATTGGGTTCATGAGAATATGTGAAGTTGCTATCATTATGCTTTGCATTATTGTGGTTGATCAAGAATATGGACGAAACCGATAGCTACATCTTTACGGATCATGGCATAAGGGCTGACGATACGGCTTCATTCGAGATAGACGACGACATCTATGCTGCCTCGGGTTCACCCAACGACCATGAATCCTGGGGGCTTAATGATCTTCTTGCGCACACCGGCAGTCGATTCGAGGAAGAGTCTGGATGGAATAACGAGGTAATAAACTTACCGCAAAGCGCGTCTTCGAAGCCGTATTTGTCAAGACGTAATCGCCACTGGGACATTGTCCGACAGACCTTCTTGACTCCCGGTCTAAAATTAATCTACGAGCCCCAAGGTCAGCTTGTACAAGATTGTATCCCATGCGAGTAAGCAATATGTTCTTAGATCATGTTGTTGGCAGTCGTTGATCATATATTTAGTGTCGTCCTTATACATGGACTCGGAAGCAATGCGATATCTACCTGGCAGAGCCGCTCAAGTAACTGCTTTTGGCCAGAATCTCTTTTGCCGAACAGCCTTCCCGGTGCCCGGGTCATGACATTTAGTTATGATCAAGGTTCAAGCACTTCGAGCCCCCAGACATTTAGAAGTGTTGCGAACAAACTACTCCTAGATCTGTCGAGCTTTCGGAGAGATTGTCAAGACCGTCCTCTGGTCTGGTTGGCTCATAGTCTAGGCGGATTTATTGTGAAAGCCGTAAGTCTTGCAGTCCCCATAAGCTTTCATAGGATTTAATCATCACAGGCTTTGTCCGAAGCAAGAATATCGGGATTTGGAGAGCCAAATCTGAAATCCATCGAAGAAAACACCGCAGGAATCATCTTCTTCGGAACCCCACATCGTGCCCTGAGCTCATTAGGCTGGATGTATGCTCTATCGAAAATCGCAGTCTTCGACCATGTTGAAATTGATGTATTGGATACCCTGAAGCCCAACTCCACCATCGAGCATCTAAGTCAGTCATTTGACCAGAATTTAGACACTCTGAGAGTATTGATATACTCATTCTATGAAACCAATCCTACGACTGCCGGAGGAATGCCCATGCCTGTCAGCACAACGGAAATATTTCTTTCAATATTCATACTAATGGCTTTGCAGATAACAAGTGAGGCAAATGCGTTATATCATCCCTCAGAAAGAGTGGGATTCTTGAATGGCGACCATAATAGCATGTGTCAATTCGAGAATGAGTCTCAGCCCGGATACAGACAAGTGATTTCTGCTATCAAGGATATCTTACTTAATTACAATGGACCCGGTAAGTCGGTCATGAGATAAGAATAATCTATGACTAAATTGTGTATAAGGCCAACAGCATCGTTCTACTAGCTCATTGCTGAGGATGGTCGGCATTGAAGATTCGCCGTCAACAGGTATGTAGCCAAGAAACAATGTATTTGATTCTTAAGCTTAGATTATACAGAAACGAAGAGTTACGCTATGACGACATCCGAGACGCATTTTTCCAAGTCCATCATCACGGAACCTGATGAGTCTAGAGACGAATATCAATGTACGCGTAAGGGTATGACAGCTGAAATGAAGTGATTCTGATGATAATTCAGGGAAAGCTGACCGTATACGCGAATTATTCCCTGTACACAAAAACAAATGGACTGGTGATCTTCCATTTCATAACTCTTGTGATTGGATCGCAAAAACAGAGGAGGCAAAAGCCTGGCTGCACGGGACTGAATCCTCAGATCGTTCCAACCTCCTACTTCTTTCTGGAGCTCCTGGCACTGGAAAATCGGTAGGTGTGCGATACCTTATCGAACATCTTCGGAAAGATCTCCGGAATCAAAGTCTTTCTTTATTTCCTCGACCTCATGTCCTTCACTACTTTCACAACTTCCATACCGAGTCTCCTGCTGCGGCTCGCCATGTTTTCAGCGAGTTGATTGCACAAATGTTGGACACGAATTTATCTCTCGTGCGACATTTTCCGGATGATTTCTTTGAGAAGTTGGAGTCGAAAAAACGGAAAAAAGACGATTGGCCCGCAAAGAACTTGTTACCTCCAATGGATAACAATGAAGCACATGAAAATGGAGACTTGCTTGATGATGGCAATCTCTCCATCATATTGCTGTCTATGCTTCGCGACGCCGAGGTTTCACAAGTCTTTCTCCTTCTCGACGGCTTGGACGACCTTGAAATTTCGACTTCCCAGCTCACCCTTCTGCTTTGCGAAGACTTTTTGACCATGGATGGTAAGCGTTTATGCTTTACTTGCGGGATTGGAAAGCAAGCCGAGACCATGAGACTTTGGGCGGAGAATCGACAAGCCAAAGTTATCTCTTTCGACAGGAGACCAATGGATAAAGCAAGCAAACGTCGGGTCAACACGATTACTGCTGAGAGATCTTGGCGGAGAAGTGCTATCATGTCCCAAGTTCAGACCGGGATCGACGATCGATTGCTTTATCCAACTCAATGGAGTAGCTCCTACCTGTACAGAAATATCCTACACAACACTTGCACCAAATTCACGACCGAACAGGAGGCTACACTTTTCTTCAACCAGCTTGCTGCACGGCTTAGCACTAGTCCAGATGATACGGTTGAGGAACCCCAAGCGATTTGGGTGCTCTGCCAGCTGCTTGTTGAAAGGTTGTCAGAGAGAACTGACCCTCTTCCTATGATCACATTCTGTTTCATTGCTCTCGCACGACGGCCATTGACTTTAGATGAACTTAACGATTTCATCGCGGTGGTAACCTTCCGGTTGGAACATGCGACAACAAGCCTGCTGGACTTGTCAGTCGAGACAGGGGTTAGAGCGACGACATTCTCATCTTTATCTCTTCCGTTGACGACAGCGCGTGATAAAAAGCTCGAAGTTGAACAACTCGAACCACGACACATAGTTGATTTGTCTCGATGGCTAGCTGCTGAACTTCCGGGTCTTGTGGACACTCGACAGTCTGTCGTCACGATCGTCCATCAATATGTCAAGGACACTGTAATTCGAACTCTAGTTGACAAGGGTAGTCGAGAAGATGTGGAGGGAGAGATATCTATTGTTTGTCTAGAGTTGACAAAGCTATTGCAAGCTGGACAACATCTCCGTGGCTCAGATAAACAGACTTACGCGTTGTCCGAGTGGTCGATGCACGTACAACATGCTCCGGCACATTCAGGAAAGGTGAACAGCCTTCTGCAAGAGATCATGGATAAACAGCGTGATGTAGCATCCCTCTGGCTTAAAGGAGCGAGACGTAAGTGCCCTCCTGAGTCATTGGATATAGCTTGCGTGCTTTCTGCGTTCAACTTGCATCATAACCTACAGAATCTAGCCAAGGATGTGGTTTTACCTGATTGTGGGAACGTTCTTTCTCTGCCGCTTCGTATTGCTGCATCAAATGATGCTCTCGAAGCTCTAAGATTTTTGTCAGACGAGCGAGGTCATGATATACATCTTCTCGACCAGCAGAAACGATCACTGATGTTCTATGCAATCTGGGCTGGAAGCACTCGAGTTCAAGGATATCTAAGTACGAATCTCACATCAAATCAAGAGGCTGCACCCGCTGTTATCCAAGCTCTCGCAACAAAAGGTAACTTGACGGGTATACCGAACACCTTGCTTGCACGGGCCGATTTTCAATCAAAGGTGATGCGCTCAGCAGCTTTTGAGGGCAATTTTGGGCTTATCGATGTGTTCATTAAGCGATTCAAGCTGAATTTCACTACCTTGCAAAGCACACTGGAAGATGCTGTGCGAGGTCAGCATAAATCAGTCGTCGAAAAATTATTAACAATATTCGAGCAGCAAAAGATCCTTGGTGAAAAAATGGTCAAATTAGGAGAAAGTCTAAGGCTAGCAGCAAAACGGGCAAATATTGAATTGGTGGAACTACTGCTTGAACATCGAGCAGACAGCAACGATCAGTCGCCGCGCAAAGTGTCCGCTTTACACTACGGAGCCCAGAGTGGAAAGATCCAACTTGTTAATATTCTTGTTCGTGCTGGAGCATACCGATCGCGACCTGATGGAAAAGGTCGTACGCCCCTTCACTGGGCGGCGGAACGAGGTCACACCTCAGTCGTTGAGTATCTGATCACTACTTCTGATAAAGGGGATAACAACGGTCAGACAGCCCTGCATCTAGCCTGTGCTTGTGGTTCCTTCCCTACGGTTCGAAAATTACTGGATTATGGCTCGAGTGTCAACAAGCGAGATTTTCAAAAAAGAACTTCTTTGCATGTGGCGGCCAGAACTGGTGCAGTGGATCTCGTCAAAATGTTGCTTGATGAAGGCGCTGACCCAGAGCTTTTGACGGCTTCCAAAAGGACGCCATTGCACGAAGCAGCTTCAGGTGGTTGGGCTGAAGTAGCTGAAGCAATTCTAGCAGTTGGACCGTCCGAACTCGTCGACAAAGTTGATGTGTTCCAGAAAACCGCGTTACACTATGCTTGTGCGAATAAACGCTCCGCCACTCTGATTGGTCTGCTGCTTGACCATCATGCTAACATTCTTGCTGAAGACAAGCTCAAGAGGCTTCCAATCCACTACGGTGCTGCTGAAGGAACGGCAGAAATGGTGAAGCTTCTGCTGCCGTATGGACGAGACTCTACAGACTTCTTCAATATGACGCCTCTGAATTATGCAGCAAAGAATGCAAAGCCCGAGATCATAAAGGTATTGCTTGATTCGGCACTTTCAGAACTCCCCGACAACGTGTCCAGCAAAGTTGCACACGAGAGAGTCGTCAGCATGCTTACAGCATCTAACAATAATGCTAAAATGAGCTTTCATTACGCTGCGGAGCACCGTGACCCGGAAACTTTTCAAGAATTGGCGAACTATTTCTGGCTAAACAGAGGAATGCACGCCGCCGAAGAGGAACTTAGCGTGTGGCGAGAGCAATGGCTACGTATCCTGAATATTCCGGACGCAAGGGATAACACAGTTCGTCGGCGGGCTGAGATGAATCCCAAACTTTTGGACTTTCTACATCATGTGGAGCCCCGGGTCTACGGTGCTGAAAGACATCATTCCACGAAACCGGTGGCTTCATACCTTAGCAAAAAAATCACGTGGAGATTTCCTGTCAACTTTGCTGTTTCCAAAACCCGCAAAAATCACTACATTCTACCCCCCGGTATCCAGTTTCCTCTGAAGAAACTAGCATCTCTACCCTCGTCTCAGAGACGTAGCGTATTATGCGCTTACCAGAGCACTGAAGAATGTCGCTGGAACGACACAATTGCAATCAAAACTATTCCACTGCAGCAATCTAGATTAGCTGTTGCGAGCTATTCTGCTCAGTTTGAAATTTTGGAGAGCTTACATCACAATCACATCTCGGCGATACTTGCAACGTATGAGCAAGGCCTAGTTTTCGGAATGGTCATCTTTCCTGTTGCTGCATGGAACCTAGAAACTTACTTGCAGCATATTTCGAAATTCAATAGCCGACAAACAATTCGGCGTGGGGAGGTTCCAGCCATCCATCCATTTGTCCGACACCTTCGAGGATTCTTTAGCTGTCTACTTAACGCGATGAGATACATCCATGAGAACGCCAAAAGACACAACGACATCAAGCCATCCAAAATACTCATTGATGTCCACCACAATGTCCTCTTCGCAGATCTTTCAGTTTATCACCATGACACTCGCTTAGATGGGGAGTGGGTCAATTCAGATGATGTGTTTGAATCGACTGATATTCCGCAGAGATTTAAACCTCCTGAGGTTAGCGAAATGAGTGAAGATCGGAGGCATGGGTTCGCCGGCGATGTCTTTGCGTTAGGTTGTATCTTCTTTGAAATGCTTAGTGTGATTATGCACCAGCGAATGGATTACGCGCAAACCTCGAGACGGAATTCAATACGCGATTCTAAAAAGGTCCATCAACACACAATATTTCTTTACCGGAATCATGTCGATGACCTGAAGTTGTGTCTTGACCAGCTTAAAGAACAACGAGACGAGCTCATCTACAGTGGTGCCAAAGATCTGGAATGCTTCACAGACAGTGTCTTTGATGCCGTCAAAATGATGATTAGCGAGGACGTGCATGTTCGTGATCGACTTGACTTGGCAGAGCTCGAAGACTTATTCCACGGGGTGGGCGTTAACATCTGCACTCTCTGTAAAACTTCATCCAAATCGAAAAGCGGCGATCATCTGTTCCCATCCTCCTTTGAACAGACTGTGCATCGCTCATACACCTCGGAAACTACATTATCGCTTCAACTCACACCTGAAAGCGATAATTCAGAGTCTGCCGATGTACAAGAGATGAGCCATGTCCGGATGCCGATTCGCGCTCACGATAATCATAATATCGATGTTTCTGAGTCTAAGGTGACGGAATCACTTGCCTCAACCCATGGACTGGCTGAAGTTGTTGCTTCCAATGGATCAGATATGGGAGAAAATGGAAGAGGTAAATTCCTTGAGGCCCTCACTACTTCATCACATCCTTCCCAATCATCCAATGGAGTTGGGGAACAAATTTCAGGGCCTCCGCCGCAATACAAAAATAGAGAGGAGTTTGTCGATTACAAAGGAGGCTTTAAGGAGCATGCGGGAGATGCAGCTTTCAAGCACACAAGCCCTGACCCCGGTAAGCAGACGAGGCCTGACGCGCCAGCCTCAGGTACTTCAGTTCATGCGGAGACTGCTGTTTCTTCCGACCAATTACCGCTTCCTGAAGCAGTTGATAGGCCTTCTGGAACCGATTTTGGGACGCACCAATTGGATAAAGGTCGTTCGAGGTCATCGGATTCTCGATCATCTCCAAGTCGACTGAAGTTGGTAAAGCGGCTTTCGAGAATTCTCAAGAAGTAGGTCGTTCTCATGGATACCGAGCGCTTTTTTGTTAGGTACTATTTGTAATTTACTTTACTTTACTGCCAAATCTTCTTGGTTATCCATGTTTAATTTTGATACTATTCGCGTGGTATTTCGGCTCAACAATAAGCGAGCAAGCAGTTCATCATGGCCAACAAGTCACAGATATTATCGTATGTGGGTTCATCAAACATTGTGATTAGCGACAGGGTGCTAATTTGCCGTTCTAATTCGACCTTCCCATTAGCAACTCCAAGCCCACAGAAGATTACAAACCAATGTTCGTCACGCTTCGTTGATTGTGTTTTTCATAATCTGGATGACCATTTTCCGTGATACCTTCGGCCTACGGTAACCATTTACCGTCAGATTGGAATGCGACGTCCATTGACTTCAATGAAACTTATCCAAAGCGGAATAAAAGCGGGGCACTACAGTGAATCTCCCTTTTTTGATGATAATTCCTCGAATATCCAGTTTGATTTCGGGATAACACCGACCTTCCCCGACCAACCCCAGATTTCCCCATACCCCAAAGCTTTAGTGGATACGATCGTCTGGAAAGTTAACTAGCCTACAACTTGCATGCTCATTATGCATCATTCACAGATCCATCGCTTACATCTTCTCTTCGCGGTGAAAATCGCGTCATATTCACACCCGCTCGAGCCTATCCTCTTCCAGGCCTGATAATGCTTTCCGCTGCACAGAAATTGGCTAATGCGAGGGCTGAAAGCTTGTTATTATATATTCCCTCGCTAGATGCCCCACAATACTGCCAAGTAACCGATTCATTTTGGATTCATCTTCTACGTTAAGTGATTGAATAGTGAGCATGGCGAGAGGGGTTAATCGAATTCAAGCGGGTGTAAGTTCGACATAACTGGGGCGAGCCTTGTCCTTGGTCTCCTAATACACAATAGCTTGTGAGCTTCATTGCTCTAGGCGCATTTACGTATGGCTTTGCGTTCGCAGTTTTCGTAAGGGAAACCCTTTTCATTTTATCCCTGAATTTCATGGCATTTATAAATCTATAGATCACTGCCATAGGAGAGCCAGGTTTTTTTGCGTACTTCAAGCTCGATCCAACGTCTAGTTATACGGCTAGCATCGAAGGCGCGATTAACTCTTTATTCGCTGCAGGCTGTTTCGCTGGATGCCTAACCCAAGGTTATGTCGGCGATTGGCTTGGTAGAAAAAAAGCTATCATCATCAGTCAGATTATTGCTCTCATTGGGGGGGCTCTCTGTGCTGGCAGTGTAGCGATTGGAGAGCTTATTGCCTGCCGCTTCATTCAAGGAGTCGGACTGGGTCAAAGCTTGACACTGGCCTCCGTATATCTCACGGAGGTTGCAAATAAGAATAACAGAGGTCTTCTCTCCGGCCTGACAGCTTGTGGCCTTGCTTCCGGTTACGTCATGTGCGTCACAGGTTATGATCAACGGGAATGAATTGGTAATTAATCATGTAACAGCTGCTCATGGGTCGGTTTTGGTGCATACTTTGCAACTAGCGAGACGTGAGTACTTTGTCACTTGTCCATCGGCACGCTCTCACTAAAAATCTGTACAGTGTCCAATTCCGCCTTCCACTTGCTTTAGGATGCATTACTCCATGCATAACTCTAGCTGGTATTTATTGGATCCCAGAGTCTCCTCGGTTTTTGGTATGGGCCGATCGCAAGGAAGAAGCGTGGGAGGTGATCCGGAAACTCCATTATGACAGCCAAGATCCTGAAGAGCTGGTCGCTCATGCTGAATTCCAACAGATTGTTCTACAGGTCGACCATGACAAGAAAGAGAGGGTGACATACTGGAAAATGTTCACTGTCCCCTCATGGAGAAGACGAAGCCTGATCGCGATCTTCCTGCTATACGGCACCCAGGCAAGCGGCATCCTGGCAATAGGAAACTTTCAGATCAATCTCTACTCTAAGCTTGGTTTATCTGGGTGGCTACCCTTGTTGTTTTATTGCATGTATGCACTCCTGGGAACCATGCCGAACTTTGTCTGTGCAGCGTTTATGGATCGCATCGGAAGAAGAAAGCTTCTGCTGATCGGATATCCGTTGCTCACAGTAATGCTGATCATAGAAATGGTCTTGCAGAAGTACTACTCTTTCGGAAACAGTTCAAGTAAGTCCGGAATGGCAGCCACGGTAGCATTCTTATGGTTGTATGTCATCGTATACGGCGGCTGCATTGATCCGACACAATTCGTCTACTGCTCTGAGATCTTCCCGACAACCCTGCGAGCCAAAGGCATTGCACTGGGCTTTGGTGCCTATTTCCTAGGTGCAATCACTTTTACCACGCCTGCAGGTAAGCTATATGATACAGTTTCACCAGACCGTCCAACTGATCCTGCGGCGCAGCGACTGCGGCTCAAAACATCGGCTGGAAGATGTATCTTGTCTTCATTGGCTGCAATATAGTCACCACGTCACTTATCTATTTTTTCGTCCCGGAAACCTCCAATCTGTCGCTCGAGGAGATTGGCGAGCTCTTCGGCGACGAAGTGATCGTTCATCTTACGGAAGATGGACATGGAATTGTCGAGGATAGAAAGATGGAGGTGGACCATGTTGAACTCATGCCTATACCATGAGGAAAATGTGGCGGATACACCAACGGCCACAGCTTAGCCAGCCTTGGTAGTCGCACTGCGTCTTGCGCCACCTTTGTCAAAACAGAACAAGACTTTGTTCCAAGCTCGATTATCGCAGAACTTAGCTCTTCGCTCAAGTGTCGCCGTAGAAAATGAAGCGGAAATGTCGACCAAGCTTCTGAGATGTGAGACGATCCTCTAACATGGACGCACGTCGATTTACTCGTCCCCATGCTGTTTCCTAAGTCTACTTAATGTACACACACAAACATATGCGTTGCAAAAACCATAAATCGAGCTCAGAAACACACTCATGAATGGAGTGGTATCTTCTTCCCCACCGTATATGTACAGTTGCACCGATATTCGACCGTTTTACATGTAAATCTGCACGAGTTTTAAAATTTACTTTCGCCTCTTTAAAACTTTTTGGCACATTTCTATTAAGCCATCTTTTGCCTCGCTTTCAGGGAAGAAGGCTATGGATGCAATGGCTTGATCGACATATTGTTGCGCCAACGCCCTCGTTCGCTCGAGACCATCACTCGCCAGGACAATTTGTCGGGCCTGGCAAATTTGGTTAGTACTTGCAGCCTTTCACATCTCATGATTCGCCTGAGAGCTCACCTTTACAACATCGCCCTCCCCTCCAAACTTTCTCCCCACCAAGGCGCCCAAAGAAGGATTTCTCTCCCATGCGAAAAGCAAGGGCGCGGTAGCCAGCCCCAGCTCCAGATCCGCACCTGCAGGCTTTCCAAGTTCTGCCTCACTGACCGTGTAGTCCAGCATATCATCCACGAGCTGGAAGGCCAGCCCCAGGTTTTTTCCGTACTGGTAACTCGCCTCCACCACTTCCGGAGCGGACTGACCGAGCAGCGCGGCTGCACGGCACGATTTAGAGATGAGCGAGGCCGACTTGAGGTACGTTTTTTGAAGGTAGTATTGCAGGGTGTCCGGCGAGTACGTCGGATTGAGGGAGTCGTTCGCTGTGTTCTTGAGCTGCATGAATTCGCCTTCCACCAGGTTTGCTATCACGGTTGCCAGCAGCTCCGTAACTTCCGGGTCACGAAGACGAGCTAGGGCGACGGAGGCACGTCCCAGAAGGAAATCGCCGGCCAAGACGGCCATCTTGTTTCCAAACTCGATATTTGCACTGGAGGCACCGCGTCGCGAGACGGAGTGGTCAATCACATCGTCATGCAGCAGCGAGGCGGTGTGTATCAGCTCCGTGATTTCGGCAAGTCGTCTTTGACTCGGGAGGATGTCGGGATCGCCAGCGCGATAGGCGCCATCGTCAGCAGCAGTCAGAGGGGAGTAACCAGGAGCGTCGGGATTCTCATCATTGAGAATGGAGCCGTCTGTAAATGATGTATCAACTCCACGTGGGTCCTGAGAGCCCACTGCACGAGGCACTTTGGTTGTCAACGCTGTCGCTCGCGACATGAGTAGCACGAGCATAGGTCGCACATATTTCCCCTCGCTCTGAGTGTAGTACTTCGCCACTCGATCCAACGTAGGGTGTCCCGATCCAAGCAACTGTCGTATATTCTTTGTGAGGAACTTGAGCTCCTTGGCGACGGTTCGCAATGGGTCGACGCCGGTTGGTGAAGCCGGGTCAGGACCGTTGATGATTTGCTTCGCAGCCGAAACCGCGGCGGCGAGGCTGTACTGCCGCTTTATTTGCTTATAGAATATGTTTCGAGGAATGTTATCTGCGCGTATGCGGCATTGGGGACAGACGAACGTTCGTGCTGATGTTTGGGATGACGCTGCAAGCAGCTGGCCGAGTAGGCTCGCGGGCCGCGGCTTCATAGTTGCGGCAGGACTGTTCGGCTCGTGCTTGGCGTGGACTAGGCGGAGTAAGAAACAATTGACTATGTCGATGTCACAGTCATGGGATCTGATGACACCACGGCGGGTTACGAGCTGGACAATTGAGGAGACCGACGATATGGCAATTGTGCCGTATGGGTTGAGAAAAAACGGGCGAGATGCGGCTTCTCATGACGCTAGCCTGATGTGAACACGACTCGACGCGGAGTTTGGCCGGAGGTAGACCAGGATGTCCAGAAGGTATGTGTACTCCAGGCAGCCCCAATTCCCTTCTGCCATAGAAGCCTGTCGCCATGAAGTTGATTCGGTCCATTGAATTTCGATCATGGTTCTCCTCTCTATGACGCCCACTATCGTGGCGGCTGTCCAGGCCTTCAATTCCTGTCCTTGGCGGAAGGAAGAGGACGGAGAGCCAAGTCTGGAGCACCCTTCAGTGGGTAATCCAATCTCACACAGGCAGCTTATACACATATCGAAGTGTTTAAAATCGACCCCTGAAAAGACTGTCGCAGCTGAGCGTTGCGTACCAGTCCATTTGAGCGAGCTGCTGAAGGGCTGTTCTGTCTATATACCTCCGGCCCCGCCAAAGCCAGAGAAGGTGAAGTCTCCTTGACCTGATCCACCTAGGGTGAAGATAGAAAGCTGACTTGAAAAGTAGAGCGATGAATACAAAGCTCTCATGGCTCGCCTGCGCAAAGAAGAGGAAGCCCGCAAGTACTCACAGATGCTCAACCCAGCACCACTAGTCGAGACCTTCTCTCAGCGCTTTCCTGATCCTGCCCACGGGGCCCTTTTCCCCCCTCAGCCCAGCATCTCTTCCTCCGGCGAAGAAGACGAGATCACGTATGCGGACATTAACCGTCATCTCGCTCTCATAGCGAACGTGCTCGTCTCCATCATCGCATGCGCTGTGTGCGTGTGGAAAGCGGCCTGGCACTGGAACGTACCTGAGCGCTTGGCTCTAAGCATGGTGAGCAGCATTGTGGTTGCAGTCGCTGAAGTCGCGATCTATGCGGGATATCTGGGGAGATTGGAAGAAGCCAGGGCAAAGGAGCGCAGGAAGGTCGAGAGGCGAAGTGTGGCAGAAAGCTGGGTTATCCAGCCAAAGGCAAGAGAAGGGAGAAGTGGCACAGCTCCTGGAGAGGAATCTACGAGTGAACTGAGGATGAGAGGGACGAAGAAGAAGGCATAGCATGTTAAGAAGCCAGGATACATATGCCCTGACAATGGAAGGGCTTGTGAGCTGGGCGGCGCATACGTTCGCTCTGGGTCTTTGTTTGCCGTCCTTGAGACCGGAGATTGCTCCTCCATCCGTTTTGCACAGTGCGAGCACGGCGAGCATACGAGACGTGTTAGGACCAAGAGTTAGCAAAGCCGTCCGTCCGTCCTCTCTAGCGCTCGCATTCCAAGTCGACAGATTCAAACCACACGTCACGGGAGACGCTTCTTCTACCAAGACTATGATGGATACTCGAATCAGGCCGGAACAGTGTCCCCATTCGAACCTGAAGCGTCTGTCCAATTGAGCGAAAAAACTTTTTACCCGTCCAAAGTTTGCATGCCTTTCTTATCAGCGGACGCAAGCGCTACACAATCCGCAGCCACCTTGTCTACAAGCTCCACACCACAACGCATTGTTGACGCGGCGGTCTAGACTCCGACATCACACCACCTATGCATATCGCGCTGCGAAGAAAAAGTAGAGGGGGGAAAAAAAGAAAGAAAGAGAAAGAAAGATAAGAACAGGCTGGACGGGCCCTCGGTCGATCGCGATAACGCAGCTCGCCCCGCTGAGAAGAACGACGGGAACGTTTTGTCAGCACAGCGAAAAAAAAAAGTGGAGAAGATAAAAACACCAGGAACGCAAGGCATAAGGAAGGAGAAACAATGAAAACATAAAAAGAAAGAAAGGAAAGACGGAAGAAAGAAGTAGCGAGCTCTAGCCGTCGCGACAGAAGCGCAAACCCGATGGAAGCGCGATTTTGGAATCCTTCCCGTACGCAACCAGAGCCTTCCCCCCCCCACAACAACACCCGGGACGCGGTCTTTTTTTGCTTTTGCGGCTTCTTTTCTTTTTCTTTTCTTTTCCCCTTGGATCATTTTCCACCTCTCTGCCTTGAGACGCCGCGATTCCGACCCTCGTTCGTCACGGCTCTGTGTGCCGTGCTGCCGCAGGGTTTCGAAAAGCAACGCATCCTCTCGTGAGGTTCCGCCCCTCCCCCTTCCCTCCCCCAACCCCCCCCCCTTTTTTTTTTTCTTCTATGTGTCAAAAAGAAAAGAAAAAAAAAGGAAATGAAATTCTTGTTGCTTTGGAGGGAAGGACGGACGCGAGAAGAGGAGGGCGGGTAGAACCGTGGCGAAAAGATCTCGACTTGCGCGGGTCGGGACACGCAAGAAGGGGGGGGGGGGGGGGACCGGTCCTCTTCCGCCATGTCTGGAAGGACGTGAAACGAAGGAGAAAGGATGGGAAGACGGAAGGGTTGGGATTGGCTCTGTCATGCGGTGTAAGAAGAAGGATGATTTGAAAAGTAAAACGTAGTTTGTGACGGGTGGAAAAAGGCAAAGGTTACGTATCCCCGAGTAGGAACAATTTTTTTTATTAAAAGAAAAAAGAGCCTGAACTGGTTTTTATTACTTGTTACTACACGTGTATGTACAGGTTCCGATATCTTGCATATCAAAGAGAGAGAGAAAAGAGGAGCGGACGGACAAAAAGAAAGAACGAACAAGGCCAAGTCCCCCCTGAATCATGTTACCCTTTGTTCGACGTCGTGAGTTGGTAAACGCCAGGTTCAAGCCATGTACCTCGCGTGCACGTCGAAGATCTCGTTTCTCCAGCCGTCTTCGCGGAACGCCTCGACGCGCTCTGCGGCCTGGGCGGCCTCCTCGTTCCACAGCTTGACGATGCTGCCGGGCGCGTATACGCCCTTGAAGACGCCCCTGCCCGGCTGGGAGACGCCGAGGCGGGTGTACACGTCCGGGTCGTCCTCCGGGGCGAGCCGGGCAGCGACGGCCTTGAAGAAGGTGCGCAGGTCGTGCGGGTTGGCGATGCGGGTGGCGCGCAGCCTCTCCCTGGCGTAGAGGAGCTCGCGGTTGGCGGCGTGGATGGCGTCCGCGATGGCGGCGGCGAGCTGCCTCTCCACGACCTTGCGCACGAGCGGCCGCAGCAGCGGCTTCAGCAGCCAGCCGAAGAGGGAGAACTTGCTCCGGCGCATCTGGTAGTTGAGCTTGTGAACGTGCACGCGGACGGCCTTGAGGCTGACCATCTTCTCCAGCTTGTCCTTGCAGATCTCGACGTCCAAGTGGACGTCGACGCCACGCTCGTCGAGCTGGAAGCTGGCGATGCCCTCGTCGGCGAGCCGGAGGAGGCCCTTGTGAGCGCGGAGCCAGAAGCCGATCTCGTCAGCGCGCGCACTCAGCCCGTCGATCTTGATGGTCATAGTCGAGCTGACCTTGGACGTCGTCCGGAACCGGGCCTTGCGGATCTCCAAGTCGTTGTACGTCTCGACGCGGATCCTGTAAGGGAAGAAGGACGACTGGTTGACGGTCCTTCCCGGCTCGATGATCAGGTTCTCCAGAAGCAGGTCGAGCTCCGGCGTTGAGATTTCGAGGCGAGGTATGGGCACGTACTGGATCGCTTGGACAGCGAGCGGGAGGAAGACGTCGATCGCATCCTGTATCAGTTCGCCGTTCACGTATGCGCCTTTGGGAGACAGGACGGCGATGATGCGTTGACTGGTGCGGATCAGATTGGCTACGTCTTTGTCCTGCAACACCGCCGACAGCGTACGTTGACACTGTTCCAGGAAAGCGTCGGCATCCTGGCGCAGTGTCGAGTCGGAACCGATCTCCTTTGACTTCTGCTTGAGCTCCTCGAACTTCTCCTCCGCCTGGTCAAAGAAGGCCGGCTCCGTCAGCAGCTTCTCGATGGAAGTTCCAACATCGTTCATGAACTTCTCGAATTCGGGGTCGCTGTCCTTGTGACTCAGCAACTGCTTGAACCTGCTCTCGAGTTCGTCCCACTGCTTGGCGTCGCCAAAGGACCGAACAAAGGAATACAAGTTCTTGATGGCCCGATCTGTTGCGGCGTTCTCGTGGACATCCTCCTCTGCCGTCTCGACCGTCTCCTGAACGGCCCGGGAGTACACCTGCGCGTAGCGTTTGATCAGCAGCGAGATGGTCGAGACGGAGTCGGAATAGTCCTGTCGCTGGCGAAGCTTCAACACGGCCTGCTTGAGCCTGTGCAGCAGCGTGCGTCCTTCATCCCCACTCAGCTTGTCGGCCACGCTCTCCTTGGCCTGCTCAGCGACCTGCGAAGCACCGTTCAGGACGACGTCTGCAACCTCGGCACTTGCCTTGCCAAGCTCGTCACCTGACGGCCGCGGTCCATCATCGCCTCCGGGTTGTTTAAGCTTCTGCTGTTCGTCTTCCGACGGTTCGAGTTTCTTTCCTGCTTCTTCCGCAGCCCCGGAGAGTGCAAAGGCAGTGTCTTTGAACACCTCTCGCGCGACCACGTTCAGGTCCGACAGGAATAAGCGAAAGTCCGAATTGGTGAGCAGCAGGGAGCCAACGGTCTGCAAGCTACGATACGCTAGAAAACAGGGGCTGAGTTAGTCGTTCCGTTGAGAACAGCAAAAGAAGTCAAAATCATGTGTGCATATGCGAGTGTGTGAAACGTCCCCATGGGGTAGGTTAGCTCGTGCTTCCATTGGGCCGTGCTCACCTGCAGCTGTATCGGCCTTGCTCTTCGCCCTGGAGGCGCGTTGGGCGATGTCGTCTACGTCGACCGACACTTTCGCCTTGGAGAGATACCAGAGGAAGTCCTGGATCTGATCGTTGCCGTTCTTGTTCTGCAGCAGCTGCATGAACTGGCCGAGCAACTGCTTGGCGTACCTGACGAGAAGGCGGCCGGAGTCGCTCAGATTGGGCAGATCCGGATTCAAGATGTCGGCGGCAAGCAAGGTGCGTAGATGGACGACGAGCTGCTCGTTCGACGGCATGTAGCCCTGGCCGAGAGCTCGGAGCATCTGATAGGTATGGAGCTTCTGGTGCAGCTCCCGCTGAAGCATGGTGTCATCGCGATATTGCGGAATCAGCGGTGCATTCTCCTCGTCCTCGGCGCGCGCTTTGCGCCGTCCCAAACACGACGACATGGCCAGCGGGTGATGGGATCGTCAATGGACGATAAGGCTGGTGATCATTTCTGGAGGGATTATGGTGAAAAGTGGACGCGACCAGGAGCGCGGGCAAAATGTATGTACCAACTCGACTGCCTGATTGTGTATTTGTGACGTACGAGGGGCAGCAGCCGCTACTGGGTGCCCAGAGCCTGGATGGGCTTGGGGATTTCCCGCGCTTGCATGTCTTGGGCCTAGACTGCGATTCCGCAAGGCTGGAAGTCACATGTTTTCACGACGGCTGTCGATGACGACGACAATGGACGAAGAGGACCAGACCGTCACGTCGCTCGGCTGTGCGGCCTGCGATGGATGGGTGGGTTCTTTTTTGCTTTTCTCTTTTTTTTTTAAATCCCTGGCCGAGCGAGCCTGCCGACGAGCAGGACGCAGTCGGCCCAGTAGTGTCAGAAGCCCAAACGGAAAGAACTAAAAAAAGAGGGCGTTACGTGATGCAGGATGAACGAGAGCTGTGCTTTTTGTGCAGAGATGGGGAACGAAGGCTTCACGAAATCATGCGAACCCACTCTGGATGCTACCGGACTCCGACGATCGCCTCCCGACCATGCTCTGGGCTTCAGCCACGCGAAGCCAACAAAGGGGGTCGGATTCGTGCCGCCGCGCACGTCCTGGCTCCACCTCAATCATGACATGCGTTTTATTTTTTGAGACTTAAGCGACAAGTGGTGGTGGACAGTCTGCGGCCAAAGAGGCTGGCTCGGGCCCGCCGCAGCGTGTCACGGGGGTCGGAGAGATGAATTGATGACGCAGAAGCGAATGCTAAGTTGACTAAGTGAAGGAGCAAAACGAGCCCAGAGGGCACGCAATGTCACGAAACGCCGTCAGCCGAAGGTCCGCAGCGTCAAGCCTCTGCGACAAGCTTTGCGACGCGGGCATGTCCGAGCACGAGCTTTCCCAAGTACCGTGGACCTGGCGGATGGGTGTGGCCGTTTGCGCGCGAGTGGGAGGTGAGCGGGCGCGTGTTTGCGAGCAAGGCGAAGGACGAGAGGGAGACGAGGGAAGGACGCAGCAGAGAGAAAGCATGTCGAGGTCAAGGTTTTCTGGAATGCGCCCAAGCGTTGATGGGCATGGGGAAACAGCGCCGCCAGTGGGCCAGCGTGACCGCAGCGCTGCGCCGGGCACGAATCATCGGGTCGGAGGTTTTGCAAGCCTGCCCATGGCTTGGGGAGCAGCGCTGACCTGGGCCGCGCCCCTCCCAATCACCGGCGAGCCCACGTAAGAAAAACGCTGGCCTTATCCGCGACGTGGCCTGCGTTCTTTCACACCGCAAGATGGCGCGCGAGTGAGGAGGAGCAGCGGCTGCGGAGGAGGAGGAGGAGGGGGGGAGAGACTGGTTGAGAGCAAGGACGGGATGCGGGGATGCGGCGACGGTCGCGTCCATGCCCGTTCGAAGCTCGCCCACGCGTCGTCGACTGCTCACGCTGAAGCACGCTGATCGAACAGCGCCGGGTCGGGACTGGCAGGGGACGCCAGCGCAAGGGGCCCAAAGAAACACGAAACAAAACGCACTCGGCGACGAAAAGAGAGCGGCAGCGCGCAGCCGGAAGAGATCGGGAGCAGAGGCAGCCATCAGCCATCCGCCGCCGACCAGGACCCGGGGCCAGTCTCTTGCGCTGCAGCGCCGGGCCACGCTAGGGCGAGTCCCGTTTCGGGGCGACAATGTAGCCCACACCTGCCGCGCCCCGTCCGCTGCTGGTTCTTTTATGTCGCCTGTGTTGTGTGCGCCGTGAGCGTGTATGTGTATATATTTATACATCTCGCCCAGATGCGGCCGCCAATTGCTTTGTTCCCGTACAAATCCCCTCGATTCTCCCTGCCGACCTCTGCCTCCCCCGTGTCTTCCTCTTCGCCTCCCCTCCTGACTGCCAGACGCTTTGCAACCATGGGCTCTCTCGACAATCTGCCTTCTCCTCAGCCTCATGCCAACATCAAGGCCGCTCAACACCCCCAACACGCACACCCCATCCGACGGCCCTTTCTGTCGTAAGCTTCCTGCGCCCTGTCTTCGCTCCCGCCCGGCTCTAATCTTGCCCCTTCTTTTCTAGCACCGGCGACTACGACACCGCCTATCCGCCCGAAGTCAGACGCTTCCTGGGCACCTACGGTCTTGTCCCCCCGGCTGTCGAGCAGTTCGACGTCCAGTCCAAGAGATGTGAGCGCATCGTGCGTCTCAATCGCTCTTGCACCTAACCCCCATGCAGGTCTGAAGATCCTGGAGCTTCAGGAGACGCCCATACAGAAGTTCCAGTACCTGAGTCACCTCCGCAAAACCAACGTGCATCTGTTCTACAGGCTGCTCGCCAACAACGTCAAGGTACGGACAAGCACATGCACTTTTGCAGCACCCTCTGCACATCTCGAAATGGGCGCCAAAAGACGCAGCTGCCGTACGCAAAGCAATTTCAAACGCCGCTGTCGATTCACCCTTCCCCTTCTCTCCCTTTCGAAGAGCGCGCTGGCTTCGCACCCTGTGTGACTCACAATTTTGCTGACCCTGCCCTCCCACAGGAGCTCACCCCTCTCATCTACACACCCACCGTGGGTGAAGCGTGCCAGAAATGGTCTCACATCTACACCCAACCTGAGGGCATGTACCTCTCGTACTCAGACCGCGGCAACCTGCACTCCATCCTGGCCAACTGGCCCCACAACGTCGAAATCACCGTCATAACCGATGGCTCACGCATTCTGGGTCTCGGCGATTTGGGTGTTAACGGCATGGGCATACCCATCGGCAAGCTTGCTCTGTACACGGCATGCGCCGGTATCAGGCCAGATGCCACGCTGCCGCTCACCATCGATCTGGGTACGAGCAACAAGGCCCTTAGAGAAGACCCTCTGTACCTTGGCAGCAGACGGGAGAAGGTGACGCCGGACGAGGAACGTGAGTTCCTCGACGAGCTCATGGCAGCTTTGACCGAGAGGTGGCCTGGGTAAGTAGTTCCGCACAATCCTGTGCCTCTTCCGAACCATCTTTGAAGCTAACACGGCTTCAGCATCGTCATTCAGTTTGAAGACTTCAAGAACCCCTTCCCAGCCCTCGAGCGATACAAAGATACCTACACAATGTTTAACGACGACGTGCAGGGTACTGGCGCCGTCATTTTGGGTGGCTTCAGCACTGCAGTCAAGGCCTCCGGCGTGCCGGTGAAGGACCATCGTGCCATTTTCCTGGGCGCCGGCAGCGCAGGCGTCGGTGTAGCCAAGCAGCTCGTTGAGTTCTTCATCAAGGAAGGTTTGTCCGAGGATGAAGCTCGCCGCAAGTTCTGGTTTGTCGATTCAAATGTACGTTGTGAGGGAAGCTATGGCACAGTCGACTTCCACCATCCCCTTACCCCTCCCCCCCCCTCCTTGCATGCGGAATGAAACGGGACCGTACCTGTGGGCTAACATGTGATTTCGTTCAAGGGCCTCGTCACGCTAGATCGTGGTGACAAGCTGGCCGAGCACAAAGTGTACTTCGCGCGGGACGACAACAACGGCAAGCAAATTCAGAGCTTGAGCCGCCTGATCGACTATGTCAAGCCCACTATCCTCATGGGCCTATCCACCATTGGCGGTGCTTTCACTCCTGAACTCATCAGGCAGATGGCGGCTCTGAACGAACGCCCGATCATCTTCCCACTGTCCAACCCTTCGTCCAAATCAGAGTGCACATTCGAGGAGGCTGTCCGCAACACTAATGGCAAGGTTCTCTTCGCCAGTGGCAGTCCTTTCCCCGCTCTTGAGTGGGAGGGCAAGACCCTCACTCCCGGCCAGGGTAACAACATGTACGTGTTCCCTGGTATTGGGCTCGGTGCTATTCTATCCAAGGCCGTCAACGTGACCCAAGACATGATCTACGCATCCGGCGTGTCACTATCGGAAGCTTTGACGGAGCAGGAGAGGGCCGATGGCTGGCTGTACCCAGATATCCGCCGCATTCGTGAAGTCAGTGTTGTGGTCACTCGCTTCGTCATTCGTGCCGCACAGAAGAACGGCGTGGATCGTGAGTTGAGTCTGCGCGGTCTTTCAGACGCTGAACTCGATGAATACATCAAGCAGCGCATGTACGACCCTTTCAAGGAGCGTGACAGTTATCTCGAGGAAATCTCACACCTCGTCGGTAGCCGCGGCGCCAACCCGGGCGTGGCAACCTCCCATTTATAAAATGATTTTCGGTTTGCTGAAGTGAAAAATTGTAGGGGGAAAAAAGTTTGACCAAAGCAGTGGACCAGCTTGTCAATGTCTCTTCCGACATGTATGCTTGATCTACGGTTTTAAATGCTGGTTCTTTGGTATTCGTTTGGGAGTTCTTTGGGTATTGAACACACAGGGAAAGATACCTCCTTTTTTTTTTCCCTTTCTTTGGGCTGGAATCAACATTGCGTGACACAAGGACACTTATCATAGTCATTGTGGCATCCTTGGCGGTTGAATGGAAACCTCATCCATTCTTGCGGATTGATATGGATAGACAAAAACACAAATCATGGGCCTAAGTCGATTTGGTCCTGGTATGGGCATGAACTGCGGAGGCGAGCTCTAGACACAAAGAGCAAACTGCTTCCCGCTTATATAATATGATTCGCGACTGCCTCTTCAGAACGAAGACTACGTGGTTTTAATGAGAAAGATTGGTGACTTTTTTATTCGAACTCCCTTGAAGTTTTTGCTGTCCCAACCGAGATTCATTTCTGAATCTTGTTCGTGCACAGAAGAAGACCTTGCAGCTTCATCTTCTCCTGTTGCAGCCGATAGTCGACCGGTTCTAAGAGCACAAATTTTAGTGAATCAGGCACTGATCTTTTTGTTATTTGCATGTTTCGCGTGTCTTGTTCCACGCACCGAGAGTTCGTACGCGTAGTTGAATTCCTCCGAGTACTGTGTAAGCAGTCTTCCGCCATTCTATGTGACGCTTTGCCTTAGGTGCTTGCTCGCATTGAGCCGGGGTTGCCCTAACAGGCAAATGACCCATATTTTTGCGGGAGGCCTCACGCTTTTAGCTTCCGCGGCCGGGACCATCTGCATGTGGCTCGCCTCGACGGTATCGCTGCCATCGTGGCCCCTCAAAGCAAAAGGCAAAGCACAATGTCGGGAAACGAACGGGAGGCTGCACCCATCTTCAAGAAGCGCGGGAAAGCGACGTTCAAGCGCAAGCACGAGCATGACCACGAGAGCGAGAGCGAGACGGACCAGCAGATCTCGGTTGCGGAGATCTTGCGGCAGCGCAAACATTGCAAGGTTCGGCGACGCGCGAGTGACGCCCTACCGGCGAAGGACGAGCTTCAGCCAAGCTCGATTGCGAACAAGCAACAGTCGGACGTGGACAGGATGCACGGTCGCTTCGTGCCTCAGACGGGTCAGGTAGTGGGCATGTACGACAAACAGATGTAAGCGGCGCGTAGCTCTTTTGCCTAACTCACCGGTTGCCGATCAGGAGTGCTAACCCAGCAGGAATGACTATATAGAGGCTAAAATGGCTGAATTCCGAAATCAAAAGAGCGCATCTGTTGCCGCTAGAGAAGATTCGACCGCGTCCGCTGCCAAGACGAGTACGGGAACATCGCACGATATTGCCACGCAGAAGCAAGACAAGCAGTCCGTAGCTGCAGGAAAGCTCATCGAGGTTGATCTCGGTGACAGCGTGTCCAAATACCAGGAAGAAGAGGCCGCGAAGGCTTTAAAACCTTCCAAAGTTCGATTAGGACGAGATGGAAAGCCGTGGAGACCACGCAAGCGACGGGACAGCGAGAGTTTAGCAAGAGATGCCCTCGTTGAATCAGTGTTGAAAGAGAATTCACGTAAGCCATCGCCTGCAATCAAGTGCTATATGTCGAATGGGGGCACTGACATTTCGGAACAGTCTCGCGCTTTCAGGATTTCATGTCCTCGACCACAAGTACTGCCGCAAACAACGAGTATGTCGATGAGGAGGCCGTGCTTCAAAATTTTAAGAGCAACTACCAGGATCCAGTGCGGAGGGAATCCAGGCGAGCGGGCCATTCAACGAAGAGCGACCAGCCAAGGGGTCCAAAGTTGGGTGGCAGTAAGAATGCCCGTCGCGCGATGGAGGAGCATGCTGCTGGAAAGAAGATGTGAAAATCACTGTTAATTCAAACTTGTTTAGAAATTCTGGTCAAGTGTTGGGGGGTTTTTTTTTTCAACTCGGCGCCAACACGTGCCTCCAGAGCACTGAGATCAGAGGCGCGAGTGTCCGCAACAAAGGATCATCACGAGGGAAGCCTTATCGGCACAAGTCAAACCGCCGTAAAATCGATTCACCAGATCTTCAGACTCGCCAAAGACATGCGAGTAAAGCGATTTTTGACATCTCCACTACAGTCGCGGATACCTTCTGTTTGCAGGAAGTTACCAAGAACTGCGCAAGACTGCCCAGGTCTTGACCTCCCCACAAGGTCCCCCAGGTCCTGGCTCGGCGTGACGTCTGCCATGTGCAACCCTCCCAAGGCACCATAACGCAGTTAAGAAGACCTGCGGAGAACTTGAATCTCCTACTGGGACCAATTCTTTGAGACGCTTGCAGCTAGTCATCGCTCCCACAACCATTCAGTTCGCAAGAGCATCCCAAACATCGTGACTATACCAGGGATCACCTTTGCCCCAACATTCCTCTCGCCCGTCGAAACATAGAACAGCATGTCCTCAGCGCAAGATCCATCCATCATCCAGTACGTTCCGTCTCCAGGCTTGGGGTACGAGCTCGGCATCATGTTTGGCTTCATCGCTCTTATGATCATTTGTATGTCACTCCAAGAAAGCCATGAACTTCCTTCTTCTGGCATTTCACGCGCTCATGATCTGTGCAGGTCAATACGCTTTCCACCTGTGGTTCAAAGCGCACATGCGCAAAGAAGAACGACTGGAGCGGGAGAAGGTTGCAGAGTTGAAGGCGAAAGGCTACTTAGCTCACGATCAGAGGATCGAACTAGGAGGAAGCACAGCCTAGTTTGAGACTTTTGCAGCGCTGAATATTCAAGAGTCCAGATCACGCCCTGGAAGAGCCCATCCAGCTTTGTCCTTGCTGTTGTCCGAAGAACTTTTTTCGTCTTAAGATGAGGATGGGCGAGGAACGAACGTTCGTGGCCTCCCGTACCTTGTGATAGCCCTTCTTGATTTTTATTTTCTCCCCCCCCCCACCGCTCATCCTCTCTGACAACGACGAGTGAGCTTGACGTCGTCTTTCACCGTTAAGATCCCGATTTTCGCCCTAGAGACTGTAGGAATCTTCTCGTCTTCCGACTCGCTGTACACACGGCTACATCTTCTTTCACATCCTGTGGGAGTTGAAGCCCGACTTCCGTCTCGGAAGAGAGACGATGTTCAGAGGGGGGGTGCGGGAACCGTAGTGAATAGATAATACAATAAAAGCAAAATAGAATTGGAAAAACACAAGAAAAAAAAAAAGAGGAAAGAAAGAAATCTGGTGGCCAAATGGATATTACAGTTCAGTACGCTATCGATGAGCTTTCATATATCTACAGCGCAGGTGGCGCGATGCGTTCGGCTTTCACAAGTGGACTGTTGATCCGTGTCTCAACCCATCCCTTTATCCAAACTTTTCGCCATGACCCAGAAGTTTTCCAGCTTCGCTTTGACGAGCGCGTCTTTAGCCGCGATCTCGGTCTCCGCCTCTCGGATGTTCCCCCACTTCTTGAACCTTCGCTCCCGAACTTGGCCCTCGTGTACGAGCACGCACGTGTCGTCCTCGACGCCTTCCCACAGTTCCTTGTCCAAAATCTCGCCGCCACCTTCGAGAATGGCGCGCCACTTGATGCGACGAAGCATGAGTTTCTTGTACGCTTGTGTGGCTTTCGCGCCGCCCTCCACGAGAACGAGAGTGAAGTTCGGGGTCACGAGTGCGAAGCCGCGAAGGTCAGCCCACTCTTGGGCGTTTTTGTTGATGAGGAACCGATGTTTGTTGAGGAGCTCATCGCGCTTGAGGTTGACCTTGTACACCTGCAGGTACAAGCCCATGCTGGCGTTCTGAGCAGCGTTCTGAGCGGCTTTCTCTGCCTTCTGCTCCTTGGTGAGTTGCCGCTCAGCATTGGCTTGTTCATGTTTGTTCTTTCGCTCCGCCATCTGCTTATTAACCATCTCCTCAACGGCCGAAGGTCCCTGAACAGCGAGTTCGCCATACACGCGCATCACATTCTTGTGATTGATCTTCGGCGGAGGCGCAGGTACCAATCCTAGTCTAATCTTGGTCTGCTCCTCCTTATGTTGCTCAGCCCGACGAATACGCCGCATTTTCTTCTGCTCCTTCTTGGTGAGATACATCGTTGGCGCTTTCGTTGTTGTGAATTTCTCCTGCGCAGGGTCGATAAGCACAGGATGCACAACCAGGTTTGTGATGTTCTCGTTGAAACCCAAATCTGTTTGTAGCGATTCGTCCCACCATTCTACTTCGGGCGGCTCTGGAACCTGAAAACACGTCGTGTCTATTGCTTCATCCAGACCGGCTTTTGCTGCCGATGCTTGAATCTTTGCCTTCATCTCTTCTAGAGCAGCTTTCCTCCGCATTTCCGCAGCAGCTTCCATGGCAGGGCGGTGGTCTAGATCGTGCGTAAACTTGAGTTCTCGCCTTTTTCTCGTCTGGCCTGATGGCCCACCCGCACTGAGGTAAGGATTGTTGGTTTCTCCTTTCTCTTCTTCCTTTCGCCACCTGTCTCTCCGATCATCCTTTTGTGCTTTGTCTGGCGCGTCGGCTCGCAACATGGGATGCAGAGCGATATTCATGCCACCCTTTCCTGCTCGGTCACGTTCGCGCTCTTCCTGCAGTTGGAGGCGAGAGGGTGCAGGTCCTAGACTCTCTCTGGCGGGTGGTCTTTCTGGTGGCATGTCGTTTCCTGTTGCTGAAGTTACAACAGCAGGTTTCTTCATAGCAGCGGCCATCCTTGCTTTGATATCCGCTAAGCTGAGTGGCTTCACTCCTGACGCTGGAGGTGCTTGTGGTGGCGTCGTTGTCGTCGCGCCATTCTGAAGAGGAGGCGGAGGAGTAGCTGATGCTGCCGCTGATGCAGCTAAGCCCTTCCGCATAGCCTCTATTCTTGCTCGGGCTTCATCTGCTCGTCTTTTGACCTCCGCTAGCATGTCTTCCTTGCTGCTAGGAGCAGGCCGCTTGTTGGGGACGTTCGCCATGATTGGGGAGTCTAGTCGAACTCTATGATGGGTGATGCGTGTGTGCAATGAACCGAGCTGGTCGGCGTTGCGCGCGTCTTGCTTCTCGTTATAGCTCTGAGCAAACTCGATCTTCTGAAACGACCTACTTTAACAGCATCCTCGTTCGTTCGAGTACAATCGCGTTCAATACCGCCAACGATTGCGAAGGCGCAGACGCGTCCCAGCGGGGCAAGCAATGAATGTCAGGCGAAGATACGAGATGAAGACAACCACGAACGCGGTCGTTACGTAGCATCCCAAAATTTGGAAGCCGAACAGCACGTGACCTTGCCTTGCTGCTGATTCAGCCAACGCACAGGCCACGCTCAGCAGTCGCCGTCGCGTCTCCCTGGACTGAAGTTGGAAAGTTCGACCGTCACTCGCGACTCTGGCTTGCGACAACCGTAGCAGAACAACATTGCCGCTGGTAACTCTTTCATCCACGCCGTAAACCAGGTCGCAGGTAGTGCGACCACCCGCCCGACACGATGCAGGCGATGCAGCATCCCCAGGACCCGAGCTTCATGGTGCACAACCATTTGGTGCGCCGCTGCTCAGCCTTTTGAGAATAGGGCGACGACAATGCTAACATACGCGCAGCTACCGCACCTGCACCTGATGTCCACGTATCAATTCCCGTTAATGCAACGCGTTGGTCTCCCGCAAGTCCTACAGAATTTGTTGCAGGCGCCTCAGATCGTTCGCGAGATGAAGCCCATGGCATGGACGTATCTCCAGCCTCCACAAGACGGTACGATGTTCTTGACTTGGCAACCACCGCGTATGGGCAACACCTTCGCCACCGACGGCTACATATGGTTGGACCAAGAGATGACATATAGACAAAATATCTCTGGATACGTACGTGGGACTTGCATAGCGCACAAAATGTGGCCATTGTCATAACCAATCTATAACAGGTTCTTGAGATTTTAGTCCACCGAGCAGGTTATGTCTTGAATCATGAGCACGTTGCTTCTCATCAGCGTATGCGGTATCACATTATCGACAAAGACCCGTCGCTTCCTGCTATTGACCCAACTCTGTGGCTCGTTCACTATAGTGCTGCAGACCCCGAGTATCGACGACCAGCTAATCAGTTCCCCATCGCGCCGCAGATACAAAAGCTAATGCAGGAACGCCTCTTCCTCGAACAGCAAGGCGCTGTGCTCCAGCGCAAGGAGTTCATGCTCGTAGACCGTTCCAACTGGCCTACGGTTAGCACAAACACGGGCGTTCAGCCGCGTCAAATGCACCCAGCGTACCAACAGAACCCGATGATGGCTCGACAACCACCCCAGCAAGTGTATCCTCAGCCACAGTTGCATCAACCACCAAACAAGCGCGCAAAGATTGATCGAGCAGTTGCACAAGCTATCCAAAAGAACGAAATTCCCGATATCATTTTCGAAGAGGACACCGAATTCGGTGACTACTTCGACACGCTTACCCCAGCAGAGATCAGCAAGATGCGTTATAAGCAGCACCACGAGTGGATGGAGGAGATTTTTTCATCCGTTTACTCACTCAGCCAGATTGTTCCCGAGGATCTAGGCCTCGGCCTGACTGGTTCATTAAAGGAGCTTACAGACGGCATATTGGCCCCGCCAGACGCTTCAGGTGTGCTAGGTTCTCTCGACCCAAGCAAGGGCGGTACAGATAGGACCATGGCGACGCAACAGAATGGATACAAGAAATTGTCAGCAGAAAAGATGGAGGAGTTTGAGAAGAGAATTGCGCAATTTGTGGAGAAGGGCAAGGCGGATATTCAAGCTATGAAACAACGACACGCGGAGACAGTAGCGCAATTCAACAAATCGAAGACATACATGAGAGCCGAACGCAAGCTCCGCGATCTTAGCGGTACTAGCGATGCGGATGCCATCGTTAAAGACGTGGAAACTAACCTGGGCGCGAAGATTCTGGAGTCGAAGAGGAAAGTGTGCATAGAGGAGGGCGGATTAGAGAAAGAAGACAAGACGCGCGTCGCTCCTACAACAAATGGCACGGAACCTTCTTCTAATAAAGAAGAAACGGCATCATCGAATGGCGGATTCGGTGGAAATGGCTCAAGTAATGGGAATGGCATGTTTGAGACGGGCGACAATTCCGCTGCAGGTCTGCTAGAGGAGTTTGGTGGAGGCTCGTATACTAATTCTCCGGCGGCGAGAATCAGTACTCCTGGAATATCTCAGCCGCCGTCAGGGATACAAACACCAGGTGCGACGGCTAGTGCACCAACGAGCGAATTCATGCGACAAGCTGGTGGCGAGGCAGCGAATAGAACTGCTCAAAACCAGGACGACACAGGACTCGACCTCCTTGAGGGCATGGACATGGACGTAGACATGACGGGTCTAGGCGGTGCCGAAGGCGACTCATCCAAACCAGCCGGTGGGGAGGATGACTGGGTCCTCGTGAACGACTCTGCGAACCAGCAACAAGAAACCTCTGCTGCGCAGCCTAAATCTGCGTCTCCACCGACACAAGCTGAGCCAAGGCAGGCACCAGCTTCAACAGCGGCAAATCCAGAGCCTGTGTCCACGCTTGCTGAAGCGCAGACGTCGACAAATACGCCTAATGAAGCGGGTGGCATGTTCGATAGTGCGGACTTCGGCGGCGCCTTGGAGGGTTTGGACACAGCCGGTGACGCGCTGGCTGATTTCGAGACTGGCACAGGTGGTGAGGACGATTTGGGGCTCGATCTCGACGGTGGGGAGTTCGACGGTGCATTCGGAGGTCATCAGTAGGCCATGCGCCTCGTACTCCATCTCCATGTTGTACTGTATCGATCAGGCATACGTTGGGGCGTTATAATGGCAACTGAGGAGTTTGGCGATTTCAGCTGGGAAAAGGTGCCAACACGCGCGTTTTGTGTATGTGCGCTAGTTGGGATATGGACAAATTCGTCGCGTCAAAGAATCTATCTTAAAATCGTTTTATTGTCGCATATGTACAAAGCTACGAAACAGTCCTCGTCCTAGCTATTGATTCGTAGCTTGCCCGTACAAAGACATCCTTGGTACTCCTTGCGTACATTCTCTCTCTTTTCCAATGCTAGTCCAGCATCGCTACAGCATATCGGCGCTGTCGAGCTTTCTTCTGTTCTTGCTGGCTGAAGAGGACAGGTCTCTTTTATCGTGAGGTAATTCGGTTACTTCAAAAGAACAGCAGGGTAGAAGCTCGCAGCGGGAATGGAGTCGGTGGATATGTGATGCCTAAACTGTACGTAGGTCAACTATGGTTTACTCATCATCCGGCAAACGGGCTCTAGTAGCATCGGCTTTTCGGTCAAATTCATGAAGGGTGGACAGTTTCGTGGAAGAATACTACGCAAGGAGCAACCCTAAGCGCGGCATGCTCATGCCTTGTGGTGCGCTTGGCCGATGAGACGATGATTATGCATTCACGAGACGGCCGTCGTATTGAGCTTTTGACGATAAGGCTAGCTCACTAGGACCGAGCTACGATTGCGATAAATTCGAAAAACCGACAAGCAGGCAGACGCCGCTCCTGATGCTTATTTGTGGTCAACAGGGGCCAGCGCAACGGATGGACTAGAAGACTTTGCCCACTCGGGCACCGTACGAAATCCTTGTTAATAGGTGCCGAATGGACGTTCCGACGCTGTCTTCATTTTGGACGCCAAGTGTGGTCGATATCCCAACGGTCATCGCTCGAGGTATGGGGGCCGAGGACATCGTTCAAGAGAGAAGCGCCAGAAAGATACCCAACATTCGCATCCAACATGTGTAGAACCATGTGCTGCAAACTATATTGGTCTACCGTCTATGGCATTTGGCAACGTCACCTGCATGCATGATTGTATCGGCCCTAATCGAAAACGTAGTCCAAGAGGGCTGCTCGGAGTAATCCGAGTTGTGACGCTGGTCGACGACATGAAGAAATTTTTTCTTATCTGCCGTGTGCGACGGTGAGAGCAAATACAACGGTGCACTTTATGTGTGTGCTCCCATTCATGAAGACAGCCCTACACGATTGGCTCGACGGCAATACTGCTGGACGCATGCCCAGAGCCTTTCGTGACGACGATGGACGTGCATCCGTTAGGAGTCGTGAAGCACAACCATGCATTGCGCCTCGGATTCTATTCCTGTGCAAAACAACATTCATCTTCAATAGTCGATGAGAAGCCTCCTGGACGGCACATTGAGCATGCAGCAGACGGCATCGGAAGTGCAAGTTGCAGTCGTACCACCAATGCTGATCGATATATGGTTCGCTGCAGATCAGAAGCCTCTTCTCGGTAGCCAAAAGAGAAAGATTCGCCGAAAGCGGCAGAATGGAAGAAAAGAAATGCGAAAACCGCTCTGTCCTTGGATGCAAGTCACAAATACGAAATTGACGTATGAGAAATTTAAGTTTCTGAATTTTCTATTTCCTTCTCTTCATTTTTCATGTGGTCGCGGGCAGAACGCGATGCGACTTCGCCCAGTCTGCAGGGATCAGAAGATTGTTTCGAACGAAACATTGTTTACGCGGTTTCCGTCGGCCAAACTCCAAAGCAAATAACCCCGAATGATGATCAGGAATAGGCGAAAGGAAAAGGGAGCGGTGCACAGCTTGCATGTGCTGATGGCGCAAAAGATCAGCACGCTACCGAGCGTTTTTAGCACCCTTCTTGCTGGAAGTCACTATTGAAAGCTAGTCAACTTTTTGCATCATTCAGAGGAGCAAAGGTGAGATAGATGCACAGAGCTGGAAACTACGTTGAAATCGAAGGAAGCGATTCACACGAGGAAGAATGCTGTGAACAACGAGCTGGCTGGCATGACGTTGTTGTGAGACAGGTCGAAGCAAACCGCGGCCTAGCTGGCTCTTTGGAAATAGCCCTTGGGTGGAGCCGCGTAGGAGTCGCTCCAGCAGCATAAACGACAGCGTGTGCTCTTAGGTAACGAGGTACAAGCCTGCGGTCGCTTGCTAGCACGGACAACGATGGCATGATTGTTGCGTCCGCCGGATGCGGACCGAGAGATGGCAGCGTGTCGTGGACAGGCCGCGCGACGGCGGCAACCAGCACAGCAGTAATGAGCATGAAGAGCGAGCACAGAATGGCACAGAGAGCACGAACGAGACCGAGGAGGCAGGTTAATCCATCAATGAACGTCGACGTGTGGCGGGCAGACGACGGTTGTTTTGGGCAAAGGAGATCTCAATTTTAAGTGGTTGGTTGCACGGGCAAAAAGAGGCAAGCAGCCTCTCCTGAACCGTCACCCTTTGCCCTGATCCAGCTCGTTTCAAAACAACAGCTCATCTGCAATTTACGTCCACTCAAAGGCCAGCCAACCTGTCATAGCACCCAAACACGGCGCATGGGGGCCCCTTGAAGATCCCAATGGAAGTGGACTTGATCGAAAATGGCCGTACCAACCTTACTCGATCCAGCGCGCAGCAAATTTGTCCCTGCTCGCAGTCGTGTTTCTGCTAACCACAGCCGTCTGCTGGCCCAACCCCATCACGCTGATCATATAATCTCTTTTTTTCTTACAGAGTACTCCGTACACTGCCACGCTTATGCAGCAAGCCAACCGTTTGCCAGCTTGTTTGGCTCCGTGGCCTCCCGCTGCCGCTTTGGCCCGCGCTGGTGGAGGTTGTGCCCTCCCACTCATTTGCTGGGTTACTCCGGATGTGATGTATGATCTGCTTGACCTTCCAAGACCAAAAGCCAGCCTTTCCTTCACCTCTTCCCAATCGTCATCCTCTTTTTCTCTCCTTCACGGTTGTCCACACGCCGTGAGGACGCAGCTTTTCTTCCTGGTCCCGTACCTGCCTTCCACCACGCTCGTTGATATCTCCCTACTCTCGCTTTTCTTTTCCTTTCTGCGCACGTCATTTATCTGTTGATTTTTTTTTATCCGCGTCTTGACGACACCTCGCTCCTTAGCATAGAATTTCAACGCAGGAACTCGTTCACCAATCTTCGTATACACAGTAACTCAACAGTGGTATTCATGACCCAACGCTAAAGACCTAGAAAGTACGCGGTCTTCCCAACTCAGTATCACGAGACTGTCGTATCGTCACCAAAATAATGATGGTTTCCGTAAAATCAACCCTCGCGGGTTTGGTCGCGACGGCGCTGCTGATTGCTAATTCTTGCGCGGTGCCTCATGGTGTGGGAATTAAGCAAAAGAGGCAAACTACTCCGATTGCTGTGACGGGTGTACAGGGAAGCGGAGTTCAGCCACGCCTGGAGATTAGGACGTTGCAGCAAAATGCAGATATGTTCAACATGTACATTTTAGCTCTCTCTCGGATGCAGCAGACTAACCAGGACGACGTGGAATCCTACTACCAGCTGTCCGGTAAGTGAAGAATCTTGTCCACTACGGCAATTGTAACCAATATACGCATACAGGTATTCATGGCCTGCCTATGGTGCCGTGGGACGGCGTCAATGGCAACCCATCAGCCAACCCACCAGCCGGCTACTGCACCCATGTTTCGAACCTGTTCTTGACGTGGCACCGACCCTACATGGCGCTCTATGAGCAAGTTCTTGTTCAGAACGCCATCGCTGTTGCCAATGAGTTCCAGGGCAGCGACCAGCAGCGCTATCTCTCGGCTGCCCAGAACCTTCGTATCCCATATTGGGACTGGGCAGCACCGCAAAATGATAGCAACGTTGTTCCAGATGTATTGATCCAACAGCAAATCAGCGTAAACACACCTAGCGGTCAGCAGACCATTGACAACCCTCTCTATACATACAAGTTCACGGCGCAAACGCAGGACTTGGTCTACTCGCCCTTCACGAGCTGGACCCAGACCTATCGCCACCCGGTGTCCCAGGACACTCCAACGCAGAACAACGATCAGGATTTTGTTTCGACCATGAACAGCCAGCAGCCGAGTCTTGCGAGTCGACTCTTCAACCTGTTTGCCAATTACAACCAATTTTCCCAGGTTAGCAACGAGGCGTGGTACCAGGGTCAGTCGGGCAACTACGACAGTATAGAGTCCATTCACGACACTGTTCACGGTCTCGTCGGCGGTTCAAACAACGGCGATATGTCCATAATTGATGTTTCTGCCTTCGATCCTGCTTTCTGGCTTCACCATGCGAGCGTTGACCGTTTCTTCGCGCTTTGGCAGACGCTGTATCCAGATACGTATGTCGAGGCAGCCAGTCAGATCTACAGCAACTACTGGTACACTGCCGGCACTACACTCGACGCCAACTCAGGACTGCTTCCCTTCTACGCGGACACTAATGGCAACTTCCACACATCTAACTCAATCCGTGACTTTACCCAGTTTGGTTATACCTATCCGGAGATCACCGGCAACAACCAAGACATTGTCACCGCGGTGAACACGCTTTATGGTGCCGGTCAGCCGCAGGCTGGCAGGAGAAAACGATCTATATCTCAAAGCGATGTCATCGGCAATCTCTCAAATGTTGCCGATACAGTGACCAGCTCCCTCGGCCCAGTTGGTGACGTCGTCGAGAGCGCCGTCAACGAAGTCTCCAACCTCGTCAGCGACATTGGCAGTTACATGGGCGTCTCCTCCAACCGGGACTACATCGTCAACATCCGCACTGACAAGCACGCTGTCGATGGAAGTTACCAGATCTTCGTCTTCGTTGGCGATATTCCTGAGGACAAGAGTACCTGGACCACGTGTGATTCGCTCGTTGGCATCCAGGTTATCACATCCATGATGTACGGCTCGAAGATGCCTACCGCGATCGTCTCCGCAACCCTGCCGCTCACAAGGTTCTTGGAGAAGCACGTCGTTCTCAAGCTTCTTTCCGGGCTGGACGAGGACATCGTCATTCCCTACCTCACCGCCAACCTAAACTGGAAAGTTCTCGGCGTAAGTGATCCATGCACGATGTGCTCAACACAATTCGAGCTAACAATGACCCAGTCGGACGGCTGCGAGATTCCTCTTTCGTCTTTGCCGGACCTCAAGATCAGTGTCGTATCTACCGCCATCCAGAAGACGACGACCCTCGATGCTTTCCCCAAGTGGGTCAACGGCTTCACAAGCCACTACGAAGTGACAAGCGGCAAGGAAGGTGGTCTCTGCGCAAACGAAGAAGATTGAGACGACAACGGGCAAGAAAGTCGATTTTGCCATAATTTAAGCATGTGCTATAATCGTACCCTCTTCGCATTTTAAGCTATTTGTTAATTAGTGATACCACCAACACAGGCACGTGGCTTTATCCATAAATGTTCTTCTTTTCTATAGCCGGTTTGCATATCTACGCTAGTTCATGGTGAACAGTGTGCTAAGCTAGTTGCACACTGGTCGTTTTGTCCAAGGGATACCTAACACATTTTAGAGTCGGGTGGTACGTCAGAGAAGTGTAACTAGATCTAAGCGACGATATGGTACAACATGCGATATCTGCTTGGTTGCGGGTCTTTTTTCTGCATAATACTTGGTGCATCCATCCCTTGCTGCATGCTCATTTCAAGGTTGGCATTACAGAGCCATATGACGATCGAAATTCGCACATGCCGTCCCGAATGGGTCAGCGCATGGCGGAAGGCGTCGCGCGAGCACGCCCAATCGCCTCTTTTCTTCTTTGTTTGATGATCTCTCACGTTCTCGGCTAGCTCGATTCAAAAGCCATGCAGACCGTCAGAAAACGTTCTCGCACTATTTCACTTGTCGAACTGGACTTCCGCCGCCTTTCTGAGGCGGTTCATTACCGCGTCGGCGACGTCGCTTGACTCGCTGCCGATGCCCTCCACGCAGATGACTTCGCAACCCTTCCTGTCCAGCTCTCTGAGTGCCCAGAAAAGGTTTCGCGCCACGTCTGATGCCGATTCTCCAATCTTGATTTCCCAATACGTAACTTGGCCACCGGGTCTGTCCACGCATTTGTGCTTCAGCTCCGGCCGCTGCACGAAGAGGTCAGGCACAAGTGCCGAAAATCTATCGGCGGCGTGATTTGTTCTGGCACTTTTCTCGCCACCTGCGGTGCGGCAGTGGTCGTTGGAGTCGTCGTGAAGATTACTCTTCCAGTATCTTGTATGAATGAAGCCTAGCGTACGGAACCCCTGCTTCTCCAGAGTCTCGTGCTTAGGACGATCGGTGCCTGTCTCGTAAAGAAAGACCTTAGCCTTGGGCGAATAATGCCTGTACTTCATGCCGGGTGCTCGAGGCTGTCCTTTCTTCATGGAGACGTCCTCATAGGCCACTACAACGTTCTCCCATCCAGAGCATTCTCGCAACTGGTCTATGCTGATGCCGCCCGGTCTCAGAATCGCCGGCGGACTTGACAGGCCGTCGACCACTGTGCTTTCAACACCAACTTCACACGGACCACCATCAATGATATACTCGATCCGACCATTGAGATCCTCCAGTACGTGCTCAGCAGCAGTAGGCGACGGTTTAGTCGAAGCATTTGCTGAAGGCGCAGCGATGGGCTTTCCCAAAAGCTCGATCAGCAGCAGGGCAAGAAGATTGCCAGGAATGCGAGCGCCGAAAGTATCAAGGCCAGCTGTGACCTCTGGCGCCAGCGGAGAGGTATTTGGGTTTGGTAAAATGATTGTGAGCGGCCCGGGCCAGAACTTCTTTATGAGAGGCAAGTATATCGAAGGGACAGCTGCGGTCACAGCCTCGTGGTTTTTAATCGTCGATCCTGAAAGCAAACTGTTCAGTTGTGAGAGCGAGGAAAAGTGCACGATAAGTGGATTGTCTGCAGGCCGTTGCTTCGCAGCATATATGCCTTTGACCGCCTCACTCCTGGTCGCGTCTGCCCCCAAACCATACACGGTCTCGGTGGGAAATGCAACGGGAGTGTTCGACGTCTGCAGACATTTGGCAGCAAGCTTCAAGTTTCGTAGTGCCTCCTCTTCCTCGTCAAATTTGATGCGCAGATCGTATAAAAAGCCGTCTTGAAATATTGGTTGTGCTACGTTCTTCAATTTCGCAGTATCTACGGGTAATATTTGCGTGTGTTTTGCGCAAGAGACGTCTTGAATTCCGTTCATGGTGGCAGACGCGATGGCAGAGCTCGAGCTATGAAGCTGCGATCGCAAAGATAGAAAGAAATTCTGTGTTCTCGTCCGATGTAAGTAAACATTTGTAATAGAGTGCAGTCTCGAAGGTCTCCACATCAAGTCGAGATGATGCTGAGTCAAAAAAAAAAAAAGTGCTTCGATGTCGGAGCATACATTGGTACCTTCTGCAGTTGATTAAGCGCTGTAAGCGAGCGGCTATTTCGTCACATCATTTTTAACCCAAGCTGTCAGACGACTGTCCAGAGAGCGGAGCGGCTTGAGAAGCAGGAAGAAATACTATTTTGATTCAGTAACTTTTTTTTCTAATTTCTTTCAAGACAATTTGATTTCTGAGTGTCCCCGGTCCACAGAGCACAGTAAATCTTGATATATCTCCTCGCATTCACACTGAACAAATTCGTTGTCAGATAGATGCTCCGCGGACCCGGACCAGCCGCAACAAAACGTCCAAGAAGAATATATCTAAAAACATAAGATCTGTACCAGAATAGCCTCCCCGACCGATCCGAGCATGATCTCGTCGACATCGGCCGTTCATTTCCTCGGCCTCCATCATCCAGCCATTCACTTCAAAAATTTGTTCAGTACAAAACGTAACCCCAGAGAACAAGAGAAATTCCAAAGCACGACCTGGCAGTCGCTAATAATACAGATTGCCGCCGGCATGAATGCGCACGTCGCGTGTGCCGAAGATCGCAGAAACGCCGCCCTAGCAGGTAAAGACAAGGTAACAATGTGCCATACGTGCGCCTAAAAGCTGCAATGGGTATTTAAGCGTTGCTCAAAGCGAACGCTCGAAATGAGATCTCGCTAGAGAAGGAGAAAAGCAAACACCGAGTACAATGCTCGGGCACTCCATGTTCGGCTTTAACAATAGTATGGGGCCCGTGATAAACGATCCGAGAGAGCGGATATCAGACACTAGACAAAATACAAAAGTCCACACAGCTCGATCCAAGGTATGAAAAATCCAAAAAAAGGAAAAGTCAGCGCTAGTCCACCTGCTTATGTGCGTATTAGAATGTCAAGAATGCAAAAGTGCCGTTCTCCGATTTAGAAAACCAGAGTGGACAACTGAGTGCCGCCCTACGCAGAATGGTCATTCGCCAAACTGCGACATCAGTGAAGATGGTTTAGGATTCTAAAATGGTCGTGAAGATGAAGACGCGGTGAATAGCCTCCCGGTAAGTAGAAGCCTCAGGGCGACGCAGGACGACTCGGGACATGGCCATTGACGAACAGAGAGGGAGCGTGTTAGTAAGGTGCAACCGAACTGAATGAGGTGTGCGTCGAATTTGATGGGGGCTGCGCGTATGGAGGCCGTGGCGTGCCGGCGCTTCCCGGTGACATCGACGGATGTGAACCATGGACGCTACCGGGACTGGTTTGCCATGCGGCATACCCTCTTTGTTTCATCAGCTCCGCATTTCTCAAATCATCTCGCGCAGCGGCAAGAATTTTGCGATTTATACGGAAGATCGGAGCAAGGGGTGAGAGCTTGTCATGAAGCGCAATCGTGCGTTCCATGAGTTGCTTAAGTCGGTTGGTGTCGACCATTACCGCTAGCCAGGATCTTGTCACAGCCACAAGGACGAGCATGTTACTAAATTGCCTGTACAACTAAATTAGTACACGAGAACCGACTGTACCGAAAGACGACAGATGAGTAAAGCGCAGTGTACTTACGCAGTCGCAGTACCGTGAATGTTCGTGACTTTCAATCGTTTGTCTTGCAGTGGATTAGCAACACCGTCGAAGACCGCCGTGCTAGCCATTGCTGCATCTATACACCGCTTGCAACACCACAAGAACTGCTTCGCCAGTTGGGGGTCATTCTGAAATTTCTCGTAGCTGATTTCAGCTTTTGGCAGATGCATCTGCTCCTGAGGAGGGTCCTCGCCACGCATCCTTCGTTCGGCGCGTTTTTGCGCAGCTAACCGTTCCGATTCGTTGTGGTTCTGTACCCATTCTACGAGATCAAACGGCGGTTGAGGCGTGTTTCCTGTATCCTGCTGCCATCGCAACGCATTGTAAATGTACGGTCGTAGAATGATGTATTCTCCCCCATAATACTTGGCACGTAGTCGTGCCTCTAGAAGATTCGTCGCCAGATCTTGACTGTCTTGCCACCAGTATTTTGTTGCCTTGCCTAAGAATGTCCTCGTGTTTTGAAGATTGTCGAACAAAGTACCGGTGTCCGCATCACTCCAAACTACGGTGGTTCGTTTTTTCCGATTCTGCGGCAGAACTAACCCAAGTGGTTAATTTAAGGCGACGTTGCGTAGATCATGTCAGTACTTACGCGACTTCCTCGAATATAACGCAGCGTGCACACGATTCAGAGTAAGTCTGAATTGTATCTGAAAGTGATAGGATTGAAGAATATCTTGCGGATTAAGATTCGGTTCATAGTACAGCTGGATCTCTTCGTCTTGGCTAACGCCCACGAGAGTCAGAGGGAGAACAATCTTCGGCTCAGAATACATGAGCTGGCTGGGCTTCGGAAGCTGATCGAGTTCGGCTCGAAGGTCACTGTGCGATGATAAGCAAAGGCGAACAAGAGTAAAATGAAGCAAGTGTCATCACCTTTCAAGTTGCAGAGCAGACCAACAGAGGATGGAAACCAGAGTACTCTGGGAATCAAGCTGCTCTTGCCGTGCTTGCTTCCCACCCTCTCGACTTAGAATACTGTCTCGGTACCTACGCGTGTGAGTATGCGATGAACAGATTCGCAGCGCATCGATCGACGTACTTTTTCTTGTTGTGCAAGATGGTCGTGACTCTGCAACCTTCGTTGATCCACGACCAGCTCTCCGTTACTCGTCCAAGTTGGCCGTAATAAATACCAGCAAGCAAAAATGCTTGTGCATGCATGATGCTGTTGCCTCCCAGATTGTTTCCAAGAATATCCGAGGCCTGCGCAAAATACGCCAAACCGGGAAAGAGCTCAATATTTGGGATGCGGCCGCTTCTTCTGGGACGCCGCGACCGGGCACTATCCAAAGAAGCGCCTCGTGCCATAGTCGCTGCTTTCATGTCTCCTGGAGAAGAGGCAGTCTCGAAGGCCATGTAAGCTCTGGGTGAAGGTTTGGATGCATCGTACGGCGAATTCGCGTATGACATTTCGGAAGATTCAGCAGAAGGCGACTTAACTGCGAACTCTTCTAGTAAAAATCGATCTTCCATCAGCACCCTCCCAAGAGCGAGAACAAGCAAGATGATGGCATTTTGCATCGACCGATCGGGCATCTTCTTTGGTGCCTGCCACTTGCGGGTATTTTCCGAAGGAGAGAAATCCATATTGTCCTCGCTAGCGCTAGATGGTCTTTTGCGTTTGCCAATTGTAGCGCCTGGGGTATCTGGTCGTCCACTGGATGCTGGCATACCTGGCATAGTGAAGTGCCCGTCTGTTTGATGGTTCTGGACGTATGGCGAATGCTTTGCGACGAATTCCTCAATCTTCGCATTAAGCCACTTTACATCCAAGAAAGGATGCAACGCCCACATGTTGCGCATGTAGCTGTCATACAACTTCCAGATCGTATCGCTTCGAAGATCCAGGGAACCATCGGGATTTCCACCGCCGATATTAGGCGGGTTGTTAAAACCTCGTTGTTGAGGCCCATCACCCCACATGTCCTCGAGAGGGTCAGTTGTCTTCTGCTCCTTTGTCTCTTCGTCCCACTCTTCGTCATACGCAATATCAACGATTTGACCATTCTCCACCAAGGATGAGCCGTAAGGTCGGAGGGTGCCGGCCTTCTCCGTTTCCTCTAAAACGTATTCGGCGGACGAAATACCAGCAGTCTTGAAGTATTCTTTGATAATTGGCCACTGAACAAGGTACTGCGCGCCGGTTTCATGTGAACTCGGCGGTTGATCCGGCACCTGCTCCTCAGCCTCCAGAGCAGAATCAATATCCTTGACATCATCGGCAGTGACAAGGCCGCCAGGATTCGCATACCCGGACGGGTCGCTCGTATTGAACTGGTCGGAAGTCAAAAGTTTTGGCTGATTAGAACTAAATTTGCCGGTAGCTTCTTGAAGCAGTTGATTCATTGCTTCTTGCATGTTTCGCATTTCACCCATCGTATCTTGAATAGCTCTTTGCTGCTCAAGGAGCTGCATGATATGTCGGTCGGTCCTGCAACGCACGAATTAGAACATGCGGCGCTTCGGGACAATGTCATGACGTACTTAGGCGGCGGTACCTCGCGGTACTCGCAGGGAATTCCTTCATTGCTGCAGTACCCACACGGTCGATTCTCGTCGCATTTCTGCTTACGAGCGCGACAGTGATTACAAGCCTTCTTCATAGTCAGTCTGACCGAATATCAAACGCGGAGCGAAATCGGCTACCTGTGTTGCCCTCACTTGCTTGCGACGGGGCTGTCCGACAAAGTGTGATGGTCCTTGGGCATATATGGGGCTGGGGTGGTATGCTGTTGAAGGAGTTGGCGGGTACCCAGGGCGATGAGCAACCGGTCCTACGGCATACTGCTCCGGCGGATGGTACGGTATTCCATTGGGAGGCATGCTCCCATTTACCTGCGGATCCATCTGGGGATTGTAGGGTTGCTGACCAGGCGGTGGATGCGGAAGGCCATGCTGCTGATGCTCGGCCATGGGTCCTGCGTGCCGTTCAGCGCTGGACGTCCGTCTGCTGCTGTCGTACCCAGCAGACTGCGGCGGGCCACTCCCAGGTTGCGTAGTTGCGGCAGGATAAGAATGATGGTGTGCAGGACCTACGCCATACCCAGGTGCGTGGTCCGTAGAAGGGCCCGAGGAAGTGGCAGCAGAATATGAATGGCGATGGGCGTCAACACCGTTCTCTCGGGCGGGAGGCGCAGCAGGTATCGGTCCTGGATGGTGTGCCTGGGGTCCAATAGAGGCGGGTGGAGCGGTGTAGGAATGAACGACCGGAGGCGGAGGTAGGTGTTCCACGTGGGAGGGTTGAGTTGCAGGTCCTACGGGTGTTGACGCAGAGCGAAGTGGGTGACCAGAAGGAGGATATGGACCTGCAGATTCATGATCAAGACGAGGGCGTTTGGCATCAGGAGGGGCGTCCATGCCGGAATAACACCAAGATAGCTGAGCTTGCGGAATTAGGGTCCATGCAAGCCGTTGCGAGGCGGCAGTGACTCAGATCGAATCAGGCGAAAAGAACAAACTATGACGAACGAGATGGGGGATGCGAATGCGAAGCCCGGATCGTGGAAGGACAAGCAAGGGCAGTGCGGTCAGAACGTCCAAGCAGGACCGGGCGTCATTGGCGGGCAGGTGTCAGGTCAAGATCCGCTTCTGATTGCACCGTCCGCATTAGATTTGGACGGGCTTGTGCAAGAAGCTCAGGAACAGGCGAAGCATGAGCAGAGAAGGTTTGGGATCCGTGGATGAAGGGAACGCGGGATGGACATGCGAAGCTTCCATCCAAGGCCACGGGCTCGGTGAAAACGCAGTCTGGAGAACAAGAGTGAAACACGCTGATCTGGCTCGTCGCGCACTAACGGAAGACCCAAGTTCCAGGAATACGTAGCCAAATTGGACCCAGCGCCGGTTGATGGCGTTGCGAGGCGTTCTGTAGTCAGCCTCCACCTCGATTGGAAGAGATTGACCACGGCCGAAAGAGGCGACGAACTGGCGGCGGCGGAAGCTTTGGGCACCAGCTAGTGAAGGACAGCTGGGGCGGGCAGAAACGACGTCGAGTCAAGCCGAGAGGGTCAGACGTCTGGACGGAGAAGCGAGGCGGGAGGTGGCCAAACAGGCGAAAAAACAAAGACGAAGAGAATGGCACACTCCGAAGAACGGGGGTGGAGGAGGGGCCAAGGCAGCGCAGATCGAGCTGGAAACATGTTGAATAAGATGTGCGCCTTGCCGGTGCGTGTTGTGATGTGCCATGAGGGGTTCTGGCGTTGGTACCAGCTGTTTTTTTGCACGGCATATCAGAACGGCGCCAGAACCTCCAGGCCACGCGCGGCAAGACTTGCAGTTCCCACAGCCACCGCGACCAGCTCGTCGTCTCGTTCCCTCTCCCTTCCCAGCACGGGCTTGCGTCGTTCCTTGATCCCTGCCGGAGCGGACTGGGCGAATGATTATCCTTGCGGTGGTCAACGGTCTCCCGCCTGTCCCTGCACATGGCGAGCGCGCGCAGTCAGCACGAGTAATTAGCAGCAAAAAGAAAACCCGTCGCCGGCCTCGCATTATTCGGCGTCCCAAGCGTTTTGAAACTGGTAACATACGGAGGTACAGTACGACTCGTTCGCCGCCAGCGTCGAGCTGCTGCGCTGAGCCGTCCCTCTGAGTCGCTTGTCTCCCCCTTGGTCAGGGACAAGCAATACCGGCACCTGTTTTGCGTTGCACCCACTCCCACCAAAGTTCGGCCGGCGTGCAGCAAACAAATGGTCTGCTCCCCTCAGTCGTGCTCGACACAAGGCCTGATGCTGAACCAGCCGCCGTGTGGAGGCGCGCTGGACGCGCAAACCCGGCCACGACTGGAGCTGGTGGGCCGTTCTTGGCTTCTCGAGAATGGAAAATAAGATCCCACTATCTGCACTGCTACTTGCTCGTCCAGCTACGCTAGCAAAGTACCGGCATTTCCTCCCAAGCTGAGTTACGAGTCCGGCTTTTGTGGCGAACCGGGCAGTCTTCCCCTCTTGGGCCTTCTTCGGCCCTTCGAGAACGGCACCTTTCTCCATCGACGATGCGTGGCTCGCAAAACTCATCCATAGCCAGCTCATGTTGACAGAGCGTCAGGATGGTACGCCGATGGTACATCACACGCTCGAGAGGCGACCGAGACATGCACATGACAATGCACGGACGCAAGACGTCACTGCTCGGTCTTTGCATGCAATCTGGATCGTCTTCAGCATTTTGTACCTTATCTGGTCTACCCAGCCTGACGGATGTCGCATTTGAGATGGGCGCAAAGGATTTAGTTTGCGGGTGCTTCCCGTCGGTCCACAAAGTACAATGAAGAGTACCCGTATCGTGGGGAGGCTTGCGGAATCCACGACGGCAGCTCCGTGTGTAGCTACTTTCGAAGAAGAATAGTCAGACCAGAGTCAGAATAGCCACTCCTTATTTTATTCTTCTAAAGCGATGCAAGTTACGAGTCAGTTGCAGTCAAGAGGCACTGGTTGGAGGAGAGACTGCAAACAAGTGATTATATCTCGCAACGCCCAATGATTGGTTTCACATTAAACGTTCGGCACATAGTCCCGGACAGGCTGGAAACGACGGTCTGCAGTATCCTAGGCAGCCTGACCACAGACCTTCCGCACTTCGTGTGTGCGGTGTGGAAAATGAAGTAGCAGCTCGTGAATTTTTGGAGACGTGGTACGATAGCTGACGGCATAGTACCTGTTTGGCTTATCGTCGTTCCAGCCGTGGCTTGAGTTCGTAGCTCTGTCAAGCGGATGCACCCACTGCGCTGTTCCACCATCAGACGCGCCATTTACATGTCCTTTTTGATACGAATGCATGCTTTGACGCTCCCGCGCTATCTGCGATGCTGTTGAAACGTTTCACATACGGCCGTTCAAATACATATAGATCAGTTCTTCTGTTCTAGGCAAACTCAAGCCATAGTGTAGCGAATCCGCTCAGAAACTATCGACTGTGAGGCTGCGTGGGCGTCTGTGTAGCGAGCGCAGTTCGGCGTTCCTCGACTGCATATCTCACGTTCGATTGCATCGAAGGGCTATTCTGCGCCATTGTTTAGGCCGATCAGAAGACGGTGAAGCAGTTCACAATAATTGGCACGGCTCCGCCTGCTTCTAAAGTCCCTTCTCTTCTCCACGTCACGTCTCATAACCACGAGACGATGTTCTGCCAAGATTCAGAGCTGGTTGATCCAGGAAATCATGGGTCGCATTGTCTTCGTTCACTTTGGCAGTGATCGACCCCGTCGATACCCAGTGCATCTCATTACAATAGCATGCCACCACCCATGTTCCCTGCGCCAAAGGCGTCCTCAACCCTGGTACACGAGTTGAACTTCTGAACTTGCAGCCTCGGGGTTTACTGTAAAGGTTCTAAGACCAAACGATGCTCTGCACGTGGGGTTTGTGTTGCCCTGTACTGCAGAACCAACGCTTTGAAAACGCCGCCACAAGATAAAACCATCCAAGAGTGGGATCTTGATATCCCATCCAACCCCATCGCGATTCTCAAACGGCCCATTTTGATTTTCATTATGAAAGGGAATAATGCGGCGCGGAAACAGTTGTGCGCCTGTTCCCTGGTTATCATGGTCATGCTGCGAACGACTCAACTGATCACGCCTTGACTGCTCCTTTTGACGAATCATCAACCTCTCAGAGCGTACGCCTCCACTGGTATTTGGCTCAAAAATTGATGCAGCCTCTACGTTGGCTTGCGGCGTGGTGTTGTCTTTGATCATTTTCGCCCACTTCGATTTTCCAACGGCCGCGACAAGCGACAGACTCTGGATCACTTCTGCAGGCGGGTGACCACCAACCACATCGACAATCTCGCCAATCGCGCACGATCAAGATGCCAGTCACGAGGTTCAGCGGGCTCCACACTGATGCAAATCTCGTTGAGCAAATTTCGTCTTCGAGAAGTTGACTTTTCCGTCTTTAGCATCAAGTATCAATGCACCAGTTGTCAAACCGTCGAACTTTGGATAACGTTTTGCGAGCCCTCCTCGCTATTGGGCATCAAGGGTCGGTTTCGTAGGGTCACTCGATGATGGGCGAAATTCCATTCACCCGAGTTGGAGCAGCTCGGTCGATATCGGTGAATATTCCACTGGTTTGACTGGAACCCAGATCTCTGGGATCCCAACGATCGTCGTTCTCGCAGAGGACCAAGCCGCGTCCGTACTTTGAAGCGCCTCCTTCATGCAGATCGCTCGAAACAGGCCGTTAGCCTCAAAAGTCTCAAGACGTGCGTCGTCACCTTTGATCAGCGCGCTCTCGACTTTACGAGGCCAGCCTCACTACCGCAAGTTTGGAATTTCATCGGTACCTTGCAGGCTTTCCAGCCCCCATGAGAGAGGAGTGGGAAGCGGCGCCGCCGTGGCATCCACGGCAACACCACCTACCTCTAGCCTCAACTCCGTAGTTTCAACGAACTCAACGCGAATGAGCAACAAGCGAATCGGTCTGCTGGCAGAGCGCATGGGCAGTCAACTTGTCTTTTACTATTGCATACTGTACGAACTGCACGCATAAAGGCCCGCGCGACGCAGCTGTTGAATATGTGCTGTTGCCTGCATGTGGTAAGAGTGGCACAGCGCGTGACCGCGAGTGAATCAAAGGGTGCATAAATAATATTCCGTGTCTGCCCTGGCCGGCGGAAATCTCCATTCCTTTGTGTCCACCGCTCTTTACCCCTCTTGTCACTCTGGTTCATGCGTTGCCCTCTTCAGCCTGCCCTCGACCACATGTGCGCCTCAAAAGGAGGAGTCCAGCCTCACCTTGTTCCGCTTCTCGTGGCTGTCACGTTACCGTCCTCTCATGCAGTCATTGCTGGATGAGAGCAGGGAATGGCTCAGATTCGGGTCAGAAGATCTCGTTTTGACATGGAAGCCTTCCCGAACAGCCGTCATTGTTGTGGCCCAGTAATCAAACAAGCACACGAAGCGCCCCTTTCCTGAGGCACATCTGCCCATTTGCCTGATTTTTGGATTCTTACCATTGAATTAAAAAGCGAAGTTTGAAAGGCGGAAGACCGCCTCGCCTCTCACGTTTTGGGACCCAATTAGGCACCAAGACGGCTCGTCAAGACTGCAATAATATTTATCACAATGCTCTTCTGCAAACTTTGTAGGGTTCAGACATTTGCGCGGAAGCCAAAACTCGAGCTAAGAGCTTCGAGCTTCACACACTATTGGTCGCCTAGGGACGGAACGATAGTCCGTCAACGTGCGAGCAACCAGCGATTGCTTTTTCGTCGTGGCAGTTTTGACATGTGGTGAGTTTTTGTGATCCGTCACCGTTTTATTCCACGCTAATACACTTTTACTCGTAGAGTGTACCAAGTAACTTTCCCCAAATTTGGCAATTCTTGTGATGATCGCGCTCTCAATACGATCATTCTACCGACCATTGATGATGATGATGAACGAAAACTGTTAAAACGCGCTAGGGCTGCCGACCATTCGCGCTTCTGACAGGGTGTCCGCTTAAGTTTGCTACCGTCTGATAGCTCGTTGATGCGTTTGGAGTCGGTGTGATGACTTTCGTTGACTCCCTGGCCATCATTCGGGTAAAATTGCGAGTCTTTAGCCCATTGGAACTCCCGGATAGCACCGGCTTCAATAGGCTTCACGCAAATTTATCAGCCAGGACCCTGTCATGGAAGCAGATCTTCACCATGAAACAGACTTCTCAGGCTGGACTGCTCAGGATGGCCCCTGGTTTTGGGTAGCACCGAAACCCGAATGACTGACGTTTCGTCCTCCACGGTTGCTTGCAAGCCGTGTACGTACGATGATGTACATCAACCATACACTCGGCCGATCAATCTGCGTATCTACTACTTAGACTACGATGAAATTGTAAATGGCACATCTCAAATATACTTACGCTTCCATCCATGCAGAAAATCGCGAGGTTGGACACGAAGAAGAGTCTCCCGTCGTCCGCCAGCCTTAATCTATCAAAGAAGAGTCCTTTTCGTCTCCCATCGAACACGGACGGCTTTGGGCCGCCTAAGCGTCCTGCTCACGAGGGGAGCGGCGTGCGCACGTACCTTAAAACGCACGTTAAAGAACCACCACAGCCTCAAGGCGAACAGAGCTCCGAGACACGGACCGACTGACAACCAGCTGGATGAACACATGAATGACTTGCATGTTTACAGCAGAATCTGTGTCCAAGCGTGAAAGAAAAACAGGTCAATGCTTTTCATCATTATGAAATCATGAGGAGAGTGGAATGCTCGTGTGGTACATGCCAGCCGTTTACCACATGCTGTGTCCCCACTTCGAGGGCTTCTCGATGCAGGCACTTCCCTACAGGCTCTTTCCGCCTTGACTCTTGTCGTCAATTTTTTGCATATGCACGTATATTGGACACACTGGTGACACCGCAGTGATCAGAGCTCCTCACATTTTGCTTACTCCTAGTGGCGCTGGGGCACCGACTCGTGATGTTGTGTCTCATGATACATACATTTGCCGCTATTTGTGTCAATACCCTCGAGGGAAGTCTTCTGCATGCAAACCCCTAAGAACGCTTAGTCGACCTATTGCTCAAGTAATACGAACAGAGAGTCTCTTTCAGGCTTGTTTCCTAACACCGTATTTTAAGCTTCCGTGGTATTGTCCACAGCATGGTATCTTCTGTAACATCCTGCCCCACCTCCTCTCACAAACAGTTTTCTCTCATACCATATTCCTTCGTAATATCAGCTTGTTTCTAACAAGCAATTCTCCGTTTCATGCCTTTTCGTGCTCTATAGCAGCCTCCCTCGTATTTCGGATCTCCCATTCAAACTCTTTGAGAGCCCTCAGCTCACTGCTAACAAAGAATCCTCCAATCATGCCATCTATCATGCCAGCGGCGAATCCTAATGTGCTAAGAACCATGAGTATGAAGCTAACGAAGTTTCTCGGGCTCCACCAGACTGCAATAAAGCAGCCGATCGCTACAATCGTTTCTGCGGCGAAGTGAAACAGACGCAGCCGTCTCTGCCGACGCTCGCGAGCAACATACTTGTGTATCATGGCCAGTATCGAGTCATAGGTTTGCACGGACAGATATCGGGGTTCGTCAAGTCCGCCACTGAACAACAGGCGATGTGTTGTGTTACCGATTTCTTTGTCGACGAGGCCGTCCTCTAGCTGAGTAATGGTCGCTTCAACAGAAAAGTGGTCGCTAAGCGAACAGTTGAGTTGAGGATGGCGCTGTGTCATTCCTACGCGGACTTCTTTCACGGCAGTACGCTGCAAGGCATCGCCGAGAAAGATGTAGTCCAGTCGCTTAGCACGGGGGTCATCTGTTGAGGGATCAATGATTATATTCTCTCCTCTTGACAGACGCTTCTGCTCGGGCTTATTCCACCGCCATGTATTAAGTACGCTGTCGCACGTCGCACCATTCTTCTGGATATTGAATTCTGCACTAGGCATTGGTTTTCCCCGAGCCTTCTCTACCTCGTCTTGAGCTGCGCCAATTGAAGAATCAGGGTGATGTAACCGCCATACATCCTGAGCGCAGCCATGGGTCTCGATAATCTTGTGAGCCAATGAGAGGGGTAGCATGTTGAAGTCACCCATAGCAAGAACGATATGGCCTTTTGCGTAGGCGTCACGCATGAGACGTGATATTTCCCACGCTTGCGCAGTCCGATGGCAGATGTATGAATCATTCGGCTCCTTCTCGTAGGGAGCATGTAGCTACACAAAAATGCTCTTAGCGCTCACAAAGTTTAAACGACCTGGTGATTCTCTTACATGAGTACAGAATACAGACAAATATCTCCCTTTCTCTAAGCCATCACTTAAACGGATCTTTGCACATGCGACACCTTTACCAACAAACCAGTCTCCTCTGAAGAAGGCGGTTGGCCTTCCATTTAGCGTGTAACGGAACATGTTGCTCGACTCGATTGGCCATTTCGAAAGAATGGCGAGGCCGCCGCCCATGATACCACTAAAGTAGAATTTTCCATACGGAAGTATGTCTTTCGTCTGTTCTCTTATGCTGTTGTAGTCCTGTTGCGTCCAACATTCCTGGAGAGCTACGATTGCGGGTGCGGGACTGGACGATGCGATCTCGGCGCCAATTCGAGAAAGTCGTTCATGGCGATGCGCTGCAAGGTACTTGAGGCCCCAGCAGTTCAGTGTAAGTACATGTAGAGGCTCAGGCATTGTTGAGGAGGTATTTGCGACCATCTGTTGGGGATGGAATCTCGTCGTTTAGCTGTGTAGGCAAAGCTTTTAAGGAGTGACATCAGAGAGGCGCGTGTCGCGTTCCTTGTCGCAGGGTCGTTGCTCGGCCACCCTCATCACCTTTTTTTTGTCGCAATCTAACACAGCATCCCGCAATACATCTCAGTCTCTACACAAGTGCACAGCCTACCTGCTGTGATCTTCCAGCCTCGCATATATGCATGACTCGATGTATATGTGATTACACACGTCCCCAAGATGGCGTCTCCTACACCAACGACGGAGAACCTTACATCAGAACGAGCCCGCCGCGACGAAGAACGGGAAGTGCAGCTGGACAGGAGACACTACAGACTCAGCGCATCTCCATCACATTCACGGTCGAGCCGGAGATCTAGATCACCTTCTCAGTCACGATCGCGTCGAAACTCACGATCTCGATCAGCCTCAAGCCACCGCTCTTACAGAACACCCGAAGAGACATGGGATCGCCCCAGTGAGGTACATTACGCTCCGGCACTCATCTTGAGGGGACACAAAAGAGGCGTCTCGTGCGTTAAATTCTCTCCTGACGGCAAGCGGATCGCCAGCTGTTCAGCTGATGGGACAATCAAGATATGGGATGCAGAAACAGGCAGGTTGGAACATACTTTGGAAGGACACATGGCCGGCATTTCATGCATAGCATGGAGCCCAGATTCCACAATCCTGGCGTCAGGATCCGACGATAAGGTCATACGCCTTTGGGACGTGATCAAGGTACGTCAAACTCTCACACATTCGGCTTGGGCCAAGCCGCCAATTTCTCTGACGTGAATGACGTGCAGGGCAAAGCGGTCCCGACGCCGTTTCTTGGACATCATAATTACATCTATTCGCTGCAGTTCTCACCGAAAGGTAACATGCTGGTTAGCGGCTCCTACGATGAGGCGGTGTTCCTGTGGGACGTGCGCTCAGGACGCGTGATGCGGTCCTTACCTGCGCACTCTGATCCAGTCAGTGGCGTCGACTTTGTGCGGGACGGCACACTAATTGTGAGCTGTTCCAGCGATGGGCTCATGTAAGTCTCTCTTTTGTCCATGTACCTGCCCCCCATTCGCATCAAAAGTCCTTTCGGAAGGTAGCTGACATGTTGTGATACATTATACAGTCGGATATGGGACACGGCTACGGGACAATGTTTGCGAACGCTGATTCACGAGGACAATGCGCCAGTCGTTGGAGTCCGTTTCTCTCCTAATGGGAAGTACGTTCTAGCGTGGACTCTGGACAACAGTATACGCCTATGGAACTACGTAGACGGCCGATGTGTCAAAACCTACCAGGGCCACCGTAATGAGAAGTATAGTATTGGTGGCTGCTTCGGCACGTACGGACCAACAGCCGCACCTTTTGCTTTCATAGCATCAGGTAGCGAAGACGGCAGCATATGGATGTGGGACGTTGGCACCAAGACAGTGCTTCAACGGATTGAGGCCGCTCATGATGGCACCGTCTTCAGCGTGGATACGCATCCCGAGCGGCCGTGGCTCGTGAGCGGGGGGGCTGATCGTACAGTCCGGGTGTGGCGACGCAACGATTCGCAACGAGGCGGAGCATAAGATAGATCACATTCTTTAATTGCTGGCTGACTCTTTGAAGCGATCATTGGATGAGTGTTACGGGCCAATGACATTCTGCATGGCCAAGATTTCAAGCTGAGAAGGCCAAAGATAACAGTCTACATCACCATTTTACGGTCAAAAGATAGAGGCTTTCTCTTAGTGGCAATCCTTTTCGCTTGTATGCAATGCTTTGGCATGCAGAGTCTCCGGCGGCAGGAATAGAGGCTGTGAAGGCTACGGAGCCGTCCTCCGTTATCAGATCAGACATCCGAGACGAGCCTCTCGAGAGAGACGACAAAGGTACCGAACCTGCGGAGTTCTATACCAAAAGTTCTGCTTGCGGCAGAAAGTAACCACGGTCGGGAATCGTTACCTGTTCTTCAAATGACAGCCGTCCTCAACGTTTTCCAACTGTCGGGCCATGCACGCCATGTCATCCCGCGCAGAAACTGGTACTTTTGTGATCAGAAAAACGCGCATGGAAGGGAATTCTAGCAGCGACCGCTGCCGCCACAGCTGGCTTGCGGAAAGCTTGCATCAAATGAGCCACGCGGGACAGGCCGCGTGATTATGTGAGAGCGGTAACATATTGACCCAAAAAATATCTGAACGTTATAAGTTTCAACCGTACAACAGGTATCTAACCCAGTATGTTGTAACACCAAATGCGCTTTTGTTTTTTCATCTGATGCGTTCGTTCTGCTCTCCATTCAGCTGTCTGCTCTTCATTGTGGCAAATTGCTAGATAACATCTTCGCCAGAAGCGGCGCCCTGCCCCTTACTCCATCTTCCGTTTCCCCGCTATGTAGGGAATTCCAGACATGCCGCCCAGGGCCTAGGGAAAAAGCAAATTTATTAGATAAGTCTGTACGCGCAGTGCGTCGTATTGGTTAAGGTCTACCACTTTGCATCCTCTCTCCCTTCAAAAACTGCAAGTAGGACGAATTACAACATATTGCTCAATCCCCTCTTCTTCTGGCGAATCAGAATTCCGAATCATGTGTCTTTTTCCTTGCTCGAAGCTCTCTGCCCATCGTTAACCGTTCAAAACCGACGACCTTGTGCCCTTTTGTCAACCGCGGAGTTGAAGCCGAAAATCTGAACAAGCCAGATTCACACCCTGGCTCGGCTTGTTCCTTTCGTGTAACCTGATTCCCCTTGAGTGAGATGTTGGGCAGTCCCTTCGTGTGACCTGTCGAAAGGCAACATGGGTGAAAAGTACCGCCTTTGCTTTCCTGCTACGCTGAAAAATAAAAGAAAAACTCGTGGGAGAGGCGCGGCTGCCGATGAGGAAATCATTCGCCCGAATAATCCATCGACAACCGCTAGATATCGGGACCCACGTTACAGAGGCCAAGGTGACTTGTCTACTTGCACAAGCAAGTGCGGAATGTCGAAGTACTGACACGTGAAGCTGCGGAGCATGAAGCAGTCTCTGCCTAGAACGTTGCTACAGGGGCTTGGGATGAATGAATAATCATTTTAAGGGATTTATGACGCTAAACATTCAAATTAAGATTCAGATATTGAGTACTGAAGAATGAATGTCTGATATCTTGTATCACGTGATGCACCGACATTCATCTCTCTGAGCACTCTTACTCCAAACCTCATTGATTTCCCCTGTTAGATGCACATCTTCCTATATCGTGAGAAAATTCACGAGAGAGATTTTGTGTCTTAATACTATTGCGTTAAAGAAGCCTGTTCCATTCGTTTGAATTTAAGTCAACGGACAGAACGTCTCAACAGTTAGACACAATACCCTAAATCACCTTTGGACTTTAAGACGATATTGATTTGCAGAGTGTTTAATGAATATACGCTCTAAACCTTTTGGCCTCAGCGGCGCGTTTAGTGGCAGAAAGTCACGATAGTGACAAGAGCCGCATGAAATTTTGTAAAGTATCAAGCGCAAATCATAGCTGTATAAATGCTCAAGTTGACTACAATGTGAGCTATTACTCAGGAGTGGATGAACGTCGTGGTAAGACACGTCAAAAAACTACAGTACGCCTCTGAGAGCACGCATCCTCGATGTATACGTGAGACATTCTAGCTTCAGAAAGACAATATCATTCTGTGATACTACTCGTCTTCGAACTGTTAAATGATCTAAAGCAAGCAAATCAGGCACGCCGCATTGTGGCCTAGAAATCATATACATAGTCTCCAAGCACGACAAGACGTTTTATACGTATTATATATATATATATATATGAATATGTACCAGGCAGGACATGATCAACTGCACTTTGCAGCAATACAGATCTCATTCGCAATGCCAAATGTCTCATGACTAGAATCAGGACTAACCATTCATTTCGTTCTATACTTGTGAACGAATGAACCTTCAAAAGATATCTCGAGCCGAGGGAGATTTTCGAAATCGTGGATAATATCTGGGCTTTCAATTTGAGACTACCATCAAGCCAAAACTTGAATATATGAAATTTCATATATCTATTGCGCGTCGTATCAGTACATAATACGTTATCAATACAAGCATTGTAATGCGTGTATATCATTTGGTTCTCCAAAAGCCTCTAATCCAAGCAAATGAATCTGAAATCCGAATCGTAAGTTTCTCCGTAAACTCTTTCATGAACTCAATGCATCATATCAGCTCCCCATCTCCCTCCTCCGCTCCCTGATCGTCCTCATCCCAGTCCATATCCTTCTCCGCTTCCTCTGCTAGTCTCTGTACTTCTGCCAATCCGCTGACCGCCTCGACCCAGCCTTTCTCGTTGATTGCTCTCTTCACAAAATCCCAGCCGTCCTGCTTATATCTCTCCACGATCTTCTGAGAACATGCAGAGCAATGCTCATATGGCCGACCTTCGACACTTATATTGTTCCAAGTCCCTAAAAATCCACGAATCTGATGTGGCACGCCACCTAAGGGATGGGAATAGACCTGCGTATTGGGTTGCTTCGTTTCAGTCTTTCGAGAATCGGTGGTGTGTGGTGCTCGTGCCCGTAGAGGATGCTGTAGGATACTGACGAGTAGCTCTACAAGCATAGCCGACGCTATGGGCGCGATGCCTGGTCTTGTCACCGTGCACTGCTGGTCTAACGTTGCATCTCGAATCGAATCAGCGGGGGCAACAACATCATTACAGAAATAGCAGCCAAGCTCTGTTTCCTCATCTCCCCTCGCAAGCAATCCGTGCCGCATCACGACAAAGGAATCAAATCCTAAAGCAGCATTCATGACGATTTTGTTAGCGGCTTTCCCCATTACCGTGGGAAGCCACCGGGATTCTCTCGTATCGAGTAGCAGGAAAATGACATCGTGGCTCTCGATAAGCAATCTCAACTTATCAAACTCTCCCTTGACAACCGCTTCGTCGAGAATTGGATGACCGGCCATGGGCACGGACATGACGTGACCTTCAGCTTCAACTCCGGGATAGATCTCCTTAAGCATTTCAGCTGCCCGAATGGCTTTCTTCGCGCCTCCGTCGAGGCAATCCTTAAAGCTAAACAACGGTTGTCTCACAGGGTTTGAGAATGACACAGTCGCATTGTCCACAAATGTTATTTTGCGGACTCCCCATCCCATCAAATTACGTGAAACGTAGGATCCCAGAGTTCCTGCTCCGAGGAGCAGACACGAGACATCCTTTACAACGTCGAGATTGATATTTGGTGCTATGCGCCATTTGATTAGCTTGAGATTCAGATCCACAGCCTGGTCTGCCAATCTTGTAGGGTCCATGTAAGCAGCCAGATCCACAGTCCTGCTCGTCAGTTTTCCCGTATCCGTGCGCTCCCAGCCAGTGACTTTCGGCATTGGTGGTGCTTTCCTTGATCCACCTGGTGAGTACTGCGGTTCTTCGCCAACAGAGTCGGTCTGCAGTCGTAGAATCAGACTGTTGGCCTGGTCTCGTCGAGCATGTGTATCCCTGTAGCAAAGGATTTGAACAGAGGTCAAGCGCCAAAGTTGCCGAATCAGTACGAGGAGATTACGGAGCTGCCAACCTGGATTTGATGGGTAGGTGGAGGGATCTGCGAAGCATATAAACTGATCTGCCGCATCCACGCCGTCGAAAAAGCCATCCTTAAATTTGGATAGCGAGCCAATGACCCACTGAAAGCCGAGCTCATCTTGCAATCCAGGGGTTTGCGGTGTCTTTTGTGGTCCATCTTCTTCCTCGTCCTCCTCCACCTCCTCATGTTTTGAATCCTTTTGGGCTGAAAATTTATGAACTCTTTTTGCAAGAAAGAAACCATGCTGTCTCGCATCCACACCATACCGCCATGTCTGCACGGACTCAACCAGCAGCGTTGTCTCATTTTTCTCCAGCCTCTGGTTCACGTTTGAGTCGTCAACGATCTTCCAAGCTGGGTCTGAGTGCAGCGCAGGGAATGCGAAGTGGTAGGTGAACTTGTACTTTTTGAGGTTCGCGAAGGAGAGTACGTAAAAGGAACACAAGAGAGAAGGACACGAGTAGATGGTCTCATCATGAATAGCCTCCCAAATCGTGCGACCGGCGAGTTCGACAACAGATGAGCGATCGGCGTTCTTATACTCTTCGATAGTGTTGTAGTTCTTGATGTAACCCTCAGCGCGATAGTAGCCTCCCGGAGCTCTGCGTGCAATCAAAGTGAGTCTCAGATCGCCAGCGAAGGGGTGGAAATTAATATACGTACTCATCTGTGGTAAGAGCTGTCGAGTGAATTTGCATACGAGCACTGCGCTCTGGCTTGTCGCCGGGCTTCAACTCGTATAAGCCCAGAACCTTACGCGCCGAGTCATCGAGGCGGTCTTTGTCAATCTTAAGCGAAGCTAACGTGGCATAGAATGCAAGCTCGATGTCCGAAGACCAAGGGGCGAACTGCAGCGGTTTCATGGCTTCGTTTTCTGTTCGCCTTAAATAACGAGTGTATTGCGGAGAGAAGATTGGAAAACGCCAGGTAGAGCGCGGGACTGTTGCTAGTTATGTGGACTACTAATCAGACATGGTTTGAATACTCGAGTGAATGACTGTACAGGTGTCTACGAATTTGGCTCACGGGATAGCTGTCGAGGCCCTTAGGCTATCATGCGCAGGAGGAGCTGTCGCATGTGGTGCCTTGTGTTGGTACCTCAGGCGGGGCTCATTCAAAACTCCGGGCCAATCATATGCTTGGGCGCGTCTATGTCGCTTGCTAGCCCCAACTATTTGTAGGACAGGCCTAACTTCGATTTCGACAACATGCGCCGTCTATGATTGAAGGCTTTGGCTATGGTACAGTATTTTTCTTTCCTGTTGGCACATCTGAAACTGAGGCGTTTACGTGATATAAGAGAAGCTCATATGCTTTGTTTCCAATCACATGCTCCGGCGGAAGTTAAGATATACGTGTTAATTCTTACCCAACTTCCTAATAATGCGTCGTTCTGATATGATGTGGACAATGTATTGACTAGATATCTTGAGCTAATTGACAAGAAATCAAAAGCAGCAAGTTAAACGGTACTGTAAAAAGTTGCATCGTGTTGTCGATAGCAAAGTATACAGCATGCTACAGTTTGCATGAAAAATACGAGATTCATATTTCGTTGGATCGCCAGGTAGCCTTTAGACTTTGTGCATAGCACTCCGCAAGTATTTAAAGATGGCCTCGAAAGTTTTGAACATGGTAGGGGTGACCTATTCGGTGATCAATGATGTGCGATTGTCTAATGTTATGAGCGGAGAACAAAAAAAAACTTGCAATTATCACAAGTCTGCAGAGGCAGTCCTAAATTATCCACCTTCTCTGTGCTACGAACCACAAATTGTTTTATCTGCGTGGTCTTCTCGGAATAAGAATCAACTGTAAAGTCCGGAATTGGACATCAAATGCGAACCCAAGACTCAGGCCGCTAGTCTCTTGCACTAAGAAGTTGGAATTTCAAGGTCGACTGCGTATCTTTAAGGCTTTCCTTAATGTTAATCGGCTGGCAATGTACTAACACTAAGCAATAATTTTTAACGACATCGTATTGACATCGTCATCTACATTTACAATTTAACAGCGCAAGCCGATGTCCACCTTGGATCTTCATGTAGCACATGTAGAGCAGCCTGAACTTTATCGCTAGCAAGAAATTCTGCAAAATTGCAAGTTCCATACTCGTCACTGGCGCAGCCAGTAGGGCTCAGGTCAAAGTTTGCTTCGTTTAACAGAAGCTGGATTCTCAACTCCCCATCGCAGGACAGACTTGTCCAGAACATTTGCGCAGCAAATGGTACCTGCTTAGACGTTCTCCAGGATCGTGTTGCATTAATCGGTCCTTTTGTGGGATAGTCACGATCCGCGGCGAGTCCAAGAGCGGTTAACCCAAGATCGATTGTCGTGTCATGGCCGAAATTCAATGACAAACTGGGGCCTGAACTGTTTTGTAAAAACTCAGTCATGTTAGAAACAAGGAGGCTGCCAATGACTGTGCCCATGTCATTGGGAAGACCGTATCCGAAGGCACCTCGCATGAGAAGATCGTACTCATACTCGTTCTGCAGTATCTCTTCCGGAAGGAAGACATTGCACCAGGGTGACGAACCAATGCCATAGACAGCTGTTCCGTAGACACAGGCATAGAACATGCCATGCACATGTGTCGCTGTAAAGTTGACAGAAGGGTAGGCTGGAGCTAGCAAATCGTTGATACGGTTGGCAATAGGCGGCAAATAAATTGCACCCCATTCTGAAACCAAGGCACCTCCGTAATTGTACTCCCAGCCCTCACACGTGTTCATAGGTGTGATCCAAGATATTGTCTTATTATTCTCCGGGATTCGATTGAGTATTGCAGTAGAATTCACCGAGCGACCGTAGTAGCCATCCATGAACCACATGGCAGATTCAACAACACGATCTTGGTCCCCAGCTAGTACGTAGTTTGTTGAAAGCTCTGGATATTTGAGCTTCAACGCAACACCGTGGTCGAAAAGCTGTTGGCGCCCAACGGCAGAAAGGTCATTGGTCGTGAACGTGCTTTTCCATCCTTTGGAAAGAAAGACAAATCCAGGGGATAGCTTCTCTTGCGGCGATGAAAACATATCTGTGTTGTTGTTGACATAGTATGAAAGATCCTGTATGACCCCGATTTCGTCTGATAAAGGTTGTCGGCTTCCATGGCGGTGGATGAGAAACCCTTTTTCGACCGTACACCCTGGTGGCACGCCTGACTTTACCGAAGCTGGAGTGTTTTCTGGCACAAAATAAGGCGATAGATTACCAAAATGTTTATATATATTGATGGTGGGAGAAGAGCCCGACGGTGTCGCGAATGCGATGGCCGGTGGAAGCCACAGTATCTGTTTCCAAATCTTCATGACCGTGACGACGGCGACGACAGCAAAACCAATCCAACATCGGTGAATCAAAGAGTGCTTATCAGCATTTATACTAGCAGCGAATTTCTGCGGAGACATGTCGTTAGTCCACTGGTTCGTAGCTTGATTGATGCTTCGTAGATCAAATGCGTACCTTCCCTTTCGGGCAGGAGGTCGTGTGCTCACATCTCGTCATTGGCCCACATATGACTGCTAATAACGGCTTCGGTCAAGAATACTACTTCCGTGCGATAAGAAAGTACGATGCTAGTCCTAAATTCTAGGGCGGGATTTTGCAAAAGAACCAAAAGTCGATAGTTAATTCTTGCGCTCTCACACAGGGTCTTGAGACGAATAGCTGGACGGTTGATTAAAATGCAGCGCGAAGGGACTTAAAAATTTCCTTCACGGTGCAGGTGACGGCATCGCATAACGTCCCTGCATGTCAAAAGAGAGTTAGTGCTGTCCTTGACACACACATGATGCCTCTTCATTGATTCACAAGGCGCAAAGCAATTCCTGTTTGGGCCGAACCGGTTCATCGAACGGACTTGATCGCAGGTTGGTTAGTCCTAAACTAACGAAATACGCGGAAGGGCGGATGTTCACGATTTTGCTTTATTGTGCAAACTATTCCGCGAAGCGAAGGGAAAAAAACTCAACGATTATATTCCGTTTTCCTTGTTCCTGTCTCTATACTACCACATCAACTGGAAAGGTTTTCATAGCAAGTTTTGCTAGAAGGCACCGTTCTAACTTATTTTTTTTTTTAAAAAAAAGGAATGTGATGTTGTTCTGAATCGCTATGGACAACGATGGTTACATTTTCTTTTCCAACTATAAATGTGACTTCCGACTCTTCAATCTGCGATCAGACCCCAGAGTCTCTCCGAGTGGTCCTCCTTGTCATTATGACATCTAGCTTGCCTAGAGTCAAGGTAAATGTATCCATTGTCTTATTTTCAATGGTCGTAAAGTCCTCGCCTGGAGCTGCTACAACATCAAACTTGTGAACAATGTTTGCTGCGACTGCACGCATTTCCATCATAGCCAAGTTGTTCCCGATGCATTTATAGGAGCCCGTGCTGAAAGGGATAAATGCTCTCCTATCATAGATCCACTCGGCTTGCTGATCTTCCAACCAACGTTCAGGCCTAAAGACAGTTGCTTCTTTGAAGTATCTTGGGTCCCGTTGAATGGTATGGATTGGCTGCCAAATAATTATGTTGCCTGGGATATACTTATCACCAATAGTAATCCCTTCTGGAGGCGTTTCGCGCTGTACACCGGATGGGACTGCTGGGTGAAGTCTAAGGGTTTCGTTGATGAAGCCGTCTAAGAGTGGGATGTTGGCAACGTCATCACAACTGAGGAGGTCTTTGTCTCCAACAGCATCATCTACAACCTTCTGGAGCTTCTTAAACTGCGCGGGATCTTTGGTCAATTCATAGAAAAGCCAAGTCAAGGTAGCCGCAGTCGTGTCGCTCCCAGCGACAATGACAAGTCGAGCATCTGCATTGAGGTGAAGGGGAATGCCTTCGTCATTGGGGTCGAGAAGATGACTGAAGATGTCTTGTTCAGCTGGTTGGGTCTGTTCATATCGTCAGTTGCTCTGCATTTTGAAACGAGCCTAAATAGGATTACTTTTTTCCGTTCCTTGAGAACGTCTGAAGTCCATTTCATAAAGTTTCTGAGATCTTTTTGGATGATGGGTAATCGCAGCATGATGCTTGTCACCCATGTGATGTTCCGGAAAAGCCCAAGACCAACCATGGAAGCGTGCAGTGTTTTGATGAGTTGGTCCTCTTCGCCTTTTTCCAGCATTCCAAAACTCTTACTGAAGCCAATATCACCCATCACATCGAAGCTATAGAAGTTCGCCCACTCATTAATGTGGATGGTCTTACCGACGCGATCGTCGAGCTGTTGAATCAACATTGCTGTGTGTCGGTTGATGCGCGGCTCGTACTCGCGAAGAACTTTAGCATTGAAAGCTTTGTCCCAAATTCGGCGACGTTCCCGGTGATCTTTTTTGTCTCGTGTGGTGTGCAATGAAAAGCCTTCGACATGCTCTCCAGCTCCGTACCATAACCCTTTTCTGCATTTTGTACCAACCCCATGAATAACTGGAATAGCATTCACATCGGCAATCGACAAATCTCGAGGGCCAAGGCGTACGTAGTCACCATATCGTTTATGAATCTTTTCCACCTCAACAAAATAGCGGATTTTAGGAACAGTTAGAGCAACGTTATAGAAGTTGGTGATCCGGGCCATGAACGGACCAGGGTACTTTCTTAAGCGATGGAAGAATGCTCTGTATATAACAATACTCGTGAAAAGCGTGCCGAAGTAGATCGCGTAAAACGAAGCCGTAGCAGACAAAGCCTGGCTCAATGTAGCCATACTTCCCGAGGCAACAAGAAGGTAGCTGAATGAGATGTAAACAAAGAACCAGAACATAATGAAGATATGAAACTGGTAGTCCGGTTCACCATGAGCGAGAAATAAGTGAGTGCTGAGACCTAGTACAATAGGCAAGCTCTTTGAGGAAACCACCATGTCCCAATTTTGGGCTTTGAAAGCAGCTGTGAGCTTCGTGAACTCAGCCCTCACCGCGTCCATGGTGTAGGTTTAATTTAGGCCCTTGGTCGAGCTCAGGTTTAGAAGTATGGGTACAGAGAGTATAAACGAATAATAAATCAAAGAAAATTGAGAAAATGGCTGAACTTGGGCCTTGGTTTTGTAGTTGAATAGGAATACTTAGCACAAGTGAACCACTCCATCACGCCGAGGTTCTCGCTCCTCGTTCGTAAACTTCAAGTCATTCAGTCGGTGGTACTTCAGCCTTCTACCAATTGGTCACGGATCCTTGGGGGGAATATCAAATGTTCGTAGATCCAAGAGGGGAAGTGTTTCAATGGGTGCTACTGCAACGACAGGGCAGCATGCATAAGTTGACTCGACTAATCTGACACCCAACCCCTTGTCAGAACAACACCTGGACTGCTCATCCGCTCGAGGCCTCAGCTATCAAGTGCAGTGACGAGAATATCGAGTTGATCAGACTCGAACTGGCTTTCGAAAATGGGAAGTCAAGCGACATGAACTCCCCGTGTCAGAGGACTGGGGTACCACTAATCTGTTTCGGGAACAACCCACTTCTTATGACTTGCATCAAGCGACAAGATCCGCCCGACTTTTTCTGGAGCTTTGTGGTGGATGATGAAACCAAATTGAGTAAGTTAGCCGATTTATCCAGGCTTGTCTTTCTCTTGATTTACGCGTTGCCTTCGGACACCCATGAATAAAGCTCAAAGAGCCCGGCCCATGTGGAACTGTGTGGCTACGTTATTGTTCGTTGTATCTGAACGTAAAATGTAAAATGTAATGAAATGTGCGTGCATGTGAGGAAGCCCTATAAGGCGAGTTAGAGGTTATTTTGAAGAGGTCGCCGCCTACAACTACTCCTGTTCCCCTTGTGAAGAGGGGGAGGCGCATTGCTGGTAGAGATCACCAACCGCCTGATAACAGGTGAGTGGGTTTGTAAGGCCGAGGGTCGGTAAGTGGTAATCCAGGTTTTCAGTTTCATTTGTTCTGGCGGCAATTGTTGCAAGGCCTGAGGACAGGAATGTCCGAGGAATCAGCTAATCGATTCCTGGTCACTGATTCGACTATCATCTCGTTCCGTTGTTCGCACGCTGTACAGGCTAAGAAGTTGGTACATCAAATTCGTAAGTAATTAGTTAAAAACGGTTTTGTACATTCCAATGATGTAGGTTCTCATTGCGCGGCATCACCCTGCAATCCCCTGCTGATTCTTTATTATTATCCCGAATCATTACGTGCTGTAAAATCGTTTATAAGGCTACGAGCTTGACTTTGTTTAGAGGCGCAAAGTTATTACTCTGAGGAGCTGCATGTATTCTACACTCATCTCAATAATCCTTTCTCCCACAATACTCACATGCATATTCTAATTCGATTGTTCAGCCTCTGTTATCGAAGCTGATTTTTACAAGCCTCTCTTGGTTGCGCAGTCTCTAAAGTCTTTGCGAGGAATGTCCCAATGTCATCAATTTAGTTCTGATGTACATTTTTCTCCACAATATGGTTACCTATTCCTCGCATCTTATAATCTATACCATGAAATTGTTGCGCATATTGTTGAATATTTCAGGCGACCGTTTCTAAAATGTCGCGTAATGATGTGGCTAAGATCATGTGTGAAGGTTATTTGAAGAGTGGAGCTGGTGGACCTAGTTCACTTAGCGCGCGTTTGACAATCTCATTTCGAGACTTTAGTCCAAGTATTCTGCTAATAAGTAGCGAAGATGCTAATTGGTATCTGTGGTGGTATGCTGTACGCTGATTCCGTCGTATGCATGAATTTCTAACTTTTGGCAATAGGCATCTGCTCTGGCAAGTCTTCTATAGCGTCATTTCTGGCCAAACATCATGGTTTCAAGAGACTACATCTAGATCGCACATCATCCACGCCAGCAGTTGAGAAGTCTGCTTCTAACACAACAGTACCTCAGAACGTAGAGGACGAAGCTGAAGACGTTTTGAGCTTTCAAACTGCAGATGCGCTGCTTGACTATGTCACGGCGCGATGGAGAGAGCACTGGGTTACAACGGATGTGTGGGATGAGAGTGTGCTTGACGTGCTGCTAAGGCGACCATTTTTCCTTCTTGTGAGTGTAGACGCACCCGTTACGGTCCGGTGGGAGAGGTTCAAGTTACGGTTTGTAAATACATCATGAAGCTGTACCGTGTTTGCTGAGACCTTACAGATGCTTAGCCAACAACCTCACACCTCCCTCCCTGGCTGAATTTGTACGACGGAACGACGAACATCTATATGGCCCGACACAGCCCCTTGCTCCTTTGCTCCATCGCGCACATCTACGCCTCCTCAACTCTACGCCTTCTCTCCCTGCCTTCTTCAATGCTCTCCAAGCCATTGATCTCCCTAATGAAGACCGTATCCGCCCAGTTTGGGATCAGTATTTCATGCAACTTGCCTCTCTCGCCGCCCAGAGAAGCAATTGCATGAAACGCTCTGTGGGCTGCGTGCTGGTGCGAGGCAAGCGTGTCATTAGTACAGGTTACAATGGCACCCCACGTGGTATGCGAAATTGTAATGAGGGAGGTTGCGCAAGGTGCAACGCCGCTAGTGCAAGATCAGGTGTCGGACTAGACACGTGTTTATGTCTGCATGCGGAAGAGAATGCATTATTAGAAGCAGGGAGAGATAGGGTGGGCGAGGGTGCAACCCTATATTGCAATACCTGTCCTTGTTTGACGTGTAGTGTGAAGATCGCACAGATTGGCATTAGCGAGGTCGTTTACAGCAACGCGTATAGTCTTGACACTGCAGCAAAGGCGATTTTTAACGAAGCAGGTCTCAAGCTGAGACAGTTTTCTCCGGTACGTCCTGTGTGCTTCGTGTTGCTAATCCACAGTGACTGAAGAAGAATAGCCAAAAGAGGGTTTGATTGATCTCAACGCGCAACTTCAATCACATATTCATGACTTAAACTCCGAGGAGTCCTAATATTTGTAACGATGCACCCTCGCACCTTCTAAAACGAACTTACACCATTGAAATAGAACGTATTCCACACACGCACCTGAGGCAATACTTATTCAATACCCAAAACCGGTGTCCGAGAAATTGGAGCCATCGTTTAATCTGTTGAAGAAATGCTTAAACTAACGAATGGGTGGAAAAAGACGGCGTAACCATGAGCCAGTATTCGTCAGACGCCGTCGAATAGATACGATATCTCAACTTTGCTGTTTTTTTTTTCAACTAATTCCAACCCTTCATATCATAGGACTCACTTGACATTACCCCGCAAACAAGGGGGCAGTTTTTCCTCCTTTTCGCCCCCGTGGAAACTGGATCGGGAATAACCGAATCCTTTACAAACATGAAGAAGTGCCCCACTATGACTCCAGTGTATTCGATCTGGTTAATTTCCATCTACTGTCGTTTGCTTACCACCACTCTAATGTATGAGGCTCTACTTCACCAACCTCTTGATCGTACGGTAGTTGCTAGCGCTACGGCAGCCACGATGGGTATCATCACCTCCATCCTAGTAGGCTCACTCGGGGCAACGGCGATTGTAGCCTTCGGACGCAAACTCTTGAAACGGAAAATGAAGCAACCTGACTTGAACGGAGAAACTGCATTGCAAAGGGAAGAAAGGCGTAGGCGTGAAGCCAAAGCTGATGAAAAGAGGCGGAAAAAGAACAATAAAGGTCATTTCATGGAGCTGTCATCCAGCCAGAGACGTGACAATGTGGTAGAGAAAGAAATTTGATCGTTGTCGCGAATGGCACTGGCGCAATACGCTCGGTTGGTACCTGAGAAGCATCTAATTCCGGATAATTGTCAAATGCTCGAGCTTAATATCGACTAAGACAGACCTCAGGTCTTATCTTCTATTCTTTCCAGAATGGCAGCCTTCTGTTGGTTCGACTCCGTGCTCCAACTCTGCGCTTCACAGCGGTATAATCATTTTTCTGATCCGCGATCTTATCGCAGCAGCATATGTTTCTTCACACAACCTTATGCCACACTGCTAATGCGTTTTGCGGCACTAAAAATCCTTGTTGTTGATGATAAATTTGGTATCAAAGGTTTTCCATTTTTGCTTCAAGGGAACTAGCCATTGAGATCTAGTCGAGTGCCAGCGACAGAATTCTGTGAATCTGATGCTAGCTAGGACGTCGTGGGACATCACAGCTACAAGAAGACAAGGACTTACGCATGTACGGGTCTTATAGTGGATTTGAAGTCATCACATGCATAAATAATTATCTCTCTGAAAGGTCACTGAGTCTGCAAGGACGTCCAAGAGGAAACGAAATCCAGCAGTTCAGCATCCTGCGGTTCGGGTGTCGCTCTCATATAGACCAAGTACACAAATCCATGCAAATTTTAACTAAATCGGAAAATGCCCACAAGACGGAGTGTAAATCCCAGTATGGAAGGCCAGCAATACCAAATGACTATGCACCACGTAAATTGCCTCCATGCTTCGCCGTCAACGCTTCACTAACGTACCCACAAGCCATGGAAGCGGGATGTTCGGATGAACAGGTTCGTAGTTAACCTCTTTCCATCCACCATCACCACGTGCTGCATCAACCAGCCATTTCCCTGTGTCTCTCGTCATGTTACATCCTCCAATTAACGTCTTCCAACCAAAGAAATGGTAGAATTTCTGTAGAAATTTGGCAACTGGCGTAGTCGCTACGACGTGCTCACAAAATGTGAACCGGCCCCCAGGCTTCAGTAATTTGTACAGTCCATCAATAGTTTCCACTGGAAAGGGAACGGTGCAGAGCACGAGAAGGCAACAAACACCGTCGAATATCGGAGTTCCACTTGCGCCTATTGCGGCCTCTTTTAGAAGGCCGGCCTTCTGCAATTCTGGTATCAGACTCTCGCTTTCAGCGCCACAAGTCAGAATGTGATATTTTCCTCCTAGCCCAGCCTCCTCTGCCCTCATAGCCAAAGACTTGTGAAGCAGAGTGTTTGGTTCAACAGCATAAACTGCGGTTATATTTTCCGCATTTGGCTTAAAGCGAAACAACTGTGTTCCTGCACCGGGTCCTACATCAAGAACTACGCCGCGCAATTTGGCAATGTGGTTGTCCAGGCTCTTTGGAGTGCTCTCTGCAGCGAGCTTTCCAACCATCAGCCACCATTTGCCAAATGCCTTGTCCCGAAAAGCGGTGAAGTTGGTGAATAAGAGCTTTGGCGACGTAATTGCTGTTTCTATGAAAACTAAACTGTTTTAGAATGATTCTTCAAGCACTTGAGTAGCTTACATAGCGAGCTAAGAAACATGAACACTGCAGGCTCAAGATAGCCTTGAATAACAGACGTAGAAGACGCCATGATTCAGTCTCAATTCCTAAGTTCAGCCACTGCTCCAAATAGCAGTAGTTTCGAGTACAACTAGTTTGGCTTAATGTTTTCGGATATTACGACAGAGATAAAGGAAGAGAAAGTTTAGGAAGAATCAAGTGGTCGGTATGGTGATGATCGGCTTGTTGGATCGTACAATTGACACAGCAGACGAATATGTGGTGCGTCTCGCCACTTTTCTCCTGTACTTTCGAGTCTTCGTGAACTCTTGTAGGAAAGCGATTTAAGGTCTACTACCTTTTAAGTATTTCCTCAAGTAATGCGGGGTCGAACTATCTTTAGCGAAAACTTTTAGCCAGCTGAATATCAAGCAAGCCACATACCTACCATTGGTTGAGATCTTTGTTGTATACGATATGTCAGAATGGTGCTCGTATTCGACTTTATTCGAGAAAAGGCCTTCAAGATTTCTCGTCTTTTTGTGGAAGTGAATTTTTATCTCGTGAGGCTTCATTCACACCACCGACCGCTCTATCAGCTCCAAAATCGCCAGTGAATAACAATGCTAAGCATTCAACTTGGTTCGACCGCCACGGAAGGTTAGTCAATCTTGGCCTCAGCCAACTCTTGCAGTTGTTATTTAATCAACAGTAAGGGTATACCTAGCAGTGGCAAGTGATCGATGATGTGATTCGAAGGTTGTCACGCACCACAATGCTTGAAAGTCAAGGCGAACGTGGTAGACTCCATCGGTCCCACAGTATTGTGCGCTGCAAATAAGATGTGTACTACGAATAGAGATTTCCAAGGACTTGCCCCTCTTTTAGGCGTCTCGGTGGGCAACAAGACGGTGGAGGGTCTCGACGGAAAGCTTGGAATCACGACCATCCTTCTCCAGTCGAGCTAATCTCGCTATGTACGCGACTCCAGAAGTCCGAAGGTCAAAGAACAATATGCCTTTAGTGGTAAATAGTCCCCGATTTTTATGACCATCTTGAAAGACGTGTTTTATCGACCTTCGTAATTAGGTCGTGCCTGAGTGCGACGAGCGCAATATTTCGGCTCATCGGCGAGCCATCGTATCTCTACAAGATTCCTTGCACTTATTTCCTGCGTGCCCATGCCATATTGGCCTCTAGCAATTGCGTCGCGTCGATCGAGCCATGTACTCTACGCTAGTCGCAAAAGCTTGAAGTCGTGAAGAGGACCCACTGCTTCCGTGGAACGTGTGCTATGACCTCAGGGTGATAGATAAATCCCTGATCCTTCCATATTTTCTTTCTAAGCTCTTTCTAACAACTTCAACTTCAGTTCGAGTAGCAACTTGCTCCGATCGAGAGGAAAGAAATGAATCCAATGCGACCATCCAGCTGCCAGTTGTCGTTCGCTTTCTTCGATACGCGCTTGCATGACCGCAAGAGCCTTTTTGAAACAAGTAGACGCATTCGTGGCTCCGGCGCGAGATCATGACGCAAGAAAGAATACGATCAACAGCAAGAAGCATGCCTTGGAACCTGATGTGTGGGCACACATTCACACCAGAGCTGAAGCTGTACAGAAATGAAACCAGATCGATGGCAGGGCCGGTTCAAGTTCGAGGTCAGCGACGAAAAGCCCAGCGTCACAAAAAGCAGCAAAACACATAGAGCGGCTTCAGCGCACCTAAAAAGTTGTGGCAAGTATAAAGGCATATCAAACTTATAGCCTTCAGGCACCCTCACGGCTCATCAGGATGCTCGTGGCTGTGAGATAAAAGATGTTGTTGTGGTCGGACGGCCGGGTCGTTTGGGCAGTCTAGATTCCTGAGCTGCGTTGCCAGGCTTGACCTCTCATCAAACAAAACATAACACGCGATTCCTGCGCAAACCACAGCCGCACGTATTCTTTGACTCAAACTTGCATACATAAGTTCCTCGAAAGTCACTGTAAGTGCCTCTACGGTTTATTTTCGAAGTGTCCACGTCGTTGAGAGAGGCGCCACTCTTGAAGGACGAAACGCGGTCGCCAGCCTCCGCATTCGACATGTCAACATGGCTCAATTCTTCAACAGCGACTTATTTTCTTTGCCTCAAAACTCTCGTAATACCTCGCGATATGCTTTGCAAATCTTTATGATGAGTCTCTGCTTGTTATTTTACGCTGCTGCGTTGGCGCCTCGTTCGTCGCAAAACGCAGCCCCCGCTTTCATTGCGCGCCTCTTTAGCGCTCGAAGGATAACAACAACATTAAAGACCCAAATTTCGCACGAACTAACTTGGAGACTGTAGAGCTCCGACTACGCAAAAACTACATTACAATGGCCCCGAAGGAAGCCACTACTACAACGACGCGCACGACGCGAGGCGCCTGTATGTATTCCAGCTTCCGTGGCGGTCGTTCCTCAGCTAAAGCTACACGTAGCTGGTATAACCAAGCCTCGCATCCTTAGCGTCCCCTCGACCGAACCAGAGGGCAAGAAGCGAACGGTAACCAAGAAAAAGGGAACCACAAAGGCCAACACGTCCAAGCCCAGGTCCAAAGTTGCGACCGGTCGCGTGTCTAAGAAGACGTCTTCCAAGGAGACCGTGACCAAGGCGAAGAAGAACCCAGTTGCCAAGGCAAAGGACAAGGTCACCGGTGCCGCTGAGAAGGTTGCCGGCGCCGTCGAGAAGAAAGCTGGCAAGAAAGGTATGTTAATTACCCGCTGATCCTCCGTCCCCCCTCCTCAGACATTCATAAACCCTCCGCGGGTGGCGCCCACGATATCAACAAGGGGAACTTCAAGCTCACCCTCACCTTACACGAGGCGCGAAGAAGCTCCGCGCATGATGCTTTCCCAAACTCCCGCCCCTTTTTTTTCAGGTTACAATTTGCTACGAGCGCGATAAGGCTAACGGGTCCTGTTATTTTGATTTGCGCAGCGAGCGGCGAGGCTAAGATCAAGAGGGACTAAGAAGCCCGTCGCCAAAGACACCAAGACGAAGCCAGCTGCCAAGAAGGAGTAGTCACGGTTTTTCACCGCCGCTCCTTTGTTTTCAAAGAGACATGCCACCGGTCTTGGATCCTGCTCTAGCCACTCTGCTTGCTGGCTTTTGCCAGCCTCCGACGACAAAAGTCGGTCACTGCAAAAGTTGGCCCTCCCCCTCCTCCCCCTTTCCCACTCCCCTTTCCCCCGCTTTTTTCTTTGTAACGATGCACCGCTTAACGGGTAGCGCCGTTGGTCGCTGGGGGCTCTCCCGTCGGGCGAGCACAGCGCCTACTTGGCGTCCGCCCTTGCTCACGACCCTTTCATTTGTCCTGATAACCGAAAACCAAACCAATCCTCCCGGGAACATGTGGACTCGTCGTCCGCAAGACCTATTTGTGCGTTCAAGTCTGTCCTTACCGCCTGATAAGATCTCCCATGTGTCAGTGTGTGTTTGCGTGGGTGTGTGAGAGTCTAATTTACGTATATGTATGTGTACGTGCAGCACAAGAGGCAGAGAGTTGGAAAGAGAGAGAGAGAAGCGTACGGAGGACGTGGTGCTGAGGGGGGGCCGCCGCCGGGAAGCGGGAAGGAAGAAAAAACCACCTGGTTTTTCCCATACCCGTCGTTGCAGCCGAATGCTTGTAATGGTCCAGACAAGGCCGTGTATGTATTTGTGGGGGTACATGTGTGTGCGCATCGAGCAAGACAGCAGCAGCAACAGAAAGGAGCTCAAAGCACATGTGCATCTAATCTTTGGGTCTCCTTTTGTTTGTCTCACATCTCCCCCTGCATCACTTTTTTTTCCCCTTTTATTTCTCCACCCAATTTTTTTTTTCATCATGAGCGACCTACGCCATCAACGTGAGTAGGGAGAGATGAAAGAGAGAGAGAGAGAGAGAGAGAGAGAGAGAGAGCGGCAAGGACTTTGGGGGGAGAGGGGGAGGAGAAAGGCGGCTGGAACCGCGCGATGGACGGGCTTCCACCGTCGTCCTCGCCTCTTTCTCTACATTTACATTTCTTCACTCATCTCTCGACGCGTGGGATCCTGGTTTTCTTTGATACGGAGGGAGCAAGGAACGGGCTTTTTATTTTCCAGACCGCGTTCGGGCGCCCTTGTACGATTCCCAGACCATTCCACCGCGTCTGTGGTCTTGGAGGGCGGAGAGGGGTGTATTTGAAGGCTCAGGACGAGTGCTAGAGGTTCGTGTACTCGCCCTTGCGTTAGTATTCAACTTCGCTTGCAAGCGGTCTGTCTTGGATGGTTTGTTGGCGTTTAGAATGTCGAATTCTTAACATCGCCTCGATGTAGTCTTCTCAACTACCATGACGGTAAAACCAAAGACCATGACCAAAATGAAAAAAGGGGTCGTAATAATCTCTTCTGAGATCATATATTGCATTCCTATTTACACAACCAGATCAACCCACATGCGCAGAAGATACCCCGCCCAGAAGAGCGTCCCCCTTGTTTCTCTCCAATGGCATCCTCTCTTCCGTGCTCTCTTTCCTAGCGACAGCAGCAGCAGCTGCTGCTGTATAATTCGCACTACAATTACAGAGGGTGCATCGTCCGCTCACAAACACCATATACTGGTGGTATAGGTGGCGGATCAGTCCTTGAAAGGGAGCGTATAGTTTATCGGTAGTAAAAATCGAGGGTATAAAGTCTTCAAATCGTGAAAGAAGGTGGGGTGCGCGGTACACACAAGTGATGGACGGCTGACCACACGAACTTGCAGCTCGTCTCTTGTCATATTCTCACTGAGCGAAAAGACATCGTCGTCGTTGCCGAATGCCAAGTCCAATCGCCCCGTCATTGGTCAAGGTAGTCTCCAAATCCAGAAGAAATAAAGGGAAAAAAAAATAAGTAAAGAGAAAGCGAAATCTCGGTTTACCCAACGCCGTAAGAACTTCACGAGCTATCTTGACGCATTCGTAAAAGCCGGAATCTCCGAAGATACTCTTGCAACCAAATAGTCGTCAGAAAAGAGAAAGGTTGACGCCTATCTGTTTTGACCTTAGACTATACGGCCTGGCCAGGAACTGGTTTCCTCGACACGCTGCTTGCTGGGACGCCGGCAGTCAGCGAGAGCGGTTTGGGCGGCTGTACATTACCCATGTTGCTCGTGGAATTGGAGCGTTTTCTGCTAGCCTCGTCCGGGCGGGCGGGTGGTCCTTGCAAGTAGGGGCCTGGAGACATCGAGCGGCCCTGAGGCGCATATGCAGTGTACTGTGCTGGACCTGCGTTGCTTTGGGCGCGAGGACGGCCTGGCGCGGGTGAGTTGCGACCGGTTGGCGTCATTGGACGGCCCTGGGGAGTCATAGGACGGCCTGGCTGACCATATGGGGCTGGGGAATTACGGCCTTGCGGGGTCATTGGACGAGGTGCCTGGCCGTAGGGCACAGGGCCGGAACCTCCAGGACCACGCATCGGGCTATTGGGACCGCGGGGACCTGGTCCTCCCGGGTAACCTTGGGGCGGAGGGCCTTGACGGGGCTTGACGGTGTTCTTTGAAAGGCAGGTACGCGGGACAACACCTTGCTGAGACCGGTCCATGCGTATGCACAGCGCCTGCACGAATATGATTAGAATTTCGTCCTCAGAAAAAGTCTGCGTTCTTGTAGGTTTCAACTTACCCAGCCGTCGTCGTAGGAGTGCAGGAGACGGACGAGTTGGCCAGCACGAATCTCGAGCTCATCATCCATAGAAGGCTTGAAGTCGAGTTGGACACGGTAGACATTGTCAGCAGGAGGTGGGCTGTTACGCTTGTTTGCCATGGCAGCGCCAGCAGCTGCTCCGGCCGCGGCCGCGGCCGCAGCAACGGCACTTGTCGGAGTGCTTGGTGCGATCAAGCTCAAGTTAGAAGCAGTAGCCGGGTTTGAAGGCGCGAGCGAAGCAGTTTCGGACGCATCAACATGATCACCGCTGGCTATCTCAGACGGCGCTGCAGAGCCAGGCAATGGGAAGGCGGCCGCATCGATATTGACAGGCGAGGAAGCGCGTTTTGGAACAGCAGCGGCAGCAACGGGCTCGTTTTTGTTGTTGTCGTTGTTTCCATTGTTGACGGTTTCAGCGTGGTTACCGAATGGGTTGGCGGGATCATTGGCATTCTTTTCGGCACCAGGACGCTCCCAAGCACTTGCAGTAGCAGCCGCGGCTGCACCGGCACCAGGAGCATCGGCAGCCATGGCACCATTTGGACCAGCGAGCTTGCTCATGCGAGGATCGAATTGAGTCTGCGGACGTATGCTTAAGCGGGGGGCCGAGAGGGTATCCGTAGAACGCACAGCAACATTGGGGACGGCGGCCATTGGAGCAGGACCAGAAGCTGGAGCTGGCGCATGAGTGAGAGGGGTGGGGAACTGAGGGAGTGCGTCAGGCTTCGCCATGCCGGCCTTTTCATCGTCCAGTCTCTGCATGGATTCTTCCTGTCGCTTCCTCCTGCGGATCATCATGAGCACGCCGATCAGGATCGCGGCCACGGGGATCAAGACTCCAAAGGCAATTCCGGCCTTTGCTCCGCCAGAAAGACCGCCATTCTGGGAAGAGGTGGCATGGGCGGAAGCTTGCGCGTTGCTGAGGGACGAGGTCAAGCTTGCAGCATCCACAGCCGTTGGAGTTGAGTAGATTGGTGTCGTGAATGACGTGACGGCGGTGTTGCTTGGGGTCACAGTTGCAGACGTAGAGTCGGTCGGATACGAGGTGGTCGCGGCGGAGGTGGCAGCAGCACCGGGACTATCGGTGCGAGAAGCGAAGACGGCGCCTCCAGCGATGAGATTACCTGGAGTCTGAGTGACCAAGACCGCAGAACCAGTAAAGGTCTGCGGCTCGGTCATGGTGGTGACCGCAACGACGACATCATCACTAGTAGCGGACTTGTCCGTCTTCTTGGCGTTGTTGAAGAAGCTGCTGATATCGTCGAACAAATCGCGTTTGACGATCTGGAGCACGTCTGCAAGATCCATGGCTATTGGCGAGTAAATGTACGGTGATCAGCAAAGATGGGGTAGATGGTGTCGGGTTTGTCGGTCTTGCGAGGAGTTCGGGCGCTTCGAAGGAGCGGCGAGAGGCACGCTTGACAGCAGCCGTAGCGGATGTAGTAACGGGTGTCGGGTGAATGGTCTTATGCCTGCACGGTGAAGAAGGATGAACGACCGGCGTTTCTTCTGCTGTTCACGACTTGGAGCGCGACTGGCGTGTTGAGCAAGAAGAAGGAGCAAGAAAGAATAGACAACAACCCGGTTGCAGAAGGTCGAAGGGGATGCGAAACGAAGGGGAAAGGGCGACGAAGTGGTGGTGAATAAAGGAACGTGGACGCGAGAGAGGGATCGCGTAAGAGCAGTAGACGTGAGTGTCGGTAAACGAGGGACGACACAGTCGCGCTGGAGCAAGATGCGGCGAAGAAAGAGAAGAGAGGGACAGAGCGAGAAAGGGCGTGGCGCGAGGGAAGAGAACGAGCGACTTTGAGGGATGAGGCAGAGGAGGAGAGGGCGGCGAGCGATCGGGGAAAGGAGCGGTCGAAGACAGGACGCGGGAGCGCCAGCGTCGGTTCTGCGAAAGGGAGCTGATGCGGGTGAGCAAAGCGCAGGCCAAGCGCGGGCAAGCGAATCAATCGTCGCGCACCGGCCCACGCAGGCCTCATCTCGGCGCATGCGCTAGACCGCCCTCGGCATAGCGCGTTTCCGTTCCGCTCAGGCACAGAGCCGTCCTCATTCGCCCGAGTCTCGCTGGCGTTTCATTTGCCTGCGCGGAGACCCACGACCAGCTTGTTGTCGTGGTTACAAGTACCTTCAGTCCTTGACGCCGCGCGCTGCTGCTGCTGCTGCTGCTGCTGCTGCCGTGGTAGCGTTGCCCGGCAGCATTGCCGCTCCACACTGGAATGGTTTGAAGGAATGGGGGAGTGCGAGCGACGAGCGACGACGAGGAGCCGAAGGAGCCGGGGGAGCCGAACAACGGCTTTGCCTGCTCCCAGTGGTAGTCTCCGTCTGTTCACAGAGCTCGACGCTGCTCAGCGTCGCCGCCTCTCCTTTGCTTGTCAGGCACTCTCACACATGGCCGCACACACACACACCAACAGAGTGCTCCCTACGGAGGTACCTGTGCAGTGTTCACATGCATGCATGAACGCAAACCAAGAACACGTGCCTTTCTCCCACTCCATCCCGCCAGCAATCATGTCCTCGTCCGCCCAAGAGCTGCTTGCCTCACGTCGCACCAGACATGTCCGCAGGCAAAGACACGCCAAACCAGCCCAGCGCGCAAAAAAGGTCGAAAAGCTACCCGTTCCCGCCCAGCCAATTTCCCTGCGTCCCAATCACGCGGAGCCCACCCATTTTACTTTTCTATCTGCCGACAACTCGCGCGTGCGAGTGACGGACTGGTCTCGCATGCACTACTGAGAGACAGGGTAAGGAGGGTGCGTGAGAGAGAGCGACAGAGAGTCCTGACGGGAGCGTGGCCCTCCGCCGGCTTTCCGGCCTCGAAGGGTAATTTCCACGCATGAGCGAAAAGACAGAAGCGTGCCCAGCACCGTCCCCGATTGGCCTGGCGCGTGCTGGACTGCCGAGCCGTGGTAATACTCGCGCCTATTGCTTTCCGTCGCAGATGCGAAGAGCTTATTTCTGCAACCCCCAGCCAAAATGATACGAATAGCAACGGGCCGTGCTTTTTTCCTTGGTTCCCGCCCAGTGGAGGCGCAGCTGGTACTCGTGCGGCACCACGCGCTTCCACCCTAGCAACTCATCATACTGGACGTGGCTGTAGCGTCCTGGGCAGACGGATTGTGTTGCTAGGGAAGACACAGTGCCCTAAATTCGGAGCACGTACCTCCGTCCTCAGAATACCACAACCCGCGCCCTTGCTCTTCTGCTCTCCCATCGCCCTTGCTCATTGATCAATGGGCAGAAAATGCGCCGTGTTCCTCGGCAGCGCATACAAAGGTCAGAACAGTCGCCATCATGATCATAAAACCGCCGGCTTGCTCAGCGCCGATCGCTGCCGTGTCATGTGCTGCGGCGGCTAATGCCGGTGCTCATGATGTAGAAGGCGCTGCCACTGCCGCCTTCCTGTTGCAAATCTCCCTTTTGCCCTGCAGGTGCTACTTGTTGGCAGCATGCGAAACGCTCCTTCCTTTGGTCGTGTGTTTCAGAAACCTCTCCGCGCCAAGAACAAAAATCGCAAAGAGATCCATCTCGCCTGTGTTGTATAGATGATCATACTGTAATGCATCGAAGAAAAGAAAGAAACAGAAACAGAAACAGAAACGGAAACGTCACGTTGCCCTTGGTAATGCATAATCTCGAGCTTCTGGAAACGAAACAAAAAAAAAAAGAGGTCGCACGCACAACATTTCACCCATGTCTACCCGCACAGACAGCACGACTGGTGAGAACCTTTCTCGCGCCATATTCGCCTTGAGCAACACGTGTCGGAAGATACGGGTCTGCTTCCTAGCTTGCGAAAGTTCCAGTGTCCCAACGCCGCGTTAAAATGCCTGCGTGAGTTTCCAACATCAAAGTCATGATAGTCCCACGTAGATGACACACAATATGTACACATGCATGTATATCCCAGCACGTTCTTGACCGCCCTCTGCCTGCGTGCGGTGGGTATCAAAATTAAATGGAGAACAAAACCTTGGCCTTCACAGGATGCAAAGCGAAGCCTTCAATAAAAGTCAAAAGTACGTCATTCCAAGTCCAAAACCGCCGCCGCGTTGGGCATCACCTCTTGCCCGGAGCCACGGCGGTGATGTTGCTGTCCACGTTGCTCCTGTCCTTGTGTGATGTTCTAAACTCCGACCTTGGAGTTTGGTGAGCGTCCTGCTGATGTAGGTGTGCTTGACTCGTCGACCTCTTCCTCCTCAGTGCAGAGCGCTCCTGCCTTCTCGAGCACGTCTTTCGCCATCTTGGTCGCCTCTTCTTGAAGGTTGGGAATGGACTTCGGTGGCTGAGACAAGTATGTTTCGAGTAGAGTCTTGAGCGTGTGGACGCTACTCGTGCATCAGTTACGAGTCAAGACTGGATTTGCATTGCTTCACTGTACATACCGAACAGGCTTGGCGAGGTAGTTGTTCATGCCCGCCTCAAGACATCTCTCCCTGTCACCTTGTATCGCAGATGCTGTCATAGCGATGACAAGCACGTTCCTGACGGCGGGATCACGATGCTTCCGTATCTCCCGAGTCGCGTCATAGCCATCTACTCAGAGTTAGCACTGCCCTAAGAGCAGAGGATTGTCCGTCCGAACATACCAAGAACAGGCATCTGCACGTCCATAAGCACCAAGTGGTAAGGTTTGCCATCCTTACTCGCCCTCTCGAGCGCATCAACCGCTTCTCTACCATTGCCAAAGGCCTGACATCGAAAGCCCAGCCGCTCGACGAAATTTATCGCTATTTTCTGATTTATGGCATTGTCCTCTGCAATGGCGATTTTGATCTGGTCACGCGGTATCTGGCTCAAGTCGATGACGGCCACGAGTGACTGTGGGCCGTTTTGGCCCACGGGCGGTGATTTGAAATGCAGGCGCATCTCCTCCTGTCTAGACTCGTCAAATATTTGTTCCGCCTCCGCATGCGAGATCTTCGTGAACCGAATGCGAAAGGACACATTTGTGCCGACTCCAGGGGTTGACTCGAGCCAGACTTCACCATTCATCCTTTCGATCAAAGCTTTACATATGCTCAAGCCCAAGCCAGTGCCACCAAATGTGCGGGAAGCAGACCCTTCGACTTGGCTAAACGGTTGAAAAAGCTTCACTCGCTGCTCCTCCGGGATACCGATGCCCGTATCTTGCACACTCAACACCACATCCAAGTATTCTGGGGTATCCTCCTTCTTGTGAGCTTTCACCGTGACTGAGCCCTCGGAAGTGAACTTGTACGCATTGCCGAGCAAATTGAGAAATATCTGATGAAGACGGAGAGGATCACCAAGGACGAGCTGGTGAGGGTCAAGGCTATCAAGGTCTACTACTGTTCGCAAGCCTTTCTGATTGTTTTGGAAAGACAATGCGCGGACAACTTCACGGATTGTGTCTCCGAGATTCATTGGCACTGCAGAAATGTTCATCTTTCCCGCTTCCAGTTTGGTGAAGTCAAGCAAGTCGTTGATGACGGAGAGCAGGGTATCAGCGCACGTCCGTATACTGTCTGCATATCCTTCTTGTTCCGCCGTGAGCTTTGTGGCTTTGAGCAGCTCACTCATGCCAATGCACCCGTTCAGAGGAGTCCGTAGTTCATGTGAGACATTGGCCAAAAACATGGACTTGGCCTTGGCAGCCTCTTCCTTCAGTTGCATGTTTTTGATAGCAATGGCTTCAGCTTCTTTTGCCCGTTGCTCCGAACGCGCCATCTTTTCCATGTGCGCCTTCTGCATGACAACCATAGCTGCATTTTCTGAGCTGACCTTTTCAATCTTTTTGAGGTAAAAAGCATTCGCCAACGAGATCGAAATCTGGTTCACAAGTAGGCGAAGAACCGTCACATTTCGTTCGGTGAAGCTATTTGGCGGCCCTTCTATGTAAATGGAGCCCAGCAATTTGTCACCACCATGCAAGATGGGCACAGCGATCACACTTCGACCATCAGGGTGATTTTTGAGGAACTCGGGTGAGGCGCCAGAGAAGCGTTCATCCTCCAAGATGTTGTGCAAGAACACCCCTTCTCTGAATCGTAGCACGTAGGTGGTGATCTGCCGAGTCTCCTGTGCTGCAACTGTCTCATACGACTGTCCCTCCGGATATGAGGTCACACCCTCGGGTGTTCCTAATGCGGCAAGATTCCAGCCATCGCCACTGTCTGCTTTAATGACTATCGCAGACAACTCTGCACCGGTCGATTCGATCATGATCTCTGCCATTTTTGGAAGCAATTTGTCCACGCGGAGTTCAGAAGAGAGCAGCTGGCTTGATTCCAGTATGCTCGCCAGGTCAATCATGTCGAGCCCCATTGCCGAAAACTCGCCGGAGGGAGTAGAATTGTTTTGAAGCGGATCCGGCTGCTGAAGGAATTTTCGAGTGCGGTCAGCAGGCGTCTCAATGCCCAATTCTTGTGTCGTACGCTCCTCATTCTGCTCAAGCTTGTAAGACGTGTTGCCTGTGTCAACAATTGTGGTTTGTACAGCGCATTCTGCAGTACTCAGGCTCCTCATGCCGTTTAAAAGCCACTCGAATTTGTCGGATAATTGTTTCGTCTTGCCGTACGCACCTACACGTCGGTACGCCGATAGACATTCACGCAGCAGCTGTGTTGCGGGACGTGTGGCGCCTTTTCGAATGATAGTGTCGGCATAAAGCTCATAGGCGAGTGCTTGATCAAGAGACGAACCATACAATTCGCTATGATCTAATGCAGCCTCGTACGCATTGACCGCTGCAGCATGATCGTTATTGATTTCTGCTACTTCTGCATCCAATAAACAGAGCCAGGTTTTAAAGTTGACATCATTAACAGCTGCAGCATTTTTGATGGTCTTTCGAAATTTCTCGATGCGTTCCAACCACGTGTTTCGGTTCTCATGCTTAGGTGTTTCGTGCAGCACATGACAGTATGCCAGAGCAAGATACACCAAGTTGCTGTATGCATACCGAGAGCAAAACAAGCCTTTGGACATTTCAATAAGTTGCTCTCCTATCTCTATCGCATCGAGAAAGTGTCCGAAGCGGAAGAGACCGGCGAGATAATAACTCCAAATTATGGAGATGGGCCGCTCGGCGCTAGATGCTGTGGCCTTGATATAGTTAAGATATTCTGTAAGGTTGAAGTGTTCGTCATCAAACAGCGTGGCAGAAAGCTTAAGCTGTGTCTTTCCCTGTAGAGCGCGAACGTATTGTCGAACACCACTATTTGCTTTGTTACAAACTCGAACAATCTGAGTCTTTTGCATCACTCACATAATAAAAACTCCTCCTCTGAGGTCCTTCTCCCATGCTGTAAGCTCAATTGGCGCATCATGACAATACGCTTCAACCTCTGGCAGATCCGAGCCAGACCAAAATTTATATGCGGCTGAGATTCCAAGGTTCAAAAGTTGTAAAATACGGTCTCCGGCAATGATTGATGAGTCTTGGGCAGCGTCTAGAACAACGAGCTGGTCTGTTATTCGTGTTTGCAAATGGCCCATGAAAAATGCCCTCAGTGTTTCACTGCGTCCGACGGTGTATGAGTCGTCATGATACTTTTGGGACATTCTAGCCGACAGATCTGAGATCCTGCAACCAAGTTCGACCATTCCAAAACGTCCAGCCGCTATGCTAGCAAAGTGTAGATAACCCATAGCACACTGTCGATACTCGCCTCGTCGAATATGGACTTCAATCATGACCATAGTGACTTGGTAGAACAGCAACGAGTCTGTCCAGAACGCTGCACTCGCCAGCTCCACGAGCAAGGGCCCAATAGCGTCGAGGAAGGTATCGATCTGGGCAGGGCGACCTATCAACTCGTCCTCAGCTATGTCTTCGAGCATCTTCACAATTCTGTAGAAGTTTTCATCTGCCTCAGCATAGCTTATTTTTGGCAGCGTGAGACCGAGCTGCTGTAGACCTGCTTTTAATGTTGAAAAAGCTTCAACACTATTGCCTTGTACAGCATAAACACGCGAGCTGATCATCAACGCAGGAGACAGGTCCACAGGACTTGAAACGTTGGTAAATATTTTGTCCAAAACTTCCGTCGCTTTTTTGAAGTCGCGTTGGTACCAAAGCAATTCCGCATATCGTGTGTGCAGGCTTAAGGTTTCTTGAAAATCGACATCAGGCTGATCACTGTCCCAAGGTGAGTCCTGAAGTAATCTTGTACAGCTATCCCAGTAACGGAGAGCTGTATCTCTAGCTCCCGAATCTGCAGCGCTTTCTGCAGCGCGGAAAAGCAGAGAGCGATATGGTGCACGGTATGCTTCTCGTTCACGGAGCAAGTCAGTACAGGCGCAGATATGGGATGCCTTGACATGAATCCACTTAGCGCTCGTGTTTGCATTATCTTTATAGTCATAGTCAATCATCGTTTTCGCGATCGCATAGTGCATTTCCGTTTTGTTATAGGATTCCACTAAGCTCGACGAAGCTTGCATGTATCGATCGTGGCTGAAGCGAAACCGATCCTCATTATCGGTTGGCATAATTAGAAAAGCACCTAAAGCACTCTGAAGGCCTTCGACCGGGTCGCACAAACCTATTGTGGGCATGTTCTTCGCCTTTGGCCAAGAGTTTTCACCCGACAGAAGCCGCTTCACTAGTGAGAAAGAGAATGAACTGCCCAGCAAAGCCGCCCAAGCCAGAAGACATTTCGCAGGATCGGGAAGGTTGTGGAGTCGCCTGTTCACAAAGTCATTGTTTATCTGCGATCCGTATGATTGCGACTGCAGCTCGTCGAAAATCTTGTCTAGATCATATTCCCAAGAGGACGTCTTCCATGAGTAAAAAATACCGTTTGTCCTGTAACATGTTTCGAGGACCTCACGTATAAAGAACGGGTTACCGGCCGTCTTCTCTTGAATCACCGCCACTAGAGGAATCATATCCTCCCAAGAACGATGTAGGGTTTTAGAAACGTACTGTGCCGTTTCCGCTTCGGTAAATGGCTTGAGTGTGATGTTCATAGAGTTCGCTAAAAGTGTCTTCACATTCTTTGGCAGTGTAGCCATTTCCCGATACGTTGCGATCATCAGGATCGGAACATTGCCCTCAACCATTCTTTGTATCAGAGAAAGCGACTCGTAGTCGGCAAATTGGAGGTCCTCGATGGAAAAGCAGATAAATTTCTCCGAAGCAAGTACTCTTAGGACACTGATGAAGATGTTGCTGAATCGAGAAGACTTGGCCGTGCCACCTGTGCGAAGCCACTCAACAGCAGATGCGTTGGAACTGAGGTTCGTATGTCCAGTCGGACCAAGAAGTGAAGGAGAGGATGCCCGTCGTGCCTCAGGCGATCTTCTGGGAGCAGATGCAGAAATCGAGTTTGATCCAGCTGTTCCAGTTGCTGAGTTTAGAAGCCAGTCCGGAAGATCTAGCCAGGTGTGAAGAAAATGCCATATTGGCATTACCTGCCTTCGAATCAATTGGTGAAACGGTGTCGAAACATCGTTCTCGGAGAAGATCTGTCGAAAAAGTGACGACATAAGCCGAAGTACAGGCTCGTACGGCGATTTTCTTGCTTGGTCAAATTTTGCTGAGGCAAAGTAGCCGTGCTGTCGAGCGGCTAACTGGATGCTTTGAATCAAACATGATTTACCTAGACCAGCTGCCCCAGATATTGAGATGACTTCACAGTGTCCTTTTCTCCTTGTGCGGGTCGCTCCTTTGACAAGCTTGGTGGAGCTATCCAGAGTGCTAGAATTCTGATTTGAGGCAATACCGGGGTTAACCCGCTGATCAAGAATAGAGTTTGATTTCGATTCAACGTTAAGCGCCCGTGTTCGATTTGGCAAAGCAGATTCTTCAGTTGATGATGGCTCCGATCCAGCGACGCTCTCCTGGGAACGTTTCGCTGGATGTGTTGGCACCCCATTGTTAATCTTCATATCAGAACCTCTCGAGCTGGCGCTATCCGAGAGGGTCTCATCCAAGGCTGGCATCTCTTGCTTGTCGGATAAAGTGGAAGAGAGAGTTAGACCCATATTCGACAATTTCCTTGTAGATAACAGTGCCACTCGTGCCTGCCGCTTAGCAACATCTTCGATGATGGTTATAATCTGCTGTTTCTCAGATTCGCGCCCTATTTGAATGCTAGGTAAATTGAAGAAAGCAGAAACGTCCTTTGTACAAATTTGAAAGTTCTGCAAGCCCTCGCTGTCACCATCGATGAGGAATTTTTGTATTTGGACCAGGTCGTACTTCATTCCCGAAGCTGAATTGTAGCGGTCTTCAGGATTCTTGTTCGTCATCTTTGCGATGACCTGAGATAAGATTTCAGGTATGTCATGCCGTTTCGAAGATACTGGGGGAATGCGGCGGGAGAGGACATTCTGCATGATGGCTAGGGGGTTCTCGCCCGAGAAGGCTGGTTCCGCTGTTAGCATCATCCAGAACAGTACTCCCAACGAATAAATGTCCGTCCTGCTATCTGGTTCGGCCGGAAGCCTGCCTGTCTGTTCAGGTGCAATGAACTGTAGCTTATGCTCGATTCCTGATTCACGACTTAACATATACCAACCAGCAGACGTCAGACCACTTTCGAATGATCTTGCACCGGACCCTAGATTCAGCATCTTCACCTCATTCGTCTGTTGGTTGTAGTGAAATGCATCTCCGCGAATTTCACCATGTACAATGCGATTTCTGTGGTGGAGAATCTCGCAACATTCGGCGGCTCCAATTGCAAATCGTAAAAAATTAGGTATAGAAACCCGAACCCTCTCTTTCCTCATCTTTTCATGTTTAGATAGACTCGGACCAGATTCGGGGCCAAGTGTCGTTTGGTACACATTTGGCCAGTATTCAACCATCTCTCGCAAGTAGTTTGGACCGGGAGATTCGAATATGGATACAATCAGAGTGTCACCCCCAGCCCGGGGAGGTAGCCTGATCAGCTCCAGCGGCCGAACAAAGTGATTATACTCCGGATCACTCTTTGCGACAACATGTTTCGATAGAGCGAATTCTCGCTCCAGGCGTAGAATATGCGTCGATACTCGGGCAATCACTTTGCGGGAGCGTCTTTCCAAGGGGCTTGGAGGTCCAGATATTCGAGATTCGCTGCTCGACGACTTGTGAAATTTCATCGACGTGCGGGAGTCGTTCGAGATGCCGGAGCGGGAAGGGCTCGACTTCGCGGGTTTACCTGCGGCAGCTGACGCAGCTTCATCTTCATAGTAGAATTGTGTACCAGAGAAATGCCAGTTGTCTATGTCATATCAGATCTGCCAGTAGCATAGATACAGGACAACAGGCCGCATACCGTAGCTAGAGTGAAATACCTCTGCGTCGGAGTCCCATTCATATCCCGCGATCTCCGAGAGTCGCGAGAATATCTGGCTGGGATCGTCCATCGCAGCAAGCTGCCTTTCCTACTCTCTCGTCACGCAGTGCATGCCGCGCAGGATCGCCTGGTTCGAGCTTTGTCCGATCCTCTTCGCAAGCTGGAACTTGGAATTTGGTCCACTAGAGGTTAAGTGGAAGTTGTTGCAAGGCAGATTGCAATATCGGGGCCTGCGATAGCGGGCGAGGGGGAGAGGGCAGCAACAAAAGTAGGCGATGAAGACCAGATAATCAGAGAACCGGTCTAAGATGGCAATGCAGCTGTGCTCGGAGCGACGAACCGCTGATCCCATGCAAAATGCTACTTACATTTTATGGCCTTCCTCTACTGCGGAAGGCGGCCGATGACGATCTTGCGCACCAGCCACGCCGACGCCGACAAGCCCTGGCTGACAGTCTGGCCAGTTGTGCGTGGCCCCAGCGAGCAAGCCTAGAGCTCTGGTATGGCCCTCCAAGCACGAAGGGTACCAAAACACCATTATTGCAACCGCGAATTCCGCAACCAGCACGCTCATACTCTGCACATCGCCGCGATGAGGCTGCACCCATACAGATGATCTCATCGTTCGAACGGAGACGACATGGATTCTCCCGATGGCGAGTCTCCAAAGCCTCGACAGCTTCCCGACGACCTACCCACCTCGCTTTACGACCGTAGAAGCGTCCCGGTCTTTAACACTGAGACAGAGGTCTATGATGCCTGGGCCGGTACGACCAAACCTCTGCTGCTTTGATCTCGGCCTGAAAAATAACTTGAGGTGACAGGACAATCACAGTTTCTCACAACACCTATTCCGGCACAACCGCTGAACTTTAATCTTTCGCTGGGCGACCCTAGCTATGGTGACGATGTTGGCTTGGCCGGCCTGGAGGACAATGACGATAAATTCATGCAGATGCTGGCATCTCAGTCGCGTCTGAAGGGGGGCGATGGAGGAGGCGAAGAGGCCATCCTCAAAGACAAAAGCATATCTGACGATGTAAAACGGGAGACACTTCAAAGCATGTTCACCATGGCTGCCTCCAATGGACAGATAGACCGAGTACAGTCATTTTTGGACGGACCCGCAAGGTCTTGGATAGACCTCAATGCACCAGACGCGGACGGGACGCCTCCCTTAATATACGCCAGCTGCTTTGGACACCAAGAGGTAGTTGCAGCACTATTAGATGCAGGTGCCAATGTCAACCAGCAAGACAAAAATCAATGGAGCTCTTTGATGTGGGCTATGACGAACAGACACAAGGGCATTGCTAAGTTGCTTCTTGACCACGGCGCAGATCCGGATGTGAAATCATCCACTGGCCGAACTGCTCACGATTTCCTCGCACCAAACAGTGAGATGTCAGATTATCTACACGAGAGTGGCTACAGCATCGGCAATGCGGGTGTCGCTGATGATTTTTATAACGCCGGGATCGCTGAAGACAGGTTTGAGGAGGAATTAGCCGAGAGCGAAATGAGGAGACGAATGATGATGGAGAGTGCTATCAATCTTGAAGTCGATCTAGGTAATCTGGGTTTGGACGAAACGCCTGAGGTGCGCTCTCCTTTCGTAATTGCCGTCGTTTACTAATCATCGGTAGCCGCTCGACGATCCCGACGAAGGAAATGACTTCGTTTGGGATCGTTGTCTCAGCGATCAAATGTTCGTGTTCCAGGAGACTGAATTAGACAGAATTTTGGACATTGTTATTACCAACATGACGCCTCAACGCTCGCCGTCGCAAAAACCTGTCCCAGCCAACATAATATTTTTGAGCGCACGGTATGCGCACTATTATCAGAGCCCAGAACTACTTGAGAGACTTCTCACTACAGCTATGGACAAGATCAACGACGTTGTGGAGAAGAAGCAATGGGACATGACCATCTTAGCGTTCTGGATATCTAACAGCACATTATTATTGCATTACCTAAAAAAAGACGTTGGTCTACGAGAATCGACACTTCCCTTCCAACTCCAGCTTTCCGATCTTATCAACGAAATTTTCATCCTTATCATACGTGATGCGGAACGAAGGATGGACAAGGTCCTTGATGCGTCGATGCTCGAACACCAACCTATACCTGGTTTTGAAGATGTCACATTTCAGAACGAATGGAAGATCTTCAAATCGAAACCTAAAGTCAAAGCACCTGAGCCGTTCGAGAAGCGATTCAGACCACCTTCCCCAAAGCGAAGGATGAAACCTTCGCCACGAAACATTACCTCTCTGTTGTCCTCTACCCTCTTTGTCTTGGACCTTTACGATGTGCATTCAGTTATCACGGCGCAAATCCTATCTCAACTATTCTACTGGCTCTCAGCGGAGCTGTTCAACAGAATTATGTCCAATCAGAAGTACCTAGCTAGGACGAAGGCGATGCAGATACGTATGAACGTATCTACATTAGAGGATTGGGCACGCACGAACAATCGACAGCCGGAGCATTACGAGAATGGCTCTATGCAATGCAGCGGCGAAGCCACAGTCGATGCAGCAAGACGCCACCTCGAGCCGGTGATCCAATTGTTGCAATGGTTGCAGTGTTTCTCTTCGATAGGGGAAGATTTCGAATCCTTAATAGGAACAGTGCAACAGCTTAAGCGACTGAGTCCGCAGCAACTCATTCATTCGGTGAAATATTATCGTGCGGAAGTGGGAGAGCCGAAATTACCAAAAAGCGCAATGAAATATCTCAATACATTGGATCGTGAATTTGCTGAACGGAGGAAACATAGAAAATCAAATAGCAACGTCAGTAACAGTATTCAGGCCGGGACAGCCAGCTTGGAAGCGCCACCTATGACTCCAACAAAAAGTTCAGAACAGGTTCAACTTCCCCATCGATCGCCGACCACGCCTTCGTCACCTTTGCCGACCACACCGAAGCAGTACGATGCCGAGGACGAACCGCCACCAAATTTACTCATGGATCCTGCGCTTATGCTTCCCTTCTCTCTCCCAACTTCAACAGACATGCTGATCAGCTATGGTGCCGGCTTCGGCGGCACTAACAAAGAACGTGAGAGGAAATATTTACCTACAGTGCCAGCAGAATTCCTAGCGAAATTTGAAACCCCAGGAAACAGCAAGAATGGTAACATAGACTATGACGAAAAGCAATGGGATTGAAGTTTTTGCTGAGGCAGTCTTTTAATCTTATTTGTTTTTTCTTACCTTGTTCACGGATTGCCGGTCTGGGAATCGCTTCGCTGAAGTGCATGGATTGCATTGCAGGAGTTTTTGAATGAAAGGACGATATTGGTATAGTCAACATCATCAAATATGAGCAGTTCGAATGATCTGTACGCGTTTTAACATGCTGGATCCATATTTATGAGGCAATACTCTCGCCAACCCTCTTCAAAATGAGGCAATGACGCTCGAATAAGAGAGTCAGCAACCAGAAGTCACAACTAAAAAAGCAGAAATTTTCCTCCTTTTTCATGTGTGTTCTTGGTGGAGTAACAATATCGGGTAAGGCGAACCTACAATTATCTCTCGACCGAATATCGGAGGCGGATCTCCCCGCCGACTCAGACATTCCGTCCCTGTGAACCATAAATGCTGATGAGCAAATTGACATTCCAGAAATCTTTCTTTTCCTTATATTTCCTTCTCCTCTCCTTCTTGCATAATTTTTTGCTAGGCATAGCTCATCCAGCATTGTACAACAGACCAAATTTTGGAAGGAGTTCCTCTCGCAATTATGGTCAAGACTCTCGCAGTAGATCAGATCGACTCGACGTTCAAGTCAAACAGCATTGGTACGAAGCTTTGAGGGAAATTAGCGATTTAAATGATGATAATTGGTGCTTATTCTTGCAGATCTAATATCGAAACCTCTTGGCTCTCGAATCCTCTCTTTCAGCGACGAATGGTTTGCTGCTGCTGAGAACCTAACTACACCCACTCCACCTGTTCGCAAGCCAGGTGTGTTCACACACGCAGGAGCATGGTATGACGGTTGGGAAACACGAAGGCACAACCAAGAAGAATTTGACTGGGTGATATTCCGGCTAGGCGTTGCTTCAGGCAAAGTGCTAGGCGTTGAAATAGACACTGCATATTTCAATGGCAATCACGCTCCCGAGGTTGCAGTAGAGGGATGTTTTAGCAATAACGATGATGAGGTTAAGGATAAAACTTTCAAAGGGTGGGAGACTATATTGCCGAAGCAGGAGTGTGGGCCGAGCCAGAGACATGGTTGGCTTTTGCCAGAATTGACAAAAAAGGCATATACGCATGTCCGGCTGCAGATGTACCCTGATGGGGGCATCGCGCGTTTTAGATTATATGGGATCGCACTGCCTATTTTCCCAGAAAATCCGGACGAAGTGTTTGACCTCGCTGCTGCTGTGAATGGAGGTCGAGCTATTTCGTGCTCTGATCAGCATTTTGGTACGAAAGATAACCTTTTGTTACCCGGTCGGGGCGTCGACATGGGTGATGGATGGGAGACAAAGAGGACCCGCGGCCCCCACGTAGACTGGGCAATAATCAAATTCGGTACCAGAGGCACTATTAAGAAGTTACTGGTGGACACCGCCCATTTTCGAGGAAACTTCCCTCAGAAGGTTCAAGTTTTCGCCGCGGATATCGCGGAGGGCCAAGAGCCGACACACGATGACCCTGCTTGGATAGAGGTGCTTGCACCCTCGAAGACCGGCCCGGATGCCGAGCATTTTTACGAGGCCGAGCAATTGACGAACGTGCAGGGGAGAATCTTTACACATGCCAAGTTGGTAATGATACCAGATGGCGGGATTAAGCGATTCAGAGTCTTCGGAACGAGAGCTGTGTGAGCAAATGGGTGTAAATTCTTGTAACATGCCGGTAGCTTTAAACTCACAGCAACGTTCTCATCATGATTGGGGACGGGAACGCAACTGAGCAGAACATAAAGGTTTCTTGCGAGGCCTTGAGCCAAGCAAACCTCTATTCTGTGGACATGTCTCGGCGTATGTCCCAGACAGCAAGATTCGCTGATGCTTGATTCAAGTAGTTTTACATTTACGAAATCGAACACTCTGAATCTCTCAATTTGCCCTACGATACAACTTTATACTTGTCAGCACTTTTAAATTGCATAATCAGCAAGTGATTGCTTGCTCTTTGCGGAAGCATCCACCAAGAGCTCGCTTCATCTCACAACTCAGCCTTGAACAGAGTGAACCATAGGCTTGTAAAAGCCTAAAACGGATCTGACCTACAACATGTACGCTGACACTAGCATAGGGATGGAGATTCTCCATACTATATATTCACGGAAGGCTCCGTCTTCTAAGCGTTTGCCATGGTGACATGGAGCCGTCAAGACAAGGCCGGAGTGGAGAGGTTCTTCGATCGCGCCATCTTTTCGCACGTGACCACACTGAGAGGACTGTGAGGTGGCATTCTCAGTGCATGGGTCTGTAGAATGTGTAGAGTGATGGGCAACAGCATATGCAGGCTGTCAGTTGCGCACATGCATACAGTTCGTTGCTGAGCTAAAAGAAGTCGAAGGACGCACGTGGAGAGAAGTCGTGTAAAAAAGGATCCACGGACGGCACTTCGCTGGCGAAAGACAAGCTCTACCCGTAACGCGATACAAGAATTTGAATGCTAAAGTAGTGTCTATAGCCCGCGGAAGCCGTCAAACCTGGAGACCGCTGGCGTTGTGATCGGGTTGGGCGCCGGAGAAGAATGATGGACGATTTACAACCCTTGTGGGCTGAGATCCACTCGAGCGACATGCTCCGAAACCTTGTGCAATGCGTCATTGCCCGTCCTGGTCCGCCAGGTTCAGATTGCAACGAAGTGTTTTTAGCCTTTTGCAAGATCTGAATTCGAGCCGTTTGCGTTCTGCAGTCCTTCGCTCGTTGTCGGTCCTATCGTTCTACCGTCCTGACAAGTGTTTTGCGTCCTTTTCTTTTCCCTTTAGTAACAACCGCACGCGTTCCGAAGCCGGCCTGCGTGGGGGGGTTGAGATCGGAGGCTTTCTCAGCAAAAACACATTTTGTGTAAGCCAAAGCAATTTCTCCTGCTCCTCCAAGAGAGAAAAAAAATTCATTACTAGTTTCCCGCTGTCAAGTCGTCCATTGCTCCTCGGAACGACTTCTGGGCAGTCAGCGCGACAGTGGTCAGGTGCTTCGCATATTTCTCCAGCTCTTATTGCTTCGGCAATTAACAGAAGTTGTACTCCTTTCTCATGTTAGACAACTACTAACTTGCTGTGATTGAGATCTCTCGCACTTATTCCACGACATCTCTCCTTCCGGTAGATTAGGCCAACACAGTTCGCGGAGACAACTGCTCTACGTAGCACTTTTCTAACTTCTTTCGTATCAAAATGCCTCGAAAACCTCCTTCAAGAAGGGGTAAGGTCTTCGAGCCAGCAAAATGATAACGAATGTTGATGTTGATCTATAGGCTCCTTCGCTGACATGCCCTCGGATCTGATGCAGCAGATCGAGCGGCTAGAGGAGCTCTTCCTTGTGTCAACCGACAAGCTAAAGGCGATTACCAACCACTTTGTAGGCGAATTGACACAAGGCCTCACCGAGGAAGGCGGGGATATCCCTATGAATCCAACTTGGGTCATGGGGGTGCCAGATGGCAATGAGACGGGCAAATTCCTCGCTATAGACATGGGTGGCACCAATTTGCGAGTATGCGAAGTCGACCTCCTGGAAGAGAAAGGTGAATTCGACATTATCCAATCTAAATATCGGATGCCCGAAGAGCTCAAAACCGGGACTAGCGAAGAACTGTGGGGATATATTGCAGACTGTCTACAACAGTTCGTGGAGTATCATCACGAAAACGAACAGTTGGACCAAATGCCGTTGGGATTCACATTCTCATATCCTGCGACACAGGAGTATATCGACCATGGCATTCTCCAGCGATGGACGAAAGGATTCGACGTGAAGGGAGTGGAAGGGAAGGATGTCGTGGAGCCGTTCGAAGCTGCCCTCAGAGAACGAGTACGACTGTCCACACATGAACGAAATTCGCGCCGTTAACATCTCTCCAGAATCTCCCGATCAAAGTAGCTGCGTTGGTCAATGACACCATGGGAACTCTCATTGCCTCAGCATACACGGATACTGAATGCAAGATCGGCTGCATTTTCGGCACCGGCTGCAACGCTGCTTACATGGAGAAATGCGGAAATATCCCCAAGCTCAAGCATATGAACTTGGATCCAGAATTACCGATGGGCATCAACTGCGAATGGGGTGCTTTCGACAATGCCCACAAGGTGTTGCCTCGGACACCGTATGACATTATCATCGACAAGGAATCTCCCCGTCCCGGCCAACAAACCTTCGAAAAGATGGTCGCCGGTCTATACCTTGGCGAGATATTTCGCCTCGTGCTCCTCGATCTTCACGAGAACCCTGACTGCAAGATCTTTGACGGTCAAGACGTGAGCAAGCTGAAAAAGGCATACACGCTTGACGCGTCTTTCCTCTCGGCCATAGAAGAGTGAGTTTTACTTTTTTTTTCCCTTTCCCTCATTTCTCTCCACATCGCCATTCACACAGCCCGCTAACAAAGGCGTCCTTCCCAGGGACCTCTTCGAAAATTTGACTGACACAGCGAGCCTGTTCCAAAATCAACTCAACATATCCGCCACCAAACCGGAGCTCGAGCTGTGCCGTCGCCTGGCTGAACTGATCGGAACCCGCGCGGCACGCCTGTCCGCATGCGGCGTCGCAGCCATTTGCAAGAAGATGAACTGGTCTTCCTGCCACGTCGGCGCCGATGGTAGCGTCTTCAACAAGTACCCGCATTTCAAAGCACGCGGGGCACAGGCGCTTCGGGAGATTCTGGACTGGCCTAAAGAGATGCGGAAGGATCCTATCGACATCAGGGCCGCAGAGGACGGAAGTGGTGTGGGCGCCGCATTGATTGCCGCGTTGACACTGAAGAGAGTCAAAGAGGGGCAGAGTGCCGGCGTGAGAGATCCCGAGAGCATGTTAGCAGGAACGAAAGTGGCGAAGGCGGCATGAGATTGTAACGAAGTAGGAATTGCATTCAGTGACGACTTTTACCGTTCCAGTCCCCCCCCCCCCAACGTTCCTCTCTTCCTCCTTGCACATACTCTTCTTTTTGGCTTTGTTGTCTCCTTCGAGTGCTGTTCGCAATGAACCTGCAATTCCGAATGCGTTCTATCCTTGTGGCTCTTCGGAAATCTTCTTGAGGTCACGACTACGGGATAGCTGACGAAGATTGGGCTGGTCCTGGCATTTGTGTCACGCTGTCACGAGGTTGCTAAGTTTACGGCTGTTTCCTCAGCGTCAAAAAGAAGCCCGTTAATGACACGGTAGCAGGTTCTCCTTGCTCAAGAAAGAGATACCGTCGGCAGACAATCTCGGCTTCGTCTCAGAGTCTGAAAGGGGTACTTTTTTTTTAATTAAGCGGTCTTTTGCTGAAAAAAAAAATCATCTCATGAATTGGACAGACAAGATCAGCCCGAAGTCGCAATCGATCCACCATGACGTCACGCATCTCACTGTGCTCACCACAGGTCTAACCTTGCCGTCCTTCTCAACATGACAAGGGTATGAGCAAAAAGCGACTCGCAGCCGTGTCTACTTCAATTATGGTCCGTACCTGGTATGGCTTCTAGCGACGTCCTATCTCGATTCCCCGCATGAACCGCTGAGGACAAACGCAACCGGGACAGATATGCAAGGATCGACAATGCACGTCAATGCAGGGCGGGTGGCCCATAATCTTCCATGTCAAGGCTGATCGAACAATTTGTTGAGGCTTTAGGGCTTACAGATGAAGCATGAGGAACGTTGGTCGGCTGAGACATGGTTGAGAAGCGTTTGACCCTTGGTACTCGCATTGGACTGATGAAAAGTAAGAGAAGGGCACGCGCAGTTCATGATAACGCCATTGCTATATTGGGTACTAGGTCGTGATTTCAATGTAATGCCATTAGCAGTTGATTGTGCGTGAATGTGGACCCTCGACGGTCCTGATTCCGCGCTGTTCCATTATACGGAGCTCGCCGCCGTGGATGCTCCACTAGGCCCAGCCCGACTAGAACGAGGCTCTACAGCCTGGAATGGACGATACACCATGGCTGATGCTTATCGTCCGCATAGTTTCCTGGGCAGCACTGCTCCTCCGCCGTCTCTGCCGTTTGAGCTCGTGCTCTGCGTCCATCAACCTAGCTTGTACCCACGTCCGATAAACCTTGTCTGATTTGACTGAATCACAATTCAACAGGTCTGTAAGCAGACACTTGATCTGGTGATTGATCTCATAGAGGTTTGCTTCGTCCTCCTGTTCTGATTCGGGCGACTTCCAGGCATCTGGAGTGGCTTGTGGAGTAGGCCAAACCTGTGCGGAAGGAAATGAATACCGATGTGCCTGCGCCGATACGGAGGGGCGATGCGCTGATGGAGACGATTCTGGTGACATGCTGTCGACGCAGAAGAGTCCCTCATTTGTAGGGCTGTTGATGCTCAGTCGGCGTCGCAGCGCTTCGGACTGCAAGCTCAGTCGTGCGTATCGCTCAAGATACTCATCCTGGATCCTGGTTAGTGAGTGAAGTGCAGAAGCAGCGCCGTCAGAGCCTACCCTATCCATTGCTACTGTTCGGCGTCTCAATCGTGTGTCCAGTGTAGGTCTGTACATTTGGCAATCGGTTTAGGAAAGTAGATAAGCAGAGTCTTGAAAAAAGTTCAGATAATAAGGTCTCGACCCTTTGCGGGGCCAGAGCTGCACGTCAACAGTGGTTCGACCAATCCAGGAGTGGGGAGGGGATGTTCCGCGCTTCAATGCACTTTTTTGGGCGACCTCTCAGGGTAGGGAGATTCTTGTACGAGATGTGGAGAGACTTGGTGTGGCAGGGGCAGCTGCAGCCGAGCGGAGAAGTTGAGAGTCGAAGGGCGACCGGGCCGGACTTTGGTACTCTAAATGCAGGACGAGAACCTCTCGCAAAGTACCCCGCGGAAAGGCCGCTGACTGACGGGGGCCTTTAAGAGATGGAGGAAGAAAATGTCGCTCGCTGCGCGTGGAACGGAGCTGATGATCGAGTGTGACGTCGGACTGATGGCCATCGAAGAACAAGGCGAGAGCACAGAACAGCCTTGCCAGGAAGACCAGAGTAAGGATGACTTGCGCGACCACTCGGGTTCCCTGGCGACTCGAGCCTTCGTCTGTCGACCAGCAGGCGACCGCCCCGGGGAAAAAAAATTAAAGAGACGCCGTTACAGCAAGGTCGACATGGATGATGTTCGTGCCATGGCGTGCTTCCGTCTGAACCAGACTGTGCCTGGACGCATCGAAGATCAAGGTTGCACGCAGACGCCCAAAGTGGGCACGGCCAATCAACAGCGCGTCTGACGCCTTCGAACCTCCAGCGTCGAGAGCGAGTGCTGCTCTTACGTACATGCCGTGACCGGCCGGAGTGCAAGCTTCGGAGTCGCTCAGACGACTGCCTGTCTGAGGTCGATGTCGTGGCCTGTCCGCTGGGCGACGCTGTCGTGGACAGCACGCAGTTGATTTCGCCCGTGACCACGATCGACGTCCCTCGATCGGCCTTGGTTGCTGCTTGTCACGGGTCAATGACGTTGTGTTCCTTCAAATCATCACGCATGGCCCAACCCGAGCGCCCGAGAGAGTCGGCAGTTTACAGGACTTTGTCGTCTCACAAGACCGGAGCATGAAATTCAAGCAACGCCCATGGCTGCCAAAATGCTACCTCTGGGAAATTGTCTCTGCATCAAACACACGTCGTCCACATGCTGTCTCGCCTACCTCGGTGCGTTGCTATGATGCAACTCCTTCATCACTTGTACGATCCTCTCTTACCTAGACTCCACCCTCATGTGGGGTGTTTGATCGCTCTTGTCTCCGTCGCCATGCGATTTACACATTGCCATGACCGATTCTCGTCACAGCTTGTCGAGCAAGAGCGATGGTATTGTTGGAGAACCTTTCCAGTTTTGATGCCGTGCTCGATCGCAGATTGACCAAGTTTGACTCGCGCGAGGAACTGAGACGACTCGGATTGCACAGCAGCTCCAAGTTGCCACCGCAAGGCTGACGCTAAGTTGTAGCCAATCTCCGTGGTTGCCCAAGGGCGATGCCAGCAGTCATTGTTCCTGCAAGCAGCATGTCGTGTACAAATTCTTCGTCGTGTAAACCAAACTACCCAGATGAGATGGACCATGGGACAGCCCCCGGCTTTTGCAGAACACGGTTCGCTCACTCAACATCGGTCTTGCCTGCCTGTCTTTCTTTCCAGAAGCCTTTCCCATACGAGACGAGAATCTCCTCTCCTTTCCTGATCCCGGATGCTCGCTTGCCACTTTTGCCAGCAGGTAGCACGAAGACAGCCATTCGACGCTCGTACACGTCCTTGCCGCGATCAACCCATACCTCACGAAATTCAGCATTAGGACCCTTGGCGCTGATGCCGCGATAGTCGTTGATAAATCGAGCCTCGTTTCCTGCCTTTGCCGCGTCGATGCCTACTCCCAGTTCCCGATCAAGCGAGAGATCGTAGTCTGATGTGCAATCACTATCCTCTTCTGTGTGGACAACACCCACATAGAACAGAATGAAACTGCCAGGAGGCAGATCTTTCCTAGCAAAAAGGCCATGTTGTCCATAAGCAGGATGGGTTGAAACGGCAATTGTCCGAATCTCTACATTGCTGGACGGTCCATTCACCATGGCTATTGTCTCAGCATTGTTTGGCTTCGTATGAAGAGCCATGAACGTCTGCTTCGACATTTGCTGCGCATAACTTGGGGCAGAAAGGTACTGTACATCTTGTGGCCAGCCTTTTGGCTGTGCGTCTCTCGACTTCATAGTAGCAGAATTTTCTGAACAGTCGGCAGTCGCACGTGCACTGCTTGCTGCAAATTTCCTTCGTTTCCAGGCAGTCCTTTGGTCCTTTGAGATGTCGGGTTCAACAAAATCAAAGTCATCTGAGATCTCAGAAACAATGTCGAACTCTTAAGGGAATGAAATGTAGGTGGGCAAATTCTTCATCGCTGGCTAATTTGAGCACTTTTTTTTCCTGCTGGTAAAGGTAATAGGCCTCACATATCCATTGGTCAAATTCCGAAGGACCGTTTACTTAGTGGCTCGGTCGCTCAGCTCCGAGCACTCACCCGCTCCACCTGGCACTGGGAGGAACCTCGACTCCTTTCTGATCCATCAAAACAATGATGACCATTATTAGGTTCATTCCCTTTTATCAACTTTGTTTTAATGCAATGCTAGCGACTTCCGTCTGATCTAGATACTCACTCTACTCCGCATTGACTATAAAATCGTCTAAATCACGGGGAGTGGAGCTGGCTGTCCGCCACATCCTTCTAGTCATTTCGCTTCTCAGTGATCTGCACCAAGCTTTGTCCAACCAAGTCCTTCCAAGGAGGTGGCGGCCGCGATTGGCCTATTATGACGCCACGCAGAAGTCACATCAATCTTGCTCGCATGAAACAAGATCCAGTCAAACGAGTGTAACGCGACAATATGACTTCAGAAACGGGTAAGGAGAATCACTTAAGGAACGTTGAAGGAAAGAGCAGTAGTCAGCAGCGACAAGGTACCCCGAGAAGACGAGGGCCACGTCAGTTATGCTCTATGATGCTTTGCTGCAGGAACCCGTCAAGGACCATCTTGTAGATCGGCAGGTCGCACAATTCAAGCGCCGAGGTGCATTCAGTGCCGCGTGGAAACGCCAGTCCTGGCAACGAAATCAAGCGCAGGAAATGCGTTGCCAGCACTCCTGATGATGGTCGATTCTAAGCTGGCCTTGCTCGTGAGGAAGTGCTAAATCAAAATCTCAAATTTCGATCGCATTATCCCGTTGACCGATCGCGAGCCGTTTTCAGCTGTTTATCGCAAAGATTATCTCATGTGCTTTCCGTGATGCCATGCCTGGAAGATAACCTGGTCATGCTCTGTCGTTGGATTTCAGGCCACCAGGATGGGTCCTCACAGTTACTACACCTGTTTTGCGAGAGCTGCCATGCAAACTTTACTCGGACGCAGTTCACCCATGAGACCGAGCTTCCATTACTGTAAAAGGGCGTTGAAGCTGTGGATCCACGGGGAACAAGGCTATTCGATTGGAGTATCCACTTTCATTTCCGTACGGCGTGACTTGATTTAGTACCCGCGGCCGCCCCTTTTAACTAGTACTCCACCGTTTCCCAAACGCTGTGCAACAACCGCCTGATGGCCGGTGCGCAGGGGACGGGATCCTCATGGGGCGTTCTGCTAGTCGAGACGCGTGGAAGCTCTCGCATGTCATGGTGAGATATAAAGGTTGCTCACTTCCCATCAGATGGCCTTCTTTTCTACATCCCACGAACGTCTAGCACTTCCCCGGTACAGCCGATTACATTCGTTTCCAGCAACGTTCACGAAACCAGCCACTCGCTTAATCCAAGCCAAATACCCTAATCAGCAAAAATGAAGTACGCCGCTGTCCTTTTCGCCGGTGTGGCCGCTGCCGCCTACGTTCCAAACGCTGAGAGCTCATGGCCGGCTACGACTTCGTCTTCGTCTGTTGCCGCTGGTTACTGGCCATCCAAGTCCGTTGCCACCTCCAGCTCCAGCTCATCCCCCGCTGGTTACTGGCCATCCAAGTCGGTTGCCACCAGCTCGAGCTCGTCCGCTAAGCCAACCTGGACCACCATTGAGTGCGAGGTAAGAGAGTCCGTTCGCAGCGAAGCCATATTCAAATGCTAAACATCGAAAAGGGCCCAACCACCTTCACCTGGGGCAGCACCACCTACTCTGCTACCAGCGCTACCTCATGGGTCCTGCCATGCGAGGAGACCACCACCACTGCTGCTCCAGTTAAGCCAACCTATGCGGCAACCTGGCCAGCAGTCAACGCTTCCACCCCAGCCACCACCCCAACCTGGGCCGCTACCACAGCCTCGGCCGTCTACTCATCCAGCCCTCTCCAGGTTACCGCCAACGCTGCCGTCAACAACGTTGCCGGTGCCGGCGCCGGTCTTGCTGGTGTTTTCGCTGCCGTTGCTTACCTTCTGTAAATATGCTTGCACGGCGCATTTCGTTTCTGACGCATTAAGGCTTGTCTTTGATGGGATTGGGAGTTCCAAGGCTCTGTCAGAATTTAATGCTACCACGCATACGATGTACTTTGGTCTAGATTTTAAATAATAGTTCTTGCTGAGAAAAGCAAGCGGTGTTCAAAATGGATCCTTTTCTTTCTAAGTTGATTCTAATTTGCATCGAATGTCTGTGGGAGTGGTTGATCTTGTTGCAGTGAATAAAAAGCTTAAACAAGATTCTCGACAGGTCGAGTCCGCATCTAGTTGTCTTCACCCTCGACGTGATGCCTGTACTTCACGGCCGTGAAAAGCAATCTCCGCATGTTTCGCAGTGTGCCCAATCATGCCAGTTAGTGCACATGCAGCCTTGGATCAGACTTCGCGGAGATTGCATGGACCCACAGCCCCGTCCCGCTGTCATGCCCTGGGCCCGCAGGAACAAATAAACAAAAAAAAAAAGAAACATGGAGCGTTCAAGCTAGAACGCGCATCTGAGTCTCTCCATTCCGCGACTGAAATCACAGGAGAACGCTTGAGGAGTAGGGATCACGAACCATGCCGTTTCGCTTGACGACTGGCTTGCGACCGTCCCGATTGTCATCGTTCTTTTCGTCCACCCTTCGCTCGTGGTCTGTGGTGAAGGCGAGATCCGGGAACGGAGCAGCGGCGTGTGTGTGTGCAGTCGCCTTTCCCGTTCACGCGAAGGCGTTCGACGCGCAATCCACAACAGCCTTCCGGCGCCACCGCACGGCGGGCGGTCGTGTGAAACCAGATTCCGCCCAAGCCACGCCGCGCGACGAGACGTCATCTTGTGTGCTTTTTGCTTTTTTAGCACTCGAGCTTGAACGTTCTTTTTTTTTTTTTCTTTACTTTTCTTCCCTTCCGTGCGGCGCTGTAACGTGCAGTTTCACGCGAGCGCTGTAGGGATGTACCGCATTTGTTATCAGCGCCATCTGCCGAGACAAAACATGGTCGTTATCGCTTCGAAGAATGTTAATTTGGTAAATTTTCATTCTTCTTTCAACCGTTGATGGTTTCGACCGCTCTATTTTGGCATGACCTGTTTCGAGAAGAGCCGCACTCGTGTCGAGATGCTTAGAGAACGTAGCGCAATGCAACCGCATCGGCTAGTGGTCATGGCATCGAGGATCTACGTTCTATCGCGAGTGAGAGCATCTCAAGAGGGTTTAAGAAACCCTCTTTCGACCTAACCATTCATCTTGACAAGCATCTCGTACGCCCTCTAAGCTTCGTACCGTTGATCCGTAGTCCAGGCGTTGTGAGACCTTGAGCAAACACAGTCTAAATTTGTGGCGAACATACACACTCTTAATTCAGATCTGTTGAAAATGAGTCGAGAGAGGATTGGGATCGCTGATGCCGCGAACTAGCGAGGCTAGTTATGAAGGATTCGACTAAGAATGATAATCTTGAAAATCCAAAATCTTCCTATAGTCGAACGAATAAGCAATTGCCGAGACGTTGCACGGTGACAAAACTGTATTTCTGCGCCGGCCCATCTCCTGCGGTGTGCCAATTAGGGGGATATGAATACGCTCTCGACTGCGAAAAGACTTTCCTGGTCCTGGCAACTGTCAATGCACCGCTGTTGTTCCAACGCACTGTCCAGAAGCGTTTTTTCACGGGTTTCCACGTTTGTCGGCCTCGTTAAGCTAGTATTTGGAAACGCGACTGCGTTATTACCTCGTCGAGGTTTCTCAAGCCACGGCGGCGAGCGGCTCAAATGGTAAGTAAGAGCAACGTAGTGTCTGCTTCCGTCTCCCCGGTATCGAACACCATTTCTAGGAAGATGTGTTCATCCTGGGAAAGTTTGCCGCTTTCCAGGGCTATTTTACGCCAAGATTGTTCCTTTCCGCGAGAACGCGTTGGGCGCGTCAAGGCTACTGTCGTGATAAGCATGTGCCGCCACTGTCTTGTACAGATCGGAGAAAGTTTACCTGTCGCATATTTGGTTCACCCAAATGTTCGACCTTGATACGGACTAGCTTAGATTGTGCAAGGTTTAATTTGATGAGGTGATGGAAGAGCTCAAGCCCAAATTATTGTTGATCTTGTTTGTTCATGTTAGCGAACACAGCTCTTTCGAATAGAAGGTATGTTACAATGCAGTGTGAAGCAGTCTATTATAATATATTGATGAACCTAAGAGTATATTTTCAAGCGGAGACACCACTTATGTCCTTCATCAAAACAATGCGCCCAAATGCTTACCTTTAGGTTTTAAGTGTACAAGCTTCAAGGACTAACGCAAGTTGCACGCAATTCCACTTAAAATTTGTTTCCTTTCCACAAACATTTCCTGTTTCAAATCCTTCACATGCATCCCTTATAGCCTCGCCTTTACACCATCTGGTGCCTCGGTCACGTTTCCCCCTGCCTCAACCTCGACGTTACCGGTGCCGGGCACTTCAGCCTCACCACCCTTTTCCCCTTCTCTGACAGTGATTCTCCAGCCCAGTTCTTCCGAGCTGTCTTTGACCATGTCCACTGTTGGGAAGTAATGATCGTTCTTCTTCATCGTTACTACCCAGGGGACGTTATCAAACGTCATGACCTTCAGCCTGAAATATGTGTTATCAGGAATCTTCTCCGCCTCTCTGAGGAACGTCTCCAGATCCGGTGTAGGTATCCCATTCAGGTGAGTAATGAAATTCGTAGGAGCAAGTCCGTACATGTATGCGGGAGAGCCGCGTGTGCGCCCTGATATGTACACGTCGCTGTGGATTTTGGAGATTTGCTGCCGTACCGCATGATGAGGACGGTGGAGCAGTGCGCCACAGAATACCACTACGCGAGATGTTTCGATGTTAGACGTTGCCGTCGTACTGACTTTGATGTTTATGATTTCTCGCCGGCGCACAATTACTGCATCCAATACTTCGTTATTATACTGGATGTCGAGGTCCGAGACTCGTGTGATCAGCTTGCCGTTGAGCGTGAGCAGAACGTCGGATTCTTGGAGGCCTTCACCGTTATGGCCACTATCTACCTTGCGGACCATGAAGAGTTGGTGGCGCTCTGGATCATCCCGTTCGACGCGCTCAATCCATTCTGTGTGATGTCAAACATTAGCCACAATCACTGATGACGCAAAGAATCGTGATATACCTTCTGTGACTCCGAGAATCCTGGCATGGTCCATGGGACAAGTGTGCAACTCCGCATTCAATATTCTTAAATCTGGAATCACGCCAGCTTGGATCTGGTCAATGACTGGCTGAACCATTGGAGTTTGCAAACCAAGATGATATTCGACGTCCTTTCCACTGTGTCCAGACCGATCACCTAGATAGGTCAACCACAATGCCTGCACGGTGCCATCTTCTGACATTAAAACACCGCTTCCACATTGCGCAGCGAGGTTAGTGTCTACAGTGATTGCATCTATGTTCACGGCCCGGTAACGTGGTGTGGCTGCACTCGCGGGTATAGCTACAGTTGTGATGTCTGTTATCGTAGTCTTTGCAGTGACTGGCCGGTAGTTCTGATTGAAGCCAAAGAAAACAACTTCCTGACCTTGTTTGACATACTCCTTGCTCAACTTTGCGCTTTGAACCGGCGCGTGGACGAGCTTTGCGTCATACTGCAAAACTGTGAAATTCTGGAGAGGGTGCATGAACAACACCTTTCCAGGTACTTGAATTGAGTCTGCAATCGTGACATGTATATCGCACATGTCGTAAGGAACAATAGCTCGAGAGATGACCACAAGACCCTTCTCGGCATCAACTACCAGACCGTGACCAGTCTTGCGACCACGGGGAAAGCCATCCAGCTTTACCGGGAGCAAACAGGTGACTCGAACAAAGCTGCGTACGATATCGACAGCTTGCGGGTACTGCTCATTCGTCATGGTAATGAAATTCGCGCGTTGCGGGGATCGTGGTTCAGCAGGCAGAGGCTCGGCGAGATCTGAGAAATCCCACAAGCCAGTCTTGTCATTTCGCACTGCAAGCCGCATCTTCTTATGCCAATGCCTATCCACGTTGATGATCGCAGTGTTGCGCGTGTGCAAATCGCGAAGATGCTTGTATGCGATGACCACCCTCGATCTATCCGGAATAGCGGCCATCACCTTGATGAAGGTGTCAAGATCCGGGGTTTCTTCATTATTGACGGATTGGATCATCCAGCCAGATTCTGATCCATCCAGCCTGAAGGTCCCGCCTGTTTCACAAACATAAACGCCGTTGCCCTTGATCGAGATCGCGTAAAGCCGTGCTTGTTGGTATGATAGGTCATGGAAGGTAGCACCAGCAACCTGCACAAATCTATCAGGAGTGATGGCATGAAGATCTCCAACTTCAAGCTCCACCTCGATATCTCGTCCCCCACGCTGTACTAAGAGGGTGACCTTTTTGGACACAGACGAGTCCAAGATGTCATCCAAACGAATGAACTGGGAAACGAGCTCGCCATTGACCTTCAGCAAGACGTCGCCTTCCTCTAGTTTCTCGTGTGCAGGCCCTTTTGGAAGAACGGTTTCCGCCACCAACAGACCTGTCTCGTTTGGGAAGCGGGCACGCATTGCAGCCTCCCAATTAGCAGTTAGACCAAGCCTCCTGCACTCGTCATAAGGCTTGAGCAGCCACTGTGTCTGAATTGTGCCCCGCGAAACTGGAATACCTCGTTGTATACATTGAAGGGCCCGCAGTGGTCGATCCAAGGGCAAGAAATAGTCTGTCGCTGCACCATCGCACCGCCCTCCGGCTTGCAACGCGACAGCGTAACCGTCCTGATTCACGACCGGCGAACCTGAACTGCCTCCACTCGCCGAAGCCGCGGCTTGGATGTAGTTTGTGTTGAAATCGCAGTATCCATCACCGTACTCTGGAGCGTTCCGATCAAGTCTGCTGATCACGCCGGACAGAATGCTCAACTTTTCCCCGGCATCGTTACCCACGACTCGAATCTCAGAACCCACCTTTGCGAGGTCAGGGCGTAGCTTCAGAGCCGTCACAGGCATGTACTTGATCTTCTTCGGGTCGAATCGCAGGATACCGAAGTCGTGAACAGGGTCGCGATAAACTGGGAAGACATCGCATTCCTCGTGGTTGTCGAAGATGCAGTACCCCCAGAATGGCCCTGCTCCTACCACATGCCTATTGGTAAGAATGTAGCCATTCTCCGCATCCACTACGAAGCCCGTGGCTTCGCTTGCGATCGCGCCATCCGTGTCAAAGGAATGCGTCTGACAAAAGTGTATGGAAACCACATTCTTGATGACCTTCTCCACTGTCGCTTGCCATTCTGCTGTCTCCGCCGCCGTTGTTGTTGGCACCCGGCTCAGCGCTCGTCCTTCGTCGATATCGAGTGGCATATCGTTGGCGTTGCTACTGCCACGCGCCAGCTCCGGGCTGCCGCCGTTGCTGAAAGTATTGTCCACACCGTTCGCGTAGCCACCTGCATCTTGGTGCTTGAACTGCTTCATTGGTCGATCGTTCGAAGGGTTCGGAGGTTGCTTTCGTTTGCTAAGACGCTGCTCGGAGGTGGAGGACATGTTTTGCAGGGAGGATGACGTCGACAAAGCTCTGCGATACACAAGGACGGGCGCCTCACGGCTACGAGCGGGTTCGCCGAGAAGTGGTGACAAGGCAACAGGATGGTGTGCTGCGGCAGAAGGCGCTAGTTCCTTCGTTGTGCGAACAACTTGTCGGAGGCGACCGGTGTGCACGCTGGCCTGGCCGGGATGAACAAGAAAGCGGTGAATCCGACCAGGCAGATTAGTAGGCTGAGGTCGAACACTTAATCGAGGGTGCAGGGGCGGCAATGAACCAGAGATGTGTCGCAGAATGCTGCTGTTGTTGCTGCAACTACTCAGCCTCCTTGTGGTGGCACTGGTTTCGAAGATGCTTGCGGACGTCGCTCTGCGAAAGGCAGTGCGCAATCCAGCGTGCATCCAGACCGGCAGGCGCGGAGAAAAGCGAAGAAACTATAGGCAGTGCCCTGTTAGACGCCTCGCAATGCAGCAAAGACAACGAAAGGACGAGACAGAAGTCAGAGACGACAAGTCTTCAGAAAGGCGGACTACGACGTGCGCCGAATCGGGATGGGGCAAAAACGCAGTTTGAATTTTTAAGCGCGCGTCTGAAAGGCGGCTAGCGACGGCAGTGCACAAAACACCACCAGTTCTACAGCCTGAGGCCGCAGGACTCGAGTACAAGGCCTTGTCCTAGTTCTTGACACCGCCCGTGACACTTTTCTTTTTCGCGGTGCATCCTCTCGAAATATATTGGGAACCCGGAAAGTCCCAGCAAATAGTTCAATCCAGGCTGGTAAATCGAAGCGACTCGGTCCAAGTAGTCCCCGACGCTTGATAAAGTTACCTCTGCTCTGTTGTGGACTAGTATCTGTGCCTCGACAGTCCTCTGAGGGAGCAGGAGCAGGAGCAAATTGTAAGGGTTTGGGATTTGAAGGACGAGGCGCAGGCTCTTTTGAGGCGCTCGAGACTAGCTTCACTTTCTTCAATCTCCCAATCGAGCCCACTCTTACGTCCTTTGAACGTGAATATTACTTCGCCTTCAGAGGTGTACTAATACACATTCCTCAAACTAGTCATCCTGATCCAAAAGAGCGAAGAGTCCTATTATCGTCATCTTGTTCTCAGCATGGCTGGTTTCATTGGTGTGGCGGACACGCTACTTCGGCGAGGCTGAGTTTTCGCTCCCATCCAGTGTCATTGCGTTTGTATTTGCCACAATACAAGTATTCGAACTCTGCAATGAAGCCTTTGCTGAGTCGTCCCTCAATTTCCCTGTAAATGGTCACGTTGAACGTCTGGTTTCTGGCTTGAGGCCGCTGTGATTCATTCGACTATTCCGGCGCATCAGCGGCAAGTACACCAGACAAAAATGCTGATCAATGCCAATTCAGAAACCCTAGAGTAAGTTTTTGTTTCAAGATAGAACTGAAATTGTTCGACACCAAACTTGGGTTCGATACTTTGGATGGGATTGAACCTGTAAAGACATACCTTGTTTCTGGCAAACATCTGAGCCGCCCAGAGCACTACCGTTCTTCTGAGTGTCTTCAGTCGCTGTGAACAGGCAAGGTACGCATATATGCCATAATACAATACTGCGTTGCATGTTCGTTGTGATAATATCCTACGGAGTCAGAGATGGTCAGAGTAAGTCTGTAATCACGGAAAGTCATGCACATTAGCTGCAACGACGGTGAACAAAGGCTATGGGATTCATCAATAGAATAGTTGGACTGATGGTGCTGCCCAAGTCACGCACGAAGCAATAGTTCAACACACAGGACCAAGGTCTTCTCGCATCAAAGTAATCGCATTTTCAAATAGCACCCAACGCATTCTAACGCAAAATTGCTCTATTCGGTCGAGAGTAATGTCTAGTATGGTTCGACGTCCTTTAATTCTGAGCAAGAGGACTGAGTAGCACGAACGGGGCCAAAGGTCTGTCACCTTCTTTGAGCTCTGAAGGTTGATCCGTGGTTGAGACAAGCAATCCGACAAACTCCGAAGTCCTTTGCTGCCAAATATGCCAATGTGTACAGACTAAGAGCATGGCACACTGGATTGCATCGTTCGTTGATCAATTATGACCTCTGCCACATGTCAGCCTACTCAATTTGAGCGAGGCGGCCGCATTCTACGCCAGCGAGCAAGAGCCGAGCTGATTCATGTCATCCGCCTCGCACCTCAATCCAGCCTGTCCAAGTGTTCCAGCCTCGTCAAAACGACCTGCTTGCTCGTCTCCTCAATCTCCCCCGCCAAAAACACCTCGTCCAGGATCGCATACACCTTGTAGAAGTTGAACACCAAGTCCAGCTCGCACACGTTGCCGAAGAAGGCGTCCAGGACCTCGACGAAGAAATGTATGGCCTCTAGGTATGCGAGCTCGTTGTCGTTTGTGTCTACGCATGCGCAGAAGAAGAGGCCGGCGTATCGCCTGTACACGATCTTGGAGCGTTGCCGAAATTCGACAAAGTTGGACTGATGCTTTTGGTCGCGCGGAGCAATGAGGCGGTGGACCTGTGGAAAAGTGTGAGTATTGCTGGCACAGGTCAATTAGGGAGATATGAAGTCTCTTACCTCGCCCTTGAGTTTTACCTTTTCCTCATCCTGTGGCCATACGTTAGGCACTGATTCTCGAGGTGATTGCAGGGAGGGTGCTCCTTACACTGTATGGCGCATACCATTTTGCCAGTCTCGTCTTTCCTCTCAAAGGACATTAGTTCAGGGATTCCTTTGAAGTTACGGATTACTCACTGTCTGTTTTGTATCAGTATAAACGAGAGCACCATGGTTACGTATGTCGCGCACCGAGCAGGCCAGAACGTAGTTCAAGCATGTCGCGGAGTAGGTGAAATCGCTAGGCCGAATCAGGTAATAAACCATCCTCAGATCCAATACAGTAGTCTGATTAACGTTATCGTGCCTGTTCATGTTCCTCCAACCCAAAAGTGATTTTTCTTTTTTAGGGTAAAAAAAACCATGATCTCTACAGTTTCATCTGCGATGTCTTTCAGGATTATCATAGCAGCAGCCAATATCCGCAGGGAACTTTACATTCTAAATAGCGTTACAACAATTGCGTGTACGGCTCTAGCGTGCGTACTCCAGCAAGTAGTTCATCTCGCATGCTTACATATCGAGAATGCCTCCGATGTGGTATTTTCCTAGCAGTGAAATTTTCGCGTTACGAGTCAACAGAAACGTACGTGGTGACTAGCCCGGCCAAAAGAGCGGTCATTTTCCTCAATACCTGAGCAACGAATCGCGGTGCGAACGACAATGTGTAAAAAAAGACGGCGCGTAGTTTGCAGGCATAGAAAAACGCTAGCCTTTTTCTCTTCGAGAAAGGAATTGGAAACTTGCCTAGGTGTCCTGGACGTAAAAGGACCATTCAAGATGATCTTAAGCAGATCTATCGCTTCAATAGCCTGACGCTGAAGAACATAGAATTTTGACTTCAATCTATAAACGCGAAGTTTTTCCATCGTTGTCGATAGCGCCAGGTCTACCCTGCGCATCTACATACGGAGTCTTTGACAAGACGAATTTACCTGCATTTCACGGAAGCTTCAAGTGCGACGCTTGTGCTTTCACTCGAGCTCTGAGGAGAAAGTCGAACGCTTGACCGGAAGCAAAGCTGAAGGAGTAGATGGAAGCTCTCTTTTCCAAACAGGTCGGCGACAAACCAATCTTTGCAAAAGTCTTCTCCATCGCACTTTTTGTGCAAATATGAACTGGGGGAGAGTTCTCTTTGTCAGCCAAGCCTTAGCGTAATATCAATCCTGTTGCTTCTATTTTTTTTTCTTTCTATCCCGCTGCACGCTTTTGCCAGGCATAGATCACTGTCCTTACTAAAAGAGCCTGCAGGGAGTGCAAATGAGATCGATTTACTCGGCCCGGGATAGGTACGCGTCATCCATCTGGACTCAACCCCCGTCCTGATATCGGATGTTCAAATAGAACTACTGCACTCAGCTCCTAACAGCGTAGCGCAGCAACCGTGCAGGCAAGAATCATCACGCTCGCCACTCTGAGCCAAGAAACTCGCGAGCTTGCCTAGTGCTGCGTCAAGATCGTCCGTCGAGCAATCCCTCGATCTTGCTCAGCGCGTACATGCATCCTGAAAGAGGACGAGACACGTCTGCACCGACGAAGTTACCCACACACAAAACGTGGTCTGTGAACAACAATCCGACGAACGAGTAGCGCGTCCAGGTGTGGTGAAGAAGCTGCCGAGCTCCTCAATCCATGCTGGGTTGCGTGAGCTCCGCGTGCATGGTGCAAGCGAGATCCGGAAGAATACGAGCGAAAGGTAAAGAGCCAGACGACGTCTTGCGACACGAAAACATTAGTAATCCACCGTTTGCACAAGTTTCGTCCAAGTTCAACACATGATCCTGCCTACTCTGGAATGTCGCATCGGACCATCTGTAGCAGTGAAGCTCGGTAGTGACGCCAACAACTATCTACTCTAGAACTAGGAGGACAAGCTCGTTGAAAGAAAAATTCAGTGAAAACAAAAATTCCAAAAAGCGGCTGCTCTCTGCGCGAAAATGATTACCTGGCCATCGCCCAGGACTGCGATGCATAACCTACGGCCTCCCTGGAGAGCAAACCCGGCTCAGTGCGTGTGCATCCAATCCATCAGATGGCACGACACCCGTGCCCGATGTAGCATTTGAGTAAGTCAACGACGGTGACTAGATCACGAGGCTCTGGGGGGAGGCACCTCCAGCAACCCCAGCCCATGGCCTCCATTCCTGACGACATTCGAGGTGCTCCGAAGACGTTGTAGCAAGTGGGAATCAAAGCCGTGGACAGTGGAGCCTCCTCGACGGTTATTTCCTCGCCGCTTCAACGATGCAAGAACAAAGATCTCTGACCGGGTCACCGCCAGCAAAAGCGGGTGGGGCCCGCCATGGCCTGCCGGCGCATCTCTGAGAGTCCACAACGGTACGGAATACACACCTCTTTTCACTGACACCCACGCATCGGGCGAAGTCGTGGTAGAATTGCGATCTTGTTACCGGGGGGTTTCTTGATCTGCTCTTCCCTCTTTCCTTTCCCCCCGAGACGTCGTTCCGAAAAGAGAACAGAGATCACGTTTCTTTCGACATGGCAACTAAAGGGCGGGAAAAACAGCGTGAACAGGGCGCGGAAGGGTGAACGCTGAAAGGTGCGCAGGCGTCAGAGGGACCCTGGCTTATCAATCAGTGCGGTCCTGAGGCGGAGGAGGGGCAGCAAGGAGGGGCAGGAGGGACAGCACGGGCCGTCTTGGTTGAGGCGCGGTGGAGAGGCGAGCTGCCGCTTGACGACATGTTGACTGCCTAAGCAGGAAAGGAGCCCCCCATTGCCGTCTTGCCCTAACGTTTTGAGCGGCCGCTCCATCACGTTTTGCCGAACCGGCTAAATCTCCAGATTTCGGTCTTTTGAGGAGAGTTGGAATGGGTAAAAACAAGAGCTCTTGGTTCGCACCCGCCGTGGCATCCCCTCCGCCAAACTCTTCCGCCCTCCCTTCCTCCGCATAGAAGCTCAGAATTAAGAAGACGGGGAAAAAAAAAAAATTCAAGAACATAACTCTTTTACGCATCCTTGAAGTGGAAGAAGAAAGAAACAAACAAACAAAGAAGGAAAGGTGAGAAACAACGTCGGTCTGAAATTCTCCAAAAACTCACGGAAGAACCAGGCGTGCCATGGCCTCCAACCCGCCAGGCCAGTGCTGCACCCAGGGTGTCAAGCACGAAGGACAAGCGACGGGCGAGATGAAGACGATCGGAGGATGTAAGCATTGAAGTGATAGTAGTAGTAGTAGTAGTAGAAGAAGAAGAAAAAGAAGAAGCCTTGTGAGGGCTTGCGTCCGGATAGGGGGCCTAGACGAGGAGGTGCTGACCACGCCGATTCCCCACAGACGAGACGTACGTCGCGTATCCGAAGAGCAAGTCGACCGACAAGGCCGTCCTGATCCTGACGGACGTGATCGGGCACAGGTTCGTCAACGCGCAGCTCATCGCCGACCAGTTCGCCGCCAACGGCTACTTCGTCGCCATGCCGGACCTGTTCGCCGGCGACCCGATGCCGCTCAACCCGCCCGCGGGCTTCGACTTCGCCAAGTGGATGGCGGCCGGTCACACGGTCGAGCACGTCGACCCCGTCGTCGACGCCGTGGTCAAGGACCTGCGCGGCGGCCACGGCGTCAAGAAGCTCGGCGCGGTCGGCTACTGCTTCGGCGCAAAGTACGTCGCGCGCTTCCTGAAGAGAGGCCTGCTCGACGCCGGCTACATGGCGCACCCGAGCTTCGTCGACGAGGCCGAGCTCGAGGCCATCGAGGGCCCGCTGAGCATCGCCGCCGCAGAGACGGACCAGATCTTTCCCACCCCGAAGCGAAGGCTGTCGGAGGACATTCTGTTCAAGAAGGCCGTCCCCTGGCAGATCAACCTGTACAGCGACACGGTGCACGGCTTTGCCGTCCGGGCCGACCTGACGCAGCCGAGGGCCAAGTGGGCAAAGGAGCAGGCCTTCTTGCAGGCGGTCCACTGGTTCGACGAGCACCTAAAGGAGTAAGTTTTGCGCGTCGGTTGGGGCTTTGGAAAAACGAAAATGTGAAGTTCGGAGCGCTGACGCACCCTAAAAGTACCGCAAAGTTGTGAGCATCTTGAGAAGAGGAGGCGGCCGGGGACAAAAGAATGAGAGACCCCAAGGTGGTAAAGCGGATAAAACAAAGGAAAGGAACAAAAACAAGGACGGCGAGGGAGATGCGAGCTGGAGGTAAAGCTTCAGCACATGTGGGAGACGAGAGTGGGACTAGCTTGATTGCAGTGCTATCGCATGTAGCGACCGGATATCTCAACATCAACGAAGCCGCCTCAATACAGCCCAAATAGGAATAGAGAAACCATGATCAACCTGCTCAAAACATCCTCCTTTCTTCCGCCAGTGATGGTTCGTGCAATTTCCGCCGAAGAAGGCCCAATATGGAGGTGGGGGTGGAGAAGAAAGATATCCATATTGTAAAGAAAAGGAGCTAGGAGCAGAAAAACTCTAGCAGAACGCTTTCGTTTCGATGAGGTGCAGCTAGGAGGGTAGGGAAAACAAACAAAAAGTTTTGAGTCCCCAAGAATCGACTCTGCTAAACCCAACAAACAATGTGTTCCCAATCATTAATCCATCTCGGGTATCATGCGTAACAACATGCCGGCATACGTAAAGAGCATAAAACTGTGTGGTTTAAAATCAATGCAGAGGTATCATGTTATGATGAAGCAAATCAAAACCACGAGGTGAGAGGCAAAAATAAAAAGTAGCTGTTTGTTCGTTACTTCGTGACATTCGTGTGTGATGAGGATCTACTCTCCGACCTCGAGAGCGCCTGCTTGTATCTCGGGTTTCGATAGATCGGATGGATCGGATGCAATCATGGTTCGTAGATGTTTATGAAATCGTTTTAGCGGAAGGACGGCCTTGCGTGAGGGCAAAGCAGGTGGCCTGAGACGTTGGACGTTGATGAAACATGACCCGCGGAAGAGTGAGAAACGTGGGACGGGCGGCATTGTTCTACCTGCCGCTCACAACGCGATTTTCTTGCGTAGCGACAGCCACAAGGGCTTCGAGTCGCTGCATGTCATTACCCGATGTAGCCGGCCTTTGGTAAGTTTGGCCTGGCGCTTGTTGGGCCTGATGTAGAGCGTAGGTTGCGTTTTGCGCTTGATGTGGGAGATGTTGATATGGAGTGTACTGTGGAATCGAATTGCTCGCGAAGCTGGGCGTGTAGTGTGGCGGTGGGCCATGCATTTTTACTGGTAGCTCGTGAACCGGATGGTTGAGGGGCCTTTGCTCGACATAGCCGTTACTATGTACAATGGCTGGGTTCGCCTCGTGCAATGCACTGTTGCCCGGTGTGGGCACGCCGTCACTGCTGCCGGATTCGTCTGGCGAGGTACGAGGCCCTGAGGACGGCGCGTACGGACTTTGTCCTTGGTGCTGCACCGGCCCATTGTACCAGGCCATCCGTTTACGGCTCGGCAACCCACCATCATCACTCAGGCGGTTGCGGTGACTGTCGAGGGACGTGCGAGGAGGCTCTTGGAAAGTGACGTGGGACGTGCTTGGTCGAGGAGGATCTGGCGCGTGTGTGGCAACAGGGCCAAACGAGGCCTGACCACGCTCCGCTTGTTGGCTTGCCCGCTCCAACTCTATGCTTGAGAGGCCCCGTTGCAGAGTGCTATCCCAAGACAGCCGATTATCACGCGGCTCAACATGCGACTGTGAGACAGCACTGCTCAGAGACTGAGGCTGAGGCGGATCGATCTGCATGGGGCTCAGCACTCTGCGAGGCATATTTGGAAGAGGTGGTGCATGATCAAAACTCTCGATTCCCGGCAACGTCAGCGTGGGCGGGCCAGTGCTCGGCTTGTCGGACGCGAACAAGGGGCGTGGCTGCTCGGGCGCTTGATATTGCTGAAGTCCACTTGCGCCTGGACGAGGGACCAGCCCCGTGTTGACATTCGGGTGCCAAGTTCGACGCTTCAAGTCGACGTCGATGGAGGACGCTGATTCAGCGCGGGAGTGACCGAAGCCGGAACTACCTGGGCTGGCAAAGACGCTGCTGTTTCCTGAAGCGGAATGAACCGAACTGTGGTATGGCGAGGTGTAGCTGGAATTGCTCGGGGGCGTGAAGGCTGCTGCGGATGGTACTGAGAGGCGTCTACCTGGCGTTCGCGGCTCAAAAGTGACCGATCTTGGTATCGAAGTCGAAGCCGGAGAGTGGAAGCCAGATGAGAAGCGCGGGCTGCCGGTACCTTGAGAGAACGTCGTCGACGTCGGAGTGCTGTAGCCGCTGGGCGACTGGGTTCCAGGAGCTCCAGGAGCACTGGGAGGAGGGAAGAAGTGCTGCTGTGCAGGGCTTCCCGTGACGGTCGAGCCGAATGTATCAAGGCTCAGTCTCGAGCGGTGCGTGCGTTCGCCCGTCACAACTGGCGTGGATCTTCGCATGACGTCTTCTCCACCCATGCTGGACACGGTGGAAGCGACAGATGTGATGCTGGACGACGACAAGTTTCTACTGTGGCCTCTACTGTGGCCTCCTCCACTTCCCAGTGTCGAGGCTCGCGATCGCGCTCCAGCGGGTCGTACCCGGTCCGTCCGTATCTGCCTCTGGAAGCGCGTGCCTGTTGCCGCGAGAGAGTCACCAGGGATATCTTCATTCACGTGCACGGTTTGGGCATGCTGTCGAAGGTTGTCCAGGCGTGAGAATCGCCGTGAACAGTGGCATTGAAAAGGTCGCTCTCCTGTGTGTTTCCGGATATGGCGGGCCAGGTGCTCGCTTCTTGTGAAGCTCAGGTTGCACGGCGGGAAGTCTGTGCAGAAGAAACGCTGGCCCTTCTTTTTCTTCGACGGTCGCTCGTCGCTGTTGCTCTCGTCACCGGAAGCTTCCGCGCCGTCCTTTGCATCCGCCATCTCTGTATCTTGGTGTTCATCCGTCGACTGGGTCGCGCGACTTGAGCCCTCGCGCTTCTGCGCAGCTGGAGCGTCCATCTTGCTGTCGGCTCTGGAATGGGACTGCAGTGGCGACGAAGGCAGCGGCTTCTGGCTTACCATTCCTGCAAAGCTTTCCCTCGTTGGGGTCTTCGCATCCTCCATGTCGACGACCTCGCCAGGCACGTCCTGGGATTTGGCGGACGAAAATCCAGTGCTCGACGGTCGCGGAGTGGTAGGCGTGGACGCTTCGGGGCGCGGCTTCTGGTCCATGGACACGGATGTTGCGTTGACCGCTTGAAAGTCGGTCATGGTGGTGGTGGCGCTCTTAAGGACGGGGCGGTCTCGGTACGCAGGCAGACAGGAGATGATGAATCAGACCTGCTCACAGCAAGGGCCAAGGGCAGTGTTTCGAGCGCAAATTGGTTTGCTCCAGAGCTGCAGGCGTGTCAGGCACCGGGTCGTGCCAGGCCGCGACTCAGGCGTGCGATTCCGAGGCGGAGGTGGTTAAATGGTCGGCGGCAGAAACGAGGCTGAGATTTGACACCGGACCGGACGAAACAAACTGGCCGATCGATCGCGGACACATGTACGGGAGGCGAGCGGAGGATGCCAAAGCTCAAGGACCGCGGCGGTGGGCAGGCAAGAGGGATGGAGGCAAAGGAAAACGGTGGCGGAGGGTCAGGATGGAGTTGGAGGGGATGGTGCAAGGCGTGGGAGCGAGGGCAAGATGCGTGCGGAACGGTCGAAGGAGGTGGTGCAGCAGAGAAGGCAGAGCGAGGTGCGATAAGAACGAAGTCTCGTTCGCTGGCTGGGAGCCGCCACTGGCGAGCGAGGGCGGATGGCAAGTCGCTTTGCTGCAGCGGGCGGGCGTCTAACAGATCAAAGAGGGGCACGCAGCAGCCAGGTGCACACGCATGCACTGTCCAAGACGGGTCCGAAGCGGGCTGGCTCACTACTGAGGTACTAGTCCTGACTACGGCTCACCCACAGACGGGGGCTGGCACCGTCGATTGGGATAGCTCCGATCAAGCCGCAGCTGTACACCGCACGTCACGTCCTCTTCCGACGACTGTTTGTCTCTAGCCTGCTGCACTTTGCTCGTGCTTGGAGGCCGGGTGAAGGAGGGTTGACGCCGGCCGGGTCGCGAGGCGGATGGTCGGAGTTCACCCAGGCCAGAGCCCGCCGTCGAATCTCGATCGAGAGATGGGATCTTGTTTCTTTTATTTTACTGCTTTCTGGGGGGACGAGATGACAGATCAGATCGAACGCACAGCGCAGGTGGACGAAAGCGTGCTGTGCACGAGTGAAGCGGCTGACGGAGCGGGGGAAAGCAGAGAGAGCGCGGGGGAAGAGAGAGAAAGGGGAGAGAGAGAGCGCGCGTCGTGCGTGTGAGAGTGTGCGTATGTATATATGGATGTGAGAGAGAGAGTGTGTGAAAGAGGGTGTGAGCGAGAGAGAGGGTGAGTGTGAGTGTGAGAGAGAGGTGAGTGTGAGTGTGAGAGAGAGGTGAGTGTGAGTGTGAGAGTTCTCGTGGATGGCTTGCGTGTGGGCAGTGGGCAGCCGAGCAGAGGGGGCTGGCAATTGGCACGACCTGGCACTGCCTGGCACTTTCCTGGGGCAAGCTTGGGGGCAGCCTGGCCTGGCCGGGCACCACCTGGGACCGGGCCCTTGCGTTGCGTCTCTTTGCCTGCTTTTGGCCCGGAAACCCACCGGGAGTCTGCTGCACTCACTCTCTCACTCCCACGTACTACGCCCACGCACCTAACCCTCTCTTCCTCTCTGCTCATCGTTCTCTCTCTCACGCGCGCTCTCAGTCATGCAAGCAAGCATATACACATACTCTCTCTACCCATCCCTTGCGAATTACCCATCCGCTGCGTCCTAAGCTTCGTCGTCCCAGCAAGTGGATCGACGCATGCAAGCCGCTTTCAACCTTTTTGCCTCCCCCCCCCCCCCCCCACTATGCATCCGCTAACCTCATCCACCCTTTCAAACCAACGCCAAAGGAACACACATAAAAAAGAGCTGCCCATGACCCTGGTCAGCCTTTCTCGTTCCTGTTGGGACTGGTACGACGGTGAAAGGAGAACGGAGTTCCTGACATTGCGCGGACATGGCGTTTCTTACACAGTGGTACAGACAGAGTACTCCGTAATCGCGGGAGGATCAGCAGCAGAAGAAGAAGAAGAAGAAGAAAAAAATAAATGAAGGGGGCTCAATGCAAAAGTGTCCTCAGACAAGACGAAGAACGCGAGGGCAAGTCACTCGTATGGGCTCGCGAAGAAAATCCTATCTGGAGAAATCCACAGTGGGACCGCGTGCAACGTGCGCTTTGCGTTACGAGAGAGAGAGAAAGACGGTTCGTTCCTGGCTGTTCTTGTGCCTGTCTCCAGCAGGACCAACAGCCGTGCGCCCTTTGTGTGTGTGTGTGGATGCTCTGTGCTAGTGTTTGTGTGCCAGCATGTGGGGTGAGCAAAGTCCTCGAAGACATCACATCCGAAGGACGGAGGCACACACGCACACATCATTACACGCCCAGCTCGCGGTCTCCGTCTTGTCTGTTTCTTGTCTGTCGGTGCTTCGTGCGCCGCGTATGCCGAATGGGGAGGGGCGTCAAGTTAGGCGAACGGATGGAATAAGCGCATCCTTTCCAGTGCGTGAGGCGATACCGCCAGGCACAGCCAGCTGCCGTGTGCGCAGTGAACGTCGATTTGCAGCGGCGGGACTGACGTACGTCCTCGTGTCTATCTGCAGCGCCGTCCGGAGCTCGTACCCGCCATCAGACAGCGGTTGGCCTCGACCCCACCATCCCAGCGCGAGAACTCCGTAGTCCAGCCTTCAAGTCGTCCATGTACGCTCTCTTAGCGTGTGGTGGCGTCCACGGCGTCGACAGGCTGCCTAGCCTCTTCACATGTTCGACCCCTCCATCCGTCCAGCAGGACGTGCTCGCTGCCATCGTCAAAAGGGCACGCACTCTGTCACGCAGCGCAGGGCGTTGGCTGCAGTAGTAATCAAGCCCATGTAAGGAAGCGGCCTGCAGCCCATCCCAGCGCGCATCACCCAAAAGAACCAGGCACCGCCCCGCGCCGCGAAAAAAATGGATGGTCATGGGCCCTAAGTTCTTTTCCCGCTCAGCGCCCGCTCCAGCTCTCCAGCTCCCGCGCTGGCGTGCCGTAGCAGTTGCGTTTATTCTTCAGGAATACACGTCGGTAGGGCTGGCCCATCTTTGCGCTGGGCGGGACCACGGCAAAACCCTCCTCCCATCACGCAATACCGCAGCGGGGTTCGCCAAATTTTGTGTTGTCCAAGCGATCGCCACACGCCGGCGCAGCCCCAGCCTTTGCTGTGGGGGGGACGGCGTATTGTTTCTTTCCTCGCGCGCGGGCGATGCGTGCCAGGACTGGGAAAAGGCATGCATGCAGGCTCGAAAGGCTCCCGTGTCGACTTCGCCTAGCTGTACAGTAGCTGCCTGCACGAACCTGCTGCGAGTCAGCCCGCAGCCTTTTCTGCTCAGGCCGCTCACGCAGGTACGAAGGTACCTGAATGAGTTTAGGCCAATGCCCGCGCGGGGCCCACGCCTGCTCGTCGTCTCTGACACCACCATGACACATCAGATCCTAGCCATCCTCCAACGGCCCGCATCTCGGCCGAGCACTCCCTCTGCTGTCGACATGTAATCCCGCTTCGCGATCGCACCGATGTTCGCGGGCGGGTCGCAAAGGGCTCCAAAACTGCGACTCGTCCGAGCTGCCCCAGGCGCGCAAGTGCATATTCCTCGTCTCGCTGGACGAGGGCGTACCTGCATCGCCGTGCTTCATCAGCCGAACCCTTTTTCCCCCTTCGTCATGTATATACGATCAGGTATGCTCCATTCTCCTTGGGGCCAAACGCGGTACCTTTTACGTGCGCCGCCCTGTTTGAGATTGATCAACATTTGTGGCACTCGACTAGGTACCAGACTCGACGCCTGCGCAGAACAAGAGGGAAAGCAAGAAGGGAACGCAAAAAAAAGAAAACAAAAAGACAAAAGAAAATAATGTCTTCACCATTTTTGGAGACCGCTGGTGGCAGGATCTTATTATTCGGATGTGAAATAAAACAAAACTTTGATCAACGCATATCGAGCAGTAATGGTGACAGCCTTGTGATATAGACTCACCCAACACCCCGCCACCCCAGTTACACCCCCCTCCCCTTTTCCATCCCAAGGAGACACACGATTTGGCGAAAAGCAAGCGGGGAAAAAGTAGCGAGATCTTGAAAGCGGAGATCCGGTAGCACAGTCCAAAGCTGTGTTGCACGGCCCCCCGGAAGTCAAATCTCTTGGCCAAGATTTTTTTTTTCTCTCTCTTTGAAATTCCGAATCTGGATCGACAAAACGTATAAGTCGAGTCATTAAGGTTTGGCTATCTACCGACCTATCATGCTGGCACCGTGTGACGCGTCATCCCTCGCCCGTCGGGACCTCTGCGTTTCAATCCTCCACCAGAGCGCCCACCCGGATATCGTCACGAACGTCAACGGCACGGCAACGGCCCAGTAGATCCAGAAGTGGCCCGACAGCAGGCCCTCGCCGTCCTTGGCCGCCCAGTTGAACATGCTCGTGGAGAACAGAGTGGCCACGTACGTGCCTGGCAAGAATATCGTCGTGATGAGAGCGAGGATCTTCATGCTTGCCCCGTCGCGGCTCGTCATGTCTGCCAGCTGGACCGAGAGCCGAGCAAGCTGCGCAGCGTGGTGGTTGTCTGTCTGCGCGATGAAGGAATACAGCACGTTGAGCTGGAGATTCAGCCGCGCCTGCAACGAGTCCAGGCTCCTGTCCAACCCCGTGGCCACGTGCAGGTTTGCTTTCAGGCGCTCCGCAACGACCTTGGGGCTAGTTGGTCGTGGATATACGCCATGCTCTTGCACGAAGTGCAGGATGGCCTTTGACGCTTCGCAATTCCAGATCGGCAGCTGCTTCGCGACCAGGAGTCTGGTGAGGTGCGTGTTGACGCGGATCGTCAATCTCATCGCCTTCTCCTTACCAAGTAAGCCCTTGGGACCTTCAGGGTCTTCCTCGTGCCGATGCCGATTAAACGTCTTGTGGGCCTGCACGTTTTGCTCGCTGTCTCGACGTCCCACGCGTGTCACGCCCAGCTCGTCCTCCAGCCTCATGATCTGCTCCGTCAAAGACCTCGAGACGTACGCGTTGACCCTGCGCAGGTGGAATCCCAGAAATACCGTGGGCACGAGCAGGGGATCCGACCACAGGTCTGGGCACTGCTCCAGATGACTTTGGAGATCCTGCAGAATCCCAAACGCCAGCGACGGTTCTTCGACGCATCGTGCCGTGGACGTGACGCCGTCCCCGAACAGCATACCCGTCGTCGTGCCCGTTTCGAAATCGTACGTGCACGAGAGCCCGTGGCTGAATATCTCGTACTTGCCCGTAGGCTTCAGCACGAAATCTGGTCCCGCGTATGAGTTCAAGGCTTCACGCGGACCGCATCGGCAAACTCACAAAGCTTGCGGAGGCCTCGGCTGGGCTGGGTCGGGTCTTTGTACTCGACATGTTGCTCCAGCGCTCCGTATCTGACCTCGATCGAGGGCAGCGTGCACGGATGCAGGTCGAGCTCCTTTTCGAGGACCTCATACTCGCCCCTCGAAAGGTGCAGCCTGAGCTCGCCAAACAGCATTGCGTTGCACGCAGCTAGTCTGATCTTGACCTTGGGCTGGTCCGGACCCGTCGATCGGAGCGTTATTGGCCAAGCTCGTAGCCGTTCACTTGACCATGCCTCGCAACGGACCGTAGGCGTACCTGCGCTCTGCTCTCCACATCAGTACGGGACGGCAAAAACCCTGTGCGTGGCGATGAAACGCACCTGAGCGGCATCGCAGCATTCAAGAAGCCATAGTTGCGTGTCTCGACAGTCCGCAGACGCTAGGGCGCGCTGTCTCTCCGCGCGAAACATGGCAAGATCATCACGAAGCTCGTGCTGTGAACGGCGCGGAGGCAGGTCGTTTTCGTAGGATCTTTGAACATGCTGGGGACCGGTGAGTTGCCTTTTGCGAAAGACCTGATGCCGAAAAGGCGTCTGCACGTTGACGAGCGCCACGCGCCTGTTTGACCAATCATTCAAACTCAGCCTCATGCAATGCCCCCTATGCCCGGGTCAGGTACGCTTGCAAGCTTCCTCCAAAGATAGTCGGAACTTTTCACGACGGTTCCATGAAACTTATTAGCCGCTTTACATGCTATCTTAAAAAAATGCGGGCTTCTGTAGACATGGCATCCACACCGCATGAGGACAGGGTTAAGGCCAAGCTCTTGACAGTGGCAAGATAGGAGCGATGGAGCAGTTGGATGCACGCCACCTCAGTTGTTCTATGATTTGGCAAAGCAAAAACGGGAAAGGATGGCATTTGAACAGAGCAAGGAGCCTAACAAAAGCCTTTCAATCGTGTAAAGAATCCAAAACTCAACGCTACAAGCTGTGCACCTGATCCTGATCAGATATTGACACCGCGGCCCTCGGTTTGAGCCTTCTGAAACTGGTAGAGCAGTCCCAAAACACCCACGCCATCGCCTTCAGCTTTCTTCTCTTTGTTGCTGCTCCCTTGTATACCCACGTCGGCCTTGACAGCCCATGAATCCCCGAGATCGCTGTCCTCTTCCAGGATATTGCTAGGAGTGCGCTGCGGCAATGGTCGCACATCATCTTCATCGTGCTCGTCGGGATCCGCGTCAAGTGTCTGAACGCGACTGGCTGCTCCGCCGCGATGTCGAAGTTGTGGTCCTTGACGAGGCGAGTGATATGAAGCACGTGGTTGATGATGCGGGTCGAGAAGCACGGAATGCGTAGGCGAGAATGCAAGATGCGCTGTTGAACCTGTTGGTGCCATGCGAGGGGTGTAGTGCATGGATGCGGCGAGATTTGGTTGAAGACGGGATGCTGCTAGACCAGGGAAAACAGGTGGTAGATGGAACTGGCCACGCTTGTTTCTGTTGTTGCCCAGTCCCTTGCGAGGCGCATCCCCATAGTCTAGCATGAACGTCTGGTACGATTCTGCAAGCTTATTGTCTTTGGCCCCGAAATAATCCGCGCGTAGGTCACCTTGTTTCTGAGTCGCCTTGTGATGAGTCTGATTGCCACTTTTGAAATCGAAAACCGCAAATGAGCATACATGTCCAAGGCCATCGACATGTATCGTGAATTCTCGAAAGAAATCCACTAATTGTTCGGCACAGTTCGGTAATCGCCACCAAAAGACGATGGGTACGAAAATGACACTTGCCAACTCTTCCAGAAACAAGATGATCTCAAGCTTGTAAAGTGCTGACATGTCCCGGAGCACATCTTCAGAATAAAGCTTGTTCTCCCATGACTTTGGCTTGTAATGTGTGCACTCTATAACGCGTTCGATCCAGAATTCAGGATCATGCACCGTATCATCAGCAGGTATCATGCCTCTGAATAAGTTCCAGGCACCGCCAAGGACACCGAGCCAGAAGAGAACAGTCTTGCCCCTTATTTCGAATCCCAGGAAAAGTTCACTATCGAACAACGTAACCATGCCGAGGACGGCAAGCAAAGCTCCTGTGATGAAAGCTCCGAATCTGGCTAGCTGAGCTGTCTTGTCTTTTGGGAACTGATCCATATACTCGTCGGTGTACCGTTTCGCAAGAACCTTGCGTCGTACGAAGAAATGGTCAAGTTCATTAAATTCACGCAGCTTCCAGGTTGCAACGGGAGTCCATTCGCGAGCGCCAATCGAAGTAGGATTCCTTTGGTACTCCTAAATTGCTTCCGTTAGTATACTTTCAAAGCAAGACAAGTGGTAAAGTTACCGTAAATGAAGTCAAGAAGCGTAGAATTACAAAGATCACAACCCCAATGATGCAGAAGAAGCAGTTGTAGATGGCGACCTGTCGAAAACGCTTCTTAAGCGTGTTGACTAAGTTTGCACGATTCCTTGAATTCAAGAACTCTGGCTTAATCTGCCCGGTATTTTCGTCAAACACCCAGGAAGAAATAGCTACCCCCAGATTCCATTCCATGGTTTTCGTGTAGAACTGGCGACGTCCTAAGAACGGGATCTGCACTGAGCAATCCAATATATCTCTGTTGATGATGGCAATCCAGTAGTTTTCTTTCCGCATGAGTCTGTTCGCGATATCGTGAGCGTCCATTCGCTGCTTTGATTGTCCCTTCAGCCATCTTCGATTTTCAGCAGAAAGTGCTTTTTGATCAGCTGTCAGCATATTTTGGTCCCGAAGATCCATCAAGCAGCGAACTACGTATTGCCAAGTCACGCTCTGCATGTCCTTGTCGGGAATGCCAAGCAAATGATGATAAAAATTGTGCATGTCCCACAATCGTGGAAGTGTTCTGATCAGAGAAGATGCACTCCAGATCCAGACTCCTGTCGAAACCCAAATAATAACATTCATGTACCATGGCAGGCTGTGTTGTCAGCTAGAGTCTTCCTCAAAAACATTGTGGACATACTTTCGACTGCAGTGTTCAACTTGAATATCAGACAACTGATGTGCGTGTGAGAGCTTTGTCCAGTTTATGCAGTATAAACAGAATGTTACAAAGTATAGGCCAAAAGCAGCAGTCCTACGTTCCAATCAGCCTCTGAGCATTATCATGTGTAGTGAATCTTACAGCAACATCAGACACTGCCTCAAGATGATCGACCAAATGCCCTTCTGGTCATAGTAGTTATATACATCGCCCAGAAACTTGTCCAAATTGTCGACTTGCGCCCATTTCCACAATGCTCGAGCCTTAGGGTCTGCCGTTACTGGGAGATGAGGAGCTCCACGACCAGCGCCCCGTGTATGCGTTACGGGGGTTGGTCTGTTGTCGTGAAGTCGCTGCTGCCTCTTTGTTGTCTCCCACTGAGCTTTGGTATTGCCAGATACTGGACCAGGAACTGGCGGGGGCAGTTCGTAGGGAGTCTCGTTCGACCTTCGACGCTGATTACGACCCTTAACAGGTGAAGTATCTCTGTGATTCTCTAGCATAAGCGAGACTGGTACCTCATCATCCTGCTCCTCCTGTGCCGCTTTTGTTCGAGGGTTGTTCTGCATCCATTTTGGCGTGATACGGGGGGGCCCACTTGCTAGAGGACGTCCTCCTCCTTTATCCGTTGCTCTTGTCGCTGCACTTCTCTCACTAATCTCACTCCCAGCGGCTTCAGCTAACAGAGCCTCCAAGTCTTGATTTTCAAAGTGGCCTCCTAGATTCTCCTCGTCTAGAGCCATATCGTCAGTGTGGTCGGTATCAGACTCTTGCGAGACAACTCTGTTTGGCTGACTAGAAGTTTCGTCGCTGGTAGAAGGCAGGAGCCTCGACATGAGATTTGAGGCCATGGTGACTGTCGTGACCGTGGGCAGTGTCTTAGGTTAAGCTCACGCGCCTTGAGATCAGATGAACGAAAGTGGACACGATAATGTATTGGATAAGATAGACTTCGCTCCAAATACAGAGCACACGTACACGTATTTCAGCCCATTTGCAGGAGTCCCGAGCTCCGCCACATCGCTTGCTGGAAAACAAGGTGACTGTTTGCTATCCTGTCTTGAACGGTTGAGGAGGCAAGATCAAGGCAGCGGCTGGTCCGATGTTCGCAGGCGTCATCGCGTTTGACGTCCACGAGATGCAGTACCCGCACATGCAGGGTCTTGCGCGTATATTACAGCACGACGAACTTATCAGCACTAATAATTCTTTCCTCGATAATATCACTTGCAGCAGCACAAGTCTTTTATCAGGAGCAGCCGACGATGGACAATTCATACGTCCGAGATGGCAGCGGCTCAGTAACTGATATTCTACCACATACTCCAGGCGCGTCGTCACCGATCGCAACAGCGTCGGGCCGCACAAGTGCATTGTCGACTCGAATAACAAGTGTCCTCTCGACTTCTTATGCAGACCTTGATTTGCGAGATGCACTGGAGACATTAGACATTCGCGGCTTTACCAATACACAAGACTCAAGGCGTAACTTGCGGCTTGACTTGCAGCAAGAAGTCATTCAATGCAATGGCGAGATTATAAAGGCTTTTGGCCAGGTGGCAGAGGTGCGACGTTCCAACTTTCATTTGGCGCCAGACTAATTATGAAATTGATCCAGCAACTGAGACGCATTGGCTCTGTAATAGAGAGCTTGAATAAACGATGCGCTGATATGCGAGCACATATATCGGCTTCGAAAGAAGAAGTCGGCTTGGTCGTTGCCGAGGGAAATGAGATTTTAGCGCAGAAGTCTCAGATCGAAACCAAGCAGCAGATACTACAAGCTTTCAAAACGCACTTCGTGATTTCAGATGATGAAGTCGCGTCTCTGACTTCCTCTTCAGAGCCCGTTAACGATGAATTCTTCCGCGTCATGGCGAAAGTGAAGAAAATAAACCAGGATTCAGAAGTGCTTCTCGGCACGGAAAATGAGAAGCTCGGACTCGAGATACTGGACCAAAGCTCGAAGCAGCTCAACGCGGCATACCAAAAGCTGTACCGCTGGATCCAGAAAGATTTTAAGACTCTTGACCTTGAGAATCCACAAATCAGCTCCTCTATCAGGAGGTCGCTTCGCGTGCTCGCAGAGCGCCCAGCACTATTCCAAAGTTGCATGGACTTTTTTGCTGAAGCTAGAGAACATAATCTGTCAGATTCATTCCACGCAGCGCTAACTGGCGGGCCTGGTGCGGACACATATGGAAAACCGATTGAATTTCATGCTCATGATCCGCTACGCTATGTTGGGGATATGCTAGCCTGGGCCCATTCTGCAGCAGTATCAGAGCGCGAGGCACTCGAGGTTCTCTTCATCGCCGAGGGCGATGAGCTTGCAAAGGGGATTAAGGCAGGTATTGACGCAGATCCATGGAGCAGGCGTGATGTGGGGGAGCAGGAGGAGGTCTATGACGGCCGAAATGCTCTTAACGAGCTCGTCAATAGAGATCTTGCTGGCGTAGCTCGACTTTTGAGACAGCGAACGGAGCAGGTAATCTCAAGTCACGAGGATGCAACGCTGGCTTACAAGATCGCAAATTTGATATCCTTCTACCGTAATACATTCGAAAAACTTATTGGCGTTGGCTCTACCTTTCTGGAAACACTTGATACCTTGGAGAGTTCTGCACAGCGGCAATTCAGAGCAAACATGCGCGATCATGTTGCCTCCATTCAAGCCGAGCTCTCCGTAACTCCTACCAACGCCTCACCTCCGGATTTCTTGCACGAGTGTTTTGAGACATTGCGTGCTCTAATGAAATCCTATGATACATCCTACGCTGCCTCAAAAGTTGGTGAAGAGGCATTTCAACTGGTGCTGCAAGAGGCGCTAGATCCATTTCTCAAAGCCTGCGAGAGCTTGAGTAAGCGCATGTCTCCACCATTGAGCGATATGTTCATGGTAAATTGCATCCTCCAAGCTAAGATGACGTTGGCTCCATACTCTTTTGTGGCATCCAAACAGGCGGAGCTTGACAAGATTCTGGACCAATGCTCGAAAAATCTCATAGAGATACAGTACGAATTCTTCGTGGATAATTCAGGCCTAGAGCCCATATTCGACGCAATATTCTCGCTGGCAGATTCGAAAGAAGACCTTGCTAAGATACCCGGCCTGGAGGTATTCCAGCCTTCGGCGTTGATGGCGGCAAGCCAACAATTAGATGAATTTCTACCGAGCGCCTTGATGGATGCCATGGATCATTTGAAGCAATTGGAAAGCCCTGTAACGGTTAGAAATATCACGGAAGCTGCTGCAGAGAAATTCTGTGCTGATTTCGAGATTGTGGAGAGCAAACTGATTGCGGCAGATAAGCTTGAAGAGGGCAGAGATGGGAAAGAGAATGAGCCTGAGTATGAAAAACCACGGCTCAGAGATCTGTTTCCTAGGACAAGTGATGAGATTAGAGTGTTGCTTAGTTGAATGTCTGCCATTGGAAAAGAGCTTTGGCTTTGCCCAAAAATAAGATCATCTCAACCCGCATTCCGTAGGTATAAGAGATATGAGTTTTTGTTACTTCTCGCTTCACGCTCAACTGAGGTAGAAAAACGAAGGCTGAAAAGTTAGTTGGACGTGTTGATATTTGATCACATGACGATGAAATCTTGACGATGTTATGCAGGCACAATGCCTGAGAGACCGTCTACGGGTACTTGTAATGATGTTGATGACTCTTGTATTCGAATTTATGTGATGTCTCATGAGTAGCAGGATGCCACCAATATGACCTTTTTAAGCAACTGCGCACCGTCAGCGCAAGGATCATAAAAGTCTGGGCTTATCCGGTTGCAATAACAGAAGCTTCTGAATCACGTTCTCGCTTGAAATTCGATCCTCAACCCGTTTTGGTCTAAGTTACTTAAAAGGATCTCCGTAAGCCGTGCGCCACCGATTCTAGAATCGGATGATGTGAGACAGGGGTTTGCAATTTTCGCAAGGCGCAAACATGTGATTCACAACAGGGGTAGGCTACAAGCATGTGAGACGAGTGACGGATAGTTGGATCGAGACGAAGATGGGATGAGAAGTGAAGAGAAGTCTATGAGTCTCGCGCTAATCAAAATCTCTGAAAAATACACTCGTCGTTGCTTCCAAGAACTAGGGGAATCAAACCAGAAAAAGGCCATGCGAACGAGGGAGAAAACGCATACCTCCTGACCAAGTCTCATCCTGTTTTCAGCATGTCACCGCTGACGGCCGTTCATATTCCCATCCCCTTTTTATTGCTCACGGGCAGTATCACTTGCTCGTCTTCTCCTTCAATTCTTCAGCTTTCGCGTCCGCAAACTTCTTGCCCTCCTCTTTCTTCTGGGTCAAAAAGGTGGAGACGTAGCTCAAAGTGTCCGCAGCAATCTTCAGCTCAGTGCCGATGATTGTCTTTGCAAGTGGGACAACACCCTTACCCTCGTTCTTCTTGCTCTGTTCATCGAAAGTCTTGAACAGGTAGTCCTTAGTTGAGACCAGAGTGCTGTACGGGACGTAGGGTAGGTTCTTGATTCTCTCCTTCAACGAGGACGTCTCCTCCTTGACGATGGGGAATCGGCTGTCAACCTCTGAGAGTCCCTTGTCGCCCAGTGAATCAGCCTTCTCCAGGTATGGGGCTATGTAGCTGTAAGGCGTCTTCAAGTACGGTTCCACTGGTGTGAGGAACTTCTTGTAGGCCTCGTTGAACAAGTTGACTGACTTGGCGCCATACGGGTTCTCGAGGTACAGGGACAGCGAGTCGGACACAAGCGGGTATGAGGTAAGGTGCTGTGCCTTGTCAGCAGCGAAATCCTGCTGGCTTCATGCCCTTGCAATCAAGACGGCTGAGGAAGGCATGCATGGGCTAGCAAAAACGTCCTGACGGTTTGCATCACCCAAGCGTGCATGGCTCCCTATTCGCGCGCGGGGAAGAACGAGGAACAGACAGGGAGGAACATACCGAGATGAAGAGAGAGTGCGGCTTCTCGCCGTTTGTGAGTGGTTCGCCCATAATGTTGTTTGTCAGGCGTGTATTTTCTTCCGCGTGCGGCATGCAACTATGGCGTCTTCGGTATAGTGTTAGCCTTGTCCAAACCGCAAAGGTCGTCACGATGTTGAAAAGTGGTGTGCGCTACTGTTGACAAGCGGGCAATGGCCTCAGACGGGCTCGATGCTGTGTCTCAGTGCTCACCAGGACAAATCTTGATATGGATCCATCGATCACATGCTTGAATGATAACAGAGCCAAGTCGTTGGCCAAGTGGGTGGAATGGACTCACAGGATGCGATGGTTCTTGCGACGGCTGTCGTTCTTTTGACGAGAAAAAAGAATAAGGAGCAGGTTCTGCTGAGCTTATAAGAAACGTCCAAGGCAAAGGTAGCAGCGAGCAGAAGGCCTAATATCCGGGTTGGCGCAAAAGGTAACAAGAAATCCAACCACCATGCTTTTTGCCTGTGACGCAGCCACAGGACCCTCTTTCACATGCTGCGCTCGACTGGCAAGGTCATGGCCAGCCTGGAGCTTGGGCCTGGCCACAACCTGTTTTCCAAAAGCCTTATCGCGGGCGGCGGGCGACATTCCATCACATCCGCGAACGCGTACCCAGCCAATGCGCTGTACATGTTTGGCATGCCCACACAGCAGACGGGCGGCACACGTATCTAGGGTGCCATGGCGGACTGGCGCTGGGCGCAGATACGAAACGTTTTGATGCATGCGCTCCAGATATCGTCAACATCTTCATTGGCAGACACACGGTGTTCCTCCGGGGAATCCGCAAAGGCCAAAGGAATCATACATGCGACGCTGACGACTTCAAGACGCGCTAAGAAAGATTGTCGAAAACCCCCATCAAGTTCCTGTCCAGCACGTAGCGTGAGAGCGTCGAGTTCCGCCAAGCAGGTTAAATCAATGACCTCAACACCATTGAACATGTCCAATAATACCGTCAAGCGCCACATCTGCTCGTACGCAACAGTGACAACCTCGAGCACGCGCGAACCGAGCAAACTTCCATCTCTCGGCCCACGTCGATTCCTGCGACTGCAAGCGAACTCGGCTCGGCAGGTAGATTTGCGCGAAAAGAACGCAGATGTGCGTCTTCCGCCTTGTTGACGGTGGGTCCTAAAAAAGCCCATCAAAAGTCTCCTGAAAAGTATCTCCCACACGCAGTTTACGTGTCGCCACCTGCTAAAGTTGGTGGTGAGGATACTTTCACATGCTTTTCAGGCTCCACTTCTTGGACTAGTGACGTGCAAGCTGATGATCTGCCGCGATGCGAGCTGCTCAACCATACGGTCTCTACAGATGATGGTCCACTCCAGTCCACCCTGGCCTTGTGGCTCAGCAGCTGTCTACGCTGCCTAGAGACCGTGATGAGCCGCAGGATGTGGCAATGAGCTGGTCCTTCAATTGACTCTCCGGAACCTACAAAATACAGATCCGCGAGCCGAAGCTATCGGAGAAGCAATGTCCGTGCCTTTTGTGTCCTCCTCCAGCTGGGTAGGATTATAATGGACAACCGTCCTTGAATTCTCCAGGCATCCTCGGCCAAACTCTTGCCACTGTTCTACACGGCAGTCAGATGATATTCACATACATCAGGTTAGCTACCACATCGCTCGGATGAAGATAACCGTTTTGCTCGTGCCTGTTGAAAGTTGTCGTGGTGGCGAGAGCCGCTCAACATTTAACGGATGCGCATACGAGACATCCGACGACTTTTACACCCTGTTGCATGCATATTTTACCTTTCTTCAAAGTGGATAGCCTTTTCCACTGCGCTCACGGGTTTACCCGGACACAAACATGACCTTCATGTCCCGGACCTTCGTGCCTAGTTTAATTATACCGAGTTTAGAAACGAGAAAAAAACTCATAAAAATACGGAATATCTCGCGACGGCAGTTCGGAGCATCAGCAGATACGCGGATTGACTTAAGTGCATTCAGCCTTAATGTAAATCACGTGATCCAATACGGACGTTTTCTGTTTACGTTCAGTAACGTTCTTCGGATTCCCGTCTTGATTCATTGCGTGTGATGCATCTTGAAATTCTTTGTGCAAATGCAGGCCATCAGTCCTTTTTTAGGACTGACCGTTTCAGCTAGTTGCAACGAATCCTTCTGCAAAGGAGTCCTAATATCGCTTTGAAGAGAATGCCGGAGCAGGCAATAGGAGGAGTGATCTAGATTTCAAAATCCTGCCAAAACCGACAATCACTTCTGATTTAACTCTATTTTTAATACTTTTTATTTTTTGATCGTCAGTATGCAAATACGCACTGTCATAATAATAGGAAGCAGAAGCCATCCGATCTTGACGAGACTCACGGAGAACTGGAGACTGATGCATTGACTACCCCGTTCCGAGCTCAACACAAGGGAGTATCTAAAACGCCTTCCCTTCCAAGAATCTTTTCTAGTAATTCTACTACATGCACAGGAATGACAATTACTAAACGTTCACACAGTCTCGGGTGGCCAGGAGAATCTTGATTTTGCATACATCTATCCTGCCACCAACTGCAATTTACTTGACGTGGTGACTACATGGCCAAGATCATATGCCGGATTTAGTATCTGCTTCTAATTTCTCGACTTTTGACTGCTTCTAGCGTTCACTACAAGAAATCCGGCTCACAAATAGACCGTGTGCGACCTAAAGCTTTGTAATCCTGCGCGTTGACTAAACTCCAACATGCGTCCTATCCGTCTGATCAGGATTTTTTTTTGAAATCATTGGCCACGGCCATGTTTTATTATCACCTTGATTGCTGTTCAGTTGATTCATCACCCTGTCATTGTGGGTCTAGCTGCTGTTCATACTCACAGCATGAATGTTCTTAATATAACATGACTTTTCTACTTAAAGGGCGGACGTAACGTCAGGAAGAAGACGCGAATTCAGTTTCAGCCCACTCTCTTATTCTCATTCTCTTATAAGGCCAGCATCGATACGTGTTGGCATTTCAACGGTCCTTTGTCACGAGACTCAACAACCATGAGCTTCCTTGAGAACAACAGTGATAACAGTCTTGAATGCATTATAGTTGGCCACGAAAAGAAATTGCTTGCCGAAGGGCTGGAATTAAGACATGGGAAGTTGTCGTTGATTGAAACACATCAATGCCATCCCAAGAATTGGCCACTTTCGAGAAAGATCTACGACACAGGGATCATGTTTCTACTAGAGCTTGTAACCACAATGGTTAGCAATACTGGTGTGCGTTGGTTCCGGTTTTGAGCTTGTTTACTGCTTGAATCTAACGATCAACAGTCTCTGTCCGCATTTGCTGCGCATGAAGAATTGAGAATAAGCAGAGAGCAGGCACTTGCTGCGTTCACAACGACGTACCTTGTAGCCCAAGCGATTGGCTCGATCGTCATTTCTCCTTACACCGAGTGCTACGGAAGAAGATCGACTTATATCGCCTCCGCTACGGTTTTTGCAATCACTACTGCAGTTGTTGGCTTCTCGCAAGGTTTGGCCCCTATTTTATTAGGTCGTTTAATGTCTGGTCTTGCTTCTGCAGTTCCTACTACGGTGCTTGGTGGAAGCATAGAGGATATTTGGGATATCAAAGCTCGCATTTGGGTCATAGATCTTTGGGTTTTGCATGCGATCATTGGCGTTGCCGTGGCCCCCGCTTACGCTGTGGCCATCGCTTCCTCTCTTGGCTGGAAAGTGCTATTTTGATACTTTGGCTATCCAGCTCACTAATATAGCTTCAGGAGGTGGATCTATTATATCGCATCGATCATATCATTCGTCATTGCTGGCGGAGTCTTTCTTATCAAAGAGAGCAGGCCAAATCAAATTCTTAAGGATCACCTCAACAAGAATTACGCTCAACTGGCCTTGTCTCTACCGGACGACGACCTCACGCCATCGCTTGTCGATTTTGCAAAAAACAGAGTTAAAAAACCTCTCGTGCTCCTTTGCACGCAGCCACTTTTACTTGTTGTCACAGTCATGTCGGCAAGCGTCTATGGGTTCGCATATCTACTGACAGAGGAGCTTCCACGAATATATGCCACATTTGGATTTAACGAGCTTCAGAGTTCATTTGTATACATGGCCTTGTGTGGGGGAGCAGTATTGGCATTGATTATGAGACTACAAGATGCTCGAGTAGTTAAGAAGAGAGACCTGCAAAATCAAGCACTCGTAGGTCTAGCCATCAAGCCTTAAGTGGAAAAGTTGGACTAATTGATATATCTCAGATTCCGGAGGATAAGCTTACAGGATTTTATGTCGCGGCTCCTCTTCAAGCGATCGCATTCTGGGTCTTCGCATGGTCTATCGCACCGCTAGGCTATCATCAGACTCCAGCGATTTCGATAATCACAATCATTCCGATCGGATTTGCACTTAACGAGTTCGATCATGTGCTTCTAGGCTACATTGTAGACATGTACACCGAAGATGCTAGCTCTGCATGTGCGCCTCTTGGAGCACTTCGCGCTATTCTTAGCGCAGTCATGCCTCTTGCCGGCCTTAAGATGTTTGAGCGGCTCGACAACAATCTTGCAGCGAGCGTTATCGCGATCATAGCAACTGTTTATTGTGCATTTGCAGCTGTCTTCTATTGTTACGGTATCAAACTCCGGATGGCAAGTTTACGCAAGAAGAACGCTTTAGGATGAAGGCCATGAATTGGATGCATGATTCTGTTACACTATCTTGCTAAAGCATCCCTAAAAATGGTGCAATGATGAAAAAATGGTGATTTTTTCACCCAAAACACTCATGTTGTCTGCGCCACATTGCGCTTACCTGCTTGCTTGACCTTGAGGGAAGAACGAGAGTTCTTGCAGCGCTGATGCTGGAACAATTGGAAGATGGTCGATTTAAGCACATGGACTCAAGCAGAGGAAAGCTCTAACAAAGCGCACTATGCACGACCAACACAAGTTACTAGCTCGTTGTAGCTTGCACCTTAAAAACCTGTCTATAAATCTCCTCTGTCCGTGCAAGCTCTCTGCCGTTGGCCTTGGATGTCTTTACGTATATTGGATAATCATCTTGATGCTCCCAGAACTTTTCGTGGTTGGTCTTTCCGGTAAGCAGACCGACCCAATCGAATGGATCAGCGAACGTTTGCCACGCCGACCTTCTGTCAACCCAGCCAGGGCCGCATCTCTCGACCTTGTCGTAGCCCAGATATATGTTGGGGTTCGAGGGCAAGTATCGGCCAGGGTGTACCAAGTTGATCCACCAGGTGTACAAGACCATCGGTGCCGCTTCGAAGGCGTAAAGGTACCATTCGTGCCTGAGGACCGTGTTGCAGGTTCCCTCGCAGACGCCTGAGCCGAGCGTCTCTAGGATGCTGAACTTCTCGACGGCTCGATAGGCGCTGCGAATCAAGATGAAGGTCGAGGTGCCGTAGAGCATCGTGCAGATCTTGCGAATGTCGGGGGTGAGCATTCTCGCCCGGACGATGCGGCGATGCAGCATGGCGACCATGGAAATGAAGCAGCACTCGACGGCGACCTGCAGCACGGATGCAGCCGCCACCAGCGCGGCACCGCTTTGCACTTGGGCCTTGTCGTTTTTGGCAACGGCCATGCGCGCACCGCCGGCCGCTGTCAACGACTCGACTGCGGCGCCGAGGTAGATGAAGAAGTACATGATGCGGCGTGGATGGATGGGCGAGTGCATGGGAAGGTACAACAAGAGCCGACCGAGCACGTTGTACTCGGCCGCGGAGTAGATGGGCGGTCCACACAGGACGAGAACGTACTGTGCGGCGTAGAAGTGCAGGTTCCCGACCTCGTACGACGACACGGCACGCATGATCCAGCCGGACGTGAAGACAAGACCGCCCCAGCACATGAAGAACGTGACCCTCCAGTAGCGGTAGCGACTGCTGCGCCGTTAGCATTGCGCGAACGTACGTTCGTACTTTGAGAGAGTGGGGAGCAACATGCAAGTTCTGCCATATGTGCAACGCAAGGGACACGCCGATTAGGGCGGTGAAGGCAATGGGAAGCGCATGGCTTGGATTGAAAGCGTAGTAGCTCGAAACGTCGGCCATGTCATTAACAAGTAGGAACGGCAAGCTTTGTTCGAGCGGCGATGAGACGCAACAGGATCAAAGCCCGCAGCGAACGGCGTCATCTATATACTCATCCGCAGACCGAAGCCGACCTGCCCGGTTCAGGCTGTGCAGCGAGTGGGCGTGCCATGGTGCAGAGTTGTTTCTTGCGATCGCAAACCCGTCCTTTGGCATGCCAGAAGCTCGTTCGCGAGACGTGCATGTGCTTTGGATGCTGCGGCGAAGTGGGCGTTGACCATTCTTTCCGAACCCGGCTAGCGCAGGCGCATCTTGTCGTCCATTCACAGTCTGACTTGAGCCTCGCGCGCCACAAGGCGGGTCAACGTTCTATTTGAAATACGCGTATTCTGCTCCGCGTATTCGTTCGTTCGACTATCGATCGACGTGATTTCGGCTCCATGCTTGCCTTTGCTCTTTGCAGAACCGATGGCGCCAATTCTGAGCTTCCGTCGAACATGGTCCTCCTTTTTGGACTTCGTGTTGCAACGCCGGAATTCCCTCGAAGAAGAAGCGATGGCATTGCACCTTCGGCGTTCCATGCGTAATTTGCGTCGCTTGACGAGCAAACACTTACAGGCATGCCCAGCAAAGTCCCGCTTCGTTAATCCAGTGCATTTGCGAGTCTACCACTGGCTTCTACTTACCTGGCCTTTCTTGGATCATGATTACACCTAATCGTGATGCTCGTCCTTCACCTGTCTGCTATGCTTTGCGAACAGTCGAATGCCGTTCCCGCAAAACCCTCCTGCTAGGAACGCTTTTATGATCCTAGAGGCTCGTTTATGGCCCGTCGATGGAACAGCCGCTTGTTTCCTTGTACACTACGTTGCTAACCTCTCTCGACTAGGTCGACAAGCGGAGCATAATCCAAACCCGTCAGTTCCACGTCGCCGGGGTGGAGTGACAGAGGACGTGCTCTCTAGCAGGGACTAATAAGCAAAGGAGTCTTGCCCTCCCGGCCCTTAAAGCATCTTTAAAGACAGATCAGATGCGCACAGTTCGGCGTCTGCCACGCGGCCGTCGAATGCGAACCCTCTCCATTCGATGCCGGGTTGGGAACAGCTCCGCTGGTATTTCGTGCTCGTCCTCGCCTCGAATCCGGCCGCGTCCGCTGGGCAGGGCAAACACGGGTGTGTGCGTTTCCGGCAGCGAAAGATCTGCCATGGCAGACATGGCCCGGCTGCTCACTGCGTACGTGTCGGGACTGTACTTCGGGGACGACACAATCAACTGTCGAGGCGCTCAAACCAACCTGGGGTCGACTTCCTGCCCGCACGTCATTGTATAGAGCTTCCTGGATTCGAATGCTCATGCGGAATGCCCTCCTGTGATGAATGAGTCCGTCACAAATGTGTGTTCTGGTTTCGGTGATGTTTGTGTTCGGCGCACACAGGTGTGCGTAGCGGGACTGTGACGTGATTATGAAAGGAATACAATGCGGGAGCTATCCTACCAGCCTAAAGGGCTGCTTAATGTGGATGACTGCAGGGCCGTCTATGCTTCAGTGAAACAGAACCTTGCATGATCTACGTAGTACGGTCTCTACTTAGAGCTGCACTTCAGTTACGTCACTTACAAGGCCTTGAAACGAAGCACTCTTCATCTCTTGTTCAGAATACATATTAATTTGATCCTCCCATCTTCCTGTGGGAGTGTTAAGTGACAGCGTAGTACCAGTAGCAGTATTAAGAGGACTGTCGACCGCACTTGCGCGCGAAGTTGTAACCGTTCTGTAGAGTTTCACCAGCCCACCAGAACCCATCCCTACCCCAGCAAATTCCTACCGCTGATTCGCCCTTTCCGAGTATAGATATAGATATATACATATACACATATGATGATGTATCCGCGGATTCTTACACACGCCGCCCGTCGCCAGCTGACTAGCCAGCCCAGCCAGTTCTACGCCCCGTTTCCCAATAGCACATAGGAAAAAAATGGCGCCTGACCAGGCGAGTGTCGACGAACAAGCCAATAAAGCACAAATTTTACGATATGGGGATATAAAACAAGCGCCCAAATGGAAAAAAGCGAAGTAAAACAAAATCCTAAAACCGAGTTCATCCTCACCCAAAAACATCCCTAGCTGCAAGGGATAGCGAGGCCTTCGGAGCCAGCGCAGGTGAGATCGAAGATCAAGCACGTTCTTTTTTTCTCTTTCCGAGCAGTGCCGTGAAAGATATTGATCACTTTTGCGAAAAAAACATTTCCAAGCCGTTATTGTCCTTTCGGCTCTTCTTCAGAAGCCCTTAAAAGGATCAAACGCATCAAAGTCATCACTGTATACCATGCCGCTGCGTCGGGGATCCGCGCTGCTCGCGCCGCTCCACCGAGGGTTGCGACGCCTATTGCCTCCGAGGAAGACGGATGAATCTTGACTGCTACGTCCACCACCCTCGCTGGACGCGGCGCCATCAACAAAGGCTTGCATGCGGACCGTGCCTGGGTCGTCGAAGAAATTGAAGCGGTTGCCGCTCGACACCTCGGAAGAGCGACCGGATGGCACACCACCCGAGTTGATTACAAAATCTGAGCTGGTTGCAGAAGGAAGTGAAGGCGAAACCACATCTCGATACGGTGGCCGAATGGACGACGGGAGTCGTGGTCCTGTCGCACTACGCTTTCGACCGTGGGCGAAACGAGGTACGGTGGGCGCCTCCGCAGCGTCGGGGACAGGGTCACTGTCCATAGAGCCGTTGCCGGGTACAGAGGGTGCGGGAGCGGCACCACCCCACTCATGGATTGTGGGGGAGGCACGGTTGACGCCATTCAGGCGGGATCCGGGTTGTGGTCTAGCCTTGTCTTTCGCGATGCGGACGGAGTCGTGGATACGTGTGCGACGGAGACTGGGTGCTCTCCCGCTGTCAACCTCCGGATCAGGCTCCTCGGGCGGCTGCAAAGCCATGCCGGGCGTCAAGAGGGGCGAATGAGCTAGGAAAGACAGTGCCGTGAGCCAAGTATAATGCCGATCTCGCGACATGGCTGTGAACTTGAGCGCCCTCGCTGGTGTGAGGATGAGGATGGAACGGTAGAACGGTTCGGCGATGCCGTGATTCTTAGGCAAAGGGGTGTCATCGCGGACATCCAACACGGATTGAATCACCACTGCAGAAGAACAACGTCAGTTTTGTTCCATTCAGGCTGTAATTTGTAGACTGCACAAGAGAAAAACTTACACTTTCTGCCGCTCTTGCCCATCAAAGCGGAGTTCGAAGCTGGTTGTTTAGTACTCCACATGACAGCGCGCTCATACGGAGAAAGCCACACCCAGCGCTTGTGTCTCACGCCATTGCCAGTGACGTTGACCGAGCCATCGGTGCCTGGTCGTCCAATGGCGTCCTGCGGCGCCTCGCCGACACCGAACGACTTGCGTCTGCGCACATACTTCCACATCCATTCACCCACCATGGCTGCTGCGATTGCATCGATGACGGTGCCCTGCGATGGTTGCTCCTGCTCATGATGGCCAACAACGCTAGAAAGATCCTTGCTGAGCGACTTCTCGTTCGATCTCTGCCTCTGCGACGCATAGACTTTCGCGGGTGCCTCCACATTGTCCTGCGGCAGTGGTGGGAACGAAGATGGTGCTGCTGGCAAGGGCGGTGACCTGCTGCGGACGCGGCGACCCGAATTCGTCCTTTGAATGACGGTTGCCGAGCGAACCTTCCGGAGGCTGTCCTTCCTCTCGTGGCCGCGGAAGTCGCCTCGTCCACCGGTTGCCCCGCGGCGGTTGCCAAATAAGCCAGCCCCTCTAGGTGTAGGGCTTTGCGATCCTTCGCTCTTGGAGAGTGGAAACATCTTGCGTGAGCTTGCTCTGTCCGGTACGGGAAAAGGCGGACCGACGGATTTGCTGCTGAAGAAGCTGGAACCAACACTGGTGACACTTGGGGTGCGCGAGCGGTGCGCATTCGCACCAGACTGAATCATCGCCGAACGGCGAATGCTGTTGCTTTGCCGGCTCATGTTGCCGCCACGCATGGGCATTTTGCCCTTGCCATCAAACGAGGTCCTGTTCTCCAGAGATGGCCGAGCAGCGCTTGCAGAAGTGATCGACTCAGCGTATGAATCACGTGGGTTAGTCTCGACCTCCTTATCCTCTGGAACAGGCGACGGCCGCGAACCACCAAAGTGGCGTAGGCCTTTCATGATGCGGTTGGTCATTGCGGGAGTCTGGTACGAACCCGACTTCGACTCCTCATCGTTCTGTTCGATGTCGTCCTCGTCCTCGCCAAAGCCAGCAAAAAGACTGCTGTTTCGGAAGGGCCGTCGTGGAGCGTCCTTGTCACCACTGTAAAGGGGCCCGTTGTCATTGTTGCCTGGATAGCGCTGCTCTATGCTCGGGGACGCACCACGTGGCGGTGGCGACATTCTATCCGACGTCGTAGAGGGGCCCTTGTCGCTGACGCTTCGCTGCTGCGTTTTTCGGGTCTGCTCCGGCGTTGGGGGATTTGATGAGATGAACGAGGGAAGCAGATGTGCAGGAAGCCTCTGCAATCGTTTCTGCGTGAGGATCTCCTCCGTTTGAACTGCAGTCGACGTCATCCTGTACAGGCTGTTTGTCGTCTGAGAACTCGCGTTCTTCGTCCCGGGGGGGAGTACCGTCTCTCTCTCGTTCGTCGGGCTCGGTGACCTAGATGTGGGAGGGTGGATGGCAATGGAAGGAATGGGCATTGGGACTGGAGGCGGAGGAACGTGGACGAACGAAGCAACGACAGCCGCCGGAACCTTGGGCTCTTCCACAGGGTCTGTCTGTGTCGAGATGGAGAGCATCTCCGGTCGCTCCAGCCGTTGCCCCTGCTGGCCAAGGGGCACAGCTTTCGATTCGGCAGGTGAGTCTGGCGGAGTTATCTTTGGCGTGGCGGGCGGACTGAGCGGGCGGTCCTCCATGGTCTGCGAACTAGTGCTGACCATAATGGTAGGTTCCTTCTCCGGTACTGGTGACATCTGCTGTCCGCGGTCCACGAACGGCGTCGTATTCGGTGCAACCCGCTTCTTGCGCTGATTGGCCTCGATCTGGTCGTCATTCAGCTGCGGTATCACCTCAGGCACCTTGCTGTCCGCATCTTTGTGGGTTGGCACGACCACTGGTGAGGCGGGCGGGGAATACTGGACACCGCTATCCACGTACGGCGGACGCGTCTCCGATCTGGACGCTGGTTTTTGGTCCGTGATGGCCGGCTGTTCGATTGACTTACGCCAATCGAAAGAAACAGGGCTTTCCAAGGTGCGTCGTGAGTCATTGACGATGCCAAAGCCGCGTTTCCCGGCCGGCCTCTCGTCATGGTGTTGAGACAGGCGCGACTCAATCGGCCTTCGCGTCTTCGCGTCCTCATCGTGATACTCGTCATGCTCGTCAAACTCCTCGTCCTCTTCGTCCAGCTGCAGCTCGTCGGCAAGGCTAACCCCGTTAAATCTCATGCTGTCGTGGCCTGCGATGCTCTGTGTGGAAAACCGGTACCGGTTTAGACTGCGGCGGCTGCTTGCGCTCATAGAACGCCCGTGGGTGCCGTTGCGGCTTGGCGAGGCTTGGATACTCGCCGTGTCGCTCTCGTCGCCCACACCGCTGTCCCTGGTGTTATCCTCGTCATCGTGTCCGACTCCATTTTCATGCATCCGCGACGCGGCGTCGTGATGCGCGGCTAGCTCCTCAAGCACGGTCTTCAGGCGTGTCTCGGTAATGTGGACCCTGCGTTCGAAGCCGCGCTTCTCGGCTTCCCAGGCAAGTCTTTCCTTCTCCCAGACAGCGTGTCGTCGCTCCGCATCGTCTTCGAGGGACTTGATCTTCTTCTGTGCTGCTTCGAGCTTTGCCTTTGCGTCAGCGCCCGAGGCTTTGGCGCTATCCCTGTCCTTGGCGAGCTCCTCGAGGGCGGCGAGAGTGCCGTGCTCAAGCTGCTGGAACTGTCGTTTCATTGCTCTCGAGTCCTTCTCGGTACGGCTCATCTGCTCCCTCAACTCGTCCTTTTCGTCCCGCGCAAGCTTGAGCTGAGCTTCCAGGTCCTCAATGAATTTGTGTTTCGAGTCCAGCTCGCCGCGAACCTTTAGAATCTCAGAAACGAGCGAGGCATGTAAGGTGGGTGTGAAGCGACGGGGGTCCGTAAGAATGTCATCTTCACGCCTGTCATCGTGGTCCTCGTGGTCCGTATGCCCGTTTGGCGATGAAGCTGGCACGGGTGATGTCGATGTCGAAGGCAGGGGAGGTGGCGAGGACGACCCACCTGGCCGCGTCGTGGTCGTCGGCCGTGAAGATTTTCGTGACATTGTCAATCGCGGCGTGGAAAAGCCAGAATCTGAGAAGGAAGGCAATGCGGGACCAGAGCCAAAGCCCTCCAGGTCGCTGAAGTAGTCCTTGGTGGCCATGCTTTGTCTTCAAGTAATAAACCGCGCGCAGGGATCACACTGCAGAACGCTGTGGCTCACTTCTGATCCCGAAGCCAGGACAAAAAAGCAAGAGACTCCACAGCCTGGTAGTTTTATGGCGAAATGCACCCAATCATAGTAGCCTCAAAGGGGGAACCCTTGTGTATCAGTGCCAGGAGCCTGGTGCAAGGATGCCTGGTTCCGGTAGTCAAATCTTAGGGCGTATCCAAACGAGCGATGCGCCGAAGATGCTCAGGGAGACATCAAAGGCAGTGTCACTGTCTGTATGCTTCAACAGAAGGACTCTTATCAAATTGGCTGACAGCGGATGACCCAGACGAGGTGGTGAGGGTGCGTATATGCGGCTGCGCGTGAACGTGACTGTGTGGACGGAAAGCTTTGCCAATGTGCGACACGTTCTGCATACAAGCCAGGACCCTGCTGGACCGCTGTTCCCCGCAAAAAGCAAGACAGGAAGCTGGTGGCTGCTGAGAGGGAAGTTCAAAGGCGGCGTATACAGCTCTGTAGAATTTGCTAGGCGTGTGAAGGAACTAGACGTGTCGATGGCCGCCGTGCGACAATGTATGCTGTGTTGGGGGAGACGTGTACGCGGAAAGGAGAGTCAGCCAGACGGGGACCTGTTGGATTCGGAAAGCGTTAGCACACGTTTATGCACACTGGGCGAACGGGGACGAGGGTAATGAATGGGTGATGCTTGTACCCGGAGAATAACAGAGCTTCCTTGCCTCGACCCTGGACTTGTTTCAATCGACGAATGCCGGTGCGCAAAACAAGTGTCGGGTGTGCAGACTGGCAGCGATTCTACAGTGGACTGAGAAAGCTCGTGCAACAACAGATAGGACTTGACCAGCTCTTGAGGAGTCGAGGGAATCAGGCGACGCTAGGCAAAGCTTGACGATGTGGACAACGATGTAGGAGTCGTTTTTGTGCTGCAGTCACGGACAGGCGCGAGCCCAGCGCTGGCGAGGTGCAATGCGGAATAGAAAGGGAAAAAGGAAAAAAAAATAAAAGGACGGCAGGCCAATTGAGTGACCGGGGAGGAGGAGGATGGGAAGAAAGAGGAGATGAAGAAGAGAGTCGTGCTTGCGGTGTGAAGAAGACAACGACGACGACTGCGAAGGGCAAAGAGGACGACGAGGAGCAGGAGGAGGAGGAGAAAAAGAACTGTTGCTGGCCGGGCAGACGACACACAGACGCGCTGGTCTGGACAGTGAAGAAGACAAGGCGTCGGGGTGTGAAGAGAAATTCCAGCGCAAGCAGTGGAGGACAAGCGAGTGGGCGAATCTCCAGTGGATGCGCGAACGAGCCGTGGCCCGGACTTGGCATGCAGCAGCTTTCTCCACGGCCCGTGCGCTCGCACCCGACGCCTTGGGCCTAAGCCCAATCCAGGCGCGGACGCTCGCCGCGAACGCCCCTGGACCGCCCGCCAGAGCTGGACGGCGCCGGCGATCGCCAAACCAGAAACACGCCGGCCACTCGCGCCTGGAGAGCCGCCAGACAACCGACCCGCCGGGGCCTAAACGCCTCGCTGCCGCGTGCGTGTTGCTGCTTGTCCTGTCGGCGACCGCATCATAGGCTGGCACGCACCGAGAGAGACAGACAGTGTGGCAGAGTGAGAAAGAGCGGAAGAAGCGTCGCCTCTAGCTGGCGGCCAGAGGAGCCAAACTCAGGCACGCCCGCATACACCCGCTCGCCCACTCGCTGCCTCTCCCTTCCCTGTCACCCGTCCGCCCCGGTACAGGAGCCCACCAGGGGTGGGGGCCGTTGGCTCTCAAAAATGTTCCGAAAGCGAACTGCCAGGGCAGAAGAAAAGAGCCAAAGAAAAAAATGAAAAAAAAAAAAAAAATATTGGAAAAAAGCAAAAAGGTTGGACCTCGCCTGGTCCGGCATCGCCCTTCCTTCTGCCCCGTTGTTTCAGCACCTGACCTGGTGGAAATCGCAGGCTTATCAGAGATGTGATGGAGCGATCATGGCGAAACGGGCTTCCCAGTCATCATCATCATCATCATCTCATCCGCGGCCACCGAAAAAACGAGGCCCAGGAAGTACGTCCTTCAGCCCGTTCAGGCGCGTGCTCTCTCTCTCTCTCCTCCCCTCATACACACACACACACACACAACCTCTCTCGACCTCTCTTTCCTGCGTCCGTTTCCGGCCTGAACGCTAAACGACATGCGACACGCATAAGGGCGCTCGTGGATTCGGCCAACGCACGACGTGAAGAGAACGTGGACGTGAAGAGCGTACAGGAGGTGCGCCTGGCCCCGTCTGAGCAAGGCGACAATGAAAAGAATAGAGAAAAAAAAAAGAAAGAAAGAAACCGATCCCCACCGTTGCTCCGTACGCAGAATCGTGTTCATCCACGTCGCCCGTCAGCCCGCTGATGCAGGCTGCAAATCGAACAGGTTTGAGTGGGCCGCATCGATCGCGAGTGCATAAGCCGCATTGTCCACGGCTGTGATGCTCCTTTGCCATCCATTCCACCAAACGCTTTTCTCCTAAGGCCTCGTTCCACGAACCCACTCTCCTGATTGACAGTCTGTTCGCCAGCGTCGAGCCAATTACAAATGGTGGAGGCCTTGACTGTCGAGCAACAATGGGCTCAAGCTACGGCTTGCCCCCCTTCCCGTGCGTGTGAGGTGTGTGCGTGTGCGTGTGTGCCTTGCCCACGGCACGCACAGCATTATCTTCATAATTACTGTCGTGACATCCGATAAGGCCCAATCTCCGTTCTTCCCTGGTGTTAATCTCGTCCTCTGCATCTGGCCAGGCTGGAGTCCCAATGTGCACGGCGCACTATGCCTCATCGGCATGATGAGAGGACGTAAACGCACACCCACACCCACACGCAGGCACAGCACAGCACAGCACAGCACAGCATAGAGCAAAATAAGGAAAGCTGGCGGGTGGTAATAAATGAATAAGGATCGCACCGCCCATCACCATGGTCATATATCCCTTGCAAGGGGCTTTCTCCCAGCTCGCCTCTGCATGCGTCGCAAGCCCAGAGCCACAGTGGTGAATCCCAGAGTCGATGATGGGAGTCAAGACACGTTCGGCCACCTTAAAATATCGCTTTGGTGGCCTGGCCTGCTGGCTTTGCTTGAGGTCACTCGCGATTCGTGCCCCGTTTTCTCGTGCCGTGTCTCTCTATCTCCCCTCTCTCGCTCTACTTTTTTGCGTGTCTCTCTCGTCGAATCTTTGTGCCGAGCGAACACGAAAAACACCCCCCCCCCCCCGGGGTTCCCCTTGAGCCTGGAGGGCACCTTCATCACTATGATTCCTCTTTTCTCTTAATTATCCTCACCCTCGTTAGCTTGCCAGTAATTACGTGGGTCCTTTGCCCACGTACCAAAGAAGGAATGGCTGCAGATTAAGTCTCGTTGTGGCTGCACCGCGCTACGGACTTCCCACGGCTGTCAACTGCACTTTCGTTGATTATCGCCGAGACGCCTAACAAGCTTGACATCTCCGGGCTCTGCGCATGTAGCTTCGTCCCGCAAGAGGGGCTCCCAGATATCTGGGTGGCCACAGAGACGCAGACAGAGAGAGACAGGGAAAGAAAGGAGAACCGATGGGCAGATGGAGGGAGGCATCAGGTCAACGATAGATTATACCAGTGCTTCGGTCGGCAGGGTGCGGCATAGAGACATACCAGCACCACAGAACGGACTAGGGAGCAGGAAGGTGATAGGAGGACCGTGATGCGCAGTTCCCCATCACACCTCTTCCTGCACAAGTCACTGCTGTCCCTCGCGTCGGAATGAGGGCGACGCACCCCGCTAGCGTTCGATCTCGTCGTCACGTTTCTCGTTAAATTGGGACACGGGACAAAGTACTACGAACGGCACTTATGCTGCTATGGGTCCCTCGCGAGGATCAAGGAAGTTTGCCTCCGCAAAGATGGCCGGGACCAGGCCCCCGGCACGACAGTTGGATTCCATGTCGGGCGACCCAGGAACCCCTCGGCTCTCCTGAATTGGTGATCCTGAGGCCCGTTGCAGAAAAAGCTTTGCCGACGCGGCGGGCCGGCCAGAGCGACGGGAGAATAGTCACTGGACTTCTGCAAGCCGCGGCAAGGGTGCGCTAGCCATCTTTCTCCAAGCACACCTCAGCCAGCGTGGCCGGTGTCGGTGGGGTCGACGATGCGGTGCCAACTGTGCGCAGGCCACAAGAAAAATTTTCTGGGCAGAAAAACACATTCGAATCCACACAACACGCAGGAAGACCGTCAAGGAGGATTGCTGCCGCTGAAAGGCTCACTGGCGAGTACGGCGCGCTCGCTTTCTCTCGTGTTATCCTCTGCCTCCTCTTGTGGACGGACAAAGATCAAAAGGAGGTGCTGCCAATCACGTTTAGAACGATCGCCGTCCTGAGACGCGCGACGCCACGACGCCATGTCGCGCATCGAAGAGCTACCCGATGATTTCGACGAGCGCATCGACCTGAACAAGCAGGCTCCCGCTCAGCACGTATCCAGCGATTCTTCGCAGGCGCCCGACCTCGTCGACCACTTGCTGCACACTGCACCCCCCTTCCCCTCGGAGCAGAGCAGCAGTCAGAACAATGAAGCTGCGGCGTCGGCAAGCGGGCCGTCCATGCCACCCGCGATGCACTCAATCCGGAAGTACACCGCGGACGAGGTGGTCAAGATGCTGAACCGCACGCCGCTGTTCATGACGACGCTGGACGAGACGGATGGTGAGGGCGGCGAGAACATCGAGCTGGAGGCTCTGCGCGCGCTCGCGTACGAAGGTACGAGAGCGGAGGTAGCGCAAAACTTTCGAGAGCAGGGCAACGAACAGGCGCGGGCGAAGCACTGGCGCGATGCAAAGGGCTACTACGACCAAGCTATCGCGGCGCTGAAGAATCCGAACGTGAAGCCGCGGGACCCGGAAGAAGGCGCCGCGCAGCTGGACGTCGTGGAGCTTGACGAAGAGAAAGAGCGGGCCAAGGAAAGGGAAATTGAAGAGGCATGCTACATCAATCGGGCGCTGTGTAATCTAGAACTCAGTACGTCTTACTCGGACTCCAATGAATCCTCTGTTATTTTTGCTGCTCCGTCTTTTATCTTCTCGCCATGCATGTGTTTGTGTGACGGGTTGGCTGACATGAAGTGCGTTGCGCCCGGCAATGAAAAGAAAACTATCGTGCGTGCACCCTCGACTGTGCAGCAACACTGAAACTCAACCCGGACAACGTGAAGGCGTGGTACCGCTCCGCGTCCGCGTGTCTGGCACTCGACAAGATCCCCGAAGCCGAGGACGCATGTGCCCGCGGGCTCGAGGTCGACCGTACCAACGCGGCACTGAAGACGCTGCAGGGTAAGATACTGGCGCGTAAGAACCACCTGGCGGAGCTGGAGCGCAAGCGGCGCGAGCGTGAGGAACGCGCTGCCGCTGAGAAGGCGATTCTGAGCAAGGGCCTGAAGGCGCGGGGTATCAAGTCTCGCACCACGGATGCAGCGCCTGACACAGAGGACGCGGTGCTACGGCTCTCCTCGCCGCTTGACCCGTCGTCTACGCTGGTCGTACCTGTTCTGCTGCTGTACCCGCTGCACGCTCAGAGCGACTTCATCAAGGCCTTTGAGGAGACGCAGACGCTGAACGACCATCTTGAATACATCCTGCCACTGCCGTGGGACGCAGAGAACGAGTACACGCCCGAAGTAGAATGCTACATTGAGTCGGCTGGTGGCGGGGGAGGCCTCATTAAGGCGGGCAAGAAGCTGCCGTTGCACAAGATCCTGGGTAGTGGCAAGGTCGAGATTGTGGACGGTCTGCTGAGAGTGTATGTGGTGCCAAAAGCACGCTCTGAGTCGTGGGTGCGCGAGTTCAAGGCGCGGCAGCCGCAGAAGCAGTGAGAAGAATAAAAAGGCATAATGATCATGACCCCTGTATTGCACAAGCCTTACGAAGCGTAGGGACCAGGCGTCATGGCAGGTGTGCGGCGGAGACGACGAGGTCCGCGTGCAGACTTGTACCTGGCAATCAGCAGCGCTCCACCGGATCCGGCAAATTCTGATGATGTCTCACCCTTCGCGTCCAGCAAAGGAGGCCCGTGGCGGGAACCCTTCCCTGCTCCTTCGACAGGGAAGCCCAGAGCAGGCAAGTGAAAAAGAAATCCATCCAAAGGCCAAATTGGAAGTGGAAAGCGGAAGGGACGATAATCCCACTACTCCAGAAAAAAAGCAGTTCGCTGCACGCCATCGCTCTTCTGATCCATGATCCTTGACGCGTCAATCCGAACGGGCCATCCTTTCTTTGATGAGACGACCATCGTGTGACCTCGCCGTTTCCGCCGTTTTCGACTCGCGGATGTCGCAGGGAACAAAACGTCTGAGAAAAAGGAAAAAAAAAGTATAGAAAATGAAAATGCAAAAAAAAAAGAAGAAAAGTCAGAAGAATCCTTCGCTCTCTTCCGGTGTCTCTCGGCGAGAACTCTCTCCGCACGTCGCCGTTGACAAGAATCGCTGTTGCAGGACAGGCAGACTGGCAAGCACCGGGCTTGCAAAGATGGGCTGAGCGGAGGAGTAGAGAAAAAAAGCATGGAAACATGAATTGTCTACGCGCAAAGAAAGAAAAGGCACCTCCCTCACACCGTACGTCTCTTTCTTTTCCTCAATCGTTCCTTGTTCTACACCTCGAGCTCGAATAGCAAGCTTGGCTCAAGGCTCCCCATCCGTCCTTGGTGGTTCGCCCTGAGCAGGACTCTTCCCGAACAAAAACGTCGGCTGTATTTCGCAAAGCCAATTCTCCACCGGCTTTTCCGAAGAGAGTTGTCATACGTGTTGTCTCAAAACGCAGGCTCCCGTGCCAGCAGATCCCTTGTTCCGTCCTGGCGCTCGCAGAGGGTTCAAGATAAAAGTGTCGCGGAGGCGTGGAGTCCAACGCTGAAGCGCGACATTATCGTGGTCAGGCCATTTTGTCTGACTCAAGCTGCACTCTGGCGTGACTGAGTTTTGTTTAACCAAGTCTGTGACTGCAGAAAAGCGGGGCACTGATCCCCCTATGCGTCAACAAATATTTTGTGATCGTAACTCTCGTAGATAGCAATGGCTTAAGTTTTGCTTTCGTGCCGAGGAGGCTCTCAGTTAGCGCGACATAGGTGGTGTAACACTCTGATGAAGTAAACCCCTATCTTGCGCTTTGCGCAGTTTTTAACAATCAGACATGGTACTGAGAGCTAACGTTGGGTGACATATAGGTCAGGATTGAATGATTTGAGTTTGAGCAAATACATACTTCCGTCCCTTCCTCGCTTGCTAGCTTCTCCTTGCATGTGGCTAACTGGAGAATTACATCTGTTTACTATGCATCTCAATATTTTCTTCACAGCCATGTCTATTTTTCAGTAGCAAGTCAAACTGACGCAATAGAAGCTACTGTTCCACACAACAGACCTCACGCTTTAACAAGCGTGGCAACACTCGTTTACCTTTCTATAACCGCCATCCGAAGCGTAGTCGTAGCTTACGACGCTTGCTCCCTTACGTTTGATATGACTATCCTTCCGTCTAATCTCTCACAAGATGGGTATAATGACAATTATAATATTGCTGCCCTGGCCACTCTTCAGAAGAGTTCTCGTCCCAAAACTAGCAGAATACCTATTATGTAATGTTGCAGCAAAGAAGAGACTCAGAGGTCTATCTCGATCCGCTGGTGTAGTGCATATTCACTCATTGCTCGTATAGCTTGTGTTTGCGTACAACCTCTTTTCTAATCAACGTCTTTGTCTCCTCATGAATCCGGTTCGGCTGCCAGCTGTAGTATCCATACATGTCAGATGCAGGATTCCGGATGTCGATCTGATCAGCTTTGATCTTGGTCAAGTGATCAAGAAAGCGTGTATCGGTGAGCGCGAGAGCACGGCGGCCCCAGAACGTCGCAGTCAGCTTCTCGAGACGCGCATGCTTGGCCAAAATCTTTAAGGACTCAATCAGGTGCGGATCATGCACATAGCGACGCTCCTCGCTACGCTTAAGGTGAGGAACGGCACTTGGTGCTGCGTCGTCGAAGCAAATCCAGAAATGGCGGATACGAGACACATTAGCAGTGCCGATCAAATCTAGAAAGAGGCGCAACTGTATTGACTAATTAGCCTCTTGTGGAAAAAAGTCATGATAAAATCGTCACTGACGTCTTTGTATCCGATCTCTTTCCGTTCGCTGTTCCAGAAAGGCCGTCTCATCTCCTTATTTCGGCCGAAGTAAAATGTGTTAAGCCCGTACAGTACAGAGCAGCCTTCCGCGCATATCTGCTTGCAGGTACGTAGAAATGCCGACGAATGATTCATATTCGTTCCTTCGACGAAATCGATCTTCTTCTCCGACGTGAATACAAGTCGATACACTTGGTTTCGAAGTTCTGCTTTCGTCAGCTGCCAGACTTTTGGTCATATCAAAAGTGAGACACGTGCCTGCTGGTAGAGATAAAAAGCCTTTCGACCCCAGGTTCATGGCTCTGCTCTTTACTTTCCGCGTGCTGCTAGAAGTGGCCGCACTGGAGTCATCAGCTTGTCGAGGGCGCTTGCTTGCGCGCAGAACGGAAGAGAGATCAAGCTGCACGTGCAATGGGCCACTGAATCCTTTCTCGATGTTGAATGTCAGATGGATAGGTTCAATTGAAATTGCAGAAACTTCAAAGTCGAATCTGTTAGGCTCTGGTGTGCTGCTTTCTGACAGGGGATCCGGCGGTGGCAAAGGCGACAGAGGCGGAGGCGTTGGTGACGGTGACCGCCTACGTTTCTTCGACTTTTTCTTTTGCTGCGCCTCGCGTTCAGCCTCAGAATCGAAGTCACTTTCTGGCTCGGACAAGTCCTCGGCAGTGATCTCGAGAAGCTGTTGATCGATAAGACTGCTGTCCACATACGCCGGATTGGCACTGAACTTCTGGCTGGCGCTTTTCCTCACTGGGCGGCCGTTCTTATTATATTTGATCGAAAAGTCACCATCGCCGAGTTCCGCGCTCGTAGCTTGCCTGGGCTGAGGCATGCTTGTTCCAGGAGATGTTTTCTGATGTTGCGGCAACACGTGAGGGCGGTAGTCTGTTGAAGACGTAGCAGAGCTTCCTCACTTTTGTCGCCTCAAGTAGACGATGAAGTCGCTCAAGCTCGAAAGGCTGTGAGGCTTAATCAGAAAGCAGTCCTCAAAAAATTGGTGAATGCAATCCGCCACAAGAATCGTCCGTCATCTATATCTTGATCAATTAGTCCCCAAGCGAGCCCGTCTTGGTGCTGCGCCGGGTGGATCGAAGAGCTGAGACTTGTGCAGCAGTTGACTGTCTTGAGGCTCAACTGCAAAGTACTGACGGAACTTTTCTAGCCAATTGACGCCGGTGGCGGCCGCTGCGGGATAGAAAACCGAAGAAGTATGCAAGATGGCGGCGATAGCGCAGAGAGACTCGAGCGGTTGCGGTGTGATCTATTAAGTACAGGGGCTCCGCAGCAGTTCCAGGATCGGAGGCGGGGAATTAAGCGTGAGAGTTTTTCAGAAGCGAAAGTTTGAGGAAAAACAAACTGGAATTTGGTAGTCAGCCAAGGCAGGAGCAGCCCGGTGGAGAGTAGGAATCGCGGTTCGACGCAGACGCTAGCGCAAGGAAAGTGCGATGTGTCGGAGGAAAGGGCGACTCATGTGAGTCTTCGTGATGCCACCACCACGAAACGCCTAAGCCGTAAGTCTCACGGGGGCGACGGTGCAAATTCCGTTTGCCACAGCAGGGCAGCGAGAGCGACAGGATGCGGGTCGCTGCTCGGTCGGCTGCCTTCTTCTACCACCTTTGCGCTCAGAAAAATCGCAGACTGTCCTTCGCGCTCGTTAAGCGTTCGAAGCGTTGGGTCTCTCGTCATTAGTCCGTTGCGCAACAGTTGTGGTGCGAGTTGAGCATGGAAGATAGATGCTGGAGAACGTGCAGTATGGAGGGCGGGGGCGAGCGTCACGGAACCGCAAATCTGAGTTGAAGACGAAAAGCTTCGTGACAACGGCCTGGCGCACCGAGAAATTATAATTGATTAAAGGAATGAAAATTAAGATAGAAGGAGGAAGCTGGCGCCGCTCGCAAACGTCGCCCCTGTTGTAATTGTGCTGTGTTATAATAGGAGGCGATTCAAGAGCTTAATAAGAGCCTTAACGAATACATATATACGTATATATAGATAGGTATTGATTCATGTGCCCACCAGAAACCATTGGACGTTCTTGGGCGGTGTAGCTGGGTGTGGACGCAGTGGCAGAACACCCAGTGGCAGCAGCAGATGCAGCGACGGGAAACAGTGGTAGTGGTGTCAGCAGAAGCAGAGCGAACAGCGTCGTCATCATCATCATCATTATCAGCACCAGCATTCAACCCGCAAGACATGGCGTGCATCCTTCGGGCCTCCGCGAACGGTTCTACTCTGGGACCTAAATAATTAACGCAGCTAAAGTAAGCCTTCCATCGCTCCTTGACGAAGCGGCATCGCACCGGACGGCCCACTAAGCCAAAGGCATGTAGCAGTGCCAACGTGCAATACCGCCGCCATTGAGCGGTCAAAAAAGGTCTCGCATGGCTCCGTTCTTCGCTCGCATAAGCCCGGAAGGGTGCGAACCCATGAAAAGCATCGCGGTTTTGGGCTGGAGGCGACCTTCTAAGGCAAGAATAGCGTGCACTATAAGGGCCATACTGATATAGCCTTGCCGCAGCTCAGCAGACGGGTCGGCTATAATATCATAGCACGGACTATGTATGACATGATCATGTTGCATCCTCCGCGACCCCTACCATGAATCTCGGCTCCTTGGTCTCTTCCACTTACCAGCAATTCGTCGTGCGTATTTGCCATCCGCGTTACCAGAGACCACCAATCGGGCATGCAACGTGGCTGACGCAGCGATTCCAAGAGAAGGAAAATGTGGAGTATGGAAAGAACAGCGTAAAGATTCAAGAACAATAGCTTAAAGAGGACGAAAACACATACTACAACACCCATCAGAGTACTTCAAATTGTGTCTAGAGGTGGTGCGGCGGACACATCTCAGAAAGAACCACGGCTCTGCCAGCTCCCGAAGGAGTCGGCAGATCGAGTACCTACTGCTGAGCTCGTTGTCTCATCATCTGGGTTTTTAGTTGTGTTGAGAAGAAAAGAGAAAAGAAGTCTGTTTGCAAGTGCTCAGGTAAGAAAAACATCGTTGGCGTCCCGCACAGGCCAGGCTTCGTCGTGGTAGGTCGAACGTGACATCGGCTACGATCGGCCCGATCTGAGCATCCCGTTGACGTTGTGGTATGACTATTACAGCTTCAGATACTTGCTATTCACAGCACGTCACAACGTCCATTGTCGAATTTCTGTTCTGCAATGGCGACTCTGCGGAGTACCTGTAAGGCTTCGCGCTCGCTGCTGTCGCAAGCACGGCCGACGCCTGCGATTCTCAACTCTGCTCGAGGCTCATGGCAGAGGCGGGGTCTCTCAGATGGCCAGCAGAAGGTGCGCAGAGCTTGCCCAGCTTGCGGCAAATCCGTTTTATCCTGCCTGCATATACTGACTCTGATGCTCAGCTGTTGTCTGCAGATCTGAAAGATGCTGATCCGACCGTCTACAATATCATTGAGAAGGTGCGTAGCCATGATTTTTGTCAACCCAGCCACCTCGTAGTCCTATTAACCTCCGCGTAACAGGAGACGAGGAGACAAAAGAACTTCATAAATTTGATACCTTCCGAAAATTTCACATCCCAAGCCGTCCTAGATGCTCTTGGAAGTGTTATGCAAAGTAAGATCCGCACGCACATTCATCTTTCTAGCAGGCTAACTCCACACTCAGACAAGTACTCGGAGGGCTATCCTGGAGCAAGATACTATGGCGGGAATGAGTACATCGACGAGGCTGAGAGGCTCTGTCAGGAGCGAGCACTCCAAACGTTCAGGCTGAATCCCGACGAGTGGGGTGTAAACGTGCAACGTTCGTATCTAGCCGCACCCACTTGCAAATCTTCTCAATGCTAAGTACACATACAGCGCTCTCTGGTTCACCAGCCAATCTCTATGCCTACTCCGCGCTCCTAAACACTCATGATCGCCTCATGGGCCTCGACCTCCCCCACGGTGGCCATCTGTCCCACGGTTACCAAACGCCAACAAAAAAGATTTCAGCCATATCTAAATACTTCGAGACAATGCCATACAGGCTGGATGAGAAGACGGGCCTGATCGATTACAAGAAGCTTGAGGAAATGGCCGCGTTGTACAGGCCGAAGCTTATCGTCGCGGGGACGTCTGCATACAGCAGGTTGATCGAGTATGATACCATGCGTAAGATTGCCGATAGCGTGGGCGCGTACCTGCTGTCAGATATGGCGCATATATCTGGACTAGTTGCTGCTGGCGTAATTCCATCGCCCTTCCCATACTCAGATGTTGTGACGACAACAACACACAAGTCCTTGCGCGGCCCCAGAGGTGCCATGATCTTCTATCGTAAGGGCGTGAGGAGCAAGGACAAGAAGGGAGTAGAGATCATGTATGATTTGGAAGGACCGATCAACTCGTCCGTTTTCCCAGGACACCAGGGTGGTCCACATAATCACACGATCACCGCGCTGGCGGTTGCGCTGCAGCAAGCGCAAACACCAGAATTCAAGGAGTATCAACAGACAGTTCTATTAAATGCAAAAGCATTGGCCGAGCGCCTTGGAAATCCAAAAGAATCCGGTGGCTTGGGTTACGACATCGTCAGCGGCGGTACGGACAACCATCTCGTGCTTGTAGACCTGAAGAGCAAGGGCGTGGATGGCGCACGCGTCGAGCGTGTCCTCGAACTTGCCGGCGTGGCAAGCAATAAGAACACCGTTCCTGGCGATAAATCCGCTATGAAGCCTGGCGGTTTGAGAATGGGTACACCTGCCATGACGACTCGTGGATTCCAACCAGAGGACTTCAAGCGCGTGGCTGATATCGTGCACCGCGCTGTGAGCCTGACTCAGCAGCTGGACAAGAGCGCAAAAGAGGCTGCTACTGCGAAGGGCCGCAAGAACCCTGACAGTGTGGCGGCATTCAAAGAGTATCTAGGCGAAGGCGAGGATATCACTGATCTTGTGCAGCTAAGGCACGAAGTTGAAGATTGGGTTAGCACGTTCAGTCTACCGTGGGACAAGCCAACGTAGATCGCTCGCTGAGGAGAATCTGGCTATTTCCTGAACGTGGCGCTACGAATGCAAAGGCTCCGTGACGGCTGGCATTACGAGCAATGCACATGACTTGGAAACACGGCGGGCGCATTCTCTTATATCTTTCAGTTTGAATGTACATATGCAAAAAATGAGTGAGTGCTTCATTTCTCGACTTTTGGTAGTGGAGAACAATAGCAAGGGTTTACGTTTGTGAACGACTTCTCACTTTTGCAAGCCGCGGCGAGACTTCCCTGATTATGGAATAATGATTGGTATTGTTCATCTGAGATCCGGTAATTTTGTAGTCTCGCCACAGATTCATATAACAGTTGGTTTATATCTCTCAGTTCTTTCAAATTTTTACATGTTCTTGCAATCCTTAATTCTTCGACGTTCACCACCAATCTCTATCAGGCCACTACTTCCAGTAACAGCATTCCGTTCGCCGTGTTTGACCAACACAACGGCGAATTCTCATAATATCTTTTTGAAGCAGCCGAAACGGCTTTGAGCTTGAGAGAACATCGATCAAAAGACTGCCCTCAGCTCTCGTTCGTATGGCATCGTATGCTCTGGGAAGTTCAGGAGCGCCAGCCAACCACGATACAAAAACCATCTCAGCGAGAGGCTTTGGTAAGCTCACCAGACCGTGAAGCCGTTATTGACAGTCTACTGAGGAGGAACAAGCAGATCGTGCGTGGTGGAATGCGAACTGGGTGAGCTATGGCTTCTTTCTCCTTTGTCTCGTGGCTTTACTCTGCGCTGGCACGCTCATTTTCGCCTGGGTCACGGGGACGATAGATCATCGAGGGAAGGTAGCTAGACTCTAGGACATCGAGCAAAGGTCTTTGCTGTCTAAACTAACCAGGCCTTAGTGGTTACAATGGGAGCATGTAGATCGACGGCACTGTCGTCACGCTGCGTGTCGAAGCAGGTTGGAAGCGCAAGATACACCCGTTGCTGCTGGGCATTCGTGCTCGTGGCGGCTATGGCCGACAGCCGTCAGACGTTCTGAGCGACTCGAAGTGGACGTGGCCTCATCTGCTTCTCTGGCCCGAAGTGAACAATCTGCAGCTGGACCAGGCGCAAGCAGAGAAATGATCCCGCAGGAGATGCGCGAAACAAGCATGCCTGCAGCTCCGCATCGTGTTCTTGTGAATGAGAGAGACTTAAGAAGGAGAGGAGGTGAGATCGCAGATGGCCTGATCAGGATTGGCATCATGTAACGATGAAAATGAGTCCAATGGACGCGTTGTGGAACAGCATATTTCGTTACAATACTCTGTCACAAAGTACAGGAAGTTTGGTCCGACTCTACGATGAGCATGTGCACATTGCCCTTGAGCTTATTCAGATCTCCAAGGTGAACGACATTAACTTATCCTGTTTCAAGTCCATTTCTTATATCATCCTCTGTTAGAGATCAATATGCCGTAACCTATTCCTTAGGTGTGCTTTTACATAACCTTTTGCGGGTATTTGCACGTTAGCAAACGTTCTACAGAGATTTTTTTTGTTAGAAAATGTCACGCAACGTAGGCCCAATTTTAGGTAGAGGCGATGGCTTCCTTAACCCACGCAATATATGAAGAAGGATTGCATTCCATAAATTTGACATTTAACCAAAATATTTAACAATTAGTCCATTCAATCATGGCCTGTACTAACTAGCCGTCAACTTCACTCCTTCGATTCATAAAGATGCACCAGAGAAGTTAGGTCCTCGTCGACTCAAGTTACCTCAACCCTGCAGCGTCCTCGTAACAGGCTGAGGACGAGGAATTGGAGAAGCTCATGCTATTGCCCTTACCCAGGCTGGTGCTAGTGACATTATACTGATGAGACGCACAATTACCGAGCTAGAGAACGTGCGAAAGAAGTTGTTGGAAATCAATCCCAAAGTCAAGGTAAGTGCTTTTACCTGCGAAGTATGCAAGGAAGAAGATATGCAAGCATTAGAAAAAAGCATGCACGCAGCCAGCATAGGCGACTCGACGTCTGGAACTTTAATGCTGGGTTCCTAGACCACCGCTGGCAGCCAATTGCGGACGTTCCCGTCGACGAATTTGCATGCGTCTTTGAAGTTAACGTTGTGGGGGCTTTCCTTACTACCAGGACTCTGCTTCCTCTTGCTCGAGAGCAAGCGGGGATTGGAGTTTGTCATCGCCACTTCTGGCATGTCGGCTCGTGTGACACGTGAGAATATGGCAAATGTGCACGAGGATGCTCGCGCTTCACCGCTTTATGGAGTAAATTGCAGACCGATATGCTAACAGAGGTCTCGTATGCAGTTATGCCTGGAAGTGTGGAAACGTAAATGACTCGTGGTGGTGACTAAGTACCCCAATCTGTTCGAGCGAGTAAGTCGTCATTCTGGTATCCAAGGGTTTTGGTGCTTACACAACTGCAAGATGAAATACCCGTCCCCAGCTATCACCTGCATTTGTGGTCTGGCCGGTGCGACAGCCCAAGTATTGGCTAAGTGAAAGATACTCTTCTGCGCGTTCGGAAACTGATTAATTGAGAGTAATGAAAGAAGAAATTGTCAGAGGGGATAAGGTTGAAGTTATGCATGGTTGTACAAATTATGATTCAAAGAAACTGTCAGAAATTAAATCAAGGAAAGTTCTAAGCCACGACTCCAGATATGGTTCAGATGGAAAAAGCTCGTCTTCAGATAAAAAGAGCGTTATTCTGCAATAAAGAGTTGCCGTTCTAATTGAAGTACACATTCATTCCGTCGCTACATGTTACATTCATATATTGGCTCACCTGTCACAGCTCAAGACTTCGCCGCGTAAAAAGCAATCTGAACGCCTTCTGCAGGCTGGAGTACGATGTCGCTCTTCCACTTTGGCGGTGCAGACATCCTGTTCTCGACACGCTCATACTTCTGAAGAATTTTCGTGATTGTGTATGCCATCTCTGTAAGCGCAAATTGCTGACCAACGCACAGACGAGGGCCCCCATTGAAAGGAATATATCTAAAGAAAGATCAGCGATTAAATGAAGAAGAACGTGCTAAGGAAACTTACGTCCACGGCTTTGGGTTCCAAGTTTCCCATCGTTCAGGAACAAACTTGTTGATGTCTGGGAAGCCGGATGAAGCTGGGGGATATATATCCGCTCGTCGCTGCATCGCAAGTGTTGAGTAGCCAATTGGGGTGTCTTTAAGAACACCTATAGGATCATTGCCATCTTTACCGCCTCCATGAGGAAGTGTAGTATCTTTGAGGGCCATGCGAACATTGAATGGAACAATCGGATATAAGCGCAAGGTCTCATTCATGCAATGCTAAATTATAAATCAGCGCAATGGAGCTTCAAGGTTTGTTAGCTCTATGTACTTACCTGCATGTACTTCATAGACTTGAGATCTTCATAAGTTGGGTCGGCGTCTGGCCCAACAGTTCTCAAGATTTCTGCTCTCAGCTTCGTAACAATCTCAGGGTAGCACGAGAGCTCGTAGAACAGCCAGCTCAAAGAGCAAGCCGTTGTATCTCTTCCCGCAAGCAAAACGGCAACGATTTGATCCCTCAAAACTGTCCTGTCCCTTGTGAAGCTCGCCAACGCATGCAAGAATGTGTAACCCTCATCACTTTTTGTCGTCTTCTCCAGCTCTTCGGGGCTAAGAGCTAATGCAGCGTCAATATATTTGTCGCAGAAGGCATTGATAAGCTTGATGTCCTTATTAAACTGCCTCCTTGGGATGATCCAGTTCAATGGGCCTGCTCTGGCGACCATACTCATTATGTGCTGGGCGTGGTTGAATGCATCGGCAAAGCCGGTGATGTCTTCATGGAGACTGTCGACACTTTGTCCGAGCAAAAAGTCTGTGGACGCATCGAGCGTGAATTTAAAGAACAAGTCTGCCGCATCGACAGTCGCTCCATCGCTGCTACCGCCTAGCATGGGCACAAGAATCTCGCAATGTTTGCCAAAGGTCTTGAGATCAGCAACACGATCTTTGACAAATTGCGGTCGGATCAACTGTCTTGAATCGTGCCACTTTGTACCGTCGGTGGTGAAGATTGAATCTCCCAGGAATGGATGCCAGTCCTTGTTGAACTGCTCGCCCTTTCCAAAGTCCTGGAATTGCGTGGCTAGAATCGCCTTGATGTTTTCAACATCTGCTGTAAGAATGAGCCGCTGGTTGGCTATGTACGCCTCGAATGTGTATGGATTTGCTCTGTGACCCCATTCTCTGAAGCCTCTCTCCCAGATTTCCATCGCCTGGTGCCGAAGGTTGCTCTCGATCGCCTCATAGAGATTGTCGAGTCCTAACGGTAGCTTGTTTCGACGAACCGGAGCATGACCACCGAGCTTGTTGATTTTGTATTGTGCAATATAGTAATTGCCGTAAGACCAGAGCACGATGCCACCGAATCCAAGCCCGGCGGTCTTGAGTGGTGTAAGCTCCCCAACAACTCCTTTCACGTTCTCGAGAATATTTTCAACTACGCCCATGTTGATTTCGTTGACTTTGCAAAGCAGCAAGAAAGAGTCGCTTGAGAAGTTGAATCTTATCCTTGCTTCGAGCGAAAGTGATGCTCCGGAGGGAGCTTATTTCATACCCCAACTAGGTTTCACATGTACACAAGGATTCATGCACGATCATCATACCATGCCATTGGGTGCTTCGGCCCTAACCAGGATGAAGACGTGAAGTGTCCAATATCAGGCCGGCCAACGCTCGCATGTCACCCAACCAGCGTCATGAAATTCCCAAGCTAAACTGCCCAGATATGGTAGGACGTTGCGGGGCTGCCGTAAGGCCGCTGGGGAGATTGCGGATCTGGCATGGATTGTGGGGATAACCGAGTAAATGTTGTACGTACTCCGGCGACCGGTCCGGCGGCCGGGTTGTTTTCTTGAAACCAGACGCTCTTTTGCAAGCCCATGCCGGAGGACGCCAAATACTGAGTCGTGAATCACTTTAGCCTAACAAGCTCGCTTAGGTGCTTTGACCAATTTCATCTTCGATAGTGGGAAATTACTTGGCTCGCATTCTTTACTTGTAGATCTTGTATAGAACAGGCAGAGAAACAATCACATTGATGGGACTACCGGAATCTCCTCATTACACTCCTCTTCTTCTTCTCAAAGGCGCGACCAATGTCCTCACCGCCAAGACCGGCTCCATCGAAAGTTCGCTTGCGCGAACGGTCAATCTTTCCCCCAGAACCTTCCTTGCGCTTGACTAATGACCCGATTCTATCAAGTCCAGCTTCGAGGTTTCTGAATTCTTCACCGCCGAATCCACCCCTATCTCGTCCCATTTTCTTTGCTCGTTGTTTTTTGCTCTCCTTGGGCAACCGCGTAAGATGCGTCTCTTCGTATCTTATCCTCTCTGCATCCTCATCGCGCTCACGTTGGGTCTTGAGTCTGCGCCCACCTGATACAATGGTACTACCAATACTTGGCTGGGCAGTCGGTGCAGTAGATAGCTCCTCAGCGATGAATTCGTCCAATGTTGCCGACTTGTGTGGACGCCTCTCAGCCTTCTCTTCCTTTCCTCTTGTCGTAGGCATGGCCATCGCTGTAATTCGTGGTGGTCTGTATATGCCGTCCGGCGGCGCATCTGGTTTTTTCGCTTCTTCAGCGTCGTATTTTGGCCGCACGAATGCACTGGGATTGGGCCGGTATGACAGTTCATCGATCTCGGCCTCTGATACTGAGGCATCGTCGTCTTCCTCAGATTCAGAAGCGGAGCTTCTCTCCGAATCCTCGCTCTCGTCTGCCCGCTTCGTCTTCTTCTTGCGTTCATTTGTTGTGCCTTTTCCGATTGATGACTCAGCTCTTGCAGCATCTTCAGCTACCTTAACCACTTTGTCTATTTGATATTTGAGCTTTGCCTCCAATGGCTTGACACCCTTCTCGATGTATAAACGTAGCTCTGCAAGCTTCTTGGTCACCTCATCATTGAGAATTGAGAGATTCTTTCTAAGTCCATCTTGACTTGAGCTCGAGCTATGTCGCAGCTTTATCAGGATCAGAAATACCAGATTTTGCAAGTAGGAGAGGAACAGTTCATTTTTTAGATCCAGCAGCGATATACCGTTTGATGGGGGGGAGATATCAAAATTCTCCGGCAGAATCGCAGACTCTAGCGACGACTGAAGCGTTGAAAGAAGTGATAACAGCGAGGTATCCATGGTAAGTGTTCTTTGTAGATATCCTCGAGATTGAAGGTCGCAAAATCCTTAACGTGAAAAAATCTTGGACCCTGGAAACAACGGCTAACCTGAAATTGGTAACTATCTTTCGGAACCTTCCCGCGCGGCAATGAATTTTTAAAACCAATTTTCATCGTCCACCTTGTTACTAGGAAGAACTTTTCAAGTTTCAAAACTAACTTGAATCGATGCTAAGATATCCGGAAGAATTACGCAAATGACTACTATTGCGTCAACGTCGACCACAATCTTAGACCTGCCTCCTAGCTGTATTGAGGTCTGCCCTTGGGATCAGAGCGTCATCGCAGTCGGGACGTACCATCTTGAAAAGAAAGACGACGCAGAACCGTGCGCGGGTCATAATCCCTCAATCCAGAAACGAAGAGGCAGCATTCTTATCTTTCAATTCTCAGACGACTGCCGCACAGTCGAGCTTGCGCAGACCTGGCCCACGGATTACGCAATCTTGGACCTTCACTTTCCCATACGCGGGACCGAGAAGTCAAAGAATTTCTGGACCGCAAATTCTACAGGATCTTTAAGCTGTTACTCCGTGTCAGAAAACCCTTCTTTCATCATCACAGGGAGTTCAATCTGTCAGCAGTGGGCACCTAACGTTCTCGTCCTTGCCTTTGCGTTCCACCCAACGATCTCTCAAGTGCTTGGCGCTACACTCTCTGACGGCTCTGTGGTCCTATGTAAGATAAGCGAGAGCGATAAAGTGGGCGTACAGTCTATGAAGCATGTCGGCAGCCACGATCTCGAAGCCTGGACCCTGTCCTTCGACCTTTTTGGAAATAGATGCCTGTCTGGAGGCGATGATGCCGTGTTGCAAAGCATCTGCGTGCAGAATTTGCAAGAAATCACTCGTTGTGACTCGATAGAGGAGGATTTTCATCCTGTAATTGAATGGAGGAATCGACGCATACACTCTGCGGGTGTGACGGCGATACTGCCCTTGCAAGAAAATCTTGTTTTGACTGGCAGCTACGATGATACGTTGCGTGTTGTTATACTCACAAAACCTCCTAGATTACTAGCAGAAAAAACCATGGGTGGTGGTGTTTGGCGTCTCAAGCTCATCCGCGTTGATCAAGCTGCAAACCACTGGGTTTACGACATACTTGCTAGCTGTATGCATGCTGGAGCAAGGATCGTTCGTATTACTTTAGCGAAGGATACGAAGATGGATCTTCAGATCGATATTCTTGCTCAATTTGAAGAGCATGAAAGCATGAATTACGGCAGTGATTTCATTCGGAGAGGCGATGAGTACGCCATACTGTCCACAAGCTTTTACGACAGACGACTTTGTGTCTGGAGTTTCCACACGCTGGAATTCGATACAAGTCAGAACAACGACATCAAAGAATCAAACTCAGTGACCTGAGAAATAGATCCTGCCGCTAAGACGAGAGAGAAAAAAAGACGACCGAAATTCTCATCACTCCTTCTTAACATCCACAATAGATTCACCCAGATTACTTTCCTTGGCTTCGCTCGGCTGAGCCACTTGCCTTCCTTTCCACTCTTTCATCAAGTTGTTCAGACCCTTGCGCACACTAACTTGCATCCAGGTAGGCCAGGCCTTGATCGTTGTTATGCCGGTGTTGCCCACGGGCAAGATAATATGGTCACTCTTGCCAGCAAGAACTGCCTTTACGGTTGCCTCAGCTACTGTATCCGGCTCTAGAGCGTATGACACAAAACCATCGCCCTTGTCAAAGCCTGCAAACAAGGCTGTCTTCGTGTAGCCTTGATTCACACATACGCAGCGCACCTTATCTGCCTTGTAGAGGTTGTATAGTTCCGTCTGGAGGCCTTCATGGAAGGTGAGCGCTGCGGATTTACTCGCGCAGTAGTCGACGAGTGAAGGAGCTGTGACATAGGAGGCAAGTGAGGCGATAGTGACGACCATGCCATGGTTGTTTTTGATCATCTCAGGGAGGAACTGCTGGGCGAGTTGGTAGTGGCAAATGGCGTTGACTTGGAACGTGAGTCTGAGGTCGTTGTCTGTGGTGTCGAGTATGGTCTTGCCACGGGCAAAGCCAGCGTTGTTAATGAGTACAGTTGGGTGGCCAACCTTTTGTTTCACCTGCGCCGCGGTCTCTCTGATGGCATCGGGAGAGCCCAAGTCGCAGTGGAAGTATTGAACCTTCGGTGGTACTGAGTAGAGATGTCAGGTTCAGTGGTTTGCTTATGGTCTGTTGCAGATGACTTACGGACATATTTTGGCTCCTGAATATCAAGCACAACAACCTTGATGCCCTTACTCGCCAACATCTGAACCATCTTTGCGCCTATACCATCGCTACCTCCTGTCACCACTACAATTTCTCTGTTCCAGTCATAGCGGTCACTTCTCCAATTGTTTGCGACGCCCTGGTCTAAAAATCGCTTAACACGGAAGAACAGACCCCCGAACACTGCTCGGCGCAGCCAGGTCAACGCTTTAGGATGTTGAGCAAAGAACTGTTGACCCTTAGTAGTATAAAGAGCTGCGAGGTAAACCGGAAGGGTCTTGCGAGGATCAAAGGCTGTGTGCTTAAGGATAGAGAGGACAGTATCGAAGGTGAAGCCTGGTTGCGGTGTTAGCCGGTGACGGTGCAGGTGCTACTTGCGATGTGAAGCTTTCCAATACACACCCTCTCTAGGCATTGACCAATCACTGCGTATTATTGCCATACTTCAGTTCTGATCGAATACACGACTATGCTGGCGCCAGTGAAAAGGATACAGCAGGAACAAATCGCGGCTCTGACATTCAAGTCAGGTTGTCAAGAATCCGGACTAGGTAAAGGGCTGCCTTATGAAAGCCCCGTCTGCACGAGACAGTCCCGCCCAGCAGGGCAACGATATGCATCGACGCCTCGGAGCGAAGTAGTGGCCCAGCAGCGGTCGAGTAGTTCGACTCGGTTACAGCGAATCGCCGATATCAGTCAGGTAAAATGCGGGGTGCGACGCAGGACGGCTTCTAACGCTAAGAAGATTGGAGCCTCGGCACAGCCCTGTTTCTTTTAGGCGAGCTACCACTGCCGGAGAATGCAGACGAGCCCAGAGACCTGCTTCCGGTGTGCTTGGGCCTTCACCCTCACATCTCCGGAGACCAGCGCTTCTTTTGGACTCTTGACATGTGCTTGCGACGCGCTTGGCTGCTCGTGGATCTCGCATGAGCATTAGAAGAACACGCATGATCGCCCACTCATCTCGTTTATGGAAAACGAGACAGAGGTGGAGAAGGAGGTGCTTGATTGTGCCTTAAATAGTACATTTTGAATTAAGAGCTTTCTGTAATACAACTTGGCGTCTATGGTCTGGAAACAAGAAGCAAAATTCGTGTCTGCGTCATAAGCTCCTCTGGTTATGAGATCAGATATCCTCAACGCCTATCCAATGCAGACTGTCAATTCAACCGGTTACGCCATCTCCGCATGTACCAGAAACCCTTTCCGACTTCCCGTGCGAATTAAAAGAATTTTTTAAAAAAAAAACCAAAAAAACTAAGCTCAAAACATGTTTGAATCCGTTGGAGCAAAGGATGCCAACGACTCTCTAGGGTTGTCGATTTCCATCGCCCCGCTCATGACGCGCACAACTTTCTTGTTGGGGTTGGCAGGCTTCGCTACGAGAACCTGAGCAGGACAAACGACAATCTCATCCTCACCATCGCCCAGATCGTCGCCCTTTTTGACGACAAGCGGGAAAAGCACGAGCTTGACAATGGCCCCACGCTCCTCCAGTTCTTCGTTTGACGTGAATTCGCCGCTCCGCTCGTTCATAAGGGCAGCGTTGAAGGTGACCTTTTGCACAAGATCGCCGTTGGTGTCGTATTCCGGTTTGAGTGGTGGAAGCATGATGTATTCAGCACGCTGAGTTCGCATTTCGATGGCAAGATCAACCGCGAGCGTTAGGACCTTGCGAAGCGACTCTTGAATCTGAGCAACGAGATTCGACGGCGGTGGCAAGAGCTGAGATAGATTGACGAAAATCTCCTGGGCTACGGCTTCAGTATCTTGTTTGCGCTGAGAAATGAACGCTTCCCTCCGCGAAAGGAGAGTGAGAGTGATGGCACGCCATTGAGCCACGGCTCGTTGCGGACCTGCAGATGAGATTAGTTTGGCCTTAGAAATCTTGTGGCAAATTTTCAGCTTACCAACTTGACTAAGAGTCTCCTCCAGAGTCTTGAGCTTCTTCCTTTGATCTCGATCCATCCCAAAAAGATATCTTGTGAAAACATACTCCCAAATCATAGACATCACCACCGACATGAATACGTCTCTTCTCTTAACCCTGTCCGCCAATAGAACGTCTACATCCGATCCATCCAGAATGGCGTCATCCAACCTGTCTCGCAATTTCTCATCGCTGATATCAGATGAGAGCTTGCACATCTTGTTATCTGAAAACTTTGAGAATCGTAGCACCCATTGTTGTACATGTTGGCATAGCTGCTGGCACGCACTGTCGAAATAGTCCTCATTTCTGACATTCAGAAACGTCTCCGTTTGGCTTGCATTAAGCAACTGCGCCTGCAGGGATTTGATTTCTTCGACCTTGCTGGCAAGCTCTTGCTGCAGCTGTTCGATCTGTGCGTCCTTCTCAACCAACGCAGCAGAGATCCCGTCCTGAACGATTTCATTGATGCCTTCATTCAGAGTTTGATGTTTGGCTCGTAGAGCTTCGAGTTCGCGAGACGTTGCTTGCCATTGTGCGTGCGCATGCGTGTTCTCCGTCTCCAGGCTTACGACACGCGAATTCGCATTGGCAGAAAGCTCTTGGTGCTGCGATGACAGCTGCGCATTCTCTTGGGCGATGCGAGCTATCTCTTCCTGAACTTGAGCCAGTGTTGCCGAGAGTTGAGAAATTTGCATGTCCTTTTCCTGGATTATGAGATCACGTGAGGCAACGGCCTCGGTTGCTTGTTGAATTGTGCTTGCATGGCTATCTCGTACAGAGATCGCTTCTTGGAGAGCTTGTTCTGCTTTTTGCTTGGCCTCTTGAAGAGCACGATTTTCGGCGACCACCTGATCAACACGGGATTGTAGGTCGATGATTTGCATACTTTGTCGTTTGCGCACGCTAGGAGGACGCGTTGGCGACATGGGGGATGCTGGGGCGTGTCCATAGCCCTCCTAATATTTGTTAACGACAGATCAGGTAATTTGACGCATGCATGATGACTTACCAATTCTCCCTCCATGCCGACCCCTCTTGACTTGTCTTTAGCTTTGATGAGAGTTGATACGAGAGCTGCTCCCGCAGCGCCTGCGATGAGTTGAGGTGTAGAGTCCGAAATTTTAGCGCCCACGTTAGCTTCTTGGCGTTTAGCGTGGCCTCGAAGGTCACTTGACACGCTTCTGTCTGTGCGCCGCAAAGATCTGTCAGAACGAGCGCTGGCGGTACTCATAGCACTTAACGGCCTCGAAATGTTTGGGCTGTGAGGACGACCGCTATCCAAACTTCGGTGGCTATAGGCTGATGAGATTCGATCAATACTGGTCGGCTGACCATCGCTCAGCGGGGATAATTTGCGCGAATCGTGAAGACCAGTTGAAGTGTGCGCATGGTCGGCACTTCGAACCCGTTTTGCAGGATCGCCATGGATAATCCTGTTACTATCCATCGTCCCATTGTATTCATCTGCTGGAGGCCAAGGACGGCGATCTATGAGATCCCCAATTGAACTCATTCCACCAGCGGATTTGACGCGCTTAGGCGAAACGTGTGTATCTATATGGAGTTCTTGTCGAGGTGAAATCTTAAGCTTCTCAGGCGTTGCAGACCGCCGAAGGTTTCTTGAGCTCGGCTCATGGCGAAGACCATGGGAACGAGTCTTCCTCACCAGCGGCGAATCTGGGGACCCAGGGCTTGATTCCATTATCGTTTGAAGACCGGCGCTTGAAGCGCGAGTATGATGTGCTGGTGTCGTGACTGGTGTCGTCTTTTCTGTCGCTGAAGGGAGGGACTCGGAGACTGAATTTTGACTCTGATTTCTTTCGCCCCTTGAACCTGCAGTTGGTTCAGCTTGCATCTCATCATCCTCTAAAGATGCTCGACTCCTGTCACTTGTCGTAAAGCTTGGTGAGGAAATATGCCCATCAATGGACTTCTTGGCGCTACTGCTGGGTGGCTCGCGTGTAGAAGGTGAAGACTGGAACAGCAGATTCGACGCCCGATCTTTCGAGGTTGACTCCACGGCAGGCGGTGAAGCTAATATTGAAGTGTCTGGTAACGAGCATTCTGTATCTCCTGTCTCCAGATTCGAACCTGGCGTGTTATCTACTATCTCAACAGATTGCCGTGGAGAAAGAATTTTTTCTGGTGAGCCCTGGCTGACAGCTACCCCCCATTCAGGCGAAACCTCAACACGAACTTTAATGGGCGACTTGCTTGATCCGTGAGAGGCTGTTCTTCCTCTTTTGAGTTCATCAGAAAAGTTCAGTTCGCGCTCTCGATCTTGTGTCGGGCTCAAAAGGCCTTCTTCCCTTGCCAACTGCAAGGATGCAGGTGTATCGTGGTGACTGCTATCCTTCTTTAAAGCTTCAGAGGTGCGCTGGCTAGTCAAGGACTTTGGCGATGCCGGAACAATTATACCGCTATCGGGATTCATTGGAAATGACCAAGAAGACTGTGCAAAATCTTGTGCTGAGACTTGATTCTTTACGCCGGAAGCGTCCTCGGGCAGACGGGATTCAGACTCTTCGTTCGGCCCCTCAGTCATCTCAACATCACGATCCAGGTCGAGAGATGGACGTGGCGAAGTGATTCTCTCGAATGCATTCATGCCCGACCCAACCTCTAGCTTCTTCATTGGTTGCTCGACTATTGAGTCTTGTCGAGGCGGTACCTTGCGTTTAACACGTTCCAAGCCAGGAAACATACTTGCCACGCGACTGACGTTGGAGCTTGAGGTTTTAACGCTTTCCGGGAGATTGCGTCCTGTTGTCTCTGCCTTAATTTCTTCGCTCAACGATTTCTCCTCTTTATCAGTTTGAGATTCGTTGAGGCTCTCAGACTGGGAACTCGACCCTGCAGCTGTGGCGATGGCCGTAGCCACTAGGCCAACTCCCGCTGCAAGAGCTGCGCCGGGGGTTTGCTCGGTTACACCTGCAGCTAGACTGCTTTCAACTATGTCATTTGAAGCAGAGGATGTGGTTCCTTTCTTGCCTTTCTTTTTCTTCGGCTTCTTCTTGGGTAAAGCCAATTCCTCTTCTACTACCTGGACGGAGTCTAGATTATGTGGCCCGCCAATTTCAGCATCTGAAGCGTGCTGTATATTGTCCAATTTTTCAGCCGTCTCTTTAGAGGACTCTGTATCTGGTGGCTCGAATGGACGACTCTGATCATCCGCTTCTGGCTGAGGTGCTTCATCTTTTGGTGTAACCGACGTTATGATTGATGCCTCATGGTCAATAGAAGGTCGGCTCCATGTCACTTCATTCGAAGCTGTGTAGTAGTAAGTCTTTCCGCTATTGGAGTCTGTGGCAGAAAACCAGCCATGAGGTAAAGGCGTATTTTCATCTGATGTTACTGCATTTGTCGTAGCGGAGTTTTCAGACTGATTGTTAGCAGCTGATGCTGTGGCCACCTCGTCCTGCGTCGCATTTTCGACAGTTTGCACTTTGTCCAACGCAGCTAAGACACCTTGGTTTACGACACTACTTTGCTTGCGCGCCTTTTTCCCACGCTTAGCTTGTTTATGTTTCTCGGAAAACCCCTCAACTTCTTCTTCACTGAGGCTCTGTGGTGATTGCAAGGCCCGTTGAGAGTATGTATCATCGCGTTGTACTATACCTGGATCAAACCCGGACCCTTGCAGACCAGCAGTAAGGATTTCCACAAATTCCTTGTCATCAGTGGTTGGAAGCTTATGACTGGAAGCATCCTCCGGAAGTGCAATTGTTGAGGGCTCGACAGGCGAGGTTTGACTTTGTGTCCTGGAGTTCCTTCTTGATGATCGACGGCTGCCTCCGTGTGCTTGCATAGGAAGTTCGTCAAATTTTGGCTCTTCAAGTATATGGGAATGCGCACGCTGTTCCATCAAAGATGGGTCACTTGTTGCAAGATCCGGGTCAAATCCAGATTGTACAAGACCTGCTGCTATCGATGCTGCAAATTCAATGCCAGGAGATGATGACTGCACATGAGAAGTCTCAATATCGTCGACGGGGATATTGCGAATATTCATGACTTGATCGCTGGTTTCGATGCCCATGTTGGCTTCCTGCTCAATTATTGATGAAACTTGGTTATCGGGCATACTGTTTATTGGCGCCACACTCCCGCCATCGTCGCTTTGCTTCGATTCGGCTTGATTGTCTTCAAAGTCGTTTTCTTTCGCCATAGCCGAATCCTCCTTCGAAGAAACTGCAGCATCTGCGTCCCTCTTCGCTTTCTTTGCTTTCTTATTCTTCTTGTCCCTCTTCGAATTCTTAACTTCGAACTCCGTGGATCCTAGGTCTGTTTCCATTAAAGAACCTTGTGCACTTGAATTGTTCGACCCAAGTAGCTGTTTCGTGGTGTCATCGATAGCATTGTCTCCTGTTGATGCTCTTTTCATTTCTTGATCTGAGGGACTTGGGTGGCTAGGAATCTCCTCGTCTTCAACTTTTTTGGCTTTTCTTTTCTTCTCTTTCTTTTTTCTTGAAATGGGAAATTCTTCCTCAGGCTCAGGCTCCGCAGACGTGTGAAGTGGCTGAGGGGACTCAAAGACATCTGGCGCCGAAGCTTGTAACATACTGTCGTCTTGGGATGCCGTCACAGGAGTTGACTCGGATTGAGAGACGTGTGGAATTTCCACGGAGTTCGGCATTGCGAAGTCTTGAGCAGCAACAGCAGGTTCATTGACGATTGAATCGGGCGACGTGGTATCTTCAGTGCTCTCTTTAGCTTGTTTAGCCTTCTTCGCTTTGCGCTTATCTTTTTGGCTTAGTTTTATAGGCACTGAATCATTATCAATAGAAGATGAGGTGTCCACTTTGATGGTGTCAGACTCGGTAATGGGAGAAACAGTTGTCGTCTCAATTGGCATATTTTCTTCCAAGTTTTCCACTACAGTGGGCTCAAGAGCTCCATCCTGGGTTTCTGCATGCGGAGGGTTCGTAACTGTTGCATCTTTTTTGGTTGAACTAGTAGCTTCTTCAACAGTGTCATTCGTGAGACCATCGGCAGGCTCGCCCGCATTAGCGACTGCGCTGATGGATCGGGAATTTTCATCATCCATCAGCATAGCAGAAATTTCTGCAGCGGTGGAGTTTGCAGCTCGAAGGTCAGTAGACGGCATTGCAGAATCAACTGACCTCTCTAAGTCTTGATCGAGCACATTAGACGTCTGGGATTCTGAACCAGATGTTCGATCACTGCTCTTCTTTCCCTTTCTATTTTTCTTTCCTTTTTTGACAGGTGGCCTAGCAGAATCATCTTCGTTTGGAGTCGCTTGCAATGAAGCGTCGCCTTGGCTTTCTTGCGTAACTTGACCCATTTCGCCTCCGTTCGAGGTCGTGTTATCCGGCGACATTGATTCCAGTGTAACGGAATCAACAACTTCAACGTTTGTCACATCATCGATATGCAGAGGATCTGCGCTCTGTCCAGGAAGTTCACCAACCGAGGTAGGATCAGCTTGTGCGGTCAGATCGTTTTCTTCATCCAAGGTTGGAGTTGCATCTGCTGATTTTTCTGTGTCTGCCAAATGCTCTTCGACAGCAGCTGACTTGGCCTTCTTCTGCTTCTTTCCTTTCTTTTTCGATTGTGTCGAGCCCCCCATTTCCTCCTCACGAACGGTATTTGTGAGATCCCATGTTTCGGCGGGCAACTCGTTTGTCTCAAGAGCCACCGTAAGAGAACGACGTTTTTCTTTTTTGGCTTTCTTTTTGGTCGTCATCTGTGTATCCCACATGTCATCTGCTTCAGGTTCAGCATTGACTGAGGATTCTGGAATGTGAGGTTGAACATCGGAGATGGGTGGGGCATCATCCTCTGGTGTCGTTTTTTCTTCAAGACTAATTGCGCTGGAGACGATGTCTGCTCGCTTCTGGGCAGAAGATTCAGGTGAAGGTTCTAGTTGTACAACGGATAGGTCGTTAGATGTTGCGAGGAGTTTGCCATCTTCATTTTCATTTGTGGTGGCAGTCATGGATAGCTCATTTTGATCTTCCTCTGGAGTCTGCTGTTCGACAAGCAGAATAGCATCGTTCTGGATGGTCGCAACAAGACGAGGATCGTCAGGTGATTTTGCATCGGTAACAGAACTAGCTGGACGATCAGTCATAGACTGAGTAGGCTCGGGAGTTGAAGGCCTCGAAATTCGTTGCGTATTTCGCGAGGAGTCCTGTGCTTCCTGAGCTGCGCCGAAGCCTCCGGCGTTGTCGGCCTGTCCGATGTCCTCCATTGCCTCGACATGGACATCTGTGATCGGGTCAGGTGAACCTTGGTCCGCAGTTTGCGCTGTATCTTCAGCACTCTTCTCTGATTGGATCTGCGTCTCCAAGAGAGATGGCTTAGCTGACTCGCCCGCTTCGGTGACTGAGTGTTGTTTAGACCTTTTCCCTTTCTTTCCTTTGCGTTTTGTGATACCCAAACCATCGGCCTCTATTTCTTGTTTTACAGCAATTTGCACCGTATCCATGGCATCTGCTGCATCTACCGGAGTGACGTCGTTAAGGGAGTCGTCAGGTCTGAAGTCGGCATCCTTGTTATCCTGAACAGTAGTTGCTGTTGCATCAACCTCCGCGTTCAAGTTGCAGTCCTCAGCTGTTGTGATAGCCTTTTCAGATTCTGAATTATGTTCTTCAACTGCAGGCTCAGATGTAAGCTGAGCATCGTCAGTCCTCGGCTGCTGTCTGACCAAAGTGGAATCCAGTGTAGAATCTTGTTCTATGGCAGATCTACTACTTAACTGCGGATCGAGCTCAGTTCCTTGATCCAATTCCAAAGATGGCTCACGCTGCGTCGGCACATCAAGCATTTGGATGTCCTGAGGCTCTGATGTTGAGACGGAGACAGTTGTTAGAGCAGATGAGGACTGTTTGCGCTTTTTTTCTTTCTTTTTGCCCTTCTTGGAAACTGGGGCAGCCCATTCATCCTCTGCAGCAACTTCCATTGGCACATTGGATCCATCATTTATAGGTTTTTGGAGTGGACCTGGGTTAGCACTCTCATTATCGGGAACAGCCGGCTCGAGTTCTGCATCCTTAGATTCCCCTAATTCCTTATTTCGATCGTCAAATTCCATGGGTTGATCACCAGTAAGATCTTCGACAGTCTGTGCAGCATTCGAGGGAGACTCGATCTCACGATCGCTCTTGACAGCAGCAGGCTCTTCGACCGGAGTCGTTGTAGCTGAACCTATTTTCTTGCCCTTCTTCCCCTTCTTAGCTTTCTTAACTGGCATCGACCATTCGTCATCACCCGTGACTTCGATGAGTTTGTCTTCGATGGTATGTTGCTTCTCTTCTTCCTGCTTCTTGGCCGATTCTTCATTCACACTGACGCTTTCGTGCGACTGCTCTACCTCAGGGGGAGATGACACTGGTTCAGCTGTCTGGACAGGAGCGAGGCTCTGCTGTGGGCTTGGCTCTTCTGTAGATAGAGGAGTAGATAGGCTGGACTTCTTCCCTTTTTTTGCTTTCTTCCCTTTCTTTGCCGGTACTGCCCACTCATCTTCTGCTGTAACTTCTCGAGATGTATCAGGAACGACCGCTGCTGAAACTTCAATATCCCGGGCATCTTTGGCATCCTCGCGAGAGGCTTCATTCTCGTTTTTAGGGCAATGCTCAACAGCGATCTCATCGCTGTTATTTGGGACGTCTTCTGTTGGTTCGCATCCTTCCAAAGTGGATCGCTTTTCTATCTCTCTAAGACTTTCTGCTTCAGTTTTCTCTTCCAAAAAGGCCGATTGCTCAGCAGAAACTGGCTTTTGACTTGAATCGAGTGTTTCGGAGACAGGCTCTTCAAATGGCTCCCCAGATGCTTCATCGGGTACGACCGAAGTTGTAGTACTTGACTTTTTCCCTTTCTTGCCCTTCCTGCCCTTCTTGACTGGGACTGCCCAGTCTTCTTCCTCAGCATCAACAGTCTTTATGGCTTGCTCTTTTTGGCCATTGTCCTCGATGATATCCTCGTCAAGTTGCTGCTCAATGCCGGATGTTACTACAGGCATGTGACTTTCGGGAATATTCGCTGTGTTTTCCACAATCTCATCTTGACAAACCACGTCAGGTTGCTGTTCCTCGTAGAGTTGTCCGGGATCTTCAAGATATTCTGATATCGGTTCAGTGGCTTTGCACGATTCGTCCCTGCTGACTGGCTCTTCAAGATCAGATTTGGTACCGATGAACTGATTTTTCTTCGCTTTCTTTTTGCTCTTTTTCGGCAACTCTGCCACCTGCTCATCGGAGGCTGCATCTTGTGTTTGAGCTTCAGCAACATCGTCAAAATTGATACTGGGCATTTCAGCAGCTATCACCTCATCTTTTTCGTGAGGCAAGGTCGGCGTTTCGGTAACGGGCTTATCAGCAGACGCAAATGTGTCTGTAATGGAAGTCTTCGCCTTTTTCTTCCTCTTCTCCTTCTTGCTAAGAGATGGAGCAAAATCGTCTGGTGGTGGGGATTTCACAATTGGCTCTTGAGGCTCCTCAAGTGAACTCTGTTGTGCAGTCGTAATTTGCTGTGTATCCGACGAAGCTAGATTTTCAACTTCTTCTTGGAGTGATGCCTTTTCCCCGCTTTGTTTTAACAGCTCAACATCAACAGATTTGGGGGTTGCTTGCCCACTTTTCTTTCCCTTCTTTTTCTTGCTCTTTTTGGACGGCAAGGCCCATTCGTCCTCCGCTTTAGTCTCGTGGGCCTCATTTGAATCCAGATTAATATCCAATGAGGTATCAGCCTGTAACTGTGATTGATTTTCAGGAGCTGCGGGATTTGCCGTGGAATCGTCAAGCGATGGCTCTCCTTCGATTTGTGCGGGCAGAAGCAAATGGCTGGTTGTTGGTAACGCTTCATCATGATCATCGAAGGACCTTTCTGGGATGGGTTTCTCGATTTCTTCGCCCTCGTCAACTTCAACAGCGGCTGGAGGCTGATTGACATGTTCGGTTGGGGATTGTTTGTCCAATGATTCTGCTGCTTTCCTCGACTCGATATTCGGCAAATTTTCATCAGGTTCCACAGGTGGAAGCTCAAGCGTCCCTCGAGGTTGAAGCATGTCGACATGTTGGTGGAGAGATGATGAGAACTCCGCAACGTTGGGAGCATTCGGACTTTGCGGCGATTTTAGTTGACCTTCATGACTCAATTCGGTCAGAGATTCCACGTGTTGACAGGAACCAGCACGTTCAACACTATTACCAATAGAAAAACTTGGCGCATCCAGCGGCTCCACTACAGCGTTCAAATCTGTTGTTGACAACTCAAGTTTCTCGAGCATTGGGGCGTCTGGGGTGTCCCGCACAGACTGCTCACGTGGTTCAGCCTCATTGGTGGCAGGGGTTTCCTGCGTTTGCACATCAGCGTGAACAGCTTCTGCTTCGTGGCTGCGGGTAGCTGGCTCATCGAGACTTCGCGGAATGTCTTGTTCCATATTTTCCATCGACTCTTGCAAATTACGCTCATCTTTACTTGTGAGAACTGCAGCATCAGACGTTTCCACAATTGCGTCTACCGCGCTAGAGTCACCCGGAGATGGCACTTGAAGCTCCAATTTCTGCAACCTCTTTCGGCCCTTACCTTTGACCTTTGTGGGAGCGGAGGCGGTCAAAGGCTCATCAATATTCGGGTCTTGAGTTACATTTGCGCTGCTGTCTTCAGTTGAACCTTCCACAGGCTCGGGCCAGTCGTCTGCAACGCCACGATTTTTGCGCTTCTTCTTGTCCTTCTTCTTACTGTCTGTCTTTACAAACGCAAATTCATCGTCAGTATTGGCCTCCGCTTGGTCGCCAATTCCTGTCTCTGCCTGTGTATTTGGCTCCACATCTGCGCGGTGGCTCGCTGATCGCTCGCCTAATTGCTCTTGTTGAGCAGCAGCATCTGTCTGCAGCACATGTTGTTCCAAAGACTCATCCAGCCCAGGTTGGCTGGTTTGAGCATTCCTAGCTGGGACATCAGCCGAGTCAAGATCTGCGACAAGTGAAACAGAGGCAGACGTGGAGGACTCGGCTGTGTAATCTGTCAACGTATCAACGCTTTGGAGTTTTTTGCCTTTGCCTTTCTTCTTCTTCTTGTTGCTTCCAGACCGCGACAACGACTGGACATCGATATTATTCTTCCCAATTGGTTCAGCAAACCCGCCAGCTTCATTAGTTGAATCTCCAGTCGCATCCAGTTCCGTGCCTCTAGAGGATAGACGAGAGTTTGCACCTTCGGGCAGGTCTGCACAGATCTGTCCTTGAGTTTCAGATGATTCCTTGTCGGCAGAGGATGATTCTTCTACCGAAAGGTGCTCCGTTGACTGTGCGTGATCACAAGAGGGTTCAACGGAGGGGTTCTCTGCAAGATCTTGGGTAGGAGCAGAAACCTGTGCCGATGAATAATCGCTTTCAGCAATGCGTTCTTCATCTTGGTCTATATTTCTGGCAACCTTGTCTGATGGCTTTGACAATTCTGTATCCTCAGCGGGCACTCCTTGGGACGTCTCGTCTAGATTGTCGACGTGAAATGCGCCGTCTTCTTTCACCGCAATTGGCGAGATGCTCACAGATGATTGCTGTGCAGTTGCGCCAACAGCTGCGCCGGCGACACCAGCAGCCACAACGCCCCATAAGTCAATTTTTGGAACCTTCTGAGCTTTTCCCTTCTTGGTGCTAGTATTTAAAGGCGATGGGCTTGACTCAATATACTTAGTGTGATCGACGTCGGCTGTCTCTGAGGCCGTCACAAGCCCTTCCCCGGCCATTAGATCCTTGTCCGGCAAAGTCATCTGAGCTGACCTGTCGTTTATGTCGTCTTTTGGGAGAAGTGAAGTATGCGTAGCAGTCTGAGAAGCACTATCCTCTGGCATAATCTTCTTGTCTTCAACAGCGTGGGGTTCGGGATTGACGAGACTTGGTAATCCAGAGTGGTCTGCGGAATCTAACACGTTCACGGCTGGCGTTGCCTCAGAGTCTTGCGGATCAGTTGAGAACGATGCCACCCTCTCTTCGTTGAGATCAGAACTAGGCTGTTGCACAATACTCTCTGACTGAGAATCAGGCCCCGCGGATGTAATGTCCTCGGGCGAAATAACCTTTTCTGCATTAGTTATGCTCGTCGGAGCGTGCTCTGTAGAGAGCTCTTTTTCTGTCACATGTCTACGCTCTCGCGATGGTTCTGCAGGCTCTCCGTTGTCAACAGCCTTAGCTGAAGGTGAAGGACTAGGATTAGCTGCTATTCACGTTAGCTCCAGTCCCTCTTCGAGCATAATGTATTGCACTTACATTGTCCGTCTATTGCAGTTTCTGCGACTATGGGAGCCTCCGCAGTTGTTTCAATCAACAGTTCGTCGTTACGCACAGGAGTCGCACTGCCAGATCTTCCCTTTTTGGTCTTCTTTTTGCCCTTTTTGCTTGGCGTACGCTGAAGAAGAGCTTCTGGGATCTTCGCAGTCTTAGCATCCTCCTCCTTGACCTCTTCGATTGCAGAAGGTATGTCAATGGGACTGGTCTCGCTAACAACCTCAACCGACGTCTGGTCTTGACGCTGTTTTTGCGCTGCCTCAGTATGCAAGGTCATTTCTTCTGATTCTTCAGAGGGCAACGACTTGTCGTAGCTTTGGCCTCTACCCTTCTTACCCTCCTTTCCAGTGTTGCCAGAAGTGGGGATCTCAAACCAAGTATCGACGGCATCTTGTGCATCACGCTCTCCGAGTTCTCTCTCCGTCGGCGTTGGCGTTTCATTGTCGAGAACGTCTGCCTTGGTTCCGCGCTTGCCTTTCTTGCCTTTCTTCGAGGCCTTCTTTAGTTGCGAAGAACGACGCTCGTCGGCTTCAGCTTCAGCTTTAGCCTTTTCCTCGGCAGCTTCTTTAACCTGCCGTTTGAATTCTTCGTCCTCTTCGTCGGGTTCACCACCCATAAAGCTATCAATACTCTTTCTATCGTCATCCTGAGAAGATATTACTTCATGGCCGGCAAGCCCAGTAGCAGCGCCAACGGCGAATCCAGTCGCTATGTCTTCAATGCCCAATCCAGACGATGAAGGTTCATGAGACTTCTTGGGTGTTTCATCGAGATCGTTGACCGGAAATGTCGTACCCTCATCAGAAGGTCGAACAGAAATGTCCATGACGCCAGCAGGGAATGTAGCAGCTTTCGGTGTGGTCTGTTGCGAGTCAAGCAGATCCTCAGGCTCTCTGCTTAGTTGCTGATCTTCAAGAACACCCTCCGGCTCACCAAAATCTCCACGGAAGCTGGTCTCTGGGGATTGTGCTGCAGAATGGAAGCTGTCTTCATCGGTATCGTGTACGGAAGGGGTCCGCGACGTGCTCGTGCTTTCTGGTAGAGGCGGCAAGTCCTCCTCGATCTCGGGAGCCTTTCGCGTCTTTTCGAGCAAATATAGTGGCCGATAATGTTTGAAATCCCCCGAGAGGCTCTTCGTATGCCTAGCCTTTGGAGGATGTAAAGGTGAGTAAGGTGTTGAAGGCGAGGCTGTATTCACAGGAGAAGGTAGATTAGCGTCTCGTGACATCACTGGCGAAGGTGCGCCACCCGGATACCTAAATCGCAAGGGCACAGAGGTCTTACTTGCCGCCCTCAAACTTTCCAGGCTCGGCCTTGGAGGCGTTCTTGGCCCTTCCTCATAGGGGCTCCCAGGACGAGATGGCGGAAGCGGGGGTAGTTCGTTAAAAGGTCCTATGTTATAAGGACTTGTCGGCCTGCTCGCCGGCAGACCTGGCAACTCCAATTCTCGGTTCAGATCCGGACTCGCAGTTTGCACCGTAAGCTCCGGCAGTGCAGAGAGATCAGGAATTGGAGTGTCGTCACCGAGAGGACTGGCGGGCAGAGGAGCAGCAGAAACAGCACTCTCATCCTCTGCCCGAACCCCTAAAAAAGACTGGTCCCTGCTGTCACGTTGCTTCTTGCTTCGACTTGAGAGCTCGTTATCTTCGGTATGGCTAAGCACTTCTTCGACAACATCTTGCGGTGGCTGCGATGAGTAACGAGTGTAAGGATGATCGTCATCGTGCTTGTAACCAATATCATCTGAGGCAATCGAGTGATAGTCTCGTGATGATCGGCTCCGACGCTTTTCGCTTCTGTCATCATCGTCGGCGCTGCGGTTCGAGCGCTCTGATCTGGATGATCGACGCTCATATTCATCGTCTGAGCCTGCAGTAGACCGGCTGGATCGCTTCTTCCGCCGTCGTTCTTGGTCTTCCTCATCGTCATCGCGTGACGATCGTGACTTCTTGCTCTCACGATCGCGGGAGTCTCTATCCTTGTCCTTCTCCTTGTTACTGCTGAAGATACTGAATATACTTTTCTTTTCTTTATCTCTTTCCTTGTCCTTGTCTCTGGATTTGCGCTTCTCATCATGCAGTTTGGAGGTGGAAGCAACAGATACGTCATCGAATATTTCGCTGTCTCTCTTTGAACGTCGTCTTCGCTCACGATCGTCATCGTAGAGCCTGGAAGTGGAAGCAACGGACACATCATCTCTAATATCGCTATCCCTTTTTGATCGTCGTTTTCTTTTACTATCATCATCACCAATTTCTGACGTAGCGTAAGAATCACTTCGGCGGGGAGACTCGTAATCATCTTCGCGCTTTGAGGACCGCTTCTTAGCTTTTTTCTCATCGTCATAGTAATCGTCAGATCGCGAGGTCTTGGCGCTGGTGATTGACGCTGTGGAGGCTTCCATTTCGTCTTCATGTCTACTGCTTCGTTTCTTCTTCTTCCTGCGTCGTGAGCTACTTGCAGACTTTGAATCGTCCCACTCATCTTCTGGCTCTGCTTCCATAGCATCTGGCTCCTCCGTAAGCTCGGGAGTAAATTTGTTCTGCGAATCATGGCCGGAGGGCACAATTGGATGCTTCTCATCAACGCCATTACGCTCACCTTCTCGATCATCGCCCAGTTCATTGTGGTCAGTGCCCTCCAGATAGTCAAAGACATTCACATTCGACGCTTTCTCCTTTTTGTATTCTTCATACTCTCTGCGAATCTCCTCGGCTTCTTTCTCGCGGGCTATTGCTGCTGCAGCAACACCGGCAAAGCCCGCAGCCATGACCGATACAGAAGAAGACTCCACATCACGAGCTTCCCTCTCAAGCTCATCGTCCTTGGAATCGCGGCTCTTGGACTTCTTCTTTTTCTTTTTCGACTTCTTGCTAGTGGACCACTTATCTTCTGCCACAGTGTCAGCCGCTTCACGATCCGGTTTCGGGCCTTCGACTTGTTCGCCCTGGAATACGGGGTCGATTTGCGCCTTTTCTTTGGCATCTGGTGCTGTCTTCTCAGCACTCTCGGCGGCCTCGCCGGTTGACGGCAGGTCTTCTTCATCCTGGACGAAGCCACCTGGCATAACAGTCGATAAATCCTTCTCTTTTGTTGGGGTCGGGTCGTAGACCTCGCCCTCAACAAATCCATGGTCACGGGTAGGCAACTCATCTGCATCGTCATTAAGAGTAAAATTCGTGGCAATGTCCGAGACGGAGGTATAGAAGGGGGTTTGGTAGAAATCTCTGTGCGCGCGATGATGCTCATTCGGCTCTATCACTACAGGCGTGACCTCAGGAGACTGCGCCTCAACAACAGGACCATCCTCATGCATAATCGACCCATCGATGGGTGAGTACCGTGGTATTTCTTCGACGGGTGACTCCACGACTTCTTTTATGCTATCTGCCGTCGCCGCCGCCGCCCCCGCTGCTGCTGCTGCTGCAACCGTTGCGGCTATGGCAGGCTTATAACTAGAGCTCGTTGTCTGGCCGTCGTGTGATTGCTCTTCAACGACAATCTCATCATCGGCTTGACTCTGGGGCTTCGTAACAACATCGTCGTCAATGTACTTCTCACGGATAGATTCTGGTGTCCTATCGTCGTAGTGAAATGTGGTATCTTCACCCCAACGAACTCGTGAAGCAGACCTTGTGCGTTCGAGTTGCTCACCTATTGGTTCATCACCCTTCCTCTCCAGTTCTTCGACAGGTGAAGCTGGAGTGGAACCTCGTGCGGACCCGGCGACAGAATTAGTTCTGCTCGCGGGAGGAGTGGGTTCGATAAGCTTAAGCTGAGGTACTGGCCAAGGAAGTTTAGAGCTCGAGGCCTTGGTGGCTGTAAAGCTGTAAGGCCGCTCATAAGGTGGCGCCTTTATGGGAGACTCAGGTGCGCGTAGGACTTCCACATCGGCATCGGCATTTGGATCACTCGACTTTCGGTCATGGCTATGATCCTTGAGCTCAGCAGGCGCCCAGAAGCTCTCGTTGTCAACAGGCTCTGCAGCGTACCGGGCTTGCACGTCTGCAATGACCTTGTCCGCTGCTTTGCCCGCCAGGGCCATCTCAGCAGCAGCTCGACGTTTGTCTCTTGCTTTTTTAAAGTAATCCGGATCGAATATGACATCGTCATCAAAACTATCAACCTCAACTTTACTATCGATCGTCGGTTTGATCTCGCGAACTGTCGGTCCTGCGGTAGTCGTGGACTCGATAACCCTGGGCTTAACTGTCGTGGAATCGCGAGAAGCTTCTTCCGTCCTGTACACTTCATAGCGAGAGTCAACGGCGGTGTCTTTAACGAGTTTTTCGTCTTGATTCTTTTCGTCCCGCGAATCAACGGCAGAGTCGATTGTGGCTACAGCAGCAGCTCCAGCGATTCCGGCGGCGATAGGTGTGGCCCAATCGGCACGCCGCTCATTCTCGCGACGTTCAAATTCACGTTCGGCCTCCGCGTGGTCAGCTTTCTCACGTCCTTGACGCTCAAGGTCAGCCCGACGAGCTTCTTCTTTGGCCAAAGTCTCATGTGCGGAAGCTTCGCGAGAGACGGTCTCTCGTTCTGCGGCAAACCGATCAGCAGCTTCTCTCTCTCGTCTCTGGCGCTCATATTCGCGCTCTTGACGGTCATGCTCTTCAGTCTGTTGCACAAGCGACGCTTGTCGAGCAGTTTCCTTATCAAGGTCGGCCTTTCTCTCGGCTTCTCTTCTTGCTGCAGAGGCACGAGCCTCTTCTTCACGGCGACGCTCACGAGCATAATCTGCTTCTTCCGCACGACGACGCTCGTCTTCAATCAACCGAGCTCTGGCACGGTCAGCCTCTTCATCTTTTTGTCGTCGACGCTCCCTCTCTTCGCGTCTGCCTTCATCTCGCGCTCGATCGCGTTCCTTATCAAGCTGCTCTTGATCAAAGCTGAATCGCACGTCCTTTGAAGGTGTATTCGGCGGTTTGGAGCTTGATAATGCAGAAGCTAAAGTGGCTCCAGCAGCAACGGCTGCTCCAGTAAGGACTGCGTCTCTACCGGCATGTGAGGTGGGTACCGGAGAGGAAGCGCGCCTCCGCCTCACAGGGAGTTCTGGGGCCTTCTCATCGTCCGCACGGACATGAGTATCAGCGGCACTGTAAGAGAACGGTCTTTGCTTGTCTCTTAACACTCGCCTCGGAGTTGATGTAGAAAAGTCAACAGGGGGGCCCGTAGGTGCACTGTACACCGAAGCAGCAGAGTACACAGCACCATTGACTGGCATGATGGGCTGAGGCTGGTTCATTGGTAGGCTCTCTGGTCGGCTTGTGTAGACCGGGCGTGGTTCTGTACGTCTGCCGACGGCGTCATATCGCGTCGGATCGTTGCTTTGCACAGGGTAAACGGACTGCATGCTAGGCTGACTACTAAGGCTGGACATTGCATCGTCATTCTTCCCAATCACGTGGCCTGCGACAGCTCCTGCAGCTGCAGCTCCAGCGATAGCACCTAGACTATCGTTGGATGTCGTCTTCTTCTTCGTCTTCTTGGTGCCCCATCGCCAGCCCCACTTCCAGGTACCCGAATCATTTGAGGCCAGCGAATCAGTGCTCTTTCGTGCACGGAAGTCACCGTAAGCTAAACCACTGTCTGAGAACTCGCTTGAATCATCTGGTTCATCTTCCCAAACTCCCTCGTCATCGGTGTCAGAATGAGTCACTGTTTCGGAGGGACGTGAGACGAGTGCGCCGCGTGTTCTCTCTCCGCGCTCTTTGACAGCGATTAGGTCGTGCTTGCTGCCACGCTTGTTCCTGCCATGTTGAGCAGCAGCCAATGCAGCTGCAGTTGCACCGATTCCCAATATAGTAGCATTGATCCTCTCATCAGAGCTCTTCTTCTTCACCTTTTTCTGCTTGTCTAGTGATGTGCGCGAAGAGCGGCTGCTCCGGCGAACGTCGGCACCATAGGCAAGGCCAAGATCTGAAGAGGATGAGCCATTACCGAACGTAAAGAAGCCGGTCTTCCGTTTGCGTCTGGGAGATATTCGCCGTCGCCGATCGTTGCTACCACCGAAGATGCTTCCAAAGAAACCACCAGCAGACGCGAGGTCTTCGCGCGAGGAACCGAACGAATTCCTAGAGCCACGGTGTCGAGAACCACTCTTTCCATACACGGAAACACTCTCATGGCTGCCGCGCCGTCTACGCTCGAGTCTGTACTCTTTGTTTGGAGAACTTGAGCGGCTACGATGCTTCCTCCGATCATGGGCAGCAATCGCACTGCCAGCGAGCGCTGCACCAGCAGCCATGCCTAAAAGTCCTGTTTTCCGTTCTCGTGAGGAAGATCGCGACCGTGTCTTCTTGCTGCGTCGACGCTCGACGCGATACTCACCCTTGCTATCCGCAATAACGTCGACACGGCCAACAGATGCGGAGTCAGAATACCGGCTCCGCTTAATCGAATTTTCTCCCATTCGGACGACTCCATGAGAGCTCCTCCGACTACGAGACGAACTGCGGCTGCGGCTTCGATCATAAGATCTTGCCTTCCGCCCCGACTTTATGCTGTAGGTGTCCTCGAAATCGCCATTTCTGCCGAGAACTGCTTTTCCAGCTTTCGCAATGCCATAAGCACCAAGTCCGGCGGCGAGCCAGCCACCTTTACTAGTCTTGCGTCGTTTCTCTTCGTCGGAGCTATAACGATAGTACCGTGAATCCTTGCTGACACGACCACTGGCAGCATACTCGCCAGATCGACGCTCTCTCAGCGAGTCTGATGATTTGCGCTTTCGATAATTATGCCGGCGTGGTGCATCATAAATAGAGGAATTCGGATCGAAGCAACCTCTGCACACACCGATGTATTCAGTATATTCTTCCATTTTTCGCACATCCTCATAATCTTTCCACCAATCTACGAATTTCGAGACTGGACCTTGGCGCTTCTGTTCAAAGGCCATGTTGCCGTATCCATTATGTCCACTATTATAAGGACTATGTCCTGTTGCGCCATACCCATTGTTGCCGTTATAGCTGGCAGGGCCTGTAGAAGAGTGCTGATGATGCGCATGATTGTGGTGGTTGTGGAGCGCATATGCGCCCGCCGCAATTCCGGCGGCCGCTGCATATTTTCCAAAATTGGATTTCGATGGCCGGGATGGTGAGTGCGACGGAGACACTCGAGGAGAAGTATTGGGTGAGTTTCCATCCACCCCATATGTGCTTGGTGCATGGACAGAAAGCGAATGGCCTTGACCACCTTGTGAGACCGCTGGGCTGACTGACTGCTGGAATGAATTACTCGACGACTCCTGGGCACCGTGAACGTAGAGTGATGAGCTTGAGTCTTGCGCTGCAGAGCCAAGGGTGTAACCGAGAGCTGCTCCGCCAACCGCGGATGCTGCTGGTGCAGAAATCTTTCCGCTCCCAGACATCTTAGAGTTGCTGCTTGGTTTCGAACTCGACTTGGCTGGTTTGGAAGATGAAGTCTGGGCAGGCTTGGACGGCTTCGCAGATGACATTTCGCCACCCGACATCGTCCCTGCAAAGTAGTCCGCTGCGGAGCCATGACCAGTGTCCAGAGCAGGTGTGGGCTGCGCAGTCGCTGCCATCAAATGAGGCTGACTATTCACCAACGGGGGCTCCGGTCGCACACCTGGCTGGAAGGCCACGGACTGTCCTTGGTCCCCGTAGAAATCAGCAGCCGCACCATAGGGATTGTCCATCATCTGACCGGGGAACTGATGGGCGATGTGGGGGTCACTTGTACTGTATTGAGGTTGCGGCCTGAGCGGCGTGCTGGTGCCATTTGAGGAATCTGGAAAAGCACCGGGTATGCTGCCTTCTCCTGCACGCGAGCCATCGTCATCAAAGCCTCTAGCTGAGGTGTTCTCGCTGTCTCGTTTCTTCCCATCTCTTCGTTCTGCATCCTTCTCTCTTTTCTCACGTCTCTCTCGTCTCCTCTCCTCCCGATCACGGTCACTCTCCTTCTCCGGCCTTCGCCTCTCCTCACGGTCGCTGGCCATGCCTCTCTCTGTCTCACGTCTCCCCCAGCTCATTGCATTCTCGTACGAATACGAAGAGGCAGCATCATCAATATTAGGCAAAGTAGCGCTACGCCGCGCTGTTCTTTCATCGCGATCGCCACGTGCGCTGGTGGGTGCAGTTGCGTACGAACTTGCAACCGATTCTGGTGGTGGGTAGGTGCTTTGCCTGCTTAACGTGGAACGTCGCTTTCTGTCTCGATCGTCCTCTCTGTCGCGTTCGCTTCGTCTGGCGGTAGAAGAAGAAGAAACAACCGACTCGGCACGTCTGCTGCTGCGCGATGAAGATTCGCCCTTGGTACTGCGGCGCCTATCACCGCTCTGCGACGCGGTGTCGCTGCTCCTCCCCGTGAGTTTGCTCCACATATTTGATGTCCACCTCGCAGACTGGGTTGCGTCGTGGCGAGGATAATTTTGCTGCGATATTATGTCGACCTGTCCGGGGTCTCTCGGCGTGATGTGTTGTTCGCTCGAAAAGGATTCAAAACATTTGTTAGCTCAGGTTGCAGTGAGGGAAAAAGCAGGTGGCTGGGTATTTTGCAGATCGGCCGTAGACGTCATGCGCTGTCGTGATATGATACAACGGACTGGCTGGCAATGCTGCAAGTGAAGGAAAAGCGATGAACACTGGTGGCACACTCGATGAAGAGTTGGCTTGTTTTGCTGAGCGCCCGTCGAGCTACGCGAAGGGAATGTGGATGCCCGACCAAGATGCATGCGCCACTGGGGCGCACCAGCTGCTTGTGATGCTCGTCGAGTGCTTTGTTGGGCGAGCCGAGTTTGCAATTGGTCAGACGGGCCGATCCAGCGTGAGGAGCCAGCTGAGAATCAGCTCCCCAGTACCATGAAAGCTCTCGCGCGACGGTTTGCCTCCAGCTGCACCTCCGTACGGCCAGGTTTTTCAAAATTTTGCCTTGGTTGCGAGCCCCGCTTGCCACGTGCGTCCCAACCTCTTGCAAAGCGCCCTCTCGGAAGGGCCTTTGTTCGTCAGATTCCGGCGACGCCTCCGTGCAACACGATGCCCTGGGCACCCATCGCACAGCGAAACACACGTCACGCCATGTGCGCCTACGCTGCCACTGTCACATGTGTGTGTAATGTACGAAATCAAGTAGGTGGGAGTCTGTAGGATGCCGGCGTTCACAGCGCGCTGCGAGCAGCTTTCTAGACAAGCACATTCCACTCGCGAAGAAACCAGAGGATATTGATTTGCTTGGGTATCTATACAACCTAGATCATTGCCTGTTCCTCAAGGCCCCGTAATTTAAAATCACATCGACCCGAAAACCCCACCGGCTATGCAAAATTAACACCCTCAACAAAGCCGAAAAAGAGAGCAGGTCAGATCTATTCAAAGTTTTGTCAGCTCTGTACTTCATTGTGACCGACAGCCTCAACTTACAAACTTCAGCTTCTGTCTGTTGACCCTTCTCGAGAAATTCGCCATCGCCCGCGTCTTCTGGTGCGCTATTTGTAGCCTCCTGAACGCTTCCCTAATGTGCGACGGCTGCACTGGCTCCCTCTCCTCATCGGGCCAGTCAAACAGTCCCGGCTCCCTCTGTCGCTTTGCTGCGTTCCCTTTCTTCTTGCCCTCAGCTCCAGTTCGCTTTTTCCACAGGTCCTCGGCCTCCTTGACCTTCAGCGCCTCCTCCGTCAGAGTTTGCACAATTTCATAAGTGAGAAAACCGAGGATATCGATGATATCGTCGTTCGGCTTTGCATCCGTTATAACTCCAAAGCCGGCCCAGTCGCGAAAACGCCGACCTTTGCGGAATGTGAATGACGCCTGTCGGCATTCTGACCAGTGCATATAATCTTCTTTGCTCATATCCTTGGTGCGCTCATCGGCGTACTTGAGACGTTGCAGAGTGGCCAAGGTCATTTCTTCTTCTTCCTCGTCTTCCTCATCGTCACGGGGTGGAACTTGCTCAGAGAAGTACGATGGAACATCCCAAACCAAGTCTACGCGTGCTTTTTTGTTCTTCTTGAGATCAACCGCAGGTCCTGCGGGCCCGGCTACGCCGCCAGCAAGATCTGTTTCGCCGCCCACGTCGGCGCCGGCATCCTTATTATCGTCGGCTTCTTTAACGTTCTTTCGGACATCTTTCCACTGTAAGAAGTGTCTCAGCCGAGCCAGTTTAGCTTTGTCGTGGCGAATAAGCATCATCAGATCATCCGTAGCTATACTGCGGCTACCCCTCCGGGTCGCCAAAGCCGTGCATTCTTTCAACTACGCAATCTAAGCTTTTGAAATTCCAACAATGAGAAGAAAGCCGCGCGTACCATCTCCATGACTTGCTGTTGAACTATTGACTCTACAAGCATGGTCGTCTCCGGCGATGGCTCCCCCGTCTCGCCAGAGACGAACATCATCTAGAGGATAGTTAGTGAGATCTTCTACCCAGATCTTCAAGTTGAGGAAGAGTCTGAAGAGTCTAACATGAAGAATACTGGCACTTGAATGCGTTTAAGAGTCAAGTTGCCAACTGCATTTCATGTCCATCCACTGAAGCAGGGAGCGGTTGTTGCTCTTGTCCGGAAGTCTGAACAATAATAAACTGACCTGTTGGATCTCTGTCCTGTACTTTGCTGTCTTTTCCGCCATGTTCAGTGCAATCTGAGTGATAAAAAGCCGAATGTGTCTATAAAGGCCTCGTGCGGCTGATGGACTGTTGGATAGGGTTGAGTGAATACCAGCGTTTCATCAATGCCTTGAAGCCTCAGGTGTCCCGCCGTGGTGTTTCGCCTAGCTTGAATAACAACTACGGCCCCTCAAATGATGTCTCATCAAATATTCCTTGGCTGATATACAAACCAATATATTGCAAATATTAAGAGTCATAAAATCACTCCAAGAACACTTGAGGAAAATTGCTGGATACGTGATTACTCGTTGCCCCCTTTCTTACCCCATTTAAATCAACAAAGTAAGCATTTCTTTAAACAACCACGAACTTTCCCTCCTTGTCAGTTCGGGGACCAAAGGCAAACATAACACGTTCGCCGTATCAAGCTTTTAGGCTTCGAAAGGCCCAATTATATACGACTACAGCAATGCCAACGCTCAATCTCCCTGGCGCTGATCTCTACTATGAAACCGTTGGCTCTGGCCCTTTACTGCTGTGCATATCGGGCGCAAATGGAAATTACGAAATCTGGAAACCTTTGGCAATCCAGCTGAAGAAATTTTTCACCGTAGCAATGTACGACAGACGTGGATTCTCACGTAGCTACCTCACAGGCGCACAAGACTATTCTCGACGGATTGAGACTGATGCGGACGATGCACAGTCGCTGATCAAGCATCTCTCACCAGAAGAACCTGCGACTGTCGTCGGCAATAGCTCTGGTGCCATAGTGGGTCTCGTACTGCTGCAGCGTCACCCTGAAGCGGTCCGCATGCTGGTTGCGCATGAGCCTCCAGCGTACTCTTTGCTGTCAGACTTTGAACGTCGGAAAAAGGAGCAGCAAGAAGTATATGACATATATCGCGCATCTGGTGTCTTCCCTGCCGCAGAAAGATTTGCCGACCTCATCGAGGCCGGCGACGAGAAGCCAGGACTATTGTCAAACTTCGATCCACGCTCTGGACCATATATCTCAAGTAACACACAATACTGGTTTGAGCGAGAACTATTATTTTACCCTCTTTATGAACACGACTTGCGTAAATTGAAAGAACAGAAAGGAAAATTGATACTGGCAAATGGCAAAGCATCAAAGCCTGGTGTTGGGCATTTGCTCACTGGCGAAGCCTTGGGGGATGCTTTCGGAATAGGAGTTAGAATGTTTACTGGTGGACACGTTGGATTTGCTCCCTTCGCTCGAGAATGGGCGCAGGAACTACGTGGATACTTGAAAAAAGAAAATACGTTCTACAGCTTCTGCTGAACAGATGGACTCGAACTGGCTTTTACATAAAGTCGATCATGAAAGAAAGGAGCAGGGCTTAGAGTGGCAATGTATGATGTAAAATGCGCTTGCCGGTACCGAAACAAAGTTTAGAAGCCAAAAAGAAACCAGGAGTAAGAAGGTCGGATATCATTCCTGTATTGCGAGTTCCGAAACCCTTAGTTTACGGTTCAGCTACATCAAGACCATTACGGCACATTCTGTCAACGTTTATATCCCTGTACTGCCGTTTGTTTTGCAATCTAATGAACGAATCTTACATATGTTGGCGGTTTGAACACGGAACTCCGAAATGCGCACAAAACCGCTGATGATGATTACAACGAGGTAGAGTTTATGACCAAAACTTTGTTCTTAATACACTTACCCTTAAACCAAGCAAGAATTCAGCTCAAGCAACTTCAACTTTTGCCAAGCACTTGCTGTGCGGGACTGGGCATGTCAAGGAACGTGCGGTGTAGCACGAAGACGTCGTACGAGTGAAAGACCGAAGTAGAAAAGTCTCCAAATTCCAGGAATATGCATGACGTAGAAGCTGGTGACTGCAGATTGACAAGAAAGCCGAAAGGACAGACTGAATATTCTTCTCAGGTCCATGCCTACACAAGCTCGAGTGATGAACTTCTGACGACGGTATATTTGGAGACTATAATACTTTGCTCCAGCCGAGCTCCACATGCATTGCTAAGCGAAGTCAACATAGCTGCGAATGAACTCATATGGCATTGCTAGGCTGAATTCTTGAGGCGTCATCTATCCTTAAGTGATTCTTACGGTCCCCTTTCGAGCAATGCAATGGTAAAGAAACAGAAGTTACGTGCTCCTGTAATTTCAGACTAAGCCAAAAGGCTCTAAAACGATCTAGTTATTTAGTCGGGTTTAAATCGATAAAACCCTGACTATGTTGCGGAGCATGAGGATGCGTCATTCGCAAGGATTGATAACTGCCTGGATTTGGACGAAGTACTAAACCCGACCAAGATTGCGTGGCTAACGATGGACGGTCAAATTACAGAAGATGCTGTCGCTCACGGCTAGCTGAAGCCTTTGTGAGCAGATCAGAACGGAGGTAGTAAGGCCGTAGTCAAAGCGCAAAGCAGCGTTGGCTCTATGTAGCATTACCTCATGAACACTTCTATGTGCAGCCGTGCACTTGGCGTGATTGTTATGTCGTTGCCGTTCGTAATGTTGTCACCAATCGTTTTGTCAATGCTCTTTGCTGAGAAAGGGAGATCGGTGTATGCTAGGAGCGCAGACAGGCAAGCAGAAAAAGAACAAGTCCAACGTTGAGAAGGTCCAATCGAGGAAGAAGAAGAAGATGATGATGATGATGGTGGTAGTGATGATGCGGAACCCACAGTACCCACAGCGTTTATCGTGAATCCGTCCAGGCTGCTCGATACTGGCGCAATGAGACGTCAATAGCGTTGCTATTGTAAGGCAACGCATGAGAGCGCAAGTGGCAGAAGCTCAAGTCGACGCCCGACACCGTCGATGCCACCCAGCAGTGGGAGTACGAGCTCCCGACCGCGTGCTGTCTGTACACATGTAAATGCGCCGCCGACCCAATCGCGCTCAGAATCCAGGTTCTGACGGCCTCGCCTCCGAAAAGCAGAGCCAGTCCCGGCGCGAGAATGTCGGCGCCGATCACCATCTCGACCACACTCAAGTCATTTCTCCCACGCTTCCACGTGAGGAATGCCGGGGCAGCAGATCCGTACCTTATTCTTCAATGCTGATTGTTCGGGATCAACAGTTCCACCTGATTTTCTGTCTTTTGCGGTGTGTCTCGCGTATATCAAGCAGGTCGATTGGCCTTAGATTTACTTCCGCAGCCGTGTTTCGAATTGGGGCTCTTTTGATCAATCCATTCCTTGGAGCCGAACCGCGTAAGATTAAACCTGGATTTAGCCCGCTTATGCCTATTTATTATATATGCTTTCAATTTCGAACCTATTACGTGAAAAGCAAGTACTTTCTTAGTTATATGTGACCAGCAAAACAGTCATGGTGTAGCCTCTGTAGCGACATCTGCTACTAAAAATTCCGGACTTCTCAATTGCAAAATGCATGTTGACTGCCCAATTCTTACTTTCTCGATCCCGCGTAATTATTTCTAGAGGTCAGTGAGAGTCTATAGCCGATAGTAGATTATTACGATCTAATATTCTCTTTCGGCCTTAGCGCGCTTGATAGATCTGAAAAAATGGATAGTGAAATGAAATGTAGATGTTTAATCAATATGAATGTATTTTTTTTAGCCACAGATGGGGTACTATTATATCTAGAGTTTACCGTCGCATAGCCTTCCCAAGCTTTCCCAGGATTTACACCTTTTACAATACCTCGAACGCCACTCTCTCTTAGGGCTTAGTTATCCTGAATACCAGTCACAAGAGTCCAAGCAGCAAAGAACTGACTGTGCAAGAGACACCATTACTAACAGCCCCTGAAACAGCCAAGGAATATCAGCTTCTCGAAGCCCTTACTGTCCATTCCGATGCCATGGTCAGGCTCACTTGCACCAGCGATGGAGGAAGGGGCAAGGTCTGACCAAATTCATGCTGACTGTCGTCGACAAACAGAATAAATGACCGTTCTCAAACCACAGTATTTCGAATTTTCAACTGGTCACGGCTTTTGTCTACCAACTGAGCAGACTCGCCACGGAGTCGGTAGGCAAACACAGTCAGAGTAGGTCGGTGTAGGCTAGGCTAGCCCATCGCACTGCAGCGTACACGGCGCGGTATTACAAGTTCGCTGTTTTTGTCTGTGATGTCTCAATGCAGGCTGGAGTATGCGGTGGGTAGAACCACGGGCTAGAGTGGATACCATTCGATTTGCTCGCAACTCCAGTCTATACAGAGAGTTCAGTGCTGTAAGGTTTTTTTTAACCCTTCCGGTTTGTTCGTTTACTAATTCCTGGTGCCAAAGTAGAATTTTGTAAGGAATTAGACTTAGAAACTCATCACTTCCGTTCTGATGTTGAAATCATAAGTGTCCAGCTTAGGTTTCAACGGGGTTAAGGCCAGCCAGAAATCTAGGTACTAAGCCTTTATCTCGTCAGCTTACACGAGTACTTTAGTTGGAAATACTGGAATCTAGCATCCACTGTTGATCCCATCTCTCAGTAGTCATCTCCATATCTCGCCTCGTCCCTCCCGAAATCATAGCTCTCCTCGATGCCATCTTTATATGCATCGACCCTGTCATCAAAACGCTCTACCTCGCCTACTTTCTCCCCTACCCATCCTGCAACGTCATCTGGCACATCCTCAACGTCCTGCACTGCATTATCGATCCTTGCCTCGGCGTCCCACTTCGCGCGATCGTAGTCGTATTCGATATCCTGAGGAATCGCTTCGACTTCGCCGACCTTTTCGCCCGTCCAGCGTGCTGCATTGTCCGGGAAGTCCACTACGTCGGTCTCAACGCGATCTACATCGTAGTCCACACGATTTTCGAAGCGGTCCTTGTCGTATTCGAACTTCTCCTCATCGCGACGCCAGTGCTCTTCCACCTTCTCGCCCTCGTGCATGAGAAGTGCACCGCCTGCAAGTCCAGCAACGGCTGCAATGGCCGTGTTACGGCCAGTGTGGGACTTCTGCTCTTGTTGCGGCGGATAGTTACCTCCACCCCCGTAGCCTCCATTGTAGCCCGGAGCCTGGGGGAAGTTCCAGGTGCGCTCGCCGGTCTGCTGGTTGACGAAAAACCAACGCTGACTTTGGTAATCGTACTCAGAGATCCATGGTGGTGGAGGCTGCGGGGGGCCTCGGTATTCTGGGTGGGATGGTGGGTGGTGGAAGAATTCGCTCAGGAAGGACATTGTGGTCAGTGGTGTGGTGATTGTGGTTTGTTGCAAGGTTGACGTGTAAACTGTGGAAACAACGAGCCTTATATAATCGCGTGGGCACCGTGAGGAAATATGATGCCACTGGAAGCAAAGAGAAAGTGAAGAGGAAGTGACAGTGACAGCAATGCCTTTTTATTGTTGCCCCACGCAAATAAGTAGCAGCCGCCATGAGCTGAGAAGCTCAAGCTGCAGGGTCTGGACGTAACGCTCCCGAGTGCAGCTGCGCCACACGATAACTTCCACCAACTTCGTTGCCGGTGCTCAAAGCTTGCACAGCCTCTGTTTGCGTCAGTGCAGAACCAATCGCGACGATAATGTCGTATCGGTAAGTTGTGCCAGCATCGGAGAGAAAAGACTCAGTTTCAGCTCCTGGTGTGCATCGAGAGCATAGCCACCACCGCGTTCCAGATCACGATGGACCGCAGCCAAGCCGGGTCATGAAGCTTAACATTAGCTTAACTCTTCGAAACGCGGCTGCTCCCGGACCAGGACCCAGTCCGAAACCAGGACAAACCGCCAACCACTCCAGCCTCAGTTGCACATCTACAAACATGAACCGTGGCTGTGATGATGGCCCGCATCGGGTCATAATCATGAAGGATCTTGAGGTTGGAAAAAAGAGTTAAGGAGCTTCAAAGGGGTTACTGGGCCTCAGCCACCCTCGCTCCTGACCGTTCCCTTGTTGAGCACAACGTCGTACTCTACCCACCTCGCTTTCTCTCCTCTCCGGCCGTCAACAATGCATCCCGGGTTGATGACGCAACATCCCATATAATTTAATGCGAATGCAGGTGCTTCTGGGTCTGCAAGAACCAACGCTGTCGGCAGTGGATAAAGCTGTAGAGCGCTGCCGTAGTCCCAATGCACAGGCCGTGTATGGAGGGAATAGGGGGCAAGATGTCCCTGATCGAGGATGGTCTTCGTGAGACGACGTGCCGTGAGGGTGTCCGGGTCTATTTTAGAGACTGTAGGAGGCGGGTCGACTTCCATCGTTTGTGTGACTTGCGATTCTGGCTCTCGGTTCGTTCCGTTCGCGCAGGACATCATGTCTTCGTCAGCTTCATCGTCGATCGTTTCTTTATTGAACCGAAGAGCATTTCTTCTCAGCCGTCCAGTTGCATCGTCGCGCAGAATCGCCATCTCACCCGCGGTGCCAAACCAGGTCAGTCGTGTGGGGTTGCTCGTCCACACGATCTCACCTTCTTTCCTTCCCTTGCCCGAACCTCCAACCTCCCTGTTCGCTTCTGCCATCACACGCCTCAAACGACTGGTGAAGAGCTCAGGGACAGGCTTCTGCGGCAATGGCGAAGCCGCACCAGCAGAAAAGGCTGAATGCCAAGCGTCTTTATCACCGGGTACAAAGACGATATTGAGCCGTGCGATCAGCTGCGGGTAATCCGAGAATACGGATGCCAGCGCGTTGAAATATTCCTTGTATTCGATACTACCAGAGCCCGGAGAACCGGCCAGCGCGGCGTGAGACACAAAATTGCCGATCAACACCAACGACATCGGGAATTCAGATGGATCCAGCGCCGAGTACGTTGACAGCAGAGTGCGAACGGCAGCCAGAGAGGCAGGATTGTCCAAATTGAGTTCAGAGGCAATGGCGATCTTCGCGTTGCCAGCGTGCGGCGCCCCAGGACCCAAGATCTGCGACTCGAGCTTTCGCATGCGTATACCTGTAGCTCGTTCGGAGCCGACGCCCAAGAAGTCTGTCCAGCCAAAGCCAGGCCCGCCCACAGTGACCTTGTTCAGTCCAGAGTTTTCTTGGATGCCGAGTGCAGCTGCTCTACGTTCACAAGGGGGATGCGCCATCACTGAAGCAATGAACTTGCCGCCGATCGTACCACCAATACCACCGCTGTTTCCCAGAGCGGTCTCAGCTGTTGTGCTGTAGTCTTCTGAGTAGACACCGTCAATGAGGACAATCATGCCCGGGCAGAACCAAGAACTGTCTTCTTCTCCTACTGGGCGTGCATGCTGGATGTCGAGCGCAATGGTTCCTGTCAGGTCTGAGACAGCAAGTGTGCCGGTTGCAGAGACGGTCAGGAGGCCGAGCAGTAGATGCGTGCTTCCGCTCCGCCCAAGTAGATTCGCGATTGGTGTAATCCTGTTTGCCTCGGTCTTTCCCGCGAAGGAAGGCCCAGACTGAAAAGATTCGTTGCGTAAGATGCGTTGGTGCACGATGTGATATCGCTGACGGAAATACTCGATCTTGTGTGTTGGCGGAGCCAACAGTGAGGGCTTCTCGGGATTTCTACTTCTGTTAGCACCGGATCATTCTCCTTAAGAGTGAAACAGCATACTTGTCAAAGTTTTTCTTCTGCGCGTTATATGTCAACCTAGGCTGTTCGAACGTACTAATAACCTTAATCCACTCTCTCGGGTCCTTGATCTTGCTATTGTCCTCCTCTTCATCCTGCACCTCCAGACCCGATATTCCGAAACTGTTCTGGGTCTCTAACACTGGCCTCCCTAATTCTCCATCGCCAGACACACCACTCGCGTCTGAGAAGGCGAAGCTGCCTTGCCTGCTCAAGCCCGGCTTTCCTACTTGGACTTTGCCTCCCACCATAGACGGCTCTAAGGTTTTCAGAATGTTTTTCAGAATCTCATTGTCGCCATCTACGATGACGGATGTGCTCTCCTTTTTCCACATCTTGGCCGCCTCCTCCAGTACACCCTCTGCGAGCCCTTCCTCGCGCCATCCTGATCCACAGTGCCTTCCGATGAAAGTGGCGAGCGCGGCCAAGGCCGAGGATGTGAGCGTGAGGTTGTGCTTTTTTGTGAACGTTCTGAAGGCGAGGGGGCGCAGAGTCGCTGGAGGGAGCAGGACCGGTAGAATGGTAGGCGGCTTGAACTGAGGAGGGGCAATTGGATTTGTTCTCCGTGGGAGAATCGGATGTGCAGGTGTTCCGAACGCAGGCGAAGAAGAGGGAATGGGATTCGACTGAGCAACTTTCGTCTCCGCCAAGGGATTTGCCATGGTGGTCAGCTAGAGTATTGCTGTGCGCAGTGTTCGGATTCAGTTTTGCAGAGCGCACGCCCGCATGTCCAAATCGCCAGACGCGTTGTGACGCGACGGGAGTTGGACGCAAGGGTCCAAGTACGCCTGCCTCACTTCCCTGCACGTTTTTTGAGAGAAGACCGGCGCGAACTCACACCAAAACATTTGCATTGACACGCATATCTTGAGTGTGATCCAAGTCTTCCCACACGTTCTCTACCTCAAAGCAACTCTATCAATCCATCGATCATCAAGCGACTTTGCACCTCGTTGATAGCGAACATGGCAGAGACGGAAGATACGCCGAGCAGGGAAAAGCTCACGGAATTGACCAATGCAGCCAACCTGAAGTACTCGCTGAAAAACTACAATGAGGCGGCGGAGCTGTACTCCCGCGCGACCGAGATGCAAGGCATCCTGAATGGTGACGAGATGGCGCCGGAGAATGCGGAACTGCTCTATCTATACGGGCGATGCTTGTACAAGGTTGCCGTGTCCAAAAGCGACGTACTGGGCGGCCAGGTCGCCGGCGAGAAGCAGAAGGCGTCCAAAGCCGAGACATCAAAAGCAGCGGCGGCGCCGTCGCCGGGACAGAAGCTGGCAGAGGACGTAGTGGAGGCTGTGATAGAGGAAAAAGAAGGTGGGGAGGAGCGGAAGAAAGACGCCAAGAGCGCAAACCAGCCATACTTCCAGCTTGTAGATGCGGAGTGGAGTGATGATGAGGAGGAAGATGAGGATGCGGATGGGGAGGTGCAGGAGGCGATTGAAGAGGAGGACGATTTCGCGACTGCATATGAGATCCTCGATCTTGCGCGCTTACTGCTCGAGCGCCAAATGCAGGCGTTGCAGGAGAGCGATGAGAGCTCCGCCAAAGGCAAAGGCAAGATGGAGGCGATAGAAATGTCACCAAAGCTACGACATGTGAAGGAGCGACTGGCAGACACGCACGACTTGCAAGCGGAAATTTCGCTCGAGAACGAGAAGTTCGCCGAGGCGATCACGGATTTTGAAGCTGCCGCGACCATCAAGGACGAGCTGTACCCTAAGGCGTCGAGCATCGTGGCCGAAGTGCACTACAAGCTATCACTGGCACTCGAGTTTGAGTCGATGTCCGCCGTGCGGGAAGCGCAGGCGAAGGAAAGCGAGGGCACGAAAGCGCCAGCCGGCGAGAAACCGGAAGTGGACGAGAAGCTGCGCGAGCGCGCGCGCGAGGAGACCAGCATCGCGATCGAGAGCATAAAGCTGAGGATCGTCGAGGAGGAAAGCAAGCTTGCCGGACTCGAGGGCGACGCGCTCAAGAAGAAGCAGGAAGAAATCGCTGAGGTGAAGGAGATCTTGAAGGAGATGGAAGACCGGGTGAGTTAACCTTCCCTCCTGCTTCCCGAGCAAAAGGATGATGAGCGACCCCGTCTATCCGTTTCTCCATCGTCTCTCAGCTTGGCTAACACACATGACGACAGCTCGAGGAACTGCACGCCCCAGCCGTCACTATCAACGGGCCGGCGGGCGCACCCGAGGGTGACGCCGTGGGCGGCATTCTCGCGCAGGTTCTGGGCGAGACGCCGGCCGAGCAGAAGGCCAGGATCGAAGAGGCGACAAAGAATGCAAACGACCTGAGCGGGCTGGTCAAGAAGAAGAAGCCCAAGGCCTCGGGACCAAGCAGTGGCACTGCAGCTGCACCTTCTGGTTCGGGCGCAAAGCGGAAGTTGGACGAGGAGGTTGCAGGGGACGGAGACATCAAGAGGGCCAGAACGGAGGAGCTGACTGATGCTACGAGCTGAGCGGCGACCGTACTTGCGTTCCGACGGAACGGCATGTGTACGATGTCGCTCATACATGACGTGGGTTGATGGAGGGGGGAGGGGTGGGCTGGCGACACATGATCGTCGACACTATTTTTGTTGTAATGGGGTTTTTTTTTTCATGTTCCGTCTGCTTTCTCAGGGATAGCCCATCGTGACTGATGATACGAGCCCGAACACAAACAACGATACCCCAGCGGTGCGAAGCAGGACCGAGAGGACAGGTTTTTTTTTATTGTTGCTCTGGCAGGCCCGCGACGGTCGAGCTCGAGCAGGCTCGACGATGCGCAACGGCGATTTCGCGTAAACTGCGCAGGTAGATTTCAGTCTTGTCAGATTACTTGTGGGGCGACTGGTGGGCACACGGTCGGGTTGGGATCCACCGCGAGATTAGCACAAGAAAAGCAAATCGAAATGGCATAACCAGCTCTACGATATCTACAATAACTGCTCCCCAATATTGGCCGGGTCTGCTATCCACGACAGAGGGAGGGGGTCTCGTTGATCTCATCGTAATCATTGAGCGGTTCGGGCACCGGACGCTGGAGCCCTGCTTCTCCAGCGCCTGAAGGCGAGACCCACTGTGCGTCGCGTGTGTCTCTGTGTGCGTTTTTGTGTGCAATGTCGAGCTCGCAGATGAGACGGAAAAGAAAACAAAAAACAGAGCGGCGACGGCCACGATCCGATCCATGGCCTCTCACTGTCTCTTTCTCTATGTTCTCCCCGCTTGTGGCACGTCAGCGGATGCCGAAGGGCGGGGTGAGACGGGGCAAATGCCGTGATTTTGGCGGGCGGCGCACGATGGCACAGCGGATATGCGCTGTCGCTATGACTGGGGCGGTGGTTGGCAAAATGATAGGGTGCGAGGGCGAGAGCAGTCCTCCGTAGTGAGCGAGCTTGTCCGGGGCCACAAGTAGGGAGCCCCCAGCAGCAGTAGGGACTTTTTTAGGGGGGGGGGGGAGGAGGAATGAGGGGCCAGAGGAAGGGTAGGGGCCCCAAGCGGGACTGCGGCGGCCCTAATCTCAGGCCTGCTGCGGCCCCTAATCTCAGGCGCCCTCCCTTCCCCCCAGCGCACGAACGACAGATCAAATGAGAAACCCGGCGAGAGAGCCCAGAGGACATCAGGGAAGAGCGCAAAGTCAAGGAGGCTTATTTTTGTGCGCCTTCTGCACGCGTGACGCCCGCTCGGCGTGTGCATCGTCAGCCCGCATCACACGTCGCTGCGGGTGACAAGTCATCTTTGCGGGTGCTTCGACGATCGGGTTCCGTCATAGGGTGGCGAACATGGGACTTGTTTCCACGGTCGTCAGTGGGAGGGCGTGCAGTGATGGTTCTGGTGACGGTGGCGAGGGTAAACAAGACACGGACGCACACGCTCGCACGCACACAAACATCGATGGAATGGTGGATGGAGGGTGGTGCCGTCACCACCGTCGCGACTGCTCCTGGCGCTCTCATGCAGCCCACGTTTTCATTTTCGTAACACGGGCTCCATCTCAGCGGCGACCACTGCTGCCGTTCTCGTCTTCGGGCGCTGGGGAGCTGCAACGTGGTCGTGTCGGTCAGGCAGGCGGTCCAACCTCGCTTGGGCGGGCGTGGACGATGGGGCCCGCGGGCGTCAGTCAGGTGAAGACGCAGGGAACGGGCGTGTCGTGGCGACGGCGCTAGGCCGCAAGAAGAGCGCCTGCGTCCGTGCGCGCACACAGTGCCGGCGCAGATGGCCCGTGCGCGGGATCCCACGCGACGAGAGACTGCCCAGGACGCGACGAATCCCAACTTTCGCTGTTTCCTCGTCATTTCGTGTCCTCTGCCCACACTCTCGCTCTCTCTCCCACTCCCACACATACACTGCCGACCCTCTCTCCCACTTCGCACGCCCCCATCCCATCCTCAACCCACTTCTGCTCGTTCTCTTTTCTGCCCACTCCCCCCCTTTTTCCTCCTCGGAGCACCGCAGGCGCCCTGCTTTGGCCTTCGCTCGAGCAGCGCGCGCGACCCTCCAAATCCTGGTCGCCGTCTTGTTTATCGATCGGTCCTGCCGCTGTCTGCGGCCGCGTGAGCGGGAAAGAGAGAGCGTGTGTGCGCGAGAGCGCGAGAGGAAGCGTGAACGAGTGGCAGGAAGGGAAAGAGAGCGTGTGTCTGCGTGCGCGCGCGTGTGAATGCGTCGCACACTCGTCCGTCTGTTTCAGGACACCTTCGCGTAGCCAAGTCACGATTTGTCACCGCGAAGCCAACACCGCACATCCAAGCCCAGCGACTGCGGATCGGGCTGTTGTCGCGGCTTCGAATGGACACGCCCTCTGCTCTGACTGCTGCGCACCTGGAGGTGTGAATCGTAGGCTGGCCGTCTCCGCCGTCACTGCCTGCTTCCACCAACCCGCCCGCCAACTCACCTCCCAACACAAGCGATCGGTACAGTCGCTGGACACTGTCTGCATCTGGAAACCGCGCTCCTGGTGTGCTGAGAGCACATCCACCCCTTCTGTTCACCACCCGCCTTCTTGGTCACTGCACGGCGTCATCCTGTGCCGTCGCAACCGCATCCATGGACTGGTCGTACTCACCCCATCGCGAGGCCGGTGGCACACTCCACGTACCTTCGCCAACGCATTCGCCCCACTACGACGCCATCGCCCTGCAGAAGCTGCGGCGATCGCTGTCGCGGTCTCCGTCCAAACCGACGCGCCTACAGCTCACCACCCGCTCGCCTGCTGCGTCGGCGAACAACCCGCCTCCTTTGTCGCCATACGACGTCGTGCGCGCAGTCAGCCCCGTTCTGGCAAAGGACAGTCAGCACATGGCCTCTTGGTCGCCGCTTGCGGAGCCACGCACGATCCAGCGACCCAAGTTCGCGCTTAGACGCGTCGCCCCATTCCGATCCTCGCCCCGGCTGAACAATGCCGGCCGCGCATCCATTCGCAAAGTGCTGACCGACACGTCCAACCAAGGAAACCTGACGCCTTCGCTGTCCCGAAGAAACTCGGGAGACGAGAACGACTCGTCCTCGAGCAGCGAGCAGTCACCCGAGGCGAAGACTGGCGCAAAGACGCCGGCCTTGCGCACGCCTCGACCGGACGAAGCACCTCCGTCTTTTGACTTCAGTCAGACGAACCCGAGCCATCTCGCGACCATGGCCGAGCACTTCACGCCGGCCAAGTCCAGTCCGCTGAAGCGCGTGGACGGGAGGATAAGTTTGGACCAGCCGAACTACGGAACGCCCGCGAAGCGTCGAAGTCTCCACGGCTCTTCGGACTTTGACATCTTCTCGCACAGCGTGACGAGTCTCCCAAGTGAGAGCGAGCCGACCAGAGCGTCGGAACCGGAACCTGCTACCACAACGCCGTTTGGATCGCCAGCGTTGCGCCGATCGTCATCCACGCGCAAGTCTGCCCTCCTGCGGCAGACGCCCGCTCCAGCGAGAAATCGCTACAGTCTAGACTTTTCCAATGAAAACGCCACGCCCTTGCCGGCCGCCCAAAAGGCCCGGCAACGCGCGTCGCTGGATTCATCGTTCTTGCTGGGCCCGCAGCAAGAGTCACCCTTCGTGAAGCCTGCGCGCCCGGCTCCCACGAGCGTAGTCTTTGGAAGAAGCTCCGCTCTGTCCCGTTCGACGGCTGGGCAGCCCCATCCGCTTTCGAACGCCCTGACTGCGTCGTCGGCATCTTCTGGCTCAAGCCTTGCCGACAGCAGCCCAAGCAACACGGCCTTCGCAGCACCCTCTGCACCCAAGAAGTATCAGCATAGCTTCGCAAAGTCTCTGCCTTTGGGCGTGCCGCGTCCAACCGAGAGCTTCTCGAGTCAGGACACCCAGAGTTCCTTCGAAACCCCGGATCTGTACAAGTTTGCACGGCCGAACCCCAACGCTTTCATGTCGACCGGCGTCATCTCCAAACGGAACCGAAATCTAGACGTCTCGAACGAGCCGGTCTACCAGATGCCAGACACGCCCTCCAAGCGTGCATCTTTTCCTCCGGTCACGGCCTCGCCGTTTCCGAGCAGCGCATTCAAGAAGATTGGCCGGCCGAAGCTCGATTTCGGAGTGCCTACTTCCCCGTTCGTGGCAACTGCCCATACGCCGGGCGGCTATCCGAAGGCCGAGATCATGTTCCCGCCCATTTCGAATGCTGGTCTGGCACGAAAGACCAGCTTTATGAGCAACGACGGCGAGAATCTGACCGGCTCGCCTTCCGCCCCGAACGACAGTCAGTCGAGCGCTGATGAGCTTCCCCCAACGCCGACAAAACCGGCCGGCAAGAAGGAGAAAGAGAACAGCCTGCGAAGCAGCCTATTTGGACGCCGGACGTCCCTAAATCCTGATACATTTGTGCCTCCAAGTGCTGCACCTGCTGGTTCTAGCACCGAGGACGGAGATCGTAAGTCACTCACATTTTCTTATCTTCGAGACGGTCCGAAAAATGGCGAAGAGTTAGACGTGGCAGGTGAAGACTTAACTGCCTCCACCCGCGAACGCACACAGTTCACGATAAGATCCAGTAAAAGCGATTGGCAGATCAAGAAGAGGCGTCTGAAGTCCGCACTTCAGCAACACTACAGAATACCCAATGCTGACGCAAACTTCGCCACAGGACCGCCCAGCAGCAACGGGAACGAGGGGCGTCGTACACCACATACACCTCTTGACAGTTTCACTCCTCCAGATCCTAGTCGACTCTCCATCTCGGCTGGCCAGTCGAAATGGGGTGCCTCGCTGAACAGCAGCACCGTGAGTAACAGTCTGTTCCCTCCTGCTACGCCAACTGCCCAAAGGGACTACCAGTTCCCTTTTGCCAACAACGGAATGGCTCCGAACGTTCAGGGAGTGACGCAGAACGACGTGGACACCAGTCTCGCCGCTCGGTTTAACGAAGTCGTCTTGTACGGCAATGGAGAGTTTTCGCAGGTTTTCCGCGTCGAAGGTCGCATCGAAAACCCGCTTGCGCCATCCCAGCAGTCCATGCGTGGCGGTGTTTGGGCCGTGAAAAAGACGAAGAAGCCGTTCACTGGTCCGCGCGATCGTGAGCGCAAGTATCGCGAGGTCGAGATCCTGAGAGCGTTGAAGGGCAACGACCATATCATCAGTTTTGTAGATGCATGGGAGTCTAAGGGCCATCTGTACATCCAAACCGAGTTTTGCGAAGACGGCAACTTGCGTGACTTTACGATGAGACACGGCGCCAAAGGTCGGCTGGACGACTTCAGGATCTGGAAGATCTTGCTCGAGCTGGCCCTGGGCGTCAAGCACATCCACGAGAGCGGCTTCATTCATCTCGATCTCAAGCCTGCAAACGTACTTATCGACTTCGAGGGCGTTCTGAAGATTGCAGACTTTGGTCTCGCAAGCACGTGGCCTCCACCTGCCGACATCGACGGCGAGGGCGACAGGGAGTACATGGCTGCCGAGGTCCTTCAGGGCCGTTTTGACAAACCTGCTGATGTCTACGCAATCGGCATCATGATTCTCGAAATCGCGGCCAACATGGAGCTGCCCAGCTACGGAGAAGGCTGGCAGCGCCTACGACACGGCAATCTGGCTAACATACCCAGCCTTACATTCAGTTCGGCATCAACGCTGCCACGCACCGAGGATGGTGACCCGATCAGTCCGTCTAAACTTGGCAGCGACGCCACGAACCCGCCGTCGGACGACTCGAGCGCATCCAACGAGTCGACGTTGCCTCAGACAACAATTGCGTCGCGCAGACCTTTCGACTTGGCGAACCCGCCCAACTTCATGGTCGACCCGGAGGATGAAAGGTCCCTCGAATCAGTCGTCGTGCTCATGATGCAGGAGGATCCGGACAGGAGACCGACCATAGAGCAGGTCTACCAATTTCCGGGCGTTCGATGGGTGGAAAAAAGGAGACGCGCAGGAGCGACCATCTACGAAGGGCCTTTTGGACCCGGAGACGAAGTCCTGATGGGCGATGGGGATGTTGACATGATGGACGTGTGAGCCGAACTGCTGCTGCCCTTTTGCGGCGTAGGGACTCTTTTTATTCCCGCGCTTAATGTGAGCTCTTCAGGCGTCATCCATCGTGCGATTATCCGGCACACGTTTTACACCCATATCCATCTTGCTATTTTCTTGCATTGTATTGCATCAGCGCTTCGTTCTCTCTGCTTCAGTCTTCCCATCCGAAATGCGAACAGACATGCACAATGGCGAATGGTTGTTTTGTTTTGGTTCTTGGGGGTGTTTTTTCATCCTCGCAAAGACTACTTGGCATTGCAGGAGATTTAGGGACTCTGTATCGATACTCGACGCAACTGATTCACGATCACGATGATGATGTGCGGTATCACGTTTGGGCGGCGTTTGAGCATCTTGGGCGTCCGGTGGGCTTTTGCTTCTCTTTCTTCTGGCCATGGAGGGCCTTTTTGTTGTGATGAAATGTGTAATGACTATTCGCAAGTGTGAACGGGCGAGTTTATACGCCCCGAGTCTCCGGACCTTGGGATTCTTGAGGCTGAAAAGGGCAGAGAGAACCAGGTCGGGAACATTTTGCCTTCATGCTGCTCGACAAGCATGGACGCTTTAGATAGAACCTAAAGAAAAAGAATCAAAATGGCTGGTATGGGTGAATCATGCAATCAACTCGAAAGTATTTGCGTTTCGTGATAATTTCTTTTCTCTTCACAGGTAACTATAGTAGTGCAGCTGGTGACCGTTGGCCTGCCACTTCGCTTTCTCATTCATTGCGGAGCTACACTTACGAAATGGCGCTTTGCTGCATGTTCATATGATCCTAGCAAATAGGTATCAGGCATAGCAAAAGCCTCTTCGTATTCAACGATAATATCTGTCTTATGCGACGTCGAATATTATGGCAGATGCACCAGCCTGAGGCGCCGAAAACGGCCTACCTCGCAGCAATCATGGTCCAACGTCTGCCTTGTGTTCAAGGATCGAAGGAGGCAGCGCTGCATTCACAACACCTTTGCTCGCATTCATTTTTTCTAAAAAAAAAAAAAAAATCTCTTCAAAAGGGAACGTAGAACGACTGAAAATGCGTGTGCAAGCTCAAGACGTCCAGCGTATCCTTGACACCATTCCCGTCCAGTATCGAGGACCGGGAGGCGCGTTGGCAGTACTCAAGGATGGCGAGGTGATTGCGCAGAAGACGTGGGGCTACGCAAACATGGACGAGCGCATTCCGGTCACCCCCAAGACGCTGATGCCCATCTGCTCCATTTCAAAGCAGATGCTGTGCGCGCTGCTGTTCGACCTGGAGGAGAACCCTCCGCCGGAGGTGGCCACCAACGGGCCGTTCGCAGAGCAGATGGAGGCTGCGTTGCGGAAGATGGCCCCGGAGGCGATTACCAAGGACAGCGGTCTGACCATCAGACACTTGTGCGATATGCAGTCGGGTCTGCGAGACTACTGGGCCTTGGGCATGATCTGTGGTGCCAAGCCTGATCAACGATTCACTATAGAAGGCGACGGAATGAGGATGCTCTCGCTTTGCAAGACGTTCCACTTCCTACCAGGCACCGAGTACTCCTATTCCAACACCAACTTCTTCCTCGTGGCTCGTCTGATCGAGACCATCACCAAGCAGCCGGTTCCCAAACTGCTGGAGGAGCGCGTCTTTCGCCCGGCGAACATGACCACCGCCCAGCTCATCCCCGACACCGCCCAGCAGCCGGGAGACTGCCTCGGTTACGAGGGCAACGAGCAGTACGGTTTTCTGGCGGCTGTCAACCGGATCGAATGGTCGGGTGACGCTGGCATAACAGCCTCGCTGGAGGACATGATCGCATACGAAAAGTACTTCGACAAGCGCTGGTCCGAGAAGAGCAAGTACAGCAGCGTTGCCGCCGCTCGCACGTACAAAGACGGCACGTACGCGCCGTACAGCTACGGGCTCGCCTACCTCCAGATCGCGGACGTCTCCACGGTGGGCCACGCCGGCGCGCTGCGCGGCTGGAGGATGCAGCGGCGCTACGTGGAGAAGGAACGCCTGTCCGTCCTCGTCATGCTTAACCACGAGAACAACAGCGCCGGTAAGGCCGCGACGTACATCATTCGAAAGGCGCTGGACCTGCCGGAGACGCCGGCTTCGGACGTCTCTCCGGTCCCGCAGTGGTTCGGCACGTTCCTCGACGAGGAGACGCAGCTGTGCGTCACGGTCGCCAAAGCCGCGGCGGGCCAGGTCTCGATCACGTACGCGCGCGACGCCGAGCTCGTCCGCCTCGTGGCGCCCGACCGCGCCGAGTCCCAAGACAACGTCGCCTCCATCGACGGCGACACGCTCCACGTCCACCGCGTGGGCGAGAACCGCAGGCTCAAGGCCCGCAGGATCAGGCAGACGCCCGTCACGGACGGCTCTCACCTCCAAGGCAAGTACTATTGCGAGGAGCTCGAATCCACATTCGTGTGCCACGGCGGGGACAACATGCTGTACGGCGCCTTCGATGGGCCCCTAGGCCGCGGCCCCGCGAACCTCATGCGGCGCCTCGGCGAGAACGTGTGGGCGTGGGCGTGTCCGCGCGCCTTGGACCACACGCCGCCGGGAGACTGGACGGTTGTTTTCGGGGAGGACGGGAATGGAGCCGTGGGCAGCTGCACGATCGGCTGTTGGCTGGCTAGAAACCTGGTGTTCTCCAAAATAGCGTAACGATGGTATGTCGAGCTTCAATGATCACCTCCCTGCGAAGTGGCCAGACGACACTGTATTCTGTCTTTTCCTTCTCAATTTTCTCCCTTTATCGTTATCGTACAGAGCAAGCGAAGGCGTCGTGAAAGGTAAAAAGTCGAAAAAGAAAGGTCTACGAAAGCTACAAGTTGCGACGGCCTCGTTGGCTACACGGCTCTCTGTCGGACCCTTGACAACAGCAAGACGAAAAAGCTCAGCATCATCGACAGGCCGGACCAAATCTCGCCATTCATGTATGTGCGACCGTGTTGGCCGACGATAGCGCCTCCCACGGGAGGCCCCGTCAGAGCCGCGAACGACACTACTGTACATACCAGACCAATGTACACGCCCGCCACGTTGTGATCCGTCACAAAGGATGATGCAACGGCGAGGAAGAGCGTCTGAATAGCGCCGGCCACGACGCCGTAAAAAGCAGTCAAGACGTAAATACCGGTGCTGGTTCTGACAGGAATCCAGCAGAAAAGGGTCACAGCTGCGCCGAACAGGCTGCATAAGAACACGTCTTGAGGGTGAACATGCCTGTCGGCGAGGTAGGCGACCAGGAGGCGGATGGGTATGCCGACGACGTTGAGCTCCAGCACTATCATCGTGCTCTCCACGTACGAGAAGTTCAGCTCATCTCGGGCGTACGCGGACAGCTGTTTCTAACGCACTTAGCTCTCGTGGGTCTTTGAGGCATGTGGCAAGGGTCTTACATAGTAGTAGCCGAAGTACAAGGCCCAGAAGCAGAAGAAGGACGAAACGGCGAACAGCGCGTAGCTCGTGTCCTTCAGGACGCCGAACGAGAAGGTTTGCTTCGAGTTCTGCCGCGTAACGCGCGGGCGCGAAAGTGCCAACGCGCCGAGCAGCGTCGCCGTCATGATGAAGCCTACCGTACGAAGCGTCCACGACAAGCCCACTCGCGGGATCAGATGATGTACCAGCAGCGGAAAGAACGCACCTCCGGACGCGCCGCCGCAGGTCGTCAGCGCCAATGCCGTCGAACGTCTGGTCAGGAAATACGACGTGAGAACAGCCAGCGTCGGGGCAAACATCAAGCCGGCCCCCAGGCCAACGCAGACCCCGTGCGAGAGGAACACCTGCCAGTACTCCTTGGCCAGGCTTGCGATGAAGATACCAGCCAGTTGGAGGAAGCAGCCGATTATGTATACTGTGTGAAAGCGGCCTGCGTCGACCGCGCGTCCAGACACCGTTCCAAGACCAAACACGAGCCAAACTTGCACGGAGCCAATCCAGGAGACGGCGGAGGGCCCTGCGTGGCTAAGGCTCATGTCGTAGTACGACTGAAAGACACCAAAGGAGTTGAAGTAGCCCTGTGTGCTGAAGACGACGAGAAAAGCCATTCCAACCTGCGTCCATGCCGCCACGCCACCGTCCAGTCGTGCTGACCTCGTCGCAAAATGCTCCTCGTGCCCTTGCGCAGATGCTGCGTGTGTTTCGTCCTCGTCGTTCTGACCCCGTCCGCTGTGCCCCAAGCTGAGCTTACCAAGGTGCATTTTCGACGGGACGCCTGCCGGTTCTCTCATCTCGACATCATATCCATGACCGGAGCATGACAAGAACACATTTTGGCCATCCGGAGTCAACTCGCCGACTGGCTCCCGAAGGTTGACCGAGACGTTAGCATTCATCGACACAAGCCAGGGCTGTCCGCGAGCATTATCGAAAATACAAAGTCTGCGCAAAACGTCTTCCTCGAACCACAATCTGCTGTGAGTGATGGAAGCGAGACGCAAGCTGATCGGCCTTGGTTTTTCTACTGTTCAGTTCGCCGGCCATTTTTCTTCGGAAGCGCTTTGCCTTGCCGCTCTGTTACTTCTACGATCGAGGACGACTCGCCCGGGCACGCGTCCGTGGCCCGAATTGGACAGATTCCGGAGTCGACCTAGAACGTAGAAGCATTTCGCCTTTGGTCTCCCCCCTCCAAGCCAGCACTTTTTCTCCACTTGCGCTAGCTGTTTGGGGGAAGAAAAGGGAGACGCAGCGATACGAACCAGGGTGACGAGGCGAAGTGTGGAAAGAGGGGCAGAACAACGCATTTTCTAAATCTCAGCTAGGTGCCAACTTTGCAAGAGAAATGCAACCTTGTCCGCAGATTGCGAGGAAACATGCTACACCGTACATTGCGTCTGGATAGTCTGGCGAGGGGCTCTGCCGGACGAATCCAATCATAGACCGACGAAGATTCGAAAAGATCTCTACGAGTACACGGGAACGGATGGAAAATTTTAATTTTTTTTTTGTTAAAAAAAATTTGTCTTCACATGATGAGAACCTGAGCTGGGCCGCCTAGAAGTGCCGTCCACCGCGTGCTTGACTGCATGTTCCAGATCCCCTCCAACTGTCGTAGTCCTCTGATGGTGTTGTGGAACCCCGTGAAGCGATGAAGGTCGTTGATCCTTTCGACGAAGTATCTGCGATGCTCGGCGTTGGAGCTCTCCGCGGCGACGACGAAGTACGACCAAGTCAGGACGTGTTGTCCAAGCTCCTTCCGCTCGATTCGTTCTGCCGTTCGCTTGAATTGCTCGACCAGGTGGGCCATGGATTCGGCGGGCGGATTCGCCAAGGCCCGGTGCACGTAGATACGGCACGCTTGCCGGATCATGTTCTGCAGATCGCTGATGACGTCCTTGTGTTCAGGGTGCAGGCTGAGACAGAAGTCAAGAAACTCTAGACATTTTTCAGCCTGGCTGGACAAGAAAAGGGCGCCCTCGACCTCGTTGAGCAGAGACTCGGCGGACAGTTGAAACCTGGCGGAGCAAACGTTGTTAGCCTTGGAGATGCGCTTGACAGAATCGCAACGGGTCCTATTTTTTTTTTTTTTGGGTTCTTATGTTTCTTTACCTCGATGTTTGAATCTTGAGAAATCTGCCCAAGTCGGTATCGGCGAAAGTGAACCTGCCTGCACCTGCGCATAGCAGCCGCCTTAACGTCTCGTAGATGACGCCAAATTGCTCGCCGCCAATGATCATCTCCGTCGTGAGCAACAGCAGAATTGCGACCAGGCTGGTCTCGAACTGAGATGCAGCCCTGGAGATGAAATGAGACTGTGCTATCAGGCCTTGAACAACTTCGCTGTAGAGTCTCTTGCACGGCTTGATCAGCCCCCCGGTACGCAGCGAGAGATGCTGATTCGATGCGACCAGCACTGCTCTGCGTACGAGGAGGTCATGCTCGGCAAGAGGGAGCACCAAGTCTCGGAAGCCGTTGAATCCCTGATCAATCACAGCCATCTTTGACGCAACGTGTAGCGAGACTGAACGACGGGTTTTAACATTTGAGACTTCGATCACGGCACGAGGGGGAGACGGGAAGGGTTTCCACGTACAGTATGATAACAACTCCCGGGTGGGAGCGTCCAGATGGTCGAGTGTTTCGAACAGTGGAGTCGTGCGCGGGCGACCATCCAGCCGCTGTGACGCATCTTCAAAGTCACTCACGTCCTTGTCGTAGGCGAGATCGGATCGACCCTCCGAAATCCCAGGGCGGCATTCCTCGCATTGGTTTTCTCCCGTCCAGTCCGCCCGATGACACGGGTAAAGGGCAGTGGTTTCTGATCCCGAATGGCGGCGTTCGTGAATCCTGGTGCCCGAGTTATGGGAACATGGAACCTCCTGGGGCAAGGGCATCCTGCAAGCACTCAATTCTTTTAGTGACGAGTTTTGGCTGTTCGTCTGCAAGGCCGTCCAACACACCTTTGATCTGCACGTGACGCCATACTCGGAGCCGCTCTTCTTTTTGGCCCTTGGACACCATTGAATCGGTACCTTATCCCTAGCCCGCTACATTTCAATCCCTTCGTCTGACATTTACGACACTCTGGCTCGGCGCGATCGCAGTCAATGCGTCGGCGAGAGCACTCGTAACAGCCTCGATATCGAATCAGCCTCCATAATCCGGTGGGAGGGGCGCATTGTTTTCCATACCTTTGACCTTCGGGCGCTTCATAGTCGAGCTGTCTCGGCAGTGTCCCCACGGTTCTGGCCCGGCATTATCGGTTCACTGTGACAACTTGATACCTGGAGAGTCTTGTTCTGCCCTGCGCATCCTCACCATGTGGTATGCCACAACGGTGATGACTCAGTCCTGATCGAGAGGGGTCGAGAATACGTATTCTCCTTCTACTTGTTGAAAAAAGGCAGTCTCTTGGAGACTAGCGCTGTAGCTTCTGTGAGGTTCGATTTCGGTCAAGTAAACCGCTTCGCTTGCGTCTGCGCTAACGTTGATAAGAACTATCATCCAGACAACACTACTGTCGCGCTAAGCCAGATCAGGCAAGAAAAGGGAGACATGAGTACAGGATTGGGAGTTGTGTTATCCGATCGGATTTACTGCCAGCACCGTGACACCACATGGGGATATGAATTTGTGTGACAAATCGATATTTTCAGCAGCAGATTGCGAAGGAAGACTGGAAATTATAATATGGTCCATGTCCAATCCTGAGAATGTGTTCTAGTCGACAGTACTTAAGCCTCCCAAGCTGAGAAGAATCAAGAGACTTTCTCGCCGTCAGTACAACATGGCGTCTGAAACGATCACTTTGCCCGCTCAAACCTCAACGATATTGACTGTCAATGAGCGCAACAGCGCTCGCAACGAGGACGCGCTTACGACGAGCTCTGTGCTGTTGCCTCAGCTTCGTCAACGGATTCCCAAGGTCGTGAGCGCACATGGCAACTACCTTGTAACAGATGAGGGTCTGGAAATTCTAGATGCCACAGGAGGTGCCGCAGTTGCATGCCTTGGCCACAACAATCCACGTGTCAAAGCGGCGATGGTCGCGCAGCTTGACAATCTTACTTACTGCTACTCTCAGTTTTTCACCACTCCGCCCGTCGAGAAGCTCTCCAAGCTGTTGACTGACTCGACGGGTGGACTCATGTCAAGAGTTTTCATCGTCAGCTCTGGTACAGGCCTCGGCGTCCTCACCCAGTGTTCGTTATTGACGTGTTTTGCGTGCAGGCACAGAAGCTGTTGAGGCAGCAATCAAAATGGCGCGGCAGTACTTCACCGAGCTGCCCGAACCTCAGATGCAAAGAACTCGATTCATTGCGCGGAAGCAATCATACCATGGTAACACTCTGGGTGCGCTTGGCACCGGAGGACATCCGGCCCGACGAGCGCTTTACGAGCCAATACTTTCTACAAACGTCTCCCATGTTTCAGCATGCTACCCGTACCGAGAGATGAAGGAGTCGGAAAGCAATGAACAGTACGTCGCTCGACTCGCGCAGGAGCTCGAAGATGAGTTTCAGCGAGTGGGCCCCGACACTGTTTGCGCATTCATTGCTGAGACTGTGTCAGGCGCGGTAAGTCCAATTCGCCACAGACATTCCTGCACGTGCTGATCGAACAGACGTTGGGCTGCGTGCCCGCCGTTCCAGGTTACTTCAAAGCAATGAAAGAAGTTTGCGATCGGCATGGCGCCCTTTTCATTCTTGATGAAGTCATGTCAGGCATGGGCCGGACTGGCACAATGCACGCGTGGGAGCAAGAAGGAGTCGTGCCGGATCTCCAAACTGTTGCCAAAGGTCTTGGCGGCGGCTATTCGCCCATTGGTGCTCTCCTGATCAGCAAAAAAGTGGTGGATGCCCTAAGTAGCGGAACCGCTGCGTTCTCGCATAGTCAAACCTATCAGGGCCACGCTCTTGCTTGTGCTGCGGCGTATGAAGTTCAATGCGTGATCAGAGAGCAGGGACTCCTCTCGAACGCCAGGGAGATGGGCGAATATTTAGGACGGCTACTTCAGGAGCGCCTCGGAGATCATCCCAACGTTGGTCAGGTCCGTGGGCGAGGATTGCTTTGGGGCGTAAGTAAAGGCTCTTCCATGAAACTCTCCCGCTCACGCAGTACTAGGTCGAATTTGTGCGAGACAAAGCGAGCAAGGAGCCATTTCCTGCGAAGGAAAGGTTAGCCAAGAGATTGCATGACACAGCATTGGACAAGGAGTTTGCGATATCTCTTCTTCCAGCAAGTGGTACAGCTGACGGCAAGAACGGCGACCACATCGTCATTGCCCCTGCTTATAATATCACCCGCGCCGATGTAGAAAACATCGTGGATCGCACAGCGAGAGTAATTGAGAAAGTTTTGGGTTAGTCGTCCCAGGCTTTGTAATAATCACAAGAATGGAGCATGAAATCATAAGCATACACTCGTCTTCTTTCATTGCCCAAAATGTCACCCTTCTTCAACATCGGGCTCTATATTCTATGCATCGAGGATCTAGAAGATTTCAGACGATGGTGGTCTGGTCACAAGATCCTCATCCTGAGCCTAGAAAAGCGTTTGCGTGTTATCATCGGAGCTCACCTCACTCTCCTCTTCCTCTTTGCTCTCTTTCTTGTACATGAAATACTGAACGAAGACGCCCATGTCTAGTATTAAAGTGCCCAGACTGCCAATGATCCACGAGAGGTTGACTGCGATGTGTTTCCAATAGATCTGTGCGGCTTCACCTGTCTTACAATGCATAGGAACTTCGCAAACGGATTCTGGAGAATATGCAAATATGCTGATGTTGTATGTAGCGTTGCCAATGCAAGCGAAGAGAAAGAAGAGCATTGAAATCCCGTCTGTGGTTCTACGACGATGATTTAGGAGTAATTGGGGCACCCGCGAACCCAGGTAGAGGACGGAGCAAATATAACCAAAGACCTGACCGAGGACGTTGAAGGAGGGCGCCTCCACAGGTTCATCTGGAATCATGGCATCTGCGCTCAGATGGCTGAGGAACCACCCAAAAACGCCCGCAATGAGGACAAGAAGCACCACGAAAAAGTTGACAAGGAAGCTTTGAAGTAGAGAGCGAGGAGGCTGCACGGTTCGTCGTCGTTCCGCATGATTCGAATGAAGCGGGGTTGCCGGGGAAAGATGAGTTGCGTCTACGGGGAACAAGCGTTCATGAAAGGAAACCTGGGAAGCGGTTCGCTGTAAAGTGGAACGCGGCGCAGCAGCATTGTTATCATGAGCGTTGTCAAGGAGGAGGCGTGTATGCTCCGTTGCACTGGGCCCAGTCTCCTCAGCATTCGGTTTGGCGACATCTTCCACCGGCCGGTCTGTCAGCGAGAAGCCCTTATAGTAGAAGCACTGTCCAAGAAGCACAATGTCCACTAGCAAGTAGTAAACGGCCAAGATGATCTATGGTCCCAGTGAGAGCGTGTTATAGGACGCAGCCGCAAAGAGAAACAAACCATGGTGGGCAACACGCCCTGCAAGATGCCGCCGAGTGCGTTGAAGACATCGCCCAGTGACCACACAACGATAAAGGCGACGGACAATCCTTCGGCTTGGCTTCGGAAGTTCTCAGCGATTTGCGGGGAGAACACGACTATCCAGCATGCGATAGAAATGGAGCCGCATATGCCACTAAGAGCGGTGATGCTGAGATTCACGCCTTCAATGGGAGGGAACATCGTGCGCACTCTAGAATGGGGTCTCGAACAAAGATGTCAACATATGGGCCGAGTCTGTCGCCTGCTCTCCACCTAGAAGCACGAGGGGACGATTGAAAGCGAGCTGGAACCTGCTAACGATGTCACGACGTGGTTGAGTATGGAACCATTTACGGGGCCGCCGTCACTTGGGGACCTGCCAAACAGAGTTTGTCTTCGGCAAACCAGCGCACAGACGGGGCCGCCGAGACTTCGCGCGGAACAAGAACCGCAGATCCAGACGACGGACTCGACGACAGTTCGTTGCCATCGACTTGGCCTCGTAGGCGGCACGGTTGTTCCTTGTCGCCTGCGACGTTCTTACCAGAAGCCATACCGGCTGTGAAGGTTTACTCAGGCAGAAGGACCTTCTCGATGCCCCTGTCTGCGTAGGCTGGAAGAAGCAGTTCTTCAGAATGGGCGAAGTCGAACGCACATCTCGACCGCTAGAACTAGAGCCCTCGAAAGGATGTGGGCGGGAACACGTGAACGCTTTGTCCACACATTCGAAAGTGTGAAACAAAGGTCATGCGGGAAAAGGCAGCGCTGACATTGTCCGCGAGGCTCATTCGCTCGTCGAAGCTCTTCGCGGAGCGGTGTCGGATGTGAGACTCAGAGCCCCCAAGAAAAAACAAGCCTCTGGATTTGGCACACCATCGCTTAGCGAGAAAGCTTGTGGAAGGCATAGCCCAGAGCAATAGGGCAGGCTGTTTGACCGGAAAGCAGCAGGCCGATGGTCAGCCAATGGCAAGCGAGGAGGCCTCGACGTCTGCTTCCCTTTCCATCCTATCTCTTGACAAACATTGCCACGATGGAGGCGATTCTCCAAGCCTAGGCGAGGCTAGAGCGTGCCCTAGGAAAAGGTGGCGCCAGCTGTGCCTCCTTGTTGGATCACTCCCTCCTACTACTGCTGAGGCGCACTCGAGGGCGGAAGGGAATGCTTGCGATTCTTGTGTTAAAAGTCGCCTACTGCTCCTAGCAGGCAGCCTCCCACCTTTGCAGGATGCTGCCCTCATGTCCGTAGAAAACAAGGCTTTCTGACATTATTCATCCATCTCAGCTGCTCTTAACGGCTTACGGACATCATGGCATTTTGTGATAATGCTGAGCTCTTCAACGTGTGTTGTAGTTTGGGCAGAGGGGGCAAGTCTTTTCACGGCGTTAAGACTCTCATCTTCAGGTTTGCGCAGCTTGTTCAGCGGCCGTCTGCCTTGAATCCACTGATTCGTCACTTAGAGAGAAACTGCCGTTGTCAATTGACAAGCTGTTCGAACCTGACCAGCATGCTCAATACGTGTACAATATAGCTTTAGGTGACATTGGAATCTATTATGCAGGCTACGTAGACCACGAAGGTGCCGATAAATGCTGTAAGGTGATGGGCCTCCTAGGTGTCATTTCCAAGGTCTAATTCATCCCCCAGTGTATTCTTGCCTCCCTCCTAAACTAAGAGAATGGATCGGGCCTCCTGAAAATCCCAAGCGTCACATACCGTCACTTCAAGTTATTTTGGGGCCTAACGGATGCTTCTTTGCTTTTGACAGAGGCGGCTTCATTTACGAGAAGCTTCCCTCAGTTATGCGATCGTTCCTGGACAACGAGCAGTTTGAATATAGTACAGGTGGTCCAAGGCTTGTGGCCCTGGGCCCCGGCACATCGTATCTGATCGTGTTAAAGAGCGGTGCTTATTCATATGACTTGCGAGACTGCTCTATCCAGCTGGATCAAGAATTCGATCTGCTATGTACCAACGGTCGACCACATGAGCTCGATGGACTAGTTTACTTCTCCATGAATTGCTATGCTCCTGGTGTTTGTTCTGGATTTTTCAGGGATCCGTCGAACGACCGGATCAAAACCTTCGGGGAGGTTGCTGGGGATTGGAAGGAAGTGTTGGAAGAGTTGACAAGTGGTCCAAGCATAGTTCAAACGCCCATGACACCCAAGGAGACGCACGACGGAGAGAAAGGCTGCGGGATCTGCTACAAAAGTAGGTGCTGTTCACTTCTTCCTGAGTTTCTCTTGCAGACGTCTTTTCGCAACGGCTGATCCACGTAGTTTTCGAGAAAGACGCAAAGACGTACTTTTGTGTGACTTGCACGCACAATGTTTGCGCCTCATGTTACGAAACTGGATCATTTGAGCATCCTCATCAGATGATTCGTGTTTTCCTGAGAAGAACATCCGCAAAGGACGACTTTTGGGAGACGACATTGATCAGGCAAGCTACGCGCACGTGCGATCTGTGCAAAGGTGAGATGCCGTCGCGATGAGCGGGAACATCCCTAACGTCAACAGAGCAATTCTTTGAAGAACTGAGCGGCCACCTACGTTGCGTATCATGCGATGACTTCGATATCTGTCAAGATTGCATGAACAAAGACGGCATGCGTATAACAGATTTGCAGCACGCGCAGTGCGGGTTTCCACCAGACATGATCTACATCGACCCGGAGGCCAAAGGGACAGAATGGGTCGACAGGCAGATCACGCAAGCGCGAGCATACAAGGAGGCACTCGAGGCCGCGGAACAACGAAGGGAAGCCGAGGAGCGCAGGAAAGCCGAGGAGCGCGCAAGACAGCAACGAGCGCAGAAACAACCCGTGTCAAACACTTCACGATTTCTATCGGCACCACAACCCAGGCCCGTTGCACGAGCGCCGTCGCCACAACCCCAGCGGCAACGTCCCGTCTCGACACTGGCGCCGCCGCCGGCACCACAAACTGCGCAGCGCAGGAAAAGCTCGTCGGGTCTGGCGTTCCTCAACAGCGCGCTGAAGCTGACCAACGCCGTCTTACGCGCGGAGAACGCGGCGAACGGAGGATGGAATGGTGGAGGATCGGTTGGCGGCGGCGGCGGCGGCGGGTTCATAGACACGTCAGGTACGATGGACATGAGTTCTTTCTGGGATCCAATCAACAGTGCTGCTAGCGATCCCATCCAGTAAAGCCCTGAGAAGGATGCTGTGCTGGAGGCACAGGTCAAACAAGGACGGATCAATTAGTGCTGTATGGGATTGTATTTTCCATAGGATGACCGTGCTTTTAATTCTGTTTCTTTAAGCCATCCAAGTACACTCTTGGACGAGCCTTCCTGCTCGAGGTAACTCTCGCGATAATTGAGGACGCACTTTGGTCAAGCCTTCGATCGCTTTCCTCGACGTTTCTGATTCCTCGTGAGCAGCGGCCATTCCACCGTCTTCATGTCGAGGCCTGAGTCAGGTTAAGCGCAAGGCCGACATGACGGAACATTGTGAACTTGGGCGATCGTGCCGAGCATCCACGTTGCGATTACCAAAGCCACGGGACGACTTAGGAAGGCCTTCTCTAACTTGAGTGGTTTTTGCCTGCCGTATGAATTCATGACTCGATGCACCAAGACGAGCGGTTGCATTCGTATCGGCTACGATGTCTGGCCACAAAGCTCACTGGATCGAAGGACTGCGTCGCGTCGAGAACCAACCCAGTGCCGAACCAGACGAGTCGCGCGTTTGTCCGTCATCTGATGTGCCCACGAGCCATGGAGACGGCGGGCTTAACGTAGCCTGGGCCTCGGTCAAAGGGCACGTTGTGCGCCCACGCGGTCCTCGCTTGGACGTCCGCAAAGCGTCGTTCGCGCGGTGACGGGCTTGACTCTGGCCGTTTCTCCCTGCACAAGCAGCACGCGAAAGGGCGGTCAGAGATCGTCTGTGCAGCCTCAAGAATGAGGCTTTCACAGAACCACAGAATTTTCCCGTTTCGTCCGCCCCGTGGCGCTCTCAACACATTTCGCGCGCCGGGGAAAGAAAGGGCGGCGATCGCTGATGGGCAAAGTCTGGTTCCTGTCGGAAAAAAAGAGCTGAGGCATCTGGTACCTGCGGTAGCCTGACCTTACATTTCGGGCGGATCCCGGGGCCACGACGCCGGAACACACCGCCAGACGCGTCTTTTCTCTCTGCTTTGACCTGTGTTCCTTTGGCGACGATCAGACTCTGCTCGCAAGGCAGACGTCGGTGCGGGCGCCGGGATCGAGCGGGCGTGTAGCTGGCGGGCCATGAGCAGTCCAGACTTTGCATCAGCCCACATCTCGTGGTTCGAGCGTGTGAAGAATGATGCGCTGGCCGCCGTGACCTGTCGCCTGGGCTGGTTCGTCCGGTGCAGGAACCGCTCAGCTTGTTGGCCGCGAACCGGCCCTGCAAAGGCCAAAGGTGCCGGCGCCCACACGATCATGTGGTTGCGAGCATGGACGACGGCGACGGAAGGACGTGTTTTATTTTTCCTCTGCTCACTAGTCGCAACCGTCGAGCGACGTGGCAGCCAGGAACAGGCTGCAGGATAAACGGGCGTATTATTCGCGTCTGGGGTGTAAGACGGGCGTAATGGTGCCTCGGCTAGCGGGCAAGACCACGAATGGCGGGAGCCGGAAGCAAAACACGAGCGCAAGCTGCATGTGAGCATTACAGAACAGTACAGCGCTTGTCCCGTTTGGTGGTATCGTGAATCTCGAAGAGGGCGGGAATGTGTGGGTGAGCACGAAACGTTGGGACTGTGTTGTCGTCTGCTGCGGAGGCGCGTGCGAGTGTGCGAGATCGTCTACGTCTGTCACGCATGCCTGCAACCACGTCTACACGTATGCGTGCGGGAGCGTGGTCTATACACATGCATACCTACATCGCTCCACGTCCCAGCCATGTGCATGTACGGAGAGAGAGAGAGTGTGTGTGTGGGTGGGTGCGGGCAAATGCGTGTGGTTGTACGTATGTGGCGGACGGTGCTGGCTGTCTTGACGGTCTGGTTTTGCCAGAGTTGGGTCTGACAAGGTGCCGCACATTCAGACAGCACCGCGGCGCGCCAGCAGGAAAAGAAAAGAAGAGAAAGAAGAAAATGAACGGCAAAACAAATTAACACCAAAGCTAGACCCAAGGGAAGTCGGTCAAGCCACACACGACACAAACCGCCTTTGCCCCCGTTCCCATTCTTCCACGTTGGGCCGTCCACAAGTGCTTGTCACACAATCCTCCTGTCCAACCACTTTCGGCCGCGTTGTACTCCTGCTGTGTAGCCTGTGCATCTGGGCCACTTTCTCGTCTCCTCGACATCCTCTCCTCCGTTCTACCTGCTGCCGTCGCTCTGTGTGCGCCGTGTTCATCCGCGCCCGCATCCGTTCCACTTGGCCACCTTTCTTCTGCATGCTACATGAGGGAACCCTGCCGATGTAGTCCCTTGAACCGACGTGCCCGCTCGGCTTGCCTGGAAAGCTTTTTACGGTGGGAATTAAACCTCAGGCTAGTCTAGTCTTCATCACCATGACGGACCCATTAAGCCGTGATACCTCGCCGCTGACGTCCGCCGCTCACCTCTCCGGCACCTCTCACGGCTCTGGGACCGCTCCCGCGCGGACGTCACACTCAGCGAATTGCACAGACCAAACTGCAAACAACGTCACCTCGTCCACCACCTCTCGATGGACAAACGAGCGTACGACGACGCAAGCTCACCACTCCTCGTCCCGTGTCGCACCCAATTCGAGAGCCTCAGGAAACGCCACCGGTGCTGTTAGCAACGGATCCTCCCTCTCCCTGTCCGCCTCACGCTCCCCGTCCACGGCCGCCTCGCCGCATTCGTCGCGCGACTCCTCTCCCGCCGGTCGTGTGTTCAGACAGCAGAGCTTGTCTGGTGCGACGGTGCAGAACGGCATGCGTAGTCGGAAGAACAGTCACGACGCCAGCCCTCATAGACCGCCAAGCGTGACCGGCCATACGTCAAGCGTCCCTTCTGCTGCCGCCATCCAGCGTGCCCTGTCGGCTGCGACTGCTCCTCAGCTGCAGCCCACTCCCGCCGCAGAGCCTGTCTCCAGAGTGCCCAGGCCGAGCAAAGGGACGACCAACAACTGCGCGGCCGGCGAAGGCAACACGACCTCGTGGCCCATCAGCCCCCGATTGAAGTCGCCACCGCCCTCGGGCAGCAGGAGGAACTCATTGAAAAATCAAAAGAACCCAGATGCTGTCCCACCCCACATCATTGTTCAGAACGCTACTCCGACGTCATCTACCGATGCCCTCCCGCTAATTGACACCGAGATCACACAGCAGCCCGAGTCAACAAGACAACTTGCTCCGCTTGGAAAGTCGTCCAGCAGAGGTGCTAGTGGTGCACCGACTCTGGAGACGGTGCAAGAGACCAGCGGGCCCAACACGCCGGGCAACGAGCTCAATACATTGTCAGTGTACGTCGCACTCAGCACCTCAAAGCACCATGTCGAATTCGTGTGCCACGTCCGCGAGAACAAGATGCTAATTCCGCGAACAGTAACGACGCCAACCAGAGATTCTTCGACGGACCAGACGAAGATCTTAAACCGGCATCAGGCTCGACGACACCACGCCGGTCGATGGCCGCCGCAGCGAGCAAAATGCATGCACAGAATTCGGACAGCGATACTTCCAAGAAGGGTGAGGGCAAGAAGGAGCACGACAACGACCCCGAAAAGACCCCGCGCCCAAAGGCACCGTCATCGCGAACATCGTTCAGCAGTCTACGCCAAAAGACCGGCACCGAGCCCGTGACCCGAAGCATGACCGTGGAGACAGAGATTGTCAATTCGGTCGCACAAAACGCCATCGGCGCTCCATCGGACCGTTCCTCATCCAGGGCCGAGCGTGGTGGCCCATTGCGCCCCAAAGCAAGTTCGGACACGATAAAGCCAAATAAAACCAAGAAAAAGACATCCCGAAAGACGCCGTCGGTGAACCCAACAGCTGGTATGTATGATCAACATTTCTTTTCACCCCCTGATTCAGTCATTCTCCCCCTCAGCTCGCCAAAGAGGCGACGACGACGACCCAAGCAGCCTCATCTTCCCAGCCGCGCAAATCCAACACAGGTGTTACGTGCGCAGCCTTCCCTTTCAGATATGTTTTCTTCCTATGTAAGCTTGGATACAAACGCTCTTTCTTGCGCGCAATCGGACTCCGATAGCACCGTAGTGTCGGAGCAACCAAGCACTTTTCAACTTTTGCGTCAGCGCTCTTCGCAATGGCTCGCTGCTATTTACGCTACGACAACGACACCAGCAAAGACTGACTCGCGATCTCGCAAAGGCACGACGCGCGCCGACATATTCGAAGACCGCGTCAAGAATGAAATGGACGAAGCCACGTCGGACGATTCGGAAGAAACATTTGTATACGAGTCCAACCCAGCAGAGCCGCCGATCAGACGCAGCCGACATCACTCGCGTACACCAAGCGGCGCGTCCCTGACGTCGATGGGAGCCCCAAGGGATGCGCGACAGAACCAGGGCTTGCTTAGCACTCAAAAAACACGGAGCATGAAGTTTGCAAACGCGTACAACTCTGCGGATGACGACGCTGTGGATAGACCGGATGGCACCGTAAGAGCGGGCACTGGACGAGGTGGAGGAAGCATAGTCAAGCATCATCACACAGGTCGCCCCAGCCGGAGCACGACAGGCCATCCGTCGATATTGGACGATGATTCTCCGTTTCCACAGCTGAACAAGGTTCGATCCTTGACCGGTTTGCCCGGACGACAAACGCAAAATGCCAGGATAGCGGCTAGAAATCTGCAAGCCAGCAATGGGCACGCCAATGGTAACGGCAACGGAAATGCGAGGAAAGACAGTGGCTTCATGTCCTCGTACGATCTCGATGCCGAAGGCGGCGATGACGAACGAACTCCTCTCATCAGCAGCATGGGAACGATGCGCACTACACGCAGCGCTCGTCGACCTCCTACTCGAGGGTCTCGTGGGGAGAGATACACGAGGAGAAGACAGGGCATTCTTTCACGCTTTGCTGGGTGTATCGCCATCATTGCGATGCTCTTTTTGCTTGTGTTCGGCATCGTCGGTTTCCTGTTCGTCATCACAACGCCGCTGACGCATGTCGAACTATACGAGATACAGTCCGTGCTTGCAAGCGAGACGGAGATCATGTTCGACCTGAAGATCGGGGCGATCAACCCGAATATGCTACCTATTACCGTCTCCGATGTGGACTTGAATGTATTCGCAAAAAGCAAGTATGTCGGCACGGAGAAATGGTGGAGGGAGCACCCGGGCGGTGACTGGGCGGACGAGCCGTTACCACCGAGGAAACTGGCCCCCACGGATACGGCTGAAGAAGGAAAGTTAAGTTCTCCCGCCCTGGATGCTCAGGAAAACTTCTTGCCCTCGATACCGGGCAGCTTCCCTGACGACTCGGATGGCTCCGATTCCAAGCAGACCATGCTTCTGGGTCGCATCTACCACTTTGACAGTACGATTACTTTCGAACCCAGCTTCTGGAAGCGGCATGTACATAACGCTACCGGTGCCCTGCGTCTGCGCAATCCCGGAAACCACACCGAGTTGGGAGGGTCCGAACGGTGGGAAAGGGTACTTCTGCACGAGTTTGAACTGATTGTCCGTGGTACGCTGAAATATTCCATACCGCTGGGTGGCAAAGCTTATGCTGCAAACGTTGGAAACAGGGTCGTAGTCGATCCGCAGAAGGATGACGGTCCTGGTCCCGGCGAAGGGAGTGATCCAGAGGACGACGATGATAGAGAAGAAATGCACGAAGACCCCAATTCCATTGGGATCTCTCGAATATCAAACGGGTGGAAAATCACGGTCCATCCTCTCGAAGACGAACTATCGACGCACGAACGCCTAAAGAGGAGGGTTTGGGCTCGATTGCTGAGACAATTATAATCCTCGCCAGTCTTGTTATTTTCCTATGTTTTAAGAACCACCAACTTTTTTTTTTACGACCTATAGACAGTTTCATCACGCTCCACAGCGCACGAAGCATTTCCCGGCAGGTTGGGGCTTGACCGCTACCACGCGAACACTTGCCGCTTTACCACTGACGACGGACGAATTTCCTTGTGTAAATTTCTTGAACATTCCAACTGTTTGGGGGAAAATCGAGAAAAAAATATGGCTATACCCGGTCCTGCCTACGCATCAGGCAGTTGATCACCTTACTCAGGCGAGAGAAAGCGAAGCTTGTCACTATTACATTGTTCTTTTTTTCTAATCACCTGGCATTTTTCAAACAGCGCAGAGCACCTATGTAGCCTTGTGGAAATGCAGAGGCATCATCCCCTTTTTTTTTAGCTTGCAATTGTTCGTAGCGTTCGAGCGAGAATTTGTAATATTTTTATTTTCTTTCAAAAAAATTTTTTTTGGTGATGTTGGCCATGTTCCCCGAGTGAAGGAGAGTGGCAAGAGAAAGATTTGCAGCTATGCAAGTGTGAACGGAGCGTGACAAAACATGTCAGCTGGGAGAAAGACAGTGTAGAGGGGAGTTTGACGGAGGGTATGACAACTCTTGTCTAGTGGCAGGCTGCGCGCCTACGTTCCACTAGTGTTTGTATCAAGCAATCGAAAAGCCATTTGGGTCCGCTAGCTTTCTCGCATCACACTCTCTGTCCCATGAACATTCACAGCTTGGCTTTTGACGCGGCGCTTGCCTTGCTTTCCGATCCGTAGGCACCCTCGGCTCTGAATCTGTACTCGACGTCCTCGAACCGCCCGGGGAAGACGTACAGCCAGCGAAAGTCCTCGGCGCCCTCGTTGCGCACGCCGTGCTCCGCGTCGCCGGGTATGAACACCGTCATGCCCTTCTCGAGCTCGTACGCCGCCCCCTCGATCTCGACGACGCCGCGGCCGGACAGGACGTGGTACAGCTCCGGCTGCGTGTGCTTGTGCAGGCCGAGAAACCCTCGGGGCGGGCATGACGCCACGCCCGCCGCCAGCTGCGTCGAGAAGAGCGTCGTCCAGGTCACGGAGCCTCGCGACGACTGCGAGGCCGGGAAGGACTCCAGGAAGGACGTCGGCGGGCGCACCACGGCGGGCGAGAGGGGCGTCGCGGTCGGGGCGCTGAGACACATGGCTCCGGACCCGTTCACGGCAGCTTAGTCTTTTCCGGGCCCTTTTTTGTTGGGCTTTTTTTTTTTTTTTTTTTTTTTTTTTTTTTTTTTTTTTTTTGAAAAGAAAGTAATCCGCGTGTGTTTTCTTTTCCTGTTTTCTCGTCTCTTCCTGCTCTTTTGAAAGGGGACGCGGTTTGGAGGCTTTCTGGTCCCTCGCTTCAGACTTGTGGTTGTGCAGACGTCGGGTCACTCCGCTTCAACGTCTGGCTTCCTTGGTCGACGTTCGTTGAGCTTGATTCTGTGGGTTTTCTTTGTAACTTTTCTCCCTTGTTACTTCGTCTTCGGATGATACCCGCACCGTCTGCTATATATGCGAGTCCCTTCGGGCGACGGCGCGAGGAGCATCCTTGGTATAAAAGCGGATACGCATGTCCTTTCGAGCTTTGGTGGGGGTAAGAAGGTTAACAAACTTCTTTTCCAAATTAGGACATGGTATCCCATTCCGACAGACTTATACTCTCTTGTGTCACCAGGTTACACGTACCGGTCTATCTTCCGGACTGTCTGGGGATAAGGGGGCAGCTGTGGAACTGTTTTTTAGCAGAACACGTCTTTTAAGAATCTTAATGCCCCGAATGAGAGTAGATAACAGCAAAAGCAAGCAGATTGTACGGGCGCTGGCCTGAAGTGCTGCTCGAAGGTAGAATCTGGGCTAAGTGGTACAATGGTGGCTTGGCAGCAGGTTTTTGAAATGCAATGGAGGGAGCAATACAATCATCAGTCTAGCGTCATTCAAGAAAGGGTTTTCTTGGTACGAGTAGACGTGTTTGCGAAGGCAGCGAGTTCGTGGTGCACAACTTGACTTCACCAAGGATTGCGACTTTGCTCCAAAGCGTTGATGAACCACCACAATCATGCATCATGCGTCTTGTCCGGTGGTGTATGCAAAAGCTACAGCGAGCTATTGCATTGCTTAATCGAGCTGCAGAAGATATGTCAAGATGGCTGACAGCGTGTGTTCGGAATCACGATCATGAGGCCGCCCGCTCGACGCTTTCAACTTCGTTCTTCATCATAAAGCCTCCGAAACGAGTTCAACACGATGTCGTACGTATCTATCGTAGCTGAAGGCGAGAAAACGAAGAGCTCGTGGACTAAGCTTATAAGCAGCGTGCATAGGCACGTGGCATCCTGTATGTGTTCATTCAGAGCGCTATCGGTGGCATTTCCAGCTTGATGACTAAGATTACTGAAAAACCGTTTAGACTATTGACACGTTGTGCGCCACTCGATACGTGTACAGTTTAGCCTTTGGTTTCCCACCGTTTTCATTCGGCAGGCTGGCCTGGACGGTGTGGACGACGAATGCCTTATTTTGACAGTAGCACGCGAGAAAGCGGTGCTGGTGGGCTGGTGGCATGAAAAGTGGCAGTGTCGTAGTGCGACGGCAGAAGATAGGAAACAAAAGACATGGCAGAGTGTTTTCCTCTTTAACGAGATTGACGGCCATGCGGATGCAAGGGACGGACAATGGCCTGCTCTTAGACATCGGCCATCGTGATGGAGCTGGGGTGCGGCGACGCTTTGATGGGGATGGCTTCGCATCGCGTGCACCGCAGACGCCTCCTGGCGGCCCCGACTCAACGCCTTCTGAACTTCTTTAGCAAAACAATCGGCATGAACACCCCGAACAACAAGACGAACCGTACTAATCGCTCGGCGGCCGAGTCGTGGACACCGTGGACGCATCTGTCCATGGGCACTTTGCATGCGGACGACCAAGGCAATGGTCTCGTTCTTGTTCGGCACTATGCACCATCTGCGAGTGCGAGATTGAAGGCAGTGCGCGTGCATGGCTCCCCTAGTAGTGCTCATAAATGCATTGAAATCCTCCGACGGCGCCACAGTCTTTCTCTACAAGTACGTGTCGGTTGCCTCCCCTTTTTTTTCTCTTTTCGATCCCTTTTCTTTCTACTTCCTTCGGCTCAACCTCTGTCCAGAAATTTGCTCTGGGAGGGACAAAAGAGGGGAGAGTAAAAAGGTGCTCCCGATATTCACTCGACGCAGACGGTCCTTGGCTCTGCAAACGACTTTGACAGGTTCACCCGCGTCCCATCGTGCCGGTTGGAACTCGCATTCGGATCCACTACTGCGCTTCTCGCATACGGCACGCATCTATAGTACAGCTATTAAGACCAACTGCATCACTTTCAACGTGTACCGTTGCCGCCAGGCTCAGAAGCTTGAACTTTTCTTTGGCAAGACGCTCGTTCATCCTTGCCTCTGCTCTTGACACGTCATTTTTTCGAACCTCATTAGATCCTGCGATCGCGTTGGGAACTTTGCTGTTCCTGATCCTACGGCCTTGCACCAGTACAGGGTTACCCCCACAGAGAAGTGTCTCATCATGATGGGATTTCTGTCCAAACTGCAAGCGAGTAGGTGGAACGGACACGCAGCGCCGATCGTGAGGGCGACTGGCTAAACAATTTCATTTTCTCTGCAGGGAAAGAGCTCAACCGCTTGGAGGATCGTTACGTCAGGAGGAACAACCGCAACGCGTGGAAGTCGGACTTCGAGTATGTCAACGGCGAATACGTGTTTAAGAACAGGCAGCAAGTCGACCCACCCGCGTCCCGCACGGCGCAGAAGCAAGCAAATCCCAACCCGCGCTTCTCAACTGCCCGGCCGCCGACGGACTCGTCGTATGGCAGCGAAGCGAGCAAGCCGTCCAGCGCCGCCAGCTCCTCGTCCAAACCCAGCAAACGATTTTCTACAAGTTTTGTCTGGCGGTAGTGCGGTTTGACGAGGAGCACTCATCGTGTCCAGCATCTAGCCTCGTGCTCGAGGCATGTACTATATCGAAGTCGAGCCCGCCACAGCCCGCGCTTCGAGACCGGTTCCGTGGCTTGAAAGCCTGAGCCTTCCCAGATCGTCCGGCACTTCGTCCCGTCTGCTCCCACGGCTGATCGCGCTCGTCCACGGGGGAGGGCTTCGCAGTGGCCCGATCATAAGGATCCAGGACGGCTGTGTATTGGACGGACTAAATAACTGGTCGGCCTGCCACAGTGCAACATGCACACTATAGTAGAAACGATAACGTGCGGACTAGAGAAGGAAAAACGAGTCATGATCTATAGTTTTAATTGCAACCAATCAACGAATTTCTATTGCAAGTTGATATTAGCTTTTGTCGGGCGTGACAGAGAGATCGCACACCGATTCTCTCACATGCCATCCCACGGTCCGTCGATAGCTGTGTAGCAAAGTCTTTGCCTCGAGCAAAGAAAACCAACATCGCGTGACTTCCTTTTTCCCCAGTCCCCCCTCCTTCGTGAAAGTATTGTCCTGTCCTTTTCGGCGAGCAGCAAAATTCGTATTGCAACGCTGAATCGCGCCGCATGCCCCTCGATTCTTTCTTCCCGGCGGAGGGTGGAGGGAAGCGCTAAGACAGAACAAACAGAAATGACTTGCATGCATCGTCGTTAGATACGTCTCCAGCTGCGGACGGTCTCCCAGCCTTATGCCTGCTCCGGTTACAGCTCGCCAATCGTGCTGAGGGCAGGCTTTACCGTTCAGCGTAAAACTTGCCGACGATCTGCACCCAACGCGGGCGTCCCACTTTGTGATCAGGTGGGGCAACCTCTCTTATTTTTTGTGCCTCTTGGAGTCGACGACACAAGCAGAAGCTTTCGATCTGAGTCGTGGGAAAGCGGGAGCGATTCTTGAAGCCTTTGCCGATCGCGGATTGGGGAAGGAAGGGGGGGGGATGCGAGGCTGCAAAGAGGTAAAAGAAGCTACCAAACGGGCGGTGCCTTTGGGCTCCCAAAGACACTGTTGTTTTTTCTTTTCTTTTTCTTTCTGCTTTGCAGCTCTCTTGGGGAGCGCGGGACGTTTTGGCACAGGCTAAAGCTCAAAAAAAAAAGCACGTCAACTGCACATCATGCGTGTGTTCTTCACCTTTTCATAGCACGTCTCCACAGCGCGGCCCAGCGTGCCCAGGGAAATTATGGGCGAAAGATGCTGGACACGCTTCATGCTGACGAAAAGGCCGCCAAAGGAGAAAGGTTAGGAAAAAAAAAAAAGAAAAAGAAAAGAAAAGAGAAAGGAGATCACCCCGTAATACCCTGGGAGTCTCAGGTTATAGATTGGTTATTTTCGTTTCTTTCGATTTGGTCATCATTCTTTCTGGATCTGCGGGCCGGCACAAGCCGTCCTGCGCGCTCCCCAGCGCCATGACGACGTGCTACTTCCCTCCCTGCATCTTCCCGTACGAGATATCCGATCTGAAAGAAAGAGGTTTGAAGCCGTTCCCCGAAGTCCTATGCTTCGTAGATCAACGGAGTGGCTTTTTCTTTTTCTTTTTCTTTTTCTTTCTTTTCTTCCCCTTTTAACGCAACTCCCGTTTTTCGACGAGGCGAGGCGAGGCGAGGCAAGAGAGGTCCACAGGTGTTTGTATGGTCGTCAACATCGGGGGGAGCATGAGATAGCGGGTCGAGCCCAGATTGCGCAGCGCGATGCTACCTTGCTCGAGCTCTCCCCGAGGGAAAAGAAAGGAGAATCTGAAAGGGATCTGTCCGGCTTTTGGGCTGCTCTGCTAACCCCACTCGGCGACGTACCAGGCCCCAAGTCTAGGGCAGGCCATTTCAATTCCACCTGTGACGGGATGTGGTTACTCGGGGAGGGGGCCGCGCGAAAATACCACTGCAGACCGTTGAAAAAGCAGGTTTCTCACCGATCGAGACCTCGACGCGGAACGGTGGGCTGCAGTTTTCGTGGTCGCACCGACAGGCAACGCTCGACGTTGTTTTGTGATAGCGTAATTCACGGGGCGGTAGTAGCAAGACAAAGTGGCAGGCGGCGTACTAACGACGGCCAGGCTACTCTTTCACACCCTCCTAAGCCCGTCCAAGGCCAGGAAAGGACACTTGATTTGGGAGCCGCGTGATTGAGTTGAACCCCCTGCTCGTAACCTTCTGTCTCGTGTATCGTGCACGTAATCCACTGGGTTCCTACCATTCTCCGAGGAGGCGAGGCAGAAATGCATCCAGGATGCGATGGGAAGCGCTTTTTCTTTTCACGAAGTAGAAGAAAAAAAAATTTTTTTTTTTGCTTCGCTCTTTCTGGCCCACAGCGCGAGAGCCAATAGGCAGGTCTTGTTCGTCGATTGGGCATGCGATTCGCCCACGCAATTCGTCGAGTCTCCTGCCCAACACCTTGGACGGGGGCTCAGCAGATCTTCGACAGATGCGGGCGATGCATCACCACATCCAAAGCGGGCATGGTGCGGGCTAAGTTAGTGTTTCTGACGGATTGGTCGCCGAGCTGCGCACACTGTTGACGAGCTCCGTCCGTGAAGAGCAATTGCCCTCAGGTACACGCGATCTTCACGAGATCGACTAGTATACGCACTGCCAGCTATCCTTAGCATGTGCTTTGGGGCGGCGTCTCACGGCGCTTTGTGATCGATGCTCTACCTGGTTATTTGCTCGTCGAGCAATACGCCTGTCTTACTTACGGCAAGGTTCGAATCTCCGGTCCACACAAAAGCGGTTGAAAAGTGCTTTGCATTGGTTCGAGGCGGCGGGTGTTCCGGTATTCTACATCATCATCTTCCTCGTCGTCATTGATCCAGCCGGGGCTGTGGCAGGCACGGTTCTCCTGTTTCCATGTCTGCATAGCCGTGGGCTCTTGCAGACGCATGAAAAGAAATGTCCCAAGAGTACAGGTTCGCTGTCCGCACCAGCGTCCAGGCTGGTCGAGGCTGTTTCCCCCTCCCCCATTCACGAAGATTTCAAGCCCATTTCCCCACAGTTCATCGCGACGTGAGACCCCCCCGAACCGAAAAAGGACGCACAGACATGGCGTATTTTTGGACGTGATGCCCTCTTCGTGCTTGCTCAGGCGATTGTTCAGCAAGCAGCCGTGTGCGTCAAGCACCCCTCCAAAGCACACAGGCGCGCACGCAGGCCTCGCGTCGTGAGCTATTTCGTTTTGGAAAGCAGAGCAGTACGAGGTCGACGGCGACTGGGCGTGCCCTCCCATCCCCTTCCCCCCTTCCTCCCGAACGGGTTGTATTATTGGCTTTCGTTATCCCTCTCTACCTAGCCCTGGTCGAGGTCGCTGTGGCGCACGCGCGTTGCAAAAAGGGTTCTGGCTCGCTGCCCGCTGATTGTTCATCACTTCAGCACGACTTCCGCTCTTGGTTCATCACAGGCATGGAAAGGAATCAGGAAGAGCGTAAAAAAAGTCTGTTAAGCGAGTCATCGCCGCCACCCCTTGCGACATGTGTTGTCGTCTCTGGCAAAATCCGTATCCGACACCTCCAAAATCGTGCTCGCTACTGAAAACAGGCGCAACGTCGAGAGCTGAAGCAGCCCTCGAGGCGGCTGATCCACACTCCAATACCCCGTTTTATTTGGGGGCAGAGCTTGATCTCGTTGGTCGGCAGCCCTCCATGTACAGCGAGGGAACGATGGAGCGCAGGTGCTGAAGGGTACGAGGGCGGGCGTGAGTCGCGGTGAGGACGGGCGTGTAGTTTTTTAAGTGCGACGAGAGCAGGTATCGGCAGGTACCACGCCGTGCCGACTACGAACGGGACGCGCGCATCTCCAAGGTTCTCGTCAGCGAGGCGGCAGGACGGGTGCAAGCTAGAAGCGTATGGGGAGAGGGGTTTTTTGTAGGCTGCGAGGTGCGCAAGCGCGAGCATCTGCGCCGTCGAGGCAGCGGCATCAGCAGCAGCAGCAGCAGCAGCAGCAGCGACGGGCACTCGCGTCACGCTGTTCGTGGACGCTACGCAGGCGTGCCAGTGCAGACGGCGTGTCGCGCCGTCGTCTTCCGTTTTCTCACGACCAGCAGGCCGTGGACGAGCCAACCTGATTTGTGGCCAGCACCGACCCAGAGGCCCGGCACGCTAGCGCCGCCGACTGGGGTAATTCCTGCGTGTGCTCAGGCTGCGGCAGCAAATCGCACCCGCCCAACGCCTGCGCAATCCTGCATGTCGCCCGCGTCCCCTCTTCATTCCCTTATCGTCTTCCCACGTATGAACCTCCCGGCCTCTCGTCCTCCAGCGCTCGAGGAGAAACTTGTGTGAAATCCCTCGCCTCGCATCGGCCACCCCCCTCCCCCAGACCCAGACGGCGCCCTCGCACAAGCACGTCCGCAGGCCATCTCCGACTCGTCTCGTTTGCGTCGTCTGTCTTTCGCTCGCTCGCCTTTGTCTGACCTTTCCTGCCTATCTGACCTGCTTCCCTGGCCCCCCTCCCCCAGACGCCCTTTTTCGACCGTGATCCTCGTACTTCCCGCGGCTGCGACAGGCGTGCACGAACCCGTAGCAACGGGCCCGCCTTGCATGCGAAATCAGCGAGACCCCCCGGCCCCGTTCGTGAGTTCTAGGCGAACGTAATATATCCATGCCCAACCCCATCTGCCAAAGTTAAGACACTCCACAGCCGCACGACCAGTGTTGGCCGGCCGTGTAGGCGAGCCCAGCAAAGAGCACCCTTTCGGCTGATACTTCCCTCTCCCGCTACCACCTCCCCGCCGCACCGCACAGCCCGTTTCCCTTATTTATCTTTTGATTATTCTTCTTTCTCAACCACGGCCCGCCGCTCTGTGCCGTGGCGGACAAGCCTAGTTCCCGTTTGTCTCAGCGGGTAATTCTGGGGCCGCTGAAGATCACCCCTCTTCGTCCTATCTAACGAGCTCGTCCTCCCCCCCGCCGCCGCCATCGCAGCGTGTTTGCTTCGCCTCCCAAAACCAACGCCTCAGGACAAGCTCGCCTGGAGATGAACTGAATGTATCGTCGCCGCCGCCGTCGCCGTCCTCGATGATCCCAAGGCCGAATCTACAGCAGACGGGCCCTCAGATGGCGCCTTTTTTCGGTCCCGACCTTCCGCCGGGCATGCTTAGCTTGAGCACGTCGCCGAGCTCGACGGCGTCGTCAGGCGATTCGCCCAACACGAGCACGACGCTGACCTTCCAGGTCGCATTCACGCGGGAGAGCCCAATGTCGTTGGGAGATGCCGATGTCGTCCCCAAGATCGAGGAGCTCGACGAGGACGCCTCGCTAGGAACCAAAATCGAAAGCCCGCCGGAAGACCAGCGAAGTCGAGAAGAGCAGGACGCAGACACCACACAGACGCCGAACGGCACCATCACACGGCGACCTCGTGGCAGGCCGAGAAAGCACCCGAAAACACCGCCCTCGGCGACCACCAAGGCGCCAAAGGGCCGGAGCAAGACGGGCTGTCTGACGTGTCGGAGACGGAAGAAGAAGTGCGACGAGACAAAGCCAGCTTGTCAGTGTTGAAGAGCAGATTTGCAGCCGTCATTGCTTGTCGTTCTAACATCCGTCAGGTCTGCACTGCCAGAAGAACAATGTGCACTGCGAAGGCTATCCGCCAAAGGACTATTGGCAAAGCGGGAAGCAGCGGGCACTAAAAGGTAAGCGTACCATGCGAGACTGCAAAAACTCGCCCGTCGAAGCTCACACAGACACACGCGCAGACCGCAGAGTTAGCCTGAGTCGACCCCCGCGCGAGCTGCCCATGATGGTCCAAGGGCTTGAGAACGACGTGGACTGGTTCTTCTTCGACCACTTCAACATGCAACTGTCGCGCGTGCTGAGTCTCTTCACAGACAAGAACAACCCCTTCAAAGGTAATCTCTCTTCCCGTCGCCCCTTTTTTTTTGGTCGTCGTTTCTCATGTGTAGCAGAGCTGCTCTTGCCGATGGCCACAACGCATCCGGGCTTGATGCACTCCATCCTCTGCCTTTCCGGAGCACACCTCGTGGCTCGTGAGCCCAGCGCGCGCTTTGAGGACAGACAGGCACACCACTTCAACCGTGCGCTGCAACACTTGCGTACCAACGTCTCGAAGCCTCCACAGGTTGAAGGCGGGGAGGCCGTGGTGATCGATGATCCTACTGTCGCCCAGGTCCTCGTGCTCTGTCTTCGGTCGATATGCGCAGGCGAAACAAACGGGGAGTATCGACCCCACCTCGACATGGCGAAGCACCTCGTTAAAACACAACCGTCGCGAAATCCAGAATTCCGAGCGTTCTTGCTCGAATTCTTCATCTACCACGACGTTTCGAATTCTATCACCGCCCTGGATCGTCCGTCGATACTGATGAACGAAGAATTTAGCCTGCCCGATTTCGTGCAGCCAGATGCAGGCATGTTCCTCGGAGTTGCCGACCGTCTGTTTGTATCCCTCTCGAAGACGAGAGTGCTGCGCGACCGGGTGCGTGCGCGCCGGGAACAAGGCATCAAACCAGTCGTCGACTACATGATCCTAAAGGACGCCCAAGCCATCGATCAAAGCCTACGCGAGTGGGACTCTCACCAGCCAGAAGGAAGTCCGAAACGGATCATGGCCTACCTCTATCGCCAATGCGCCTGGCTTTATCTGCATCGAACCATCATGCCACCCGTGCCGAACCCGCAAATCCACGACGCCGTCGAGGAGGGCTTGCATTTCTTGCGCAACTTGCCCCCCGACTCATCAAGCATGAGCGTTCTTCTCATGCCGCTCTATCTTCTTGGGCTCTGCGCCTTTGCCGAAGAGCAGCGGCCGGACATCCTGAAGGCGTTCGACGATCTCCAGAGCTACAGCAACCTTGGCAACATAAAGCACGCGCGGAGACTGATTCACAAGATGTGGGAATTGATGGACGCCGGCGACGAGGGCGCCTGGGACTTTGAAAAGGTTCAGAAGCAGATGGTACGTGAACTCTAATTTTTCTTTTTTCCTTTTTTTCTTTTCCTTTTCCCCCCTTCAAGTTTGAAAAACCCGTCGTTTCGTGGCCCACCAAAGGCTAACATATATCTATCTACAACAGGGTTTGGACTTTCTCGTGACATAACTTTCTTGGTGCGCGCTTATTTTTTTCTTTTACTACCTGCGAATGTGCAAGCCGGAATCAGGATAGTCTCGAGAGCATGTTTATACCCCCATTCGAGGTCCGGAATCTTATTGTTGTAAGATGCATTATTGGTGGCTTTGGGACATTTGTAATATTCTGCGCCCATATATTCATTCTGGAGAACGGGACGGCTAGGTGGAACTTTTTGGGAGTCTACGGCTCTTTGGGGGAAAAAAACAAGGACGCCCCGGCGTGCCACCTGTCACGTCTCTTTTCTTCTCCTTCTTGAGACGACCATGTACGATTTGAATAGCAAGAGCTTCTCAGACTTTTGTGTGTTGGTAGGGAGAGGTCTGCCGCGGTCTGATCCTCTTTGTGGTTGTGCGCATTGCACCAGTGGATCATGCGAGCTTACGGTTTCAGGCGACTCGGTATGCCTGGAGAGTAACGAATACATCTGTTGACACGCACGCGCCACAGAACAATAGTTCCTTCAATCACGACAGTCATGCACACAACTTTCCAACGTACAAGTGCCGAAGCTGCGCCTAGTCGTACGATTACCCCTTTTCAGCGTCCGGCAGTTAACTGATCGGCCTTTTTTTTTCGTGACACGCGTTCAAAAGCTGGACGTCAAACTCGATCTGAGAGTCGCCCAGTGTACCGGACAGTCCAGGGTACGTCAGGGTACAGGGTTTACGGTCCGAGTATCCGTCCTGCGAAACGATATTTTTTTTTCGAGATTTACAGCGATGCTGCTTGGTGGTCAGGTTCCAGCAAAAGGGCATCAGTGCCCAAGCTCAAATCGGCGTAATGGAGGCAGATTGGGGCGCGTCAAATGACTCGCAAACGGGTGTCATCGTTGCCGCACGATGGTAGCTGCAGGTACCGACACAGCGGTGCACAGCGGCCAGGTACGTACCCCATTCCGGCGCGCACTCGGCAGCCAGAGGACGGCCTGTGTAAGGATCGACTCGGTGGCGCGTCCATACGTGGGATGCGTGGGGGTTCGTTTGTAGCGAAGTCCCAGACCTCTTCTGTGCCCTGCATCTCGAGATGGCCTTACATTGACGATAATGGCCCGCAGCCAAGGGAAGTTTTTCTCTGCTGTTTGTCTCGGTGCGTCGCGTCGCGTCGAGTCGAGTCGAGTCGAGTGTCACGGGCGCGTGTGCACGCAACCTGTGCGGACGCCCTCACTCATGTCTGACTGGCAATCTGAACGCTGATCACGAGCCTGGGCTTTCTACGTAGGCGAGCGAGTCGAGCTCAGGGTTCGACTGCACTGCCGAGATTCGTAGGAGAAACTGTTTCCGCACCGTCTGTCGACGTTGGATCGCAGCCTTGATGGGACCGACGCACCGTGAGGTCCAGTCTCGCCACGAGATAGGGAAGATAAAACGAAGAAAATTGCAGACCGGATCGTTTCGGTATCCTTTCACGGTTAGGGTTGCTGGCGGTTTCCGGCTCTCTGACGAGGTCTCTGACGAGAGAGACATGGTGTTAGTCGCTAGACCTACCCGGTGCCACAACGGCACAGTCGTACAGAGTAACCGTCGCGAAAGCAGGGCCTGCTCCTGGAAAAGAACGAAAACACAGTGATGGGATTCCAGACCGGCACTGATTCGAAATGTCGAGAGGCCCTGCTGAGTGCTGACATCATCCGATGCCCGGATATCCACACGTGGATCTGAATCGGGAGAGAGGACCGAGATGTGGCCAGCATGGGTGAAGAGACGAATAGGTGAGACAACACGTCAGGTGACGCGCTCGAGGTCCCAACCGCGCAACCTCCATCCTCCGTGAGGCTCATATATCTTCTGCACGGTCGTTGCAGCACCACCTACTGCTGCGGGCTGTGCGCGCGACGTCGAACAGGACGGATCTCCGCTTACTGTCAACGTTCCTGAATCAACAGCTTGTGCCTGTGCATCCGGCTTTGACGCAGCCTTTTTCCGACGCTTTTGTCGCTTGCAATCAGGCGGGAAGCCCTTATGGTCTGATGGTGTCCAAGCCGGCTGTCCAAACGACATCTGATCAACACGCTCTGGGGCTCTTCTGGGAACAGGGACCGCAAAGAGTGTCGACTCAGGGCGTCCCCGCCAACCCCATCGCCGGCGTTTTCGCTGCTAATGAGCAGACACGTACGGAGGCACCGCCACTTCAGTTTCATGAACGTGTGTATGGGTGGGTGTTGCTCGGTTGGCAACGAGCAAATCAACCCGCCAAGTACCACTGAGCGTTCGACCGCCACTGTGTCCCAGCACGTTGGAGGGCGAAACTCGATCGTCGTTCGGAATATCCGCCCAATTTTGTGATTGGCCCGCCACGACAATTTGTTCTGTCCCAGGCTCATGAATTATTGCCATTGACAAACACTACATGTCGAGGTCGCCGAACTTTTTCCTACCCTGGCGTTTCGGGCGGCCCTTTGCTGTTCTGAGCAGTCGTTTTGCATGGACAGGGTTGATGCAACCTATATCTTTCTAGAACAAGCAGAACATCTTTTCATTGAACAGCTCTGCGGCCATCGAAGTAAAAAAAAAAAAAAAAAAAAAAAAAACCTTTACCTCGCCTATCCACCTCGGGACTGCTAGCGTGGCAATTCTCACACATCATGGCTTGATGACCTTGCACGTTCATCTTTCCCATGCGGATGGCGTCCGCTTCCAGCCACAACTTCGACAATCAACCTATGCCGCGTCAGAGTAAACCGAATCTAAGCCTTCTCATGGACGGGAGCTCTTGTTCCACTCCTGGGGCTCTACTCAACTCGTCGTTCTGGCCAAGGTCTCGCGCACAAGCATGAAGATGAGCTCATGGTTGTTGAGAAGCGAAACACCGTCCAATCTCGCGCGCGCCTCCGCGGCGTAGATAACTCTCCATGGGCCACAAAGAGTGATCTGACCAGAACAAGGAGGAGTAAGACTGACCTGGGCTCGGCCTGAACTGAACAATTTCTCTTTTTCTCCCCTCTTCTTCGCGAGATACACTGTGTTTCAGCATTCCTCGTCTCGACAGCTCCAGCTCCGGCACACGAAGATTGTCAACGCAGTGTCGTGGGCCAAAGGGCGTTGTCGGCGTGGAACACCATGCCCACGCGCGTGCGTCTGTGTGTGCAAACGCCTCTTTTGTTTTTGGAGCCTCGGCGGGATCGATTCTCTGAAGGACGAGGCGAGCGCGAGGCACATGGGACGACGCCAACCCCTTCGTGGCAGCTTCGCCACGGCAGTTCGAGCGTAGGCTAGAGGTCCTGAACCGAACCCACGGCCATCTCGCATGCCATGGCGACGAGACGCTGTGAAATTCGGGAGCCCTGGGTTGTACGTTGAACACCCTGCGGACGAGGAGGGAGACAAAAAGATTCATTTCCTGGAGCGAGAGCAACGGGGCAAACAGAAGAAAAGAAGAGCGGGGAGGCAGAAACGAGCACGAACTGGACGGATGAAAACGAGAACCGCAGAGTTGAAAGTCTACGACGAAGAGCTCGTGAGCTGGGAGAAAAAGGTCGTAACCATGCATATAATGCACAACGAAAAGGGAAAAAAGAAGGAAAATTTTTGCTAGAGACGCCCACTCATTTGTCCAAACCGTTTCGCCACGCTATGCAATCCTCCCTCACCAGAGAGAGGTGTAAAAGAAAAGTGGTTACCCGGTGAGAGTCGGACGGACCCGTTGTGAGGGCCGCAGACGGGGCGAATAAAAGACTAGATGCTAAAATGCGGGTAGGAGAGGACGACTCTATGCGAGCGTTTGAATTCTCACGACTCGACGTCCTCCTCGTCATCGCTCGCGCTGGCCATGGCTTCCTCCATCATCTTCGCAAAGTCATCGTCGTCTTCTTCGTCAATGTCGCCGCCATCTTCATCCTCCTCTCCCTCTCCTTCTCCCTGCCCTTCTACCTCTTCTTCCATGTCGTCTTCGGCCCCGTTCGCCACGCCGTTCCCCTCCTCTGGGCCGGTCGTCTCTGGACTCGGCAGACCGGACGACTCCGATGCGACGGTGACGTTGGTCAGCCCCGTCGTTCGCTCCGAGGCCTTCTTCCTCCGTTTTTGAAGCGCAGATCCGTTGACGCCCCCTGACGCACTGCCGTCGGCATCCTCGCCTTCCCGTTCTCCGTCCACCGAGCTGGGTGTTCTCTTTCGTTTCCTCGTCTGCGTTTCGCTTCTGCTGCTGCTGATGCTGGCGTTGCTGGCGTCTGACTCAGAACCTTCGTCGAACTCAGATTCATCGTCGCTGCCCATGAATTCCTTCAGCTCGTCGTTCGCTTCTTTCCAGTCCATCTCTCCCTTCTCAAACGTTGGCGACAATGGTTCCCCTTCTTGGTCGTCTGGCAAGTCGCTGATTTCTTCGCCGTCTTCGGAGGGGGTGAGGATCACTCCCTCCTCGAACTCGTCGAACGGAAGAGAGTCGTGGTGCCCTGCATCTCGGTCAAACTCAATGGTGTGCGGGCCTTCGTCGACATGTTCCCAGCGCGAGAAACACTCGTAGAGCCAGCTAACGGACACTATCTGGATTCGTGGGTGCTGCGTGGCTTGTCGAACTTTGCTTGTCCGTCGGTCTTTGTGTGCGATCACGTGGGTTGTGGACTTGGTAAGGTGGGTGTTGATGCGAGCTCCAAAGCTCTGCGCCCACATGCCCAAGTCAGACCTTGAGAAAGGGTTAGCAATGACGAAGAGGCAAGTTGGCTGATTCTACTTACTTCTTATGATCGATGCCCTGTGGAATGACGCCCGTGAAGCAGATGACAACGCCCTGAAGCACTTGCCTTTTCATGGCAGGCATAATCACCTTGACATCAGGGACAAGCTCCAGGTCGTCGACAACCGGCGCTTTCTTGGGACTAGTCTTGTCCCCCCGAAGCTCTGCGACTCTGCCTGCGGCCATTCTTCTCTTTCTTGCGTCGAACTCTTCGAAGAATGCTCGGTGTACGTCTTCAAGATGTTTTTGCAAGTACTGCAGCTCGTCATCGTCGTCTCTTAAAAGGTTGTGTCTATGCCTTTGCGAGTGCTCTGATGACGTTTCGCTTCCATCGCCATTGACGTCTTCGGCTTCATCGAGCTGGTCTAATGCTTCTTGCCTTCTTAGGAGCGGTCTGTCTTCTAGCTGCGTTGCAATAAGCTCTTCTTGAGCTTCTGTCTGCGCAGTGAAATCAGCATCTGTACCGGACCCTGCCATGGCAACAATCTGCGCCCCTAGGTCCGAATCTTCATCGTCCGGTGCCATGTCACCGTTGTCCGCTGATTGTGTGTCGAGCACCCGCTCCTTTCCTTTATCTGCGAGGTTGCCTGCGGCGGGTGCACCCCCATTGGTTGCAACGGTGCGTCCAACCTTCGGTTTTGGCACTGCACCTTGTGTTTTCGGCAAGAAGCTCGAGTTGATGTCTCCAATGCCAACGAAAAAGTCATACGGCGACACCTTGACGAGATTTGCATTCCAGTGCCAAACATCTCCACGATCGTCGATGATGACAACCATGTCCGTCGTAACAGGGAACAGGCGGTGCAGGTTCTTCGCCGTCATGCTGCCGCTCTCGTCTCTGCTGAGAATTCTATCTCCAAAGATCTTGTGCTGAGGATCCACAATCTTCGCAATGTTCTGTGCATACGCACGGGTTCCCATGGTGTAGATATGCAGCTCATACTTTTTCGCGATAGCCTGCAGAAACTGGTCTAATCCTGGCCGCAGCTTAATGTAGTACCAGCATCCGCGCATGCCTGGTCCGTCGTCCAGGAGTTGGAATGCCTTGACATCCTTGACCGCGTCATAGTTTGGATTATCCGGATCCTTCTGCCACTCGGCAACGGTTGGGTCAACGGTGGCGTGGATGATGGTCTGGTCCAGATCTACTACCAGGGACAGTTTTCTGCTCTCCAGCAGCCGGCGCGTCAACTCCTCACTCCGCGTGTTGGCAACGCGCTCGCTCACTTTGAGGGCGGTGTTGTTGTGCGAAGTGGCGACAGTCGCTCGCGACGCATTAGGTCTGCTTGTGAGGTAGTTGTCCAGCTGGGTGACGTCCACTCCGCAGATAACGCAGAGATTGCCAAACAGTTCCTCGTGTGAACATGGCTCTTCGATTTCGACTATTCGGATGCTAGGAAAAGAAACGGTCAGCCACGGGATTGTGTACGGAGAGTTGTTAACAGGCGCAAACTTACCCGGGACGGGTGAGCACATCGCCGACTTTAATGAACCATTGTCGCACAGTGCCTGATGTTTCTGATTTGAATTCTTCCGGGAAGGTTTTGAGAACCTCATGTTCGTCGCCATACTTGTCGCCCTCGATGACTGGGCTCTTGTATGTGTATTTGAACAGCGCATCAAATAACGATACCTCCGCCCCGGGCTGGACCAAGAGCTTCGAGACGGTGATCGGATAATGCTGCGATGTGGTGCAAATAATCATCACGGACTTGACATGCTCGGTTGTCCGGGAGCAATTGGTATGCGCATTCGGCTGACGGTGGAAACGCGCTTGACGGTGACGAGGGCGCGGCGCGACGGCATCAATGGGTTGACTCGGAGCTGTGGGTGCGCGAGGCGAGGCTACGGCGATTGTGAAGCACGAGTCACTGGCGTTGTGGCGTGGGTGGTTGCGAGGGCAGATGGTGTGAGTACGGTCACGGCTGTTGACGAAATACTCGCGGGCAGTTTTGGCGCAAGCTTGCTGGGCCTTCTGTACTCTAAGCAAGCCAGGGGGGTTGTGGTTTTGGGCACGCGCAGCGGGGCTGAACGAATCCGCGACTGCGAGCGAGCTCAGTTCCTTTTGTAGTTGTCTCTTGCGGCCTTAAGGCAGAAAGGCGGCAAACGCTAATCCTCAACCTGCACACTCCCCTTCCCACCACCCGCTGGGAGACGGAAGTGCGATGGCTGCTTTGCTCTCTGTCTTGGTCTCGGGTTGCTCGCCGCCCCCGCTTCATCTGCGGCAGCTCCTCTGTGCTGCAAGGAGGAGACAATGCCCTTCGCAGTCCTGCTTGCGCTTCTTCCGACAGCAGCTGCCTGTGGAACTCGGCGTTGCGCTTTCGGTGCCCGCAGCGGCTCGCATGCATGGGTGCTGGCCTTTCCTGCAGATGCAGCCTTGTAGTCGCGTGATGACAAGTGCGACTTTGGCCGTCCAAAGGCAGAGGACGTGGCCGAGGACGATACGTAGCATAACACGACTGCTGCAATCGGGCAAGCTATATGTACGGAACGCAATTTGAGGCAACATCACAGCCAATTTGCTTATTCAGAAAGAACTGTCTTCATTTGGAATGCCTGTGATAAGAGGACCAATAGCCGTACGGGCATAAACACCTTCCCAAGTCAGGTAGGCATCGCTGCCCGGTGAAATGAGAGAGACAGAGATCAAACGCCCCAATCCGATTGTCGTATCACATCACGTCTTGCCCGTCGCCATAGCCGACGAGAGCCTTGTAAATAACTTGTTGCCTTTCAACACGCTGAGCTGGCCCGTCTTCAATTTAGGCGGCCTCGGGACCAGTGCCGAGGGCGCCTCTTCAATCAACTGAAACGTGACGACCTTCTTCTCGGCCGACGAACGTCGACGCGTGGAAGAACTGCTGTTACTGTCGCTGCTGTTGCTGCTAGTTCTACTACTGATGCTGCTTGAAGCCCGCAATCCAACAGACCTCACCTCTGTTGGGGATTGCAGGCTTCGTCCTTATTCGATGCCATGTTTCTGCTTGAGAGCTTCTAGGTTGGCCTTGCGCTGCTCAAGCTCTTCCGCTGTCGACTTGACCATCTTTTCTGGCTGGTGATATAATACTGCAGGACGCAGATTAGCGGGAGGTAATGAACAGCGACGCTGAAGAGGGGCCGGCACGTACCAACAAGGTAACGACCCTGGAAGTTGAAGCCGTTCAGCTTATCGCATGCCTGTTTTGCATCCGACACGTCCTCATACACCACGAACGCGGTGCCCTTGGTGTTGCTTGAGATGCCCTGGCGGATCTGACGGATGGGTCCGAACTTGCCTAAACGCGCGGTCAGCGACCCCAAACATACGAAGTCATCGCATCGCGCTTCAACACTTACTGAAGAGGTCGAAGAGGTCCTCCGCCGAGATAGAGTAGCTGAGGCGTCGTTAACGATTGCAGCCGAACATAGGGCAGCCGGAGGATTGATGCCCATTGAGATAAGGCTCCAATACCCACCTTAGGTTCTTCACGAAAAGCGCTCGGTTCTGTTCAGGCGCAAGTTTGCTTCTGTTCATAACTCGGCGACGAGTGGCGTGTTCTGAATCGTGTTCAACGGGCTGGTTGCGAGAGGCTGTTAAGCGCAGTTATGGACAGTGTCCGACGTGTGATGAGTGTGGAACTCGTCTGGGCAGTGTAAGCGATCGTAGAGAGCGAAAGTCGGGAGTCGGCAAGCACGTTTACTCTTGGCGGCTGCCTGAGGCATTCTTGCCTTTGCCACGTATTAGACATGACGCCCAAGACTAAAGTCAAACGTGGTAGCGTAGGACAAAGTTAACTCCAATGATTTACGTTATGACGATATGCTGATGATGCGAATGAGCACGGTTCGTTGGAACCACTGGTTTTTATTGATGTGGGCGAATCTAGGACACTATTCAGAACACGTCCCCGCCCGTTCTCGGGAACGCAATGTCGTGCTATAGGTTTCTATTTTGCTGCCGTTTCAACGTTATCGCATGCCAGTATTTCACCACCATATATGGGCCAATTGAAAAGAGGATGTTATACATCACAAGGTGCTTTTCTGTCCTCGACAAACGCTCCTCCTCCTCCCTGTACTCATACAAAAGGCAGCAGAGCACAGCATGTATGAGACGTAGAAGCTTAAACTCAAGGATTATGTTTTCGACATTGCAGTGATATGTGCAGTCTACGAGTGACAAAGAGAAACCTTTCAAATCTTATGAATTGTCTTACCGAAGTTTTACCAAGGGAACAAATATATTGTTCAATAAAACCGCAACGGCTAAATCGGTCATGGTTTTTTTTATTTCTTTTGTCTTCCAAATAACTTTCTTGATGCCTCTTGGTTGTATCATTGATTTCTCACTATTTTAATAAAAAGATATTCGACCATGAACTAATCAAACGAAACATTCCTTCCACAGGGCACTCGCATAGGATGCAAATTCTAGCAAGATGATATCACGTCTTTATTGAACACATTTCACTTCTATCAGCTGCCTTAAATCATGCGAACATGACTGCTTCCTATAAAGATAAAAATAAGTCCTGTAGCACGTCATTGATTCTCACCTTAAAGCCCATTTGGTCGGCTACATATTGCGTTCGTCTGGTTTTTGAACCACTAACTACCCGGAGCACCATATGCATACTACATGGTTTATTGCGTTAATTGTACTGGATTGGATCACTGTCACTGAATTGGCTTGATAGCTTGTAGTAGTTTTACGTTAACCTTGAGGAACTGAGATCATAAAGCAAGCCATGAAGACATACCACCGCCCTTCTTCACTAAAGGTGTTTAGCGGAGAAACTCCGCAAAAGCCGGTAGCATTCCGCTGATCGTCAACACTTCCTAGCTCAACTTAGTGCGGTAGAATCTCGTTGAGTCATACGGCGAATCCAAATGCAAGTAGAGCTCATTTAGTATCTTCACAGTGAGTTAAAAAAATCTGCAATGACGGATGCAACGAGTGGTCACTCACACCAATTGCGTGTTGATGCTAACGCGGCACGAGATTTTGTCCAAGCAATTCTCGTTGGGAATGGGGTCAGCAGCGACAACGCAAAGGTTATCGCCCAATGTTTGATAGCGGCTGACTTGCGAGGCGTCGATACGCATGGAATGCATCGCATTCCCTCATACATGGAACGCATCCGTCAAAAAGTCTTGGACCCGACTGCAACGCCCACTGTACAGCAAGCGACTCCCGTGGTCGCTCATGTCGATGGCAACAATGGCTTCGGATTTTTGGCTGCACATGCAGGAATGGAGGCTGCGATTAAGTCTGCAGAGGTGTACGGAATTGGCCTTGCTAGCGTGAAGAACAGCAACCATTTCGGGATGAGCGCGTGGATTGTGCAGCAGGCGCTCGATGCGAACATGATGTCACTCGTGTTTACCAACTCAAGTCCAGCGTTGCCGGCATGGGGAGGGAAGAGTAAACTGATGGGCGTCTCCCCGCTGGCGTGCGGGGCACCGGGAAGAGAGAATCCATTCATTCTGGACATGGCTCCTTCTATCGCTGCTCGTGGAAAGATTTATAAGGCCAAGCGAAGAGGAGAAAAGATACCACTAGGCTGGGCTTTGGATAAGGATGGTAAGGTTACGGATGACCCGGCCGCGGCCCTGGATGGTGGTGTGATGCTTCCAATGGGCGGGCCAAAAGGATCAGCGCTGGCGATTATGATGGATGTTTTTTCGGGTGTATTCTCAGGATCATCCTTTGCTGGCCACGTAACCAATCCATATGATCCCTCCAGGCCAGCTGGTGTTGGTCACTTCCTGGTGGCCATCAAGCCAGATTTATTCATGAGTCTAGATGAGTTTCGTGATAGACTAGAATATCTGTATCAGCGTGTGGTAGGGTCTGAAAAAGCCGACGGAGTTGAGCGTATCTATTTCCCAGGGGAGATAGAGCAGCTTGCTCAGAAAACGCGCGAGAAGGACGGAATTCCAATAGTGCAGGCGGAGTTGGATCTTCTGAACGAGGAGGCAAAGAGAGTGTCCGTAAATCCATTGACACCACTGTGAATGGAAGCGTACTCGGTCGGCCTTTTCGATTACTAGATTTGCTCCGTAGCACAGATAGTGATTTATTGGACTACTCCCGAAAACGAGGTAGCAAACTATTCGAATCGTGGAGAAGGCATAATATATGTCTTGCAACAGTCAAGAACCCGACTCCTAAAGGTCCGCGTGAGTTGACTGCTGCCATAGTATTCAAATGAACATTGAGCCTCCACAAATAGGTTTGAAATCTTCATAAATTTGACATTGGGCTAGCATGCTGTTGCGTACGCAGTGTGCCTCCAAACTTGCCAAAGTATGCGGGCGGCGGCGGAACGGTGCGGCCGACAAAGGTGCTTTCCACGAGATATAGGCTAGGGAATAATGCGAGAGAATATTCAGATAGGTCTCGGAGCATCTGGCAGACAGAATTGGATACGAAGGCCAGATTGAGAGGCGCGCGGACTGTACATTGAGGCCGAGAGCAGAAACGGCAGGATCGGTGTTCTCCACGGCATCATAGCCTTGAGACGAGGTTTCGGTCACGTAGGAATCGTATAAAAATGTTATATTATCATTCAAGATGGCTAGTAATTCTAGCCCTTGAGAGCGCGACGGCTCTATCGATTAATCGAGATCATCATCTCTTTGCATTCTTGGAGAAGCTCCGACACACAGGCTAGTCCAAATTTGTACACAGACCGCCGCCCACTTCAACTTCGGTCTCAAACCACAACACCGACCCGTCCTCGAGCAGACCTACCTCGAACCGCTCAATCTCTGCTGCTAGACTTCCACCTGTACCTTGACGCACTTGCTTGGAGCTAGAAATGACTTGGAGCGCCACCTTATCACCGAGTCTTACAAGCCTTGTGCTGTGTTGAACCCCACAGCAAGTCCGCGTCCAGCCGCCGCAACCTTATACCTACCGCACCGTGAACGAGCTCCGGCGCGATGGCGTACACCACCTTTAAAAGGGATTTTAAGGCACCTCCGCTGCCGCGTTCGCGCACTCCGGAGCGCATCACGTCCGCAATTGAGCCTATACCGGAGGCCGCACTGGCAATTGCGGAGTTGTTGAAGCGCGACACTTCCAACCGCCGAACTGCCGCTCGAACGACCCAAAAAGTGAGAGAAAATAAGAGAAGCACCAAAACTACCACCGCCAGGGTGCACAGGCACACCCATAGCAATAGCGCAAGCTTTGTTGTTCCACCGGCGTCGCCCATTGACACCCTTGCCTCAGTCGCTGCCTTTGAAGCCACGAGCAGAAGCCCGCCTACGACCTTCCACAATCTATACCAATCCCAGTACCCTCTGGAACGCTCTTCGAAGAGGGCCAGATCAGAAATTGCACCATCGCCACAGCAACCCGCGACCTCGCCTCTTTTTAACTCCAGTTCGACCCATCGGCCGGCGACCTCGTACAACTACAATGGCTGGAGCTACAACGTGGAGCAAGGAATCAACAACGGTCAGCGCATGCGATCTTACTCTTCTCACGCTCGCACGGGGAGCGTCAATGGGTTCGCTACCTATCAAGAATCGAACGTGGATGAAGCGGAGCTGCTTCTGAACTTTTCCAGAGGCGGAAGCATATCCTCTTCACATGGTCTGGGTATAGTTGCTCCCACCGTTGAAAAACAGACAGCGCAGCGAACACCAGCGCTGCCTCCATTTCCGGTTGCTACCTCTGTCGAACCTGCAAAGGGCCTGACGGAGTCATCTAGCACTCAAACCCAAGCTATGCCATCTAGTCCCACTCTCCAAGCTCCGCCTCACAGTCCAATATCTCCTCCTTCAAACTTGATTCCGCCCCTTGGCCCTTCAAAGGAGGCCACAGAATTGCCAATGCCTGATGATGGCGGCCGACTTGGGACCAGTCTAACTAGTCTCACCACCGTAGCTGATAGCAAAGGTGGGGTACCAGGCGACGATGACATCAAGTTGGACGGACAAGAAGAAACAAAACCATTAGCTAGAGATGACAAAGAGGATGTGGCCATAAACCACTCGCTTGCTGTGTTGTCAACTTCCGAGCAGCAAACTAAGTCCAACGATGCACTTAGTATTTCTGATCATGGCGGTCGGCGATACTCGGATTCGCATCAAGATCATCCGTCAAAGAGAGTGCGATTAGATCCTGGTGGCCGGTCGTCTTCTGCGCCATTGGAGTACGCAATAAGCGAATCTACTGATCACAGTACAGCACTGGACGGCCAGATTAACGTGGATGACGTTTCAAAACTGCCTGAACAAGGTGTTGTCTGTCCATCTTGTAACAATGCGAGAGATTTCGGGTCAGAGAAGGTGGACTGGCTACAATGCGATGGCTGTGATCAATGGTATCATGTTGCTTGCTCTGGTTTGACTACCAAACAAAGCAAAGCTATTGACAAGTATTACTGCCCAACATGCGAGCCCAAATTCGGCAAGAGTACAAGTAGTTACAGCCTACCTGTGGGAAACGTGGAATTTTGCTAACGATATGGATTCAGAGAAACGGACATCAAGTCGCGTGCGTGCGGCAGTCGATTATGCTGGGCTCAACGAAGGTGTGCTCCGCACGCCAAGCGGAAGTAGGGAACACCATTACATCGAGTCGTTCAAGAATGGCACCGTTAAACTTACACCTGAAACTTTCCCACGAATTCCTGGAAATTTCATCACGGCAGATTACTTTGAGAAGTGCCCCAGTTTCTCAGAGCCTGTCGTGATCACAAAGAGCCTTAATCCGCGGCCGCCATTCCCAGGTACAACGCCACGAGAGGAAATGATGGAAGACGATGATCGCGTTCTGGTGCCTGATGATGGACAAGACGATATGGACATGGTAATTCCGCAAGGGCTGACCGTGCGACGTGTATCGGAATTGTACGGCCCAAAGAACCAGATTCCTGTCATCGATGTGAAGGCGCAGGAGTCTAGCAAAGGATGGACGGTTGAGAAGTGGGCAGATTATTATGAGAACCCTGGAGACGAGCCAATACGGAACGTGATTAGCTTGGAATGCTCAACAACACCGCTGTGTCGTTTGATTCGACGACCAAAAGTAGTACGCGATCTTGATTTGCAGGACTCTGTCTGGCCAGACACAGAACTTCGAAGATCCGTCGGATTTTACGTCCTTATGTCGGTCGCAGATTGTTTTACCGATTTTCATATCGACTTTGGCGGCTCTTCGGTTTATTACCACATCCTAAAAGGGAAGAAGGTGTTTTTCTTCATTCCGCCAACTCCATCAAATTTGGCGAAATACCAAGAGTGGAACGACATGCCATCACAGACGTGGACGTGGCTACCGGACATTACGAAGACAAAGGAATGCTATCGCGTCGACTTGTATCCAGGTGACACGATGTTGATCCCTGCTGGCTGGATTCACGCCGTTTGGACCCCCGATGACAGCTTAGTCATCGGTGGCAACTTCTTGACACGCTTGCACTACGGCATGCAATTTCGCGTCGCGGAAATCGAAAAAGCTAACAAAACACCGATCACCTTCCGCTACCCAAAATTCCAAAAGGTCATGTGGTATGCCGTACTTCAATATCTTGAGCGCGATCCGTTGCCCACCATCGTGCGGGAGACCTTTTTAGATGGCCGACAGTTCCATCGTGAGAGAAAGATATGGACCGAGTTTGATAGGTTTGGCGAGAATTCGCATCCCGGGCCAGAGAATTACAATGCAAGATACTATTCACAGGCAGAAATTGATGGACTTCCGGATATGGTCAACTACATTTTCCGCACGGTGATGATTCACATGGATCGGCTCGAGAACATCAGCGCCAAGGTGCGCAAGGCCGTTACGGACAGCATACCCAAAACTAGTCGTGATCCATTGGACATAGCGCGCGACTTCGCAATGTGGGTTGCGTGGAAGCGCGGCGACGAAGACATCCCAGAGTGGGCGCACCCTGGAGCTGTACTGCCAAACAAGGGTGAAGACGCTTCCGATAAGAAACTGACTGATGCTCAACTGAAGAAGCTGCAACGAGCAAGCGCTATTGTGGTACCGGAAAGGCAGTCTGCCCGCCTTAAATCGGTCGCGGAGACAGCGATGGCGCAGCAGGAATCACTCGCCGCAGCAACGAGCACCACACCTAAAACATCGTCACTCGGACCGCGACGAACTGCGTGTGACTCGTGTCGTAAACGAAAGATGAGATGCAAGCATGTCGAGAATGCTCCTGCACAGTCAACGCCGATCATATTCACCAACCCAATGGAATCGTCTCCAAAGTCAAATTTTGTCGGCGTCGTGTTGCCCGATTCCTCATCGTCCGCCCAGCTACCCGCTGCATCGTTTCCGCCGCCGTTCCAAGTCGATCCCGTTCCACCGATGGCGAATGGCTTTATCAACGACGGTTTCATGCCGGGTCCAAAACAGGAAATCTTGGAGCTGAAGAAAGGGAGGACCAAAGCCTGTTATGACTGTAGGCGGAGCAAGGTGAGTGTACTTTGATTACTATCAATTCTTACAGAGTCTGACGACGTGTAGCGCCGATGTATTCACGATGAGTTTGGCAAGATTGATCCAATTAAGCAACGTGAACCAGTCATCCCTCGCGGATCGGCGAAGCGCAAATCCGGGCCAAGCCCGGAAATGCCTCTCGCGAAGAAGCCAGCGAACGATCAAATTGCACCGACAGCACCGATGCTCGCGGGTCAGTTGAACACTTTTGAAGTGTCACCATCAGCAAGCACGTCACATGTATATGCTAGTGCCAAGCAAGACGGCATGTTCCGCAACTCAACCGTCAACGATTTCTCATCCATGACGGGTATTGTGAATGTGAATCCTCTTGCGTCGAGAAACGCTGGCAGAGATAGAACAACATCCAATGCTGCGCAACAGAGTCCATCCCGCGTGCAGCCCATTGAATGGGCAGTTGACCCGGCACTTATGGATTCGAGTGTTGGAACGGCACCATCACAGCAACAAGAAGACTATGGGTATGCAGATGCGCAGGTCGCGCTTATGGCGTACTATCAAAGCAATGGAGGCCCTCCTCCTTCATCTCATGAAGCGGCGAACCAGTTCATGAATGGGTTTGTGGATTATGAAGCTGGACAGCAGCCAAAGATGGAAGTGGACATTGATCCTCTTCTGCAAGATTCTCTTGCCGCGGTTCAGGCCTACAACAGAGGAGCACAGCCGCCTAATTCCGAGACTGATCTGCCAAAGGAAGGTGTTCGTGCTGAGAAGGTAGATCATTCACAGCCACGGCTAGGAAATGGCGATGCAAACTCTCAAGACAATGTAGCAGCACAACCGGCTTCGGATTTGGTTTTGGATCCAGCTCTTGATAATGCCCCACAATCACATCAAAGGCAAGCGAGCAGCGTGGTCCTTCCGAGCACGGAAAAGTCGTCATCCAAGCTACAGGCTTTTGGGGAAGCCAAAGCTGCTGAGTCACCCGAAGATCCGCCCAGCAGAGAGCGAAGAAAAAGCAGCACAGCTCCTCGAACGCCACTAGTAAATGGTAGTAAGGGCAAGAGCACATCGCCAGAAGCACAACGCGCGACGCCTGGGAAGGCGCCGGGCCGGCGAAAGGAGAGTAGCGCTGCATTGGAAGAAACAGATAGCGAGACAAAGAAGCTGATCGAGCAGATGAGGCAAGAGAATCTGCAGTCGAAGGGCCTCCGACGGCGGAGCTGAGGGACGGAGGCGATTCATGATTCTTTTTTCGGTAGGAGAGAGGGCGCTGTGCCATGTTAGGATTTTTTTTTCTGTTTTCAGACGCGCATATGAGGGGATACGGGATCATATAAAGAGGATGAGAATGGGTAGCCATCGCCCCAGGAGTTTTATCATTATACCCACATCAAGGACGGAAGGTGGAGTAGCCGCCGTATCTGAACCGCGCAAATGGCTTTGCGAGCAAAGGGATGGATTGCAATGTAGCTCAGTCGAGGCAGAGAACATGAATGTGTGAAGACACGTGGATGATTGTGCATGGCCTGGACATCGCAGTGCAAAGAACGCTGTTGCCCAGCAGTACGTACGCGACGGCCGCCGGTTCCGCTGGCTCACATGGGCTGACAAGCGGAAAATAAGCTACATGCGGCCGACGCTTCCCGTACAGCGTCGTCCGCGGTGTGAGAGGGCGGCTCTTCCAGGTGCGGAGCTCGGGCTGGTTGGATAGGTTGACTTCGTTCCGCGGCGTGGCGATCAAAAGCCTGGGGGCGATAAGCTCGTAGCGTGGACGCTTCCCGACAGTTTGCGACTGCTCGTCAAGTGCGACAGTCGCAAACACAGCTCGCCGTCAAGCCAGGGATCGCCAGACAGCGTCGTTGCGAAGGCCGTCCGGACGTGCGACGGCGGCGTTTCGTGCGGGCCCGAACGCTGCCTGAGCGAGTTAGCAAGACTTGTGGTGCCTGCAAGTGAACCTGAGTCCAACCGGCGAGCCTGACCCGGGCCTGCCTTGAGTCGAGACAGTCAAACCTCAAAACTCGAATGCCTCGCCTTTGCCCATAGCCGCCTGCGAATATCTTCCTGGCTCACGGTCGTTGACTCCCGGCGAGCTCGTCATTCTCGATCGAGACATCGCATTTCTAAGCCTCCACCGGCTGCCATCCCACCCGTCCAGTCACGCCCACCTCCCGCAGACACACACCACTTAGCCCGGTCCGCCTGCGTCTCGTCATCGGCGGGACTCTGGCACCTTAAATCCCACCACGGCCCCTACGACGAGGAAGAGGAAGGCCCAAGATCTCGCTGCAGTCTCGCAGTCCGATCTCCCACTCTCGCAACCACCTGCCGCGAAAAAGAGCAAGGCGAAAGTCGCCACCCACGCCGTCAAGACTGCCGCCACCAACACCTCGTCTACCGCCACTACACCTCTTACCCCAGCCACCGAGACCGTCTCCATGGCGGACTCCGACGACGACTTCAGCATGCAGAGCAGCGATGGCGAGCCCGTGCTTGACGACGACAGCGGCATGAGCGACGGGGATGGCTCCGATCTCGAGCTCGAGGACTACGACGACGATGATGACGACGTGGGGTTCTCTCAAGATAAGCCCCCGAAGCAGAAAAAGAAGTCGTACGAGGTCGACTTCAAGGTTCTGTCGCCGCAGGACATCCAGGACTTGCAGGATCGTGAGGTTGATGAGTGCAAGCACCTCCTGGGCCAGCCTCGGGAGAACGTCGCCATACTCCTGAGGCGTTTCAAATGGAACAGAGAGAGGCTTATGGAGAAGTACCTCGACAATCAGCAGGAGGTCTTGGAGGCCACTGGTCTAGAGGAGGACGAATCTGGCAAGACAAAGATCGAGGAGATGAGCGAGCCGTTCCTGTGTGAGATCTGCTGCAACGACGAGCCCGGGCAGAAGACGTACGCCATGAAGTGTGGCCATCGCTTCTGCGTGGACTGCTACAAGATGTACCTGGCAACCAAGATCAAGGAGGAAGGTGAGGCAGCCAGGATAAAGTGCCCTGGCAATGACTGCAACCGGATCGTGGATTCGAGGTCACTGGATCTGCTAGTGGATGACGATCTCCAGGAGAGGTGGGTTTCTATTGCCCGATATACATCAGGGACCGTTCTAACATGCGGCAGATATCATGAACTTCTCACACGAACATATGTCGACGACCTCGAAAATCTCAAGTGGTGCCCGGCACCAAACTGTGTATACGCCATCGACTGCAACGTCAAAGCCCGAGATCTCTTGCGAATCGTCCCTAGCGTGCACTGCAAGTGTGGGCACAGCTTTTGCTTTGGCTGTACGCTCAACGACCATCAACCAGCGCCGTGCAGTCTGGTGAAGAAGTGGTTGAAGAAGTGCGAGGACGATTCGGAAACGGCGAACTGGATCTCAGCGAACACAAAAGAGTGTCCCAAGTGTCACTCGACCATCGAGAAGAACGGTGGATGCAACCACATGACGTGTCGGAAGTGCAGAAACGAGTTCTGCTGGATGTGCATGGGCGTGTGGTCAGAGCACGGCACGAGCTGGTACAACTGCAACCGATACGAAGAGAAGAGCGGTCAAGAAGCACGAGATGCACAGGCAAGGTCGCGACAGTCGTTGGAGCGTTACCTGCATTATTACAACAGATACGCCAACCACGAACAATCGGCCAAGCTGGACAAGGATATCTATCTTAAGACGGAGAAGAAGATGACGCAGCTGCAGACGACGGCCAACATGTCCTGGATCGACGTGCAATTCTTGGAGGCGGCGTCACAGGCGCTGCAGAGCTGCCGCCAGACTCTGAAGTGGACGTACGCGTTCGCTTTCTACCTTGCGCGAAACAACAAGACGGAAATGTTTGAAGACAACCAGAAGGACCTAGAGATGGCCGTCGAGAACCTGTCGGAGATGTTTGAGAAGCCCGTAGACCAGATTGGCGGTCTCAAACGGGAGATTCTCGACAAGACGACGTACTGCAACAAGCGCCGCGTTACGCTTCTGGAGCACACGGCTCAAGAGCTAAAGAAAGGTAAGTTAGCACTTGGACGGCTCTTTGTTCTGACATTGCTAACGAACGTTCAGATGGGTGGGAGTTCAATGTTGAGTTATGATCAAGCATGGTGATGTTTGTATACCAACGCGACGAACGGGATGACACGAAGAAACTCCAGGCACGGTCGGCACTCTCGATTTTATTCGCGAACAACAGCCAGCCTTGGACGATGTGGGACGAATGCAAGAGGTACACTGGTTTTTTTGGGTGGTTATGAGAACAATCTTTGCTCCGAGCTCCCATGGCGGGCGTTGTATGCATATGGCACAAGACATGGCTCCGGCCCTCTGTACGAGTCATTTTTTTTTCTGTTTGTATCAGGACACGAGGGCTTGGTTTGCTAGACCGGTTTGGGAGTGCTCGTATATACCATGGAGCGAAACGCATGCCGTGCAGAGCCGCTCAATTTATACGCTATTTACAGCGGCGCTTTTGCCACGAAGAACCAGCCGTGAAACATACTGGGACGAGTGAATGGTAGGGCAGCAGGACGGAGGGGCAAAGGGGCAGGGAGCCCGCAAGGGAGCGCAGGGAGCCCACAAGGGCGGGCAGGGTGGGCGCGGCCAGCAGCCAAGGCACCGCCCACGATCAGCGGGCAACGGCCCAGCCCTGCTCGTCGCTCGGACCCCCCCGTTGTTTGTTAAACATGATGAGGTCTATCACCGTGCTCCATGACAACAGAACCACAACAACCGTAATCATAACTCTGTACACCTTCCCTTTCCCTTCCTTTGCGTTCAAGACCCGGATCCCTCTCCTTCAAACATACCCGATCTCGGACTAGCCATTCGCTCTCTTTTTTCTTTTCTTTTTCTTCTTTTGCCCCATACATGAATTCCGTTCCTGCTCTGGAGGTAGAACGTCCCCTCCTTTGATCGACAACCCGCTCCAATCTCGTACACACCGCAGACCGCTGATCGTCAACGGCCACTCGTGCGAAATGGCCTTCCTGTTCTCGAGAAACAAGCAGAAGGTTGTTCTGGACTTGGTGAGGTCGGCGAAGGACTTGCTGGTCAAGATCCAGACGGTCGACCAGCTCCCGACACAGGTGTGTTTTCGCTGCGAGCCGCCACCTGCTTGCAAATCACCGGGCACAGGGCTGACACCGACATCTAGTCCGAGGAGTCGCTGGCGCAGAAGCTGAGCCAGATGAAGATGATACTGCAGGGCACGCAAGGTATGATCGAGATCATGCGTATTTCTCCAAACGAAGGTTGTGGGCCGGCTGACGCTTCACTGTAGAGACAGACGCAAGCCCCGAGCAGCAGTATCAGCTCGTGAACTTACTGCTGTCCGAGGACATCCTGATGCTCCTGGCGACATGCATACACAAGATACCATTCGAGGCTCGCAAAGACACGCAATTCATCTTCTCAAATGCCTTCCGATACAAGGCGCCGGGCTCACCCGCGTCAGAACCGATCGCCTTACACCACGTCTTACAATCTCGACCACAGATCATAATCGCATTGTGCAATGGGTACGAGAGAAAAGAGAGCGCAATGCCCTGCGGAGGCATTCTCCGCGAAGCCCTTAAATTCGACGCTGTTGCCGCGCTCATCTTGTACGACGAGCCCAATCCAGAGGGCAAGGCGGTCAATCTCAGCGAGGTGGACACAACAAAGCCGTGCAGTGGGGAGGGCGCATTTTGGAAATTCTTCGACTGGATTGTGAAGAGCAGCTTCGAAGTCTGCACGGATGCGTTTAACACATTCAGGGTATGGCCACCGTGTGCAGTTGACGGGCGCAAGTGAAGATCGCTAATGCCGGACAAACACAGGAAATTCTCATCAAGCACAAAGAGATGATAGCCACGTATCTGGAAACGAACTTTGACCTGTTCTTCAGCAAGTATAACAAGTACTTGGTCCAGTCCGACAACTATGTCGTCAAGCGACAGTCCATAAAGCTGCTTGGCGAACTGCTCCTGGACCGTGCAAATTACAACGTCATGACCAAGTACGTCGAATCAGGTGAGCACCTCAAGTTGTGCATGCGCCTCCTTCTCGACGACCGCCGCATGATCAACTACGAGGGCTTCCACGTCTTCAAGGTCTTCGTCGCGAACCCAAACAAGAGCAGGGAGGTGCAGAAGATCCTGATAAGCAACCGGGAGAGGTTGCTCCGGTTCCTACCGGGCTTTTTGGACGATCGTACGGACGACGACCAGTTCATGGATGAGAAGAGCTTCTTGATAAGGCAGATTGAAGCGCTGCCCAGTGTTGTGGCGCCGGCCGCTACAAACTGAGGGAGTTCAGGGATTAATCACGAAGAAGGGGGAAAAACAAAGAAAAAAAAAAAAAGAGCGGCGTGAGGTGTGTGTGTGTGTGTGTAAACGGGGGCATCATTGAACGGGAATTTGCATACCATATCGGAGGAGTTAAAAAGGAGTTCCATGAGAGCTTTTGTTTATGGCAACTGGAGGTGTTGGGGAAGGCAGGTTGGACACATCACTGCTTACTATACGGTCTCTTCTTGCATGATGTGCTGCTACAGCAGATCCTCCTGGCATTATGTGCTGGATAACTTCGAGTCTGTTGCGTATAATATTGCGCGGCTCTGAGTGCTATTCGCTTGTTAAAGCATATCCGCCACCTCGTTGAGTTCTCTGCCACCTTCGGCTCATGTGCATCTTTGTAAGCGCGCCTCGAGATTCCGTGGTGAATCTATTACTTCTCTCGGTGCTTTTGAATAATCCCGACGGCATGCATAGAGGACCGATTCTCGAGTGTCTCGCGCCTTTAGGTCCGATCAGGCGCTGGAGGCCGCCTGTTCGCCCTGCTTCTTCTCCCACTCTTCCGGCGTGAAACATTTGGGCGTCCAAGCGTGAATCTTTGCAATCTCCTCCTTCAGCACCCCGTTGACGAGCCTGTGCCTGGCGAGCGTCATCTTCTTCGCGAACTGCGGAGAGACGATCGTCGCGTTGAACATCTGGCCGCAGCCACCTGTTCGCAGTCCGAACCAGTCAGAGCCACCAAACGGGGGGTGGGTTTTTCTCTTTGTTTTCTTTCTCTGAGGGGCAGGCTCGTCCCAGCCTGGAGACAGAACCCGCGACGAACTCGACTCACTCACCTGACAAATCCTCGATCTCGACGTGCGTCGCTTCCAGACTGGACTTGAGCTTGGCCTCGATGTCGGCGGCCGTGACGCCCGAGTTCTCTGCCATGGCTGGAGGCGTGTTATAGCGTCTTCAAGGCGTCGCGCGCGCGGGGGGGAATTCACTATCGCGGAGAAAGGGAGGGGGGAGGGGAGAGAGGCGTCGATTCCTGTCGTCGCTGAGAAAATCGAAGTGTCGTAGTATCAGATCCGATCATCGGAGGCGGGTACTCCCGCCTGAGGACGCACGGGATGACGCCGCTTTTAGTTTGCCTTGGACGAACCCAACGAACGACGTTTCTGTCCCGGCTCGATTTCTAGAACGAAGAAAGATGTCAGGATGGCGGCGTCGGCGGAGCGATGAAGGCAGGCGCGTAAGGTGGGCCTGAGACGACGGGGACTGATCTTTCTATCCAGCGCAAAGTAGAAAGAAGAAAAAGAAAAAGAAAAAGAAAAGAAAGAAAAGGGACAAAAACAACTATCAAACCTCGATGTTGTGGTCAAGACGGGGGGGTTGGTTGAGGCAACATCTTCGACAAGAGGAGACAAATGTGAGGAAAGAGGCACAACGAAGGCTGCGTGAGAAGACCTGAGTCATTGTTCTGGAACTTCCAGGCTGCGAAATGGACGACGCTGACGCGCGGGACAGAAGTGAGCCTCAGCACGATGCAAACTATGGATTTGCTGCCACCTCACCGGAGCGCGGTGGCTTTTTCTCTCCAACAGTGCCAAAGGCAGAAGATGATAAAGTACAGCGTACGAACAATGACCGACTCTTCCTAGCACCGGATGCCCTGCGCTCGAAGCTCCTCCTGCATTTTCGTGAGTCTTTTCGCGAACGCGTAGACCTCTTCGTCTCTTGCCCTGCGGCGCTCCTCCTCTCTCCGCCGCTGTTCTGCACGGCGCGCCGCGGCCTTGGCCGCCTTCTTTGCCTCCCTCTTCGCCTTCTGCTTGCGCAGCCAGGCTTTCAACCAGTTTTGGCGCTGGAAGCTGACGTCTTCGCTCGAACTCCCAAAGGTACTCGCGTACCAGTCTTCCATCTCTTCGGCGGTCCTCTGACGCGGCCGAGCATATGGATTCGCCATCCATTCGGATGGTCGAAACGGTGCTGTGTGTTGCTGTTGCAGTGGCCGCGCCTCTGGCAGGCCACGGAGCTCCACCGGACGCTCGAGTTGCTTCAGACAGTAGTCTTTTGCGTCGGTCAGTGCATGGAACGCCTTTGGGTCGCCCCCCTTGTCTGGGTGGCATTTCAGGGAGCGCTTGCGGTATGCGGACATGATATCCGCCTCTGTGGCAGACGTCGTGACGCCGAGCGTCGAATATGCTCTCATGGTCAAGCCGTTAATGTTGGCTATTGATGACTGAGCCATTACGTCGGACTTCGAATAGCAAACGTCCGGTGTTTGGCTTTAATGTGTTTGAGAGACAGGTGACGAGAAGAGAAAGAGTCCTTCTGAACGCTTGTCGTTCAGTTGATGCGTGGTATTGAGAGCCTGCTTAGAGAGATGTCAGAGGGTGTTGATCTTGGCGAAGATCTGTACATACGTGTACGTGTGCTCGTATAATAGCTTAAGATTATAAGTGATCCTTGTTGTAAAAAGTTGCTGCGAGCAGAGTTGCCGTCTTCTCGGTTTCGAAGTTCAAGCTTTTGCGAAGGGATGAAAGAAAGAAGACGGAGAAGAAGAAGAAGCGTGAGGGAGAGAGAGGATAGCTTCTATTGTTTACTCGACATGCACTGGCCATAACTAGAACCACAGTTGGTGTTGACCCACAGAGGTACACTTGTCCCAACTTTGGAACTCATGACTGGATCCGGACTGTACGATTTTGAGGCCAGGCTTTTGAGAACGTGACTCTTATGCGCAGGAGAAGAAACTCAAAGATATCGGAATATAGTGCAACCGATTGTCTTCACGTATCCCCAGAGACGTAGCAAATTTGAGGTTTGGACGAACTCGAGCTCAAACCGTACGTCTAGCATCTTGCTCCTTCGAGCGACCCAAGATGTCTCCCTTAAGGATAAGCTACCCCACAAACAGCATGTTAAAATCGGGTCTCGCACAGTCATAGAACTCCGCATTTGGAGCCCGGCTGAACGAATACGGTCTCTTGAACCATTGTTCAACATGTAAACACATTGCTCATTTCGTGTTTCAGTCTCAAAGATTCAAGAGCAAGAGCGCCTTCCTAGAGGCGGCAGGGATGGGCTCATATGTCAACTGGAGACAGGAGCGAGAGCCACAATGCTGTTGGAAGGCTTGTGAAGACCCTACCCAATTGCCGCTTTAGACTGAGATACATCTGGGCTGGACTGCAAGCATTGTCGACGCGTTCGTGCCAACGCCCATCTTTCGAGAACCCAAAACGCCCTGTGTTCATGATCGAGCATCTTTGTCGATGAACCCGGCATCAGCCAGGCTCGAAGCCTGTCTTGCCTGCGTGCCGACGAGCTCGCGAAGCTTGACGAAGTTCTGAGCCTGCGGTTAGGACTTTCGAAACCGTGCTGGGATAGATATGGCTCACCGGAGTTCCAAAACCAGTGACCGCGTCCCATCCAGGCTTCGCTGGAAAACCTTCGACACCGCAACCTTTTGCACTGCCTGAGATTATATCTGTGAATCCGTCTTTACCGATGGAGTATAACCATGGATTCATGAAGCCAAGGGGAGGCTTTCCATTCGCCAAAAGGTCGTCGTTCAGGAGTGCGATGACTGACGCCATCATCGGCGAACTAGCACTCGTGCCGTCAACTCTGATGAATTTCTGGTCATACACGATGCTATAGTGCTGGCCATTGGCTGCGAGGTCCGGATATGCGCGACCAGAATGATTATACATGGCTGGATCAACTTCGTTGGATGTGAGACCTTTCATATAAGCGCTCACAACACTATCTTGCCAAGCTGGACGTGAGAAGTAGTTGCTAAAGCCACCTCCGCTTGCATAGTTGCTGATATTTGCTGGGTAGCCCGCTGCAACTTCGGTGCTGAAATTGCTCGAGCCAAGCCCTTTGGTGGCCCCGACCGTGGTCACATATGGGCAGCTGGCAGGAAAAGCGGGCATGAAGTTCGGCACTGCGTTTGCGGCAACTTCGGGGTCGGGATAGATCTCGCATCTATCAGATGTAGGTGATCGGTTGCCAACCCCTGAATCACCGCTCGAGAAGAGTAGAGTGACGCCACGACTTCCAAGCTGTGCAAAGGATTGACACACCTTGGAAGCATACGACGGTGGAACAGACTGCTCATCATCGCCATAAGACGTGCTGATCGTTGTTGGTAGGTCACCGTCAGCAAGTCCTTGCATGTAATCAAGCCACTCCAGGTATGGCTCGTTTGTGACGTTTTTGCCAGGGGCCGGAATGTAAGGAGTGGTCACCGGCGGTCGACCTCCAGTATTGTAAGCTACCACTGGGATTGGGTACACCTGACCAACGATAGTCTGGCCGTCGAGATTGCCTTCGACATCGGCCGTCGCATTCAGCTTCGCTGCGTCGAGTACTTGCTGATTTTCTCCGTTGTTCACGATGCGAATGTCGATTGATGTTCCCTTTGCTTGTGGCTTATACGTGTCAACAAACATGGCGAGATCCGTTGCAATGGTGGTTTCTTCAAGGTAGTTACAATACCCGATCTTGCTCTTTCCACCACCTTTTGGCGTGTAGTCAATCGTCCCATACAGTGTGCTCAGGCACTCTGGTGTGATGTTGCTCGCATTGCACACCTTTTCGATGGCACTTACAGAAAGACCTGTTGCCGCGATAGCGCTCTGCGGCTTAATATCAAACTCGGCGGCAGGCATCACTGGGGACTGAAGCCATTGCACAGCTTGACGCTGAAAACGAAAGAATGAGGTTGTGGGCTGAATGGTGTCTACATGATCATGTAAATGAGCTGGAAGCGACCATTGCGGCGCTCTTATGAGCTCAGAGCCGTCGATATGTCTAAAAACCGAGTATCGAGTGTCAAGCAGCCGTTCCGCTTCGAAAACGGGAAGGGTGAGCGTAATCCAGTCTTTGGCAGGCGAGTACTGCAAAGAGGCAACATGACCATGTTCCGCTAACCATTCGTGCACAAGGTCGGAAGTCTCATCGGTAGGCCGTATGAAGTCGCGAACCTGAGCTCCCGACAGATGCTGGCCGTACTTCTGGTTGTGCGGATCGGACACCGTAGAAGCGTCAATAAGACCTGCGAACAACAGTCCGACATGGACACACCTTCTAGCAGCTCCTTTTCTAGCTCTGTCCAATTCCTTTGCCGCAATGCGACACGCAGCGCAATTTTCGCATCCCTGGGCGCATCGCCGACGTTTCGCCAGCCAGGCGGTACGTGGTGCCTCTCTTTGAGAGAATACGCTGACCGCGCAGTACTGTTCACAGCCAGTGCATCGCCTAGAGCAACCAGGAAAAGTAGCAGCGGAGACGCTATCATGGCGTAAGCGGGAACTGACAATGTTCCACTGAGGGGACAAGCATTAACGAATATAACAGGATAATTTATGCTGAGGGAGATCAATGCATTTCCACGGGGAAGTGTAAATTGCCATAAGAGCGGATGGGACTATATTTAATCTAAAGCACCAGAAAGCATATCCAGAGAAACATGGTGCCAGTCGAGGAACATTATGCACCGCGAGCAATCTCAAGAGGCAGATATTGATGCTTGACAAGCTTCGTTTGGGGTGTGAAACGCTCAGAGATGTCTTGGACGCAGGCATTAGATAGATGTAAGCAGTTGAACCGAAAGAGATGGCTGATTTGCGATCTATGAGAAGAAACTTGTCTTGGCTGGTTGACCACGGCAAAGGTCTGAGCTTGTGCTGTCGCAATTTCACAGCAATTATTGGATCCGAGCCAGCGGACCAAGAGACTGCGGAAGAAGCTGAACCGGGCGAGCGCGCAGAAACAACAAGAAAGCGTAGGTGCGATTTGCAAGAGTCCACTGTATCAGGGAGCCGGTCTTACGCTCGTTGTGTCGCTGAATCCTTCGTGGAACCGTTGGACGTGTGTTGAAACTGTGTAGGAAAAAGGAAAAAAGGGGATCCCGCAGGTTCGGATGTCTGAAAGCAGCTTGCTCCGGACAGCGACTGGACGATCGGCCACAAGGGTTGCGCAGAGAAGGACGCTGCACGAACCTGCTGGACGGACGACAGCTTCAAGAATATGAGATGCGACTAGTTTGTGACAGGCTCGCTTCCTTTCTTTCTTTTTTTTTGGTTTTTGCGTATCGGTGTGGAAAGCTGTACGTGGACGCGGAGCGTGGCATTTTTCCACACCTATTTTTACAGCTCGTGCGCTTTCTTGACCAGGGCAAAGAGAGGATCGCTACGAGATGTGCTTGATTGAGATTTCTGCGCCCTCAGGAAATGTATCTATTTATAAGTATGTACGTATACGGTCGCTTCACGCCTGCTCGACGCCTTGAAGTCAGATCTTATCAGGTTGGATCCTCTGAACGCAGCCAGGGTTCTTCCACATACAATCCCATCGCTCATGCGGAATTAGATGTCGAGAAAAATCAATAGTAGGTATCGCGGACAAGACAGCGTAGGACAGGAATCATCAGGCCGTCGAGCACAAACTGGTCCTCGCGCAAATGTCAGGCCGTGTAAAGCTGACGATCGCGACGTACGAGAGTTCAACGCTCGTCTTTGACAGCTGCGTCGACAGCACGCAGAAGGGCAGTATTCCTATCCCCACGGTTAGACCGCGCCCGGATCTTCATGGTGATTGTTGGATTCACGGCACACGACTTCTTTCGCGCACAGTCTAGGCTCGCAGACTACGGCTAGTATTTATGGCTCAAGGCAGAACGGAATGCCGCGAATGCACGGATACGGTCTTGTTGAGCTTCAGCATCGACGAGAAGGCACTCAAGTCTCACTTGCAAACATTTCCGTGGTGTCTTAACTTTGTAGATGCAAGTAGAATGTATTATTATTCACCTCTGCTTCACATGTGGACGTGTTTCGTCCATTCGCCAGCCAAGGATGTAGCGGGAAGGTCCATTTCTCGTCACCAACGCCATACCAATGCCCTCATACAGATCATAATGTGCCTGATTTTTTTTCCCCAATCGATATATGTGTAAGCTTGACGCTTCACAAAGCACCCATTTGTTTCCCCCCTTCACAAGTCACTCCCTTGGAGCCATCCGAAGCCAAGCAAGGACCTAACCATTGCATCCGCCCGTTTGGTCAGCTCAACAGTCGTAGCGCAAAAACCAGCCGTTCTGCTGGTCTTGAAGCAACCAGATGTCGGAGGCGTCCTCCAGCGACAGCTTAAAGCTGAACTCGGCTCTGTTGCCGGCGTTGAGCTGACCGACGAGGTGATCCTGCGCCGTCTTGACAGCAGGCCAACCACCAAACGCCGCTCCGCCCACTCGACCGCCGGTTCCGGGAATCCCAAGGCCAGCGTCCACTGCGGCGTCGACGGCCTGCGGCGTCAGTGCTCCATCTCTGGGCAGTTTAGAGCTATCAAGAGCATAGACGGCGACGGTTCCGCCGCCAATGACTCTGAAGTCCGGCGGCGAAGCTGACTGTGCCCACCAGAGGACGAAGTTGCTAGCAGTTGCGGGAATGTTTGAGAACGTTGCTACCTGGTTGACCACGGCTGTGGTATTGGCGACATGGAACATCTTTGGATCGGTGGTTGGGTCATTGATCGTTCTGAGCGTGGGGAGGAACTGCTTCTGGCCTGTGCCTGGACAGGTCACGGCTCGCTTCGAAGGCGGAGGCAAGGAGAGCCAGCTGCTGCGCGGACCGTAGGCCGGAAGACCGTAGACGAAGCCCAAGAAAGCAACGACAACAGTCAAGATGTGAACGTGCATCCTGAATTGTGGTGTTGACTAGTGACTTGACAGGTGACTAGGAGATGAAGCCGTGCTGATTATATGCAAGCCGAGAATACGACAGAGAGCAAGGTTGAAGCTAAGGCCTCTTGCAGAGTTCGAATTTACCCGGCGATCACTCAGCGGAAGATCACATATATGTATGTTTGAAGCTCAGCACCAAGCTCAGATATAAGCACACCGGTGGGTGCGCACGGAAAGCAGCGGGTCAGGATGGCGGCTCACACAGGACGGACAAAGAAGGGAAATGCGGCAGGAGTTGGATGTTGCAGCTTCGTGCCGTTAAATCCAGCTCGATCAGACGCCAGTCCAACTGGAAGCCATCAAGGCCGAGGGCTGGCCGGCCACCTAAGCAGAGATCAACGATTCTGTCCGTGACGACTGGCCTGACTGTCAACGCAGCCACGTCCGCGAACGTGCCTGTGCGCTGAAGAGGACAAAGAGAGGAACGAACGAGGCCACGACAAAGAGACTTAGCGCGATGCCTGGACCTTTTGCTGCTCGCCCCGTAGGGATGTCTGCTTGGGCCGAACGGCCGTGATAGGCGGCGTCGAGGGTTGGCAAAGTCTGGGCACAGGCGAACGGTTCGCGGAGGATCTCCCAGTAACAACATCCGGCCGCGGGTGGAGGCTGGAGACGCATTCTGAAGTACCTAACGTAAATTTCCACACGAGCCCAAGCCCATCATCTTTTGTCGACCAGAAGGTTTGCTTGAGTCCGCTTGGGTTCTACAACTGTTACTGCTTTTCAGTCCGCGAATGTGTTTTCCCCGGCACACGCAATCTGGCCGGACCACTTAAGTGCGCCTGGAGACTCGAATCACTGGTGCCATGGCTTGTCATTTGCGGATTGCAGACATCCTGTGTGATGCTCCTCATCTTAGGCATCAGTCCAAGTTTGTCACGGAACAAGTGTGCGATGTTGACATCGAAGAAACTGTCCTGTGCAAGGCTTCTGTCGAACGGATCAGAAGAGCGGTACAGGAGCATCCCAGAGGTCCGGGCGTACACAAGCTTTTGCTTGCATATGATTAGACCATGTGGAATTTCCCACCTTGTTTTCCTACCTCCTGAGCATCGGATTCTTCGCTTTGCGGATAGAAACCTCAACGTGATTGATTCTGCCTGTTGGGCTGAGCGGTTATGTAATGGTCTGGCGGTTGGGTCACTGCACCTTTCCCTGCCCCATGTAGACGGACTCCATCCATCCTCTCAGTCCCGGATAGGTCCAACAAACGAAAAAGCAGCGCGAAGAGCACAAAAAGATACATGTGTACACGTCTAGCATGATGGCCTCCAAGACCGTTATCAGAGCCCTCGACCACATCGTGTTCACGGTCCGGTCCATCCCCGCCACCGTGAGCTGGTACACGCAGCACCTGGGCATGCGCCACGAGGTCTTCCGCCCACCAGCTGACCCCTCCGTCGAGCGGTACGTACGTCGTGAGACTCCTCTCGCTCTCTCTCTGCCTTTCTCCATTCCCGCTTCCCTCCCCCCTGCCCGACCCAACAACGGCCCGCCAAATAGCCAACGACAAAAAGGGCAGTGCATCCTCATGTTCGCTGACCGTTTTGCGCGGCTCCCGTCGCCGCATGCAGCCACGCGCTGGTCTTCGGCTCGCAGAAGATCAACCTCCACCAAGCCGGGCGCGAGTTCGAGCCCAAGGCCAAGACGCCGTTACCCGGCTCCGCAGATGTCGTGAGCAAAAACCCCCCCTTCTTCTCCTACCCCCTCAGGGATCCCTTCCCTCCCACTTTCGCCCTTGTACCTTTTCTGCCGTCGTTTCTTCTCTCTTGCCTGAAGAAAAAGAAAAAAAATCCAACCGAGCCCTTGACGCGGTGGACCGTTCGATCTGACGGTCGTGTAGTGCTTCCTGACCGATACGCCGGTCGAGGAGGTGCTTGCCGAGCTGAGAAGCAAGGACATCGAGGTCCTCGAGGGAGGCAAGATCGTGGAAAGGACGGGCGCGGTGGGGAAGCTGAAGTCCGTTTATGTTCGCGACCCGGACGAGAACCTGATCGAGTGAGAGATTCCCCCTTCCCCCCGGCCTCTTTTTCAATGCTTTCTTTTCTTTTCCCGCTCCTCTCGGCATGTGCGGCGTCCGGCTGATTGTGCCTAGGATCTCAAAATACGTGTGAAGGGACGAACTGTGGTGTTTGTTTCCGGAGGCGGGACTGCCGTTTTGAATGGACGACTCTCATGGCCAAAGCTTCACGTGACAGGCTGACTCCAGCCTTTTCGTTTCATAAGAATAGTCTAATTCTAGTGTTACACGGCGCACTTCTCCGCTCCCTCCGCTCCTTCCAAAACACAAAACGTGCGTCGTACGCGGTTCCGGCAGAAAGACCGCCTGGTGCAGATCGAAAAGGAAGGAAGCACCCCGCTTACGCCATCCGACTGTACCCCCCCGGTATCCGCCGCGCCTTCCTCTTGAGGAACTTTCTGCCCTCGTCGACCCAGAAGACGCTGCTGCACAGCATCACCAGGCCTACGAGATCGAAGAAGCCCAGGCTCTCGGTCTGGAAGATGCTCTGTAGCGGCGGGAAGTAGATGACGCACAGCTGTCCCATGAGACTGCCCGCGACCGCGTAATTGAACATCTTGTTGTCGCCGAACTTGACCTCGCCCAGGAGCACCGATTTGCCCTCGGAGCGGCACGTAAGTGCGTTGAACATGTCGAACAGCACGAAGCAGGTGAAGGTCATGGTTGTGTCGCGCGACGTGACCGTGTAGCCGTCCGCCATCTCCTTCACGTAGATGAGTAGCGTGCCGAGCATAATGACGGACGCCTGCGTGATGACGCGCCGGAGGAGCGCGGGCGTGATGGCGCGCGCCGTCTTGGACCGTGGTGGGCGCGACATGACGGCGGGGTCGACGGGCTCGACGCCCAGAGACTGTGCTGGTGGGCCGTCCATCAAGATATCTGCAAGCGCTTCGTTAGCTTTCGAGGTCTTGTGGGCAGCGCGGACCGGGGGAAAAAGAGAGAAACATACTGATCCACAGGATCTGCATGGCGTTAAGCGGATTCTTCCATCCAAACACCGTGCTGACCAGCACCAGACTCAGCGCCGCTGCCGACGTACTGAGCTGGAACGTGATGAAGTTCTGGATGTTGTAAAAGATACCCTTGCCCTCTTCGATTGCGTTCAGAATTGTCGAGAAGTCGTCGTCCGTCAAAATCATGTCCGCCGCCTCCTTGGCAACGTCAGTGCCCAGCTTACCCATCGAGATGCCAATGTCCGCCTTCTTCAGCGCGGGCGCGTCGTTGACGCCGTCGCCCGTCATAGCCACCACGTTGCCGCGAGCCTGCAGAGCGCGCACGATCTTGAGCTTGTGCTCGGGCGACGTGCGTGCAAAAATCGTCGTCGTAGAGATGGCTTGTTCCAGATCTTCGTCCGACATCTGGTCCAGCTGGTCTCCACGCAGGACCGAGGAACCCAGCGACGAGCTGCTCACTGGCATCCCCAGCTTCTTTCCTATGGCCACAGCCGTCGTCTCCGCGTCGCCCGTGATCATGATCACCTTAACGCCGCCCGCCATTAGCCTTCTGATGCTTCGATCCACGCCCTTCCGTGGCGGATCGCTCATGCCCACCAATCCCGCAAACGCCAATCCTTGATACACGTCCTCGTCATTCTGCGGACTCATCGGACTCTTGGGGTCGGTCGCAGAGCCAGGCGTTGCGCGACCGCTCTTAGCCCTTGACGCGGTCAAATATTTGTTCTCCCTGATTTGGCCGCTCGCAAAACCCAGAACTCGAAGGCCATCCTGAGCCATGACTTCCGCTGCCGCGAGGGCTTCCTGCCGCTTGTTCTGGTCGAGGATGATCTCGCGGCCATCGGCCGTGATGTAGGTGTCGCATCGCTTGAGGACCATCTCCAACGCACCCTTTATGTACGCTACGTCGGAGCTGCCATCTTCGGAGCCCTTAATCACAACGCCCATCCACTTGCGCTCGGAGCTGAAGGGCGTTTCGAACTTGCGCACACCGATCCGGCTCCGCACGTCCTCCTCGCCAAAGGTGTCCAAAAGGTCGAGAAGGGCGACGTCTGTGGGCTGACCCGTCCATCGGCTCCTGGCATTCGAGTTGTCATCGCCCAGCGTGGATGAGAGGACCGCTGCCGAAGCTGCCGAGTTCGCCTCGCTCTGCACCAGCCTGCCGTGGTTAACGATGTTTCCTATCCGGAGTATCGTGCTCGTCGCGGAATCGAGGTCTTTGCTCTCCGTCTTGCGCGCTACATCGGCCGGCTTCTCCGCGCCGAAATGCCATAGCTTGGTGACGGTCATGTGGTTTGTGGTAAGCGTGCCCGTTTTGTCGCTGCACACCACGTTCACGGAGCCCAGGGTCTCCACGCTCGGCAGCCGTCGCACAATGGCCCGCCTCTTGGACATGCGAAGCACGCCCAAGGCGAGGGTGACGGTTACGATGATTGGCAGGCCTTCGGGAATAGCAGCCACGGCCAGGGACACTCCCGTCTGGAAAATCTCCAGGAACGGCCAGCCACGCCACATGCCGAGCAGACAGATGAAGCCTATCACAGCGAAGGAGACGTAACTTAGGTCCTTGCCCAGCCTGTCCATGGACAGTTGCAATGGAGTCCTGGGACTCTCAATCTCCTGCAACGAAGCGGATATAGCGCCAAACTCGGTGTTGGCCCCGGTTCCAATGACAATTCCCTGCCCGTATCCAGACCTTACCAGCGTGCCCATGAACGCAATGTTGCGTTGCTCGTTCAGTCGTATGTCCGCGCCGACCGTACCCGTGGCCGGGGATGCATAAAAAGGCGTGTTCCTCCCATCCATGCCGCTGCTCCTGTTCGTGGGCGCGAGCTTCTCTGGCGTCTTATGCACCGCTTCGTTCTCTCCTGTCAAGTTTGATTCGTCAATTGAGAGGTCCGCTGCGTGCGTGATGCGAATGTCCGCTGGTATGCGGTCACCTGTGTGGAAGAGGACCAAATCACCAGGCACGAGCTGCGACGCAGGCACAGTCTTGGAGACGCTCTCAGCTTCCTCGAGCAGCGCGACCTGGTCAATGTCCTTGAGTTCGGACGTCTCCTCGCTGGCGAGTTGCTGCTGGGCACTCGAGCTTGCGGCCATGTCGCCTCGGATGATGTGCGCGAAGTGTGGAACCAGCTGATTGAGAGCTTCCAGCGACTTCTCAGATCTGTATTCTTGCACGAAGCCGACCGTGACGACAATTGTGACGGCGACGGTGATGCTGACGCCGTCGTCGATGTTGCCCATGAGGAAGGAGATGGCTGCGGAGCCAAGCAGCAGCAGGATGAGCGTCTCTTTGAACTGTTTGAGGAACCGCAGCCAAAGCGGTTCTGCCTCCTCGTGCGGAAGCTCATTGGGGCCATGTGTGATCAGCCTCGATGTGGCTTCGGACGGGGTGAGCCCGTTTGCCAAGGAGGTGGACAGTCTCTCCGCCGTTTCCTTGGGGGAGAGGAGTGAGAACTCGGAAGTGGTTGACTGCACAGCGATTGTCAGCATGTTCCTCATCAAGACCCTCGTGGCGGAGGAATTCGCAAGCACCGGGCAGGAGGATGGCGTGTGCGTGGGGAGCTGGGATGTGGACACGTACGGTGGCAGACTTCGAGCGTCTGGCAGATTGCGATGGCGACCTCGAGGCCGATGCTACCGCGTCAATGGAAGGCAGCATTCCATTTTGCAGCGGGGGCTCATTGTACAGTGGCAGACCCGGGGGCGGCGACTTGGACATTGTGGCATCGCTATGTCAATGTCTCACGCAAGGTTCAGAATGGCTACTTGCAAGCAGCGAAGCAGCAACGACTCAACGACTCGACGACTAAGCGAACGTCAGACAGGCGATCGACATTGCTGTGTGAAGAAGATGACGAGCGGGGGAGCAGGAGGGTTGTGAAGAAGTATGTGTGCGTGTGGAGTCGGTTTGCCAAAAAGGCTGGATGCGCTGGATGGCAGACGGAATGAGGATGCCGGCTCGTTTTGGCGACGTGAAAGCGCCCAAACTCCTGAAGGTCTGGGTGTGGACGTGAGAGGGGCCAGATGACCAATGGGAGCAGCGGAAGTCCGGAACGCTCCAAAGCGGGCGCGGACCGACACCATCGAACGCAGCGAACACGTCGACCGTCGACAGCTACAGCTACGTGTGGCCCAGATGCATGTGCATGGCTGCATGCGTGTGCCCGGCAGCAACGGTGCCGGTGCGGATGCGCGCACGACACCTCTCGTTGGGCGTCGAATGGATCTCGGTCTCTGCTGCCGCACCCAAGAGTCTCGCGCGTTTTACAGTGTGACTGTCGCAGTCTGGTCTGGTGACGGCTCCGTCGCTTCACGTTGGAGAAACACAGCGCATGCTTGGTGGCTTAGACGTGCAAGTGACGAGACTGGACGGCGACAGGCCTTGCGTTGCGCCCGCGCAGAGGATCGGCCCTTTCTCGCTCTGTCCTCTGCCCTCTGCTCTGCGTCTTCTTCGTCTCATCCAGTCTGAAAGGCTCCAGGCAAGGCTGGTTTTGTGGCCTTGAGATGCCTGAGGCACCGTCCCCAGCCACCGCCCGTCGCGCCTCCTGGCAACGAACAAACAAAAGCTGCCGACCGTCACAGAGCGTGGCCGGATCCCGACGCGCGCTCGATTCTCCTCCTCCCGTCCAACGTTCATCGTTCGCCCACCCCCCCAGTGATACTTAGAATACCAGACTCAACGGCTACTCAACAGCAAGCCAAGTCCCAGCTCGATCTTCCCGCGACACCACGCCCAGCCGGGCCTGCTCGACCTCCTCCGCTCCCCGCGCATCTGAACCGTCGCAATCATGTTCTACTCCGACGTGCTCTTGTCCAAGACGGGCCCGCTGGCGCGTGTGTGGCTCGCATCCACCATGGAGAGAAAGCTGTCCAAGCGGGACTGTTTGCAGTCCAATCTCGAGGACAGCGTTGACATGTTGGTCGACGAGTCTGGCGCGCCAATGGCGCTCCGCTTGAGCGGTCAGCTACTGCTCGGGGTCGTGAAGATCTACAAGAGAAAGGCAGGGTATCTGCTCGACGATTGCAACGAAGCTCTGCTTAAGATCAAGCTGGTACGTCGTCGCCACACTCCGACCGTTGTTTTCGCCCCCGCACGCTGCGCTCGTCGCGTGCGCGCTCGTTTGTTGTGTTCGCGCCTCCTAACCTCAGAACGCTGACTTTCGCGCAGGCTTTCCGTCCAGGCAACGTCGACCTTCCGGCGGACCAATCGCACATTGTCAGTGCCGAAGCATTGAACTTGCCGGATCGAATTACGGCTGTGGACCTCTTCGCCAACCTTGCCGACCCAGATCTGCTGCTGTCGCAGCCCGTGCGCCGGAAAGGCGACGTAGATGATCCGGCTGTTCTCGACTGGGGCACCCAATCGCTAATCACAGAAAGCCTGGATTTGCCGGCGACCAAGTCGGCTCCGCGTCTGCTGCAGGACGACGACCTGGAACTCGATTTGGGACTCGGCGACGACGATCTCACTCTGGAAGTGGGCCGTCGCGAAGCCACACCATTGAACAACTCCAGAGACGAGCCGACCCTTCTAAGAGACGATGACCTCGAACTCGACCTTGGTAACGACTTCCAGGGGGGCGACACGTCTGCACTACCGCGACTTGACGACAACGATATCCCAATGGATGATCTTGCGCTCGACACAACAATCGACATGAAGGATTTGCCTGCTCCCGCACCTGAACGCCAGCGCAACACGCTGTCTCCGCTTTCAAACCCGGACCCCGATTTGGAGCAGTCCTTCCGGCCCAATGAGACCGACCTGTACGACCAGACGGATGAGCTGGCCGTGGCCAACCAACGCGTTAAGCGCAGGAAGATCATTCAGATGGACACACAGCTCGAATTATCCACAGCGCAGATCAAGCAGCAGCAAGTCGACCACAGTAAGATTACCAAGCAACCCCCCTTCCTGCCGAGGGACCCACTGCTCCTGCAGCTTATGAACATGCAGAAGAACGGCGGCTTCGTAACCAACATCTTTAGCGACGGTCGCAGCATGGGCTGGGCTCCTGAGCTGCGAGGTGTGCTCTCCGTGGACCTCATTCGCAGTACGGGAGACCTCAAGCGCAAGCGAGACAGCGGTGTTGCGGATCTGTTCTCAGACGAGGACGAGGACAAGGATCAGCGGCACGATGATGAGCAAGCCCCCATGGCCGGCGAGGATCGCGGTTTGGAGCCCGAGCCTGTGCAGGGCCTAGATGACTTGGAAGGCGATATAGGTCCTGGCTCGCCGCTACCAAATTTCGAAGACACGACCATGCCACTGCTGCACCCAGCCGACGACGGGCCCGTCAGCACTGGCACAAGAGCAGCCGTTCATTTGCTTCGCGAGCGATTCGGCCCACAGGGAGAGACCTCCGAGTCGCATCGTCAGAAGAACGTCGTGTTACTGCAGGACCTAGTCCCCGAGAAGACTACGACGCGACACGACGCGACCAAGATGTTCTTCGAGGTTCTTGTACTGGCCACCAAGGATGCTATCAAAGTGGAGCAGGGCAAGTCCAAGATCGGCGAGAGCATCAAGATCAGAGCCAAGAGGGGTCTGTACGGTGCGTGGGCGGAAGCGGCCGAGCCACCATCGCAGCACGTTCAACCCGAGCCAGTTTCGACGTAGGACCAGTGCCGGAATTAACGACTCGCCTTCTTTTTGGATTCTGTGTTGCGCTCTCTTTGGGTGAATCGGTTCCTTTTGGGTCACAGGGTGTTCAGTCACTCGTCAGGCGTTGGCGTGGATCAGCTATGACAAAAGAGGGCCGCGTACATCCTTGTTTATGTGTATGTGCGCGCGCGTGTGTGTGTGTGTGGGTGCGTCACAAACCGCGGGGGTGTCTCGCACAGGGGGGACGATCAAAAACGAATTTGGCTGGAGTTGAGGCAAGGAGGCCTCCCGGCGCAGGATACCCCTTTTTCTCCTATTCCCTATTCTTCTTCTTCTCCTTTTCCCCCCTCCGACATTTTCTGCGAGGGATAAGGTTCTCTTGGTCCGTAAGAGGCATTCTCTCGCCGCCCCTGCTCTTTTTTTTTTTTTTTTTTTTTTTTCTAGAAGTCGTTTGGAGCAGGGGCATCGTCGATGTACTTGTACGCTTGAAGTCACGGGCACGTGGGACGCAGGTATGTTCAGAGGGACATGTTGGGGACTTGGAATTTATTGTACCTTTCTTTTTTGGAGAAATGAAGGAAAAGAGATGACCACCCGTAGCATATGTTAGCGTCTATCCATGCTTCCTCACCTTTTTTTTTCTCCCCGTCCTTCCGCTGAGTCAAGAACGTCCGTCGCTTTCTGAGTGCCCAACCCGATACTCCTGATCATGTGTACATGAAAACGCTAACGTCGCTTGCACGCGCATCGACAAATACGATCCCTCTCCTCCCACCACGCGAGCTACGCATTCAGCTTCTCACACAGTCCAAGCCCGCCCGAGCCTTTCACCTGTTCATCCGGCCAAAGCGTGTTCCTGGCTCGGGCTCTTCGTCAGCGTGAACGTGTGAAGATTCGCGCCCGCCTTTCTCATCGTGACCACCCTCGCCGTCATCGGCTGGATGGGGCCGTTTGAAGAGTCGTCGTCGTCGTCGTCTTCCTCCCCGTCAGACACTCGATGCGGATCAGCACTCTCGCCGCCGCTGCTGCCGCTTTCTGAAGCGGGTAAAGTGCTGTCACTCTTGATAGGCTGCTGCTGGGCGAGCGTCCCTTGCGTCTCTTCGCGGCGCGTCTGTGGCGGTAAGGTGTCCTGCGTTTCCGGGCTGTGTATGGCGCTTGTCGTGATGGCCAGGGCCGGCTCAAGGTCGGAGCGGAGACGCAGATGAGGATCTTGGGTTTGCGCAGAGATGGAGTCCTCGTCGTGTGCAGTCGACGCCTCCGCGCTGGTTTCGGGCTTGTCGGTGACGCGCGCGGAATGTGTTCCCTCGGCGAAGCTCTGTCGCTTGCTGTACCTCAGCTGAAGCCGGGCCTCCCAGCTAAGCAGCCATGATTTGCGGCTCTGCGCGGACCTACAGGCGAAGTCGTCGACACGGAACTTGTCGGCCTCGGCTGTTTTAGGATGCTGCTGCCGGCGCGAGATCGAAGCCCTGCGCGCCACGCGCTGCAACACATCCGGGCTGGCACCGCACAGGAACCGGGCTCTTGGTTCGTCCTCCGCCATGTCTCTGTCCGTAGACAGGAGCATCGTCGCCCTGTTTCCGACTCTGCACTTCTTTCGTGCCCTGGCGCTCCGAGCGTCGATGACGTGCCTCTGTCTGTGCTGTCGGAATCTAGACCTTGAGGTCAGCCGAATTCCAGCTTTGCGCTGAATGTCGCTGGTCCTGCGCCCAGACGCTGTCAGTGAGAAAAAAAAATCAAAAAACATACCTGCACGCTTTGAGCAGCTCTTCTTCCGAAAGTACCTGAAGTCCGGGCGTCAGATCTTCCTGAGACATCTGCTCGCACCCCATGGCTGTCACGGCGTCATGGGCGCTGCGATCAGAGCTATGAATATCCTGCGAAGAAACGCCCGGATGGGCTGGTAAAAGCCCATCGAGATGCATGGCAGGCTGTTGTGGTTGAGTTCCGGAAACCAGATTTGGTGAAGTGCGCAGCCCCGTTGCCTTTGAGCGTGTTCTCTTGGAAGGGTGTCGAGGATATCTTGAGCTGCTGACTGTGCTTGAAGGCACACTCTCGTCGTCAGTGAACAGTGACGCGGGGAAAGATTCGTAATCCTGGTTGGCATTGATAAACAGACTCGGGTCCAGGATCGAGCCTAGATCAAGTGTTGGGTCAGTTTCTGCAGAGTCTGCAGAGTCACTGCTGTCACGTCGACGTGAACTTGAACATTCAGAAGCGTTGACTACTGAGTGGTCAGAACCTAACGGTCTGTCAGCCTCTTTCAACTCGTCAATCTTAATCTTGTTGTGTGTCAAAAGAGCCATTGAGCGGGAGAGCTTGGTCTTGACGGCAGCCATGTTGACGAAGTGAGAGCGGACGATATGGAGCAAGTGTAGTTCTGCAGTTGAATTGGATAGGCAGAAAGTTACACAATGGCGGGCGTGACGGGTATTGAAGGACCGTACCCGCTGTTGCCTCATACACGGGTCGTCATGTCGTACATAGCAACGATTATTCCGAGAAAATGCAAGAAAGATATAGACGTTGCGGTCAACACAGACACACAAGATTGATAACTAGGACAGCGCTGGATTCATAAAGGCAAGACAGACAATGAAGAAGTGAACATTACTCACTAAACGTATTGTTCAGCTTTGATTGAAATGGCCCTGGATGTATTGAGCACCATTTCCGTGACTAGCATTCAGACACGAACGTCCAATATCTGGGCCACGGCGTGTTTCGCTTTTTCAGCGTTCACGCTACCTTTTCCATGGTCTTTAGCCATTTCACGCAACATCTGTCCCACAAACCACATCACTTTGCCATGCTGTCCCTTCTCTTTGATGGCCTTGACCATTTCTGGATTGGCTTCTATGAGCCTCCTCGCCGCATTGGAATACTCGGCGCCATCAATGTCTTGAACAAGCATGCCGTCTTCCTCGACAATTCTGCCGACATCACGCATATCGCCTTCAAATACCAGGCTTAGCAGTTGCTTAGCCGAAGCGTTTGTGATCTTGCCCTCCTGGAGCAAGACCAGTATGTGTGCGAGATGAACTGTGCTGACACGAGAATTCCTGCAAGGGGTGTCGGCCCGCCCAAGCAAAGCTCCCAGCTCATGGATGACCCAATTTCCAACAACACGTCCGAGCTGATAAGGTGCTAGTCTGCCAAGCTCCTTCTGAACGCGGTGGAGCACTTCGAAGTAGAAATCTAATCGATCACCGTCATCGAACGAAAGTAGTGTCTTCGCATCCTTCATTGTTAGTCCATGCGCAGGGTCCTTAGTGAGAAGCATCAACAGCTCATCCGGGAGCTTCGGCAATTTTTCTCTCAGGTGGTCAACAAGATTCTTAGAAATAATGACAGGTGCAATATCAGGGTCTGGCATGTACCGATAGTCGATCTCCCCTTCCTTTCCGCGCAGTTTTTTGGTCTCGGTATTGCCCAAAGTCCACCCTCGTGTTTCGCCTTCGACGACACCTCCCGACTCGAGCACCTTGATTTGTCGATTGCGCTCCGCGATGATGGCATCTTCGACGGCTTTGAAGCTGCTTAAGTTCTTGATCTCAGTTCGCTGTCCGAGACCGCTGACGCCGTGGTAAGAGCCTCCCGTGTACTCGCCTGCTGCTTGTCGTCTGCGGACAGAAACATTGACGTCTGCACGTAACCCTCCAAGTTCCATGCCAGTGGTACAGGCATTGACCGCTTTCAAAATACTTTGCACTTTGCGCACCAATGCCGCAGCTGTCGTAGGATGATGAATCTGAGGTAATGTGATGATCTCGATAAGTGGGTGGGAGACTCGATTAAAATCTAGGTAGTGCTCAGATGGGGGAATTTGAATCGTCTTTGCTGTGTCCTGCTCCATCTGTATCTGCTTAATGCCAATGGTGATCTGCTCACCGTCTTCAGCTGCGATGCCATCATAGTCATAAAGCGTGATATGGCCATCACGAGCGAATGGCTCGTAGTATTGTGTGATCTGATAGCCTGCCGGTTGATCTTGATAGAAATAATGCTTTCTGTCGAACGTGCTCTTGCGCTGTATGTCACAATTCAGGGCAATAGCTGCTCGTAATGCAGGAAGAAGTGTGGCAATTTGAAAATGAGGTTGCGATCCTGGATAAGCGAGGTCAAACAATGCTACGTTGCTGTTAGGCGCTGCATCAGGCGACGATGTTGGAGCTTCAGAGAATAGTTTGCGAGCTGTGTTGAGCTCGGCATGAATTTCTATACCGACTGTGAGTTCCCATCCATCTGTAGATACTGTGTCCGTTTCCTCGGCTGTGGGGCCAGATCTTGCGCGCTCTCGTTTTTGTTTAGCTTCAGCCTTGAGCTGCTTTCGCAATGGAATCAGTAATTCATTTGGTTGAGAGGTCGAGGTGGCTAGGGACCGAACAAGAGCTCTCTGCTGTATGTTCCAATACGCAGGTGGATGGTTGATAAACAGACAGATGCCAGAGTTGCGTATATTGATAAACGAGCGAACAGGGCTCGAAAATCCCTTCGCTAACATCTGGGAGATGTTATGATTGTTCAAGTATATCCGGCGAACACGCGATGTCTACATCTGCGGAGGTGATTCGGGAGGCCGCCCTTCCCCAGTTTGGCACGGCAACGGGCGTAGTGCAACAAGCTTAAGCTTCACGTTGATGCCGCTACAGTAAGAGACTCACATTATTCAGCAACCTAAACAGGACAAACCATTCCTTTGAACACCAATTCATCACTATTGTAGATTAAAATACCCTTGAACCCACAAGATGCGATGTTCAGAAGCATCATTATCCCTAATCATTGAAAAAGTTGCATACGTCTAATAAAAACTAGTATATTCGAGCCTGAATATGCACACTTAATTCTCTTTGTACGCGATCTGTTACCAAAAAATAGGGAGGAGACTTCTTAAGGTGAATATTGAATTGTCAAACTTAGATTAGGTCGTCACAAGACAAAGGGTTGAACAATGGATGTCAGTGAGTGGAGTTCTGGGTCTGTTAAGGACTGTAAACCATTTTGGCACGGACTATGGTGACATTGTCTAGATTAAACTTCATCACAAGCTCATGATGAAAGTCTGGCATGTGTTCTCGAAAATTGGTCCGGTTGAATGTCTGCAAACAATGTCTTGAGAAATAAGACATTACATGACCTGCCTACAACATGTAACAATTCCGATCCACAATATTATCGCTTTTAAATTCGAACAGGGCATTGAGACTTGATATCAGAATGCTAGAGGACTCACATCATCAACTCCGATACCGTAACTTTGGAATCGGGATTCCCAGAGACGTGTGCTTTTTCCAATTAAAATCCGCTGGCTCTGTGATTTACGAAGAAGACTCAAATTCGGGTATGAGATTGGCCTTAAGCCAAGCAATTTGAGCGAGAAAACAGACAACCTTTCTCTAGCGAAAAGGGTTTGGGTATTTATGGCGCAAAGAAATGAAAAGTAAAGATAAGTAGTAATTACAACATTGACCAGGTGAAAAGAGAGAATTGAGCTTAGATCTTAAGGCTAACGACATCTGTGGCTGCAAGAGCTGCCACGATTAAAATCATATCGTTTCTTCATGACCTTGCGGTGATTTTCAATTAAGGTTTCCGTGCAACCTATCGTTCGGTGGAAGCCGTCTCCTATGAAATCAAAGATCAAATGGCCCCATTAGAAATCGCTGGAACCGTCATACCTTTGAGCATTAAACTATTGAGCGTAATTCCGCGCAATTGGTGCACTGCAATCAACCAACTTGCCTGATCATATCTCTATGGCGAGAACGCATTCACCTTGGTGAACAATGATTTCCTCCTCTTCGTCAAAGATCCACTGCCTTCCTAATCTGAATTTTTACCACTAAAACTTCCAGCCCATGGAAATCACATCAAGTCAAAGTCATCCAGCTTATCCCGATACTTGAGGATGTTCCTCTTGATCTTCGATGAATCCACCCATGTTACGAAATCCTCCATATTTCGCGTGACCAAAAAGGCTGGGTCCGTAACTACATCCGTGCCCACCCTTACGTGGCCCTGCTCCACGAATTTGACAGCACTACTGACATGATCCGCCATCCCCAGTCTGTGCATGACGACCGGTAGTCTTCTTCTTGCAAAAGACGAAACTGTGACTTTGTGCTCTACATCGCTCAGCTTGCCTCTTCCACCTCCTCCTGTGCCCAGAATGCCCATATCCCACAGCTTGCCAAGCAGCAGTTCCTCATGCTTGTGCCGGACGGGATCCTCCGGGTTGAGGGCGGCGAGTTTGTGTGCCAGTTGCCGCAGTTGCCCGCATAGTCGGTTGTATTTTGTGTAATCTGAGGGTTTTTGGATAACATATCGACGACAAACTTCGGCGGCTCGGTGGTTCTGATCCGATTTATAGGTTATGAAGTCCACCTTACGCAGCAACTTTTGCTCATGGTGCTTGAATTTGCGAACCATGACTGCAGGTAGTATTTGCCGCTGTCATGTATTTCGAGGTGTCTAGACAGTATTCTGCACTTCCAAATATCTTTTGAAAGGCGGGGGGACTGATATTGGGTTTTGCGTCTTCAGAGTAAATGAGAATTGAGGTCTTGTATGTCTCGAAAAATTATATGGAGCATGCAGTTAAGAAACCCCAAATTGGTTTAGCGCGGGATACCTGAATGTGATGGCTCAACTGCATGCGGCGCAAGCAGTCAACTCTGCATCAGCACCATCATACTCGCACACGCTCAATAAAGTCTGTTTCGAGCTTCGCGCCACACAAATTCAGCTTTAGACACCTCCTTCCCTAATATATCTCACATGTCTGGCAACAGAACAGTGTTCATTGGGAACATCCCGTATGGTAGGTTTTGACTAGAGATCCCAATCGTCTGCTGTTATGAGCACCGTCTTGGCTCTTGACGTGCAATCCGGAGACTAAGCCATGAAGGTATGCTAATTGGGAGATAGGCGTCTCCGAAGATGTGATCACACAAACCCTTGAGCGCGTTGGCCAAGTAAACCACTTTCGTCTGGTGTACGACAAAGAGACTGGCAAGCCAAAGGGCTTCGGATTTGCAGAATATGCAGATGCAGACCAAGCAGCAGCAGCCGTCCGGAATCTTAACGAATTTGAGCTTGCTGGCCGTAAACTGCGGGTAGATTATTCAAATGATGGCAAAGACAGTGCAGATGGTGGGCACCAGGGCGGCACCCATGGCCATCCAACACAAGCAGCGTCGCTACCTTCCCTTCCGCCTGTAAACGGGCCCCCAATAGGACAGCTACAGGGCGATGCGCCAGCACTTCCCGAGGGACAAGGTCTCGGAAACCATCTGACGGCGCAAGATGCGATATCGCAAACGGTCGCAGCCATTCCACCTCTTCAACTTCTTGATGCGATGCAGCAGATGCAGGATCTGTGTCGACAGGAGCCTGACAAAGCAATTCAGATGCTTAGACAGGCACCTCAACTCACATACGCGATCACTCAGATCCTCATCCTCATGAAACTGACCGACCAAAACACTCTCGCATCTGTCATCCAACAGACAGCTTCGCAACCACAACCACCACCTGTTACCGGAGCGCGTCCGGGCCTTCCCCCGAATCAATACCCACCACAGCAGCCTCCACACCAGCCATATGCACCTCCACAATACGCGGCGCCAACGCCACCTGTCGGTTTGGCATATCAGCCTCCACAGCCACCTCCACAACAGGCTCCACCACCTCCTCAAGCACCTACACCAGAGCAGCAGGCACTCATAGCGCAGGTTAAGGCGATGACCCGAGAGCAAATAGATCTATTACCGCCTGCGGAACGACAGCAGATCATTCAGTTGAGACAGTCACTTGGGGCGCCAGTACCTGGCTATGGATGAACTAGTACACAATAATGCATATTAAGTCTATTCGATATCAAGCATCAAAGGTCTCGACAGAACACATGGGGTTTCGAGCATTTTGAGCTCTGGGGATGGAATTGACGAACTCGAGACTTGGTGCTTTTTGAAACATAATGCGAAAAGTAAAAAAGTTCGCTGTATTATTAAGGATTAAAACCGCGACGCTCTCAAGCTTCGTGGAAATGATGGCCATTATTGTCGGTTATGTCGAGAAAGAACCCCTTTTCAGAGAGCATGTAGCAATGCATTCGAGCGGTTGAGTGAAAAATGAGCAGCAGTCTCGGGAAATCGCCATACCATTCCTGACCTTTTCGCGAATTTCTGTGATTTTTTTTCCTATCAGTAAAGATATGCGCTAAACACATTGGTAATAAGCTCAGCAGCGTAGTGCCTCTGGTCTTTAAAACGGCCAGTCGGTGGATCGATTTCACACACCATAGTATCCTCTTACAGTCAATGCCTTTAATGCTGTCTACCATCCGCGACTTGACATTAGGCACACGCCGCCTACGTTTCTTATTTTCGGTGGTTCAATGCTCCGGCATTTTGGTTGCATGAGGAAAACGACAGTAAAGTATCTGCAAAGTTCCCAATGAGACATCTCGTTCTAAGCTTTTAATGGTTTCTGGATCAAAATGATTGAGATTTAGGACTAGGATGTATTCCTAGACCTGCATGTTAAAGATGATAAAGACTGCATGCTCATGGGGCTGTCTAAGGATTCGTAGCCACTCAAAAGAGATTTCAGACGGTTTTTTTTTTATTTAAATTGCATGCGTATATCATGACAAAGATTCTAGAGTATTGGAATTCTTCCAAGCCAAATGTGATACGCCCGAGAGAACTTGAAGCCACAACAGTATCTGTGAGTATCAGGCTTAGAATATCTCAGATTAGGCCCGAAACTGCTGTTCACTAGGTGTATTCCATAGTCCTATCTCTTGAAGATAGCTAGTAAAGTATGTGGGAGATTCATCGCCAAAAAGGGAGGCTGAAGGCGAGGCTGAGAGCAACGTGATTTGATGCAGGGAAAGTGAAGGCGCTATACTGCTTTAGTAACGATAACAATGGCATCTGGCATCTTCAGCAGATCTAGCTGTGTTCTCTCACTCTAGGTACAACATGCGACATAAGTAATTCAATTTCTACCTTCTAAACTGTCGCCGGCCTTGTCTCTGTTTTCATGACTTGCATGCTCGAAAGATACAAGAACACTTTGTGCACCAAGTTGCATTCTTCTCGACCAATCGATTCAGAGAGACGTTTACGCCAGCGGTGCTCATGATTTGCGCATATTTATGACAAGATAGATATTCAACAGAGAGCAAAGGCACAATGCGAGTTCCAAGCTGGCTGCTGCCGGCAGAACTGCTGCTGCTGGTCGGCAGTCTCCATCTCCTTCCCATAGCTGTGGATGCAGCTTCTCAATCCGTCAACATCGGCTTGAAAGCCTCTTTCAGCTCCGCACCATATCTTGTGGAACTTCTGTACGTTCGATTGCGCTGCTTTTTTAAGCTTAAAATTTACACTCTGGTAGTGAAACAGCTGCAGAGGAGAATGAAGGAGTTTACTTTAAGATCCTCGATCGTATCGCCAACGGATACTTCCAAAGCGCCGCTTCGGACAAGGAATACTACGAGAGATTTATACAGCTATTAGAAGAGGATGAACTTATTACAGATCCGGCGGCCTTGTCGTCCTTCGAGCTGGCGCTTGCAGTGCACAGTGCAGCCCCTCGGATTGAGGCACAGTACCAATACTACAAGACATCCATAGAGCCACTGCTTCAGAGGAGCGGTGCAAAGGACTGTAAGACTTGGCTAGAGTTTGCAGGTAAACAATTCTGCGAACCTCAGCTAGAAAAAGAGGATGCGACCATTCAGGACCTTAACATTAGAGGTTCTGGTGCTTTACCCTTCGACAGATGGGAAAGGCAGAACAAGACGCTCCTACCAGCAACACTGTATGCAGATATATTGTCACCCGATTTCGGTAAATTCCATACACTGATGAGAGATGCTGCGAAGGAGGGAAAGGTCCAATACCGAGTTCGGCATAAACCCTCCCAAACAGAAACTCATGCTTTAGCAATGAGTGGGTTTGGGGCGGAGTTGGCACTCAAGAAAACGGACTACATCGTCATAGACGACCGAGACAAGGACGTAAAGACGGAAGAAAAGGCTACGGAGCAGGATCTGGAAGCGGCAGACGAGGAGATTGCGGACCTGACACCCTTGTCGTCGTCTGAGCTAACAGATCTTGCCATGAAGACAGCAAGCTACATTATGACTAGCGAGTTCCCACTGAAGCGTCTTCTGAAAGTCACACAGGATTTCCCTAAGTATTCATCCTTCCTCGCGTCGCAAGAGGTTTCAGCTCTCTTCAGAAAGGAGCACGTAGGCAATCGGGAACTGCTTTTGCCTTCGGGTTTCAATGTCATCTGGCTCAACGGCCTTCAGTTTGACCCTCGAAAAGTCGATGCTTTCTCCTTAATAGACCATATGCGTCGAGAGCGCAAATTGATCGCCTCGTTTAAAGATCTCGGTTTCACGAATGCGGAAGCTATCCAATTACTTACTCACCCTGCCTTGGCAGAGAGCCAACAAGATGCCGCCAACTCAGACATAACACGATATGATTGGCGCGATGACATAGAAGGCGGCGATGTTATCATTTGGCTGAATGACATTGAGGCTGACAAAAGGTACGAAGACTGGCCATCCAATTTGATGTCATTCCTACAGCGTACATATCCAGGACAACTTCCCATGGTACGACGTGACTTGCACAACATGATTCTGCCTGTTGATTTCTCGGGCGCGAGAAGTGTTGGGCCGATTGTACAGACCGTTCAGGATTTCGTGAAGCGGGGTATTCCAGTGCGCTTCGGGCTTGTACCCTTGAGTCACAGCGAGAGTGCTGCCAAGCAGGCAAAGGTGGTTTATCATATTTATGAGTATTATGGACTGAGTGCCCTGATGCAGTACCTCGAGTCGGCCTTAACTGCAAACCAATTTGGTGACCCTAATGAGGGAATATTCCAAGCCGTTATCGAGGACCGCAAAATCAAAGCAGGATTCGAACCACGAAGTTTACAGCACGTCCTTGAACCAGATGACACCGATGAGCGCGTAAGAAAGGCACAAAAGTACCTTGCCCGCCTCGGTGCTAATTCAGAGTCTCCACCCCTTTTCATTAATGGTGTTCCAATCAAGAACAATGATGATTGGTTACAGTCATTCAGCCAGCGCATTTCAATAGATATGCGTATGGTGCAGAGAAAAGTTTGGGAGGGCGCCATCGATGAGGAAATGTGGCTACCTGGCATGTTTCTTGAGGATGCATCGCTAAAGCGGAACGCACTTGTGATACCAGAAGACGAAAAGCAGATCAGACTCGTGAGCCTGCTGAAGGCGTATGAGGGCAAAAATGCGGATCTCGTCAAAAGCCTGCCCACAATTTCTGCTTCAGATGACACCCCAGCGGAGGACAAGAGTCAACTCGTCGTCATCGGTGACTTCACTTCAGAACACGGGCTAAGACTCTTGATGGAGGCGATCGCTTTCCGACAGCAACATGCAGACGTCGAAGTAGTTCTGCTTGACAACAATGCGAACACAAAGAGTCGTCTAGGGCATGTAATTCAAGAGTTGCGTGTCGATGAATCGGGACTTCAAGATTTTAGCGAAAAATTGGCAGGCTTACTTTCAAGCGCTGAGCGCATAGATGCAGATTATCCTGTTCCATGGGGAGACGTCACTCCGCTCATTGAAATATTTGGTTTCACCACTGGGGAGGCGGGCTTGGTGCTCAACGGCAGAAAAGTCGGACCGATTCCTTCAGATGAGGTATTTGCGAAGGACGATTTCGAGGCTTTGTATGCTTTTGAGCTCAAGAAAAGGATTATGCCTGCGAGGACAGCCATTAAGCATCTAAATTTCGGCGAAAAAGTCGGGAATGCTCTTAATAACGCAAAACTGTTCTCCACTTTAGCGCTGTCGACCGTGTCGGATATCCCTGAAGGAATCTTTGAACTCCCACCACCCATTCGGACGAGATTGTTCTACGACTGGAATGCAACCAACACCGCAATAACCGTAGGAGACAACAGCACCGCTACTATTCAGATTGTAGCTGCAATTGATCCCGCTGCTGAAATTGCACAACAGTGGGTGCCAATCTTGAATGTTCTTTCGCAGCTTGACGGTGTTTACCTGCGCATTTTCTTGAACCCAATCGAGAAGCTTAAGGAGCTTCCTATCAAACGGTTCTATCGTTACGCCCTGAATACAAAACCAACCTTCGATGAGCGGGGCGAGGCGACCGCACTAGGCGTAAAGTTTGAAGGAATTCCCAAAAATGCACTTCTCACTGCTGGCTTGAACGTTCCACCGTCGTGGCTTGTTGCACCCACCGATGCTGTTCACGATCTAGATAATATCAAATTAAGTTCTCTATCCGCGGGCACCAACATAGAAGCTACGTATACACTAGAGAACATTCTCATTGAAGGACATTCTCGGGATGTCACAACAGGGCTCGCTCCACGAGGTGCGCAACTCGCACTCTCGACGGCCAAGGATCAGCATTTTGCTGATACACTTATCATGGCTAATTTGGGATACTTCCAATTCAAGGCTAATCCGGGTTATTACAATATCTCTTTGCTCCCGGGTCTGAGCAAAAAGATCTTCAACATCGATAGTGTTGGCGCTTTTGGCTATGATGCTCAGCCAGGTGATGAAAGTACAGAAGTTACCCTCATGAGCTTTTCTGGTGTGACGCTGTATCCACGACTTTCGCGTAAACCGGGAATGGAGGAGGAAGATGTGCTTGGAACACCGAAAACTAGCGCCGCCGATGTTGTTGCCGACGCTGCTGCAGATCTCGTTTCCGACGTAGCTGGTATGGTTGATACTTTGCTGTCCAAGGTTGGCGTCAAGCTGCCACATGCCGGTAAATACTTTACCAAAGCCGTGGCAGGCGCCAGAGAATACCTCTTCAAGACTATGGCTAACTTAAGTCCTGTAGCTGAAGTCGTTACAACATCTCCTCATGCGGATATCAACATTTTTTCCGTAGCAAGTGGACACTTGTATGAACGCATGCTGAATATAATGATGGTCAGCGTCATGAAACACACAAATCACACGGTCAAGTTCTGGTTTATCGAGCAGTTCTTGTCATCTTCTTTCAAGACATTCCTGCCTACTTTGGCTGAAGAGTATGGATTCAAGTATGAAATGGTCACGTATAAATGGCCTCACTGGCTTCGGGCGCAGAAGGAAAAGCAACGCGAAATCTGGGGCTACAAGATCTTGTTCTTGGATGTCCTTTTCCCTCTTGACTTGGACAAGGTCATATTTGTGGACGCCGATCAGATTGTCAGGACAGACATGATAGAACTGGTCAACATCGACCTCAAAGGCGCACCGTACGGCTTTCCGCCCATGGGTGACTCCAGGACTGAGATGGAAGGCTTCCGCTTTTGGAAACAGGGCTACTGGAAAAATTTCCTGAAGGGCTTGCCGTATCACATCTCTGCACTTTATGTCGTGGATCTCAAACGTTTCAGACAGATTGCTGCAGGCGACAGACTTAGGCAACAGTACCATCAGCTCTCGGCCGATCCAGGTTCACTCTCGAACTTGGATCAAGATCTGCCCAATAGTATGCAGATGGTCATTCCTATTTACACCTTGCCGAAAGAATGGCTCTGGTGCGAAACTTGGTGTTCGGATGAGGATCTTGCAACTGCGAAGACGATCGATCTCTGCAACAATCCGATGACGAAGGAACCGAAGCTAGATCGAGCTAGGAGGCAAATTCCGGAGTGGACCGTGTACGATGAGGAGATTGCTGCTTTGGCGAGGAGGACAAAGGGAGAAGTGCCAAAAGGGGATGAGCAGGAACGGTTACAGAAAGACGAAGAAGCTAAAGAGGGAAAGAGAGCTGGAAGCGCTCCAGAGCATAATGAGCTCTGATTTCTCGGCCATTATCTCTTGTACCGAAGAGAGAAATAAAACCCTGCGTCTATGTACGAGTATGTGATTTTAGGGCATGATACGGCGTACTTCGGATTTCGTTTAGAGCATACAGATTAAGTATGTTGAGTCACTTGGATTATGGGTAGACTCGCCATCATGCACTGGGTGTTCTATTCCATGCTTTCAACGCTAGCAGAAGAGTCCAACTAACTTCGAACCGTCGCAACTCAAACATCGACTTTCCAAATCTTTACACTGGCATCTCCGCCCGTCGTAACCACTTTCCCCGGCTCCGGCCAGCCAACTCCATTGACCCCATCCTTGTGTGCATTGAGTGCCTTCACTCTACGCCCGGGGTCCTTCAAGCTCCACACAAACACATTCGTATCCAAGCTACCGCTGACAGCGTTCTCCTCCTTTGCATCCCATGCAATACTGGTTACCCTGCCAGTATGAGCAGACCAGCGGTCGGTGGCTACACTCCAATCCGCCGTTTTGTACACGATGATCTTACCGTTTGACACACCGGCTGCCAGGTACGTGCCATTTGGCGAGAAGGAGAGCGTGGATATCGCGGCGGTGGGCTTTCGCAGATCCTTGTCAACGGGGGATGGCTGCTCTGGAGACGAGAGCGAGAATATGCGCACGGACTTGTCATCGTGGCCGACGGCTAATGTATCATTGATGGCCGCGATTGCGGTGGCGCCATGCGAGGGGAAACTGGAGACCTTTTCATTGTCTTTAAAAACGACAATTGCTTCACGGGTCGCGGTGTAGGTGTAGCCTTTTGCGGATGCAACCCCTTTAGGTTGACCTCCAATGGAGCCGACACCAGCGACAAAGGTTTTCGCTGAGATGCATCGAAGCGTGTCGTCCCAGCCAACAGAGTACACACGGTCCTGCTTTGGGTCCGACGTAATGCCAGAGACGTAATTTGTGTGTGTATCGCCGTCGATCTTTTCTGCAGTACCGGTTGCCAGATCCCATGCACATACTCGTCCTTCGAAGCTTCCGGTATAGAAAGTTTTGTCTGAAATGGCAGCTGCCGTGATGCTCTTCTGATGGCCTGTGATCACCCTCGTAGGCTTTGTACTTCCCTCCACGAGATAGTTTAGGTTTCCGTCAAGATCAACGGAGATGATCAGACCGTCACTTCTGCCGGCAGGCCAGACTACACCAACTTGTTGATCCGGTACACTCACCACGCCTTCCTCGCCCATACGCCAAGTTTGCGTGTTTTTCCCAGTCTCAATGTCCCAGACTCTCACGGTCTGGTCTGCGCTCGCCGTGACAAATCTTTTTGAATCTTTGGCGAAACTGACACCAAATATACTGCCTGTGTGCACATTTTGTCCAATCTGCGTCTTGGGCTCTCCAGTCTTTCCGTCATACAACCATATCTTCTTGTCTGCACCAACGCTGACCAAGGTACTTCCATCTGGGCTGAATTGTGTCCCAAACACGAACCGATCATGCTGCCCACGGTTGCTCGTATTGAATTTGAACGGGGCGCCGTGGAAGAAGCAAAGCTGGGTGTCATCACTTCCGGTAGCCGCGCGCAACGGCCGCTGTTGCCTGATGCTCACGCAGTTGATTTGACTTGAATGGCCAGATATTTCGCCAACGCTGTTGCCGCTGTCCCAAGTGATGCAATGCCCCATCCGCTCCTTGCCCTCTCCTACGGCAATGATACGCTGTGAGTCGCCGTCCCACGCTATGTCGTTTATACGGCCCGCGATGATGCCATATTCACCCTTGGTGATCATGTCTTCGCCCACAGCATCCCATACGCGGACCATTCCCGAGACGTCGCCTGATGCAACATAGTATCCCGAAGGTGAGAACCGCGCTACTGTGGTTTGGGTAGTGTGCGAGGTGTATTGAGTCGACACTGCGGGATTGTCGATCGACCGGAGAAAGATGGATTTGTTAGACTACTCCACATGTCAATTGCGGCTCACAAAGGCACAGACTTGCTTCATACAGCATATGCTATGCGCTCGCCCTTCGCATCTGAAGACAGCGGTGTCGGCTGTCCGCGTGTTGTGCTAGGCGACGCCGCCCAAATTGCCTCTGTTTGATGATTAGTGGGGTATTGGCGTAGGGGCAAAACTGCGGCGTACGGGATTTGATTGACATGTTGGGGCGAATGCTAGATAAACGAGTGGTTGAAGAGAGTGCAAAGTATGCTCTGTAGCATGAGGGGGATTTGGACTATTTGTAAAGTCAAACCTCTTTGCTCTGGAAAGTGTTGCCTTCTGTAGTCTGCTGCACCGTGCAGCATAATCGAGGTGGGCTGTGGCACTTTAACTGTTTACGGTGTTGCGTCATCTCGCCAATCATAAACATTGACGCCCGTCTCTGTCTCAATTTCAGGATGAATCAAAGCGTCTCGAAAATGCTTAACTTGGAACCTCTGCCTCTTCTCAGACAGCTGGATGCTACAAAGAACTTAGGATATGCTCAAGTCGCCGAGCCGTTATGATTGCCTCTCGCATCATTCATATTATAAGACCGCGTTATCCTTTGAATACTCGTAGTAAAGATGCTATACGCTTGGATCATATTTACAACCCTCTCATGGGGAGAGTGATCTACGCATGCTTAGTGCTAAAGGCTTAGGCCTGGACGGGATTTTGTCCCATTCCTGGAGCGTACCTCAATTCGCCTCCTACCCAATTCTTATCTTGCTCATCAAACGCAGCACAAGCCTTCGCAATGAGCGAGTTCGAGGCTTGTTATTATATAACAAGCTGCCCATGTGGGCGACGTAGAATGGCCATGGGCCGCTGTATAGGCTTGTACTAGAGAGTGTTGCCTGAATGAGGATTCCTGAACAAGTTTTGGTTTCCCAGAACTTGATGGAGCACTCTTGTGAGCAAATTATCAGTTACATTTCAACCCTTGACCCATTTTTGGAATTAGCACGATGAATTTCCTTCGAAACAGCCCTTATAACAATGATGCAGATGTCACTCGCACGACATGGTCCGGATTAGGTACCGAGACTCCAAGACGATGCAGGTTGGAGAAAGAGTCTACGACCAGAACAAATTCGACACCCAGTTTTTGAGTAATTTGTTGCCGATAATATGATCTCTGATACAAGCACTGCCCGGATTACTCTTCGAAGGGCTAATTATCTTTGTTCCTAGGGAGTATTCACCTGGGTAATACGATCGCATTTCATTACGAAATGCGAAACTTGCCGCGAGTATTGCTTATCCTAAGCAAATACCGGAAAGTTGTTAAGGCCCCAATGTTGGATACATCGATGTACGGAAATCGTAAGATGAAGAGATTTGGCAAGAAGATGAAGTATCAGATGTTGCAGGCTGCGAATAAAGACAAGCGTGAGACGACGAATATGAATTGTGGGGAGTGAATACTACTGGAAGCAAGTGACTAGGGTCAAGAGTGATGATAGAGGTTGATATTTACCATTTTTGGGTATTGATTTTATCTCCTAGGATATCTCATCAACGTTTATAGCGCCTGCTTAAATCCTCTTGCATTGCGTTGCATATGTTACACTCTTTTCCTTTCTTTCTTTTGCATGGCGTTCCTATATCTCAAAGTAAAGATACTTGTCATTTGGTTCAAAGGACGTCTAAAATGGAGGCAAGAAAAATGGGTAACCGCCATTCTTAAACCGGAAGATGCTCAGCAAGAAGCTGTACACCAGGAAGATGACCGCTGCCCAAGACAGCACAGCAACCTGTTGCATTTTCGGGTCTGCAATTCGGGGGACCTTTACTGCCAAGGTGATTGTCGCAAAGGCTAAGACGCCATCTACCGCGAGAAACTCAGTACGATGAAGGAGCCGAGAGGAGCGGAGTTGACTTACAGATTCCGGCAACAATCTGCGTCTCGAGCCCATACTGACTCTGGAAACCACCAGCAAAGATTTGTATGCCCCTGTTCGCATCACCAGCCGCATAGGGCGTATGCCGGATGTGATTGAACATCTGGCCGCTGGTAAATAAGAGGACGGCAATCAACGATATGGCAGCCCAAAGATTGCGGTTCTGTAGGAGCGGCCATACGACAGGAGCGGCGACCGTGACTATAGAGAGACCACCCAGAACGGAGACGAGTGTCAGAATGAGCTTGACATAATTGAAGGGACGGGTAATAGGAGGGTGCGGTCCAGAGGGGAGGTGCCTAGCGATCCATGTGTGAACAGATTCGGCAGACTGGGGACTACAATCGGCTTGGTTAGCATGACACTACGTTGAATTAGGATGTCAGCTTTTCTCCAAAGACTCACCCGGCTGAGAAATCGTATCTCAACGGACTGCTATCTGGCCGGGCATCCTGTCCCGTTGTTGGTGGATACAGTAGGAGCACAGGAGCATGCTGCAGACCCAAGCTCTGGAACGTTCCCTTGCCATCCATAAAGTCCAGAGTTCCGAAAAGCAGCCTTGAAGCACCCTCTTTATCACCCCGCTGCCATGACTTTGCGAGTACATCCCATTCAGACTGGAATTCTTGGCAGACAGAGCAGCCGAAGCGAGCTTCCAATGCTGTGAGAAGGACGGCGACAGAGTAGTCCCGAGGAGTTTTCGTCAAGGAGCCAAAGGAGGAATCATCCAACTTGAGGGGAAGTGTCTTAGAGAACGAGGTGGAAAAGCGATCCGCTGCTGGCTTTTTCGCGGCCAAGGCTGCGAATGGCAGAGCCAATGCAGACAACAGGCCGATGAATTTCATTTTGGTCCTTTGCCTGGAGCAACGATAACAATTGCGAAGGACAGAGAGTGGTTTGCGAAAGCTGAAAACTGAACGAAGAAAGGGTACTGCTGCAAGGCTCAGATTGCGTACACGAATACCATAGCTCAAAGAGGACTAGCGGCCGCTACGGGAGTCCGGAGTTTAGCCGCACAGAGATGGCGTTGTTTACAGTGCAGAATGCGTCGCGCCCAAAGCGTGACGACGGCGAAATCGTCTTCTCGATCAAAGCCTTGCCATTCTTGCATAGCATCGATATAACATATAATGGCGGCCCCAGTCGCCATGGCGCATTCTGCGCCACGCATCACTGAAACCGCAGAGGTGTGTAGCTGCGCGATACAGCTGACTGTCCTATCAGACGCTAATGTTAGTGATATAAACACAGCTACAGCAGGCATTGAATACCGCGCATTTTGAGCTTAACTATGAGAAAAGTGCACGAATCATCGAGGGTGTTGCTAAAGATGAGGAAATTCGCGTTTTGAAGGTGAAGATTCATATCATGGAGGATGAAGTGGAGGAATTAAACGAGCAACTGGCCAAAGAGGAGGAGCGCGTTGACATGCTCATTCAAGATCTGGAAGAGGCTACTGCAAGTGCAGACCAATTGGACAGCCAAGTTAAGAAGTTGCAGAATGAGTTGCGCGTGAAAAATCGCGAACTAGAGACTGCTAGGGTACCGTCTCGTTCCTCACTTCATGCCATGAATGTGCAAACTAACTTCCATTTCTGAAGGCCGAAGTCGCAGCATTGAGCGACATATCCAATGATACGGCAAAGGTGCTCAAGGAGAAGCTTGCGCTCGCTCGAGAACTGGCTAATCTGAAGCCCGAGCTGGAGCATCTGAAAACACAAGCTGCATCTAACCAAGAATTGCTGGCGGAGAAATTGTCTCTTCAGCGGCAGCTTTCCACCCTGCAGGTCGAGCTCGAGAACGCGAAGCGAAGCGCAGATAGGAACTTCAAAGCGGGAAAAAATGATGAAAAAATCGAAGAGTACAGAGCACAAATCGATCAACTTAGAAAGGACCTAAAGGAAGCGAGGAAGACGGACAAGAAGATCGAGACGCTTGAGCTTGAACTTGTGGCCGCAAAGAAAGCAGCCGAAGAATATAGCCGACCCAAGTCAAGCTCGAACGAGCCCGCTTCGCATGAAATGAAGACACAGATCGAGGCACTAAAGAGGGACCTTGCCAACGAAAAGAGAGAGCGTCAACGCGCGGAGAAAGCGTTGGAAAAAGAACAGGCGGGCTGGGAGGCTCAACGCTCAACTCTAGAGGATAAGCTTGCAAGCTTCCGTGCAAAACTCAAGTCTACAAAAGAGAAGCTAAAGCAGTCTGAAGCAGAGTTAGACTCCGTGCGTGAATCTGTAACGTCCAATGCCGGTGCCTCAGCAGGTGCTGGGACCAAGGCTACTGCCAACTCACGGAAAAGATCGGCACCTGCCGTCGACCCCGACGTGATGTTAGGAACCCCTGGAGACCATCCGCAAGCCAAGAGGGGACGAAAGGCAGTGACTGCGAGCCATGTTGGCGATAAGAGTACATTCAGCATCACACCGTTCCTTAACCGGACCATGAGTCTTGTACCCGAAAGTCCTGGGAGCGCGAAAGAGGACTCCGGCGGGAAAAAGCGCAAAGCCAGTGATGATGATGACGATGTGGAAGGTGGTAAAGATGCAGAGGAAGCCACTCCGTCCGCAACTGCGAAGAGAGGAAGCAAGAAATCCGAAAAGACAACCATGACCAAGGTCCTTGCACCAGCGTCGAGTGCGAAACAGAACAGCAAACCTCCAGCTAAGAGAAGCAAAGGTGCACCGTCTACGCTGGAGAAAGTCGCGGAGGAAGACGAGAACGATAGCCCTAAGAAGCATCGTCCAGATCCCGCACCGGAAAAGGATAAGGAGGAAACCGCAGCGACCACAACAATGCAAGAAACGTCTTCTGAGAAAGAACCCCCTGCGCCTGCCGGAGCGTACAAGGAGAAAAAGACGACCACAACTGTTCCTCTCGGCTTGGTGCCCAAGCTGAAGTCGACCTCAACAGGTAGCAAGCCACGCAAATCGCTACTCTCTTTTGCAGCTTTCACGGACGAGCCTGCTCCGGTTGAAAAGAAGCCAAAGAAGCGAAAGCTACTGGGCGGCGGCGGCAATACCAGTGTTCTCGGTGGAGGACTAGGCAAGACCCTTTTTGATGAGGATGACGACGACGGGCTGCCCAGCAAACCTGTCCCTGGAAGGGGCCTTTTTGCAAAGCGAAACTTGCTTGGTGGGAAAGGCAAACCAGGCGCGGCGGGTACGTCCGAGGTGGACGGGTTTGTGTTTAGTCCGCTGAAGAAGGATAGAAAAGCTATGGCATTGGCACAGAGCATGTTGGGCAATTAAGGAGGCTAATGACGGAAAGAGAACTTTGGTTTGACCGGTGCGTTCTATGGATTTTTGGGGAGTTAAATCGCGCCCAAGCCTGAATTCTTTTGATGTGCAAATTGCGTGTTGCAACGCTAGACTCTCCAAATCATCCGAGCACTTCTTCTCGTCCCGCATCTTCTTTTCGACGTAGGCCGATGAAGTACGCTTCCTTACTCTCCTGTATGATCTCATTAGCCTTTGCATTCGACTAGATTCCTTCTCTAGAAGGACTGAAAGAATTCCTCGACTTACACTCCGCGAACTTTCCGGCTTCTCCCTCACCACCTTCTCAAACAGCTTCTTGAGCCGCATCTCCAGCATCTTGTCCTCACTCCCTGTATAGAATTTGCACACGAACGCCCCGCCTGTCCTCAGCGTGTCGAATGCAAAAGTCAATGCCGCAAAGCACAAGTCCATGGACCCCGCATGATCCTTGAAGGGAATACCTGAGGTATTCTGCATCCTGTGATACGGGTTAGAGACGCTGAAGACCCACGGGGAAGTGGTTTGGGGCCAGGGCGCTGACATGTCTGAGAGGAGAACGTCGATCACGCGGCCGGCCGCAGCATCACGGTCCTTCAAAGTGAGCTTCCGTTTCTCTGGCAGTGCGTTCAGGTCTGACGGAGCTGGCGATGTTTGCAGGGCGGGCTCAGGACTCAGGTCTAAATCGGCGTGTCTCTCCATGTCAAGATAACCATGTTCCTCTTCTTCCACATAGAGCATCCCATTCTCTGCGCTCTTAGTTTGGTCGTTTAGAACTGGCCTTTTCGGCCGTCCTTTGTCTGGATCCAATACATATCTCCTAACCTCGTCCCGAACCTCCTTGCTTAAGAAGTTCCCCTGGATGGTGCTAACGCCTCTGGGAGGCTGAACGGGCAATATATCAATGCCTATGACGCGACCGCCGGGGCTGGTCTTGGTCTGCGCAACTTGAGACCATGAGCCAGGAGCATAACCCAGGTCAACGACCGTTTGTCCGGGTTTGAAGAGACGGTATCGCGCGTCGATCTCGAGCAGTTTGAAAGCTGCGCGAGACTTCAAGCCGTTCACTTTCGCTTCTCGAGAGAAATGGTCCCGCGCTTGGCGCGATTTCCATCGTGTGGAGGACGAGGATGATGCGTTGCGACGTTGGAGGAATCGTGGCTCACTACGTCGTAAAGAGGAGAGGCCGCGAGGAGAACTTGGGGGCGTAATGCGGCAACATCGCGTGGCGCAAAAGCATATTGAAGGACTCCGCGTGTCAAAGAGAACGCTGTCGGTCAATTGACGAAATACGCGCTGCGTGAGCATGAATTGTCAATCTTTTGGGTAAGTGCCAGAGTCAAGGTGACGATATGCAGAAAAGGTACTCCGTACATGAGAAACCCTTCCTGAACCTGCGCCGAGGCCGGATGAACCTCCGTGCACAACGCATTGCAACAGTCACAGCAAGATATTCGTAGACGTACGATGGCTTTTCATCTGCGAGAACCGTGTGGAACGGAAATTGAGGACAAGATTTCCTTTCGCTTCATTCCTTGAACAACTCACCTCCTCTTCGTCCTAGATTTTGAAATCCCTCCTGAAAATAGTTCTCCTCATTAAATCGGATGGCCGTTCATCACGTCCATCAATCCTCGCATAGTCCATCGGTCTATGGCCAACCTGTGATTCAGTTCCATAGATTGAAGAAACGAAACATTTGACTTGAACATGTGTCCATTATAGAATATTGTTATCTCTAGGCTGAACCGCTGGCATAAGCTTAACATCTGAACTTCTAATGTGATACTTATCCATGTAGATTAAACCAAATATCTGTACACATAAATAGAGAAGGTTTATTTTACGGACAATGTTCTGAAATTTGTGGTATATTACATAGTAGTATGCCTATTGCTATACAATCAGTTAGTTTAGAAAAATTTTTAGTTTGATTAAATAGTCAATAATATAAATAGAAATACGATATGTATATTATAATATATGTTATTACTGGATATATATATATTGTAGTTAGATATATCTAAGTTTAAGCTATTGACTTTAGATTAGAAGAATATATTAGTAGTATTAGTATATATAGTAGTTACATGAAGCACCGAGCTGCGTCTTATTATCGCCAATGTGTGCATATCTGGGGCCGAAAAGATTAGCTCACAGCAGCGCGACTAAGAATTTAACAGCATTATCTAGGGCTCCAGTATGTGCTTCGAGCATGATAAGAAACTACTGCCTTGTCAAGGCATTTTCGGGGTTTATAGGGCTTCACACAGGTCGGGTAATGGACACGCGAAACAGTGTACAGGCAAATACGACGGCATTGCTCTAGACTCAACGGATAGAATTGTAGAAAAAAGCCGCAAAAGCTGTGAATGAATTTGATTTTAATTAGGAGAAGATATTAGGTTCGTCTATTTCATTCTGTGTTCGAATAATCTTCTTGATGAGACATGGCCGCAATCAGCAATTCGCAGTCCCATGCTGATGGTTGGATAAAAGAAGCGCACAAGAGGGTATAAATCCGCAGCTGCTTCGTCAGAAAGGAAAATGGCCGAGTCTCAGGCCTCCGAAGCAACAAAACTTTGCTGCATGTCGCGACAGTGAGGATGACGACCATATTCACCAAGATTACTTGCAGCATTGACCGTAATTGCTCTCTCCCGTTCGCTGTTACTCAACCAACACGCAATGTCTGACCTCCTAAATGTGTATCCCAAGAATGCGGTACGTTTTCGTATTTCCATTGCAATTGGCCCGCAAACCGGGTCTCGCAGAATCTTGTCCCGCGGCCGTTTGTGCTTTTCCTCAAGAGAACCGATCTGAGACGCCGGTTCGAACCACCTCGCAACATCGTCATTGTGTCTCTGCAGAGCTGGTATCCACGGAGGCCGTGTGCGAGGTAAATTATCCCAGTCAAAACCTCTCGCAGTACGGAAAAATTCGTGCCCTTTGATCTGCTCGACGGTGAAACGTGATTCTTGATTCCGAATCACGCTGCATATGAAGCTCACAGCATCATGCCCTACATCTGCTAAGACGATCGCGTTTTGCGACTGAGGTCGCTGAACGCGTGGATGCGTCGGAAATCGTAGGTATTTGTGCCACTCTAGTGCTTTGGCTTTGATGCGTTCCCGACTGGAATCATAGAATGGTGTTGAGCCATACAGACATTCGTAGAAGATTACACCAATACTCCACCAGTCACAGCTACCATCGTAGTCTTTGCCTTGAATGACCTCAGGTGCCATGTATTGGCTTGTGCCAACCACACTTTTTGCATATTGACGCCGCCAGGGAGCGTGGTCTAACTCATCTATAACATGTGCGATGGTCTTATGGGGCTTAAGCGGCTGATCCCCCGGATCTAAATAGAAAGGTTGGACTAATTTCGACTCTTCATAGCTAGCATCAGTCGAATCACCAGTAACTTCGATTCCAAGCCTCTCGCAAAGGTACGCTCGATTATTCGCGTAGTAGAGTCCTTGATGAGACCAATGACACGAAAAAGCGAGGCCAAAGTCTGTTAGCTTAAGGTGGCCATCGGCACCGATCAAGAAATTATCCGGTTTGAGATCACGGTGTATCCACCCCATTTTATGTACCTCTTCAACAGCACAGATCATTTCGCCAACGTAGAATCTCGTCTGTGCTTCTGTGAGGACATCTTCTCGAAGCAAAAGAGCCAAGAAGTCACCTCCTTCCATAAACTCCATGACCAAATAAAGATTCTCACGGTCCTGAAAAGTTTGAATGAGAGGGACTGTCCATTGCGATCCGCGGGTTGCGCATTCCGCAAGAAAGTCTCGTTCGCACTTGAGATGGGCTTCTTGCCCGATTGTGAGCATTGTGCTCTTGTGCATGATTTTCATCGCATAAAATTTGTTGGTGTATTGCTCTTTAACTAGCTGAACAAGGCCGAAGCTGCCTTTACCAAGTGGCCTTTGCAATTCAAAGTGTGTTTTCTGGTATGGCTCTGGGTCATTCACTGCATACCTCTTCGTTTTGAGTGCTCGAGGTTGGCGCAGATGATTGGGATTAAAATTTGGATTCTCATATTCCAGTCCGAGATGTATGTAGTGCAACTCAAGGAATACCTTAGCCGCTACTGTATGTTCGACGGTGGATATGGTAGGTCTGTATTTCGATGAGACTTGACTTTTGGCAGCTTCAAGAGAGAATAGAGAAGGACGCTGTGGGATTTCGCAGACGCAACGCTCAACGTGCCTGCTGATCGTCATTCTCTCAGATTTGGCGGTGGGTACGTATCCAACAGGCCGTACGTTTGCAAGCGCTTGCGGACAGTGAATCGTATGATCTACTAAGCATTCTCGAGGCTTGATTTTTTGCGGAGAGCAGCGACTAGCCAAGTCAAATCAGCTGCGAAATACGGTGCAAATATAAAATTGAACATGATGCCTACCGACACTTTAACTGCATCATTACGATTCTCCTGAGCTGTCCAATTTTGGAAATGAAGAACCTCCTATTTTCGCGTATCGTAAACTTGTGTCTTCTCGGTTGATGCGGTCGGTTCTGCATGGAGGGTGGGATAGTTGATGCATACGTTAGTCATAAAAGGTGAAGCATGGACTTGAGAAAAATGTAATGGTACGAAGACACATTCGTTTAGTTTCGCAAAATTAGATCCAGTAAATAGAGAACCCCGGAGTGAAGCGGATCAAGCAGACTGAGTGTGAGGAAAGCGGTAGCATCCACCCTGCAGCTTCCTTCCATCAATGTTTGGGCTCTGCTAAGTGCTTACGACCGAAAATGCGGCCAAATGAATTAAAGAAGACAGGATCGATCGTTACGACGTCTTCAAGTCAATGCCTGTTAGTCGCTTTGTGTTTGATAGCGTGAACGTCTGAGATCTACCTTATCAGAACTGCTTGTTGTACTAGATCCAGCGCTCCTTCTTCTGAGGACTTCATAGCAGTACTGCAGAAAATGACGTTCGGAAAATATCCTGCGAAAAATGAGCATCATTTCTAAATCAGCAAAAGTTTGGCGCACGTACAGAACGATTCCAAAAGCAATGGACAGACTACCCGTCAGGAGCAGACTTCGCAACAAGTTCATAGTGATCAATCTAGGATGTATTGCGGAAAAAATTGCAGCGAATAGGACGCCAGTGGTCGTAGATATCATGCTAGGTAAGGTATCAGAGAAGCTAAAGGGCTGGGTTTGATCAGCAAGGTCAATAAGTAGAAAGTTACCAGCACCTGCCATAGTGTGAATAGTGATTGCTTACTTGTCCATGTTGCAAGAAATATTTTGATATAAAATGAGTATTGAACAGAATACGCAGGCCCATGTTGACGCAGTTCGCGTATACGAGTCCAGAAGCTCCGAGTTCGAATTTTTGCAAGGAAAGCCATGCTGTGCTAGCAAAAGCAACAAAGAAGAATCCCATCGAGAAGGACTGCGAGCCTAGTTGCGAATTGGACGCCACCGCTGCAACAAAAGCTTCAGTGAGACCGTTTATCGCAAGGAAGGGAATGTAATAGCAGTAAACAGACAACACTTTACCAGCTCCAGTGTCTATCCATCGGGCGCCAGCAACGAGTCGAAGCAGTAGTGGAGCAATAGAGGGACCAATAGCCACTGCAACCAGTCCAATCAACAGGTACAACTTCAATATAGTCCGAAGCAGTCGTTTTGCTTCTCCAAGACCGGTATTCGTTGGCTTCTTAGTTGCGGGGTCCGGTGAGCACACATTTGCGATCAGATTTCGGCTGCTCTCTTCGATTGGTTGGAAAAGCATCCGAGCGATAAGGCCACCATAGTTTGATGCCAATGCATATGCACCTTGGTCTTGGAGCGAAGCAAGTGTCGCGATGAGAATAGAGTCACCTTGTGTGAGCACATACTTGAAAGTGTCTTGAATCCATAGACTGAGAGTCAATTTGCTCAAAGACTTTGAAAAATAACCCCAAATGTACTTCTCATCGTTGCTACGAAACTTTTTTAGAACCTCCATAGATTCATTTTGGTCAGAGTACTTACGATGCCTGCAGTCGACGTGGGAGCAAAGAAACGTTGTCCTGGGCACTGATCGGCCACACCTGAACCGTATACGCAAGGAGACGGATACTTCCATATGCAAGTTCTCCAAGGGCGAAAGGCAGTATTCCGATGTCATTGCCGGAAGAAGAGGCCCACATGGCGGCTCCACAGGTAACAAGGCATCGCAGTACAGTTGCAAGACCTTCGGAAGATGCTCTAATACCGAATCGGAGTTTCTGTTGAGCGACAACAAAAGCCGGCTCAGTTAAAAGTTGGGCGATGCAGCTTATCGCATAGATTACCAGAGACTGTTTGAAATATGGAGTATCGGGTACATCGGCTTGGAGGTATAATCTTGCCAAGATGAAAGTCAGGGGCAGTCCAAGAATTATTGAGATATAAGACATGTTGACCACGACAGGCGTATGGTATGGGCGTCTCTGAACAGCTACTCTGATGCTTTCCCTTGAGAAGTAGAGGGTCGTGATGGTGTAAAGGGCGAGTTGGGCTTCCAGGCCCAGTAGTTCTGGAGACACATATCGGAGTAGTACTTGGTTCACCACGAAAGTCAAAGCTCGCGTCGCAACCTGAAGTAGGATCAGAATCGAGGCCCCTTTTGCTGAAGCCGCGAGTGCAGACATGTTAAAAATTCGAGTCCTTAGAATTCGTGCGCGCTCAGGTAATATCTTGTGACGATTCTGGTAACTGTGTTGTGTCCTGAGAGTGAAGAACAGCGCTAGGCTAGATTGGGAAATGTATATGTACTTTTCCGTATTCTCCCCTTCAGCAACATTCAAAATATTCCCTAACGAAAACGAGAGTATATTTAATTTTGAAGCTTTAAGTGGTAGGATATGAAAAATTATGTGATCAAGCTCCATTTGCGATGTGAGAAACTCAAATTCTTAAATTTTTTTTCTCTGGAGACTCCGATGATTATTAAAGAATGTAAAAAGCTTTCAATTTATGTACCAAAGCCCATTAGATATCATAATTTTTGACGCGATTGTTAAGGCCGCATGTGAGAGTATCCCCATATCGAACATGTGGCCGCACATTCAGAATTATTTCCGATTTCGTTGGTCATTATGGTGTCGGACAAAGTCTATCGTCTATACGCTTCGTAAAACCATCCTGACGTACATTGAGCATCAGCCTTGAATGCTGTTGAAAGGGCTAGACGATGATAAATCTTCGTTTTCTTACATCAGCTTGATGGCCGCAGTCCTTAAAGAAGGGAGTACTTCCTATTGGCATGGAATTTTCAACTTTAGTAAAGCGTCGGTTACCAACAGCTAGGGACAAAGCCGTCTTCACATAGTTGGCACGCATGCTCGACAGCTATGTTTCATCTGGGATCCTTTCAATCAGCTAGGTGAAAGCATGTCGACCCTGGGTTGTCCCATAACATGCTGCTGAGCGTTGGGGCAAATATCCATGTACATTTCGGTTTAGAGATATGGATTTCGATTGGCCGCATTACACAGAGCATGACGATACGTGTCTACTTTAAAGGTCCTCCCGTTCGTCAAGCAAAAACGTATCTTGAGGACGAACATGGAATGTAGAAAATAGGCACTGTATAGGAAGCAGTTGTACACACCACGGATAAAACAACAATATGGACTCACGCCTCACGAAGAATGTGAAATGCCGAGGAGTGGACATGAACGCGACGGTGGAACCGTACAAGCAGTTGAACCGCGATCAAAGAAGTTGCAGTCCAATGTGGAAGCAAGATGGAAGCGGTACAAAATGTTAGGAAGTTAATGTGTGGTTGAAAAGATTTCACTGTTGGATTAGACTATTACGAGGACGAATGTAGGTACTTGACACCAGATGCTGATAGGAAGTCGAACATAGATGTTCATGAGGACAAATTTCCAAGCAAAGCCCCAGCAGCCATGACGAGTAAAGAATATACTATAGCCCCAGACGCGCTTGGTGAGTTGATTTTGTTGCCAAAAGATGATGAGACCGTTGCCGCAGAACTTGTTGCCGCTGAAGCCGACCTCGAAGGCGTGGTGCTCACAGCTGCCGAGGAGCTCTCCAAGACCGATGTCTTGTTCGCCGCGACCGGGACAGGTGTCGAAGTGATAGTAGGATGTGCGGCGCTGGTGGTTCCAGAGGTCCACGTTTCCGTCAGCATTCCATTGTAGGGCGAGTTGGCAGCGGAGGAGGCGGAGGCTGTTGCAACAGCTTCACTCTTGACACATGTTGCGGACGCGCAGGCCTCGCAGCTCTGCGGTATGATCGAGCATACGAAGTCAGGCTGGCAAGGTGGGCATAGAGGACCGAAGGGCTGGCAGGTGACGCAGCGTTTGAGGACCGGCTGCGCGAGGTCTTGAGCGGCTTGGAGGTTCTGGGCCTGCGTAGTACTAGATAGCGATATTAGCACAAGTGTAAATCCAAGGCATTGGCGTTCTGACTAGACTGATAGGCTCAAAAGAGCGAGGGTGACGATCCGCATGATGAAGTCCGCGTCTCGACCTGTTTGAAACGCTACACGCTGAAATCCACGTGTAGTTGCGGGTTTGCGTAGTCTCAGACGCAGGTCAGGGTTTGTCTTTGACGCATGGAGGAGTGCAGAGCGGTTTGTCTAACTGTGGGAAGTTGGACGGTGTCTTTGTCAACAACATCTCCCCTTTTCTCCTCGTATTTTTACATAACGCGCGCGAACGCCACGATTCTGGGGTAAGTTACTTAGCGGTTATTATAAATATAACAGCTCATCTCCAGGGAGCGCTGCTAGTCAGGGGGACGCGCATAGAACTATCACGTGCCTTTGATACCCTTCAGCATCTCTCATTAGTTCTGACAGTTCACTAAAAAATCGATCGTTCACTCCAGCAATACTGTACAATACTTGATCGAGAATGCTTCACGATATATGCATCGATGCGTTTCATTTTTACATGCAAATGATGTCGAATTTGACAACAGAAGGCAAATCTTCGAGCGTGTGGAAAAAAAAATGTCCGAACCAAAAAGCAGCCATGTCGTTAGGCTAAATCACTCATTCGTTCGAGAATAAGATTTGGAGTATCTAAGTCTATCGGATTTGAAGACAAGGCTTCTTTTCGATATGTTAAGCTACCCTAGAAATCATTTTCAAAGCACATGCGTACGTCAAGCTTTCGACAGCCGTTCTGGAGAACACTCGTACTCACGTGAACGCTCTTCACTTTTTTTGCTGTTTATCCTAATCGTACCATCATGGCCTTCTGTTAACCATTGTGAAGTTTCTACGCCTGGCCATAGAACAGTATTCAACTCTGCATCTATAAAGTAAACGAGAAAGTCAACTTGTTAGACCAAAACCGCAATCCGTCTGCACAGATCGAGCAGCGCATCAAAACAATATCGAAGCAGAAGCCATCCGTTTAGCTCTATAGTGCTTCATTACCGTGACTTTTGACCACATAGAAAATCCCATGAGAGACTGCTGCAACATGAGAGTGCAGATCCAAGACTGAATTTTTTTCTCTCAAGCTCAGGCCATCAGTTTGGGCATGTGCCCGTACAACTTAGGGAGAAAAAGCCCTGCCGTGTGGTCAAAAACTAGTATATGGAACCGAATCTTGATTACGACATCAAAGCGCTACACATATCAAGTTAATAATGGCTTTGGATACGTTCTTGGTTCACACTCGAGGAAGAGAGCACTGTTCAAGAGAGTTCTCGACAAAAGACTGATGCCGGAATAAAGGTGGAGCTCATTTCTCAACCAAAGCCCACTCGTCATACAAAGCTGGAGCAGACATCCAAGGGAAAAAGGTGTCCCTTTAGCCTGAATCAGATACGCTTTCAAATAGGACATGGGGAAAGACACAATACGCATGACAACCTTTAGGTAATGCTTTGCGATGCTTCGCAATGCCCTCCGCTGGATTCTGAGGTGTAATAGGGGCACATGATTACGTACGGTCACACGGACAATTGACTAGGAGACAGCTAAGCCAGGATGGAAATGCGTCGTGCTGGGTCGAGGAAGCAATATTTTGGTGTGCAGACCCAAGATATCAGGCTAAGAGCTCGTACGGCTCTGCTCGGTTCAAAGTGTGCAGAATAGGGCGCTCAGCTTCTTGGCTGCGGCTTGGTGCTAAGAGTGGATTGAAAGACACATGACAGGAGTCTGGCTACGACTTGCTTCAGATCAAGACAACACAAGTCATTTCACTGCTCCTGTGGAGATAGAGCCGAGCTTCGCAATCGGCTTTCTTTGGAGCAAAGGAAACGGTAACTGCAGTAATCCTGATGGAGCGAACATGCCCACTCAAGGATAGAGTCAAAGAGTCTAGGCAATCTGGGCGGGTGAATCAGGTGGCCAAGGAATGATGTGGCCAATTCGCTCGTGTAACACTTCCCACTTCATCCTAGCCAATTGTGTTACTCGATTGCCACTTGGTTCCCAAGAGATGGAAGACGTTGCTGTTTCATTGGTTTCATCAGATAGGATGATTCAGTCCTTTGCGATCAAAGGTGGGGAACAGGTCTGGGCAACGAACTTCCCAAGACTGACTGTTCTTCAGGACATGCTCGAGAGGTAGGACTAAGTGATGAATGTGAGCTCTGCACGATCGTTGACTCATATCTCACGGAAGCAAACATGTCCGCCTAATAAGGTTTATGATGCAAGGGGTGGGCTGCTTAACGGCACAGCTACCTCGGCAACGCTTGCAATGCTGACTCTTGACTGCGTTCAACTGTTAGGCAGGGCGGCAACAGAGGCGTAGCAAACAAAAGAAACAGGAATAATGGTGGCGATTCTCCAGTTGATTGAGAAGGACGTATCACCTCCACCACCTTGTAACGGGGCGTTGTCGTCAAGTCAAGGCAGCAAGCATCCAAGGAAACGTTTGGTTTACAGCAGTGAAACGACAAGAACACCAAAGACCCAAGCGTGAGCTGTCAAGAGATACCAAGGTAATGCCAAGGGCTTGTCCATTGGGCAATGCCATGGCTTGGCTTTATACCTTAAATCCAGCCTGTTTTGTTCGCTTCGTGATCGGCGTGAGTCTGCCCTCGTATTGCACGGCTTCAGGAAGCTCCATGAGCGGCGCAGGGGACAACGTAGAAGGACGGCCGAGTTTGCGAGCTCCAGCTGGACAGACTGTCGCGCCGCAAGTTCCAATCGAGCAGTGGAGGCGAAACCTGCGTTACTCGGAACAATTCTTAGCCATCGATGCGCGCTTTGTCACCCAGGAAGGGTTCCAAGGCTAGGAGTCTTGGCAGGCGCAAATTGTGCTCACTTCGAAAGGAGGGTTTACGAGTGCGATGGCAAGGGTGCTGCTCTTGGGCGCATGCGGACCATCAGCCCATGCGTCCGTTCATCGCCTAGTTGGCGAGCCTTTAGGCAAAAGCGAGCACTAGCAGGAATCTTGATCAAATGTTGGGACTGAAATACTCCAGCTGCAGTGATGTTCGACTGAGGCCTGGACAGCAAGGGCGTCGGTGGAATCCGGCAATGGCAAGTTGCCCGACGATCACCATGAAAGGTTGTTTGATGATGACGATGATGATGATGATGGTGGTGGTGTTGTTGTTGTTGGTGGTATACATACAGCTGCTGACCCCCCTAACACAAAATAGGGCTTTGCGCAGCACCAACACAAGCAGGCGGCCATAGGGGAAATACAGGCTGAGAAACTGAAAACACCCAGCTTACGTCGCTTTTGTGTAGCAGGATCCAACCCACCCAGCTGGGCTTAAGTAACGTTCGCCCTTCTGCGCTTCACAAACAAACAGGGCAAGCGAATGATTCGCACTTCACGTTCGCTTAAGGTGCTTGGCGCAACATAATTCGATCGATTGAAAGATAAGCAGTGGATACCAAGAGCGTCGCCAAGTGCACTAAAAGATGCCATGCTCGTGGCCATGCAAGCCAGAAAAATCCGCGATGCCACCACGGCATGTCTAGTGCACATGATGCAACAGCTGCTCAGAAGAAAAAAAATTTTCGTTTGGAACGGTTGGCAGGGCCGCTGAGCTTCGCACCGCGATCAAGCACAAAGGACACGCCGTGGACGATAAACCCTCTACAAAAGACAATCGCACAATGAGCCGGGGATCCGCCGCAGGATTATCCGGGCACTAAAACACCGCCTAAATTAAGCATAACGGCTGATGTGGAGGTGAAAGCAGGTGGGCTTGGCGGCCTGAGCAGTTGCGTATTCTGGTTGGATTCTCCACCCGATGACAAGATTCCCTTCGGAAATGGAGGGCTCGGTATGCTTGGAACTGTCGTCGTCCAGGCTGCCACACACTGCTCAGGACGAAAGCGAGAATGGGTCGGAAGCAGACAGCAGCCCCCCCTCCATTCTAAAGCCCAGCAGCCGGAACCTTATCCATGGGCCTGGGAACGAGACGCTCTTGTGTGCCTAGGCAAATTTCCGCAATGTCAACCATGGCAATAACGTGCATGTTTGGAGCAGCTGCCCGTAGGTGTCAAAATCTCGTGTTCACGACCGAGTATCCATGGTTGCGAATCAAATGGCTTGGGACGCCCAGAGGCCCAGAAATGCAGGCCCAACCATTGTGGCCTTCATTTTTTTTTAGCTGCGCCTGGGCTCCACAAGCGCCACCCAAAAGTGCCCAGCTGTTCTTGGGAGCGAGGCAAGTGAAACGTGGTTTGATCGATTTCCAGGCCGGCTCCAAGAGGTGGTGTTGGATGGCACAAGACGTGAAGAATTCTGCCATCGTGTTGCGGACAGGAACAATACGGAGGAACGAGAGCTTGATCACAAGGTTGCTGGGGCGTTGGCATGTATGTCTAGGCGTCCGTGGATCACCGTTTGGCGTACCAGATGCATGCGGAAGTGATGTGCGAGGGCTCGCCGTGGCTGTCGACACCAAGCACAAGATTAGAGTTTAGCGTCGAGTTAAGCTTGTTCTTTCGTTTCCGCTCTGCGCCCCCCATCTGCGTCTTATCCAGTCGATCAGCACACGGCCACTCGTTAGAAAAGCCGTGCTTCCCTGCCAGACTACTTTGGAGCGATCTCTCTTGCCTCTGGCTGTCCACCTGGCCATTCTCTGCCCACACGATAACTCCCTTTCTAACCCTTTTTTTTTCACTCTTCGATGCTCGCTGCAGGGATACTGGTGTGTCTGATTACCACCCCTACGTCCGTCTGCCTCTCTTCGGATAATCTCATATACGTTGGTGCCGGACTGGCGAACATCAACCATTCCTGCTCAATGATACACTCTGCGATTCATACTTGAAGCTATAGACACAAGGTCAGCACGGTGCATTTCTTCGATCCTACGCCTGCCGGGTTTGATCCGACTTCGGTTGCTTACGCTGCATGTACAATGCCTTTGAGTTGACTAGACACTTCCACGCCTCTCACTTCCTCCATTGCCACTTTCCTATTCAATACATGTCTTTGCCAGCGAGTCCTCCGCGCCGGCTGACAATCTCACCAGTAGTATAATTTATTATTCTCCTCTATCCACCATCTATAATACTGTCCCGTTGAGCTCGAAAGGCTCGGAACCCGTCCTCCGCGGAGAGGACACCGCACACCAAGCATGGAGACATACAACGGTCATGTGCGAACACCCCAAGACGCCATTATCCTGTTCGAAGCGTGTCGGCTGGGACTATTGCCGCGTGTCCAGCGACGACTGTCGGAGAAAGAACGATCGCAAATCAAGTCTGGCTCAGTCTTCGTGTGGGACGAGCGAGAAGCTGGCATGAGGAGATGGACGGACGGAAAATCATGGAGCGCAAGCAGGGTCTCTGGAAGTTTCCTCACGTATCGCGAAATGGAAGGCAAGCGTGGTAGCAACGGGTCGTTTCAGACGTCGGCTTCGCGGACGAAGTCAGGCGGAGCGAAGAGCTCGAATGGCTCGCAAAACGGCGACTCCGACGAGGGCGACGAAGGCCCAGATGGATACAGATACAAGCCCGACGGCTTGATGAAGCAGTCTTTCAGTATCACCACCCAAGATGGGCGACATCTTCACCTCATCAGCTACTACAACCGATCGCACGTTCCGCCGTTGAAAAGTCCCTCGACTGACCCGCAGCTGCGCAACATCACTCCGCCCAAGGGCATGTATCCGGAGAATGCGGTGAACGAGCCGACTACGATGACTCCAATCGGACGACCGCAGATACCAGCAGGCTCGTATCCGGTCCACCCACCTGCTGGCTTGGTTGTAGCATATCCATGGCCACCCGGCTATCCACCCCCGCCTGGAGCTATCGCATACCCGGCGCCAGCATGGCCACCTAGCCCGTCGGCAACACCTCCTCACCATTACACGTATCCGCATCCAGGATATGCACACGCAGCTTATCCTCCGCCATCGCTTGCGCACTTCTCGCATCCAGGGCAACATCCTTTGGAGCGACTGCCTCCTACGCCTCAGAATTGCCTACCAACCCCGCAGTCTTCGACAAACAGCAACAGCCACTCAGCTCCAAGCGGTTGGCCTCCAGCTCGAAGTCCCGGAGCGCCACCGTATCAACATCCACCGCACCCGCCGCTCCATCCCATTCCGTACAGCTCCACACAACCGCCCAGTTCAGGTGCGACACTAGCACCGGTGATGAGCAGTTTCCACAAACCTCCTTCACCCCCAGCAGTGAATGCCACGAAGCCGTTCACAGAGCCACCGCCTCTCAAAGACATCCCGGCAACGAACGACACGTCACCGGCGAACAAGATAATCCCCAGTATCACGGCATTGATCAACGGCCCGCAAGAGGCTCGGGATACGCCAGTGTCGCGGTCCGGCAGCAGGAGCCCGGGAAGGGTTACTCTCAAGGACGTACCGAATGCAATGACGGTGACAGGCTTGCAAAGGGATAGGGGCGATCTCAAGAAACTTGATTCGCAACTGCTGAAGGGGAAGTCATGATTTCTGAATTATATTATCGCGTCATAATGATACTTGAAGCCTCGTTCTCGACGTTGGGCCAGGATTGATGGCCGTGCTCGAGTCAAACGAGCAAGGAACATCGAGAACTGAGCGGAGGACGCACAGGTTTTTTTGGGCATTAGCGGGCGTATCTTTATCTTTGTTTTTATTCGATTTCTCTTATGGGCCTAACTTCACATTTGGGCGGTGCACTTCGGATCACATTTCAGCATGAAGGGAGCATGCGGTTCGGCGATTGCCAATGTAGCGACGATGGTACTCTGGCATGGCTAGCGAATTTTAGTTTTAACACAAGCCGACGGGGCTTTTCACATTTGCACACACACACACACACATATATATATATATATATGTTTGTCAGGGCACCGATTTTTCTATGTTCATACCGAGTCCCAGGGTTCAATTGGTAATGTACTCTCTGTTTTCGGAGAGAATTGTCCCACACAGGTTCGAAGCCGAAGCGGAGCAGACAATGAGAGTGTGTTGACTTAGTATGATGTTGAGCAAATTGATTCGCTATGCCTATTTCTATCGCGCCGTATGTCTACAGCTGTACAATGGAGGTGAGGAGCCATCCAAATCACTCAGCCCATCATGGAAAAAAAAAGATTGTGCCCCCGTCCGTGCCTCCGCGCGGTGACGGAAACGAAGGTCAAAAACCCAATCCTCACGGGACAGCGACCCCGTTTCATAGCTTAGATTCCGCCTGCAGCGTTCCGATCTTGAGCTTCGGGCCGTACTTCTTCAGCACCTGATCACCGTGGTACTACGGGGGACGCAAGTGAGCCTGTGGTTTTCGAGACGGGTGCAAAGGGAGAGGAAGGGTAAGAGACGAGGGGGAGGGGGGAGGGCGCGACATACCTTCCAGAACTGCTTGGTTGCGTCCTTGCCTGCGGTTCTCTTGAGGATCTTCGCGCCGCCTGGGTGCTCGTCCACGAAGTTTGTCACGTCGTACACACCGTCGTCGATGATGATCCACAGGCCCGTGTCCTGCTTGTTGTGCGCGGCGACGTCCTTGGCGGAGATCTGCTTCGACATCTTTCTAGTCTGATTGGGTCTTATTGGCGGAGGGGATTGAGATCGCGTGTGGGTGCGGTGCGCTAGGCTGGAAGTCGCAGCGTTTGCGAGCGGGTTGGGGTGTTGCGGCCAAGGTAACGAGATGGGCGAGAAAGGTCGCGTGAGAGTCGAGGAAGACGGAAGACGGGCAGTCTGGAGTCTGTCTAGAATGTTGATATAACGATCGTTTAGAAAAACAGATGGGGGCGTTCCGCGCTCTAAAAGCGCAAGTTCCGGGGCTCAGTCGGTCTGAGGGGAGTCAGCCGAGGCATTTGACGTCGTTGTCGCGTTGTAGAGAGGTGACGTTCTCAAATCCGCGCTCGCTGATTGGCTGGGGCCGTCCTTTGTCAACCGAAGCGTCTTGGGGCCGATAATCGAGGCTTTCCATGGCGGGTAACTGTCGGTTTTGTGCCTCGTCGTGCGCGAGAAAAAGCTGTTGCGTTGTAGGTGCAAACCTCCCCAGCACTCTTTCTCTCTTTCCCTCTCTCTCTCCTCTCCCACTTGTTGCTTGTTCGCCTATTTAGAGTCTCCGAGCGCATTCGCCCGTGTCGTATTCTCGTCGACGGAATGCGAGATTCATCTTGATTACTCACCTCGATCGCATGCGTCTCCAATCTACCGGAACCCAAATCTGGACGAACAAAAATGACGGCTAACTTTGGCGATTACGTCGTTTTCACGTGACACGGGCTCAGCCGGCTCCTGCCGACGCCCGACGTTGTCGTTATGATTGACTTAGATCTCTATGGCTAATTCGCGCAGGCTTTTTCCAATACAAATGAGGACGACCAAAACGTTTAAACTCTCTAGGCGCTCGTCAAAACACATGTGCTTCTGATTCGTGGAAATGCATATATCTCTTTACACCGTCTGATTGACATTGTGCCATGTGTGACTACTAGAACAGCGCTTTTTAAAGTGTATACCTAAACCTCGTGCCGTCATTGTTGAGCATCTTTGTCTCAACCTCGCCCCTCGCCTCTCTCTCATCCGCTCTCTTGTTTTTCGTCCAGATGATGAGTTCCATCGCACATGCAGCCATGACGCCTACGATGGTGATGACGAGACCCGTGGTGAAGCCGGATTTGTACCTTGGAGACTCGCGAGTGATGAAGACGTTCGCGCTGACAAAGTTGGCGCTGTTGCCAAACCCAATCTGTAGTGCATGTGCCACGGCTTTCTGAGGTCGGCTGATCGTATTCGCAGACAGCCATGACACGCAAAGCGGCAGCTGCAGAAACGCACCCGTGGCGATGAAGTACAGTGCAAAGTATCGAACTCCAGAGGGCTGCACTTGCGCGAGCTGGATACACCAACCAATCGTGCAGAGCGTTCCGCCGAACAGAATGAAGGGGAACCGAAGCTTGTACTTTCCGGCTAGGATGTTGACGGTCAACGAGATACAGGCGCCGCCCAGCCAGATAGGAACGTTGCGCAGATTGGCTCCGTTCGCGGTGTAGCCCACTGCAAATGAGTCGAGTTAGTACGGTTTCCTTTTGTTCAGAATTTTGGAGCAGAATGGTCGAAATCTGAGTGCTGGTTCTTTTTCTTCGATTCTCAAACTTACTGCTTCTAAGAATGGTGGGGGAGAATTGAGAGATGGACGCGGCGGACATGTCTGCGCCGAAGTAGAAGACGATGTTGAGCCAGGTCTGCCAATTAAATAGCCATGACACCCACGGCTGGCCCTTGAGAGAGACTGCCTCGTCTCCTCGTTCTGCATACAAGCGGTTCATGAGATGTTCTTTCTCTTCCACGCTTAGAAACTTTGATTCAGCAGGGAAGGGTGGAAGAACGATAAAAGCGAGGGCAGCAATACAGATATTGAACAATCCCTCTAGGATGAAAATCCAGCGCCACGAGGCGATGCCTTGGACGCCATCCATAAAGTTGATTGCATAGGCCAAAAACTACCACCTCGTTAGCATGTCTACTTCACTTTCCTTCTCGGACTCTGAGCAGAACCTACGCTGCTGAATGAGGCCCCTATGAGTCCGCTTGTGGTGAAACAGCAGTAGCGCAGAGGAAACTCGTGTTTTCGATAATAGGACCCCATCATGAGTGCAGCGGCTGGACCCAGACTCCCCTCGAAGATGCCCATGATCGTTCGGCAGACGTAGAGAGGTGCGGGAGACTGCACGAAACCCTGGGACATGGTCACGATGCCCAGCAACACCATGGACGTAGCCAGCCAGTAATTGGGCGGAAACCTCGAATAATTCATCAGCAAATTGGAAGGTACCTCCATGAGCACGAACGTCAGGAAGAAAGTCCAGACCGCCGTGTTGTACCCGTTTGACGGCATGCCCAGGTCTTTCTCCAGCCCCAGAAGCCTTGCGTTGGCGATGTTCGTGCGGTCGAGGTAAGCACTCATGTAGAGAGCACAGAGCATGGGAACCACTCGTACGTCGATCTTTCGCGTGACTCTACGCTCGAGAGACTTGTCATTCTCGATCACTTCGTGCCTGAGGCTTGGAGGATCCGACTCGACACCTGCACTCTTAGCGTCGACGGCAGGAGACTTTTCATCCATTTGTACGTATTTAATCTGCTTGGGTATGTGCGACTACCGTGTCCTCTGGGAGCACTGTCAACGAAGAGCTCCTCCCTTTTAACATCCTTCTCAAGTACGCAAAAAGTCTCCAAAGACATCTCCGTCGTGCCCACTGCTGATAAGAGGTGTGCATCCGAACTACCGTCTTGGTGTCGGTCCTATGTTGTATGACACAAGCTTCACCTTCTCACGCGATTCGCAGCCGTTGTCACTTCTTGACATGTTGGGTAGTCGTGGCCTCTGGGCAACTGGCTTGGTATTGTTGCCGCATGTTAACAGCCGTGTGGGATGAATTCATCCCGTCGCTTACAAGTAGCCTGGCCATAGAATTCTACAATACCGAAATCTTTTTGGGCTCTTCGAATCTGATTGCGCTCTGACAGCAAATTTCGGTGAGGACTCGACCTGAGATGGATCGCGTTGGGTCTTAGGAAGGCTTGAGCGAATTTGGCTACATCAACTGTAGTTATATCATGACATTTCTCAGCAAGATTCGAAGAAAATAAAGTTGTGGCACAATGTTATCAATTCTGACGCGCCGTTGCGTTTTTGTCGAGATTACCATGTTGTTTTGTCTACGAACCTCCGTTCGCAGTGGAAGCGTTGGCTAGAGCTTGCTCGATGCTAAGCCCGTACTGGAGTCTCGAGCGCCAGTTTAAGCATAGCCTTATCCGCGCGCCGGCTGCCGTGTTGCTGCATCTCCACTTGAAGAATGTGGTTATCTCTTCGGGTTGAGATGATTCACTTTCCAAAGGTTGTTCCGAAAGTCTGAATACAAAGTTTTCTTCCGATCTTTCAATTCAACCTTTGACGACGAACGTCACTCCAAATATCTTCAATGCCTATTTTCTACCTTTGTCACACATTGCTTCTGAAGTCACCATCGCTTACTTTCCCAGTCAATTGTGTCGCCTAATCATTCCCTTGTAGAACACATCTGCTGCTTTGGCGACGAAATTCTTGCGTATAGAGTTGGCCACTCACACGGCTGACAACGAAGTAACAGGGCCCAAAGGCTACACAGGATTGGGCGAAACTGAAGCAAGGGTGCAGCAATTGACTGGATACGGCAGATAGGAATGTTGTCTGGTTTTCTTGGACATGGATCGGTCGACACATTGGTACCACTTCAGCAAAGACTGAATTTTCATGGGCCTTTTAGATTGTGTTTCAAAAGCACTTCTCAGTGCAGACTGGATGATTGTGCGACGCATTGGAACTGGAAACTCGTTCTCTGAGAAAAGTAAAGTAAATAGATATGCTTCTAGACTCGATTCTTTTTCGACATTTGCTATTGAGCTCTAGAAGCATCGCTATGGTTGATCTGACTAAGTAATCTAAGGCTCCAGGTTGTTGTTCCCGAGGTCGAATCTGAGCCGCCCCTCTAGGTTGCAAATGTGGGGGGTAAGCAGCAACCCTGGCCTCACGTCCTGGCCTGTCGAGTGGTATCTGTATATAACTATGTCAGAGCCTGTGTTTTCGTGATAATGTCGTTGCTATACATGATAAGTATTCTCGAGCCTTATTACAAGTCAAGATGGCTACCGAATCGCATCCAGCAAATCGAACAATAGACACTTCAATCCTGATCAACGCACCAATAGCGAAGGTCCGTTCTATACTTTTCGACTTCAAGTCTTACCCGTCATGGTCCAAGTTTATCCAGAAGATCGAGCCACTGAGCGATGCTGCCGACGCGCCGCTCGCGGTCGGCCAGCAGTTAGCCGTCACTATGGGCGAACCGGGGGGAAAGCCAACAACAATGACCATGACGGTATCGCTAGCAGAAGAAAATGGCTTCGCGTGGGAGGGCAAGCTAGGAGCTTTTATGATCTTTGGCGGCAAACATATGTTCTTGTTGAGCGACGAGGGAAATGGACAAACCAAGCTGAGGCATCGAGAAGAATTTTTCGGCGTCTTGTATGCACCTCTCTTTGTGTGGTCTGGCCTGGAAGCGAAGAGCAAGGTGAATTACCAAACTTTCAATGAATCTGTTAAGGCGAAGGCAGAGCAGGAGGAGGCAAAGCTTTGATACCCTAGCGCTGAATAGGATCAGATTTTTGTAATTTTTTGAATTTCTACGATGTTGCATATCGTGGTTTCCTGCTATATCTTCAGATGAATTTCGTTGACATTTGGAACATTGTCTTACCCGTTTCTCTGAAAACGTGATAGCTAGCATGTTTCGAGAGTAATTCAAACTTAGGCTAGTACTTGCGTTTGTTATTTAAGCAAAGAATCTGCCAACCACCTTATGTTAAGAATTTACAGGTTGGCAGTCTATACACTTTCAGAGACCAGTAGGGCCTGCGAACGCCGTCCCACTCACCGCTGGCTGCAAGATCGGCTATAGGTACGTCCTCCCAGTCAACATCGAAGCCTGCTTCGAAAAGGTCAATCTCGACAACCTGGACATTGTTAGTTCAACTAAAGAAAGAAAAGAAAAAGAAAAGAAGAAGAGGCCTGGCTCGTACTTTGTTGTATACATCATAGCAAACCTGACGATCTGCTCCCATGCCATTGAAGAAGGAGAATTTGCCATCAGAGTCCAGCAGCTGCACGACCCATTCGGAGAAGAAATCCCTCGAAGCTTTGTAATCTTCCGCAAAGGTATCAAAGTAGATCACATCGAAAAGAGCGTCCGTCGCGTTCTCTCCACCGGCCACGAGTTCGGGTAGCACGTCTTGCCACCGCCCTTCGTGGACAACCACTCCGGGTTTTTCCATCCACCCTTGCGTCCTCATGTTGACAAGAACATCCGGATGCGCTTCGATAATGTGATGTGTCGATGGAGAGTGTGACTGGAAAAACTCATCGATGATGCCCATGCCGTGTCCAACGTTGAGCACTCGTAGGCCTGGTTTTTGGCACAACAGCGATGCATGCCTTTCCATAATGGGCCTCTCCCAGGACATCATCACCCCGTTCGCCGCAGAGTCAAGTATGCTTGCGTCGTTGAACGAAATGGCACTCCGAAGATAGGCAGCATTGCTTGCTGAAGGGTCTGACTCCAGCGCAGGATGTTCGTTCTCGCGATGCTGTCCTTCGCCGCTTGGGTTTTCTTCCCCGGTTTCGTCATCAGGAGGGTCTTCGCCGTCTCCAAGTGGCTCATACTCGTCAAGTTTGGAAAGAAGAAGCTCTGCTCGGACACCGGCATCCACTATAATTCGGTAGAGCTCGTCTAGGCCAAGCCTCTTTGCGATGCAGCCCGGAGTTTCATTGGCGGCATCCAGGTCATTCCAAATTGCTCCACTTTGAAGGAGCAGGCGCACTGTATCCGCAGCTTTGGAAATCTCAGCCTTGCGCCCCTCACGACTCTCTTCATTGGCGCCGCTAATATCCTCTGCTTGTTCACAAGCTGCGACGGCCGCGTGCAAGGGTGTGAATCCCGTGTCTGCATCCTGGACCGTTGCTGGTGTTGTCTTCAGTAGGTCCTTGATCGCCTCAAGATCGTGGTTCGCCGCAGCCAACAGAAGACTTTGTGCGGACAGATCAACGTCGACGCTTTCCAGAGGATCAACCTCGTTGTCGACGCCGGTTGACATCCTGGCCGACCAAGAATAACTTCGTTCTCAATCAATCCAAAGACTCAATTGCAGAGGCTCCGGACTAGCAAATCCTGCCCAGAAGCGTTCTGAGATACCAGGTGGACAGACTAAGAACTCAAAGAACGGCACAAAAATTACTCGAGAATTGCTCAGAGGGCTTACCCGATAAGGAAATTTTGTAAAAAATAATTGGGTCGGGCATGTCGTTGTGACGCTTCAGTCCACCAGCAATCCAGCGTCGGCATCCGGTTATAGATCGACCTAGACCTCGATGATCACCAATTCATGAACGCGGTCTTCGCAGCGCACAAGCACCGCGCTGTTGATTTCGTCGAACTTCGTCGTCGTCACGTGCTTCTGGATCTGCAGCACGGAACTGTCGCGAAGAACGCTAGTTAGTCCAAACAAGAGGTGTTGTTTCGTTGCGGGCTTGAAGGCTTTGACCATATCAACCAGCCAGCATGAAAGGGCCTCGCTGACATACGCTATCCGTATTTCGGATAATCAGACAAGTGAACGATCGGCCCGAGTGAATCACACACAGAGCAAGCGGGCAATCTTCGAGGTTCCGACGCGTGCTGTCACAGTTTGGCGCCATTGAAACATTGCTCAGCGTATCCGATCGTCGAACAAACGCCTGCACCTATTAGACGGTTCGACAACCCCAGACGGCCGGCCCGGGATCGATCTTAGCTCAGAGGGCGCGTTTTGAGCCGGTTTTCTGACGGTGCTCCTTTTTCGAAAGCTTAATTGATAGACCAGACACTGTCAGTCCAAATGGAGGATATTATGAGAAGTGCCGTCCGCCAGTCTCAAGAACAAAGGTTCTTTCTGTTTACATGTGTGCGCTACGTGTATACAGGCTGATATGATGAAGATACAATTTAGCCTGTGTTGTCTGGCGCTTTTCTCGCCATGTCTCGCCGTTCAGTCCCTCTTGGACATTGGATACGACTTTTGTGCCTCGAATGCCCTCTTTTCCTCGATAAATCCGTTGTGCGCGAAGCCACAGACGGCTAACGTTCAGCTCCCCATAATCCATGGCTCGGCTTCCAAACCCGAAGAGGTGTTGAAGTCGTCTCGATATGACCATCACCATCACGAAGACCAGATAGGACGGCAGTCGCTGTGGTCAACATCGCCGAGATGTCTTGCCCATTACAACGAGACGACCAAGTACTGCGTGTACACAAGCCAGTCCTTCGCCGCTAACCGGGGCATATCCATTTTCGCCAACTCTGACCACAGCGACAAGTATGCTCGCCTCCAAGGACTCTCTGACCCGGCCGTGGTGGAGGGATGCAACGCAGAGACCGACCCTCGCTTTACCTCGCAGCCGATTCCAGGCAAAGGGTTGGGCCTCGTAGCGTCGAGGCCGATTAGCAGAGGAGAGGAGCTGTTTCGATCGACGCCCGTCGTGATCATCGAAGAAGGGCTGGACGAGCTGTTCGACGAGAGCGACAGGCTGCCGTTCTACCACCTTGCCATCAAACAGCTGCCGGACGGCTCGAGGAGGCTGTTCCACGACTTGATGGGGCACTTTGGCGGGGACGTGGTGGAAGATATCATCAACACGAACTGCTTCGCCGTCGCGCTGCACGTGGGCGCAGACGACGACGAGGCCGTCGCCGCCACCGCCGTGTTCCCCGAGATGTCGGTACGTGACCCCTCCCCCTCCCCCCACCCGAGTCTGCACCTGTCTCCCCCTTTCCCGCGCGCCGCTGGAACGTACTGACCCGTCGCCTTCCTCCCACAGCGGATGAACCACGACTGCCGTCCAAACGCGCACTACTACTTCGACCCGGATACGCTCACGCAGCACGTCCACGCGCTGCGCACCATCCTTCCCGGCGAGGAGATCACGGTGTCGTACATCAACCCGGCCCAGGTGTCTGCGCACCGCAAGGAGGCGCTTCGCTCGTCTTGGGGCTTCTCGTGCGGCTGCAACGCCTGCACCGCGCACGCGCCCATCCGCGAGGCCAGCGACCGGCGCGTCGAGGAGATCGAGCGCCTGCAGTCCATGCTCGGCGACTACAGCGCGGCCAGCCCGATCGCGGATTCGGAAACGGGGACGAGAGTCGCGGACCTGCTGATCGAGCTGTACCGGCTCGAGGGGATGCTGGGTCCGATCAGCGAGGCGTACGCTTATGCTGCTTTGGAGTACAACTCCGCACAGAGGAAGTGGGAGGCGATCAAGTACGCGAACATGGCTATCGAAGCGGGCTTGCTCTATGGGGGACCTAAGGATGGCGACGTGCAGAGCATGATGGAGCTTGTTCGGTCGCCAGAAGAGCACTGGAGTTGGGACTACAGGGCGAGAGTGCGATGGCAGGAAGGATAGCCTCCAGAGGAACCATGGGATACCACTTTTCTCTTCGGAGAAGTATCTTGAGCATCGTCGTTCAAAGATGGGTGCAAAATGTGCCCTATAATGAACATCAAAAAATGAAAAAAGAAAAGAGATGCAAGAGATCATGCGAAACGCCGTTTGCTGCGCGAACACGTTGTTCAAACGGAGAGAGCACGTTCTCCCCTTCACCAGATCTTCATTTTTTCGTGTTGATATGATGGATAATTAGTCCCATGACGCCTCGCTAACGCAATATGCTTCACAAGTTGGTGGTCGCGCTGCTAAACCCGTGCCCAAACTATGTGCCTGTGAAGAGTGACCCTGCGGCGACAAAAGCATTGAACATCTCCCCGAAAAACCGCCGCATGCTGTTCCGACGAGGAGCGAGAGAGCGGATAGCCACAGGGCGAACAAATCCAGACGGAGAGTTTCAACCACCCTTCCTCTGCCCAAGCGGCACCGCAGGCACAGGTGCTCTGGCCGGCGGGCCGTTATTCACGGGCGTAGATGTGCCCGACTTCTTCTTCTGCCAATAACCGCCCACGATCCTTTGGATCTGTGCTAATGCTTGACTCTTATTTCCCGGAGCCTTGACATTCTCGACGCCGTATGGCGGTTCGACAAGCACGCTGTCCAACACGACGATTCTCTTCTCCGACCAGCGCACGGGCAGCCTGTTTTGCCTGCTGTTAGCCGATTCAACAACATAAAAAAGAGCGGAGCTTTCAATTGTAGTCCGCACGTACGTTCGCATTATGTAGTCGTATAACTCCTGTGCCTCCTTCGTGACGCCCTTGCCAATGTTTGCCTCCGCCTTCTTCGCCTCCAAAATGGCCTTAGCCTCACGTTGCCTCAGCGCCTCCGTATCCACTCTTCCAATGGTTATAGGCTCTTCATCGCCTTCCTTAGCTGTTCCCAGCACTTTGAAGGAGTTAATCTGGCCGAGGGGCACGACGCGGAAGTTTGCTCCGTCACGAAGTACGACGACGTCGAAGCCAGCATCGACCGCGAAGACGATGCCCTCCACCGTGTGGGACGGGAGTGTGGTGTTGATTCGGATCCTGGGTCCGTCGTCAGGACTGCGATGATGAAAAATAACCTTGCACTGTGTCTGCCAACGTGTTCGAGACTCACCTCACTCCGACAGCCTTGCTCAGGTCCGCGGCAAGCTGCGGGCCCTTCGCAGCAACTTTGCTGCTAGCGACCGACTGGCGCTTAGTCTCTGCCATGGCTCCGACCAGTGCGAAATAGAAAGTATCCGGAGAGGGCGTCGACCGAAGCCCGTTGCCACGCTGCCTCCTGCTCGCTGCCCTTCTCCCGCGTCGGCTCGCTGAAACAAAGCTTCGCCCCGGATTTGTTTCGGCAGGGCCGCAATTGCGAGGCTCACGAGCGAACTGCACGCTCGGGATGTCGGCACAATCTTGGCCTCTCTATCTCTCTTCCTCTTGTTCTTGATTATTCCCACGCGGGCCGGAAGCACGGAGCCAAGAAAAGGTACGTCGAGAGTTTGCTCGCGTGGGGAACGGGACGGTTCGGGGATGCGCGCGCGTGCGTGACGGACACGGCCCAGATGAAAAGAGCAGTGTCCAAGAAGAAGCAAACAAACAAGAAAGAAGGCTGAAACGGATCCCACGCCGCCCCGTGCAGGAGAGAAAGTGAAAAAAAAATTAGGCCGGACGAAGGAATAGAATTACAAAGGCACGCACGGAGAGAAAGAAGGAGAGTAGAGAGGGACGCACGCACACTCACAAAGAAGAGAGAACGCCCACACCGTACACGACGAGAACACGGCAGCTGTGCCTCGTACGAGATGTAGGCTGAAAGTGTACTATAAGGCGTGGGGCGAGGTCCCAGAAGAAGGAGAAGAGGCTGGGCGGTGGTGGTGGATATGATGAGAGTGAAGTGCGCAGAGTGATGAGGTTACTGGTAGGCAAGGCGTGAATGCGCCATGCAGAGTCTCTTCCCGTTAGCAGGCAATAGACAACCTGCAGCGATCGACGCCAATTCACCAATTCTTGCTCTCTTCTCCATGCATGCGATCCACGGTTGTACAAAACGTCACAAAATGCACATTTGCATCGTTTAATTCTTTGGCCAATGCTTTCTTGCACGGCTGTTGAGAACCAGCAGAAAAGTCCTTCCACTTTGCCTGGAGTGTCTAGATGCGACGTGTCATATTTGTTTTTATATCTTACTGATCTCTGACCCTACAGATTCGTTTCATCATCTTCACCTTACGCAGCGACGACGAAGACAACACCCTACGCGTTGAGACATCTTCTTCTCAATCAGGCCATTTTTATTTGTATCTCAAACGCCCGTCTCGGGTCCTCCATTCTTTTTTTTCCACCTCCTTGATATGTCTTCTCGTGTCAAAAAAACAGTCTATACAGCTTCGAGAAAGCATGCGGCGCCAACCAGACATCTTGTCGGTCTTTGCGTTGGGGAAAAAAAGAATCCTTTTTATGCGTTGTACGTGCTGGCGCTGACATTGCCGCCGCGACCAGTCCAGTTGACGTGGATATCCTGTGGGCAAGCAAGTTAGCAAACACAATCGTGCGATTTCATTGCATCGTCTTCATAGATAACAACGTACCGTGTCGGCAGGCTTGGAGGCGGTCGCAGCCTCAGGCTTCATGCGGAAGGTGTGCGCACCAAAGTAGTCACGCTGTGCCTGCAGCAGGTTCGCCGGCAGGTCCTTGGTGCGGTATCCATCGAAGAAGGACAGAGCGGTGCTGAAGGCCGGGGTGGGGATTCCCCACAGGGCGCCCTTTGCAACGACGTTTCTCCAGCCAGGTTGCGCCTTGTGGATGGCATTCTTGAAGAAGTCGTCGAACAGCAGGTTCTCAAGATCCGGGTTCGCGCGGTACGCCTTGGTGATGTCCTTGAGGAAGACGGAGCGGATGATGCAGCCACCACGCCACATGAGCGCAATTTCTGGCTTGTTCAGCTTCCAGTTGTACTCCTTGCCCGCGTTCTGAATCAGCATGAAACCCTGCGCATACGAGATGATCTTAGACGCGTAGAGGGCCTGCTCCAGGTCGTCGATGAACTGAGCCTTGTCACCCTCGAATGGGGGGACTGGCGGACCGGACAAGATCGTGGAGGCACGGGTACGCTCGGCCTTCAAGCTGGAAAGACATCTGGCGAAGACCTGGTTGCACAAGGTCAGTGACACCCGTCTTACGTCTTCTCGCGCACGTGGAGAAAGAGATACTCACAGCCTCACCGATGAGAGTGACTGGCATGCCCAGATCGAGAGCGTTGATGGCAGTCCACTTGCCGGTGCCTTTCTGACCAGCAGAGTCCAGGATCTTCTCGAGAAGTGGCTTGCCGTCGTCGTCGTTGTAGTACATGATGTCGCGTGTGATCTCAATGAGGAAGGAGTCGAGGACGCCCTTGTTCCACTTGGCGAACACGTCACCCATCTCCTTGTTCGACATACCAAGACCGCGCTTCATGATATCGTATGCCTAATGGTTTGAAAGGCTTAGTGACTAGGGACGCCTCAAACGTGCGGTCACCAGCTTCGTGCTTACCTCCGTGATGAGCTGCATGTCGCCGTACTCGATACCGTTGTGGACCATCTTGACGTAGTGGCCCGATCCCTCTGTTTCACGTCCGTTAGCGGTCTGCACGCGGCTGCGACTCTATTTTCACAAAGTTCGATCTGCATACCGTCACCGACCCATTGGCAGCAAGGCTCGCCGTCGCTCTTGGCAGATATCGACTGCAAGACGTCCTTAACGTACGGCCAAGCTTCTTCGTTGCCGCCCGGCATGATGGACGGGCCGTACCGCGCGCCCTCCTCACCGCCGGAAACACCGGTACCGATAAATCGAATGCCCTTCTCGGCCAAATACTTTGTGCGGCGGTTGGAGTCCGGGAAATGGGAGTTGCCGCCATCGATGATGATGTCGCCCTCCTCGATGCCGCCCTCGGTGAGGAGCAGCTCTATGAACTGGTCGACTGCCTTGCCCGCCTGGACGAGCAGCATCATGCGGCGCGGCTTCTTGAGCTTGGACACGAACTCCTTGATGCTGTGGGCGCCGATGATGGACTTGCCCTTGGCCTCGTTTTCCAGGAAGCGGTCGACCTTGGAGACTGTGCGGTTGAACGCGACGACAGTGAAACCGTGGTCGGCCATGTTGAGGATGAGGTTCTGGCCCATGACGGCCAGACCGATGAGGCCGAAATCACCTCTGGAGTCATCGTGGTCAGTTCCTGCGCCCTTGAAGAGCAGCCCACGCGGTCTGCCATGCAATGCGGGGAGTGTAGCAAGGAAAAGCGTAGGCTCAGGACAAGCTCCCAGCCGACGATGCCACGGACGAGCGAAGCCCGGAGCAGAGCGGACGAGCTGGAAGCAGCTGGACGCAGGCGGGGCGAGAAAGGGAGAGTCGAGAGGGGCATTGGTCAAGCTTACTGTGGTTCGCTCATGATGATCTTGTCGAGGGGCGTAGGGGCAGTATGGAAAGCAATGGGATCGGATCAATTGCGAAGCTGGAGAGAGGGAAGAAGGGACGAAGGTACGGGAAGTAGCAGAAAATTTTGGGGGGTGGGAGAGTGCTTGTTGGTAATGTTTTGGGCGATGAGGAAAGCCGGGAGTCATGGTGGGGTGTCTCGTTGGGCGGGCGCTTTGTGTGGTGCGGAAAAGGTCGATTGGTGGGGCGACGGAGGGCTTGGGGAAAGTCTGACGCTGCCCGCCGACGGACGCACTCGCACACGCTCACTCATGCACTCACGCACGGCGCCCGCAAACACACACAGACAACCGCACGCACGCACGGCGCAAACACCTCGTGTCCGAGCCAGCAAACGGGTCGCTCCAGACGTACGGCTCAGCTGTCCGTCCTTGGCTCACATTATGCCTCACGTACGGCACCGCGTGCACGGCCCGCGCATGCGTTTGCGCTCTGGGATCTCGCCGAACTCGTCCCAGAAGCGGCCACGGTGCCTCGTCTTGTCTGCCATTGCCCAGCTGGCCGACTGCTTATGCCATCATTTCGTGATCATCCACGTTGCCTCCGTACCGTTCCTAGGCTGGGCTAAGCACAGCGTCGATGCCCGCCCACCTTTCACGGCCGTGGCCCCGGCAGACACTACATCTTGCTGTTATCGTTTATCGTCCGGCTGGCGAGGAGCCCGTCCTGCACAAATCCCACCCGGCAGCAAAAGGGCTGTTCGGTTTCTTCAGTTCTGCTGCTCGCCAAACGACATTTCCTCGGAATAAACTGCGTCTCGCAAGCAACAAAACCTGCGCTGACCTATCTCCACGGGCTCTGCGCGGTAAAGCTGATCCTGTCCGCACGCGGCCGTCGATTGGCCCGTGGCAAGAGGCCTCATCAGAATTAATAAGGATCAAACAAGCGAAGTGGAGCTGGAACCTTCTGCTAGCCATCGCCTGTGTGGGATGTGCGTGTGTCAGGCACAGTAGTCCGTTTCCATTGCGCGCACCCAACAAGTGCAAGTAGTCAGGCCTGTACTAGGCTGCATCAGGATGAAAAGCCTGCCCGCTAGATAATACGTCCGTCCTTACGGAGGACTGTGGTTATGTCCGGACTTCGCCATCCCAAGGTAAATTTTTCACCTGACGGGCCAAGGTCTGGTGTCCCAGCAGCTGGATCGGACTTGTTTTTGCGCATATCCGATGCGTGTGCAATACTGTACAGTAATGCAGCCACTTTGTGCGCGCCGCTTCGATCGCTCATTATTCCGTCCACATGCATGGGCAACGAGCAATTCTGACGTTTTTCCTAGATAGTGCACGTGATAACGCCGTATGACTAAGCTGCCCTATCGTGGTGTCTGCCAGCCCCAAGATCGTTCATCATCACCAACAATCAGTCAGCAACCACACCTTGCAAGCCCTCATCCAATAGAAGCCGTAGTAGAGTCGACATCTTGTCAAGGCCATATACTCACTTTCAGCGAAATCATCCCAGGCGAGAGAAGACTCGGCCCAGCACAATCACCCTGGCGCTCCAGCGCGTGCAAAGGAGCAAGGCAAAATTAGGATAGGACAGGACAGGACAGGTATCTTGACTTGACCGTAAGTGCTCTAGTCAATCAAAACCCACCGTCCTCAGAAGAGCAATCCGTTCAACATGTCCTTGTCTGGACAGTCAGGCTCAAACACACCGACACCGACACCGCAACCGCACGCCTCGCTTCCCGCACGTCCCACGGGCCCCCTCCCCTCTCTCAGCAAAGCTTCCTTTGGCAGCGGTTATGGAGGCGACATCAGCGCCCAAGGCCAGTCTGCTGGCAGTGCCTCCGCGTCCATGTTTAGGCCGCGCGCGGTAGCAGCGTCTGCGGGACAAACCGCCACGAGCCGTAACTGGCAGCAACCACAGCTTTACTCGCCTGCGACCGTGTCTGCGCCTGCGATCTCTTCGCCGGCAGTGGGCGCCTTCCCGTCGACTGCCGCGTATCCAGTTCAACCGGATTACAATGCGCAGCAGTACGCGAATTACTACTCGTCCGCTGGCTACGGCAACCCGAGCCCAGCGCCCGCACCGCAGATCAAGAATCCATTCGCACCGCCACCTCAAGCTGGCGGCGCAAATGGTTATACTGGCCCTACGCACGATCCCGAATACGAAGCGCAGATGCAGCAGTGGCAAGCAGCATATATGGGCAAGGACGATGCTGCGAAGAAACCAGAGGGCAACGCGAATCTAACACCCATCGCTGCGCGGCCTGCAAACATCGGTCCTGTGCTGAGCAGCTCTGAGATTGCGGCTGTGGCACCGACGGGTTCCAAAGCTGCGGCTGTGATCAAGGGCCCCGACGGCAGGCAGGCCACGGTCGTGCGCTCAGGAGGTGGCAAAACGTGGACGGACGATTCTCTGCTCGAGTGGGATCCTTCGCACCCTCGCCTGTTCATCGGCAACCTCGCTGGCGAAGTCACAGACGATTCGTTGTACAAAGCGTTCTCCAAGTATCCGTCCATTGTTAAGACCAAGGTTGTGCGCGATCGGCGCACGACCAAGAGCAAGGGCTACGGATTTGTTAGTTTTCGCGACGCGGACGATTATCTCAAAGCATTCAAGGAAATGCAGGGCAAATATATTGGCAGCCACCCTGTGCTCATCAAGAAGAGCAATACGGAGATCAAGGTAGTCGATCCGAAGAAAGGCCAGAACCATCAGAAGGGTGGGAAGAATGGCAAATTTGGGGGTAAGAATAGAGATGCGACCGGAGCGCATACCGGAGCGGGCGTAAAGAAGAATCAGAACAAAACGAGGGATGGGATGGTATTGTTGGGATGAGGTGTTCCTCGTCGCCCGTCTATGGCCTACGAATCGAATTTTAGAACCAGGAATTCGAGCAAAATGCCCACTGTCAACACAGGGACGAAAATACAAGGCTGACGCAACGCACGTCTACGAGGAAAACCGAGTGTGTCATTGACTGACACCCATGAACGTCACGACGAAGCATATCCAGTGGCTTGCGCATCGGGGCCGCGCTACCGCGGCTCGAAGATCGGTATGCAATGACAAGTTGGCAATCTCAGTTGTATTACTGATTGATAAGTGCCTTAGCTATGATATCTACACTTTTCACGTCGACAAAGAAGGTAGTCTAGACGCGAATGCTCAAGCAACCATGTCGTAACTTCCCAATGTATGCTGCCGTAACCCACGTAGTGATAGAAGCACGCACAAGCGTGGCTGTCCCGCCTTCCCCTCCCTCCTTTTTAGCGTTCGTATACAATCCCGCGCGCAAAAAAGCAGACGCCGACTGTCGTGCACTCAGCTTTTGAGAGATGTCTTTCCCACCACCGGCGCTTTCTCCTCTCTGAAACCCGTGGCCGGCGGCAGATTTTATCGTGCGTTCTGAAAGGGAAAGGCGGCTTAGCTTGGTCTTCCGACTCGGGTGCCGTTGCTGGTCATTGGATAGCCAGAACGTGCAAAAAAAAAAAAAAAAATAAGGTGATGAAGATATGAGAGTGAGCCGTTTACGGCATGCTGTTTTCCACGCTCTAGGCTTCGCCGACTGGTGTTGAAATTTTATCCCCGTATCTCCCAGCCTCTCAGGGCGCCTTGCTCGTTCCCTACGATCAGGCACAGCCCACCCTCGACGTCTGTGCCGAACGCTACGGCGCTGACGCGTCCCAGCGGCGTCTTGCCGGTCGGCCAGTTCTTGTACACGGTGCAGCTGGGCAGGTGCACCAGCCTCAGCGCGTCCGACTTCCACCTGCTCGCCATGCACATGACCTGGCCGTCTGGGCTGAAGTGAAGATGGCTGATCGGCGTGACAAGCTGGTCCAGCACCCGCGCCGGCTTCGGGTTCTTGGGCACGCCGCTGTTGTCGTCGTCGACGGCGGCGGCGGCGGGAGCGGCCGGCGTCCAGGCCCGGCGGTCGTATATGTTGACTATGCCGGACGAGGACCCGACGGACACCCAGCGGTCGCCGCCAAGATGTTTCCTGCCGGAGTCGCCGCCGAGCGCGAGCGTCGTGGTGCCAACGGCGCCCTCGTCCTTCCAGCGCGCGACGGCGACGCGCTCGCTGAGCAGCCACTCTGTGATCTCGCCGTTCTTGCCGGCGATGCAGAGGCCCTTACCGTCGCGCCACCACGCAAAGTCAGCGATGCCGCCGAGGCTCTCGACGCGCGCCTGGGCAACCCACTGCAGGGTGTTTGCGTCGAGGATGTTGAGGACGCCGCCGCCTTTGCGGGCGGTGCCCAGCAGGGCGAGGTAGGCGCCGTCGGGAGACAGCTTGAAGCGCTCCATGCTCTTCTGCTCGTCTGCATGCCCGTACACCCGCGTCACCTTTTGCACGTGGCCGGACGACAGGTTCCAGACGTGGAAGTAGCGCCTGCGGCCCGAGAAGAAGATGCGTGCGTCCGTTCTGGACGGGTGGAACAGCGTCGTGTGCAGCGGTGTCCGCTTGATGTGCAGCGTCGTGAGGAGCGGGTTGGGATCCGGCGGCTGCGGCTGCAGGCTGTGGATCGAGATGGTCTTCGACGGGCCGGACGAGATGATCAGAGGGAGAGAAGGATGCACCTGGAGGCAGGTGACGGAAGACTAGACCTATTGTTAGCAGTGCACCTGTGCATTCTCCGATTTTGTTTCTCCCCCCTCCCTCTTCTTCGTACTTGTTGATTTGGGGCCTTACCGGACCGCTGGATACAATGTCCTTCATGCGCTGTATGTCAATCATTTCCGGCCGCAACTTTCGCTTCTTGCCCGCTCCGTTCTGCTGAGACGTTCTGGTCAGAGCGTCGACGTCTTGCAGGAGTCTCGCCAACGGCTGCGCAGAGAGATTGCCCTCGTCCTCCTCGTCCACGTCCATTTCGTCGTCCGAGCTCTCCGTGGTCTCTGATCCCGTGCTTGTCCTTCTCTTCTTGCGCGCCTTGCCCGCGCCGCTGGCCGCATGCACCCACTCGGGCACTGGATTCAGCAGCCGAAAATGCTTCCGCAGTCGTCTCGAGTATTCCTTGCCGGTGATGACGTCGTCCGCCGCGGTCTGGCGCAGTTTGCGCAGTTGCGTTCTCGAGGCCAGCGACACCGTCACGCGCTCGTCATCGCTGTCCGTCCACGCGGCGCCGTCGTCGCTGCTCTCGCCTCCGTCCTGGCCGGCGGACGAAGTCACCACGGGCGCATCTCCGGGCGTGTCGTCGAGGAAGAAAAGATCCTCGTCCGCGAGTCCTTCAAGGCCCGTGGCGCCGTCCTCCTCCTCGCTGTGCTCCGCAACCACGAGCTCCTTGCTCTTCCCTTGGGCGGCCGCATCCTTGAAGGACCGTACGTTTTCACGGAATCCTGCGCTGTCGCCAAACACGAGCCGCTCAAGCTCTTCCTCGGTCGAGTCCTTGTCCGACTCGTCGTCTCGAAGCGTCCGGTCCTTGAGCGCGGTCGCCATGTTCAGGCTCAATGTTCACTCCGCCACGGAAACGCGTGGCCTGTGGCTCTGGCGTGAAAGGTTCGCAATGGGGAGGAAATATCTTTTATGTTCGCATGTACCAACTTTTTTTTCCTCACTGTCAAACGTCTGGCGGAAGTTCGCCTAAAATTGCCTGCGGTGCCAAAAGCGGCTAGTCGCGTTGAACGCAAGGCTGAGGCTAGGTCGGCTCGGAATCGAACTGGATGGAGACTTGCATTTTTGTTTCGAGCATATTTTTGAAGTCGAAGGACAGCAGAAGAATTTTTCGCGTTTGGCATCCGGAACCTTTTTCAAAATCGAAGTTCCAGGAAAGAATGCTTTTTCATGCTCAAGTCGTCGAGAAGTTATGGTAACAGGTTCAATGCGACGCGAGTTTCCACGCGCTGAAATATTGCCTTGCCTTTGCTAAACACTCGGACAAAGAATGGTCTTTAGATGATCTTAAGACCATACGGAGCAAGATTTTGGGCGTATGTATATAAGCCGCACTTTTGTATGCCTACTGAAGAAGATGTGAATCTGTCCCGTAGCTACTGCTAATCGATATTTTGTTGCGTTCGGGTCACCCCACAAAATTGTAATACGCACAACTTGTATCCGCTGGCATCCATCGTCACGTTAAGCTTTGACAATGAGGCGTTTCCATTGGATAAACTGCATATTATTTCATACTAACTCAAGTCAGCGCTATGTATGTTTGCAGAAGTTTTGGCGATGGGTTGCATGAAGGCTCAAGGTAGAGGGAGACAGGACCTGCAACAACTAGAACTAGCGAGGTCGCAGTCAAACCCCCACTTCCACAAACTTTACGTGCGGTCACTCTTCGTGGACTGCACTTCTCCGCAGACTTGTGTATTTTACTCACTACTTGAACGAGTAGTGCATTGATTTTATCACGCGCATGCATCAATATCATACTGTGATATATTTGATCCAGACATGCGCACTGTGGAAAATGATTACGTTTACGATCCTGTAGATAGTGCTGGAGGCCAGATACGACTCCTTTCGTTAAAATTTGTCTTTCGCAAACGGCCTGACACATTAGAAGGCACCATGAAGAGTTACTATCTACCGCTTTCTACGCTCTCACGATCGCAGAGAATAAAGCGCATGGCCGCGTTGCCAAGCTTTGAGGCACTGTCATATGTTTGGGGGGATCCTACACTTTCCCACAATATCGTGGTCGACGGGAAGAAGATTGCGATTACCGAGAATTTGTTCAAAGCTCTCAGCGATATGCAGATGTCTGCCGTTCATGACATACTAGTGTGGTCCGATGCCGTGTGCATATGTCAACAGGACTCGGCAGAAGGATCCGGCCAGGTGATGCTGATGCGTGAAATCTACCAGGCAGCTTCAAGTGTCTACATATGGCTTGACATCAGCCCTTCGGACACGGAGAGACAAATTTGCTTCAAAGTCGTGAGCACGCTAACTGGAAACATGGTTCTATCTTCGTGGGAAGAAGGATCCGAAGCGGAACCTGAACGGCAAGACAGAAGCACCGGCGAGAAGATTTTCAAACCGATTTCTTGGGCTATTCGCGCGGGCGTGGGGTTTGGCCAGGCCATGGTCGAGCTTGGCGAGGTCATCGAGGAGACCAGCGATGAACGAGCGGAGATCATGACTCTTGACGATTCTTGGACACTGTGTAAAAAAATAATTACCAAGCTCGACGGATGGCAACCGCGTAGTCGACGCCTGAAGAAAGTGTCAGAAGAGGATATGGCACTGGCAGCAAATCAGATCGACAAGTTGATATCCCAAGACTGGTCATGGTTTGAGCGTATTTGGGTCATGCAAGAGCTCGGAGCGTCAGGAAATCCTTGGGTCGTTGCTGCAGGAGCCTCGTTAGAGTGGCAGGAGTTCCTTGAAGCCGCGTGGTATTTATCAAAACGAAACAAAGCCCACATACCTCAACGTAGCCGGGTGGCACTCATCGAGTTGGAGTTGATCCGTCGGGGATTTTCCGAAAATAAAAGACAGTCTCTTTATAACTTGATCCGAGCATGCAGGTACAGACAAGCGACTGACCCTCGGGACAAGATCTTCGCGCTTCTCGGTCTTATGGGCGATAAAATGTCGCCACACCTAACACCAAACTACAATATCGACGTCAGGGAGGTGTATGCTCGAGCTACCATCCACATCATCTCCCAACATCGAATGCTAGATCCCATTTGCGGTTGGCAGACCGCTGGTCGCATGGAAGGCCTCCCTTCATGGACCCCCGACTACCTTTTAAATCAAGACCTAGCTGTACATCCCATAGATTCGCTGCATACGGATGAAAAACTTTTCAACGCAGCGGGAGCAGATTATCGAGGGATTTACGACTACTTCGATAGCGAACCACGGTTAGAAACATGGTCCCAACTTCCGGTAAAAGGACTGGTTGTGGATATAATTGGTTCAGGCTCATGCTCTTTCCCTGAAGCCTCAGCCAGCGATATCATCACACTGTGGCTTTCAGCGATCCGCACTTCATCAGAGTTGTCTCGTATCAGAACAGATACAGACGTCATCAAACTCGAAGAGCTTGCACAACTCTCCATACGATATGCCCAGCATTCCCGATCTCCAGATCTTTTACTAAACATCTTAGCTCCGCGAGGGTCGCCACTGCCGTATAACCATTTTCAGACGAACTTAGTCGATTCGTTCGACGAGTCCTATCTCGTGACGGCCTTCGCTAACTGTCTTTTCACTGGTCACATCCTTGGCAACCGGCTTAAACCGTCAGACATCCAGATCATGCGGAATCTGGATCCTCAGCTGGCGACTGGGGAAGCTGAAGAAGATATCGTTAACACAATTAGTTCGAGCCTGAAATTTGGAGTCGAAGGAAGAAACATCGTGTTCTCCAAAAGAGGCTACATCGGTACAGCTAGGGAGGATGTAGTAGCTGGAGACTTGATATGCGTGCTCTTCGGATGCAGTGTGCCGGTTATCCTGCGAAAACTTGACGCGGACGAACAGTATGCGTTTATGGGAGAGGCGTATGTTCATGGCCTGATGGATGCAGAGGCTATCGTTATGCAGATTAAAGGACAGCTAAAGGAGAGAAACTTCCTGCTTTGTTAATGAGATTGGTGCAGGTACGTATTCAGCTTGACAATGGACTGGAAAGTTGGCCAGGCTATAGAGCTTGATTATTGAGCAGATAGGATTGACTACCGAAAAGGCTCCGGGTTAATGACATAAGGCTTGGATACCCTTGGGTCGGTCCCATGTACAGAGATTAAATTCAACGTGCTGAAATCATAACGAGTATGTGATTGATTCTACGGTCGCGGTACTATGTCCTGCAAAGATATTACTCTCTGCAATTCGATGAAATAAAAGTTAAATATAAATTCGCGACCAGTATGTATTCACAATTATCGGTTGTTAGTCAAGATATTCTGCATTGTGTATAGCCGTTTATTTTTCTACGTCTTTGCGCCTAGACGCAATGCGAAAGCCCCGTTGACGTTCTCGTATTCAGTTGATATCTCGATGAGGAGGACTATTACAAAGGTATGGTAGACAGTTCCAAACTCAGATCGTTCTTATCATGGACTTTGTGCATGGACTACATGACCAAATAGCTATGTCGACGAGCTTGAACTTTAGTGAGTCGTTTATCTGGCTCTGGAAACAACATTGTGCAGACAGAATAAAATGGGGGCTTATCTTGATACGAAGTTGAGAGAAGAGAATCAGGTTCTCGGAATGATAGTGAGCGGGATTAGCATAACAGAAACTCGCATGTGAGGAAGTGCATAGTGGAGCAATCCTCTCTAAAGACGTGAAACTGAGACCTGATCGTACGTAGTGGCTATCGCAAATGGATGAGTAGGACTCGTTCCAGAGTAACCCCTGCTCATTGGATTATAAACCAGATTGCACTCTTTGGAGAAAGTGATCTCGGAGAGGGCATCCATCTTTGCAGAAATCAGATGCACCATGCTCATGCTCGGCGTCCTGCTCAGCCTTGCACAAAACTGCAGCGATGTTAACTTTCGCTGACTCGCATCAACTCTGTCGTCGATAACGTGCACATCTGAGATTGAAGTCTAGATCCAGCCAAGTCCGCAACAGGTACCCATTAATTTCATCTTTTTGCCAACAAGTAATCTTTCCCAAGCCAACCCCTCCATAATCCTCTGAGAACGTTGACTGGAACCCACTCGTGTTTCTCCTTGCCAACTTTGTCCCAAAGCGTTGGCAGCTGGTTTGCGTTCCACTTTCTCCTTAGTTCATCGTACGCCTGCTTGTCGTAGCTCTGCCAAAATTCCTCTTCCGTGGCGTAATTATGGGCATACAGCCACTTCAGACCACCAAGAGATCGTACCTTGGCTTCAATCGTGCGGTTTAGCAAAATAAAACCCGGAAATGAGCGACGTCCGTAGTACAGGGGTTTACCTGTGGCCGTGTGAGGAAGTCCCCAAACACCGATATTCATAGTCATACGGTTGGTGAACTCTCCCCGGACGCTGTGAAAAGGAACTCTTGAGCCGCCCTTGATCGGACAAAGCCATAACGGCCATATTCGCAGCTCGCTAGCCACGAACTTGATAAACTCTTCCGCATTCTCAGCGGGCATGGCCAGGTCTTGAACAATGAACCGTTGGGATTGCCCTGAGTGGTGCATTACGCTGTACATTGTCCTTGTGTTGAATAAAGGGTTGAGCAATCGCCTGCCAAGCCGATTGAAGGGTAGAGGCATTGCATCCCAGCCGTAGGAGCCCATCCAAAATGCACCTCTATCATAGCGAAACAGGTAATCCTTGACGGGAACAAGCTCGATCATCGGCGGTGATGGCTGAGCCCGTTCGTTGGCTGACAACAGGGCACAGGTTCGGCAGTCTGAGGGCAGCTGGTGGCCCAGTTTGCAGTGCGCATGAAGGAAGAACCATGGATCACAAGGTCTAGAGAATTTCACAATAGGTAGTTCCTCTGTCACTGCAGGCGTACCGTCCGCCTCTAAGCTGCCTGCGACAACAATGCCAGAGTTGTTGGAGAATTGTATGGCGTCAAGAAAGATGATGGTCGATTTCTTGGCGGACGCTTCAAGCTTCAACAGCGTTTCTGTGATCGAGCCTGTTGGCACATATGTCACTTTTACGTACTTTGTCGTCCGCTGTAGTTGAATTTCGAGCAACGTGATCACACCAAGAGTTCCGAGAGCACCGGCCGCGCCGTAGAAAAGATCTGCGTTTTGGGTAGGCGAGGCTGAAACTACAGTACCGTCGGCAAGCACAACTTCAATCCAATTGACGGTTCGGTCGAAATATCCTTCACGGAAGGACGAGCTTTCGGCAGCCGTACCTGAAAAGCTTCCGCCCACGGTGATGCCAGGAAACTCCGGAACAACCTTTGGAATAAAACCTTGAGCGAGCAAATTATCGACCAAAGCGTCCATGGCGACATTGGGCTCCACGATAGCAGTCAAGCCGTTCTTGTCTACTGAGATAACATGATTGAGTGCGCTGGTATCGACAACTTCGTTCGCATCCTTTTTAAGAATGCGTGTGCTGTTCGTGGCTCCGTGATAGATCCTGAATGGAACGCCCCTCTCGTGAAAAGACCGCACCCTTCGCGCAACGGCTTCGACTCGTTCCTCGTGCGCATCGATAAGACCCATGTTGATAGCCTGCGATGCGCAAGATGGGGGGATGTAAGAGGTGCAATATGTGAGATAATGGTCCAGAGCAGCCAGCAACAAAACGTTAGGTTTCCGCAATCAAAGACGAGGGCGCATCTTTTTGCTATGGCTGGAGCGAGATCTTGTTTAGACTTCCACCTAGTGGATGATGGTAGACAGCCAGGAAATAAGCATCTCGAAGCGACGGGCATGCTTCAGGGTATATCACCCTCGGTTAGCTCAGCCCGCTGTCATGTTGACGACGCACCGTTTTGGGTGGCTTTAACGCGCAATTTTCGATTCCACCGTTGCGTGGGAAGCAAGAAGTCGATTTCGACTTTGTAATTTTCACTGCGAGTTCTCTCTCAAGATCGATTATGGGGATTTATTCTGGTGACCCTCATGATGGGCGCGCGTAAGAGATGAGCCAGTGAGAAGTGTCGCGTTCTAAGGCGATGCAGACCCTGCGCCACATCCAATCCAGCGAAGTTGCCTCCGTCATGAATACACCATGGTAACTACCATGTGTTGAGACCGCCGTCAACTTGTTAACCCTTTTGAAATCTCTTCTTTTGCATCCTTTACTGAGGTCCTCGTTCCCGGGCTACTTCCTGGGTTTGCGATACGCTCTTCACCACGCGTGAACCCCTTTAGGCGCACGCCGGATCGGGTTTCAGATCGACTGCGCCATTGTAGCCTCTGTCTGCAGCACCTCCACCCGTACCTGTTCATTTGTGTAGCGTGTGCTACTCTCGCATCCTTTGTTTCCGTTTTATCCACCGACCATGGGACTCCTTGGCGCTATACATACTCTTCCGACTGTACTCGCTCTTGTCGCAGCTTCCGCAACTGCCCAGCAGTTCTACGGTGGGCTTCTGGTCGAGATTACGAAGAAGGTCGAATGCACCAGGCATAGCAGAGTCGGCGACAGACTATCCGTGAACTATCGCGGTACACTCAAATCCGATGGCAGTGAATTCGACTCGAGTTTCAACAGAAAGCCGTTCACATTCACTCTAGGGGCCGGCGAGGTGATCAAAGGCTGGGATGTCGGGCTGGTGGGGATGTGCATAGGCGAAGAGAGGAATCTAACAATACCACCTACTTTGGCCTACGGTGATCGGGATATGGGAAAGATCCCTCCAGAATCAACGTTGGTGTTTGAAACGGCGTTGGTGGCTATTGAAGGCGTAGATCCGGACGAGACAAAGCCTGTAGACAAAGACCCCCAGAATACGCCTGGTTCTGGTGAGGAAAAGGGAGCACAACCAGCTCACGGCTCGCAAGGTGGGCCACAGCACGATGCAGACGATGAAAATGGTAAATGCAAGCTACTTGGACCGTTTGCACTACTTATCCAAGGTGCTCTCGGTCTGTTAGCTCTCTTGTCCCTTGTCTGGAAACGATATCGCGAGACGCCTCAACGTCCTCTAAAGGTTTGGTTCTTCGATGTGTCTAAGCAGGTCTTCGGGTCTGTTTTGCTCCACCTGGCAAACCTCCTAATGTCTATGTTCTCGAGCGGGGATTTCGACATCACACAAGCCTCTTCGGGTCCTCCTAAAGGAGGCTTTATTCAGGATGATCGGTTTGAGAAGCCAAACCCGTGTAGTTTCTATCTACTTAATCTCGCTATCGATGTAAGAAGCACACCAACAGCGTGAGATATTCTGCTAACATACGATTATCTAGACCACGATTGGTATCCCCATTCTAGTCCTTCTCCTCCGCATTTTCCACTACGGCTTCTCCCTCACGCCGCTCGCCAAACCGGAGGGAAGTTTACGATCTGGAAACTACGGGAACCCACCAAAGGCTACATGGTGGCTTAAGCAATCTCTAATATACTTCCTTGGCCTGTTGGGCATGAAGTTTTGCGTCTTCATCATATTTCAACTTCTCCCTTGGCTAGGATGGGTAGGCGACTGGGCGCTTCGCTGGACCGAAGGCAAGGCATGGGTGCAGATAACGTTTGTGATGCTCATCTTCCCCCTTATCATGAACGCGCTTCAATACTACATAATCGACGGGTTCATCAAGGACAAAGTCAGCCCAAGTGATAAACACAGTGATCATGACGGCGAGGAAGAGGAAGAGCAACAGGGTCTCATGGGCAGAAGAAGAGGATCTGAAGAAGATTTCGAGGAGCGAGGCTTTATAACAGAAGAGAACACGTTGAAGGAGCCCAATCCTACTACCCTTCCCGCATATGATGACGACGATGACGATGCAGATACAAGGATTGGGAGCAGCAGTAGTCGTGGAAGCACAACAAAGGATCTGGTCGCATGAGACAACTGTATATACATGCATTAACTGTTTGGCGAGGCGTTTGGTATACGATGCGTGGGGAAGAGGGATATGTCATTGTTTTCCGCATAGCACCACACATGCGGTCACGGTCTGTATTCAAGAATCTTGGCAACTCTTCGATCATGAAATCACATTCTTAAATGATAGATGCAATCTTCATGGCTCACCTTGATAATCGTACTCATCGTTTCTAAGCACCCTCTTACATCCGAACACGGCGAGTCTCTCTGGGCACATCACGTGCCATGCTCCGAGGATTCCGACTTTCACCCGATTTCCAAATCGGGACGCGAAGGCCCTTGCCTTCGAAAAAGTTGCCCATCATTCATCAACTTATCTCACGCACACGCTTTCTCTCCTTCCTTCAAATACTGGTTCATAATGACGGATCACGGCCGCGATCCTTGCCCATGGGTCATTCTGAATGACTTTGGCGGCGCATTTTGCATGGGCGTAAGGTTTTGAAGCGATGGACTAACAATGCAAGTACTGATAGTGGAACAGGCTATTGGAGGTGCTGTGTGGCATGGCGTAAAAGGCTTTCGGTATGTGATGCGACGCAGTCACGATCAAGTAGAGGAAATGATGCTGACTACTTAGATAGAAACAGGTATGCTGGTGATACTACGCCGTTGACGAGGGCGCGGATAACTGACGAACGAGAAACCAGTCCGTATGGAGAGCGAAGAATAGGCGCAATCACAGCTATGAAGGCAAGAGCGCCTGTGCTAGGCGGTAACTTTGGTGTCTGGGGCGGTTTGTTTTCAACCTTCGACTGCGCGGTAAAAGGGTAAGCGCAAGCCTATCCAATCCATTGGCTTTCTCCGCGTTCATCGCTATCCAAGGCGAAGACGGGCCATTTCACGCAGCTCCCTTTCATTTACTTGCTTCCGAGCGACGTGTTAACTCAAGATGAAAATTAGGATACGAAAGAAGGAAGATCCCTGGAATGCCATCATCGCTGGCTTCTTCACGGGCGGCGCGCTTGCTGTTCGTGGCGGCCCGAAGCAAATGAGGAACGGCGCAATTGGCTGTGCCATCCTGCTTGCTGTCATCGAAGGTGTCGGCATAGGATTCCAGAGATGGATGGCCGAAGGAACCAAGCTAGAACCACCACCGCCGCTGCCGCAAGCTGAGCCAGCGAAAGCGCTAGCTTGATCAAGTTTTGCTACACTTGATACAGCTTGACAGGCCGATTGGAAACAAAAAATAATCCACACACATCTAAGCGGAGGCCGTGGTGCATGGAAAAGGCGGACTGCATATGATTCTCAACTCGACAACATTCACGTTTGTGTTTGATAGCACGAAGACTTGGGCATGGATTCGGCGAAGTAATGGCGTTTTGCTACATAAATTTAGACTTGTAAAATACTGTGAATGTCTGGAGCATTATGGCAACGCACTAGCCAGTTCGAGAAGAGCGGTTGTATACCATGACGTGGCTTTTGTCTTGGTAAAAGCGTCGAACAGCTGTAGTGATAAGACGAGCTGTACATTTTGATTTAATTTCAATTCGCTCGAACTCAGCACTAGGTTCATTTCCTCTCAAAACGGATGAAAAATGTTAATAGTCACAAGAGGTTCTATCTAGAGGGAAGCCCGGACTCTGTATGCGGCATCAGCCAAAGCAAAAGCTGAGTTCCTTGTGATCCTCGACATGAGCGCATAAGTAGCTGGACTAAAGATTCTATCCTTGGTGGGATTCTCCGGTTTTATGGAGAGAGGCCACAACTTCATCAACACTAAACATTAGAAGGGACTTAGAAATCTGAAGAAGCAGCCGTGGCAGACGCCGTCAGCTTGTATAACTCGATCTCTAGAGCCCTAGGGCAGCTCTGGCCCGTTGCACCTCGCTGTGCCATATTCAGAGTGGCAAGAACAGGGCCTCTGCGCATTTCTTCGCGAGGTGCGTTGGCCGGTGATCACAGCAGCATACAGATCGACGAGATTCTCGCCCGCTTAATGCGAAAGTTTGCCTCGCGATCCCTTCGAAGAATCATTCGGAGGGCAAATCGACAACGATCGGATCTGAGTCCACCTGCAGTCGCTAATCTCTGCTAAGAACTTCGTCGGGTTCTCCAAGAGATCGAGCGTCGCACAGCGGTCGGTGCAACAAGGCAGATTACCTAGCGAAAGGCCCGGCTCGATGGGCGTGCGATGCCATGCTCCGCAAAACTCGATCCAAAGGACTTGTTGTCCCCAGGAGCTGGTCAACACACGCGTCGTCAAATTCAAATTAGAGTCGAACGCAAAATTCGATGCACCCGCGAACTTGGTTAGGCAGCCGCGCGAAGCAGTCTGCTCTTTCTGCTTATTAAGTTAACAATGAGGTGGAACAAAGGCGAGATCTTTGTTTTTTGCGGACTGAAGAAGTTAAGTTGTAAGCACCCCCCTCGCGTTGGACTATTAGGGCCAACTGCGGATGGAACCCCACGGAAAATGGCCAAATGGGAGGACCAAGAGCAGTGAGAATTTAAAGACGAAAGTTTGTCGGTCGTACTTCAATGCCGCTTGCAACTGGTCGTGCATGTGAAGTTTGCACACGTAATATTTGTTTGTCGTGAGAGACCAATACGAGTCGGTGATGCCCTTGTTCGGTCAGGCTCGGCATTTTGGCACCCAATGGAGCACGGACCGTCACTGAATATGATCTCCAACAAGGAACGGAATGACTTAATTTCGGTCTCCTTGAATCAGGAATCCTGCAAGTGAGGCGCAGTATGGAATTGTGATGGACGCGCGGTCGTATCGAAATGCGCATCAACTGACCAAGCTGGCCAGGCGACCATGTGACAGAGTGCGACTCAAGGGAAACACAATCGTGACTAGAGTAGTTGCGTGTGTCGCAACATGTATATTGAGCAATGCTATGCGTTTTGGGTATTACATTTACAAGTTAGTATAAGCAGTATACACAAAGTCGTTATCGTGGGCAAAGATGCGAGCCCTGCGCGAATATGTACCAACCCTCGTCTATGGTAAAAATGTAGTGCCTGGTATTGCGCCAACAGGAATGCCCAGCGTCGCTATTAGTGTCTGAAATACTGTCTGAATAATCGGTAGTGGCCAAGCGGCTGCGATTGTGTAAGACGACACATCTGTCATTATACAGCCAGAGTACGGCAGTGGGGTGCCGGCATGTCTCTCTTTCATCCAAGCGAAAGCGCCTGGCCAGCCCGCATATGATTCATCGGAATGCGAAATCGGGACTTGGTTCTGCTCATACTATATTGAATTAGAAACAGATTTTTCATAGCAAGATGGATGAGTCACATACCAGGATACTAGCACCGTTTGCACAGTACTTCTCATAGAGCGCTGTTGTGATATTGACGGGTGAAGTTTGGTCACCAACGGTCTTGGATGTGTCAGTAGATTCTGGAAGGAAAAAGGAGTCGTTCTTACCTCATAGAGGTACCAAGGAGCGATTGGAGTGGCGCGCATACCCATGACTGCGCCCTCTTGGAGTGTTTGCATGGGAATATCGTCGTTCCAAGATTCGCAACCTTGAGTGAAATAATTGCACGTATCAATGTTGGTGAAAACGTTCGCGTTTCCATCTATACAGTACGTCTCGGTGGCCCAAAATGCGTCCGCAGTTGATGGATTGAGATTTTCATCAAGCCAGGTTGAAAGATTCCTGTAATCGTGCGATAGGCCAACAAATGTTACAGGACCCCAGGCAAAGTACCCTTGTTGAGCCTTTATGATATCTGAGTATCATTAGCGAAAGTTGGTCAAAAAAGTCTCTTTAGACATACTGGAAAGGTAGACAAAGTCTGGCACCAAACCACCCAATGCAATTCCATCGATCTTCAACTCGGGCGCGTAAAGAGGGTGCATTTCTCCGGTCCAAGCCGCTGTGATACCACCCCCAGAATAGCCATTGAGAGTGATGGTAGGGTCTGATGAAAGACCAGTGAGGTTTCCGGATTGCTTCATGGCTCGAAGACTGTCTAGTGTTCGATAACCCATTCCTGGTCCTGAGGGAAATGCGGCGTAAGGGCCACCATCGTCTGCGACGGACACGATCCAACCTTGATCCAGAGCAGATATAATGGGAGCCAGCTGTATTTTGGTGAAAATGGCATCGGCCGGAGTGCCAAGTTGCATTGCAAGCGAAGGATTACATCTTGGTGCAGCAGAATCTGAGAAGTACGCGTATGCAAAGAGATGATCGGGGCTCGGATTGAATGGTATGATTGCGGTGACGACTGAGGCCGTAGCATCACCAACACTGTCCGTCGTCCTGTACTGCATTTGATATACTGCCTGAGGTCGGATAGGTGAAAGGTTGTCTACTGATAGTGCATTTGGGACGTTTCTCCATTTTATGATGTCGCCCGGGTTATAGTCAGCAATATTGTCCGGCACCGCGTACCACGTATCGTTGCCAGGAAGAGGTGGGAGTGGGTGCCGCTTTTTGAAAGAGTGTTTCTTGGAAGACGATTCATTTTCAACGGGCGAAGCACTAACGAGCGTAAGAATGGAAACGAAAAAAAGAAGAAAATGCTTGGCCATCTTCGGATTCCTGGCAAAGGACCAAAATTTGGGTGTCTTCGCGGTCGCTGGGAGAAGGCAGCGACTAAACTCTTTATCTGTGTTGGAAGTCATGCGCCGCGAACACTTCGCTTCCGCAATAGAGATTCGTCCCGTACCATGCTTGCATCGATCGCTGTCCCCCCAGAAGCCGCCTACCGTTCCCTCGCAGGAATGTTAGCCGAATCGCGAACTAAGGCTTAACGACGTGAGCTTCGTCGATCATACCTTACACAGAGGACAATATATGCCCTGTGCATGACGAGCAAGCTAGCTTGGCAGGGGCGTCGGTATATACCTGACAGCTAAAGGAAAAGTGTGCTCCCCGGAGTCGCGTGCAAAGCGGGGATTTGTTCAATGTGAAAGTGCATTCGCAAGGTATGAAACTCTTGCCTGGAGCAGATCATTTGGACGACGAATCAGCAGAAACGCCGCAAAACTATTGGCGACGGCACACGCTGCACCGCCCTGCTAAAAAACAAAGACTTTATCTGGCAAATCCGGCTTTCGTTCACATTTTCCGGACACCGATCGGGAAGACTGATCTAAAGAGCCAGCTCGTGTCTCGCGTTGGCTCTTGGTCGGAACAAAAAGACAAAGATCTGGATCCTGGTCCGGTTCGATGTCAACGCATGAATCCTTACTTGCACATGCTTTATCCGATTGGCCCACACCGCGTGAGGCGCTATTTTTGAGAGGCGATTGACACTTCATTAAGAGGAACATAAGATCTACGGATTGCTGCAGGACTCGTAGCTCGTTGCTCAGCAGGCGGCTTAAAAATTGACGTTGGAGACGGAGGTTCGTTGGTGCAGCCTGTTGCGCTTTCACGAGACTGCTCAAAGTCAAGGGCTTGTGAGACCCCTTGTTTGCATGCTCTCGAACATCTGCGAAGAAAGAAGGACACAGATTAAATGCCTTGAAACATGTGACGCAAGTGGGGTTCACGCTCGACCTGAGCAAGACGTCGATGGGTTGCGTAGACGCCGTACTGTGAGCATTTGGGTGAAGACGGCGGGCCGGAAATTGCTGGTACGTCGATTACTGCACGCCTTAATATGTTTGTGGAAAACCCGAGGCGGAAGTCGGTACCAAAGACGTCCTAGTGGCCACCTCCTAGCCGTCTTTTGCACACCTTTTAGTCTCATCGAATTCTAGAATCTCTTCCGAGGATGAATTTCTAAAAGCGGACGTTGCTTTGGCTTGTGAGGATGTTTCACAGACGGACAGTGGCGTATTTGGCGCTCACTGTTCTGTCAACGCGCGAGCTTCTGTCATTCGTTGAGTTTTCCACTATTTGGGGCAAGCCATGCGATTTGAATTCTCAAAGATATCTTCTAGGGCAAGCTCCAGTAATCATTTGGCTGATCGGGTGTTGTGCCTATTTGCAAACGAATGAATGGTGGTTGATTGGTCACCCCTAAATCGTCACGTGCGAGTAGCCAACGCTGTATTGTACCATGCAAAAGATTCAGCTTTCGATCTTTTAAACGCTTGCGACTACTAATGTTTGAGAGAACGTGAAAGTGTGCCTCTGCGCAACTAGGGTTGCAGCGTTCGCAATAAACTTCACTCCCGCCGAACACATGTACTTTGCCGTTGACTTCCCGTTAATCCGATCCTTCTAGGCGGCACGGATCAGATGCACGGCTCGATTTCACAGGGACACACGGCTGTTCTTGGCTTGCTCAGGAGTGGAAGCTTAGTGACAGTGGATGGTGATTGCGCTGAACCAGTTGCTCCTGCTCCACATTATTCACGGGCCTCTCACCTCGTATCTGAGATGATCTTCTAATACATTTGATACAGTTCAAATACTCTCCGAAAGGCAATGCAGGCTCAGAAAAGTTCTATAGCTGGATGGGAATAAAAGAGAGTAGGAAAAAGTATAGACGGTATTGAATCAAGTACTTTGTATTAGCGAATCGACAGGGTGCCATCAACGACTAGCCGTCCAGGAATTATATTAGGTCAAAGAATGCAAACAGATCGGCATGCTATTAATCCAAACAAACAGCCAGAGAAGATGGCGTTCGCACAAATGCTGAGCAACACTTGACGACGATGCGGGCTTCGCCGAAGTGCTAGTTGGTGTCGTCTCTCTTAACGAGCTCGACGTTGTTGTCGAGGTGGCAGCCGCCGCTGCCGCTGAACTGCTCGCTGCCCTATCTTCGGGATCTCCCTGTCTCACGAGCTGGAGCGTGTAGTTTTTCGCCTCGAAAACCGTCTCCTCAGACGCGTACGCGATCTCGGTCCCAAACTCCAGCTGTCCCAAATACAGAGCACCGGACAGCAGCCCCTTTTGCCAGATGTACTTCAGCAGAGGCGAGTAGTCCGCATTCGTGCTCGTCAAGTTTCGCTCCGAAAGCCATGAAAAGACATGCTGATTTCGGTCGTTGTAACCATGGTACAGAGAAAAGGCCACACCGTCGATAACCACTCTATCGATGTCTGGCGTAGATTCGTCCCATCCAAGCGGTTTCATGACGGGGATCCACCAAGTCCAGATCATGATCTCCAAGGGGGGACGAAATCCGGTTGAGTTCAAAGCATTGTCTGAAAGGAACATGTCGACAGCCACATTTGCGCGCAGCCCAGCTGCATCGTATGCAGCGGCTTGTGCGGGTTCGGAAGTGTCACCAGCCGAATTGACGGTTATCGACCAGTCCGCGGCGAAGTTGAGTTGTGATACATTCCACAGTTGGACTGGTAGACGTGAAGGAAATGGCTTCATATACGGATATGATTTGACCAATGTCGGCGTTCCGGTCCACTTGTACGTGACGGTGAAAGAAGTACCCCCATCGTTTACGTCAAGACACTGATAGCCAGAGCTGTCGTTTCCCCAGGCATTGTTGTTGAAGAAAAAGGGCACCGTTGTTGAGTTGTACGACGAGTATTGATCGCAGAGATCCACTGTCTCTGCTAGACACCGTTGCGAAAGAACCAGCAGCGCCGTCAGCAATAGTGCTAAACGAACGCCGCGGAAGAAGACCATATACACCAAGTTGAGAAAGCGACCTCGGCTATTTGATCTTCTTGATGTTCGCCTCAGAGGAATAATGACGGAGTTGAGAGTATCGGATGGGAAGTAGCATGAGAATGTAAACTACAAATCGTAGATGCACGGATTTGGCATCAGTGGGTCAACCATCTGGTGGCGTTCGATATCCAGGGGCACGTTTTCTATTTTGACGTTGGTGTTGGTAGAGAACGCGTCAGACGACGGTCCAAGCTTGCAGCTGGTCAATCGCCACCAGATGCACCACACTATACGTCCGCGGACTCGATATCATGCGAGATCGATGTTGATTGTGCATGATCAAGATACCGAAAGTGCTTTAAGTTTTAAAAGTCGACAGTTTAAGGTTCTGTAGGATTTGGATGTCTTAGTCTAGGGCGGTCGACACATAGGAGCAAAGGAACTGTACATTTTGTAGAAGACGGGAGCCATGGTGGCCAACAGATGACGCGTCCTGCATTTCCATTCGATTAAAGTCCAACCCTACGGTTATAGACCAATACACCACGAGGAAATGCACCTTTTCTCGGCATATTCACAACGTCTTTGACTCCATGGTTTAAGAATTATTCGCTAAGTTAAACGGTCATAGCCATTTCGTGCCCAACCGCAAAAATTTTCCGCGCGTATGTTCGGAAGGAGAGAGGACTGCCAAGTGGTAAATTGTCCGTGTACATAAGTATAGGATATCTGTGCCCTTGATCAAGTTGAATCGCGGATGGACAAAGATGGCAACTAATTTTTCTCTTTAGGCAAGGTTCCATCTTCGATTGCCAAAGCTGCGGGTTCATCTTGGCGTTTTCAACCATCCAATACTTCGAGGCCGTCTAGATTAAGAGATGAATTAAGATCAGGCATCTTGTCCGCTAATCGTTCGTCGCACGCCAAGGCACACGGTGCAATTTCTATTCTCGACTTTCCGTGGTTTGTGTATATTTGGTTTGACTGTTGCCTCACCCTTTCGGTAGCTCTAAGTGACGAAAGCCTGGTACATGTTTGACTCTATAGCATGTTCGAAAATAAGTATCCCTCTACGAGGATGTAAAAGACTCTACCAGACGATCGAAGCAAAAACTCCCGACGTGGTCACAAGTATCACTGACGTTGAGCATTGATCTGACCGATTAAAAGCGCTCAAGAAAATCTCTCGGCAGCTCACCGAAGCTATTAAGAGGAGAAATGAGGAACACATCTGGTAAGACATGAAGAATTGCAGAGTGTGATCTAGGAAAGTAGAGGATTGGAGCTGGGCGGGAACCCTACAGGGATAAATTGCCTAGCCGGCGATGGTACATACATGTGTGACTGTTCATGCTCTCGTAATAAAACATGTATTTGAAAGTTCGTCGTAATTCATTCATTTGCTGGCCGATTTACGTGAAGGACGCCGGGTGTCCCCCGTGGGCACAAATAGAATTGAAGATCGTGATTGGGAAAAGTAGCTTATACACCCTGAGAAGAAAGCTTCGCGTCCGCAAGTGGTACCATTTCACAAGCTCTCAGCCACGAAAACCTAGTAGCCGCCCTGTTCTCTCCTCGAATCATTCTCTCCGTCCCCTCCTCCTAGGTCTCTTTGCTTTGCTCGCATCTCTCTCATAGCCTCAGCATCGCCGCGCAGTGTCTCAAAATAAGCTTTGATGTCTTCCGCCCCGACAACCTTGCCGCTCTCTGCGAACGGCTTGAGGAAATCCTTTACCTTGTCTCTCAGGTGATTATATACCATGACACCTTCAATCGCTCGAACGCGATCAATGTTGGAAAGGGCTGCTTCGCCGCGGTCGAGTAGAGACTTTGAACCAGCGGATTGGGCCATGCCTTCAGATGATTCTGAGATGGGGGGTTCGTAGGTTTCCTCCTCCTCGAGAAGTTGGGGATGGTGAGCTAGCAGGGGGAAATGAGTTGGGCAGCGGCAGAAAGACTCTCGGAAGTTGGGATGAAGACAAAGTGAGATTGTTCCTATCAGAGCTGTTGGAAGCGTTTCGTAGCGACATGTCGGCGATGAAGCAGCGCTGGCCTCTGGCTTTTCTTCTTCTTTGGCTGCTGTTGATTCCTCGTCTGTCTGTTTCAGAGACTCTGCAGGTGGCTGTGAAGAGCTACGCACGCGTTTTGCACTGGACTCATCATCGCCCTGCTCGCCTTCGTCATCTGCTTTCCGCTTTTTGGATTCTCCATTAGTGTTGGCTTCAGTGACAGGCTGCTCACCCGTTGGCGGATTATAGTGCACCGGTGGAAGAAATCCCTCTGTTCCTGCGTATCGCTTAATCCAGGGAAACGCATTTACGCATTTGTAGCATAAAAGGCCGTCGAAGTCATCCTCAGGCGGGAATCCTGGTGGATATGGCGGGTCCCCCTCTTCATCTTCCACGGCCTGGGAACCAACATCTCCACTCTCAGGCTCCTTGCCCTGTCTCTCAGCGCCATTGCCTTCCTTCCCATTCTTTCTCCACCAGCCCCTCGGCAACCCGACCAGACATTCCGGGTGCCACCAATCCTCTCCGCAGCCTCCGTCCGCCAATTTGCCCAACCCCAAGCACTGAAACATAGTTCCCTTCTCACTATGTGCATCATAAATTTCCCCGCATCCACAGAACCTATTTGCGAAGTTTTGATTATATTCGTTCCCTTCCGCCGGAGTTTCCCCGGTTACGTTACCTTTCTGGCCTTGCGAATTGAGACGGAGTGTGCAGGGCGCAGACGAGGTGATGCGTGTGGTCCCGCAGTCGCAAACAAAATTACGCTTGTTGAAGAGCTCGACGAGCGTGTGCTCGCCGTGGCAGGATATGGAACAGGAATAGCAGACTCCAGCAGGAGTATAAGGTGCCGTTGGGTCTGAAGGCGGCGGGTTGCATGTTAAACAGGAGAAAAGTAGTTGGCGAAGAGGACCTAGGGGACGAGTGCACGTGTCGAATTGCTGGATGCGCTGTTAGCGACGTGTTGTGCGATCAAAGTGAGGAGACTGAAGGAGGTGTGGGCATACATATGGCAGAACTTCTCTTGCCTCTGCTTCTAGCTGCAGCTGCGAGGATATAAATCTGGAGCACAATGAGCACGGAAAACTCAAATTCTATACCAGAAGAGCTGGAAAGAGGCGTACTCTTGCGCTGTCTGCGAGGTCTCTGATGCTTGCGACACGCTCCCCGCGCGTTCAAAGCTGTGGTGGCCGTTGCTGGATTGGCCGGGCTGGCTCGAGGCAGAGTCAGCCATGGTGGCCGTAGGCGGTTCAACCGAAGAGGAATGTGTCAAAATCTTGTAAACGGCAGTGAAAATGTGACTGCAGAGAGAAAAGCATTCCTGGGGGTTCGGATGGGCGACCAAGGAGCAGCATCAATCATTTTTCCCAATTGAGTACTTGTGAGGTTGCATAAAAGAGGTTTAGCGCAGACACGAGACGCGTCCACTTCAATTTCGCGCGTTCATGGTGGGTCAACGGCGGCTGCGGAGGTGCAAATGCCACCGACTGAGACGACGACGATGCACACGTAGACTCTCTCAACCTTCACTGCACCTGAACACAATGAGGTATGTCCAAACGCATCCTTGAGGAAACTCTTCTGGAACGTCGACTGATCAGCATTCCCTAGTTCTCCACTCCGTCAAGGCATGTCTTCAGGAAACCCGCGCCTCCCTGCGGGTGCTCAAAATACTCGCAAGCGAGGACGAGACAACGATGACCTTCCTTCAGATATTCCACCTTCTAGCCGTACGTATTGGATTTTTTTTTGCTCTTATATGAATTATATGCGCTGACAAGCAGACAGCGCCGCCAGCGTCATCACCGCCATTGCTACCTATTGATGACGAGGAAGATGAGATTATGCGCGATATCGACGACCTGGACGAAGATGCCGAGGATGAAGCGGGAATTGACTTGTTTGCTGAGAACTTCGAACGCGACTACCGCCGACCTGACGTTGACACTTATGCGGGGGCCGACATAGACGATGAGAATGACTACGAGGACCTTGACATTGCTGAGAGAAGACGCCTAGAGGCGCGTCTCAATGCTCGCGACCGCGAACTAGCCCGTCAATGCCGCATGCCCACTGCGTTCTTGCCAGATGAAGAAGATGACCTCCTGGATCTGACGCGCCAGCCTCGAAGGCGGAGGCATCGATATGATGAAGAGCAAGATGACTTGGATATGGAAGGTATCATGGACGAGGAGCTCACTTTGGAGGCGTTACAAGATGTCAAGGCGGCGAGCTTGAGCGACTGGATTGCCATGCCCGCTGTTCACAGGACAATTGCCCGTGAATTCAAGTCTTTTCTCACCGAATTCATCGACGATAACGGCATCTCTGTCTACGGAAACCGCATTCGCACGCTAGGCGAGGTCAATTCAGAGTCCCTCGAAGTCTCTTACGACCATTTGACTAGCTCCAAAGCCGTTCTGGCTTGGATGCTTGCGAATGCGCCTACTGAGATGCTCAAGATTTTTGATCAAGTTGCACTCGACACCACACTTCTTCACTATCCGGATTACGAGCGTATCCACTCCGAAATACATGTCCGCATCTCAGAAGTGCCTCTTCAGTACACCCTTCGCCAGTTGCGCCAGTCCCATCTTAACTGCCTCGTGCGTGTTAGTGGCGTCGTGACTCGCCGTTCAGGCGTCTTCCCGCAGCTCAAATATGTCAAGTTCGACTGCACAAAATGCGGAACCACACTAGGGCCTTATCCCCAGGACTCAAATGTGGAAGTCAAGATCTCTTTCTGCCAGAACTGCCAGTCCAAGGGGCCTTTTACGCTTAACTCGGAGAAGACCGTTTACCGCAATTATCAAAAGATTACGCTTCAAGAATCGCCGGGCACAGTTCCTGCCGGCCGCCTGCCCCGCCATAGGGAGGTTATCCTATTGTGGGACCTGATCGACAGCTGCAAACCGGGCGAGGAGGTTGAAATCACTGGCATTTACCGCAACAACTACGACGCAAGCTTGAACAACAAAAACGGATTCCCGGTGTTTGCAACCGTTCTGGAAGCTAACTACGTTGTCAAGGCCCATGACGAACTTGCGGGCTTCAAAATCACTGAGGAGGATGAGCGAATGATCAAGCAGTTGAGCCGCGATCCAAACATTGTGGATAAAATCATCGCCTCCATTGCGCCTAGTATCTATGGACACACAGACATCAAGACTGCTGTGGCCCTTAGTCTCTTCGGTGGTGTGAGCAAGGAGGCGCCGGGCAAGATGAACATCCGTGGTGACATCAATGTTCTGTTGCTCGGCGACCCAGGTACCGCTAAATCTCAAGTGCTCAAATATATCGAGAAGACTGCGCATCGAGCTGTCTTTGCCACAGGTCAAGGCGCATCCGCTGTCGGTCTAACTGCCAGCGTGCGTCGAGATCCCATGACAAGCGAGTGGACGCTCGAAGGCGGCGCGCTTGTGCTTGCGGACAAGGGCACTTGTCTCATAGACGAGTTTGACAAGATGAACGACCAAGACAGGACATCCATTCACGAGGCCATGGAGCAGCAGACCATCTCCATCTCCAAAGCCGGCATTGTGACGACGCTGCACGCGCGCTGCTCCATTGTCGCAGCAGCCAACCCAATCGGTGGCCGTTACAACTCCACCGTCCCATTCTCACAGAACGTGGATCTTACGGAGCCGATTCTGTCTCGTTTCGACATCCTGTGTGTCGTGCGCGACACGGTGGATCCCACCGAGGATGAGAGGCTTGCCAACTTCGTCGTTGAGTCCCATGGTCGCGCCGCGGCGCTGGGCAATGGCAGTCAGCCTCAAGATGAAGAGGACTCGCAAAAAGCTGTGCAGGAGGGCGAGATTCCGCAGGAGCTACTGCGCAAATACATCCTGTATGCGCGAGAAAAATGTCGACCAAAGCTGTACCAGATCGATCAGGACAAAGTCGCCCGTCTGTTCGCAGATATGAGGCGGGAATCGCTGGCCACGGGTGCTTATCCGATCACCGTATGTACGATCCATGATTTTTCCCCGTTGTAGAACCTGTTGCTCCGAACTAACATTCTGTGTGTGTCTAGGTCCGTCATCTCGAAGCTATTATTCGCATCAGCGAGGCTTTCTGCAAAATGCGACTTAGCGAGTACTGCTCAAGCACGGACATTGACCGTGCCATAGCAGTTGCTGTAGACTCTTTTGTCGGCAGCCAGAAGATCAGTGCGAAGAAAGCCCTGGCCAGAGCGTTTGCGAAATACACGCTCAACGCTCCCGGCCGGGTTCGGCGGCCTGTTGCTGGTAGCAGAACTGGCGCTGTTGCTGCGTAGTTAAGAGGTCCGTGGATGAGATAGATTTGATGAGGGATGAGGCGATGAATGGGTTCAGTTCTTTTATTGATGATACCGTAATATCACGTGAACAGAAGAAACACAAGCGTGGGTCTCAAATATGGGCTGGACTTAGGCGTTCAGGAATTTGATAAATACAAAAACCGTAATTTCTTCTTTTCTTTTTGGCAATAAGAGCTTCATTTTTGCAATGACCAAGTTTATGAAGCGACTCAATTTTTGTGATGCTTCCTTTTTTCCACTCTATTTTTCCACACGATATTTTCTTAGCCTTACCCATGACGTGTAGATCCATGTAGTTACAAGTGCACGCTGTAGAGCAAACTTGAAACGTCCATGTCTTTGGATGCTTAGTATTATGTTCTCTTCGTAAGATGCCCATCCACATGAATGAAGAATTAGAGTAGAACTGCCACAGACTGTTTGTGAAGCAGGCTAGAACGCAGGCAGGATATCAAGCAATTCGTTGCAACTTTGTGCCTTGTCCTTGATGAAAGGAGTGTCTAGTATTATTCCTGCTATGCTCTTCAGTGCAGCACCACGTGCTCTGCTGCGAGGAATAGACACGCACTGAACTAAACGGTTTATTTCTTCTGACTGCTTCGGGTAAGTCCTGCTTTGCAACTGTTGTCAAACCAGCCCATGTTCAGGTTATCAATCACCCAGGATTTCAGGGCGTTTCCGTCGACAATAGCTTCAATGCGGATGCTTGACAGACCTCTGAAACCTTCAAGAGAGACATGCTGAAGCTTACAGTCTACAAGCTGAGAACATGGCTGAACCAATGTAGTTTGCGTCACACTCTTTTCTTCGTTATTAGTCGAGTTGCTCCAAACGTAACCGCTGATGCTCATGTTGCATGCCTTAGGCCCGCTATTATCGCAACCAAGCTCGACACCATACACGTTAAACCAATAGTACTCATTATTGGCACGAGGTCCTGCACCGATAGTACCTGGAAGCATGCCGAAGCTGTCAAGCTGATCTGCGTTTGCGATAGTTGTGTTGTCCTTGACATGAAAGATTGCGACATTTGGGCCAGATATGGGATCGTATGGCTCTGTCTTGGAAATGCTGTGAGCTGGATTATAGTATGAGAAAGCAGCAGCAAAAAAAAGGTGATGATATGGATTGAATACTGGCGCGTAAGGTGGATCATCTGCATGAGTCTGCTCGTATATAGGTTCATCATCCCAATTCATGATAAAATCTCCTGTTTCACCGCAGCTTGAGCTTGCATTAGCTAAAACCGTCGGATACGGCTTAATCTGACCATATCCAACAGGATTGGTGACGCTGCCCTTAAGGGATGAGATTGGGATTGGAATATCCGATGTCTCGTTCGACTGTATCGTAGAAGACGAAAATGTAGTTGAATTGGAAAAAGTAATTGGTAAGAATTTTGTTGAGGTGGAATGAGATCCAATGCTTCCAATTTCACTACTGTTTGTGATTGAAAACCCACTATCCGATAAACTGACCGAAGGCTTCAATCGTGATGATGTCGTGATTATGTTGGTAGCTAAGACGGAGACGGTCCTAGTTGGCGTCTGAGTAGTCGCAAAACTCAAGGTCGATGATAAATAGCTAACATTAGACGCTCCTAGGGACGACGTGGCACTTTGCGACGTCAAAATTTCCGGGGATGCTGAAGAGCTCCATGGTGCTGATGATGTTGTCGTGACGGAGCTTTTCCTCGACGAGTTCGAGAAGAACGGGTGACCAAAACTGGTTTTTAGAGATAAAGGAGTCGATGCTGTATTTACTGGAACCTGAATGGAGACACCGTTGGTGTATGTAGTGTAGTTGTTGGTTGCTGCCGCAGCTGAAACCAAAGAAGTTACAATCGCGCTGACTCCAAGGGCGCCGGCAGTTCTACCATTCTGAGAAAAATTCACACTATTTGATCCAGTTCCTGGACCAAAGAATGTAATGCTATCTGTTCCCAAGGGCGGAAACATTGGGAACGCTGACGTTGTCTCCTTGTTCGAGCTTGTTGGTCCATTGAAGGTAGAATTGCTCAAGCTTACTACGTGTAAAGATGTCGTGATCAGGGTGACCTCCGATTGAGAAGACGTTAACGCCTGTACTGCCTAGGTTAAAAAATAATTGGGCATCGTTAAAAGAATACATACTGCAATCAAGCCGTTCGATGCACTCGAAGATAGGCTAGAACTGCTCGAAGAGGTTCTCAAAAGTGTTGAGTCCGGGTGGCTCGATAATATCTCTGTAGATGTTTCATCGAGTATTGGAGATGGCGACGGAGCACCTATTGATATTATACTGGTCTGCTAAAATATATCAGTTCGAAATTAAAAAAATAATCTTCTGAATCTACTCACCGGGGCAGTGGTTTCTCCAGCGATTGGAAAAGCTGACATGGAAGTCGCGCTGCTTGATGGTCGACTCACATGAATTGTCGTCAGAAAGGTCTCAGTAACAATAACAGTCGTCGTGAGTGAAGTCGAGCCCAAATTGGTAGTCGAAGTTAGTGTGCGTTGGCTAGTGACAGTGAACGTTACTTCTTTGCTGTAGACATCAGGTGGAAAAGGAACGACGTATGCTGTCACTGATTGGTTATAGTTAGATCCCTTACTGTTGCTGCTTGAATTACATCCCAAGGACTTACAGGTTGTGAGTATTGTGTGAGTAGGGTCACTGCGTGATGCAACGCCACTGCTCCAATACGCGCTGCTGTCGACCACGCTGCGTTGGCATTAGTAGTGAAATGCAAGGAAGGTATAAGGCGTTCTATAATGAACGTACGTTTGGTCACTCTTGGTTACAATCATTTGGCTAGTATCAGCAGCATTTGCTAACCCTAAAACAGCCGAGCTCATTGCGGTTGCGGGAACAAAAAGTGTAGTAGTGGTTACAGAAGTAGAGCAACCACACGGAGCTCTGCCACTCGTCTTCGATGCCGAACTATCAAGAATAGATGCAGCACTGATGATGGCATGACTGTAGTTTGCTGGTCTCGTACCGGGCAGAGTGACGGACGAGTGAGAGGAATTTCCAGCGCTGTAGAATGGGAAAGCAAAGGTCGGATGTGCCATGGCCAGGCGACAGGCCAAGGCAGCAATCGCAAGAAACCACTTCATCCTCAGAGAGTAGCAGCTCAAGATTCGGAGCAAGTTGCAGTACGCGTGTCCTAGAAGGAGATAGTGAGAGGCTTAAAGTTGGAAACGATCAAAGATAAACGAGCGTGGGTTTGATTTGATGTGGTATGGTGTCGGTAATGGGGTGAGGTCTTGAAGAGTGTAAGAAGAAAGGAGTAGAAAAGGGAGACTGAGTTGTAAGAAGTGAAACGAAGTGACAGTGAATGGAAGTAAAAGTGAAGTGAAGCGAAGGCGGAGACGTTGAAAGATTTGGTTGATGACAATTCGCACTTTCCCAGTCAATGGATGCGCCTTCGCGACTGCCGTTTTGCGTCCTTAGTCAGTAACAAACTGGTTCAGTCACTCGGAACGCGGATGGACGTCGACATCGACCGGATGCTATGACTGCCAGCTGCAGGCTTCACTTGAACGGCCATTTGCTGTGAATCAGTCTTTCGACACATGCCACTATGGGGCTTCGAACAATTGCCGCTGGGGTTGCGACTGCGAAAAGGAACATCTCTTAACTAGGCCGGATACCTAACAGCTCTGTAGATATGGACCAGTCTGTTTCATTGGCAAGCCGAGCAATCTTAACCAGTCTAGGACCCGTCTAGTCGTCTACTCTCCGTAAAGAAAGCACAAGGGTTTCCCAGACGAAGCCACTTGATGAGTTAAATGAACCGAGGGATTTGAACCAGCCATGCCGCCAACGTGCTCAGGTTCTTCATAGAAAGGTCACAATTCCTTCTTCCCATAGGCTGTTTGCGTATGCTGTTCCTGTGCTTCGGATCAAGCATCGTAAAATCACCGAAGTCCTGGAGTCTTCGAAGTCAGCGGGCCACAATAGCTGCCTGCTAAAGTCAAGATGTTACACTTTAGTTCTTTTGGTGCGGATCAGTCGCATGGGCTACACGATATACCAAAATCGCATGTTTCAAGTAACAAGACTCAAAAAACAAGATTCTTCCAATTATTCGCGGGATATGTAGCGACATAACGGTAGCTGGAAAACTGCGGCATTCTGACCACAGTTCTGTAAGTGCTCATCAAAGAGGAAACACATCAAAATCTTTTCCATCAAAGCTCCTGAAGGTGATCGACGCTTCCTGGAGATAACCACGAGCCATTTGAGGAAAGAGGTTAGTGAGCATCGTTGTTTGAAAAGAGCCTGTGGGGATCACATCAATTGATGAAAATGGGCAGGAAAGTTAGGTCGGCAAGTGAAATCATGTTATGTGGATATCGATCCTCGAAAATGGCGTAGTTATTCGCACTATCTTCTAGCACCGTAGTATAGTGTGGCCATTTTCTTCGTCAAGACTAGCGCGCACATGCATGGCGTCCACCTTCGGAACAGTGGCTTTGCTGCCAAAATGCCTTAGGCAGCAATATCCGCCAAGACTTCCCATCCACACTTGCGAAAATTGAACAACGTGCATAGCGTTCTCGTACCTACAATACCATACACACACGGATCATTTTGCGACGCTAAATCGTCAAGATGGTATGGAAACTCCTCGATAACACTCATTACGTCGTATTGTCACTCGCAGTTGTCGAAAAGCCGTCCGTCGAAAGCCGTTCGATTGCAAGAGAAGGAATCAAAGTGGACGGAGAGGAAGCGACTTGGCTGGTGAACCACAAGGCCTTCATTCGCTCCAGAGGGAGATTTCGCGCATGATCTTGATCGATTGGCATGGCGCGACCAATTGCAGAGACGATAGGACGATTCGCAATCTTCGCAATGCTTTCATAGATGCATTGCTAACATGCGTCTACAGGTCAACGTTCCGAAGACGAGACGAACCTATTGCAAGGGCAAGGACTGCAAGAAGCACACCCTCCACAAGGTCACACAGTACAAGGCTGGCAAGGCCTCGCTATTCGCACAGGGAAAGCGTCGTTATGACCGCAAGCAGTCAGGTTATGGTATGTGACGGACATGCAAGGGTTGAACCATGGAAACTTACACACGACGATTAGGTGGTCAGACTAAGCCCGTCTTCCACAAGAAGGCCAAGACGACAAAGAAGGTCGTGCTGAGACTGGAGTGCAACCAGTGCAAGACAAAGGCACAGCTTGCGCTCAAGCGATGCAAGCACTTTGAATTGGGGTAGGTTCTTCTTACTTCCGTAATATTTTTTTTCTTCGACACTGACAACAGCAATAGTGGTGACAAGAAGACCAAGGGTGCGGCTCTGGTGTTCTAAATGCGTCTTCTCTGTATCTGGCATCTTTGGGCTCGGAGCACACGGTTCATGAATGGATGACAAGGGCAAACGGAGGCCTGCGTCTAAACACATATATGGCAGCTCTCATAGCGTTAAACATGCTCTAGAGCGCCATGAGCGGATGGCTCAAGCATAGCAATTGAAGCATCAATCGATTTCCTTCATGCCATTTTTTCCACGTCGTAGGCCTACTTAAGTCTACTTCAGATTTGCGTGATTTCTAGTTGTTGAAGACAAAAGATTTTCTAAGTTCAAACATACCGCCGCGGCAACTTCTGCACGTTTGTTATGATCAAATAAGAGAACATTAAACCAACAGCTACAGAAACTTGATGCCTATTTTTTGGCTCAATTCCCAGGAGTACGTGAAACAAAGGGTTTGACTACAATTGTACATCTATCCTCCCGTACTCTTTCAGACGCCCAGGCCTATGGATAACAGTGTCGCCTATGATACATTTGCTGAAGGATAGAAGAGAGACGCTACGAAATAGCGTGTTCAAATACGAAAAGTGGTCCAAGTCACATCTGTTGTTGCAATACGTAACGATGCTGACAACACAGTTCTAATAAACGCAGAAAGGTCACCTTATTCCTGTCTTGATAAGAACATGGGAACGTGAGCCATAACGAGGACTATTGGCAAATTTGCTGTATAGTAAACGAGCTTGTGAGACTGGAGGACACGAGGCATATTGATCCTGCTAGTGCCCACCCCTTAGTTCGCTGAACAGCAACTGGCGATGAAAAAATCGAAGCATGGCAAAGGGAACGGTCATCGCGAAGCTAAAACTAGCAAACAAAGGGCTGGTGACCGTTGCACCCTCATGTAGCAGAATTGGGCTTTTTGTCGTAGAGTCGCCGGGTCGGGAATCGCAATATTACAGAGGGGTCTAGAGGTTCAACGAGCGCCTATTTTCACAGAGCCTTCTGTTTACGGTGTCTTGACTAGCAAGATGACGTCCGGATTGTTCAGGGCTCTGGAGCAACACATTTGACTCCTCGTAGGCCCGTTTCATTCTGCCTCATTTGAAAAAATATTCAACCGACCTATCGCCTTGATCTGTTCGTCTTTCGAGGTGTATATAGCTTCACAATAATCCTAGTGGCGAACGCAATTCCAAAGTCAGCCACTGATGCAAGACTCTTAATTATCATGACCTGCCCAACTCCTTCAAGGATGAGCCCTAAGACCGGTTCATTCAAAATCCAATCTAATCATATTCCTTGCCGTATTCTCTCCGCAGCTTTCATTTTTGCGAACTCCCAAGCATTGAGCAGACCCTGCTCAGACAAATCGATGCCCTTTACATTAATGTCTTGTGGAGGTGGTTTGCTAACACGACTAGCGATCGTAATCGGATCTGTTTCCAAGAGCACTCCTGTTTGGCCGCCATGTCAGCTCCCAGATGCGAAGGCCTCTGTCAACATGTTCTTACCGTCGTCGCATAGCTCATCAATGGCTAAGCAAACCAAGTCGTAGTTTTCAATGATTGTCCGCCTGTCCACGCTTGTCTTCAAGAGGATGTTAAGACTGTCCCGGAGGGCGAGCACGGCGTTAAAGAGCAGAATCTCGTTCTCGTCTGCGGAGCCAACCACAAAAAGCATAGTATCACCCTCAGTCTTGTAGACCACCACGCGATTGTCATAAAGAATAATGTCGCCGCTACAGCACATGTCAGAGCTTGTATCTTTCGAGAGCAGGGGAAGCCCACTTCGTCTTAATCGTCTTTTCCATAAGACCCTTCTCGAATGCCTTCTGCTCCTTCGGAGTCGAGTATGGGCTTTTGTGAGTTTGACCGGAGGCAACATGAGGTGGTGAGTAGTCTACAAGCTTGCGTAAGTTAAGAGAGTGGGTTTGGCTTTGAAATGGATGACACACATTTAGCATATATTCTCGAAGCTGCGCAAATGGCGTTAATTTTCAAGCCTACGGCGTATTCAGGTAAACTCACAGTCTTCAGTAGAGAGAATTAGAATGGCATCTATGGAGTGCAGACTGAGGGCCATGTTGACTTGGTTTCCTTCGTAAACTGCTTAACGAGGAAGAAAATGCGATGTCACCCAAGGCTAAGATTTCAGCTTGGTACACAGCAAGAAGAGCAAGAATGTGCTATTTTGATTGGTCTAGGAGATTTTAAGCCCGATACAACAGTTTGTTTTGAAGTGAATTGTGAGTTTATCACATCGTACAGCTATCCTCTTGAACTGTGGCTTGAGTGAAGTAGAGTCACGTGATCTCAGCCACATTTGATATTGTGGCGTCAATGACTGTAATATGCATGTTTGTCGTGTTTAAATAGTCATTCGCTTGTAGGCACTGTCCAGTGCCCAGAGCGATATTATAAACACATATCACTTCTCGCAATGGCAAAAAAGAAGAAACCGGCGGCAAATCCGGCGAGAGGGTTTGCAACTACGTCAGTGGCCTCAAAACCTAAGACAGAGAAAGTCGAAAAAGATATTCCAACTGCGACAGCATCTAAGTTTCAGGGAAATGACCTACCGAAAAGTGATGTCGTGGATATTTCTCATGCATCTGGGGAAGCGAAGGAGAAAGAGCTCCATGATTTGACCCCAGAAGAGATGACTGAACAGCTCGAACGCAACGAGTTACAGCTGCTCGTCGAAACTTATGGACCAAAGGTACGCCGTGAAGTGGCAAAATTAGAATCTAAACTTCGAGCGGACAGCCGGGTTCTAAGGAGCCAAGCGCAACCTATATCACTGCGAAAATGGTTACCGGAGGAACTAATGACCAATGTTTTGGATATCATCAAAAAGGAACGCGAGGAGCTCAGCCAAACGCTACAGGCCCAACCAGGTATAAAGCTATTCTCTGAAGAAGATATGTTGTTTCGATGCTGGACCCTCTGGGAGGCGCTCGTGATGTTCGGCATTGCCACTGACGATGTGAAAAGAGTGCTTGGAGAGACCGTGAAACGACCGCCGCGGAATGATGCTGGGGGGTACGTTTGGGGATTCAGAGAAGCCTTGGACTTGCTTGCATTGGATCTCGAAGAGGAGAAACTTCCTAGTTATGACGCACGTAAATCTCGAGCACTGCAGAATAGCGAAACATCCTCGACTCCAACGACTGCCTTCAATACGCCAGTAGATTCACAGATCGTCACCCCAGAATCAAGCCCAAAACCTAATTCTCGGGCGAAAGCAACAGATTCCGTCCTTAAAGAAGATAGCGAAAGCAGCAGCGATGTCAGTGCAAGTGATTTTGACAGCGACATTGAGCCTGACGATCTCGTTGCTACATATCTGTCGATAAAGGAACGACTTTATAGACATAGACCAGAACTTGTCGAGACGCGGCAACCAAAATCCAAAAGGGGTAAACAACAGCAGCCTGCCCTTACCCAACAGGGCACAAAACCAAATGAAAGGCGTCTGCAGATGAAGATGAAGTCAATCGAATCAGATATGCTCTTTGACAAGCACGAAGCAGAACAAAGATGGACCATGAGGCGAATTCAAATCATGCAAGAAGTTGCTTCAGTTCGAAATGCAAACCAGCAAGGCACCCAGAAGGATAATATTAGTCAAAGTGAGGCAGGTGAGAACGCAAGTCAATCGAATGAGAGAACAGCCGAATCAAACTCAAGTGAGGAAGGATCCGAACAAGAAGCTGGAGAAATGCTGGGAAATATGTTTGCTACGACTGACGGAGAGAAGTTGCAACAAGGTCCATCTGAACCCGACGTAAATACCTCCGTGAGCGTCCGAGACATGGGCAATATTTCTGGTCTCAGTCCTCGTCGCGTACTCGAAGATGTATGTCGTGGTCGAGACAGTCGGGCAACTGTTCATTTCCGTTTGATATCGAAATCGACTTATATCAGCCGGCATTCTGTCGTTATTAGCTGGTCCGTTGATCAGGAGAGAATTTCCACAAATGCTGTTCCATATATTACAATCGAGCAACAACCGTCCTCAAAAGGGCCGGATTTCTCATCGAGCATCTCTTTCAGCATGACGGGGATAGCAAATCCTGACCCCAAGCAAAGTGAAGGGTTCATTGCTACCATTGCGCTGTTTTATATAACAAACACGTCACAGAAGGAGGAGAAACAGTATCAAAAATTACCTCCTAATTTTCGCGACCTGTACGGGGAGCTTTTAGACTTCCAGAAACAACAAAGCGACGCGGCAGATCGGGAAAAACTAAGGACAATTCGTGACATGATCATCGCCCACAGTCAAGAACAAGAAGATGACGGTATTGTTTTGTCCTCTGCTTTCCGAAACCGTGGCCTTAATTCTCCGAGACCTGGGTCAAGTAGAGGGATTTCTCCTTCCCTTGGCGTGCCGAAAGGTCAGTCAAGAGATTGTATTCAGCTCTGGAACAATGTACAAAACTCAGCACGATTCCAGCAAATGCTGTCTACCCGGATGAATCTGCCCATGTTCGGCTTCAAGCATACTGCTCTATCAGCCATAGATCAGTCCCAGGTCATCATACTGTGTGGCGAGACGGGTTGCGGGAAAAGTACACAGCTTCCATCTTACGTTCTGGAGAACGAGTTGTCGCATGGTAGAGAATGTAAAATCTACTGCACACAACCTCGACGCATATCAGCCATTTCGCTCGCGCAGCGAGTGAGTGAGGAGATGGGTGAATTACCCGGCGATGTTGGTACAGCTCGTTCATTGGTTGGCTACGCTGTACGTCTTGAATCGAAGGTCTCTGCACACACCCGCCTGGTATATGCAACTGTTGGTGTCGTTCTTCGTATGCTTGAGTCATCAAGATCCTTGGATGACATCACACACTTGATTATCGATGAAGTGCATGAGAGATCTATTGATACGGACTTTTTGCTTATTGTATTGAAGTCGTTAATGATTCGACGACCAGAACTCAAGGTTATTCTCATGAGTGCAACAGTAGACGCGACAAGATTCTCACAGTATCTAAACAACGCCCCAATTATCAACGTGCCTGGCAGGACTTTCCCGGTCCAGACAAAATTCCTGGAAGATGCCATCGAACTGACTGGATTCAGCAACGCTGACGTGACATCGTCTAAGCACGATAATGATGACGGATTTGGCGATGTCGAGATAGAAGGCGGCACTTCTGGCATACCAAAACAATTACAGGGCTACAGCGCTGCCACTCTTAATGCACTATCACATTACGACGAGTATCGAATAGACTTCGAACTCATCGTTCGACTCCTGGAGAAGATGGCTACAGACCCTGCGTATACGTCTTACAGCAAAGCCACACTTGTTTTCTTACCTGGTATCGCTGAGATTCGAGAATTGAATGATCTCTTGACTGGTTCGTCAATCTTCCAAACTCAGTGTTGGGTTATTCCTCTGCACTCAAGCATTGCAAGCGAAGAACAGCAACTCGCGTTCCGAGTTCCACCTGCAGGTGTGCGTAAAGTGGTCCTTGCTACTAATATCGCGGAGACTGGTATTACTATTCCAGATGTGACGTGTGTCATAGATACTGGGAAGCATAAAGAGATGCGACATGATGAGCGCAGGCAATTATCGCGATTGATCCAGTCCTTCATATCACGTGCGAATGCAAAGCAGCGTCGAGGTCGGGCTGGTCGCGTCCAGGAAGGCTTGTGTTTTCACCTATTCACGAAGTATCGCCACGACGAATTGATGGCTGAGCAGCAAACACCAGAAATGCTACGACTTTCTCTTCAAGATCTTGTCATGCGCGTCAAAATCTGTGGACTTGGACAAATTGAGGAGACTCTTGCGCAAGCTCTTGACCCTCCCATGGCCAGAAATGTCCGGCGGGCCATTGATGCGCTTATTGAAGTTGGTGCTTTGACCTCAAATGAAAACCTGACAACATTGGGTTCCCAACTGGCCAAACTGCCACTGGATGCGAATCTCGGGAAACTGTGCTTGTTTTCGGCAATTTTTGGCTGTCTTGATGTTGGTCTCACCATATCGTCAATATTGTCATCAAAATCACCATTTGTTACACCTTTTGGCGATCGACAGCGAGCAGATAATGCGCGCTTAGGTTTTGCGAAAGGCGATTCGGATCTATTGACGGCTTACAATGCCTATTCAACATGGAGACGTATCTGCCAAACACCCAACCAGTCTGTGCATGCATTCTGCCGTAAAATGTACCTCAGCCACCAAAACCTCAGCAATATCGAAGAGTTAAAGGGTCAGCTTTTGACCTCGCTTGCGGATACAGGCCTTGTCAGTCTATCCAGATCGCAGCTGCCGCGCTTATCTCGCGGTCGCCAAGCTTTTGTTCAAGTACCTATAGAACTTGATATCAACAGCAACAACGAAACGATCGTATCTTCAGTCATTGCGTGGTCGTTCTACCCGAAGCTGTTGATTCGTGACGGTAGAGGGTACCGTAACATAGCAAACTCACAGCAGGTCTCTCTTCATCCTGCAAGTGTCAACAAAGGCAAAAATGATCTAAAATTTCTGAGCTACTATTCAATGATGGCCTCGTCCTCAGGTAATAAGAATTACAACGCACTCAGCACATCTGCGGTGGCAGATGTACCCGTCATGCTGCTCGCAGGTGATGCAGAATGGAGGCTTCACGCAGGATTTGTAGTAATAGATGGGAATAGATTAAGGTTCAAAGTAGATCAGTGGAAGGAAGCCATCACGATGAAATATCTGCGAATAAAAATTGAGGAGCTCGTTGAGAGCCGATTAAAGGAGCCACTGAAGGAAATATCGGGGAGGGCGAAGAAGTGGTTCGAACTGTGGGACGCCATGTGCAAGAGTTACAATGAAAGAACAAAACAGTGAACTAGAGACATGATTTTAATTAACGACGAACACAGTTCTCAAAGTATATTCGAATAGAACACGCTCCTAGTACTGTGTTCTAGCTTAGCAGCTCATTGACCGGATTTTTTGCTCTTCAAGAAGTACCTACACTGTTTACGTTTGAATTTGTCACATAATTTGGGACCCAACAAAATTGCTTAAGTGAAGAGCACTACCAAGCAGATGTTATTGCATTATGTGAAGCAGCCTTTATACTCGCTTCACTGTATCACTGAGAAAAATAACCGCCAAAAAAGTGATCCACAACCGCCTCCGTACGCGTCTACTGTAAAATGTGCCCAAACTCCAGCCTTTGCTGAATGCGTATGTTGTTCAGCCTAACAGTGTTTGCACAAATTTGAATCGCTTTGAAGTCCTCTGGGAAAGAATTTGCATAAGCGAGGACTTGAAAGGGCAGAGTAAGTAAACGAAGTCTCATCAGATATGATATATGGACTCTGGAAATCAGCGGAAGTGTTAAGAAATTCGACGGTACGGATTAAATGAAAAGGGCAACGCAGTGCAAAAGACCCGGGTATCACTGTTTCACTACAGCTGAGATATAGAAAGGAAAGACGCATTGCCTGACTATATCGAATTCATTGATCAGACTAGAAGATAGCCATTGCATTGGGCCAGCTGCCCACACCGCCTAGATTACCGCGGACATTAGTATAATGTGCATGGTGTATATCATGCCAAAGACGACATACCAGGAACGTTTGCAGGACTGCTGACGAAGAAGAACTCATAACGTCCATATTTCTTGCATGCTTCAGCCAAAGCCTCGACGTCGAACATTTCTCCAATGGGCGAACCCCACCGAGGAAGGAGATAGGAATGGAGGGTCAAAGCTGGGAAGGGCCATGTCTCGAAGGACGGTTGATCTCCAGCAACGGCCGCAAAATAGTTATCGTGTAGAAAATCGAGCATCTCTTCGCTTTGTTCAACACCGACATACTTGTGCTCGCTCCACTCGCCGGCAACGAGCGCTTCTCGACCAGCCCTGTCAAGGCTCATGTACCTGTCTATGAAACCTGTCCGAGTTATGAAAATGTCACCGTACTTGAATTCCACGCCTTGTTCCTTGGCGCAGGCCAGGATTTCGGAGACCGAGATCTGATGAGACGACATAGGATCGTACGACTTTCCATGCTTCTGGGCGTAGCTCCAATAATCGATGAGAACGCCTCTACCCACTATGTAACATTTCAATTTCGTCTCGATAGGTTAAAAAAAGAAGACGTGGTTTACCTATTCCGGCTTTGGCCCAGGCGCCGACGCCACAACGTGTAGAAGTCGTGACCTCCTCCTTGGTAAGCTATGAACTTGTTAGAGAGAGGATAACACCATGTCGTTGTAGGCACTTGCGTTGTTATAGAATAAGGGTTTATCGTTGTGGATAAGTCCGACCTACTTGTCCATGAGCATATGCGCGGTAGTATGACCTTATTCTTGTCATACATGTCTAAATCCGTCCCACTATTTTTCGTTAGAAACTATGTTTAAATTAAAATTTCAAACCTTGCCTGAGATCCTGATTGCGTATTTAATTCGTACAAGTCATCGTGTCCTGCCACCCCCAGAGGCTTGATCGTGTGTTTGAATGGCTCACGCTTGAAGGTTGGCGGATCCGGGAGTCCATACTGCCAACTGACTATGTATTAGGGACAATCTCATTCATAGTAGAGTTTAATCAGTGTACTCGAGATTGATAGTCTCGCCAGTGGTAATGAGCTTAGCAGCGGCCAGTCTTCGTTCGTTGGTAAGCAAGTTCAATCTCCCGAGCTAGAAATCCAATGTCAGAAGATTAAACGCTTACGTCCCTAAGAAATTAACATACCTCGTCATCATCACCCCAAAACCACGCTACTCCTTTCGGAGCGCCCGGTATGTCGGGTAGCTCCGATCGTTTTGGCAAGCTGTTAGAATTAGGATCGAACTTCATTTGTGCTTAAATCTCAGAAAGTTCGATTATTTTCTCTTCTTTGATTCCTGAAGTAAAAATACTCGACTTTGTTCGTTCTCAATTCACCACCGCATCATCTGTGACCTCGGTCGATGCTCCTTGGTCACTTTTAGTAGGTCTCGAGTGGGGTATTCCCGGTACTGCTCGGCACTTCACAGACACAACTCCGATTAATTGTTTGGAATAGAAGCCGGACAGAGGATGGTCCTTGACCACAGTGCGCTTTACGTGCGCATATCTAACAAGGAATTGCATCCTTGGTCTCTGAGCAGCGACTAGTTTGATCCCAATCTGCCTTGCGATCCCTGCTTTCTCTATAGATAGGCGCTCTAATGTCACAGCCAAGGTGCTAGAATTACACTCTCACGTTCCATGGACTGTCAAACAAGAGCTACAAAATACTTTTAGTAACATTCTGATTCCAGATATGCGGACTTTGGGTACTTCGAGATCCAAGCAGGAGTCGGAGAGCAATGGTGGCTATGCTCATCTCGCCGGTCTCGGACTAGAACTAAAGATCATCTCCCGTCGAGGACAAACTCGTTTGACATCTCCAGGAAAGCTGATGCCTGAAACCCCTTCTAATCTAGCAATGCATTTGATCGAGGGGGAAATGCGCTGTGCGTATTTCAATTAGCAATAATGAGATTTTGGTTTCGTGAACAGACTAGCCACCGGTCTGCGTTTAAAGACATCACAGTTCCTGCGTTCGTCTGTACTGCCAGCGAGTAAATAGGGAGAACGATTGTAAAGAGATTTAGTTCAGAACATGTGCTTGAGCTGTATTGCCAATTGATAAACGTCTCTCGACAAGCGTTAAGGGTTGGAAAGAGCGGATTTAGTCTCAAGACAGATTATGTGCCGAGTGTATGAGTGACTCTTCTCAACTGTTAGTTTCCGAAAACTTTACTTTAGGTCAACATTTTGTTGCATGCTTACTGTGCATGCTGCGCCGGAGTTTTCTAGGAATATGTTCTTCGAATTAACTCGCATGATCAGCCTACTTATCAGCCTTGCTTGCGGGGCCGAGCCGAGATCGGACACCGCAGTGACAATGACGCACTTTTCCAGACATACTGGCGGCTACAAATTTCACAGCCTTTGACTGCCTGCAGCACTACCTCGACAAGAGATTATAAACGGGAACTTGAAATGAAGCAAAGATTCTCTTCGTTAGATGTGAAAGTCATATCTCACGAGCTTAACGTCGCTCTATCGACCCTTCGTGTGTCTAACATCTATGATCTCTCCAGCCGTATTTTCCTCTTCAAATTTGCAAAGCCCGGCCGCAAGGAGCAGCTTGTAGTCGACTCCGGTTTCCGATGTCACCTCACGGACTTCAATCGTAGTACCGCTTCTGCTCCCTCGCACTTCGTGCAGCGACTTCGGAAGTACCTCAAGACGAGACGAGTCACGAAAGTGGCACAAATCGGAACTGATAGGATCATAGAGCTCGAGTTCTCAGATGGATTGTACCGGCTATACCTGGAATTCTATGCGGGTGGCAATATAGTGCTAACTGATGGCGAGGGCACTGTCCTCTCATTGTTGCGTACTGTCACGGAGGGTGCGGAGGATGAAAAGCTAAGAGTAGGGGCAAAATATAACCTCGCCGGCCGGCAGAATATCAATGGCGTTCCAGAACTTACGAAAGAGAGAATCAAGGATGGACTGGAAAGAGCTATTCACAGACAGCAGGCTTTTGCTGAAGAGGATAACGTTGCGCCAAAGAAGGACAAGAAGAAATCGACGAAGGATGTGCTGCGCAAAAGTCTTGCCGTGTCCATTAATGAGTTTCCGCCAATGCTTGTGGATCACGCCATGAAAATTCGCGGATTTGATTCGACCATAAAGCCTGAAGAAGTTCTATCTAGTGAAGAGCAGCTAGACAAACTGCTAGGGGTGCTGCAAGAGGCGCAAAAATTGGTTGCCGAGATTACACGTTCAGATGTGGTGAAGGGGTACATCGTTGCAAAGAAAAATCCGAAGGCAGGAACAGCGGAAGATGAGAAAAGCCCGGCACAGGAGAAAGTTCTATATGAAGACTTTCACCCATTCAAGCCCGCGCAGTTTGAGGATGATCCCCAAGTGTCCTTCCTTGAATTCGAAGGATTCAACAAGACCGTTGATGAATTCTTTTCCTCTATAGAAGGCCAAAAGCTAGAATCGCGACTTCATGAGAGGGAAGAGGCAGCGAGGAAAAGGCTGCAACAAGCGAGATTAGAGCACGAGAAGAGAATAAGCGGGCTTCAACAGGCACAAGAGCTCAATGTACGCAAGGCAGAGGCAATACTTGCAAACATTGAGAGGGTGGAGGAAGCCCAGGCCGCTGTCAATGGACTGATTGCACAGGGCATGGACTGGGTTGACATTTCGCGTCTCATCGAAGCAGAACAACGACGAGGAAATCCAGTTGCAGCTATGATAAAGCTACCACTGAAGCTATACGAGAATACGGTCACCCTGTTACTGGGCGAAGCTGAGGCAGAGATGGAAAACGACTCAGATTATGCCGAGTCGGACACGAACAGCGAGATCTCAATGAGCGACGACGAATCTGACAGTGAGCAGGCTCAAGAGAGGAAGCAAAAACATAAAGAGGGCAAGTACGAACGTCTAGCTATTGATATTGATCTTGCTCTTACTCCTTGGGCAAATGCTTCGCAATACTACGATCAGAAGAAAACGGCTGCTGTAAAAGAAAGCAAGACTGTTCAAGCATCTGCGCAAGCACTGAAGTCAACAGAGCGCAAAATTGCCGCTGATCTGAAGAAAGGATTGGATCAAGAGAAAGAAGTGCTCAGACCCGTACGGAAACAATTCTGGTTTGAGAAGTTCTACTATTTCATCTCGAGTGATGGGTATCTCGTTCTTGGTGGGAGAGATGCTCAGCAGAATGAACTGTTGTACAAACGACATCTGAGAAAGGGCGATGTGTATGTGCATGCGGACTTGCATGGCGCCGCATCAGTCGTAATCAAGAACAATGCCGCAACACCTGATGCACCGATTCCTCCATCTACTCTGTCGCAAGCCGGAACATTTTCCGTAGCTGCGAGTAGTGCCTGGGATTCTAAAGCAGTGATGAGCGCCTACTGGGTCAATGCGGATCAAGTTAGCAAAACTGCACCAACAGGCGAGTACCTAAGTACTGGTGGATTTATGATCCGAGGGAAGAAGAATTACCTCCCCCCAGCACAACTACTTCTTGGCTTTGCTGTGATTTGGCAGATCAGCGAGGAGAGTAAAGCCAATCACCAGAAGCACAGGTTCAGTGAGCAAGAGGTAAAAAGCATGGAGGATAGTATGGCCTCGACAACTATTGGGGATACTGAGATGGTTTCGACAAAAAGGAATGCAGAGAACGCTGATCATGAGACGGATAGCGATGAAGGATTTCCAGACGCAACCATTACTGCAAAAATTGAGAGCGACGACGAGGACTTCCCGGACGCAAAGTTAGAGGGACCTACACATTCTGATTCTGATGATCAGTATAACGAAGAAAATGTGGCACATCATGCAAATCCTCTCCAGCCTAAGGCGTCTTTGAATGTTCAGAGCGATGACGACGACGATGATGAGTCCAGTGAAGTTGATTCGAATCAAGAGGGTCGTTCAGCTCCTCAGCCAAAGGATCACGCTGCGCAAAGACATCTCACAGCTCAAGAACGACAACAGCTAAGAACCGGAAAGACGCTAACAGCTGTTGAGAATGATGCCGCTTCCAACACGTCAAAGTCGACTTCTCAAACGAAGCCGAAAAATTTACCTTTACCCCGAGGAAAACGAGGCAAAATGAAGAAAGCAGCAATGAAATATGCCGATCAAGACGAAGAAGACCGTGAACTTGCTATGCGCATCTTAGGCTCGCGGACGGGACAAGATGCTGCCGCAGAGGCGGCAGCTGCGCGGAGTGCAAAGAAGGAGGAGGAGGAGAGACAAAAGCAGAGGAGAAGAGAGCAACACCTACGTGCACAGGAGGAGGGGAAAGCGGCGGAAGCGAGGAGACTGGCAAAACTCGAAGGTGCAACTTCAGGAGAAGATGACGTAGAGAGAATCGTGGAAGAGTTTGGCATTGACTGCTTTACGGGTCGACCATTGCCAGGCGATGAGATTCTCGCTGCAATACCTGTCTGCGCGCCATGGAGTGCACTTGCGACATATAAGTACAAAGTCAAACTTCAACCAGGTAATATCAAGAAGGGAAAAGCGGTGACGCAGATTTTGGACACCTGGAACAGAGATGGCAAAGACGTCAAGAAGGTTGATCGGGCAAGTCAAGACACTGAGAAGCTGTGGCCAAGAGAGGTAGAACTTATCAAAGGCATGAAGCAAGTTGAAGTTGTGGGTACATTGCCTGTGAAAGGCGTTAGGCTCGTCATCGCAGGAGGGGGTGACAGCAAGGGTGGCGGCAGCGGGTCAAAGAACTCTGGCGGGAAGGGCGGAGCGAAAGCCGGAGGCAAAGGTGGGGGGAAGGGGAAAAATAAAAAATAGCAATTTTGAGTCTTAATCAAGAAGCTCGCGGCAAAGCATTATGCGACAAAGATTTTTGTCCATGTGCAAGTCTCGATCATGCTCATCTCAAGCGGCTGTTGTTCTCTGCTGTGCTCAATAAAGCTAACGCGCATCGACAGATGGAGCTTAGGGTGTTGATGCCAGAGTTTAACTTTTTGTACTGTGGTAATTCAAGCATTGAAAGATTTAGCAGGGGTGCTTGAATAGACCGCTGAACATTGCTCAGATAGAGCACGAATTGATCTGAGGAATGCTTAAAAGATCCATCACTTTTTTCGCCAGATGCTTGGCACAACAGAAAATTTGTTCAACTCCACTGCTGACCTGTCTTGCACGACCATAAATGGGGGAGTATGTCGGCTAACCATAAACTAGTGGTGAGCACACCACACTAAGCGGGGGTTAGTAGCGCCACAAATCTACTATAAAAAGCTGAGGATCTTGGTCAGGTCATCTTAACTCTTGCATCTACAAAAAACTAAGCTATTAAGAAGTTAATAAATACCACTAGTTTAAGGTCAGCCGACCTACACCCTCTAAATGGGTCCTTCTTGTTCTGCTGAGCATAGGCTCCGAGCTAAGAGGACATCCACCATCCCAGAAATGGTATGGAGATGTTGTCTGATCATAGCACAATGATCTGTTGTCCAGATGCGGTGGAGCGAATCGTCGGGGCTGTTGCAAGAGAGACTTTTTACATGTTTGATTCATCTCCAGAAAACTCAGCGTTGAGATTTTTTTTTTTTTTTTGGGATACTGAGCTGATATTGAAAGAACTAATTACATCTGTACATCGAGAGAATCTCATATTTTAGGGCACGGTTTCTAAGACTGGTAATTAGCGCCTTGCTCAGGAACGATGCCTCTGATCAGGTAGTCGTCCATCGCCCTCGCAGTGTCGCCACCGAGCTGATAGCTCGAATGTCCAACACCGTCCCTAATGATCAAGGTAGAACTAGGAAGCTGTAACCTGATGTTATTGGCCCATTCGATCGAGGTGGCGGGATCTTGAAGCGAGTGAACTAATAGCACGGGCGGAAGCTTCGAAACTTTGCTCTGATCCAGAAGGTGATTTGGGTTCGTGACTTTCGCGGGCCAGCGAACGCAAGCAGCCATGAGCATTGAAATGGGTGTAAAGCCAAGGGAGTGCGGCGCCAGCGTAGCAGACATCTGCTCCCTGAGAACAAGATCGACGCTGCTGTTTCCTGTGTTCGTCCAGTCCTGACACGAGATCGCAACGGTGGAAAAGATGCTGTCTGTTTCGCTCGTGGCTATCGGCATGGAAAGCAATGTTGCGTTGCCCTCCGCAGCGAGAGCAATCGCCGCTGAGACGGCCGGCCAGCCGGGGCCGAACAAGGGATTCGCATCAAGCGAATGCATCGATGACTTTGTCATGAATATGATCTCTTCTGCGGTTGCATTCGATCTGCAGGCGCCAGACTGAACGCACCCGGGCGCGGGAATAGGCGTTCTCTCCGCTTCACAAATCAAATCGTCCCATATACCCGCGATATCTTTCCCGTAAAGAGCGCAGTCCTCGGTCGTGTTACACCACTGAAAGAATGTCTCGAGTGTGATCTCAAATGTGTCGGCTGCCTCGGTAATGAATCCAAGTTCGCTAGTCGTGTGGTCCGTAATGCCATCGAGTGCCATGCGACCAACGTTCTCCGGATAGAGTTCGGCATATGTTGTACCAAGGTGACTTCCGTATGATTGGCCAAGATAATTCATCTTGTTCTCACCGATTGCTTGTCGGACAAGCTCAAAGTCTTTTGCAACATGCACGGTGTCTAGATGGTCGAGCAGGGCTCCAGTCTTCTCTTTGCAGCTTGCCCCAAGGGCCTTGTTGTGTGCGATCATGGCTTCGAACTCGGACTCGTTTTGAGGTCTGTATGAAACACGTTGATTCCAAAAAGCTGGATCGCACTGAACTGGCTGGCTCGACCCCGTCCCTCGTGGGTCAATGCCGACGATGTCATAATGTTCAAGAAGGTCTCTACTGAAAAGATATTCGCCCTGTGCAACAGCTAAGATGTCGGCGCTTCCAGGTTGCCCAGGGCCTCCAGGATTATAAAATAAGGTACCTAGTCGAGAAGTGCCATTGGTTTTCAGTCTAGCCATGGCCAATGTCAGTGTATCACCGCTGGGTTTGCTGTAATCGATGGGGACGGTGATCTGGCCGCAGTCCAAATTCGGAGCCGTTATATTGGGACAGTTGGACCATAGAATCTCTTGAAAGGCCCTACGCTCTATTGAAGGTAGTGCATTGGCGCTTGAAGCCAGCAGGTAGGAACATCCCAGAACCCGAAAGGAACGCATCGTTATGGATAAGGTTGTGGTAGAGACGAAGATCGAAAAAGATTGTGCTTGTATGTGTATTCCACATTCCCACAGCTCCGAGGCCAATATATATACCATTCAAAAGACCACTCGTTGAATATCGTACAACGTATTTTAATCTGTGCAGCAACGCTGGACTGTCGGCCTTATACTATCCTTTCCTGTTCAGTATGTTCTGTCGAGCAGACCAATCACCATTAAGGGAAAAAACTCGAGCCAGCCAATCACGGTCTTGCGCACTGGGTAGGCAGTGCAAACTTGTCTGCCTGCCAAGAAGGTATGATAATGGATGATACTCTGCAACGATAGTGCTTACTGCTTGCAAATTTGAGTCAATGCAGAATAACTACCAATCTCACTGCCCATGATGTGATTTTGCGTAGACTGTGGCAGTCCAGTTAACCCCCCCCACTTGCCACATTTTGCCAGGAGAGTCAGGTTGCCTCCCCAGGTCATCCGCTACCTGTGCAAAGCACTCTGGCATCATGCCAAATGAAAAAAGGTCTGGGCCACTCGGGATTAAAGGACATACCTTTGCACACACACAAAAAGCATTTTCAAAGTTGGACTCGATAATGACTTATTAGGCATTCGATCAATGGCAGTGGGAAGAGTCTCTAGCTCATGTCAAAAATGGACTTAGAGATCCGCAAAGTGTTTCCAGAAATCAGATCCATAGCTCAAGTTAAGATGGCCACGCAAATCGTCAATAAATTTTGATCCAACCTTTGAACTTGGTTGCATCCTTACCAACCAACTCTTCCTGCACGTCATAGTCTCTGAACTTTGACAACTTTGTCAAACCGATGCGCATATACGTTTTGCTACTGGGCTCACACTCAATCTTCATGAGAAGCAAGCAAATCAGGTATCTTGATGACCTTTCGACTGTTCTTTCACCGTATGCTACCGGCATGCAAAAAAGCTCTGCATTCGGTTTAAAAACATCAAGATCCGTGACAGGAGCATCCAAATACATGTTGGACAGCTTTCGTTTCTTGTTTCCTTTCAGATTCCAACAGTAAGGTACGCGATGCGGAGGTTGCAATTTCTCCACCTCGATCGAATGTAGATATGTGGGTGTAATCATGAGGAACCCGTATCCGTCCTGAAGCATTCCAAATTGGTTTTTTGGATCGTAAAGGTCGCGGTTGTATTCATCTACCCTAATGAAAAGCTCGTCGTCCTTGTAATCCGTCGCCTCTCCGTATGTAATGCCGCATGGTGCATCAATAGACGCCCAAGAAAACGACGGTGCTCTTCGTGGGACCCGTTTGGCAGAGACTTCAAAATTGCCGTCTCGAAAGACTTCATTGACATGCCAAAGAAGCTGACTTTCCAAAAATGTTCTCCACATTCCCGCAACATATTCGCAATTTGTCCATTGCTGGAAGTGTTTAGCAAGACCCGCGAGAGCTAGGAGTTTGTCGTCAGAGATCGTTAGCAAAGTTTTGGAGTACATTTCTACTACGCGCTTCCATAACTCATACGCGCCTAGATTCTCAATGTGCTTATCGGGATCGTTGAAGCCGTTCAATCTCAATTCACGCAATTTTAGCCCTGTCTCAGGTACTAAGCATTTGATTCTTATGTCTTCAAAGATGTCTCCATGTCGCAAAGTTAAAGGAGGCAATGATTTGGGATAGGCCTCAGCATCTTGAAAAGTAGAGCATTCCCAAGCGATCTGATTACGGCAAAAATGCAATACCCTAGGTGCCATCAGTCGTTCTTGAAGAACCCATGCTCTTCTGTTCACAGGCGCGTCTTCAATGAGACACGCCCAGAAGGTGACGTCAATGATAACACATCTCAATATACAGTCATCTGCAGAATTTGTTTTGCCCCTGGGAAAGCTGAAAATGCTTTCCGTAGCTGACCATTGAATCTCTTTGGACGTGATGAGGTCTGTGACATTGAGGCTGACTTCATCCTCCCATAGTTCTTCAGGGTTTCGTTGATAAAATAGACCTTGGTCTGAATCAATCGCAATGGTAGCAGAAATGTTCAGATATGCATAACGATATATTCGATCCATTTCTCGAGACTGCTCCAGCCAGTCTCTCTCCGATGCTTTATTGTCGGATGTACCATCAGTCGGGCGTTGCTTAATGCATAGAGAATCGATCCATAGGTATTCAACTCCTTCTAAGCGACTTGCGACCAATACCGCATCACGAAATGTCTTTGGCAGTTCCCGGAGTTCGATTCCTGCATCCTTGAATCTCGCTTCATTCTCTTCAGTAAGCTTGAGCTGACCCTTCACGCTATGTGGTTTGCCCCAACAGTGACTCAGCGTTGCATAGCGAACATCATTCTTATTAACGGTAGCATTAGTTCTCGGTTCAATTAACTTAATCCTCTCACGCGCAACATTTGAAATTTGAGATTGGAAAGTCAGAGATCCAATCCGCTGTACTCCATTTATGTTCCGAAGCCGTCGTAGATCAAGTAGCCGCTTCGGTAGCCACCATCCTTCTGCTTGAAACTGGTTCCTTTTTGGTGACATGGACAGGTTTGCACACTGGCATTTCTCGTTGCATTCATTTATCCATCGATTAGCGAGTTCGAAAATTTCGTCTGATAACATATCATTCGATTTTGGAGTCCGCAGCCAACGGTAGCCTTGTAGCACCGCTTTAAGACCAGAGCGATCCATCACTCCCTTTGCATTTTCTGCAGTGCATGAGTTAGCATAAACCTAGATAACACAATCATGACTGATAAAATGCACAGTTGCATTCGTATATCATTGAGTGTTCGGATGAGAATCTTCGAAGCTAGAGTTCGAGACTCACCGGTACTAATCAAAACAAAAGTGCGGATCAAGTTGTGAGGTAACAAGAACTCGAGCCGAAATGCATCATGAGCCGACTTGAGTGTGTCTATTTTTGAAAGACGGGCGTCGATAGATATGTTTTGATCCTGGAGCAAATTCATCTCATTTTGGAGGTCATTGGCGATAGCGGTGCAAATGGAGCATCCAACTTGCTTGGACATTCGCAACGTCTCAGTACGTGAGTGGTGTTGGAAGGTCAAGTCATGAGTACCAGTCCATTTTTGACCTATTCCCCCTCGCAAGAGGCGCGTGCAAATCATACATATCATAATACGAGGCTGGGGTTGAAGGGTGTCTAACGGAGTTGGATCTATGCATTGCTGTGTTCATAGATTTGGCTAGAACTATGCACTCTGCCCCGCAGTATTCAGTTACAGTAACGTGATTCACAAGCTAGTGCGACACCCAAGCTAGTGCGACACATTAGTCGCTGTCGTTGGTGGGATTAACGTCAGCAAAAGGTTCCAGTGTTTAAAGCGTTTGCAAATTGATACAGAACATCGGTGGAGAATCTTGATGTTCAGAATGTATCGGATCACCCGCTCAATTCAGATCCGTGGATGCTCCTGGAGATCAGAGTCCACACGGTCACCAGATTTCGTCCAGCACACATACGCTTCATGAACGTCGAGGCGATCTTGCAATGGGACCCTTGGTCCCTAGAGCGAAAGGATATGCCAACTCAAATCGACCGTTTTGTCTTCCTGCGCGAAGGTAGCGTAGCTGTGCTGATAATCTTGCGGCCCAAAGAAGCAAGGCACGAGCTCTACGTCCTGATGACCGAACAGCCGAGAATGCGGGATGAGGTTTCTCGAAATTCCGGCAGGCATGATGGACGACAACGACGACGTCGTGCTAGCCGCAATGAAAGAGATCAAAGAGGAGACCAAGTTCGAGATCCACCGCGAGGAGCTCATTGACATGACTGCGCTCGCCCTCGGCCAGCGCAAGAGCCGGGACGTGCTGCAGCCGGTGATGTACCCCAGCCCAGCAAACCTGGACGAGCACATATCGCTCCTATTGTGGGAGAAAGAACTCGATCGGAAAGAGATTGAAGACCTGAAGGGCCAATTGACGGGCGTGAAGTCGCAAGATGAGACGATCACGCTTCGACTCTTCCCGTACGAGGTGCTGTGGAAGGAGGGTGCCAGGGACGCGAAGACGTTGGGCGCCTGGGCTCTCTACGAGGGCTTGAACCGCACTGGTCAGATCCAGCGGAAGCTGGATGAGATTCGCATGGGGGAATTCCAAAAGGAACGTGCCAGATGATTGGCGCTTCGTGCTCTGCCTTGTGCGGCCTCTGATGCGGATGATACGTGCTTTTCTTGGTCGGAAGGTGAGGAGGCTGGATAAAGGGTATGTTAACCATCTTTCGCTTCTTACAGGCTCTGACAAGAGCGAGATGTCTTTTTTCGGAGACGCAAGAAGCAATTACGAGTCGACCCTTTTTTGGGGTATTTTCTTAACACTTCACATACATCAACGCGATTCCTGGATTCTTGTTGATACCTGAACACAATTATCCATAGCTGGACTTTGAGTTGGCATGCGCTGCCTGAGTAATGTAAAGGTCACTTGCTTATCACGATAATTTTCATAGTCTATGTTCGATTGAGAAATTCTTATGAGTTTCTTGCGGGCGCTGTCAACCTCGTTCTATTTGGCAAGTACACGTGATCAATATGGATATTGATGATATTCATCCTCCTTGTCTGGCTCGAGACCATTCGCCAACTGCTCCTCGTGCTTCTTGTCAAGATACTCCAGAAGCACTTCTTGGAATTGTTCCTTCCCGCGATATCTTGAAACGTCATCGGCCCAGCTCCTCACTGCAGATGCTAGTCGACCGGGCACGTACGGCTCCTCGCAAATCTCTGTGATAGGATGGAAATACGTTCGGATCGTGAACACAACGCCACCTGTGCGCGGCAGCCTAGTCGCGTGTTAGGAGTGGAATGTAACCTGACAGTGAATGAATACAACAAACCTTCTCAGACTCTGCCTCTCACTCCTAAAGTGATGATGTTCCACAGCTCGATTCTTCTCCGCCGTGTTCCAATTCACGCCAGCTCCGTCCTCGTCACCAATGCTGTAGCTCCACGCGAGGTCATCATCAACTTGGATGAAGTAGTTGTTCCTCAGCATCGGAGACTCGGGTTTGATCCGGCGGAAGAAATTCATCATGCCCTTCTCCAGCTTCTCTTTGAACTGCGGCACGTCTCCCGAAGTATGAATCTCGGAAAGCGGCATTCCGAATTTGTCTTCGAGACGCCAGAAGCCAGCGAGCAGGATGGCACCGGCGAGCAGGTAGTATTGACCATCTTCTTTCTCAATCATGATGGCTAGATCGTCCTGCAGAAACCGCGACGCCATCTGCATCGGATCTTCCTTCAAGGGACGCTCGACTATATTGAAGCTCTCGCCCGTGAAGAGATTATCCATTCCGACCTCGGTTTTTTTGAACATGCTGGGGTATCGTTCAGGGAGGTACTCGCACAACTCCTCGAGCAACTCGATAGCGGCGTCAAAAGCTTCCGGAGCTGTCTTGCAACATCTCTCACCCCGCGCTGCTATCCGCTTCTCCTTGATCTCGTGGAATTTGGGCCATTGGTTGTCAATCTCGATCCACTCGTCCCACTTCATATTGCGCAGGCCCAGAGTGACAAAATACTTTGGCCTGAATGGTCTGTATGGGAGCGGCTTGGTGTCTTGCAGCGACCAGTTAGGGTACGGAGATGCTTTAGGGCGCCTAAAAGATGAAGGGATCCAAACTTGCGTTCCGCATGTCAGTACTATTTTTTTGAGACAAGGAGAATACGTTTCCGTGGTTGCACAAACCTCCAGGCGTTTTCATTGCATATTGGCTAGGGCGGGAAATCTCATGCGAAGCATATTGCGGCTTCTTCTCTGGATCGGGAGTCGGAGGACGGGACTTGGAGGGCAAAGCTTTTCTTCTTAGCGAGCGTACCGCGGCCACAAAGGCCCATACGGACGCGAACACAAAAATACTGCCATAAATGAAAGACTTGGGATTCGACCTTGCATTTTGCGAAAGCTCAGCAGCATAGCTCTGGACATTTTGGACGTGGCCCGCGTGGCAGGCTCTTCGAAAGAACAAATTCAACTGATCCATTTTCTTTCGACAGATCTGGTCTTGACATGGCAAAGATATGAAATGTATTGCGAAGATGAAGGTGAATTAAAGAACAACGCCGAGCCAGCCCTCGCGCCTATCAAGAGGCGTGACATGCGGTCCTTTTGACCAGATTCGTGATTTTGGATGCAGGAATGACGCGCGATAAGGCCTCTCGGATTATGCAGCGCGGGATTCCAGCCACTGAGGTGGGGTGTTGGGGGGATCTTTGGTGATCGGGGTAGGAAACAGTTACCGCTTTAGGCAAGCTAGTTCAACCCTGAGCGATCCGACTTCGAACACCGTACGGACGCACCGTTCGTTGTTCCTCGCCAGCGAACCAAACATGATCCTGAAGCCAATAACTTGGTGGGCATCTGGGGCTGGAGACAGGGTACCATGGACTACCTGTGCAGAGCTTTGCGCTTCAGAAGGCAGTATTCCCCCCAATGCCTGCGCAAACCAGCTGGAATTATGGGGTGATCGGAAACCCAGAGCGTGCGTCCCACGACGCCTGTCCGGCCTGCGTCTAGGAATGGCACACATTTGATCGCTTCCCAGGTTTCAGTATCGAGGATAAAGTCTGGTTCCTGTGCAGATGAGGCGGAGTGCGGAAAGTACGAGTCGACCAAGAACGAGCACTGTCCGATGTCCGTCTAAGAATCTTAGCATTCGAGCTGATTGTGCATCGACGATTGTAACTTACGTATTTGCCCGGGTCTTCCAGATTCTCGTCGTTCATCCCCGATGGCTCAAGATACGCTCCTGGGAAAGATCCAAAGCTTGTTTTTGTCTCGTTGAACTCACCAGGAAGCAGTCCTTTGAAATCGCTGCGAATGAATTTCGCCCTCACCCCTTCTGGCAAGAAGTATGACGATGGAAATCGATACCACTCCTTCCCCAGACAGACTGTATCGCCAGGCTGCGTAACATTGGGTGCGTGCAAAGGTGCATACACCTTAAGTGGAGCTGAGTACGCCGTCAACATGCCGACAATTCTCAAAAGGCCCAAATTAATCGCTAGAACGACTGCGAAGACTACGACGCCGAGTCGTAAAACCAGCGGGATCTTGGAGATCAGATCGTTGGGCCCTGTGCTGCCAAGATAATTAAGTATGACATGCATTGAGACGGCAGCATTCAGGGCGAGAAGAGGATATGCAGGATACATAAACCGCTCTTCCTTGTGCGGCTGAATCGTGAAAATGGCAAGCCAGAGATACAAAGGCGCCGTGACCGTCACTGTTCGCAGTATGCTCTGTCTTGTGGGAGCATGACCTCTTACTAGGTACTGCAGTACCGAGAGCGGCATGGCCATCAGGGCTAAGATGAACCAGATGTTGAAGTTCAACATGAGATTACGAATGTAGAAATGCCATGGCTCAGTGCCGTAGATGTTGGGACCTTTCCCAGAACCACCAAAAACATTGTACAAAACAATGTTCAAAGGTACAATAGCGAGCTTCCTGTAGAACAAGATGTCAGTGGCAGTTTGGAAAGCCTGTTATTCCGTTAGAATCACATGCTTTTACATGAGACGATGGCCAGACCAACCAGAACAAGGATCGACCGAGCTGTTCCATCAACAAATCGCACCAATGTTGACCCGAATTCGCCTGAAATTGCAGCAAAGAAAACATCCTCAGCAACGAATGGGAGAACAAGAGCGGCAGAGAAGGGCCAGCCGAGGGTGGCTCCAATCCCGAACCACATGATGCCTTGTGCTGTGTGCTTGCCTCCTTTCCAATTTAGAAAGGCGGCAGTCCCAAGCATGGTCGTATACATGGCAAAAGTTGATGGCAGATATGCCGTGGACGCATGGAACATGCCTGGAGTAGTGACAGAGATGACCAAGAATATGATGGCGATCCTTGGATTCATGGAGCGAGAGACTACAGAGAAGAGTTTGGTCTGGCACGAAGCGCATACGAGCGCAAATATGGCACGCAAAAAATAGAACTCAAATGGCTTAGTCGAAGAGTCGGGCAAGAGAGTACCGACTGCGATGATGACGGAATGGATGGCAGCGTAGGCCCAGCTACGGATAGCGTAGACAGGCGAGTACTCCCATGTTTGCAAGCCGTACCCATGGTTGAGATAGTGCGACGGTTCCCAGTAGTTGAAGACTTCATCACAGTCCTGGATTGGGGACAGCAGTGCAGCAAAGACGTTCGACACGAGAAAGACGTAGAATGCTAAGCTCGGCCGCAAGTTTCCGGCCTTGTGGGCGGACACGCTCCTGAAACCTGTCAGCTTCCGCGTAGTGCTTTGCGTCATCGTAGCCACTGCAGCCTACTCTCGTTTTGTATCTGACCTTCTCTGATGCGACCGAGAGCCGTAGAACTCGCCCGCCGTCTTCGTTTTCTTAGAAGCCATCTCGCTGTGGGCAGATGGAACGTGTCTGAATCCAACATGCACTATAAAAATGCCAGGCCAGATCCGCGTGCAGGAGGGAAATACGCTAAAACGAATTAGGCTAGTTTCCGCAGCGACCATTGCGTTTAAGGCAGAGATCGTCATCATCAACTTTTTTCGAGCCGCCATGTGTCGCTTCTGTTGGACTTTGTTCTGATCAAAATTGACTATTCGAAAGCGCGTATAGTGGCAATCGAGAAGTAGTGCTGCATCTATAGTCATCGCTAACTCACAAATATCGTCGAACACAAGAGCTTGGAAACAGAGTGAAACTGCCGCTGCCGACTTCTTTGTCTCAATTGTCACGCTGCCTGGTACGTCTACGCTGAGGAGGTTTTTAGATAAACGCTCCACAGTGGTTGGGCTGCCACGACGTCAGATTGCAAAGTATGGAGAGCCACGACTTGAAGCTGGAGGTCGACGACGACCCAGAATTTGACGACAGTGACCTCTACGACACCAACGAGACTGTTAGTGGAGGTGAACCTCAATCTCAACAAAGCACCAAAAATGAAAAGTTATCCAGTCACCCCGAGGCCCTGGATCGGTCTGACATGATGTCACAGTCAGAGCCAATGAACGGTATCCAAGGGGCATCGGAAGCAACGACGAGCAGCATCCGGAACGAGTTAAACATTGCTAAGGTTGAGGAGTCCTCAACTCACCAGTCGGCAATCGACTTCAGCCAAGGAAAGGAGCGCGGCGGGGAATCAAATAATTCAACAGAAGAAGTGGTCATGAGCGATACACACGATTCAGAGCGACCATCGACTGCACTAGGAGATGGCGCCGCGGGTTCCTCAAACACCAATGGACATACCTTGACATTCGACCGAGACTTCATCGAAGCAGCACGTGCGAATCGCGGAGATCCCGAGGCGGAATTTGAAGAGGACTCAGATCCCGAAATCTCAGATGACTCAACAGACAGCGACTCGGATGATTCCAGCAGCGACGACGACAGCAGCGATGACGACGATGACAGCTTGATCCTTGATCCTGCGGAGGCGGCGCGCATGCTCATGCGCGCCTCGTCGCCGGACGAAGGCGGCGCGGGTGGCGGTCCTCCTCGGACGGCGAACGAACAGCAAGAGAAACCGCTTGACATTCCCGTCATCGCGAATATCAACGAGATCGGGCTCGTGGAGCTCGGCCACATCAGCCACAGGATCAACGACGAGAACTGTGCCGTCATCAAGGCGACAGTGCATGCAAATCACAACGTCCTGCAACCAGGCTCTGCACTGTGCCTAGCTGACCGCACACTCATACGGCCCATATCGGACACGATTGCGCAGGTGCAGGAGCCATACTACGTGGTGTACTTTGAGTCGGCGGAGGAGATGGACAGGCTAGGCGTGCAGGACAGCGTCAAGGTCTTCTATTTGGATCACCCGGACCACCGCGCGTTCGTGTTCTACGAGGAGCTTCGCAAGCAGAAGTTCACGGACGCGTCCAACATCAACGACGAAGAGGTCGACGAACGCGAGATCGAATTCTCGGACGACGAGCAGGAGGCTGCTTACAGGAATCGGAAGAAGGAGGAGAAGAAGAAGCAGCAGAAGCAGCAACAGCGGAAGAACGCGGAGGACGGTGGCCAGAGCGTACCTTCGGACCAGGCCTCGCAGCACTCGGCGCACAGAGGTCGTGGCGGCGGCGGCCCTAAAAGTGGCCGCGGACGTGGTCCACGCGGTCGAGGCCGTGGCGGAAGGGGAGGCTGGCAGGACTACGACTCCAGCGGCGCCCCCCAGCAAGGGTATGCTCCTCTACCGGCAACGCAGCCAAGCGGAGCTCTCGACTACGGCGACGACGGAAGCGACGGGTACTACCGCAAGCTGCGCCGACCGAACGACTACGGCACGTGGCAGAACACCCCGCAGCCGCAGCCGCAGCCTCAGTCAGAGCCTCAGGCGCCGGTCTCGTACGGCGGCGCGTACAACGCCCCCCCCCAGCAAGGCGGCTTCCCCAGCTACGGGCCCCAGACCCCGAGCCAGCCGTATCAGCCTGCCGTCGGCAGCTGGGCGACGGGCGGAGCGGCCCCGCTCCCTCCGCACCTGCAGTCCTTCCTGTCGAGCATAGTGTCCACGCAGAGCAACCACGGACCCGGAGTGGGCGGCCAAGCCAACGCCGCCAGCTTCACCGCGCCACCACCACCACCACCGCCGCCGCCACAGAGCGGCCTCGCCACTCAGCCCGGAGCGTACCAGGGCCTGCCGTACGCCGGATATCCGGCGGGACCCGGCAGCAGCGGCGCGGGAGCCGGCGCCCCGCCCGCGCAGCCCTTCGGCTTCGGCAACCCCTACTTCAGCTTCCCGGGCGCGCAGCCGGCCCCGTTCGGCGGCCACGGGTCTCAGGGCGGGCGCGGAAACGGCAACGGCGCGTAGGCGCGTGGGCGCGCGCTGGCTTGATTGTACGCACATTTATACGTATACACGTACACGTTCACTCACATACCATGTACACACTGGCACGGTCAAACCCGTGCATTCGTAGCAAGGAGACTACGTTTCGCGGCGAACGCGGCATGGCCGGAAGGAAGGCCGTCCAGACGGCCATCCTGAATTCAAACATAGACATGGTCGTACTTTGTTGGCCCTTTTGGTATACTTGCGTACGGTTCATTTTTGTTTTCTAATTTTTATGCTTGTTGTATTTCTACCTTCTTACGTCGGCGTCGGCGAGGCGCCGGATGTGCTTTGCAGAACGCGAGAGCACGATGGCGGCCTTTGTACCACGGATGCGCAAGCTAGGCGTGCTTCAGACCCTCGCTGCGCATGCAGCAATGCGCCGCTTGGATCGTGGGCACCGCGCTGAGCGTACCGCGAGGCCGCATCGAAGGCTTTTCCACCGCCTCGAAAGGACTGTAGATGGCCGTGGCACTCTTCACACGCGTGCACTCGTGCGCCGTGGGGTTTCTATGTAGCCGGGGCGGTGGGCTAGGGCAGCAGCGATCTGTACCAGGGAAGGGGTCACATCCGCCGATCTTCCAGCACGGCGGGAGCGCACGCGAGCGAGACGTGCGCCGCCTGCAATGGCTCTACTGCTGGATAGTTGTAGGGAGAGCGGGCAGTAGTACTGGCGGACGTGTCGAGGACGGTCGGTGCAAAACGTGACGATCGCGATCCAGAGCGAAGCTTGCTGCAACTGAAACTCGTACGTCTTCCACGACTGGAGCAAAACGCGCTCGTCACTCTTGTTGCTCGTCGTCATCATCCGTCAGCATCAACGTCTGCTCCATCCGCCGTTCGCCCAGCTGTAGTCGCCGCCATCCTCATCCGTTCCGTCGCACAATCGATGACGAGCAGTTTACGAACACACTTGGGCACGATCTGCACGAGTAGTCAGCAAGACGTCACGGGCGACAGGCTATTGGTTCTATCTTCTCTCTTTGACGTGGAGTGTGGGGGGGGGGGGGGTGGCCTCCCCACCGCGAGCTAAGGGCAATTGGCGGTCCTCCCTCCGTCCCAAGGTGCGGCAGTTTGCATCGAGTGTGCTTCGCCACGCCTTCGCTCCGTCTCGGGCATCGTCTGGAGCCGAACCGGACATAAGGAAGATGGGAGGAATTCCCAGCGCGGAAAACGGCCTTTTGGTCAAAGAGGGTGGCACAAGAGATCGAATTCCACTACTGGCGGGTTAACTTTGCGGTTGCGTGCAGGCTTTGCGGCATCGGCAGGCAAGGCACGGTAGGACAGCAGACGCAAAGATGCCACCGCGGGTCTTGGACGTCTGGCCAAAGGGGAGTTTCGCCTCGAATCCAATATGGGTGTTTCCATCCTTTTTTCTGTTTCGGTTCTGGTTTTTTTTTCTCCTCATTTCTATTGTTGTCGTTTTCCCTCATTTTGTGTGCCCCTTCCGGCGGCCAGCGCGGTCGAGCGCGTCTCCCGCGCAGCGTGATATTGAAGGGGCAGTGCATGCAGAGCATGTTGTCGCAGACGGCTGCTAGGTGGGCGACGCAGAATGGGTTTCTAAGCAGCGTCGCTTGAACGCGGCAAGAGAGGAGAAGAGGGAGGGGGGTTGGTGGTGGGGGGGGGGGGCACCTGGTAGAGGAGGACGGCCCAAAGGATGCAAGACTCTTTGATCAGCGCAAAACAAGGTCGAGGGCGCGAGGGCGGGCAGAAACGCCCTGGGCGAGCTTGCGTGCGTTTTGCGTTTTGCGTTTTGCGTGGACGCGTGTGCGTGGATGCTGTTGTTCAGGTGAAGCGTGGGTGCTGGGGCGGGCGAGTGCGTGTCACGACTGAGCGTGTTATGTGAGCGAGTATGTGAATATTCTCCTACAGCCGACCTCTGCCATGGGCGGTGGGCCGAAGAGCTCGAAGCACGCAGACTGTGTGCGCGCGCGTGTGTGTACGTGCTGGACGTGTGTGTATCGTACGCGGGGCGTGTGTTGCGAGTGTGGTGAGTGTGTGGTGAGTGTGTGGTGAGTGTGTGTGTGTGTGTGTGTGTGTGTGGTGCGACGGCGAGTACGCGGTCACTGTCGCCGCCGTGCGTCCCCGGCGGCATGTAGAGGGCGACGTGCCCGTCGTCGTGCCGCCATCTTACACGTATATACACATACATTCATGCATGCATGAGTGCTCCGTCCATGCGGATGCCCACGAACAACGGCTGCGTCTGTGCAGTCCGTGTGCGCCGCAAGGTGAAGCTGCATGTGAATGCGCGCTCTGGGCCTTGGGCCGTCGCTGCGGTCGACGCCGTAGCACAGGCAGCGCCGGCGTTGCTCTGCGCAGGACGCCGCGCGTGGATGCGAGGGCGCCCGTCTGCGTCTGAACGCACAAGGACGTGGACGCGGGAGCATGTGCGACAGCGCCGGCAAGGTGTTTGTCCCCAGGCCAGCGCCGCTGCTCGCATTCCGCCCGCCCTGGCCGCTCCCGCGCTGCTCGCAAACCTCCACCGCACACGCTCCCGCTCGCAAAACACTCGCCCAACCCCAAGCGCTACACGTCAACGCAGCCTCCTCCAACCTCATCCGCCTTCGCATCAGCCCGCTGCTTCCGCCTCCTCCCTCTCCAACTCGTCCGTGTGGATCGTCTGTCCATCGCCTGCTTTCCCGCCGTCAACCATGTCCTGACCGCCGTCGTGTCCACACTCGCCTCGTACACCCTCCACTCCCCCTCCCCGCCCACGGCCAGAGACGGACATCCATCACAGCCACCCACACGCACCCAACGCCCACCTCCTCGATCACCGCCCACCGCCGCCCGTCCGTTCGACGTCCTGATCGCGACGCCCGTCCACTCCGGAGACGCGCGCCCGACACATGGCTTAGCCAGCGAATCTCACCCCGACTCCGACCCTGACCAGCATGACCAGACGAGACCTCGTCGCGGAGCGCCATGGATCCACGGCGAGCTCGGGCGCCGACAGCTTCAAGAGCACCGACACCGTCAGGAACATCTTTCACTCCGGAGCCTCGCAGCGGCGAAGAGGCACCCCCGTCAACGTCGACACCGCTCCCAACGAGAGGTACGTCCATGTGTGCGCCGCCAGCTCGACCTCGTCCACCACCACCACCCTCCTCGTGCGCCTCGGCCATTGTATCTTGCGGATCTGATGCCTCCGTGAATCAGCGGACGGATGCTTCCGGGTTGGCCAACTGTCCCCCGTTTTGCCTGACGTCTTCTTCTGCCGTGACGCGGAGCCGTTGAGGGCCGAGAAGCAAGATACGTGGTAGCCATCGGCTCGACGAGTAGCTGATTTCGTCCTTCATATGTTTGTTCTCGCCTTTAGTCCGCTCGCTGACCGTCACTTCGCAGAGCCGCGTCCGACAAGGACGCTGACCTGTCGCCCAGCTCCGCTGCTCCTCACGGCGCTGGTGCGATCGCCGGCTCGCACCGCGCCAACTCGCTTGCACGCATCCCTTCGGCTATTGCACCGTGGGAGAGCGATGCACCGGCCGGAAACCGTGGCGGCGTGGGCAACCACCGCAAGGAACTGGGGGTGCTCGACACGCCGGGCAGCAGCCGCGCCGGCAGCAGCCAGCGCATCCCGACCATCAGTCGCCAGCCTCCGACCGCCTCGACGCCCGTCAGCAACCCCTGGAGCCAGCCGAATAACGGCTCCAGCGGCGTCTCCATGCCGTCGAGCATCTTCGGCAGCTTCTACAACGATTCGAGCGAGGACCTCAACCAGCTCAGCCCGGGCTTGCGGCCGGGCAGCTCGCAGGAGGACATGAGCGCGTTCCCGGGCGACGACCGCCGGCCGTCCATCGCCAGCGCAACCACCGTCAGCAGCAGCAACTCCAAGTCGAGTGTCGGCCGTCAGTTCCAGAAGAAGCTTCATGGCTTCTTCGGCGACGATTTTCCCGGCCTCGAGAACGTCAACAAAGGCGCAGAGTCAAGCCCGTCCGGCGCCGCCACGCCGGGCATCACCGGCGCCGCCTCCCTCTTCGCCCAGAAAGCGCGCAACCGCAAGAACTCGGCCCAAAACAGCAACGCTCTAGACGTCAGCAGGCCCATCTCGCCCACGGGCTTCTCGAGGCCGCAGACGCCTTCGCACACAAGCGAGGTCACGCCTTGGGAGTTCCAAGATGTGAGAGGAGGCAAAAAGGTACTTTTTTTTTTTTTTTAAATCTGGTTTTCTTCTGTGTGCTTTTCACGTTCTTCCTTGGGGATTTTTCTCACTCTTGCCGCCTTTTTATTTCACAAGCGGTTATCCCCCACTCTTCCACTCGATTTGCTTTCGTGTATCATTTAGCCCTTTTTTTTTCCCCCTTACCCAGACCCCACCTTTTCATGTCCGGTTCGCAACGAAGAACTAAGGGCCTTGGGCTACCACGCAACCCGTGCAGACATCTGGGAGCGTGGCTCTTGCACGTCACACAAGAGTGGGAAGGGACCTCAGGTCCCCTTCCTACACCCTTCCGTCGCTCTTTACATGGCATTGTGCCTTGACGCTTGCCCAGTCGCTGCTCGTGTTGCGTGTTGGCGAGATGACACATTTCAGCCCTCCCACTTTCTCGTACGTCTCATAGTCAAGTCGCTTTGCTAATCGGCAATTCTCTGTCGACAGGAGCTCCCCGGCCCTTCGAACGAATCGTCATCATCGACGCCACGATCGCGAGGCAATCATCACCACCATCACCGTCTGCACCTTCCGGGCCACCGACACACGCGAAGCAAGGAGGAGCCCAAGACGCAGGACTTCTCCACTGACGTCCCGCTTCGCCCCGTCGTCAGCCGCGAGGAGAGTGGCTCCTCGGCCCGCCGAAATGACTTCACCTCTGCCTTCCCCTCCGCGATGAGCTCCATCTCCAACCTGTCCATCTCCAACCGACCGACGAGCCCGAGTCCTAGTACGACGAGCGCTATGAGCCAAAAGTCGCCGCAGTTTCCCCAGAGCGCTGGCGCCGGGGCCGGTGGCGGCAAGAGAAGCCTGCTCGACAAATTTCGAAGCCGGCACAAATCCGAAAAGGGCACCGGCGGCACGACGACGCCCACCTCGGACGCGCAGTCAGGCGTGGGCGTTGGAGCAAGCCTGAGGGACCAGCTAGGCTCGAACGTCAGCCTGCAGCAGCCCAAGTACAAGCCCGGCAAGCTTGAGCTGCCCGTTCAAAACGGCAAGAGAAAAGGCAGCGAGAGTGCCGGCACAACAAAGAAGGGCAGCATCATTCCGGGAGACCGGCTGACGGGTGGCAAGCATGCCAGGCTGCCGTTTATCAGCGCCAAGAAGGAGAGCGTTTCGCAGCCGTCGGGACCGCCGGGCAGGGACCCCAACGAGGTCGGCGGCAGCAGCGAGGAGAGCGGCGCCCTGTGGAACCTGGACACGGACCTCACATCGATGGAGGGCATCATCTCGACGCAGCGGCCGCCAATGACGCCTCCGGGAGGTGGCGTCATTGGCGACATCTACACCGGATGGGGCCAGGCCAAGGACAAGCAGCAAGATGACGGGAAGAATGACCACGACGCTGACACGGGCACCTGGGACGCCCCAGACTCGTGGGCGGTGAAAAAGGTAGCCGATGAGAATCTGAGCCGCATGAAGGAGCTCGACGAAAACGGCCAGCCTGTCAGCGAGGAGAACGTGGGCCCGCCGTATTGCGTGCGCATCTTCCGCGCCGACTCCACGTTCGCCGTCCTCTCCGTCGGCCTGAACACGACGGTGCAGGAGATCATCGGCCTGATCGGCAAGAAGACCTTTCTCCAGGACGATCTGGAGAACTACCAGATCGTCATGCGCAAGCACGACACGTCACGTCAACTCGGCCCCAACGAGCGCCCGCTCGTCCTGCAGAAGCGTCTGCTCGAGCAGGCCGGCTACCAGGAAAGCGATCGCATCGAGGACGTCGGACGTGAGGACAACAGTTACCTGTGCCGCTTTACGTTCCTGCCCTCTAAGATGACGGGCTACTCGTCGCTCGACCGCGACCCTGGTTTCAGCAAGCTGCAGAAGTTTTCCCACATCGATTTGCAGGGTCGCAACCTCATCACCATTCCCATCACGCTGTACCAGAAGGCGACAGAGATCATCTCGCTCAACCTGTCGCGCAACCTGTCTCTGGACGTGCCAAAGGACTTCATCCAGGCATGCACGAACTTGCGCGAGATCAAGTACACCAGCAACGAGGCGTGGCGCCTGCCGCCCAGCCTGAGCCTGGCCAGCCGACTCACCATGCTTGACGTGTCCAACAACCGGCTCGAGCAGCTCGAGCACGCGGAACTGCACAAGCTGCAGAGCCTGATCAGCCTGCGCCTAGCGAACAACAAGATCCAGTCGCTGCCGCGCAACTTCGGCCAGTACAAGGCTCTGCGGAGTCTGAATCTGTCCTCGAACATGCTCAGCAGCTTCCCGGACTACATGTGCGAGCTCGAGACTCTGGTCGACCTTGACATCAGCTTCAACGCCATTTCCGAGCTGCCGCAGATCGGGAAGCTGAAGAGCCTGGAGCGCCTGTGGGCCACCAACAACAAGCTGTCCGGCCCCTTCCCGTCGTCGGCCGCCAGCCTGTCGAACCTGAGGGAACTGGACGTGCGTTTCAACGCAATCGACAACATCGACATTCTCTCGCAGCTCCCCAAGCTCGAGTACCTCATGGTGGGCAACAACAACATCACCAGTTTCGAAGGCACGTTCAGCAAGATTCGCGTCTTTCACCTGAACAACAACCCCGTCACGCGCTTTGGGTTTGCGACGCCGGTGCCGACCCTTTCAAATCTTAACATTGAGCGCGCAAAGCTGGCCGCCCTGCCCGACGACCTGTTCGTCAAGATGCCAAACCTCACGAGGCTCACGCTGGACAAGAACCACTTCGTCAGCCTGAGCCCACAGATCGGCAAGCTGACAAAGCTGGAGTACTTCAGCATGGCGCAAAACATGCTGTCGAGCCTGCCTCCAGAGATTGGGCGGCTGACGGAGCTGCGCTACTTGGACCTGAGGGAAAACAATTTGAGCAGCATGCCCAGCCAGATCTGGTTCGCGAGGAAGCTCGAGACGCTCAACCTCTCGTCCAACGTGCTGAGCACGTTCCCTAAGCCAGGCGCGCCGATGCCCGCACTGCCGGAGAGCCAGCAGGGCACCCCAACGAGCACCCCGGGTCCGGCAGGGCCCCCTTTTGAAGGAGACGAGCTCGGCAGGCTCGAGGACTTCAACGCGAGGAGACCTAGCCATGCGAGCGCCACGAGCGGCGGCTACCTGAGCGCCAGTCCGAGCAACGGCTCGCGGAAGGGCTCCGTCAGCTCTTCGTACTCGCCGGCGACGAGCATCGTCGCAAACGGACGGCGACCAAGTGCGGCGACGACGGCCAAGGGCTCCGACGGCACCATCACACCCGTCTCGCGCAAGGATTCCAGCCTGAGCAGCCGCATGCTAACGACCTTTGCCGGATCGCTCACAAAACTGTATCTTGCGGACAACCGGCTGCAGGACGAAGTGTTCGACGAACTCGCACTGCTACCGGAGCTGAGGATCTTGAACCTTAGCTACAACCTGCTGTACGACATCCCGCCGCGCACGCTGCGGAGGTGGACCCAGCTCACCGAGCTGTATCTGTCCGGGAACGACTTCACAGCGTTGCCTGCCGAGGATCTCGAGGATGTGAGCGGCCTGCGGGTGCTCATGATCAACAACAACAAGTTCCAGGTGCTTCCCGCCGAACTAGCCAAGGTTCAGAAGCTGTCCGTCATGGACGTGGGCAGCAACATGCTCAAGTACAACGTTTCCAACTGGCCCTACGACTGGAACTGGAACTGGAACCACAATCTCAAATTCCTCAACATGTCCGGCAACAAGAGGCTCGAGATCAAACCGAGTGGTAACTACCAGCGTGGCCAAAAAGACCTCACCGATTTTACAAGCCTTCAAAAGCTCAGGGTTCTCGGTCTCATGGACGTGACGCTCATGGTGCAGAGCTGGCCAGACCAGACCGAAGACAGACGCGTGCGCACATCAGGCTCGACGGTTGGCCCGATGGCGTACGGCATGGCAGACTATCTCGGCCGCAACGACCATCTGTCCACGATCGACATGGTCGTCGATCGTTTTCGCAGCCACGACGACGAAGTCATCCTCGGCATGTTCGACGGTCAGCCGATCCCCACGGGAGGGTCGAAGATTGCCAAGTATCTGTACGAGAACTTCAAGAACAAGTTCCTTGGCGAGCTCGAGAAATTGAGGCCCGAGGAGACGCCGAGCGACGCCATGAGGCGAACCTATCTCGCGCTCAACAAGGACATTGCCGTCGCGGTCCAGGCCGCCGACGAGGCGCGCAACACGGGCCACAGAGGCTCGATTGCCGGTCTCGAGCTGGGCGTGGACGACCTACATTCGGGATGCGTGGCCACGGTCCTGTACCTCAAGGAGATGGAGCTGTACGTCTCCAACGTCGGCGACGCGACGGCGCTCCTGATCCAGTCCGAGGGCGGCCACCGGGTCATCACGCGCAAGCACGACCCGGCCGATCCGGCCGAGCGGCAGCGCATACGCGACGCCGGCGCATTCGTGTCGAGGCACGGCAAACTCAACGACGTGCTCGAAGTTTCGAGAGCGTTTGGCTACATTCACATGGCACCTGCCGTCATCGCCGCCCCACACGTGAGCCAGATCACGATTCGGGAATCGGACGAGATGGTCTTGATCGCGTCGAGGGAGCTGTGGAAGTTTCTCTCGCGCGACTTCGTCGTCGACATGGCTCGCTCGGAGCGGGGCGACCTCATGCGTGCCGCCCAAAAGATCCGTGACTTGGCCATTGCGTTTGGCGCGTCCGACAAGCTGATGGTCATGATCCTCGGCGTCAGCGATCTGAGAAGGAGGGAGCGTGCCAGATACAGGACGCACAGCATGAGCATGGGACCTTCTGGCGAGGTCAACGACTTCTTCACCACGAATCGCAAGCGTAGAGGCAGGGAGCAGGTCGGAGATTCGAAATTGGCGCGGCTCGATCAAGAGGTCGAGGCACCGACGGGCGAAGTCACCCTCGTGTTTACCGACATCAAGAGCTCCACCCTGCTGTGGGAGACTTATCCCATCGCCATGCGCTCGGCCATCAAGATGCACAACGACCTCATGAGACGGCACCTTCGAATCATTGGTGGCTACGAGGTCAAGACGGAAGGCGACGCCTTCATGGTCGCGTTCCCGACGGTGACGAGCGCGCTTCTGTGGTGCTTCACCATCCAGATGCAGCTACTAGAAGTGGCCTGGCCGCAGGAGATCCTCAACAGCGTCACCGGTCAGGAGGTCTGCGACGCCGACGGCAACGTCATCTTCAAGGGCTTGTCTGTACGGATGGGCATCCATTGGGGCACCCCCGTGTCGGAAGTCGACCCGGTCACCAAGCGCATGGATTACTTCGGCCCGATGGTCAATCGCGCCAGCAGAATCTCGTCCGTGGCCGACGGTGGGCAGATCACCGTCTCGTCGGACTTTATTGCTGAAGTTCAGCGCCTGCTCGAGACACACATGGAGTCCGACCGCACCCCAAGTACAGGTTCGGACGATGCCATGGAGCAAGACGTCATTTCTCAGGCAATCCGACGCGAGCTGCGAGCACTCATGTCGCAGGGGTTTGAGGTCAAAGATTTGGGCGAGCGTCGCCTCAAGGGCCTGGAAAATCCAGAATACATCTACCTCATGTATCCCCACGCTCTGGCATCGCGTATGACGGTGCAGCAACAACACGCTGAAGCGCAGGCGGCCCTCCAGCAGACTGGTGTCACGCAAGTGCGAGAATCACAACTCACCATCGATCTGGACAACGTGTGGGACCTTTGGAACGTGAGCCTGAGGCTTGAAATGCTTTGTTCGACACTGGAGTGCCCTGGCAGCACAAGTTTGAAACCGCCAGAGACGGCTCTCTTGGAGCGTATGAAAGAAAGGGGTGGGGAGGTGACGGACCGGTTCCTGATAAACTTTGTCGAGCATCAAGTTTCGAGAATCGAGGTAAGCTTGCTCACACAAGGATTTTTCCTTTTAACTTCTTTTCTTTTCCCCCAACTCGAACCAATCTACAAGACTGAGACTGTTGACCTCGACGAAAATTGACGACAAGGCTAACTTGCGAGTGCAGTCATGTATCACCACCCTTGCTCTGCGAAACATGGTGCGTCCCTTCAAGTACGGCATGTTGAGCCAGGCGTGCCCTATGGACGAGGTGCTTGGTGCTCTCGCCGATCAACTGAACGAGCTAAAGATTCTCAAGGAGAGTGTGGGCTTTGAAATGTCTCCTTCGTGATACATCAACCTTGTTTTTGGGACGGGAAGGACCTGTTTGGTTTTTTTTTTTTTAAAAAAAAAAAAAAAAATATGGTACCGCTTCAAGGCGGCCCCCGAAGCGGGCGCACGTGGCATATGATATTCCACCTGCCCAGCAGTCGCTTACCGTGCGATTACATCGACACCCTGCCTATCTAAGATACTTTGACGCCTTTTTGTATACATCTGTTGAAAGAGCCCGGGCATGACATGCAGAGAACTCCTGTGGGACCTGGGAAAAAAGTCCCTACGTGCTGATGATTGCGATCACGACCTCCTTTCTATTGTGGCGTTCCTGTTACGAAACCCCTCCCCATTTGTCAAGCGCGTGTGAGCGCGTGCATCTTGGTACCTTCACTTGGCAGAGAAGGAATTGGAAAGATACCTATTGTTTTATTAAAGGTAGCCACGGCATTGTATCGTGCTGCATGTGTATGTGTGTGTGCATAACACCTTTGGATGGCTCGGTCTTAGCTACACGTATAAACCTACACGTCGCTTTTGACGCCAGCAGAATCAAGATCACGTATATATATCTTTTTTCGACGCATGCGTTCCATTTCTTCTCCTACCTGTCCTTTGCATCCTTTGATATGCCTCTCAAGGGCGACGTCAGGCTCGAATCGTTCTGTGGCCTTCTTCCATGATAGCAGCTGCGAGGGCTTTGGAGTCTAACGAATTTGCCGTATGTGCTTAAGGCCTTGCTTTTTTTTGGCTTGCATCTTAGAAGGAAGGGAAGGGGGGGGGGGGGGGGGGAAGGACAGAAAGAAGTAAATTATCCGAGACGACAAAGACCTCGGAAAAGAAGGTTGGCTTGGTCTGCTGGAAACGGGGAGTAAGGGGAGAAAGGGGCTTTATGGCACTTTTTTTTGGGGGCACAAAATAGGTTTTTCTTGCCCTTATCGCGTTTATTCTATTTCTAGGGGCTAGGTGTATCTAGAGGACGTTCTTCTTCTTCTTCTTCTTCTTCTTCTTCTTCTTCTTCCTTTTGCCTTCGTCTGAACTTTCTTTCCTTCTTTGTCCGCTTCCCTGAAGGAGCACAAGAGATCTGGCAAAGTCGCATCCCGTTCCTCTCTCGACGGCACATTTTATCAGGTATATACCTGAACGCTTGGACTCTGGAAGGTCGAGCGCGGAAATAAGCTCGTCTGACGAGTTTTGTTTGGGCGGCGGCGCGGAAAGAAAGAGAAGGGACAAGGAGAAAAGTCGAGTTGAAATAAGAAGATTTAACAAGGGAAAAAGGAAAAAGGAAAAAAAAAAAAAAAAAAAAAAAAATAAAGATTAGACCAATGCCTTTCCTGCGGCCCGTCAACCTGCCGACGCCGCTCATCGTTCAGTCGGTCGTCCTGACGAGCGCGGCCGTGTACACGGCGTTCGCCCGGAGGCCGCTGGTGCGGGACCGCAAGCGCGGGTACACGCTGCTGGTGCCAGACGGCGCGGCGCCGCGCACGGCGGACACCATCTCCGCCTTCGGGGTGGCGTCGGCGGGCCTGCAGGCCTTCTACCTCGTCGCGTCGTACATGCCGCTGGAGCAGAACCAGTTCGTGCACGCCAGCGTGCCGGTGCGGCTCGCGCTGGCGGCGCTGATGCTGGCCATCTGCGCCGCGCGCTGGGACCGCATGAGCGCCGCCGGCCGCGTCGACTTCGTCTGCCTCGCCCTCTTCGACGCCGCCGCCGCCACCGCGCTCGGCCTCCACCTCGGCAGGTTCGACGGCATGGTCTCCGGCGCCGAGAGCTGGCTTTGAGTAACGTCCGTCTATCGGCCGGTTCGCGGCCTTTTTTTTTTTTTTTGAGTCCTTTGCCGGAAAAGGGGAGACCTGTGAGGAAAGAGAGAGTGAAGAATATACATATATATGTATATGTATATTTGTATATCATCCCGGTGCGCGGTCGGCGCAGAGACGTTGGATCTTTTTGGTACTTCGCGGTCCACGTGCGGTTTTGAGCAACGTCGAGAATGGATGGGGATGTTGAATGCTATTCATATTCTTTAGGGTTTTTTTTTTCTTGCTTCCCACGGGTGTGTTCTTTGGAGATAACATCAGGACCTGCTTCATCCCTTTCTGCCCCCCCTTTTTGGGTCATTTCCATTCTGCTCCTCGACTCCAAGACGCAAAGGTTTGGGGCAGTGCGAATAGCTTTATTTAGGCACCTATGTCGATCGGTGACGAACGGCGACTTCCATCTCTTTTTTCTTCCTTTTAAACTCGAGCCTGATTCTGCGTCCAAGACAAACCCCGCCACCTGGAGAGCCTGCTCGACTTCGACTTGCTGGAGGCGGTGCAACATCGAATCGACTGGCTCGCGAAGAGTCAGCCAAGCTGCGGATACGATCAACCAAGAATGATCACGACCCAGGAAAAACACCTTTTTTGGGGGCGACCATGGTTGTTTCTTGGGGAGAAGAGGGCATGTCAGCGGACGCGCACTCTACTCTTCGTTGCCTTCGGCTGGTCTCAACTCATCCTCGACGTATATTTCTCACCATGATCGCTATTTCGCCATCAGTCTGCCCTCCCATCCCGCTCTCCCTGACATGTGGAAGATAACCATGTCGAATATACGCTACTTCAGCATTCATCGTGCACCGACACCGTTTTCGCGCCTGCGGATTCCGTGGCTCTCCGTCGCTCTGCTCGGGCTATCGCTAAGTTGCATTGTCGCGGCGGCTTTGACTATTCGCTTGCTTCACAATAGGTCGACGTCTCACTGGTACTCTTCTCCCGCCGTCGTGCTCGCCGTGATAGCCTCCGTGTTCAACGTTGCCACCGGCACCCTCGTCTCGATTGGGGTCGCAACGCTGTGGTGGCGAGCAGCCTCCCGCGGGACGACGTTTCGAAGCCTGCATCTCATCTGGGACCGTGGATTAGGCCTCGGCTTCTTCTCTGCCCTGGCGAGCGACGGAAATACACGGCGAACCACGATCGCGGCCGCGATCGTGGCCATCGCGCGCTTCGCTGCCGGCCCACTTCTGCAGCAAGCCGTGGGACAAGCTTTTGTGCAAATCGTCCAGCCGTTGCCAATGAAGGTCTTCTTCAGCGAGAACTTTGTGCCCGACCGCGATCCCGTTGGGGTAGTCAGAATCGGCGACGTGCTCAGGCCTGTCATTAACTACAATGCCGCCGCTTACTTACGGCTCTTTGAACAGAACGATCTCGAAGTCTTCTTCAACGGCGTTGGTGCTGAGTCTGGCTTCCTCGAGGACTGCCCGGAGACGAGCACGGATACGTGTGGAGGTTACGCCTGCCCAAGGAATAGCACGTGCATCGTCAAAGCCAAAGGGCTGTCCATCTCGGCCAACTGCTCAAGCACCACGGAGACGTTCAAGTTGGACGATCCGCAGAGCCAAGGCAAAGTCGTATTCGGTCTAGACATGGCGTTGCTTACCTCGCCTATCGACATTGATGACACCTATCTCCGCCTCTCCACCGCCTATAACAACTACACGTCTAGAGATTGCGTTGGACATATGGTCTACGAGGACTGTGACATTCGAGGCGCGTGGGCACAGTACGAGATGGAGATGACGTGGTCAAACATATCTTTAGTGCAGGTCTCGAACACGGGCGCCTTGGATTATCCACTCGACAGCTTGCGGATCGAGAACAAGACCGAGGGCGAGGTATACCCTGCGGGTCCGCTGATGACGTTGATTGCCGTCTTCAGCGAGTATTATTCCGGCCAAGCTACGTTGCTCGAGCCCAAGGTGGTCAACGGCACGATGCAGGCAATGCGCTTCTGGGACATATCAAAAGCCGAGGACTCCAGCATCTGCGCAAACACGTATCGCCGACCTGCGCCGACCGTCATCACGAAAATGAGACAGTACCTGTTCATCAGCCTTCAAGTAGGCGGTCAGCAAGCCCAGATATCTCAAGACGTGGTCGCAGAGGAGCATCGCCCGGTCATCGTCCACCGTCTCGAGCGCGACTTCTTCATCGCCGCCTTGTGCACCATGGCTGCCGGGATCCTCGCCATCGTCGGTCTTCATTGGAAATTCTGGGAGCTGGATCGAGCGGTGTCTCTCAGCCCTGTGGAAACGGCAAAAGCGTTGGATGCCCCTTTGCTGAGGGGATCCAGCCTGTCGTGCGAGGCGGACGACATTCTCGACGAAGTTGGGTCGACAAAAGTCAGGTACGACGGGACGTCGTTTTCTCGATGCCAGAGCGACAGTGACGTCTTTCTGGACAATTGGTGATGCGCACGGATGTCGCGAAGCGCTTGAGTCATGCCTGTAAGATCGAAGAAATTTCTACACAGTACCTGAATTTAGATAGCTTTTCTCTCAAGATGGGATTCCCACGCGCGGCCCGCCGTCCAGTCGTATTTCGCGACCTTGTCTTCCGCTTGGGGTCATTACTAGATCATTTCTAAGCTTGAGATTTACCTTTGAAGCTGGGGGATGGCCTCGTGCAAAAGTGCATATTGCGGATCAGCAATTGCTAAAGTTCGCCAGTGGTGGCTCTCTCGTGTCCTGCTTGGATCGGATAAGTCTTGCTCAGGATTACAAGACGCCGCGACTCAGGCTGCTCATCTTAGTCTTGTCCTTTGTTGGGTCGTAATTTGGATCCTCGCCGTCCAACGAAAATGACCTCCCTTTCACAACTCTGTACTCTCGTCGTGTTTCGAAGCTGCCTCTTGGCAGATGGAGAAGGTCTGGAAGAAATTGGTTTCTGCATTCCCCTTAAGATTGAATGAAGCACGCGGCTTCTCGGATGATGATCCCCTTTAGATGATCGACACCGCGTGGGGATGTTGCGTCGTATCTCGAGAGGACGGTTGTGAAAAATGTTGACCATGACGCAGAGTTTGAAAGGTCGCCAGTCCAAGACATGGCTAAAGTTAGACTGCCTGCGGTGCGTGCGTATGCATGGATTATGGTTCCTACTTTAGTCGCAAAACAGACCTCGCTGATCGTCATGAAAGGGATGCGAAGGAAGCTACATTTGAAGGGTTCGTTCAATATCCGCGCTCCCGGCAAGCAAAGAAAGCGACAGTAGGCGAGAAAGACCGCGTTGGATGGTAGGATCTTCTTGGACGAGTTAGGGGCCACAGTATGCCGCTCGTGGTTAAAGGCTATGCGTCCCAAAGCAGACATTAAACGTACCGTTTATTCGTGGTTATGCATGAACATATTGAAATGGTAGAAAATTGTGGTAGACGTCCTGTCAAAATCCTCGCAATAAGTAAACCAAATTCAAGACACCTCCTCTACCTCAACATGAACATGCTACAGCTTGACATCGAAACGCTCCCTAAGCCACCCTCCGTAGCGAGAGAACAACATCGGCACTGGGAGAAACGCAACCCCTATAAACCCTAGGACGCTGTTTCCCCACCCAAGTCCTAGGTTTGCGTACAAAGACGGGCCTGCCAGTGGAATAAAGGCCGCAAATAGAAGTCTGAGAATCACATTTGCAGCTAACGCAGAGGCAGCTGCCTCTGGCCCAAATGCATCCACAATATAGAGTTGAGTTGGCATTATGACCCACAGAAAGCCGAATCCGAAAATGGAGGTGCCGATGATAGGGACGATCCAGTGGGTTTGCTTCTCAGCTGCCCATCCATACCAGAAGATGCCGATAGGCACGGCGGGCATCACCCACGCGATTGGCTTCAGACGTCCTTCGGGTTTGGGCGAGTCTTCGAGAGCATTTTGCAACTTGTCGCTTACCGTGGCGAAGGCTCCGAGCGACGCGACCATGCCAATTCCAACGCCGAGATATGATAAGCCGGAAACGCCGGCGGAGAAGCGGTATTGCCCTTCAAAGACCGCCGGGAACGTGGTAAACAGGATGAAGAGAAGGCCAAAGACAAATGCGCACATGAGTGAAAGGAGGAGCACGATTGGCGAAAGGATGAGAAGTTTTGTCGGCCGAGTAATGGCGCGAAAGAACAGCTGACGGGGATTCAGGCCTCGATCCATCTTCGAAACCAGATCAGCATTACCAGTTTCTTTCCGGAGGCGAGCCGTTTTCCATCCTAACAACACAGCGGCGTTGGTCTCACGGAGGAAGAAGATGGATACCGTAAACGATCCAGCTGCCTGGGTCCCAACATAAGCGACTTGAGAACAGTACTCGCAGTGTTCTACTAACTAGAATGATGATGATCCAAAAAGTCCACCGCCAGCCAGTCGATTCGGACACAAAGCCGCCAATTACCGGGCCCAAGACCTTGAAGGATTATCAGCGTCAAAGAGTTATATTCGTTGCGTGGCTCGACGTACTGGTCCCAGCAATGGCCCTACGAAGAACAGAGACATTACGCTCCCACGCTGAGCTGGCGGAACGACGTCCGCGACGGTTCCTCCGCCGACCGTCAAAGGGCCAGAAGAAGCACATCCGGCAAGGAATCGAAAAACGAGAAACATGCCGGTGTTTTTGCTCAGCGCACACCCGATGATGAACCCAATGTACATTACATTGCAGGTGTGGTATATCACAAGGCGTCCGTACAGTTCAGACAGCGGTGCAATCAACATTGGCCCCACGGCGAAACCGCAGAGATAAATGGACACGGTGAGACTAGTCACGGTTGGACTAGTGATGTGGAACTCCCGAGCAAGCGAGGCAGCTCCCGGTGCAAACATCGTCGCAGCCAGGTTGCTGTACATCTATCAGTCAGCACAGCATTTGCTTCGCCAAGTGAATGCCAGGAATTCTCTTACGCGGTGAGCAGGAACGCGCTGGCGAGGACAACTTGGGTCATTCGTTTCCATGCAGGCCAGTTCCGCGGGTTTTCAGGATCGTCCGGCCCATCCCAGTCGACGAAATTGCACTTTGTCTCTCGTTCAGTAGCTGTTTGCTCAGGCTCGCAAGATTCATGGTCATGGTGATCGTCTTCCGTCACGTTTGGCTTCTCGTTGGCGGTTATCAAGTCGGCCATCATCGTATGCTGTCCTGAGTGGTGGACCTTGCAATTGATACATCTTTGTTCACTGGAGCCGTGCTTCACTTGTTATTATATTTGAAGATAAGTCCGTTAAACACCGAGCAGAATTGGAGATTTGCTGAAAATATGTGCAGCTTGACCGAGCGGACGCGGAGGATCGGACGAGGACAAACATCATGGGCTGCGCACGGACTGTTGGTGCAAAGGATGGACACGGAGGATCGGACGGTCGGACGGTCGTTTCTCTCTTCGTTGCCACTCGGTCTTCCTCTCCGGATGTCTTCGATCTCTTCTCGAGCAGACAGTAAAACTGTTCTCGTCTGGATCACGAGACAGTTCCTCTCTGAGCCTCCCTAAGTTGTTGCCCTCTAGGTTAGGCTCTGCGAAGACGACAATCCACTCACCATGGCCGAGAATGCACAACGTCCACGTCCGCCGCCAAGTCGACGCAGAGACAAGATTCAACTTTCTTGTGACTTATGTAGACGTCGAAAGTACGTGCTCAAAGCCCACCGCAAGGTCGCTCTCGTTTAACTTTGTCAGGCTGAGGTGCGACCGACAACACCCATGTGGAACTTGCTCACGGCGGGGCCTCATCAACTCCTGTAACTATGTGACGCCATTTTCTTCTACTTCGAATTCCCAGCATTTTACTGCTACCCGACAGCCCATCAGCCTCCATGACAGAATCTCTGAACTGGAGAGCCTTGTTGTGACGCTAATGGAGAGCCAATCACTCCCATCTCCACTCGCACCCATATCTCGCAGAAAAAGCTCCTTTCCGTCTACAGACACGCTATCTGACATCCAGGGCCCCAAAAAATCTCAGAATGAAGGTGTATCCCCGGCGGATCCTGGCACCCTAAAGTTGCGCCAATGTGGAGCCAGCTATGTCCAAAGTGCCCACTGGGAGGCCATTCTTACTAAAATCAGAGGACTGAAAGAGGACTTTGTCACAAATAGTAAATCTCCATCAGGTTCACATCTATTCTATGGCCCGCACCGTCATGCAAGTCAAGATGAAATACTGGCTGCTGTTCCTCCTCGTCCGGTGGTTGACCGCCTAATGGCTCTTCATTTTGATTCCTACATTATCACTCCTTGTCTGTACATCCGAGCTTATTTTTTGCTCTTAGAAGAATTGACTGTATGTTGTAGATCTCATCCATGGGAAGAAATTTCTACGCGAGGTGGGTTCCCTCTAACTTGGCCAAATTGTGAGCGGTCTGACTTTGGCCAGTACGAAACCTTTTGGAAAGATCCGTACGCAACATCTATAGCTTGGGTCGGGCTCATGTTCTCCATGTTATACATTGCCGCCCAGTTGCAGACTTTCACTATGGACTTCATCAACGGCCGTACCGAATCGCTCAAGATGGATTATCTTAGCATGAAGGATGCCTTTCGAGAGAGGGCCGTCCAGTGTCTAATCCTGGCCAGGTACACGACGGGAGGACCATTTATCCTAGAGACCCTTATTACTGTGTTTACCGGAGAGTTTATACTCTCAAAAGATAGCGCTACCGACGGCTGGCTTTTCATTAGCATGATACTGCAAATTGCGATGCGCATGGGCTATCACCGTGACCCAGATCACTTTCCCGGCCTATCTGCATTTGAAAGTGAGATGCGTAGACGTGTATGGGCTACAATCCTTCAATTAGACCTCGCGCTCTCCTTGGAGACCGGTCTCCCGAGGCATGCGACAGACACGCATATCGATACGAAACAGCCTTATAATCTGCAAGATTGTGATTTCGAGGAAGACACCAAAGAGATGCCTCCACCGCGACCAGAATCAGAATGGACACCTGTGCTCCCTCTCATTGCAAAAGGGCGACTCATATTTGCTCTCGGCATGATTTGCGACCTCAACGCAAACGTTTCTCCCCCTTCCCATGACGAGATTGTCAAAGTCGACGCACTTCTTGAAGACTTACATAATCGTGCCATTCCACCTGTGCTGCGCTGGGAAACCACATCACACCCAATCACGGATAGTCCGAACCTTGTGATAGCACGGATAAGTGCAGAAACTACCTACTGTAAATCTCGCATTCTTCTCCACCGGAGAGCTTTGATCGGCTACTCGGTCCAACATTCTCAAGAGCGGGACAGGGAGTCGGCGCGAATTTGTTTAAAGTCAGCACTCAAGATATTATCCTTTCAACAGATGCTTCACGAAGAGGCTCAGCCACTTGGGCGATTGTATCGACTTAGATGGAAGGTCACCCATATTTTCAACCAGGATGTTCTCCTTGCAACGAGCGTGCTCTGTCTCTACCTTCAAGACGTCGATAAATTTCAATTGCCTCATACGGTGGAACAGACATCGTTGTTGCCCAAAGCTGAGGAGATTCGACAAAAATTAGCTACCTCGTACAAGATTTGGTCTCAATTGAGTACGGAATCTGCTGAAGCTGGAAAAGTAGCGAAAGCTCTGAGCATTGTCCTTGGAAACACAGATGCGTCTGTCGAGCACGGTAACAGTCCCGCTTCTTCCAACTTCCTGACGCACTTTGATGGCATACCAAATGAATTCGGCACAACGCCCAACAATCATTGTAAGCTACGTATCCAATCATTCTACCGCAACTAACGGAAAGGGTTGTTAGATTTTCCTTCTGGCTTCTATTCTCCTCTCACCTTCTTTGACAACGTATTGGAAACCCAGGGGGGAACTGAGGCATTTCTAGACGGCGTATTGCACCCTGTCCCCTGATCATGGACTTTGATTTGCTGTCGAATCATTACGCCTTAACGCATTTGTCGACATTGTATTGGCAGCAGGCTGTTGTTGTTTGGCATGACTTCCCAATTGAAATTGTGTAGATTTGTGGCCGCTCATCACGAGAGTAAAACCTCGAAGTGTCGGAGTTGTATCGTCTGTCTGGATAGACATAAGTGATGACATACATGCGCATGGTTGAGATCAGATATAGAGAAGCACCATTACACCACCTGTTGCGAGTGGCGGTGGGGACCAGATTATGGCACCTGAAACAAGATTCCACCGCAGTCGAGTATGGATATTTCCCCGTGGAAATTTACAGATGCTCTCGCCTCATTCTTTCGTAGTCAGGAATTTCGCTCATAAGCTAATACTTCAACGTAATACCTTGGAAAAATGAAGACGTCGATTGAGTTTGTTCACATTCTCGTCTTCATGTATCATGGCGAAAACTGTACTTGACTTGAACTTTCAAAGGCTTCGTAAGTGAGCTCGTTCGATTTTGTTGCCCCCTAATTGCCAGGTTATCCCATTAGGACATGAAAATGGTGCACTGTAGTTTTTTGCTTATTTTCTCACCCTTGAGCAAGAATTGTTTGAACGTAGGTGGGCACTTTTTCTGGTATTATTATCTTGAATGTTGCTAGAATTCAGAGTTCAGGAAATCGGATTCTGGCTTTGCGAGAGTGTTTGGATCCTTTCCACCAAAAAGAAAAAAAAATACACCGGAGAATGGTGTAGCTAGATCGATCTTGCCAGTGGCATATGTAGATTAAGCACGTTTGCGTTTGTCTTAAATCGGCGCTAGAACACTTGTATTCTCTTTTGCTCCCAGACGGGAGGGGACTCAAATTCGGACTGGCGCTTGCCATCGAGGGCGTTCCAGAATACACCTACGCGCTGGAACTCAGGCAATGCAGAAGAATCATCCGCGGGACGAGCGCGGAGGACGAGACCGTAATTTCTAAAAGCATCAGGGCCGCGAGGACAAGTTAGGACGAGCAACGCGACAAGGTCCTCAGAGCTATCCGTGCGAGCGTCATTGGTTGGCCTAGTACTTCGCGAGACTCGGAGTGACTGATGTGTCTGAGAAAACGAGTCGGGACAAAAGGTGAGCTCGTGGTCTTTTTCGTCCGAAAGTCGAAGTCTGTCCGGCTGGAGATCGCTCCAGGTTACGTTTGCAACGAGCCCAACTATCTCCAGGTATCCGCCGTCAATTTGGCTCGTTGCATCTGTGACTCGATATCCTTTATGTTCCACCATCACCTGCTCAGTTTTTGCACGAAACACGAACGGAATACTCGCATCTTCTACGAGATCGTTGATATTCTCCTGTGGGAGAAGATCTACTGGCCCATTCACGGTCGCCCACGACCAGGACGGGGCACAGTACAACTGCTCCGGTGATCTCGGCCGCTTTGTATACCATAGAAGACCGTACTCGAATGCAATTGAATCCCAGAGGCCGGCGACGTATGGCACTTTTACGCTGTTTTGGACAAGTCTAGCTATCCCTGCGAGTGCAATGAGGCGGTCGGTTGGGACGGTGATCTGTCGATTACAGTACGCACTGACAAGATCGTACCAACGGTTGTTAAATTCGATCCTTTCCCGAAGACTGAGTTTCCGCCCTTCACTCAGAGACTGAAGGATATCGAGAGCTCCTCGGATGCCTCGAGACGGGCGATGATCTCTGTAATTGTCCCTATTCAGAGCTTCGCGGACATTAAGAGGAAGCAGCGGAGATGACTCAGACTGGCGTGCAATGTGTTGCTGGACGGCAGTCTGTTCGTATATCTGACCGTCGAAAAGGATGTAAGGCTCCTTTTCATACCGTAAACCCTGGTCTTGGTCTTCCGATGCTTGCATGGTGTTGCATTCAAAGAGGATCATGTCAGAGCAGAAATGCAGCATTCTGGGCGACAGAAGTCTTTCCTGGAATGCCCAGGCTCTGTCTGTAAGAGGCGCGGCTTCAACTCTCGTTTCGAAAAGATTCTTTATTGGGGGAACTCTTGTCGGTATGAAGAGCCTCCTCTTCCTGGAAACAAGCAAATCGCATGTTCCCTTAGGTTGAAATCGTTCTCGAGCACAACCGCCGCTTGAAGATTCCGAAGCCGTCGCAGAAAATGTGCATAGTGCATTTGCATACACGTCTCCCATCGTCATGGACTCCTTCTGCCAGTCCTCAGTTGAGTCCTGGATAATGCAGAGCGAGTCGATCCAGACATAAGATATGCTCAACTGTCTCGCTATCGTGATTGCGTCTCGAAAATTGGCAGGAAATGTTGAGTCTTCAACAGCAATAGATTCTTTCATCAACGAGTAATTGGAAGAAAGCAACTTGAACTTGATATCGCCACCCCAACAATGACTTAAAGCGGCATACCTCAAATCTCTACCGGCAGACATGTCGTCAACTTCTACCAATCGAGGACTTTCGTCTGGAAATATAGGGACGTGAATGAGTCTAGTTGGCAAGAAGCCTGGATCTCTTGAAAGAGCCTGACAGGCCTTGTGATGCCTGCATTCTTTGATCCAATTCCGAGCTGTTGACAATGACTTCTCGGAAAGAGTAGAGTCTTTCTGCTCGCTGATTTCTCCATCTGGATGGCCATTAGATAAGCCGAAGCATAATGCCGAGGAGTTCTTACCTTCCCATACGCGCAATTCTACCGACCGAGTTCCATCTGAAGTGTAAAGCTGTAGACTCAAACCTATACCAAACTCATCATGGGGCAAGTATCCCTCAGAGAGCCATATTTTGATCATAGTCATGTTCAATTTAGGCATTGCAGGAACTGGGGTCGTGCTCTTTGGGTCTATGGTGCCGTAATTCGGATAGTCATGAGTGGTCGTAGAGATTCCGATCGGCTTCAGCTCATGGACTAGCAGTGCATCACACAAATGGCACGGAGTCCGATTGTTCTTCATCGCGTTTGTTGTAACATAAAACGGATGCCATTCCTCGGCACTAACGATGAGAGCCCACGACCCTGTCAGGAGTCTGGACTTTCGAAGAACACTGCGGCATGTTTCACAAAGCGTGCAATGTGAGAACGCATTCTTGTGACGAAATCGTGGCGGTTGAAGCGAGTAACCTGTTGCTATAGCTTGAAGCTGCAGCCTTTTCCAGACTACAATAATTATCCGTATAAACGCGCTAAAGGAAACGAGGCCGAATACGGTAGTGAGAAAGATAAAAACGAGCCACACCGGTGATGCCAGAATGATCAGAATGACTGTAATGCTTTTTGATCGCGAGGTCAAGGCATATATTACCGCAATTATGCTTGCGAACAAAACTTGGCTGCTGACGTTTCTACTGTTCTCGTAGACGTATTTGAGTGTTTGACTGAGAGGGAAGGGGATCAAAGATACCAGTGCGACGCGTCCAGCAACGCCGCAAACAGAGGGGAATATCGTTATGATGAGAGAAGTACAATAAATGACATTTAGGAGAAGCAAAAGCATGTAAGACATCTTTTCCCGGTTACACTGTCGTAGGAGGTTCTCGCCACGAAGGCGAAACATCATATGCAGTGATTATTTTTTCGACGGGGATTCTGACATAGAAACAGGGAATTTGCTATTGATTGAAAGGATTGTGTCCTCAAGAAGTAATCTTCTGTTGGGTCCCAGAAGTCTAGACTGCTTCTAATCAAAGGACTATGCGCCAAGTTCGCCGTGAGCGAATGGCAAACAGGTTACAACGTCTGGCTTACTTGGCCGATTCTCGAGATATCAGCCACGCCATGAATAGCTCACGCCACAAGGTGAAGCAGAGATGAGTATGGTTCAAAGGCCATTTTTAACGCTATTTAGTTACTTCAGAGGTTGAATACGTTTGCGACTGGATGTATCTTCAATGAAAACTCACTCGATACACAGCGGCTAGCACGTAGTACGTCACAGATTTATCTTTATGTAGAATTAGTTACGGTTGTGGTACCACTTCGTTCAACATTGGCATTCCCCTTGTAGTTTTTATCCCACGGAGGTCTCCCATCTTCATCAAACTCCGCCCACTGGAAGAAACTACAACCCTGCTGTCCTTCCGTGTAGCCGGCGTAACACATCCACATGTAGCGACCGCGGTTTTCTTTTTTGCGCTGGACGCATCGCAAAACGCATGGTATGTTACACTTGCAGCGCGGTGTGAATCTAGGATGCAGGTTCGCTTTGTAGCACCGATATGTAATGTTAAGGCGCTTATTTTTGGCTAAGGGGTGGGGATCTATGACCTGTGCGGGTGCTATGGAGTGCTTCCATTCTTCTTGCATGTTGGCATGCATGACGAGAAGGCTGTTGTGGGGAAGGTGGATGGAGATCTGTCCCTCGGCATCGGCGCGACTTTCACTCTTGTCTTTTATCCAGGACTTCGGGGGAAGGCCGTTAGGATCTTTCAGGCTATCTTCATCCCGCGCAACAATTTTCCGGACCCGAAACTCGCGTGCTACTCCTAGACTCAGGCTTCCAATGATAGCCCGAGGTCCAAGATATGTAAGATGATCTGAATGATAGCCAACACTCTCCTGGCCGCCGTCATAGCAGTTCACAAAGGCGGCGTTTGGCTCCCAAGGTTCTGGATCTTGAAACAGTAATTTCTTGCCACCAGGATTGAGTTTCATGCGCTTCTGGATCTCATCGTTTACCGCACTCTGGACCTTTGAACGCACCTTTAGCATCTCTGGAAGCGACGGCCGTATATCTGACACGCGGCCACCATTGTAGTAGTACTCAGTCCTTCGCTTCTCCGCTTCATTCCACGAGTCGGCATAGAAGCAAAAAGTGTGCGGGCTCTCCACTACGCGATCAAAAAGTTTGAACTTATCTCGTGAGTACGTTGGTGCTTCCTTAAGCAGTTCCAACAGCAAGGCATCGGCCTCGTCCGACGGTAGAAAGTTGTGGATGATAGAGCATGGTGTGTGTTTGGAAATGTCTTCCGGCGAGAATAGATGCAATGTTTTGCCCTTCTTAGTAAGCGACTTTGTAGCTACAGATGCTCCAGTCGACGTGATATTGAAGGCCGTAAGAGAACTCTGATAACCCATAACTCCGCTTGGATTGAATTTCTTTCGTGGGGCCGGCGACTCCACACCTGAGCCCAAAATATCTGATGCGAGCTCGACGGATCCTTCAGAGGCCAGCAATGCCTCAAAAATAACGGTCTGATCTAAGTCCGGATGCAAAGATGCTAATGTGGCAAGCTTAGTTTCTGTGTCGTCTTCATCCATCAACGTAGATGGAGGGCGACGCTCTTCGGGTTCTTGTGACAAGCGCCGCCTCTTCCTGGATACAAAGCCGTCCATGTTGGAGGATTCGATGCCTGAGAGACATGATTTCAATGTCCACTGCAAGTAGAATCCTACTACGAGTCGAAATCATTGCTTTGGATATTGACTGCCTGCAGCGGGCGCTAATCCTAGCGAGGTTGGTGCTTAGGCAGTCAGTGAGGGTGCAGCCAAGATGGGCAGAGCCTTAACACGGACCTCGGCAGACAAGGTTAATCGATACGATGTGAGCAGCCGGACCTCACGCTGCTTGCGTCGTTAGAACTTATTACACATGTGCACCTGAGAGTGAGCAACACTTTCGACAGTCGTGTGTTATATGCCTTCAACATGCTTGAGTTTCGGACACAAGGCTACCAAGGCTATAGTGTCAAGTACTCGCCCTTCTTCGACTCGAGAATTGCCGTGGCTGGAGCTGCGAACTTCGGCTTGGTGGGAAATGGCAGACTGTACATACTTGGATTGACGGCCAACGGAATTGTTACAGAGAAGTGGTCAGTCAAGGGCGTCGGAACAGATGGCGACGTTGAGAAATACTAAGCGCTACTAGGTTCGACACCCAAGATTCCCTATTCGATACCACATGGTCCGAGGCGCATGAGAATCAGATCCTAACTGCTTGTGGCGACGGAAGCGTAAAGCTATTTGACATATCGCTTGACCGGTTCCCCATACAATCGTGGCAGGAGCACGGGCGGGAGGTTTTCGCCGTGCATTGGAACTTGGTCACCAAGGAAACGTTTCTCTCGAGCTCGTGGGATGGAACCATCCGGATATGGAATCCGAACATGCCAGCGAGCATTCTGACATTGCCGACGCACTCATGTACATATAGCGCACAGTTCTCGCCTCATTCGCCAAGTATATTGTCCGGCGTCAGCGCCGACAGCCACCTTCGAATATTCGATCTTCGAACGCCGGCCTCGGCAGCAAATCACCTTATCCAATCGATACCGATACACACTCCTCCAAAAGCACGGCCCGGAATGGCCCCTGCCATGGCCATTCCGCCATCCGAGTGTCTAACGCACGACTGGAACAAATACAGGGACACAGTTATAGCGACCGCAGGGGTTGACAGAATGATACGGACATTCGACATGCGTATGCCTGGCCAGGGTCCTCTTGCAGTGCTTCCGGGACACGACTACGCCATCAGACGCATCGCGTGGAGTCCCCATCTGTCCGACGTTTTGCTTAGCGCCAGCTATGATATGACTTGCAGGGTGTGGACGGACGGCACTGCGCTCGGTGCCAAGGCGGAGTTGGGCAATCCCATGGCGTTCGGAGGTGGTCGAGAGATTGGACGGATGGGGCGACATACTGAGTTCGCGACTGGCGTTGATTGGTGCCTCTTCGGTGCCGAGGGCTGGTGCGCAAGCTGTGGGTGGGATGAAAGAGTGCTCATCTGGGACGTGAGAGCGGTTATGGGATCATGAAAATTTAAAACACATAATCGACAAAAAATAGACGGTGGGATCGCGAGGTACATTTCCATGCGTGACCTGCGTCGCCCCGGAAAAAAGCACTTGAATGCTCGAAATAGTAATTAAAGGGACAGGCTGAGCACTGGTGGGGATCACAGGCACTCTGCTGACCATATTTCAGCGTAAGCTGGAATCTAAATGCAGGCCACATTGGCTCTAGGCGACATGTCGACCTACGTGATATCTTCTCAGGCTCAGGAGCTGGGATGGCTCACTGTTCGATAGGAAGGCTCTCCATCTTGCTCTTTGATAAGGTAGACAAGAGCTACGTCTAAAATGTGCAGCCAGGCGCGGTACGACGGAGAATAATTCCCGCCCAACCATGCCGAAACCTTTGATGGCAAAAGGCCCGGCTTTTTGGTGTCCTTCGACTCGATTCGGGACGTATGTAATATCAAGTCTTTAATTCGACGACAAACCGGGGCTCTTCAAATGCTTGCAATCGGCTTCTACTGGAGCGTGTGATTCCTGATTGAAATATGTTGTCTACGTCTAGGCTAGCGTGCTAGGAACTTTTGTACTGAGCTTAAAGTGTTCTGTTCTTATCGTTCAAAGATGCCACAATGCATGTTTAAAATGCTCAGAAAGCCTACGAAAGGGCAGAGGAACTTGAATTGGAATCTAGTCTAACGCCATGACTCCAAACTTGTTCTCTAAATAGTGTTGATAATTGATCTGCAACAATCGTTGGACCTTCAAGAACCTCTCTTCAGCACTGGTGGTTTAGTGGTAAAATCCATCGTTGCGTAAGTGAACTTTCGCTCTAAGCAAGTCTAATAGGCATACTGACATTACCTAGCATCGATGGGCCCCGCGTTCGATTCGCGGTCAGTGCAAGTTTTTTTTGACAATTTATCACACTTCTTTTTTTTTTCTTTGATTTTTTATTTTCTCAAGTTAAGCCTTTGGACACCAGCGCGTCCAATGTTGTTGTCCACAAACTGGCGTTGATTCTTTCGTCACCGCTCAGGCATGGTAGAAGTGCCCTATTGCAGGATACCCAAGGTAGTGTCCATTTACTCTTTTACATCTATCCTATTTCAACAGCTTGAACACGATCTCAAGGAGTCCCATGTCCGCAGCTCTGGCTGGAGACTAAGAATTGTATCAACGGCTTGGCACGAAAGTTTTGTTGCGCCACGGGATTTCCCAGCACGTGGAACACACAAGACGTGATTTCGGACTGTTCAATTTGCCGTATTTATAGAAAGCCATGATGAACTGAAAAAAGATTTGCCACTGAGGAATGATATTTCATCGGCACCATGTCCTGATAATAGGTCGGAAGTTGACTGGTGTGCTGCTACAGGCCAGCTGGAAAAGTATACTTCGGAAGAACGAAGGTGATTAACGTGAACAGTACATAATGTTTCTCACCCACAATAAACTGAGTGGTATCGCGTTGCACTTGCAGTCATTAAACTCTCGTATCATTAATACTCCATGGGCTCCGCATCCTCTCTTTCCCTCTTTACGCTCTTCATCTCGTCGTTGAGTAGATTGTTCACAAAGCGTCTAAAGTATTCCACGTACGGCTTTAGCCTCGTCTTCTCCCAGTCTTGCACCTTCTTTGCAGAAGAACTAGCGTCAGAGGCGTCTGTCGAGGCCATCTGACTGTCTCCTTCTGCATCAACATTTGAATTCTTTGCGTCCCACTCATCAATCTCGCTAAGTAGCTCTGTCACGGTAGGGACATCGAATGGATCAAAATTCTCCACGTTATTGTCGCGTGTGTCGATCGGCACGCAAACTCGGCCTGTACCTGGGTGCACGCAGAATGGAGACTTCAACAAATGGTTCAATTTTTTAGAGACCTCTGCGTCAAGTCGCGGATATGTGTATTCTAAAATAATATCCTGTCTCGCGTCATTGAGCGCGTCTTGATCGAGTTTCGCCGAGACGCCGGACTCGGCCTCAGTCTTGATGTCGTTCCATTTTTGAGTTGAGGAGCGGCCGGGCGAGGATTCCCATTTGGAGGCGAGGGCTGCGTTTAGAGTCGAGTCAGGAAGAAGAGCGAGAAGATCGGGATATTTCTCGGCAGACTCCCATGGATCTTGGGATTGCAAAATATCAGTCTTAAAGTGTTCGCGAAGAAGGTCGAGGCTTCGTCTGCAGTACCGAGTTAGCTTGTCTGCATGATCGAGCAGGTCGGAACTTTGGCATACTCGACATGCGGGTGGAGCGGCCGTCTCAAGTTAACCTTCTTTCCACCCTTGTCGCCGCCCTTCAGCAGCTCGAGGTATCCCGCAATGGCTTTCCTCCGATCATCGCTCATCTCCCTGGCTTTCTTGTCGCAAACCCAAGCGTGTGCACCTCTTCGACCGGAGTACACCCATAGAATGTGCTTGAAGCCAAAGTCGTCTCGCAATGCAGCTTCGACAACCTTGATAGCCATTGGTATCCACTGCCAACACCTGCTGCAGATTTTCGCACCCGTACAGCATGTTCGAATACCGTCGTAGTCCGTAAGATCGATATCGAAGACGAGCTCCTTGCTTAGAGGACGAAACATGGATGCTTTTCGCAAGGTCTTTCGCTCTCGTGGGTTGGTTGAATAGACGGGACCAATTTCAAAGCGCGAAGGGATCATTTGCATGCACTGTTTGCGTAGCTCATCTGCATTTCTGAAGGACTGGTATCGCAGATATGCATCGTTCGGGAGAGTAAATGCGAATTCGCGATGCATGAAGTCATTCGTCGGCGCCGCCGAATGGTTCAGCCATTGAAAAAGGTACCTGAATGGTAGCAATCGCTGATAGAAGGCACGCATCACTTCGCTGTCTGTGAACGCGGCCTGGACAGGTCCCGCAGACGGTGCCGTCGCCGCCGGCGCAGAAGATGTGAATTCGTCCGAGGAGTCGTCATCGTCAAATATGGCCTCGAGATTCTGCTGAGAAGTCGAATCGGCCTCCATGGCCTCTGGAGACTCTGCATGAGGCATCGTCAGCACAACTTGCAGGTAATTGACTATGTGAAGGTCTGGAGTGAACGGCGCTGCAAGCGGAACCGTAATGGAGACGGATAGACGCGTGCGCGAAGTCGCGAAACGCGTCGGTGCAGGGATCAGGACCCAGCCTTAGATCAGTGGGGGCAGATCTCTCTCAACTTCTTACGCCACCATTTGCTATGAGATCGAATTTCGAACAATTCTCCAGGTCTATTTGGTTCCAAGAAAACCGAAAAGCTTGGTTCCAAATTCTGACTTCAACGTCGCCTAACGTTGAAGGTCAGCGTTCAATCATCCCGTAGAAGAGACGCCGTGTTGGGTTCCACATAGAGCAAATCGCAAAGGCAGATATCTACATGGCTATACTTAGCACAATCACAGCGTCAATTGCAACGAGGAAACACCAGATTCGCGGTCAAAAAACATCGAATATGCATGTATTTCGATAGACAATCACAAGCGCTGGTCTTCAGCTCCGCTCGAGTTTAGGCTGAAGTGGGTCCAAGCTTCAAGCCCATGCATCGTAGAGCTACTTCTACACTCAACGGCGGCAAATCCTCCGCTTGCTTGAGCATGTCTAACTGATCTAGCCGTTGTAGCTTCTCGAGAGAACCAGACAATGAGTGACGCTTACTTCTCTGACGATTCGAGCTTCTACGGTGCGAATGGATGCTGTCTCACCGGGGCAAGCCGTGCATACGATATTAACTAGTATTACAAGGAGACGCAAGCTATGTCGAGGCACTCGAGGAAAAAGTCGAAAACTTGGATATAGAACAGTATTGGGACAGCCATGGCCGCGATCTCAACGTTATTTTTGGCCCCGCCTCTCAGGAGGACCAGCCGGATATCCCGGATGGCAGCCTGCACAACCGTTACGAAGGCGAAGAATGTGCATGGCAGCTCCACGAAACGGTAGATGACTTTGTCACACGGCTCCCCGTTCTAGGAAGTACTCGAGTTGGTCCGTGGATCTGGGTTGCCAATCCATACGCAGAGCGGGAAGCTTCTGAACCTGAACATCGCCATGCGCTGTTCATGCAACGAGCTCCGCGTTTGCTCTCAGCCTATCTAGACGAGAAGCAACATCTCTTCAATGCAAACCCAGCCGCTGCTCCAGCAACTATCACAAGAAGATTGAAACCAGCCCGTGACAAGCTCAAAGACGATATTTTGACTATGGCCAAGGAAACTGGTATGACTTCAGGGAAGTGGATGCTCTTCCCAGCCGAGGAGGACGCCTCTGCAATGTGGAAGCGCGTTGTTGAGGGCGTTGTCAAGGGAAAACTGGGAACAGCGGCGAAGATCGCCACAGATGGGAGCACTCGCCTCATCTGTGTCTACACAAAGGACTTCAATGACGAAGAAGATGTGAAACGTGTTTTGCAGTCTATGGAGAAGATGGATTTACTGCAGAAGCACGAAAGGGGCATTTATTACAAGTGCGATGCCTATACCTACCTTGATATTGGCTCGGGCAATGAGTACGGGCTGCAGGCAAGCCTGTACTCGAGCAAAGACATGTTAGCTGGCAAAACAACACCAAAGAGTAGCACGAAACGTGAAGAAAACTTGAGAAAGACGGCCAGCGTTGGCGCAGGCGCGAAGGCAGCAGGCAAGAAGAAAAAGACCTGAATCGAGTAGATTACGAGGGAAATCGTCGGGATTCAGCTCGACGTGTGTACATTTATTTTCACGCCGTCCGAGTCATTTCGACCTATCGATACGCAAGGGTTCGCGTGCAGCGGTGGGTTTGATAGCACTTTAAGGCGATCGAATTTAAGATGAGGACGCATGATGACGGGAACGATGCGTGAATCTTCCTTCCACAGCCTGACTGACTTTGAGGCGGGGCACAAACGCCTTTCCTTGAATGGTCAAGTGCCGATGAATCATTCTGAGCCGACCTCGAACTACTCGGCGAAGCAATTCGTGAACGAATGGCTGCACGGCAATTCGGCGTCCGTACCAGCCTATCCTCAAATTATGATTCATCCCTAATGGCTGTGCCTGAAACCTTCATGTTAAGACACACTGCTTTGAAACAGGTTCACGTGTATATCAAGGCCAAGGGCGCATACTTCGTAGACCACAAACGAGCTCATCCACTATCGCTGCAAACGATTCACTTGATATTGGACTTTTCTGAATTTCCTCAAAGCTAGTACTCAGACAATGCCAGATACAACAGGAAACGAATTAAGTATTGATGTCGACAATGGATCTAAGCATTCTTTACCACGGGCCCCGTCGACCGCTTACTTGTGCAACTCGTGCCAGACCTCGTTTCGTGATGGGCAAGAGCAACGCGCGCATATGAAAGAACCATGGCAGTACGTGAGAGCTAGGTGTCCGGTGGTCTATACTTCAAGATAACTGACTCCCGAAAGCTTGTACAACATCAAGCGGCGCATCGCATCGTTGCCGCCCATTTCGTTCGACGAGTTTGACCAGAACAATGAAAAGAATACTGATAGCAGCAAAGGATCGATTAGAAAATCATCAAGCAGAAAGGCGTCAGCTAGAATCGCACCGGAAAGCAGCGCAAGTAGCAATGAGGAAAAAGAGATTTCCGAGAGAGATGGCTCCGACGAAATGAGCTCACCAAGCGAGGATGAGCAAAGCACGTCACCTTTCCAGTGCCTATTCTGTAACCTGAGCTTTTCAGGCGATGAAGTCGGCTTTGGAGAGAACCTCGAGCACATGTGTTTATCCCACGGCTTAACCATTCCAGATCCAGATTGTGTAGTAGACATCCAGAGCCTCGTTGAATACTTGGCCATTGAAGTGCGCGTGTGGCACGAATGTCTCTATTGCGGTGCTATGAAGTCGTCGACCCAGAGCATACAGAGTCACATGAGAGACAAGGGTCACTGTCTCTTGAACTTGGACCGGGAGCCGGAGCTTCTTGATTTCTGGGAATATGGAGACGACAGTGATGGCAGTGGTTTGGGCGTCGAACAAGAAGGCACGACACAACTGTCGGCGACCGAGATACGCTTTGCCTCTGGTAAGGTCATCGGCTCGAGACACGCCGCCACGACGAGGAGGGCGCCTAAGAAAGGTGCTCTGGTGACTTCCGCTTTGTCCCAAGCTCCCGAAGACGCGGCATCATCGTCGCTTGACGTTGGACCACGTCTCAAGCCACCGCAATTGACGCCAGAGTCGCAACACTCGCCAGGCCGGCAGCTGGTCCGTCGCGACGCAATGGGTATCATAGGCATTTCGGACCAACAGAAGCACGCGCTTGTTCTTGCCGAGAAAAAGGCACAAAGGAGCGAGGCCGTCGCACGCAGGGCGAGGGAATGGGCCTACGCGAAGGCTGCGAACTCGCAGAAGTTCGACCAGCTTGACAATCAGCACAAGTGGGGCAAACAGCAACATAAACTGCTGCCCCGGTAGTTGCTGAACGGCGCTGCTCTAACTCAAAGTTCGCATAGTTTTGCGCTGTAAAATGTACTGCCATGCGGTACGGCTGCCGTCGAATCTCGGTGTGTGATATTTTTAAAAGAAAAAATTAAATTAAATTAAATTAAATTAAGATTAAAAATATTCGCACCGAGTGGGTGAGAATTTGCTCACTGACTTCAAATTGCTGCGTAGCTTGAATCAAGAACACAAGACCAAAGCAAATACCCCTTTTTAGTGGGAAACGCTTCTCGAGAATGCCAATATCACATTTTCATCAGCATCAATGAAGCAGGATCGAAAGGGGAACAGATAGTAAGCTAACACAACGAATGCTGTGCACCTAATAGCATTCATTCCAGATCAAGATGATTTTTGTGCATCCTGTCGATCATGCTGATATCTTCCTCTTGCATTCTTACCGAGACATTGATGATGGCCACCCATTGTTATTTAAGAGGTATAGCGACGACTGAACAGTCGACATATCTTCGAAATTTTGAAACCCACCGCCCATTCTGATCCAACTGATTGGCTCTTACCTTGGGTTCAGCGCTCCATTTTCACCGAGTTCGAGCGAATTGACTTGTGGTGCATTCTGCTCCAAGTAGAATCTACATCTAGCTTGGGTGTATCATGAGAAGGACTTGCAGCACGATGAGCTTAATCTCCCGCATCCAGTTTTTGCTCAACAACTTTGCCTTCTATGGTTACATAGATGGGCTCCAATGAAAAACTGCCTATATTTCTTGCGATGTAGTAATCTCCTTTTCTTTCGACACAGCGTACAGGCACCTAGTCATAGTAGAAGGATTTTTTGCTTTTTTTTCAACATGGTTCGGCCCACCAAGAAGCAAGCCAGCGATCGAAGTCCTGTCAAATGTTTGGCTACATGCATTCACGCAGTTCGCCAACCCATCGTCTTTTCCCAGGCTTGAGTGTGAACAACGCATGTTCAGTTTTCAGTTGAAATGAAGCTGTAGAGATCGCTTGGATGGCTCTGAGGATCGGCATGAAACCAAACTGCGAAACCCTAGGTGCGATCACGGTTAATGTCTGGCCTCAATGCAACGCCGATGGTGGGTTCCAAAAGCATGTAGGGATCGACAGCTACTCTATGATGGACTGCTGCGTCAAGAGACGTCCTGATAGCCAGCTCCATTTTGCTTGCCGCGAAGAAACACCTCCCCCCGCGGACGTAGCATCCGAGACGAAGGGCAAATGTAATGTCTTGCTGGGATGTGTCAGCTGCACGCAGCAATCTTGGAGTGTGATCGACACTAACAGTGAAGGCCCCAGCCACGAAAACCTAAATCCAACCACCGTCAAAACAACCTTTCACTCTTCCATCCCATCGGCGTCTGTTTGTTCAAAGCTGCCTCGGCAGAACCGTGCTTAGTGCTGTGGCCTTGAAGTATCCCACTCGTGATTGATCTTGCGCAGATCCGGCCCGAATCCACGCGTGATCCGCCCGTCCGCCTTATCTGCACCGGTGAGGTTGCAGTTCAGGATTGTCGTCCCTACGATACCACCTTGCAGCTTGCACGCTTGTACGCATTGAGAACCAACCCAGGAACTATACTCAGTCCACCCACTTTCTTCACGTCTCCTCCATCTGGAGCGGGAACACACGTCCCACCGGCCCTGGAATCGTTGCTGAAATACGCTCCCATTGCAGCTGGGTCACACAAGGCAAGGATACACACTGGGATGGTATACCACATGAGCATCGCTTGAACGAGCTACACTGAATGCTCCAACACCTCAGTCTTTAATCAATGTTCCACTGCACTACAACTGAGTGAGTGGTAGCCAGCGCGGGAGGGAGTATCCAAACCCAGACTCTCCACACTGTATTTCTACCCCATCTCTTGATTGTGGTCCTTTGAATCCGGCTCTTTGCATCAAGAGTCGACAGTGTCGCTTTCAAAATGTCCATCTTTGTGCACCTGTTTTCGCCTCTTTTCCTTGCCACTTTCGTACTTGCAATATGGCCTGCCCCCGTCTCGTACACGTCGGGAAATGACACGCTGTGGATTGCCCAGAATGTGCAGATCGTCACGAACGGGATACCTTCAGTAGGCGCGCTCACTGTTCAAAGCTTGTTTGAAGGCGTTTCGAGGCTAGAAGCTGATTACATGAACACGCAGTACTATGGCGGACCAAACACCACTGACCCTACAGCTTTCGGAAGCGCGATTGTTTCCTTTGCCGTCCAGAAGACTCTTAATACCTTATTCCAGCAGAATTTTGTGCCGTGGAAGTTTCATCCCAGAAACTCGGACTTTGAACCTTCCACGGCTGATAAGACGTTCGTTTCCAGCATCAGGCTTACGCTGACCGGTGCCGATCCTGCGGGTATCGTGAAGCCTACCGCCGGCGAAGTTGACGAGTCCTATACCCTGGAACTACCAAGCTCTGGAGCCGCAACCATCACTGCCAAATCCTCAATTGGCCTTGCACGCGGCCTGACGACCTTCACGCAGCTTTTCTATCAACATTCCGAGGGCGGTGTGTATACGCCGTACGCGCCCGTCTCCATCACCGACGCACCGATGTTTGTGCACAGGGGAATCAATATGGACGTCTCGCGAAATTACTTCCCGGTGAAAGTTATCAAAAAGATGATCGACGCTGCGGCGTACAACAAGATGAATCGATTTCACTTGCACATCACGGATTCGCAGTCATGGCCTCTCGTGATACCCGCGCTTCCAGAGCTGTCCGCCAAGGGCGCGTATCGGAAGGACCTAGTATACACGCCCGCCGACGTTCGTGAGCTCCAGCAGTTCGGCGCCGTGCAGGGCGTTGAGGTGTACTTGGAGACGGATATGCCAGGTCACACGGCTTCTATCGCCTTTTCGCATCCAGAGCTCATCGCGGCTTTTAACGTGCAGCCAGACTGGGACCAGGTCTCACTAGAGCCGCCCTCTGGTACCCTTAAGCTCAACTCTTCCAACGTCACCTCCTTTGTGGAAACGATGTTCTCAGATTTGCTGCCCCGAGTCTCTCCCTTCACCGCCTACTTCCACACCGGAGGCGACGAAGTCAGCGTGAACGCGTACAACTTTGATGACACCGTGAGGTCAAACGACTCCGCCGTCCTGCAGCCTCTGATCCAGAAGTTTGTAGAACGAAATCACGAAGAGGTGCGCAAGTATGGACTCGCCCCCATCGTTTGGGAGGAAATGCTATTAACTTGGAACCTCACTCTCGGTTCCGACGTAGTGGTGCAAGCGTGGTCCACACCAAATGCCATCGAGCAGATTGTCAATGCGGGCCACAAGGTGCTTGCCGGTATCAATGACTATTGGGTACGTTTGCCAGAATGGAGATTTGGGCACGTGAAGCCTCAAGCTAACTCATTAACGCCATGTAGTACCTTGACTGCGGCCGCGGCGCGTGGATCAACTACATACCCGGCGCCTCGTCGGCCGCCGGCGCAGAAACCGCGTACGCGGACTACTGCTCGCCGACGAAGAACTGGCGCTGGATGTACTCGTACGACCCGCTGGACCAGATCCCCGCCGACAAGCAGCATCTCGTCCTCGGTGGCGAGACGCACATCTGGGCCGAGATGGCCGATCCCATCAACATCGACCGCTTGGTGTGGCCGCGCGCCGCCGCCGCCGCGGAGGTCCTGTGGAGCGGAGCAAAGGACGCGAGCGGCCAGAACAGGAGCCAGGTCGAGGCGGCGCCGCGGCTGAGCGAGATGAGAGAGCGGCTCGTGGCGAGGGGGGTCATGGCCGAGCCGATCCAGATGCCGTTCTGCCTGATGGAGAAGGACCAGTGCAGTCTGTAAACGTCAGCTGAGCTTTCCCAGATGGCGAAGAAGTGCTTGAGGGGAAGAAAAAAAAATTAGTAAAGAGCATAAGCCATGGAGTTCCACTCGTTATTTTCAGGGTCATGGTTGTCTGAGGCGAACGCGGTTTTACGATTGCATCATCGGAAGCGCGCTGTTTCCTCGAGCGATATACGCTCAATCGCCCGTCCTAAGGCGGGACGCGGCCACGTAGCTAGCTATGTAAAGTACATGGATCGTCGTCATAGTACAGCGAATTTAGATCCTTTGAGTCTTCTTCGGTTACAGGCGCTCTTATGCTATATGCCACATGGCCCAGCGTGGCGCTCCTCTCCTAGGTCACTGGAGAGTCCAGTGCAGCAACACTGACTCCGCCTAAACAAGTCTATGCTTGTTACCCAAAGCACGGCATTCGAAGCTGCCTATTGGACGTTTTGAGCCCTCCCTATGCATAAGTGCAACCTTTAGACAAGGCTGATGCTTCAACCAAGCTATCATTCCAGACAACAACCCAATCACTCTTCGATGCTCAATATCATCTTCTCTCTTTCGCTCCTTCTCTTTGTCTCTCCTTTCTTGGTATGTTTTCGTACGTTCTCCTCCCTCCTCTTTATAGCCGCCAGTTCCTCTCTCTTGATGCCAGCTGCCTTTTTGACCACCTTGGGGAGGTGTCTGTGCCGCGCTATGCGCCTTATCTCAGGCATATGTCCATACCGCTTCTTGAGGGCCTCGTCATACTCGAGTTTTTGGCGCTCCGCGAAGCTCTTAACACCCTGGCGCTGGCTGGCCTGCGCACGCCACAGACGGATGTTGCCGTCGTCTGACCCCGATAAGACGTAGTTGTTGTCCGGAGTCCAGACACACGAGAAGACGCGCTGCATCCGCTTCGTGTGGTAAATGTCCCTGCTATGGCCGCGGTCGCGATTCCAGAGACGGATAGACCGGTCGTACGAAGCGGTCACAAGCTCCTGGCCAGTAGGGGACCAGCAGACGTCCATGACAGCCGCGACATGGTCTTTAAGCACGTTGAGAGCGCGCTTCATATTTCTCATGTCAAAGATGTACACGTTGTGGTCTTCGCTCGCAGCTGCGAAATTCATCGCTTCCATGGGGTTCCAAGCCAAAGAATTGCACGCAAGTGTGAGAGTAGCTTTGGAGATTGGTCCGCCTGTGCGGAGATCGTACAGGACTATAGAGCGATCGCTGGCGCACGAGTTGAGGATCGAGGTTTCAGTCTGGTTGAAGGAAACGGCAGTGATCGTGTCAGTACTGGTAGGCCACTGGAGTTTTACAGAGGGTGGTGCAGATGGTCGTGTGCTGTCGTAGATCCCAATGCCGCTGCTGGAGGAAACAGCGAACGAGGTATCCGTGCGGTGGTGTGATATGGATGTGTACGTCTCTTTGCCTAGCCAAGTCGCTATAGGCGAACTTGTCTTGTCCCCTGTGTATGGATCAAACATCTTGATCGTCTGATCAGTGCCGCAGGAGAGCAATTTTTGATCATGGTTCCAACACAATCCTTTCACCATATTGCGGTGTGCTGGAGCATGCCATACTTCTTCTCTGTCCTCCAAGTTCCATACTTTGACCACGCCGTCTCCTGAACCGCTCGCTAGTCGCTGGAGTGCGACGGGATCGTTGGCAATCTTATATACGCCGTCGACATGGCCACGCCCCAAGTCGCCCAGTAGAGGCTGCGCGAACATACGCTCTAACTTGGTGGCATTTAGTGCGCGCGTATATTCCCGAGCACGCTCAAACGGGTGCAAGGTGAGATTCTTGGGTTGGCGGATAACATTGGAACCAGGAGCTTGGATCGACGATGCAGATCGCTCAAGAGCCTTTATTTTCTAGAATCAAGTGACGTTAGCACATCAGGGAGCCATTCAGAAGCGAGCAGTGGCGTACCATTGTCCTTGAGATGAGCGCATGGAAGATTTGGTTTCTGTCCGCTTTCGAGACTGAATGTGATGCCAGACTAAAAAAAAATATAGCGGGGCAAGCCACTGGAGAAAAGCCACAGTCAGCCGCCACAGGTTGGTTGCGCCACACCTCAGGTTACACCATCCAGGCCCTCTCACATGTCCGACGTCCTCATCTCTGTTAATTCACTTTATCATCTTCATTTGACCATGCACATTGATCTGACCAGAGCGCTTCAGCCTCGCAGTGTTCTGGCGAGCACAATTGAGCTCGCTGTGCTTGGCGCGAAGAAACCCCGTTCAGATGGGAGATGTTCTTCCCTGGAGGCTCCGTTTCATCGCGCCGTGTTTCATGTTGTCAGACCAACCACAGCTCTGATGGGCGCGTAACGAGTCCGAACTTGAGAGCGCATCGCCAGCCAACAGAGATTTCCATGACTGGCCTGCATTCGATCTAGGCATGTCTCGCTCGCTTTTACAACGTGATCCCGGGCCCACCGCTCAACTTTGGGTGAACTTAGATCTAACCATGAAACAACCCGCCCACAACCACATTGTTCTTCGTCCATCCATTTTGCCACTACTTTAAGGAGCTAGGGTTGCTGTTGAAACAGTCTTCATTTCGCATCATAGCATCCTGTTCATTCCTCTGGCCTTTAACCGTCGTTGGCCAGGCTTCAACAATGATTTCGTGATGCCTTTCACTATGCCCCATCGGCTCTTTGCCATCGGTTTGGCTTTCTCACCGCCGCAGTCACGTATATACGTCTACCTTTTCTTTGTTTGACCAAAAGCTACCATTTTCCTATTATTCTAATTGAGCATGTACTGACTGTGCACGTACGCGTCTTCTATGCCTTTGTTCTTCTTTCATTTGCATTCCTGTCTAATAATCCTCTGCACGGCTTGATCTGTGATCATGTATCTTTCGTATCACCTTATGCTGCTGGCAGCATCGCAAAGCGCATGCGCTATACCCATATATACGGGTAATCCGCTCTCCATGTAAGTTTAACATGCGTTGATGGAAAACAAGTTATAGCCCAGCATCTAAGAAATTTTAGCGCTTTGCGCTGGTATCAAGAGGGACGTCCTGTCTCGCTCATCCATAAGAGGAATCCGAATCCCCTTACTATCACCTTCGAGGATTCGAGTGGCAAGCCGTTTGCGACTGTTGACCAAACTGCAACACCTGCTCAACAAACAGTTGTTACAACTACGACGACTATAGCATTTTCCTCCGCAGCAGCAAATGGCACCTCTTCAGACACTACTTCTGTAGAGGCAACTTCTGTATCAAGTCAGGCATCTAGTAACGGAATTGCCGCTTCTCTAGCTGTCAGCTCAAATGTTGGAGGCATGGTCGGCTCGGTACCAGCGGTTGGAAACAATCCTGGATCGTCACCGTCTCCAACACAGTCACCAGAAATAACCTCATCGGGAGCCCAGAGCCTAATTTCCACGGCTACCTCGAATCAAGGCCCATTCTCCTCGTCTTTACCAGCTGCTAGCGACAATTCGGGTGCTTCGCAAGATGTGACTACGTTGTTTACCACAAGGTTGGTCACTATTACCGTCCCGAGGATCTTGAGTACTACTAGTGCAGCATCTTCAGCATCACAAGCTCCAACAATAGTGGTTCCTCAAATCTCTTCATCAGCTTTTGCCGCCATATCAAATGCCCCCGACGTACTTCAGCAGCCATCACCAGCAACGACATCGAATTCTGGTCCAAGTAATGGAGACACATTTCCCCTCGTGACTCCAACCAGTTCCACTGCACAAGCCCGCTCATCATCTACGCAACAAACTTTTTCTTCAATAGGGTCACAGGTCCCAAATTCACGAGTGTCATCAACGTTGACCTTTGTTATCGGCAGCGCATCTGCCGCGTCATCGTTGTCGACGGCACCAGATTCAGCATCGGCAACGGACTCAGAATCTGGGATACCTGTACCGACAGTGTTCACGATAACTCCTCCCGCAATCGTCACCACTATAACCATTGCGCCGCCAAATGCAACAAAGGTTTCTATTCCACCGGCTGCTGCATCTAACCTATCATCAGCCTCAGCATCTGCATCGGAAACGAAAAGCACGAGTCCATCTGGTCTTGACATCGTGCCAATTGGCTCTGCATCCGTTGTACAATCGACAGTGGGAGCTACAAACACTGACAGCAACGCTATTACTGTAACAACCACCGTATATAAGCATCATAGAACTTTCACGGTCATGGGGCACACAACGACGGTGACAAAAAGTTTATGAAATATTGACCCACGTGTGAAAAAGAAAGTCCTCATTGAGCTCTCCTTTTGCAGCCCGGAATATTTGTATACATTGGGGTCAGGAATGAGCTGAAGCTTAACAGTTGAAACTTATCAGATATAATAATCGTAATAATGGCGGATTCACGCATCTGCTTTCTATCATGAATTTTTCTTAGCTTCATGTGTGAATCAGGACCAGAGGTACAGACGTAGTATAAAGCAGATTGACGCCGTTGTGTCGAGCCGAGCCAAAAGGGATCCTCTTTGTTCAGTGAACTGTAACATGTTCTTTTGTCAACGTCTTTTCATCCATCCGTTGTGTCGCTCCGCATATAGTTATTAGCAGCAGAATTGCACCGTCGGATGTAGTGCGCCCCGGCTGCAGCGTCGCGCAGCTGAGAACACGAGAGCTGAGAGACGAAAAGCTGAGATCCACCCACTTTTCACAATGAGATTCCCAAGCCACGAACGAAAACTTCAATCCTGTCTACCAAACGTTCGAAACCCAATCTAAATAGTGCTTCGGACACTTTTTGGAAGCCGCCTGAATTTCCCATGAACAGCATTCCCGACTCTCACGGCGACGTCACTTCGGTATGGACCGCGCAAAGTCAGAACACTATCGCGCGATCGTGGATATGGGGAGCAATGGAATACGATTCTCCATCACCGATCTGTCTCCGGCCACGGCTCGCATCATGCCGACCGTCTATCAAGATCGCGCCGGCATATCGCTTTACGACGCCCAGTGGAGCTCCGGCCAGAAAGGCCCCATTCCGGACGACGTGATTGCGGACGTGATCCGAGCACTTGTTCGATTCAAGCGCACCTGCGCGGATTTTGGCGTCAAGGACGAGCACGTGCGCATCGTGGCTACGGAGGCCACGAGGCAGGCGATCAACTCCGAGGCGTATCGTGCGAAGATCAAGGAGGCTACGGGCTGGACGGTCGAAATGCTGGCGAAGGAAGAAGAGGGCCGCGTCGGCGCCATGGGCGTCGTGAGCAGCTTCTCTGCCGTCAGAGGATTGATGATGGACCTCGGCGGCGGAAGCACGCAGATCACCTGGCTCGTTGCTGAGAACGGTCATGTACGGATGAGCGACGCTGTCTCCGTCAGCATGCCTTACGGCGCGGCGGCGCTGATGAGACGCCTCACCGAGGCCAACAGGCTAGGCGGCAAATCTCTTGATGACCTCAGAGCCGAGATCACATCCAACCTCAAGGCTGCCGTGTTGACGATAGCCATACCACCAGAGATTCTGGACACGCAAGGAACGGAGGACGGCCTGACATTGTATCTATCCGGGGGCGGCTTCAGAGGATGGGGCTTTGTGCTCATGTCACAACATCCAGTTTCTCCCTACCCCATCCCAATCATAAATGGCTTCAAAGCCTCGATCGCCACCTTTCGAGACACGAGCCTGGTCAAGGCTGCAGCCGCAGCCGATGACGACATATTTCGAGTCTCAGAGCGTCGTGCCTCCCAGGTGCCCGCTGTGGCTCTCCTGGTGTCATGCATGGTCGACGCACTTCCGGACATCAAAACCGTTCGCTTCGCCCAGGGTGGTGTAAGGGAAGGTAGCCTGTTCAAAGACTTTGACGCGAAGACGAAAGAGGAACATCCACTCGTTACGGCGACCTCTCTCTTCACCAATGACTCAACGGGATCTTTACTTCATTTGCTTCAAGCCGCATCCCCCGGAGGACCCTCCCTTGCAAAAGACCTCATTATGGCTCTGGGACAAAGCTTGTACATCCACAACTCGCTTAACAAAGATCTCAAGTCTGCGGCGGCACTTCGGAGCACGACCACCGGTGCACTAGCTGGCGTTCACGGGGCTTCTCATGATGAACGCGCTGCTCTTGGCGTGATGCTGTGTGAACGATGGGGAGGGCTTAGCGACCTCCCACCTGGCGAGGCAAGTTTCTATCAAAGGCTTTTGCAGCTGCTTGGCCCTGAGTCTTCTTGGTGGTGCATTTACTACGGCCGTATTGCTGCTACTATTGGGGAGGTCTATCCTGCTGGCGTAGTTCCCCCTGGGCGCAAAAAATTACTCATCACATCGTCATGGGTGGATAAAGAAACGTCTAGGGCAGACCTCAGTAACGGAGAGATGAAATTGAAAGTGAAAGAAAAGTTGAAGGACAAAGTCAAAGATAAATGGAAGGACAAAAAGCATAAAGGCAAGAGCTCGGATGACGAGGAGGAGGACCTGAGAAAATCTCAGAAGTCTCTCAAGATAGTATTCGATTTCGGCCCGGATCTTGATTCAATTCTACTAACAGAAGGTGTCCAAAAGGCCCTACGTGCAGTAGAAAAGCTCGGTAAGAAGAAGAATTGGCCTGGTGATTGGGGTTGCAAAATTGATCTCAGGATCAAGAGTTTGAACTTGAACGACATGTCTATGAGTGAATAATGGTTTTCAAATCAGACACACAACTATTTCTTTTAACGATAGCGAAATGCTTGATATGCCGGGCATATAAGACGCCTGCAATGCTTCGTTGTATCTTCACTCCCCACAACACCTCCTGTGCATCTTAGCATGCTGTTCATACCTTGCGACTACATGCTTATGGAATCCTTAGTCCAGTCTACAGACGCCGGAAAAAATACACGTATGCAAATTTCTTCATTTCATCGATATCAACTGCCTTTGCCACCTTCTCGTCATTGAAGAGAACCCATGACGGCTTGTCCTCTCCTGGCACTGTCTTGCGAATGAATGCAACGTAGTGCCTATCCCATCAGATTAGTTAATTTCAGCTTCACAGAAGGATGCAAATAGGCTGACTTACCCAGCATGGATACTGTTCCCTTTGTGGCAGACTATGCTTTGAAGCTGAAACTCTGCCGGTAAAGAGTCACTTCCTGGAATTTTCTTTTCCTTGGGAGCTTCTGTTTCGGCATCATCAGCATTGCCTTCACCGAAATCGCCAGCGGCGTCGGGGTGACTGAACAACCACTCCACGGCACGCTCTACATCTCCACCGGTTTCTCTGAGAGCCTGTCTGGCTTGTGGAGCGTTGAAGCCCATGCCCTCAAGCATCTGCACTTTCTCCGGATCCGCTGAATTGCTAGACGCACCCCCACTACCCCCACTTAGATCAATCGGAGTGTCGATATCGGGATCGTCCATGTGCGCAAAGAGCCAGTTTGAAGCGGCTTCAGGATCTGCATTACCCGTTGCGTGCAAGGCTTTCTCGCAACGCACACGCGGAAAGCCCATCGCTTCGAGAACTCCCAGTGCTGATTCATTCGGCACAAACTTGTCTTTCGCGTTTGCAGAATCGGCGTCTTCAGGTAACTCTTCCTCGCCCTGCTGAAGGCCAGATGATTTATACGCATCGAAAGCGAAAGGAGCGTCGTCCACGATGACGGGGACATCCTGCTTCGTCGGCACCCAGTTGACTAGCTCGAAGCGGCGGGCATTTACAGCCAGGATTTTTGGGAACGTTTTGAAGGCGCTCCGTTTCTTGAAACCATCTTTACTGCCGCAAGATGGGCACGTGAGCTCGACGTGCTCGTCTGCTGTGAAGATGTCAAGACATTCCTTGAGTGTGACGGGTTCAAAATTATCCTTCTCCTTTTCCTTTTCTTTAACGCCTTTGCCATCCGATGTGCTCACATCTTCCATTCGCTCTTCTTTTGCTACACGCCGAATGGGGACTGGGATAGAAATGTTCTCCTGCTCGTCCTGCTTATAGCGTACTTTCTTGCAATTCAAACACTGTAGTCGCTGTTCCATGATAAAGCGGAACGCTTCCACGGGGTCCTGCAATGGTGCAGGATGCCGAGACCGAGTGACAAGCTTGAGCAAGTGGAGGAGAAATTCGAATGCATCTTGTTGGCGCATCGTGGAGAACTCCTCATGACCTCGACCGACGAGAAACTTGAGCATTGCTGGAGCAAGACCTTTTTGATGAGGCACCTCAGGGCTTGATTCCGTGCTGAAGATGTCTGCGTCCGGCTTTGAATAGCGTCCCGAGAGTAGGCCGTCTGCCATCTTGCGCATTTGTGTTTCCAAATCTTCTGCTGGCTTCGAAGATGCCGGTGGCGCCTCATTTGGGAAGAAGTATCTCTCTTTGAACTCAGAAAAGGCGAACAAAGATTGCAGCACACTATTCATATAGCAGCTGTTGCCCAAGTTCTTTAATCCCGTGAAGCCTGGGCCGAAAATTGGGCGCAGTTCTTTGCCGTCTTCAGTCGTCATTGAGAACTCCCATCGTAGATTCTGCTCAATTTGCATCTCATTCAAACTTTTCTCCGTCTTCTGTCGATCTTTTATGTTGATTCCCCAGTTGGCAAGGTGGGCTGGTAGCTCTGGATCTATCCTCTCTTCGTCGCACGCGTAGCAATAGATATCGGCTGTGCCGTCGGCGGTCAGAGAGCCTAACTTGACGGCCACCGGATGTGATGTTTCTTTTGTATGCTCCACACCGTGGCCATTCCCACCAAGGCCACCGTGCTGGGTACGCCCACATCCCAAGTTGCCACAGCTCAAACATAGCCATAAATTCTCCTTGAGGTCGCACTTTGAGCATTTACCAAGGGATTGGCTATCTATCTGTCTACCGGGGCCCTGTTCTAAGCAGAGAGTGTGCTCGCACGCCGTCAGCTCTTGTTCCCAAGCCTTAATCTCCTCCTGCCGCGCAAACGTGTTTGCCTTGAGCACGCCGTCAACAACTTCTGCAATCTTCCCTGAGCTCCTGGCAACATCTTCTACACCGCATTCGTAACATTTGACCACTGTCACTGTGTCGTACCGATCCTCCTCAGTCTCGGCGGCGATGGCAAGTTTCGTGATCTTCTGTGGCGGCTCTTCGCGCATGACCTTCTTCCGCGTGCGTTTGATGTTAAGAACAAGGGGATGGCCGCTGCTCTGAACGTGCAACAGCGAGTGGTTATGTTCGCTGTCTGGGCATCCCCCGTTGAAGCAGTACAGGCAAACGTCCAGGCCAGCCGGGTCGTCGATGCTATCGAAGCATTGTGTACAGTCTTCGCGGTATACTGACTGTGAAGGAGAGGGAGGGCGCAGCTCAGCATCGGCCACGTGTTTACAAGACATGTCGTAGGCTGTGGCTAGAGAAATTCAAAGTCGGAGAAGAGAAGGGTTGAAAGGCTGAAGCTAAGGGAAGCTGCACGACCGTATGGCCACTCTTGTTTGTGATCCTCCAGGCACAACTGCAAGTGGGGCACGCCCTTAGTACGTCATGTCCGGCAGCGGAAGCAGGTCCTTTGCACTGCGGACACAGAAATACGCAGGCTGCGCAAGTTTCAGTACAGCGCCTGATCCTCGACCAATTCATCAGGCTCCTCCAGACTCCAGAGACTGCCCGTCGCACAACAACAAATCCCATTACACAGCTTGCCTCGAGCGGGACAGCTTGCATCTGGGGGATGTAACGCTCACAAAGAACTGCCTTTGTGGACTCTGGGGTTCCACGATCATACTTCACTCAAGCTATCACACCATCTTGGCGCTCGTGCTGACTTTCACGGGCTGCTACTAAGCTTCCATTCTTCTAATAATTGCTCAACCCGATACCCGGTGGCCCAGCCGAGGTCTTTTTCGATATCCTGTATAAGAGTGATGACAATCTTCTGGTCTCTTGCATCAGTAAGGCATCTTCCAGCTATGTACAGTGGCTGCAGCATATGTATTCGCGCAGGATCATGAGGTCTACCAAGAGCAATAGAGCATATTTCAATAGCATGTGTGCGCAACTCGGTCTGCATCGACCGGTATACAGAGAGCAAGTCTTTCCTTTGTGCAACCATTCCTGGTTCATGCGACGAGGCCCATCCATACAGAATCTTGCTCGGACGGTGGATCAACAAGAGCATTCTGGCCATGTGGTACGACTGCATAGTTGAAGCGCACATACTGTTGCTATACCAGGTTTCCCACTTCAGGTTCGGCGATATTTGGTCATCGATCGGTATCCGCGCGGACGGCTGGAAGCTCGAAGGCAAACCTTCATACCAAACTTTGACCTCAAGATCTAAAGCCTGCCATACTGCTGTAGCTTGGGAGTCGTCGTCCGAGACAGTCGCAATGAAATTCGCGATCTTGGACAGCAGCCATACTAAGGCATTCGAGATCATGTCGTCTCCCATCGACTCTTCAGAAGGGTCGATTGAATTATTACTCGAGACGACTAGACCGCGATCATTCAACAAAAGACCCATTGCACGCCACATGTCGAGATCATCGGTATCTAAACGTGTTGGCTTACAAGCAATCACTACAGTCAGGGTCAGTGCATGCAATGTCGTAGCACGGGAGTGGACCAACGAGAGGCCAAGAAGTCCTGTCTAGCGAAATTCCAAAATACTGCCCTCAATGCCTTCGGCGGTTTTGGTACGGATGCAGCCGGTCGCGGCGATGGTTGGAACTGGAAGAGCCCCTCCTCATGATTGAGTTGAAGTAATGACTGTGTTCCGTCGAGATGCCTCGACCAGCCAGCTGTCGTAGCACTTAGAAACTCGTAATTGCAAAGTATCGTCGCCGCCGCGATTGTCTCATCATCGTATCTTCGGTTGTAACCATCGCGTTGGGCGTGATGACCTTCCGAGATGTGCTTCATCAGCAAGGAAATGCTCTTGTCATAATACTTCATACCAAGCCACATAAAATCGATTGCAGCATGCTCTGGCCAAGTTTCCATGTCCGACAGTCGGCTGGCCACTCCCCCTCGAACAGATTTCCGACCTTTAACGCGTCCCAACTGCTTGGCAGCAAATGCGCATGCTGCATATTTCAATAGCAGATTTCCTCGGGCACGGACCGGTACTTGACGGCTATAGAAGCATTCCAGATCGAACAAATCCATCCATTTCGCAGGTGTCTCTGCAAAGTGTCGAAGCAGAAAGCTAGTCTCTCGATTTTCGTCAATCAGTGAGTTTTGAAGCGAGTGATTCGCGACTACTGGGGGAGCATGCGTGTTCGGAGATAACGCTTGTTGGTGGTGCTCATCATGCGTCGGGTTAGTGTTCAGTTGATGGCGACGATCATCATCTAGCGATTCGAGGCTTTCTACCCAAATTTCATGCTCTGTGGGAAGTGCGTAAGGTTCTACAATACGCCCCTGGGGGTTTTGGGAAACTTCACTGCTGCTAGTGCCGACGGAGCACGGTGTGTATGATGTTGTTGGGGGCACGGGGGAAGGCTGATCTAGCGATTGAATATTAGAACTCTGATGTGACTGCGAATGTTGTTCCTGAGCATTTGGATTTGCAAAGACTCCTGTGACGTATTCCGTGAATATGATTAAAGATCCTGCCCTAGATCGGAAACCTTACTTTCTGATGATATGTGGACCCAAGCGTTTTCTGTTCTAGTTGATTCGACGGACTCCCCGGGAACTGATACGTTTTTCGAAGAGGATTTCGCTGATCGCTGTAAGACAAACGATGATTTATGCTGGCGAAATATGGGAGTGGTGCTATCGCATTGTCTCCCAGTCCTAACGCACTCGCCACATGAAGGATAATGCTCATCGCACTTTATCTTTCGGCGACGGCAGTATAGACTTCGAATGATTAGCGCAGTTCACGAACTATACACGCTGCATCGAAGGGCCCTACCACCCTGTCCGCGATCTTTGGACTCTAACTTTGTGTTGACGACTAGGGGCCGGCGTCCTTTGCGGCTCCTCATCCATAACACGTCCCCACGTCTTTTGCCTTACATTCGTAACTGTTCGCAATTTCCAATTTCTGAAGTGCACTTCAATACCTAGTACCACGGGTTTGGTGTGTGGATGTATTCGTTCTCTCGAAGTAGATCGAGAAAGAGGGGAAGACTGGATAATGGCGCAACTCCATTCAATGAGATCCTTGGCTAACTATAATTGTGTAGATGATTTATGATTGGTTGCGTCTGTCGACGAATTTTGTTTGACCCCGCTAGTTCTAGTGATTCCCCACGTTTGTGCGATCTTTATCATTTTGGTTTAGTTGATGCTTCTTCTGCTGAAGCCATGCACAGTAACAGGGTCATTTGTACGAACGAACAAGAAGAATTTCGAATGACCAGCCATCAGTATTTTGACTACAATGCTCACTGAAGCGAAGTTTGCAAGTCCGGCAACTAAATCAATTTGCATAAGCGAGCAATAAGAGCAGCATCAATGCAGCCGAGAGATGTTCCCTGCGTATTAAGCAAGCTGGTTTTGTGCGGCAAGTTCTATGCAAATCAGTAAATAAAAATTTAAATTGAAACGAACTATAGCACAGCAACATTGATATCGAAGCTCAATATGCTAAATTCTCCCGCATTCGTAGACGTTCATCCAACGAAAGTTTCATTTGAATGAGGATAAACATGCCAAGTTGTTCATACTTCCTCTTTAATGCAGCTATCTCACATATGATTGAGAGAATGATAGAACTGCCCTTAAGCACCTTTCTCTCATGCATTCCAATCCTGTACGCTCTACTGTTCTTTGGTTGCAATTGTCGAATCTAGTTTGTCTTGAATCTGATTATCATACTGGTGAGCAATCTCTTGATCTGCCTCGACATATTCTGCCGGACGTTCGAGCTGGGTAGCAATCTTGTTTCTAAATACGAAAATACCAGGGTTGTGCGCAAAAAATCTATCAATGTCCTCGAGTGATCGGTTAGCCGTCTCTGGATAAAAGAAATACGTTGTCGGAACAAACGAGGCACAGATTACAGCCCAAATGATCCAAAATTTGTAACCAAGGTTTTCGATGCCCGGAGGCGTGATTTGGGCAACCATGTAGTTCATAATCCAGTTGGTGGCCATAGCGAGACTGGATCCCTTGGCTCGAAATGCCAGTGCGTTGACCTCCGTTGGGTACAGCCATGGGACACCTAGGACACCCATGGCGAACGAGGCAAAAAAGACGAAGAAAAAGCTGACGGCAACAATTCCCAACTTGTATGAATCTCCTTTCCCAGTCTCTGAAAGCCCAATTGCGATGGAGATGACGATCCAACAGATCGAGCATGCGGTAGCAGAAGTCATCATGACCTTGCGACGCCCGTAACGTTCTATGACAAAGTAGGTAAGGAAGGAGAATATGAGGTAATCGACGGAGCCAGCGGCTGCTAGAATTCTAGCCATGAGCTCGCTCAAACCAATCGCATGAATAAAAACGTACTGTAATTCGGTCAATTGGAGTCAAGCAGACTGCGTTGACGAACTCACTGTCATGTAGTAAGAGGTAACATTGATGCCGCTGATCTGGTTCATCGCTTGCATCCAGGCGCCAAGTATCATTCTGCGAACCACGCCAGCGGGTCCTCTGCCAGTTATCAATTGCCACCATGTATAGTTGACAGAATATTCGGTGTCTAGAACATCTTTGATGATCGAGAACTGCGTTTTGACAGACGCCGAGTCTGCAGTAGCGCCGTTTCCTTCCAAAGCTGCAAGGACCTCACAAGCTTCCTCAAATTGGCCTTTGCGGATTAATAGACGTGGTGAGTCTGGTAGAAATGGACACATCAACAGGATAAGTGCAGAGAAAACTAGGATTTGTTAGAAATGGTTCATTCAAACACAGCTTGCAGCTCACTCACAGATCTGAAATGCGAGCGGAAATCGCCAGGAGACACTCCCAGGTGCAAAGGAGAATCCCAAGGTAAGCCAATTAGACAAACAAAAGCCAGTGATGCAATTTGCCATTTGAATGATGACCAACTTTCCGCGGCTCCTCATCTTTCCGGTCTCAGACTGCCAAACTCCAGCCGTGGCGGTATTCATTCCAGTTCCCAATCCGGCGACGACACGCCCAACGTACATTTGCGCCGGACCAAATGACGCGGCCTGGATTACTGCGCCAATTGCGATAATGGAGCTCCCGAGCATGAGTGTCTTCGGCCTACCGAGTTTGTCTCCAGTATACAACGTTGACAGAGCGCCACCGAAGCAACCGAGATTGTATACAGACGTCATGGTGCCTTGGTCCTTGGTGTTTGGATTGCCCATGGTGTCGAGGAAATCCTGTTTGACCAAAACATTTCCAAATACACCCTGTCTTGGTATTAGGAAAATCAATTTACGAATCTTGAGTTCTGTACCTGATCGTATCCATAGAAAACAAGAACGGTGCTGGCGGCTATGGATATCCACATGGTCAGGGCATTGCCCGAGCCTCCAAGGTATCTTGTCCTCCCACCCATTCTCGCGAAACCCATGATAGGTTAAAATTCTCGCAAAAGATGGCGCGAGGTTGGAAGTGTCTTGATTCAAGTGAGCAAAACTCGATTATGAGTCGAACATGTCGAAGAACTGGGTCCATTGTGGGCCTTCATATACAACTCTCATCCCGTCAAAGTGGGCACGGTGATCTTCGCGAGATTTGTACGTAGACCCACTACCCCGAGTTCCCCAGAAAACTTTCTCCGCAGATTGTCACTCGCAAACCAAGCTAAAACAGCGTGCCCAGCAAGACTTCTCCAAAGAAGGAAATATAAGCCTCGCTAGATGAGGAAATTTAGGAATTCAACCCCAGACAGCTGTGCACATGCTGAAACTTGCATGAGCAGAAGGCTGACGTCGTATCCACACTGATCGCAAGTTTCTTTCCCATGCATGGATTTTATGCTATGCCTCACAACCATTGGATCTTGTACCGAAGAACGGAACAGCGTATGACTTGGATTACAAAAATAATTCCACTAGAGCTTGAAGGATTCTGTCCGCAGAGGTTCCTTTGAACCGAGCCCATCGCTTAGCATGCGCTGCTAATGTACGCAATCCATCACAAGGCTCGGAAATATGTACAGCGAAATCATCTGTCTTCTCGTGTTGCAAAACTAGCATATCAATATGCAGGTCTTGACATAGGCTTATGGTTCGGTCGACGTATCAATTGAACCCCGTTGAGAGTGTATGGAAAGTTAATGATGATAGAATAACCAAAAATGAGGGTGAAATGCAAAAAGATGAACATTCAAGGAAAGCCGGGATGAAAGAGGGGGGCAAAGACGTGAAGACTTTCATTCCAGCTTAAATCCTGTAGACAGCATAAAGTTTGGCTACTACTTCTACGTTCTATTTGTGTGTCAAAATAAAGTACTCTGATTATTGTCATTGTTATCAAGGCTTTTTTGTTGTCACCCTCAGGACTGGTCCCAACAAGCTCGTCACCGCTGAAATCAACATCCACCAAAGCGAAACGTGAGAGAAAATCTGTTTCCCATCGTTTGAAGTGTACAGAACATCATCCCGGCGTATGAATATGCTCCGCAGCCAATAGTGCCATTGCCAATGAGGATACACCATGAGGTTCTTCCCTGTCTGTGGTTCCACGTACCAATTCGTACAACCCGATGACCAGACCAACTCTTTCGCTCTTCTCTGAATCCAGCTGTTCTCAGCCTTTTCTGCCTCTTGCTTAATTTCAACTGTTGCAATGTCTCTCCGACTTGGCCAAATCGACCACTTCTTATGGATCGAGTTGAGAACAGGGTCAAGCATACGTAAGGCGAAGTTGATTTGGCATTCGCTTGAGTATATGACAGATAAATGGCCATTAACGGTGTTCGGCCCCATCATTATGAAGAAGTTTGGGAAGCCGGAAATGCAAGTGCCGTAATATGCTTGTGGGAGACCTTCGTTATGCTTTTTCCACTTGAAATTGGGTCAGAATGCGTGTATAGAGCGACTTCAAAAGACTTACATGTTGATTGATGCTGATACCCTCACGTCCAATTATCTCGAGTGGAGCAAGAAGTGTAGTTGTCTCAAAGCCTGTTGCGAGAATAATTGCATCTACCCCGATCTCCCTTCCTGATTTGAAGACTGCCCCGTTTTTGGTTATCCGTTCGACGCCATCTTTCGATATCAGCTCAACGTTGTCTTGATGAAGACACTTTAAATAATCTGTGTCAAAGACACGTCGTTTACAGCCAACTTCGAATTTTGGGATCAGTGCATCCACGTACTTTGCTGGAGCATTTTTTCTGATGTACTCCTTGGATGCTTCCCCAAGTTTCTGTCTAGCTTTTGCGCCAGTATCTGTTTCAAACATTGTCCATTCCGCTTCTAGTTCAGCATATATTTTCGCCCTAAGCAGTCGCATGACTCCTGGAATGCGCATGCACATCTTGAATGTATTAGAGTATATAGGGTTTGGTCTCTCCAGAAGCCAATGTGGCTGGCGAGAAACTTGATAGACATATTTCGCTGTTTCAGATATGACCGGGACAAATTGTGTAGCACTGCACCCGTTTCCTATCTAGTGTCAACGTCTCTTCTCGTAGCTGAAGTCGCGTCTGACATTACCTAGAACAAGAACTTTTTTATTGGCATGATTGAATGAGTGATCCCATCTAGACGAGTGAAAGATCTTTCCTTCAAAGTTTTCCTTTCCAGGAATGTCACACTCTTTTGGCGTGCTGAGAGCACCAACAGCAGAAACCAGAGCCTTGCATCTTCTTTGGAATATTGTCTTAGAAGACGAATCATAGATTGACACTGTCCAGGAATTGGAGCTCTCTTCCCACTGCGCTTTTTGAATTGCGCATTTCAGTCTGATATGATTGTCAATGCCAAAGGTCTTTGCCACTCTCTTAAAGTAGGCGAGGATTTCTGGTTGCATCGGAAATTTTCTGGACCAGTCCGGGTTCAGAGCGAAAGAGTAAGAATAGAAGTGGCTAGGAACATCAACCCCACATCCTGGATACGTGTTGATAGCCCAAGTGCCGCCTATATCGTTCGATTTTTCATAGATCTCAAATGTGGCAGATTTGTAGCGGCGTTTGAGTTGTATGGCAAGCCCTATGCCGGACATACCGCCTCCTATAATAATGATATCAGTATCTGTAGCCATTATGAAGATGTCGAAGAAAGTTGAACGAGTAATAGGGTTAAGAAAAGATAAGACAGGATAGAGATCTCTTTGATTTTGATCACGAAGTATATGGAGTGCGACTTCTAGACTGATACTCTGGGCTTGTGAAGATTGAATATATTTCGTAACTACGAGTGTATCGTGATCTTCCTGGTTTCTTTCTCTACGGCAAGTTCTAACCGAGACTAGCGCGGTTCTCCTTAGTTCCTTGGAAATATTTTGCTTCGCAACTAGGAGAAAATTACGATCAGACTGTGATCATATTGTGAGGCGAGATTGGATGATAAGCTCCGAGCGTCGAACTGATCACACTTGTGAGCTGAGGATCTTCGAAGACGCTTAAATTTCCGTTTTTAGACTACGACTGCGTCAAGCCTGAATCCAGTAAGTTACGCACACTTTGTTCCCTGTCTAGCTTATTCTAGTGCAGGTCTTTTCCACTTCGAATATGTTACCCGCGCATCAACGGCAGCAAGGAACTCGATGTGGCCGTCAAGAAGAATGAAGGAGTAAGACGGCATTCTCATAAAGTGCTCTTGAGCTGAGTGGCTTTCATTGGAATGTATGAAACGGTCAAGCCCCTTTGCGGCGGAGGCAGCGAACGAAACGGCATCTTAATTACCTGATATGGGAATTTATTGGCCCCACGAAGGTTGTGACAATCTCTCCCACACTTCCTTTTCTCCTATTGCCGCAGCACTAACTGTATGTCCTGCACCGCTTGGTCCGGGGTCGTTGAGCACCTCTACTTTCCGCACCTGGCCTTTTCCAACCTCCAGCACGGTTCCGCCGACATGCTCTTTCCTCTGAATCAGATCGAGCATCACTTCGGCAACATCTTCGGCCGTGACCCATTCGTCCCGTTCTGGATCAATCCATTTCAACTTTTCGGCGTGGTCTGTCCAGAGCGGAGTTTTGATAACGCCAGGAGCTACACAATTGACCCTGATTGTTGGCAGCTGGGGATTTGGAGGTGTTTCAAGCAACGCCATCGAACGCACAAACCCGGAGATTGCAAATTTGGAGGCCACATACAATGGGCACTGTAAGATTGGTCTCTGTGCCGCAATGCTCGAAATGTGAACCACAACCCCCGGTCGATTGTGTTTTATGAAATGGGCAATGGCAAGCTGTGTGCATCGGATAGGATGCGTGACGTTGATGTCCATTGCAGCATACCTTCCTCCAGATCTATCGTCTTTTGTCGTGGCCGTTCCCGGCGGAATCCAGAAATTTGAGAACGGTGGCTCGTAGACGCCAGCGCCAGGACATACAATATCAGCACCGCCAAATACTTCCTCGGCAATGGCAAACATTGCCTCTAACTGTAGCCAATCCGTCACATCCGTCTTCTTGTATACCGCTCGCGGCTTTTTGTCATTCTTGTGATTGTATGATGCCACAACTTCTTCGGCTTCCGGACGAAGAGCGAGGTCTGCAAAGACAACATTGCAATCATTGTTCAGAAGCAGTTTCGCAAATGCGAGATTGATACCCGAGCCGGCACCAGTGACTATTGCAGTTTTGCCGGAGACATTGAGCGCCATTGTGGACAGAGGTGCGCAACTAAGTTTCGGGAACGGAGCGAGAACGCTGAATGTTAAGAATCGCAGAATGTGCTGACTTGAATGGACAATAGGCAATGATTGGTGATTTTATCGTAACTTTGGAAGGGAACCCACAGCCTTGCGTTCACATAGCTCAAGCAAAGAGCTGTTGACGCTACTCATTACAGCATTGATAAACAATGTCCAGACTACGAACGATGTGCCTAAATTTCCCATTCTGTCTAGCTTATCGCGGATAGAAAAGGGAATTCCAAAGACCGAGCTAGCCACAGTTCGCGTTTGCCCAGAGAGCCTTGTTCTGCTTGTTCTGGGTTCGGGTTAAGATCTAGCGAATGACACTAGACATCGGACCGAAGAACGTCATGTGCGACCCCGCCGAGAATGCGGTTCTTCCGGGAATAACTCTGGGGCTCTTGTGTGGAGCAAATAACCGAAAATGGAAATATAAAGCGTCCTGACAGTCCGCTCTCGCAATGTTTTGTGACACCATGATCGAATTATAGATCAACTTTGCGAGTAAGTCAAAGACTACCATATGCTTAATGCAAAAGCTAGAGAATCATGTTCGAACTAGATAGCCCAGGTAGCTCATGGGGCTGCATCCATGGCGCAATGAAGGGGAAAGACAAATACTGGAGCAACGGAAAGTAGTGAAGCGTGTAGACTGTTAAATTTGATGGCACTCTACGATCTTTAAATTTTCCCTCTTGCTCTCTCGTAATTCAATGGTACCGCGCAGATATGACCAATACGAAACACTTCGTGGAGGGCGACGACATCGTCCTCGATGCGCTACAAGGTCTCGTCACCGTTAGTCCACATCTGCTTATCGACTTAGAAAACAAAGGTATCAAGTATCTGAATCCCTCCTAAGCTCTCAGTCACTGAGCTTACATTAAGCTGTATTCGATGGCCGTTCTGACGGGGATAAAATTGTCACTCTTATTTCTGGAGACGGCGCCGGCCATGAACCTGCATTCGCAGCATACGTCGGGCAAGACCTCCTGCACGCTGCGGTCTCAGGACATGTATTTGCCTCTCCCAGCGCTCGTCAGGTCACCAACACCATCCTGCAGGCTGGAGGGAAGGCTGGTACGATCTTGATTATTATGAACTACACTGGCGATGTTCTCCATTTTCGCTTGGCCGCAGAGAAAGCTCGACTTGCTGGCCATAAGGTCGATATTACAACTGTTGGTGACGACGTTTCTGTTGGTCGGGCGCGTAGCGGTAAGGTTGGCCGTCGCGGTCTTGCCGGAACGGTCCTGGTTGAGAAAATCTTGGGCGCCGCTGCTCACATGGGTGTCCACTGGGAAGAATTGCTTCTTCTTGGATATGAAGTTGCGAACAACCTGGTGACTGTCGGCGTTGCCCTAGATCATGTGCACGTACCTGGACACGAGGTTTCCGAAAGCCAGTCAAATGCCTCATAGGTCGAGCTTGGAATGGGTATACACAATGAACCTGGCTTTAAGGTTTTGGAGCCAAAGCCGAGAATTGATGACCTTGTTGCCGCAATGTTGACCCAATTACTGGACCAAAAGGATTCCGTTCGAGCATTTGTCCGCTTCGACGACGCTGAAAGCATTGTGCTCTTGGTGAACAACCTTGGTGGCGTGTCACAGCTGGAACTCTATGCAATCGCAAACGAAGTCGTGAAGCAGCTGGTTGAGTAATCTTGAACAGATGATCAGTCCATCAAAAAGAAGTCGCTGAATCTTAGCTAGAGGCGAAAATTGGTAAGCCACCTCGTGTATTTGCTGGACCGTTCATGACCAGTCTGGATTGTAGAGGCTTCAGCATCACTCTTTTGAAAACAAGAAACAACGTTCTGTCATATTTGGATGCTCCGACAGACGCCCCAGGCTGGCCAGCAGCTATATTAACCTCAGACGCATGGCGAAAGAACTATCTGGGTAGGACTAAACACACTCAAGGTGGAGCTTCGAGAAAATATGTTGAAAGCTCATTATTGGGTATGCACGCTTTTAATCCTCTTTGAGCTATACTGAGTAAATCTGCAGTGGATTCTGATGCGTTTAAAAAGAGTCTCAAGGCTGCTTGTGATAATCTTATCTTGGCCGAGCCTCGCATCACAAAGTATGACAGCGTCGTTGGAGACGGTGACTGCGGCGTGACCCTTCGGAGAGCCGCCAACGCCGTTCTCAATGCCCTTACTTCCGGGACGATAACTACAGACGCCGTGCAAACTGTAGATGCTATTGCGAATGTGCTCGAAGAGAGCATGGACGGAACGTCAGGAGCCTTGTACGCCATTTTCGTATCAGCCTTAGCAGCCTCCCTGCGAGACATTTCAAGTCGTCTATCTCTACCTACACGTGTCAGAGAAGACATGTGGGCTTCTGCGTTGTCGGAAGCACTCCAGGCTTTGCAAAAGGCCACCCCTGCGTGCACAGGTGATCGCACACTGATGGACGCACTTGAACCTTTCATCTCCAGGCTTTGTGAAAGCAAAGAACTTGACTTAGCGGGCGCTCTCGAAGCTGCTGTTGCTGGTAGAGATAAGACGAAAAATATGAAAGCCGCATTCGGAAGGTCGGTATATGTACATGAAAGTGGGTGGAATCAAGTGCCCGATCCTGGTGCTGAAGGTTTGGTATGTGTGCTTCAGGGGCTGATCGGTTAGTTGCGCAATGCAATGTTGGTATGTTGTCGATCCAGCTCTGTAAAATCTCCATGCAATTTACAATCGTTTTGTACACAGGATGACTTACTGTTCGTATCTGAATAGCATCCTTAGTGCTTAAAGTTGCCATGATGCACGCACAATTTACTACACCACCTATTTTGACAAAATTCTCACAAGGCGTATAGTTAAACCAAGTACCTGAGGAGTTTTGCCTTTTGACGTGGACCTGTCGTATGGGTTGAATTAATTCTGTTCGCTGTTCCTGGTTCTGTATCTTACGATCCCAATGGCCATGCCATTCGATAATTGGATTCGTTCTTCCCTTTACGCCAGTTCCTTTCAGTTTGCTTTGATCGATTGAATCGAGGGGCGTATAACTCACAGAAAATCTACGCAAGTTATCTGCGAAGAGCTGTTGCGTGTGCTGAAGAATTAACTCGCGAAACACGGCTGGCGTAGTTCAGTACTTTCCGTAAGAGATAAGGGAGATAAATTGCGGATATGGTGACCCAGCACTGAGATAACATACTATAGCTAATGTATCTTGACACTTGTGATATATGAGTCGCGTGTTTAATAACCGAAAAGGGCTTGGCAAAGTCGAGGAAGAAACTGTACTTGAAGTTTGATTTATTACATAGTTCCATGAATCAGAGGTTTGTGCCGCTCCCAAATCTTGCCATTGAGACATGTAAAATTCAATAATGTATTAACATGCAAACAATATTATATTGCCATACAGAGTAATTCTATCAAACGAAGGAGGCAAAGTAGCAAAGCTCTGAAACTCTCTGTAGACTCGGGGATTGCGATATTGCTGACCAGTTGCCGAGAAAAGGAGAGAGTGGTCAGTTCATTTGCTGTAGGAACTCAGAGACGCGCATATGTTCCTCCGGAGAGAAGCACATCTCATGGTTTTATCCAATAGTTAAGTATTCGCTTCCGCGCTGGGTAGATTTAGGGAAGCGTTGAAAAAAAGTAGGCGACTCCTTCAACAGCATTCTTTATTCTCGGCCACCCTGATGACGATCTTTCCGCGCGCTCTTCCCGTCTTCATTCTCGCGTACGCCGCAGGGACGTCTTCAAAATCAAATACCTGTTCGACGACGCTCTTGACCTTGCCAGCACTCATCAGTCTCGTCAGTTCCTCATAGTCCTGGCGGTTCGTGCTCGTGAATCCAAATAAGAACTTGCGTTTCCCGCCTCCAAGCCAGGTGGGCAGGAAAAGTCTGAATGCGAGATCGTAGACGAAGGGAAGCGAGACTTGCGTGCCGATCTGAACGTACGGTGCCTCCAGCTTTGTGAAGTGCGGGCATTCCCAGTAGAGCTCGGGTGGGTGGCCAACGTTGTCCAGTATCATGTCGTACTGCTCCCCCGACTTCTTCAGCGTCAGAATGAGATTCTCTGCCTCGTAGTCGACGACGCGGTCTGCACCTAGGCTCCTGCATAGCTCAAGGTTAGAGCGTGAACACGTCGTGGTGACGTTGGCTCCCATCGCTTTCGCGATCTGTATAGCAAACGTCCCCGTGCCGCCGCTACCGCCATTGATCAACACGTTGTCGCCTCTCTTGATGTGTCTTGCAAGGCACTGGTACGTTACGAGACCGCACACGCCTGCACCAACGGCATCTTCCATTTCGATGCCGTCGGGGATGGGCACCGTGCCTTCGTATGATCCTATGACATAGTCTGCCAAGGTGCCACAAGGCTGCTTTGGCTCCAACTTGCCGTATACTGCCTGGCCGATTTCGAGCTGGACTTCCGATCCGCACTCAACAATTCTACCAGCGTAGTCCAGTCCCGGCGTAGCAGGCTTCGAGATGACGAGGCGACCTGCTATTGGAAGTTCCGGGAGCTTGTAGTCAACTGCATTAAGAGCTGCATAGTGTACACGCACTAGTACTTCCTTTGGACCTAGCGGCCTCTTCTCTGTAGGCAAGGCTGCTGATCTGTTCAAATACAGGGCTTGTTCTAGCCCATGAGCGACATTCGTATATTGCCAGGCCCTCATCGATCTAGTAGGCTGAGCCATTTTTGAGGCCGAGGATACCGGTTTTCGATGCGCCCGTTCCGGATTGGACAGGTTTCGTGACAGGCTGGGCTTTGGGGCGTATCTGGACGCAATGCGCGGATTGAAAATGATTTGGAATTGAAAGACTTGCAGCCTTCTGTCGATTTATCATGCAAAAGAGAGCTTGCGAGCTATCTCAAGGAGTTACACGCCCATGGGTGCGATCATCATCCCAGCGTTAGGTTCTACGGGTCCCCAATCGGCTTCAACAGGCTCAAAGGCTGAGGGTGAATCCGTGCACCAAACTATGTTTACAAAATTTAGGATTTACTGAACAGTTGAAGCTTAGAGACTTTTTTTTAAGCAAGAATCAGCATGCGTGAAATATGCATTCAGGCGTGTTCAGTGACTCACCATCAGCAACATTGCATTGTTTGGTGGTATATCCTTGCTCCGCCTCGTTACTCCTGCGGCCTCCAAGAATATGGAAGCGACCAAAGAACCTGGAAGCTCTAAACACCGTCCAAAGACGAATTTTTACGAGGCTGGGATTTTTTCTGTTCAAACACTGGTCCCAGAAACACGACACCGCGTATGCCTTGATTCCATTCTCGCTGTAGTTTTCCATCTGCCTTGCACAAGCCGAAGTAGCTTTACAAATCTGCAATATACCGTGACGTTGCTACATAACATTGTTGATCAAACTCTGATGCTCTCATGGACTAAACGAAGAGGTGTTTCATCATTTCTTCAAGCAACCTCCAATCCTATGGCCTACACCGGTCTTGTTGCACGTTGGACAGAGCAAATCCGCTTCGCCGTGAGCAAACGGGCATTTTTCCCCCTTGATGCAGTTGTTGATTCTACAAAGCTTCGTCTTCCTTACCTTCTTGGGCCCATAAGTCTTGAAATGGTCCCGCTCGGCATCTGTATGACCCAGTTTGCAGTATTTGCCCTTCTCGCAGTAGAAGCCCCACATACATCTCTTTGCGGCCTTATATTCCTTCTGGTCCAAGTACTTCTTACGTTTTTCCGACCAATGCTTTACTTCAATGTAGCCGTCATCACCGGCCGCGTTCAGCTTTCCAGGAGCCTCATGGCGTTGCGAATCCTGAGGGTTGATATCCTCCGGTCGAGGATACTCTTCGAAACGATTGGATAACTCGAGGACGAATTGAGACGGGTCCGTGTTTTTCAAGAAGCGCTGAACATATTCAAAGTACGTGATGACTTCCAGCCCCGACTTGCTCAGCGCGGACGCGGCAGCCTTGAACAAAAGCGTCTTGTCGTCGGGATCCATGAGCTGGGCCAGGGCTGGGATGATGACGAGGTCCTTGCTAGCGGCGCAGACGCGCTTCTGAGCATATTCGTATCGGTATACTGGGACGGTAAGGCTGCCGACGTATTGTTCGATGTCGTCAGCCTTGGGGAGAGGATCGAGCACGACGATGCTGCAAGGGTCGATCGTGTTCCGGTCGATGCGGAAAGACGTCTCGCAGAACCCGATTTCCTCCAGGTGATCGTCCAGATAATGAACCTTGACGTTTCTAAGCCGCTCGTCGCTCGAGTACGCACCCGTCATGCTGAGTTTCCACGACCAGACGTGGACGGGAAAACCTCTCTGGTCGATCCTCGACACGGAGGAAAGCATGTCCTTGTCGCCAGAGACTATCATGAATTCGCTCCTAACCTTGTTATAAGCGTCCTCCAGAGCTTGCTCAAAGGAGTCCAAGCTGAGTTCGCTGTCCACGAGCTTTTCGCGGCCGGTCCACGAGCTCCTCTCAAAGGTTCGAACCTTGACATTGTGTAATTTGATGGCCTGCCACACCGTATCAACGGGCGGAGGGGTAGAGCCGTACAAGTGAATATTGATCTCCGGATTCAGTCCTTCCAGATAAGGACCGGACTTTCTGGTCAAGACGTCCTTAAGACGCCCAATGTCGAAACGCCAGGTCGGGTCAAACGAGACGGACTGGTGGTTCTTTCGCGCGTACGTCTTCTGTCCCTCGATCCACAAGTTCGAGTTGTCGATGTAAATGTGCACTACGCCTTGCTTTGGAGCCTGTACTGCTCCACCGCGAGTTAAAATAGATGAAGACATGACGGCAATAGTTTGATCAACTGAATCGAAAGACTGGAAAGGTTCAGTGAGCTGTTCCTCTTCAACTGTGAGTCTGGGCCTCCCAGGACTAGGTCGGTTCTGACGTGGAAGCAATCATTATCTATAGAGCTTAGCTGGACTTTTGCCCCAGCGCATCGGGTATTGGGCAAGAAATACGTGGACAAGGTAAGTCATTCACAGCAATCGTTACAAGGCGGTGGTAGGGCTAATTTAGGGGGCTATGGCTAGACCCTTTCTGCCTCGCGCAGCTTCTTGTCTGCACATATCCAATGGGCGTTGAAGACTGTTTGAGGAAGGCGTCGGGTTCTATGACAAACGTTGTAACTGCACACCACCAATATTAGTCCTCACGCGCCCAGAGAAAGCACACGGAGAGTTTACATGTGATCTTGGAAGTCCAAATGTCAAAGGCGCAGTGCCTTCGCTTAAATGTCTACTAAAAAATATGCTGTGGCACGTTGGTCTCCTTTTATTTATCAGATCGCAACTCAAGGCTGGCGCCCGTTAAAGTTCCCTATGCAGTAAAGCATCAAATAGTCGGCTTGCCAATTCATCACTCCAACATGCTAGCTTGATTTGTGTACAGCACATCCACCACGTTGTGAAGCTTTTCAATTGTCTCCAGCGCTGCGTCATAGCCCCTGTCCCGCTCGCTTTCATCGTATATGATAAGACAGCCCGCACCCTGGTCGAGGACGCCAATAATGACTCTGTCTAAGATCATCTGGCTCAGTTTCCGTTCCACCTGCTGCGTGTCCAAGCCAACCATGCGGGCGATGTGTGCAATTTCGACCCGGCTGAAGGGCTCGATGACTTTAATCAGATTCTGCTCCAGCATAGCGTCATAGAGTCTTCGGAGGTGGTTTGCGATGAATCGGTCGCTTCCGAGTTCGTATCGATAGTCTCCTAAAGCTTTTTCGTACTCCTCCAAGCTTCTATGCGAGTGTGCCAGCGCGACGGCCTTCATCGCGTCGAGGCCTTTGCCAGCGTATCGGTCTGCGTGTTTGCTCTTGAGCAGATTCTCGACGTCGTCGCCTAAATTGAGCATGATTTTGCACAAAAGCATGTACATGAGCGCAGCGCGAGCCTTGTCCGTCTCTTCCTGGGCGTGATAGCCTTCAAGAGCCTCGATGAAGTAGGAGAACGCGGTCGAAAAGTCCTTGTCTTCAGCATGAAGCATACCAGACTGCATGTCCAGCCCTGCCTGAACCAAAGGTGGCGTATATACGCTTGCAGCAGATGTGCGTGCCGACGTGAGGGCTGCACGGCCTTTGGGAACGTTGCCCAAAGCATGATAGACGCGTGACTCCAACAGTTGGACCTCGACCAGGCGAAGCTTATCATCCAGCTTCCGCAGCTCCTTGACTAGGTTGTTGATGAGGGTAAGTGCGTCGTAGTAGGACTGCTTGGAGATGTAGATTGTCGCAAGGCGCGTTTCGAGTTCCTGACGCAAGAAACCACGCTTCTCGCTGATTGCCCATTCGATGCACGATTTCGTGACGGATATCTGGGTTTCTGTAGTGTTTGGAATGGTCGTGAATAGGTCGAGCAGTTCGCGCACTGTTAGTCGACCACGTTAGCAAACTGTGTCGGGACATTCGCAGCGGCAGCGACGTTCCGATGGACACGATGGGCGCAGCATACCAAGTTTTGCGGTCTTGCTCTTCGCAAACGACGATAGAGCGGACCGGGTCTGCCGTATCAAATCGGCAAGGTCGTTCGGCCTTTTCTGATCTCTGAACAGCACTCCCAGTCCTACAAGGGCCTTTTCAAAGTTCCGCAGCGCAGCATCCGTCGAGCCGGGTTCCTTGGTGAGAATATCTTTGTAGATTGCCTCCGCCTTGGCTGGTTCCGTCTTCGCCAGCTTCTGAGCTTCCTCTATGCGCTGCTCATCATCCTTACGCGGGGCGACAGCCATCTCTAGCACTGTGTTTGCGGTAGTGATCCGTTCAGGCGAAGAGGGAGGACGTGAGAAAGAGCCCGGCGGACGGAAAGAAAGAGGCTCTCTGCGCCGATATAATCTAAAAAGCCGAAGAGCAGCGGACAGGACAAGAATATGTTCGTAGCTGCTGAGGATGGCAGAGATGACGATGATGGGAGGAAGCTGCTTGTTGGTGTCCATGGTCGCGAGGCTGCCAGGCACAACGCGGCGTCTTGTAGTTTTACCATATGTGGACTAGTGCGCTAACATGGTTGGTCCAAGCGTTGAATTTGCTGCCAAGCCGCACACTCAACACCCAAATCTTTGACCCGCCAATTCGCGACACACAGCGACCACCTATTTTGGACCACCGCAGAAACTTCACGCACAACACCGCAGATATGAAGTGTATGCCGCAGGCTCCCGAGAGACTGATGGAGAATGTACTGACTGATATCTATAGTCCTGAAGAACGGCCGCGTGGCCATTATCACTCGAGGACGTACGTTTTGAAACTCGAAAAAATTTGTCAAGTCGTACACGTTGCTGACACACTTACAGGCCAAGCTGGCAAGAAGGTACGCTGCAATCACTCTACACACCCTGTCTCATACACGGAGCCGCTCTTGTGAAATTTATCGGGCACAATTTCGAAGGAAACGTTGGCAGGAACTGGGGATGATTTTACGTGCGTGTGGGTTATCCATTTCGGCCACTGAAGGCTGGGCACCACGTAGACACGCACGAACCTGGATCGAGCGGTGGTTTGAGAGAGGGCAATTGGCAACGGGGACAAATGATGGGCTCCTAGTGGCCGACCATATTCCGAGCAACGTTACGAGAGAGAGAGAAAGTCTTGACCGCTAACACTGAGTCTTCCTTCTAGGTCGTCATCATCCAGCCCCAGGACTCCGGCTCGAAAGCCTACCCATTCCCACATGCTCTCGTCGCCGGCATTGAGCGCTACCCGCTGAAGGTCACGAAGCGCATGGGCAAGAAGAAGGTTGAGAAGCGTTCCAAGGTCAAGCCCTTCATCAAGGTCGCAAACTACAACCACCTGATGCCGACACGCTACACGCTTGAGCTGGAGGGCCTCAAGAACGTTGTCAGCCACGACACGTTCAAGGAAGTGTCGCAGCGGGAAGAGGCCAAGAAGAACATCAAGAAGGCGCTGGAGGAGAGGTACATGAGCGGAAAGAACCGGTGGTTCTTCACTCCGCTGAGGTTCTAGACGGGTGTTTTGTTGTTCTGCTTCGGAGAGGCGCGAGGCGAGTCCCAAGGGGGTGGGGGCGCCTGGAGACAGGTAGAGGATGCGATGGTTCTTTCATGGTCATTTACCACGGCGATTATTCATTCGGGGATCAAATGGGTCAAGACATATTTTGATCATGGGGGCAAAATGCATATTTTGTGTGCGTGTGTGTGAATTACAAAGAGCGTCACTCTAGCTCCCAATGGCATAGCGAACAAGCAAAAACACTGAAGAGTCTAAAAATGAACCAACATCGCTCGTGCCCCGATCCGTCCTTGAATGTCATCGCGACAAAAGCACGCTCTCCGCGTGAAGAAAAGCAAACAAAAAAAAAGCCCCCAAAATGTCTTTTCCCATGGCTCCATTACGAAAAGAAGCACGCGCACCCAGGTCGACGGCTACGGACGAAGAAGGGGAAGGGGAAATGGGTGGAAAAAAAAATAGTAGCAAAAGCATAGGAACACGAGATAAGGCACGGGGGCATGTTTAGACGGCCCACGAACCATGCCATTTGATTGTGGGGGAGAAGAAGAAGAAGAAGAAGATACAGCAGCTCTATCTAATGGGGTGAGTATTTTTTTTTTTTATTTTCTTATGTGCGGGCATTCCGAGCAGACTCCTCTCTCCTCTCGCCTGCCTTCTCTTTCTTCTTCGAAGCAGAGTTGAAAATGGAGGCACGCCGTCTTCACGTCTATTTCTTTGCTTTCTTTCTTTCTTCTTCTTCTTCTTCTTCTTTGCTCGCTCGCTCGCTCTTGACACTCTTGCAACACTTCTTCTCTAGTCTTTGCCGGGTGGGGGGGGGGGATCACGTTTAAGCGGGAGAAGGGGAGAAGGGGATGGGGGGAGCCGGGGGAAGGAAAGGGGACGTGGGTATTTGTTTACTGTTTTCTGCCATCGTGGACGAAGGAGCAAAATTAACGACGAATCAAGGCAAACTCAAACGCACTTTTTTTCTTTTCTTGCCTCCCCCAAAATGCATCTAGCGCTCGCTTGCAGCGTGCAGTCGGTCATCTGCCTCCAATTTAACATTAACCCAGCAACGACGCCGCCTACGGAGGAACGTAGGGTGGAAGCACACATTGCTCGGCCGCGAAGGTGGCCTTTCTCTAGACCACATGGCCGTTCGCACTGGCCTTGTTCTTCATTTTCTGAAACTTCTGTAGGCCGTCGACCAACCTTCTCTCGACGTTGGCACGCGTGTTGACAAAGTCCGGATAGTTGAGGGTGAGTTCAACGCTGCCCTGCAGGATGGCGTCGACAGCCTCGACGCCCAGCATGAACGAGTGGTCCTGGTTGCCGACCTCGTATCGCCAGCTGCCGAAGCGGCCACGTGAGTAGATGTCCTTCTTCTGCAGCTCAGGAAGCAGCTCTCGGAGAACGCCCTCGCGCTCCAGCGATGGCGTGGGATAGCCGTGGTCAAAAGAGCGAACGTAGGTGCTGACAATCTCGTCGTCTGGGCGGAGCATCTCTGTGTTGATGAGGCCCTGGATCGAATCCTTGAGCAGCGTGTCGCGGTTGACGTGCTTCATCGTCGATTCCGACACCTCCAGCATGATGCTCCAGTAGGGGCCTGGCTGCGCCGCGTCCGAGTCGGGCTTGCTACCGTCGGCCTTATACATGGTCTTGAGCCGGACGTCCGCGGCCGGCTGGTTGTTGGGTGAGTAGTTGCTGAAGATGGTGGCGCGGTAGAAGTTGCAGTTATCCTCCGGGAAGTACAGCCAGCACTTGTCGCCGATACGCTCCGGGCGCTGGCCGCGAACGCCCACACCGATGACGTGTGTGGTGCTGTAGTACAAACCCTTGGCCAGATCCATTAGCTTCTTGTCGTTCATCTTCTCGACGAGCGAATCGACGGCCATGGTGGTGATGAGAGCATTGTACTTGATCGAGGTGCCGTCGGCCAGATACACGGTCTTCTTGTCCGCGTCAACCTTCTCGACGGCACCGGACTTTCCAAAGCGGGTCTTCTCCTGGGGGAGCGTTTTGGCGACGCTGATCCAGATGTTACCCGTGCCACCGTGGGCGGGGAATCGGAAGGTGGCATTGGGTCCCCAGTTGCCCGCCGTCTTGTTCTGGATGATGTTCTTGGTGACGGCCTTGAGGTTCGGCGCGGCGACGCGCTCGCCGAGCCACTGGCATTGCATCTGCATAGCACTCCTGTCAGCCCGCTGTCTGGGCTCGCGCGAGGGGAAAAGGCAGGACGGATAGGTGGCATGGATACATACCTTGCTTGGGGGCACAGCCCAAACCTTGTAGTTGTACGGTCTCATGAAGATGTCTGCGACGCCCTCGCCACAGTTGCGCAGGATCCACTCGTCGAAGTTGGCCGGCTTGTCGTTGCGTACGCGCGCCTCCAGTGCAGCATCGATCATGCCGTCCATGCACCTCACCTTGTCCTCTTCCGGCAGCATGGCGATGTTGTTCTGGAAGGGATACGGCACCCAGAGGCCCTTGTAACGCACGTACGAGATGCGCTGGTGCGTGTACCAGTCCGTCTCTTTCGGCAATGCCTCGTTGATGCAATCGTCAAAGTACTTGTAGTGCGAGAAGATGACGTGGCCGCCGACATCGTACAGCTGGCCGTGATTGTAAGCCTGGGGGTCATCCTCGCCTTTGGTTGAGCACGGGAAGCACCTACAAATCCTTCTGGCGTGACGTCTGTCGAGGCGAGACCGCCCGGGGTGGAATTGCAGTCCACGATCATCCATGATGCCTCGTTCTGCGACGGCTTTGTGTCAGTCCTCACATTCACTTCATCGCGGTTCCAGCGCACGGCATTGCCGCTTGGAGCCCGTCCAGTCCCCCCATGCGTCCTGCCGCGTCCGACGAACACTCCCACGTCCCTTGGGAAAGAACAGGTGGCCCATCGCAGTCCGCACTTGTAGGTGACGCGCTCCAACGACAACGACGACGACGACGCCGTGCGGGTAGGATGAGAGACATACAATCTGATTCAATCGTTTGGCGGCACCGAGACCTGTTGGTCCGGCGCCAATGACGAGGACATCAACCTCTCTGCATGTCCGCAGTATGTCAGCTGCCGTGTCCGGGGAGGCCCTCGCTTTGGAGGGAGAGCAAGGGGGGAGGGAGGGCAATTTTGCAGCGAGCACTCACATTTGCTGTCCTGGTGGTGAAGTCATGCTGATTGAGTCCTTCTTGCTTCGGATGGAGGTTTTCGAAGCGGTCCTGCTGTGGGCCATGATTTCTTTTCCTTTTGAATTTTATACAGCACCACGAAGGGAAAAGCTAGGGCCCCTTTTTTTTTATTTCTCTCGCGGAGGTGGGAAAAGTTTGAAGGAGTCTCAGCTACCAAGTGTCAAGTTCGTAGCTTATTGTGATGTGTACAGTTAAAAGAAAAAAAAAGGGAAGCGCAAGAAAGACCACGGGTCGCACTGCGAAGCGGTAACTACCCCTGTTGTTTCTTGCAGGTGTTCAGGTATGGAAAGGCGAAAAGAGGTAGCGGTACGGAGAAAGAGATGGAGTGCGTACGTATGGGTGTATGAGTGCGTCTATTTGTGTAGGCGCTGTGGGAGCATGTATTGGTCAGTGAGAGCGAACGTACAGGCGTATCGCAATCTCTTGTGTAGGAGCAGAGGTCTCGGGGCGTTTTTTCTTGTGTCGTTGCTCCTAGTAACAATCTACGCTACAGATACAAGTGTACACGTGCAGACGGACTGACGCTCGAAGCGATGGCGGACGCGCGCCCAAAGAGGTCATGATTGTTATTATTACTGGAGCCAAACCCTGAACTGCGCGCTTGTGCACGATCTTCCCCCGTCGTCGTCCAGCGCCGACGAACAAGACGACACCGACTTCTGACACCGACTGTCTGGCCGTCCATTATTACTTCGCAACCCATGGCGCCGCCGTGCCACCAAACCCTGCGGCAAATCGTGCTCCCCTTCGCACACGCCAGGGACCCGCTACCAAAGCGAGCAAAGCCAAACCGCCCGATGGCCTGCCCATGATGTCGTGCCGCAACGTGCGATTCGCCCGTCTGGCGGTCCCACGTAGCTTGATGCGGCAGCGGAAATGTTGGGGAGGGGCCACGTTCGCTATGCCGCTATGTTCAGGCAAGGGGGGAAAATGAAGAAAAAAAAAAAAAAAGACTGAAAGAAACGAGAAAGTGGTGAGCAGACTGGTGCTCTCCTATTTCACCCTAGCGCAGATCACGTTTGATGGACATCTGTCCTACCCATTTTGCGTGCTAGCCAAGGTTCGAGCCATAACATTGCCACGGTTGTGATGGTGACCATGAATTATGGGGAGAAGTGGGGAGGGGATGGGGCAGAACTCTCTCTCTCTCTCTCGCGAGCCTTGGATGAGCTTGAATTAGTCCGCTACGTTCTTTTCTTTTCTTTTGACTACCGCGTTCTGCTTGGCCTGGCGAAGCATCGTCGTTGCAGCACAGGAAACTCGAGGGTACAAGTGATGCTTGCTTGCTACGGGAAACCAGATCTGAGATCTCGCTCATTGCGATGGTGGCCGTGGAGCGTTTCCTCGTCCCCCGAGACACAGCTCTTGCACACGTTGATTCGACGGCGGGTGAAGTCGTGTTCGACCGAGACCAGCGATTGCCACACCAGTGGCAAACAGAGGAAACATGGGCGAATGTTCGGGTTGGGATGCAGTTCACCATCGTAACTTCGGCCAGCTGGCCTTTTTTTGTTGTCCATCGTTGGCTTTGCATGGACATGGGCAGCACACGGCTCAGTCGAGGCTGAGGACACGACCGCCTCATCTATGTGAACGGTTTCGCCCTACCCTTATACTGTATCAAAGTCAACGCCATCCCGTCTCGAGTAGACACAATGTAGCCTGTTGTTTCTCAGCCGTGCGGCACTGTTCTGTGCCGTTGTGTGCGACGCCTCGCGCAAGACAATGACAAGCAAGATCCGTGAAGGCGAAGGCAAAGCGATGCGCGTTGCAAGCCAAGCTATGCAGATCTGATGTTGCACTCCTCACTGTACAGAGTGCAACACTGTGCTCATAATACTAGCCCCGTCATGTGGAGTGCGAAAGTCTGTCCTGAAGCGCCTCGAGGTTTCCGTTTTGAATTTGCGTCCCACATGCTGCTCCTCCTCCCCGTCATCATCATCGTCATCACTGATTCCTAGTAAGATCATTTCTCAGCATCTTCATCATCATCATCATTTTGCGTCAGCCCACGCAAACCGGAAGCAAGCTGTTGCGTGTCGGTAGTTGCCCAAAGAGGACAGGCAAGCGAGGTTGAACCATGGCATTGCATTGCGTGGACGGTTCCCACACATCAAACGGCGGTGCTCCACCCAGCCAGAGCGGACAGGCCACGTACGGGAAGGGTTTGCATCACTACTGGGGAAAGGCAAGAAAAAAAAATTAGGGAAGAACAGAACAACGGACTTCACGGCGGGCAGAGTGGAACGTGCAAGGGCGAAGAGGCACAGAGAGCGTGGGCGGAAACAGGGTAGCGGCTCTGCCAACACAGGATCACTCTCTTTGTCGTTGTTATCACTGTTGGTGTTCATCGTCTTATCACTGTGGTAACTAGCATCATCATCATCATCATCATCATCATCATCATCCTCCTCCTCGTCGGCGTCGTCGTCGTAGTCCTGATTGGTGTAGAAGGGCGGCGGCAGGGGAGTCGACGATTGGTACTTCGTAATAAAGGCTTTTGATTGCTGGACATGCTCTCCAGAAGCCACTCATCTTCTGGCATGTCCACAAACACAGTAGCGCGCGCACCACAGACTGGCGCTAGGATCCCCGCTAAGAGGAACTGGCCGTTGTGGTGCAGCCATGGAAGCAATGGAGACGGTACAGGACGTACCGCAGAGCACCTCTGAATCGCGCAGTGGCACAGCAACGCAGCGGTTTTCGTGGTTGGCAGTGGTCCGGCTTCGCAGATGGTGACGCAAGAGCGTACGTGCAAGCATGCTTTGCTGAGTGCTGCTGCACTGCGCTACACCATGGCACTCTACGCTACGGCTCCTCTGTACCTTGCGCCACTTTGCAGCACGGCGCAGCGAAGAATGATTGGTGGGTCCGGTTGCGGCTTCCCGCCTGCGATCGAAGGGGGGATGGCAGATGGTGGAGGGGGAGGAAGAGGAGGGAAGGAGCCATCGAGCGAAGTCCCTAGTGGCGGGCCAGAACCAGCAAGAGCCAGCCAGACCACGCGCGAGGGTGGAGTGTGGCAGCCACGACCTGTGGACCGTCGTGCTCCTGCCCAGTCCAGACACGCAGCGCCGACCAGCGTGCGTGTACGGTTTGCGACGTTAATTACGGACCGAATCCAGCGCGTACTGTACGCGGTGCGGCGGCGTACTACCGGCTGTACTGTAATCTCGCTGCTGTTGCTGCGTTTGCCGCTGCTCCTGGGGCGTCTCTTTGATAACGGAACGTAACTTAACACTTAGAGCGGCTGGCCTGTGTACGCCCGCCCTCTGCGGCAACCGACGTTTACTCACGTCCACCGAGTTTGTTCAACTTACGTGGATTCGCCGGCCTGAGCTTGAGTCAAGTGAGCACGATCAAACCGTCCACATCCACACACGTCCTCTTCATCCACAGTCCTGCCGTGGGCGGCACGGCCACGTCTGCAACATCGCAATTCTTTACGTTAGCATGAACTTATAGATCTGGCCGCAACGAGCCCCAGTCTGGCGGGTTTGGGCGGGCTCCCCTTCGCTGGATCCTGCCGATACCCGCCTGTCGTCTACGTCTACGTCTGCGCTCCAGAGTCGTGCGCCTCCGTCTGCGTCGCCTTGTCCTTGTCCTTGTCCCTGTCCGTTGTGTTTATTTGGTCCTGGCCTTTGTGCTTGCACCACTTACTTTAATCGTCGAACAGTCCTTCTGCGCGTGCAACCTGCTTGTCTGCTCGCCGGCTCATTCTCGCGCCCTGCACTGTGTGTCTGGCGTCCTCGTCTTCCTCCCCGTCCTCCGCCCTCTTCGCTCGTCGCCAACCCGCGCGCGAAAGGCCGGCTCTCGAACTGAGCGGGCGTGCTTGCCGGCCGGAGCACACGGCCGCCTTTCTCGTTCTACGCGCTGAATCCGGCTCGGCTTGATCTTGATTCTGTGTTTGCTTCCCTCGTTTTACTCTTTTCCGCTCCGGTCGAGTCCCGCCTCTGTCGGGAGATCACCGTGCTTGGCGTGGGAGCGTCCGCCCTCGCCGCCCGTTCTGTCCCCGTCGCTTTTCTCCTGCGCAAGCTTGTCCCCGTTCCTCGCTTCCCCAACCGAAAAAGTCTACACACCTCCCTCCCTCACACACACACTCTCTCTCGCTCTCTCACTCGCTCTCCTTCTCTCTCTTCTCCCCTCACTTCTTCCCATCCCTCTCCCACGCAGCCGCCCTCGCTCCACCGTCACCCCATCTTCCCTGCGGAACGACGCCTGCCATGTCCGACGAGAAGGCCCGTGTCTCTGGCGAGCGCGAGCGTGAGCGCGAGTCGCCCGCCGACGTGTTGCCAACGGTCAACCCCGACGCTGTGAAACCAGAGCCTCCAAAGCAATCGGTGCCCGCTGCCGTGTACATTGCGTGAGTGCGCCTCAAGAAACTCCATCCCTTCGCCCCCCCTCCCCTCATCTCGTCGCCGTCGCAAATCCGCCTCGATTGCTGACCAGTGTCTCTTCTTGCCCTGCAGTGTCTGGATTGCTCTCAGCGGCGCTGTCATCATCTTCAACAAGTGGATCCTACACTCAAAAGAATTCAGTAAGCAAAGCCTCCCTCCGCCCACGAACGCTCAGCTTCGCAGCGCAGCAGCTAACTCGACTCCACAGGATACCGTACGTGATCTCACTCGGTCCCCTCCCAATCACTTCCTCCCTCTAGTCGTATCGGAGTCGCGCAATGCCTAACCACATGAGCTGACCTGCCTGCAAACAGCCGTTTTCTTGACAACATGGCATCTGATCTTCTCCACCTTCGTCACCCAGATGCTTGCCCGCTTCACCACCGTCTTGGACTCGCGGAAAAAGGTACCCATGACCGGCCGTGTGTACCTGCGCGCCATTGTCCCCATCGGCATGTTCTTCAGCTTGAGCTTGATGTTCAGTAACGCTGCCTACCTGTATCTGTCCGTCGCCTTTATCCAGATGCTCAAGGCCACCACGCCCGTCGCCGTCTTGCTCGTCACCTGGGGCTTGGGTATCACTCCTCCCAACATGAAGACGCTGGGCAACGTTTCCGTCATTGTCCTCGGTGTCATCATTGCCTCGTATGGCGAGATCCAGTTCGTCATGATTGGCTTCGTCGTGCAGATCGCAGGCATTCTCTGTGAGGCGACCAGATTGGCCATGGTCGAACGCCTTCTGAGCGGCGGCGAGTTCAAGATGGATCCGCTCGTGTCGCTGTACTACTTCGCCCCGGCTTGCGCTACCATGAACTTCATCATGTTCTGCTTCCTCGAGTTGCACAAGATTTCCCTCGAGAAGATATTCGACCTGGGCCTGTTCACCCTTGTGCTCAACGCTACCGTTGCATTCATGCTCAACGTTGCAGTTGTGTTCCTTGTAAGTAATGCGCGAAAACACCCCGACACTCGATGCAATGTGGCTAACAGGTCCAAAATAACAGATTGGAAAGACCTCGTCGCTCGTCCTCACTCTGTCCGGCGTTCTCAAGGACATTCTTCTCGTCGTTGCCTCAATGGTACTCTTCGGCGATCCAGTCTCCGGTCTCCAGGCGTTCGGCTACAGCATTGCTCTTGGAGGCCTTGTGTACTACAAGCTCGGCGGTGAGAAGATGAGGGGTTTTATCGCCGATGGCCAACGCTCCTGGTCAGAGTATGGCAACAAACATCCTGCAATGCGCAAGCTCATCATCATTGGATGCGCTTTCTTGGCCGTCCTGGTTCTCATGGGAGGTCTTGCGCCCGCCGTGCCTTCGGAGTACAGGGACGCGGCTGTCAGCAAGGTCAGCGGCCTGCTGGGCGAAAAGGGCGTCTAAGCACGAGCGTCCCACAAAGGAAAAGAAACAAACCCAACATTTTGCCAAAAGAGTGCTAATCCCAAGTGCGAAAACGATCCAACGAGCGACTGGTGCGCAAAGGGGGAGAGAAGTCACCAATTATGATTGTACTCGAAACCTTACCAGCTTTTTTCTACGAAGTCCTCTCCCTGGGTCAATGCAATCCTATGGCCAACACAGCAGGAGGGAGGCAATCCCTTTAATAATATTTTGATAGAGGGTGTGGGTACCTTTTACACGGGAGCCCACACCCAGTGCTCGTGTCTGTGTGCGTGTGCATGCGTGGGGAAACAGATGGCCCCGTGGATGGATAAAAATCTTGTGTTTTCGTGTATCTGCGTGCAGTGCAGCAAGAAACAAGCATGATAGAAGCGATATGTGTATTCTCTCTCATTATCCTACGGCGTTGTCGATCCATAAAGTGTGTGGTGCATGTGGTGTAACCCCCTTTGATACTTTTGTACTTGTAGAGAGCTAGCAACAACTGGGATTTGCATTGCGCATACTGTTCAACTCCTACTTTTCCTGCTCTCTCTTTACGATGAAAGTTGCCGACTGTGAAGATTAGCAAAGCTCTGGTTTGTATCTGAGAATTTTCGGGCCCTCCGTGGACGCTGGCCCCCTTTCTTTTCTTCGTGTCACGAATCCACTACATTCTTTACGGCCCGCACATAGGTTCAGGTCATATTCAGACTGGAGAACCTGAAATTTTCTCTCCAAAGCGCAAGCATCGAATGACAACTTTATGGCATCGGTTTCTCTTTTCTCTTTTTTTTTAATATTCCAATTGTATGTTGTGTCGTGGAAAAGCAATCACTTTTTTTTTTCTCAAAAAAAAAAAATTATTCGTAACTATTTTGTACTCCAGCGAAAGCAAATCGCGACAGGCACTTGGAGAATGGGACAGCATCGCTTTGCGTCTGGAGCGAAGAGCTTTGATCATGATAGCCAAAGGACCACACTGTTTGCAAGGGCTTTTTTTTTATTGTATTCGACTGTAAAGGCTACGCGAAGCAAACACCCGCAGCTCTTGTTCGTCCTTGGTCTTGGCCCTGATCTGATCTGGGCCTTCGAGTAGTTTCTCAGCTTGATCGCTCCCTGCTGTGGATGACAGACGTTACAGGAAGAAGGCATCTGTAGTGTCGTAACCGGTAACCGACGTACCGAGCAGAGCGACGCGACGGCAGACAGGTTAGTATGGCACACGGTTGAGCTTTCGACGTGAGCTGCGAAAGGGGTCTCTATTGGATGTCTACATGGATTATCGCGGAGTGGTCTTGCGTCTACGGTATTTGTACAAGAATGCTTGGAAAAATAAACGTTGCCCGGCGGATCCGGAGTCGTCAGTCGCATCTGCCGTCCTTCCACCCCGTCCGCCACCGCTCGTCGACCTTGGCGCAGTCGAACTCGGGCTTGCCCAACTTCCGGTTGACCTCGTTGTGCGCCTCGCAAAGCCATTGGGAGAACTCCTCTCTCGAGCTGACCCTCGGCGCGTTCTTCGCCTCCTTCATCCACCGCTGAAAGTCGGAGGCGCACCAGTGGCACGGGTACAGCCTCGACAGGGAGCTTACGAACGAGACGGCGTCGCGCTGCTGCTCGGCGTTCGGGCGTTCCGGGTACGTGGCCGCCATTGTGTGCAGCAGCGTCCACGAGGAGCGGCCGAGCTGTTCCACGTCTGCAGGACATTCGGACGACGAGTCTGCTGGCGCGGCCGCCTTGGACGTTTGCGCGGCCGCCGATGCGCCGGATGTCTTCTTGAGCATGGCTTTCCACGCCGCTCCCGACGTGCACGTTCGACACCTTTGACACAGATCAGTCCTACGCCGCGATACGTTTGCGTTCCACCGGGCCGGGGTACGTACGGCTTGCCATCCGGACCTAGCACTACGCCCTTTGGCAGGTCCTTCTCTTCATTCTTGTTGCTGTTGTTGCCGTCGCTGGGATCCTGCGGCGCAGCTCCAAACTCTCGCGGCAACGGCATGGCGGGCGGGCGTGCCTGTCGCTTTCTGAAGGTTGCAGAAGAAGAACGGACTCGAGATGGGATTGAAACGCTTCGTTTGCGGGCGTCATCGCCTGCTTAGCAATGAATTCGTTCAAGGCCGCGTTTGGTCCGATGTCAAGATGGTCCCTGCTCTGCGCCACCGCATTGCTATCGATTAAGTTTACGAGCGTCGAGCTAAGGTGAAAAGCGTCGACAAGGAGAGTCGTGAACAGAACAGAGCGTTGTAGATTTTTCGTTGTGAGCTACTTGTTGTCCGTCAGCAGACAGGGCTCGGTACGGGCTGACAAAGGACGACTTTCTGGCGCCTGCACGTCGTCTTAAGTTTATTTCTACCCTGCGGGACCTGCATGTGGGCGAAAGATTAGAGACCACACCTGGCCTTGCTGTGCGAAAATTGAATACAGTAAGCAAGCTGGGAAGTGCCACAAAATAACCTTTTTTTTTCACTCTCTTTTAATTGTTTCACGACCAGCCATTGGAGATCTTCCAGCCGCTTGTTTTGATGTTTACATGTTTCTATCGTGATCTTGACAGCGAGGATTCGAATTGTCCTCGCACGAAGCGAACCAGTCTGATCTTACCTTACTCCCCAGTATCTCAAGCACGTGGTTGTCAGGACAGAATCACAGCATGGCCCAACAGATACCAGTTCTTCTACTGAAGACGAAGTCCTCACCATCCGATAGCTACGAGGAGCGCCTTCGTGCCTTGGATAATGGGCGCTTCAGCCCAGAATTCGCTCCGGTGCTAGAACATCGATTTCGAAGACAGTCATTACAAGAAATAGCGGACGTCTATAAAAAAGGGGACCTTGGGCTTTCACCCAAGCACGATGGCTCATCTCCGAAGTACGGCGGGATCATCTTCACATCGCAACGCGCCGTGGAGGCTTTCTCGCAGGTCATCAATACTCTTCGACTGTACGGCGCGACCAACGCTCTCTTGCCAAACGACGTGCCTTTTTATGTGGTCGGACCGGCGACTTCTCGCGCTCTTGCGGCGCTCCAACTTGACAATGCCATCGTTGGAGAGGAGACAGGCAACGGAGAGGCGCTTGCCTCATTCATACTCCAGCATTACAACGCGTTGCTGCAGAAACAGAACTCCCTCCCCGTCAAGCCGGCTTTGCTGTTCCTTGTTGGCGAGCAGAGGCGCGACGTCGTTCCGAAAACTCTCCAGAGCGAACGGATCGACCCCGCGCTTCGGATCGCGGTGGACGAGATTGTGGTGTACGAGACGACCGAGATGAAGTCTTTCAAATCGGATTTTGCAGAGAAGTATCTCAAAGGCGTCGTCGATGGCTGCACGTACCAGTGGGTCGTTGTATTCTCTCCCACGGGATGCAAGGCCATGTTCGAGGCCCTCGGCTTGCTCGACCAGAATACGGGCAAGTACAAGGACAAGATAAAGAGACCATTCATAGCCACCATCGGCCCGACGACGCGGGACTACCTCGTCAGGGAGTTCTCGTTCGAACCTGACGTTTGTGCGGAGCAACCCAGCCCAGAAGGTGTTTGCGCAGGCATCTCCGCCTACATGGCGAAGCTGATGGCGCCCGTCGCAGATGGGATGGATGTCGACAGTGTGTCTTTGAGGAAGAGGCAAAGGACAGACTGAGCACACACAGAGAATTATGTTCATATTTTTCTTATTCTGTGAATCTCCAGCTGTGCAGGACTTATCGGATCGTGAAAATCCTGTGTCGGCTCAGCTACGCTTCGCAAGGCTGGGTCACGTGCTTCATCTAATAATGACGTATATGGCACCACCGAAAGACCGTATCGTTCTCTTGAAGACTGAAAGTCAAAGAGTGCCTACTAAATGACGAAACATAGCGATTTGCATTGACTTAGACCTGACAACTCACCCTTCCGTTGCTGGTGTGATTTACAAACTCCCACACAACAAACACCATTGCCAAGCGATTGGATGTTTGCACTGTGGAAAGAACGCTCCAAGCGCAAGTTGTAGTGAGTGAGTTCGTTCTCGCCAAAACATTAAATTGACAGAAACAGAAACATACAGACTATAGACTTCCATTGGAAGAATTTTAATCATGCCTGTGACACGTCGATCGGCACGTCTCGCTCATGCGAGTTCCAGTCCGGTCTCCTCTCCAGTCCCGACAGGTTCTAAGCGCAAGGCTACAGCATCTCCGGAGCAAAAAACCTCACGAAAGTCCAAAAAGTCCCAAAGGACTCTTGAAGAGACCATTTCTCCAGATGATAAACAACGAGATGTTGATATGGAGACGGAAGAAGCGGGAGACGCAGATGTTTCAAGCGAGAAAAAATCAAATGAAGATCAAGAAAAGCACGAAGACAATGTCTCGGAAACCAAACGCAGAAGTTCGAGTAACAAGAGGTCTGAAGGCCATGCTGATCTCGCGAAGGGTGCTGAGTTTCGAGATACTGAGAACAGAGACGCATCCGGAGACGAGACGAGCAGCGAGGCCTCAGTGTCCGAAGGAAATGAGACGAAGGCGGCATCCAAGAGCTCTAAAAACGGCGTTTCTGGTGGCTCAAGGGGCCCAAGCACGAAGGCATCCGCGAATGCGCATGGTCGCCAGTCAGGGGAGGAAGGGGAGAAAACCGGACCTGCGGAGAACAGAGGACCAGAAGTTGACCGGCCTGGTGATACTGGGTCTCTAGTGGAAGATAGCACGGCTCGTTCTAAAACGATCGCATCCAACATCATTGAAAAGGGAATCATCTACTTTTTCATTCGCGGTCGTGTCAATGTCGACGAGCCAGAAGGCGTACAGGACTTGCAGCGTACCTACTTTGTCCTCCGGCCCATACCCACTGGTGCAAAACTTGGCTCCGGTCCTATCGATGACCGGAGGTGCAATCGGCTGCTTGCACTGCCGAAGAAGGTGTTCCCCAGAGGCGGCAAGGATCGATACATGGTCTTTGTGGAGAAGGCAAAGGCGTCCATGAGTGAGCTCAAAGAGCAGTTCTTCCAGGGCTCGGATTACGAGACGAAAGCTGGCGAGAGTCGCCATACGCCCAACGTGGTTCCAGCGGGTGAAGGTGTTTATGCAATTACGGACAGCGGCCGTAGCAGTCACCTCGTATACGTGGTAAGCGCTTTCCTTTCGCCTTTGAAAAGGGGGGTATTCGGCTGACGTTTGGATTAGCTCACCGTTCCGACCAGTGCTGGACAGCTACAAGACGAACTGGGGATTCGCTCCCAAGGGTCCTTTGTGCTCTCTCTCAAGAATCCCAAGAACAAAGGATCAGCGAACGCACAGCTTCCCGAATCGCCGGACTTTCCTCAGTCCATCATGGATGATTTCAAGGGGTTGGCATGGATGCCAGTGCGCAAACCAGAATACTTGGACTATCCCAACGCACAACTGCTGCTTATAGGGGAGGGTCATGACAAGCTCGACAAGGCAGTCGAAGGGTCAGAAAGGGAAACAGGCAAGGAGAGCCTGGGACAGGAGCTGGAGAAGTTGGAGAATGAGGATCAAATTCGAGTCGATCGTTTGGACGGCGAAGACGCTGTGTTCAAAGATTTGCACGTGGGGAAGGAGCAGTATTCAGCGGTCAAAACGACGTGGTAGACGGGACAACGGTACCGGGGAAAAAGCAGCCCGCTAAGCGACGTGATTGTGTTTTTGATAATGCAACAGGCGGCGATACTGTGTAAGCTTTTTGAAGCCGCGACGCTTGGCCGTGGCAAGACGCTACGCCAAGCTCGTACTTCATCGAAGACGAAAGGGGCTAAACAAAGCATTCGTGAGCAAAATCCGTGCCGCCGCCGTGTAGGCCATCTGGCATGATACTTGGTAGACTACTGTTCAGGGCAGCTGATTCACGTCACGGGCCAAGAGGTTTGATTCAAGTACGTTCAGCGCTCTGGAGGAATTTCTTGTCTGACACTGTGGCGACATGTTAGATCTTTGATGTGCGAGATGAAAGAAAGCGACCCGTCTTCTTCTTCTTTTTTTTTTTTTTGTTTAAATTAAATACTTGTTTGTTTATTTTTTGCGCTTTTCAAGCGACGAGAGGCAGCTGCTTTTACCCACGAGCGTGTGCTTTGGCCAAGCGCGGTACAGTCCGAGAGCGAGCATTACGATCTTCAACAGAGCATTTCCGGGATGTCTCGTGCTTCAAGGCATAACCTCAGTAGCACTCGGCTCATCCACGGTGTTGTCGGTGCTTGGGCGACGTATCTGGCACGGGAGCGCTGAGCTGGGCTAACTTGGCTAAAAGCTGCAGGGCTCCTGGGCGTCCTATTTTTGGCCGTGTGTCTGCTGCTCAGCCTCGACGCATTGTGGCAAGGAGCGCACCGCGCAGATTTTGGATCTTCCAGCTTTCGTTTTCCGTTTGTTTCTCTCTCTCTCTCTCTCTCTTTCCCTCCGTCCTTGCTTCTCTTCGTGAATGGAGGTGGAGTGAGAGAGGAAAACGGTGGGCGTATTTGCGTCGTGTTTCAAAACCTGCAATCTGTTCGGCGAACGCTTCATCTCGGCTGGCAAACAGAAAACGTTTTGGACTGCTGCTCTGGGTCCAAGTAAAGACGTCATTGTGGTTGGACAGGCGTGGCCCATTCTTCTCTGCTGTGCCTTTTTCCAGCTGGGCAGGCAGTAGGAACTAGCAGTTCATGTGCTGCTGGGTTGTTGAACAACGATCGGCTGCCAACGGGCTTAGATGGTTAATGCACGCACTATCGGCTTGCGAGGCGCAGCCGTTGGCAAATCCAGCATCGTTCGTCGAGGAAATCCCGGACGCAGTGACGCGATGCGTTGCGCTGTGGGCGAACGACTCGCCGGGTTGGGGAGACACACCGACGCCATCTCTATTTTTCACCTGACAAGTGAATACGATGTAGCAGCAGGGAGCGCAGCCAGGAAAAGCAGCTCTGGCTGTGCGATCAGACAAATAGTAGTCATGCAATGGCGACTACAAGCAACGGGCTCAGCACGCGTACACATCCCGTATACGCCTCTCAGGCCTCGCTGCCGCTCCTCTCGCTCTCGCTCGCGCTCGCTGCTATAAACGACTATCGCTGCAATCCTCATCAAGCACTCCCCTTTTCGAAAAAGCCAAAACACCTCCCCGGATCGAGTCTCCTGGCGTCGAGACCACAGGATCGGCTGCAGACTAGTTACAGGAGACGCGCATCAGGACCCGCTTCCCGCTGCGACGACCAACAGCAGACCACGTTTGGGCCTGAGCGAAACAAGCCACCACCAGGAATCTGCTCCACTGCTGCTCCACCACGCCTTTTCTCTCAAGACTGGGCCGGACGCTTCCTGTGGCCGTTGCGTTTCACCATCGTTCTTCTCCTCCATCGTTACCACACTTCCACTTCAATCCAGTTTCTTCTTTCACGCTCGCTGTGCATCGCTCGCTTCTCACGTCCTACGCCCTCACAACACCGTTACCCCCTTTCTTCTTTCCCTCGAGCCTTTCTTCGCCTACCTCGCCTTTCCGCTTCTACCTTCCGTGACGACCCTTTCTAATCCCACCCAACCTTCATTCTTCCAGTACAAACGAATAGGGCACGGCGGAAGGTTGATCCTGCGGCCGTCTGCGATTTTAATACGATCTTTCCCACTCTTTCTTGGAATTCCTCTTCGCTTCGCGGGAAAGACCTCCTTTTGCTTTTTTGTTTCCCTACACGTCCGTCCACTTCGAGACAGGTCATTTGTGAAGCCAGAGTGACCAAGTATCCCTTGCAAAAGGGCCGATCCAATTGGACCCGTCTCCTCCCCGTATCTCAGCCGCGTCGCAGCTTCTGGACAACGATGAAGACCAGGTGGCACGTCCCGAACGTGCTCGCTGCTGCAGTCCTGCTCTTTGGTGCTCTGCCGGCCGGAGTACTCGGTGCACAGATCTTGCAAACCGATGGCTTTTCGTCGTGTGGCTCCAACTCGGATATCCAGGTGCAGAAGCTCAACATCTCTTATGACAATTCCAACAAGAAAGTCACGTTCGATGTCTCCGGCACCAGCACAAAGTCTCAGGAGGTTATGGCCAAGCTGACCGTATTCGCGTACGGCCAGCAGGTGTACCAGAACGAGTTCAACCCGTGCGACAGCTCGACCAAAGTTGACCAACTGTGTCCAATACCGCAAGGAACCTTTTCAGCGCAGGGTGAGCAGGATATCCCAACATCGTACGCAAACATGATTCCGTCTATCGCATTCTCAGTTCCTAATCTGGACGGTACCGCCAAACTCGAGCTCATGCCCGTCAATGGAGGCTCCGACATTGCGTGCTTCGAATCTGTAGTGAGCAATGGGAAGAGCATGAAGACCACGGCTGTTTCTGCCATTGCTGCGGGCATCGCTGCCGGTGCCTTGCTTGTGTCTGCCTTGGGTGCGTTGACGGGTGCAGGAAACGTCGGCGGTGCAACTCCAAGTCCTACCTTTGGCGAAGTTGTCGGTTGGTTCCAGAGCATGGCCATGAATGGCATGCTCAGTGTCAACTATCCCTCTGCGTACACTAGCTTCTCCCAGAACTTCGGCTTCTCAGGACTTCTAATTCCCTGGAGCGGGTTGGAAACTACGATCGACAATTTTCGGAAGTCGACAGGTGGAAATCTGACGGATGCCTCGTACAGCTTTTTGAAAAACGCCACCATTGTTGAAGGAACTAGCAACGGCACAATCACAAAGCGCGGCCTAGACTTCGTCGACCTCGTGGCACGCAGTCTCCAGCTTTCTCAAAGCAACAGCACTTCGGGAAATAGTTCCGAGTCGGAGAGCAAAGCTGTGCACTTCGTCCACGGCATTCAGGGCTATGTCGAACAGCTCTCGATCCCAGCTGAAAACACTTTCATGACCGTCCTTCTAATCTTTGCCATCGTCGTGGCCGCCATCATCGTTGGAATCTTGCTGTTCAAGGTCATTCTCGAAGCCTGGGCGCTCTTTGGTGAATTCCCCAAGCGTCTCACAAGCTTCCGCAAGAGATACTGGTGGATCATGGCCAAGACGATCACGAACTTGATTCTGTTGCTTTACGGAGTCTGGACCTTGTACTGTGTCTACCAGCTTGTACGTGGCGACTCCTGGGCGGCCAAAGCCCTTGCAGGCGTCACTCTCGCCTTGTTCACTGCAATCCTAGCCTTCTTCACCTGGAGGATTTGGTCTCTAGCCCGCAAATACAAGAAAGCAGAGGGCGATACAAGCGGCCTTTATGAGAACAAGGAGACGTGGGTTAAATACAGCCTTTTCTACGACTCCTTCAAGAAGGGCTACTGGTGGATGTTTATCCCCAGCATCATCTACATGTTTACCAAAGGCGTTATCATTGCGGCGGGCGACGGCCACGGCATGATCCAGACGGGTGGGCAGCTGATCGTTGAATCGCTCATGCTTATCTTGCTCCTATGGACACGCCCATACACTCTGAAATCGGGTCAATGGATCAACATCATTATCCAGGTTGTGAGAGTGCTCTCCGTGCTCTGCATCTTGGTCTTCGTTGAACAACTGGGAATCTCTCAGACGCCGAAGACTGTTGTCGGTGTCGTCTTGATCGTCATGCAGTCAGTATTGACCGGTGTGCTTGCCATCCTGATCGCCGTCAATGCGCTCATCACCTTCTTCCGCATGAATCCACACCGCAAAGCTCGCAAGGACGCAGGTACGACATATCTTTTGAAGTCTCAGCTCATGACATGGTTGCTAACGCCGTTTGACAGAAAAAATCAACCGCGACCTCGACAATCTCACCCCTCTTGATCCTCGCAATTCCCTTCTGCATCCACCTCCGTACAAGTCCGAGCGAGAGCCAACCTTGCCATCTTTGCAAAAGCCCGTCACCGCTGCTTACGCGGACGACGATACCGAATACCGTGGCTACAGCTATGGCCACAAGCCGACGGACTCACAAGAACGCCTTCTTCCCCCTGATCAACTAAGCATGGGTGGCAGGACGCTGCATTCTGAAAGCTCCAATCCCTCTCTTCGCGCACCTTTACTCCCAAGCGTGGATCCCAGGTGGCGATCACAGGGTTATTGAATAGCATAAGCGATACATAACGAATCTTCTTGCAAAAAGATTGAGTCTTTTTTTTTGTTCACCCAAACGCCAAGATCTGAGCCGTGTGCAATATGGGAAGGTGAAACTATGGCGGCTGCAAAACAATACTACTTGTCCTTTTTCTTGCACATTTGTATCACGGTTAAATATCCGCAGCGTTGCACATGCGTACACTCTTTAGGCCATGAGTTGCCAACAGCATTGGAACGGTGTTAATTGTTCTTCCTGTCTATTTGATCAAATCGAACTGTTCTTGAGGAAATAAGACTAGAATAGCAATTCAAGTTGGAGAGGACGGTTCTTCAATGCTTCAAATATTGTTTTTAAATTCTTAGCTTCCAAACCCGACTTTCACGTCACGGCCACGATTCGGTCGTGAACGCGATCCGAATTCGCCCCCGGTGAAATCGTGAGCGAGACCTGTGCCTTCTGAAATGATACCACAGCACTTCCAGGCGCTTCTAGAGCGAGTGCGGCGGTTGTAGGACGAAGGGGAGCAATGCTGCTCTTTTAGTCTAGCCACAAAGAGTGAGTCGAGCAGCCTATATAGAGAAGACTGCGACCCTTTTAGCATGGCACATTCATTGTATCGAAACCGGATCAGAGTTCCATGGTTTCGTATGATCCGTCAGCCAGACACGTTTTCCATCGGCCGCGAGGACCTTGCAAGATACGAATGAAGCACCGGTCGGTACTTCGCATACACCATCGAGTCTGCATCTTCAGCAGATCAAGCTGCTCCGTGAGCAGGAGCACTTGGCCTTAGCAGTCCGTCTACCCTTAGTGTACGGTTGGCTGTTGACGTTTTTGGTGGACGCAGAAAAAAGAAAGTCAATTTTTTTTTTCTCGCCAGCAGAAAGCGCACGTGCCATGTTTCTTCAGCAAAGTCAACTTCGTACGAAAGTTCACTTTACCGGATCAAAAACGCTCACGCAGCCCGTCAAGCCTCAGCGTAGGGCTTGCTGGTTTCGAGCCGAGTAGAAATTCTTCAGCAGGAACAAAAGCGCCTTTTCCTATGCAGATTACAGCCCCTCGAATCGAGTTGCGCGAGCGCTGAAGTCATGGAAGATGGCCCCCCCTAGCCAATCCGCAATCGATGGGTGCCGGGTGCCATTGACGTAGCTCTCGCTTGCGAGAGATGTCGATCTCGAACCATTTACATTGACCTCACTGGAATCGCGTGTCATCCAAGAAAGTGCCTATCTTCACGCCTTCTGTACCATGCAAACACAGCCTCCCATGCCTGCACAGTTCCTGGTCGACCATGTGCAGTAGTTGGATGTTGAGGTTCAGGTTCTTTTGAACATCCCCTGTCCTCAACTTCATCGATCATCGGCTTGACATCACCGGTGATTTGCTTTCCATCAAGTGTAGCTTCGTAGAAATGAGAAACGATCCAGTGGTCCAGCATTCTGTCCTCTTGCTTTCATCGAAGCGTTGAGCATAATGTGGGCAGCGTTGTTGTCACTGCTTCCTATCGTCACCGCCTCGTCGTCATCTAAACGTGGACTGGTGTTTATCAGCAGCACCAAGGACTCGACAACTGATGCGCCAGTATGGTTCACTAACACAGACCTCACCTGGTATTACAATTACGGCGCATATCCGTCGCAGCAGCTGCGGCAGTCTGCTTTGCATTTTGTACCGATGCTATGGGGTGCCCCTGATGACAAGAACGACACGTCTTTTCTCGACTCAGTCAGGTCAAGAAAACTGTCAGGCGAGAACATAACCCACGTGCTCGCCATGAACGAACCGGACATGAAGAAAGACGTAGGCGGCAGTGACATATCTCCCTCAGATGCAGCCAGCGTATGGCTGAAGCAAATCCAGCCGTTAAAGGCACTCGGAATAAAAGTCAGCGCACCAGTTGTTTCGGGGTCACCAAGTGGCTACAGCTGGTTGAAAAGCTGGCAAGACCAATGTGATGGCGAATGTAATCCAGACTTCATGCCCATCCATTGGTATGGTCCTTTTGCTGGCTTCGCGAGCTGGGTCGGGAACATGACAACCACATACCCTAATTTGGAGATATGGGTTACTGAGTTCGGTCTCCCAAATGCGGATCTGATTTCTACGCAAGTTTTCTACAACGAGAGCATTAACATGCTTGATGGATGGAGGTAATCTTTTGTACCCCGTGCATGCAGGTGAATTTTTATTAACAGACCCAAAGCAATGTGAGCCGTTACGCTTACTTCGGCTCCTTTCGAAGCGATTCATCAAACATCGGTCCCGCCGCAGCAATGCTTACAAATGAGGGTCAATTGACTGACATTGGTTCCTGGTATCTGGGGGGTAATGCGACTGGCGCAAAACCCGAAGGTAGTGGTTGCGTCAAGTCCCGTTCAACGGTCTTATTCTTCTTGGTGCTTTTGGCGCACTGCTTGCTGTCGATATAAGAGAAATGGACCTCGGCGGCAACGGACATCCCACTCCACCTCCCTTTATAAGCTATCGCAGATACGACCTCTTTCAAAGCATTGGTTGACCCTTTCTAGCACAGTTCGGTGATGGTCGACTCTTATTTCTTTGACCAAACTGTTTCCTGCAATGTCTTGGATAAATCAGCATATAGCAATGGCCTTCAACTATATCTGTTTTCTCGAAAGAAAACTAAGAAGATCGTTAAGTATTCGGGTAGTGGATGTAATATAAAACGGATAATGCAGGCTTTTCTACAGATCTTGCGCTTTTGTTAACCTGAACAACTGTTTTCTAGTTCAAAGGTCCCCTACCAAAATAAGATTGAATAGAGTGTGGACAGCTTCATCTTAGCACTTAATTGTAGCCTAAACTCTCATTAAAGAAGTAATCCCTACTTCATCTAGTAGCAAGAGTAGTATGAGCTATAACTATTTACCATGTAAATCTACAGTATCAAAAAGACTTAGAGCAGTTCCCGAAAAATAATAGGATATTTGCCAATTCAATAAGTAGGTTTAACCTGCGTGCCAGCTTTTTCAGGAGCGCGCTCAAAGCTTCTCTTCACAGTAAATGGCACATCTAACAGCCCGGACGATGCGTGGCTAGAATCACCCATCGTGCTCTTTTCAGCATGTGCAGATGTGCCCACCATTGCAGAAGGTTCAACATTAGCTGTGGTCATCTTTCCTTCGACTATGCTAGTTTTTGCACCAGTAATTTCCTCGTCGTTCTTTTCTTCCTCAATAACCATTGCACTGCCAGGGCTTGATATTCTGCACACCGATGATCGTGAACCACTGGAGCTTCGACTGCGCCTCGACAAAATCCGTTCCAACAGTGGTGGAGTAGAGGGCGGATCGCCTATACCTGGCCATGCTTCCGCCATGGCTATTGGCATTGAGGTTTGGAGAAGCTCGCGCACGGTGGAAAACTCGCCTTCGCCGTCCGTGCCGAGCTCTTCGTCCATGCCAATGCCGGAAGCAGCTTCGATGTCCGTAAGCCAATGCATCGCTACAGATCGCTTAATCCTTGCCCAAAGTCCGAGCTCGTCTATCTTGGTGTATGACTCCCGAGCAATTGTAGAGCTAGGATGGAACCAGCGTTTGATAAGGCTCCATTTCAATCTCACAATGATACCTGTGGGCTGGACAAACGTGCGAGGTCCAGCACGACTCCACAAACGCGGATGTGCTTCAGCAAACTCGTTGTAGATCTGCTCATAAACACCGCGCTGCATGGGTAAGTCGTGAGAAATGCTTGTAGAGATGGCGGACTTGATAAACATGTACAGCAGAATTATGATGATCATCAAGGGTATCGATGCTACAAAATACCATTTTAAACTGGGGAAATGGCCATTCCCCGGTTGGAAGACATCAACATTCATGCCGAAGAAACCGACCATGAAAGTGAGAGGGAGAAAGATGAAGGTGATCCAAGAAAGACGCCACATGGACGTTCCCAGCTGCAGCGAATGCCTGCTGTCGCGAATCCCAACGCTTTTGTACAGTAGGTCAGACAAATTAGTAGTGGGTTTGACCATCTCCTCGTCGAAAAGCGTCGCGACCCGGGTGAGATCAGATGGTGTATCTTTAAGCCAATCGTCCTTGACGAAGTCTTCGGATTCCGATAGATCACGCATCTGCTGCTGAAGATCGTTTATCGTGACTATATGGAGGCTGATTAGCTTCTCGAGTTTGAGCCATAGCGCACTATTGCTCCACAGTTCTGGAGCACGCGACTCGTCCGCCGGATTTTCGTATATCTTGTCCTCCAGGATGCTGACGTGAGCCTCGCACTTGTTTAAAGTCTTCTCCCAGCGTATGCGAAGGCCGGCAAAAATGTCACGCAGAACAAGATCCATGCATTCCATTGCCAATCTGTCTTCGGTTTGCTCCTCTTTGTTCAGATACAGCATGAGTCTACGCCAGCGGACCTCAATTTCTTCACGCGCCTGAATTAAAGTATCACCAAGGTTTCCTGTGTGGCTACTTTCAAAAACGATGATCGTGTTTCCGTTGTCAAGCTCAGTGAGTTTCTCAAAGACTTTGGCCTCCCAGTCATTCGGCACGTGCATGTTTGCCATTTTCGGAATTGCCGAGTCAAAGTCTAGATGGTGAATGAGCAAAGATCGAGGCTTTGTTCCTTTTTACATACCGTGATCAAAATCGCTCCGAGCGTTTATGTTTGTGCTGTCAACCATCTGGATGCTACGTTCCTTCCTCGCTCTCTGCTGCACGGTTTCAAAGGCTAGATCAATATACGGGTTCCGTAACTCGGTATCGAAAGGATGCAGGTCGATTTTCCCTTCATTTCTCTGAATGTAAACGCTCAGTCTTTGGACATACACATCATATCCATGCTCTATCGTGGTACCAGTTTCCTGATCCCAGTGGTTCAATCCCATAAGCTTGAAGCCCTGCGTTGCTGAATCCTTGATGACACCTGGCTTGAAGCTCTTTAGGTAGTCAACAACGAACCCCGTTCTGCTAACGCCGCGCCATGGGTCCTTGATACAACGAAAACTCTTCGCATTAAGCACGGGCTTGCCAGCTCGCAGCTGGGGTTTATCGAATTGCACCCATTTGCCAAATGAGGTGCCGACCACATCCTCGACCTTGGAGCTAATGTTGAATTTCTTAAGAAGAAAATCGCGGGCCCATATAGCATTTTGAACGTGAACAATGCGCAGGCATTGCCCGTCACCTTTCCCCTTTTTGCTACCGTAGAACTCTTTCAATTCGTTGATACTGGCAAGTTCATACGCCTCCGTCTTGCGCTTGCCATCGTCGCTGAATTCGCGACTGTAGCAATCTACAATGAGAACGCGTCCGTCGCGAAATGGATCATGGTGCATGTCCCATCTCTTCTTCCAGCCTACATTCGGACTCCGCTTGTGGTGCTTCCATGCCGACGAATGGCTTCTGCTGGGATTTACCGATTCACGACTAGGCTTACGATATTCATCTTGGCCGACAACCCTTCCCGCGCCTGACCATTCGTCTGTTACATGTCGAGTGGGTGGTTTGGAATGCGGGGGTGTGCCGGCGTGGGAAGATTCTGCATAGGTAAGAGGCTGGGTCACGTCTTCGATGGAGATGAGGGGGAGATTTAGCGGCGGGGCAGAGATAGAACGAAGTCTGGCATCTTTTGAGGCGACTTTTGAACTCGTCGGCTTCACAGGTCGCAGCGGTGGTGTGTTCTTAGACGCGCTGCCGCCCTTGGGAGTCGAGGACATGCTGGAGGGACAGGGTTCTAGCGTCGTTGCTCGCCACCAGTTTATTCGGGTAGCCTGGCACTTGTCCAGAAAGTCGGATTGTGTTGAATATAATATTGTCCACAGAACGTGGGGCAATGTCTTTTAAGACGATAGCTACGACATGATGTTTTCGTTTGGAGGCCTTCATGATGGGCGTAGCCGTTGCCTGTGCTGACCGAAAAGACGCCTCGTGAAGCACGAGGGTGGTTAGGCGACCACCGCGTAGATGTCGGCTGATCCTTCCCCGGCCTGTCTGCGTCGGCTTTTCTTTGTTGCCTGTTCGCGGTCAACATGCCATCGGCCTAGCAGAGACAGATGAACGATTGCCTCATCCGACACCGTCCATGAATCCATGAGACAAGTCCACACAAGGCTCGCCCTGCACATATCCGCATACTGTAGTTCTTGTCGCCGCATCTTGCGGTTGGGTAACGGGGGTGTCCACTCCAGACATCGAAACACTTCGACAGCTTCATCGTTGCTGTATATGAACTAAAACTGCAAAGAGGCATTCAATGCAAAATCTATTGAATAAACGCCATAATAGATACAAATAGACGTTTCCCCCCGTTGCATACTCGATATTTTCATGTTCGAGTTCTCCGTTGTGGGTTTAGGGATCACGCTACGTCTTCATCAGTTTCATCTGCGCTGAACAAAGACATTTACACGTCATGGGGTCGACGAAAAATGATATTGCGGTCTATCGCCGTCAATGTTGCAATTAAGTATTAAGTTGCCATACTACTGACAGGGAGCACTGTGCATACTCAGTCCGTAACTAGTTACAAGTCTCTAGAACATAAAATCATCGAGCGTTTTTGTTCAAGTTAGACCGAGAATCATGCAAAATGTCAAGTCTTTGGCTATGATTTTCGGGAACTCTACACGCCTATTTGTTACTTCAGATATCGTCTTCCGTTTTCGTCATTTCTCCGCGTCTTCATCATCTCCACCGACTGCGAAGAAATGTGCGTGTTGCCCGGCCATATTGCACCGGCCCTATTTGGACATGTGATAATCAGGCGATGAACTTATTGAAACAACTGCTGGGTGGTTTCTTCGTAAATTATACGCTGAGGGTCGAGCTCATAAAGACGATCATGATCTTTGAGCAGTCGAGGATCGCGATGTCTCTAAATATTCTGAGTCCTTTTTAGATCCATTATCAGAAACGATGCCACGCCGCCCATAGGCGACGTGCTTTGTTTGAGTCGTGAGTGGTCATTGATAAAGGACAAGCAATGAACAACAAAGCGGTGTCATTAATTATCCGCCGTCTGGATATACTTGCTCGTTATCTCCGACCTGTTTGTGGAAGAGAACCAAACTAGTCCGAAGTTGGAAAACAGTAATGGACCAATCAACTTCCTAGCTGAGTCTTGACACGAATTCAGCGCCTTGTGGGATGTAACGAATATTAATCGCTTCGGAATAGTGTTTGCTTAACTCCAGAATGTAATGGCGGAGTTAGCATGTGCAGATGGTAATTGTATAGGTGAAAATGTGGATATAAAAATTCGACACTCTTCTTCACAACTTGGTAATCGACACGAGCTTTCACTTTCTCACTGTGGTGTCGTTTGCCTTGCCTTCACTGAAAACATGTCTACATCGTTCAAACACGATTTTGTCCGCGATCAGAGAGTCGTACTTCCTACGGCAGATACTTATGCGGCAGCCATCAGAGGCGGCACGTTCATCGTCACCGGATCAAATACCGGGCTGGGTTTCGATGCGGCAAAATCTTTAGTCCAGACAGGTGCTTCGAAAGTCATTCTCGCCGTGCGTACACCATCCAAAGGAGAAGACGCAAGGTCCAAAATTGAAACTGCCACGGGGATTACGGGAGTTTTAGAAGTATGGCAACTTGAAATGGCCTCGTATGATTCTATCTTGGCATTTGCAAAACGAGTTGAGCTGCTTGAAAGAGTCGACGCAATTATCGAGAATGCTGCAATGGCATTGGATAAATGGCAGACTGGAGACAAGGGGATGGAGATGTCGCTCATCGTCAATGTGACGGGAACGATGTTACTTGCCGGGCTCGTAATGCCTAAACTGAAGGAGTGTGCGGAAAAGTTCAACATTAAACCTACGATCAGCATAGTTGGAAGTGGTGTAGCGCATCAAGATGATTGCAGGGATGAGCTGAATAGGGTCCCCGATGAGGAAGATATTATCGACTTCTTCAACGATCCAGTTCACGGAATCAATGCTCGGTATATTTGATGTCTCCTGACAAATTTTCCGTTAGCTAACACGATCGCGTAGGTACCCGCTTTCTAAGCTCCTCCTTCTCTATGCTGTTAGGGAATGGGCATTACGTAACCCAGTGTCCTTGACAGGTGTTGTGGTCAACTATGTGAATCCTGGACTGTGCTACACAGAACTCGCACGCCACGTGGACGAGAAGATCCGCAAGCATGTCGAAGCGTTGCGTGACCAGATTGGCAGGACTTCTGAGATGGGAAGCAGGACCCTGGTACACGGCGCTGTTGCGGGAGAGGAGTCGCACGGTAAATATCTCTCGGAATGTATGGTCAAGGAGTACGTGCCCCCAGCAAGTTGTTTTGTATCCGTGCTAACATAATGTTAGACATTATAATCCAGAATCGATCACTGGCGAGGAAGGCCAAAAAATGCAAAAGCGAGTGTGGAAAAGTTTAACAAATCACATCAATGCAATTTCACCTGGATGCCTCTGACCGATTTGGAAATAGTGGAATGTCAATAGACTTTCTCGGAATTCTGATGTCTGAAGCGCTATAGTAATTTACGCACTGATAATCTTTTGAAAGCCATGCAACGCGCCAGACGATTTTTCAAGTCCTTTTCTACCCATTGACTCTTAGCTAAAGGCGACATTTTCATGTCCACGGTTAGAGTACGCATTGGTGTTTATCTAACCTGAGTTACAGGGAGTTTGAAGCCTGGACATACTTGCTTGCTAATGATTTGCGCAAGTGTTTGCTGAAAAATTTCGTGATCGTCGTTCCGGCGTCTGCATAAGTTGCACAGCTACATGTCCCTACCCGAAATATTGGCCCCTCAGTCCCATGAACGTGGAGTGTTCGCTCTCTTCTTTCTTCCTTTGTCCACTCAGCTAGAACAGAAGAGTTAGTTCAGCTGCGAGTTTACATTTGAGAAGGATGAATGATAAGAAAAAGGCTTATGGTGAGACGTACCTCCATTTGTATTTGACGATGCAGGTGCACAAGCCAGTCAACATAGCTTTGAGCCTCATTGTTACGGTCCTCAACTAACAGCCTGGCAAACTCATACTCCGCGCCGTCAAGCCCTTGCCGAGCAAGTTGAATTGTCAGAGCCTTGCTGCCTCGTACAGTCTCTAGATACTGCAGAATATTTCGGACCTGAGCATTGAGGTGAGTTTCCAATACGGGAAGCTGATTCATGAATGGATCAAGATCTTTCAAATCCGTAATGCCAGGCCCAAAAAGGTCTTCAAGCAAATTCGGAGAGACATGAGCATGTAGCCATAACAGACAAATCTGCCCATTGTCAACAATGTACGCCCCGCCTTCCTCCATTTTCGAAAACGAAGCCCGCAGCGACAAAGGCATGCGGAGATGTCCATTTTCGTTTGGAAAACCATCCATGTCAGCCAGATTATGAATAGAATAAATGCGGGGGTACAGATAGAGGGATGTTTCAAGTGCCCCCATAGATCGTAGCAGTCGTAGGTCATGAACGCGTCGATCACTCGGTTCGCGACCGCCCTTGAAAGCACGTGTTTTGATAAGTGAAAGCATATACATGCCGAATTCTTTCAAATTTTCAGGTATAACAAGCTGACCAGACGGATGTGCGGACGAAAAGTGTTTGCGGTAATTAGCGAGTATATCGACAGTTTTCTCTGTAATGGCTCCACGGATATCCTTCAAAGTCCTCTCAGGTATCCTCGCGGCCGACTCTTTGGCAATTATGGTAGTAATCGCATCCTGGTCGACGTACTTCATGGCCTCGCCTCCTGTTTCAGCCACACTGGCGACGAGGTTTTGACATCGCACCCTTCTTTCACCATTCGCAGCCGTGTATAGAAGAGCACTTTGGAAATGGGCATCAAGTTTAGGATCAAGCTTGCCATCGTAGCTGAACATGACACCGATTGCTTTATCGGCGTCAATGACGCCAAATTCGAGGTCAGCGCCAAACGTATGATGGGTGAAGTTGCCATGATAAGCTGAAACCTGAAGCCCATTGGAGCAGCGGACCTTCATCAATGCTTGGAAGCCCGTCATCCTCGTGACTGTGTGCTTAATCTCCTTCGACAGCCGAAGTGTGTCTCGAGGGGAATGAAAGTTAGGATAATAGTACACCTCACCACCTGATTTTGATGACACATGCCCTAAACAATTGCTTTAGTGGAAAAAATAAACCCAAAACTAGTTGAATACGTACCAATGGTTGCGATGTCAAGATATCCACCACTTGGAGCAGCAAGAAAGAAATCTACGCCGACGCCATTGGAAACCATATCGTTAGCAAGTTTGGTGTAGCCGGGATGTTCCGTGGTCAAAAGTTTCTTCTCAGCGTCTGTCCCAGCAACAGCAGTATTGTCATCCCTTAAGAAGAGCCGTCCTCTTCCCCAAGTTGGCAAAGCGGCCAACGAACAAATAATTTTGCCACCTGTAGATTTCAAGGCTGATGCAGCGGCTTCGAGGGCTGGTAGAAGTGCTGGTTCAGGATTTTTGATGCCGGAATGCAGGTCCGGATTGAACATCTGAGGCAACTGGTTCAGAAGTTGCGTGATGGCCACTTTCGATTCGTGTGGATCCACAAAAAGTCCCTCGCTTAACGGCACAAAGGGATCTTCGATATCTGGCATTACCATCATTTGAGCTTGTTCAAGCTCTGAGCTCAAGTTAAAGAAATGCATTTGTTTGTCAAATGCGACGATGCCAACTTTTGCGCCTTTCGCTAGCCGTGGGGATGTTTCATCTGCAGGGTCGCCTCCGTATAACGCGTTCATTATGCCTTCACAAAAGCCTGTGAGAAATCCTTTGTTAACAGATTCTTCGGTGACATCGATCAGAAATAGCAGGTTCAGTGGCACTGGCTGTTTTGTCCAGTACTCCTTTGGTACTAGGAAATCTACGGTGCCAAGTGTCAGTTCAGGCCGTTGTTGTCGATCAACCCGGACACCAGTCGGATCTGTCGGCGCAAAATACTCCGGTGGTGTGTCATTCGGAAAGGTACACATGTTACAGATGAACTTGTTTCCACCAGAACGAAATGTCATAAAAGGGTTGATATAGGCTCTACATCTTCGACATCTTGGTGGCCCGAGGTCACCGAAATCAAGGACTGGTATCTCGCGTTCACCGTCCTGCAAGGGAGCAAGAGGCTGAAGAACAAGGCCAAGGGGAAGACCTAACGAGTTTAGGACTTCTTGGGAAACAGGAATATGTGTCATCGTAAGTCGAGCAAATTTAGGCGATGAGTTGCCTTGATCAAATGCGACGAAAGGGACCGTAGCTGGCGGAGCAATGTGATTGTCCATGGTAGCAAAAACATTCTCCAAATAGTACTGTGCTGGTACATCTCGCGAATTCGGCACGCTTGGTATCTGTTCCGGATCAACTCTGCCCTGAGCCGATGTCACCGCCGTTCCCCGTGCTGTATGGTCTTCGCGCACTGCCTGTTGATTTTGCAAGAACTGTGCGTTGACCAAATTGGGTAACTGGTTCGGATTCGGTGTGGGAGTTTGCGGTTGTCCGAAGGGTGTTTGTCCATACTGCGCTTGTCCAGTGGATGGCTGCAGCGCACCATTAAACGCTTGAGATGAAGCTGTCGTCTGCAACTCATGGTGCGCGTGCCTATCTCGCCTCTTCTTTCTTACTGTTCCACTTCCATCTGTCCCCAGTGTCATACTGCCCATATGATGCGCAAGACCACTAAAACCGTCTGTCGCTCCTGTACCAGAATGTTCTTGTACTCCATACTGGCTGTGCTCTTGATTCTGATACGGTATTTGCTGGTAGCCAGGTTGGGACGAGCTGCCATACGATTCGGCTGGGACGCTGCCATACACAGATCCAGCCTGTTGATATCCCGCAGGACCTGCCACAATTGGTGGCCGGGTACCTGCACTTCCGGGTTGCGAGTGAGGCGGTGGCTGTTGGTTAGGATCGTGAGGGATTTGGTTGCCCAGCGCGTGATACATGGAGTAGTCGGACATTGTGGCGGCGTGTAATGCTTTGCTATACCACTTTCTCGTTTTGTGGTGCGATGGAGGAAATGACAGCTGTCACCGTTGGAACATGTCACGGCCACGTCGAAATGCGCCTTAAAGACGTCAAAAGTTCAGCAACAAGCACTTGTTCGGAGAGTTTTTACAGTAACTGTGTGATTTTTGGAAAAGAGAATCAGCTACTGTATAATCATTTCGGCATTTTCGTGCATCTCAAGGTGCAGCCAGAAGGTTCACCCTGTGAGCCAATCATGTTTCAGCACTGCAAATGCCCTTATTCCGCAACGAACGAAACGAAAGCTTTGAAAGTTGCGGCATAAATAGAAGCACAAAGCATTAAGCTATGCCCAGCGTATTTGCTGCGATCACACATTCAGTATGTCTCTCGTTGAGTGCGGTGAAACGTTCACGGAGGTGGTATTCGATATACTCTCTGCGCTCCTGGTTTGTTTAGGTCTCCTCAGGCTAGCTGAAAGAGAAAGAATTAGCCTGAGTTGTCGATCTTACATTCTGCTTGGAGGCTTGCTACTCATGTTGCTAGAAAACACACTTGAATAGCATGTCAGGGTTGATTTCTGCAGGGGGTTCGATTTGCAACCAGTTCTGTGCTCGATGCTCAAATTTCTGCTCTGGCTATTCGAAAGCTGAGACTGTGAGCCTCTTCATCGAACGATTATTGGTGACCGAATATGTTGCGCAGTGCGCAATCAAGAGCTTAAGCAACTAGGGCTAAAGCAAACAACAGGCGAATACAACAACATCCTGCTTGCAGAATGTACAGCGAAATTGGTGATGCGGAGGTTAGCAGGAGATAAGTCTGAATAAGTTAGAGGCTCGAGCTGGATACGTATGTAGAAGGCTTGATTCTCCAATATTATCTTTCGACTATTTCACTGGCACATCTCAGACCATAAGTTGTTGGGCAAAAGTGCTTTTTTGGAGATCTCTTGGCAATCGAATCTACGCAACAGAGAGTTTGAAAGAGTCGACAACTCAAAGCAAAACTAAAGGCATCTGTACTCTTACCTACCTCTAAGTGAACAGATGTTACGCTTGGAATTATACGGGAAACATGTTCAGTCCATTTTGATAATATAACACTTAGATACATGAAAACATTATCTATGCAAAATATGATTCTCGAGCAATGACGTGTCGAAAGACGCGCAAATTACGGTTCAAATTTCCCCGGCCGAGTTGTCGCATAACAAGAAAGTGGCCACGTGCAAACCAAAATAGGTCAAGAAATCGGTCTCTGTCATGATTTTTCACAAATTTAACCAATCATATGTCCTGCTGCTGTAATGATTGAAACGCGTGCTATTGACATATAACCTTCCTTACGATTGAGATCCGACTACTCGCCGACTCATATGTTCCATGTCAGCTCAAGACGAGTTCTCCCCAAAAAAAAAAAAAAAAAAAATATCACCACATCTGATATTAGAAAGAACAACTGCTCAGCTCCTACGTGAATTTCCTGAGAAATCTTGATTTGCGATTCATACCTATGCTCACTTCTTGCTTTCTCAGGGCTCAACATCACTCCACTTCACACCCACGAATGAAGACACATCGAGACTATGGCTTATAGTCTGATCAGGAAGGTGCTGCTCAGTCAATCACAATGATTATACTAGTTCTAGCGTGTGAGAGCAGTCAGTTCTTAGGTTGTCGTAATTTTAACAGATGTTGGCTATAAATTTGCCTTCGATTGCCACTTCTTTTTCATTCATAACGAGCTTTTCATAAAGTACTATCTACCAAAATTCAAGCAAACCACCAACACTAGCATCATTCCAATTCAAATTTCCTCAATCATGAAACAACAATACTTGGTCGCCTATTTAGTCGCCTTTCTGAGATCTGCTGTCGCGACTCCCATCCCAGTCAATGGCCAAGATATCGTCGAAAGATCACCACAACATGGTCGGTATGGAGAAAGAGACCTTCCACAATATGGAGGTTTGTTGCGTACCTATCTTGATGACCAAATGCTAAGATTTGAAATAGACGGCGTTGATGACACACCGATTATAATCACTCCTATAGATATAAATCAGGAACAAAACGTCCAAGTTATTCAGAGCACGGTTGAAAAGCGGTCCCGCAAGCCTGATGCAATGCCAATTGGAATAACTCAGATTGAAACGGTCCAGGGCATCGAAAATTCCGTCGCGAAGAGATGGGGTCGTCCTAAGGGCGAACCAATTGATATTACACAAATCGAAACAGCCCAGGAAATTCAAAGCTCAGTCGAGAAGCGTGATTCACAACCTACCAATGTGAATCAAATTGAGTGTTCGCAGGTAATCAACAGTGTCGTTCAGAAGCGCGAATTGAACTCTCCCAAAAACGTATTCAAGTCGTTTCTCGAGCGTAGGAGATTGTGGAATTTCTAGGCGAATAGAAAGACATGTCAACAATGATTTTCAGGAAATAAAACCTTGAACTCAGCCGAGGTTGAAATAGATCAATTGCTAAATCCTGTAATACTTTGTCGACAATTGCAACTCAATGAAACCAATTGGAGCCGCTGTAACTAAGGACAAGTATAGAGCATAAGAAATCTCATTTGTAAGCGTGTCAAATGCTGGTTCATAGATATTTGCACTCGATAATGTGACTGATCTTAATTTATGACGCGAATTTATGTGAAAGGCTAGGGTTGTGGAGAGATGAATATTCAGCCTATGTGGCGTCTCTGAGCGCGATAGCTGGAAATAATTTCTTAAATAGGACAAGCTCCCTCATGAAATGTGCTTATCAGTTGTTTCCGATAATGACATTTGATAAATAAATTTCGCTCTCATGAACTTTTTCTCATATAAAATCATGCACTGCAGAATGTTTCTGCTGGATATTTATCTTTATGAGCGGTTTTTTAATTGAAACGTAAGGCTTACATGTCTCAACCCTAATCATTACCAAGCACTCACATGAAGATGAATGATCTGAGGCGTACAGAATCGTTGCGGACGGTGCCTCCTATCAACAAATTCATGACAAATCTCAAGAACCCAGAAGATCCAGCTCCCATCCGACGATGGCGTACGAATTCTGCTCCAATAAGCCCCACAAATATCAACTCCCAACCATTTGTTGGACGCGTCGGTGGAAATCAACTTCATGCTGTATCGGAATCCGACCCAGACTACGAAAAGCTCCAAATCACTAATCCTGATGCCGTTCAATCTCCCAAATGGAGAGCAATTCTAAGTCTTCGACCCTTTGGAGACATACATCTCTGGCGCAATGCGTGTCTTGAAGGCGTTGGGCTTTGTTGCTGGGTATTCATGGCAGGTCTTGTTTCACATGGAACTGCAGACCTCTCGACTGCAACAACTTTGGGTGCTGTTATTCCAGTTGGAATTGCTGCACTCGTTCAATTCCTTATAGTTACATTATTCATCTTTAGTTTAGGTCCTGTGACTGGTGCTCATTTGACTCCACTGATAACCTTTGCCACTTTTCTTGCTAAACTAACATCTCTACCCCGCATGATATTATATATTACTTTTCAGTGCATTGGAGCGCTAATAGGTGCATATATTCTTCGCTCTGCTCTTGGTGGAGATCCAAGCACCCTGATATATTCTCCTGGATGCTATGTTGACCCGAATTTGGTTTCTGCTGAACAAGTCTTCGCATTGGAAACAATGGGATCCTTATTTGTCTTATACCTTGCTTTTGGTCTAGGTCTTGATCCAAGAAACAAGAGCAATTTTAGCCCAGCTACTGGGCCATTCTTGGTTGGACTTTCTTCCGCAGTTGCTTTATTTGCCGGAGGCATATCGATGAGAGGTTACTATGGTCTATCTTGCAACCCTGCGCGATGTCTTGGCCTCATGTCGGCGGCACATCGATTCAATTATCATTGGGTTCATTGGCTAGGCGACTTTGTTGCATGTATAGTTCACGCCTTTTTATACTATGCAGTTCCGCCATTTTGTAATCAGAGAATTCAGGACTGAAATATAATGAGAATAATAAGTGAGAATATGGTCATATAAGCAGAAGTGTTTACTTTGGTCAGAGTAAGCAGAATAAATTCCATAAGCACATCAACAGTGAGCCCTACTTAACTGCTGTATTCTGCATCGCGTTGCGCTTTCAATTTTTACCTATATCCCTCTTAGTGACAGCTCCGAACTGTGTCGTATTTTCTCTTTTTACCCTACTACCCCTATATGAAGATCCTGAATCGCGGCACGCTTTAAACCCCTCACCTAGAAGCACTGGTGATAGAGTGTTAGGAATACTTTCCCTATACCGACTAGCTTCACTATCGTAAGCCACTTCGGAAGGGATGAGCTTCCTAGAGCAAAGGGAATAAGAGAGAACTAGGGCTTATTGAGAGTGGAGAGATAATAAGATAATTCAGTTTTATAACTTAGGGTAGCGTAAGGGATTGGTGATAGAAGTGCGAGATAGATAGTTTGATTTAAGAATGTCCGCTAGCTCCTGAGAGTCTCTCCTCTGAGCTGCCTTAAATATATATATATAAAGTAGTCATGTGTACTGTTAGGAACACTTTCCCAATACCGACTAGCTTCACTAATATGAGCCACTTCGGAAGGGATTAGCTTCCTAGAGCAAAGGGGTAATGTATAACTAGAGCTTATTATAGAAGGAAGTATACTAAGATAGTTATATTTATGACTCAGAGTAGTATGAGCTTTAAGAGTATAAGAAAGTATTCAATCTAACTACTACTAAAACTAGATAGTTAAATTATAGAGAACTATGATGAAGGTAGGGACAGGATATTTTTATAGATATAGGAAATCTGGCGCTCATCCCGCTCATCCATGAGCACTATAAGCGTGCTTATCCTGCTTATTCATGAACACTATGAGCATGCTTATGCCAAGAATCTATAAGTGCTGTTACCTATTCCATTATTTTTTTGCTTATGAACTAATAGGATTAGTTCTATATATTTATACTTATAATATCATTCCCCTCCTTAGTAAGCTTGTCCCAAGCTTTACTTAAAGAAGATATGGGTCCCTTTTATCTTTTAAGAGTGAAGATGGTGTTAGCGCAGTCGCTTTATCATAAAAATCTTATTACAGAAATAGATTCTTTTAAAAGTCCTGCTGACACCTCCTGCTTCTATTACCTTTCCTATAATTTAGATTATTTTATAATATCTTCCTTAAAAAGTAAGAAGTATTTCTATTATGCCAGTAAAGGTATGAAGTGTACAAGAGCTTTATAGAAGCCTTTAGATAAGATTAGAGAGAGTACTAAGGCTACTAGAGTAAAAGACTTAGAGGAGTTGGAGTAAGTTAGTGCCAAGCTTACTAAACTTCTTTCCTGAATAAACCAAAATCATAAACTTCTTAATTTTACTAAGAAAAGGGTAAAAGAGAAGGTAATTGTTATCAGCATAACACGTGGAACTAATCCTATTGGCTTGTAAGCGGATAACCAATGGAACAAGTAATAGCATCATATACATAAGCTGAATGGACATAAGATGTAAGGGGTGAATGTAAGCGTGATATCAGGATGGGGAGCAATAAGTATAGATTGGTATTAAAACTGATGACTAAGGAGTTAAATTAAGGTGGATACTATATATAGCTTAAATACTGCTTCCCCCTAGAGCATATAACCCGCAGCCTGAGCGCAGCCGTACCATATATATATTCCTACTCTATTCCTTATAACTCTTCCCCCCCTTCCATAGTCTGGTCCCCAGACTTACTAAGATTATATTCCTCTACTAGTATAATATTATATTAGGTGTATTCCATCTATTACTTCTACTATTTATTATTATTATTATATCTTAGTATTATGCTATATATATTATTATATTTATCTCTATTATATAGTAACAATATTATGATTTTAATACTTAATAAAGATATAAATTCTTTTATATTCTAAAATTTATTCTTCTACTATTTATATATACATATATGTATATACATATATATATATATAAATATATATATATATATATATATATATATATATATATATATATATATATAATAAAATAGTATCTTTACAGCAGTCAGCTATTTATTTATCAGGGGTGAGATAAGGTCTATCAATACCTTACTCCTCAGGTGTAGGTTATAGGCATTCTTCATCTCATTCCCTAACTCCTCCTTTACTAATACCCACGCCACCATCATTAAGTTCTCGGCGCGGTAAGGCAATGTTACGGCGTACTTGTCAGTACGGCCAGGGTAACATGGGTCATTGCCAAGCAATACCAAGTGGCAGTCTCAGTCTTGATATATGAGACTTTCTGCATTAGTCTTAACCTTAATAGATAAGACTATATATATAAGTCTTATTAGGAGTGATTAAGACTTGGTTATAAGGAGTAGGAAATAGATCTATATAAGGAGGGCTATGCCTAAGTCTATACTTACTATAATTTAACTATCTAGCATAGCTAGTAGTTAGTTTAAATATTTTCTTATATTCTTAAAGCTTAAACTATTCTAAGTTATAAATATAATAATCTTATTGTATTCCTTCCTTAATAAGCTTTTATTATATATTATTCCTTTACTTTAGGAAGCTAAACCCTTCTGAAGTAGCTTATATTAGTAAAGCTAATTAGTATTAGGAAAGTATTTCTAATAAAAGTTAAATTACTAGAATCTTAGATAAAGTAAAGAATAATATCTTATATCTACTATCTTTAAAAGAAGTAGTAGAAGTTAATAATAGTCTAATCCACTAAAAAAGAAGGTTAAGGTTACTTTAGGTACTAGTATGTTACGAAGTAACACGTGATCAGTCACATGAGTGATCATTTTGATCATTTTTGGGAAAATGATCAAAATGAGCGCATTAGCCAATGGTTGAGGGTTAGGATACTGTTGATTGGTCAGAGTGATCATTCTGATCATTTTGCCAAGAATGATCAGAATAAGCAAGGCAATAAGGATATCAGGAAAACGGTCTATATAAACGTCCTGTCTCTACAGATAT